GCGCGTCCAGTCCCTGCGCCCCTCGACCGGCTACGACCTAGCCACGATGGACCTCGAGCTGAAGGCGATGGTCACCATGTGCGCGCTCGCCGCCTCCCCCAACCCGCAGCACTCCAACATGTACACCTCCCTCCTGCTCGACAAGGCGCTCACCTACGAGACGGTCAAGGACATGATCGCGCGCGAGTTTGCCTCGCACCGGATGACTGCGGACGGCACGCCCCTTGCCGCCAACCGCGCCGGGTATACACCCGAGTGCTACAACTGCAAGGGCCCGCACCTCATCCGCGACTGCCCGAAGTTCAAGCCGGACTGGAAGAAGGAGGAGGAGGCCGCCGCTGCTGCTTCTACCTCAAAGCGCCAGCAGAAGAAGAAGAACAAGGGCGGCGCCAACGCGTCCGGCGCGTCCTCTGCGCCTTCTGCGCCCTCTGACGCGTCCTCTACCGCGTCCACCTCCGCCGCTGCTGCGCGCGTCGAGTCTGCTGGCGAGGCAAGCGCTTTCACTTCCTCCCCCGCTCTCAAGGAGTGGCTCCAGTCCAAGGCTGCAGCTAACTTCAACACCGACACAGGTGCGTCTCTACACATGACGCCGCGGCGAGATTGGTTCGTCACCTACTCGCCGCATCGTGTTCCTGTTCGCCTAGCGAACGGCGCGATCGTCTACTCGGCGGGCATCGGGTCGGTGGAGTACCAGCCGGTGGATGGGGGGAAGTCGCTTATGCCTATTGTGTTCTTTGATATCCTCCATGTCCCTCTCCTTACCTCGAACCTCCTGTCAATTTATCATCTTACTGCGCACAAGGGGTACGAGGTCAGCATCAAGGACAAGCGCGTCGCCTTCTACCGCGCTGGGGCGCTCGTCTGCACCGCTACAGTGGACGACTCGAACACGGGCTATCTGGACGGCTATGTCGTTGTTCCTCCGGCGCACAGCGCGCAGCGCGCCGCCTCTACCACGCTCCCGCTCGACGCCGCGCTCTGGCACCGCCGCTTTGCGCATGTCAACCATGGGGACATTGCGAAGCTGCGGCAGCGCAAGCTGGTGAGGGGCATGCGGTTTGACAGCAGGGAGGCGCCGGACCCGATCTGCGAGCCATGCATCATGGGCAAGCAGACGCGCAAGGCGGTACCGCACGGTCCAGGAGAGCGCGCAACGCGTCCCCTTGAGTTGGTTCACACCGACTTGAAGGGTCCTATGCCGGTCGCATCCAGAGAGGGGGCGAACCTCTACTGGATCACCTTCATAGACGACAAGACGCGGCGGCGCTGGGTGGCGTATTTGAAGCGCAAGAGCGACGCTTGGGCTGCTATCCAGCAGTTCAAGGCGGCTGCTGAGGTGGAGAGCGGTCAGCGCTTGGAGGTACTGCGCTGCGATGGGGGTGGCGAGTACATCTCCAACGTCATGAAGGACGCGGCGCTGAAGGAGGGGTGGCGGTTGGAGATCACAGAGCCAGATGAGCCGCATCAGAACGGCGTTGCTGAGCGTGCTAATCTGACCCTTGCCAATGGCGCTAGCTCTATGCTCTACGAGGCGAAGCTACCGCCTTCGTTCTGGGCCTACGCTATAGCCGCCTACAACCACGTTGCCAACCGCGCTCCTACCTCCGCTCTGCCTGGGGATACCACCCCACACATCGCCTGGACCGGCAAGACGCCGGATGTTGGCTACTTCCGCGTCTTTGGGTGTCTGGCGTACGTCCTGGTGAAGGACAAGCACCGGCGCGCGCTCGAGCCGCACTCTCAGAAGTGCATCTTCTTGGGGTACCCTCCCGGGACCAAGGCGTGGTTGTTCTACAACCCGGCCACCAAGAAGACGGTCATTTCGTCGCATGCGGTGTTTGATGAGCGCTACATGCCGGGTACGTCGCTCAAGAGCCTCAATCTCATCACTGCGGAGATTATAGACCGAGGTGAAGGCCCTCCGGACTTTGGGGATGTTGCTGATCAAGGGGGTGATGTGCCGTCGCCCTCTACCCATCGTCATAGCGCAGATGACGATGGTGTTGCGCTCTATGATGATCAGCCGCCTCCCCCATCCGGACCGCCAGCGCCCGCCGCGCCTGCTGCGCCTCAGTTGCGCACACCGCCGCCCACATCGCCGCCGGCACCCTCTACGCCGCTTCAGCAGCCAGCTGAGCCTACCACGCCGCCTAGCGCGCGTCCGCCGCCGCCCTCTGCACCCCGCCCGTCTCGCACTGCGCCGCCTAGCAAGGCCGCGCTGAGAGGCAGACAGGAGCGCGCGCAGGAGCAGCAGCCAGCACCGCGCGCAGAGCGCAGTCCGTCCCCTGCTTGGGAGACAGTTCGGCCGTCTACCTCGAGCGGACCGCCACCGTCGCGTCTGCCTCGGGCAACCAAGCCGACCCATAGCTTATCCGAGCGCGAATTGACGACTCGCGCTTGGCAAAAGCAACCTGCGCCGCCTTCTACAGGCCGCGCTACATCGTCTACACCCGCGCCACAGCCGCAGGTGACGTCCCCTAACCGGTTTGCGCCGTTATCCGGCCAGATTGAGGAGGTGGACGAGGAGGAGGAGGAGCAGGAGCAGCAGAGCGAGCAGGGGGTGCAGGAGGAGCGCAGAGAGCAGGTGCAGGAGGATGATGTGCAGGACAGAGCAGAGGCGAGGCGCAGGATGATGGAGTGGTCAGGGAGTGAGGATGAGCTGCGGATCACTGATGAGACGCCTATCCCAGGAGCGCACGTTATGCAGGCCGGCCTCGACTACGTCTTCAGCGGCATCACCGAGGAGGACTGGTCAGTAGAACAGGCCCTCGACTTCGCCCTCGCCACTACAGTCGCGCCGGACCCCCAGCAAGGCGAGCCCAAGACGTTTGCTGAAGCGCTGCTTCGCCCGGACAAGGCCAAGTGGATCGAGGCCGCATTCGACGAGGTGCAGGCGCTGGTCGACAACGGCACGTTCGAGGTGGTCGAGCTGCCGCCAGGCAAGCGCGCTATTGGCAGCCGGTGGGTGTTCAAGGTGAAGCGCAATGCTGATGGGTCTATCGAGCGGTACAAGGCGCGCTGCGTTGCGCAGGGCTTCTCGCAGCGTCCCGGCTTCGAGTACACCGAGACGTTCGCCCCTACGCCAAAGTGGGCCGCCATCCGCGCTATCCTCGCCCTCGCCGCTATGGACGACCTCGTGCTCTACTCCATCGACATCAGCAACGCGTTCTTGAATGGCGAGCTGGCCGAGGAGATCTACATGCGCCAACCGCCCGGTTTCAAGCTCGGCATTGATCCTGACAAGGACTATGTCTGGCGCTTGAAGAAGTCGCTCTATGGGCTGAAGCAGGCGAGTCATGTCTGGCACGAGACGCTGAACAAGGTGCTTGTAGAGATGGGCTTCACGCGCATCCTCTGCGACCACAGCGTGTGGGTGTACGGTCGCGGTGACGCGCGCATCCTCGTGCCCGTCTTTGTGGACGACATGACGATTGGGTGCAAGACTGACGCACAGGCGCTCGGTATCATCGGCGAGCTGAAGAAGCACTTCAAGCTGCGCGAGTTGGGTCCTACCACCTGGCTACTGGGCGTTGCCATTGAGCGCGAGCGCAGCCAGCGCACGCTGTCTCTTTCGCAGCGCCAGTACGCCACGGACGTCCTCGAGCGGTTTGGCATGGCCGAGTGCAGCCCGGTCACCACTCCGCTCAACCCCTCGCACAAGCTCAGCGCTGCCGACGCTCCTGTCACGCCGGAGGACATCGAGTTCATGTCCTCCCGCGCTAAGGAGTACGCCTCTGCTGTTGGCGCCATTGCCTGGCTCGCCCTCGCCACTCGTCCTGACCTCGCCTACCCGGTCTCAGTCCTCGCTCGCTTCACCGGCAACCCCGGCCGCCCGCACTGGAACGCGCTCAAGCACCTCTTCCGCTATCTCAAGGGCACGCTTGACTACAAGCTGACCTATGACGGCAAGGCGGTGAACGCGCGCTCCGAGCTCTTCTACACCTACACCGACGCGGACCACGGCGGTAACCCGGACAATGGGCGGTCTACCAGCGGCCAGATTGTCATGATGGCGGGTGGAGCGGTCTCCTGGTCGTCCAAGCTGCAGACTATAGTCGCGCTTTCGACCACCGAGGCAGAGTACGTCGCGGCGTGCTCTGCCGGCCAGGAGATCCTGTGGATGCGCAACTTCCTGACCGAGTGTGGCTACTCGGTCAAGAGCGCGCCCTCCACCCTCTACATCGACAACAACTCGGCGCTGCAGGTAGCCAAGAACCCGGAGCATCATGGGCGCATGAAGCACCTGGACCTGCGCTTCTACTGGCTGCGCGATGAGGTCCATCGCGGCAGCATCCGCCTCGTCCATCTGCAGACTGCGGATATGCCGGCTGACATGATGACCAAGGCCTTGGGCCGGGTCAAACTGCAGCACATGGCGACGCTCTCTGGCCTTGGAGTTGGGCGCTAGGACGTGCTCGATCAAGGGGGTGTGTTGGAATCGGTGTCTACGCGCTCTCTAGCGCCTATGGTATTTTTCTGTGATTTTTCGGACTTTTTCCCGGTACTGTACGCTTACTTACAGTCCTATCTCTGCGCTCGCGCCTTATTGCCGAGCGCCACATATTTCCTCGGCTTTTGCCGGTCCCTCCTGCCTAGAGCGGCGCATCCGAGTCTTTTCTCTTCCTGACTCGTTTGCTGTCGCTCTAGGTGCGTAGTTATGCGTTCTGTACTGCTGAATATACACCTGACTCGTTTGCTGTCGCTCTAGTGTGATCACTGGCTCGATTCTGCCTCGGACACCTTATTGCCGAGCGCCACATATTTCCTCGGCTTTTGCCGTGCCCTCCTGCCTAGAGCGGCGCATCCGAGTCTTTTCTCTTCCTGACTCGTTTGCTGTCGCTCTAGGTGCGTAGTTATGCGTTGTATCTCGCTACTTATGAATCTGACTCGTTTGCTGTTGCTCTAGTGTGATCACTGGCTCGATTCTGCCTCGGACAGAATCAGGCACTGGGAAGTCTCTTCTCCTGCGCGCAATCATCGACACGCTGCGACGCAAACACATGGGCAACCCAGGTGCAGTGGCACTCACTGCTAGCACTGGCATTGCGGCGGCAAACATAGGAGGTAAGCTATCCAAGTGCGGAGGGCGCAGACGTTGTTCTTACGTTGTGAACTTTCAGGACAAACTATCCATTCGTGGGTGGGCTTCTCTGAAGCCAAGCTTGGTAAGCCCGATGTCGCAGGGGAGGTGAGAAGATCTGCGCCGCAGGCTGTGGAACGCTGGACGTCCGCCAAAGTGCTGATCATTGATGAAAGTATGTTCCCCCACCGCTCCCTGTTGGAAACGGTGTCTACGCGCTCTCTAGCGCCTATGGTATGTTTCTGCTATCTTACGGACTTTTTCCCGGTACTGTACGCTTACCTACAGTCTTACTTATGCGCTCGCGCCTTATTGCCGAGCACCACATATTTCCTTGGCATTTGCCGGTCCCTCCTGCCTAGAGCGGCGCATCCGAGTCTTTTCTCTTCCTGACTCATTTGCTGTCGCTCTAGGTGCGTAGTTATGCATTGTATCTCGCTACTTGTGAATCTGACTCGTTTGCTGTCACTTTAGTGTGATCACTGGCTCAATTCTGCCTCGGACACCCAGTATAATCCTTGGTCACTTGCATCTGCCAGCGGCGACATACGCACACATGATCGGGGTCGCGTCCGCATGCCACTGTGCACCTACTTTTACACGTTAGTAGTAACTTTCAAGACGGCAAAGGAGATGCTGACCAACAGCTGCTGCGCTTGGCAACTGAATGTTGAACCTCCTTACCCTGGCGCCAAAGGCGGTTCGAGTAGAGGAATTGTAATGGAGGGTGCGGCTCCCCATCCACCTCGTTGGCCACCATCATTGGACCTCCTGTCCCGCACGCTTCAGCCAAAGAATGCATAATGATAGCAGGGCCGGGACACAGCGTCCATGCTGCATGAAAAATACTCGCCTTGAACACGAACCTCCTCCATGGTTATCCAATTTTGCATGGCTACCTGGCCTCCAAGTTGCTGTCAGAGTATCAGGGGCAAAGCGACCTCTGCAGCAAATTCCGCACCGGCGCTTCAGTATGGAGATAGTTGTCCTGTACCGATCAAGCCCACGCCAGGTCAGTGAACATGCTATAATTGTTGCGTTTTGCTGAAGTATTGAAGTGAGGCGCTGAACGTTCTAATTGGTTGTCAGACCAGTGGCAGTCACTGTACAAGTAGGCAAGCAACCGTACGAAGCACGTGCCAACCGGGAAAGGAAGGGCTACCCTCAATTGACGCGTGGCAGGGGTGGGGAGCCCTTCCATATACGTCCACCGCAGTAAGCACGTGACATGGGCAACCCCGGCAGCTCCCAGCATTGACTCCACTTGACAGCATTCACTTCATTGTCGATTGATGCAAAGCAAGGACTGCATGTATGTTTCGTCAGACAAGGGCGAGTACGCCGTGCAGGCATTTTGCATGTCCAAGGCAGTGACCAGGATCAGAAAGCGCAACGAGAAAGCCGGAGAGGTATGCCAGTTAACGTTCTAAGATAAGGCGATAATTGACACCAACGCCGTCTCAGACAACGTCGCCGTGGGAGAGAGGGCGAAGATTCTTGGATGAGCTGGAGCAGGGGCGCAAGATGCTGGAGAGCGAAGTGAATGCACTGCACAAGAGATGTTGCAAGCTGGAAGGGGAGCACAACCAGGCCTATCAAGACAGAGATGACGCGCGCAGGGCACGCGACGAAGCTCTGGAAGCATTTTTTGGAGCCCCTGGCGGGTGTACACCTTGTGGAGAGCGTAGCGTGAGGATATTTCTCGATGGTTGCCAAACGCACAAAGGCAGAGGAGCACAAAGAACTGAGGAAGGAGAGAGATGCCGCCATAGAAGAGCAACTAGAGGCGGCCCAGGAACAGGGGGAACTATGGGATGAGTTGGAGAGGGTTAATGAGGACCTGCAACGGGAATTGAAAGAGGCATGGGCAATGGTGGAGAAACTGCAAGGAGAGGAGGAAGATGAGTAGGTGGGACACAATGTAATATGTCTGCTATGGCTATGAGCGATTCCAATGGCAACCTTAGGGGATCACTTAGCGGCGATGGCATCAGATGTGTCGCTGTGATCCTGCCTTTTAGGGATTGTCGCTCGCAGAATGGTGGGGTGCAGCGCTGCAGCGCAGTCTCTGTTACTCTATATCCATTTATCGGACCCGGGCATTGGTGAAGCAACGGGCCAATGGAGAAATTAGAATATTGCCAGCTTATTAATTTGGCTGTAGTAGAATATACATGCAAAGGACGAGGGGAAGGGGGAGACGGTGGTGATGGGTACAACTGCAGGGGGCGTACTGTGTGTGGATAAGGAAGACGACAGCAGGTGATGAGCGACTTTGGAGTAGGAGGCGAAAGGTGTACAGGGGTTTGGAAGAGGGAGCGAAAGGAAGAAGCGGGCGACGGTGTGCGGCGCCCGCCCTTTGTGCGCATATTAAGCTTCAGCCTGCAATGATCTGATCCTGGGTCGTTGTTCCCATATGCATAGAACCACTGCTCCGCCCCCCTCCACCTCAATAGCCCTTCCTCATTTCCTGTTCGTTGCCACCCCTATAAATGGCTATAACGGCTTCGAGCAAAGAATGGTGGCAGCAAGTGTTGGAATCGGTGTCTACGCGCTCTCTAGCGCCTATGGTATTTTTCTGCTATTTTACGGACTTTTTCCCGGTACTGTACGCTTACCTACAGTCCTATCTCTGCGCTCGCGCCTTATTGCCGAGCGCCACATATTTCCTCGGCTTTTGCCGGTCCCTCCTGCCTAGAGCGGCACATCCGAGTCTTTTCTCTTCCTGACTCGTTTGCTGTCGCTCTAGGTGCGTAGTTATGCGTTCTGTACCGCTGAATATATTCCTGACTCGTTTGCTGTCGCTCTAGTGTGATCACTGGCTCGATTCTGCCTCGGACAGCAAGTGCTAGTGGAGGCGAGATACCGGAAGAACGAGACCAGGACAGTGACGCAAAGACGCAGCCAAATAAGTGCGTGAGCAGGTCGACAGGCAAAATATACTGGGATGAACGCATGTCAGAGCAGCACGGAGCCGACTTGCCGAGAGTCAAACGAGGCAGCGGGAGCGGGTCACCAGCCCGGGCCACCGGTGCCAGCTTTGTCAGCAATTGCGCGCGCGCGAGGACGTGGTGGCGGCGAGCAGCGAGCGCGGCACGTGAGACTGTGCAAAGAAGGTCAAGGCGTTGTACAGGGGGCAAAAGAGGCGGCCAACCGCGTTGTTTGGAGCAAGAAGCGGGGGAGGGGAGGGGAAATGATCAAACACGCGGCATCTCGAGCAGCTCGCGCGGGCCTCAGACGAGGGCTTAGGCGGGGGCAGCAAGGGCAACTTGGCGGGCGGGCACAGTGTCAAGCACGAGGCATAGCACATCATCCAAGACAGCGAGTGAGAGCGAGGGCAGCGTGAGGCATGCCGTGCGCGCGTAAACCCCGTATCCGTCCCGGGGCAAGCTGTTGAGCGAGCCCTATGGGTACTCCCAATCGTTCGGACCTGTCACCGTGTGTAGTGTTGGTTCAGTGTGCTCGGCAGAGCTGCACGGGCTTGGCCTACCGCGCCTCCGCGACACCTTGTTGCGGCAGGCTTCTACAGCGCCGTACCACCGAGGGTCCTCGAGACGAAGCAACCGGCTGACGCAATGTAGCGGTGGCGAGAGACAAATCGTCAATTGTCAAAAAATGTGTGAGGGGGCGCTAGCCTTGGCTCACTAAGGGTGAGAGGCCAGACAAAGAGACAGATGCCGTGATGTATAGCAGGTGGGTGTAGGGTACAACTGAGTATCTAGAATAGGCCATAAGGCCTGCCTTGTATATTCGAGGAACATAACTAGCAACGGTCACTTTACATCACGCGGCCTATGTTCGAACGCTGGCTTGGTCTGGCAGTCAAGGCCTCTGCCGAGTACATCTGGCCTTCTCGTGTATACTATGCAACGTAGGATACTGTACGGTTTCGACCGTAGGTTCACATCACATGTCACTGGGACCCATGAACTGAACCTACGGCACAAGTGTCACAGGTCATACCAGTCGGTGAACTCTGTACCATGTAAGTCCAAAATAGCGCGTTTTGAGCATAAATTTGTGATTTTTCCGCCCACTGCGTACAGTCTTACATGTTTTCTAGTCACCTACCCATCCCATGTCATCCCAGTTTGATGTCCACATCTTCCTTCGTGATGTGCACTGGCCCTGCCTGTGTCTCCCTCCTTCCTTGGGCTGCGGCATCTCATGAAGGCTGACATCATTGACGTCAAGGTCTTCAGCGAGCCCTGCACGCATGAGGTTCCTCTCTATTTGACAAAATCCTGGGGGATCTGTGAGCCCTCCGACATCACATAATCAATAATGTGTTAGTCGGCGTGTCGCTGGCGTCTAGGAAGGTCTCGTGGCCGTAAGACCTCAGGTTGGCTAGAGGGCTATCCTCATCGTCAATAGGATCTTCTTCTTCACCTATGGGAACAGGCATTTGAGAGGAGAGTTGCATGAAGAGGGTAATATTAGTTGTTGAAAGCTCCCTCAGTCGCTTGAGGACGTTGGGGCTTCGTAAGGCTCAATCCGTGCTTGTTCTCAGATACATGGAGGATGTTTGCGCTCTATATCATTGTGTCGCTGATGTCATCTTCGTTGTGCTGCTGAATGTACATAGTGTTGGATACGATGGACATGGGTACACCACCAGACAATGAATATTCTAGTCGGCCCAGAGGGCTGCACCACCCACGAACTTAGGCGCATGAACTTAGTTATCTAGTGTCACACCCAATATTGACCCGCGAACTTGAACTAAGGTAAGTTCACGCGGTCACAGGTCACATCCGCTGAACCTACGGTTGAAACTGTACAGTATACTGATTGGCCCAAATTGTAGCAAGAACAAGTAGTAGGAGGGGTGCGCAACAAGAAACAGGATATTAGAGTACTAAGATACAAGAACAAGTGGTGGGAGGAGTGCGCGACAAGAAACAAGACATCAAGAAAGTACTAGAATACAATGTCAAGTGCAAGAACAACATAGATGATCAAGACTGTCCAAACGCCTACGCTGGTATGAGTGCCGTCCACACGGCCGTGTGAGTAAATATGGTTGATGTGTTGCTCTCGCAGGGATGTATCCTTGGCCTAAGTACATGGACGCTTGTGTGGCGGCATTGATGGAGAGCGACAGGGAGAGCGCTGGATGGGTGGAGGGGGGAGAGCGGAGGTGGATGCAATTGGAGACAACACAGAAGGAGGAGGAGAGATGGAGCGTCGCATGTGTGTGGATGCCAACTGCGAGGGCACCAAAGCAGGGACACGACGTGATGGTCCCGGCTGATCAGCACACGCAACGGCAGGCGCCGCATTGGACGGTCGCGGTCGCCACCAAAAGGGCAGACAACCCTCTTCACTGCACAGCAACGATATGTTGAGATGGGAGGGCGCAGACACAAACAACAGACCACAGATGACGGTCAGAGACGAGGCTAAGTGACAGCGTGATACGTGACTATAGGTAAATATCCCCTTTTGGGCCGGTCCAAGCACACCAACTCCAACACTCCCACCTGTGCGCCGGACCGCAGAGAGACTCCCACCTAATCCAGCAACTCCCACCTAACCAGCCAAATCCTACCATCACGTGTACAGCCTAGAGACTCCTCCCCACAATCCACCGGCACCGGAAAAGTCGAAGGCATCATCGTCGGTGTCGTCGACAGATGGCAGCGGCGGAGATGGCGAGCGAGAGGCAGGAGGAGAGGGGGAGCGACGAGCTGGGATAGTGTACACACCAAAAGCCGACTGGGCGAGGTGCTGGTGTTCGCCCTCTGCCTCCATGACCGCGAGCGAACTGACCATGTTCGCGTTGAGATGCGCGCGGTCTGAAATCTTCTGCCGGATGGCCTCGGGCATGTTGTACATGTAGAAGGCAGCGATATGACCTGCACGCCCGCACCGATGGCAGGCGTCACCGTTGACATTGCACCAGCGGTAGCCCTTGTCGTCCACCCATCCTCCAGTCAGGTCAGCCTGATGACCATCAGGATGCCGCGGTGCACGCGACCCTCGTGCCCCATTTGCGGCCAGCAGCGGGCTGGGAGAGTACTCCTCCTTCTTGACGACGTCAACGTTGAGCGCGGGGGAAGACGTCAGGGTGGAGATAGCGTCGTCGAGCTTGGGCTCGGTGGTCTGCGCGAGGAGGATGGTGGTAGTGGCGATGAAGGCATGGTGGACGTTCATGAGGATGACGTCCAGAATCTCGGTGTCCGAGATGGTGATACCCATATCCTTCAGGACCTGCGCCTTGGCCCTCACCTCGACGATGAACTGCTCAAGCGACTGGGTGGGGAAGTCATGAGAGCATTGGTAAAACGCTTTGCGTGCAGCAACGCGCCGGGCCCTGGTCGAGGCAGTGTACTTCGCCTTCAGCGCCTTGTACAGCGCCTGGCCACCACGTTTCCCTGGCACCCCATCCTTCACATCCTTCTCCAGCATCCCAGAGAGGACATACCCGATGGCGTTGTCCAGTGCTTTCTTGGACGAATCGAGCGAAGAGTCATCCACAATGTGGTCAGCACCAACGCCAGTGCAGAAGTCGATGAAAGCCTCTGCAAACGAGTGCCAGTTGGCCTCGCCTTGCAGCTTCTCCGACTGCTGGAAGATAGTGACAGCATAGGAGGGGAGGGAAGACATGATGAGTGGTGGATGGTGCAGATAAGACCGATCGATCGAGTGAAAATTTTTTGAGAATGAGAGAATGGGTTTTTCTGGAGGAAAAAGCGAGTTCTGAGAGGTCTGGGGGGTTTTCGGGTAAAGACTAGAGCGCGGGGCTCATAACCTGTTGAGATGGGAGGGCGCAGACACAAACAACAGACCACAGATGACGGTCAGAGACGAGGCTAAGTGACAGCGTGATACGTGACTATAGGTAAATATCCCCTTTTGGGCCGGTCCAAGCACACCAACTCCAACACGATAACGGGCTTGCCATCCTTACCACCTCGGCAACGTCCCCGGCAACTTTGTGAATCAGCACGCAAATATCAAGGCTGCACTGAATGTGAAGTCGCAATGGGCGGTCAGGGAGTTGGCGGCAGTGTTTGCACTCTGTACCCTCGCGATAGCTTTTACATTCACGACCCGCCTTGACGCACGTGTGACAGCCCTGAATAACTGAGACGTTGAGTTTGGGTGGCCGCGTAGATTAGGGATGGAACACACCGGATCCATAGTTAGCAAGACGGGGCAATGCACGGTGCCATGCATCACTGGAAGAGATCTCTTTGGCTTGGATGGAGCAGGCTTGCGGCCCATTCCCTTGGGTCGATGTGGCCTGCAGGGGTCAGGGAGGGTATGAGAATGGTTCATAACATACGCACTTTGGCGGCGGGCATCGGACGACAGTCAATTCTTCACCAGTAGAAGGAGGTAATACACAAGTGCTATGGCTGCAGCCACTGAAGCCAAATGCATTTGGCATGGCTCTAGCCACTGGTGGCTGGTGCCACTGCAAAAACACAAAATCTCGGACTTTGATCAAAAATTTCAAGTTGAAGAAGGGTAGGTTAGGAGGGTTAGGGGTTGGTTTGGGTTGGTTAGAGGTTAGGGTTTGAGGTTAGGAGGGTTAGGAAGGTTAGGGAGGTTAGGAGGTTAGGGTTTGGTTAGGGTTCAGGGTTAGGATTTTGGGTTAGAAGTTTGGGTTAGGGCCAGGGACGTCATATCTGTCTCATTGTCTTGTTGGTTAGAGGTTAGGGTTTGCCAATAAGGCTCATTCAGAGTAGGGAGGGTTAGGAAGGGTTAGGGAGGTTAGAAAGGTTGGGTAAGGGAGGGTGATATAGTGCAACACATCTGCTAGCTAAACAAGATCCAATGGCTTAGCTGGTTAGAGCACCACTCTGACTGCACAAGGTCTAGAGTTCAAACCCTGCTATATTTGCTCTTGATTTGCAACATTTTTAAGCAGTTTCTGATGGCATCTGCTGACAAATCTGTCAGTGATGACTCAGACAATGCCTAATTAGGTTGCAAATTACCAAATATAGCAATTGGGAGCCATGCATTTGCCGGTGGCAGCAGCCACCAGTGGCTAGAGCCATGCCAAATGCATTTGGCCTCAGTGGCTGCAGCCATGGGCATTTGCCTCGGATTTCCTGCTACGGCTCGCGGGACTTGAGACGCGCCCGAAGGCGATGGTAGAGGCGGAGGATTGCGACGCAACCCAGGTGGGGGGCACGCGAGCAGTCATCGTTGGTGGGACGGCTGCACCGGAGGCGCAACAATCTCAATGTCAGGAGATGATTGCCGGCCAGAGGAATTCGCCCGCTCTCGAGGTGCAACGATCTTGATGTCAGGTGATGGCTCTGGGCTAGAGGACCCGAGGGTGATCGGGAGGTCGGGGGAATCTCCAGCACCAGGAGGGAACTTGGGCAACATCAGAACACAAAAGATAGATATGGAGGTGGCTCATCTGGCACGAGGGCACCATCGCAGCTGCTGAGAGGATGTGGAGGGTCCGGAAGACATGCCGGTTTGGCAAAGGCAGAGGCAGACGATCGGGGGGAGGGTGAGCGGGGACACGGAAATGGCTTAAGCGCCAACATGAGAGATGGACGTACCTGCATCGTTCGCACCGCTAGATCCAGCTAGACCCAGCTACACCGGGTGACGGTGAGGGCGCAACTGTGTAAGAGAATGTAGGTCGATGCCGCCAGTGCAGGGAGGCGGTGATGGCGGAAGACAAAAGAAAGATGCGCCGCCGCGCGCGACAGTGCATGGGAAGCAATCCAGAAAAGGAAGGGCTCCCCTGGAGTGACACCTGCCAAAGGAAGGGCTCCCCTGGGGACACCTTCCAAAACAAGTCTGCCAGCACAGATCGCTCGGACGATGGCTCAGGCGCACACTCCCAGCCGCGGTGTGGATTTGATGCCGCTCATGCAACGAGGGCAAAAAGGCGGAGAAGGTAGAATCTCGGGGGTGCTGCCGAAATTGATAACTGCGTTGTGTTTACAAATGAACGGTCAGGTGAGGTCTATGTTTGTCAAGCGTGGGATGTGTTGAATGAGCAGTATATAATAGCAGCGAGGGAGGGCATGTCCGTAGCTTTCAACGCAAACCATCATGTCAGAAGCTGCTGTAAGCCCAAAGATAGCCAAATACGTTGCGAAATGGCACGCCAGAGGCCAGAAAAGGGTGACACCTGTGCAAGGCCAGGAACTGCGCTACCTGACGATGGAGGGTGCATCGCCCAAACATCTGGGTGACAAACTCAAGTTGGCAACGGCAACGGTTAATACGGCAATTAAAAGGGTAGGACCAGGACCCGCGCTGATAAGCACGAGCAAACTGTTCCAAGAGCTGGTGGCCTCAGAAGAGATATGGCAAGCAGTCGGCTGGGATAGGGTGAGCTGTGTCACAAGGCACTTATGGGCTGCTAAAGCTGTGTGACCACAGGTCCTGCATGGCTTGGTAGCTCAGTTGGTTAGAGCATCCAGCCCGGATAGTGGAAGGTCTCTGGTTCGATCCCAGACCAGGTCACTTTATCAGAACACCTCCTCGGGAGCAATGTGCCATCAGAACACTAATTCTGATAAGCTGCAATCGGTTTGGATGGTACCAAATGCTGAGACAATGTGCAAATAAGGCTTTGGAAAGGCCAGCTTCTGTTTTGACAGTGGGACCTACGGATGGAAGCGAGGAGGATGCTTGGAGATGAGCAAAGCAGGCACTTCCACACACTGCAGACAAGACTGACCCTCAGCATGTCTTCAGCGATGGCAACCAGACCAACAGCGAGGATTGGGAGGCGGAAGAAGCATTGCTCAACAACAGACCGCCGTGGAAGGTGGCCTATAACACGGGAGGAGCAAAGACACTGCAAGACGTGCTGGAGGCAACTGCGCCTCCCCTCATTGCCCGTCTAGATGATATCATGGGCTGTGGGGTAACTACTGTTGATGACTTGAAGGAATTGGGAGGGTAGACGCGGAGCTCGCAGAAGAAATTTGCCGCCCGCGTAGGGATGAGTGCGATGGAAGAGATGGTGCTGTCGGTGTACGCCAAGCAACTGGCCACTGACATGTGGTGCAGCCAAACGTCCTCAGGGTGAGTCGACATGAGATCTGTATGGGCCGGTTGAGAACAACAATGATCATGATACTCACAAGCCCTTAGGCAGTCTACGGCTTGCAAGAGGCAAGGGAGGAAGTGAGCAACTGGATACAGGAGGATGGCAAGCCAGAGCAGTTGCACGCGGTGGCCCGCGGCCTCGCGGTGCAGGGATCACTCAGCGGAGTGACCTGGTGCAACTGGGCTGGATGGGCGAGGAATGGCTGGTGGGCCTCATCAGCATGCTGTTGCCGGAGAGGGAGCTCTTCTTGGTCGTACTTCATATCTGCGAGAAGATCCTGGAGGAGGTGAAGGAGGTCTGGGATGTGTGGTGCGCCATGCCCGCGGCAGAACACGCGGACTACTTTGTCTACGAGTAGGTGTCGCCCTCCGAGCTAATGTTGGAGTTGGTGTGCTTGGACCGGCCCAAAGGGGATATTTACTTATAGTCACATATCATGCTGTCACTTAGCCTTGTCTCTGACCGTCATCTTGTGGTCTGTTGTTTGTGTCCTCGCCTCCCATCTCAACAGCTAATCTTGAACTCTGGTGCGCATAGAGCTGGAACAATCTTGAAAGCACAACTTGCATATATAGGCCGCTTCTTGGGATGCGCCTAGGTCTCCTCGAATACTTACCCATGTAACAGTAGCACTTTGTACATTATGAATAATCTGGTCAGACTCCTCGAGACTATGGGCTGCCGATAGAGTGCAGCAGCAAGGAGGGAGTGGACAAGCCTGATTGTACTCGTGCATGCAGACGTTAGCGTTGCTGGTCGCGGGGGGCAGACACGGCGGAGGTGCTTGCGACAGGGGTGGAAGTGGCGGCAGCGGAGCATTGAGGAGGCAGTGGAGGCCGTGAGCTCTGCAGGGGTGGGGGCGGCCATGCGGATAAACAGCTCCCCGGGGCGGGGCCAGACGAGGGTGCGGGGAGGGCGGAGAAGGTGGATGTTAGGACACGGCTAGGGTCGTGGTTGTTGAAGGTTTGAACACAGAGACACGGACTGACCCAAAAAGGAACAATAGAATACAGAGACAGAATTTAAGAGATGAGAAAAGGAGAAACAGAGCAAAGAGATCAAGAGCCATGATGCACAAAAGACTAAGTCCAAGATACAAGAGTAACTAGACTAGTATATAAGACGAAGGCCTCGAGGTAGCAGTGAGGCTCGGGATGATGAGAAGGTAGATGTCTGCCTGGGGATGCATGGGTCGCAGGCATCAAGTCGGCGTGCATGCGATGTAACCCTTCTCCTCCCTCTTGCTCGTGGCCTGTCACACCGAGCACGCTGGGTCAAAGGCGGCGGGAGTTCTGGTGAGATGGACGTGGTCCATGGTTGGAGACTCCTTGAGCGCCATGCCTGCGCAAAAAGCTGTTGTTGTATTCAGACAGCGTGTGGAGGGCCGTGTTGAGCAGAAGGGAGGTTGCGCATGTATGGGCCGGCAGCACTGGAGTCGGTGGAGAGACATGCTCGCTGAGCGCTGGACACAAGGACGGGGGACTGACGTGCGACTGCGGCGGGGGCGTGAGACTAGATTGATGGGGGCGGGACAGAGTCACGGTGGTTGTGTTCAAGCAGGCGGAGTCCGCGCAAAGATCGGCACAATGTGCGCGACCCAGCCCTTCTCCCCTCTCCTGTGTGGGAGCTCTTGCGAGGCGAAGATCATTCGCCCTCATATGCTCCTTGTGCGATCTGGCTGCAGCACGTGAAAAGATTCCCTCTGCGCCTGCATACATGCTGCACGTAGGGGTGGTGTCATATACGGCACGCTCCTGAGTTATTGCCATTTGCGCTGTCCTCCCATTTGAGCTGCGTGCTGTGGACCATATAGGGCGAGGCGGAGGCGCACAAACGTTGGCTGAGGATCGTTGCAGAGGGTGCGCAGCCAATGGCAGGTCGTGGGGAACAGGCCGTGATGACGGCGGGGCGAGGGGATTCTGTCCAAGGCAGAATCAAGCCAGTGATCACACTAGAGTGACAGCAAACGAGTCAGGATCATATTCAGCAGTACAGAACACATAACTATGCACCTAGAGCGACAGCAAACGAGTCAGGAAGAGAAAAGACTCGGATGTGCCGCTCTAGGCAGGAGGGACCGGCAAATGCCGAGGAAATATGTGGCGCTTGGCAATAAGGCGCGAGCGCACAAGTAAGACTGTAGGTAAGCGTACAGTACCGGGAAAAAGTCCGAAAAATCACAGAAAAATACCATAGGCGCTAGAGAGCGCGTAGACACCGATTCCAACAGATTCGAGGACGAGGTGGCGATGGGCGGTGCATACGCTATGCTGTGTTTGCTCAGGATCGTCATCCTGCTCCCGTTGGCGTAAGCCACGCGAGTTGTCAAGCTGCCCTGTCCTTAGCGCCTTGCATCAACATGCCGCGGCAGCAGCGCTGGTACTGGAGCGGTGCGTTCCCGCCCGCTGAGGTGGCCGTTCTCAACCGCGACAGCCAGCACTGAGATCTCCGGTGTTGAGGTCCATCCCGCTTGGGAGGATGTGTGATTGCGCGAAAAATCGCGATCGACTGTGTACGATGGCACATTCGGCATCAAATTGCATGGCGTACAAGTTGGTACCGGTCGCACGCGGTCGCTCTGCCTCGCAGCCATCTCGCGAGTGTTGGGGATAGCCATCCTGCGCGAGGACTTGCGCTACCGCGTCTTGTCGCTTGCACCAAGCGGCGGTATCGAGAGTGCGGCCTCGACCCACCCTCCACATGTGCATTCTTTCACGAGCTAAATAAGTGCAGAGAGCGCAAGACCTCAGTCTTCCTGCGTATAGGATAGCAACTGAATTCATACCTAAATAAGCGCAGAGAGCGCAAGACTAAAGTACAGTCAGTGTAAGTTGTCAAAAGTGGTGTTTAGTGGCGAGTCTGCCTTCAGCCAGGTCATGTGACCTCAACCCTTGGAACTGCTTACGTAAGTTCCAAGAGTTGAGATCACATGACTTTTCCCCACGCTTTGCCCGGATGGCCCCGTACATACGCGTGCACCTACCTTTCTTTTTCCCTCAGTCGCTATCCTATACGCAGGAAGACTGAGGGTATGTCTTTTACTTACTTTACTCTTACTTATACTGACTGTACTTTAGTCTTGCGCTCTCTGCGCTTATTTAGGTATGAATTCAGTCGCTATCCTATACGCAGGAAGACTGAGGTCTTGCGCTCTCTGCGCTTATTTAGCTCGTGAAAGGTTATGAGCCCCGTGGCCTAAATTGAGCAAGACTTCGATCTGCGACTCACTCTATCCCACTCTGCGCCATGGCTCCCAAGGACAGCAAGGTCCCAACGCTCACCGATGCGGCGGACTGGCCGCTCTGGCGCCTCCGGGTCACCGACGCCCTCAACAGGGACGATCTCACCTCTGTGGTGACTGGATCGGAAAAATCCCCTCCCCCTGAGATTGCGGTGACTCCACCGACGCCGACAACGTCCTCACCCCCGTCCACATCACCTGGCGCTCCGGCGACCACCACCACATCCACAGGATCGGGCTCCTCCTCCACCACTCACCAAGTTGCGCGGAGGGAGACCTGGTCCTGGCGGAATGCCCGCGCCCTCTCCACCATCCGGGAGCACCTCTCGAATGACATCGCCCTCGAGCTCCACGAGTACCAGCACGCGAGCGAACTCTGGGAGAAGCTCGTCGAGAAGTTCAAGCAGACCAACACCAGCGAGATGGCGGTCACCGAACTGATCAAGATCTTCCGCGCGAAGCTCGCCGACGGTGACGATGGAGACGTCTCCCGCGAGGCGATGAGCGCGCACATCCACCGCGTTCGGCAGTCGGTCACCCAGCTCGCCACCCTCGGCTACCCCCTCAACGCCAACCTCGTCCCCCTCATCCTCCTCACCTCCCTTCCCAGCTCAGAGAAGTGGAAGATCGTCTCGTCCGGCATCTCGGCTGGCAGCTCCAAGGCCGCGCCCCTCACCCTCTCCTACGTCGAGGCGAAGCTGATGGCGCAGGTGACCAGCAAGGAGGACTCGGACGATGAGCAGGCATACGCCGCCTCCTCTTCTCGCGCGCCCCCACCGCGCAAGCCCAAGGACAAGGGCAAGAAGAAGGCCAAGGCGAAGGCGTCCTGCGTCATCCACGGCGAGGGGCACTCCACGGAGGAGTGCAAGACGATCATTGGGCAGAAGGAGAAGGTGCAGAAGAAGCGGAAGGAGCGGGCGGCAGAGAAGGCGAAGGCGAATAAGGTGAAGGACTCAGACTTGGACTTGGACTCAGACTCGGATTCAGACGTAGACAACACGCATGTAACTGTCTTGCGCCGTGCCTACAAGAAGATTTCCGCCTATGTCCAGTCTGATCCAAAGCGACCGCAGCGACACCAAGGTTCGCACATCGTCAACTCGGGTGCGTCAAAGACCATGACCCCCGACGAGCGCCTCTTCGACGACAGCACTTACCGTGTCCTCAACCCGCCGCGCAACATCTACCTCGGGAATGAGTCCGTCATCAAGGCAGTAGGCATTGGCACCGCCTGCTTTGCCTCTAAGACACCAGATGGTGTGCGCGCGCTGACTATTCGGAAGACACTGCATGTCCCCGACCTCGCATTGACGCTCATCTTGGTGCCCCAGATCACCAAGCGTGGTCTGCGCGTGTCCTTTAAGGACAACGCATGCACTATCCGCGACCCCTCCGGCGATATCGCCTGCGTCGCAACGCGGAAACACGGTCTCTACCACGTCGACTGTCAGCCCATTGGCATAGACGAGCACACCTTCACCGCCATCGACATCAACCGGCTGCACCAGATCACACCTTTTGCAGTAAGGTGGATTTAAATCCACCCCGACAATTTACGTACCGGCGATTGTAATTTTTCGCGACGTCAAAACGGCCCGAGTCCCGAGCCCGGGCAGCCCGACGCAGGCGCCGGGACGTGCCCTAATAGGGCTCCGGGGCCGTGATGCGCCCCGCGCGTGGCTGCCGCGGCGCGGGAATGTCACGCGCGCGCGCGCCTGGACGCGTCGGGGACGCGCCGCGTGCAGTCGCTGCCGCCGCTGTGCATCGTAGCAAGCGCAAAATGTATGTAAAAGATGTATATAGTAGCTATATACAATAGACTAAGAAGGGGAGGGCTGGAAAGAAGAGAAAAAAGCGGAAAAAAGCACGTGCGAAAATTTTCGCTCGCGCTACAGGCGCTGCCGCCGCTCGCGCAGCACGTATGAGCGCGGGAGAATGGTAGGGGAGGGGAGGGGATATCCCCCCAAGCTACGTGCACCCATTCGTGTCGAGAGACGCGTCTGCGGTGGCCACGTAGCAAGGTGGGGGGAGGGAGCGGGCCGAGGTTGGGGCAGTGCTGTGCGCTCCCGGCGTTCTCAAAGAGCGCAGGAGCGCGCAGGTAGTGCTTGGCCGAGGGCATCACCCAAAGGTGAGAGGCCGTTGAAGCCACGCAGGCGCGCGACAACCGCGGGAAGCGAACGTCCCGCGATCGGCGCGACCGCGTCTCCTTGGCTGTCCCGTGCGTCGTCAAAGCGAGCACACGGGCGCGGGAGAGCGTAGTCCCAGCGTCTCATCCCCGCCCGTCGAAGGACGGGTCGAAGGGGTTGGGCGAGGGGCGCGGAACGCGCGGCAGGTGACAATGCCGCACGCTGTGGGGACCGGCTGCGGTCGGTTGTGTGCACGGTGCACTGAGGTGGCCACGCAAGTGCGCGAGCCGCACCTCCCGCGATGCGGAGAATCGCCGCGCAGGCGATTTTCCACAACCGCAGGTGAGGGGGAGGGGGAGGGACATGGGGTGGTGAGCGCGCTACCCCTCCGCGCTGGTCGCGAGGGTCGCGCAACAGCCATATGGCTGTCGAGAGCTAGCTCACGACGTGTAAAGCGTCATGGGCGATGCCCAAACGCCCTCAGACTACGTCTGAGGGCGAATATGAGGGGAAAACGGGGCGATCTTGGCCCCGCTTCTCCACCTCGGTCTGCTCGCGCCCTCTCCCCTCTCCGCCTTCCGCGTTGCAAAAAAGTGGTAGTTAGTAGTAAAACACAGTGCGGGGCGCGTTCACGCACCCGAATACCCCTCCTCGTCCGGCTCGATGGCCGTTATTGTTGCCATTTTCGCGTTGATTTCTGTAGCACGCTTGCGGGTGTGTGCCTCGACGGCAGCTAATTCGAGAGGTTGAGAAGGTGAGGGAATGTGATAGGGATGCCGGGGAGGGACGGGGGCGACGACGAGGGCGACGGGGTGACGGTTGAGGATGAAGAACGCGCGTCCTCGACGCCTTGGATGATCGGACCGGCTTTCCGGCCCGACTTCCCCGCGGTGGCGTCGTCGCCTTGGACAGGCTCGGATTCAGACCGAGAGCTACATATGCCCGCGTTCTCTTTAGATTATATTGCTATATGTATCCTAGAAATATCCTTGAAAGTCTCAGAGCGTTTGAATCACACACAGTTGCTGAGTCGAGCTTGACATGGGCCCAGCAAGGACTATTGATTGATCACCCTTCTGATACTGCCCTCGGACATTGTATCCCGTCCCCCTCGCTCGTATCCTCATCAATTTGCCTAAAGTAAGCTGCAACGTGTAGGGTAGAGGCTCAAGTACCTCTCTGTGTATGTAAAACTCCGAGGAACAGCATTTATCGAGGGTAGAATGAGATGAAATACCCTAGAAGGCTTGATTTTCGGATACTTGCAAGATTTGGAGACCTTCCCACTAGCCCCCTCTATTCAAACTTCATATACATATACTATAATACCTCTATGACAGACCCAAAAACTTTTCCTTGCAATCAAACTGCATCGGCCTCTTTCCGAGCCCATTCAAGGCGACGAGGAGGAGTCTCGGGTGCTCGGTCCGGCCTCCGTGTGGTCCCGAAGAACTGCATTTGCGGTCCCGAGGAACAACACGTCGCGGGGTCGCGATCGTTGCCTCTGCCTTCGACAACCACCACGCGCATCGCCTCGCTCTCTCGCGCTGCTCCCCTTCCCTACCTCCTCCCACTTCATGCCACAACCACACACCCTGAAAAACAGGAGACTCCGAGAAATTCGCCCGAAATTTGCCGCGCGCAACCGCGGGCAAATCCAAACGATGCCGCGGTCTCACGCGCCGCGAGAAGGGGAAACGGTGCGTAAACACGCCCATTTACATGATTCCCACCTAATATCTACCCTCTAGGGCGGCGGGAAGCTTGAGGGCACGCGCAGTTGCGCGTGTTTGCCCTCTTCCTCCCTCGTCTGTCCCTCCCCCCACCCTCCCGTGTTTTCCAGCACAGCGCAGGCTCTGCTCATGACGCTTTCACGCGTCATGAGCATGCCTCCCGCATCTTACCGCCAGCCAGCGGGTCTTCGCGCTCGCCGCGAGTACCACCCTTTCCGGTCGTCTCCCCTCCTCCTCCCCACCGTTGCACCGTCCCCTGACGGTCTCGCGCACAGTCACAACCGCGTTAGGCATTGCTTCGGCATGCCTGAGTGCGTCCGGCATGCGCTACTCAACCGGGTGGACCCGTGCACCTCCCACCCAACCTCCACCCCCCATTGTGCTACGTGGCCACTGCGGACGCGTCTGTCGACGCAAAAGGGTGCACATAGCTTGGGGGGATCTATCCCTTCCCTTTCCTTTCATCTCCCTGCGCTCTCGCGTGCTGCATTCGCCACGGGAGCGCGTCGCGCGAGCAAAAAATTCGCTCGCGCTTTTTGCTGCTTTTTTCGTTCTTTCTAGCCGTCCTCCCTGAGTATATACTATATATCTATTATGTACATCTTTTAGATATATTTCGTGCTTGCTACGCCCCACGGCGGCGGCAGCGACTGCACGCGGCGCGTCCCCGACACGTCCAGGCGCGCGCGCGCGTGACGTTCCCGCGCCGCGGCGGCCACGCGCGGGGCGCATCACGGCCCCGGAGCCCTATTAGTGCACGTCCCGGCGCCTGCGTCGGGCTGCCCGGGCTCGGGACTCGGGCCGTTTTGACGTCGCGAAAAATTACAATCGCCGGTACGTAAATTGTTGGGGTGGATTTAAATCTACCTTACAGCATCAGCTGCAGATCATGGGCCACACGAACTTCGAGAGCCTGCGCAACATGGTCCGGCATGGGCAGCTCGGGGAGGTCGACACGCTCACCGGCATCCCGTCCTTCTGCGAGCCCTGCGTCATGGGCAAGATGAAGAAGCTCCCCTTCAAGCGGAGCACCACGCCCGCCTCGCGCCCGCTCCAGTTCGTCTCCTGCGACGTTGGTGGCCCCGTCGACCCCGCTGCGATTGGCGGCTACCTCTACTGGATCGTCATCGTCTGCCACTACTCCTCAGGCGTCTACACGCTCTTCACAAAGAAGAAGTCGGAGGTCTACAAAAAGCTCCGCCAGTGGCGCATCGACATGGAGCATCAGCACCGCGACTCTATTGAGCAGTGGGAGTGGCTCCCTGGCTGGGTCGAGTTCACCCGCACAGACGGCGGTGGCGAGTTCTGCTTGAACAAGATGGAGGCCGAGTTCCGCCGACGCGGTATCATCCACGAGACGACGGCGCCCTACACGCCTGAGCAGAACGGCATCGCGGAGCGCATGAACCAGACGCTGGTCACCCGGGCAATCGCTAACCTCTGCGCGGCCAAGCTTCCCCGGAAGTACTGGATGTATGCGATGGAGTACGCCACCAACATGATCAACCTGTCGCCCGCTAGCCGCCAGAAGGGAGAACTGCCTATCAACCGCATGCGCAAGGTCAAGCGCCCTATTGACGTCCACGCCCTGCACCCCTTTGGTTGCCCCGCCTACCCGCTCATCCCAAAGAAGAAGCAGAAGGGCAAGTTCGCCGACCGTGCCCGCCGGTGCATCCTCATAGGCTACGCTTGGTCTGAGGGCACAAAGGCGTACAAGCTCCTCGAGATTGCCACTCGGAAGGTCATCATCTCCCGGCACGTCAAGTTCGACGACGCCTCCCCTTCTCCTGACGAGATGCACGCGGGCGAAGACGATGTATCTGCCGAGCAGTGGGAGGACTTTGGCAAGTACTTCCGTCTGCCGCCCAAGGACGCTCCTGCACCAGATGCAGGCAGTGACAGCAAGGACGATGACGACGACGATGCGCCGGCCCAGCCACCGGCAGCCGGGTCAGTGTGAGCACCTTGTCCACCCACGCCAGAGCCAGTGGGAGATAATCGCCCGTCATCACCTGACTCGGACGGGCCACCGCCTCCTCCGCGTCCACCTAAGACGCGCATACCGCGCCGGTCTCTGCCACCGGCCACGCCACCGCCGGCTCCTGGCCCCGCCGCTGGTCCATCACGCCGCCCTGGTCTTCGCAAGCCAGAAGAGCGAACGGCGAACCAGCACAAGGACCAGGGCTACATTAACGCTCGGGAGCGGCAGGAGAACCACCGGAAGGTGTCCGCCCAGCAGCGGAAGCAGCGCGAAGCAAACATCCGCGCGCGCGAGCAGCAACTCGAGGAAAATCACCGACGTCGAGAGCAGCCGCCTCAGGCGGAAGCTCCTCCTCCTCCTCCCGCACCAGCTCCCAAGCCAGAACCCGCACCAGCGCCTACCCAGGGGGGTGGGGATCCCCCGGGTCAACCCGATGAAGAGGGCGAGTCAGTGAACTTTGCTTTTCTCAATGACGAACTCTTTGCGGGCACGGCATCTGGTGGTCGGTCGAGCAGCGGCGCGCGGAAGATTCCCACCACTTGGAAGCAAGCCATGGCGAGCCCAGAGCGTGACAAGTGGTTGGACGCGCAGTCGGAGGAGTTGAACAGCTTCAAGCTGAACGACGTCTACGAGGAGGTACCCATCCCGGAGGGCGTCAAGCCGATCACCTCCAAGCATGTCTTCTCCTTGAAGGAGGATGCTCAAGGGAACATCGAGCGGTACAAGGTGCGCATCGTGGCGCGCGGCTTCACTCAGCAGGAAGGAGTTGACTACCAGGACACCTTTGCGCCCGTCGCAAGCCTGGAGTCCATCCGCATCATCCTTGCCCTTGCCGTCCGCCTCGGTCTGTACACTGACCAGATGGATGTGAACACCGCCTACCTCAATGGTGAGCTGCTACAGACGCTCTACATGCTTCCCCCGACCGGTGTGGACATCCGGGAGGGCTACTGCTGGCGACTCAAGAAGTCGGTCTACGGCCTCAAGCAGGCCGGTCACGCGTGGAACCAGACGCTCCACAACAAGCTCGACAAGCTCGGGTTTGTGCGCCTCAACTTGGAGACTTGCCTCTACGTCTTCCGGGACGGCAAGCAGGTTTGCTTCCTCGTCGTCTACGTCGACGACCTCCTCCTCGCCGCTACCTTGCGTCCTTTCATGGACAGCATCAAGAAGAAGCTCACCGCCTCCTTCAAGATGCGCGACTTGGGTCCCGCCAAGTACCTCCTGGGCATTGAGATTATCCGGCACCCGGGAAAGCGCACGATCTCCCTCTCCCAGAGGAAGTACATCGACACTGTGCTTGAGCGGTATGGCATGTCGGACTGCACGGGCGTCAGCACCCCCATGTCCACAAGCACTCGCATCTCCGCCAATGACCCGAATGACAATGAGGTGCGCACTCATATGGCCGTGGTCCCCGGAGGTCCCGTTGTCTCCTACCAGAGCGTCGTGGGCTCGCTCATGTACGGGATGATGGGTACCCGACCGGATACCGCCTATGTGGTGGGTGTTCTTGGCCGCTATAGTGCTGCCCCCAAGGCCTGCCATTGGGAACTGGCTAAGCGCGTCCTCCGGTACCTCAAGAAGACGCGCGACTGGTGCCTTGTCTATGATGGCGCTGACGCTGGCATGGACCTCGACTTCCATGGCTACACCGACGCTGACTGGGGCGGATGCAACGACACGTCCAAGTCCACCTCCGGCTTTGTGTTCATCTCAAGTTGGGGTGCCATCGGTTGGTCAAGCAAGCGACAGTCCATGGTCTCTCTCTCGTCTACCGAGTCGGAGTACATTGGCCTAGCTAATGCGGGCCAGCACTTGGCGTGGCTCCGCTCGTTCTTTGACGAGTTGGGACGTCCGCAGGCTGGCGCCACCGAGCTCAGGTGCGACAACCGCGCGGCCATCATCCTCAGCCAGGATGCTCAGTTCCGGTCTCGGACCAAACACATCTGTTGGACAATCGGCCTGTCACATGATATGACTCATGACTCACATGACGGACGCATGGACACACGTGGACACACATGGTTGACATCATATGTTTATTGTTTACTTGTTCACTGGATTATAACATGCTACCTACCATCCTGTACATATATAAGGAGGGCCTCTCTGCCCCCAGGAATAACAGGTCTTTACCTACCTCTGCGCTTGCCTCATACCAAGCTCCTTACCACCAGGTAAGCAGTATAGGCGCGCTTCCCAGCATGCTCAACAGGTTATGAGCCCCGGTGAGCTGTGTTCAGTGCCTGCGGAGACTGTCCGCGAGGGATCACTGTGAGCGGGTAGTCGATAGCAGAGTGGGCGCCTTAGCGCGTCGAATAGATCAGCCAGCTGCTAACAGCTCGACCTGATCTAAAGAGGAACCTGGTCTAACCAGCGTTCCTTAACCTGTGCTCGGCGCGTGCCTCGGTCCTTCGTCGGTACGACGGAACGAGATGAGATTGCAGAAGTAGAGAGTAAGTGTCTAAGCACGCGGCGCGCGCGTCCCGAAGGGTGATCGCGTGCGGCGCGTGATTCGTAAGTATTCGTGACATCATTGTAGATACATAGGGGTCCGTGAAGTATAGGGAGTCGACCGGACGCTAGCGCTCTCCGTCCGCGCTCGAGGAGTAAGTAAAGGAAAGCGAAATTTTACCTCGGACCCTTGGTCGTTCTCAGGATGCCCACAAAGCCCCCCACTCCGAGACGAGGAAGGGGACGCGTGAATCTTTAACGAAACAGAGGGATCTGCTTCGGGCTGAAGTCGCGAAGCAGGCCGTCGAGCTTGAAGGTCTCGTCGCGGACACCGTAGACCAGCTCGAAGAGACGGACCCAGTTGCGAGCCGACGCGGTACCCAGAGATGCGCGCGCACGGTCCGGGTGGTTCTTCACCAAGGTGTGAGCCAGACCTTCGAGGTGATCCTTCCAGCGCTTCACCGACAGAGCTCCTCGCTTCCCGCTTTCCAGCTCGTCCACCAAGTCGCGGAAGTATTCCTCCTCCTCCAAATTCCATTCGCCCGAGCCCCTCCATAAGTCCGCCCACAGATTCGGCGGCGGGAAGAGCCAGAAGATCTTGCTTCGGTCGCGACCGAGAACGTAGCCGCCCAGCTTGTTGAGTTCGATCGGCGACGGGACTTTGATGGCTATCTCCTGCCCGAGATCGTACGGGTGCTCAACGCCATGTGTCTTGTGTACGCGCGTGGCCAAGTCGACTCCTCGTCCCAGCTTGTCCTTGATCAAGTCCCCGCCGTAGTGCGCGGCTATCGCGGAGATCATGCCGCCGTGGAAGATGAAGGAAGCGGCGTGTTCGCGTTGGCATAGGTCGCGCACCATCTGCTTGTACGCGCCGTACAATTCACGCCCCCCGTCGAGGAAAGGTAGGTACTCGCCCTCGTAGTGCGCGGGGAGAGGTGCTTGCTCTATCGCGTCGCTCGGGAGAGGGGCGTCCGTGCGGTACCCCACGTGGAATTGAATGCCTGAGACCAAGCACATCCGCAGGAATTCGCGGAGGCTGCTGAATCCTTGAGTCTCCAGCCAGAGCATAATTCGAAGGCGGTCCTCGGCGTCCAGGACGTGCATGTACCCGTGTCTGACGAAATCGTCCGTCCAGACAGCGTCGAAGAAGTCGTTGTCGAAGCGCGGGTAAGGGCGAGGGCAGAGGGAGGAGAGTAGGGGTTTGAAGCTCGCTTTGAAGAGTTTCAGCCGCTGCGCCCAGTTTGGCATGGACGGCGTGGCCAGGTTGTCTCTTGCCAGCCGCGTCGGATCAGGCATTGCGATATTGGCCATCTCCTGGGGAACGCGGATACCCCTGCGTGGAGAAGCGCTCCTTCGCCCCCCTTCCAGCGAGATGTCGCTGGCGCGCTCCGTTCTCCAACTGGAGTGCGTAGACGGGGGCGGCGTCGCGACTTGGCTCGACGAAGGGTCCATGCGTCTCAACAACGAAGGGGAGAGGTCTTGTTCGCCCTCGCCTGCCCCGCGAGAGGAGCTGTCCTGGTTATTCAGCCTCATTATTAGGTCCGGACCCCCGTCCTCCTGCCCGCTGTCCGCCGTTACCGGAGGGGGAGCTACCGAGGCGTGGAGAGCGGACGTCGCGGGGTGAAAGAAATGTTCCAACTGGAGTAACGCCGCTTGCTCGTTAAGATCCGCGATCTCGAAGGATTCGCCCGAGACGGGGTCGAAGGAAGCGCCTCCCCAAGGAGCGCAGCGCAACCTGTAGAGCTCTCGGCGTTGGTAGACAGAGAGGTTCGCTCTTTCCCCTAGACATTCACCCGTCGCGGTCTGAGTACGCACGTGCCCTGATTCGAGGGTGGACTCCGCCGACCAGTTCTCCTTCCCTCTCAAGGACCAAGCTTCCATCACTACGCGGGTCGTCCCGTCTCCTCCGTCCTGCTCGTAGCTTTCGTAGCCGCGCAAGCACCTCTGGATAGTCTCCGGATCGTTCATGGGAACACCCAGCCATCCTTCGTGCAGCTGGACGACGTACGTCTTCGCTGGGTCGTAAACTGGAATCGGGGAGCTCCTGGTCCGCTTTCTCTTATCCTGCAGGAGCTGGTCGTAGTGGAGGACGTCACGCTCGCCGTTAGCGATAGAGGGGAGTTCTCTCGGCCTGGGTTCCCGTCCGAGCTCGCGTCGCGCGCTGTAGTACTCGTCGAGGAACGCGGGGTTCCACCTGGCAAAGCGAGGGAGAGCATTGACTGCCTCCGTCCAGATGTAGGCGAATGGTATGTCGAGCTCGCGAAGGAGGGGTAGGTTGATATAGCTCCAATCCGCGAGGGGGTTGATCAGGCACCCTCGCTTAGGGCGCTTGTTGAGCTCTAGGGACAGTATGAAGGCGCGCTCGCTCTCGTCGACTGCTTGCGTCCACCACGTCTGGATTAGCACGATCCAGGTCAGCAGTCCGAGGTTGTTCCTTGCGTTGCCCTTGAGGACCCATAGGAACTCGCTCGCCTCGGTGAACGATTCTTTGGTGCTCGCCAGATCCGCCGCAACGTCGTCGGTGGTGAATTCGATCGCGTCGTGCCCGTCTCCTACTATCCCGGCGCGAGGAAACTCGTCGAGGAGGCGCATACAAACGAGCTCCAGCTTGCCTTGTAGATCCAGGTACTTCTCCTGCCAGCAGGTCGCGATCCTGAACTGCCCGCTCTCCAGAGCCTCCAGCGCCGGGTCGTCGCTGTCGCTTAGCACGAACTTCAAGGGGTCGCTCTCCTCAGTCCCGACTCCTATCTGATCGACTGGGGCGAAGATGTCTTGTGGAGCGTGGGGAATGGACCAGTCGATGAGCAGGCTGAATTGCCGGAAGCGAGGGTGGATGTATCTTCGCGAAGGGAGTAGGGTCCAGAACTGCTCCGCCGTCAAGGATCCAAAGACGACGAAGATTTCGCCCTCGATCACTAGAACACGAGGCACGTCCTCGAGGTGCGGACGGTTATGCCTGAAGGCCAGCGTGGATAACACTGCCATCTTCCTGGAGGTAAAGTACGCCGCTGACGACCGTCACTTTACTCTCCGCCTGCGTTTGCTCTCCGTCGTCTGACGACCGGCAGGGTGTCGCGGGTGGTGATGGTAGGAGACAAGAGAGGTTGCTCCCGGACCCCTGGGAGGATGCGGATCAGATACATGTGTTGCTTTACTCACATTGATAGGCGCGATGTCCTCGTGGACGGTGCGCGCGTTGTACAATTACTATACAGGGTAGGAGTTATCGCCGGCGCTTCTCACAGCCCGTGCTCCTCCTTATATTCCTTGAGGTATTCGGCGGCGTTCTTGAGGTCTCTTTCCGTGTGCCAGCTATCGTAGCGCGGACCGTAGCCAGCCCACTTGACCTTGTAGACCATCTTCTTCTTCCTTCCGTCCCACTTGTGGTCGACGACTCTTTCCACCTCAAATTCCTCGTTCGCTTCCTTGTTGTCCCGAATGTCACCCAGCTGCGTGCGCTCCTCGCTCAAGTCTTCCGGTGGCTCCTGGTACTTCTTGAGGTGGTCTATGTTGAAGACTGGGAGCGCCGTGTAGCGATCATCCATCCTCAGACAATATGTGTTGGGGTTTATGCGTTGCACCACCTCGAAGGGTCCTATCCATCGCTGGCGTAGCTTGCGCCCGGCGCCCTTCGATTCGACCCACTTCAGTGAGTGCGGGTTAACGAGTACTCGGTCACCGGTCTTGAAGTCGGGCGTTGGTCGCCGGCCTTTGTTATACTCGCGCGCCTGTTCCTCCTGAGCTTTCGCTATGGCGTCTCTAGCCGCTTCTCGTCGCGCTTGCAGATCCCTCAGGAACGCTTCCGCCTCCGTACCTTTCTTCTTTGACTGCTGAGGCGTCATCGTGTTCAGGAAATCGATTGGGGACCTCGGTAGGTAGCCTAGAAGTAGCTTGAAGGGCTCTTCCTGCGTCGAACGGTGAATCGTGGAATTGTAGGCAAACTCCAGGAGATGCAAAAAGTTGGCCCATTCCGATGGGTCCCGGGCGACGTAAGCTCTGAGCATCGTCTCTAGGTGTTTGTTCAACGCCTCCGTCTGCCCGTCGTGCTGCGGGTGATGAGCAGACGACATGAGAAGCTCCGTCTTGAGTTCGGTCGCCACTTCTTTCCAGAAGTCGAAGGCCCACCGGGGGTCCCGGTCCATGACTAGACTAGAGGGAACGCCATATCGGCACACGAGGTTCTTGACGAATAGGTGGGCGAAACCCTTCTTGTTTAGCTTGGTGAAGGTTGGCACGAATTGGGCGTGCTTGGAGAACCTGTCGACGAGTACTAGGATCGCGTCGAACCCTGACGAGGGGGGTAGCTCGATAATGAAGTCCATCGAGACCGACTCGTACGGGAGATTCGGTATGGGATTCGGTATGAGAGTGCCGAACTTCTTGAAGTTGGCTAACTTGCTCTTCTGGCAGACGTCGCAAGTGGCGCAGAATTTCTCGATCGCTGTTTTCATGCGTGGCCAATAGAACCGTCCTTTGAGCTTGGACCAGAGCTTGAAGTGACCTCCATGGGCCGTTTCGATCGGGTTTTCGTGCGCCTCTTCGAGTACTCGTCGCTGTTTCGACTTGGGCACGCAGAGCCTCGGCACGTAATCAGCGTCGAGGAAGTAGAGCAGCCCTGTTGCGTCCCTCATGAACCGTCGGCCTGGCGTCCATTCGTCCTCGGGGCCCTGGGCGTCCTCCATTCTCTTCGCAAAGTAGGGATCTTTGAGGTATCCGGTGAGGAATTCCCGCACCGTCTCGGGGTTCAGGTGGACTAGCACCGTCGGCGGTCGCTCGAACGCTTGTCTGTATTGCGTGCAGTTCTTCAGCTCGTCCAGCGGTTCGCCCTTATGGTCCTGCCCTCCCTCTTCGGTGTTGTCCGTTGCTCCTCCTGTTCCGTCTGGCGGGTCTTGCTCTTCTTCTCGCGGCTTCTGCTCCTGCTCCGTCCCCGTCGCCCCCCTACTCGCCAGGCGGGACGAACGTCTGGTTGCGTATGCTTCCGGCGCGTTTTCCACGCAGTCGTCCCAAGTCCACACAGCGAATGCTTCCGCGCTATTCTCGGGGAACTCGAAGGCGCGCCTCGCCTTTCTACGTCTCTTGTTCTCCTCCCTCAGCGCCGCTTCCGCCGCTTCCGAAGTTAGAGGTGTTCCTGAGTCCTCCGGGGGCGAGACGTGGGCTGGAGGGTCGCGCGGGATTCTGCTGAGCGGGTCGACATTTGAGTGGACTCGCCCTGCTCGGTGTATGATTTCTAAGCCTGGCAGGAAACTTGAGAAGATCGCTCCCCAAGATGCTAGTCGCCTGTTCGTGTTCTCGTACGTCCTGGCCCATTGCAGAGCACTGTGGTCTGTAACCAGTAAGACCTGCGAACCTTCCAGATAGGGCTGGAATTTGACCAGCCCTTCCTTCGCGGCGAGAGCCTCTCGTTCGGTGGCGCTATATCTGCTCTCCGCGCCTTTGAAGGAACGTGACCAGTACCCTATGACTCGTTCGACAAAGACCGTCGAGTCGTCCAGTGAAGCCCCCCAGGTACCGGGATCCGGTACGTCGTTGGTTCTTGAAGATATGCGCGTTGCCAGTCGGGGAGGAGGCAGCCCCGCGTCGTAGAGCGCCTTGAGCCTGTCGTACGTCTTGGTTCCGCGAAGGTCTCTCGCTTTGAGGGGCTGGACTTGCTGGAGCGCGCATCCTAAGGCGTAGTCGGAGGCGTCTGTGTACAATCGGTAAGGGAGGCCTTCCGTGGGGTGACCCAGAACGGGAGCGCTTTGCAGCGCTTTCTTAGCTTGAAGGAAAGCGAACTCCTCCTCAGCGCCCCACTTCCAAGGGGTTCCCTTCCTGAGTAACGCGTGTAGAGGGGAACAGATGTCGGAGTAGTATGGGATGAATGCGTTGAAGTAGACTGTCATCCCGAGGAAGGTGGCGAGTTCTGCGCGGTTAGCTGGTCTCTTCATCTCCAGCACCGCGCGTACTTTCTCGTAGTGTGTCGATAATCCTAGCCGTGATACTTTGTGCCCGAGCAAGACGATAGAGTCGTAAAATAAGTGGCACTTCGCGGGCGACAAGGTAATTTTTGCGTCTTCGATCGCTCCTAGCACCTTGTCCAGATGGTCGATGTGTTCTTCGAAAGATTTGGAATAAACCACGATGTCGTCGATGTAGACGAGCGCGAAGAGCCAAAGATAGGGCGCCAGTACGGAGTTCATCACCCTCTGGAAGATGGAGGGGCCGTTCCTGAGCCCGAACGGCAAGCGTTTGAATTGGAATAGACCTCTATGGGTGCGAAAAGCCGTCTTTTCGACGTCGTCGGGATGTACCGATAGCTGAGTGAATCCTGAAAGCGCGTCCAGGGAGGAGAGTACTTGCGCTCCAGATAGCGAGGCCAAGATCTCCTGCTGGCGGGGTATCGGAAACTCGTCGGGTATCGTGGCGGCGTTGAGACGACGGTAATCCACACAGAACCGAGGTTTGCCGTTGCGGTACGCGATGACAACGGGCGCGCTCCACGGGCTGCGCGATTCTTCGATGACTCCTTGTTCGAACCATTTGTCAATCTGCTCGTCTATGACCTGCTTCTTCGCGGGGAGGCGCCGAACATAGGCACCGCTATGGGTTCAGTGCCCTCCTTCACTCGGATCCGAGCCGCCGCCTCATAGTCTCCTAGACGTCCGTCAAGAGCGAATGCTTTCCTGTGTCGCAGCAGCATCTCCCAAGCCTTCTCCTTGAGGTGTTCCGGCAGGGCGCCGACGTCGAGGATTTCTTTGAACTTTTCCGAGGCGACGTCTTCCGTTTCTGGCAGAGCGGCGGTCTTGGGCCCATAATCGTCTTGCTCCTCCTCTTCCCCCTGCACCCACGTCGAGTACGATTCCTTGTCGGGCATAAAGAAGCGCCTCTTAGCAGGTCGTCCTCCGTTAGCCCAAGCGGCGTAGGTGTTCTTGTCCGGCATGCGCGTGGGCCGGGAATGTCTGTCGGCGGCTGCAGTTTTGTGCTGATGCGGAGGAGCTTTGGCTGCGTCTTGCTCGCGCGCTTCACCCAGGTTCAAGTCACAGGCCGTCTTCAGGAAGGATGCGTGTCGCTCGAAGTTCGTTTTCTCTTCCGTCGAGCTAGGCGTGTCGAAAAAGTCCGCGGCGTGCACGATCCTGCCCAGAACCTCCCCTCGACGCACCATCTTCGGTTCCTGCGCCAGGTTGGCTACGGGGACGTACGTGCAGCTCCCGCTGATGAGTGTGTTGGGGACTGCTAGATGAGGCGAGTCACTGGTGGACAGCAACGTCTTCTCTACCACCCACTCGCCTTCTTCCGCGAATTGCCCTTGGAGCGGGACTCGGGCCACTGTTTCCGCCGGGATGCGTACGTCCTGAGCGGCTCTCACTAAGAAGTCTTCCTCTTTTGCGAGTTTCGCCCTTTTCCGCCTCTCTCTTCTCAAGCGGTTCCGGTGCGCCTTCTTGGCGAAGGACTGTTCTGGTACTTCGCCGCAGTACGACTTCGCAACGCGGCTGTAGTCGGAGGTGCGGTTCACGCTGACGGCTGTGGTGGCATTTTCCGCGTCCCCAAAGAATACGCGGGTTCCTTTGTCGATTCTCCGATCCACCGACACTTCGTACGCTTGTTGGAAATCCTCTCCTAGAAGGAGGGGCACCGTCATTCCCTCGACCACATAAACTTCGACTTCCATTTCCAGAGTTACGCCGTGGTCGGTAGCGACGAAGACCGGCAGTCGGACATAGCCTCTCATGGGAGCGCTCGACGAGGTGAGCTGCCACAACTTCATCTTGGCGCCCTTCTTAATCGGAGGGGGGTTCTTGAGTTGGTCGTACTGGTCGGCGCTGAGCAGGGAGAGGCTCGCTCCTGAGTCCAGCCTTCCGTCGATCTCCTCGTCTTCAAGGGAGCTCAGCTTGCAACGTACGCTGAGTACTGACGTCCCGACCGACGCATAGCCCGGCGGTTTCTTGATTCGCGCCTTTAACTTGCGCGGTGGGTCTTCGAAGGGTTTGACGTCAGGAATGGCGAACGCTTCTCTCTCTATAGCTCCCCTCTCGCAGTTGAGGTCGAAGTCGGGCTGTGCGCACCACTTGGCGTCGCTCCCTACATACTCCATCAAGTGCGGGTGGTCCGCCGGGAGAGTGCCTCCGGCTTGCCAATATTCTTCCTCTACCACCTCTATTTGGGAGGCGACGTTTGGCGTGTTGACGAACAGCACTTCCTCTCTCGCTGGTCCGTTCGTTCTCTCCTCGGGTCTCTCGTTCACGTCCTCCGGTTCGCTCTCGCCTTCTTGCTCTTCTTCTCTCCGTTCTTGGGTCTTACATTCCTCGGGCTCGAAAGTGTCCTCTGGAACCGCCCCTTCAAAACCCGGGTCGGAGACTATGGCCCATGCGGCGTTGTAAGCCTTCTCGCGCGCGGCGTCCCCCGGTTCCACGGAGTTGCCTTCTCTTCGCCGACTCGCTAGATACTTGTCGCGGTGTGGGCATTCTCGATTCCAGTGGTACGGACTGCCGCACGCGAAGCAAGGCGCCGGAGGCGGTTTCTTGGCCGACGTCCGCACATTGTTCCTCCTCTCGAAAGGGTATTTCTTGTCCGACGCGGGGGGACGTCTTTGCACCACCGAGTACGCAGTGGCGAGAATCTCTTCCCAGGGTTCTTGCTCCCCTTCCGAGGAAGATTCCCCACTCTCTTCTGCGTCGGATACTGCTGTTAGCGCGGGCGGCTCCTCGTCGTCCCTCTTGCCTGGTTCGGCGCTGAAGGCTACCCTTTTGAACGAGCTCCTTGGCTGACTGGAGCGTGTCGAGGGCGTAATGCCCATCTTCCTCAGCACTGAAGACACGCTGGCTTCGATATCGCCCGAGTCGTGTTGGTGGTCAGCCATCAACTCCGCCTCGAACTCGATCGCCCTCTCTTTCAACTCGTCCGCGTTCCTCACAGTGGAGGTGGACAGCATGTGGTGCCAGTGCGAAGGGATGCGCTCGATGACGAGCTGCACCTCCTCGTACAAACCCTTTTTCGAGTATCCGAGGAAGCGGGCGTGCATCAGACGGCGGCTGATGTAGTCTTGTGGCGATTCGAAGCGGTACTTGTGGCCTTCTCGGAACCCTTGCTGTTTGAATTCGGACGCTATCTGGTTAACCCATCGACGGCCGAGGAAAACGTCGACGACTCCTTGAATCCATTGCGTTGCGTTCGTCTGCATCCAATCTTTCGTGTCGTCCGAGACGGTCATGTACCACAGCTCCACTGATGACCCTTCCACCAGTTTCTGCCAGAGCCAGAAGCCTAGAGCCTCCGGAAGGTATCCCCCGCTTCTCGCGAGCTGATTAATCTTCCAGAAGTAGCTGATCGCCGTAGCCCGATTCCCGTCCCAGGACGGCACGTTGCTTGACTTAAGCACTGGGTGTATCGTGGGGGCGGTGTTCCCGTAAGGAGCGCGAGGGTTGCCTACTGCCGCGCTCCCTTGCGAGCCTCCAGGAGGGTCGCCTGGAGGGCCACCCCCTCCGCCTCGGTGGGAGCGTCCGTTACCTCTCTCGTCACCTGGGATGCCGCTCTGACCGTTGTTCGGAGGTGGTGGTGGCGGTCGTCCTCCTCCTCCTCCGTTGGGACCGGGCGGCGGTCTTCGACCTCTACCCTCGTCGTTGTTGTCGCTACTATCTCCGCCGTCTGGGGGAGGAGCGCCTCCAAAGGCTCCCGGGATATTCACCAATCCTGATCTGCGCCGTCTAGAGGCCGATCGGGTCGTACCTTGTTGTAACGGAGGTGGCAGTACCGCGCTGCCGAAAGGGGTGGTACGAGGAGTAGTCTGGCCAAAGAAGGAGAACGCTGAAGTGCGCCTTCCTCCCCTACGCCCCCTTCCTCGAGGAGCTGGGGTCTCAGGGAATCCGCTCTCGTCTTCTTCCCATCCTTCTTCGTCGTCTCCGTCATCCGCTCGTTCGTCGAGGTCGTCTTCCTCTTCCAACTCCATCGGTTTCTCCACTTCCGGCTTCTCTGGTACGTACTCCCAGCCGGCGAATTCAACCTTGTCTTTTCTCTTGTCCTCGTGGATTTTCCTCTGGAAGCCTTCCTCGAACATTTGCTCTCTCCTTGCGGCTTCCTCAGCTCTCTCCGCGGCGCAAGTGGCTCGGCGGATTTCGACTTCTTGCACGTCCAGTTGGCCTTGGTCCAGGGCGAGGTCCATCTGTTCGTGCGCATCCTTAACTATACCTTCCTCCTTGCGTACGCGCGTCTTCATCATTCCGAGCAGGCTGGCGTACAATCCGGTCCTGGACTGAAGGTGCTGATCGTACAGTCTTCGGTATTCTTCGTCCTCGATAGCTCGCGCAGCTTGCTCTCTTTCGAAGACGCGTTCGTGGGCTCGCACCGCCTTTTCCTCCTCAAGTCTCGCATGTCTCCGCTCCTCTCTCCTTCGCCTCTCGCGCTCGTCCTCCTCTTCTTGGCGCGTTCGTTCGGCCTGTCGGGCCCGTTCCTCCTCTTGCCGCTTACGCGCCCTTGCTTCTTCCGCCGCTTTCCTGCGTCGTTCTTCCTCCCTTTCTCGGTTACGCTGCTGCTCACGCATGATCTTCTCCTGCCATAGGCGCTGCGCCTCCCGGTCACCCTGCTCCTTGCTCTTTCGAGCACGCTCCCTTTCAGCCTCTTCCTCTTCTTCGCGTCTTCCCTTCCACTCGTAGTGCCGGTACCCTTCGTAACTGATAACCGTCGGGTTCTCTTCCGGTTCGCACTCAGGGAAGTGCTCCCGAAGACGCGGGGGAGTGGCAAGAATGACTCGGTCTGGCAGATTCACCAGACGATCTCTCTTCCTCTCCGAGCTTGAGGGATCGTTGGGAAGGGACCCCGCGATCTGCGCGCCTGGCAAAGCGCCTATGGCGTACCTCACCTTTTCTTCCGCTAACGGGTAGCGGTCCATCTCCTGATAGACGGAGGCTGCCGTAGAGCTAGGGGAAGCTGGGGGCTCGCCTTCGTATGCGCCGTAGGCGTGATAGGCGCGAGCGAGGTATTTGGCGTAAACGTGGTAGCCGTTGTTGAACCTGCCGGCTAGACCTCTCCACGCGAGGTTGAGTGAAGCGAGAGTCCGCGCTCCTTCTAGCGCCTTAACGAATGCGCTTTTCGCGTCCACCTTCCACGCCCCTTCAGCCGGGCGATCCGGGTCCATCGATCTGAGACTGAGCAGGAGGTTTTCAAATTCCTCCGCTACGTCCAGCACGTCCTTGATGAGAGCGCGCCGAACGCGAAATCTGGCCTGAGACCCAGAGATAGTGATGCCGTGGTCTTCGACGTCCTCGGGGCGTAGTTCTTTATAGTTCGCGTAGCCCTTGACCTTCTTCTCGAGAGAGTCCCAGGACCACAGATCACCTTCTCTCTTGCGATGGAAAGACACGTCTAAGTCTCGGACGATCTGCAGCGCGTGTTCTACCGCGTCCTCCTCCTCGGGTTGGTCGGGAGGAAGAGGCACTGATCGCGGACTGTTCAGGTTGACGGCTGGGTCGCGTTCGACGGTGAGGTTGGGGAACAACAAAGAAGGAGCAGCTGGCATCTGGGGAGACGAGTCCTTGGAGGAGGCTATTCCCGTCATGGAGCTAGGAGCCTGCGAGGGCGGGACCGACGATAGGTCTGAGAAGAGGTTGCCGGACGCTTCCTTGTTGGAGGTCGGCTTTGTCAACCCGCCATCCTTCTTGGTCGTCGGTCCTGGGGGCGGAGGCTTGCTGACTGCTTTTCCCTTGTCGGGATGTGGAGTAGGAGGGATAGGCGTGAGGGGCGAATCGAAGGACATATTCACGGTAGATTGCGCCGGGGGAGAGGGTGTGTGTGGCGGAGGATGCTTCTCTGTCCCCGAGACTTGTCGGTGTAGCTGGGAGAACTTGCCCGTGGCCGTCGAGGTTGTTCCTCGCACGCCCAGGTCCTTCCTGCCCCGAGAGTAGGACATAGCGTTTCAAGAATGGTTGGTCGAGTTCCTTAGGGGTTGAGTCTGCGTTGCGTAGCAGTCGGATAGAGTAGTCACGTATCCCGCTCGAGATCCCACAGTGTCCACTTTGCGGAGACTGTCCGTGAGGGATCACTGTGAGCGGGTAGTCGATAGCAGAGTGGGCGCCTTAGCGCGTCGAATAGATCAGCCAGCTGCTAACAGCTCGACCTGATCTAAAGAGGAACCTGGTCTAACCAGCGTTCCTTAACCTGCGCTCGGCGCGTGCCTCGGTCCTTCGTCGGTACGACGGAACGAGATGAGATTGCAGAAGTAGAGAGTAAGTGTCTAAGCACGCGGCGCGCGCGTCCCGAAGGGTGATCGCGTGCGGCGCGTGATTCGTAAGTATTCGTGACATCATTGTAGATACATAGGGGTCCGTGAAGTATAGGGAGTCGACCGGACGCTAGCGCTCTCCGTCCGCGCTCGAGGAGTAAGTAAAGGAAAGCGAAATTTTACCTCGGACCCTTGGTCGTTCTCAGGATGCCCACAGCGCCCCAGTGGCAGCGGCACAATGAGTAGCGCCTCAGTGGCTGCAACTCATGTCATCTGCGCCCTTGCTGGCTGCGATGACGAGCAGCGCCTTGCTCGCTTGCCTGTTCGCTACTAGCTGCTCCAAGCGCTGGCGAAACCATGCCGGATCGCGCTGATCGCTGCTGATCTTTCATGATCGCTGCTGATCGCGCTTGATCAAGGTGCCCATCTCTAGCGGAGATGCTGGCCCTTCAGGGCGCATCGCTCTTTCGCTCATCGGCGCAGTCCTTGCTGACATGCTGCCTCTATGATGGCATGCAAAACGATGCTGACAATCTCACCAGATCACAATGTCTAACACCCTCACCTCCACCGTGCCTGTCTTCAGCGGCAAGGACTTCAAGTCCTTCGCCAAGAAGATGAAGGCCTACCTCCAGTTCCAGGGCATTGACAATGTCCTGACTGAGGAGAAGCCGAGTCCAATCACTACCACTAAGGAAGTGAAGGGCAACGAGGAGGAGCTCAAGCAGTTCGATAGTGACGATCGCAAAGCGCGTGGTGCTATCATCATGCGCGTTGACGAGCGTCTCATCGACAATGTCCCTGACGAGGACATGGTGACTGCTAAGAAGCTCTGGGAGTACCTGAATAAGACGTATGGCTCAGCGCAGCTGGCCGACATCTTCGGGTACCTGCAGACTGCTCTGAACGCCAAGTTCGACGAGCGTCAGCACCCAGATCCGCAGCTGAACGTCATCCTCCAGCAGTTCACGCGTCTGAAGAACAAGAATGTTGCCATTCCCGAGTTCTTGCAGGCCATGATCTTGCTTGCGATCGCGCGGGCCAAGCCCGTGACGACGAATCTCCTTCAGTCTTACTCTAAGACTACGCTCAAGGTCTCTACTGTTCGCGATGCGCTTCTAGCGCACTACTCGCAGCAGGGGATGAGCACGAGCGCCACTGCTCAGAAGTTCAACACCAAGCGCAAGCGCGATGATCCGAAGTATTCTAATCAGCAACAGGGCGGAAGCTCTGCGCCCAAGCAGGGCGACAATGCTGAGAAGAAGAAGAAGAAGAATCGCGGCAATCGCGCTGGTAAGAACTCTGGCAAGGGCAAGGGCGGCAACGCTCACGCTCATGGCGTCACGGAGATGGCTGGGATGATCTCTTCACTGCACGCTCCCGCTCCTCTCACACCGTCGGTGCCTGCCACCAAGACGTCCCACGTCGCGCTCATCACAAAGGACGGTACCTCTGTCCGCACCGTGACTGAGAAGCCCCCCGTCAAGAACGAGGAGGCTGTCGCTGACAACGAACACTCCAAGAGCGCCCGAGCCGTCTTCGACTTTGGGAAGGAGTTGGACATCACGGTGACGCCCCAGGTGTTCCGTCGCCTCGACAAGATCGTCAACGACCGCGGCATCCCCCGCGTCAACGATGAGGACGAGGAGATGGGTTCCCCCACTCCTAAGGCTTCTGGCTCGAATCTTCAGCTCGAAGATCTCGCTCCTCCGGTGAAGCGTGCCAAGATTGACTCGATCCCCGACGTCGAGATGGCCTCCGCTCAGCAGAACAACGAGAGTCAGCTGTTTGACGGAGAGAGTCGCCTCTTCTTCGGATCGTCTGGCGGCGACACCATCGATCTCGACTGGAGCGCCAGTCCCTTCAACTCCGCCGACGATCTCCTCCAGGCACAGGGCGAGGGGATCTCTGACGAAGCCCTGATGAAGTCGATCGCGGACAGCGTCAACAGCTTCATGCTGAAGTCCGTCGACACGGCGACTGCCAAGACTGCCGAAAGGCAAGTACCCTTCTCTTCTGGACCACTGCGCAAATCTCACAGTGCCACACCTCAGCGCGTAATTACTGTCGCAGCGGGGACCGTACTACATTCGTTGATGACTGGATCTCATGAATTTTGTACGAATAAATTTTGTGTGCACTCCAATTTTGCTGCGTGTCCGAGATGTAAGGGGAAATCCGCTGAGAATTTCGGCGACTTCCCACCTTTGTGGATGGCCGATTCTGGCGCCTCATTGCATGTGACTGCGGATGAGAGTGATCTTGCTGAGTATGAACCTATTGAGGATTCTGAACCCCTGCAGACAGCATCGGCTAGTGCGTCTTTACGCGTAGTTGGTCGCGGGACAGCATTTGTGGATCACTACGTCACACGGCATGGACAAAGGAAAGTAATGACTTCCCAAATTTATCCGGTCTATCATGTACCTGGATTACATGGTCGTCTTCTTTCCTTGGGCACTCTATTGAAACAGAGTGGATTGCAAATGCGCGGAAACGCGGCTTGCATCAGCTTGCATCGAAGGAACTCTCCTCTTTCGATCATGGAGTTTACACCGCTCCATCCTTTATCCACGATTTACTGGTTATGGTGCAGACCTTCTGTCACCAAAACGTTGCAGAATGTCAGCCTCATCTATAAGGTGGACTACGACACGATGCACCGGCGATTTGCACACCCGTCGAAAGACGTTCTACGTCAGGCGCGCAACCACACCAAGGGCTTTCCCCAAGACCTTGAGTTTCCTGCCGACCCTCGTCCGTGCAGAGGATGCGCTGAAGGGAAGATGCACGCTCGCTCTTTTCCATCTTCGGAGCATCGCGCGACGAAACCGTTTGAGTTAATCCACTCGGATCTCAAACAATTCCCGATGATATCTTATCACAAGTATCGTTACTTCATGAGCTTCTTCGACGAAGCGCTCTCCTATGGCTGGACAGTATGCCTCAAGCAGAAGTCCGACGCCAAACAGGCCATGCGCAATTTTATTGCTATGGTCAAAAACCAGTTCGAGACCACGATTAAAAAGTGGCACATCGACAATGGGGGAGAGTTTCAGGGAATGGGTATGGAGGAATTTCTCGAGGAAAATGGGATCCTCGTGGAGAAAGGCGCACCCTATGCTCATCAGCAGAACGGTCGTGCCGAACGCTTTAACCGGACGATTATGGACAAGGCCGAGTCTATGCGTTTTACCGCATGCCTGCCTAATTCGTTCTGGGAGTTCGCGATTTTACACGCGACTCGGGTCTACAACTGGACGCCTATCCGGCGTTTGAAGTGGAAGACTCCGCACGAAGCTCTCTACAAGGACAAACCGGATATTTCTCATCTCCGGGTCTTTGGTTGCGGCGCATACGTCTTTATCCCCGAGGAGAAACGCCAGAATAAGTTATCGCCCAAAGCGGAGCTGATGACGTACCTGGGCATGTCCGATGGGGTAAAAGGCTTTTTGCTTATGCGCGCAAACGGTGCTCTCTTCGTTGGCACTCAGGCCACGTTTGATGAAGCACTGTTCCCCCGCTGTCCTGACAGCACTCGTTGTCAACACGTACCAGTTGGGGAAGATTTCCCACTTTGTGATGATGATCCAGTGGATCCACAAGATCTATCACAGGAATCAGGAGACATGCCAGGCGACGATGATGAGGAATTCCCACCTCCGCGTCCCGCTGCTCCGGCTCCACCTTTCCCTCCTCAAAGAGGACCTGATGATGATGATGACAATCAGAATCGTCAGGACCCGCCGCTTGATCGCCGGGATCAGACTCCAGAGGCAGCTCCGCCCGCTCCCAAGCGTGGCAAAGGGCGTAAGAAAGCAGGACCACCTCCTGAACCTACTCGGAAGTCTACGAGACAGCGGACCCAGGTTTCTGGTCCTGATAACATCTATGGAGATCGCGCTCCAGCGGAGATTGAACGCGATGTCTCGAGCGAGTCGAAATGGAGAAAGATGGTTGGCGATGACAAACCGCGTAGCTCGCGCTTGAAAGCCACCTCTGATGCCGATGCTGAGAAAAGGGTTCCCGGCCCTAGCTCGCAGCCATCTTCGCGCGCAGACGCTCGAGAGCATCTGGATGAGGACGAAGCCCGCATGGCTAAGCTATGCCGGGAAGGGGGAGTAGAGCTCATCACTGAGTTGCTTTCCAAAGCGGTTCCGGTTGATGATGACGCTCTTCCTGACACGTCCAAGATACGCGACTGGACGTTCAAAGACATCTTGAAGTTGCCACCCGCGCAACAGAAGGAATGGATGAATGCTTGCCGCGAGGAGTTAGAGGCACTCCGTCAGCGCAAAGTCTATTCCCTTGTGGATCGTCCGAAAGGACGAAAGGTCATCAAATGCCGCTGGGTCTTTGATCTGAAATCTGATGGCCGCAAACGAGCCCGCCTCGTCGCCAAGGGTTTCAGTCAAGTCGAGGGAATCGACTATGACGAAATCTTCTCGCCTGTCATCAGGTATGAGACGTTCCGCCTAGTCATGGCGCTTGCAGCGCTTGAAGGCTGGCACTGGTCAGGTCTCGACGTCTCCAAGGCTTTCCTTTATGGGGACCTGGACGAAGAGGTCTACATGGAACAACCCGAAGGCTTCGCGGTGAAGGGCCAAGAGCGCAAAGTCATGCGCTTGCACAAGGCGATCTACGGACTCAAACAAGCTGCCTTAGCATGGTGGAAGGCGCTTACCAAGTCCACGAAAGCCATGGGCTGGGTCCGACTCACATCAGATGCCGGCATGTTCTTCTACCAAGACTCTAACGGCAAACTCGCTGTTATTGTAGTCTACGTAGATGACGCTCTGTTCTTCTCAAAGGACAAGAAGCTCATTGCCTTTCTCAAGGCTGAGTTCAACAAGCGATGGGAATGCCGTAATTCTGAAGTCACTTCGGAGTTCTTGCGCATACGCATCCGACGAGAAGGATCTAAGATCAAGATCGATCAGATCCCGTATCTTGATAAGGTGCTGAAGCGCTTCGGGATGGAGAACTGCAAGTTCGCCCCAACCCCTCTACCAGCCGGCTATGTGCCTGAGCTTAACGAGGATGAGGTTGATCCCGAACTCCGCAAGACCTTTCAGTCGGTCATTGGTTCGCTTCTCTTCATCATGTTGGGCACTCGCTCCGACATTGCCTTCGCGGTGACCAAGTTGTCACAGTTTGCCGCAAATCCCTCGAGAGACCACTTGAATAAAGCGCTGTATATCTGCCGCTATCTTGCTGGAACTCGGGATTATGCACTTGTCTACGACGGTGCTTCCAATGGCGGACTGACTGCGTACACTGATTTGGATTGGGCATCTGATCCGATCAAGAGGCGATCCACCACCGGCTACTTCATGAAGCTGGCAAACGGGATCATCTGCTGGCAGTCACGATTGCAGCGCACAGTCGCAGCCTCGTCGACCGAAGCGGAATACATGGCGCTCTCTGATTGTAGTCGCCAGGTGATGTGGCTCAAGAGTATCCTTATGGAACTCAAGCGCAAAATCATCGTTCCCGTTCCTATCCACGGTGACAACCAGGGATCTCTCTTCACGGGCTCCAACGCCTACCGAGACCGCCGGATGAAACACATTGACATCCGTTACCACTACATCCGCGAGCTGGTCGAGGAGAAGGAGGTTGAGCTGTACTTCATTGACGGCAACAACAACCCTGCGGACATGTTCACCAAGAATCTTGGGCGCGTCAAGTTCGAGAAGTTCAGATCTCAACTGGGACTTGAGTTTAACTCGTCCTAATTGGCCGATGAAGACATCCGCTTGCGTACGCTATGCCGCGATACTTAGCGAGGGGGAGTGTTGGACAATCGGCCTGTCACATGATATGACTCATGACTCACATGACGGACGCATGGACACACGTGGACACACATGGTTGACATCATATGTTTATTGTTTACTTGTTCACTGGATTATCACATGCTACCTACCATCCTGTACATATATAAGGAGGGCCTCTCTGCCCCCAGGAATAACAGGTCTTTACCTACCTCTGCGCTTGCCTCATACCAAGCTCCTTACCACCAGGTAAGCAGTATAGGCGCGCTTCCCAGCATGCTCAACAACATCCAGCGGAAGTACCACTACATCCGCGATGGGCTGGTTGCCACCGGCGAGTGCGTCGTCCTCTGGTACCCCATGGACGAGATGGTTGCGGACATCTTCACCAAGGCACTACCTCATGAGTATCAGAAGTGGATGCAAGGAGTGACCGACGGGTAGGGAGGTTGCGGATAGCAGGAGCGTCGGCGGTAGATGATCGAATACGACCCAGCGGTCGGATGGCAGCAGCAAGGAGGGAAGGCAAGCGACAGACCCGGTACAAAGCCCCGGGCAGGGCCTCAGAGGCCCCCCTCAGCGGCAAGCTGGAGGGGCTGGCGCGCCCAGCGGCAACGCCGAACACAGACACGGACCGAAGGCGACAACGCACGGACTAAAGAGTGTATAGGTGTGACTACTCGGTATATAAGGCGTGAACGCGTGACGTGACCGAGTGACTGCTAGAGTCGAGCTGTACAGTACAATAACCAACTCGTGACAATGAGAAGCATCTCAAGTTCTGCCAAGGTATGGGCTTGCGGCCAGACTCGAGTGGGAGTGTCAAAAGTGGTGTTTAGTGGCGAGTCTACCTTCAGCCAGGTCATGTGACCTCAACCCTTGGAACTGCTTATGTAAGTTCCAAGAGTTGAGATCACATGACTTTTCCCCACGCTTTGCCCGGATGGCCCCGTACATACGCGTGTACCTACCTTTCTTTTTCCCTCAGTCGCTATCCTATACGCAGGAAGACTGAGGGTATGTCTTTTACTTACTTTACTCTTACTTATACTGACTGTACTTTAGTCTTGCGCTCTCTGCGCTTATTTAGGTATGAACTCAGTCGCTATCCTATACGCAGGAAGACTGAGGTCTTGCGCTCTCTGCGCTTATTTAGCTCGTGAAAGAAAGTGTGACACACGAAGGTTAGACCGGATCAGACACTCACGAGTGATTCACGACGCTGAAGCGGGGTCTAGATAGCCAGATAGCGGCTTTCACGACGCTTTCACGGGCATTTCACGGCGAAATCATCGGGAATCACGGTGATTCCCGGGTGATTCACGACAAGATCCTGGGTTTCACGGTTCGAATCTGACTTTTGTCCAGTCAAGCCCTCCATAGCGCGATCCCATCACTATAGTTATAAGGTATAACAAATTATACAGCCCAACCATGGTGACATTTTCCAAAGAAACACCACACAATTGTTCTGGCAAGGCTCATGTCAAGGAGTGTGTACATTTATAAATCCAGGCAAGGTCTGTACACAATCATGACAATCCTCCACCATCCCCACCCCCCGGATTCCTCTGTGCAAAGCTTTGCATGATGTCCGCATTGAACCCCCTCGCCTGCCCGAACCCGCCCCCACCACCGCCACCCATCCCGAAATTCATCATGTTATCCCCCAAGCCACCCATACCTCCGCCACCGCCGATCCCGCCACCTCCACCCCCACCCGAGCCCATCACACCACTTGCACCCAGACCTCCACCTCCCCCACCCTGCTGCTGTTGCTGTTGCTGCTGCTTCTGCCTCTGCTGCTGCAACACGTAATGTCGCACCACCAGCTGCTGCATAAACATCTTCTTCTCCTCTCCCGACGCCCTCTGGAAATTCGCGCGCGCTGCAGGCGAGATTGAGTGCAGGAGCTCCTGGATCTGCGCGTTCGTCGGCTTCGGGATGCCCTCGGGCAACTTGAGCAAGGCGGCGAGCGAATGGCTATTCGGCGCCACGCCTCCCGGTCCCGATCCTGCGCCCGCGCCCATTCCACCCGCACCGCCCAGTCCACCCGCGCCTCCCAATCCCTGCGGCGCGCCACCCAAACCTTGCGCCGCGCCCCCCATTCCCCCACCCGGTCTACCTCCCATTCCCGGCCCTCCCCCGCCCATCCCTGATCCTCCCGCGCCCATTCCCGGCCCTCCCGCCCCCACCCCCATCCCAACACCCGCCCTCTGCTGCATCAGCTTCAGCATCTGCTCCTGCTGCTCGAGCGTCGGAATGATCGGCACGCCCTTCTCCACGAACACCGCCGCGGCGAGGTTGAAGGGCCCGTCCTGGCCGGCGTTGGGTGGCGAGGTGGGGAAGAAGAGCACGCAGGGCCCGTGCGAGCCGTCGCGTCGGGTGAAGGAGGCGGTGAAGTACTGGGAAGACGGTTAGTCAGAGTCACGACGACGAATGGACGGACGGGCGGCAGCGACGGAAAACGCGCGTCGACGACGGACGGACGCCCGCCGCCAACAAGGGAACGCGCACCGCCTTCTCCTCTGCCCACCGCCTCCAACTCCGTCCACCGCCCATACCACACACACACACACACACACACCTTCCCCAACTTCTTCATCATACCCGCCATATTTCTGACCATCTCCGCCGCCTGGCCCAATCCATGAAAGTGCACGATCGCCGGCCGATGCTGCTTCACCCACGCCGTCAGGACGTTGATGTGCAGCAGCGGCGCGTCCGAGATCATGAGGCGGAGCTCTGGCGGCCACGTTTGGGGTTGGCTGGGGGGAGGTGGTTAGTGAGGCTCGAAAGAAGGATGCAGCGAAGTTTAAAAGGAGTACGCGGCGAGCCGCAAAGAAAGCAAGACCAGAAACGACGCGCGAACGACAACCGAAGCGCCATCGAGTCGAAGCACAGTCCAAATCGAACCGCCAAAAAACCCAAGCCACCCACTCACCCACTAACCACCGCCCCCTCCCCCGCCATCGCCACCGACATCGCGCGCGCCTCCCTCGGCGGCTGCCCCGGCACGCCCGGAACCGTCAGGTGCAGCATGCCCTTCCAGATGGCCCGTGGCTGGTTCGGGTTCGTCGGTTGGCCGGCGCTGTTTCCTCCGATACCGCCGCCGTTTCCTCCCAGACCGCCTCCTCCTCCTCCTCCAAGCCCACCTGCGCCTCCCATCCCACCACCGCCTCCACCTAGCCCACCCATCCCACCACCAACCAACCCACTCGGCCCCGCTTGCGCGTTATTCCCTATGCCTCCCATCCCACCGCCTCCCATCCCACCACCACCTCCCCCACTCCCACTGGCTTGCGAAGGGCCACTCTGCTGCGTGCCTTGCTGCCCACCCCCCACACCCGCCACCCCCTTCGTCAACGGGCCTGGGATCATATGCGTCGGCCCGCCAAACGCTTGCGCAAGCTGGTTCAGGCTCGCCGCCGATGGTGGGCGAGCTCCTCCTTGACTTCCTACACCCGCTCCTACTCCTCCCGCTCCCTGACCTCCTGCCTGCGCTCCTTGACCTCCTTGCTGACCGCCCTGGCCATTGGTCCCATTCGACAGACCCGCGCCTTGTTGTTGATTCGGTGGTCCACCTCCCACACCCGCTTGTCCTCCTCCCCCTCCCCCCACCCCCGCCCGAAAACTTCCGACCCAATTCAGCAACGCCTTATGCCGGATCCCCATCGCCAAGCGACTCTTGTCCTGGAGATCGCGCATGAGCTGCGCGCGCATGTCCGGTGGGCCGGTGGGGCCGAGGGCTGGGGGAGGAACGAGTCAGCGCGAGTACAAGAGGAAAAACCAGGGCGAGCACGGGAAGGACGATGTTAACAAGAATGAGCGTTGAGAGTGTGAGCGAGGAGAACGAAGAAAAGAAGAGACCAGACGCGCGGAGGCGCCGAATTCGCGCCCGTTCCCCTCTTGCCGTCAGGAGGAACGAATACGAGACGACATCAAAGTTCATCCCGCGCGAGCTCTCCGCCTTCCGCCGTCCAACATCCCCTCCACAACGTCTTGTCCAAGGCCGCCGACGCCGAGCCACCGTGCAGCGGCGAGTGGGAGATGGCGAGAGCGTCTTCATGCTTCTCCCTCCCACCTTCCCCACCCCGCCAGGGTGTCACTCGCTCTTCTCCCCCTCCCCTTCTCCCCCTCCCCATTCCCTCCATCACCCCCAGACACGCCCTCCGCCATCCCCCTCTCGCTTCCTCTCCACCCTCCGCCACGCCACTCCAACCCTCACCGCACCCCTACCCCTACCCGACCCCCCAACCTTCTCCTCACCGCACCCCGACAGGGGTATCCCCCTCTCCCCTCCCCCCTTTCTCCCCCTCCCCCCTTTCTCCCCCTCCCCCCTTTCTCCCCCTCCCCCCCTTCTCCCCCCTCCGCCACCCCCACCAGCCCTCTCCCCCAAACACCCTTTACCCTCTCCCCTTCCCCCCTTCCTCCTCCGCCCTCCCCTTCCTCCTCCGCCCTCCCCTTCCTCCTCCGCCCTCCCCTTCCTCCTCCGCCCTCCCCTTCCTCCTCCGCCCTCCCCTTCCTCCTCCGCCCTCCCCTTCCTCCTCCGCCCTCCCCTTCCTCCTCCGCCCTCCCCTTCCTCCTCCGCCACCCCCTCACTCGCACCCAAAACCTCACCCCCCCCCCACCCCGCCAGGGGTTGACAAACAAATAAGCCCCGATCAACCCTCTCCTCTCCCAAGCCCCGATCAACCCTCTCCTCTCCCAAAACCCCCCGCAATCCAAAAAAGCGTCAAAAACCAACCACTCACCCTCCACCCGCCGCTTCACCTCCTGCGCCTCGCGCTCGACCTGCACGTACTGCGCGAGCATGAGCGGCTGGACCTGGGGGTGTGATTAGCGTTAGCGTTTAATGGGGGTGAGGTCGTTAGCGTTCAATCGGGGTGAGGGTCAGTTTCGAGTGCAAAGAGGGTGAGGGTCAGTTACGAGTTCGCATTCAGCTTCGACCACTCCGATATTCCCCACCGCCCTCCCCTCACAACCCCTTTTCTCCCATCACCCACAAACCCCACCCCTCCCCCCCCCACCCTCTTCCCATCCTCCCCCACCCTCGCCCCCTCCACTAACCCCTCTCGCTCCTCCCCCCATCACCTCCAACCCCTCTTCTTCACCGAAAAACAAAAACACGCAAAAAACCCTCTCACTAACCTGCATCGCCGCCCTCACCAGCGCCTGCTGCTGCCCCGGCGCGAGCTGCATGACCGCCGACTGGAGCGTGACCTGGCCGGGTTGGGTCTGTAGGGGGGTGGGGTGGGTTAGTAAGCGGTGTGGGAAGGTGGTGGAGAAGGAAAGGAGAAGGAAAAGAAAGGAGGGGGATGAGGAGGGGTAAAGGATGAGGCGAGGGACGGGGAGGGTTAGCAACGGATGGGACGGGAGGGGAAGGGGGAGGAAGAGGCGGGGAGGAGGGGTGAGGAGGGAGAGGGAGAGGGAGGGGAAGGGGGAGGGATGAGGAAGCGCCAAAACTACCCTATCACTCACCGCCTGTATCGGCAACCGCGCCAGCGTCGCGCCAATCTGCGCCGCCGTGGGGCCCGAAGTGGGTGGTGTTGGTGCCGGTTTCGTCTGATTTGGTGCGGATGGGTTCGTGTTCGTATTGAGGAGGTTCGTATTGGAGAGGAGGGGTGTCGAATTCGTATTGAGGAGGTTCGCATTCGCGTTCGAAAGCATGGGTGTCGTGTTCGGTAGATTCGCGTTCGCATTAGAGAGCAACGGGGTAGATGCGAGCATCGGCGTCGCATTCGAAAGCATCGGTGTCGCATTTGACAGCATCGGCGTCGCGTTCGACAGCATCGGCGTCGACGAGGGGTTGATATTCGGTAGATTCGCATTCACATTCAATGGCGTCGCCGAAGTCATCGCCGCCGGCGTCGGATTCTGCGCAACACTCGACGGTGCGACAGACGATGGCGCAGTCGTCGACGCCGGCCGATTGAACGGCGTCGAGGACGGTGGTGGTGGGTGCATCGCGGACATCGCGGACGAATTGGGCGCAGCGGAGGAGTTGGGCGCCGACGATGAACCTGGTACAGAACTTGATGGCAATGATGTGTTCGTCGCACTCGGCTTCTGCGGCGACTCCGGGGCGCCTAATCTGGCGCGCTTCGCGGTATCGTGCGGCGCCGCGTCCGCTGGCCGTTTGTTCGACGTCGTGGGTACGGGGTGTGGTCGGGCGGGTGCGGTGAAGGAGGCGGAGATGTGTAGGGTGAGGGCGGCGTCGTAGGAGAGCCAGGGCTTGATGGTGTCGGTGGCGAGCTAGAGAACAGCCGTCAGCACACAATGAGCACGATTCACATCGGTCACGACGAGCACAACGGAGAACTCGCCACTCACCTTCTTCTGAAACTCTCCGAGGGCTCCAAGTGGCCTCTTGCCATACCGCACGCTCGAGTAATTGATCTCCCTTTCCTTAAACGCCTGCACGAGTCCCTCCCATCCCATGCCGTCAAGTTCGGGGCGGACACACGTCGTCGAGTGGCGCGCATCGTCCGGCTCGACGGCAGCCATATGCAGGACCTGCTTCCACACCGGCTTCTGAATCGGCACGCTGGTCAGGGTATCAAACATCTCGAGCGCGGCCACGAGCGCATCGAGCACGGCCACGGGGTCCTTGCCCGTCACCGCGGGCCTACGCTTCCCCAGCGGGCCGGACTCGTACGCTTGTTTAAGGACCTCATGCATGAGTTGGGGGGCGGTGAAGAAGAGGTTGAGGAGGAGCGGGTTGTGGGAGGGCCCGTAGAGGATGACGCCGACGCGGACGCGATTGGCGGGCTTGCATTGGACGGCGCGGGCGAGGATTGGGGGGACGAGGGACGCGATAGTAGACCATGCATTCACGATGGGCGCGGAGGCCTCGATGAGGAGCGCGATTGCTGTCTCGCCTGCGTAAGAGGTCATGGCGGCGGAGACAAAGGCGCGTAATGGCTTTTCCCACGCCATCCATCATGGACTACACGCTCTACTCCAGACAGCTGATCCTCCCCGGATTCGGTCTCCCCGCACAGCAGGCCCTCCTGCGCGCCAAGGTGGCAGTCGTCGGTGCCGGTGGTCTCGGCTGTCCCGCGCTCACCTACCTCGCGCTGTCCGGCGTTGGCCACATAACGGTGATCGACCACGATACCGTCGATCTCTCCAACCTCGCCCGCCAGTCCCTCCACTCCCGCGCCTCCATCGGCACAAACAAAGCTCTCTCCGCGCAGGCCTCCCTAGCCGCCCTCGCCCCTAACATCACCGTCACCCCCATCCCCACCGCCCTCGATCCCACCAACGCCATCTCCCTCCTCGCCGATCACGACCTCATCCTCGACTGCACCGACAACCCCGCCACGCGCTACCTCCTCAACGACTCGGCCGTCGCCCTCCACACGCCCCTCGTCTCTGCTGCCGGCCAACAGTACGACGGACAGCTCGCCGTTTACAACTACCGCGGTGGCCCGTGTTTGCGATGCGTATTTCCCAAGCCGCCCGCGCCCCAGTTCGCGCCATCTTGCTCCGAGGTCGGTGTCCTCGGCCCCGTCGTAGCAACTATCGGCTCCCTCCAGGCGCTCGAGGCGATCAAGATCCTCGCCAACCTCACGCCGCCCGGCGCCTCAACTTCACCACCACCGTCGCCTCACATGCTCCTCTTCTCCGCCCTCGCCACTCCGCCCTTCCGGTCCATCAAGCTCCGCAATCGCAAGCCAGACTGCATAGCGTGCAGCAACCCACACGCACCCATCGACGTCGCCTCTACCGACTACATTCAGCTATGCGGCGGTCCGCGGCCAGACTGGGAGTCCCTCGGCATGCAGGTGCGCGATCCGGCGCTGCGCATAGATGCGAATGTACGTTACTCTTCTCCTCCCTCCCATCCCATTCCTCCCTCTCCTTTCCTCCTTCCTTCCGTTTCTTCTGTCCCTCCCCTTCCCTTCTCCTTTGTCCTCTTCCCTCGCGCTCTTTCCCTCCCCTATCCTTCTGCCCTCCCCGACCAACCTCCACAACCTCACCAACCCTACTAACCCAACCTCGCCAACCCACCTAACCCCCCCTCTCCCAGACCCTCTCCACCCAACTCCGCTCCGACCTCCCACCCCTCCTCATTGACGTCCGCCCGCCGGTCGAGTTCGGGATCTGTCAAATCGAGGGGTCGATTAGTGAGTGTTGAATTCTTCTTGTCTTCGGTTTTCTCGTTCGTCTGGATTTTTCTCTTGGTTTAGATTCTTCCCTTCGTCTGGAGGGTCGTTCGCCCCATCGTCCTAACGACCCTTTCGCTTCTTCGCGCTCCCCTCCCTCCCTTTTCCTCCCTCCCCTTCCCCCCTCTCTCCCTCCTCCCTCCGTCCCACCTCCCTCCCCCTCCCCTTCCCACCTCTTCCCCTCCCTACTCACACCAAACCCACTAATCACCCCCCCCACTCAGACGTTCCCCTCCCCACCCTCCTCGCCGAGCCGGGCAGGGTGCTCGAGATGGTGATGGGCAAGGTGCCCGAGATGGTGATGGGTGGGGCTGCATCGAACGAGGGCGAAGGCGCCTCCGCGACTGCACGCGACAGCGCTTCCGCGAATGGCGTTGACAGCGCCTCTGCGACTGCGTCGACTCCAAATAGCGCCGACATGCCTCCAACAAACAGCGTTGACACGCCTACAACAAACGGCGTTGACACGCGCACAACGACCTCCGCCCCCTTCACGACCTCCTCCTCCTCCACCTCCTCCACCGTATCCACCTCGCCCACCTCACCCCGCCCCCTCATCACCCTCTGCCGCCTCGGGAACGACTCCCAGCTCGCCGCGGATGCGCTCAGGGATGCGTGCGTGTTATTTCCTTTTGCTTTTCTCCCTCCCTCACCCCCTCTTCCCCCCTTACCGCTCCCTCCCTCCCTTCCCTTCCCTCTACCACCCCATAATTCTTACTCACAAAAACACAGCCTACCTAACACGCACCCCATCCTCGACCTCATCGGCGGCCTCCGCGCGTGGGCGCGCGACGTCGAGCCTGGGTTTCCTGTTTATTAGGGGTAGTGTGGGAGGGAGGAAGAGGGGTATAGTGGTGACGGTGCGAGAGTGGAGGGGGGAAGAGGGGGAGGAGGCGAAGGAAAGACCCCCTAACGGGGTGGGGTGGGAGGAAAGGGGTGGGAGGGTGATGGAGAAGGGTAGGGAAGGAGGATGGCGGAGGGGGAGGGGAGCCAGGTGATGAACCCTCAGAGGGGGCGACGCACGCCTCCAATGCCGATGGGCAAGGGTGAAGGCAGGGAAAGGGTGAAGGCAGGGAAAGGGTGAGGGCAGGGAAAGGAGGGACGGACGGGAGGTGGAGGTGGAGGAGGGGACGACGAAAAATTGATATGGGCACCCCTTAGTCATGCGCACCGCTCGACCGGAAGTCATGCGCGCCGCTCGACTGGAAGTCATGGACGCCGCTTGACCGGAAGCCATGGACGCCGCTCGACCGGAAATCATGAACGCCGATCCATCAAAGAGTTATGCGCGCCGCTCGCCCGAGAGTCGATGACCTCCTCACGTCTTACCCACGGACGACCTCCTCACGTCTTACCCACGGACGACCTCCTTGCGTCGTACTCACGGACGACCTCCTTGCGTCGCACCCACGGACGCCCTCCTTGCGTCGTACCCCTCGCGTCGGACCTTCTCCCTGGCATTGTCAAGCCCGGCAGGAGGCCCGCAAAATCATGCGAAGAGGTCGCCTTCCCCTCGCAGAGCGCGCAGCCGCGCAGCTACCTTGCGAAAGCTCGCAGGTCATTTCTCGAATGTGTGTACTGTATCTCGCACCGTATATCAGTACGCATACCAAGTTGAACCACAAACAGATCTCGGTCAGCGCAAGAGATCTCGGTCAGCGCAAGAGCGCAAGAAGTCCTCGTACACTCTACGCGCGCGCCTTCAGCGCCCCGCTCTCCACCAACTCGCGCACCACGCTCGGCACGGCCTCCTTCATCGGCTTTCGCTCATCCCCGTCTCCGCTGCACGCGAGGGTCGACGAGGCGGAATCACAGCAGGTTGAAAGTGCGTGCGTTTCTAGTTGAAAGTGCGTGCGTCTCTAGTGAAAAATACGTGCGTCTCTAGTGGAAAATACGTGGGTTTCTGGTGGGAAAAACGTGCGTGTCTGCCCCATATCCTATAGCACAAGACTTTCGTGGCGCCTGCTGGAGCTTCCGCCATTACGTGCAGAAGGGATCTCTGGCGCGATGACTACGCGGAAATGGACGGGTTGACCAAGATGGTCAGGGTGACCAAGATGGACGCGGTGACCAAGGAGATATCGAAGCCCCGACATTCGCAGTGTCAACTGTAAAAGTAACTCGACGCGCTGCTTTCAGAATGGACGCAAGGCAACACACGCGCTGAGCCAACACGACAGGTGATCCTTACGACTTGTTTATCGTATCCTCATATTCACTCTGAGTCAAGATTGCCGTCCCGGAGTGCATAGAGGTGTACCCCGCCTACCACGTCTGACTATGGCATAGGTAACTGACTCTCTCGTAGCTTTGCTTGGAGCGTAGCCGGCGCATTTCTCTCGCCGTCGAACATGTCTCTAATCCGCTTCCTCCTCATCCACGCGCTCCACTCGTCATCCCCGGCCAGATCACACTAAGGCGTTACCGCATGCACCACGTTGTATGGATGAATGTACCGTGGATGATAAGTATAATGGACAAGACAGTTCATTTCCAGCTGAGTGGAGGCGATCCCCTGCAGGACAGCGTGAAGAATGTCGGCAGCTGCTTCTTTTTGCCTCACGCCGTTTTCCCAGTCTCCACGCCGACCGCACCACTAAATTGCGGCCTTCTCATTGAGTGACGTTGATCCCCCACTGAGGACCATCCCTGAAGGCAAAATCTTACGGACAAGCATCATTTCTGTATCCTGGACGAGTATAAAGAGCAACCAGTCGCCCGCTGCTTGCCAGCTCACCCAGCTTCTTTCCCCTCCAAGTCGCTGACAACTTCTATAATCTACACGCAACCAGTGAGGCGCTATCCGCCGAGCGTCTACTCAAAGCTGACTGACACCCGCCCGACTTTCAGTGTCCTCTGACACCCCGCTGCTGCACCTCAGCTTCGACCGCGACCCTCTCATCGCCCCGAGCGACCATGCCGCACATGTCCTCGTCATCGGCGGTGGCATCATCGGCCTGTCCACCGCCTGGACGCTGCTTGACAGTGGCTACAAGGTCACCGTGCTCGCTGAGGAATACGCCACGCTCGACGGCAGCAAGCCGCGCCTCACGTCCCAGATCGCAGGCGCGCTGTAAGTCGCACCGCTCTCGTGCGAATCCGCGTGGGCTTCGCGCTGACCCCCTCCCCAGCTGGGAGTACCCGCCCGCCGTCTGCGGCCACACGTCGGACGTGACGTCCCTCGAGATCTCCAAGCGCTGGGCCATGGTCTCCTACCACGTCTACAAGCACATGGCTGCCGACCTCGTCCTCGCGACCAAGTACAGCGTCAAGATGCGCGAGACGGTCTTTTTCTTTGACAAGCACGTCAGAGACGACGCCGAGCAGCTGCGCAAGATGCGCGAGATCGAGCGCAGCGGCGTCGCCGGCTTCCGCCACGACACCAAGGTGATCCACCAGCTCGGGCTCGACGAGAAGAAGTGGCTGGACGCGTACGAGATCCTATCGCCGCTCATCGACACGGACAAGGCGCTGGTGAACATCCAGAAGCTCGTCGTGGCGAAGGGCGCGACGCTCGTCACCGGGAAGGTCGAGAAGGACCTGCTGGAGGTCGAGCAGGAGCTGCGCAGCAAGTACGACGCCCAAGTGATCGTGAATGCCACGGGCCTCGGCGCGTGGACGCTCGCGAACGACAAGAACGTCTACCCGCTGCGCGGCGCTGTCCTTCGCATCCCCAACGACGGCCAGAAGTTCGAGAAGATCAAGAAGGCGCTCGTCGTGAGCGCCGTCGACGTGCCCTCCGATAAAAATCCGAGTAAGTGGGCCATCGCTCAAGTAATTCCCCTCCGCCCCGCCGCTTACGCCTCCCCCGAGGTTCATCTTCATCGTACCCCGCAACGACGGCATCCTCTACGTCGGTGGCTTCTCCGAGCCCAACAAGACGGACTTCATCCCCGAAGACGACCCCAACGTCCTCATGATGGCGCGCGATGCGGAGGACTTCTACACCGAGCTCGATACCGAGCGCCGCGACTCGGCGTTCCCGCTCGCGCAGGGCTTCCGCCCCGCGCGCAAGGGAGACGTGCGCGTCGAGCGCGAGCTGCGCACGCCCGCTGGGAGCACGGACAAGAACTGGAGGCCGATCGTGCACAGTTACGGGCACGCGGGCGCGGGGTGGTCGCTCGCGTTCGGGAGCGCGCTAGAGGTAAAGGCACTGGTGGAGGATGTGCTCGAAGGTCTGCCGGCCCATTCGATGAAGGAGGCGGCGCCAAGCGTGGTGTCGCATGCGCAGGTGCGCGAGCTGGTGGAGAGCGGGGCGCTTGAGGCGCGTGCCTAGAGCTGAACTTGGGCTAAATATTGAATATGTCCGAGCACTTGCTGAATCTCTTAGTCCATAGCTGCAAAACATGCTGACCACATCGTTGCCGTGAAAAACAATGTGTATCGCACTAGTATGACCCAAGGCCGCGACCACGCCTGCGCAGGCTGCAAGCGCCTGTGCGTATGAAGAACGGCGAATTGTGGATTACGGCTTCGACTTGGAAGAAACGATGTGTATGAGAGTGGCAACGATGCCGGAGATGGTGGAGGGTAGAGCAAGAAGCAAGAATATGGCGCAAAACACGCCCCGTACCGATTCAGAAAGCACCATTCCCGGTCACCGTCAACTTGCCCGTGGTCTTTGATAATCAAACAAAGTCATGAGGTCGTCGATTCAGCGCCTTGAAAATCATGCAATCGTTCATCCTGGCCATGCAGCCCTATTGGCAAGTGACGCACGGAGTTGCGCAAACCACACACCGATCAATGCTAGGATTGAACTCAGGTCTTCGGCTGTCCTCCCCTTCGGTGCGTGCAGTGCACGTGTTCGCGCCTCTGTAGCGACATCCATGACCTCCATTCCGGCCCACCAGTCAGATGCTCTTGAGGCCCTTCGGTCCTGCATTCTGGAGGCACAATTTGATCTCACGCGTCCCCAGGTATATTATCTCCTTTCTAGTCCTGGTCTTCGATATATCTGGACGATACTTCGCAGATCAGCGACATTCAACGGCTGATCCACCGCGTCACGGCCGCCCTCACCTGCGCTCGCAACGCACACACCACCGTCAACAAGCCGTCATCCGAACTGCTCCAGCCCATCTTCGCCTTCGTGCAGCCATCTTACGAGGACTGCGCCAGCGTGGCCTTCTTACAAATCTCTTGAATGGACGAGCGTCGCGCGCGTCTGCGCGCGATGGCGTTCCATCGCGCTATTACTTCCTACGCTATGGTCGACGATCGACCTGTGCCATCATGACGACCCCGAGGTCGGGGAGGCGCTCCTAGCGAGCTCTGGCGCTGCGCCTCTCACGATGTTCTTCTCAACTGAAAGTTTTTCCCATTTGCCTTGCGAGGCGCAGATCCTACAGGCCATCCTCGACCATCACATACATAGTTTGCACATTGCCGTGGATAAAGACGACGTCCTCCGAAACCTCTGCCGCGTCTCCACTGCGAGCTACCAGCCCTGCAGAATCTGACCATCTTCGTTCGCGTGTTTTCATTATCCAGCGGGCATTGCCCGAAAATATTTGGTGGTCGCGTGCCGCCTATTAGTAGGCTCATTCTGCGTGAATTTGACGTCTGGAAGCACGACACCTTTGCAGGCCTCACTCATCTGGCCATCTGTTGCCCTCTAATTCTGAAAGAACGTGCACAGCAACCTTTCTCGGATTTCCTCTCATCCTCACGTTAACTTCAGGTCATACTCATGGCATCCTGCGCGTTACCTTTTGAAGGCGTCGGCCGATTCATTCCCCTGCCCTTCCTTCACAAACCACAGCTTGAGGCCAACTTCGTAGGTGATTGGCCCCTGATTCCTGTGCTGGACATACCGGATACGTGCGACGCCTGGCTACTATTCCTGGTTCGGTCCACCATCCTAAAAAACTTCTCATATCCTCGCTGCCTCCCTTCACCCGCTTCCGACCGCTGCACCGTGCCATCCACGACCACACGTTCCGCGAACTACCACCAACTCCTGGTAGATACCGGCCGCGTTTCCATCGATGGCGTTCGCGACTTTACCTTCCTCATCGGACTCGCTGATCCTGATGCGTCCCTCACCTTCGACACCGTGGATGATTTCCCTAGGTCCATACCCGTTGCGAAAGAGATAGAATTCCTGTTGACCGTACGTATACCTCGGATCCACACGCTCCATATCCTGGTAAGCTCAAAGCACGACCCGTCGACCTTCATCCACGCCCTCGCCACGATCTCAGGTACGAACGCGGACGTGATGCTCTGTCCTGCTCTCGCAGACCTGAACATATCCGGTCATACACCCGAAGATCTCCTGAACGTCTGGACAGTCATCAGCCGACGTGCGCACGCGGGTGTCCCGCTCAAAGAGATCCACTTGCACCAGGACATATCCCGCTACGATGATAGGCTGCGGTTTCATGTTACGAAGAGAAGGAAACAAAGCATCTCACTAAGTTCAGTCGGTACCCCGATTGATATCCTCACGACGTACATCGCACCATGGCCGAAGGAAGCATCACTATCGTTGAATTCACAAGATAAGTATCGTTGAGTTTACAAGATAATACAAGTCGATTCAATGACAGGATCGTGCATTCAGTTCTCGACAAGTAGCTCGGGCCTACCGCCGGGAGGAGTCAGCCGTGCCGTCTGGCCCACATGTCCATCCTCGTTCTCCAGCTGATCGCGCACCTGAGCGTACGAGATCGCACTCGGCGCCGCCTCCTTCATCGATGTTGGCGGCAGCCCATCCAACACGTCCTCCACGAGCGTCTTCGCCTCGAGCGCGCTCCCGAACGCGAGCGACCAGCCCGCGCCCGCGTGCCCGTAGCTGTGCACGATCCGACTGTGGCCCTCCCTGCCCGGCACGCGGCGCAGCTCGCGCTCGACGCGCACATCCCCGATGCGCGCAGGACGCAAGCCCTGGGCAAGCGGGTACGACGGGTCGCGGTGGTCGGTGTCGAGGGGGGCGTAGAACTCCTTCGCGTCGCGCGTCATCTTCTTGACGTTCTCGTGCTCCTCGTCAACGAGTGCGGTCTGATTGGGCTCAGAGAAGCCGCCGACGTAGAGAATATTCTCGTTACGCGGGACGATGAAGATGAATCTATTGAAGTTGTCAGCGATCGAACAAAAATGGGTAGATTATGAACGTACTCCGATTTTTTGTCGGAGGGAATGTCGACGGCGCTGACGACGAGAGCCTTCTTGATTTTCTCGAATTCCTGGCCGTCGTTGAGAAGGCGCACAACAGCGCCGCGAAGCGGGTAGACGTTGCTGTCGTTCGCGAGAACGGAGGCGCCGATACCAGAGGCGTTGACGATCGCATCGGCGGAGTACCTCGCCAGCAGATCTCCTTCCACCTCCAGCAGATCCTTCGTCACCGTCTCGGTGACCAACTTCGCGCCCTTGGCCTCGACGAGCTTCTGGATGGTTACAAGGGCCTTGTCGGTGTCGACGAGAGGCGAGAGAATTTCGTAAGCGTCCAGCCACCTTTCCTTGTCCAGCCCCAGCTCGTGGATCACTTTTGTGTCGTGCCGGAACCCCGCGATGCCGCTACGCTCGATCTCGCGCATTTTGCGCAGCTGCTCGACGTCGTTCTTGACGTGCCTGTCGAAGATGAAGACCGTCTCGCGCATCTGGGCACTGTACTCGCGCCGAAGGACAGGGTCGGCGGCCATGTGCTTGTAGACGTGGTACGAGATCATGGCCCAGCGCTTCGAGATTTCGAGGGATGTCACGTCCGACGTATGCCCACACACGGCGGGTGGATATTCCCAGCTGGTGGGCCATCAGTGGCTTGGCCGAGTAGTAGTGCAGGAGAACGACGTACAGGGCACCGGCGATTTGGGACGTGAGACGCGGCGTATTGCCATCACGCGAGGCGAACTGCTGCGCGAGCACCGTGACCTTGAAGCCGCTGTCGAGCAGTGTCCAGGCGGTCGACAAGCCTATGATGCCACCACCGATGACGAGAACATGAGGTGCATTCTGCCCAGGAGCAAGGAGGGGCTTGCGCTCGAAGCTAAGGTGGAGGAGAGGCGCGTCGGAGGACACTGGGCGAGCGTCGATGAGGTACAAGCACAAAATCAGGATTTTGACTTACTCTTTGTGCTGTTATGGGTCTTCGAGCCGTTAAGCGTGGAAGAAGAGGAAGCAGGGGAAGATGCGAATTGGGATGTGGGACTTGGATTCGACTGAGCCACCTTTTATACCAAGATTTACTGAATTGGCAGCCCTTGAGGTCCAACAAATAGAGACCGAAGATGAGACCGGGGTGGCGTCTATGCACGCGGATATTGCCCGTGCATGGGGTACAATGGCGTAAGTCCGTTCTAGGTCAGTCCTGAGGCTGGGCAACTTGGGTACGCCAGAAAGCTCTAACCAGTCGGCCGTCTCGGCGGAATACCTTACTGAATGAACCTCTGATTGGCCCCATTGAAGAGAGCTGACGGCCCTTTACTCGGAGTACTAGCCACCTTGTGGGTCCCGCCGCGGCCTTTACTTTGCATGCCTTTAAAGATTGCGTGACTGAGGATAGACAGCCAGTTTCGAGCAGCGCATCTCCGGAGGTTACGTTTCTGCGAGAGACGGGGTGCCGCGACGGTAAGATCCAGCCGGCTCTCGAGTGTTGATGATCATTGTTCGGGACAAGGAATAGCTTTTGTATGCACGTATTTGGCCTTGACGGCGCTCCGTTCACCATTCCACTTACGATCACTTCAGTCTCCTGCGTCCTGACTGTTCTTATTCGCATTCGTTCCTTTCCGCATTCAGACAATGTACGAGCCCATACGAGGAGGAACGCGCGGTGGTCAGGCTGAATTCAAGTGGTCCGACGTCTCCGCTGACAAGGATAGGGAGGTGTGTAACCTGCCCTTGCCCTAGATCAATTGCGCTCATCCGCTCCCACAGCACTACCTCGGACACAGCATCAACGCCCCCACTGGCCGATGGCAGAAGAATAAGGACATACACTGGTACCAGCGCGAGAAGGAGCAGACAGAAGCGGACCGCCAGGCAGAAATCCGCCGAATCAAGGAGGCTGAGGCCGAGGCCCTTGCTATTGCACTGTGCGTCCTCCAGACCATCATCCCAGCCGCTTCTGTACCCCGGTCCCTCCTCCCCCGCCTGAAACGAGCTGACCATGCTTTTAGAGGTTTCGCACCAACCAAGTCTACGGACGCCACTGCGAAGTCCTCAGGAGCACCTGCTGCCTCCGGCACAAATGCTCTACCGATCGGGACAGGGTCCAATGGCGAGCCCACTGCAGATGCGGGCCCAGCAGCTGTTGCTGCCATGAACGACATGCAGCGCGCACTCGAGAAGGAGGAAAAACGCCGCCGGAAAGCCGAGCGCAAAGAGGCGAAGCGTGCTGCCAAAGAAGAGAAGAGAAGCGAACGACGTCGTCGGCGTCACGGCGACGATGAATACGAGCGCTCACCCAGTCGCAGCCACCACGGACGCCATGATGAGGACGAGGTGGATCGCAGGCCTGGTGACGATGGGCGTCGTCGGCACCCGCGTTCGCGCTCACCCCCACCTCGTCGTCGCTCAGCATCACCGCCACGGAGGAGAGATAGAACTCCACCACCGCGACGCGACGCATCGCCCGGAGGATACGACGAGAAAGATCGGGAGCGCGAACGCGAGCGGGACAGGCGACGATGGGAGCTGAATAATCGCAGCCGTTGAACGTCTAACACCTTCATCGCATCCCTTCCCGTCGTGATGTACACCCTTGCTCTAGGTATTCCTACCTTCAGGTTTGATATATCGATATCGCATACTCGCCCATTGCATATTATGGAAGACTACAATATCCCAGGCATGAAAGTATTGTCCGTGACAAGTCGTGAATACAAGAACGGAGGAGGGCGAACAAGGTCCGAAGCGACGATCCCGTACGCTGGATACGCCGCTTTGAAGCTAAGCGGCGTAGGTGATACTGTATCCTACAAAGCCTCGACAAGTCCATGCGTCTACAACATCGCTACAGCTGCAGCACCCGCGACCAAACCACCCGCCACCGTTGCAAACCACTCAGCCACATGAGGCGTAGCAGCAGCATTCGCCGCATCCGTACTCTGTGTGTATATCGCAGTGTACTCCGAGTATGCCATCTCGCTGCCGGTGAAGGTGGGGTCGGGCATGACTGTCTGCATCAGGCTGGGAGTGAAGACATCCTCGACCTCCTGGTACTCGCCGTCGATGAGCGTGGTGTAGGTGAAGGGGGTTGGATCGCCTGCATTAGCACCGGATGTATCTGCCGGCTGGCCGACAACAGGCTGAGTCGTAGTCTCCTCATCTTCCACGGGGGTAGTAGTTGTGGTCTCTTCATCTTCATCGTCGAGATCGGTAGTCGTAGTCGTGAGAGCGGTAGTGGTCAAGGTGCGACTGAATGTCGTGTGAGCGTCAGATATAGAGCTCGTATACCCAACTCACAGAGTTTGCGTTGTGGGAAGCCCATCTTCGTCGGTGGTGATTGCTTCTACGATGGACTCGCCGCCACTGTGAGTAGGAAGGTAGTGTGAGGTGTCATGCGGAGCAAAGGAGAAAAGATCCGTCAGCAAAGCGGCGCATTAGACAGTTAGCGAGTACACACATGACGACGGTCTGAGTCTGGGCGGCGACGTAGGACGCGAGGAGTAGGAGAGGGATGGCGAGACGGAGGACCATAGTGCGGATGGAGTGTGCGGAGGTGACCATTAGAACGGAGATGACGACCTGTTTGTGTCTGCTGATGTACGTGCAGATATCGCACTGCTCAAGCACAGGCGCAACTTGGGGAAACAGCGACCAAGGATCTAAACGCTGACAAGTGAGGGAAAGAACATGAGGCTCACGCAGCTGGCATGATGAAACAGCTTCCCACGGTTGCGGGAGATGCCGAGCGGTCGAATCGTCCCGAAAACCAAAGTTCAACTTCGACTTTTCCGTTCATGTCTATTCGCAGTCCTGAAGTGCAACACCCAACTCGCACTGTCTATGGAAGAAAAACGTTACTCTAATCAGGAACAGGAGCTATGGCGCTCACTACCGCTATTGTTCGGGATTCTCATCTTCTAGCCCCGTTGATCAGCGGCGCCGGTACTGCTACACCAGAGCGGGCGCTGAGCGGGTTCCACAACCGAGCTGGCGCCTGCCGCCGACCGGCTTCCCGGGCTCGATTACCCTCTTCTTTTCCACACGGGACCAGCAGGCGTATCCGGAATCAATGACCCGAGTAAGTACTGAGCCAGAGAGGCGGCGGTAGGCCTTCTGAAGGATCCTTCGGAACAGATACAATATATCAGACGTACAGGACAGGTGCTGTTCTGCAGCTGTTTTCGAGCCCGCAACGCTAGAATCTGCCGAGGACCGCCGCAGGTGTGGTCCACCGATGATGCAGTTGATGTGCAGTTTCATGTCTGATCAGCCGCTGTGGATTCGGTACATATGAGCGCGTGGTCAAATTCAGCAGAGACGGGTTGCTTCCTGCGCTGACGAGCATGGCATGTCTCTCCCCAGCCTCGTACTTGTTCTGGGCCGTTTCCTCTGTGTTGTTTGAGTGCTTCCTCGTTTATCATCTATGGTCCTTCGATCGCTTCAAGTGCCTCCGGTACGTCCTCATTCCCCTTCCCGTGCGCTCCCACTCATCATAGGCGCCTCAGATGGAGCAGCAGTAGCAGCGGTCAAGCAGGTGCCTTCAAGCGCTTCATGACCGTGCGCGGTCTCCTCGTCTTTCCCTGATCTGCACCTCACGCGCTCCTCAGTACTCCTATCTTATCAACATACCACTGCTCATCGTGTTCTCTGTCGGTTTTGTGGTCATCAAGTACCAGGAGGGCTATGTCGACTACCCGCTGTATGGCAGTACGTCGTGATTATCCATCTGCTCATCCCCCGCGTACTGAACAGGTGTCCATCTGTCATCAGTCATCCCGAAGCCATACCCTCTTTGGTCACAAGCGCACAAGGACGCAGTGCTCCCCCTCACGCTCATCTTCTCCTTCGTCTTCAGCTTCGAGATTGTCACCCACCTCGAGGGTACGTGGCTCTATCGTTGTTCCGCGTACCTCGCTAAACTTCGTTAACCCACCTCGGTCTTGGCTCGAATCGCATGGTCCCCCGTTATGCCGCGCCCTTCCCAACCGTTTTCCGACCACGGTTCTCTGTACCCAGAGCTATGCTTCTGGCTATACCTCGTCAACTCTGGCGCAAATCAGCGCGATTGGTTCAAGGTGCGTCGCGACATTTCTTCAGGCGCGCCGCCACAATCCCCTAACGACGCCCATCTCCGCTCCGATCGGCAATCATGCTCACGCGCGTTCCACAGTCTCCTCACTTCAAGTTTTGGGTTGGGGGCTCCGCTGTCGCGCTCGTATACATGCCGCTCGTATGCGCGCTGACAAGGCAGGACGTGCTAAAGGTACGGAAAATATCTATAAATGGGTGCAGCGTTTCGATCTTTGCCATCTCCCTTTTGACTCTGCCGTCGCGCTCGTCCGCTCTGTACACACGGTCTCCTGCTTACGCTCATGACTCTTGCAGAACGAAGCAGCCACATTTTTTGCCGGTGGCCTCGGAAGCCTGCTTGTGACCGCTGGTTTTATACCAGTATTGGCACGATTCCCTGCATTCCTCGATGCCCTGGTGCGTACGGCTACATTCTAGCCAGCGCAAACCATGCTCACTCTTTCTGCTGCACAGAAAGGCGATGAGGTCGACATGGCCACTATCACTCGTTTGACGAAATTCCATGAAATGCACGTAAGTACTTGTTCTATGCCTTCGCTTGCATTCCGCTCAATTACTCGTATGCTTCGTAAATCAGTGGATACGTATCATCACCCGCCTCCTCTGGGTCATTCCGATTCTTGCCCTTGGTGCAGATGGGCTTAAGGGAATTCCGTCCTTGCTGAAACACACCGGTGTCGTGGGTGCGTTTGCCGCCCCTCTATGCGCCCGACATCTTCTCACTGTGCATACCTGCTAGACCTGCTATCGACATGTTCAGCCTTTGGGTGCATGATCTCAAGCGGGATTACCCTAGTGGTAAGTCCATGGATCTTTGTTATCGTGCGCGCCTTGTCAAACAGAACCTATAGATCTTCTTCCCCCGTTCAATCGAGGGGGAACTGCGCGTAAAAGATGCAGCTCGCGCGCGGCGCGCCAAGGTCAGTATGCGTTGGTTATACCTAGCGAAGCATGCTCATTGACCGCACACTCGTCAGACCCGTGGCTCCATGCTCAGCGACCGCAAACATCTCCTTCCAGATACGAAACAAATTATCAAGGATGCCAAGCGTGCCCTGGGTTCTGCCTCGCCAAAGCGTGGCGCCTCCTTCGATATGGAGGTCCGCAAAGGTGTTCTCGCCGAGGAGCTTCCCTCGCTCCCCGTCTCGCGTGCTTTCGCCGTTGATGCACCAGGAAGTGGAACGCCTCGTGGCTGGTCAGATACGCCACCTCCACCGGCATGGTCCGCTACTGCATCCCCAGCGCCCTCGCCTTTGCCATCCGCACCGTATTGGGGCAGCGCATCACCAGCGTCGGGCCTGTCGCCCATACCCCCATCCCCGTCACCATCGGGTGGTTCACACTTTGCGCTTGGAGACCCACCTATCACGGTGGTCGTCCCCTCTTCACCAGCACCCAATTCTCCATTGACGCCCTTGCGGCGACAATCCGTCCGTGAGGAGATGGGTGAGTGTTGGCCATTTGTAGCCGTTTATCTGTCACTCATCATCTTTCACAGGCGGCGCCGGCGTCATGCGCATAGGCAGCTTCTCTTCCGGGTCCACAGCGGTGTCGAGTTCGCATTTGACCGTCAGTGCCCTGACCGAGCGTAATCTCAACGATCACAATCGCGCCCTCGTCAACCCCGCAGTGCATAAATTTACCAGTCCAATTGGTGAGCCTGCTTTCCTACGTACTTTGGCCGCGCATCTAACGTCTTGTAGATGTCCTGTCCTATCCGAGGCCAGGCCAGTCGAACGCCTCCCGACTTACTTTTACGCGACGATGAGGATGCAGTATGCAGCGGGCTTGTGAGATTCACTTGGTCCTGTGAGATCTACTGTGGCGTGTATGATCTACTGGAATGTACATACCTTAAATCCCCTTACTATTTACCAAGGTATAGTCGCAGCTACGTTTGTATGTGCGGCGTCCTATCCTTAGCACTACCATCTCTCGTACATACTGCTTATTTATTGACTGCTAACGGAGCCGCGTACAGCAGGCGTAGCATTTACACTGTGCTTCCTGGAACATCGTCATGTCTGCCTGCAACGTTAGTTTCCCCATGAACACCTTGCGCGGGCCCTTCACTACGAACACCGCGGCATGAATACGAAGCAACAATGGGAAGACGAACTTGCTTGTTCAAAGTTAAAGATATCTCGCGCTCTTCAAGATATGTACACTTCTATATTGCTGCTACTATAAGTGGTATCCTACGCGCCGGACTTCCAGTACGCGATGTCGCCGTCAACCATCTCATACGGCTTGCCCTGTTGACGCAATTTGCCCGCCGCCTTGACGGCCGCCTCACTACCATGCTCGCGAAGGTCCTCGTACGACATGATCTCACCGCACACGAACTTGTTCTCGAAGTCGGAGTGGATGACACCGGCAGCCTGCGGCGCCTTCGTGCCTTCGCGGATGGTCCAGGCGCGCACCTCCTGAGGACCGCACGTAAAGTAGCGGATGAGCTGAACGATGGTCAGACCAAAGCACAGACAGATAGCACGCATGACTGACCCTCAAGCTACTGTAACCGGCCTTCGTGATCTTGCCCAGAGCGCTCTCGCAGCCGGCGTCCTTCTGCGCCTGCTCGCGCTCCTCTTCAGGCAGCAAACTCAACCGCTCCTCGAACGCGACCGAGAAGGGGATGATGGGGTCCCCAGGGTTGTGCTCATCGACCCAGGCCTTGATCTTCGGTAGCCATTTGTTCTTCTTCCGGGCGTAGTCCTTCTCGGACAGGTTGACGAGGTAAGTAACCGGCTTCGCTGTCAGCAACTGCAAGCCGTTCACGACATCGATCTGAGAACGCATGAGAATGACTCTCAAGATGGTTATACATGGAAAGAATCAGTTGAAACAATTGCTCTCATGCGACATAGTGGGGCGTTACTCCCGTCTCGATGAGCTGAGTTTGTGGCGCATTCACGCCCTCATCACGCGAAGAGATCAAAGAGGTGACACACACCTCCTTGTTATTCCAGTCAACCTTGCGCACGTCCTTGTTGTCGACGGTGAGCGTCTTCAAGATCTTCTCGACGGTTGCCTACAATAGAGGATGAGCCAAGTCCGGCGTATGTCGCCAACAATTGACTTACAACTTCCTCCTTCCGAGCTTTGTCGGCCAAGCTCGAGTTGCCCAGGGAGCGCGTAGTCTTCTTCAAGCCATCGAGGTGCTTCTCTACCCACTCGATGTCCTTCAGCCTCAACTCCGTCGAGATGATGTCCATGTCGCGTAGCGGGTCGACATCACCCTCGACGTGGGTAACCTCGGCATCGTCGAAGGCGCGCACGACTTGGAAGATACCATCGACCGCACGTACGTGCGACAGAAAGCTGTTGCCGAGACCCGCACCGGTGGATGCACCCTACGTAGCAACATGAGCTGCAAGCAGAGGCGTCGACAACGATTACACGTACCGCTGTCAAGCCGGCAATGTCTAGGCACGTGAGGAATGCGGGAACCTTGTTCTGAGGCTTGTACAGCTCGCAGAGCCAGTCGAAGCGCTCATCGGGTACGGGGATACGAGCTTCCTGGAACCAGTCAGGCTGGCGACGAAGGAGATATCATGGGAACTAACTTCAGGGTTGATCGTCGCGTAGGGGAAGTTGGCAGCCTTGCCCAAGTCTTGAGAACGACTTCAGTCTCGAGCTGCAAAGCTACTGGACTGCGCATACCTGACGGTGATGACCGGTTAGCGCGCGATCTGCGCGATCAAGACACTATCCCACCTGTGTTGGTCAAGGCGTTGAAGAAGGTCGACTTCCCGACGTTGGGGAGACCTGGATCGGCACTGAGTGAATGCCTGCGTCGGAAGACAGAGGCGACGGACCCACGATGCCAACCTTGAGGTTGTTGCTGGGGCGTCCAAGGAGGACCTTCTTCTCCGGGGCTTCCTTCTTCTTGGGGGGCATCTTTTTCTTCGCGTACGCCGCGGTGGTGGTGGAGAAGAAACGAGAGGTGTTGACGGAAAAGAGTGCACCGATTTGGCGCCTACAGCCAAAAAATCGATCAATCTGGATCATGTGGCCTGGATGAGAAAAGGAAAGTGGAGGGACCCGGAAAATTTCGCCGGAAATTGGGGTTTTATACGGCCGACCCGGCCCGAGCCTGGACCCACAACTCGCGAGCCCTCACACGTTTCTCTCTTGCGCCTTCAACTCGTTTGGCCCACAGAGGAAACGCTGTTTCTCCCTAATCAAACAAAAGAGTGGAATGGAGTGTCTATGATATCAATTGTGACCACCACCCTCCACCACCACGTCTTCGCAGACTAAGACGTTGCAGCTTTGGCCTTCAGCACACCAATCCAAGCCCGTCCGCCGCATCAGAGACTGGCCGTCATGGTATATGACTCTGGCATCGAGTCCGAGGCCGTGACAGGGAGTATAGTCGTTTCGGCCGTCTCAGAGTTCGCACTCGAGGAGGACATGGTCCTCGCGGGCACCGGCGCAGAGCCCGACCCCGTGGCTACATGGACGATGAGTAGTGCACATTGTAGCGATATCCTTGTGCGTACCGAAGGCCAGCGCCATGTTGAGCATAGCGTCTGCAGCTGCGCCGTCAAGATTGATGATCGGGTCATGCCGGCCATTCTGGCGAAGAGTGCACACCTGATCCTCAGTGGTCAGCGTCTCATCGACAAAGCGATCTCGTTCTACGTACTCTGCGACTGGTGGCATCCAGACCCTGCATATTTCCACAGTTCATCTGCTTCGCGGTCTGGCAGATCTGTACACGGGAGTCAGCGATAATTAAGCGCGAGATTGTTCTCATACCTGCATGCGCTGCTCGGGGCTGAACCGACTCCTCACAACATCCTGCGTAGCCATCGGGAAGCTGGCGGGATCGCTGGGTAGGTCTTCGCCAGGGCAGAAATGTCCGTCAACCATCATTGGTACGGGTCGAAGTACACCGTCCGTGCTGTCAGTATTGATCAGTGCGAATAAGACGCTCAGAGGTCAAGCGCGCACCAGATATAAGTCCTATCAACGTCGTTGAGACGTGGACCCTCGACAACGTTGTTGGCGCCACCAGCGACTGTGAACAGCCATGCCTAACATCAGCGGAGTGAACATGAAGCACAACCGTGACGCACATTTGGTTGTGCAAGCTGGCGCCGCCAGTGCAGTAGAGACGCTGATCGCTCCAACGGAGCAGAGGAGGACGGCCCTAAGAGTGAACATCTGCATTGCCACATCCATCAGCGTGCGGACAGAGATCGCTGAAGGCTCGCTCACCTTAGAACAAAGGAGTGGGTTGCCGAGCAGGCGACTAGATAGCTGGAGAACGATGTTCGTCATTCAAGTCGCTGAACGTCATAACCCATCGAGAACGATAACTCACACTGTATAGTAGTAGATGGGCAAGAAGCGGAAACGGTGCTCGTCGACGCGTCAACGGTATATATCCTCTGGTCGGGCTCCTACCTGTCAAGCGCCAACTTGAGGCCGGACAGCATGTCAAAGTCAGTTTGGCTCTCATCAAAGTCACGCCGCTTGGGCCTGTTGAACTTCAGCTTGGTCAGGTGCTCAGCAGGTGACCGTGATAAGGTGGCGAACGCGACTTCAGACGTATACCTGGTAGCACAATGAAGCCCAGCTACGCGTGGAGGCGCTAGAGACATGGTAACAGTGATGGCGCACCTTAAGGCGTCGGATCAAGATTGCAGAAAGCCTTACCTTCAACGTCGTATATCCCCAATGCGTGGACCGGTCGGAATGGGTATGAGGAACACAAATGGGACATTTATAAGGGCGGATAAGCCATACATTCTTACATTTGGAGTCGAATTGGTGGCGGGCAGAGCAGATGAGGATGTTTTCAAACATCCAATTCTGCGGCTACAGCCGCCGCCTCTTCTTCTATGATGGCAAACGCACGTCGGACATGCTCTTCCTGGGCAAGCATTAGAAAGTGTGCATGAGAGAAGACAGATGCGCTTACTTCTGTCCGTGCAGCACCCACCGCGAGGCGCACACAATGCACACCATTCAGAGACGTCTGTGACAGGAAGAGTTCACCGCGGCGGCGGTCCAGGCGATCCCATAAAGCTTGTGTTAGGGCATTAGGCGTCTTCGACTCCGTAAGTTCGGCCGCCGCATGGACGACAGCCTCGTCGGCAGCCTTTGAGACTGCAGGCTGTTCTATCTTGACCTGATCCGCCTCCTTTTGCCACGCAGCGGGGACCATGCGGAACACAGTCAAGCCAAGCGAAGGCGGCGCGGCCAGCACCAGTCGTTCGGACTGCTTGATGAGCGACACAAAAACCTCGTTCAAGGCGATGCCCTGAGAAGAATTCAAGAAGGAGTTCGACTGGAGACTGAACGAGACCGACCTTTCTGATATGCGCTTGAAACCCTTCCACACCGTACGACCGGAGGACGAACCAGAGCTTGAGTGAACGGAAGCGACGACCGAGTGCAAGATGCCAATTGCGGAAGTCAGTGACCGTACCTGAAATCATGGCATGAGCAAAGGAGAAGCATATGCCGCTTCGAAGACAAACCAGCTTCTGCCTCCTTCGTCCGTAGATACAGTGGCGTGACGTCAAGCGCTTGGGTCAATGTCAACCGATCCCGGACCCAAAGAGTACTGCAGTCGAAGTTCACCAGGCCCCACTGCATAAAGCATGAACGTGCGATCGTTGGCCAAGATATTATGCACTTACTTTGTGAAAGTTGATGCAGAGGGAGTTGGCGGCGGAATTGATGTCGGCGAGGTACAACTCCTCGCGCTTCTCGGGAAGAGACAGCGCCACTCCGGCCCAAGCAGCATCGACGTGCAGCCATATATCGGGATGACCGCTGACTACGAGAGCGTAAGCATTAGTAATGGATAGAAACCTAAAAGGATCTACTCACCCACTTCGCGTATTTCGGCGATATTATCAATAGCACCGGACGATGTGGTGCCAATGGTGGCGACTGTAAACAAAGGTAAGCGCTAGAATTTAACTCCCAGCAAGTCAGCACACTCAAGAAAAATGGGCGATGCCCCTTCGCCTGTTCATCTGCGATCGCTTGGGCGAGTCCTTCGCCTCTGAGCCCGTATGCGTCCTTTGCCTCCACATCGATAGTGCGTACAGCGAGACCAAGGACGCGCCCGGCCTTTAGCGCGAGCGAGTGCGTCTGGGTGGTGCATAGCATGACCAGATCCTCGTGGCGTGCCTGAGGATGCGAGTCCATGTATGTATTCCTAGCCGCCACGGCGGCGATGAGAGCTGACTCTGAGGCCGTAGTCTTGAATGTCATGAGCATTGCATGACAGACTGCAGATATCGAGATGCTACATACCTGCAAGCAACCACCGCCAGAGGTGCTGCTGTTCAGGAAGGCCTTATCGAGGCCGAAGAGCTGTGCAGCCCAGTCCATGACAATAACTTCGAGCTCGGTACATGCTGGACTGCAGATCCACTGAAAGTAAGTCAACGGTCATCTTCGTGCGCTTCGAATGGAAGTGCGAACATTGAACCCGGGGTTGGACACAGCAGACGAATAGAGATCCGCAAGGATGCCCTCGAAGGTGCATGCCGTCGGGAAGTACGCGAAGAACGAAGGGTGCGACCAATGGGTGATTCCCGGCAGTATACATCTCTTGTAATCAGCAGCGATATTCTCAAAAGGTTCTCCCTCTTGTGGCGGAGAGCCTGGAATAAGCTTGGCTAGGTAGCCAGGTTCGACGGCTGCGACCACCGGCTGCTCCTGCAGCGAATAAAAGTGGTCGCAGATCTGATCGATGGCTGCGTAGCCGGCCTTTCTGAACCTATGATAGACGAAGATCAGTCGAGCATCAACTCGGGCGTGATGAGGGACACATACTCCTCGATGTCCAAAACCATAACGGGGTCGCTGAAGAGAAGACAGAGACCCTTCCCCTATATATTGTTCCTACGCCCGGTCACGCCGATTGGGAGCGGAGTTTGCTACGAATTGCGACGCCCGGGCCCGCGCACGACCCTCAAGGTCTATCTTCTCCGCAAGCCCGAAACCCGTCCTTACCGCGGCTGCGAATACCTGCATGGCCAACTGAATGCCGAGCACTCAAGCGCCCGTGGCTACTGCGCGGCGTCTGGGACATCGAATTGAAGAAGGGGAGCGATCACATGATCAGAGGATGGCTTTCATGACGAATGGCGCCGGCGCGCCCGCGAAAACACCGCTCGGGCTCACATCGCTTCAGCTGCGACATCAGTGCCCATGTCTCAAGGTAGGTGCCCGGACGTCAAGAGCACCAATGGCATCCTTCACAGGTAGACGAAGGCAATGTCGATGTCATGACGTTAATAAATTATGCTCATCCGTATAAGAAGGTAAGTTACACGCGTCCAGTAAACCGGTAGGGCCACTGCATGGCGAATATCATAAGCGTCGATAAGTACGTAGGTAATGCAACAATGTCCTGACCTAACCGTAGATTGTACAGAAGTCGTCGAGCTCGCTTGCGCCATGAATTCAGCGCACTAGCGATAGCCCGTATAGCTTTCGTAACTTGGTGGTGTGTTCTGTTGCCCACCTACTAGGCTCGCGCGTACGGCCGCGTAGGGATCAGCATACTGCATCGTACGACTGACCCGCGGGCCGACGTCAGGCTCCGGTAGCACAGGTGGACCACTTGGGCTATATCCTGGCGTGCCAGCCGGCGACGCACCGAAGCCCGTGGGGGCAGGGTCGCTGAACGCGCCATATGCATCCATGCTAGGGCGCGCCGCCGCGGGGGCCGGGGCGAAGCTGGCAGCTGGCTGGTAGCGATTGTTGTCGGAGAACGGCGAAGTGGGCGAACTCGAATTGTCGTAACGAGTGGGAGCAGTCGCCATAGACGTGCGCACAGGCGGGATCTGATGGTAGGAGCTCTCTTCGTCGCGATCGGGCTGTCCGTCGAACTCGTCTTCCTCGTCGACATCGGGTCGCTGGAAGGGAGGATCTCGCGGCCCGGTATGTAGCTTGCCTGAGCGCCAGTAAAGTATCAATAGGATTAAGGATGCAAGCCATGACGCTGAGCAAGGCATCAGCAGGGCTCTGGATTGCTTGTGGACGTACATACCGAAGGCTAGCCAAAAGAAGATGGCAGCTGCCTTCTTTGTGTTGCACCACCCAGGAAGGCCGTCTTTGAAATCATCTCCCTTGTCGGCGTTGGGGTCGTTGTCGGCATTCTTGCAACCCGCTTCCGTCCAGGCCGATATCGTAACGATGAACCTGCATGAATTGAGCGCGATCACAGCTTGCGTGACACGTGACACGTACGCGATCAACAGACTGAACGCGTTGCCAACGCCAGTGAGGATGAAGCCAACGCGAGCCTCCTTCAGGGCGCGCGCGAGTCTGGTCATCTTGTCGTACTTCTCGTATATTACAGGGACAAGGAGCATGAAGAGGGACAGAAAGATGCCGGCGATGGAGACGAACAACGCGAACCCGCTGAGACCAGCTGCGGGACTTGTCAGACGCGTCCTAAACAGAAGGAACAAGCCACGCACATGGCCCAACTTTCCACTTCGCTTGAAATGCAGCAACACTGGCGAAGCAAGCCATGGCGAGGAAGTTGAAGAAGATTTGAGAGGCATGGAACACAATGGTGGGTTTGGAGACGATCATCTACACAAACATTTGCGTTAGCAAACTGTCTTGGAAGCTCTCATCACGGACCCATAATGTGAAGACCCAGATAAGGGGGACGAGAAGCAGGAGGGCGAGCTGGCCTGCACTAGCACTGTGCTCCGCCATGCAAGAGGGAGAGCAACATATGATTACGTAACAGATGAACTGATGACGGTATGGCTGCGCAGCGGACGGGGAAGGACGGTTCTGCTTGTGTCCAGCGGTCGAAGAGGGGGATGGGAGGAGGGACTAAAGGTGCAATCAAGAGGGGAGCTCACGTTGTCTTCGACTGCCATCATCCCATGCCCACTGCTTATTCCGCCGGATAATCCAGACGACTTGGGACCCTTCGACGGCACCACCTTTGCCAGCCCATCCTTCACTTTCTCCAGAAAATCCATCCTTCCAAGGTCGTGAACGCGTCGTTCGGTGCTGGTGGTACGCTAGCCGAGGAGCGGTGGTATTGAGGCGGTCGTTATGGATGTACGCGTTATCGTGCAAGAAGTGCAGAGGCAAGGCGAAGGGACAAAAGGCAGGTGCTGAGCCTCCGTGGCGATGGTTGGTGACAGTCTGTGCAAGAGCTGTGCTGCGACCGAGGTTATGCACTGCAAATGCCGAAGACGATCAAGACGACGAACGCTCGCAGCAAACTCGCAGGCACCGCTATGATGTTATCGCCATGACGAGCTTGGCCCCGCACGTGTTCTCGGGAGCCGCCGAAGCTGAACTGAACGAGTTCGAGGACCGAGTGATGCATTCTGTCAGAGCGACTGTAGCACATTTGAGCCGTCTACTAGCCGAATAGGTCGGAATATACGGTCTACTCTCGAGTATTGGTATCGTAAAATCCACATGTTTGCAAGTAGTCCAAGGCAGTCCATCTTCCAGTCCGTAAATCAAGACACGTAATTACTGCGGCACCTTTTCGGTTTCTGGCGTCTGCATCTCCATGAAAGACAGCGGCACATAGTCGCCGGATAACGCGAGTCGATACGGGGACGCTGAGCGTGCGCGTCGTGTGATGAGGCTCGTTTGCGCGGGCCGGACGATCGCTGTGTGTTGGCGGTGGCGAAGACTTTCCTGGGCAAGAACACCCTCCTCACGATCCCCGCGGTCCCCTGAAAGCAACTGACGATCGCGCCGTCTGAGACGATTGCGCGGCACGCTCTTCGAGCGCTTCCGCACCAACTGCACGCGGCCGACAGCGTTGAACGACGACTCGGTCGACGTAGATGGCTGTCGCGTGATCTTCAGTCCATCCATCTTGAGGTCGAGCTGGGTGACTGCTCCCTCGGCCTGTGGTGGCGGTCTAGGTGACGACGGAGTTTCAGGTGTCTCAGCGCTGAGCAGAAGATACGGCTCCTCCGAGCTTGCGGCTGATGGCGTCGCTATCGGGACAAGGATGTCGGACGCGCGCGAGCGATCGCCTTCCAGGACAGCCAATGCATCGGACCGTTTCCGCTCTCGTGTAGAGGGGGATGCAGCGCGCGACGCGGACGTCCGCCCAAACTTTGGCGTACTGAGGGTATCATGGGAGGGATGGACAGAGGGCGCAGAGCAATCCCAGGAGATTAGGGTTGATTGTCCCGAAACATCATGTGGTGAGACTCGCGTAGAAGTCCCGATCTGCGATGCGCTTCATCAGAGTAAAAGGGTCAGCCCATGGTATTATGAACAAGCATGCTGCACGTACGTCTCCGAGCCTTGCCGCGTTGATATGTCAGAGGAACCTAGAGCGACATCCGACGGCGAGCTTGCTGTATGTACCGTTCCAAAGTAGCCTGTGGCGTCGGAGAGGGGAGGCGTGCCGACTAGTGAGGCAGGCGTTGTCGGGGCGCCATGAATGAGAAGGCCGGATGTAAAGAAAGGCGAATAGGGCGACGTGAAAGGCATGCGCAGAGTGTTGAGTGTGTCAAACTTGACGAGGGGGACGCTGCTAAGCAAGAGGTTGGCAGATTGACGACGCCCCACGATATATGAGCCGTCAGATTTGCCAATAAGCGCGGGTAGCGATCAAGATATGCTGACATTGTATCGTCGATGATGCGCTGCAAGGAACATGCGACATGACTTTCCATGACAAGGATGGGAGAATTGGAACGTCTTTCCCGCCAGAAACTGGGATGATTTGTCCTACCGACGCCCTGCGCAGTTTGCGCCACTTCCTCGAGTTAAGCTGGGGAGCGTCGGGGTCCTCTCTCCGGTACACTGGGCCGACCAAGTATATGTGAGAGGTTCCTAGCCTGGCGCGCTCACCAGAGTGCTGTCCACGAGGTCGGTACTGCGTTTATACGACATCATCGTCCGAGCGGTCGCCTAAGACGGAGCAACAAGGCGCGCGGTCCAAGAAAGAACGTGTAGTATGGAAAACTGACAGGAACTGGGAACATTCTGCGAAATACCGGAGAATGCGCGGAATACGTGGGAATATGACATTGGAGTGAAGGCAGCTTCAACGTTGGAAGCCTGAAGTTGGACGTTCATGTCCGTGGTATGACAGTCGAAATCAGGTTCTTCCGAGTCTTCACCAGAGCCGATTAGGGATGTGGGTAGAAAATGGGTACTCGGAACTCCATACCAAGGAAGGGAGAGTTCAGCGGCAAGTTGAGTGCCTGTGCAGGATGTGGAGAAGCTTAACCAAAGCCGGTGATAGCCGAAGGGAATGATCGTGATGGGATACGTCACCGTGACACCGTGACTTTTGTCCGAGGCCCATTGGCCCATTTGGAAGAAAAATGGTTGAACACGCGCGCGCGTGCCCGAGCAACCGCACGTTCGGAAGGACGAAATAGATACCTTGTACGTTTCCGAACAGCATGACATGAGGCTGGCAGAAAGGTACAGCAAGGTACGTCGCGACATTGCGGCGGGCCACCCGAGCCTAGAAAGCATTGTATAGTGCACGCAGCAATTCTATGGAAAGCAGTCTATTCAGCAGTCGCCGCGACAACCGCGCCGCGTGTTTCGAGGTAGCCAGAGCTTCTTGCCTGTGCGGTGCGCCATCGCGTTGTCCCGGTCTTAGTCCCTTGACGAGGCCGACGTGAAAGAGACTGCGGGATAAGTTCCCGGTTGCCGTTGATGTAGCGGACGTTGCCACGACGTCGGTTCACTTCGAACCCCGTGTCTGTGATGCGCGTAGATCAGGTGTAGATCTCCGAGGGCAGCGACGCACGGCGTGAGCGCCTACCAAGCAGGCACGTAGACCTCGTCGCGCTCCGAGACGCTGACTCGGCCTCGTGCGTTGCCTTGCCGCAAATCCAGAGCCATGGTGCAGGAACTGGAGGAAATTGATGGTCGACTGCTCGACGAGCGACCATCGGGTGTTTCTTGCGTTGGGCGATGTGACGCCACGCACGCACGCTGAACGTGAGGCAGTGAACCGAGCTCCGTTTCCGCGCAGCAACTCCAGGAGGGCCGTTGCTATTCCTAGCGCGCAGCTATTACTTCGCGAATGAACAGGCGATAGGGCTACGAGGCCTTGAGGGAGGCAATTTGCAGCCACATTCGCCATACGTGCCCGCGAATGTCAAGTCTGGCTCTGCGAAGGGTGTGAGCTACCGGGTCAAATTGCGACGGAATCTTCCACGGAATCAGCCATACGAAGGAACGTCACACTGGCTCGGAGCGGTATGTTGCATGGTGGAGAGGCTACGCCGACAACGAAATCACGCTCGAGTTCGGAGCCTTTTCAGCGTTGCTAAACCGCCTCGGTATGGTCGACTTCGGATCTTCTGCGGTCGTTGCTGGGGCAGTCGGTCGCTGGTCGGCTGAGATCTGGTCAAAGAACCAACCGATGATCATCTTAGCCGGCTATACGTCCTTTTGGTGAAAGAACTTCACAGCGCTTTTTATATAAAAGGCCACTTACCGCTCGCAGCCCCTACCCTCCCGACGGCCGCGAGTGCGCGCTCGAGATCCCCCCTTTCCGCCGTATACCACATCGAGGTGCTACTGTTCGCATGGGCCTTGAACTTCTCACTGACTTCGTGGATTGCAGGCGACGACATGAGCGACGTGAACTTCGTAAACCCCAGTTTGCGCATCGCAGCAGCGTGCCAAAGCTGTCGACGTAAGTCGTCTGTTGCCAACAAAACGCGACAGAACTAACCTTTGCTCGGCAGAACGCAAGGTCAAGTGTGGCGGACAGCGTCCGCAATGTGACCGCTGCCGTGAGCGCGGTCTCCAATGTAGCTACGACAAGCCCAAGAAACATGCGCCAAGCGGTTCACAAGGCGGTCAGGACTCCAAAAAGTACGCAATATTTCTGGTGCTCGACCGACCTTGATTGACATGCCACCTCGTAGGTTTTGGGACGTCGTCCTATAGGCGCACTGATGACAGGTCTCGGCGTGTAGGCCACGCCACCGCCAGGTCCTGAGGCGCCTGTTGGACGATGAAGGCAGCAACCACTTAGACGAGCGGCCAGCAGTTTCCTGTCGCATTGTATCGACCGGCGATCCATGCACGACGCGTTCCGGACTCAGACGATGTATCCTTATTGTTGTTTCCCTTGCACTCTGTACGCTTTGTATACACTAGGATAATCGTTAATTGCTATAGCTAATGCGCAGACAGCTCAGTGTGGACGCTACGTACGCGAGCCCGCTGTCGATACCATCACGGCAGCCACACGTTCAGAGACAAGCATAATACGCTCGGCTAGCCCATCAGCTGAGATACATCGTCTGGCGGATACTTGGTCTGCGAAAACGTCAAGAGCCTGAGGGAAGATGAGTACGACCGCAATGTATCAACCGGGTAGACCTAGCGCACCTCTTGAGACTTTGGATGTACTTTCGGCTGACTTCATCGTTCAAGACGTGCGCCACCTGATCTGAAGAGATCTTCTCTCGAGCGGAACGTTCATGAATACTGCCAGGTTGTCAGTTTTCACGAATCGCATAACGATAGACGGCGCACATACCCAACCATGGTGACACCTATAGGCCAAGGGGCGTTACCGATAGATAGGCGCAAATATGAATCGTTGGCCTTCTGATACTGCCTCGTTTGCATGAAGTGTACAATTTCGGCAATTCGTGCTAGCACGTCTGGTGGCAGGTTCTGGTGTCATGCGTCAGCGAACCATGTAGTCCCAATACAGGAAGACATACTCTCGAGCGCAGCTGACGAAAAAGGGGCTTCAGGTACTCCGCAGATTGCACCTGTGTGGCCGCGGCGAGCTTCCCTTGCGTTGTGCGCTTCACGTCCTCTAGGGGCCAATTGAGCTAACGGTCAAGCGAGGAAGAGCGCAAACTCACCTGGTCGGTCGTCCATAGCTTCCTCCCATTCCTTCAGCGTTCGCTTGAGAGCATAGTAGATGAGCGGATACAGTTTGTCGGGATCGGTTTTAATGAGATTCAAGTCCAGGACACCGACAGCATTCGCGGCAGACTCGTCCTTCTTCTTTCCCTTCTCGCGCGCGCCCTTGCTCTGTCGCTCTCGCTCGACCTTCTCCACGTCTTCTAAGGCTTTGCGGAAGTCATTCTGCCCGCCTTGTCGATCATGGCCGCGCTCCTCGATGAGTTCTAGGGCGCGTAGACGCAAGCGCCTGTCCCGATCGGTCTCGCCAAATAAACGGATCGGTTGGCCCTTCTGACGCAGCCGACGGATGGTCTCTTCAATGGAGATGTTGAACGCCTCGCCGGTGGCTGCAGGTACGGAGCCTGCGCGCTCCCCATTCGAGGGTGTGCCCGGGTTGACGCTCGACGAACGAGAGGGCGATCGGGTCTGGGTTCACGTCAATACGATGTCATTGAACTCGAATACACTACGTACAGTTTCTTTGGACTTAGTAGCTGCCCTAGCCCTCTCTTCAGCAGCCTGTTTCTCCTTCTCCTTTGCCTCCCTCTCTGCGGCCTTCTTCGCCGCTTCCTCCTGCTCACGCAACCGCTCGAGGTCCCCCCGGCGCATGTACTTTGAGGGGCGCCCATCCACCTCGATGGCCTTCCGTTTTGTTGCGATTTCAGCCTTGAGAGCGTCCATGACGGCGAGAGTATGACACGAGTGGCAAGGCGATTTTTTTCGGGCTAAAAACATGCTTAAAAAGATGCTGAAAAAGGCGCTCAAAAAGACGTTGTTTTTGCGCCGAAAAAGTGCGTGTTTTCAGGGCCAAAAAGGTGTCGAAAAAGACTGTCTTTTGAAGCACCTTTTTGCCGCTGAAAAGGCGCCTCAAAAGTGCGTCTTTTTGCCATCAAAAAGACTCACTTTTTGTGTCCCTTTTTGGCACAAAAAATACAATTGTTCTACAAGTAAAAAGGGGCTCTGGCCAAAAAGACGGTCTTTTGACAGCTGAAAAGGTGTATATCGTATTTTTGGGCGTAAAAAGATGGTGTTTTCCGCATGAAAAAGTGAGACAAAAAGATTCTCCGTTTGGTGGCAAAAAGACGCACTTTTGAGGCGTCTTTTCAGTGGCAAAAAGATGCTTCAAAAGAGAGTCTTTTTCGACACCTTTTTGGCCCTGAAAATACGCACTTTTTCGGCGCAAAAACAACGTCTTTTTGAGCGCCTTTTTCAGCATCTTTTTAAGCATGTTTTTAGCCCGAAAAAAATCGCCTTGCCACTCGTGTGATGTGTAGAGTCCGAGCCTGGAACGAGTTCGAAAGATGGGAACAAGACGCGCGCCGCCAAGCCGGCCCGAAGACCAGGCCCAGAACGGTATGTCGCTTACATAAGCTCCGACCTATATTCTCGCTTCACCCTGCCTTCTCCGAACGCTGAACCTGCGCCGAACTAATTGACAACCATGGCCGAAGCTGGCGAGAAGTACGTTCCCGCCGTCTTCCTGGGCGAGCTCAGTGGCTTATCATTTGCTAGGAAATACGTCCTCCAGACCGTACCCTTCGATGGTGAGCAAGCGGGAACGCCAATCATATATCCTGCATTTCGCTGAAATGCATCCTCTCCTTCAGCGCGGTTCCCCAATCAGAACCAGACCATGAACTGGTGCGTGTGCAGACTGTGGGGCGTATCCACATGCTCACGACGCGTCTAGCTTCCAAAACTACTGCGACTACTTCAAGTGCATCAAGGCCAAGGGTGACGATTACGCCCCGTGCAAGCAGTTCAAGCGCACCTACCGCACACTCTGCCCCAGTACGTGATCACTCCTTCATACATGTGTCTCGCTGAACTTGCGGTTTTCTCCAGACGAATGGGTCAGTCCTCCCTACCATAGCCTCCCTTACCACCTGTTTACAATCCCTTCTAGGTGGCGAAGTGGGACGAGCAGCGGGAAGCCGGTACTTTCCCGGGCAACCTTGAGCCCTGAGTGGCTAATCGTTGGGCGTACACCAAGCGTCAGCAACAATACTACATTCTTTGCAAGCTCGATCGCTTCTGCTTGATTCATGAGTTCACATTGCCCCCACATCTGTCGTGGTGCTTTCTGCTCTGCCTCGCGGATCCGTCCCGCATGCGTCGTGCCGTCAGAACATCGCATTATAAACTGCGTGGACAACAAAGAAGATACTTGGTGCTACCAACGCCAGCGCTGCGGTGTTAGCCATTTTTCGCTATCCTTGCGACTCATACTCTGCAGTTGTCGATGTTGAAAATCAAGATATCCTCCGCCCCTATCCGCACAAGTTCGTCCATCTTGTCTGCGATGTGCTTCTTTTCTACCATCACGTTCACTGCGACCCAATTTTCTTCCTCCAAAGGAGCGATCTGTCGACCGGTCACTCGATGGCAAGTCGTACGGATGAGAGTACAACCCACCGTAGGAGCCTTCCGGCCAGGCGTGACTACTGTAGCAGCGGCCAGCTTCTCTCGAAGAATGTTGTACTGACAAGCGACATATTTGTTCGCGGCTATCACACCAGCGATGCGTGCGGTTATGCGGTCTGCGAAGGGTATCAGCGACGGAACGGGGTGACATCGTCCCAGCATACCAATGAGAGCTAGATGTTCAGGGTGCTTGGTAGCGCGCGACTTGATGAGCACTGCTTCAGTATCCAGCACAGTGGCGATAGCGTGCAGACCCGCTGCGCGCATCGTGTCTCCTGACTCGACCAAGTCAACTGCGCCACAACTTCAGCCGTACGTTTCACAGTCAATGCAGTTCTACTCACCGATTCCATCTGCCAGACCCAAAGAGCAGGCCGCCTCCACACTCCCGCCTACGTACTCGATCTTCGTCCGCTTCTCGCCTTGCAAGTCAAGCCTCTCGTCGATCGCACCGAAGTACTGCCCCGCAAGCACCTCGAAGGATGTGACGACGCGCTTGCCGGCGAGATCTTCGACAGTCTTGATAGGGCCGGCCTCGGGCACCTGTACCTGAAGGGCACACTTGCCGAAGCCGAGGCGTAGAGCTTCACTGACGTGCTCTTGCATTTCGGCTTCGAGTATTACATCGTGACCGGTGATACCCAGGTCGACGTTGCCTTTGCCAACGAAGGATGGGATGTCGGAGGCGGGGAGGAAGACACTGATGCACGGGTTAGCCGACGAGACGGGAAGAGGGAAAGGGATGAAGGGAAAGGTTGAGAGTGTACGCCTTGAGGTATATGGGTAACAAGGGAGGACATACAGCGCAATAGGGTGATTTAGGACGAGGCAGACGTCCAGCCTGGCGTGTCTCCTGAACTGGATATCGGCGCCTGGTTGCAATTTAACATCGCGCAGACACCCCTCCATGGAGCGTACCTGCTAGCATGGAGAGACACTTCTCATGGAGTCTCCCTGTACGCCCGGTGAGTAGATCGTTCCCTTGGTCGGTGGCGACCCACCCTTCTTAGGAATCGCGAAGAGCAAGCGACCATCGAGAGATTCCGCGTCTGGAAAATCATTCATGAGTGCAGTGAAGCAAAGGAGGGTGTATACGTACTCATGGGGGGCGAGCGGGTGGAGGGCGGACTAGGACGAGTGTGGCGGGAAGTGACTTGTTCGCCTCGAGCGGGGGAACGCAGCGATCACTCAACTGATCGTGATCGCGGACTCAATGCTCTCCCGGCCCGCCCCCCAGCAGTGCGCCGCCCGCCTAGGCGCCATGAACACCCATGGATGCGCGGCTAACAGCACAGACGCCCGGCAGTGCATGCCAGCGTCCACGTAGACGCTCGGACGGCGCTCGATCCGTGGCAGTGTGCCTCGCACAGAGTTGCCGCTTATAAAGGCACGCAGGGATCAGCCGGTTACCTCCCTTACCTTCTGCTCTCACCATCTCCACTATGGCATCCCCTCAACCTCCCGCATACGGCAGTGATGCGCCTCCAGTGAACCCGGACTCTCGACCTCTGCCTCCGGGTTGGATAACCCAGTTTGATCCCAAGTGCGTGGTTATCTGAGTCTGCAGGACAACTTGTACTGAACGCACGCCCAGTTACAAGGCTTGGTTAGTGACTTTCAAGGACGGAAAGCCACTATACTCACGCCACAATCAGGTTCTACGTGAACACTGCCGCGAGCCCTCCCGTAACGACCTGGACTCACCCGCTTGGTCCCCCGCCTCCCGCTCCCCAACTACAATCGGTTCGTCGTTCCTGCGCCCCATCCACGCCATTCTTCCTCATACACATTCTCATCCCAGTTCGCTCCACCTCCTGGTCCCCCACCTCCTGACCACAGCCGCGGCGATTACAAGGGCGATTACAATCAAGGCCCACCTGGCGGCGGTTATGGATACAACCAGCCTGCGCCGCAACCGCCATACGGAGGTGGCTATAGTCAGCCGCAATCTCCTTACGGCGGCCCTGGCGGACCCAGCGGCTATGGCCAGCCCCCGCAGCAGCCCTACCCTCCCCAGCAGGAGAAGAAGAGCGGCAAAGGTGTGTATCATTCACTATACATATTCGTGACTCCAGACTGACGATCACGGCATCAGGCTTCCTCGGTGGCCTTCTCGGAGGCAAGCTCGGCTCCTCTAGTGGTGGAGGCTTTGGAGGGGGAGGCGGGTACGGCGGTGGTGGCTATGGGGGCGGGTACGGTGGCGGATACGGTGGCGGCGGTTACGGGCAACAGCCACAGCCCGTCTACGTCCAACAAGGCCAGCCGAAGAAGTCCGGTGGTATGGGTATGGGCGGCATGCTAGCCGCTGGTGGTGTTGGTCTTTTGGGTGGTGCGCTCATTGGCGAAGCCATCGCAGACGATTCCTATGAAGATGGTGTGTTCGTCTGCTATATGTGCTCTTTGTGATGCTGACGGCCGTCGCAGGCTTCGAAGACGGCGCTGACTTTGGCGGCGACTTCTGAACGCTAAACTTGGGGATACACGCGTGGGTCTACAACATCTTGGACGCTGACGGCACCTGGCGTCCATCTTCTCCTTCCTTCGCGGCGTTTCTACATTGCCTGTATTTGTATTTCGTCGTGTAAGTACTAGCGGACTACGACTGTGGAAATTATACTTGATATCATCGTCAAGGACATGGATCCAGTAAGTATACCTACCTTGCAATTCGCTCAAAGGTTGGATTTTGCCTTGAGACCAGCATTTGCCCTGCGCGTTGGTATCCAAAGAACGACAGCGCTCTTTCTGCTGAATACTCGGTATGCTAGACTTGAGGATGGGCATTACCACTAACTCATCCGGCATGTTTGGTCGTGGATGAAAGTTCGACTCTACACGTGATTGTCACATGCAGAAGGATATTCAACCGTCCCGATAAACCCGAGATGCCTTGCCCAGGGATCTCATGTCCACCTCCACAAGTCGGGTCGACATGCGCTATAACTTCGGTACAGAGCAGAACTGCTCTATGGCTTTGTGTGTGACTCATTTTAGCCGGGACCGCTCGTGGTTAATGGCAGGTTAACCATTCCTGCATTATCGCTGCTTGTCGCGATTGGGCATTGTGCGTCGAGTCAGGCCGCTTACCCGCTGGAACAATGCAAGCCTGCAGGAAACCCATGCGCTGTACAATCTTCGGAGCGCAACTTACTAGCGACGTTGATGCGACCAGCTGTGTCCAATTTGCGTCCCATCAGAGGAGTGTCATGTATACTCGTTTCAAGTATCTGTTGTGCTCACGAGACAGCGTCCCGCTCTATTTGCGGCACTGGACACATATGTGTACCTGACAAGCACCTCAAATACTCTACACGAGATGGCCCGAGGCGCCATCAGCCATGCACAACTGACCGCATACAAAAAGCGTCGACGATGAACTGGTCTTTAGCGCCTCATCATGCGACGGTTCCAGCCTGCGCTTCTCGCGCTTTTCAGCGCCCTCGTCAATCTAGGTGTGCTCTCCGTTTGAGAGTTCACGACGTCGCCTCTGACCCTGGCTTCAGTTTATGCGGCGGAGGTCACCTTGTACGACGTCTCCAAAGATGGCAAGGGGGCCAGTCTCGCGCACATACAGAGCCGCACATACTCGCCCCTCGGGACCGCAGATGACGGTTCGCTCACGACCTATGTGGGAGTTGAGGAAATCTCGTGGGTCGACGAACCGTCCGACCCGGTGGAGACCACCACTTGTCAGTCTTGCTTTCCTCTGTTGTCATCCAAGAGGGCTCACTCCATGCACCGCATAGACACCTTCGTCGAAGGTGCCTCTTCCTTCGGATATACCGACACTGCGCCTGAGACATCGACGTTCACCATGACCGTTGCTGGTGGCCGGTCGACCACCACAGACACGGAAACATGGACCGAACCTGGCGCCACCGAAGCCTGCCAATTTGACACAGACGCATCAGTCGGGAGTTGCGTGTATTATTATGCTGAACAGACGGACCCGTTGACATTCACGGGGTCGCTGGTGCCGTACTATACGTTGTCGGCGGACGACAACGGCGCCGGCGCTACGAGTGGCTTGCCCGCGTCTTTGGCTGCTCTCTGTTCGGTGGCTGCTGGCGTGGGCTTGGGCGCGTGGATGACAATGGCACAAGCCCTTTGAGTGTATTATGCTACATCAACGTCCTGGAGTCGTATTTAAATTATTATGCACGTCCAATGCACGTCTATACCATCGCTCCTTTAAGTTTGCGGTTTCGCACTGGTCCTCCCTTCGCGTGTCGTCGTCTCGCCCGTGTACTTATAACATGCTTACAGCGTGAACTCATTTTCCACAATTCATGAATCATCCTTGTAATCGTGGTACGCTCTCGCCAACGGATGAATATGAGCGTGTCCTCGCGTTTAGTCAAGCCTACAGTACAGTAAGGTATAATAAGTACTACGTCTGCCACCTCAGCGCTCGCCGCCGTGGCCATCACCATCCATCCCGAACAAGCATCTACTGCTTGCCCTCGAACATCTTCTTGATCGCCGCGCTCGAGTACGACTTCGGGCGCTCGAGAGCTGGAGGACATAATCAGCATCGACGTCGACCTCAGCAAATATTCAAACGTACGAGCACCGAGAGCACGATCCCAGATGAGCTGCGCCGCGACACCGAACGCACGCGAGACACCGAACAAGACGGTGTAGAACTCCATCTGCGTAAGGCCGTAGTGCGTGAGCAGCGCACCAGAGTGCGCGTCGACGTTCGGCCACGGGTTCTTCGCCTTGCCCGCCTCCAAGAGCACGTCCGGCACGATCTGGTAGATCTTGCTGACGAGCTTGAACATCGGGTCCTCAGGCAAGTGCTTCAAGGCAAACTCGCGCTGGGCAGTATAGCGCGGGTCGGTCTTGCGGAGGACGGCGTGGCCATAACCAGGGACGACCTGGCCAGACTTGAGCGTCGACCAGACGTACTCGCGGATCGCCTCGGGGGACGCATCCGCGCCGATCTTGCTCTCCATCTTGCGGAGCCAGACAAGGACCTCCTGGTTGGCAAGACCGTGGAGCGGGCCAGCGAGACCGTTGAGGGAAGCACCGAACGCGAGGAAGGGATCGGAGAGCGCCGAGCCGACAAGCTTGCCGGTGTGGGCAGACACGTTGCCGCCCTCGTGGTCACTGATGAATGTGTGAGAAGGAACGCCTATCTTATCAACGGGCGACGTCACTCACGAGTGAATGGTGATGTAGAGACGCATGAGCTCAACGAACTCCTTGCGGTCACCGAAGCCGAGGAGGGTCGCTAAGTTTTGCGAGTAGTCGTGGCTCGGGTCGACAGCAGGAGGCTTGCCACCGCCGTAGACGTTGCGGTAGATGCGACCAGCAATGTTAGGGAGCTTGGCAATCCTGTAATCGCGTGAGACGTTGTTTACGGCCGGAGAGATAGCAAACGCACAAGTCCATCGAGTCCTCGAAGGTCGGGCCCCAGTAGTCCTTCTTGTTGATACCCTCCTTGTATGCCTTGGCAAATGCGGAGTTGTGGTTGAGCTAGATATATCCTATGAGTGACTAAACCGTTAGGACAATATGCATACACATACCGCCGTAACAGCGATAGAGAACTGCGTCATGGGGTGGAGGGTAGGCGGGCAGCGGTCGATGAGGTCCTCAACGAACTCGGGGAGGGCGCTGCGAGCGGCCCAGTCCTTGCTGAGTTCGGTGACCTGCTCCTGGGTGGGGACCTCGCCGGTAACGAGCAGCCAGAAGAGACCTTCGGGCAGAGGCTCGTCACCACCGGGCGCCTTCGGGAGGAGGTCGCGGCATTCGGGGATGCTGTAGCCACGGAAGCGGATACCCTCCTCAGCGTCGAGCACAGAGCCGTCCCAGAGGAGAGCAGGGAGACCACGCATACCACCGTAGACCTGGTCTACGATGACGGGGCCGAAGGACTTCTTGCCATGCTCAGCACGAATTGCCTTAACCTATGGCGACAGTGAGTTCACAGCGCAAAGCAGAGTCGGGTGGTCGCGCACGTTCTCAATCTCGCCAGGGATGAGCTCCGCCACGCGCTCCTTGAGCGTAGGCTGCTTTGCAGAGGTAGAGGAAAGACGGGCCGAGCCGAGGGCCAGGCCTGGTCTGAGCGGCGCGATGCGCGACTGGAGAACGCGAGCACATGATTAGCGTGTGGACGACGGAGGAGGGGAAGGGGGAACGCGTACGTTTTTGAAGAGGAGCGAGCGGGCGGCGGCGAGAGACATGACGGCGAGAGGCAAAGGACGACGATGGGCACGAACCAAAACCGGGATGCTTTTCTAGTTTTTGACACGTGACGGACCCTGGGATTTCGGAAGTTGGGGCAGCACGCGAGCCGCAAGCGCCCGTGTCTTGCGACCAATCGTTGTCGTCTTTCTGCGCCGGACACGTCGTCATCGATCACTCGGTCATCATCCTTCTCCCATACGCCGATATCCGTCGCAGCCTCCTTCCCAACTCCCATGGCGAAGCGCAAGCGCACAGAGCACGGTCCCCCTCCCGCAGGCACTCCGACGCCCGACACGGCGGCCCTTCTCCCACAGGTCGCCCCTCCGTCTGGCACCCCGCCGTCAGCTGACCGTATCATAGAAAAAACACTATCGCCAGCGCGCGCACGCTAATCCTTTTTCTGATCATGCTCTCGTCTACCCCAAATCCCCCGCTGCGATGGACTGGTCCGCTCACTATCCATCTGGACAGCCCCCAGAGTGGGCCGACATAGGATGTGGCTTTGGTGGTCTGCTCATCAGTCTGGCACCACTTTACCCCAACACCGGCATGCTCGGTGCGTTGCTTCTCACTTCAGTGTTGATCGGGCGCTTACCTTGATCCCTACCTCCCAAGGCATGGAAATTCGCGTACAAGTCTCAGAGTACGTCCACGATCGCATCGAAGCGCTCCGCGTCGGCGCGAGCAACGACGGCCACCACTACAACAACGTCTCCATCCTCCGCACCAACTCCATGAAATTCCTGCCGAACTACTTCACCAAGGCATCACTCTCCGCAATCTTCTTCCTCTTTCCAGACCCCCACTTCAAGCTTCGCAAGCACAAGGCGCGCATCATCTCGCCGACACTGCTCGCCGAATATGCATACGTCCTCCGACCTGGCGGAATCGTCTACACCATCACTGATGTGAAAGATCTCGCCGACTGGATGCAGAAGCATCTCTCCGAGCACCCCCTCTTTGAGCCTGTCAGCACCGAGTTGCTGCGAGAAGATGGGAAGGGCCCTATCCTTGACGCGGTCTGGAATGGGACGGAAGAGGGCAAAAAAGTCGAGCGTAATAAGGGAGACAAGTACCTTGCTTGCTTTCGCCGCATCGCAGCGTCGAGATAGCTGTACGCACGCGCTTGACTTACTAGATGGTGTAATCAAGATCTTCTTCCGTTCAGGGCACAATTACAAGTGTAAATCACACTGCGGTCTTGGGGATGTCATGACGGGTATGTCTTCGGCCTTGCATTTACGGCTATCAACACGCACCCGCTTCCCCGGAGCCCCGGCTGGACCCGCCTTCTAGGTGGCGACAGTGTTCTACACCGTCGTACGTGGTCGCTGGTAAGCTGCAGCATGCCACGAAGATCTTCCGTGCATCTTCCGCGCGCCCACGTACGTGGGTGCTGTGCAAATGGCAAGCGTCCGCAGGCAACGACTACCTACTTGCTCATATGTTCTTAAAGAGCATGACGGTCTTCCCCGAACTAGGTCGTCAGTGCTTCGTCAAGCGGTCCGAACCAGTCACGTCACGTTTTATGGCCAGTAGCGAAACGTTGAATGGGCTCGGCCTTTTACACGACCAGACAAGGAATATTCACGCTTATAGATATCCCTGATACGGCCTTGCCGTCATAGGCATACCCTGCTCGTTCACGCAGGGTTACATAGCCGCGTAATTCTCAGTGAACCCGATACTAAACGAACTGGTTCATCCACCACACGATATTGCATCTTCTACTACCTACCCGTCCTTGGCAAAGCCATGCGGACCACACGCCTGAACTTCCGGACGGTGCGGTGCTCTTACTTCGCCGAATGAAGATCTTGCTTTGATGGTTAGAAACGGCACAAAGCTGAGCAGTCAAACTCACCATGGTAGGCCAATTCTGCGCGAGCGCGGTCCAGGGTCAGCTCCTCCATGTCGCTTTTGAAGGACTCAAGAGGTCGAAGGTCGTGAATACCATCATGCCCAGCGCGTAGTCTGGATCGCAGCATCGCCATCCCGGGCGCAACGAGCTCAACGCGATAAGCGATCGTGTACAGGTCGCACCGAGCGTTTAGCTCGAGATGCTGTAACGCTGGTAGGAAATCCAACGATTCAGGCCGGGTATGGTCGCGTGTCAGATGCCACAGTAGGGTAACACTGACCATGTCCGAGGAAGAGGGCTCGTCCTCACCGATCTTTCGGGCAGAGAGCGAGAGATGCGACAGCGCGGGCATGGTCTTGAACAAACACACGGCGCTCGTCACGGCGTACACAACGTTGTCGAGCGTGAGCGAGGTGAGCTGCATGCACCTGTCGCGCACAAAGAGGGCGTCCAGCGTGGGGTCGGGGGCAAAGTAGTAGTGGCCGCGCAACACAATCTCCGTGAGCTTCGGTGCGTCGATGAGGATCACCTCCGATGCTGGACTAATGATCTCGACCGCCCGCAAAGCGGGCATCCTTACGCCTGCGGTTCGCGGCGGTCCGTACAGGCCATATCGGCGCTCTCTGTACACTATGAGGTGTTCCACAGTGGATGCAAAGGCAGAGAGTATGGATGGAATGCTGTCTGAATCGATGTATTGGACCTCTAGGCGAGTCGGTCGCCATGCATCTGGCCATCGTAGATCGCCTTGTGGGGTAGTACAGTCCCCCCTGAGTGCGAGGGCGCGGATGAGCGATTGTTGGAAAAACAAGACAGGATGGCACCCCTCAGTGTCAGCACCGAACGCTTTGATGTCGAGAGACTGTAGTCGCGGGAACGATGCAGCACTTCGCGAGTCGAAGAACGCAAGTGAGCAGACCAGCTCTGCAGATACCCATCGCGCAGATGCGGACACGAGAGCGTCCCACGTTTTCGAGAGACTGGATGGATGGTCGCGGTATCCGGAGGCACTTCGCACAATGACGTGGAAGACGATCTGCAGAGGGGCGTGGCCAGAGCGAATCAAATATCGAGCCACAATGGACACCAGAGCAGGATTTGCGCCGAGTAGCGAGCGATCATAGTCCGCTTCTTCGTCACCCCAGGGTGGTCGTAACTCTGCCTTGATGACAATGGAATTCCACAGCCGAGATGTTTGCAAAGCGACGGACCGCCAGGCGCGGGACACCGCGGCACAAGGGAGCGCCATTGTTCCACTCGGTGCCTCGTACCACTGGTCGGGAGTAGACATGAGGAAGATAGTCGAAAGAAGCTCTGTAGGAAGCCGTTGAACAGGGGACAGGACGGCTTTGTTGGCGTTTATCTGGCAAGAGATCGTAGCCAGCTGGATGCTTAGCCACTTCGCTGTGTGTTCGAGCAGACGGGTTTTCGCGCGTAATCGGGTCATCACGTCGACATCGCCCTCGTCAGTTTCGCCTTTGCTGGCTAGGTTCTGGAGGGCAGCAGTCTGCTGTAGCATCGCAGTGATGCTCGTCTCGAGTTGAGCTTCTGATTGCTGGAGTCTCTTTGAGTCGTTCAAATCCTTGTGTGCTTTTCTGAGCGATAGAACATATTAGGTGCATGTATACACACCTTATTCTCAATATCAGGAAATCCATCACTGGCATTGGCCGACATTCTCGATGATAGACGATAGAGGCTGATGATGGTTTGAAGTTGAGCACAACACCAGGATTTGAATTTAGGACGTAGGCACGTGTAGCTGGATTTCGCCCATCCATTCACTTTGAGCCAAAGGTGAGCTACACTATAAGCTGATGTTGCTTCTCAGAGGTTGCGCAAAATATCTGCAAAACAATGCAATCCTGAATCACAAGTCCTCGTTCAGTCCGTGTGGTCCACTAGACGCCCGAGGGACCGATAAGCACGTGATGTCACGCGTACTCTCGCGTCGACATTGGACAAAGCAAACCCCTATCTGGGTCTGGACGCATCATACCATCGTAGCGATGTCACACTTCTTGAGGCCTCTGGCGGGCCCCTAATCAACTACCAAGTCCTTCCTTTGAATGTGAGGTTGTTGTGCACTTCCTTCGGGCGCCTTTTTGGTGTCATATATCCCTCGTATCTCAGGCTTATAACCTTCTTCTTTAGAGACGACAATGTATAGCATTGTACACTCCAGCGCCTCCGAGGGAGTCAATGCCCGCGCCGGTGATAACTATGGCGCGTACTACGACCCATGCAGCAGCCCCTATAGATCAGAGGGTGTTGTGGGACGCAAGATGATCTTCTGCGAGGCCTTGACCACCCATTACGCCCTCGAGGATCTCATACAAGTCTGCGAGGGCTGCCTGCAGTATTCCGCGCGATGCTGCACTCACAATCATGAAGATCGAGCGTGTCACCACTACCGTCTCATCTTCACGGACGGTGCATGCTCTGGCAATGGGTGGGAAGGGTCTGCCGCAGGTGATTTTATTCTCCAGATGATGAGCAGTATGACTGACAAAGACTGCATCCTTCCCCTCCGTTGGGCCCCTATCCTCAGGTATCGGCGTCGTCCTTGGCCAGAGAGGACCCGGGATCGATTCATTCTCGCTCGCCATTACAGAGGCGATGGATCCCGGTCAGAGGCGTACTAGCCAGCGCGCCGAGCTTCTCGCTGCCATCGAGGGCGTGCGTCGTTCCGCGGTCGGCGATGTGCACCCCTTCTACGGCAATGCCCCCCAGGCGCGCATCATAGTCTCGGACTCCGAGTACGTCGTCCGCGGGATGACCGAATGGCTGCCGCAGTGGAAGGTGGATTTTGCACAGTCATATCAGTAAAAAAAAAATCCCTGACCGCGTCTGCTCTCACAGCGCAACGGATTCCGTACTGCCATCGGCGGGACGCCGGCGAACCTGGACCTCTTCCTGCTGCTCGACCGCAAAATTGAGCAATCAGAGGCAGGGAACAACTTCAAGTTCGGCTTTTGGCACGTACCGAGGCACCTCAACCACGAAGCGGACAGACTTGCAAAGGCCGGGGCTGCCGCTGCGCGGGAGATGATGGCTAGGGGCTTCGCCTGAATTGCATTAGCTACGTCGACGTTACTGTAATCACCATCACGACCGGCGAGCGGAACTGCATAATATCAAAAGGATTTATACCGACGTTCGTTGTCATTCCTGATTTTCCGTACGAGGATTCACCGCGTAAAAGCAGGGGTTTGCTCTCATGCCTCTCCCAGCGCTGGAATGCATACACAGAAGCTGTGGGTACATGAGCGCATGGTCATCGTTACGAGCAGCAGGAGTCAAGGATAGTGGTATAGGTCAAGTTGGATACAGATGGAGCAGCTAGCAAGCCTACAGAGATGAGTATACACAAACAAGCTCGGAAATTAGATCGCCATGCCCTCAGAACAAGCATACGAAGTTGCTGGGGAAGACATGCCGCCCACGCTGACGTCGGTCTTCATCCAGCAGCTCACCGCTCCACCAACCGTCCTCTGGCGTCGCGGTGACAGCGATGATATCGCCCGCCTGAAAGTCGAACTCCTCGTCGATAGTCGCAGTGTAGTCGTACAACGCCTTTACTGCAACAATTGTCAGCTTCAAGAGACCCTGTTCAAGCGTACGTTGTGTGCTCACCATAGAACAGAATTCCCCGCCCATCTTCCGTCATTTGCCCAGTGGGTGGCGCTACTCCCTGGGGTTGCGGTGCTGGAGCCGGCGCTTGACGCACGGGCTGCGGCGACGGCGAGCGATGCATCGGCTGTTGGAATTGTCCATACCCAGCCGCTGGCTGATTTTTGTATCCTGCTGGAGGCTGCTGTCCGTAGTATCCTCCACCCGCTGCAGGTGCGCCGTATCCATTGCGCTGCACGCCGTTCACATTGTTCACGGCGCCGTACCCCGGTCCATACCCTGCTGGCTGTTGCGGTGGGGGCGCACCGAACGCCGGCGGTTGGTTCGCAGCTGGATAGGCCGGCTGCCCGTAGCCCTGAGGCTGAGGAGCGGTGTAAGGTACCTGCTGAGGCGGTGGCTGTTGCTGAGGTGGAGGAGCACCAAAGCCTGGTTGATAGGCAGGTTGCGCGGCATACGACGGTGTCTGCGCAGGGACGTAAGGCGCTGGAGGAGGCGCCTGCACTGGGGGCGGCGGTGGCTGCGCCACCGGAGGTGCCGGTGGAGGGGGTTGCGTGGGCGGAGGAGGCGGCTGCACCGCTTGTGGCGGCCCCTGCGGAGGATACATGCCATATCCTTGATTTGCGAGGTAGCTCGTACGACGCTGAGGCCCGCCATACGCCGGCTGCTGTTGTGGAGGCGGCTGCGTCGGTGGCCGCTGTTGCTGTTGCTGCTGCTGATATCGCTGCGCCATTTCGTCATGCAAAACGCGTCCACTGGCGTCGAGCGCAATGCCAACATTGTTCGGGCTCGTCGCGCGCTGCGCCATGCTGGGCTGCCGCGCGAGATTCTGGTTCGCCTGGCCAGGAGGCTGAATGTAGCTTTGCCGATTGGGACTCGCAGACCGAGAGATGGGCTGAGGGCTCGCAGAACGAGAACCTCCGCCGTGAGCACCGATACCAGCATGACCCACGCTTGGCGGACGGTGCAAGTTCTGCGCCTCGCTCTGCGTCGCCATGTGAGCGTTCGACGGAGAGGCGATGTGCGCATTCGAAGGAGACGGTGCAGCAAAGCTCCCGCGGCGGCTGGCGCTCTTGCGCTCACCGGGTAGGCTCTGGTGGTAATCATTCAGAACCGTCTCGATATGATCAGACCCTGCAGGAGAGACCGCGCGAGTCGGGCGCATAAAGGCGGCTGTCGGCGGACCCGCAGCTGGAGGATTCGCAGGCGAGCTCGGGCGAGAGGATGGGTGCGATCCGACGACCATGTCCGCCGAACTCTGGTAGTCCCGAGCAGGCCCGTCGCCATGAGGAGATAGGTTCATTGACTGCCTAGCCTGCTGGGCTTCCTGCGTGCCACGGCGCGAGGGCGGGTTTGTGGTCGGCTGCGGGCTCCGACCCGTGCGAGCCGACGTGGTACTACGACGCACAGACGCGCCACTGTTCTTCAGCTCCTCCATATGCTGGAGCAGCGGGTCGACAGCACTACCAGGCTTGACGTTTGATGGCGAGGCCGCGGCAGACATGCTGCCATTGGCGCGATGCTGCTGTTGTTGTTGCTGCTGAGGCGGCGGCTGTCTCTCCGACATCGCTTCCGGAGATTCAACCCGACCAGCATCCGGAGGAGGACGGCGGTATGACTGCCTGCGCGACATGGCTTGTTGGGCTGGAGCCGCACTAGGACTGCTGCTCGGTACCCCGTTGACGATGCTGGTAGGGCGGCTGCGAGCAGGGCCACCTGCGCCGACGCCAGCGACATTCGTTGCAGGCTCGGGATCGGGCTGAGGCGGGGGAGGTTGAGCTAGAGCAGGCGTAGGACCTTGATTACGTCGCTGAGTCGTGCGCGTGAAGTGTGCCGGGCGAGCTGTTGGCCGAGAGCTCGCCGAGGGGATTGCGTCGGGTTTGTTATAGTCGACGAACGCAGGAGGATCGGGTATCCGGTTGCCAGTACCGTAGTCGAGTACGAAATTCTCCATCTCCTTCTCGGTCTCCATTTGCTCCAGGGAAAGACGCATCTTTTCGCAGGACTGACAAGCTCGTCAGTATGTTAGATCCTCACTTATTCTCTATGACGCACCTCGTCGTCGGTAACGCAGACGGTAGAGACGGCATTAGCATAAGCCCACATATTGTCGCGCATGAAATCCAATCGGTCCTCCTCGAGATCCTGACACGAGTCGCAGAAGTCCTTCCAGTCTTGCTCCCACTTCGCCGCCGTCGTCTGCAGCGTCTTCGCAAAGTTCGCGAAATCGCGCTCGTTCGCCTGCACCGTCCGCTGCGCGCGCTCGAGCCGCGACGTGATCTTGTCGAGGTCGCGCCCCTGGACGAGCGTCGACTGCGCCGTGTACGAGTTGATGAGCAGGCAATCGGCCTCGTACTTCTCGCGCGCCTTCATGACCCGGGCCTCCTGCTCCTGCTTCTGGCGGAACTGCTTCTCGATCATGGCTTGATAAGTCTTCTTGTGCTGGACCTGCCGCGCGTAGAAGTCCGCGCTCGAGCCCTCGAGGTCGGTGCGGATCTGCTGCGCGAGCTGGAGGTGGTAGCCCGCCTGGCGCTCGGTCTCGGTGCGGATGGTATCCAGGGAGTTCCGCAGCTCGCTGGGATCGTAAGAGGGACGCCTGAAACGAACATCGGATGCGCTCACCCAATCTCGTCGCGCCCGAGTGTCCCCTTTGCCAGCTTGGCAAGTCGCTTCGCGTAGTCCTCCTCGATCGAGGCTCTGCACGACGTTCAGACACAATGTATAGGACAGGAGAGGTCGTCCACTCACCTCTCCTTCCAGAAGTTCCTCAGTTCGTCGGTTGTACGCGACGCCCCGCGCATCCGCGCGAATAAGACGTCGACACCGCCATCGCCAAGGCCCCAGAACGCATTGCAGAAGTCGAGCGCGCGGTCTTGTTCAACGATGATGGGAGAGCCGGAACGTGCATATTTTGAGAGAGATGTCGTGGACGGCTGCCGCCGTGCCATCGCAGACTGAAGGATAGGTTCAAGCAAGAGGTTGATGGTTGTTTATACGCGCTCGTCATATATTATATTCGTGAAACACATATCTCCCTATCATCATCCCTCTGGCTGTGCCCTCCGTATCATCGCCTCTTGCCCACTCAGCGCCGAGCGCTCTCAACTGCTCGAAATGAGGTAGAAGTGCGCCCTGACAGGCGGGTGTATCTACGTAGATGTTCCGCCGTAATTGCTGGGATGATCATCATCCTTTGTATGCTATTACAATCAAAGCTCTCCTTCAGTGAACGCGAATCAGACTGATTTTTGCATACGTCCTCTTCCAAGAATCAGTAAACGTAGATCAAAGCAGGTGCTGGGACGTTTGCTGATCGACGTGTCGGGTTGGCAAAGACCGCTAGGCACTGCCACGGTCCTCAACGAGCTGATTTCCCGTCGCAAATCGAATTGTGAGACCTGCAATAGGCCGTAGCATTTGGTCATCATCGCAGACGTTGATCGAGGAGGTCGCCCAGTTTGGATGTTTCAGCTGCGCAAAGCGAAGCCACGGCCCTCGAGGACAGCACGCCTCCCGATGGTGAAGACGATAAACATGAGAGTGATAGCAGCCATGAGTGTATACGTCGAGAGGATCTGCTGAATGAATGAGTGTGTGCGAGGGCCAGTTGCTTTTGGCTCTTCCAGTTGGAGCACAACTGGTCGCGCGTGACATGGATGATAAACAAAGCCAAAGCTCGAACGTTGAGAACGGCCACGATGCAGCAGCCCCCGCCGCCGCCAGGCTCGACGCCGTTGGGCAATTCAGGACAGCCAGGTGATGGAGGGCCGCAAGCAGGACCCCAGAGTGCGAGCGCGCCAGTGCCACCACCGCCTACGCTGCCTCCACAGTCAGCGTCGAGTGCCAGTGTAAGCGGAAGTAAGCGCCGGCGCAAGAACGACGACGAGGGACCAGCAGAGCCGCGACGGCTGCGACGGTCGCATGAGGCATGCGCGCGGTGCAGGAGCAAAAAGATCAAGGTGCGGGGATAGCCGAGGAGCACGGCAAGTTGCGAGCTGAACGCCCCCTCAGTGCGACTCCAAAGTGCCTCGATGCACGGCCTGTGCGACAGCAGGAACGCCATGCCACCAGGAGGACAGACAGCGGCAGACGCTCACCCCTCGTGGGTACACGGAGCGCCTCGAGCGTCAGGTTGCGCAGATGATGGCCCTGCTCAGCCGCCGCATCCCCAACTTCGATCTCAACAACCTTGACAACATCGCTGCAGCTGAAGGCATTGTTATTCCTGACCACAATGGCGACCCTAACCAGTCTCCGTCTCCATCCCAGAGCCAGCAGCACCCGCCTCACCCGGGTTACCCCCCGCATCCGCCCCCTATGCCGTACCCTCACTACCCATACCCGCCGATGCCCCCCATCCCGCCCCCGGGCTTCCCCACCCCGCTGCACCCGTATCAGATCCCCTTTCCACCGCAGCCGCCTCAGCAGGCTCAGCCACAGACGCCACAGACGCCACAGAGTGCGTCCCAGCAGCCCCAGCAGCCATCCAAGGACAACGGTCCGGCGCGCATTCCTGGGCAGGATCCCGATGGCAACGACATGAGCCATCCCATTGCTATCGCTACTGCATTCAAGGTCGACCCCAACATCCAGGCCAAGGGTCAGTTTTCCTTTACCCACCCCTTCTTGATCATACTTACATCTCACAGGTACCAACGCAAAGCCGCCCAACGACATCGGCTTTGGGCACGGTGCGTTCCTACACACGCCTGCTGGCTTCGACCCCGCTGCGCCCCCGCGCGATCTGTCTAAATGGGTCGCCGTGAGCGTACCTCCCGAGGACGATGCACCCCCGGGCACCCAGCCGAAGCAGCTCTATCTGCCTGCCGACATCCGCACCGTCCGCCATGTGATCGACGTCTACTTCGACCGTCTCAATGTTTGTTTCCCCCTCACGTCAGCTAAAGTTATGCTTACGCTTCTTCAGGTTCACCGGCCCGTCTTTGAACGCTCGGAGTTTGACGACCGTGTCATCCAACTGTATGCGGGCATTGAGGGCGCTGAGAGCCTGCGTGCGCCGCGCCCTGCGACTGAGGAGCCTGACACCCGTCCGGGTGATCCTCCCCAGGTCGAGGCGCGCACCTCGCAGATAGACGCCCGCAACGACCCAGGTACGTTCTTTGGGCATGGCCTGTCGAATCCCGCTAACTTTGATCTTCAGGCTTCATCTCTGCCTTCTTGTACATCCTTGCGTTGGGCACGATGTCCGAGCTTAACAATAAGGTGGGCTAGGCCTAGTTGACTCCATTGAGCGGACGTACTTACAAGCATTCTCAGCTGACCTCTGGCGATCAGCCTCTCCCGGTTCCACCTACATGGCCGCAGTACGACGAGTTCTTCCTGCGCGCTATGGCCACTCGTCCGGATTGGCGTATGACGCTCAGCTCCCTGCAAGCTGCCGTCCTCCTCCACTGGTATCTGTACACTGACGTACGTATACTTCGCTCTATACTACTTCTCAGTTCGCTCACCTTCTATCAGGGTCAGGGTTCTGGTCTTTGGCGCTTCGTGGGCTCTATTCTGCGCTACGCGATCGAGCTTGGCCTGCACCACGATCCCTTCTCGCAGCGGAACCCGCAGACGAACAAGTGGGTCGCCATAATGCTGCTCAATACCAACTCTAATCATGTCGATAGGTACACGTTCACCATCGCCGAGTGCCGGGCGCGCGTGCGGCTCTGGGGTATCGTCCTAATACACGATCGCGGAACGAGTGTCATCTTCGGTCGTCCCCTCGGCATCCATCCCGACGAGACGAACACCCCGATGCCTGTGCCCTACCCGGACCCGACTCGGGAGATCGCAAGCAGCCACTTCTATCTCAGTCATGCTGTTGGTCAGTAAAGCTCGACTCTAGGATTGAACGACCCGACTCATGCTCTCGCAGCCGATATCCAGAAGGAGATTATCCTCAAGCTTTATGCCCCCAAGACGCCCCCGCGCTCCGCGCCTGAGCTGATCGGGAGCGCGAAGGCGATTCTAGGTAGGTGTAGCTCAGCGGCGGCGCCTTTCATGGGAACACTCACTAATGCCCGGGCATAGACAAGATGGAGACTATACTTCCTCAGTCGTTCCGTGATTATATGGGTGGTACGGAGAATTGGCCCGTTGAGCGCAGGCGTGATCTCGTGAAGAGCATCTCGACGGACATTGGATTGACGCTGTTGAAAGTACGTCTCGTCGTTGCGTGCAATGTCACCCTTTCTGACCTCAATTCCAGTGGGCCATCGCCAAGATCTTCCTCCTTCGCGCCCTTGTTGCGAGCAGCACGACGGGTTACAAGGACAAGGTTCGCGCCCTGCAGCCTGGTAAGCCTAGCGACCCATGTATCACTGACTCCTCTCTAATGAGCACGTATAGCCGTCGTCACCGCGCACAACATCATCGTCGTGCATCACCAGCTCATCAATCAGCCTGACATCTCGTTCTTCACCTCTCCATTGCCGTTACAGACGGCAGCTATGGTGCTGCTCTATGGCTGGTACGCGATACGCCCACTCTGCGCTGCTTCAAGCTCAACCTTCATAGGATGTCCCGACGCGTTGAGGCCGTCACTCGCGAAGTTGCGTTGGAGGATGTTACAATGGCTCTCGAGGGTATCCCGAAGTTCAGGTGGAAGTGGGAACGCAAGGACTTCCCTCGCCCGCCGCCCATGATGGTCACCCTTGCGGAGAGCGTCCTGCAAGTCAAGCTGGAAGATGCGCCTGCGCCGTCGGCTCCGGGTGTGCTGTGGCAGGAGCAAACCTTCAACGAGAACCTCGTGGTCAACAGCCCGGACGCTGCAACCAGTCCGCATCAGCAGCATGCCGGACCCACGCACGGCGCTATGCACAACCCGATGGCCGTGGACTCGCCTTCGATCGATGGTGTCATGCACCAGGTGCAAGGAAGCCCGGTCCTTCAGCATGCCCCGCAGTCGCAGGATTGGGTCAGAGTCAAGCTCGAGCGCGAGTTTCCTGCTGGTATGCCGGACTGCACAAACCCTTCGCATTGTTGCCTGACCACCTTTGTTAGGCCTCCTCTTCCCCCAGTTTCATGTTCAGGCGGGACCGGACCAGGCCCCAGGCAACCCTCCGCATCAAGGTCGTTCGGTGAGTACGCCCTCTCACGCGATAGGGTTGTACTGACCTTTACGCTCACGCTCGCCCTCATTCGCTTCTCGTCTGGCTTCTCGTGCTACGTACCATGATGTATCTCGCCTAATCTCTCTTTCTCGGTCTCGGTTCCGGCGCGCCGCTTCTGTTTTCCGCCTGCTGATGCATCGCTCACCGGCGCTCCCGCCGCGCCTCATTCCACGCCGTGCATCTGACGCATCGTCCTCACGCCGTGGATCCGATGCGTCTCCTATGCCGGCGGTCGCCCCGCGCGTTCAGGGTGGCTACGTTGCTGAGATGCCGCCCGACGTGCACTACGGTGGCGCGTATGAATATCACCATGGGGGCCAGGGAAGGTATGTTGAACCTGCGACTGCATGAGTGTTGGGTCGATCTCTGATTGTCATTGTAGGTACTACGACGAGGAGCGTCATCTGCACTACTACCCGCAGATGCAGTACCGTGGCGCGCATCAGCCTCCTTGGAACCCCATCGCCTGAACGTCTACCGTAGGCCAAAAGATATGAATGATTATGATTCCTTTTACTTACAGAAACGGACGTTGTTAGGCTTTTTGCCTCGGTTCTTGAGCTCTATATCGCCGTGGACTGTACACGTAGTCTCCCGAATGCATGTGGTATTCTGTTTCGATGTGGCCCCACGAACTTAAAGAACACCAGTCTGGGATTGCGCATTCGTATGCCATGGCTGCCGTGTCCCGCTTCATGGTCAGCACCACGTAGAGCACACTGGTGGGCAACTGTTTGAAGATCGCTTCGACCTCGCTGATTGACCTGAGCTCGCCGATTCCGAACAAGCGTCTGTCACTATGTAGGTGGTCTCAATACACATCACATCCCCCTCGCTGGTGACGCGTGCTTCGGCATGGGCAAACTGAACTCAACTGTTTGTTGACTTTCCGGGTGCGTAGCCGATGCCTACAGTGTTGAATATTCTTTGCTACATATATATGGGAGCACAAGCATTGCTAGCCCATCGTCAACTCACTGTTCGACCATCTACAACAGAATGCCCTCTTCATTCCCAACGCGCAAGGTCGGAGATGCTACTGTCGGTCCGCTAGGCTACGGCCTTATGTGGGGAGCCTACGACGACCATAGCAAGCTCGCAACAATTCCAGATGACGAACGCTTCAGGGTGTGTGCCCGAGACTACACCTACTAGCAAAAAGCGCTAATGGCCTATGTCCAGGTCCTTGATACTGCTCTGGAAGCAGGCTGCACGTTCTGGGACACTGCGGATATATACACCGGCTCTGAGGAGGCCGTCGGAAAATGGTACGCATGCCTATACTGCCGCCGTGAAATATGTCGGTGACCATATCGTCGCTGCAGGTTCGCGAAGACCGGGAAACGCAAGGATGTATTTCTCGCCACAAAGTTCGGCTTCGTCATGCGTCAGAAGACCGAAGGAGGCCACGGCGGATTCGGTATAGACGGTAGTCCAGGTTATGTTCGCGAGGCATGCGAGCGCTCCCTCAAGAAACTGGGCACCGAATACATCGACCTGTACTATCTACATGTAGGTCCGCCTCGACATTTCAATTGCCCCGTTTGCGTTGACAGTCTCTTCACAGAGGGCGGACCCGAACACTCCCATCGAACACACCGTCAGTGCGATGGCAGAGCTGGTCAAGTAAGTATAGCTATTCTCTCGTCGTTGAGCGAGCGCTTTTGACACGTGCATAGGGAGGGCAAAATCAAGTACATTGGCTTATCCGAAGTTTCCGCTCAGACGCTGCGTCGTGCTCATGCCGTGCACCCTATCACCGCAGTTCAAGTCGAGTACTCCCCCTTCACTCTGGACATCGAAAGCCCGGAGATTGGACTGTTGCAGACCTGCCGCGAACTGGGCGTCAAAGTCGTCGCCTACTCGCCGCTGGGACGTGGGCTCTTGACCGGGACAATTGTGAGTATATTACGGTCACAGATATCTTGGATCAAGCTGAGCACTGAGCGCAGAAATCTCCCGAAGACATCACCGATCCCTTCAAGAGGGCGGCTCCCAAGTACAGCGCGGAGAATTTCCCCAAGACGCTTAAGCTGATCAATGAACTGGAAGCCATTGGAACGAAGTACAATGCGTCCGCTGGGCAGGTTGCACTTGCCTGGATCATGGCGCAGGGCGAAGATATCATTCCAATCCCTTGCACTACCAAAGTTCAGGTCCGTAATTCGGGTGACCGCCTCATCGAAATTATCTGATAAGGCCACAGAATCTAAAGCACAACCTCGCCGCTCGTGACTTGGTGCTCAGTCCTGAAGATGTTTTCACCATCCGCAAGTACGCGGAGGAGATAGATGTAGCCCTGCGCGGTGTCGCTCGGTATCCTCCAGGCATCCAGGAGATGCTTTTCAGCGAGACGCCACAGCTGTGAGTGAAGTAGTCATGGTCCTGCGCTCAACAAGCCTGAAGGCCTCTTTGTATCAGTTAATGTCATCATCAATGTGAATCTGTCATGTGCCCTTCTTCCTCATTATGTATTCGAGCACGCCAACTACTGGAATAGGTCGCCACGATGGTGACGGGGTTTGGCGCCTGAATGAGAAGGCGACGCACCATATTCGAGACCAAGAAGCGTAGCTAAGTCAGTCATCATACATATACATGAATAGCCCAAGGGCGTACGACGAGAACAACAAGTAGGACCGAGGCAAGACGGTTCCCCTGACCTTTCTCATAAATACACGTAGGTCCCCCACCCCTCACTACACAGTGACCGTGTTGATTGCCTTCATGCAAGGTACACCGTGGTTTTATCCGCCAGCATCTCGTGCGTAAGCGTGCACTCCAGCGCCGTCCGCTCATTGTGCTTGCTCGGCGCATTACTATTATGCACCAGCCAAAGCGCGCCCCGCATGAGCCTATTCACCACCAACTTCTCAAAAGTCAATTCGTGCTGCTTCAGCGTAGTCCCCAGCGCCTTCAGCATATCCCTGACGACTGCCTGCGCGTCGGAGGCAATGACCAGGTCGAGCTCCTGTAGCCAGAAGGTTCCCGCTTTCGACGCAAGCTCCGTCGCTGCTGGGTACTCGTCTATCGCGTGTTTGAGCTGATAGTATGCGAGGAGTCGCTTGACGTAGGACGCGTCCCAAGGCATGTAGCCCACGATGCCAGCGAAATGATCGTCGAGGACGCCGATGGCATGCAGACATGCGTTGGCCGTCGTCCAAGAGGTGCGATTGTGAGTGATATAATCGCCGTCGTCAGAGAGTGAGATTGCGTTCAGGAGGTGTGGGGCTATCAGGTCGCGGTTGATCTCCATATACAGCATGTCGACGCGGGAGAGGAATTGTTGGATGGAGCCGTGGCTTTTTCGCAGAGGGTGCACGCATGACGAGCCGCAGAGCATCTGCAGGGTGCCGACGTGCGAAAGCGCAGTGCTCAGAGTATGTGCGGAGTACACGCTCAAGAAGCCGTTGTCCGTGATGACCTTCGGCATCGAGGGCTCGATGCACCAACACGCTACGAGGAGACCGACACCGATACACCACTGATTGCCCTCGTACCACTCCTGAATCGTCTCCGCGAAGTTCGTGTCCATGCTCTCGAAGGCCTTGGAGACAGAGTCCCTGATCTCCGCCCCGGTGCGTATCCTTCCGAAGCCGATGTTGAACTCGTTGAACATCGCCCGACGAGCCGTCTCCGAGCGACACCGATAACGCGTCGACTTGTCCGGCCGCATGTCCACGGAATAGACGGGGCCAAAGCCATGGATGTCGTTGACGCGGACTTCACAGTGCGGCCCCGATCCCACGTATACACCATCGCTCTTCTTGCGCCACGAGACCTTCCACAAGCTGAACAGCGAGAGGAAGGACGCCTTGTCCGCGCTGGCTATTGGGCGAGTGAGCGCAGCGGGCATGTAGTCATACGACCAGCGCCTCTCCTTCACATACAGTCCAACGTCCGAAGTCGTCGCAGCAGCCAGCAGATCCAGCCACGCACACCGAGCCTCCGGCACCGTCGGGTCCTCCAGGTTCAAGAACCACGGCCGGTCCGTGACATCGTATTGCAGCACCGTCTTCGGGGCCATCGACCCGCTCGCCCACTGAGCAATCGCCGGCCGCTCCGGCTCGTAGATGAACTGCTTCGGCGCAGCGGGCACGCGAAGGTCATGGCTATCGAGCGTCGTGCGCGTAGGCTTCTCAGTGAGGGTATGGTCATCGCGGGGGAAGAATATGGATAAGTGGGGCGTGGAGAAGGTAACTTCGAAGCGGACTTCGCTGAAGATGAAGTGGCGGCGTGTACGGAGGGCCCATTGGCCGAGGACGCGCTTGGAGCAGCGGCGGTAGTCGTACGCGGTGGATGCGTATTGCTGCACTAGTTGCAAGAGGGTTACGATGAGAGCGATGAGGGAAACAATCAGAGCAGCGAGGGCAGTTGGGTCGTCGCTTGATGCCATCGGGAAGGGGGGACCTGCAGGTGCTGCCGTATTGTTGAGTACATGCATTCAACCGAGCGGCGGAGGGACGTACGAAGCTAGTTCTTCCAGTTGTTGCGTAGAGTCTGAAGGTGAGCACTGAGGATAGCAATCCTTCTTCAGCTATACCGTCGCGCGCTACGCAGTTATCCACAGCAAGTGGTGGGGATCTGAGGAGGGGGCAAGCCGATGGTGGCGGGAGTGACGAGATGATACAGCGCAATGAGTTTGGGCGCTGTTATCCAGGCCGCAGCGCCGGGCGCTCCTTCACAAGCTGGTGTTGTCATTCATCGCAGTCTGCTGAAGCGCATTTCCTTGTTGCTCAGGAGGGATTGCACTCGCATAACATAGAACATGAGCATGGTGAGATGGTCGAGAGGAAAGGCAAGGGCGGAACCAGACTGTCGCTCGCTCCGTCTCCGGGACGCGGCCCGGTGCCACTTCCTCGTCGCATTCGCGTCGGCTCAACGCCTTTGCCTCATGGATGCTTCCCGCTCCCAGATATGAGTTCCAAAACTCTAGTAGCATAGATAGTCATCAACTGGCGTACGACAAACGAGTGACGATAAGTAGTACATTGGACATTGTGATTATATCTGTACAGGATCAAAGTCCACCGACGACAAACCTAGGACCGCGCTGTCGCTGACTCCTGCTCATCGTCGTCGTCGACTTTGAACACAGGAATCGCCGGACCAGCCTCCAAAATAACGTCTTCATCGTCATCCGACGACTCATCGTCGTAGTACGGCTCCATCGGACAGGTCGTGCCGACCTTCTTCGACGCGCCCGGCGGACCCACAGCCAGTATGCGGTCCCCTCCGAGTATGCGCTCGTCCTCCAGCGCCGGCTCCTCCTCGATGACCTGCAGGTCCGCCACCTCGCGGCGGAACCAGTAGCGCAGGCCTACAGGGATCATCACGCCAACGACGACCGCCGACAGCAGGAAGAAGTTCTTCCAGCTGATGAGGTGGAAGTCATCTGCGCTCGTCATCTCGTCGAGCCCGCCGCCGATGGTCGTGTGGATGACGCTGACACCGAGGATCCCCAGGCCCGTCGAGAGCCAGAAGGGCACAATGCCGATGCCCACGTGTGGGCAGACGACGTTGACGACCCAGTGAGGCGGCAAGGGAGCGATGCGCAGGACGATGAGGAAGGAGATGACATTCTCCTTGTTCTGTCTGATCGTCGTCGCCCATTTGTCGAGTTTCGCCTGAACTCGGGGGAGGGTGAGGAGCGCCGGGCCGAGTGCGGCGCTGATGAGATAGCACAACGTCGCGCCAGTAGCGACGCAGACGCATACGAGGGGGAGGGCTCTTGCTACGCCCCAAACAGCGCCACCGAGAATAGAAAGGTACATGGATCCTGGCAGCGAGAATGCTTGCAGGAAGAGGTAGGTGATGATGTAGCATATCAGGACGCGGAAGGGATAGATGTTGCGATATTTCTTGAGCAAGAAGTTCAGATCCTTGAGCTGGTCAAAGGACTTCGGGATGCGCAAGAGGGGTCGGTCGGCCCTGCGTCACCGTCAGTACAGCCACTCGCTACACGGGTTTCACGACACGCACTCTTCTAATGTGGGCAAGGCGACGTATAGCGTGCCGCCCAAAAGCACGACGCTGACGATAAATATGCAGGCCATCTTGAGGGCTGCGTTGAAGACGATCCGGCCGCTCTTCACTCGCCCCCGATGCTCATCATGTCGCGGAAAGGCGGCGCCGTACCCTGGCGTGGTTGGCGAGATGAGCGACGAGCGCTCCGAGGCGTCGTCAATGTCCTGATCGTGGACGGTATCCAGAGTGTAGACGGAGCCATTGGCATGCCTCGTCGCCGCGAAGGGCGTCGACAGCGGTGGTGGGGTCATGGTGGAGGTAGAGTGGTTTCGGAAGATGCCGAGGCCCGGCGTCCAATGTCCATCACGTCACTTTTGGGACAACAGTCACTGTCGACTTGGACGGCCATCGTCGGACGCCCACTCTTATGGACTCGGGCTCGCTCATACACCATCGAATTTGTCCTATCTCCGAATATCGCTAGCCGTAGTCATCCGTAAGCTTAACTTTCGAAGGCAGACTTGTTTGTCATCGCGTTACAAGGATATGTCAAGATCTGAAGAGAGCCAGAGCGACATCCTGACTCGGCCAGCTGAGATGCAGCCTCCCTGGACCCACTTTCGATCCACCAACGTTCCAAAGGGAACAAGATGAAGAGGCCTCGCATATGCTCTCGCGCAAGTGAAGCGACATGCAGCAGTCCAGCACCCTACGCCGCCATCTGTCGGGTGGCGTCCGTCGGCATGGGCTTGCCATGGTTTGCCGCGTGGGTGGCCGACAGATGGCCGTCTGCTGCCGAAGATGGTGACTCACCGGGTGAGTCACCATCGTGCGACCTCGCGCTTAGGAAGCGTTGAAAATTAGAAAAACCATTTGCGGAACTTCCCCTCGGGCCTTGTGGACGCCTCCCCTTCCGGTACTCGAGTCCCGCGTTCGCACGGCGCGAGGGCCCGTGATGAAATACAGTCATCTGATCCCGAGATGAGGGGAGCGCTTAAAGCACGGACGGGCTAAAGGAAACGGCGCGCACTCCATGTCCTCTCCTTCGCCCACTCTACAGGCCAAGAACGATGCGGTCGTTGAGAAGGACGCCGCCGACCCGTTCCAGGTCGTGCTCGATGAAAATGACGACCCTCAGCAGCGATCTAACGCGCGCAAGTGGCTGACCGTCCTGCTGATCAGTAGCACTTCGCTATGCGCGACGTGCGCGTCATCCATGGTGCGCCTACCAGCTCTCTATGGCTCTTCCCCAGTGTCTGACGCGCTTTCCAGGCCTCCTTCGCCGAACAGGGCACCATGGAGGAATTCCACGCGTCGCGTACCGTCGCCATCCTCTCGATCAGTCTCTTCGTCGAGGGCCTCGGCTGGGGTCCCCTGCTAGTCGGTCCCCTCTCCGAGGTCTACGGAAGGAACATCATATACCGTGTCTCCGTCGGCCTCTTCTTCATCTTCTCCTTCCCCGTCGCCTTCGCCCCCAACATGCGTGCGTAACCCACCCTTGCCCGATCACCATTCCATTGTTCTCACATGTCCATTGTCTCACTCCAGCCGTGTTCCTCGTCTTCCGCTTCATAACGGGCTTCTGCGGCTCTGCATTCCTCAGCGTCGCTGGCGGGAGTGTCAGCGACTTGTTTCCCAGTAACAAAGTCGGAAAGTACGTCGCCCCTATCTCCGCACGGGATCTATAATTGACCGAGCGGTAGCCCGATGGCGGTGTACACCCTCAGTCCCTTCTTTGGTCCTATCGTGGGACCTCTGGTTTCTGGTTTCATCAACCAAGTGAGGCTTACCCATGCCTCACTGCAAGTCATGCTCATCCCTTACTTAGCATGCTAACTGGCGATGGACTTTCCGCGTACTAATAATATGGATCTTTTGCCAATGGGTGGCGCTGATTCTGGTGGGTTGCTTGCGTATCGTTCCCAAGATTCTGCCTCACCCATCCACAGTTCGTCCCAGAGACGTACGCCCCTGTTATACTGAAGAAAAAGGCAGCACGGTAAGGTCTGCTCACTTCGTTACTTTACTTCTCTGACGTGCCATAGCCTACGGAAAACCACTGGCGATGACCGTTATTGGGCACCTCTTGACCGCACGCACAAGAGCCTCGCACACTCCATCGCTGTGAGTTGCTACAAGCCTTTCCGTACGTGGCTTCGTCGGGTAGATATGTAATAGAATCTGACGCTCATCCAGAGCTCTTGCTATTCGACAGAATGGCGCTCTTGCTGGACATATGGTACGCGCGTTGTATTTTGAAAGTATCTACGGTAATTAATCCTCACCGACAGGACTGCGCTGCTACTAGGCATCCTTTACCTCGCCTTCCAGGCGTTCCCGATCATCTTCCAGCAGGTCCACGGCTTCGACATGCAAATGACTGGCCTCACCTTCCTCGGCATTGGTGTCGGACAGGTAAGTCCCTTGAATCACTCCCCACACACAGCTCACCGAACATCCCTCCTCAGATCCTCGCCTTCATGACCCAGCCCTACTGGAATCGCCGCTTCCGCAAGGACCGCGAAGCCTACGACGGCCACCCCCCGCCCGAGACCCGCCTCTTCCAGGGCGAGATCGGCGCCATCCTCGTCCCCATCGGCCTCTTCTGGCTCGCCTTCACCACCTACCCCTCCGTGCACTGGATCGTGCCCATCATTGCCTCGGCGCCCTTCGGCATGGGCATGTACTTCGTTTATTCCTCCGTCTTCACCTACCTCGTCGTCGCGTATCGGCCCATCGCCGCGTCTGCAATGGCCGCGAACAGCGCGCTGCGGTCCGCTTTTGCGGCCGTGTTCCCCCTGTTCGCGCCGGCGATGTACAGTCGGCTGGGCACGGTGGGCGCAACGGCGTTGCTGGCGGGCTTGACGACGTTAATGCTGCCGCTCCCGTTTGTGTTTAGGAGGATAGGCGCGCGGTTGCGGGCGAAGAGCAAGTTTGCAATCTAGGGAAGGGCCGCAGGATGAAGTGGGGACATTGACGCTCCGGGGATTTACGACCATCGCATCCTTACTGACATAGACCTCTATCATATCGCATACTAATACTCATTCACAATAGCTACAGTAACGCTAGCATGAAACGACTTGACATGGTCAATGATTTTTATAAATCATCCACTATCCTCGCGGTGATTGACTTGGCCGCGTCACTGTCCGTTATGCAAGCTTGAGGGCATGATCTAGTATTCCATGGTCGTATAGGATGGTGCAAATAATGTTACACGGTAGCGTACAGAGGTAGGTAGGTGGGAAATATAACCTGTAAAACGTCTAATGAAGGAGAGCAATGTAGACCAATCTAAGTATAAGGAGCATATAAACACATGAGCCAATTTTCAGCAAGCCGATCCGCAGAGACAGTTCCCATTAGAGGGAGCAAAAGCGGCAGGTACCAGACCCTACGGCAAGCAAGGGGAGAACTGGAGGAAAGGGATAAAAATGGGGAGCAGATGAATCACTTAACCATGCGCTCCATCTTGTCCAATATATAATCAACGCGGCGAATAAGACTCGAAACAGTCCGTGGGAGGATGGCGCGGTGCGAAGGCGCGTCGGGGTCATACGACGGGTCCTGCTGCAGAACAGCGCGCTCGAGTACGACGGGCAGACTCAGCGTCAGCCGCGTGAGCTGGATCGTTACGCGCGTCCTTCCAGTGATATTGAAGTATGACATCTTCCGGAATTCCTGCTGCAGCTCAGACAGATGCGCGAGCTCGTCTTGAAGGGCGTAGACACAGGTACGACATGCTGTAAAGCGGTATTAGAAGAGAGGTCAGCAGATGGTAGGAAGGACCTACTCAATGCACGCTCGCGCACGCTCTCCAGCAGCATGTTGATCCCATCGTCGCCCAGCCGCAAAGCCGGGTTCAAATCGTTGACGGCTTCTGTTGTGGCGTCAGCTCGACGTCAGCGATACAGACTACGGTGGCACGCACTCAGCAGCGTCCGGATGACCTCCAGGTCCCCGTCCAGGAAGTCGTTCAGTATGCCAATGACGACGCTCCGGAACGTCTCTTCCGCGTTGGGGGGCGGGTGCGCGGCCCAGAAGTCGAAGGAGGTGGAGGTGCGGTTATCGTACATGCGTTTCGAGGCTGGCTTGCTGAGAATGTCGTACGCGGTGGCGACCTTCTGGAATGCGAGTGTAGCCTCAGGGCTGTTGGGGAATTTGCTGGGCGGGGACGTTAGAGGGTGGCGTTGCGACAGATGATCGAGCGCTTACTCTGGATGGCATGCTTTGGAGCGGGTCAGGTACGCGCGACGGAGGGAAGTGCGGTCGAGAGAGGGTGTGTTCTCCACGCCTGTAGATAGGTTAGCGAGCGGCTCCGTTACTCGACAGCGCGGCGACGCACCCAATATATCGTACAGATCATCGGTGGCAAGGATGCGTTTTATCAACGCGCTGTCCGGCTTGCGTGATAAGGGTGCCGCTGCAGTGCGAGGTGTAGAAGGGATCGCAGCCTCTGCAGCGGCCACCCCACACGAGCTAGGCTCCGCCACCCATGTCAAGCACTTGCGCTCATAGGTCTCGATGTCCCTGTCCTCGTCCTCGTCGATTGGTAGGTGAAAGTATGATGAAGCTGGTGGCTATCAGTGTATGCCCGCTCAGCATCCTATGCCACTCACCACTGGCTAGCGCGTATGAGAACATGAAGGTTGAAGAGAAGGAGAAGACGGTCGAGGCCAAGTCAAGACCGATTTGCCATGAAAGTTCATGTCGCTGGCATGTGAATCTGCGAGCGGAGGAAGATGACGCACGTGGCACTCAGATCACGATCGGCCTCCGCTTCGCCGTTCCGATGTTCCGATGCAATCTCCGCGGCCCGCTCACCCCGATATCGCGCTTTCCCCGTGGTACCTGCTTGTTGTCGTCCATGCGTGGGTCACCTACTTATCTTCGGCATGTTGGGGGACACGTTCGAGCGACACCTTTCTCTCGACCACCATGGGCGTTTTCGGCAGGCTCGTCGCCCTGAGCGTGCTCGGTCTCCCGAGCCTCGCAGCTTCACGTGAGTTCACCGACTTCATCGCACCTTCCTCGTCCTGAAGCCCTCTAGTCGCACCTTTGCAGTACAAAACTATCCCTCTAGGATCCGTGAAACCGAAGGGATGGATCTATGACCAAGTCAGAACCTCGTTGCCGCCCACGATCCGAGATCTAACCGCTCTACAGCTCATCGTCCAGATGAATGGCCTGGCGGGCCATGAACATGAGTTCTATGATCTGTATGTGACTTCCACTACCGCTGCTGTATATAGCTAACAGCCCTTACTAGCGTGTCGGATGTCAGTGTCACCGCACGTGTACTATTCCTCACTAAACATGGATTTAGAGCGACTGGATAGGCGGAGATTCTTTCTATTCCGTCTTGGAGGAAGGCGAGTGTTCTTCGTAGATATCTTTCGGGCCCAGCTCTAACGAGATGGTTCAGCTGGAAGCTACTGGTTTGTGAGTGCTATCATGGTCGCACGGTGCCGATTCTGAGAAACATTGAAGGATGGACTCGTACCCAGCGCCGTTCTCACCGAAAACGAACCAATCAAAGAGAAGACCCTCGAGTTCTTGAACTACGTCCTGGACCACCAAGATGACTCGGGTCAGATTCCCTATATCTGCGTCGTCTCAATCTTCCTGAACTCGCATCATAGGTTGGCTTGGGCCCGAGGTCAACACCACGAAGCCTAGGTATTTATGGGGAAGGTATGCCGAGGCAGACACTTCTGTCGAGATTATTTTTCTGAATGAATATCCGCAGGTACCCCTTCTTCTTTGGCGCCATTCAGCTACTGGAGGTCGACCCATCGCTTACGGACCGCGTCGTCACCGCTATGCACAAGTTTGTCGTCCTCGCCCACGAGATGCTCGTCAACGGCGAGGGCGTGGATAAGTGGGCGGCTACTCGGTGGGAAGGTACGCCAACCTAGCTACTAGGGACGACAGTGGCAATATACTGACAAAACGTTACAGACTTCGTTGTCGTGTTACAATGGTACTTCATGGTTCCGAGGGCGAAGGAAGTTTATGGTTTACGAATTTGCACAGGCTGTATGACAACCACCCTCGCGGTCAGGAGGAACTCCTCATTGACACCATGAAGTACCTGAAGTGGAGTACGTCTTGCCGCTTTGAATGACTTGCCAATTCCCTATTCTAACATTTCGTACAGCTGGTATCCCCTGGGAGCAAGTCTTCACCGAGGAGCTGTTCCCCAAGAGCGCAGGTGCGTTTCTTTATGCTGCCTCAATTGCCTAATCAATCTCACCTGCCTATGCAGTCGAAAACCTAACGAATCCATTCGAGGAGCTTGCTGTGAGTCCTGACTTGAGCGTTGTCCCTGAATTCTTTGCTCATGCGCCTCTGCCCAGTGGCACGGCGTGAACATGGCCGAAGGCCTGAAGGCCCTGGGCATGACCTACCGCTTCACACACAACACCTCTGGTGCGCTCGACGATTCCTGTTCTCTAACTCCATATCCTGCGCGGTACTGACACATCCTACAGACCTCGACGCCGCAAGCATGGCTTGGGAGCTCGTCTTCAAGTATCATGGCCGTCCCTCTGGCATTTTCGCGGCGGACGAGATGCTTGCAGGGCTGGAGGCGAACCGGGGGTGAGCAAAATCTCTGAAAAGAAAATACGGATATATGGGCACTGACATGGTTGTCGCGAACTTCCAGCACGGAGTTGTGTCTCGTCGTGGAAACTATGCTCAGCGGTACCTTCCTCTACACCGTCAGCGGAGACCCCAAGTACGCGGATCGGGTAAGCACTCTCTGTCGCCAGATGTCATGTAGCTCAGCTTCGTCATTTCTACAGGTCGAGCGCATCACCTACAATGCCCTTCCGGCTACTCTCACTGGCGGTAAGGGATAGCCATCTAAAAGCAGATTGTCACACTCAGATGTGCATCCAGATATGTGGGGACGTCAGTACCTCCAACAGCAGAACCAGATATCCGCCATGAACATGACGCCGTGAGCACCCCTTCGCATCTATTGATCCACGTTCAGCATTCTAACTGGCCGTCCTAGCAACCCCTTCCCCTCCGACGGCCCTGAGTCCAACATCTTCGGTCTTGAGCCCAATTACCCCTGCTGCACGGTCGCCTTCCCGAAAGGTTGGCCGAAATTCGTGGCCAATGCGTTCATGGTGGCGCCCGACCTGTCCTCGCTGGTCAACGTCTACCTGGGGCCGTTCGAGACGAGCACGGTGCTTGCTGGCGGTATGTACTGCGTCGGCCATCCTCCTGTGGCATCCACTTCAACCCACCGCCACCGCCACCCACAGATAACCACGTCACCGCCACCGTCGATACACAGTACCCCTTCTCCGACGGGCTCACGACGACGATCATCGCCGACAAGCCTTTCACGTACAAAGTTCGCATCCCGTCATGGGTCGAAGGCGGCACCATCGCTGTCAATGGCGCCCCCGCCAAGCCTGTTAGCCCCGTCAACGGCCTGCAGTCTGTCGAAATAGGCGGCGGGAAGACGGTTCTGGTGCTCGACCTGCCTGCGCCTATCACGGTTGGTGCGTACTGGAGGCGTTCTTCATCGTCATCTACGCCCCGCGCTAGTCCGCGTCTCTTTTGGAGCATCAATACCTGTTCATGGAGTATCATTACTTCTCAGTATACTGACATTCCGCGCAGAACAACGCCCGCACTCCGCTATCGCCCTCCAGCGCGGCCCGCTGCACTACGCCTATGACATCCCGCGCACGGAGCGCGTCCTCGCTGTCGATCCGCACGAGCATCGCGCCGTTGACCTGCAGATGGAGCCCGCAAGCGAGTGGGCGTGGGCAATCGACCCGTCAACGGCAGTCTTCCGGAACGAGGGAACTGGTGAGTCTCTTGATTTGCGTCTCTTCATCGTCGCTTGTTCAGCTCGTGGGCACCTCGTCCGGCCCGGCGCCTGTCTACCTACCCAACTAGCTCTCAACCGCTCGCCAAGCCTCGGTTCTTCCTGAGACCGCCTCAGTACTTTGGCTAACGATACCCAACACGGCAGGCTCCGCACTCCCCTCGCCCATCTTCGATTTCGGTCGCCCGCCGGTGACGCTGCAGGTGCAGGCGTGCCCCATCGACTGGCCGCTGGCCGGTGACATCTTCGCCGCCGCGCCCCCGGAGAACGCGTCGTGCACGGGACCGGAGAGGACGATATCGCTGAGTCCGTATGGGGTGCGTGTTACGTCGCTGCGGTCGGAGAGCGGGAGCTTGAGGAGGCTTGCTGGCGCTCTGGCCATGTTCTGCGCTGAGTAGGATGCTGACTGCTCTCTTTTCTAGGCCACGAAGCTGCGTGTGAGCGAGTTCCCGACGTTCAAGTCCTCGCTCGCGGCGGACGTCGAGGGAGAGGGTTGGAAGAACGTGCTCGTCGCGCAGCAGCCGTAGGATCTCGCGCTGCCCTGAGCGTCATGCCACGTCCCCTGACGTGCCAAGGCCTACTACTCATGACGCGTAATGTCACCCGTGCACTTCCCTTCGCCTTTAGAGGGTTAGAGGATGATGTAGGAGTCTAACAGTCCATGCGGATTCTAAAGAACGTTGAACTAGCTTTCGCTTGGCTATTGCCACTATCTATACCCTGGAAGGATATATATCGTGTACGTACGCCTGCAGCAGGTATTCAGGTATGTCTTCCCTAGCGAAATGGTCTCTCCTCTCCGGCCATCTCATCGCCTTGTATAGCGAGCTAAGGTACGTCCACTGATTCCCCACCGCCCGCAGCTGCTCACCGTATTATACAGACAGATTTGTGACATGCAGAAACAGGACGGAACCGACGAAAGCGACTCTTCCTGCTCAAAACAATCTGGAGATACGATACAATTGAGCATGGCCCTTTACGAGCAGCACCGCGTTCAGCAATGCTTGCGACGCATAATGGACAAGGCCGTCTGGGAGCCCGATGACACCGCCGAATTCGACTGCATGCACTACGACGGCGATTACGCCCTTGACCGCGCCGTCGACCGCCTCGCGCTCCCCAGCGGCGCGCACATCCTCGACATCGGCGCCGGTTACGGCAGCACCGGCCGCTACCTCCACACCGAGCACGGCCTGCGCGTCACCGGCCTCGAGCTGCAGAAGGACATCCACGACGTCGCCGCGCTCATCAATGCGCGCCAGACCATGCCTGCGGACGCTATACGCGCCGTGCAGGGCGACATCCTCGACGACGCGACGCTCGCCCGCCTTGACGACCAGTACGACGGTGCGGTCTCCTTCCTCACCATCCTGCACATCCCCGACCGCGCGCCGCTCTTCGCGCGCCTGGCGGCGCTGGTGCGCCCCGGCGGGCGCGTGTACATTGAAGACTACGTACGCGGGCGCGAGCTCACTGAGGACGAGTCGCGGCGCCTGGCGAAGATCGTGGCATGTCCATACCTGCCAGACCGCTCGACATACAGGAAGCAGGTCAGAGCCGCGGGCTTCCGGGTGTTGTGCAACGAGGACGTGAGCGCGACGTGGAAGCGATTTACGCGGGCAAGGGCAGAGACATATGCGCGACGGACCGACGCAGTTCCATCGATGGTGACCTTCTATGACACGGTGGCGGAGCTCTTTACGAACGGGGCGGTTGAGGGAATGTGCCTTACTTTGGAACGTCGCTGAGGAGCAAAGAGAGACATCTACTATTTTTGTCGATGTACAGGACTATTTGAGGGACGTTGACGTTGCATGCTCGATCTCACACGAAAGATAGGACAAAATATCGGTGATTCCATATGTATAAGGTAGACAGTGTGATAGTACGATGCTGGGAGTACAATGCAGTACAGTGGTACAAGTCCTTGCGTGCTGAAAAAGTCCAGAAGTGTCTCCAAAATCCAGATTCGAAAAGTCCTTTGTCCCAAATCAGGATGTCCGATCCACGCGAATGAGTAAGGGATAGAAAGCTATAATAGTATCAATGCTGCGCATGCATATGCACCTTCTTCGTCTTTGCCCAGCTCGCCTTGAGCCTTCGTTCAGTCCTAATGACCGAGAACTGCATTCCGAGGTGAGCAGCAAGCATCTTCTGTCGCAAATGCTCGGCGAGGCTGAAGGATTCTTGATGCGCCTGCTCGCTCGATTCCTCATCTAATGATTCGGCATCGATCTCACTTTCCTGAGGCTCCGGCGATGATGTGTAATCTTCGTAAAAGACGTCGTGCGAGTATTCTTCGTCGTAAAGGGGGGAGTCCGCCTGCGGGTGCGGCCTGTGCAGGCGGAGTGCGCGGCGCACTGCGGCGCATGAGGAGGTCGTGGAGGTCGTGGATGAGCGAGGGCGCGTCACGGGCGTCTGCCAGCCTTCCTGCGGCGACGGCTTCGGGATGGATGATCGAATAGGGGACTGTGCCCGCCCGCTAAGCCACACGCGTCGGTCTGCGTCGAGCTGCTCCTCGTACGCCTCAGTCGTCGTTTGCCTGATGATAGGTGGTGTGGGAGGAAGCGCAAAGGGGTGGTAGTCGGGGTCGTGCATCTCTCCGTCCGCGTCGACGTAGTACGCGGCACTGAACGAGTTGTAGGGTTTAGGAGAGTAAGAGGCGTCCATGATGAAGGCGAGGTCCCAGTCATCGGGCTTTCCCCCGTAGGAGTGGCCCGAGTGACGCTGCTTGCCGCCGAAGAAGGTGTGGTCGAACGACGAGGGGAACATGTTGGTGTACTGGTTGACGTTGAGAGGGAGTGTTGCTGTATCCAGAGCCTTATATAGCTGGAGAGGGAAGTCTGAGCCGTCTGAGCGTGTCGCGTAGTGACGCACGAGAGGGCGGTGCGTACGAGTCGAACTCTGAAAGACATCGTAGTTATGTGCTTTATGTGGACTGGATGAAACGAGACAGTGGGAGAGGGCCTACGACCGTCCCGCCGATTGCACTGGACCTTTACGCACACGCTCCTTCGGTCATCATTGACCTTGGCGTGAGGCTCTTCAACTGTTCTCACATATATACTTTCACTCAAAGCGATAGAATTATCGAGGCTGTCCAGGTGAAGGCGGGGAGAGGGGATGACGAACGTGAGAGACATCTTTGCTGCTGCAGGGCGCGCAGGGGAAAGCGTGACGTGACGGTTTCGGAAGATGCCGCTGGTCACTGTTGAATTTCTCCCTCCGCCCTCTACACCGCACAAAGACAACACTGACATGTTTGAAGATGAATGGAACCCTTCGTCTGGATGAATTCGATTAAATTTGGTTTCTGAGGTAGCGAGCATATCAATGCAAATCATCGAACCCCGGCAACCCCCATCGCTCATCTGCCTCGCTTCCTCTCCTCAGCGCCAACAGCACCGACGCCCACGCACACACCATCCCCGCCAGCCCCTCGTACAAGCTATGCGGCCGATCCGGCGTCCCCATCTTCGCCACCACCTCCGGCATCAGCACCAGATGCGCCAAATGCGCCGCCCTCGCCACATTTTCCCTTGCCTTCTCCTCCTGCCGCGCGCGCGTCTCCAGCCCGCCCGGGCCCTCCACGCGGCCCTTCCCGCTCCCATCTTCGACTGCAATCGCGCGATGAGCATACAGCCTTGCGGCGGCGAGGAGCGCGAAGATGGAGCCCGCGGTGCCGTGGCAGGCGCCGGGGCCCTTGCGGAGGAGGCCGTGGCGGTAGACGAGGTTCGCGGCGCGGTCGACGGCGCGAAGGGCGCTGGGGACGCGGCGGGCGTATCGCGCGGCCGACGAGTGCTGGAGGGCGCGCGAGAGGAGCATGAGTACGCCTGGGGCGCCGTGGCACCATCTTGGGAGGCTCGTCAGCTATGGTAGAGGGTTGACAGGATACGAAACTTACTGGATGAGCTCGTTCACGTCGTATGCGGTGTGCGCTGGCGCCTTGGACGGCCAGTTGCCGTCTTCGTCTTGGATGGATATGAACCAGTCGACGGTGTCCCAGATATCGTCGTAAGCTTCGGTCAGTACGTGAGTGGGGCACTGAAGCAGGACGTTCAGAATCCCGGCTGTGGAAACGAAGTCAGCCCAGTTATTCTGGAAAAGGCTCGTGGTCGGAAAAGCTCACCGACGCCATGCGCTCCGCCCAAGTACCGTTTCGCGTGCCAGGACCACATAAGACGGGGTCCTGCGTCGGATCGTAGCTGAGCAGCGTATTCCTTAGCACCGTAGCGGCCGCGCGCAATGATATTCGCTGCAATCCGCTCGATGTTCCCGTCGCTGATGACATTTGAATCGTTCACAGCCAGCCCGACTTCGGTAACAGTATCCTCGGAGAACGAACGACGAAGGCGCAGCAGGGCGTACAAGAAGCCAGCGCGGCCATACAGTACTTCGCAGCCATCGTCGTCCGACACCGCAGTTTCCATCACGATGTCTTGGGACGCGCGTTCGATGATCTGCAGGCATTTCTGCCATGGGTACTTGTGAGAGTCGTTCGTCTTCGTGTGGATGAGCATGAGCGTCGCTAGGCCAACCGACGTCTCGAGGAATGAGCTCCTTGCCGGCGTCCTCGGTTTGTGAAGGACGGAGGGGAAAAGGTGGAGTGCGGTAGTCAGGTATCGATCGTTCACGACTAGGAAGTCCTCTTCATCGCCTATTCCCGCTTCTTCGGCCAGCGAGGCGAGGTGGGTGTTCATGAGTACTATGCCTTCAGCGATTGTGAGCGAGAGCGAGGGCCATGCGAAAGGGGGCGCACCTGATATCCCAACGTATACACCTGGATCGCCTTGCACATCATTCACCTCCTTCAGTACTCGGTCCACGCTCGCATTGAGGGCTTTCAGGATATCATGCTCGATCTCGGGCAACTCCTCGTCGGATGGGGGTCGATGGTTGTGGGAGATATGCCGTTTCCCAGCCATTTTCAGGATCAATGGTCGTCTCCTGTTGCTTTGACAATCCTCCGGCTGGCGAGGAGGTGATCTCTAGTGCAAAGACGAGTTGAGAAGGCAAGCAGGTCCTGTATTCCTCCAAGCGTGGATATGGATTGCTTGCGTATGATATCATGGGTAGGGCGGAGGCTTTGAGGAACATTCCATATCATCGTTGTCGCCGGAGAATCCCTGTGACCTCAGTTAGACGGGTTGTGCGATGCGAGGAAGCGAAGTCCATTGCCGACGACGGGGAGCTCGGTGGCAACGGTAGCGGGACTATCGGGCCGACAGCCGGCGAACATCTGGGCCGTGCTTGGGCTAAGTTCGAGTTGGAAGTATTCATGGTGCCGCGGCTTTACCCATACTACTTGTCAATTATGGGGGCCCGTCGCTCATCCCTCTACAGTCTGACCATCGCACCCGATGGCACCAGTATCCAGAACTTGCCGAAAGCTGTTCTGTTCGTACGCTGTTGGGATTTGACGTCGAAGGTAGTCTCTGAAATTCTCTGAAATGCCAGTCCTTGACACGAGTCCCAACCCCATCTATTACTATGCATTGTGCAGTAAGCCGTCGAGGTTCGAGTACGAGCACTCGCCGATCCTCCGAATAATCGTTGTGCATCCGAGCGTGTTTGTTCTGGATTTTGGTCCTTTCGCCCCAGCACGCAGATAAAACCAGGTCAACTTGTATTCCTTGGAAAACATCTAAGGCATTCGATTGAGGCGTCGCCACGTACTTGGACTGTCACAGGACCGCATCACTTGCAGACAGCCTTGTACGCTGACTTGGTCTCCGATCCAATAACGGAATCAACGCTCATGTATAGCGTGCGCTCCTTGTCGCTCAGAATGTACTCGATGTTGAGTGCCCCTGCATGTATGTAGAGAGAAGTCAGCAATGTGTTGCGAGGGCTAGCACAAAGAGTTCCGTTACGCACACCAGTAATGACCGTCGATCTTCTTCGAGTACTCGAACCAAACCCAACCCTTCGCGACGAAGGGTACCTGGGCCGAACCCTCCGTGGTGCAGGTCTTGGTGTTGAGCTGGGTCATCATGGAAATCTAGTTAAGAAAAGCGAGGAAATGCAGGGGAGATACGCACATCAAGCTTGCAAGTCTTGCCATCGGCATGGGTCGCCACAACCTTCGTCGTGACCTGGTGGTTCGAGGTCCCGGAAGTGCTGGACAGGTCGTGGTAAACGTTAGCCGCGCACTGGCGCAGTACTCCGAACGCGTACGTTTCTCCGTGGCTGTTTGCGACCTGAGTACTGATCGTCGTGCTTCCGCCGATCTCCGCCACTTCGGGGATGGAAAATTTGGCACCGTAGGTGACGCCGATCCCGAAGGAGGTCTGCTCTGAGCATAACGGGATCAGTTGGATGACAATAATGCAGCGGCGCTCAGCAACTTACTGGTTGTCGTGGTCTCGACCTTGTAATCCGTCCCCGTCGTCACGGAGAGCTCAACAGAACCGGACGTTCCGATGATAACGCCCTCAACCGTCTGTACGTTGGTCGAGCACTTCGGTTTCCCTGAGCCAGTGATCAGCGTCACGGAGAAGATTGAGACTGCGCCAAAGTGTCGATACTGACCGTTGACGGCAATGTCTACCGGCTTGGTCCCAATACAGATCGTGGCAGGTTTTTCGGGATACTGCGCAAGTCAAGCATCGGAAACAAACATCGCGAACGAGGGCAATGAGAGTCACTCACCTCTTTCTCGTTGGTTATGATGGTCCTACTGCTCTTGCCAAATTCCTTATCCGCTGCGGCAGCGAGCTTCTTCCAACCGGGGACTATCTATCGTTCAGCCTGGAACGACGGTTGCGGCATCCGCACTCACTGCTCTGCGCTGTCTTCGCATCCATCGCAGTGCATCCTCCGGCTCGGGGGCTCAGCGAGGAGGACGTGCTGTTCCCCATCATGCCAAGGCTCTCGCCATGCTCATTGAACGCGTAGATGGTCCCCGTACCCGGGTCGGCGGCGAGAAAAGTCGCATCGCGCGACCTGAGGTCAAGGCGGCGCGACTCAGGGGCAGGCGACGCCTGAGCAGTAGGGCATGCGTGATGAAGAAGGGCCACAGCAATGAAAATGAGTGAGAGCATGCGGGGAAGCATTGGTGGATGTGGCTTCTGAAGGAGTGAGTGGAGGCTGCTACTGCTGGCAAGAAACTGGAGTATATGTGGAAAGGTGAGCATCTTATATACGACCGCACTCGACGTGGACCTACGTGAAGTGTACAGAAACGGACTGACGGCGTCGAATCGCAGGAGATCAGCGGTGTCGAATCCAGACGCGGGATATAGAGAAACTGACAAAGCGCATAGTGGCGCGACGACACCTTCCACTAGATATGATTCAACAGTACTGTACGACCGAATAACGTGTAGAGCCGGATAGTAAATGCAGATCTTGACTGTTGTCGTTCCACGCGCGTGCCATTTCTGACAGAGAGCGGACTCGCTCGGTAGGACAGAGAGAGGCTCCTCAAAGCCCATTGAGATAGCGACAATCTCGTTGAGTAGGAGAGAGGGACCCAGGTTTGAAAGCCCCCGGGACTTCAAGTTGAGATGGGCGATGTTCGACAGTAACAATTCGAGACGCCACGGTCGACATTGACAGTGAACGTATGAAGTGCGCTCGAGCCTACGTAGTTCGCGTTGTGTCGAGATGCGGCGAATATGAAGTCTTGCTATCCGCTATACAGTAGGTGAACCTGCGGCCTCTCAGGACGGAAAGCCGAGGAATTTGTGTCAATGATCGACCAGCGGTGGCAGGGTTTCCAGCCGCCCTCCTCTTTTCCCAGAGTCCTGAGGGTGACAGGCCAAGGAGGGTACTATACCAGTCATTCGAAGTGATTCGGAGCAACTCTGTGTGTATTGGGAGGATGTTGAAGTCGGAAAGACGGGTTTGGAATTTGGAGAACAAAATCGTGGGAAAGAATTTGGGCACGTGTCTGTCGCACGTGCCAAGCGCCTCTCGTCGCCCACACCTCGTCCTGAGACGGTCGAGGTGTATGTGGCACGGTGATTCTCTCAAGTGCATATATCATAATGACCACCGTATCAGGTAGCGGAAATTTCAGGCTTTGAGTTGCAAAGATATTCATGCAATCCGAGGTCATGAGCTAGGCAGGACGTGTGACAGTGTGATACGGGAAGTACAGTAGTACACCAGAATGAGTGCTGATAAATATCGGTATCGCCCGTAATAGATATTAGATAGTAGTGTTCGAGGTCCCCAGGGAGGAGAGCACAAAAGAAAAGGAAAGAAGCCTACAGCTTCTCCCCCGGCCTATCCGCATAAGGATCCACCACCGCCGGCGTATTCGCTGCCCACGCCGGCTCCAAAATCTCAGCCGCCCTGACGCGCGAGTACTTCGCCCTCTCGCGGAGGGAGCGAATGACCACAAACGCGAGTGCCGCGCCGAGGATCACCGACAGCGCGCCGAATACAATCGTTGTGATCATGAGCGTGTTCTTTGCCTGTCGCAGGTCCGCGACTTCGACGTCCTCATGTACCTCGTCGATGGCGTCGTTGAGATTGTCCGAGTAGGCAGAGGTGGTATCGGAGACCGAGAGGTCGACTGCGTTGGCGAACGACGGGGCCGAGGAGTCATCGTCGGGAGTAGTGCTGGCAGTCGCGTTCGCTGTGTTATTGGACTGGTCGGGAAAGAGGATAAGGTTGTCCTCGTTGACGAAGCAGTACATCCGATCGTTCTCCGGTGTCTACGCTTGATCAGCGCCAATGACTGACCCATTTGCAAGACGCCCACCTTGCCGGACTCAAAGTAGCTTTGCAGGATGCTCATCGTACAGTTCGAGTACTCCGCAATCGAGCCGTGCTGCAAATGGATCTCAGAACAGCTGATCTCGTTACAGAACTTTGGCCGACGTACCCCATAGCCGCTCTGCTCGATGAGAACAGCGCTTTCGCCCAGCTGGTCCGCGACCTGCTTCGCGTTCCTGAACGGTGTTACCGGGTCGGCCTGTGGGTCGATCATAGGTCAGTAAAAGCAGACAAACTCAATCAGAGCATGCACGAACCTGGTTACCGATGACCAGAATCTTGTTGCTGAGCTTGTTATTCCAGGGGCCAGAGTATCGCTCCACGGCGCGCACGGGCCATGCGTAGCAGCTTGTACTGAGGAATGGCGTCAGTCAAATATGAAGGAGTGATAGGCGAGCTGACGTACCCCTGCGCATTGAACAACGGGCCAAATAGCGGCGAGATATTGCGCGTCACGAACAAGATCTCATCCCACGTATTCTCAATCGTCGTATTCCCCGCGTCAACCGAGTCGCCGCAGCTGATCACCAAGGTAGAGTCGCTCGTAGGCAGGTCCTGCGTATCCTGACGCTTGATAAATCGCCGCGAAACGGAGGTCGTATCGCCGCCATTGAGAAGCTCGTAGATCGCAGTCAATTGATCAGCAAGCGTCGACCAGGTGTTGGGCGTGTACAATGAGTTGAAGATGAACTTGATGATGTCGGTGTAGTTGGGAACTTCGTCGGGCAAAGAACCAGCCTTTGTGAGGTCGTTTATTGTCTGAGGGACAGTCAGTTTTGACACAGTTACTACGTCAAACAGTCCGCGTAGCTCGCATCGCATACCTTCATCATGCCATAAATGCGGTCCAAGATGTCATCGCCGGTGTCGGTCGCATTCAATCGGAAAGAACAGCGCGTGCCCGCCTTGGCGCATTCTTTGGCGAACCCGAGGAGGGCTGCATCGCGGGACTCAACGGAGGCAGAGATGGTCTCGTACCCAGGAGAAGCAGAGTATAATTGGGCGTCTAAAGCGCTATGATCAGAAAGACATCGCGCCACGCAGGGAAGCTACTCACCCACGACACCGTCAATAACAACGCGGCCAACGCGATCAGGGAACACTGCATCGTCATGTCAGTTCGTATCGTCCTCAAGCAGAGCACGTTATACGTACTATTCACGAACGTCGCCCCAATAACCGTGCCATACGAGATCCCATAATAGTTGATCTCCTTCCGCTCCGGCTCTAAGTAATCCGCCAGCGCGACCATATCGCGCACCGCCGCCGCCGTGCCAAGGTACTTCAGCACATCGCCCCTTCGCTCCACGCACTGTTTGCCGAAACCCTTGTATAGTGCATCCGTCTCGTTCATGCGGGAGTAGAACTCCGCGACGTCGGCGGCGTCGAGGAGCGCGTTCGTCGGGTCGACGGGGAAGTTCTGGAGGAGGGAGCCGTTGCCGTATGCAGCTTGCTCTTCGGCGGAGTCGAAGCAGCGGACGTCGCTGGGGCTGGAGTACGGTGAGCAGATATGCGTGAGCGATGGACGTAGTGGAAGACGCACGTCGTAAAGCCCGTCCCGCGCGGGTCCCAAGCGACAAGATCATAGCCAGTGCCAACGAGTGGCAAAAGGATTGATTCCGCGCCGCCGATAACAAAGTCAAGGCCAGATTGCCCAGGACCACCTGCGGTCGGATATCAGCCAAAATTCGAACGATGTAACGCAGACAGATGCGAACCTGGATTGAAGAAAATCGTGCCCTTCTTCTCCTTGTCTGCTGCTGGATACCTAACAACCGCGAGGCGTGCTGTACCCACGCTCTCGTCCGCCCAGTCGAGAGGGACGTCGTAGTAGCCGCATCTCAATGAGTCGTTGAAGTTGCCATAGGCGGGATTCAGGTCCGCGCAGGATGACCACTCGATGGTGGAATTAAGCTGAGCCGCGCTTGCCGACTTCACGAAGGACGTAGCAATCACGGCGCCCGAGAGCGTAGAGAAAGCAGCAGCTCTCATGAAGGAGACGGGGGTCGAAGGAAATGGAAAGATAGAAAGAAAAAGAGAAAAAAGAGGGTGAGGTAAAGAGAGTCCTAGTCGCACCTTGCATCTCTTATACTCGTAGCTACTATGAGATGGGCGGCGGTGGCGACGCACACCCGCACAGCCGTGCAAATCTGGCAGGCAACGGAGAACCTTCAGTTGATGGGCGCTTGTTTGAGAGGTCTGACGAACGCCCGTGAGGGCATTGACTGGGGGGGCCCGCTATTGTTGTGTTTTTGATCCGTACTGACTTGAAGCAAAGCATATAGTCGTGTTGGGTGCAAAGAGAGGTGAAGTTTGACTGTTCCCTCTATCAGTCCAAAGCGAGAGGAGTACGCAACTCGTTATTTTCAGGGCGCTGCGATCTTCCACGGACAGGCTCTTCGTTCGAAACTGAGCGCCGAGAACAAGTGAGGCAGCACCTCTGCGGAGAGTCAGAGCATTATAAGAGCGCAGCTGCAGCAGAAGTTCGGGGCTGTTGTTTCCCCGGTGAAGGTTGAGAACAAGAAGGGCGAACGCCGAGGGCCGACGATGAAGACGGACCGGTCGGCCCATCAGACGCTCAAATCCTAATAATGGTCAACAAACCAACCTGGTCTCGACGCCGACGTCGACCTTCGCCAGTTCTTCTGCGATATACACGCCCCGAAAGGCTCGAGATCTTGAACAACAGATGACCCTACAATGGGTCCGCTGATTTCCAAACTGTATGCATTCCGCGATATTGGACCCGAACTTCCTGCGCTCGCTGGCGACGGACTTACTTCCTTGCCTTCTCGGTGCCTATGGTCTTCAAAGACCGCATTCTCCTCGGATTTTGCATCCATATTCCCGAGGGAGCCTTATATATGGTTTGTTGACAGAACTGGGCCTACCTCAACTGCGTTCCCTTCACGATGGTGAAAGCCCTTCTGTTCGTTGCTCTGGCGCGAGCCGCGCTCACTGTGCATGCCGCCACCGTTGCCTCCCAGCCCTCCGTGACTATGCTAGGCATCGGCGGATCCGGTACGTCTCTCTTCTCTTTTTGCCTATCCCGCCGACTAGACGAGTATCTCAGGCGCCTGGTGGCCCAACGACGTCTACAAGTTCCCCGACTCCGCGCGCACCAACCTCTCCAACCTTCTTTTCTCTGACTCCGGTCTCGGCCTCACAAGCTACCGGTACAACGTCGGCGGTGGTGGAGTGAACGTCTCGAACCCCGTCCGCGCGCCAGAGACCTTCTACGTTTCCAACGGCACGTACAACTGGGACGCGGACGCCGCTGGGCGCTACTTCCTCTACGCGGCACAGGAAGTCGGAGGCGATGACCTCGAGATCACGATGTTTGCGAACAGCGCGCCGGCGGCGATGACGAAGGGGCATGCTTCGTGCAACACCGGCTATGCGGATGGTACACCGTCCATCCCCCTGCTCGTCGCCCCGACTGATGCATAATGCAGGAACTGGCGACTGGTACGGCGGATTCCTCGCGGATGTCATTCAGCACTTCCTCGTCGACGAGGGCGTCTCCAAAATCAAGTATGTTTCCCCCATGAACGAGCCGGACAGCACCTTCGGCCCGTCTCCTTGCGGGCAGGAAGGCATGCAGGTGACGCAGTATCAGTATGCACCATCCCTTCTCCCTTATGCTTTCGGGCCACTGACTCCGCCCTCAGACGGGCCGAGCTCATCAGGGGCCTATTCAACGCGCTGTCGAGCCACGGCCTAACGGACCGAGTGGGGATCCTCGCCGATGAGGCGAACACTCTGGACAGGGCCACAAGCGAGTACAATGACTGGTTACCCCAGGTCATTGACCAAGTACATGCTCTGTCTTGGAAGGTTTCTTACAAAGGCTGACCCAACAATAGGTTGCGGCCATCGTCCACCACACATACGACTTCCCTTCGGACTCGGCGTATGCTTCATATGCTTCCACGGTCAAGCAGCGTTACCCCGGAAAGGCGGCATGGCAAAGCGTACGTGAACAGCCCCTCGATATCTATCGCGGCTCACATCGCATAGGAGGTCTGCTGCTCACTTGGCTCGGCGGATGGTTCTGGACGTGGCTGGTCGGGCGGTTATGACCCAACGTGAGTGCTCGTTTTGCGACTCACCGGGTTCAACTATTTACCTGCGCTCATCTTCAGAATTGCGAACGCTTTGATGTGGTCGGGGATGCTATACCAAAGCATCCTCGTAGGTGGGGAACCACACTACGATTTCTGGACCCTCGTGTCCAATGGCATAGGCTGCAACCCGCGAAGCGACTCTTCATGTCCCTATAGGACCAACTCTGATGGGTGGACGGTAAGCTCATCTCTCTTGGCGTGGCAGAATGTTACTTATGGCCTTACAGGATGGCTTGATCTACTACGACGGAAACTACGCGTCCAACGGAAACTACGAGTTCTGTACGTCGCGCTTCCTTTTCTGCATATCGATCCACTTTCATTGACGCACCCGCAGACCTCACAAAACACTTCTGGACCTTCAAGCACTTCGGCAACTTCGTCAAGCGTACGTCCCTCTCCCTCTCCTCCCCCTTTCGCCTCCCCTGCTCACCCAACCCCCTCTCAGCCAACTCGCCCGTCTACCCCATCTCCGGCGCCGACTCCTCCGTCTCCAGCCGCACCCTCGTTGTCGGCACACCCTCCGGCAACGCCTACAACGTCATCGCCATGAACCCTTCCTCGTCTGACGTCCAGTTCGAGCTCGACTTCCCCCAGAGCGTGACGCCGACGAAGGCGTACAGGACGACGGCGTCGGAGGACTTTGCGGAGCTGGCGGGGACGGATGTGGTGAAGGCGAGTGGGAGTGGGTGGCAGCTTACTGTGACGGGGATGAGCCAGATGACGTTTGTATTCAGCAAATGAATCTAGTGTACGAGAGGATAGTCATAGTGGTTTATGGAACGGGTGTATCAATATGATAGTGAAAGTGTACTCAGTCAAAATCGAGCGCCCTTTCAAGCCGCCTTCCTTCTTTCATCCTTATTTCTCGAACCTGTGCACGGAAATTATACAGTATGTCCCCGTATCGCTTCAACGTCTGGTCGACGGGCACGAAGTAGATCGCCCCAAATGCGAGGGTCGCTGAGATAACCACTCGAGGGGCAAGCGCTTGTTCATAGGTCGCTGACGACTCTGTGGCTTCACCCCTCGTGCCTGTGGCCCACACAAAGACCAGGATAGATACGAGAAAAGCGATGATTGACCTGCAAGTATCTGATTGCGACGCTAAGTGACCCCCCGAGCTCAGGCTTGCGAGGGAGGGAAAGGCGGAGCGAGCAACACTGACTAACCCATAAGAATAGGGCTGCCTCCCCGACCAAACAAGTACAAAAAGACACCATCGGGACTACCATTGAGACTAGATAGTCAGGCATCGGATGGAAAAAAAATTCTGTTACATAGTATCGTTGTATCTATCTTCACTAACACATCTGCAACTCAGGCGATCTCCCCCTTGGCGAGGCTTTCTTCTCTTCATACATCTCTCCCACAGGTGAGCTATCACCTTCCGCATGACCTTTCCATTCGGCCTCACGCGCTTTGAGCTGGCGCTCTCGCCGCATCTGCTCGTGCACGTTCTCGCGCCACCGACGGTCGATCCGGTCGCCGTAGAGCGTAAACGTACGCACGACGAGCACGAAGTACACCGCTCCCAGCGACAGAGAGGCCGATATGATGACGCGGGACGCAAGCGCCTGTCCGGGCGTCTTGAAGGGGTTCGCGTGCTCGAGCTCATCGCCCGCCCCGGTACGCCATACGAAGGCCATGATCGACACGATGAACGAGATGATTGACCTGACGAGTTGCTCAGCGGGGCGCAGGCGAGGAGAATCGACGACACATACCATAATAACCATACGGCAGGCATAGCCAACATGACCCAGACGTTCCAAAATCTATTCGTCGTCGTTCTCTGAGCTTCCTGCGCGGGAGGTCAGCACAGAAGGGAGGCGTACGACGCGAACATACCAAGGCCCATTCGGAAGCCTTGTACATCGCCTTCATGGAGCCGAAGCGGACGGTGTATAGACACCCGTATAGCAGAGACATCAACGTGCACACCAGTGCCAGCAGCGCTGCCGTTCGCACGATTGGGTCCGCCGCAGCGGCGTCGATCTGCAGTATTGTCAAGACCGCACTGAAAGTACATGCAATGAGCAAGGCCGGAAAGTAAAACAGCAAGAAGGACACGCACGACGTCAACAGCGCCGATATAACATTCAAGACCTTCCACTCATGCAGTAGATTGTCCACGAACTGCTCCCAGGTTTTCTTGAACTGAAGCAAAGGGAAGGACAGCTCGTAACCCTGCGGCTCGTGGAACTGGTAGCCGTAAGCATAGTCCCTGAATCCACCGCTGGCGTCCTTGTGAATACCACCACGGGCGTGATCTCGAGTTCCGCCATAGGCATCCCTCCCACCGAGCGCCTTTTCCCACTGCGTGGCGCGCGCGACAGCCATGCGGATGATATCCCGCCTGCAGAGGTCCGCGTTCTCGAAGACGCGCGCCACACGCGAGAAGTACAGCGCGGGCAGGCGGAAGAGCGCGCAGAGGTAGAGGGTGGTCGGTACGACCTGCCATATGAAAGTGGTAAAGGCAGCAAACCTGCTCACGATGGCCGTGAACGGTCGTGGAGGACTGTGGAGCTCGGCTGAATCATTGGCATTGACTGAGATATGAATGGGAGGAGGGGTGATGGGGGCGGGTGGTGCCTTCGGGATGGGCGCAGGAATCCTCATAGATGCGCCTCCAGGTTCCACGACCGACTCAGGGCGTGAATGAAAGGGCCCCATCCATTGAAAATCGAGCGACGTGAGTGACCGAGGCGAATGCTCGGACTCTGCTTTGTCCAAGCTCGATAAAGTGCGGCCATGGGGGCCATGCGAGAGCGTCGAAGATCGAATGGACGGCGGACGAGTAGACGGTGGTTCAGGGGATGGCGGTCGAGTGAATAACAGTCCTGGGGATGGCGAAGGAGGGGGCGACGTTCGAGCGGACGGAAGATGATTCGGTGGTAAGCGGATAGATGGTGTATAAGTAGATGGCGGCCAGAGAATGGTGTCAGAGGGCGGACGAAAGGGTGATGGTGAACCATCATCGAGACCATATGGAACGTGCGCAGAAGGAGGCACTGGTGTACCGTATCCAGCCGCATCGTGATAGGGCCCTGCTGCTGGCTGTATGATGGATTCCGTTCTCCCTCTGCTTCGGAGTTTGCGTCTTCTAACGTCCACCTCGAGGTCGAGCTCCGTCGAGGAAGGAGACAGTGAGACATCTTCGGGTACCACCTGCGGTACACGAGGCACTGCATCTGGCTTATATCGTCCAAAAGGCGCCTGCGCCAGTATCTGGCTCGCTGAAGGCCCAGCTTCGACGTCGACTGTGGCGTCGTTTAGGCGCCGACCCCAGCGTCCGCGCCAGGGGTCGACGGTCATAAAAGGTGCATCTAGGTCTTCATCGTTGTCAAATGCTCGGCGCGACTCTTGCTGTGTGAGGCTCGGGAGGTTCCCCTCGGCTGGCATGCTTGAGGACGGCGACAGCAGTGGTGAGAGCGGGCATCATTCGAGAGTCCTTTATGAAGGGTATACGCTTATCATGCGGTATCAGCGCACAGCCTTCGCAGCAGTGGGAGAAGTAGGGGTAATTGAGTTCGTGAGAGCAGGAAGAAAGCAGCTGTGGTGGCTGGTTTGCTCTTGTTTGCGCTGCTGTGGACTTCTCAGGTGCCGGGGCTTGCCGCGGTCACGTTACCACGTCATGCCTCGTTTTCACCGTGAGTCCGTGACCTAGGAAACTGAACTTGCACTGTCTTGAACCTCACCTCGAGTCAACTCACCTCTCTCCCTCATCGATCAGCAGTGTCACCGACTCCTCTATCTGGCGTCGGGACGCTCTTCGGAAAGCCGACCTTACCCTGCATCATCGTCATGAGCGCCCGTCCGAGGTGCATTCGAGCTCGAGTGTACAGTTCTATGACTATCGTGGCTGATTAGAGTATAGTAGATAACCAAGTCTTTAACTACAGACTCAAACGATTAGCACATCTGTAACACAGGCGATCTCATCCCCATCGGCGACTCGGCTTCCTTCCTTTCGTACATTTCTCCCATAGGCGGACTACAACGGCCCGCCGCGGGGGCACGGCCTCTGAAGCCGGCCGCGCAAGCTTCCAATTGACGCTCATGGCGGATCTGCTCGTGCACGTTCTCGCGCCACCGACGGTCGATCCGGTCGCCGTAGAGCGTAAACGTACGCACAACGAGCACGAAGTACACCGCTCCCAGCGACAGAGAGGTCGATATGATGACGCGGGACGCAAGCGCTTGTCCGGGCGTCGTAAAGGGGTTCGCGTGCTCGAGCTCATCGCCCGCCCCGGTACGCCATACGAAGGCCATGATCGACATGATGAACGCGATGATTGACCTGACGAGGTGCTCAGCGGGGCGCAGGAGAGGAGAACCGACGGCGCCTACCATAATAACCAAACAGCGGGCATCGCCAACATGACCCACACGTTCCAAAATCTGTTCGTTGTTGTCTTTTGAGCCTCCTGGCGATAAGGGTCAGCGTTGTTGATGGCAGCGTCAGAAATATACTACTCACGAGAGCCCACTCGGAGGCCTTGTACATCGCCTTCATGGAGCCAAAGCGGACTGTGTAAAGACAGCCGTATAATAGAGACATCACGTGCAGACTAGAGCCAGCAGCGTTGCCGTCCGCACGACAGGGTCTGCCGCGGCGGCGTCAATCTGCAGTATGGTCAAGACCGCTCTGATAGTTCGAGTCAGGGACAACTCGGGCCAGACGAGAAATGATGACGCACGAGGTCAGCAAGGCCGAGATGACATTCAGGACCTTCCACTCATGCAGCAAATTGTCCACGAACTGCTCCCACGTTTTCTTGAACTGAAGCAACGGAAAGGACAGCTCGTCCCCTTGCGGCTCGTGGAACTGATAGCCATGAGCATAATTCTGAATTCTATCATAAGCGCGATCTTGACTCCCGCCGTAGGCATGGCTGCTTCCGAGCGCCTTCTCCCACTGCGTGGCCCGCGCGACGGCCATCTTGATAACGTCCCGCCTGCAAAGCTCCGCGTTCTCAAAGACGCGCGCAACGCGCGAGAAGTACAGCGCCGGAAGGCGGAAGAGCGCGCAGAGGTAGAGCGTCGTGGGTATGAGGCGCCATAGGGAGGCAGCGAACGCGCCAGACGCGCGCGCAGCCCTTCCACCATACACGCTGGCTCGTCTGAGGCTGGCCTTCGCATGCGGTTCTGGGAGACGTTCGCAGAGAGCGGCCGAGAGCTGCGGCGTAGGCGGGCGGTGGTCCACATGTACACCTTCAGGGTTCGAAGCAGAACTAGTGTGTCTGCCTACCTTTCGAGGTGACTCGGGAGATATGAAGGAATCCCGCCTAGACTCGTCGGATACACCATCCACGTTCGAGGGGCTATTCGAGCGAGAGGGCGCACGAACAGATGGCGACCCAGTACATGTCTGATGCGTAGACGGGGCTGGCGCTGACGGTGGTATGATTGACGGCGACTGCCTGAGACTTGACAGCGGGCGAATGGGTGACGGAGAGTGATGAGAAGAATGGGAAGCTGGCGATCCATGACCTATGGGAACAGTATGTGAAGCATGTATCGCTGCGGGGAGTGGTGGACATGCTTCCAGAGGCGCATGAGCTAGTGGTCGGCTTGGTTTCGTAGGTCCACCTTCCAAGTCGACATCGGTTATATGCGAACAGGTCCAACGTTGGCGGCGTAGATGGGCCGCCGTGCGGAAGGGGTCGACGGTGACGAATGGAGCATCCAGGTCCTCGTCGTCAGCATAGATGGGCTGCGGCACATTGCGCGGTGCACCAAGGAGTTCCCGGTAGGACGACATGCTCTGAACGGCAGCGGTGGTGGCGGGGATCATGTCAGACGCTGGGTTTTATGTAGCCCATATTTATCATGTCGTGTGAGCGTACTGCCTCCATACCAGTGTTCAGCTGAGAACAGAGGTTCATACAGAAGCAGGGGAAGTCAGAAAGCCTTCGATATCGTGAGGGAAGGAGGAGAGTAGCTGTGATTGGTTCCGGTCATGATGAGGGCAATGTTTCGAACTATTTGTTCCCGCTGGTGCTATTGCTATTACTATCAGGACACGCTCTCGCGGTCACGTTACCGGGCTTGTACTTAGGCAAGCCCTCCAACCCGAGTCAGTCGTCGAACTTCAATTTGCATAAGACAAACCCGGAATATGCGAGTACCATCCGCCTCATCCATGTCTTCTTGCCACGGCATTGGGGTGTACAGCCCGGTATACGCTTCCTTCAGTATATGAAGGGCGTGGCTGCACCTGAAGACCACTTCAAGTACTTCCATAGCCTTCCAAATGACCTTGGGCCCCCGGACCTTGGGCTATACTCAGGACAGTGATGAATAGCACCCTCCCTGTCCCCCTCCGCAGCGTCCATCGATCCAGTATCAGGTCAAATGACAGATCGATGTCGTCAGGGGGAGCGCGCTATATCTGCTCAACATCATCCTACGCAAGCTCAGCGGCAGCGAGCAGTTCCCCAGACCACCCTAGGATAACCCACTACCATGCCCCTCTCCCGCCACATCCAGCCTGAGGACGTCCTCGCCGCCTCGCGCGACCACCCCCACCGCAAGCACACCGATCGCCATGAGCGGCACGTCCTCGAGCAGTCCTGGACGCGCGACGAAGACGCGGCCTCCGCGCCCAAATACACCTTCCCCACGCGCGGCATCCCCTCCAAGGCCGCGTACCAGCTCCTCCACGACGAGGCCGCGCTCGACGGCAACCCGACCCTGAACCTCGCGTCCTTCGTGCACACCTGGATGCCCGACGACGGCGTGCGGCTGTTCAACGAGGCGATCGACAAGAACCTCGCGGACCAGGACGAGTACCCGGCGGCGCAGATCATCCACAACCGCTGCGTGTCGATGCTCGCGCACCTGTGGAAGGCGCCGACCGCGGACACGACGGCGGTCGGGACGGCGACGGCGGGCTCGTCGGAGGCGATCATGCTCGCGGGCCTCGCGCTGAAGAAGCGCTGGCAGGATGCGAGGAAGCGGGCCGGGAAGGACCACTACCATCCGAACATCGTTTTTGGCGCGAACGCGCAGGTTGCGCTGGAGAAGTTCGCAAGGTGAGTAGCCAGTATACTTCTCTGGTCCCCATCTCACATGAATCTAGATACTGGGACGTCGAAGCGCGCATGGTGCCCGTCAACCGCGAGACGTCCTACGTCCTGAAGCCGGAAGACGCCATCCAATACATCGACGAGAACACCATCGGCGTCATGGTCATCCTCGGGTCGACCTACAACGGCGCCTTCGAGGATGTTGGGCGCATGAGCGGCCTTCGTAAGCTATACCCTTGCAGTACACCTTCAACTTCTCCTCACTATATCCACAGTCGACGACCTCCAGGAGCGCACAGGCCTCGACATCCCCATCCACGTCGACGCCGCCAGCGGAGGCTTCATCGCGCCCTTCGCGTACCCCGAATACAAGTGGGCATTCGACGTCTCGCGCGTAGTCAGGTATGTCTATGAGCCTCCGCAGCTTCTCCACTTCGTTGCTCAACGAACGCCCCAGCATCAACTCCTCCGGCCACAAATTCGGCCTCGTATACCCCGGCCTCGGCTGGCTCATTTTCCGCGACGAGAGCTGCCTGCACAAGGACCTCGTCTTCGAGCTGCGTGAGTGGTGCGATTCAATATTACCCTGCCCATGGTACTCATGCGGCGCAAAGACTACCTCGGCTCCGTCGAATACTCCTACACGCTCAACTTCTCCAAGCCCGCCGCGCCCGTGTTCGCCCAGATGTTCAACTTCCTCAACCTCGGGTACAACGGCTACGCCAAGATCGCCTTCAAGGACCTCCGCAACGCGCGCATGCTCGCGCGTGCCCTCGAGCGCACGTACTTCACCGTGCTCTCCGAGATCCATCGCCCCGCGCCAGATGCGCCGGCGGGTGTGGATGAGGAGGACCCGCAGTTTTATGTGAAGGGGCTGCCCGTGGTGACGTTCCGGTGAGTCGGCACGAGTCAGGCATACAAGCCAGAGGCAAGGCAGCCAAGGACTGACAATGACTGACGAGGCGACTGCAGCTTGAATGACGAGTACAAGCAAAAGTACCCGCATGTGAAGCAGGCGTGGATCCAGACGAGTTTGCGGACGAAGGGGTGCGTATTAGCATGTTTTTCCCGTCCTCTCTCAACTTATAATTGTCCAACCTATAATTTTCGCCAAAACCAACTCACGCCCCTCCCAGCTGGATCGTCCCGAATTACAACGCGCCCAAGGGCGAGGAGCAGACGGAGATGCTGCGCGTCGTCGTGCGCGAGAGCATGACGGAGGACCTCATTGAGCGTCTGATCGTCGATATCCTGCAGATCGTGGAGGCGTTTATGGACGGTGAGTGTAGGGATTTTGCGGGGCGGGGCAGCCGCCGCCGGGACTCTGCGAGGCCGTCCCTTTTAGCGGGACTCGAGGCTGGCGCTGTCGGCGGGCTTCTGCGGGTTTACCGAATTTTGTCAATGAGCAGTACATTGACTACAGATTCTGCGCAGACTCCGACGGTACCCAGATGATGATTGCGTACACGGGAGGCAGTGGGCCGCACCAACCGGACATGGAGGTAAGTCTTGCGTCTTGTTTATTATCATTTTCATCGCGCTCTACGACGAATACTGCTTGTTGGCTCGAGGGATTCTGAGCTGCTGGTAATGCAGTTTGAGGCGGTAAAGCTGGAAGGTGTTCTGCTGGACCGTGAAAGCCTTTCGACCTGGCTGCGGCAACCCACCTCGCGGTTCCTGCGAACCCTTTCATTTCATTTGTCGAACATGCACCTCCCCTCTCGGACCTTCTGCTTCTCCGCGCCCTCATTCGTGCCCTCTTTCTGCTTCATGTTGTTGACATGCTATGTAGCACTCGCGTCCCAAGGCAGCAAACTTTGGCGGCGCAGACAAGAAGGTAGACGAGTCGGTGGTCCCGCAGGCAGGGTACAGCCGGCAGTGCTAAGCGGTGAACAATGTATTCCAATCTACTGCCTGGATGTATTTGTAGCCTTTTCGATCTGCTGTAGCGAACTGTGTACGCTGGCCTGCATCGTGGTGATGGGCGGAACAGCTGTGTGACTCACGGGTAAAGTTCCAAGTCAGAGATCAGCCGCGTCCACGTGCGGATCAAGGCGCGCTACCGACTGTGCATGCCGGCCCATTGTTCTCTCTTTACGAACCGGCATTCGCTGGTAACGGCTGCGCTTCCCGCTCGCGCACGCCGCACGATCTTTTGATTACAAGCCGAGACTCCCCCTTCATCTCCGACACCTGATCAGCCCAAGCGCGCCGATATCACATTCGCGCGCGTGCATGGATTCAGCCTGAGCGTCCCTCTCCCCGTGCTCGTACTCGCCAGCGTTCCCTTGAGATCGGTATCCGTGCAGTCGCTCCTTACTCTCTACCGTGATCGCGAGTACGTACATCCAGGAAGGGTCGAGGAAGGAGGGTCGGGAGAACAATAGGACATATACGGGCGCTGGCTTTTGGTGTCAAGCGTGCATCGGTGCGTGGGCCCCCCATACCCCCGGACGCGTACTGAAGGCGCGCAGGCATAGTTGATGCTATATCACGACAGCCCGCGTCAACCAGGTATCGATATCGGCCCCGCGTCGCGTTGCGCGCCACAGCTGCCTCCTATCCACGACACGCTGAACCACCTCCCGGCATTGATGCAACCTTCGTCGTCCTCCCAGCCCGCACCATCTCAGCGCAATGCGTCCGGTAGCTCGACGGCAAAGGAAAGGCGACGGACGTCGCGGGCCACCTCCGGCGGGGACAAGAAGAAAAGGCAGCGTGTGACCTCGGACCAACTGGCCCACCTCGAGAGCATATTCGCCGTCGAGCACACCCCGACCCAAGAACGGCGACGCCAGATTAGTCAAGCGCTGGGTATGGAAGAGAAGCAGACCAAGGTCTGGTTCCAGAATAGGTGCGAGTGCAGTGCATTGCAAACCGCTCCGTGCTGACGCGTGTTAGACGGGCAAAAATGAACAGGGAGTCGAAGGACGGCAGCGCTCCTGCAGTCATCTCGCCCGGGACGGACAATCTCATGCAGCTGTTTCGAGAACAAGAGGGTAGGCGCGCGTGCTCAACCTCCATTTTCGTCGGGCCTAACATTCAATTCAGGCGTGACATTCCTTCCTACCGTCGATCTACGCATAGGGTCCTGGCGCCGCATACGCAATCCTGAGACCAACGATCTTGCCGGCTACGTCTGTCCCCGCTCACGTTCATTGTGCTGGTTCGTGCACGCTGGTGGCCGCCGCTACGAGATGTCCATCTCGTTCGACTCGATCATCAAGATTGACTATAACGAGCACCCCGTCCCGGACAACCTCTTCGCGTTCATCCACCTCTCCCAACCGCCGACATTCTGGTCACATGAGCCGCGCGACACTGGACCTAATGCCTGGCAATTAGGCACGGACTGGACGGAGGATCATCAAGCCACCTCTGTTCTGACGCATGTTGCTGCAGGCTCAAAGCCTCATCTCGTGGAGTTGCAGAGGCTGCTCATGAACGATCGGAGTGCGAAGCATGGCCATGCAACAGGACAGGCATCATCGGCGACCGCACAGGGCCCATCGCTGTCGCCACTAATGCCGTCCGAGCGACAGGATGCCGCCGCTGCAACGCAAAGCCATCTTGGCCGAGGGCACCCAGCGTCCAACCCATACTCTACAGCGCCGGCTATGCAAACGCAAGATAGCGCCATGCCACCTTCGTCCTTCCTAAGCCAACAACCGCTGGAGCCGCTCAACCAGGAAACCGTGCTTGCTGCCCCCGTACCTACCAAACCGCCATTAATACTTCCGGTCCATCAGCAAAGCTATGAGCAGCCATGGTCTGCAGGTCCGCCATCCGTCTCCCCACCACGCACGACCTCATCAGAGATCTCCGCGTACTCCCTGCCGCCGAACCTCCCCGCTCCTCCCATCCCACCGTCCCAGCCAACTTCCCAGCCGTCCCACGGCATGCCTAATGGACGGATGATGCCGCCTGATACGATGAACGCACCCCATCAATCAATGCCACCGCCGCCGCCACCGCATACGATGCCCCCGCCATCGATGACCGCGCACTCTCAGGCGGCCCAGCAGGGCTCGCGCCGGTCAGTGTCTTATCAGATGCCCGAGCGCGTGACGAGGCAGAATCGGCGGCATGAACCGTACGACGTCGCTGCGCATAGTTCGCGGCGTGCGTCGACGGGCTCGGCGCTGCAGCCGCCCTCGGCGTACGGCTCAGCGGGGACGCAGAGTTATGCACAGGCTGCATATGCACAGCAGCAACAACAGCAGCAACAGCAACAGCAGCCGCAACAGCCGGGACAAACAGCGTATGGGCAAGGCGAGCAGGCACAACGGCCGAACCAAGCACCGCCTGCTGCTGGAATGCGTCATGCCCCGGCCATTCGACGCTTGTCTGTCAGCTTCGGCCAGAAGCAGCCCGTGGATTTGCGCCTAGACGATGACGCCTCGCCAGAACAGTATCAGCCTCCTCCCCAGCAAGTTTACAACCTCCCACCACCCAGCGCGTATGGGAGCGCATACCAGTCAGCACCTCCTGCGTCCTTTCCTCCAGCCCCGCCACCTGGTCACTTCCCTCCTGTGCCGCCACCACAATCCTTCCAGGCGCCTGAACCGGCGCGCCACACGCCACAGTCGTATGGCAACGAGGCTTCTACCTCACGGGCGCCCTCGCCCGAGCCGACGCACAAGCTACCCGACTCGCCGCTATTGACCAAACCTTGGATACCTCCACCGCACATCCTTGAGAACCTGAAGCGTGGTGCAGAGGCTGCAGAGGCCGAGAAGCGGGCTGAGGCGGCGAGGAAGAAGGCCGAAGCGGCCAAGAAGGCGGCAGAGGAGGCGCAGCGGGCAGCGGAGGAGGCGATGAAGGAGGCAGAGGCAGAGGAGGCCGCGCAGCGGGAGATCGCGCAACGTGCGGCGCAAAGGGAGGCGGCCGAGCGCGAGGCAGCCCAGCGAGAGGCGGCGCAGCGGATGATGCCGCCAATACAGGAGGGGTACAACTCGGGGGCGTACTACTCGCAGAACCAGAGCGAGTACTATGCGGCACAGAACTACGGGGTGCCGCCCCCGCCGCCCGAGAGCAGCGCACCTTCGTCTACGTCTGCGACGCCAACGCCTCCAGCGCAGTATGTGTACGACCCCACGACGGGGATGTATATGAACATTGCGTATCAGTATCGGTAACAGTAATAATCCTGGCGATGGCCTTCGTTTCATGCCTTCGCCAAGCTCGCCTCGAATTCTACTATGACTTGTCTACCTACCATATCGTCACGTCCTTCTCGCGTCGAGTCTTCGTTCTTCCGCATCGTCGCATGTTCCTCGTTTCCTGCCTTGCTCGCTCTACTGCTAACACACTTCCCTTACCGCTTACACGTACTCTTTCACTGTTTCCTCGCTTGCCTGTGCACTTACTACTACACTATCCTGTATCATACTTTCCTTCCAAGTTGTCGCTGCACTCCTGCTAGTCGTATATGCTTGTACGCCCCGGCCTCGAACTGCACTTACGCCCTCGACCCGCACCTCTGGTATTGTCTGCATCCGGTCTCTAGTACTGCAATCATCTAAGTAAGGTAATTTCTGATATAATACGGTTTATTAGTGGATAGTGGGCTGTTTAAAAGGAAATGGTCGTGTGTCCACCGCTGGGAGCATCGCGCAAGGCGCATGCATGGGGGGGGGTCCATCGGCGTTTGCCGATGGACGATGTTGAATTCGGAACACTCCGATGCCTCTTGCTTTCGACCTTCACCATCGCCAATTTTGTCTCATGAAGGGGCCTTTTCACCTCATTTCACGCGCAATCTTCGCGATCACCCGTGAACTACGTCGATTTCTCCAACTCGATAAGCCTACGACGCCATCTCGTTCGGAACGACATACGCACCGCACCGCACCGCCCAGAACAGAGTAAATCATCCTCCAATCCTAGTCGACCTTCTCTGTCAGCCGAGCTCGTATACCTCGCAGTCTGTCCTGTAAAGTCTCATGAGCTCCCTCACTGAATTAATTCGGCCCGTGCACTCTGGCGTATCGAAGGCTGAGAACCCTCAGAATTCACAGCGTCTCTCACGCTCGGTTCCTGCGCCTGTGACGTCTCTCTCTGTCCTGCATGGTCAACGTCTACAGGATAGGACCTGGGCACATTTTACTGACACCGAGTTTGGAGTACCTGTGTCTATTGCTAAGTATGGTTGCTTTCCCCGCAATTGATACGCATGACATGAAGTCGTATTCTCCCCTACATAAAGGGCTTCGTCGAGCTGCGATAACTCATCCTCACCATGGCTGCACCACCTTCCCCGCTACGCGTGCTAGCTGACACGATCTCTCAGGCGGTCACCGTCATCGACGACGCCTTTGCGCTCACCGGACGGTCCTACCCGCCGCTCCGCGCACCTTTCAATGCTGACTCCCCTAGCGAGGCACTCTTTCGCCAAGAGGAAGTAGCGAAGGCTGTGGACACCATTCTGCAATCATGTAGCGCCTTGACCGCGTCTGCAGGCACTCCTCACCTTCGGGTAGTCCAGAAGACGATGGGGGTACGTCCGCTTCATCATGTTGGTGTTCCTATCTCACCTGCACACAGTATACAACCACCGCCGCGCTCGGGGTCGCTATCGACGGCTACGTCGCCGAGATACTGCGCGACCATCCCAACGGACTTCACTACAAGGACATCGCGCTGCGCAATGGCCTGAACGCGGACAAGCTAGGTGCGATTGCCTCTGGCATTCCTCTTTGCCATTCCCAATGTTGATCTTGAATTACAGGCCGTATACTGCGAAAGCTAGCCTCTGTACATATCTTCACGGAGGTTTCCCCAGACGTCTTCTCAAACAACCGCTTGTCATCGGTCCTTGATACCCACAAATCTGTACAAGGAGTACAGGCTAAGTACGCGCTGTTCAAAGTAACTATCTCTTGTGGGCTTACTTCTCTCATCCGCAGTCCCGTCGAGCACTTCACTGGTAGGTTCTTTCGGTGCGCGCATGGAAGCACCGTGACATGAAATGTTCCAGGATCGCAGGGAATAGGGTCTTATATTTACAAACTGTGAGTTGACTTGAGCACGCACGCGAAATCCTCGTTATGACCATGCTATTAGAACCGACGCCGACCTCAAGAGCGCTGCCAATCTCTCTGAGACGCTCAATGATCCGGAATATGGCGATGAAGACGTCGGCGAGAAGTCCGCATTGTCGGTGGGTCTGTTCCTTGCTCATACCTGGATCATACGCTGAAAGCGAATGTTTCAGTATACGTTCAAGACCCCTTTGGGCATGTATGACTGGCTCGAGCAACCAGGGAACGAGCGACGTCTGGCTTGCTTCTCAGACGCCATGAGGGCCCAGATAACTTCCCTACAACCACCGAATGCTGTCGTACTGGAAGGTCAGACCCATGATATATATTTCTGGGGCCTTGCTGAAATTTGGCAACGACTGGACTAGGTTTCGACTTCTCCGCGCTTGATCCCGGCTCGAAGGTAGTGGATGTCGCCGGAGGTATCGGTCATGTTGCTATGGCCATTGCGAAGCGATACCCCGAACTTCATTTCGTTCTCGAGGAGCGCCCTGCAGTTCTCGAACAGGCCAAAGAGGTGCATTCGTCCTATACACGCTCATAGTTTAGTATACTGACGGGAGTCCTGGTTTCCAGTTCTGGTGCAAGGGACTCTCTGACGCCTCCATCGAATTCGTGCCCCAAGATTTCTTCCAGCCGCAAGTCATACAGGACGCCTCCGTCTTCCTCCTCTTTCACATCTTGCATAATTGGGGCAAGACGCGTGCCGTAGAAATCCTACGGAACCTGCGCCTGGCAGCGGGCCCAGATACGAGGCTCATCATCGGGGATATGGTATGACCCGCTGCCTCACGCTCATTCACTGCAATAGAATGCTGAATGTGGTCGCATGTAGATCATCCCGCATGCATCCTACGAACAACCTGCTGTCGCTAGCAAGATCGAGGGCGCGGATACGCTCTTGTCGCCAGTCTCACCTCTTCTGGCCCCTGGCCGAGCGGAGCACGGCACAACGTTGGACATGCTCGTACGTCCGTTCTCAATTCAGAGAAAGAAGCCTCTCGCTGACCACGATGTAGATGCTGGCCGACCTCAACGGCGAGGAGCGCACGTTAGGCAGATTCGTTGATCTACTGGAAGCTGGCGGCTGGTCTATCGTCGAGGTACACCATATGCAGGGAGCCTTTGACTCGCACATGGTGGCTGCCCCTGTGTAGAACGCTACTCGTGCATTCTTCATTGCTTCAATCCTCCTAGTTCAGACATACATACGAACAATACATTTTGATCAATTGCACGCTCGAACGCACCATTACCTAATTTTGTCCGCCCTTGTTTTCACGTCGCGCTCGTCGCATATCCATCCAGCCCGTCCACCACGCCGTACGCGACTCCCTCTTTCCCGAACATGCGTCGCAGATCGTCTGCGAGCGCCTCAGGAACCTCATACGCCGCAAAGTGTCCGCCCTTGTCGTGGTCGGCTTCGAAGACGACATTGCCCATCTGGCGCGTCCACCTGAAGGGGGCATGTCAGCATCGATTATGGAGCAATGCATGGCGAAAGGCGTAATGACCACGGCGACACGCCAAGGCGGCGACATGCGAAGACAGCCTCCGCACGCATAAGAGCAGCCACACTCACGCCCTCGGAAACCGCGACAACTCGCGCGGGAAGAAGCTCAAGCCAAGCGGAATCGTCGGCTCCTTCTCCACAAGGTTGAATACCGACCCCAGCCCGGGCCGCTGCATCGCTTCGTAGTACGTGCGGAAGGTGGCGGCGGGCCCCGCGCGCGAGAGCCAATAGAGCGAAACCCAGGTGAGAACTATGCCCCCGACAACGTTAGCACGAGCCCACTGAGTCGGCTGCTAAGTACGCACTCTCATCATCAGTCCACGGGTACTCATCGCCCCAAGAGAGCAGCTTCTCGGCTATCCATGCCAAAAGACCGACCGGAGAGTCGGTCAGCGCGTACGCAATTGTCTGCGGCTTGGTGCCCTGTAGAGTAACGTCAGTCCAGAGGAAATCTGTGAGAAGCGAAAAGCCGGAGATCGGCGAGAGGCATACCTGTACCATCACGTATCCCATCTCCGTCTCTCGAAACTCGCTTGTCTTCCTCCACGCATTTTGCTCTTCCGGCGTGCAGGACTCGATTGGGTGCTCCGTGTCCGGGTGTCCGCTACCAATGTTCGAGTGAGTAGTTCGCGGGAAAACAACGGGCACATACAAGGGAAAGTTCGTATGCCATGCCTTCACGGAGGTCGACCCATACTTGCTTGCAAGAACCCTGGCGACCTTCGCCTAGTAAGCACGTGGGACTAAGCAGTCATAGTTATGTGCCTTCGTACCGACATGCCCCAGTCGCCTCCTTGTGCCACTAGCAAAGGCGTGTTAACAGATGATGTCAAGGACCACCGTGATGAAGGGCCTACCATACTGCGTGTATCCTAGCGTTCCCATGAGCTGATAACAGATCTGCCCACCGTAAGACACCTCCCCAATATCATCCGATTCTCGAGGGAGGAGCACGCACCTCAGCGTATTCGGGGAGCCCGAAGCCCCTCTTTGTTGGCGCCTCCGAGAATCCATAGCCCGGGAGGCTTACGGCGACAACGTGGAAGCTTGGATGCTTCTCCGAAGCCGCGGTGAGCAAGGGGATAATCTTGCGTGCTTCAAGGAAGCTCCCAGGCCCTACCGATCCGTATTAGTCGATAGGCAGACATAGATATGGGTCAGCTTACACCCATGAACGAAGAGGAGAGGAATCGCATGGGCGACTTCGCTCTTCTTGTGAACGAAATGAATGTTCAGTTTACCATGGCCTTCGACCTCCAAATTAGTCGTGAACTGTGGCAGCTCGGCGTTAATAGCAGCTTCCTGAGCGCGCCAATCGTAACCACTGCTCCATCGGTTCGCAAGACGTTTGACGAGAGCGGGAGTGGCCCCGTAGTCCGACCCAGCATCTTCCAGCTCGTCCGGCCACGTGACAAGTTCAACTTTTTGGTGCAGAAGAGCGAGTTTCTCTTCGGGGACGGCGATTTTGAAGGGCGATGGGGACGACATGGTTGGCAGAATCCTTCCGAGTCTGCTTGACGTCTCGGGGTTTTAACCCATGCTTCAAGAAGTGCGAGTAGGACGGATCTCGTCAAAGACGCTGGTGGAGTCAGGTCACAGCATGGAGCGACCAGTGCGGGGAGATCTGCCGCGGTCGGGGAGCGCACCGCGGCTGAGACCGGCACGTTGACCTGTCACGGTCACGCACACGCTTCCACGGCAAAGTCCGATGCACCTTGTCCTCTCACCGCGAGCCTGCGCCCAACGCTCACACTGCACATATCATGACGATGGAGACACTCTGAATCTGTTTCGAAAAACTCCTCGACGGCGTGGCGATGATGCTGCTTATGTCTCCGATTTTGATGGCGAGACTGTGGCGAGACGTCCTGCTTGACCCCCTCCGCAGGCTGAGACCTTTGTTGCTACGGGCCTCACCCAAGACATAGGCATCAAACCGCATACCCTGAAGGCTTTAGCAACGCACCCTACTCACATTTTCTCTAAGACATCTTGCTTTTATGTCTGATTCTTCGATTTCGCGACGTACTGTTCCTGCCTCAAAAGGCCACGTTTGATAATGCGGACCCCCAATCTCCGCCAGCTCGACATTCAACCCACCCCTCCTGCCCTCAAGCCAAACCTGAACCTCGCCGTCATGCTGACTGTCGTCGCCCTCGCTCTTCTCCCAGCTGTACTCAGCAAGCCGTTGCCCCGCCAAACGACTACATCGACAAGTACTGTTTACATCCATCCCAATGGCAACACCGATTTCTGTCTTGGCGCTGCTGGATCAAGAAACGGCGCCCTTGTCGACATCTTCGATTGCGCCATGAAGTCAGAAAGCACCCCTACATGGACTCTCGACACTGACAAGAAACGCTTCCAACTCAACGGCACGCAAATGTGTCTCGACGCTGGCGCAGACAGTCAGTCGCTTATCACTTTTTCTACTGCCGTCTTCATCTCACTAACGCCTCTGCTAGTCACCGACGGCGTGTCTATGAAAATCTGGCAATGCTACGACAACCTCCCCCAGCAGCAATGGTCCTACAACACCGACGACCAGCATTTCGCCGTGGCTAGCGGCTCCGAATGCCTCGACCTCCACGACGGACACGTCGTCGACGGCGCATACACGCAGACTTGGCAATGCAGCAACGATAACACGAATCAGAAGTGGACTACCAGCGAAAGCAACGTCTCTACCACGCCTCCAACAAGTCAGGCGCAGGTATTTCATCCCAAAGGCAATACCAAGAAGTGCCTCGAGGTGTACGGAAACATTGCGAACGGGTCACCAATCGAGATGTATGTCGAATGCACCCCCTTATCGCGAAGTCGATATTGACATTTCTTCCAGAGCCGACTGTGACGGCACCAACCACCAGAACTGGGTCCTCTCCCGTGGAAGCACTGTCGTCAAGCTCGCCGGCACGAACTTTTGCCTCGACGCCGGCGAAGACAGTACGTCGATCTCCTTCTCCGCTCACCACCCTTGCTAATGTCCCTGCTCAGTCCGCAACGGCGCCACCATGAAGCTCTGGCAATGCTACGAGGGCCTCGCGCAGCAGACCTTCTACTACACCGACGACAACCGCATCGCCGTTGAGGGCCGCGGGCAATGCCTCGACCTTACGGGTGGAATTCTCGAGGACGGCAATGTCATGCAGACCTGGGCGTGCACGGCCGGCAACAGGAACCAGATCTGGGATTAGAGGCTGCTAAGTACCTTCGCTTCAAGGGCTGTACTGCGCGACAAACCTGTATCTCATCTCAGCGTGCAATTGATACCACTACGTCTCGCCGCTACATTCCCTCGACTAACTGGAAAAGGAGAGGGTGGCAATGCTTCGCCTGATCACTCGACTCCGAGAACTATGATACAAATGGTACAGTACTTCTTCACAAGGCATGATCATCCAGCATGCGGCCACGAGCTGCAGCAAGGGTCGCAAGGGCGGCGGACGCGACGTTTCTTCCTTTTCGGCTTCGAGGTTGCTTTCTTGGCTGAAGAAGACATAAGCTTTCTGTACGCACTCATCTGGACACCAACGCACGCTTCACTGGCGCAAGGGCCGCCTCATCATGCCCGTCCATCTCATGTTGGTCGTTCTCCTTCCCTTCGACAGCCGCGCGCGCTTCTCGTGCTTCGAGTTCATGGACGGGACGCAGCCGGCCACAGCACGAGCACACCCTGCAGCGCACATACACGTCCTTCGGCTTCTCCTCCCAGTACTTGACGCGCAGCTGGCGTATGATCTAGCAAGAGGATGTAAGCGACAGCAACCTCCGCGCAGCACCACCACGTACCCCAGTAATCTCCCTATCGTCATTCGGGTGCTTGTCCATCGCGCGCTCGAACGCCGCGACCGCATCGCTCTGCCACGAGCCCTCGAAGCCCTTCTCGCGCGCGTCGTGCGCGGTCTCCGTCACCTCGGTCGTCGTTTCGGTGACAGCCTTGTCCTTCGACGCGGCCTTCCCATCGCCAAACGGCAAGCGGAACGCATCGAAGCCCGCCTCCTTCAGATACGCCGAGAACACATTCTTGATCGTCGGGTCCGGGAACGCAAGCTCAACGGCGCGGACGAGCGCAGTAGACATCGCGGATGGTCATTCTGGCGCTTGAGCCCATCAGCGCAACGCACATACAGCAGGAAAGGGGGAAAGACGCACCAAAGACAAAGACAACGTTCTCAGGAAGAAGAGAGCAGCGGGGAAGAAGCACCCTCCCCATCTTCGGTCATTTATAGCAGTGACGGAGGGGAGGACCGCCCCAGTGACCGGGCTGGTGTCGAAGACTACCACTGGATGGCACAATGGACACACCTCCGATCATACTTCAGCGCGGAGCCGGGAAGCTAGGCCTATCCACACTCGAGAACCTTACAGGTCGGCCAATCGTGCGGCGCAAGCGCGTCATAGCGCACTCTATGGTGCATATGTACATGGGCCCCGCGAAACTGGCACCCAGCATCGATATCATCAGCGCCATAAGGAGATCAAGAACAACTTCATCATTAAAGCGGCGTCGCGGACATCGAGCAGACGTAGTACACGGCCGCGCTTTTGGTGCTACTCGGGGGGAAGGAGTAGTGGCGCGGCGGGTCTTTATACAACGAGCGGGGAGTATGCAACGATGGGGAGGGTGGTTGGACGTGGTGTCGGTGATGGGTGTGCGAGCGGCTTGCTAGAAGATGCAATCGCAGATTTCTACGAGGGATGATCAGATGGAGGAAATATGCGAGTGAGAGGGAAACACACCTTCAGCACAGCAACAGCAAAGGATACCCGCGAGACAGGCCATGCACCCGGCGTCTCCTCCGCTGTCCTTCTGCGGCGGTTGCTGGCTGTGAAGAGTATCAGTTAGATATCCCAAACGTCCGCGGAAGGAGGGATGATTTTGTCCGAGAGGCATGCCAACTCACACGACGTAGACGGTCTGCGGTCCCGGATTGGGTGCGTACCCACCCTGAGGCGGCGGGCCGCCGTAGTACTGGCCGGGCTGCTACAGTGCTATTCAGTCTGTCGTCTCTGTACGCGGTTTCGCAGTACGCACCTGCGGAGGACCACCCGGGTAATACCCTCCTTGATCGGGGTAGGGTTGTCCTGCAAACACCGCCTTCAGCTATTCATCCTACGCCCCATTGAGCAACACAAGGGGAACGACGCCCAGGGCGCCTGCGCAGGAGACCGAGGGACATAAAGCACACGAGCGCGCAGAATCCTCGCGTCCGAGGCCAGGTCCCACGTCTCCGTCTCCATCTCCGCGTCGCGTCCCATTCCGGCGCGTCCTCGATCAGCTGCGCAGCACGCCACCGCGCGCCCACCGACCATTCACCACTCTCCACTCGACAACTTCCCTCCTCCCACTCACCTTGAGGCGGCGGATAGCTCATTCTCCTGCTGACGAGTGAAGAAGGTGCCCGCGATCCCCACGGGACGCTTATATACAGACCTCGGCCGCACGAGGCGCCCCCACGCGGTCGGCAGCAAGCGGCAGCGCCCCGGTGTTGTACGATTTCCGTGCGGAAAACCGACCGTGGCACCGTGCCCAGCGCACGCCGACTTGGCACGCTGGTGTACTTACCGCACCCTAGGGTAGGTTCTACCTCACACTATCACGCATCCCGCGGAGAAGGCGCACGAAGGGAGTGCGAGCCTCGGGACCCTGATCCTCCGGTCTCCCAGATGAACTTCGAGATGCATGGGGAGAACGAGGTGCGGATCTGCGACGCTGAAGCGAAGCCAGCTTGATGGTTGAGGCAGGCATGCTTCATTCATTCCATCCTCCCTCGTTGGCCCTTCGAGTTCTAGCTACTCTTGTTTTCCCTCACCTCTTCTAAACGTCCGCTTCTCACATCCCTCCCTCGACCCATAATGAAAAGAGTGTGGCACGTCTCGCGCATTAGATCCAGCAATCGTATAACGTATACAAAGGTCGTCATTCGCCGATGCCAGAGGCGCTCTCGTTGGATGCTGCTCGTCGCAGTGGTCGCTGTCCATCACAAGGCCATTGCGCGCCCACGAAGGTCACCACCCACCCACCAAGGTCATTGCCCACCTCGGAGAGTTCTTGTCCACCGTGACCTCAATCGACTCGTCGATTTTGCGTCCATACCCCCCTGCGGTGCATTTATACGGTGCGTCCTTCGAATAGATAGCAAACACGACCCGGACACGGCCCAATTACAACTGCATTTATTGCAACAACTCGCCAAGCGCCGCCATCTCCGGCCCGCCGGACTCGCGCATGCCAATCTCCCAATCTATGAAGGGAACGCTGTCAGCGTCGTGCGGTGATTCAACGATTCTGGTACTCACAGCTGTAGATGATGGTAACCGCCATGAGGATACCCGTGCCGCTGCCGATGGCGCCCATCATGTCCGCCGCGACGGAGAGCAGGCCGAGGATGGCACCACCAAACGCAGCCGCCGTCGGGATGACGCGCTTCAGCTCCTTGTACATCGAGCCCTCGCGGTGGCCGGCCATGACCTGGAGTGGTTGGTTAGACGACAACACAGTTATACAAATCAACGAAGCGCACCATCTGCTGATCCTTGAGCTGACGAGCGACATCCCTCGGGCCGCTGCCGCTGATCTCGATCCAGGTCTTGCTGAAGAGCGCACAGGCGGAGATAATGAACAGGATGTAGATGGCCGTGTGGATGGGGTCCGTGAAGGCCTCAGAGAGCGTGCGCGGAGGCGACATGTAGTATACCAAGCCGGACACAGCACGGAGCTGAGGGGAGTCGTCCATGGGCTGCAAATCAGGTGAGCCACCATTCCTCGCCTGTCCAACAGTGACCACATACCTCCCACACGCCCAGAAGGCGGACGAGGAAGTTCGACGGGAAGCGCGAGGCGAGCATCTGCGACAGGATGTACATGTTCGACGTGAGCGCGCTCTCGAGCATGATGGGCATGTTGCTCGTGTAGAAGAGCTTGACGGGGTACGTCCCGCGCTGGCCGCGGAAGCGGTTGCTCTTGACCGGGATCTCGATGCGGAAGCCCTGGAGGTAGATGACGACGGCGAAGATGACGATGGTCGAGAGCAGGTTCATCAGGTTCGGCAGGCGGTCGCGCCAGAACGCCTCGCGGAGCGCGCGGCCCTTGTCGTTCCACGTGAAGAGGAGGTGGAAGAGCGCGATGATGGCGCCCTCGAATTCGGGGCCGCGGCCGGTGTTGATGGTCGTGGGCGAGAACGCCTTCCAGACGATGGACTCGCAGATGTTCGTGGCGATGAAGAGGGAAATGCCCGAACCGAGGCCGTAGCCCTTCTGGAGCAGCTCATCAAGGAGGATGACGATAAGAGCGGCCGCGACGAGCTGAATGATGAGCAGCAGGCAGATACCCGCGCCAAGGGACGCAGGCGTGCCGTAGAGACCCGTCAAGACGTAGACCGTGGCTTGTCCGATGGAGATGATCAGCGCGAACACTATTGCACGTGTCAGTGATGTTTAGTAGGATTTGCGCTTGGACGCACGCTTCTGAGCACCACCGAAAAGAGCCCTGTCCTCCTTCAACGAAAAGTCGACCTCAATGAGGTTTGCGCCGGCGAGAAGTTGCATGATCATGCCCGAGGTGACGATGGGGGTAATGCCGAGTTCCATGAGCGTGCCTCGGTTGGACGCGAGGATGACACGAAGCCAGTAGAGGGGGTCGGACGAGTCAGAGGACATGATGCCGTATAACGGGACTTGCGAGCAGACAAGGAAGATAAGCAGCGTGACGGCGGTCCATAGCAGCTTCTGGTTGAAGGGGATCTGGAGGGGAGTCCGTGAGGATACTGCTCCGCCGACCAGGTGCTCGGACACGTACCTTCCTGTCCGGGGACGAGACCTCAGGGAGAAACGGAAGGAACGGCTTGACGAGGTATAGAAAGCGGACTACAGAGGTGGTCAGCACTGGGGAAGCACTGTCCGTCGCAGAAAACGCGCTCACAGCCGCCCATTTTGGAGGGATACCAAAGAAACCAGCACGGGTGAGCCAAAAGATGTTTGCCCAGAAATACGCGATGTCGGAATAGAGACGTGGCTGTTGGCCGTATTTGGCTGCGGCCTTAACCACGTACGTCCTACGTAGCGCCACAAAACATGCACTCCAGGTGACGCTGTTTGTCCTACTGTGATGCTATTTCTGGGGGTTATAGGGTATTTAGACCTTGTCCTGAGCCTTCATGTTGCCCTAGCGCCTTTTCTCATCTCTTGAATTGAGTGAAGGAAAACTGCGCGAGGGCAAAAAAATGCTTGTTCTGGCCTGGATTCGAACTTCCGGCCTGACATGCGGAAAGTCATCCGCGCCGAGGGATGCGATCAGCGGGGAAACGAGCGCGTGCTTGGGGTCGACTCGGTGTCAGTGTGACGTCGACCTGAACTCTCACATCAACCTAGCCCGCCTTCTCTAATCCCACCCTCATTCACGACTCCAACACGTTTTCGTGGCCCGCTGATATAGGGCCGCCCACGATTTTCGCAGTGCGTCTTATCCCCAAGCATGACCGAGCCTCTCGCTCACCATGACCCAGCGTCTTCAACCTTTATGGCAAGCGCCTCTGGCGATCTCGGGCTACGTCCATCCAACGTCAACCTCAAGAGCCGCAGCACTGGCGAGCTTACCGCCCGCGATTTCCAAGAATATGCCAGCCCAGCGTTCTCGCCTAATGGCGTCGTCGCCGACGGGCCTCAGTCCGTCGCCGGACTTTCCACGATCACAGACACCCCCAGCTCCGCGCAGGGTCGCATCATCCGTCCGCCCCCATTCTCGCGCAAGCTAAGAAAGAGCCTCTTCATCCGTCCAGCGGAGACGCGCGGTGCAGCGCCTGGCTATCTGCAGAGCGTCAAGTCGGCCCTCGGGTACAGCTGGATCAACGTGCTCCTCATCTTCAATCCCATATCCTGGGCTCTGTACTACAGTCACCAGGAGGACGGTGTGCGTCATGCTCTTCTCTTCTGTTCGCACTCTACTCACGTTCGTTCAATAGGCTGTCTTTGGTACCGCACTGCTCGGTATCATCCCCTTAGCAGGCATGCTAGGACATGGCACAGAGACCGTCGCGCTTTACACCGGCGATGCTCTTGGAGGTGAGCCTTTCTTCGTAAAACGCATTTGTCAGAGATTGGGCGCCGGCTTGGCAATGGCAGCCGGCTTTTGCGCGTGCGAACCGCAAGTGCGTGCGGGCGAGTCGAACACACCATTTGTGGCACCAGTCGGATTCGCATCGGGATCTCGACGGGTGCTAGTGTAGGCGAAGGGTAGCCTCAAGCATTGGTACTTGCGTCAATGCAACTCGGGGAAGTCCCGAAATACCTCGGTGCATGAGATGACGACGATCTGCGTCACGATGTCAGCAGCCAGTACCTTTTTGAGCTCCGAGGTTACCCTCCTCACCTACCTGGACGAGGCATTCTATCCGTCCATGTCCACGACCTCCCTGCCCAAACCCTTCACTTCAGTGGATTGTTGCTAATGATCAAATCCAGGTCTCATCAATGCCTCCCTCGGTAATGCTACCGAATTCATCATCGCCATCCTCCTGCTTGTCAAGTGCGAAATTCGCGTCGTGCAGGCCTCCCTTCTCGGCGGGCTGTTGTCCAACCTGCTTTTGGTCACCGGCATGGCTTTCATCGTCGGTGGTATCCGCTTCTCAGAGCAAGAGTTCCGTCAGACCGCTGCCCAGCTGAACACTTCGCTCCTCACGCTCGCTGTCATCGCCCTGGTCATGCCGACTGCCTTCGCCATCGCGCTCGAGCAGGTCGCGGGCCCGGACCAGGAGCGCGACGTCGTGCTGCAGATCTCTCGCGGGAGCGCGGTCATCCTGATCGCGATCTACATCAGCTACATGGTCTTCCAGCTCTACAGCCACACGTATCTGTACAACCCGGAGAACGACCCTGCGAACGAGAGCTTGCGGTCTTCTTCCTCTTCCTCCAGCTCGTCGCGCTCGTCAAGTTCCTCGAGTTTGCCCTCGCGCTCCCCGAGTCCTCATCGCGGACGGCGCTACCGCCGGAGAAAGCACAAAAAGGTTTCTTCGGGTAGCGACGCCGACGTCGAGGGTCCAGCCACGCAGCCTGATGCAGCACCCATGGACAGCGAGATCCCACCCGTGCTCGTCGAAGCACCTACAGATCTCCCGCCCCCGCCCCGCGTCCCGCGTGCACCCCGCCACCGCCCGTCGCGCGCGGAGCGCTGGTCCGCGCCCAACTGGAAGCCTGCGCCTCGCCCGCCACCACCTCCACCGCCGCCTCCGCCCCCGCGCATGCCCTTGCGTGCCGCGCTCGCGCAGGGCGTCGTACGCCCGATCCCGCAGACGGCGCCTCGCGGGCGGCAGACGATGTCGCGCTCGACGACGGCGCAAGGGTCAAAGGGATCGCGGGCGGCACAGGCGCGCGCGCAGAGTACGAGGAACAGCATTACCGGGAGCTTGTTGGCGTTCGGGAGCGCGGCGGCGCTGGGTCGGGGGAATCAGGACCCGATCGGGGCGAACAATGCGCGGGTGAATGAGAAGAAGCAGGAGTTGAGGTAGGTGTCTCTGGGGGTATGTTAAGTGCGGACGATGCTTATTGTACTGTGTTCAGGATGCGCCCGCAGCCGGATGTCGAAGCGCAGACGCAAGATGAAGACTCGGAGAAGGAGACCCCAGAGATGAATCTCACGGTGGCGATATGTGCGCTGGTGGCAGCGACGGGGTTGACGTGTGAGTTCGGCGTTTGTCTTGCCTTCCTTACCGTTGCTGATCAGGCACACAACAGACGTCACCGCTGAGGCGCTCACCGACTCGCTCGAGGGCATCGGTCGGTCCGGAAGCGTTAGCACGGAATGGCTGGGTCTGATCTTGCTTGCGATGTAAGCCATATTCCTCGCTTACCGGTATACGTTCGCTCACGTCCCTCCCAGCGTTGGCAACGCCGCGGAGCACGTCACCGCCGTCTTCGTTGCGTACCGCAATAAGGTCGACCTCGCGCTCGCCGTCTCCGTCGGCTCGTGTATCCAGATCACGCTCTTCGTCATTCCCATCCTCGTCCTCATCGGGTGGATCATCAACAAGCCACTTTCGTTGTTGTACGTCCGCTTTCTCTCCGCGTCTACCTCTTGGTAGACTTCTGACGCCATGCCAAAAGGTTCGACCCACTCGAAGTCGTCACGCTCTTCTTGTCGGTGTTGCTCGTGCGCTTCGCGACGGAGGATGGACGGACGCACTACATGAGCGGTGTTCTGCTCTTCGGCACGTACATCTTGATCGTGAGTGCCTTTCAGTCGCTCTTCGCTGTGCGCAATCGTTGACCCGCCATCACCAACAGGCGTTCTCCTTCTGGTACTACCCCCAGAACGGCACCTCGTTCGCGAGGCTCTTTGAGTGTGATGCGTAAGTTTGAAGGCGTGGCTTTCGGGAGGAAGGCAGAGGAAGACCATGCAGAGGCGGTACTTGACACGAAGATATGTTTCTTGAGACGACTGCATGGAAGGCACCGCTCGCCCACGAGCGGTTGCAAGGAAGCATTCACGCATACATACCTAGTAATAAACTTAACATGGACAAACAGCATACAGATTCACCTTAACGTGCTTCACGTGTTCTCATATCTCTTGGGCACTACCATAATCTGTAGTAATGACATCTTGCGTGGCATGAAGAGTCCTGACGTTCAGAGCTGCATCGACCCAGGACCGCACGACAGCGTGCTCCACAAACCTTGCTATTCCATCGCGTACGTCACGAACAGAGATGTGGGGGAAGTTCTAGTATGGAGAACCTCCATCCTGCTGCATGTAACGCTTAGTCCAACAATTGGCGTAACAGTTGTAGGTCCAAATGAGCTGTATCGGTAAATGCCGTTCAACATCGAGCAGCAATGAGTCTGACTCATCCGCCTGCTCCGTCTTCCGCCCATCTTCTCGAGCAAATCGCTGCTGACATACCCCTCTGGATAAAACATCCCGTGCCCTTGACGAAGATGACTTTCTGCGTGTACGCTCTGGAAGCTTCCGACCCGAGGTGCTCGACGCCCGGCTATGAACTGGCGATACCATTGCTATGAAGTGCAACAACTGCCGGTCATCTGGAATAAGCTATGTAGGGTCTTTGCTGCGATTCTTCAGCTTGACTACAACCAGCCAGCTGGGATTTACTACGCTACTTGTTATGGGTATCGACAGTTAACACCCGCTTTAGTCTCCAAGCATGGATCATCTCCGCGGTCAACGTCCGGGTGCAACTCCGGGTTATCAAGGCAAAGCAAGGCGATCACCAATGTCTATAGGCAAAATCTCTCAGGCTGGCTCGTGGGAAGGCGATCTGCACCGCGTATCAGAGACTTGCCTCGCGACGTAAGTCGCACTCCTGAGCTTGATCAAAGCTCAGGCATACTTGAGGTCGGGGCTAATTCTGCCGTTCTGTCATCGCCGGACTGAACGGTGTATGCGTCGTCTGCCTTGCCACCGTCACATCCGGTGTACACCGTGCGACACTCATGCCTTCCTGGTCACGGCGAGTTGAGGAAGCCCTCACGAGGTTATGCGGTGGTCGTATAAAGGCCGCCGTGCAAGAGACTACCACCGTCGACCTCACTAGCCCTTCGAAGCCACACAATGTTTGCCAAAGCCTTCCTCACTCTTGCTGCTCTCTTCGCTGCCCGCCTTGTTTGGTGGACTCTCCAGCGCTTCGTCTTCAAGAACCCGTTAGACAATGTCCCGGGACCAGAACCAGACTCCCGGCTCATGGGTTCGCTTTCACGTCTGGTGCATACACCTTCTCACTCACTTCGTCATATCAGGAAACTTCAAGAGGCTCTTCAGCGTTGATGGATGGGACTGGCATCGGGATCTGTTCGCGAGATGTATGGATTCCTTTTGCACCTTGCAACCCTGGCTGATTATACCTTCTTTGTTCGCAGATGGCCGGGTCGTCCGCCTGACAGGGATGCTGGGCGTAGGTTTCCAACTGGTCAACGCCTTCGCCATTACTCACAGTCGCGCAGGAGCGACAGCTGTATGTGGCTGACCCCAAAGCGCTGCACCATATAGTCGTCAAGGTTCGCATTTTCACACGCGCCATGCTTCCAAGCTGACCATCGTACAGGATCAAGACATATACGAGGAGCATCCCCACTTCATCTCGTACGTTTCTTGAGCCTCTTCAGGGAGCGTATCTCATACGCGGAGTCAGTGCGAACAGCATCTTGTTCGGGAAGGGGCTTTTGACGACTCTCGGTGCGAGTTATGTCGCTCGAGCATTATGTACCCTGACTGATTCGCCATGCCTCTAGGCGATCATCACAAGAAGCAGCGCAGACTCATGAACCCCGTCTTCTCGACTGCCCACATGCGCAACATGAGTGCGTGTCCCAGTTACTACTCGTTCGACTTGCTCACGTTTCCCCGCAGTCCCGATCTTTCAGGAGGTCGTCGGCATTGTAAGTCTCGAATCCCTACACTCTCGATTAGATGCTCATTGTTGTTCAGCTGCGTAGCACGCTCGAGAAACAGACAGAGCAGGGGCCCGCTGAAATCAACATGATCCACTGGATGGGGCGCACTGCCTTGGAATTGGTGGGTCGCGCCGGCCTGGGCTATTCCTTCGACACCCTCATGCCCAATGACCCTGCCCACCCGTATGCCGTGAGCATCAAGGAGCTCGTGTATGTCTCTTCCTTCGGCGCCGTTGCTACGCCACTCATGAACACCAGGCCCTTGCAATTCCGCGTCTTCACGCTCCGCGTATACGTCCTTCCCTACGTATACAACATCGGGCCCGCCTGGCTTCGCCGCGCCATTGTAAACATCATCCCTTCGCCCACCCTCCACGAGCTGCGCAACAAGGTCGACCTGATCTGGCGCACCTCGAATGAGATATTCCACCAGAAGATGGACGCCTTGCGCGCTGGTGACGACGCGGTCAAGCAGCAGGTGGGCCAAGGCAAGGACATTATCAGCCTCCTCAGTATGTCGCTTGCAACTGTTCTATGGCCGTTCAATCACATTCTTCTCAGTTCGTGCCAACCTTAAGGCAGAGGATCCGTGCCCCGAGGACGAGATACTTGGCCAGATGTCGTGAGCGTTCTTTGCGTCTCAGCCTCCGCCCGGTGTTTGCTCAAAGGCACTCAATAGCACGCTGATCTTCGCGGCCGTGGACACGACTTCTTCGGCCCTTGCGCGGATCATGTACATGCTTGCCACAAACCAGGATGTGCAGGACCGCCTTCGCGACGAGATACGCGCTGCGAAAGCGCAATACGGGACCCTCTCGTACGACGAGCTCGAGGCGATGCCATACCTGGATGCGGTCTGCCGGGAAACTCTCCGCATGTGCGTGACTGACAGCGCCGCGCCGACCACGCTCATGCTTTGTACAGGTTCCCGCCCATCCCTACGCTCATGCGCAAGTACGGTCCATCTTTCGTTGCTTGTCGTCGCCGGAGATACTGACTACTCACTAGGACTATCAAAGACGTGGTCATGCCCTTCAGCCAGCCCATCACAGGCGTGGATGGTCGCGAGATGTCTGACGTCTTCGTCCCGGCCCACACCCCCATCCTCATCTCCGCGTTGAACGCCAACCGCAACCCGGATCTGTGGGGCGAAGACGCGGCGGAGTGGAAGCCCGAGCGCTGGCTCAAACCCCTGCCTCAGAAGGTGGTCGATGCTCATATTCCCGGTGCGCCTCTATGCATTCTTACCGAATTCGGATGGGTCTGAATATTATGTAGGGGTCTACAGCCACCTCATGACCTTCCTCGGTGGCGGTAGGGCGTGCATGTAAGTCAAATTGGCCATTTCTTACGTGGAATGAAGACTGATGAACATCGCTCGCAGTGGCTTCAAGTTCTCGCAGCTCGAGATGAGTACGTGCACGAGACGATAGTTGCTTTCTTTCTCAGCGCTGACGCCTGCCGCAGAGGTGGTGCTCGTCGAGCTGCTCGACGCATTCGTGATCTCTCCCAGCTCGAAGAAAGTGCACTGGCGCATGAGCAACATCGTCTCCGCCTACGTCGAGGAGGAGCCGCTCAAGACCCAGCTCCCCGTCGTTCTCTCCAGGGCGTCGTGAGTATACTGATTGGTCACTTCACAAGGATCGGGCGTTGCAGATATGGCGTCATATTTGTTGTATCGTATCTTGAGAACAGTTATCGTGCACAATATACTCGTCTTTCGTTACGAGGCGTGGGCTTGACATTGGCCTCCCTTCCGCAAGCTACAGATGTGCCGTCGCCTTGTTCGGCTTCACCGAACTGCAGCACTCCTCCAAGGCGCGGATGGTGGTTTCAGGATTATCCCACATAGCCTGAAAGAGACTAGTAAGCTCGCCATCTGGTCCATAACCCTTGAAGAAGCTCACGAAGTGGTTAGAGTTCGGGATCATCTTGCCCTTGAGTGGGATACCAGCTTTCTTCGCCGCGTCTTCAAGCCACCAAGGCCCGAGCGTACACAGCCACACTGAACGACTCCCGGTGAGGCACTGGATGTCCAGTCCATCCCAACGCCGATGCAGCTCTGCATCGAATAACGTTTCCTCCGCGATTCGTCGCATGAGCGGGATGAGCTCGGCTCGCATCAGCGACGTGTCTCCAGTCACACTGGCCTCCGATGCCATATTTGCGAGCAGCTCAGGGGCGTGAGCGCTCGTCGGGCGATCCTGGTCGGCTGCGCCATAGTTCGGCTTGCGCGAAACGAGGTCGTGCGTGTAGTACGCAGACACCCAAGGGATGAACATATCCATGCGTTCGTTGGGTGACAAGCGCTCGTCCGCGAGAGGGAAGTATGCCTCCGGTGGGGGCACGACGCCGACGAAGGGGGAAGGAACGTCTGCGCGATTCATGAGCATCTAGGAAACAAGCATAAAGCACCACATACCCCATAGAATGAGTTGCCGGACGTGGGTCCGCAAGACATTCCGTGTGGGTTCGTCAACTGCGTCAAGTGCAGGAAGCACAAGTCGAACAAAGAGCGTACCGAGAGACCATCCAGCGAGCGTGATACCGCCGAAGTCAGTCCCGGAAGGACGGGGAAGCCCAAGGGTATCGGGCAGTTGTGCGATGAGGCGGGCAAAGATGATTCCCTGCTCAGCGAGTGTCTGCGACGGGTCAGAGGATGCCAGCCCCGCCTCTTCCTCAGGCGTAAAAGGGGTGGTTCCTGGATAGCCGCGGCGGTTAACGCAGATGAGGCGGATGTTGTGCTTGCTCGCAAGGGGCATGAGACGGTCGAAGACAGCTTAGGGATGACAATTAGTATGCGCGCGAGCTGTATGTAGGGACGAATGAGACGCACCATTATGCCATCTATACCCGTGGAAAATGACGATGGTCGAATATGCGGACAACGAAGGCGCACCGCTGTCGACGTAGAAGAAGCTGACGTTCTCTGTCGCAGAGAGGGTAGGCATTGCGCAAGAACTGGGCACAGGCGTGAGATAAGCCGGGGGAGTGAAGCGACGATAACGCTGAGTAGACCGGCCAAGCTGGTAGACGCCTTGGTACGGACTAGTCGCAGTATAGTCCAGCACGTCGCAAGCTTGACTACTTATACCTTCAATTCGGTGACGTTTTCGCGTCCCTGGTGCGAACTTCCCAGAGTTCATGACAGCGTGGGCATTCGCGCCGGATATATGAGCCTTTCAGCCAATTCTTTAACATTGTTTTCCCAGTCAGACATCGACATTGTTCAATTCAGTGGTACCCGGTTCGCAGGCGGCGCCAGAGCTGACGTAGTTTTCCGATTCAATTCTTCGTAGCGCTCATGTTGAAGCAGTACGGTGCTCCAACGAATCGAGGACGCCGCAAGTTCGACATAGAGCATGTTCTCGCGCTGGTGAGGAGATCCCCTCAAGAGCCGGAGAGCGTTGGCGAGCCGCGGGTCAAGATGTGTAGCGCGATACGTTGTGATTGCGTAAGACAGGGGGAGAAGACTTCTCATATTCCAGTCTGCCGCGAGAAAAACAGAGGAACGAGGCGAGCCATGAGAGAGGGGGTGAGCGGCGTCGATTATCATGATGGTGGCCGGCAACTCGGCGCAAAGGGTGACCGTGACAAGATTTGTACAATCACGCATTTCGGTGATCACCGAAGACACTCAAGTACCAAATAAGCAGAGTACTTGCGACTGACGAAATGACTCACTGCGTGATATAACAGACAGTATGTACCATGTAGTACTGCACAGTAATATATACCCTTCGAGCTGTATGTCACCGTAACTCACAGGTCCAGCAAATAGTCCTTGACGATCTGTCTAACCTTCGGATCGAGCTTCTCGCCAATGGCAACGATTTCACGCTAAGACTCAGTCAAGCTATCAGATCAGTATCGAGGCGGGCTGGACACGGCTCACCCAAGTCCTGTCCTGAGCGATCCTCCCTCGCTCGCTCAACACGAAATCCGAGGGCTGACGCACAGTGTGACGAGCAACAAAAGCGCCGCGCAAGGCGTCCGCATTCTCGCTGCCGCCCAGCGCCGCCCATACAAGCTCCCGACTGCCCACCTCCGCAGAAACGGCAAGGATTGCGTTCATCAAGCGCATGCCGATGGTGATGCGCCCCTCGTCCCGGAATAGGCTGGTCGAGCAAAGACCAGGATCCACTGAGTTGACGATGACGGTAGGGTGCGTGTGGCGAAGTCGTTCATTGAGAGCGCGCGCAAAGAGGACGTTGAGTACTGGGCACGTGAGTGAGTGACAAATCTAGTGGAATATAATCAACACGCACGCTTCGATTCCTCGTAGCGCACGAAGGGGTTGTGGTAGAGATTTATCAGCCCAACAATAGCAGGTCTGGAGATCCAGGACACCCACTCAAACTCTTCCTGAGCCGACAACGCCTTCAATATTTCCGGCTGATTGAAGATCTCGTTGGCCCATGGCGGGGCCCAGAAATGAACGGAGCTTGCGACGACAACCGTGCGTGGAATGGTGTGTCTCTCGCGCGACGTCCGGACCATAATAGGGAGAAGCAATATCGCGAGGATGGATGACGACACGACGTTGACTTGTATCCTGAGCCAACGGTCAGCATCGTGCCACGTATAATTAACCAGCATAAAAGGTGCACGCACGTGGGCTCCCAGCCGTCGACTGTCGCAGTGCGCTTTGAGCCATTCTGTGCCGTGACCCCGGCGTTCAGCACCAGAAGGTCGAGACGATCGACACGCGCCTCGAGCTCAGCAGCGAACTGCATTGTCGAAGAGAAGTCGGCCAGGTCAACGAGCATCAGCTCAGAGTTCTTTGACCCGGTCTCTTTCTGCAAGCCTAGAATTCGTCATATCAGTGGACTGGTCCCTCCTTGCAAAGAAGACAACACATACGCTCGACCGCTGCAGTCCCGCGCTCATTGCTACGACACCCCATGATGACCCTGGCGGCCCCCATGGTCGCGAAATGCTTCGCCGCCTCGTAGCCAAGGCCCACATTCGCGCCGATGACGACCACGATTTGGCCAGTCAAGTCTTTGTGGGTAACGCGCGAGTGGTAGGAGAGCTGGTCCCAGAGAAACGATGTTGGCGGATATTTTCCCATGGTCGGCAGTGTTCGCACGTCGTGGACGGTCTTGAGGTCACTCTGCCAGCAATATATACCTGTTGACAGGGAGATAGCGGGTTCCTATGTCGTGTGGTCGACGGTTGTGTTCCGACGCGATGTCAATGGACATGGCGCAACTGGCTCTGCCTTCAACAACCTCTTGACTTAAGCACAGACCTTCGCAGACGTTCAGTGCATAGCTGGAAAGTTATACCTCATCCCGCTATTCATCAGATCTGAGAAGGGAGGTCAATTATTGTAAAGCGATTGGACATCGGCAAGCGGTCGTCGTGCAAAGCTGCAGCCCAGGCGCCACCTTCGCCAGAATTTACGCAACATGCAGAGACACACACTGGTATATGTGTCAGTCACCTACACGTATCTTATCGTTCCACCGGATTCCGTCCGCCCGTTATGCGCTCTCGCGTCTGAAATCGGGAAATCATCACTCAGGTTTTTCCAGCTTGTAGATTATAAGCGCCAAGACCATCGGGGAACTGATCCCAGTAGCAAGAGGGAGAGAAGATTGAGGCTGTTACACTTGTTGGGTTCCAGCCGTCTGAGAGGGATACCGAAGTTAACAATCATACGAATGGGAGTCAAGGAAAGGCTGCGGCAAAGACCGCGCGGATCACACATGATCCATACTCACGTGCGGTACAGCAGCATGTCACGGTTCAACTTGGTGACACTTGAATCTACGGTAATAACACGAGGTATGTTCCGTACACGCACAGTTTTTTGCCGGGAGATTACCGGAGAGAAGCAGTAGTAGAGCATACAAGCATCCTATAACAGCCGTAAACGATTTTCGTGCCCACAAGAACCCATCCGTGAGGTGAACATAACGGACCGAACACGCCTCAGAACGTGCCATGCTTCTGTGTTCACTGCGAAAGACTGACGATTAGGCGAATCCGATGACGCAGAAATGGGAGAAGAGCTTACCCTTAGAAGCAGGCGTGAAGGTGTCCTTCGCCACCTTTATCGTATGAGGACTCCTCCCCGCGACCACTATTGGTGCAGGACTGCCTGGAAGACAAGGAATTCGACGCTAAAAACGCTGGTGAGCACAATTCGCAGATATGATGGCTGAGCTCACCAGTGGCGGAGATCAGACTGTCGTCCAGCATGACAATAGGCGCTGCAGCCACAACGAGGAAGCCCCAGACCATGGTAGCAGAAATCATGATGAAGAACTGCATGGTGCAATCGAGGGTCTCTGGGGGATCCTTTGTGGTGAAGCAACAGGGAAGCTCAGACCTTATAACCAGAGGCGGACGTTCTCCTCAACGCACGTGAGAGGTTGCCGGACATCAAGCGATAGAGAATCGTGGAGCCAAAGCCACGCGAACGCGCCTTCTCTGCCGAAGATCGCCTATCTTCCTTCCAAAAGACGACGGTGAAGCGCTCAAAGGAAGTCTGAAGCGCCTAGGTGCGCGGCAAGGGTGACCCTTGTTATGCGTCATTACTTCAATCTAGCTCCATGGTAGGACAAGGTACATGTGATCCACGTTCGAAGCACATTGCCTACTGAAGCTGCACGTCAATGCAGAGTCAAGCGAGGTTCAATATCGGATTCAGTGAATTCGAATAGGCATCGGGAAGCGGACGTCGAAGGCCCAACTGCAGCCTGGCAGGTGCCACCTTTGCCCGCATTTACGCAGTAGACAGAGACAGACGCACTGGAATGCGAGCCGATCGCCTGCACATATCCTATGTTCAATCGGATTGCGCACGACTCGTCAAGATCGTGTCAAGCGCTCTCCCTTCTCAAGGCGGGCGATCGTCGCTCGCTTTTTTCCACTTCTTGAATTATCAACGACAGGAGCATCGAGGAGCGGGTTTCAACAAGAGTCCAATGAAGACGACGAAGAGAAATTTAGAAAATGGCGCTCGGGGAGTTCGAGGCTTCGAGTAGCGTGGCGGAAGAAGCCTCCCGGGACCTTTGGGACCGGTTGCTTACCTGGCGAGGGTCTGTTACATACACAAATGTCACATGTGGCGCCGTTACGCTCACGTGCACTAGCCGAGGCCGCTCCCTCCTGCGCGACCTGACCTGCACGGCGCGACATTGCCTGCCTTCAATTCAATCCCAGAGAGCACCTCTATGCACTTCTGGTGCGCTAGAGATACTTGACATACAAAATGACATGCAATTGGCTGTTTCGGGCTTGCTTCCGGCGCTCTCGCAGCGGTCGAGGGCTTGCAGCTTTGATATTTTTGAGGAGTTTGGTAAGTACTCGAGTACTGTACGGATGAGTACCGATTGGCCCACTGACTGCGCTGAATGGCTGCATTGTTGTTTTGTGGCTCACACCCTGACCGCAATGTCGACTGCCGCCGAGGCTCAGTAGACGTCGGATGCTCGTGCAATATACAACGCCACATATAAGTACAAGACCACCTCAGGGTGAGGGTCCCCAAGCTCGAGGTATGATACCGGTATGTGACCAGTCACATACCGGTCACAATGCGGTTTGGTCAGAATCCTAGGGTTTCTTCCGCCACGCTAGAGCCTTCGAGCCATCCGAGGGAGATGTGACTTCGTCACATGTGACGCGGCAACGACGCAAGGTTTCCTCGACCTGAACCATCATGGCAAACTCCTCGAATTCCCCTCCAGAGTCTCCCCCGCCTCACCTTACAAGCGAGGGAAACGGGCAAATATCACCTCTTTTTCCCAATGAGATCGTCCATATGGCGCTGAGCGCGCTCACCAAAATTACCCCTCTGATCGCATGGGGTGCACTCCTCGACCACTTTATGGGTGTGCCGCGAATCCAAAAGGTAAACAATACATCTCATAGAAATTCCACCACAACTGAACATCGTTAGAATTTCCAGTTTCTTGTTCCGGACGATAAGCTTGCGACACTTTCAGCTGTACTCCTTGGTCTGAATCTCCCTATTGCCGAACTCAGCGACCATGTCGTCCGCAATGAGGGCGACTTTCTACGTCTTGGTCGGCTACATTGTATCACTCCTTACACCGATCCGTACCGCATACAATGCCTGCACCTCATCCCTGCCTCGCTTCCTGATTATAGGCCAGTCGAACTCATCACAACCCGCCTATACGTGAGCACGGTGGAGATTCACATACCGCGACCCTCCGCCGTCTATGCAGGTATCATCCGCATGATGCTCAAGTATCCGAAATTCTGCGCCGAACGCTACAAGCTCCAGAGCGACCTCGAGCTACTTTGCAGTCATGATCTGCTCGGGCTGAAATTGGGAGAAGACGACGAGGCGCCTTATGTGGACAAGCGATGCGAAGACGCGGTCGAGCGCATTCGAGCCTGGGGAACAGCGGGCGAATGGAGGGAGGGGGAAGAGTGGGTGGAGGATGCACTCATCGGTATCGTAGAGGGCGAGAAGGACATGGTCGATCTACCCTCCCGTGACACCGATGCGTCCGGCGAGACGATCCTAGCGCGAGCACCATCCGCCAGGGTGTACGATCACTCCGCGAATGTTGTCAGCGACCGCTTAGGCGAGGTCGTTGGCAGCCACCAACCAGCTGCCCACGGTGCATCTGCCAATAGGGTCCCTCAAAGCTCGTTTCGTGTCTTCGTATTTTTCCTGTGCGCAAAGGGAAAAATCTGAAAAAGGTACCGTTTGGCGGGGAAAACGGGCGAGAATCCTGTTCGACACAGCCACATGTCCTTCCTCTGTGTTCAAACCTCTGTTCAGAATAATCGAATTCTTCCTTTTCTCGCGAAAAATCACTCGAAATGGCCGAATCCCGCGCCAAAAGTTCTGTTCGAAAGAGCCGAATTTTGCCTTTTCGCGAAATTCCGCCAGGTTTGAACGACCCTAATGATGATTCATGTAATAGCTCTGTTGAGTATCTGACATCAGTGTTCTGACTTGAGTCCCTGCGCACGGCCTCAAGCTTCAAGCTGCAAGGTAGATGCGCCTCAGTAATCTCCTTCCACATGAGATGTAGCCATCGAGGGGATCTAGGTATCTACCCCGATTCTAGACATCGAGATGTGTGGCGACGAACAATCGGTAGGAAAGGGGAAGCGGACAATCATTGTGTCAGGACTCACGTATACATATCACTACAGGCCGCCATGCTACAATTTTCCACCCTTCTTCCCTTTCTTCCCCTTCCCATTCCCACGCAACTTGACATCTGAAGCGGTCGCAGCGAGCGCGTGGCCCGAAGACTCGATATGCGCAAATAGCTTGGTTTTGCTGGGGAATGCCTCGCCACACACATTGCATTTGGTCTATCCGCAACGTTACCGCGGGCGATAGTAAGTAAGTATACAGAAGCACAAACCTGCGTCGCCCCGTGCTCTGCTTCCTCCGCCTTCTTCGCCTGCTTCGCGCGTCGCTTGTCACGCTTGGTCGGCGCAGCAGCGGCGGCAGGAGTGTCGTCGGACTCTCCATCAGATTGGAGTGGCGTCTCGCCGGGGACGAAGTCCGGGACGTCGCGCCGCCGTCTTTCGGTCTTGGTGGGGCGCTCGCGCTCCGGAGGGGCTGCCTTGGCCTGCTTCTTCTTTTTCCGACTAGTTGAGGGCGCTGACTCTTCAATGTCTTCTTCAGCGGCTGGCGATGTGTGCGCATCCGGCGCCTGAACGGATGGCGCTGGCGAAGGCGATCGCGGAGGCTCCGCGGCATCGTTCTGCAGGTCTGTGTCGCCGTTCTGCGCTTCAGCGAGTTCCTGCGTCTCCTCCGCATTCTCTGCACCTCCCTCAACCTCGACCTCCTCCACCTCCAACTCGCCCGCCTCAAACCCAAGCTCCTCGTCTTCCTTCTCCATCTCCCTCCGCAGGCGCTCAACCTGCACCATATGCTTCCGCGAGCGTTCATGGCTGTCCCACGCCGCCTCGCTCCTGAAGCTCTTCCCGCATGCAACGCACTCCCACTCCTCCGGATCCTCGCCCTCGGCGAAAGCCCACTCGAGGTCGGCGTGCGTGTCGTGGTGGTTGGTCTTTTGCCACTCTTGCTCGACATATGCGGCAGCGGCTGCTTCGGTCGTAGAGCGAGTGGTTGACTGGCCGGCTTTAGAGGCGTTGGTGTTCATGTTGCCAGTGGCTTGGGCTTGTTGGAAGGCTTTGTAGCGCGGGTCGCGCTTGCGAAGGAATTTGGCAAGGGACTGCAAGAAAATGAATGGGACGAAGGGTTGTAGAGGCAGAACACGTACGCGGACGGTGTCGTTGTATTCGCGTCGGCCATCGTCTCGAGCCTTCTTGTTGTCCTTCTCCATCAACCTGTCTCGAGCGTCATAGGGAGCTGCATGGCACGGACTCAAGTCACGCACCGGCGAACCCGTCTATCGGGCGCCTCATTCAAATTCCATTGGTCCGCCCAAGCAAAGTCCTTCGCGGTGGCAAAATTCGTCCATGCGGTGTAGAACGATCGCACGTCAGGTTCGCCGCTTGACTTCGCAGTACCCCAGGGCGTATTAGAGTATCCGAAGGATGGGTAAGTGACGTCGGGCTCAAACATGGCTTCCTCCGCCGCGAGACGGTTGAAGAGCTGGTGATAGATGTTGTAGAAGCCCTGCAGCCGAAGGTCAGCTGAGAGAATGGGGAAACAAAGGACGACTCACATCCGCGCTGTCATCGTAGCCTGTCCATACTATCGAGAAGAAGTGCGCCAGGTGATGAACTGTCAAGCCGCGATCCCTGGCTTTGGACGGTGGCGCGCCTCTGCGGACTTCTTCGAAGACGGTCGCATCGTCGGGTTCGGGGGCAAGGGAGGCTTTGTGCGAATCGTACCAGGCCCTTTCCTACTTCACATGGGAGGTTGGCCAGTGTCTATAAAGTGTTGGAGGGGAACATACCTGCTCATCGCTGAGGACCTGATCGGGCGTCAGTGCGATCGCTTCAACTGCATCGAAGTCACGCACCTCGTAGGCCTGCTGCAAAGTAGCAAAACGCTTTGTAGCCTCTTCGATGCTACGTCTGTCAGCATGCGGAATGCATTCCGTCGACCTGCGCTCACTTGTCTGGGTTCTTGTCGGGATGATGGATCAGCGCGAGCTTTCGAAACGATCTCTGTTCGCCATTAGCTCTATTGTCTGTCCCTTGTACTGTTACGCACCCTGATCTCGTCCTGCGTTGCATTCTCGTCAACCTCCAGCAGCTGGTAGTAGTCTACAGCGTCGGGATCGCCAGCCTGATTTTTGCTGCCCTGGGCGCCCATGATGAAAGCGGACAACGGGCGTGGGAAAACGCCAACAGCCGCGACTTGCCTCCCTCTCTGACGACGACGACCGCGACTTCGTCGCCGCCGCCCACAACGACGACAAGCCATGCCTGGTACCCATCTCCTCCCCCCGAATCTTCTCAAACTCTTTGCGCCGCGCCCGCCGCTCCCCTACCAGCGCCCGCTCGACCGCGACATTGACCGCGTCAGGCCGAAAAATGTCCACGGCGTCGGCGAGATACTCCAGCGCCTGAGGGTCGAGGAGGCCTCCAAGCCGCACGACGAAAACATGGAAGAGGGCGAGGAGCCCAACTTCACGCTCGCCGAGGAGGTCAAGCGCCAGATACGCAGAGAGGAGCGCAAGAAGAAGAAGACGGAGGACTTCCAGCGCGCAAAGGACACTTGTGCGTGCGCGATATCACAAGTTTGTCCCTCATGCTAATCTAGCCCGTAGACAAGCCCGCCGACGACCCCGAGGCGGTTGGCGACCCGTACAAGACGCTTTTCATTTCTCGACTAGTACGTGCCGCATTTCTCTGGCCACGGCAACTCGCTCACTCCCTTCTTACAGCACAAAAACGCGACTGAGAGCGATTTGAGACGCGAATTCGAGAGCTACGGCATGATCGAGCGCGTCAGGATAGTGCGCGACAAGCAGGGCAGGAGCCGAGGCTACGCTTTCATCGTGTATGAGCGCGAACGCGACATGAAAAGTACGCCTTCCCCTTCCCTTTCAGACTCCTCCTGCTAACATCCCCTCAGCCGCTTACAAGGAGTCGGACGGGCTTGTGATTCTCGGCAAGCGAATTCTCGTTGACGTAGAGCGTGGACGGACAGTGCGCGGGTGGAAACCTAGGCGTCTGGGCGGTGGACTTGGGGGACGGCCAAAGAAAGTCGAAGCAGCACCCCCACCCTTCGCAGGTCCGCCGAGTCGTGGAGGCTTCCGTGGCGGCTTCGGCGGCGGTGGCGGGTTCAGAGGCGGAGGGGGTGGTTTCCGCGGTCGTGGAGGCGGCGGAGGATTCAGGGGTGGAGGTGGTGGTGGCTTCAGAGGTGGGCATGATGATGGCCCACGCCCAATGGACAGCGGCTATGGCGGTCGTGGTGGCCGCGGGGGCTTCAGGGGTCGCGACGACGGTGGATTCCGGTACGTCGCTCAACCTTCGAAGTATCGAGCTCGTGCTCACGATCGCAGTGGGGGTCGCGGTGGCGGCATCGGCTATGGCGGCGGAGGTGGGTTCGGTGGGCCTCCTGACGGTTTCGGCGGTCCTCCAGGTGGCGCGCCGGGCGGTTTTGGTGGGCCCCCGGGTGGCGGCTACGGCGGCGGCGGCGGCGGTGGGTATGGGCCGCCCAATGGTGGCGGCTTCGGCCCGCCTGGTGGCGGCTTCGGCGGAGGCGGCTTCAAGCGCGAGGCGCCTGGTGGGTATGATGACAGGGACGCTAAACGCCCTAGGTATTAGGCCTATGCGCGTTGAGCGCAGGTCGGATACTTTCATCCCACAGACGCGAGGGCGTCGGTGTGGGCCTCCCGGTCACCACCGGCGCGCCTTGCTCCCATTTTGGCGATCTTTCGTGGCCGCATGAAGTTATTTTATGGTGGTATGTCGCTGTCGAACGCTGTGTTTTGCTATAGGTATAGTGCCCCTTGACCTTGCTGCCGAGGTAATACTTCCTTTCGTTTCTTATCCTGACGGCAGCGCTTGGGGTTTACGCTCGAGCTACCGGGGTGTTTTCCACTCGAATACAATGTACAAAGAGTAAGTATAGCGTGAGTATTCACGGAGCTCGCCTCTCTAGCAGACGAACCCGGATGAAGCAAAGCCACTTGTCGCTCTCATCCGAGGCTAAGGCCCACAGCTAAGTAAGTATACTCCTCCGGTAGGACGAGGAACGTTGCGGTCGGGCGTCGTTGCGCATGCTATGCGGAGGAGGCATGGTTCATACGTGCGTCGCCATTGTCTTGCTGGATGTCCGAGACGATGAGCTACGCCCAGGTCCTCCGAGAACGCGATGTTCACGAACGCACCTGGTCCCCGCTCTCCTATGACAACACACCCCTCGAACATACCGACGAACTCGAGACGTTTTTATTCGCGGCAGGGTCATACCCCTTGTTTCCTCCTCGCACATCCATCGCGAGGTGCACCAAAGAGTGCTGCAAGACAATCCTGAGCGACACCCCATATTGGAACGGCCAGGGCGCACATATCACATAGTACACCGCCGTTGTGGTAAATACAACAATACACAAACTCATTGATGAACTATCTGTTTAGCGTCGAGAATGCGGAAACGGGGCATCGACTGTGTGCCAGCGAAGTTGTCCGACATCGAGAGGGGCATGCGCGTCTGCAAGCCGACTTCCTTGAGATTGAGGAAAATCTTGGAAGACTTGCAAGGGTCAGTCTGGGAAGCGTCTTGAACCTAGGGAGCGACTGGACTCACCGTTACCCCGTACGTCGCTACCAGCCAGCTGGCAAGGGAAAAGTGGTCAGTGCTAAAAATTCTGGGACAAAAGCAGCCAGGGTACTCACGGGCTTCCGACTTGCACGTATGGCGAATGTAGAAGATTCAAAAGGAGGTTCATCAGCACGCATGTGAAGGCTCTATTGGTGATCCAAGTCAGGTCGCATTGCGGAGACCATATAGCGAATCGACTCACAGAAGAAAGTACATCGACGCGTCCCGCACGCAGGTATACAGCGCCGGCGCGGCCTGCGGGTTCCGCGCGAGCGCCAACAGAGGGTATCGGCCGCGGGTGATCATGATTTCGCGTAGGTAGCTCGAGGTCTGGCAACGTTGGCTCAGTGAGTGGTAGTACTATGTGACAAACCACGCACCTTGAGCACGACGAGCACGAAGTAGACGCCTATTGGGCGAGGTGAAGGCGCCCGATATAGACGACGAAAGGGAGATAACGTACAGACGACGATCATGCTTGTGCACCTTTGATGGTGGGATGAGCTTCAGCTGAGAAAGAAGGGAAGGACGCGCACCACATAGCAATGTTCACGTCGGACATGTTCTTCGCATCCGCTGTGCAGTTCAATACTTCCGATGAGCCCAGCAATGCCTCCGAGCCGCCCGTAAGGGTAATGCAGGTGGTGACGATGCCGACCTGGGCGTTCGCGTTAGGCGTAGATAGATGCCCGACGTGGATGACCAGGTACGAACCACGGCTTCCGCTTGATCATCGTAGTATCAGATAATCAGTGAGCAAGAGTAGATTCTGGTTGACGGACCTACGAACAGAGCGACAGTAAAGGACATTACTGCGACGGCGTCAACATCGTCCAGAACTCGGAGATGTGGCCATGTAACTTACACCTCCTGCTCCATCCGTACAGTGCGTTGATTCGTAGAAGGACGAGCGCTTCACCGACGGTGATGGACAAAATCTGGGTGCTGAAAGAAATTTATGAAGGGCGCGATCTGCGATATTGTGCACTCACATCGCCATATACCATCGGTAGGATATGTTCCTGGTCGAAAGGTGAGAGGGTTGATAGACTCTGGGCGTAAGTGCGACACACCTCTATGTACCTTTCATCAGCCCACTTCTACTGCTTCAGGGAAGACATTGAGAACTGACCTTTGCGTCCGCTAAACAATGCTATCAGTTCGGGATCAGTACATGATTTTTGTAGCCTCTGTTTAGTGGCATGCGGACCGATAGCAGGTGGTCGGAAACCTCTTCGAGGTTGATCAGCTGGAAGTCGATCTTATACACTACATTCATGTCAGTCGCGTTGCGTTCGACGTTCAGTCTCATCAGCTCACATGAATGGTGAAAATAAAATCTGGAGGGCGTCAGTAACCCGAGAGTTGGTCGGTCATGAACGCACATCATCGCCCCGATGGTGTGGTATCTGATGAAGACGTAGAGCAGCTTGGGCAGGTTGCGCCCTTCTCTGTCAAACGGACCGTCAGTAGGGGCAAAAAAAGTGTCTGTGATATTGATAACTTACTGCCATACAGCCCTGACCTGGCGGAAGGTAAGCGCTCGGCAAGCTCGGAGGCGAATGCTCTACCTCTCGGTCAAGGCTTATGAGCCAGTCCCATATCACCCATACCATGCACGCGGCTAGCGAAGACCATCAGAAATATGTGGTATAATTATATGATGAACTCACTCGCTGTTCCACGAAATGCGTCCACAGGTAGCACGTCCTCTCCTGGTCGCGGCATATGCGGCACCGACGACAGAGGGACAGTACCGTTACCCATCGTCCCGAATACAATGGCTGGCTGGTGCCAGGGAGGTCAAGATGCGCACCCGAGCACATGCACATGCTCGCCTATATAATGTCCTCGTCGGACGCCGGGGCCATATGTGCTGGCGGGCCACTTGTGCGCTGATTCTTCGTCGTGCAGGCGCAGTCAATGGAGTCAGCCAGCCTGCCAATCGCTGGCCAGTGCCTGCCGAATAAGTTGGATCACAGAATGTGCAGCCGTCACGTTCTCTCAGAATGGTTCCCAGCTTCATGGATTGGGAGACCGGCCAGTCGGGCTCAAGCGCATGGCTAGGGATGCGCAACGCTTGTATTCTCATCGATAGCCGGGAGTATATTGCCATTCCATCTCGAGTCATGCGACGAATACGCCCGAAGCACAAAATGGGCAAGCGAAGTCCGGTGATCGCGCGAGGTAAGCTGGGAAGGAAGCGCAGAAGGGCGTATCTTCGGCTAGTCTGTGGAGGCTGTATACCTCCGAAAGCGCGTAACCAAGACATATCTTGGGCTGTGATCCACGAATCAAGCTCAGCGGGCATCTCTAGCACTTGCATGTTGGGCACTGCAAAGGCGCGTAGGGCTGGTCGACGGGTCGTCACAGCGCAACTTTCGGTCCATTAACTGCAGTTGCAACCACTCCCTTGTAGCATGTTACGCAGTGAAGCGATCGGAGAGAAGCACGGAGGAATCCAAGCGCGTTGTGAAGGACAAGATGGACGTCGAGATCAAGTCGGAAGACGTGAGCGGGAAAAGCCGAGCCTTGGTTCGAACTAATCAGTGTGAACACTAAATCGCTCCTGCCGACATACGGTCATGCGGAAGGAAGGAAGGAAGTTGGTTATTTGGGCGGTACCTTCTTTTCTTCAGGATGATATACCAAACGCGCCTCGTCGAAGAACACGTATCTTCACCACAGACACGGATACGAGTCCTAGAGTTCGGTAAGTACAGCGGCGGCCAAATCAATTGCGCGCTGCCTTTTTCGGAAATATCGCCGAGGCGGGCGTTGGGTGAGGTCGAAAAATTCCGACTCTGTCAGAAAACGGTAGAGCGTAGCTAAAAACCCCCAGATACGAAGTTTCAAGCAAAACGAGCATGTAGTCCGTGAGATATGCGAGGTACAGTACGTTAGGCCATGTAGTGCCATTTGATGCATCCTGGCACGTTCCATGAAGATCAAGAGCGCACCCAGGCAAAGTTGGTATGCGGATGGGGGTTTTCGATGGCGCTCTACCGTTCTGTGTAGGTCCCGAGACTCACCTACCTCACCCAGCGCCCGCCTCGGCGATATTTCCGAAAAAGGCAGCGCGCAATTGATTTGGCCGCCGCTGTAACTGTGATGTTAATAACATATGTATAAAACACGTGTTAGTAACATGTTAAAAACTGTTACTTACACGACTGCCTGGGAGGCCATGTTAGAGACTGTTAGAAACTCTCCGGCGACGAGGCTGGTCAGCTTCACCCAAAGTATCATGGGAGACGAAAGCGGAATTCGTTCGCGCGACACGTCGGCCCCGTCGGGATCCGAACCGTGACCCCCATGTGACAGGACTCGGCAACTCCCGCGGCAGGCTGCTCCTCGACTTCGATGACAATTGGGTGTCCCCCACGAAGGGGTATGGTCAAAGAGCATCGACTAGTAGATATATTTCGTCCATGGTGGGGTTGCCCCAGCAGCTTGACTCGCTTTGCTGCCGGCTAGCCTTTGTGATTTGTTGGTCCAAGGCACGCACCACGCGTCTCTGGGTGCTGTCGTCTGTGATCTTAGTGAAAAGGACAGCACGTTGAGTCTGTCTAAAATACATCGGGTCCAATAGGCAGTATTTCTGTTATGTGAAGCTTAGAATCCACTGGCGCTCTTGAAGCTCTAGTAGGTCATTGAGTGCGGTGAATCCAAGCCTTGGGTCTCGAGCATCGGGGTCCGGTACAGGATCACCAGAGCAGCTAACGATGCTTGCTATGCATGGTAGAGCGTAATTAACAACCAAAAGGCTTATTGCTCACGCAGGGGCCCCGCCGAGGTACGAGGCAGGGGAAGCGTGAGCAATCGTGACTTCGTGATGGGTGCCCTGGACTTGCCGTGTAAACAAGTACAAATATTTTCCCGGGGATTACTCGAAAAGAGCTCCGCGAGCTCTGGCGCGCGCAGCGAGCGCGTCTCTTAGCGCATCTGCTTGAAATCTTGCAAGGGCACTGCGTACCCTGCCATGCACACGCTTACCAATTTTCGTGAGAAAATTCGACCTTAACGTTGCTGCGCAGCGCCGGGTCTGTCTTTGGACCTTCAAGATGACCAGAGCTCTCCTTTTGGAGCGCTGTTGGCAGCGGTGAACGAAGCCATGCTCGTATACATTATAGGTAGGCGGTGCGCCGTACACTTCGTAACCTAAGGACGGCACTCGACGTCCTGAGTCTGCCTTTCGAGCGGCGGTGGCGTATGGCGCGGGTCATCGACCCGTGACGCCGCCAGCGCGCCTTTGGCGCGCTATAAGCCCCTGCGTGAGCTATCGTGGGTCCCCCACCTAACTATTTTATACCATGTAATACATCGGTTTCTTACATGTAACTTCATGTTAATAACACGGTAGTTAATAACATCGTTACTTACAGCTGTAAGTAACTAGTTACATGTTACTTACATACATCGGCCTCAAAGAGTTTTATACCGAACTCTAGATCATACGACCTGGGAACGCACGGAAAATGTAATGCTCTAGCTGGATGACGCCAGCGCCCATAGTCAACAAGAACTCAGTTGCCGGTTTCCTGCTCAGCGATCCTCCTGGTGCCAAGCTTGCGCGTCATGATATTTGGCTCTGCATCCGCCCTGAGGCAGACTGTCTAGCTACTTATAAGAGGTCACACCACTGCTGCCCTGCTCGCCAACTGCCCCTCCCCATCGCCTTACACCATGCAATTCCTCGTCGTCATCTCTGCCTCTTTGGCGCTGGGCTTTCTCTTCGCTACTGCGGCGCCTGTCGTCGTACGGGGCACCGACCTCACAGCCACCGCTGGTAAGCTCATCCGCCCTGCCAGCTAACTGGCCATATTTCCGACATGCGGCTCCGCTAGCGTCTGACGCCTTGACGGCCAGACAGGACGAGTGTACGAAGCCCGAGAATGACCGTATGAAGGGGTCATCAGGAGACAAAGGCGACGAAGGACACCTTCAGGCGTGTTTCTAGATGTAAGTTCATTCGCCGTTGCGCGGCATTGTCTGCTAACGGGGCTCGAAGGAGTACGCTGTGGGGGTGCTGTACGACGTGGTTCCGTCATATACGCGCTGCTACATAGGACCCCGAGACTAGCGTCGTAGCGAGCGTTGTTCTCAAATGGCATCATGGTTCGCCTTGCCAGCGGGCATCGCCACAATATCATCAAGCTGCAGCGGCGACAAAGGGACGACCCGAATTCGTAAGGCAGACGAGCCCGAACTCGATAGGCGCCCATCACCGTGCTGGCCATCGACAAGACCCTTCGACGGAAGATTGCGTACGATGGCGTTCAACCCCCGTGGTCGATTGTACGTATACCCAATGAACCCCGCAGCCTAGAGAGAGGCGCCCGCTGCAAGAGTGGCGCGACCGACTGGCTCCACCTGCTCGGTTCGCTGGCATGGATCCTTCCCTTCAACGACTCTGGCGTGTCCTAATTCGCGTGCGCACACGGGTGCCTATAAAGCCCACGACTCCAGCAACACTTCTCTAGAGCCTTACCATCGCCCTTGCTCCTCACCCTGTCAACGAACATGCGCCTACTCATCATTTTCATGCTCACATTGGGCTCCCTCTACGCTATCGCTGCACCTACGTATACGAGCGTCGATGATGATCCTGGTAAGCCCTTCACGCCGAGAGCACACGCCCTCCGCTCTAAGTACGATTCCAGACAACCCGTGCATCCCAGGGAAGCACCCTGACGCCGCGCATCATTTGGAGGATTGCTTTTGAGAGGGTAGAATATATACCACTCGCGTCGCGTATCGTAAGTAAAATATGTCGACCTTCACGGCGCTGCGGGACGCTGATGGATTTTGCAGTTGACCGGCGAGCCGCCTACCTCTGCCGCGAGTTTCGGTCGCTCATCTTGACTTCATGGGGGGATTACGGACCCATACTGTATCTTGTATACCAGTTCTTGTCTGTTCTTCGCTGGAAGTTTCCGCAGGCGTCATATGCACTCGTCTTTTTGAGGCAATCTTTCGCATTATTACGTTGTTCTTTGGGTCGTCTATGGATTTCCCTCGCCTCCCAGACATTGGTATAAATAGCAGCGTGTTTCTTCATACGATAGCGATGATGCGACAGCAATATAAGTACGAGGATTTGTGTAGTATAAGTACAATGAACCAAGTGTAGACATCCGGTGTCGTGTCTACTTTCGGCCGAGCGAATGTCGAGCCGTATTGCGCAAAATCGTACTGCGCAACTGATCCAAGCCCCCACCCTTCTTCTTCGACGACGGCGGCGCCGATATCGATATTGACGTCGAGCCCTGCCCCAGCTTTCGCCGCTTGGCCCCCTCCGCCTCCCTCTGCTCCAGCTCGCGCTTCCCCCTCACCCAAGCCTCCCTCGCCTCCTTAGCAGAGTCCTCATCCTCCCGCGCCCTAGCCAAGTCGAGTTCCACGGGCAGCCCATATCGATCCTTGATCTCGTCGTCCGCGGCGCGCTTCTTCTGCTCGACCTTCTTCTCCTCGCGGAAGTGCTTGCGCACCTTGCGCGAGAGGGCGTATGGGTCCGCGTTGAGTCTGTCTGACGCTTCCTCGAGCTCTTCGAGGCGGGGCTGTTGGACTTTGGTCGAGTAATTCTGGGCGTCCGTGGTTTTCTCGAGGGCGGCGAGAGGGTCTGAGGGTCCGGCTTTGCCTTCGGTGTCTGAGAATACGTGAGCATATGGCATTTCCAAGCGTTCATAGTGGGTACACTTGCCATGTATTGCGTATCCACCGTTCTCCTCTGGGTCCCAATCCTCGTCTTTCTGGCGTGCGCCTGAAAGGATTGAGATGAGTCGGCGCACGTAGGTGGCACACAAGGCGACTTACCCTCCGTCACAACATATCTTGTATTCTTCGGGTCCGTTTGTATAGTGAACCAGCCGTCGCAGAGATGACATTTGCACCGAAAAGTGAAGATGGGCGTCGAGTAGTAATTGCCGACTTTCTTCTTCTCGGCGTTGTAGCGGACGCCCATGCCAATGTGGTTGTTGCATGTTCCACTGACGAGGGTGTTGGAATCACAGTCAAGCGGGGATGTAGGACTATACATACCACCAAATATTGAAAGGTAATTCAAAACGTGTGATGAGGATGCCCTGGTCGAGCTTCCGCGCTCTGTCACCGAGCGCATGCTTCCCTACGAACCACGTCAGTGACTGAAGAAGAAAACAGAGAGCACAGACGTACCTCTATATGCGTTCAAGCTCTTATGCTTCTCGCCATCATAGTCCGGCGGGTAGTATTTGTTGAATCCCTGCATGGTGTTCGAAAGCAAGCAACGTTCGGCGCTTGCCGAGCCGAACTTTGGAATTGCCGCCGTGCCGCGCGATCACCTGATCTTCCTCAGACCCAATTTATCTCATCGCGTGCTTCCATCGTTTCTTGCCTTTGTACTGTTACTCTGACCACCATGACTGACCCGAAGTTCCGTGCTCGAAATCTCTCTCCAAATGACCCGAATATACCACTGCTAAAGAAGCGGAAGGAGGCGAGGGAGACTCGATTGGCTCGCTTTAAGACCGAATCGGCAAGGCTGAAGGAGGAGGTGCGTCAGTCGCGTTGCGTATGCTGAACGCGAGACTCATGTAACTTCTTAGGGGAATAAGCTGTTCAGAAAAGGGGACTACCATGGCTCTATGCATATGTATATCGATGCGCTCAAGGCGATCCACAAGCCGGATCCCGTCCTTCTGTGCAACCTTGCTGCATCATTCTTGAAGCAAGAGATGTACGTTCACAATCCTGTCTCTCTGGCGTCTCTAATTGCACTTCAGGTACCCCGAGGCCGAGCAAACTGCCACGGAAGCGCTGGCAAGGGACCCCAAATCTGTGAAAGCACGATACAGGCGCAGCATGGCCCGGAAGGGCATGAAGAGATATCGCGGCGCGGTGATCGGTGCGTGACCTTGTCGCTCGACATGTATCTTCAGACAGCTGACAGTCTGGATACACAGACCTTGACACTCTTCTCTCACACGGACACGACTCTGACGATATCTTGAATGCTTTCCACGACGCTGAAGCCTCCTGGGAGGCAGGCGACAACACGCTCTCTGACGACGGCTATGCCAGTTCCGATTACGACTATCCATCATACGAAGACGAAGCAGCCGAAGAGTACGAGGGCTACTCCGGCTCGAGCGATTGCGAACACGAAGGGAACGGCACCGCGTGTCGGTTCTACAACCACGGAGGATGCAACCGCGGCAAAGCCTGCCGCTTCTCGCATGCGCCTGACGGAAAGAGCGTCCGGGATGACCTGTAGGGCCTACCTCCCATGTTCTCCTGCTCTTCTCTGACAATACACAGTGGAAAGAACGTCTGCATACACTTCCTCCTTGGCACCTGCAAATACGGCGCGGACAAGTGCATATACTCCCACAATAGGGCCTACCTCCCGGAGCGGGGCTGGTGGAACGACCCGGAATCCGTCGAAGTCATCCGCGCCGCCTTCGAGATGAACGACCGCGGCCTGCCGAGCGATCTCCTGTTCCTCGACGCCTTCATGGGCAACCCCATCCCCGCCGAGGGTGAACAGTCGCTGCTTCGCGAGCCGCCGCCCCTCCGCCAAAATAACAGGGGCAAGAGCAAGAAGAAGCAAGCCTCCGCATCCGCCAGCGAGGCCTTCGTCCTCATCATCGTCCTCGAAGACGATGGCTTCTGGCACGACATCCACAGCCACCTGCTCAAAGCCCTGCGCGCGAAGATCGCGGTGAAGCAGTCAACTTCGAAGAACGAGATTCGCCAGCTGTTGGCGTCCTCGGACCTCGCCGGCGTCCTCGTTGTCGACGCGGGCATTGCGCGACGCCGCAACGCGAGCCTTGCCGACGAACTCGCGGCGTACGCAAAGCGCGGCGGTGCGGTGGTCATCGGCGGGCAGTTCAGCAACCATATCACCCCCTCCGACATGAAGACGCTCATGCAGCGGTTCGGCCTATCCTGGACCATGGGTGACTACCACCGCACGACGCACACCCTCAACCCTCAGCACGCTATCGTTCGCCGGAATCCGAGCCTCCCCAAGTCGTACAGCATGAAGGCTGTGCACATCGCCGGCGCCGACCCCGCTGCAGCTATGTACGGGCCGACGGAGAACTCGCAGCTGCAGTCACTAGTCTTTGCGCCGCGCAAGATTGACAAGCTCACGGAGTACCCCGTCGTCCAGTCGCGCGTGGGTGACGGCTACCTGGGCTTCATCGGAGATGTCAATGGCGAGACCGAGTCCACCGCTCCCGTCCTCGCCATGCTAGGTCTTCTCGACGCCCCATTGCCCCCGCCATTGTCTTCGGATGCTCAACCTTCCACCATACCTCGAGTTTCTGCCTCATCTCCTACGCCCCCCGCATCATCGTCCAAGAAGACGGTCGCCGTATTCGCACTGGCCGGCATGCTGGACATGTTCCAAAGCATCAACGCTCACCTCCTATCCTCCCTAACCCCCAAGGCCCACATCACCAACGTCACGGACCCCGCCCACGCAAAGAAGACCCTCCTCGACGCCCCCGCCCCCGACGCCATCCTCATCGTCGACGCCGCCGTGTCCGAGAAAAAGCACAAGGGTCTCATATCCCTCCTCAAGTCCTACGTCCAGAACGGCGGCACCCTCGTCTTCGCCGGCTGCTTCAGCTCCTTCGCGCGCTTCCCCGACATGGACCGCATGTGGAGGGCGCTGGGCGTCGGCTGGGAGGCGTCGTCGTACCACCGGGAGGACTTTGCGAAGGAGCTGGACCACGCGACCGTGGCGCGGAATCCGTCGCTGCCGGGCAGATATAGCATGAAGGCGCTGCAGCTGAAGAACGTCGGATCGAGCGGGATGTACTCGGAGGGGAAGCCAGAGTCGCCTATCGTGCACAAGCGTATGGGATCGGGATATCTGGGCTACATCGGCGATGTCAACGGCGAGGAGAGCACCACGCCATGCATCCTGGCGATGCTCGGATTGCTGGACGCAGACTTACTTCACTGAGAATGTAGCAATTTAGGCCTACCCTTACATTCTCATCTTGCTAAAGTCGATGCCCCATGACCTGCTCCATTGACTTCTTGCGGTGCCGGCTGAAGACATCGCTACTGTTGGCTCTCAGGAAAGATCTAGGTTTCTTCCCGCGCATACAATTCTGCAAGTTCTCGATAGCAAAGAGACGAAGGTACGATGATACATGCGATAGAGTAGTATCACAAACGGACTAGACGTTATACATATATACGCAAGAGATTTGAAAGCTCCACGATGGCGACCATAAGATAGGTAAAACGGGATTAACTAGAACGAAGTAAAGCAAGGAGAACATATACAAGTCCGCGACTACCCTGACGAGATCGCCCACGGCTGATCTAGCGTCGGCATCACGCCGTCCCACTTCCACTCCGCCGCTGCTTGGTGGTACAGCGACTCCGAACCGCCCTCGATGTCCTTCCAGATGCCCACATTCAGATGCGCGGCCACCTGTTCCTCCTCGTGCTTCTCGCCCGCGCCGCTGTGAGCGGCGTCCGCGTCGCCGCCGGCTGCAGACTCTGGACTTGTGTTCGTCGAGGAGTGCAGCAAGTCTGGCGTCGGCGCCACGGAGTCGCTGCCATCCGGCGCGTCCGCATTGATGCCGTACGCGGTCCAGTCGAAGAATGAGAGCGAGTCATCGACACCCCCCATGCCCAGGGACCCGTCGAGCGGACCCGGCATGTCCATGGAGCCATCGCCGGATGCGTCGGGTAGGGAGATGCTCTGCTTGAGCAACTCGTCGAACGCTTCCGCGATGTTGGCATTCATGCTGGAGCTACCGTCACCCTGCGACGCCTGCTGCACCAGCTCCTTCATCTGGTCGAGGCATGCGGCGACCTCCTGGTCCGTCTTCGATTCAAGGTTAGCCGTCTTGTCCTCGGGCAACTGAGAGGGAGCTGCGATCTCCTCTTCGGCCTTCGCTCGCTTTGGAGGCGATGGCCCGTTGATGGGTGATTGGGCTGGGTCGTCCTCCCGCTGGCGCTTGCCGATTGTGGGCGTCTGGGGCTCTGTCGCGGGTGTGGACGTCGACGGCGGAGTGGGCGCAGTTGCCTTCGATGGTCGCCGCACTGGCTTTGGCTTTGGCCTGGTGGCGGGCTTGTTCTTCGGCGACTTGACATTGGACGGAGACGCTGCCATCTGGGCCGGCGTGACAGCAGGGGTAGTCGGTGGTGGGGTAGGAGCAACGTTTCCTCCGGCAGGAGACGCAGCAGGTGTTGAGACGTTCTTCTTGTGCTTCCCGATCGGTGGCGGTTGCAGGTTGACCGGCGGTCGAGGAGGCACAGCGCTGCCTGCGGGACCCGGCTGCGGAGGCAATGTATGCGACGGCACATTCTGCGGAGGGTCCATAGGCGGCGGAGGAGGCCCGGGAGGTAAGCCCCTCTGGGCCAGCATTTGCGGATTCTGCATGTGCGCCTTCTGGATGAACTGCTTGCCTTGATTGATCGCGAGATCAGCGCACTCCTTCATCTTGAGCAGGGTCATGCTGAGTTCCTCCACGCCCATGACGAAGCGCGGCTGAGTGCCCTGCAGCAGTTCGTGCTGTTTGCGCAGGATCGCGAACTGTGACGATTGTCAGTATGCAACGAAAACGGCGCCAAGGGAACAACGCACAGCGGAGATGAGACTCTTGGTCGTGTTCTCTGCGCGCACCAACAGGAAGAAGCGGTGCAATCGTGCGTCCATGAGCTGCGCAACCTGCATCGTCTGATGAATTATTGTCGCCAGCCTGCCTCTAAGCTCGGGCGCGACATCCTTATTCGGTAAGCGCTGGAGGCCTACTTCTGAAGTCAATGAATATCGTTGACGAGTAGCGGACAAGATTCCAACCTTTGTTCGAGAACTCCACCCGTGCGCGTTCGATCAAGCCCGTCGCCTGCTGCAGTGCTGATTCGCCGAGGGGTAGATAGTCCAAGACCTTGACGAACAGCTGGATAGGGATGTCCTGCGGCTGAGGTATGTTGCCCCCTCCCATGCCTCCCAGCCCCGGTCGCTGCAGCCCTGCCAGCGCAAGGTTCTCCGCCGGCATACCACCTGGTCCCGCCATCGACCCAACACCCTGTTGCATCCCGTTCTGAGCGGCGCCGGACTTCACGCTACCACGGAAGGCATGCTGCTCCATGGCGTACCGCTGCAGGCCAGCGCGATTGTTCTCAACCAGCTGGATGATGCTCGCATTCAAACCCTGCGCGCGCATATGCTCCACAGACAGGTTAGCATACTTGACGAGCGCCTGGAGCTGCTGCGGGTGCAGACGGGCGAGCGCGGGAAGCTGAGCAGGGTTGGGCGCAGGGTTGTTGCCGCCGGTGGCCTGGTTCGCCTGGTTGTGCATCGTCATGAACATCTCCCTCCGTCGAGTTTCGGCCATGGTTTGGTACAGCTGCGTGTCGAACAGGCCAAGGCAGTCTTGATAGCACTTCGCGACTTGTTCGGCGACGTCGGGAGTTGACTTCGCGGGTTCTGGTCCGGGGGCTGCAAAGCCTAAGCGCGCAGCGATGATGGGCCACGCGTTGTTGGCCTTGACCTACGAGCAGGAGTAAGTAACAGCGTTAAGAGAAGACGCTCATGATGCCCACCTTGTTCATGCCGCCTTCGCGATTCACCTCCACGTGAAGCATGTACACGTCGATCGGCCGGCCATCGAAGAGGCGAGGGTCGCGCTTGATATCGGGATGCTTTGAGCAGAAGTTGTTGTATATAGGCTCGAATCGATGCTTCTCCAGATGGGGGAAGGGATTGCCGTTCAGCCCGGGATGCAGTTGACCAGCACCGCCGAATGGAGCGCCGTTCTGCGCCGGAGACTGCTGCTGGAATGGCAACGAAGCGGACATGCTCGGCGACATGGAAAAGGAGCCCGATGGCAGTCGCGAGTTCGACTGCTGAGGAGTTCCTTGCATTCCCAACGTCGCGTGCAAGGACGACTGGGGCGTGGGGCCAGAGCGGGGCGGAGCGTTGACATTTTGCGGAAGTGAAGCGGCGGCGTTAGCAGGGGAGGTCTGGCTACCGGATTGAAGGCCATTGACGCCGAACGAAGCACCGAGCCCGCCATTTTGCATCCACGGAGACGAGCTTGGCCCCGCACCTTGATTCGAGCCGGATGGGCCCAAACCATGTTGCGACGGAAAGCCATTCCTGGAGAGCAAGTGTCAGTTTCGGTAGACTGACAGAGATCGCGTCACTCACTGTCCCGGTCCACCCGCCGAACCCCCAGGCAAGTTGTGCTCGCCGTCGTTCGGGATCGAGCCGCTGCGCATACGCATGACGAGCGACTGCAAACGCGTGTAGTGCTCCTTTCTGATGCGCAAGTTCGTCGCGATCGTCTGGAGGGTATCCTCGCTGATCTCCAGGTAACCTTGCGCACGCTGCATTGTCTTCTGCCGCAACTCGGTCTCCATTTGGACGATCGAGTCGCGCAGGGCCTGCAGTTTCTCGTTGTACTGAGCGAGCGTGGCTTGGGGATTGGCGGTGCCGGCCATAGTGTTGGCAAGGCCGTTCATGTTATTCTGTTGTGGATGGGTGGGCGAAGTTCGACGCGGATCCATGGATGTGGGGAACATGTTGGTAGAGCCATTGCCCATGCCAGGACGAAGGCCATTGAGATTCGCGGACGGGCCGGCGCCAGCCAGACCAGCGCGTTGTTGTTGTTGCTGCTGCTGCTGCTGTCGGAAGAGCATCTGTTGCACATGGAGGGGGGCGTTCTGGTTTTGTTGATTCTGCGCAGCGGCCATGAGATCTAGTTGCCGCGATGCGCCGAGTACACCCTGGGGGAAGGCCTGAAGCATAGGGTTGGAATTCCGGTTATTCGCCGGACCACCACCCATGCCCATCATCGAGAGCATCTGCTGCGTGGGTTGCCCGTTATTGTTGAAGCCGCGGGCTGCTAGCTGCTGTTGTTGTAGCTGCTGCTGCTGCGCATTCATACGAGCAGGGATACCAGCATTCCCCATGAGAGCGGACATCTATAGGGTGAACGGCCGTGTTAGTACTGTACGTAACCGACTACCAACGCGGTAGAGGGGGAAAGGGAACGTGCCTCGTTCATTGAGCTACCTCCCATCAAGTCCTGTCCAGCGCCGGATTGCGGTCTGAACTGGTTCCCGCCGGCCTGCTGCTGCATCTGCATCTGATGAAACAGGCGCTGCTGCTCTGGTGTGAAGCCGCTGGCGCCGAGAGGTGGCATGCCATGGTTCGGCTGGGAGTTCTGGTTGAGGGAGTTCAAGAGCAAGTCTTGCTGGTTGAAGGCCCCATTGTTGAACATATTCATGGATCGGTGGAGGGGGAGGTGCGCTGCCGCCGTGCGGAGCGGCTGGGTCGCGGGCTATGCGGGGGGAAGGGCTGGGGGGCGGCGTCTGCGGTGATGGGGCTGTTGCGCGTATCGACGTCGAGTACCGCGGCCACGGGGGCGTTCGGACTGTCGTGGTCGTCGATGGCGGCGACGAGGCGAGTGGGGGCGATGATGGCGGTCGGCGGAGAAAGCGAGCGGCGCACTGTCACGTTCCCAGGCCGCCGCCAGCCCGCCCTGTGCACCGGCCCCGGCCCGAGTTCTCGGCCGAAAACTGCCTTTTTCGGTACGGAAGTTGCCGCCCGGCCTCCCTCTGTCTTGCATGTTCAAACTGTTCGACTTTGCAAAAATTTGGATCGCATCTGAGACATCCCTCAGACTGCCAGTAGCTACGCCTCCCTCGCTACCTCATCCTACGCAGCCCTTGCAGCGAATATACGGAGTGGCAAACTAGTCTCATTGGCTCCCAAACGCCGCCCGTTCTGGGCATAGGCCCGCCCCAAACGTTTCTAGACGCCGTCCATTCCTCCGTCACAGCTACTGCTCGGACCCATCCGCGGTCCACACGCACTACGTCCCCTCCCAAGCCTCACCCGTAGCCTCGCGAAATGGATGTTTGCGCCCTCCCCGCTACAACTTGGCCGCGCGAAGACGCGAAGGCCCGCGAGACCCGCGCAACGCGGTCCGTTAGCACCTGCCAGCGAAGCAGACCTATCTCGAACGGGAACCTCTCTCCCTCACCTGGTTCCATCGCGGTAACCCCGGACACTCGAGTAAGGCGCGCGAAGTATGCGATCATACTCATAGGCCGTCACCCGGCCCGCTGTTGCTTTGTACATACAGACAAATAAATATCGACCTTATAGTTACCCATAAATTCACACATCCCTGCCAGGATCTCGAGAACGTTCACAGTTGCTCGAGCGAGCGGCCCTTCACGTCCGATGTGTCCTCCGCGTCACGGCAGCCGTTGAGGTGGACGGCGCAGGCCTCCTTCGAGCTCGAGATCGTAACCGGCTCCGAATCGTCCGCAGGAGTCACATCAGACGTAGACGCCGTCGCAGCCGCGCCTGACTGGATTCCGGCCTTCAGCGTCTGGTCGAAGCGTCCATTGGCATATGCCTGCGAGGCATCCCAGCTGCGCGCCAGAGTCAGTACCTAACGCTCCGTCGTAGACAACATGTCACTTACACCATGACACCACCGAAGCTGCTGTACTGGCCCTTGGCCGAGTTGGCCAGGTGGATGACTTGCTGAGCTGCAGCGTAGCCGCTCGTCGCAGCCGTCGCAGAGGCCTTTCGGTAGTCAGCGATCGGCGCAGATCGACCCGCAGGGGATTAGGCACTCACCGGGGCACCGAGGAAGACCTTCACGTCCTTGTTCGGCGACACCGTCTTCGCCCAGTTGTCCCAGTCACCAAAGTTGATGCTCCCGCTGGCTACAGAGCAGTAGTTGTTGTAGAACTGGATATAGACCGCGTCCACGCCGACGTTATCGAGGATGGGGTTCATGTACGCGTCCGGGTAGGGGCACTGCGGCGCAGCCGTCACGTAGTACCTGCGGAAAGGTGAGCACCTCACCACAGCGGGCGGATTGACACCACTCACGGCTTGCTCGCCCCATCGGACAACGCCCTGAACTTGTTCACAAACGCGACATAGCCCGTGCTCGCCCCGCCCTCAACATCCAGATCAATCCCATCCAGCACCGCGTCCCCAAAGGGCCGCTTGTCGCTCGACCCGCCGAAGAACAGATCCCAAATCGTCTGCGCAAACTCCTCGCCCGCCGCGTCGTTCGCGAACGACGCGGCCCCCGTCGCGCCGCCGAGCGACAGCGTGACGATCTTGCCCTTCGCCTGGCAGCCCGAGATGTCATCTGCGAGGAACTGGCAGTTGGCGAGGTTCGTGCCGTCAAACACGCCGCTGTCCACGGCGTTGCAGGTCTGGTGATGCGGGGTGGGGTAAGTGCCGGGATCGGAGGGCGCAATAGCGGTGGGGACGTACGTTGGCGAGGTTGATCTCGGGGAAGCCGCCGGTGCTGTTGTAAACATTGACGAAGGCTAGGGGGATGACGTCGGCAACGTCGTCCTGGAGAAGATTAGTGGAATATTCAAGGATCAAAAGGAGTATATATATTCACCTGGCAGTATTCGGCCAAGTCCTTCTGCCAGCCGGCTTGGTCGCCATTGGTCGCGCCATACGAGTTCTGGCCATAGTAACTGGCGATGGAATGCTTATCAGTGGACCGCCTCTGAAGTCCGGATACATAACGCTCACAGAACGAGCTAAATGCCTGTCAACATCAAATTTTTCTTTACGAGGATGAAAGACGTACATTATCCTGCCGCGAAGGATCATACGCAACGACCGTAGAGGCAAGGACTGCCGCGGCAACAAAGAGAGTGGACATCATAATGGCGATGAGGGTGGCGAGTCCAAAAGGCACTCGGAGATATTCCGAGTAGAAGGTGGATCTTCCTACTGTTGGAGAGTGCCTTCTCCCTCCCCGCACCCTATTATACTCGCGCGGCCCCGGCCGAGGCACCGAGAGGGACAAAATAGACACTCTCTTCGTTGATAGCCAAGTTACCCGCCACCGCACGACCTCATGGGGCGCGGGTCACGCCTATACAGAGCGCGCGGCGGGGACGTACGGGCGTTAGCATGCACTCGCATCGATAGGCTGGAAGGACCCTCCGCGCTCGCTATGGCACCCAGCGCGCTCGTGTGCGGCTTTCCCATGCGCGACTGCGCGTTCTATCGTTGGCCGTGCTGCCCGCGAGCGGAAGCCCGACATAGCGTACAGATAGAGACGGGTGGGCCTTCGCAGCGTCGAGAGAAGCGCGGGCGGTGGATACAGTTCTGCAGACGGGCCGATAGAGCGTGATAAGGTCTGGAGAATCAGGCCCACTGCGTGGTGAGGCAGCTTTGGTGCGGGCGAAGATGTGCAGCAGTTACGCCCGCCGTAGCCAACGTCGCACGTCCTTCAACTGCTATTGTTTCACGATGGAATCAACAGACAGAGCAGGCGGGCGTGTTCCTGGGAAAAGACACGATTCATCGAGAATATGCGGTCAGAAGACCAGACCCGGCAACTTGGACGCAGGATTTTGCCATGGCAAGAGACGTTGTATGGCTCCATACGAAGTCGGCGCAGAGTTTCGTAGTCTCCTTTGTTTCGTGAGCGCAGCTGGAAGCTTCGAGCTTCCTAAAGCGAGTCCTGAGCGTATTCCTTGTTGCAATGAGCACGTCCAGACACATGTGGTCCCGCACCGGTGGTGAGAAGAAGCAAAGTACGGATTCGCGCGGCGTGATTCCCACGGGTTTACTGAAAAGGAACATCAATGCCTGCCTTATCAGGACGCCCTTCTCATCCTGAACCGTCATCCAGCCATGGCACTCTCAGACGAAGTCAAGCGCGAAATTGGACAGGTAAGCCACTGTTTCCATACGACTTTGAATGTTGAAACTCAGAATTTCCTACCACCTCGTTAAGCATTTTATTCTGGGCTTCCATGGCCAGGAAGTATCGGAGGACATCAGGACGCTCATAAGGAACTATCACCTTGGGCATATCATCTTGATGAAGCGCAATATCAAAGGTAAGCATAATATCGATCATCGACCGCGCTCGCTGAATCCCCCTGACCACAGACGCTGCGCAGACAAAGCGGCTAATCAATGAACTTCAACAAATAGCGAAGGACGCTGGCCATGCCAAACCACTGCTCATTGGTACAGACCAAGAGAATGGTATGTCAATTAGTACATATATGGATGCCTACTGATGAGCAAAGGCCTGGTTTCCGCCTTCAGCTTGCCTAACGGCAATGCTGGCACACAATTGTCAGTCTCATAATCGTCGCTCAGCCCCGCATAACCGACGTCGCATTCGTCAGCCCTGGAGCTATGGCGCTCGCTGCCACTGGCTCTCCCAAGCTAGCGTACAAGACATCCCAGGCCATTGCGCAAGAGTTGAAGTACGTGGGCATTCAGTGGGCGTTTGGGCCCGTCGCAGACGTAAACTCCGACCCTCGCAATCCAGTTATCGGTAAGCGACCCTCGAGGACATAAATGACCATAGCTGACGCGAAGTCCAGGGGTGCGCTCCTTTGGCGATGGTGCGTAGACGTCTTACATATCTTACCTCCTCTCATCCATCGCAGACCCGGCGACGGTAAGCAAGTACGTGCGCGCCATGACAGACGCCTACGAAGCCGCCGGCGTCGCAGCCAGCGCCAAACACTTTCCCGGACACGGCGACACCAACGTTGACTCCCACCTCGGCCTGCCCCGCATCGAGAAAACCCTCGACGACCTGCGCAGCCTCGAGCTCGTCCCCTTCCAGGCCGCCATCGCCGACAAGGGCACCGCAAGCATCATGACCGGCCATATGGCTCTGCCAAAGATCATCGGCGACGACTCGCCCTCCTCGCTCTCGCGCAAGATCACCACGGACCTCCTGCGCGAGGAAATGGGCTACCAGGGTGTCGTCGTGACGGATTGTCTCGAGATGGATGCGGTGGCGAAAATGCTGTACGACAGGAACGCGGCCGCGCAGATGGAGGCGGACAAGCACGACGGGCGGGGCGTCGAGGTTGGATCGGTGCGCGCGCTGCAGGCGGGTGCGGACGTGGTGATGATCTGCCACACCTTCTCGTGGCAGAAGGGCGCGATCGAGGCGATGCACAAGGCTGTCGAGGATGGGAGCCTGTCGCTGGACGCCCTGCGGGAGAGCGGGAAGCGCGTCGCGGCTATGAAAGAGCGCTTCGTCGGGAGTTGGGACGACCTGCGTGCTCACGAAGCCTTCGTCGACAGCGAATGGGCCACAATGAAGGAAGCACACAAGGCGCTGAGCGCGGAAGCGTACGCGCGCATCGTCGCCGTGATCAAGGACAACAACGTCCTCCCGCTCGAAAGCGACGGCAAGATCGTCCTCTTCACTCCCGAGCTTGACAGCCTGAACAAGGCCGTCGACGACGCGGAGGGCGTGCTTCGCGGTCCCAACGGCGCAGTTCGCAACACCGTCGGCGCGTCTTTTGCCAGCATGAGGAACTTTATTGCCGACCGCGCCAAGGAGGTATCGCACATCATCTGCGAGAAGCCCAAGGAGGGCGAAAGCCAGCCCAAACCCGCAAGTTCGGAGGGCGCAAGCGCGGTAATCTTCGCCTTGCGCAATGCGGACCGCGCGGAGTGGCAGCTTGAGTACCTGCGCCCTGTCATCCAGGACGCGCAAGCGCGGGGGGTTCCTGTGGTCCTGCTATCGAGCTGTGCGCCTTACGACCTCATGGGGGCTCAGGATGTACTCGAGGCGGCAGGGGCATACCTGGCGAGCTTTGAGTACACTCGCGAGGCGTTGGAAGCTGCGGTTCGCGTCATCTTTGGGGAAATCACAGCGACAGCGAAGGTGCCCGTGAAGGTCGACTACGCCTGACGGGTCACTAGCTTGTCGGAAAATGGTCGTGTTTGTGACTTATGTCGCGAACGGAACGGAAGAATATACCATCGAAGCTTCTATAAGATTTGTTCATAATGTTCGAGGGGGACAGCGCGATGCGAGTGATGTAGTTACTGCACTGGCTGCCACCGAATCTTTCGAACGAGCTTCCGCGTCTGACGGCCACATTGCTCTGTGAACGACGGTCAGTGATCATGACATTGTAACATTGTACGGTCATGACTTGTGGCACTCACTCTTCATGTCTCCTAGCATAGCTTTCCGTAGAAAGGCGGACTTCTCAGGGCCGCCCTTGACGGGGCTAGTGAAGATCAACGGCGCCAGTTCTTCATCTTGGTCCACGACCAACGCATCATGGCTCCTGTGAGTTTGGTCAGAAAACAGCATTCAACAAGTTGACTGACACGCACTTGGAGATGGAGTTGACTAGGTAAAGCGCAGGCGCCTTCTCGTCCAGCACTGACTCCTCATCCTCCTCCATGACGGAAGCTAATCCCGCGGACTTGCGACGCGGCAACGGTCGCAACTCAAACGAGGTCGCTGTCGCGCCTCGATCCGCGCCCGACGCCAACCTGACCCTCGTGGTGCCCCTCTGCCCCCGCACCCCCTTCCTCTCCCTCGCCCGCTCCGCCTTCCTCGTCGCCCTAACTTTCCTGACCGCCGCCTTCGCACTCGCTGTCTTCAACAGCGCCGCCCGCTCCTCGGACCTCTTCCTCTCCTTCTCCGCCTTCCTCGTCGCCTCCTCCGCTCGCCATCGCCGCTTCGCCTCCGCTTTGAGTTCCATCTCGCGTACCGTCAGACGTTCGTCCTGCACTATCGTGACATGCGCAGCCGTCTGGCCGAACATGGAGAAAGTGCAGGAGACGAAGCTAAGGACGCGCAGGCACGGCTCGGAAAGAACGAATGAAAACATGATGAGTTGTTTGTTGCTGATCGCAGAGTCGTGAAAGAGTATCGAGTTCGTCAAGAACAGTCGTCAGAGAAAATCCGTCGTCGACGCTGGTCGTCTCAGGTTCGTGAAGGGGGGCAGAAAGCAGCCGCGCCTCGAGACTGTCGCTAGCGTTGCTTTATGGCGCAGGTAGAGCCGATCTAGAAACGCATCAGATTGGGTCCTCATCGGCTCTGAGACGAAGACACCTTACCTCCCTTGGCACTGTCATGCGGCCTTCACCGGCATTCCGCCACCAATTAGACAGCCCGTACACATCCGACAAGCAGTTCGCCTCGCGAACATAATCGCGTGGTGAATCAACAGCGGCGAAGGCGAGGTACCGACTGTCTTTAGGAACATACGTGCGCATGTCGCTACCGATGTCTGCGAAAGGCAAGGCGCGAGTACGGCATTCCGAGTTATCTTGGAGACTAGTTGATGTGCGCGCCACTTCGCCTGTCGGATCCGGAGATTAGAAATGCCATCGAGCACTAGAGACCGCGCAGCACCGCAAGATTTCGTCCGCCTCATGGTCACTGTTGGCCTGATTTCATAGCGTACACTGAGTCTGCGCAAACGGAAGTCAATTTCGTAAGAGGTCCTGCATGACCTTCACAAGTCATACTCGTAGTCTGAGTTGATATGCAATTGCGTCGACACTAACCGCGCTACTTGTTGGGCGCACTGGTATTGCGCGGGACACAAATACGAGTGATGGGATCCAAAGCATGTCATGTCCAATCCTAATCTACTAAAACCTCTATCAGCATTCGCATGCCCGACAAATGATGATCACACTCACATGTAGCGAGATAGCAGATCCGAGCCTAAATCGTGCAGACATAATTATAAATCCAACGTACCACATCACACTCCACCTACGACATCGACTTGCGTGTCTTCGTCGGGCCCTCCGTCTTCAGCGTACAATACAGGAAGTGTCGTCTTGGTCCAGCCGTCGCTGTACTAGCGACCGCTGCTGCGGCGCGCGCAAGCGGCGCCGCATCCACTGCGCTTCCTCGCAAGCCCAACGAAAACATCCTGTCGAAGCCTACGCCCAATCAGCACCTTGAATCTTCAATAAGGCCTCATGCTTACGGGTTGCCACAAAGGCCTTCGCGCTGGTCTGACAGCTCAAGTGCGTCAATGCCAGTGGCGGGCTCACGCCCTCGAGCATGCGCAGATAACGGTAGACCATAGACGGCTGCGGAGGTCCAAAGCGGAACGCCGATTGATACGCTTGCCGCCACTTCTCCTCCAGCAAGCGCGCGCAGACGGCAGGATCTGGGCACGTTGAACACTGCGAGCGGACATGAGTCGACGCCAGGAGACGTACGAACGGCTAGCACGCACGCATTGGTACTCCTTTGACATGGTCACCAGCCCTAACTTCAGGACGCGTTCGAGAAACCAGTTTCGTCTGCGGGAACGTGGCTCGGTCAAGAGTAATAGGAGTGAAGTGCGACCTACCGCTTTTCTAGCTTGAGGAGGGTCTCCGGGCTTAGCGTGTTTAGCTCGTGGTCTGGCCAACCACCTGGGTTGTCAAGCAGAAAGCGGCTAGCTTCGCGATAGAGTTCCTCCTCCTCGAACAATTCTGCGATGCGCATGGCCTTGATAGGGCGACCGGCGGCGTGAGTGATCAAGAAATGTAGACACTCGCGTTGTAGCGAGGGTACGCATAGTTTGTGAGCGATGTTCATGAGGTTTTCGACGTTGTTCCAGGTGATAGTGCATTCCAGACTGGCGCTACGGTCAGACATGAAGTAGACAGAGTACAGCGCTCGCTACTCACTGGGGGTATACATAACGGAGGAAGTCTTGAAAGGTGCTTGCCTGTGAATAGATCAGCGTGGAATACATGCTAGTACTGACATCAGCTCACTCGCTCTTCCTTGAGAACGATAACGGCGTCTGGTGAGCGTCGTCTGATATTGGAAGGCACGCGGATGAACGGTCCCTGAGAGCTTGACTCTGCACGACCGCCGGGTGCTTGAAGCTTGGCAAGGGTCTCGTCTCGGGCAGCATTCTTGTCGTCACCAGGACTGTCTTCGGCATCGCTGCTGTCGCTTTCGCTGGTGCCGCCCGCATCCACATCCGCGGAAGGCTCAACATCAGAGTCAATATCCGGTTCCACTGGCGCGAAGGTCATCTCAGTTGGCGCTTGTGGGTTGTTCTTGTCGCCAGGGATAGAGGGGGGCTGGGAGATCGTGATGACGGAGGACATGGATGGTGGGCGACCCGTCTCGGCCCAATTGCCGCTAAGCGCAGCCTCAAAGAAGGGGGACGCAAAGAAGAGAACCTCCTTGTGTGCCCTGTGTCAGTGTGTTAGGCGCGCGAGACATAGCAGCGGGGAAGACGGACCAGAACGTGGTGCTCTCCACAACAATCTTGATGTTGCCGGGCAGCTTGCTGTTCTTCGTGAACGTCTCGTCGAGCTCGATAGCTTGCTCGGACTCGTCAATGCTCAGTTCGGACATGACCTCGTCCGCCTCGCATTCCTGCAGGAACCATGGTGGCGAGCCCGACGAGCGGAAGATGCCAGCGGCAGCGGCGTGGGTCTCAGCGGGGCTGAGGGACGCGGATGGGTTGTTGGCGCCGCGAGAGTTTCTGGCGATGAGGATGTGCGATGGGTTCGTTGTCATCGATGGTAGGCTGCGGGAGGCCACGATTGCCGTGAAGACGTCGTCGACGTCGAGCACAGCGTCAGGAATGCGGGGAAAGTGATGGCGTGAGACAAGCGCCCCGCAGGACGCGGTCGCAAGTTTCGTCCTTGCGACCGCCCATCATCATCTTCGCCGCCGCCTCCAATCTGGACGGCTCTCAGTCCTCCCGCCGTCGTATTGTGCGGCCTACGTACACGTCGCCTGCTTCCCTGCGCAGCGAACCCGACCGCAATTCCGGCATGAAGCCCTTCTCGCGCTTCGATACCCGACGGCGGCTCTTCGTGCTCCTCCCCATCCTCTTCCTCGTCAACACCGTACTGCTCATCGGGGCGCTCTACAACTTCTCGGGGCACGACACGGTCATTGACTTCCTTCACAGTCACAATGGCCCACACACGCTGCTCTGTCATAATGTGATGAACTCGCCGGAGACTATTGCGCGCCTCGAGACGCTCGGCGTGTCCGCGCAGCGTCCCCCCATCCGCGAGTCAGCTCCCCTGAGCGCTCCAAGAGCCAAACTTGTATCCCCGACCGAGCTCATGTCGCGCTACACTGCAAGCCTTGTCCCAACTGGCGTGTCGAAGATCATTCATCAAAGCTGGAAGTCAAGGACGCCTCCCGACCTCTTGCAGTACTTTGTCGACTCGTGGAGGGTTGTCTACCCGGAGTACGAATATGGTGCGTGATTGTCTTACCTGTCTGATGCTCGCTCACTCGCCTGCAGTACTGTGGACGGACGATGACAATCGCGAGCTCATCAAGTCGCGCTACCCCGAACTCCTGGCAACTTACGACGGCCTCCCCTCGGCTATTACCCGCGCGGACTTCATGCGCAACTTCTACATGCATGCCTTCGGCGGGATCTACGCCGACCTCGACTCAGAACCCATTGCCCGCCTTCACGAAATCGAGGCCAGCCAAGTGCCCACTGCATACCTGGGGGCCATGAACACGGTGACGGAGTTTGCCCTCAACCACTCTATTCCCAACGCATGGATGGCGTCCGCCCCTGGCCACCCCTTCTGGCTATGGCCGGTCACGGAAGCGCAGCGCGTAATGTCGATGGAGAACCTTCCGGCAGAGATGAACAGTACGTCAAGTACCTTCTCCCTTGAATCCTCTACTGACTTGCTATAGGCCCCGAGTACATCACCGGCCCATCCGCCCTGCGTAACATGTACTACGCCTATCAAGCGTCAGATTCGCCGTTCCCGACGCCGGCAAAGTCACGCAGACAGGCGGACGAGGAGCTCCCCCCTCTCGACCCCTTTGTTACAGATGCGACCAAGAACGGACGTCCCGAGGTCGTCCTCTTGCCCGCACCTCTGATATACCCTTACTCTTGGGATACTTCCGATCACCTCGCGCGTTGCGTCTGTTCGGCGGAAACTGTTTTCTTCGACACGGAGGTCTGCAAACGCGTCACTCCAGGTGGCTATGTGGTAGGTGACCTTCGCGGTCCTTCGGTGCAGTCGCTCATGAAAACGCAGATCTCGTACTGGTCCCACTCGTGGGGAGGCTGGAAGTTTGGAAAGAAGCTCATGGAGTATACGCCGTGGGGTAAGCCCAAGGTAAGTGCAAGCGTAGTATCCAGGTTTCTGCAGTCTCACCCAATTGCAGGCGCCTCAGCCCTTCTTGACGTCGCCTCCGGTACCCCTCACGCAGCAGTAAACTACCTAGTGACATCTGGACACGGGACGGCAATTGCTCCTTAACTTATTGACATGCTGTAGACCTTACAATAGCGACTCTGGTCGCTCATAATCCACATCGAAAACATTCGCATACGACCTTCCGCGGGAACTGCCGAGTTTGGCTTCGTGACACGTGTTCGAGTCAAGTTGATCTCCGTTTGGGAGGTTCTTTCCATCTCTCAAAGTTACCTATTGTATGCAGGGAAGCGGCAGAAACCCCGCACGGCGTGCCAAGGTATACCCTACACGCTGCCGCTATCAGTTCATTAACGGAAAATTTTCAGGCAGAGGTTGCTCGCCGCCGGGGCATCCCTCAGGCATCTCGTGTTCCCACATGGTTATCTCAGCACAACCCCTTCGCCCAACCCTTCCCCAAGCGCGCGGGGTCGCAAATATGTCAACTTCTCCCCGCCTTCCTTGACTCAACAGCGCGCACCCCATACATAATGAGGGTTCGTACTCGAACTGCGCATCGGGGGCGCACCATCCATGGGGTGCCCAAAGTCATCGGCGGCTCATTCATGCCTGCGTCGGAACTCGGGCGCCATGATTCTCGAAAACAGGTACGCTCGCTTAAAAAGAGTTCATTTCTATGTAATAAACTGCCCATCCACCGTCAAGGTCGCGCGAGCCCAGGTGGTTATATACCACCCCTACTATCGCTGTGGTATTTGTCGATCACCCTTCTGGACCTCTCCTGCGGCTCTCTCGTCATGTCTTCTACTGTCAAGCCGGAGTTCATAGAGCTGGAATGCGGCTCCCACACATTCTGCCAACCTCCCAACTACAAACAGTTCACGCCGGATAACTCTGCCCCACCGTCGCCGGGGACGGATGTCACCCTTACTGGCCCCTTTCCAGAGGTGATCGCGCCGTCTGCGACCGCGTCGACGGTCACGATTCCGCAGAGAAACGAGTCCTCGCTGCCCCCCGCCGACGGTGGCATGCAGGCCTGGTGCTTCGTGAGTCCCCAAACCTTTCACTCCATATAGACCCTGACACGAACGTGCCCGATCGCTTAGCTGCTTGCTGCATTCCTCGTCGATGCGACAGTCTGGAGCTTTCCCTTCACGTACGGCGTGTTCTTAGAAAGTGCGTGCCTGTTCCTATGTGACTACCCCATACTCATCATCTTCCTCAGGCTATCTTAGCGAGCCAACATACGCCGAGCAGCCTCACGCGCAAGTGCTTCTGCCGCTTGTCGGTACCATATGCACGGGAATCATGTACTGCTCAGGTGCGGCTCTACCCTATATGTCAGTCGCGAAGCTTACAATCGGTTAGGACCTGCACTTTACCCCCTCATCGTGCGCTTCCCTCGCTGTAGGCGGCCAGCTATCTGGCTAGGAGCTGCAATCTGCGCCCTCAGCCTTTTGGCTGCCAGCTATACCACAAAAGTATGTTATCTAGACACCATCTCCCCGCGTCTAACTCACCGCTCTAGGTCACCCACCTTGTCGCCTTGCAGGGCGTTTTGTACGCTCTCGGTGGATGTAAGGTTCCTACTCTATCCCACCTGCCTAAAAATCTGACGCGCTCTGGCAGCCCTCATCTACTCCCCCACCATCTTCTACATGTCGGAGTGGTTCATTCGCCTCCGCGGGACCGCCAACGGCATCGTATTCGCCGGCACAGCAACAGGCGGCTTAGTCCTTCCTCTCGTCTTCCCCAAGGTGCTCGCGTCGTACGGAATTCCAAGAACACTGCGCTACCTCTCCATCGCCATTGCTGTTGCCCTCCTACCCGTCCTCCCCTTTATCAAGGGCCGTCTGCCGCACACGCGTGTGCATGGGCCGGCGCCGCGCGCGAGCAACCGCGAGTGGATGAAGAACCCGTCTTTTTGGCTGTATACCATCGTCAACCTCATTCAAGGCTTCGCGTACTTCATGCCGATTGTTTGGCTGCCGAGTGCGTATCTCCTTGGGCGTTGATGCGGGAAGGCACATGCTGACCACGCTGCAGCTTTTGCGAAGTCCCTCAACCTGAGCTCCCTGCAGTCCGCGGCGACCCTGTCTGCGCTGAATGGTACGTCCAGGAAGCGTGATTGCGATTCATGTTGTGACTGTGCTCTCGCAGGCGCGACCATGATCGGCGGGCTCTGCATGGGCTACCTGTCCGATCAGTTCAACTCCTGGGCTTTGACCCTTGGCTCTCTCGTCCTCACCGCCGTCGTGACCTTCGTTCTCTGGGGTATCCTCGGGAACACATTCGCAGGGCTCGTTGCCTTCGGCTTCGCATATGGCATCGTCGCAGGCAGCTTCAGTAGTCTGTGGGCGTCCTTTGCGCGAGTGTATGCCAGTATGTTGGTCTCGATCGCCACTTAACCGTCTTTCCTGACATGCATACCAGACGAAGAGCCCGCGCTTTCGACTACGCTCTTCGGCTTCATGATCTTGAGCCGCGGCATCGGAAACGTGCTGTCTACCCCCATCGCCACTGCTCTCACCGGCGCGCATGCACTTTCGACGTCTCTAGCCAGTGGCTACTCAGTCGCCGGAGGGAAGTACGGCGGCATGATTATCTACTCGGGCTCTTGCTTCGCCGGCGCTGCTGGGCTAGCCCTCTTCGGCTGGAGAACGGACAGCTGGGCATTGCGTCGTGTGCGCCTGAACACCAATGAAGCCTAAGTTGAGGCTGGACAATCATAGATCACAAGTGTACGTTGAAAACTACTAGTATTAGACCTTTCTTTGTTCTCGGTATTGGGTTTTATAGAGGCTTAGGCTTGCCATGTTGTTTGAATAATCACACTTACTTATTGCGCAGGCAGAGGCTACCCCACGGATAAATGAGATGCTGTCCATATCATGCTGTCTACTGGTATTCACCGGTACGGGTCGTAGCCGTACAAGCGTTGTAATACGCCCGCGGCTCCCCAAAACAAAGGGCATCCACCAAAAAAAAATGAGATGCTGTGACCGCGCCACAAAGTCACATGACTCGTCCAATGCTACTATGGTCACAGCTTGTGACTTTATGGCCATCATTCTCGCATCCCAGCGGTAAGCGCAATCTAATCGCACCGTGGGACTGACTGATGCTGCACAGACGTGTAGCAAGGCTCACTTTGGTAGTCGACTGCTGACGGCACGCTGCCGAAAGTATACGCGTTCAGAAGCGCCATCCAAAATACCTAGCTACTTAAAACAAGGGCGTGACGCGTTCCGGCACTTGCGCTCATATGCATCGAAGAGCGCATCCTACCCGGCTGCTCTATCGCCTGACAAATCTCAGGACCAAGGAATGGGGGGCTTGAAGGCTGTTGTCGACCTCAAGGGTTATAAAAGGCCAGCGGACGGTGAGCGATATCACATCCTTTCTCTCTCTGTTCAATCCACAATCCAATTCACCAAGCACCGTCATGGAGTCTCGGACAGTCTACCTTGTTAGCGGGGCCAACCGCGGCATTGGTACGTGTTGCTGTCGTTAACCTCTAGACATGTGTACGATGATTACTGCATCTCATCAGGTCATGCCATCGTCACGCAGTTAGCCGCGCGCAGCGACGCTATCGTCTTTGCCGGTGCTCGCAATCCAGCTGGGGCTACCGACCTCCAAGCACTTGCTCAGGCAAACCCCGACCGTTTCCACATCCTCAAGCTCGAATCCGCGGACAAGGACAACAACGTCGCGGCCGTCGAGGAGATCAAGCGAATTGCAGGACACCTCGACGTCGTGATCGCGAATGCGGGCATCGGCGAGGGATTCGAGGCGGCCACCGGGATATCACCCCAGGTCATGCTGAAGCATTATGAGGTGCGATATATCTCTTGCTCATTTTATCCGCACTCGGAAGGTCGAAATTCATGTCAACACCCAGATCAACTCCAACGGCCCCCTCGTCCTGTTCCAGGCGGCACATCCGCTCCTCAAAGAGAGCAAGACGCCCAAATTCGTGGCCATTTCGTCCGGGATCGGCAGCATCGCGCTCGCCAGCAAACTCCCCGTCCTCGCCTACCCCTACGGCGCGTCCAAGGCCGCCCTCAACTGGATCATGCGCAAGCTGCACCATGACTTCAGTGACTTCAGTAGGTCGCTTGCTGAGCTCCGCATGTCGCGCCGCTCATCACTCTTGCAGCCATATTCCCCATCAACCCAGGCGCGGTCATGACGGACTTGGCAGCGCACGGCCGCGAAAAGGCCCCGGGCATGAAGGAACTGCAGGACTACATTTCTCTCATCACTCCGGAGGAGAGTGCCAAGGGAATCCTCGAGCAGATTGACGTAGCCACGAGGGAGACGCATGGAGGACAGTTCGTCGATTATACCGGCTTAGGGAAGTTAACTTGGTGAAGGAGATGCAATGTAGCGGGTGCTGGAAGGCGACGTTATCAATATAATGAGTGCTCACCTGGCAAACTTTGGAGCTTTGAAAGGCTGGGCGCTTGAGCAACTGCTCGTCGCGATAAGGGAGTCAATAGGCAGTCGACTCATGGCGTCCCCAAGCCACATAGGAGGGTCAGAAAGGATACAGGGCAACTATGAGATTTGTATGTTGTAAACGGCAGATCGTATATAGCCTTAACATCTGACTCGTGACTCCGTACCCTAGTCTAAGTTGGCAGAGATCAGGACTTGCGCATCAGTGTCCCCCGCGTACGACTCCTCGGGGTAGACGATATGCGCCTTCTTCGTGGTGACTTGGTAATACTCACTCTGCGTCCAGCGCCAGTCAACCTTAAATCCATGTACGCGTAACTACAAGGAACGTACCTCATAGTAGCCGTTGATCTTCTCGACCACAATAAGCGGCGACTTGTCTGAGAACTTGTCCAGAGAGTTCGGCACCGTCGCCTCAAAGTCGTACTTCTTGCCGCCCACAGGGTAGATGTCCTGCGTCAGGATCACGGATCCATCGACGCTCGTGCTGTTGAAGCCAATGGCGAGGGTGATCGATTTGGACGACGTCTTGAAGTACGCGCCGGAGCAGAAGCGGACGGCGAAGGGCTTGCCGACGGTGATTTTTTCAGGGATGTAGAACGAGCCGTCTGCTGCGCTTTATCTGAGTCATGATAGAACAGGCCGCAACGAGAGGATGGACCACGCACTCAAACCGCAATCGGGGTATCCCGAGCCCTGCAGGGGCTCGACGAGGGCGGTAGCGCCGACGAAGGCGACGAGCAATGCGAACACCGCGGCGGTCTTCATCTTGATTGTTGGGATGGGTGTAGAAAGGTCTTGGAGTTGTCCAGAGTGTCTGCTGCTGCGCCCTTTATATACAAGTCAGCCGTGCTTTGAGACTGCTGATCAGAGTGGGGACCGTATAGCGGCGCAAGAAAGGAAGAATATTACCTTACGCCCATCGCACGAGGGCCGGCTCTGACTACTTAGCTCCGTGAAGGCCGGCAGACTCGCTAACCAGCTGATACTTGACGATGTATACTCGATCCTTCGACGCTCGGATGCAGTGTAGAATCGCCATACTACTGGAAGCATAGCGGTCACGCACCTGCATGCAGTCATGCAAACTGGAGTCAATGCAGGCGGGCATCGCACCCCAGCTGTCGTGAAGGGAGAAAGAACAGGCAAATCCGCGACGTCCGTCGACTATACGATGCGGACAAGTGGAATGGAACTTTCTACCTGGGGCGCTTGAGCCTGTTTCGAGGCGTCTGCTGATATCTTGTGAGGCAAGCCCGCCAACGGAGACGATGGTCGTAGGGATCCCGTGCCCCCCAATTCGACGGCAGAAGAGATCGGTAGCGAGGAAGACGTGAGACCATCGCGAGGAAAGGCAGATCTTTGCCACTCGAATCGGCGAACTTGCGCGCCGAATGACACTACTAGTATGGGTGGCGGCGGGGTTGGCAAACAGTGAATCAGTAATGACTCAGGACATTCCACAGCCATCGAGGAAGAGTCGCAAGTTGGTCGTCACCGCGTCGCGTGTACGTTTGCGATGGCCTGCTAGCGGCAAGCGAGATGACCGTCGAGAGTCGGAGGCAAAGAAAGCCGTGCACGTCGGCCTTGTGTGTCTATCACGTGGGTTTTCGGTAATTGCCGGGCGCCCCGCAATGTTGGATTCTCATCTTTTTGCCTTGTACCCCAGCCACTACACCTGCCTCACAATTCTCAGATAAAGCGTTGCTACAACCGCACGGAGTCTCGCTATGATGCATGCATCTGGTTTTATACCAACGCGCTAGTAGGTCCCGGCCTCCTGCTCTATCGTGGCTTGCTTGCGGCGCGCATCACGTCCTCGTGATTACAATGAAACCTTCCCCAAAACTTGACCATATAGCTAGCAGTGCCATGTAGATTGCAGGCTGACTAACTGACAGCCGTCGATGCGGAATCCGGATACATCGGCGACCAGTCATGGGCGCGGGCGTCCGATAAATCCTACTTTCTTCCCGCCACCATTGAGGCGTTGGCGAACATCTTACCCAAAACTGCGGAGGCCCACTGACATTTTTTTACGATCCCGTGGTACTCTCTCGCTACCTAGTCTGTTGCTTTCGTACTCACTGCCGCCTCACTGCGTCAGACGACTGGCGCAATGGATTGAAACTTTACGGCGCCAGCCTGTCACGGTATTCCTGGACGAACTGCAATATTTCCTCATATAAGAACGCCTCAGTCTGCCCCCACCTTCTTCTCGACCGCCTACCTGTCCATTGAACGACAACTCATCCCTGTTTCCGCCATCAATACGCCATGCAGTCCAGCGTTCTTACGTTCTTCCTGGCGCTCGCGCTCTCCATCGCCTCGACCGCTATCGCTCAACAGAAGACGTTGCCATACAACTTCACCCTCTCTGCGCTTAACATAACTCTCCCGAACGCCAACGACACCGGCGTACCCCTTGTCCTCGGCTACGAAGGTACGAATGGGACCACGAGCAGCTCGAAGCTGCAGTGCACGAACTGACTCTCTGTCGGGCAGCTTATATCATCGGCGGAGTTATCTACTTTGAGTCAGTGAGTAGCAGGCCTGAAACTCGAAATTTCTGTGCTCATCCCTGCTGATCCTTGCGTGTCCCATGAAAGACGGCTGCCTCATCTCCGGATGGCGCGGGCGGTGACGTTCCCCTCGGCTTAGTCAATGGTGCATTGCGCGCCTATGGCAGGGACGGATCGTGGTACGTGCTTCTATGTTACCATTAAGTTATCGCTCATGCATCTGGCCCGACATAGGTCAACCAACGCCTCAGCCATAACCTCAGGCAGTGCAATGGGCTGGTTCTCGTCCACTTGGCGAGGCTCTCCCGAGACGAATCAATTCACCGCCCTCCATGCCCGTACGTTCTCACTGCGTCGTCTTATTGAATCTCTCAAGTCTGGCTGACTCATTCATCAGCACGTCGCCACCACAAATACGCGACGCTCGCCGTGCATGGGCAGGAATATCTCTGGTCGCTCTGCCCAACTGGGAATAATGGCGGGAAGAACGAGGTCTTCTACAACATATCATCGGCGGCCCCGGAATCCGAGACCGTGGTCCCCGAGGATTGCTACAAGGTAACCCTGCAGATTGTACCCGTGCAGTAGGGCTCGAAAGATGTTGTGAAAGATGGGTATGGGCCCGACGAACTTGGAGGTCCATGTTGAATTGATGTCAATATTTCTTTCTCGAAGCGGACAATACATGAGATCCGTTCTATGTGTACAGCAATGAACCGCATGTGATTCGAAACTTGTCAGCCCAATACACGTTGCTGACTACGCCTTCACGTCCACGAAGGGGTAATCCGTGTACCCCTTCCCGCTAGCATCGCCCTGCAGATAGAACGTATCGCGATTGTACGGGTTGAGCGGCAAATCCTCCTTCCAACGACGCACAAAGTCGGGCTAGTTTATCGTCAGTCCAGAATTCCGTCGCCATCGCCAAAAAAGGCCACTCACGTTCGACAAAAAGTACCTCCCAACCGCAATGAGCTCCCCTTTCTCCTCCGCGCCCTTGATCGCCAGGTCCCTCGAGTACGCCCCCGCGCTGATGTACGTCTTCGGCGCCCAGATCTCGCGCAAGAAGTCCGTCTGCTCCTCGGGCGCGATCTCTTCGTCGGGGCGCGTATCGGTGGCGACGACGCGCGGCTCGACGACGGAAAGGTAAGCGAAATCAGGGAAGCGCGCCTTAATTTGCGAGGCGAGGTGGGAGAACTGGGGGACCGGGTCGGGCATGCGCATGTCCTGGAAGGTGCTCCAGGGGCTGATGCGGAAGCCGACGCGGTTGGCGCCGACAGCGGCGACTACTTCGTCGAGCAGCTCGAGCGCGAAGCGCGTGCGGTTCTCGACGGAACCGCCGTATTCGTCCGTGCGCTGGTTTGAGTTCTCTTGCTGGGCAAGGTGTCAACACGTCGCAAGCCCTGGCACGCCACACCGCAACTCACCAAGAACTCGTCGACAAGATAGCCTGTGGCGGAGTGGATCTCGACGCCGTCAAAGCCAGCCTTGTGAACCGCGTTCTTCGCTGCCTCGCCGTACAGGCGGGTGTACTCCTTGATCTCGGCAACTGTGAGTTCGTGCGGGACGTCCGTTGTCCCTTTGAGCGGGATGGGCGACGGTGCGACGAGCTTGAAGGACGGGTCTTCCGACTGAAGCTGGGCGAGCGATGCGCCGCGTCCCAAAGCCCATAGCTGGAGGAAGATGTACGAGCCCTTCGCGTGCACGGCATCGGTGACCTAAGATGATCATGAGCACAGCTGCCATCATCATCAAGAAAATATCCTTACCTCCTTCCAAGCAGCAATCTGCTCGTCGTTCCAGATGCCGGGCACATGCGGGTACCCGCCAGCCTGCTGGGCGATGAACGTGCCCTCGGTGACGAGGAGCGTTCCCGGAGCGCTAGCCCGCTGGGCGTAGTACTCCTTCACATTCGGCAGGGGAACGTGCGCTGCGCTAGCCCGGAATCGGGTCATGGGTGCGAGGACGATGCGGTGCTGAAGCTGGAGAGGTCCAACCTGAACTGGCTTGAATAGAGCAGGCGTCGACGAGGTAGACATGATGTGTGAAGTTCAGGTGGGTCTGAAGGGAAGAGCAGAGGTGAGTCGATGAGGACTGCTGCAATCTGGTACGCCTTTTATAGGGCTTCAGAATTACAATTGAACGCTGTCGGTAAGCTCACAACGGGCATGGTGTGCGCTATCGCGCGTACTATCATGGCGAAGGGTTAGCAAGGATCTACAGTGTAGGGCTCGCCGATGGATTGTGTGCGTAAGATGGGGGAGGCACCGGTGCGCGCGGCTGAGATGGTCGGTAAAGCCAAGTAAGGCAAGGCGACAATAACGGGCGCGTTACTCAGCTTCGCTTATTGTATGGTGGCAAACTAATAGAGCAAGAGAATAGTTGAAGGAGCAGATAAAATGATGATAATATTGCAGCTGGAGTAGTAACAACCAGGACTCGGACAATGGTCATGAAGGGAGCGGAAGAGGTGCTACATGCTCATGTGGCGTTGTTGTGGTCAGGCCGGGGAATGCCGTGCCGCTTCGGAATTGCCTATATTTGGCAAGTCCTGCGTGTGTTGACCTCTGCCTGGCTTGTCACTTGCCAACATCCCCGCTGCGCGCTTTGGTACCCGTCTTTTGTCTTCTCTTGAGCTCGGCGCAACAAAAAAAACTGCATTGGTCTGCGAGGAGCAGTCATATGCATAGCTTGTGGGGCCTGACGCTATGTCCGTTCTTGTCTGGTCCGAGTCATCACACGCTGGTCATGCCACTGCTCGACCGGCCTTATGAGCGCTGAACAAGACCAGAAAACATCTTTCGCCTTTTCCCAACGTCAACATGGCTTCTCCCGACCTCTGCCCTTCCGCTGTACAGAAACACGGGTGTGGCAAAACTCTGCAGCTCCCCGTCGAATTGCTCACTGAGGTATTCCGGTACTGCATCGAAAGCGCACGCCCTGGACCAAACATGGTCCCCGGATGCGCTGCGCTACATCTGGCGCACGTTTGCCACTTATGGCGTGGCGTCGCGATGGACTCACCTCGCCTCTGGACGCACCTTCGCATCCCCTGCCCCCATCGAGGGCAAGGACCACATTCGGACTGCATTCAACTCTGCGATGACTGGATCCAGCGCAGCTCTCCGCATACCATTACCATTGAACTTCCTTCCGGCACCGAGTCATGCATGACCGGAAGGCTGGCTCAGGACGTCCTCGCGAAGCACGGCTCACGCATCGTCGGACTGAGCCTATACCTGGCAGAGCTTCAGGCGGAGGCACAGACTCGCGAACAGGCGATACACTGTGCTTCAGGAAGCAGTATCCCGGTGATGAATGCAGCAAAGCAAGACAACTCGGAGACGATGCGCAGCTTTCTGACACTTCCGTCCGGCACGTTCCCCACCCTCACCAGCCTCCAACTCCGCACCAAACTCCCATTCAGCAAGTTGAGCCAGCAAGTCACGTCCTTCGATGGCTCGCCCCATCTGCGCCATCTCGCGCTCAAGATTCAGGACGGGCTAAGCAACCTTACCCAGACGACTCTGCCAAATCTTCCATGGACCGAGCTGGAGTCGCTGACATTGTCGCTGAAAGTTTTCAACAACGACACAGGCTCCTTTTTGGAACAGCTCACTAGCCTTCGATCTCTCTCCCTCGATGTCTGGTTTCTGACCGTTTCGCAGCCCTCGAACGAGGTCCGTTTTTGAACAAACTGAAACATCTCCAGCTGAGCACGTACTCCCGCGATCGCAGGCGGCACGAATACAACGACTGTAGGCTCTACGACGCGCTGGCCTGCCCCGCACTCGAGACCCTCCGCATAACCCTGAACGACCACCGGTCGACCCGCCCAGATGATAGCCCTCCCCTTGCACTCCGCTTCTTCGACAGCGTCAACTTCCACTGCAGATCCCTCTGCAGTCTCCGCGAGCTTCATATCCGCAACCACTGGAAGATCCCCGCGCTCAAGATGCTCGAGATCCTGGACTACACCGCCCAGCTCGAAGTCCTCGCGCTCTGCAGCTCCGTCGAGCTCCGGCCGCTCCTATTTGAGTGGATATGGTCGCCCAAGGGCATGATCCGCAACCTGCGCTCGCTCTCCATCTGCTACCGCCTGAAGGGTGAGCCGGACGAGGACTTTGCTGCGCTGAAGCTGGGCGTCAAGGCCATGATTATCGGGCGGTGGGGGCTGCTGGAGCCAGACGAGGAATCACCGCTCCGGGAGGTGGACATCATGCCTACGAAGCACGAGTTCGACAAGGAGTGGGTCGATAACATGGAGTCGCTGCGACCGGCTGGCGCGAAACTCAGGCTGGGGCCGTGGGTTGAAGGTCATGCGTATCCGGATCGCCTTGTCCACAATTGTTGTGGAAACTCGGACTGGAAGTTCGACCATGAGCGTCAATTCGTTTGACCTCGGACGTCAATTTCATCTAACTGACACTCGAATGGCTTCATGTCTTCGTATCGCAAGCAAGCGTGAACAGTTCGGATGTGTAACTTCCAACGCACGACGGACTTTGCGCAAGACAGCATTGCATTAGTTATAGTACGTTGACGGGTCTGCGAGCGGAAAACACAGCAAGGATTGGCGATGGGTGGGCGATAGTGCGTGATGTGGGGTGCACGATGCGTAGCGATGGTTGGGTGATGGCAGGCTATGGCGAGGGCAGACTATAGGCGAGTGCGGTCTGCACCATGCGTATGGTGCGTAGTGCGAGTGCGGAGATGTACGATGCGTAGTATCTATCCAGATGTATGTACAAGACGTGGGGCAGAGATTATGATATCCACAGTTGTTTCCACTGCGCGACGGCGCGCCGCCCGCCGCCCGCCGCACCACCGGGGAGGTCTACGGTATAGTAGCATGGCGTAACGCGCAAGGCGCTACACCGCAGCGCGCGAGGTGAATACGATAAACATTAAATACGGTCAACTGTCCGAGGATGGGTGGTAGGGTAGGGGGTAGCATGTCCGCGCGATCAGTGCGTCGAGCTCGCGCGCACGCAGGGCTAACAGTACACGGCATACGTGCCAATGACGGGCCTGTGATCGCTGCGGCCCTCCAGATTGCGCATCTGCTTATCGTCCAGCGTCCGATAGCTCATGCACACGACATCGCCCTTCCGAGGCGGTGGCAGAGGTGGCGACGCATCTGGCGTAGGCGGCGGCGGTTCCGAGGACGAGGAGCCGAGATCGTGGAACATATTCGTAAAGAAACGCCAGCGCGACGGAGCAGGTGCTTGCAGGGGATTCGGGGACACGGGGTTGGCGGATGGGGACAGAGGTGAGGGCGGATAGGTCCAGTCTGGTGAATGGGAGGAAGAGACATCGGATGACCGGGGCGACGATAGGTCAACGGATCCCGACGCACGACGCGCAGTTGGTGCTTTCGACGAGCTGGCGGAGAACGACCGTCGCAGATTGCTGCGCCGCTCATGCGCGAGCCTCGCTCCAAGGACATTATCTGACGAGCGCACATTGCGCAACGGCGGAGGCGACGTCGTCCGCGGGATGTCGAGCTGGCGGGCAATCACAGTCTGCGCCGTCGGAGTCTGCACCAACATGGGCGACTGCGGTCCGGTGTAGTCGACATGCGAGAACAATGGTGACTGTAGGGATTGCTCCGTCGGTGTGGTGTTGGCAGAAGCGTTCCCGGTCGTGATAGGTATGACACCAGTGGCGGTGGCGAGCGAGCTGACAGATCCGCGACGCGACCGTGACGAGAAGCGGAAAGCATTCGCGAGGAACTGCCCAACACGTGTACGTCGGCTCGTATACTCGGGTTCTTCCTCGGGGTCCGGATCTGGAAGGACAGTGGACTTCCACAGTATGCGATCGCACCTTTGAGGAGGTCAGATGCCATAGTGGCTACAGCCAAGCAATGAGGACGCACCAACTCGGTACACGCTGCTTCGACGAAGAGTCGTACACGCCCTTATCGCAGTCGTCCTCATCTGGATCGCTACTGCTAACGGTAGACTTCGTCGACGTCTTCTTCGAGCGCCCCGCCGCCTCATCGCACTCGTAGCTCGTCGGCGTGACAGGCGTCGTCGGCTCCGGACCAAAAGAATTGCGCGACCGGGACCATCGGGACGGGCTCAGAGGGCTCGCAGGCGAGAACAGCGCAGTCAACCGCTTCTTGCTCTTGTGGATGCCCGCGTGGAGTGAATGTGTGCTCTTCGACGCCGAGGGCGTCTGCAGCTTCGGCGGGGGAGCAGGCGCCTCCGTCGAAGTGTCGACGGTGAGCTGCTTCGACGACAAGACGGACATCCACATCGAGCTCGCCATAGACGGCGCCCTGACGGAGATGACATCCTCGTCCTCATCGTCGTCATCGTCATCGTCCTGCTCGTTGTCATCTTCCCGACTATCCCGCTCCGCTTCGATAGCCGTCTCTTCGACCTCGGTCAGCTGGCGCCGCCTTTCCGGTCCGACCCACTTGTCGGCCTTCGACTTCGCCTGACCCGTTGTCTTCGCGCGCTCGAGCCCAGGATGGCTGCCGGTCTTCGACCGCTTCAGAGTACGGAGAACGTCGTACTTGAAGGTCGGCGGGAAGTTGATGGCGCCCTCACTGAAGCCGACGAAGGCGTGTCCTGTCTGCATAATGCGACGTAGCTGGTCGAAGGCGAGCGCCTGCGCGTACTCTACATACCATGAGTTCGTCGCACCTACATCACGTCCTCTTACGCTCACCTTTCCTCGATATCAACCAGTCCGCATGTAGACGGGATATGTTAAGGCGGAAGCTACGACGCAGGTCAAAAGCGCCTCATAACCTGGCACAGCGAGAACGTACTTGAGGTCGCCAAAGAGGAAGCAGAAATCAAACTTGTCAGTAAGGTCTTCCGACATGACACGCGGATCGTCCGGTTTCAAGAAGTCATCCACAGCGAGTTCACTCTGGACAGGGGTCAGTTACGAGTTACACCGTCGATAGAAGAGACAACCTTGATCTTGGCCAAGTTCGCCAGCCGATGGTGCATCTTCCCTTCGTGCGCTGGCGAAAGGGTCAGAAATCCAGCGCACGATATCAATATCAATACATACCCGCCAAGTGCGCATTGAGAAAGAGCAGGGACGTGCCATCGACGTTCACGCTGATGCCTACGCCACCCTTGTTCCCAACGCGGCCGCCAATCAAGCCCGCCGTTACGGCGGACTTAGAGCAGCCGCGGACGAAGGGATACAAGTCACGATGGACATACACCGCCAGGTATATCCCCATCATGCGCTCCTTCTGCAGAAGCACGTAGGGTCCACGCGTTTGTGCGGCCATCTTTGCGGGCATCGGTTCTGATGATCTACGTCTTCGAAGGAGGGGGCGTGGGGAATGCGATGGCTTGTGTGAGAGGCGATTGATGCTCGACGTGCTCGGAGACTTGCGCAGCGACGCTTCCGAAGAATGCCCAGTGCAGAGCCAGTCGTCTAGCATGGACGTCCATCCCGCCGTCGTGCCGCTCAATTCGTCTTCAGGTGATATAGACAGGTACTTTTGCGACTTGCGCGAGTGCATGGATATGTGGGATTCGGTGTCTGATCGTGCGACGCGGAGCGCGCTATCCTTGTCTGAGTTGAAGCGAAAGCCAGCGCCGAGTGCCATGGGCATTTTCGACGCCGACGGACACTCCTGTCCGGCCACCACGACGATATGGTAAGGGTGAGTATTATCGCTTGGCAGTTGGGGGAACGTCGGCTGGCCGGCCTCGTTCTGGGTTGAGTATGGCGTATATGGGGGCACGTCTCCGAGGATCTCCGCGAGGTCGCCCTGCACAAAGTTAGAGGACGCACGTTCAGAAATAATCAGCGACGCACCTTGGGCAGACCATTGTGCATGTTCCATGTGAGCACCCTGACCTTGAGCGCCTTGGGCGGTGGAGGTGGTGCACGACGCGGGGGCATCTGCGGTGGTGGTGGTGCGGTCTTCTCGCGCGGTTGTGGTAAGGGCGCGTCGGTGAAGACATTCTGGAAGGATTTGGCGGTCGTCTGGGTGGGGGTGGGCGGAGCGGGTGGTTTGACCGCCGAGTCGCGGCGTTGGCGTGAGGGCGTGGCGGGGCGGGAAGGTATGATTCCATGAAGACGGGTGAAGAGAAAGGAGTCGGAAAAGAGGGGAGATGGCAGATCCTCGACGACGACTGCGCAGGCGAACATGAGCCTCCGCCCCACCTCAGTCAAAGACGCGACGCACCTTTAGGGATCCCGCCATCGGTGGACATGGCAACGAGCGGCCTCTTGTCCATCTCTTCTCCCTCATCCAATCCGTGAGTTTCGTGTGCTGCCGCCGCTGTTCGCGGGCTCGGCCCCTTGTTATGAGGGCAAGCGTAAGTGTACGGTCTAAATCACTGTTCGCTGGATCGAGCACCGTGCCATCATCCATCAAATTAACACGTGACTGTCACGAGCGCTCATGTTCAACTGTCATCATGATTGTCCTTGGGCCGTTGATCACTCTCAGAGAAGTGCCATTGTCTTCAAAGCTTGACTGAAATCTAGTACAGTGCTCCAGGTCCATCCAGCATCTCGTTCGTGCGCACCCCCGCGCAGATCGGCGGAACGGCACCTAAAGTTAGGGCAAGCGAACCATCGCCGCACTAAGGCCCTGAAGTCCTGTCCTATCGCTTGCGTTCCGGTTGTATTGTCTCACATGCTTTGTATTGTACTAAATACATGTCTGCAGGGCAGGTACAATGAGAGGTAGAGATTCATCAGCGAACGGTGTGGTGGTAGTCCATAGAACGGCCATTGCAGTGGACGTGGACTGCGGCACAGAGCTGATACTCCGTATAAGTGCATGCGTGAGATACTCTATCAAGCTCCAGAAAATTTGTGGAATCGACAATCGTCGCCTTCAGACGGAAAGAAAGGAATACAAATGCCAAGTCAAGTTAAACCGTGGGAAACTCATGATCGGCAAGATCCGGACGGCAGCTAATTCGGCAGCTGCCTTTTCAACCTTCTCGCGCTCCATCAAGCAGCTTTGAAATCCTCCAGTAAACCTCCCTTCAGCTAGCTGATACCCAAATATATGATCGCCCTTACTGAGTAACACTCTCAGAGAACCTACTTCCCTCAAAATACTACTTTCCCCCGTACTACAAACCCGCAAGCCTCGACCGCCCAATTTTCCTCCGCGACCACGGGAGCATCCCCCACTTCTCTGCGAGGCTCTCGCTCTCCGTAATGGCCTCGCCTCCTATCCGCAGGTACTTCTTATAAGGCTGTGTGCTGACTGTCTGCGCCGCGCTGGACTCGCGCCGCTGCCCAGTTCTGCTGTCATCGGCAGGCGAAGTTCGCCCCCTTATACGCAGTCACAGCTCTTAGTCCCGCACGCCCACTTTCCTTCGGGCAGCTTTCTTCTTGGCTTCGCATGGCGATTCGTCGCCCTATCAGTCCTCTTGCTTTGCGCGGCAGCCTTAGTGACCCCTTCGAAGGCGTCCGCCAGTCCCTCTCGCGCCTTGATACCAAGTTGGCCGGAAACACCCATGACGAGCAGGTGCGTTCTCTCATCGCCTCAACGCCGTCTCATATGCCCTCTTTATACTCACATTCGATCCTTCACCAACAGCTCAGCATCCTCCACGAAGCTGCCCTCTCTGAGCTCTACTTCGTCCAGTCCGCCAGCCGCTTCCTCCGCGACTGCGCTCGGGGGCGAACACAGGTCACGGTTCGTGCATCATGTCCCTCGTACGTCCGAGCTATCACTGACTTCGCTCGCCTTTCCAGGAGGGTCTCGTTGCGGCTGTCAGGACGCGGCGAGAACAGGCGACCGCGAAGCTTTCTTCCATCGTCCGGCGGATGGATATTCTAGGTGAGCATATCTACCTTGCAATGGTCTTCGTTTCCCCGGTAACTTGAAGTCGCCCGTTATTGACTAGCTCACCCACAGAACGTCAGTCCGAACGTTCAGAACACGCTCAGCCGACCCGAAGTTCGACGCTACCCGACTTCGCGAGCACACGGATGGCCGAACTCGCACAGCAGCTGAGCGACGAGCGACGGCGAGCGAAGTCGCTGTAGGTCCTTCGTCCATCACACGCTCCTACCCACCGAATCCGCAGGTCTGGTCTCAGCTCGCAGATGTGTTCTCGAGGCTCGTAGGTCCTTTCCATTATATATATACGTCTCCCGTGGATCCCTACACACGTATCTCATGGATCCCCACTCACATCCCTCATGGAACCATCACATACACGTCCTCCATGGATCCCCGATGCGGGTCGTCTCGTTGACACCCGCGTATCTCACATACACGCACGCAACCTTGTATCATAGCTTTTACGACCCTTGTATATAAGTTACGCTTGATGGTTCATACTCCAAGATATAGTATATTCCTACATTCTATCGCACGTAAACTCAACTAATTCTCAAACCTACTACATTTCCATCGAGGTCGACAAGGAAACGCTTGCTAAATCTTCACATAGTGTATCGCAATCCATAATCTGACTCGCCGGTCCCACACTCCAATTTGCATCATCCAGGCTCGGCAGCTCCCTCAGTGAGTCCACCCATGCCGGCTCGAACTCGTAATTGTCCGAGCTTGCATAAATGCTCACGTCTTTCAGCGGCGAGCTGACGTCCCCCCACCGCCCACGTAGAAGTACCTCGATACCCCGAACGACGGCATTGAAGTCCTGTTCTTCGTAGCAATCGTGATCGAAATCGACCTTTCGAAGGCGAGGGACGAGGGTGGTCGGGTGTGCAAGCTGCTGGAAAAAGGCGAAATGATCCCCAGCGAGTAGGCTACAGGCCAGCTCTTCCAGCATGGGCGTCGACTTGAGAACCTGGATCACCCCTTCGCATGGTACGACTACATATTCTTGGATGCGCAGGACGCGCAATCTGGAGAGCGATGTCGTCCTGAAGTGCTCGCTGTCGAAGATACTGCAATGGACCATGCTCGGAGCACTCGCACGGACGACAAGCGTCTCGAGTCTGGGGCACGAAAAGGCTTCCCAGAATGGCTTCTCGCTGTCCGTATCGTTGAGGCAGCGAGACTTCACCTCCAGATATTGCAGGTCCCTCAAATGTCTACATTCGTTGAGGGAAGTCGACTCCCGGGCAGTCAAGTCGTCAAAGGTGTCGATCGTGATGGTGAGACGCCTGATATCGTCGAGAGCTGACACGAATTCCAAGGCAAGGTCGGGCGACGTGTAAAAGTTGAAACGCAGGTCCAGCGATTCGATGCAGTCCCACTGCAGTTCGAACAGGTCGCTTGGTCCTTTATCACCTTGCTCGTCACAGAAATAGTCGAGACTGATATGCTCCACACAACCATCGAAGGACGTGATGATAGTGTCGGTACAGCTGAGGGTGAACTCGATAATGAGGCGCAGGTCTTTGAGGGCCGGAAGGCTGTCGTAGGGCAAGGTGAGGAAGCTCAGCAAGGACTCCCTGCCGGGTTTCCCCTCTTCTCCCGGGAGGTGAAGATCGAGCTTGGTGATCCTCTGCGCATTGGATTTCAGCGCTAAAACCCTCTCGGCTAGCAGACCAGTCATGCACGAGTCCTCCTCGTAGCGCGGCAGTTCGATTGAGACGTCATGCTCTCCGCTGAGCTTGATCCATGTGTTGCACATCCGGACGCAGTCCTCGTGAGGGCCCTGACCGCGATGGGGGCATGGAATCCGGAGATGCGTCCAGAGACGGGGCGAAGCGAGGACGATGTCGCGCCACAAAACGCAGACGTGCGTCAAACGAAGCGGAGATGTCCCACCGTCGACGGCAGAGCGGTAGCCCTCGACAGCGTAGCAAAATACTTCGCTGAGGATCTCGAGAGAAAGTAGGTGCTGGGCGGGTACGGCGTTGTGTCGAATCATCGGCCGCGGCGGTTCTGTCGTTCAGAGTGTTGGGAAGCAAGCGAGAGGAATCTGGATAAGTTGGAGAACAGGTCTTATATATGCGGATAGACCATGGCAAGGACAGCCTCAGAAAATGCAGACGAACAATACGCCTATGGACCCCGCACGACGATGACAGTGCATGAAAAGACCGCGACACATCCAAAAGGGGATCAGTCGCTCACACCAACTTACACGGCATTGGCCGACAGGTCTGAGCGTTGACAATCGAGCTGGGCACTCAAGGTGCTACAAGCGAATTAGAATCAACAAAATATACAGATTATAGAGAGATTGTAAGATATATGATACTCTAGACTGTTCAACCATGAGTCACTCTATAAGTCGTCGGCCGCATCCTCAGTCTCGCGCCGGTCGGACACAGCTGCTTCATAGCACACACCCACGCAGCGTCGTAGCTGAACCTCAAAGAGGCGATGGAGACAGCCTGCAGCAGCGACACCCCCGGCTTCGCGAGGTTCTGCGCATCCCACCGCCCTCGCAGCATCGCCTCGATGGCTGGTGCCATGCTGAGCATGTCCGCCACCGATTCGATAGGGTACTTGATTTTCAATAAGCGCAGGCGCGGCACGAGCGTGGCTGGAACCGCGAGGCGCTCGTAGAACGTGGGCTGAATCCGGATAGAATCGATGAGCTCGAGCTGTTCCAGCATCGGAGTCTCCTCGAGGACGTCGAGCAGCTGCTGCGTCGATATTCCGGCGTAATTCCGAAGATAGAGAGAGCGCAGGTGCGCGAGCGATGTTCGACGGAAGCCCACGTCGCTGAAGAAGCCCGAGTCGAAGAACTTGGCCTCGATCTCGTCCATGTCCGCGCTGGAGAGTGTCAGCTCGACCGTTTCGAGCTTAGGGCACTCCAGCGCCTGGTAGAAGACCTTGTCGTTGCACTCCAAGTCCTCGCAGTCGATTTCTGTCGTAAGCCTGAAGATGCGCAAGTTGGGAAATGTGGCGCGCTCCAGGACGTCTGATGCGTTGACGCCGACGTCTGAAAGCACAGTGAGGGTGAGAAAAGTGATGTTTCGTAGTTCCGTCAAGACGAAACACGTCATGCCCTCGACGTCCCACCACAGGCTCGGTGAGTCGTAGAGAGCGAACGATTCCAGCCTTCCCCAGTCAAGATCCAACACTTGGTCCGGGGTAGAATTTGCATACCAACTGTGATACTTGAGGTCCAGATGCCGAAGGGGCGAGCCGTTGAAGGACGTGGCAATGTTGGCGCGGTAGGTGAACGCATGTGCGTCAAAATTGACATAGAGGGTCAGTTCCTCGAGGGCGGGGAACGAGCTGTGAGGTAGGTTTAGGAAGCTCAGCGCTGTCGGGCTAGGCGGCTCGGCTCCCTCTCCCGGCAAGTGTAGCTCGAGCGCGGTTATCTTCTGCCCATTTGCGGCGAGGACGTGCTTGGCCAGTAATTCGGCCATGCACGAGTCCTGTTCATGGGGAGGGAGCTGGATGGAGACAAGATGAGGGCCGCTACGCGTGATCCAGTCTGAGCATATCTGCGCGCAGTGTCCATGCGGCCCTTGGCCGACGTGGGGGCAAGGGATACGAAGGTGTGTCCAGAGCTGAGGCAAGCCAATAGCCAGATCGCGCCACCAGTGAGAGACATGGGTCAAGCGAAGCGGCGTCATGCCACAGTCGTCGACGCAGATCTGAAATATTATGCTTAGTAGCTCGAGCGGGAGCACTTGCGCAGGGTCACGACGCAGGGACTGGGTGGCGGCCACTTGGCTTTGCGGGGAAGGTGACTGAGGGAGGAGAGACATTTTAGTGGCACTGGAGGGAAAGCGCTGATGCGTTCACCACCAAGCCCGGGCGCTTTTGAAGTCAGGTAGAACATGCTTGAGCCGAGCGTGGCCAGTGCTTTTGTCGCTTATGTCGCGATCAAAGCGATTTGAGGCGGTGCCCACTTTTGGCCATTTATGACCTTGTTGTTTGGGTGCGTGCCGTGCATGCAGACCGTGGGGTCGTATAGACGGACAGGCCATAAGGAGAATAAGCAGGTATAGCCGACCAAACGCGGCTGTGAACATGGTAGTCGATGTCAAAGACGTGGACACCCTATGACAACCCAATGAGGACATTACCCGACCGGAACATTCCGAACGGCATCGCCCGACCGGGTACGACACAACCATATCCTCGACATCTTTTCCACATACTTCATTGCTGGATCGCCGTACGCTCAAAGACAGCGTAGCTGCACTCCTCGACATAACAAGCACAGTGCCACTTACGGTGTTCACCCCTTCCATCGTTCAGGCCGAAGGCTGATGCAGAGCTGAGTCATGCTCACACCGACCGCCATTTCTATACTGGGTACTGCCGGTCACCTCACCTCGCGCGCCGGTGCCTCCCTCACGATACACCCAACGTGAATCAGCACACTGTGCAAAGATCCTTGCCCGCAGAGAGACACCCTCTGAGAATTTGGAAGATAGCGCTCGATTCTGGCTCTGGAGACCCTATATAAGGCGCACCGAAATGCTGCAGTCCTCATCAACTCACCTCCCGACTCATCCTCCTTCTGAAACTCATCCAACCCTCGTACATCATGTCTACCTCATCTACTTCTGCTCTGTTCAAGCCGGTCCAGGTTGGGCCTCTCCACCTTCAGCATCGCATCGTTCTCGCACCTATGACCCGGTTCCGTGCTAGCGCAGCGCACGTTCCCCTTCCTAACGTGAAGGAGTACTATGCGCAGCGTGCCAGCGCTCCTGGAACGCTCCTCGTCACTGAGGGCACGTTCATCGCACAGCAGGCCGGTGGGTACCCGCATGTGCCCGGCATCTGGAACGACGAGCAGATTGCTGCTTGGAAGGAGGTAAGGATATTTTCTTGATGATGATGGCAGCTGTGCTCATGATCATCTTAGGTCACCGATGCCGTGCACGCGAAGGGCTCGTACATCTTCCTCCAGCTATGGGCCTTGGGACGCGGCGCATCGCTCGCCCAGCTTCAGTCGGAAGACCCGTCCTTCAAGCTCGTCGCACCGTCGCCCATCCCACTCAAGGGGACAACGGACATCCCTCAAGAGCTCACTGTTGCCGAGATCAAGGAGTACACCTGCCTGTACGGAGAGGCGGCGAAGAATGCTGTCCACAAGGCGGGCTTCGACGGCGTTGAGATCCACTCCGCAACTGGCTACCTTGTCGACGAGTTTTTGGTGAGTTGTAGTCCTTCATGCAAGCTTTACGAGCTCCTGACGCGTTCTTCAGCAAGAGAACTCAAACCAGCGCACCGACGAATACGGCGGCTCCATCGAGAACCGCACACGCTTCGCCCTCGAGCTCCTTGACGAAGTAGTTGCTGCCGTTGGCGCCGACCGCGTCGGCTTCCGCATCAGCCCCTGGAGCACCTTCCAGGACATGCGCATGCCCGACCCCGTCCCCCAGTTTTCTCACCTCGCCTCCCAAATCAAGGCACGCTTCCCCGACTTTGCCTACCTCTCCGTAGTCGAGCCGCGCGTTGTCGCCACGGACACGCGTCCCGATGACGAGATCGCGCCTGAGGAGCAGACGGACTTTTTGCGCGCGATCTGGGCGCCGAAGACGTACATCAGCGCAGGCGCGTACTCGAGGGACCTGGCGATCAAGGGCGCAGAGGAGAAAGGGGAGCTCATCGCGGTTGGGAGGTACTTCTTGTCCAACGTGAGTGGCTTCTGGTTGTATGAGAGGTGGTCTGGTACTGATGACGCTGTAGCCCGACTTCGTGCGTCGGTGGAAGGAGGATCTCAATCTCAACCCGTACAACCGGGACACCTTCTACTTGCAGGGTGATGCCAGCGGCAAGGGGTACACGGATTACCCCTTTGTGGACGTGAAGGCGTAGCACATTGAAACCGTCGACTGGAATTTGAATCTGTAACTTGAAATCATCATAGAGCATTCAAACAAAATCGGAACATCGCTGAGAAAATCACTCAAGCCTCGTGACGGTCTGCAGTCTCGCGCTGCGTACTGTATTTCGACCACAACATTGAGAATTACTCGTTGGCATGACTACATCCTTTCTACCACCCCCACTTTCCTAGGCCAGTGTAATCCACGAACTGGCCTCCATGTGTCTCCCTTGTCGCCAGATCAATCTGCTCGAGGGTACCGCGGGCGCTTTCCTCGGCAGAAATGGGTGCCGGGCTAGCTTCCAACATTTCTTTCATCCCTGGAGCTCTCTCATTGACCGCTAGCGCGCCCTCAGTCAATACCGCGCCCGGGTTGATAGGGAATATGACTGCGTGGACGATGAGCGAAGATTGACTACGAAGAAGCGCGCGACTGAAAGGACTGACCGAATTCGGGGAAGTCATGGTGCAGCTTGCGCGTTACCCAGTTCAGAGCGGCCTTGGACGCGCCGTAGGGGTACATGAGAACCGGCATCTGGCCCGCAAGGGCGATGCTTCCCAAACCAGAGGAAACGGTCACGAATTTGCGCGTCTTGCTCTCCTTTAGGAGGGGATACGTCGCTTGGAACAAGACAAGGGCGCCGTTGGTGTTGACCTGGTATATCGAATGAGGCCCGGGACGTCCGGAATGCAGTGAGATCTGATAGCTCGCACCAACGCACCTCGAAATGCCTAATCATATCCTCCGTTCGTAGCTCGAGAGCTGACTCGAAGGCATTGCCGATGCCTGCATTGGCTATCACGACATCCAGGCGTCCCGCCACTCGCTTGATTTCCTCCACGGCCGCGATGTTGTTCGCCTTATCCGGAGATGTAAGTTCAAGGATATGGAAGCGCCCAGGGTGCGATTTGGCGAGCGCCTGCAAATTGGTGGCACGCGCGGGGTCGCGTGCACCGGCGAAGACGATGACGTCCGGACGGCTGGAGAGCTGAGTGACGATGGCGAGGCCTGCAGATGGGTGGTTAATCCCTCGTGCAGGCTTGCCGCGATGCGAGGGCAGGTACACATACCGATGCCGCGGCTCGCGCCGGATACAAGGTAGACGGTGGGAGCCATGTTACGTCGAAGATATCGAGGAGCCTGGCGCAGTTGTGGGGATGAGTAGCACTGTCCAACCGTCGTCCCTATATACCTCGTGAGCTGGGAGAGTCATCCCAGTACTGTCATGAGAATGTCGCTTGCGCGTGGAGTCAGTCAGGCGATGGAAACAAGCAAGGGAACCCGAGTCGGTGCTGTCTATGAGGACAGAATTTTCGGAGCACACCGTGCCTTACAAAGACACGTACGAGCGCAGCAAGGAGGTACCGAGGACGTTCAAGTTGCCGCGGTTCGGCATGCAAGACCCCAAGCACCGAGCTACAGAAGTCGGTTCTGTATAAACATACGGGGTGCACACAAGTATTATGATCAGGACTTTTCAGTCTAGCCACCGCGCTATATGGGAGGTTAGCTTCGTTCCTTTTGACCTAGCGTTACATACTGGTTGCCACAAGACTGCTCAAGTCCTACCACTCCCACTTTCCCAGACCGCTGTAGTCGACGAACTGCCCGCCGTGCGTGTCCCTCGTCGCGACGTCGATTTGCTCGAGAATACCCCGCGCACTCTCCGCAGGGGTGATAGGTGGAAGGGCCTTCTGCAGCTCTATCATGGCTGGTTCCCTCTCAACCCCATCCTTCGCCATGTCAGTCGCGGCCATGCCCGGACTGATAGGAAATATAACTGTATGGAGGGTGAGCGAGGTGAAAGTTGAACCCTTGCTGTACTAACCCATGTCAGGAAAGTCGTGATGCAACTTGCGCATCACCCAGTTCGCGGCGGCCTTAGACGCGCCGTAGGCGTACATGTTAACCGAGAGCTCGCCGGCCAGAGCGATGCTGCCAAGACCGGAGGAGACAGTGACGAATTTTGGGGTCGCACTTCGGCGCAGGAGCGAATATGCCGCCTGGAAGAGGACGAGTGGTCCGTTCGTGTTGACCTGGTGGTCAGGTGAGTCATCGCTACTTGGGAACACCCACGAGGAAGCAGCTCGGTCCTTACCTCAAAATGCCTGTTCATGCCTTCCGTCGGCACCTCGAGAGCGGGCTCGTAGGAATCGCTGATACCTGCGTTCGCAATCACGACGTCGAGGCGCCCTGCCACTTGCTTGACTTCCTCAATAGCTACTTCGTTATTCTGTTTGTCTGCGGAGACGACCTTGATGACATGGACGCGGTCGGGATGCGCTTTGGCAAGCGCATTGAGATCGCCGGTGCGGGACGGGTCACGAGCACCAGCGAAGACGACAACGTTGGGGCGGGCGACAAGCGTGGAGACGATAGCCAGACCTGGGAAAGGCAGGATGTGGGATGGTCCTAGGCACCATAAGACTGTACGTACCGATGCCGCGGTTGGCGCCTGTGATGAAGTAGACGGTAGGCTGCGACATAGCGGCTTGGACGCCTGCATTGGATGCGCTGTTGTCCCTTTATACTTTACCGCGGTCGCTCGCCATACGGTCTCCAGAAGAGTCAGAGCACTGAAAGGCGCCACTGGTTGTCGCCTGATAGAGACAACAGAGATCCTTTGTCCACCGAGCATAGCATACAGACATCAACCTTCGTCACCGATACACAGCGGCTAGCGAGGAGGACTAGATGAGGGCCTCGTTGAGGCTTCAGACATCAATTTTGAGGTCAGAATGATGTCAAGCACTAGATTGTTAGGTTTCAAAGTCCCTCGGTGGCTCTATCACCAAATGTGTCTCCTGAGGCGAGTTCTGAGGCACCGTCTGAATACCAGCGGGTCACCTGCCAAGCAGTACCGTAGTCGTAGTCGTGGTAAGAAACAAAGTGACCGGGAAATCGGCGCGCTCGCTCCGAACTGCGTGACGAACCGTGACAGCGTCGACGCGCATCAACGAAAGTCCTCACCCCTCCTCGTCTCAGCCTACAAGTCACTTGCAAATCATAATTTTCTATGCACCCTCTACCACCCCCACTTCCCCAACCCGCTATAATCGACGAAGTGTCCGTCGTGCGTCTCCCTCGTCGCGATATCGATTTGCTCGAGCATAGCCCGCGCACTTTCGTCCGCCGTGATGGACGGCAGCGACTCGCCCAGCACATTCGTACCAGGGTCCTTCTCGCGACTCGTCTTCGCCATGTCAGTTTCGACGACGCCTGGGTTGATGGGGAATATGACTGAAGGCAGGCATGGTCAGTGGACTGTACGGGGAGGGGGAGAGAGAAGACGGCGAGGGAGAAAAAAAACGGCGAGCGAGCGAAACGAAACCGACCAAAGTCAGGGAAGTCGTGGTGCAGCTTGCGCATAATCCAATTGATGGCAGCTTTAGATGCGCCGTAGGGGTATACGTTGACCGGGAGCTGCGCGGCCATCGTGATGCTCCCTATAACGGAGGATACGGCCACGAACTTGGGTGTTTTGCTCTCCTTCGAAAGCGGATACGCCGCCTGGAAGAGGAACAGAGCCCCGTTGGTGTTGACCTAACAAGCTTAAGTGGGTCTCCCGCCAAAGCGTGAAATGAGATAGACAGCGCGTCCCTCACCTCAAAATGCTTGATCATCTCCTCCGCCGGCACCTCGAGAGCCGGTGCGTAGCACTTATGGATCCCCGCATTCGCAATGACGACGTCTAGGCGCCCTGCCAGCCGCCTGACCTCTTCAATGGCGGCCTTGTTGTTCTCCTTATCGGCGTAGACGATCTTGAGGACGTGGACGCGGTCGGGGTGCGCGTTCGCAAGTGCGTTGAGCTCGGTAGCGTGAGCGGGGTCGCGAGCACCTGCGAAGACGACAACGTTCGGCCGAGCGGCGAGAGATGTGACAATGGCAAGGCCTGGAAGCGCGCTTTCAGCTATGGACATCTACATCGAAGAATTGAAACAGAACGTACCGATCCCGCGGTTAGCGCCCGTAACGAGGTAAACAGTGGACTGAGGCATCCCCTCATAGAAAAAAAATACTGTAGAGGGTAAACGTGCGACAGAGCAATATCCATCGTCCGTCTCCCTTTTATACTCGCGCCGCCGGTGACTGGCTCTGACTTCTCGCCAGCATTTTCGTCGTCGAGTTCAGCACCTCTTGGAACTGTATTAGTCAGCTTTTATACAAACGTACCGACTCGGTGCCTCCTTTTTAGAAACGGCAGCCGTTGGGTACCCTGGACAGCGCCCTACAAAGACAGGCAAGCCATTCATGCGAAGCTCGTAGGCGGGGGTTCGGTGTGGGTCACCCACGTGGCAGGCGGGCATCATGGGAGTAACGTGACGCGCGCCCATAGTCGCCCACATGTCTGCGTACTCTGTTGCAGGCATCACCGTACCCCGTCCCAGGTATCACCGAATGAAATAGACCGGAGAGAGCAAGAGAGCGTAGCATAGAGAGTGTTGAAGACATGCCAGTCGTGCCAGGCTCGCATTGATAGAGTAGCCAACTTCCTGGTAGCAATACGGTGGGTAGGTTCACAAGTAAAATCCTTCAATCGCGTCGCTTACAATGTACAACATCATAATACCCTTCCTATACAACCATTGCGCGAGCTTATTCTCTAGTATCATCGCGCGGGCTTATCCTCCAGGACCATCATGCCAAATCATTATCTAACACCCTCGCTCTAGCGTATCCTCTACCACCCCCACTTCCCCAACCCACTATAGTCAACGAATTGCCCGCCGTGCGTCTCCCTCGTCGAGTTATCGACGTTCTCAAGGATTCCGCGCGCGCTCTCTTCTGGGGTGATCGCCGGGAAGGCCTTCTGCAGCGCGACCATCGCCGGGTCCTTCTCGCGGCTGAGCTTCGCCATGTCGGTCTCGACGGTGCCGGGGCTGATGGGGAAGATGACTAGGGAGGTGGTGAGTCGGATGAACACAATAGCGGGGATGTAGCGAGTGAGAGGCGCAAGACATTGAAGCCATACTCACCGAAGTCAGGGAAGTCGTGGTGCAACTTGCGCGTTACCCAGTTCAGGGCCGCCTTCGACGCGCCGTAGGGGTATACGTTGACAGGGAGCTGGGCTGCGATCGTAATGCTCCCAATGCCGGAGGTGACAGTCACGAACTTGCGCGTCTTGCTCTCCTTCAAGAGCGGGTAGGCCTCCTGGAAGAGGACGAGGGGACCATTGGTGTTGATCTGAAAATTCGTGTGTTTCTGCTACCTCCTAAACACGACCAATAGCTTGCACCTTACCTCGAAGTGCTCGACCATCTCCTTCACAGATACCTCAAGCGCAGGATCGTACGAATTGTTGATTCCCGCATTCGCAATCACAATATCGAGCCGTCCAGCCACCCGCTTCACCTCCTCGATGGCGGCTTTGTTGCTCTCCCTGTCGGCGGAGATGATCTTGAGAACATGAACGCGGTTAGGATGCGCTTTGGCGAGCGCGTTGAGGTCAGTAGCGCGAGCCGGGTCGCGAGCTCCGGCAAAGACGACAACGTTAGGACGGGCGGCTAGGGCTGTGACCATAGCAAGGCCTGGGGGCGTGTGGTCAGTGTTGGACATTAGCGATGATACAGACTGCAAGTACCGATGCCGCGGTTGGCGCCAGTGACGAGGTAAGCAGTAGGCTGAGACATGTTGCTGTAGAAGGTACAGAAGAGCTGAGCCTTTGACCTGAGGAGACCTCTTCTCCCGTTGTGCTTTTATACATCTCGCCATCGGTTACTTCTTTCCAGGTCGGTCATCCAAGCTGAATGTTCCCCAGACTGAAAGTTAGTCAGGAGACACAATGTGAACTGGTGCATACCGAGTCGGTGCCGTTCTTGGGAAAAGCCCCCGACGCGCGCACCCAACCGTCGCCTTACCAAGACAACCATGTCCGTTTCGGCAGCAACCCGCGGTTGAGTTCAACTGCGGCAACTTCCGATCTGCCCACGCGACAGTGCTCATGATGAGGAACGCCATTCATGTCCCTCCTGAGCGCGTCCAGTACGCGACTCGACGACCTCATCTCCGCTCGTATCAATCTTCGATCTGCAGCGCTGCTCAGCGGCACAATAGGATACTAGGATGGACTTCACCGCCATCCAGGAGAATGCCTCACGGCTGGGCATGCGCATACAAGAGACGCTGTCGGAGCACACCCGCGACCTCACGCTTGTCCGCGGCGCGGGGTACCTCGATGGTGCCGAGGACACACGCAACATTCGGAAGCAACTGGACTCGAATAGTGATCGTGACAAGCTCGATGCCATGAAGCGCCTGGTCGCGGTACGTCACCCCCACATATCCCCCCAACCCATCTAACCATCTCCTTACCATCCTTCCTTCACCCAGCTCATCTCCAAGGGTCGCAACGTCTCCGAGTACTTCGCTCAGGTCGTCAAGAACGTCGCTTCACACAACCTCGAAGTGCGCAAGCTCGTGTACATCTACCTCCTGCGCTACGCCGAGGCGGAGCCCGACCTCGCCCTCCTCTCGATCAACACCTTCCAGCGCGACCTCGCCGATGGTAGCCCTCTCATCCGCGCCATGGCGCTGCGCGTGCTCAGCGGCATACGCGTACCCATGATCGGCAGCCTCGTCGTGCTCGCGATCAAGAAGTGCGCCGCGGACGTGAGCCCGTATGTGCGCAAAGCTGCCGCGCTCGCGATCCCCAAGTGCTTCGAGTGCGCCCGAGTCCCCTCTATGACAAGTCATCCATCACTGACCCATCCTCCGGCAGACTCGATACCACCCACCAACCGGCGCTTATATCCATCATCGGCACCATGCTCGGTGACCGATCGCCCCTCTCCATCGGCTGCGTCGCCGTCGCCTTCCAAGCCGTATGCCCCACCCGCCTCGACCTCCTCCACAGACATTACCGGCGACTATGCCGTGTCCTCGTAGATGTCGATGAATGGGGGCAGGTCGACATCATGAACCTGCTCCTCCGGTACGCCCGGACGATGCTCCCCCGACCCATAGTCACAGCAGATGGGGAAGATGTAGACAAGGATTTGCGACTACTGCTCTCGTCCTGCGAACCGTTATTCCAGAGTCAGAATCCTGCGGTACGCAGTGATCTACTTATCGTGGGCAGCATTGCTGAAGTTTTGCAGGTCGTCATGGCTGCGACTCGCGTGTTCTACTACGCAGGCACTGCATCCTACCACGGGAAGATAGTCCAGCCGCTCATACGCCTGCTCGCCATGTCGAAGGAGGTCGAGCGGGTCACCATTACTCACATCCTGCTCCTCTCGGAATCGTTGCCGGTGCGTGCGTAGTCCCCATATGCAACACAGAGTGTGGTTGATATTGACACGCCAGCCTACAGCACCTCTTCTCCCCCCATCACGTTCGCTTCCTCATACGCTCAACCGACGCGCGACCGGTCAAGCTCGACAAGATCAGGCTGCTGCTGAACATCATAAACCCGGATAACTATCAGGCGATCCTTCGCGAGTTCATTGTGAGTAGCCTTCTCTTGCCTCTCGCATGCTCCCTCTTCAAGTCTCTCGCGCATTCTCTCCTTTCGTTCTTGTCTCTGCACTGCCGACTCACTCTCATCGCAGGACTATGCCGATGATACCGACGATGAGGTTGTGTTCGCTGCTATCAGGGCAGTTGGTCGCTGTGCCGCGCTCGCGCCTGAAAGCTCGCAGCAGTGCCTCAACGCGCTAACTGGAATGATCAGGAGTAGACAAGGTGAGCATCATCTTTCGTACATCACCACCCCTCAAGTGACCGCCTTAAACGTCGCTAACTCTACAACAGAAGCTGTTGTCAGCGGAGCTGTTCTCGTTCTCAAGCAGCTTGTGCAAACGCAGCTGAGCACCGGCGTCGCGTTCGGCCAGAAGTCGCCTCTCGAGATCATCGCACAACTTGCAAGACGGGTGGACGACATCAGACACGCGCAGGCGCGAGCTTGTGTGCTTTGGCTCGTGGGGCAGTACGGAGCGCCCGACGGGGAGTCCGTGGCCGAGTGGGCCCCGGACGTGCTAAGAAAGGCGGCGAAGTCGTTCATGACTGAGGTCCGTTGTAGCTTTCCCCAAACCCCCATCCCTTCCTCAGACCCCATCTCACCACCCCACCCTCCCAGGACCCCCTCGTCAAGCTCCAAATCATCACCCTCGCCGCCAAGCTCTTCGCCGTCCAGCCCGGCGACCGCACCCTCGGTCTGCTGGCCGCCTACGTCTTCGCCCTCGCGCGCTACGACGCGAACTACGACGTGCGCGACCGCGGGCGCATGATGGCCGCGCTGCTCGCCGGTGTCGCGCCTGCTTCCCTGATGGCGGACGCCGAGAAACCCGAGCGCGCGGGCGTCGTGCTGAGGCGGGAGCAGGTTAAGATGGTGCTATTCCAGGGCAAGGGTAGCGTGGTGCCGGATGAGCCGTCGCCGTTTGGTACGTATCTCCTGTGTGGTAGCTTGGTGGTCGACGGGAATAGCGAGCTGACGCGCCCGACAGAGAAAGCGACCTCACTGGGCACACTCGGCGTGATCACGGGCAAGCCCGCCCTCGACAGCCTCCTGCCAGACTGGCTAGAGCAAGGCGTAGAGAGCGTGATCCGGGACAACGAGGATGAGCAGCCCGTCGCCGTCGCCCCCACCGCAATCTCTTCTGCGCAAGTGAGGTCCTCGAGGGGCGCGACCCCCGTCGTGCTCACGCCAACGAGCTCATCACCCGCGCCTACGGGTGCCAGTCGGGCGCCGTACACGGATCTGGACGCGTTCTACGCGAGCGAGGAAGAGGAAGAGGAGGAAGGCGAGGAAGAAGGAGATGGAGAGGAAAGCGAAGAAGGCGAAGAGGGCTCAGACGACGGAAGCGAGGATGGCGAGTCTGAACCAGGAGAGAGCGGGAGTGAGGAAGAGGAAGAGTCGGAGGGCGAGGCGAGTGAAAAATCCGCCACTCGGGACTTTTACGCGGGAACATGACCATTTTTTGCTGGAGGGCCATGACACTAATTGCATACTGTACATTACACCTTTGCGGCCATCATGGGTTTTTATCCCGAAGACCCTCTGCATCATGAGCTCGGAGGATAGGGGCGTGCGAAATCTTGTGTGCTTGAAGTTGTTTGTTCTGTCGGCAAATCCCGGTGTCTTTCTTGCTCTCAACCACCTTCATTGCTGTAGCCCGCGCACGGGGGTCTTTACAGCATGTATTTTCAGCCACATAAGTGGATGATATTGACAGCAGAGGCTCTCGACAATCTCGTTCGAGGGGTATGCGCATGTCGACGCGAAGTTGACCGTTACTTCGACCCTTTCGTCCGAGTAGTATACGCTAAGGTCAGTGCATCAATCATAGTACACAGTAAGCAGACTATTTCAGGTGCTAACACTGCGCTAAACGTCAAAACCTGCAAGGCATCTGGACTTCATGGATTCATCTCGGTTCGCATCGGTACACTGTTACTGACTACTCAGCGTGAGGATTGACCCTTATGAAGCATTTAGAACCTCTCGTTTCTCGCCCACATACGGCTCGCTCTCTCTGCAAACCGTCAGCGTCCTCTGACTTGATATGTCTCTGCAAGCACACCTCGCGAACTTCCCTGCTGGCTTCAAGGGCGACATCGTCACCCGGGACCACCCAGGATACGAAGAAGCCATCCGGCGCTGGTCCCGCTCTGCCGAGCGTCGCGCAGCTGTAGTCGCGTACATCAAGGACGCCGAGGACGCAGCCATCGCCATCGCATACGCGCGCGCTCATGAGTTACCCATCGCCATTAAAGGTGGTGGTCACAGCTCCGCTGGCGCGTCTTCCGTCGAGGATGGTCTGGTCATCGACTGCTCGCGATACTTGCGGTACTGCCGCGTAGACCCAGTGCGGAAGACTGCGCGCGTTGGTGGCGGTACGCTCTGGGAGATGGTGGACAAGGCCGCCTACGAGCATGGACTGGCTACGGTTGGCGGCGTACGTGCTTCCATGTCCGCTTTCTGTCCATTTCATTGATACATATCATCCAGACCGTGAATGATGTGTGTGAGCTTTAGATTGAACTTGACAAATTGCTCATGAACCTCGCAGACAGGCATTGCAGGGTGGGTTCGAAGCTCATATCGTTCTAACAGCAAGAAGCTCACAATCATCTAGTCTCACTCTCGGCGGGGGCTTTGGCTATCTCTCTGGCCAACATGGGCTCGCTCTGGACAACATGATAGAGGTACACTTCGTATCCACCAACCTTTCCGTGTTCGTCTGACAGCCATGCAGGCGACAGTGGTGCTTGCCGATGGGACAATTCTACTCGCAAGTGCTACTAAACATGCCGATCTCTTCTTCGGTATTCGCGGCGGCGGTTCAAATTTTGGAGTCATCACCGAGTTCGTCTTCCGTCTACATGAGCAGAAGCCGATGGTGTTCAGTGGCTTCCTGTCGTTTCGTTCGTCCGATATACCGCGACTGGTGAACGCCATCGAACACTACTGGCAAGTGCAGGATCCACGGGCCTGTATGTTCATGACTTTCAGCGCAAAGGTAGAGATGAGAGCACCTCAGAGACTAGGCACGCTTAGTTGACGACGTGTTCGCAGAACGGTATTCGATGCCTCATCTTCTACGATGGGTCGAGGCATGAAGCGCACCGCCATTTCGCCAGGTTCTTTGGAATTGGTGAGAGCACGCGTTTGCCCGCCTCCTTCTGTTCTGACTAAATGTTCAGGACCTACCTCCAATACCGCCAAAGAGATACCATATGTCGAAGCGAATGCGACTCTGGTGCGTTCTGTTCCAGCGAATATGAATCGGACTCATTGCGCTTCGCTTCAGAATGAGACCTTTAAGCCCGGTGCATCCGAATACCAGAAATCAATCGGACACCCAGTACCCACAGTATCACTGCTGGAAGAACTGAACGGGATGGTCAAGGCGTACGGCGCCGCCGATGGTCCGAGCCCTATCGTCATTTTTAGTTTCTGGCCCAAGAAACGTCTCATGGAACACCACGTCACAGAATGCGCCTTCCGCCACGACCCATACCCCGACCTCGCCCTCATCGCGATCTACAAGTCAAACACCCCCGAGAATCTTACGATGGCGCGCGCGAGGGTTTACGAGCTGTACGACTTCGTCCGGGGCTTCGACGCCATGTCCGGCATGAGCACTTCTGCGCTGGCTGGGTACGCGAACAATGACGACGAGGCCGCGTCGACGGAGCTCGAGAAAAGGGCGAAGCGGTCTCGCGAGGCGTTTGGCGATGTATACCCCAGGCTGCAGGAGATTAAGAAGAAGTACGACCCGGACATGGTGTTTAATAGGTGGTATCCTATCATACCTGCTTGAATCAGATGGGTCAGCTACGTGTCTCTTGTTAACGCTTAACGATACAAAGACGCTGATCAATAGCGCGGAGTTGAACTTGAACGTCGTCTCTTTGGTGCGTGGCTCATGCAATCCTCCATGCCATGTATTGACATCCTTAGTCGGCAGTTAGCTGTCGCGCTAGCTCATGGCGCTGAAATGCGCCGATTCACATTCTGACTGTGCTACATTGACCTTCTGACCAGGCTTGACGCTACAGAGGGAAGTTGCCTTTTGCGGGGCCTTGAAAGTCTTCATCCGAGCATCGTGTTCTACGCCATGAGCCGTTTGACATCGTAATGGGCGCTGCGGTCTGTCGACATTGCCTGCACACTGAGTATAATGCTTGCGCCCTCAAGGCATTCCGCATGCTTGTAACTCCGCTCTTCGACCCAAGGGAGTTGTCATGAGTGCGATTGGAACGGCGACGGCAGTCCTCATATAGCTTGGGTTACGCGCGAATTCGGGTCCCCACTTTCCCTACACTCCTGCAGCCATTCGAAATGACGCCGAGCAGAGATCTTCCCGAGTTTCCTCCCAACTTCAAGGGCGACATCGTCCTGCGCGGCGATCCCAGCTATCCAGATGCCATCCGGCGCTGGGCTCGCTCAGCAGAGCGTCAGGCCGCTATCGTCGCATACATTAAGGACTCCGCCGACACCGCCATCGCCCTCGCGTACGCACGCCAGCATGGACTACCCATCGCTATCAAGGGAGGCGGGCATAGCTCGGCTGGCGCCTCCTCTGTCGAGGACGGTCTCGTCATCGACTGCTCCCGGTATATGAACTACTGCCACGTCGATGCGGAGAGGAAGATCGCGCGCGTCGGCGGAGGCGCGACCTGGGAGACAGTGGACACGGCTGCGTACAAGCATGGGCTGTCCATAGTTGGCGGGGTGAGTGCAGCCAAAGACCCTTCGATGTGAAGCTGACCATCTGTTCAGACCGTCAACGATGTATGCGTTTTCTTTCCTCACGCGCGACCGTTTACTCACCTGTACCGCCTTCGTAGACAGGAGTCGCTGGGTGAGCTTTATGATGCACAACGCGTTTTCTCGCATCTTATCGACCTCCAGACTTACACTAGGCGGCGGATTCGGCTTCCTCTCCGGACAGTACGGTTTGGCGATCGACAATCTTCTGGAGGTGCGCACGAGCTGCCTCGACGATTGCTTATCCCGATGGACTCGCAGGTCACCATAGTCACTGCTGATGGCAGTACTCTCCTCGCCAGCCCAACCGAGCATCCAGATCTGTTCTTCGGCATCCGGGGCGGGGGGTCCAACTTCGGCGTCGTGACCGAATTTGTATTCCGCGCGAACGATCAGAAGCGCCTTGTCTTCACTGGCCTGGTCACATTCCCGACCACTGCGTACTCGTCAGTCGTTGAGGCCTTCCAGCAATACTGGGACGCGCACGACCCCAAAGCGTGTGCGTTTCTGGCTCTCGGCGCCACCGCGAAGGTGATTATTACATTTTTCATTTTTTGAGTTCCACTAATTCCATTCTCAGAGTGGCATCCTTTGCATGCTTTTCTATGACGGCTCCGAGGAAGAAGGTCGAGCACACTTCAAGACACTGTTTGACATCGGTACGCATTGCGGAGGGTCAGAGCATAGCTGGAATACTGACTCGACCCGCCACCAGGGCCTTCGTCTGATCGTGCGAAGGCGACTCCCTACGACGAAGTCAATGGGATCCTGGTGAAAGGAACGGTCTTCTTCGCCACTCTCCCCGTTAACGCGCGTACTTCCAGGGCAAAGTCTTCCCTCCTGGCCGTTGCGACTATCAGAAATCGATCGCATGCCCGATACCCACGGTCCCGCTCGCGAATGAGCTCATCCAGAGAATCGACGAGTTCGACGCCTCCGAGGGCCCGAGTCTCCTCGCCGTCTTCTACGCGTGGCCCCAGCATGCCATAGCCGAACATCGCCATCAGGATTGTGCATTTCGTCACAACCTGTACCCGGAGCTCGTCTTCATCGCCCAGTACATGGACAATACCCCGGACAACAAGGAGGTCGCTCGAGCGAGAGTACGAGAGTTGCATGGTATCGTCAGCCGGTCCGAAATTGTCTCAGGGATGAGCCTGTCGGAGCGCGCAGGTTACGGTAATCATGACGCTGAAGCTGCTTCCTCCGACTTGGAAAGGCGAGCGCAGAGTTCTCGGGATGCATTCGGCGATGTGTATCCCAGGTTGCAGAAGATTAAGAAGATGTATGACCCAGATATGGTGTTTGATAGATGGCGGCCCATCCAACCCGCCTAATACCCGCCTAATGATGGTCCTCAGCTGTACTTCGATACATCAACAGAGCTTCGTATATCTTGTGGGTCCACCTTGATATTTGCCTTACGGAGATACACGTGCGGCGTCGGAATTTCTGAATCCGTGCTGATGGCTCACACGGTCCCTCCTGCATCCTCTTGCGTCCTTTCTCCACTGCGTGAACTGAGGTTGTCTTGCAAACTGCGTAATTCTGCATACACTGCAAGGGCACATTGCACGATGACCACACTGTAAGCGACGATCGGGCCAATGCCTATCTATCCCATGGCCGCCGCGCGCCCGAAGTTCGACTAATCGAGGTCCCATAACGCATCATGCTGCATGCCCCGCGCCAAGCACCCGTTTCCTTGCCTTCATCCATTTGGTCAGTCGGAGTGTCGGGACCTTCAAAGAGCCGAGCGCCGCTTATGAACAACCAGGGAGGTTCTATCGTTGTACATCTTTCACAAGCAACTGCCTCTTCATTATAATCATGGACGCCACACTGATCTGACGAGCCCTCGAGACTGAGTGCCAAAAGGTACCATAATCTGCACAGTTCAGTGATAGATGCTTACGCCCATAGTAGCCAGTAATAGCGTTATCTACCCAAATTGGGTTCAGCCTCCGAATTACGGACCCGTTCCTTGACTGATCGACTTCATCAAATCTGTCCAGGCCCGCGCGTTTCTTATAAGGACCTCATGCACTCAGGACGCGCTCTCGTTGATGCCAGTGCCTCCCTCTCGCGGCCTTTGATCGCTCCCTCTCGTTCATGACGGCGCTGGCTGTCTACGATGATGTCGACGTTGGCCGCCTCAAATACCTGGTGATCTACACCGCTGTGATGTTCGTCCTTTATGGTGGGTGCTGTTATCCTAGTACCCTGCCATCTAGCTGACGGAGCGTAGGGCTGAACGTCACATCCTACTTCACGGCTGCGTCTATCCTAACGTGAGCGCCGGATCTAATCAACCCGCAATTTACTTATGCGCAGTGATCCTCAAGCGCCCGCGGTATACGGTCCTTCAAACCAAGGCTGTACTTATTTGCGGCCATAACGATGATGTTCGTCACAACCTCGGCCTACGTGGTCCTCGACGTAATCGTTACACTCTATCAAGTCCAAGAAGCCGCGGCCGCCTCAAGCGAGGCGAACGAACGCGCTCTGACCAAGTTATTTGTTGCAGAGAATGCCATATTGCGCTGGAATGTACGTCAAGCTTGCGTCTCTCGACCTCCCTTCCTTCCTTCCTTCCTTCCTTCCTTCCTCGGTGCCTTGGCCGCGCGTGCTGAATCTCTTTTCCCCTTAGTTCATAATCAGCGATATCATTGTCGTATGGCGAGCGTGGATCCTTTGGAATACCGCGCGATTAGCTCGACACGCTCTGATTGTTTCCCTCTGCTTAACATGCTGTGAGTGATAACAGGCTCGGACCTCTTCCGGGAACTCAACATGCTCCAGGCGCCATTGTGGCCGACATCGGGGTTGTATCCTGGGAGATCCTGGATCCCCGCCTAGCGCACCACTCCGCTGTTCTTCTGTCTCTCTTATGGACACTGCCGACGCTCTTCACCAACGTCACCGTCACTACATTAATGGCAGTCAAGGCGTGGCCATCTTGGTACGCCCATTCACATTCAGGCTTTATGACCGCTCATCGAGTGGTAGGGTGCGCCATAGACATCTATATGGTGATAGCTTGATGACACGACGATCTACCCGTCGCGTCAATAAAGCGTTGCAAATTCTATTCTCTACGGGATTTCTGTACTGCTGTGTCTGCGTGCGTGCATCGCTCCGGCTCACAATCTTCGACTGACTATCACTTCTCTCAGGTTCTATTAGTTACAGCAGGACTGGTCCAAGACCAGGCGCACACCTTCGCCGCCGTCATGGGCACAGTTGGCGTTTGCATCGCTGTACGCTCCAACCTGACAACGTCTCATACCGTATCTGACTGCGTATAGGGTATATACCCCACCCTCATCGTCATCTGGGCTGCCCTCGAGCCCGAGCAAGAGCCCATCTTCGCCCTGAGCTCGCCAGGCGGCCGCGTCGACGTGCAATTCTCCGACCCACGAAGACAGATCATCGAGACGCAATGCATGGTCGAGCTGCACACGCGAGATAGCTACCCGCCGCGTGTGTCCGTGCAGACTGACGACGGCAAGGACTCGGGTTATCTCCAGAAGGGTAGCGGGTCGTCATAAGTAGCCATCCCCCACCACGCTCCCTTGGGTGATTAGAAATTGGGTTTTCGTTGGAACATGTACTTCGTATCATTATATGGTTGTCGGGATGTCTGTACCATTTGAAGTCATAGACAAGGAGTTTGTGGGGCACAAAGATAGCGACAGGGTGTCATTCCCTCCTTCATTGGGCAGAAGCCGACGGCTGAGCAGCGCTCGATGAAGCCGCTCCTCCCGTAGCCAACGCCGCCCACTCATCGTACTCCGCCGACTTCGCATCCGAGATCAACACCCCGAACTCGCCTGCGCTTGTCGTTAACAAAGCTAATCCAGCTGCCCCAATCATCCGCTCACCAAACCCAAATGAATGATACACCAGCTCCGTCCCCTCATCTGCGGGGTCTGCCGGCGGCGAGTCCGACACCGCGAAGCCCATGACCGAGGACTCAGCGTCCGGCGCAAAGGACAGGTCTGCATCGACGCAGCCCGCGCAGAGGAAGGTCAGCGCGATGTGCGTCTCGTTGACGGACGTGCCGTCGGGGATCGTCGAGAGCGATACCGAGCCGTCGAAGACGGGCGGGGTGGCGTAATCGCTGTGGCAGATGGTCAAGTTGACGACAGTACGCACGGGCAGAATAGAGCGTACGTCGCCTGGCGGAATGAGTGCTGCACCTCTCCTTCATTCGGCCAGGTCACAACGAGCAGCGGTCCGACCATGGCACCTGAAGGAGATGCATCGGTATCTCCAGGCTTCCACTTCATACCCATTCTCACCTCCGAGCGACACACCGCCCCAGCCCGCGCCATCCGTGAGAGGTGCGACCTGAGAAGAGCGTTAACTTCCTGAGTCAGGACTCCCCCAAGGTCGTTAATACGCACAATCTGCCCAATAAAGTCCGTCCCAACCGTCTCCGGCAAAGCAATCCCAAAGATATATCCAGTCTCCGGATCCGTGTACGCCTGGAAGTCGATGCCCGTGAGCGGGTCCGTGTACGGCGCCGTCACTGTCTGCGAGGCCGCGCCGGCCACGAGCCCAAGGAGCGCTAGAGAGGAGGTCTGACGCATGATTCAGAGCCACGTAGGTTGTGAGAGGTACACGAAGGAGCAAGAGAGGAAGAAGAACAGAGCTTGCGAGCCACCCACCCTCATCTCTTATATACACGCCAGCGAGAAGCTCGGAAAATATACATCGTTGCATCATGCGTGGTTGGGGAGCATATACGCACTCGGAGGAGCATAGACGTACGCACTCATCCTTCTCCTGCTGCGAGATGGCGACAACAACGAGACCGGCGAAATGAGCCATTGAGAAGTGCTGCATACATTCCCAGCACGATGCTGCAAGCTTCCCACAAGAAGCCTCGCATCGTAATCCGCCCGCGCTGGTTGGCTGCTGAAGATGGCGGAGAAATCATCGAATGCGGTGGGGTGCTTCTCCGAAAAATGTACGCAGGATTCGCAGATGACGCAGGGTAAGCCTGTAAATGGAGCGAAGGTCATTGGTCGACGTGATCGGCGCACAGCCAGCTGGCGACTCCATCGCAGGAGCATACAAGGATTCGCGACCTCGGGAGAACCGCATTGGTATCGCACCTGCGAGGTGTGTATATGGCGCATGATTCAGCAGTCACGGAAGTCGACAAGGAAGAGCGCGAAAGAATACAAAGTCCATAGATCATATCCACACAAAACAATATATAACATCGTCCTTAGATATCGCCGAACCTGTGATGCACCGTCAGCAAGAGTGCCAATGCACAGACGAGGTCAGGGAACACGGAGACGAAGGTCAACCCGCGCGCGGACAAAGGACAAGCCGCGCCGCAGCGATGCATGGAGAAAGAGCCAACTCACCTATCCGGCATAAGCACCGGCGCCAGCAAGCTCCACATATACAGCACGATGCACACCCAGCTCGACACGACGCGCATCCACATCGCCACCTCCGAGCGGCCGATGTACACGTCCGAGTCCGGATCGTCGTCGCCCGGCTGTGGCTGCTTGGACACGACGTTCCTGGGGTGGGGGTCAGCGGGTTGCTCTACGGCAGAAACCACATATAAGCGCACCAGTCAGTCAGCAGCATCGCGACGTACATCGCCGCGATGGCGAAGATGATGTGGAACCAGGCGTACTGGATAGTTCGTCAGTAAATATAAAAAGCGAAGAAAACCACATATATGCATACATTGTACCGCGTCCCCGAACGCTCGTCGTCCCGCGTTTCGCCCAGCTCTTCTTCCTCCTCGTCTTCTTCCTCTTCGTTCAGCGCAGATGCCGGGATCGCACCCGCCTCCACCGCCGCCAGCAGCGCCTGATACCTCGGGCTCTCCGTCCGGCTCGGCTGCGTATTCACCACGCCCAGCTCCGCGTGGTGCTCGTCGTCCGGCAGCGCCACCGCCCCCCGCTTGTTCTTCCCCACCAGCGCCTTGCTCTGCGTCGCCGCCCGCGTCGTCGAGTACGCGATCGCCAGGAAGGTGAACACTGCGCCGATGATCGTCGTTGTCGTGCGCGTCGCCGCCCCGCTGCCGTGGCGCAGCGGGTTGCACGCCGCGCTCTCGTGCGTGTGATTGCTGATTGCGCTCACGATGAGGTACGTGCAGTACGCGGCGACCATGCCCGCCTGCGCGAGCCCCGAGCGCGGGTTGTACTCCTGCACGACCGGGTGCACGCACGCAATCGTGATGATGAGCGTGAGGATGAGGTTGAAGGTGATGAAGAAGCGATTGAGGCCGCACCCGTCGCCAGCAAAGAAGACGTAGAGGAGGACGGTCATGGTGATCGTGAAGACATACATGGCCGCGGTCGAGCCGATGAGGATCCACTGCCACATGTTGGATGAGGTGGGCGAGTTCTCCCAGTTCTCGAGGCAGGTCTCGGACCAGGAGTGCGCGAAGTCGACGAGGAGGACGAGACCGAGGAGAATAAAGACCGTCGCGCCAATCATAGAGATGTAGTTGCCCCAGACCATGAAGAAGCCGTTGGGGATGAAGAAGGAAACGACGACCAAGACTAGCCAGGCGAGCACTTTGGGTCCCCACCACCTGCGAAAGGGTCAGAGGATGATAGACGAGCGTAGGCAGATGGCGCACCCATTCTGAAGGGCAGCCCGCTTGTCTCCCGTGTCACGGACGCCGATGAGGGACAAGCTGAGAATGAAGTGGAGGAGGGAGAGCGCGAAGCATATGCGGTGAACCTGACGATGCACTCAGTCTCGACAGAGCCCGCGTAAGAGTAGCACGCACTGCGAGTACACCATAGCATCTTCCGTCCTCGCAGTCCATCTTGATGTAGTCGTAACTCCATTTCTCGATGAGATGTATAGCGGCTTTGCTCTTCATGACCCACGCCAGCATGGAGTTCAGACAGAAGATAAACTGAGGGGAGGGAGGATCAGTCCTAGATCATATAAACACTAGGTTGCACATACAGCATATCCGACGCGGGTCGCTATTGAGGAATTGCAGTTACATGACTTGAAGAACATGGAGGCTATACGCCATTAGCACACCCTTCGACTGCGCAGAGCCAACCGTATGTACCTGCAGTCGACGTGAAGCAGAACGCCAGGCCCGCCAGACACGATGTAGCTATGCTACCCAGCGTCCCCGCCAAAGGGAGAGATAGTAGCAGACCCATGATGAGAGTCGGGATCAAGAGACGATGGCGTCACGATGCTACTTCCGTGTTGGGAAGCTATTGAGTCACCACGAGCTGACAAACAATATTGCTTGCGTCTTTCCATCATCCTCTGCACCCTTGTGCGCGACATCTACACGGAAGAGGCACTACTTCACAAGATCTACAAAATAGGTTTGACTTCAGCAGCTCCTCTAGTTCTTCAGATCCGACCAGTCCTCGCTTTCTATCCATTCCCTCAGTCTCGTCGTCTTCAGCGAGATTCCTCTCTTCGCCAACTACATATTTCATCAGCGCTCTCCTCAACAAGAAACGGTCGCAATGACTCACATCCTCGTGGAAGAGCATGCTCGGATCGCCTCCATGCCAGCCCAGCTCTTGCGTGAACTGCTTCACCTCGCCAGCCTCCCGTCCAACATGGTGCTTGGGCGCCGCCTTGTCCGCCTCATCAATCGAGACCTCCTTGTAGATGAGCTTGAGCCCGGTGACCTCCTCGAAGATCTTGATGTACTCGTTCCACGACGCCATCTCGCTATACACCAGCAAGTTCGACCGCGGTGGTAGATCCAGTATGGCAACCTTCACATGCGGTCTGGTATCCTTGCGCGTCACGACGAAGGGGAACTTCGTATCCGGACTTGCCGCCCACGCCAGCTGGTACACTCCGTCGCCGATCTGTGACTCGTGTTAGCCGCTCCAGAAGCGCGCCACAAACGTTGAGGCTCACCTTAGTGGGCTTCAGCGGTTCCACCAACCTCTCGTTCGTCACATACAGCCCCAAGTTCACATACGACGTCTTCGCCGCCAGCTGCGGCAAGCTCTCCTCCAAGTAATCCACTGCCGCCTGCTTCGAATCAAAGTGGTACGCCCACGTATACTTCCCCTTGCTCCACTTCCTAATCCCCGGCAGCGTCGAGTAGACGAACCTCTCCAGCCCACCCAGCACCGGGATGATCGCATGAAAGATATTCTTCGCCTGCCGCACCTCCTCGTCGAAGCAGTACTCGTTCATGAGCTGCCCCGGCGCGAGCTTCGCCTCCGTCGCGGGGTCGAAGAAGGGCGCCCAGAAGTCCGTGACGGCGAAAATGGCGTGCGCGCCGGTGAAGGCGGCGGTCAGCGAGGCGACGTCGTTGATGTCCGCCTTGACGACCTCGACGCCGCGCTCGGCGAGGGCGCGTCCCTTCGCCCCGTCCGGGTTGCGGGTGACGCCGCGGACCTTCCAGCCCGGGATCTCGAGGAAGGTGTCGACGACGGATGCTCCCTGTACGCTTCTATCAGCGCTTGACTCTCACCATCTTGAAGACTTCACCCACCTGCAACCCGGTCGCGCCTAGTACGACGATCAGCTTATCGGTGGTGGACATTGTGTGTGCTGGTCTGCTGCTGTTACAGTCTGAATGCTGTTCTACCGGTACTGCGTCTGGTCGCCCCACCCTTTATACCTTCCTCCGCCTTCGCATTACCACCGAGACCCACCTGCTCTTACTCAGATCACCAAATATGAGCAATCAGAGTCCGCGCAGCTTGATCAGCAGCGAACCCTCCAGATTTCGGTTAGGAACACCCGAAGGTTCGCTGTCAGCCCACTTGAGGCCGAGTCGATAGGCGCTGGGTCAGGCTATTGGGAGGTGGGTAAGGGTGTTCCTTCCGATGAGGGCGGCTGCGATAGTTATGACCAATTTTTCAAAGAGGGCGACTGTGGCAACTGGCTTGTTGAAGACTTGGAGTAGGTTCAAGTTGTCCTAGTTGGGCAGCGGATGACGCCATGATCTCTCAACCTTCACGTGACCGTGGGCATTCGAAGTTCAACATTCGTTCGGATCATTCCGAGCCTCTATCGCCAGTGCTCGTCTGACCATTCCAAGGTGCGCCTCGTGCGACAGAGAGTATCCAATGCAGTATAGGTTCAAGGAAAAGTCTCAGTACGGTAATACCATGTAGCTCGGATCGAAGAGATCTAGAACAAGAGGGCCGCGTGAAGGCCATTCATTGCAGGCCGAAAAGGCAGATAGAGAAACAAAACATATTGTAGCCGTCAGCGCTAACGGCGGTCGCGAAGACCAAACGCGGGTTTCCCCGAGTCCAGCCACTATTACGACTCAGGCGCTTTTCATGACTGTCACTTAGTGATGAGGGTATGCAGAAGGTCATTGACAGAATTTTGGGGTTTAAACTGAGCCAGAGGGTAGCAACCCAAAGGGATATTAGGCGTAAAGGTTCCATCAGACATCCCCCGAGCTCCAGCTTCAGCACCCTCAGTCAGCCTTTGAGATAATAATCGGAAGCTGCGACTTCTCCGGCTGCTCCTTGATGAAGGGCGAAACGATGTTGCTCATGCGCCACGATACCTCCTTCTCGCTGAGGGAGAACTTGAAGGCGTTGAGCAGCTCGACCAGGACGACTTCTGCAGCATCTGGTCAGATAAAGGTCTTCGGACGAGCGATGACAGACTCACTCATCTCGAGCTGGGAGAACTTGAAGCCTCTGTAATTCGCATTAAGTCCCGGTTCTTGATCATGAAATAGATGAGAGCGCTCACATGCACGCCCTTCCCCCGCCCAGGAAGGTCATTAGGTTGCCGTAGACGCCTGTCAGCGGGTAAGATCGCAAGCAGGCTGAAGTGTCATATTCTACGCACCGGGAATATGGGCATCAGTCACAGAGGCAGGAAGCGGCTCGAGCCAGCGCTCAGGCTTCCACTCATCCGCATCCTCACCCCAGATCTCCTTGTTCCTGTTCGCGTTCATGATCGCAATGACGACGACCGTGCCCGCCGGGACCAGAACCTCGGACATCTCGCGCCCGTCCTCGCCGATGATGGGCTTACTGAAGGGCAGGACGACGTCCTTCTTGACTCTGGCCGGCTTGTTAGACTTGATGTCAGTAACTGGGGACAAGAGGCCTACCTGCGCAGGAGCTGGGGAGCAGGCGGGTAACTGCCATGAAATCAGCTCGGCTCTCAGGACGGCAGACAAGCGGGCGACTCACAGACGCAGGGTCTCCCGGCAAACAGCGTCCAGGTACGGGAGCGACTCGAGCTCGTTGTAGGAGAGCTGCCCGTGCTCTTCCATAGCAGCGCGGATCTCAGCTCGCAGACGGTCCTGGACCTCAGGATGCGTGGCGAGCAGATGCGATGTACGCGAAAGCGCAGAAGACGTCGTGTCCATCGCGGCGAAGACCAGCGTGCTAGCGGATCTGTCAATCTACAGCGCTACCGTGTATACGCCCACTCACGTCAACTGCGCAAGCAGCTCCTCCTCAGGAAGCGGGTCACCCGCCTTCATGTTCTCGCGGACTGAAAGGACTGTAAGCGATGCCGTCGAGCGAGAAAGAAACGACTACTTACTGAGCAAGCTCAGCAGATCCTTCCCCTGCCCAACCTGCTTGGCCACCGCTGCGTCGCCCGCCTGCAACGCCGCCACCTTCTGGGAATATATCTCCTTCGACGTGTTCCACATCAAATCCGACATATCGCGCAGAGCATGCATAGTGGACGACGGGATGAGGTTCACGACTGCGCGGCGCAGCCAGGCGGGGCCGAGGTTGTACACCTTGGGGAGGACGTAGACGCGCAGGATTTGCAGGCGGAACATCGTCGGGCTGCGTAGGTACAGGTCAGCATACTGATTAGCTGCATGATATAAGTGACGCCACGGACATATATTCCTTGACGCTGGTCGCGTATGGGTGCTCGGGCGCGCCCTGCGCGAGCGAGTCGAAGGAATAACCAAGGCCACTGCGGCCAATGAGCTCGGTGGCCGTGCGGCCCATCCAGTACAAGAGGTCAATTTCGAGGGGACCCTGATCGGTCTGCTTCTCGAGCGTGGCGCGAAGCTGGGGACAGATGGATCAGACTTGTATACGCATGGCAGAAGATACAGCGACTTACAGCGTCTACGACCTCGTAGAAGATGGGAACTGTTGGAGCAAGGGCGAGTGAGAAGAGATCAAGGCTATTGACGCAGTGACCTACTCATATTGCGCATGTGCGCGGTTGAGAAGACAGGGTTCATGAGCTTGCGCTGCTTCTTATGCTTGTCACCTAACAGTCGTTAGTGAATCTAAACCCACGGGCGACGGCGCAGCCTGACGTACCCTGGGTCGACAAGAGACCGTTCCCAAAAATGAGGCTGTTCGTCCTGTAATACGCGTGTGAGCTGAACCGTGGGGTGGTTAGGCTTGCTGGTGGCGTACGAAATAAATTGGGGATGCTCTTCATAAACATCCTGATCCTGCACAACGATGTGAGTAAAAGAAATCGGGACAGATGAACACTTGGACAAACCTTGACCACGATGTGATGGAGCGCTTTGGGGTCCCCCACGTAGAGCTGCCTTTCCTGTGTTCACACTTAGCCCAACAGCGTTAATGAGCCCATGCGCATCACACATACCCCCAGAGGACCGGTCAGCCGCACCACAGACCCGTCTACAAAAGCCGTCAGCACCGTGGTCTAGCGCGCATCGCCCAAGTTCGACTTACACTCCCTGGCCAGCTTGGCGTGGAACTCCCACCCACTAACGCTGTACAGTTGCTGGAAATTGCCTGTATTGAACGCGAGTGAGCGTCTCGACGGAGCTGACAGAGGGGACGTCCGAACCTGTCAAAACAGAGGGCGACGCCGGTCCAGGAATATTGTCCAACGGCGTCCGAAGCACGAAACGATTGACGAACCGCCAGAAGAGGCGGGCGACGATTAGAGAAGCAAGAGTAAGGAACGCTTTGGCGAACATCGCGGGAGAGGGATACTATGTCGGCTGGAGGGTACTGTGTCAGTTGAGGAGGTCGCCTTCCGTGTGAGTGGCCTTATATATTACCAGACCCTACCGTCAATGAGAAGCATGGTAGCAGCGCCTCACGTAGTGAGCGTCAGCCCAATATCGTAGCGGGCCCGGCTTTCCTAAATGATAGCACGCTTAGGTTGGTCGTTGACAGAATTTACAGTGCAGCTCGCGTGGTCACGATGCTCTTGACATGTCTCTGGGCATTCGAAAGTTCATCCGTTGGGGCAAAAAATACTGATTTCAGGCGCTCAGTGTCAATTGCTGTGTCTGCTGCTACAAAAGGGTGTCCGACAACGTCAGTGCAAAATAGAACAGGGAAGTGCAATCCGTACAGAGCGTCTCACCGGTGCAGGCCTGCTGCATTGTCGTCAATACGCAGGACCGAGATATTGTCGGCTATCGGAGTGCTATAGCCGTAGGTCCTGGAAGACGCGCCTGGGAAGGACAGCTATTCGCTGTTTCCACGCCCCACCGAGTCCCGCGGGATTGTCCCGCAGGATAATCCCCCTGATGAAGACCCGAATGCAAGTTAACTTGGGGAACATGGGATATATCCCATACACACAGCCTTGCCAAGGACGTTCATCTGGATATACGCATCATGGTTAGGTTCAAGTGGCGAAGTACAAACATGACCAAATTGAGGGTTGTCTTACGGAATTTGCCGAACATCCTCGTTCTCGACCGCACACGAGCAAATGTGTGAGGGTTTCGTGTCCGTGTCTGTGATATGTTCTCACCGCTACTGCTTATACGGTACTCCAGGTCGGTTGTACGCCCAATTCCACAACTTCTCCACCCTCGTTGGTACCCTTGTACCCCGGCTCGATGACATCGCCCCGCTTTCCCAAGTCGCTGAACCCGGGCTTGCTCTGGTAAAGCCCGTATATCAAGTGATCCCCGCATTGCTCCTCTGTGATGGAGAGTAGCCATAGTAGAGGCGCAAGGAGGTACCCAAGGATCCTGATGAGCAGCGGCCCCGAACGCCGGAATAGCGGCGTCCATACTCCTCCTGGATTCGCGTGAACGAAGGACACTTTGGGACGCCGCTTCGCAAAACCCTAAGCGCCATACTTGAGCCACAATGTACGAGGCTATCGCGGTGCACTCACTGCCATGGCAAAATCGTGGTAGGTAGGCATCTGCGTCGTCCACCGCTTGAACCCATTCCGCTCCATGTCGAGGTCATCCCACTCAAGCAGCGCCCCCACCCCCGCACCCGCGATCGTGATAACCTCACCTCTTCCCCAGCCTCCGTCGCGCTCTCAAGCGCTGGCAACAAATTTTGTATGAACCGGAAGCGCCCGAAGAACAACGTCGCTCAATTCTTGTCAAGCCCCTCCGCCGTCTTCTCGTGCGAGAGCGTCTCGACCGCACCGATGGAGAGCACCAGGTAGTTGATGATCTCCAGATTGCGCTTCGCGAGCTGCTCGCACGCGGCGTCAATGTTGCGCATGAGGCTGCAGTCGCAGGGGAGGAACTCGGAGAGCGTGTTCGCCGGGGACGGAAGGGAGGCGATGAGCTCGTCGGCGGCAGCCTTGTTGCGACCAATGATGATTAGGCGAGCGTTTCCCTCCATGTGGCGGGCGAAGGCAGCGGCCATACGGCGCCCGATGCCAGAGGTGCCTCCGATGAAGACGCCTACAGGAGTCTTCGCTGAAGAGGTGGCGGTCGCGTTGAACTGCTTGACTGTAGAAGGGAGGGTATCGTCGGATACTCTGAGAATCGTTGGATGCATGGTAGTTTCTTATAGGCACAGCGTAGAGCACATTCTTCGAGTCTTAGGTGTCGCTAGTGATATCAGCTCGAGATTCTTTGCAGCCATCTGCGTCTGCTTCAGGCCATCGGTTCCGTTACCGACGAATGTAAGCCGTATTTCGCAAGCCGAAGAGGCGAAAGGACTGCGCGGCTCCTGAATACCAGTCTCTGCGACAGAAGTAACCAAGGGCACAGTCGAAGGTGAGTGCAAGTGCCGAAAGGGGTTGTTGGAGGCATGTTGAACCTGGTGAACCTCGGTCTTGGCTTTCCCGGCGGTTTCAGTGACGCGAGTAACACTCGTCACGACCACATGCCTTTCTCATGTTTCTGGCAACGCTCGAGGAGCTTGAGTAACATGAATGCGGCGGCAGTATGCAGCGATGAGACTCACATTGCATGACCAGCTGGCATAACACGAGCAAGATGACACAACGCCGACACTATCATCTCTTTACCTACGATTCGCCAGAGGCTAGCACCTGTTCGCATTGAAGGCCGGGTACCTCAAACCTTAGGGAGTCGTCCAATGGAGTACAAAACCGCCAAAAAAGTCCAATGGTGTTGTCTAATAATTAGAAGTGCTCAAGAGGGGATACATACAACAGTTCCAGGTTTCTAAGGCTTCCATAACATATATGGCTGGCCGGCGACTCCCGTATACGACGCCGCCGCGCGCATTGCCAAACGATGGTGAATATTTTGGTACCTGATCTTCCAAAATGTACACATGCTCCTCACGTCCTCCCCGCCCAGAAGCGCAGCAGCTTCTGCTTGAATGTGAGCGCCGGCCTTCCTCTCGACATCGACCTCGACCGCGCCGCCGCACCCTCCCTCGCCTGCTGCGACTCCCGGTCGTCCAGCCGCGAGCCGTCCGGCGCGACGTTCATGACCGCGTTCTGCTGCTTCCCGAGATAGAAGTTCGTCTGGAAGCAAGCCGCGATGAGGGAAATGGTCGACAGCGCCAGCGCGGGCGTGATGAGGTACCACAGCGTCTCCTTGTACGCCGCGATGGCGCCGATGCGGATGGGATCGTTGATGTCGTAGTCGCGGATCTTCTTGATGTCCCCGAGGAACTCCTTTATCTGCGCGTCCGTCACGTACGAGGGCATGAAGTGGCGCATGTGCCCCGGCATCTTGTGACTCCAGATCATGGCGGCAGCAGCAGAGCCAATGGCCGCGCCGATCTTCGTCCAGAGTGCCAACAAGGCCACGGTAAGCGCGAGGTCTTGGTGCGGCACGGAAGCCTGGGAAGCGATGCGAGAGCCGACGACGCTGCAAGCGCCACCAGCGCCGACAAGTATTTGCGAGGAGATAAGGGATGCCGTGGAGGACGAGGCACCGCTTCCGCTTATTAGGACGCCAATGCCAATCATCTTTACGATCAAGCCCCCTATTTGCAGCATCTTATACCGATGGGTCCACCGTTGAATTAAGCCCGCGATGAGGCCCATGATGCATAACGAGAACGTGGTGATCTAAAAGGGGATGAGTGAATGGACATAAAGAAGTGCGAAACGCTCTCACGTTATTGAAGTACACCCAATTGCGGGTGGACCACGTCTTGACGATGAGGACGTATGACGGGAAGTATACAGAGCGAAGGAAGCCACAAACTGGGCAAGGTCAGCTCGAAGATGCACGGAAGGGGTCGGAGCGATACTCACGCATATAAACAAAATCTATGATGATGGCGGAAATGAAGGTGCGATTGGTGAGCAATCGTCGAGGCGCGCTGGGCATGGGAGAGTGGTAGGCCTCGTAGTAGATATACCCGGCGAGGGATAAGATGCCGAGGATTTCCATGATGATCATGTGCGGACTTTCCCAACCCTCCTTCATTTTGCTGTTCAGCACGAACGGCAACAAGACCATCCCCCAACCGAAGCCCAAAAGCAGCAAGCCGACCGCGTCGATCTCAATCAAGTTCTTGCGCGTCTGCTCCAACCAGGACGGCTGCTCTTCCACGAGCTTAGCGACGACGAGGCCGCGCGGGACGTCACTGCCCTCTGCCTCGACATGCGCAGCTCGGCGTGCCGCGTTGCTGGACGCAATGTTGACGATGCCCTCGCGTTGCGCCTCCCGATCAAGATGGATCAGAGTCGCAATGGCAGGTGCCAGCACGACAGGCATGATGATAGCGAACATGCCATAGCCCCAGCGCCACCGCTCGCCAGTACTGAATGCCTCAACGATCCGGCCGGAGAACCATGTGTTGATGAGGAAGGGCGTCGACAGCATGGATCCGACGAATGCTCTCCACTCGAGGGTCGTTAAGTCGGCGACGATGACTTCGTTCATGAGGTCCAGTCCGGAGCTGCCAATAGCGACGAGGATTTCTCCTGCGACATAGACGCCAAGGGTCGGCGACAGTGCGACGGTGACGTATCCTGCGACATAGAAGCACAGGATGAGGATGTAGGTGTATGGGCGGGATGTGATGTCGGACGTCTTCGCAATGAACGGCTTGCATACAGCGGCGATCACGTTTGTGGCGATGGAGAGGGAGGGGAGACCGCTGCTGTGTTGCTTGAATGAGGACACCGCGAGGGGGGTGTAATTTGACGTCGTGGCCATGTCCAGGGAGTACGCCCACGCGCAGACGATGATGGATGCGCCGACGAGCCAGAGGGTGCGCTTGCCGGTGCGATGGTGGTTAACGGCGCGGTGGATCGCCTCCATGCGAGTAACGCCTTGCGACTGCACATACTCCGGCTCCTGCTGCGAGAAGCTGGACCGTCGGGAGCCTGCGGACGCCGTGAGGAGCGTCGTCCGCTCGTCCGAGTCGCTCCCATCCTCACCGTCCAGCGGTGGGGCGTCCTCGGAGCGGGATATCTGCCGATGCAGTTGAACGATGGGTACAGGTGCGCAGAAGGTCTATACACGCACCGACTGGTATCCATATCCGGGGGACCTCGAGCGCGACATGGTGGGGGGAAGCTAAGCCAGAAAGCAGCACCCTGTGCTGAGGAGGCGCCCGGTTTTTATCAGATAAAGAGATATGAAGCGGCCACGCTGCAACCGCGAGAAAGTCCAGATCGTTTGAAATTCGGGTACTTGCGGGGTACAAAAAAGTCCCGCCCGCGGACCCGAAACGAATATTTGCAATTACGATGTTGACTTTCGGTCAGTTATGCCTGGAAGAGCGAAGTTAGGATAGGTCGAGGAGGAGATGGTGAGCGTTCGGAACAAGGTTCGTACCGCCCGTCATTGCTGTCAGCCACCGGGCCGCGCCATCAACAATCAGTGTCTGAAGTTCGGGGTTTGCCGACCCGCTCTTTCCTTTCAACCACCAAAATGCGTTTAGCAGCATCGCTATCCATCGCGCCCGCAGTCTCTGAAGCTCTTGCGTCCTTGGGAATAGTCACTGACACCGACCTTCTCTTTGGACCACCTCCACACGAGCTCCTCGCCCGCCTGCCACCCGGCACAATTACTCTGAGGCAATTACAAGGCGCTATAGAGTCTATTTCTGCCGCTTCATCGTCCCAAGGTCTATCAGTCGACGATCTCCTTTCAAGCAGCGCAGCTATACAGCAGAAGGGCGGCGCAGCTTCTTCATCTCACGCTAGCACGGGACTGCCGGATCTCGACACAATGCTGGGGAACGGTGGTTTTGTGGAAGGCCGCGTCTATGAGATATCAGGGGACAAGAGGACTGGAAAGACGGTATTTAAAATGCGTGAAAAGATTGGCTCCGAGCTCAGCAACGTCGCCAGTGCCTTGCTCTCAACACTGTGATCCACCATCTAGTACGCTACGATACCTGCCACGCCTGCTGGGTCGATACGACGGGCGACTTTACGGTGGAGAAAGCCTTGCAGGTCCTCGGGGCAGCTACAGACGTAAGTCGACTTCATATCCTGTCGCCTTTGGCCTTACGCGCACCATAATGAAGGATCCTTACTCAACTGCGCTCGACCGTTTCGAGGTATCGCTCGCGTTCGACGTAAGCACTATGTTCGATGTGCTTCAGACGCTGCGTATGGTGAGTCCGCTCTCAAACGCTTTCGGATGCTTACGAAACCCTTTTCGATAGTCGTCAAGTTACCGCCAAGTCCGCTTCCTCGTCGTCGACACTATATGGGCACTCTTGAGCCCGCTCTTCAGCAATTTCTCTGCTCAAGGTCACGCAATCATGACCGATCTGATGCACCAGCTTCGCCAGTGTGCGCAGGACTTGAATCTAACTGTACTTGTGAGACTTAGGACTCCATTGGTTCTACAAGATGTTGACGCCGTTCAGGTCCTGAACAATTCCTCCTCTCTGACCCCTCGGGACGGGCCCAAAGCCCCGAACTTGTCTGCATGTGAGGCAGCTACCCGACGTCCTGCTCTTGGGCCATCTTTTCAGTTCATGACTGACGCGACACTGTGGCTATCTCAGGCTGAGGTGCTCACTGTAGCGAAAGCAGAAGGCGAAAAAGACTCTGAGATGCGGGACGCCGACGGCGCAGAAGCACCAGAGCCAAGTCAAGATGCCCCAAGGCAATTTATTTGCGAAATCCTACGTTCACGACTTTCGGTATGTGCTCGACTTTTCCTCCTGACTGGGGGCTCATTATACACAGCCCACTGGCCCCTGGTGTACAATTACTATACAAAACTACATCGTCAAGCCTTGCTGGTTTCCAGGTACGTCGCATCCCCATTTGATCCTTTCCCAACTATAACGACTTCTCCAGCTCAATCATCTCTTGCAACGTCTTGAAATACTTGTTCTCTTGCAAGCTCGCCGGATTCACCGACTTCAGCGGGCTGCGCACATTCGGCGCGCCATACCCAAACGCCTGCGTCACCACCGCCTTCACACCACCAATGCCCCCCAATTTCGACACCGCCCAGTCCGCGTGCCCCATTTTCGCCTGCAGCACCAGCGCCTCTTCGAGCTTCCCCTCCTTCCACAGCGCAAACGCCTTCCCGTGCACCTTCGGGATGACGTTCACGAGCGCGGTGATGCCCCCAGCGCCCCCGGAGAGCAATCCCTGCACGAAGAATTCGGACTTGCCGGCAAAGGTGGCGAACTCGGATGCGGGGAAGGAGGAGGCGAGGCGGTGGAGCTTGCCGATGCTGCCGCACGAGAGCTTTGTGCCGACGATGTTGGGGTGGGCGGCGAGCGCGCCGATCACGTCCGAGTCGAGGTCGATGCCGGCGGTGACGGTGGGGAAGTTGTAGATCATGATGGGGATGGGAGAGGCGTCGGCGACCTGTTAGAAGGGGACGCGTTAGCAAAAGAATTGGCGTGCACTGGTACCAGTGCATGAACCACGCACAGCGGTGTGGAAGCGGATGATGTTGTCCGGGGTCATTTGGGGCGGCCAGGTGGACGAAGTGAGCACCAATGCGTGACTTGCGCCGGACTCCTTCGCATCCACGCAGAACTGGATTGTCTCGCGGGTAGACTGGGCGCCAGTACCGGCGATCACAAGTGTGTTCTGAAAACCATTGTCGTCGAGGGTCTTCCGTGTCAGCGCGATCGCGGTCTTCCGCTCCTCGCGCGTCAAGTACTGGGCTTCCCCGTTGCTTCCCTGAACCAAGATACCAGTAACACCGCCCTACGTGTAGAAGATCAGCTCAAGCCGGATGAGGGGGAGGACAAGTACCCCAAGCGCACTTGAGCTAGACGCAGGACGTGTGCCTGGATTGCGGATACGTCGAATTCCTCCTTGTCATCGTAGAAGAGAACGGCGGGGACGTAGTAACCTTTTGGTGGTGCCGACATGATGAGCTGGAGGCGTAGATGGTGGTCCGAAGCAACCCCGACCGCGATAGAATCGATGTGCAATCTGGCGGCCCGTCGGGATCCGGTTCCGCGGATTCTTTCTCATATGTTGCCCGGCAGGCTGGAGCGGGCAAGGTGGTACAGGAGGCTACAGCATGGCCAGCAACGAGTATTCTATGGACAGGGACTGAGCAACGACAACCGGGGCGCTTCACCTACGTCTCCTTTTGTAAGCGTCTCAAGAACATCAACTTGTGGTGGGGGTGGGCACCACCCGCCACCGGATCCGGCATATTTGTACATGTTGTGGTCACGCCTGGGCGCCCGTTCCGCAGTGTTTCCGTATCTCCTCCGTCAGTTTTCTGACTCTCGCTTCCGGATAAGGTGCGTCGGAAAGCGGCAAATTATAGCTACAATCCCACGTCGACTTTTAGTATTTCGTTGGGAGGAAGCCGAGATTCTCAATTTTGTGGCTTCTGGATGTGCTATTGTTGAAATCCGACGACAGAATGTAGACCTTTTATATAGCTTCCGAACGCGCTCTTTTGCGAGTTAGGGGACGAAGAAATGACGGAGGAGATAGAGAAATGCGATCAGTCACGCATGGGCCAAAAAGCACTGTGACACGTGTGACACGTCCGCCTGTTCCTCGACCTGGACGGTTCAGCGCGTGCATCAGATATCAAGTTCTTTTCACCCGGTGCACGTAAACGGGCATTTCCAGGACCCTACAAAGGTGCTCGCTGCTCGTAACCTCTTATCCTCGGCTGCTGTCATCGTGTATTATATTGCTATAGACTCTGCCTTCTCTGGGTTCCCCGTGGGCGAGTCTGCTTCGCATCAGTGGTAAAGTAGCAGAACTGCTTCAAAATATCACAATCTTGGAGCATGGACTCTCTTGAGGCTGTCTAACGCGCACCTTGACTATGAAATGTTGAGAGAAGACAAGAACGAGTCTGACCTATCTTGTCGAGTAATTGCATGCTGTCTCTAAAGAACTAAGCGTAGGCAAAGTAGATTAAAGCGTAGATCATACAATTTCGAACAACTTTGCCATACAAAGGTAAGCGATATGACCCCTCCATCGTGCACCTGCCGGACGACGATTCGGGGACACCCGAAGTCCACTTGTTGGCGTGGCATAAACATGACCAAATATGCCGGATCCGGTGGCGGGTGGTGCCCAGTGCCCACCCCCACTTGTGGGCGCACGAGCGCATTGTCACGTGAGAATACTTACTCGGCGTCTGCCGAGTCGACGCGCATTCTCCGGCAACGTCGACGACGGCGACAAGCAACTTCGTCTTTCACTCCCCGCCTCTCCCCGCTCGTTACCCTAGGCGACCCTCAAGCATGTACGCGAACATGCGCCAGCGCCTGTCCCTCTTCTGCAAGAAGACGGCGACATATGGTCTCGCAGCGGCAGCGGCGGCGGCGCGGAGGCAGGGACTGCAGCAAACTCGGCCCATTCACCGCCTGCACCCCGCGGCGCGGCCTAATACGACACTCCACCTTTCCTCGGGGTCTCTACGGCGACGATACGCCATGCCTGCACCGGCCGTGTTCCGCCAGATGCATGCGCGCGCGATCTCGTATTCGTCCATCCCTCGCTTCATGGCCCGCGCTTTCCGAATTCCAATAGCTGGTGCAACTGTCGGCGCAGGGGGCTTTGCGTACGCGAACTACAAGGTTGATGGTGCGTCGCATCTACTAGGGATGTACGCGGGCGGCTTACACACATCCAGAGTTCAAGAAGACGACCTCGGAGTGGATGAACACTGTGCAGGATACGGCCAGCGGGCTCTTTGACTCTGCGTCAGGTGGGCTCAAAGAAGTGTCCGAGGGTCTATCCGAAGGACTGAAGGGCGTCACCGATCGCGTATCCAACGCCGAGGCCCCTCAGTTCCTCAAGGACTTGTTCACTGGCATGAAGGAGAGGCGCGAGAAGAGACGACAGGAAGGAGAGGACGGTGGTGATCAGCAGGAAGGGGGCAAGAAACCGCCGACGGACGAAGCTGCCATTGCTGCGCTGGTCGCCGCCACCATGTCTTCACCTGCTGAGCCCAAGCAGGGCGGCGATGACAACTCCACCCAAAACGGCCTCATGCACCTCACGCGCAAGCTCATCGAGATACGCAGCATGCTGCTCAGCATCGACCAGAGCGACGCGCTCAAGTTGCCCAGCATTGTCGTCATTGGCAGTCAGAGTTCCGGCAAGAGCTCTGTTTTGGAGACCATTGTTGGGCACGAGTTCCTCCCAAAGTGCGTGAACTACCATCGCTTTTCAATACAATTGCTGACCCAATCACAGGGGAAACAACATGGTCACCCGTCGCCCGCTGGAACTCACCCTTATCCATACTCCCAACAACGACGGCAACAAGCGCGCAGCGGAGTACGGCGAGTTCCCCGCCCTTGGGCTCGGGAAGATCACCGACTTCTCTCAAATCCAACGCACACTGACTGACCTCAATATGGCGGTGCCTGCTTCTGAATGCGTCTCGGACGAGCCCATCGACCTTAGGATATACTCGCCCAACGTCCCCGATCTCACTCTCATTGATCTCCCGGGATACATTCAGATTGCTTCCATGGACCAACCGGAGACGCTCAAGAGCAAGATCGCGAGTCTTTGCGAGAAATACATCCGAGAGCCCAACATCATCCTCGCTGTATGCGCCGCTGACGTCGATCTCGCTAACTCGCCTGCTCTGAGGGCTAGTCGCGCGGTGGATCCTCTGGGCTTGCGCACGATTGGCGTCATCACGAAGATGGATCTGGTACCTCCCGAGCAAGGCGCTAGTATTTTGGCGGGCAATCGCTACCCTCTGCACCTCGGCTACGTCGGTGTTGTTGCCAAAGCTGGCAGGCGCATCTCGCCTCGCGAGAACGCCCAGGAGGTAGCGCGACGCAATGAGGAGGACTTCTTCGCTCACCACCGCGACGTATTCCGTACTGGCAACCTGATGGTCGGCACGGATACCCTGCGCCGTCGGCTGATGGAGGTCCTCGAGTCGTCGATGGCGTCCTCGCTTCACGGCATCACCAACGCTGTTCAGCTTGAGCTGGAGGAGGCGACCTACCAGTTCAAGGTGCAATACAACGACCGTCGCGTCACCGCCGAGTCATACGTCGCGGAGACCATGGACAAGCTGAAGGCGCGCTTCGCCGAGCACACCCAGCAGTTCCGTCGGCCCATCATCCGCGCAAAGCTGAAGGCCATGCTCGACGACAAGGTTATGGACGTCCTCGAGCAGCTCTACTGGCTCGACCGCCGCACACCGGAGCTCAACCAGCTCGGCGCCGACCCACGCAAGACGGCGGAAGACGTCGACCCCTACTGGCGCCACAAGCTCGATGCCGCATCGTCCCTGTTGACGAAGTCCGGCGTCGGTCGCGATGCGACGCTGCTGGTCGCGGACGGCCTGCGCACACTCATCGACTCGATCGCCGCGAGCGAGCCATTCAACTACCACCCCCGCACCGCCGAGCGCTTGATCGAGTTCTCGCACGCCATCCTGCGCGACCGCATCGGTGTCACGTCGGACCAAGTTGAGAACTGCATCAAGCCATACAAGTACGATGTGGAGGTCGACGAGCGCGAGTGGAACCTCGGCCGCGAGCAGGCAGTGAAGCTGTTCGAGAACGAGCTGACGATGTGCGAGACGAAGCTGAAGGATATCCGGAAGAAGGTGGGCGGGTCGAGGCGGCTGGGGAGCTTGATTCAGTATGTGAAAACGCTGGAAGAGAAGGAGAAGGAGCGGAAGGTCAAGCGGCTGGAGGGTGCACCTCAGGAGGACGAAATTACCCCCGAATCCTACAAGTACCCGCCCGCGCAGATACATGATGGTGAGTGTCTCGTCCCTTCTATACTCTCATGCTGAAATACGTCGAGCTCGCCATGCACTCTTGTATGCCGACCGATTGGCCGTTCTCAAGTTGCGCCTGGCCGCTTTGAAGTCGAAGCGGTGTCGTTCTGGCCCCGAGAACGATGTCTTCTGCCCCGAAGCCTTCCTGGATGTCGTCGCGGACAAGCTTGCATACACCTCCGCTATGTTCATCAACATAGAACTTCTAGACCATTTCTTCTACCAAGTAAGCCCAGTTCCTTCTAAGATTGCCACATGCATACTGATCGCTTCGCTGCAGTTCCCCCGCGAAATCGACTCCCGCTTATTGTACGACCTTGACCGGAAGGAGATCCTCGAATTCGCGCGGGAGAACCCTGCTGTACGGCGACATCTTGACTTGCAGGAGCGCAAGGACAAGTTGGAAGAGGTTTGTTCATATCCCTGCTCCCCACTAGTTCATTGCTCACTATCGTTCCTGTAGGTCATGAAGCAGCTGAACAGCCTCTCAACCCTTCGTGCCGACCCGAAGCCTGCGGCGACAAGGCGCCAGCGCGGCTTGTTTAGCAACATCTTCTGATCCTTCGGTGTCTTGCCTCTGATCGCCCGGTCCTTGCCTCTACTCTCACATTCGGATGTGGGTTCTTCTTGTCTATGTTATAACGATGGACGGAGCGTTAACGATGTTACGATAGTTTGTGTATCTACTACATGTTGGATGTACTTACATTATAGTTCTAATCTAGCACCACTCAGTACTCAGTACTCTTGTTTGCATGCAACATGGCACCGTCAAAACGTCGTCGACGCCCAAAGTCAATCGTCCGAACTTGACGATGGGAAGGTGGCAAGGTCGGAACCGCCGGTATTACTGGTAACAGAACTGAAGCAACTCAACCGGCCAGTCACATGAATGTCACAGGTTCTCGAGCTTGCCCGACTCTCGTCCCTCTTTGGTCCCTCTTTGGGACTGTATACAGATGAACCCCTCTTAAGCCATACTCCTTATAACCCATAACCCCGTATATCCCATAGAAATCCATAGGGAACAATGTCGGTGGGCGCGGAAATCGCATAACCCCCTTAAATCACATAAGCCATGGCCCCTGAGGGTCGAAAACCCCATAGAAAAATTAGAGATTTCACCCGAATCGAGTGTTATACTCGCCCAGGCTGGCACTCTCCTTTCCTCCTTCCTCGAGACTCGAAATGTTCAATGCAGGAAAGGACCCAATCATCGTCTGTAGGTTGTTGGTGCTGCCAAGCATGGACCCACAACCTAGATCAGACCGGTCCCCTCGATGTTGACAAGGTATATGCACTTGCTTCTGTCATTCATAGTACACCTATAGCATTAGGATATGCTAAGTGTTGGTATAACATCAATAACCGAGGAGATCTTTGAGAAAAGACAGGCAGCGGACTTTGTTTGCGCATATTTGCTCGCCTCTCATAGGCCATAACCTCTCAAACCCCATAGCCCGGGCCGCCCACGGAAGGGTATGGGTTAAGAGGGGTTCATCTGTATTGGTGTACGAACATAGTCAAAGCCCTCGTGTATATCATAACGCAGCACCTAGTCGGTGCCAAACTGCTAGCTACCAGTAAAGAACAAGAACCAGCACGCATACTTCCAGCTCCGATATATTCGTCCGATATCGCTCTGGTGTATACCTGACGCAAGAACAAGAACGCGCAGCCACTTGCATACGAATCGCAAGGAGTCACTCACTAGGTCTAGAGAGGGCCAGCGCTTCGCGTGGCGTGCGGTGGGGTAGTCTAGTTGGGGGGAGTTCTTTTCGGTATGTGGTCCTCACCGGCAAGACCGATGATGATGTCATCACCGTTGATGCTCACGGGAAGGGCGTTTGAAGTACGGTATGTATTGCAGCAAGTTGAAATCGTCGCTAACTGTCTAATCGTCATCCATCCTCTGATCCAGCTCCTCCTGCATGACCGTCATCTCGCCGGCCTTGTCGTTGACGTAGTCGACGACCCTGTTTAGAAACGGACGCAAACCAGACAGAGCTGTCGCCGCCTGAGAACCGGTCAGCGGAACGACTGCAGTTGCGGGGGTATCGCAGTCTATGACTGGGCAGGCGTGGTCCCAGACGTGGTTATCGCAGGATGCGGATGGCAGGTTCAGGTGGCAGTTTGCGCACACCTTCTCGCCGCATCCGCGGGTGCAGAGCGTGTGACCGCAGTCCATGAACCGGACAGTTGCGGCGTTCTCGCATTGCGCGCACTTCAGTACGTGCTCACGGTCCTCCTTCTGCTCAGGTCATCAGCAGAGATAATGATCGCCGCATGGACCGTACCCAGTTGACAGCGATGCTGTCTAGAAGAGCGTAGACCTGCAGAATATGCGATTCCCGGTCGTCGACCTTCTTCTCCATTTCGCGAAGGTCGCCCATCAAACGGTATTCCCTCTCGTTGGCGACATCTTCGTCCTTCCTCGCCCTCGCAAGCGTCTCCTTCAGGTCTTTCAGTTCGGACTGCGCCTGTGCGAGGGCCGCGTTGGCTGCGTTTTTGTCCTCGAGTGCCTTCACGACTATGTCGTATGCCTGCGGGGCGTAAGCCGTGGTCCTCGGACGTCATCAAAGTACGCTCGCTTACTGAGGTAACGTTGGACGACGCAGGCGTTGTGGCCATATCGACGTTGTAGGTGTTGCGATGGACAGCGGGGTGTCGTAGTGCTATGCGAAGACGTGTGTAGGCACTGGACATTTATATTGAAGGTCCTCCGTGCATGTACCATTGCGCCCTTTGTGCGTGGGAGTAGCACCGAAGATTCCGGACGTCAATGGACTTCTGTTGTCCAAGAATATGAAGCCTTCCACGATAAACTCTGATAGACTCGCACTGTGCTTCACACGAATTCGTGGTGCGTCCGCCTAGATTGCCCGGGGGAGAGAATGCGGAAATGCGAGCGGCGGCGGCTTACCGTGGATAGGTGTTTGCTGACGAGCCGCAGGTTCGCGCGAGCGGGAACAGCGTGCTGAGCGTAGACAGAGTGTGTTCACCGCCTGACCAATCGACTGACTTCGGAGGCGGGGTCATAAGGGGGGACTTGGCTTTAATGAGGTATGTATCGGAGTCCTTTGCATTGGCACTGTCGTAGGAAATTGTATTGCGGGACATGCGAGAAGCACCGTGGCAGGTATGATCGATCCATATGTGGTAACACTTGATCATCGATCGGTGCGTGCGTTATGCCATATAAGGATAACGCGTGTTGTGATCGGCGACGTGGGGGACGGTGCAGTTTGAGCTCGACAAGCTGGCTACATGTAATGGCAAGCAGGTCGGTGTGTCTTTTAGGGTTATCATGCTGGCAGCGAGCGAGTCAGGGGAGTGGTCTTTGAAGCGGATGTGTGGACGCGTTGGACCCCACGTCATGTATTTGCATGTATTGGGCAGTGACGTGGGACGCGTGTGAAGTGCTGACGCGTCCTTCTTGTCCTTCTCTGCGACTGTTGTTCGTGTGTCCTCCATACGCGATCGTTGAGCTCGCATGACCTTTGCTGCTATCCTCACACACGTCGTCGCCGAAGGCAGATTGGCGCACGCGTAGGCCACGGGAGGGGAGGGATGCTGTCGCGCTATAGCATGCGCACTGGGATGTCCTGAGCTAAGGTGCGGTGAACTGCTCCGAATGATGCATATGTACTCATAGCGCTCTTCGTTGTACCGCGATCGCGGAGGCGCTCTTCGTTCGCACGTCTTGTATCGATGTGTGGGCGAGGGGCGTTTTCCACACCTCATCGCGTGGACCTCTAGCTCATCCGTTTCGAGGCGCTTCTCGTTCGCACGTCTTGTATCGATGTGTGGGCGAGGGGCGTTCTCCACACCTCTTCGCGTCTCGTGCATACCACAGCGGGACCTCTAGCTCATCCCTTTCGAGGTGCTTGTCGTTCGCATGTCTTGTATCGATGTGTGGGCGAGGGGCGTTCTCTACACCTCATCGCTAGTGTTCGCTGCGTACGCAACGGGGACTATCACACGTTAGTTTACACTTGCAGTTATTGTCGACCATGTCGCGAGGTTCGAGCGCGCTGCGGAGAGCGATGGCGGACAGTTTTACAACGTTTTGTACATTATTTTTAATGAAATGAAAGTCATTCCTTCTCGTAACAATCGCGCGCGCAGGCGGACATTGAGCGTGGGACAGCAGAGATGCATCATTTTCTGGTCAGGGACTGCCGTCTTTACCGTCGTCCACGTTGAAGGACTCGCGGGTAAGGTTGAGGGAACATGTCGGTTATTGTGTATCAGCTAACAAGGATGTCTACACAGCGATCACAATGAATTTCACGAGGAAGCAAACATATGAGTGCTACCTTTGGGAAGGCCAGGTCGTATCCAAGCCGCGCAACCTACCAGCACTGTCCCCCACGCATGCGCGAGTGCCGGACGAGGGAACGCTTCCGATCGAACTCACGATCACGCAGAGGCCGTCGCAGGTATACCCCTACATACCAATGTGTCTACGAGACATGGACGACGTGAAGGACCCCATCCTTGGCACGCTATCGCTTCTGCCGACTGCCATTGTTGGCGTTAACGGTAGCATGCAGCTCGCGAACGACATTATCGTGCAGTGGATTGACTTGGAGTTCCGGCTGATAGCCATTCGCGATGCTCTCCTCAAGCACAGCGCGGATGGGACTAGGCCTCTGCAGTACAGGTCCTGCCGTCTTCCGACATCGTGCGGGTACCGCTGCAAGTTCCGCACGCGCAACGCTGTGTGGAAGGTTGCTGCGCATACCAGGGACGCTTTCGCCATTCTCATCGGCGAGTGTTATTACTTGGCTATCATGAATCCGTGCGTGTTGGACAACAGCGGCTACATTCACGAGGGCACTTTTCGCGAAATGCTCATAAACAGCGATATCGATATTCATCCCGCCTGGGTCTCCCACTTCGTCAGCGTCGTTCTTCGCAAACCTGTCGCAGGTGTATTAGCTTCGATGTTGGACTTCGAGCACTGCTTCTGGCTCGCGAGGCTTATCCACGTCGCTCCTGTTTACATCTGGTGGGGCACCCTGGAGACGACTATGAAGGTGGTTGACGGTGATCGCCGTCTACCTGCTGTCCTACGGAAGTTCGTGCCGTCTGCAGAAGACGTCAAGCGCCTATCTGATGGGTCTGCACACGAGGTGCAAAAGGACGCCGGCCCACCCACTTCGCAGGGTCACTTCGAGACATACGACGCTTTCATCCGTCGTAGAAGGGAATGGTACGAGCGTACTGCTCGCTTCGTTCTTCCTAGTCGCGGACATGTCGGGATCATCCAGGCGTTCGAATGGATCCAGGATAGCACTGGCGCAATGAGGAGGGAGCCCGTGCCTGCGCATCTCTTCCACGCTGCGATGAATTGGTACGAAGACACGGAGAAGATGTTCGACCATACGCGGTCGGAATGGGATCTCTGCTGGCACCAGTACCAGACAAAGGTGGAGATGTTTTCTACGACGATAGGCGTGGTTCATCACGAGAGCGAGGGGGGGGGAGAGGACCTGCGGTTGCCTGATAGGATGCTTCCGGACATGGAGTCACTTGGTTTGACGGAGGAGCACCAGCGCAGCCGTTTGTGCTGGACGGCGAACGCGTTAGTGCGTATCTCAGTCGATATCGAGGTCGCCCTTGCGATGCGGTACGGGTATAGGACATTCATGGACGTCAACGGTCCGCAAGTGACGCAGCCGAAAGAGAAGACGATACCGTGGCTTGTTGGAGAAGGCATGCGAGCGTCGGTACCTCTCAATCCGACGGTTAATATGCCAGACGACATCAACCACCTCCGTTTATTCGCGCAGACACTGTCGCGTGCCGCGAAGGGGGAAGAGCCACCTGAGTATGCTTCACTCGTTGTGGATTTGTTCTGTGATCAATCGTGGCGAGCGTGGGCGGACGATGCATCCGCTCCGTTTTCCGTCTGCACTGTTCACGATCAAGGGAACTTCCAGGCATATGCATTCTCGTTCGCGCAGGAGCTGTCGCCGCCATACACTGTGGCGACGTATGATCCTGCTGTTGCTCTAATGCTTCAACGCATGGCTGCAGACATTCATTCGCAGGAGCAGCTGGCGGCGAGGGCTCTTGATCTCGGTTGCTCAATTCTTCTTCTGCGTCGTATCTCCGAGGACAAGGAGAGCGGAAGTGATGAGGAGGAAGATGATGTCGAGGACGCGGATGCGGAGGACACGTCGGAGGATGATGAAGATTACGATGGTGATCCATGGACGACAAAAGATACTTTGCTCAGCACGCATGTGTCAAACGAAACGGAGAACTCGTCGACGTCGCATAGCGCTCGTGGTCTTGACATTCCACCTCATCTCGACGCATCGTCCCGGCGACCACAAGAGCCAGTCACAAGGCCAACGAAGCCAAGTGGTCACAAAGCCAGGAATGTGAAGAAAGGTGCCATTCGTCCTCTCAGAGTGGGACCCGCACCTGGCTTGGGATGGCGAGAATATGGCTATAGGTTTGACCACGTTGACGTTGGGGATTATCTGAGGTGCCGGCGTGAGTATTTCACCGTCGAGCGCGCGTCCGCCATGTGGAGACGCGGAGGAATATTAGGCAGACTCGCGCAGGACCTGTATTCGAGGAGGGACATGTTGTCAGCGGTCGGCCAGTCGGTGTCGTCGAAGCGTCCTTTGTCCATCTTCGTCTTCCAGGATGGGAGCAAGTGGGGGGACGATATGTTGACGGAGAAGGCGGAAAATGTGATGATAGGAGCATTCTTTGCGGCGAACAGTATGTGGCATATCTCGGAGTGTATTTAAATCACTGATGTACGGGTAGGCCCTGTCGACCGCTTCAACACGCGAAAGGTGTCGTTCTGGCCCACGGAAGCGGTGTTCGGAAGGAAAGGACCGAAATGTGGTGTTTGGACACGCGATGCAGAGGAGTGGTATACGCAACGCAGGGAGATGCTGCACGGCGCAGGTCAGCAGGGGTTCAACGCGAGTGAATGGCCCGACAAGCTTCACTTCGCGTCAAGCGCAAACAAATTGCACCAGGGCGCCTGCGCTTTGGCCGCGGACTTCATCATGAACCATCCGGACATATATCGCCCGCTGTGAACTTCGAGTTTAGGCAACAATAGTGTATATTGCTACGGAAGCGCCGTCCATGTGCGTTCAATCACTTATGTCGCTGGCATAGGACTCGTATCGTATCTTGCCGTCGTTTTTCATGCCGTAGTACTGATACTCTTGCATGCTTTATTCGATGACGCGCATTGTAAAATGAGCCGTTCCGTACGAACTCTAGGCACTCGAGGTATATATTGCCACAGCAGCGTCCCTGCCGTCCATGTGCATCCAGTCCTTTACGTCGCTGACATAACTCTCGTACTTGATCTTGCCCGTTTGCACCATACCGTCGTACTTATAGACACGTACACCTTGTTCGATGAGACGCATTGTAAAGTGGGATAATCCAAAAGTATATGATACCTTTGAGCTCGTATTGCGCCGCGCTTCTTTGAGTCGTCGCCTGGAAATGCATTGAGATTGAAGAACCTCCGTGAATCTGGAAAGCAACGAAGGGGCTGACTGTTCGTACTGTCGTGCTTTGTGTTTTCATGTTGCCGCACGCCTTGCATGGAGCGTGCATCGTCGCCACCGCGCGTTTGAACCAGCTCGTTAGAGAGTCGCAGCCCTGCGAAGCTGTGCTGACGAGGAGTTCTTTGTATTTCACAACAGTCTTGCTTTTGCTGCAGGTGCAGTGCACGTAACTCGTCAAAGCGATGTCTTCGGAGCGGGTTATGCATTCCAGAATGCTGAGAACGCTCGCGTAAGCTCCGTGCACGAATTCACGCGGGTTACTGAGTGTGAGATTCGCGCGCAACTTGTCTCTTATGACGTCCACCGACGGTCGCTCGTGCACTATTATCGATACCAGCACACGCAGGATGTCGTTGTTCCACGCGAGTGCGCGCGAAGCGAAGCTTGAGTGTTCTTGGTTCAGCCACACGCAAAATGTCGCGATGCAGTCGTAAGCGCAGCTATTTTCGTGCCAGCTTGCTCCGTATCTTTCATCGTCCTGAGGCACAGGCGCCTCTATCCTAGGCCTTTTCACAGAGCCAAGTCCGTTGCCTGTATTTGTCTGTACTGCTAGGTTTACTTCGTCTGCTGCAATTGCTGCCGCTTTCCGCACTTTTTTGAATGGCAGAAATTCCGATTGTGCCTCTTTAACAGGCAGTGATTTTCCTTCTTTTGCGTCCACCACCATCCAATCAATGGGGGGGCAATGAGAGTCCAGCCATGACGTGACGTCTACGCATTCGCCCTTGCTGTTGAATATGGCGGGCGCTGTTGTCCATTTCAGAGCGTCTGGCAATCGCGAGGGCATATATGTTTCGCCCATGAATGATCTATATTGCGCGATGAGATCTAATCGTCGGTGTGCATTGATATCGGCTGGCAGCCGTCCTTCATAGGTCCGCATGGTGATGTCGTCGAGTAATTCAAGTTCTCTATATTCTTGCCTTAAGGCGCCACTGCACTTCTTTTTCAGTTTACGGAGGTCTCCTTTTCTGACAATGAGAGTACCGTCGGACGTTCTACCGCGCGAGAGAGCGACGTAAATGCCGTGATGGTCCTTGCAGTACTCCAGGTCTACAACGTTTGTATGCCTTGACTTTCCTTGGGAGGCGTAGTCGGTCATCGCAAAGTTTGGTAGAACTTCAACTTGACTCCGAGTTATTGTGTAGTTTGAATGACCATTGACTTGATAGGGCAGGTCACATTTTATGGTAGCTGACGTCTTAACAATCGGCACAACATTTTCTGGAAGTCCTGGAAGGTTCACATTTGTCGGAGGATCTATGAGCTTCACGAACAAAGTGTTCAACACGGGTTGGCCTAATGTCCCTGTTGTCTCCGTCCATCCGTATACAGTCCCTTCTTGGCCTTTGGTCATGCAAAGCTCAGTTGCTGAATTGGCTCTGATCATAATGGGCATGCCGACGCATAAAGAGAGACGTCCAGGCATCTTCCTATCGTTCATGGACGGTGCTTGGTTCCAAACAATGTTCTGTAGCAAGGGATTGAGAGGGACTTTCGGTCCACCTTTGCCGCCATTGGATTTCGAGTCGTCAGAGAAGAAATGCTTCAGTCGCTGGTTGCTTTCCGCTGCGAACCGTTCGACGCCAAGATCATTTATGCTGTCTTTGCATATATTTCTCGCAGTTATTATGGATACGTTGCGGAACCGGTCGTCCGACAGTCGGTCGTGACAATACCTTGAGCCCAAGAATCTTGTTGCAATCCAATGTATGTCTGCGTCGTCGCACGTCCCGTACCTCATGTTTTCAAGGGCGCGCTGCATGCGTAAATCATCTACAGATGCACCTTGTTGCCGCATGTTCTTTCTAAGCAGAACCACTGTCGTTACCATATGCCAAAGCACCTTCCCCAGCGCCTTTTGTTGACTTTGAGAGTCTGTGCTGTATCGTCCTATTTTGCGACTGAACAGAGAAGCATTCTCTCCGCCATGGACAGGTGGTAACTGAGCAAAGTCACCTGCGAAGATCATGTTGACGCCACCGAAGGGCACGTCTGGCCTGTTGCGAGCGGCGCACAGGGTCTTGCTTATCTTGTACATGTCTAAACAGGAAAGCATGGAAACTTCGTCCATGAAAATGTAATCGACTCCAAGCAATCGCTCTTTGACTTCACCGATGTTATTAAAATCGATCTCGCCGTCTTTGCGCTTGAGATCATTGATTCCCAACACGTAATGGTAAGTAGATCCCTGTACAAGGGCGGCTGCAGTACCGGTGGGGGCGAGGACAATCATTCTCGTCCTCTCACCACGGTTAGTGAACATTGACTGCACAGCTTGTAGCACCCGCGACTTGCCGGTTCCACCCATGCCACCTACGTACATCAGAAGCTGTTCTGTGGTGGGATCGCAACCGTGGTTCGAGATAATACGAAACGCGCGTTCCTGGTCTTCATTAAGTCCAAACGTTTTGGCAGTGTCGTCTATAATGTCCGGTCTGTCGCGCGCTCGATGGACCTTCAATAGATAAGACTTGTTCACGATGTCGACGTCTACTAGGGCCCGCAGTCTGTTGAGGCGATCGCCCGTACTCTTAGCAATCTCTTTCCATCGACTCAACATTGATTGTCTGACTTCCTTGACGATGTCCCTCCACTGACTTGGAGTACGGTACGTGATATCCACTGTTTGGTCTAGCAGATTGATATCTCCGTCACTCTTCGTCCATCCTGTCTTCTCGATGAAGTCTTGTGTTTCCGAATACGTTTTCTTCCGTGCTTCGTAGTGGCGTACTGGAACCGTGTTCTCATCAACGTATTCAGTGTCTGCGAACACGGCGTACACATCATCATCACTGAAAGCCTCCGGATCGAAGTTGTCGTCTCGCATGAATGATGGAAGACCACTGTCCTTCTTTGAATTCTTTGAATTCTTCATATTTTTTCTAAAATCGTCTCGACTATCTATACAGTCCCATCGCAAGTTAAAGAACTTCATCAGCTCCAGCTGTCGTTCCGAGAAACTGTACGCGCTGAAGGCGGCTTCCCAATCCTCTGTATCGTTTTTCAGGTCGAGTCCCGACCGCCAAGGTTTGAACAGAGCGAGCATTGTGAGGAAATAATCGTCACCTGCATTGTCTCTGGGAAGAGGGCGCATCATGTTGGGGACTATTGTAGGACTGTCAGGGCAGAACTGCATACAATACGAACTTGCGAGGGGGTGGCCTTCCTTGAACGCGTACATGGACCCTGGTAGTTTATTGGTAGGCGGCACGGTTCTGCAATTGTCTTCGGGCTGCTCATCTTCTGTTGCTTCTGCTTCCGAATTGTCGCACATACTGTCGAGCATCTTCATGTCATCTTCCGATGCATGGTCGTTCGATGTGACCGACTCGTCATCACTTTCGCACTCGTTGTCCGTATCATTTTCCTTACTGGACTGTCCGTGCCGTGTTTGATCTGTTCGTTCGGGTTTGCGCTTGACACCTGGTATAGGCACTCGCTTGCCTAACCTTGCGAACTCATACAAGGACATGTCCTCTAAAGCGTCCGCACGATAGATGTAGTTCTGGGCGTCATGAACGCCAATGATGTTTTCACCTCTCTTCATAACTCTAACCATTTCTTCCTCATCTTCTTCGGTGGGCGGATGCCACATCTTTTTGACCTCATTGATGAATCTATGCCAATAGAAGGAGACGAACGTGTGAGATGTGTAGCGATCAGGTAAGCCCATCAGATGGGCCGCCATAAACGGAGCGCCAATTTCAGATTTCGTAGTTAGAATGTTGATTACTCTAGTCATCAATTTCCTCGCCTTCTCTTCGCGTGATTTGTCTCCGGAAAGCATCTCAGAGCTACGATCGAACGCAGCTTTGATGGATTCGAACATGACATGCGTGGGGGGACCCATCTTCGTAATGTATTCAGTTATGTAGTAAACAATGTGGTTAACGGCCGAGCCGGACATGAGGGGGGTGCAATCATGATTGCATCGACAAGTGTGTGAGATCAGGGGACATACATCGTTCAAGTACGGTTCTTTGTGCTTAAATCTAAGTGCCCCCGTCTCGAGGTCAACACCGGTATCAGCACGGGTCTGTCTAGGCATGCGAGCTTTGCAGGTGCCGTTTTTGTTATTGAGACAGTAACGAACGCTGCACTTATGAAGATTAGTGCGATACAGGATGTCATCGACGTCCGCTTTGAATTGTTCCTCCCACCGCATTGTTGCCTTGCACGCTTCACAGCCAGGTTCTTTGCAATCGCAGTACGAAGACGAAGGTGGAACGAGGGAAGTAAGGGTGGGATCTTGGTAGCCAGTATCAGTCTTGCGCACATTTTGCTGTGCTCTTACGTCGTCAACACTTCCGCCGTAAAATTCACCTTGGCTGCAAGATTCGACGTACTCCGCTAGGTTGTCACGAAAGTCGGTCTCCATTCCTGCGATTTTATCTCGCATCTCGGCAGGGGTCGGTGCTCCCTTGATCCAGATTAGCATATGAAGGTGCAGTGTAAGTCGCCCTTGCTGTTCAACCGTTGCGTAGTACGCGGACGAGTGCCCAAAGACGCCAGGAATCGTGGAATCAGTACCAACAATGTGTTTAAGGAATGTGTTGACAATGAAGTCGAAGAAACGAGCGGCTGCGACGGGATTGTTGACGACGCGTCGGAATCGTTCATCTTTTTCACTTGAAGATGTTGGCGCGTCAAATGGTCTATACGTCTGGTTGGTATCCGCAAAATAGATGCACAGCGGGTGCTTGATATCAGTAGGGGCGATTGTGACATACCACACAGGTGATCCGTTCGCCGCCATCAGAGACCATATCTCGTTTCGCATCCACTTGCGACCAGCAGATGTGCCGTGCACCCTCCCCGCCATGCTGTCAAGGTCCTGAATGACTTTGAAGCAATCCTTCTCCTCTTCTGTCTGCGGAATTACCTTTTCGCCAGACGCCATTCGTTCTGCAATCTCCGCCAACACGCGTTGGTTCAGGCTCAACATCCGTTCTGCGATGTTTTTGAACCGCGACTGTTTTGCGAGGAGGAAGCTCTGCGTTGTTGCCTGCATGATTTGTTGGTGACTATACGCCACCACGAGGAAGGCGGGATCTCGTTGAAAACGCTGATCGTGGTACATGAGTAGGTGGCGCACGTGTGCTTCGTGCGACAGTCGCAAACGCTTTTCGGGGGCTTCTTCCGTGCTGCCTATGCCCGCTCTCCCGTACGGAAACAGCCAAGGAAATAGTTGCGGATATAGTCGGGGATTGTGGTACAGGGACTCTGGCGTGTCGCCGTGACCAACGCGCAAAATGCCTTTATTGTTTTGAAAGTGCATCAGAGCGATACCCTTCAGCTCTTCTTTGGATTTCGCCTCTAATTCCGCTCCGGTGATGGCGTGCACAACGATGGGAACCTCACCACTCTCTACACCATGATCGTCCTCATTGTTATCGGCACTCCGACTTTCTTGAGCGATGTTGGTACTTAGCGTTCTATATTCGATCGTCACGGGTGGTTCCATTGTGTTGTAGCTCTGCAAGTTTTTCTCAGATATTGGCACATTTGCGTAGTCGGGATGATTTAACGCCAACCATTCAAGTGCTTTTCGTACGACGTTGTGCCTAACGAGAATAGGGTTGAACTTGCCTGTCAAGTAATCGGCTTTCGTGGGCGCGACGGGACCGGTGTACATCACTGCAAGCACTTCGTCCAACTCAGCTCTCGTTGGAGGTAATGCTGCATATACCTTGCGGCTTGACACGGGGAAGGAAACAGCGTGCGCGATAAGTTTTTGGTATGACCCTCCTACTCTGATAAAGCATGCGTTGTGGCGCATCCTCTGAATCAACATTCGCTCAACGTATCGCAGGTTTTGCAGCTCAGGTGGCACGTCTCCTAACCACAGATTATTTGCTAAGGCGTTCCTCGGCATGTTGCCATGAGTTATACTTTTGCGGCATGAAGGGCAAATCTTGTCGCATCCTGATGCCAATACGGGCCCTGTAACAGGTTTTGAGGGATCGTGCAGTGACTTGCGTTCTGTACTAGTAACAGATTCGTCTTCAAGGACCGTCAGGAATCCCTTGTAGTTCTTTAGGGGGCGCAGTTCAGACTTTCGCTTCAGTAACCCGCACACCGCGCAACCGGCTTCTTCTACGCCCCGAAGATCATCTGCGAAGGCGTTTGCAATGCGATGGAAAGTTTTAAATGATGGCGCTTTGGGAGGGAATGGTTTCTTGAACTTGCTGCGGTACGACCGGGCATTGAGGGCGTTCTTAGCAGCCACCTTTGCAGGGTCTTTGGATCGCTTGTCATTGAACGTCTTATACTTGTTAGTAGGCAGAGCGGGCTCGCGAAACTCGAACACTGTGCAGTTACTTATACACAGGGGACACGAATGCTTCTCCAGTCGCCTCCGAAGCGTTTCTGAATTGTCGCGCCAGGGATTATCGATGCCGTGAAGATTCGCAATCTTTCGCATGGAAGCTACACGTAGTTTTCCACACAATCGGAACACAGGAATCTTAGCGCTTACGAGTGAGTTTGTGAGCATTTCATCAGACTTGGACTCCGGAACATGGTCCACGTAAGAGTAGACCCAACGATCTGGGTCGAAGTTAGGTGGTATTTTGTGCAACCATTCGCCAATGTGTTCGATGGTGAGCGTCTTATGAGATGGACCTCCACCATATTGGCGGCGATCGTCACGTACATGTGAAGTATTGGCGACTTGGCGTTCACAGGCAGCATCGTATAGCAATGCATTGTATCCTCTGGTTCCTCTGATTCTGCTCGGTCGATTCCATTTTGCCCTTCGTCCCGGTCGTACGACGAAGTATAGGTGTCGATGGGTAAGGCATCTGATCAGTTGTTTTAAGGCACAAAGTACTATGTAGAGAGCACATCTCGTGGGCCAACGCGATATATGCCAAAATAGAGGCTGAATCTCGAGAACAAATATCCACGAGTTGTTCAATCGTGACAGCCGCTGTCGCATGGCACACCAGTCAAGTCGTCGCATGAAAGTTCTCGTCACTTGTAAGCGTAAGTACATCAAGATGTATCTTCGCTCCTTCCGCAGTTGAAGAAGTCCGTCACGCAGTGTAGCCAAGGACGATGTGATACACGTCAGGAGGAAAGCGACGTCTACTCGAAGCCAACCAGTTATCAGAGTAAGCTGCAAGTTGAAGGGTGACCCTTGTCGCCAGCGTATTGGAGCATCCGAATATGTCGGCACCGCACACGAATGATGTCCTCGTGTAGTGAAAGAGACGGATGCGGACGGTACATGGGCACAGATTTGAGACAGCGAAGTATTGTTAAGACGAACGATTAGAACATGCATGACGGCGAATCGAGAATCCCATGAACACGGGGGCAGATAAGAGGATAAGGAATGAGAACTGCAATTGGATCCCAATGCGTTCAAAGCCACACCTTCGACGGTACTCATCTCGATGGTAGCGTTTCGCTCTGCAAGGGCTCCCATGTAATGATACGTATGGCACGAACGAACTCCCGTGCAACCGGACGGGAGCCAAGGACGAACCCCCGTGCAACCGGACGGGGGCCAGGAATGAGCCCCCGCGCAACCGGGCGGGGGCCAGCGAGGATCCCCCGCGCAACCGGGCGGGGGCCAAGAATGAACCCCCGCGCAACCGGGCGGGGGCAGGTAAGTTAGAGCTGTGTGACCGAGTGAACGTGGAGTACAATGAACACGAACGATGCAGTCGTCCGCTACAACGCTGCCATATGACCAGGACTGGGCGAAGTTCACGTCGCTTGAGTGTTGAAGGGATAACCGTGAAAGGAGGAACACGTAGAATAGCACGTAGTGGATGAAGATCATGGTGGTTGTAAGAAAGGTGCAATTTGTCTCCCATCGATCGTGATGGAGGGTGACTCCTCGGTACCGAGTCTATGGTCGGTTCCGCATTCGCAGTGAGTCACTCGCGCGTACGGCGTGAGGTTGAACTCTTTTATTTATTTATGGTACATTTACGCGCTCGTTGAGGAGCTTCGACGGTCACGGGTCGTAACAAGTAATGAACCTAAGCAACATACTTAGTCTTCTTGGACGGGCTCTCTCCCTCAGCGTCGTCTGACGCGGCACGCTTGCTGATATCATCCTGCCCGCTACCCTTCAACGATACCTTCCCGCTTCTAGCTGGCTTCGTGGGCGTCGTCGGCATCTCCATCTTCGGTGCGACGGGCAGGGCGGACACTGCGCGAGCACGAAGGACGTAGATCGGGTCGGATAACACAATGACTGCGTTGAGGTTGAAAGAGAGGTTGGGCTCCTTCTGACCGGCGACCCACGACGAGACTGTGTACACGGCAGTGACCAGCTGGTTCTCCACGAGATCGCAGTCATACGTCTTCATGGCCTTGATGTTGGCGAAGGTAAGGGACGTGGACCAAGGAGACGAGTCGCGTCCGTCGAGAACCGGGACTACAGGAGACGGTCAGTGAACGGTAGAACGCGTCCTGACCATACACGTACTGGCGTCGGTGAACTCAGGGACACCAAACCTCTTGTTAGTCGTCCCTGACTGCTTGCGGATGACGTTCGGACCTGAGCTTGACCTTGCAGCTGCAGAAAGTTGTAAGTGTTGACGGTGAAAGATCGAGAAGACGATTCGAACCAGTGCTGGACGGTTTCGTCGTGATGAGGATGGTGCCATGCTCCGCACAGGGGAAACCGAACGATTCATCAGAGGGCATCTTGGCGGCGAGGTTGAAGAAAGCAAACGCGCGGTTGATCTCGGATTCGAACGGAGCTATGGCCACTCCACGACGCGCCTTCTTCGCGTTCGTATACGGCAGCTCTCCATCGAGAGACAGGAACTCCCTGCGTAGAATGCCAGTCGTGACGCAAAAGACGGGCCTGGTGGTGTCGCGCTGGCTCATGAGGGTGTCCTTGGTGTCCTGATAATTGTCCGGATGGCGTCCGAATATAAACTGATGAGGGTCGACTCGGGAAGGGTTCACGATGTCGTAGCCTTCAGCGAACCCGAGGGCGACGCAGACACGCCTGGTTGCCCTTAGCGTTGGCCAGAGGAAGGAGAACGAGTAGACGCACTTCATATCGTCAACGGCGGGAGCCATGGACTCTAGGGTAGTATCGATCTTCGGATACTCTCTGTAGGCTTCAGGTTCAAATTTGCCGACGTGCGTTATAGAGTAGTCCTCTCTGCCCACGTATCGTGAATGAGTACAAGGTTCAGAGCACGACGGTGACTATGGACGTACGTAATTTTATACCAGTTGTCGTAGCAGCCGTGGGCGTAGGCCCAATCGGAAACGTGCGCCCATCCGTAGACGGTATCGCCCCTAAACGCTTTATACCTGTGCGCAAACATAAGCATCCGCAACTAAGCGTGAGGAGCATAACGCACCGCTCGGATTCTTTATCGACATGCACGCTGTTCATAAAAGAGCGCGCCGCGGCATCATCGAAGACGGTGGCGGCGCTGCACGGCATGTAAGAGGGAAGGTCGGACGACGGTGAGAGACGCGTACATCGAATTCCCCGTATGCTGGACGTGCGAACTCGCATCGATGTCCTCGCCCGATCGCTCCACGTTCGTACCCTGCCCTGTACCGTCGGAAGATGCAGGGTGGTCAACTGGCGAGCCGTCGACCAGTTTAGAATTGTCGTCCAGGCTGCCCTGCATATGAAGGATCGCGCTGCGATCGAGAGCGTCAGCAAGTCTTTCGAAGGTGAACGTTCGTTGCACGTACGTCCCCTCAGTGACCTCTTGAATGGGATTGGATGCTGCCATAGTCGAACCAATCTCTCTGATGTATATATCAGTCAAAGACTGCGATGCAAGGGGAGGGCAAACGGACTCGGGGATACTGTGAAGTTCGAGAACAGGAGGGGTGTGACTGGGGTGGGCTGTAGAAGAAGGTGCGATCGGAGTGTCTAGCAAGCGCTCAGACTCGTCACTGTGACAAGTTGAGGAAGGTATCCGTCAAGGACGAGGAAGAGGTGCGTACGACGCGCGTTTTTTAGCGGAGGGCGTGGGCTTTCTCGACGTGCGTCGAGTGGACATGAAAGTACAGAGAAGGATCTGTCGTATAGAAGTTGTCGTTGACCCCGAGATCTACATTACCGATCGCCGGATCCGAAGCAATGGATGGGAATTGGACTGGGCGTCAATTGCAGATCGTGGAAAAGCTCCCATTGCAAACCGCCACGTATACCAATCCAGTCTCTTCCGCGTCCAAGACAAAACCCCCCAAATGTCAGACACCAGTTCCACAGTAGACAATTAGAGACTATACCCGCGATCATGTCCGATTCTGTCGACGTTGTTTTGCCGCCAACGATAATCACATGCAAACTCACCTGGGCCTCGCTCTTTCGCCCCTTCCTCAAAGACGTGGGACTGCAACGCAACCAGCGTAACGGACAGCTTCCTGAACCGGAGCGTCGTCGAGTCCGTGCGGCTCCCACATTGGTGCCACAATCTCTCCTTCACCCGGTCGTTTCATCCGCAACTTCATGTTGCATCTACCGAACTCTATGCCGCGTTTAACACGAATATAACCCGGAATCTGTTCAGACGAGACTGTCCACGGCGAAATCGAAAGCCAAGACGTAGCGAAGTACAGACATATACATGCAAATATGTACACACATGTGCCCACACATGTACGCGTCATTTATGTATGTTTGTCAAGAAAACATGCTGCCAGTCTGCAGCCCAAGAATGAAAGCAACTCAGTCAGATGAAGAAAAACTGCACAAGTAAGAGGAGTATATGGTCGCATGTATAGATTCGAGAAGCGCTGCGAGGTGAACGGGACGGTATGCGTACGGAGGGACATCGGGCGCAACCTATCACGGGCTAACACCGCTAATTCACGAAGAGGTGCCACCGCTGCACTTATCAACACAGTGATGGATGAAGACAGGTAGAGAGTACTCACCCTTATATCTCGCTCACAGATACCGTGACGGCGTGAGCGACCACACTCCCGGCCGCGCGTGGCCACCGTCTGGAGGCTACGAATCTGCGAAACGCATCTGCCATGTCCACCGACATACCGCTCGGGGACGGCCTGTAGTAAAAGACCGACAGCGCGGGCATAATGACAGGGGAACCCCAGCGGAAAGTCAATGAATCGAACAGGAACGGACAGCCGAAGGACTGCGTGTACATGCTAAAGTCGTCGATGTCGAGTACTTTGAGCCACTGGAGTCTGCTCAAGCATTGCAGTAGTGCATCTGAGGTATATGGCAGACCAGAGTCGACGCGAGCGATCCTGAGCTCCTCCAGCCTGGGCGGAGCCCCCGGGCGATTCAACATGGCCTGTAAGTCGACGATGGCGAACCGATAGTCATCCATGTCGTTGAGAGTCAGTTGCTGAAGACGTGGCGCATAGACAACTGCTAACACAAAGCTCGTGTGGTTGTCGAGCTTCAAGGTACGCAGTGCCGGCATGCTAATGACGCTCACGTTCTCGACCGTGACGTCCTCGTCGACGGGGTCAACTAGCGCGTCTACGCGAAGATGCTCGACTGACGAGCATTGCTTGATGAGAGAGGCGAGGAAGCGAATGGTCCCGTCGCGTAGACCGCACAGCGTTAAGGACGACAAGCGAGGCCAGGCGGGCACGTCTAACGTGAATGATCCAGACATCCGTGACGTATCGCATATCAAGGTCAAAGTGTTGAGGACGTCTGCTCGCCCGAGCCAACGTAGCGCTCCCCTCGCTGCGTCGCCTTCTAGGTATAGTATCGCGCTCGTAAGCTGCGGGAGATGATGCGAGTAGGTGATGGTGGTAAAGTATGTCCAAGACGCACGGAGGACAACAGTGCGCCACCTCTCACCAGACCCGAGGAGATGGCGAAAAGCAGACTCCGCGATGTCGTCTGCGCCTAACCCAGAGAGCTCAACCGCTATTGGGTCTGACCGCGAGAGGCGCACATCGAGGTCTACATGAGATTGGCACCGTACCCGGGAAGCCGTGAAGACCGCTGTCCACAGACGTGGAGTCCCGTCAACGACGTCTACCCAGAACGCGGACACACTCCGGAGGTTCGCCACCGCAACGCCGCTCTCGAGCCTAGACCTGCACGTGTATACGACCATCTCAAGTATGCAGGATAGTATCTCGGCGGGCACGCGGTCCACGGGAGACAAGAGGGCTAAGATTTTTGCCAACTCGACGGCAACGGCATTTCGATCGACGTGCAGGGATGAAATAGCGGCGGACAGCGATATCTCCACATCGCGCGAATGCGTCGCCGCCTGCGCCAGAGAGATGCGTCGTTCTGCGGATACGTCGTCGCGAGAGGGACTGCAGACAGACGCGTGAGACACGCAAGCGTAGTAGCTGTCGAAAAGAGACATGACGTGGACGCGAGTGTCGATGGAGCACCTTTAGGAAGAGAAATAGAGGCGGCGAAGACGACAGCTTGAGCAGCCGTTTTGCTGTACTTGAGGACGAGCATCGGGTGCTGTTAATCATGATGGAGCGTGCGAATGAGCTCGCTATCGACACCGAGTTCCAGCTCTATGCGCCAACGTACAGGCTCGTACCCTGCATCTGCGGATTCTGCAGGTGAATGTCTACTTTTGAGCAAGATTCGCTTTCAAGGGGAGAGAACATAGAGTACGCATGCATGGAAGGTAAAACACCAGACATGTCGCCATCGGCAGAGCAGTGGTAGAAGAGGGCATGGGATAGGACGGCGTGGGATAAGCGCCGTTCTTCCATTGAGTTCTTACGCAACCCCACATTCTCTATCGTATTAATGGTTACTATGACCTATCACCGATGCTTGAACTATTCGAAGCGCGCGAATCTCCAGGGCAACTAGCGAAGTGACGCCTGTGCGGATGTGAAAGCACATACGATAAAGGACCACGGACCGGTAAAGGAACATTGAAGAAGCACGGTATCTCTTGTGCCTAGTGATGCATCTCTTTAGCCGCATAACTGATTGGAGCCGATAGGCTTGACAATCACGGCACCCACACGGCAACGTTAGATGGCGTCTCGCTACCGCCGCTTGTCAGGGAACGCTGGGGATTCGCGAATGGGCACGGACATCCTATTGAACACCTTGTAGTAAAGCAACATGTGTATTCGATGTACGGTATGACTGGTAAGTTGTATGCCATGCTCCTAACGAGAGCACCAAATAAGGCGGTGACGACGGAGGCGGAAATGGATGGAGAAAAGGGATAACTGCGCAGTTTTCACGGTGTTACACGAGTCAAGCAGTGAAGTAATACGAAGGCATTCGAAGGGAACAAGTAGTCGAAGACCAGCGGACAGGCGTGCAGCAACAGGAGAACTGTGTTGACGCTTGAGTACACGTGAAGACCACTGTAAGACGTGGCCAGTAAGCGACGAAGACGTGTGTTTTGTACCGCAGGTGCGCATGCCCGACGCGGGATGTTCGAACGAACAGTCCTTTGACCGCGAGACCCGGCGACCGGGTTCTTGTCGCCGCACGTCTCGCCACCGAGCTGCCCCTGAACGTCCCTGCTGGACTGCTGCAACTGATGATCCGCGAGTTGTCGCCCTAGGTGGCCTACCACGCGTACTCGTTCGTCGCGTCTGTGCGCGTCGCGTCATCCGGTAAGCACACTCTGTCACAGGAACGTGCGCAGATGGCTGACTGCGGAGACCATCGAGCCCTCGCATGCAGCGGGTGACTACAAACCGACGTCGAGGAAGATCGCGCGCTTGTCAATGTGACGATCGTTGTAACCGATACAGTGGGTACAATTTGCGTCCGAGTTGCATATCTCAGAAAAGCCTCCATTGCCAATTAGATGAAAATACCAGTCTAGCAGCTCCCGCATCCATGACTAAAACCCCAAAAGTTCGGATTGTTATTGCAGAGTAGACAAATAGAACCTAAAACTGCTATTCCGTCCGATCGTACGAGATTGCGTAACCTAGATAGTCTTGCTTACCATCACGATTACATGTGATCCGTCGTCATTGACCGTCATATCATCACAAAAGATGGCGATGTACGATCTATGTCCTCGGCACACCTTGCTCGGACATGCAGACGCTAACGATGCGTGCGACTCTCACCTCGTCTTGGGATGTCCCTGACGGAGATTTTTCAGAACGACGCGGCCCGCATCCGATGCGGAACGGAGTTTACTTTACATAACACGGCGGATGGAAAGCAGCTATTGACACCTTCCGTCGCACTTCCATTGCGCGGTAGAAAAAGGAAACAAAGTCTCGTTCGGAAAGACACTTCGACATCCCGACAGGAACAACCGATCTCCGCATTCCCAGCGTAATTTCATATATGATCTTGCCGGATCAATGATTGACTCTAGATCACATCGCACTCTATCGACCTTCCCCATTGATACTCCCGGTCGCACGGCAACTCTAAGCAAGATAATGTAGCCGCTCCCTGCTTTGAGAAAGTAGCCCAGTTGTTAGTCAAGTACAAGACAAGTGGCAGTTCTCTGAAACAATGCAGGCCGCAGTTCGGCATAATCGGATGTAATTTTGGTTTACTGACGCGAAGGAAGTTGTGCCTCGCAGTCGATATTTCATGCAGACGATCATTGCAAACGTACGGACGTGCGACCACCTAAATTCAATCATCCTGCAATCCCGTCATCATTTGTTCCTCGTCGAGACCGAGATAGTGGTACGAGTGCGACAACAGGTGCACAGGTGGATGCCGCGGAGCGCGCACCCGACGCACTGTCCGCGCGATCACAATTTTCTGGGGGGCAGAGGGGGCGCGCGGAATGTGCCGTGCCGGTATTGCGAACGGCGCCAATTACGGTACGGAGAACGCGGAATAACTGAATACGCGACGACTTGTTATCTCCAGAGATTTGGTAGACGGGCGTTCGAATGCACCGGACTCTGGTTGAAAGTAACTTTGCTCCTGCGCTAACACCCACGAGTTCACGCTCAAGTCTGGTATGGCTCCCGTCCCCGTGAACTACGACTTCGGAAAAGCAGGTGAGCATAGCGAGGCACGCATGGGGAACGTGTATGAGGCTAACGGTGGTCAGCGGCCATTGTCGCGGCTGTCGCTGCCCGTCGTTCGAACGTTGAAGGTCATCATGTATTGGGAGTTTACAAGAAGGTACGACCGTACGTGGGCGACCCAGCGATACGTTCTGAACTTTGTAGGACTGTGATCTTCACGATGTCATGGATGTTGCGTCCAACGGCAACAATCTGAAGTTCGCTACTGATCTTGCCAACGAAGGCGCGGAGATGCAATACGAAGTCACCGGCGTCCTCTGGGCGAAGGACCTCCCTCCTCCGTCCACCGTCAGAATCAATTAGTGCGTGTTCAACTACACCCGTCTTCCTATCCATTGATGAGAATCGCAGTGGGAGCCGCCCGGACTCGACGACACTCCGATTCATGAAGCAGTCCGTTACGCTGGTTGCGATGCAGTCCCATGTGTTCGAAGAAGGGGCGAAAGAGTTGGAACGCCTGCGCAACTTCTTCGCTCGCACTGTCGGCGTCAACGTCGCTATCTTCAACGCTGCAAAGACATTGCATGGATCGACGATGGACATCGCGACGCGAATGTTCACATCAAGCAAGGATGCGCCCGAAGAAGAGCACATATCCCTCTCTGCGGACATCGATCCGGACGGTGTTCTCCGACTTCTGCTCGAATCCGAGCCCGGCTTCGTACACTGCATGGACAACCATGTCGATTACCTCAGAGTTGCAAGCGAGTCGTCGAGCGGGAAACCGATGTGAGCCGTCTACGCTGCACTGACACCATCGGAACACTTACGGGTCGTGCAGATACATGCCCTGCAGACCTGCTCGTTTTCGCGAGGGCGACATCGTTACTTGCACCTTTGCGCTTGCCCTCGTGCCGCGTAAGGGAAGAGGCAATGGGTACACCATGATAAAGGTCCTTAGGCAGCTCGCGCTCGAACATGAGATGCCCACACAGGTCCGTACTGTGCCATACACGTGTCATACCTTCACCTCACATCTCCATTCTTGTAGGATGGCGTCGCCAGTGACCACTTCAACGGTTCGCCGCCTAGACCGTCCCTGAAGCGGCCTCGGTCCGTCTTCGACATAGGCGAATCTTTGAATCCGCCGAACTTAGGAAAGTTGTCGATCTCAGACGTGCGCATGGGGGGTACATAGACGTAGCGTATGCTGTCCATAGCGATAGTATACTCCGATGCAAACGTATGCGTTGTCCGACGTGGAGAGTTACTCCTTAAGCGCTGCCAATGTCGTCGACTTACTGCTTACTGTGTGAGGAAGCCCCGGTACTGTACGTCGCGCCAAATCAAAATGGAGGTCACGGAATTTCAGGTCGCCTCCAATGCGATCGGAATAATCTTGTTACCTACTCTCATGGATACGCGCCCGCAGAAAAAGCAGATCGCGGTGATGAAACCCGGCGGTTCGTACCCTGACAGATGAATAGCAAGTCGCTCATTCTGTGAAGGGGCCCCGCGCGGAAGTCGTTTTAAACCCATCGTCGTCAAGTCGATTGGCCAAGATCTTACATCGAACGCCCGCCTTCAGAAAGCAATAGATGATCGAGAGACGCTCATAATGGATTCCCAAAGGAAGATCAAGGCCCTAAAGGACGACAAGAAGAGCATACGACGTGCAGAACGGGACCGTGACCGCGCAATCACAAATGAGAGGCGAGCCCGTGAGGAGGTTAAGCGGCTGCTCACAGCCAACAAGGATCTTTCTACGAAGGTAGAGTACCGTCACGAGCACCGCGCACAGATCTGACGAGCAGCGCGTAGAATCGGGAGCTTCAAGTGAAGAACGCGAAGCTGAAAGACGTATTGAAGGGCATCGAGGAAACGGCACGCGTGGCCCACGCTGCGAAGGAGGCTTAGGGAGCAGTCGCTTATCAATTACGAACGAAGGCGTAGAAGAAGGAATGTAGAGCGCGTAGGCGACGGTGTCGGTCGCTATCGCGAGGGTACGTGACGGTGATGAAAGCCGCGACACATCGGAGCCCAATAAGGTTAACAAACGATCGCCAGTCCAGATCGGGATAACAATTTGTTGACTCGATCAGGATGACTTGATCGTCGATCGACCACGAGGATAAATCGGGTAAAGCGGACTTAGAGTTCTACCACCACCATGTCGAAAGCCTTCGTCCTCGTGGACCCCACGCAGCCCAAGCGCACGAGGAAAAAGAAAGCGAAGCGAGAAGATGTAGATGTTACTGAGCCAACAGACGCGGAAATGTCGCAAGACGCGCACAAAGAACGCGTACCCGGCACGTCACGCGTGGATGACGTCGAGAGGGGCGCCATGCTGCATCATACCCGCTTTCTATCGTTTACGGAGGCAACGATTTACCAGGGTGATGGACATGAACAGAAAAAGATAGTTCTCTGTACGGCGTGTGCAATATCGTCGACTGACATCGTTCCACATACAGCGATGAACATAATGCGACGAGCGAAGAAGTCACGTACTTTGGTGCCAGTTCCATGACCGACAGGCAGACGACTGAGGAGCAGATGCATTCGCAAACGCGCTCTGTTTACGGTAACAACACCTCTAACTTGGAACGCGAGGACATCGCGAGGTTGCCGGTCGACGCACCGAACGGTCTCGCGCACGATAATTCTGAGCGCACTCCCTCTGGATGTCAACGAGAATGGCGGGACTTTACCCAGCTCGCACCTGCGCTGTCTCAAAATCCCATAATACGATGGCCGTCTGTACAGGCGACTACACTAGCGCCATTTCGTCCTGCTACGAATGTCAACACTAATTTGCTTGGCTGGGTGAGATAAGTTAGTTCGCGCGAGAATGACGACTTACGTTTGTATGGAAGGACGAGCGATACACAAACCTCTGCGCAAAAACCTTCCTTGCAGCTGATAGAGCACCGCACATCGTGCGCGTTATCGAAGCTGGAGAAGCGCGGGTGACGTACAAGGAAGCCATCGACGGCTTGGAACAAGGCCTTGCAGTTTTGGTGAAGGGAGGTGCCTCCAAGCTAAAGCAGACAGGCTTAGACGATGGAGGCGACGACGCGATGACACCTGAGTTCTGGGGAAGAGATTATGCGGATAGAGGAGGATTTGGTGTGAATGTGCACGTACGAAGAGAATTCCATGGTAAGTACTGCTCGCGGCAGGGGGAGGGCAATGAGCTTACATGGTAGCAGATGCGCACGTCCGAGATGTGCAAGCCCAAGAAGAACGAAAGACTGTAGCGGAGGTGGCGGCTCAGCAGGCAGGCAAAAGTGCGCGTAAACGCACGCGGGCCGCCGCAGATCGTATCGAAAAGCAGGCCGAGCCCTCGAAGGAGAGGATACTTATGAGTCTTCTCGACTTCTACTCGTGGATAAAGGACCCGGCGGCGAGTCCTCGATGCGTTCTCGACCTCCCGCCAGGATTCCCAAGCCATGACCCGCTCGTCGAGTAAGCACGGACACTGGAACGTGACCCAATAGGACTGACGACTTGACCTGCAGTATGCTATCGGACGGTCACACAGAAGTCCGCACTCGCTCATTTCGATCTACGATGCGTGGCTACCGTTGTCTTCCTGCAGACATACTGAATACGTACGACTGGGCGCTCGTTCACCAGCGATGCTTTTTGACGATGGCACACTACGACGCGAATGGCCTCGGAACATCGATACAGGTCAAAGGGAAGGGATACAAGTTTTGGATCGTCTTGCGCTTCCCGCAACCGGACGACCCGTCGTTCGTGAATCTTGTGGAACGAATGCAGCATATGGTAGCGGGGGGCTCCGAGTTCGGGATGTCACGCGACGACTTCCAAATCCCTCATGCGGACTGGGAGATCCTCCCTGAGCATGGTGCAATCATTGTACTGGAAGAGGGTGACCTGCTGTAAGGAAATACGAAGCTCGCAAGATGAACAAACTGTTATTAACATCCGTGCAGGTTGCAACCGCCAGGCATTCCTCATGTCGTGTTCACTCCCGTCCATTGTGCGACATCCGGAAAGCACTGGTGCTCGTACCACTTGCTCGCGCAGATGGAGTTCACTCGCGCGTTCGAAACCGTCGCAAACACTCGCGGCACCAATCACGATCACATTCTCATCCAAGTCATGCTCGTCTACATGGCGGCCGCCCTTCCAGCGCGCGTGAGACAAGGTGATAGTGAGCAGGGTTCCTAATTCGCATCCGTTGTCTTTCGCTAATGCTATGGAAGGCTTTCGCTATAAGCCAATGCTTGCGCTGTGTCTCATGGTGCTATGGCCGCATCGCTATATCTCGAAAGCTGCAGCGGAACCAGCACAAGTAGCAGAGAACGAGCTATCGGACGACGGTGCTGTGATCAAGCGGTTCCTCAGGGGGTACGACAAGTGGATGGGAATCGACATAGACTTTGAGGCTCACTCGGTATGTGCAAGCATGATTAACAGCTTGGCGCCCCGCGCGCCTAAGGAGAACGAGAAAAAATGGTACGAGCGTATCAGGGACTACAATACAGGAGAAGATAATTGGTTGTCACCCGGGGAGTACGTGGACTTATCATATCTACTCGATGAGCGCTCTACATAGACGCCCTCCTATACATGTCCTGCACGAGCGTGCTTCATCAGCTGGCGTCGGGGCGCGGCCATCACCTCTTGACAGTAGGGAACATGCATAGTAGCCTTCGCGTAATGTCAACAGTAGGACTGCGACGCTCCCTATCGCAAGTCGAACACAGCGATAATCGGCACAGTGCTCCGCCGCGCAGTTGCACGACGCATCGACGGCGTGGAGCGGATACGGTTGTTCCTGTTTAAGGACCTCGCCCGAACTACCAATTTCCTTTTTCCCTTCCTTCCCCCAATCGGGCACACGGATGCAAAAGTTCCCGATCACGACGGGCACGAAATGGTTTTCGCGCAAGGCACAGACAACTTTTCCCATTGAAAGGAGTGAGCGGAGCGTCCCGTACATTTGTTACCGTGCACTCCGCGACATTGGAATAGGGAGAACGGTATAAGACTGAAGGGTGGTTGCGGGATCGTGTCACACATTCATCAATGAGGTTGTCCACCCTTTACCCACAGGGAACGCCGTTCGCGGTGTAAGTACTCATCATACTAAGCTGTGAACCTACCAACGCTTGCCTTGCAGCCCAGAACTTCACGATGCGATTTTCTCTGGCTTCGACCAGACCGACTTCACGAACTTCGCATGCACTTCAAAGTGGAACCGGGCGATCACGCGCGAGCACCTTGCACGCGTCTACAACATTGCAAAAGCGCTCGGTCGGTACATGGCCGTCGAAGACGTCCCTAGGTTCCAAGCCATACAGAAGTACACCGGAATGATCATCTCTGGGTCGTTTGCGCTACGATTCATGGGCCAGTACTCTTTCGTGGAAAGCGACCTCGACCTGTACATCCCTTACTCGACAGCCATGATCGTCATCCACTTTTTGACGTGCAGAGGATACACGTACACGCCGAGATCGACCCAGGATCCCGACTTGTACAGCGCACTTGAGTACACAGACCCCGCGCTAGTGGTCGCTCACGACGCCCTCAGTGAGTCGGAAAGACGCGACTGGCAACCGTATTCGAATCATGTTGGAACTTTTACGTTCATGCGCGGAGAGACGAAGGTGCAAGTTATGACGTGCCGGTACAACGCCATCTGCGCGTTATTCGACTTTCATAGTAGTGAGTAGACTTGCGATCATTGGCTCTGCTGCTGACAATCATCGAAGCTGTTGTCATGAACGCCATCACTCACGATGCAGCCATATCCCTCTACCCATACGAGACGTTCATCCACAAGCGCAACCTCGTCATCGATCCATGGGAATACAACGTCGATCATACGAGTCGCCAGCAAGCGGCCGTCATGAAGTACGCTGCGCGCGGCTGGCGTATGATCAAGGATGTCGATATCATAGAAGGACTGAATAGTTCGCGCGAGTATGGCAGGCTGTGCCGCTTCGTCGGCGACTCCATGACGCGCGTTATTCCACTGTCAGCCAAGTAAGTAGAATCGACGCTGGTGTACGTTGCGATTTGACGACTCACGATGACAAGGATGACGCCACCAGAGTTATATCAACCCGCCTTTTGGAACTCATGGACGCTTCAATACGAAGTTATTGTTCGTTTTCCATCCGTGCCCCATCCGCGCGCGTTCTCCGCACAGATCGGCTGGACCAACATCGTTAGCGCGGACTTGTTGGACGACTTCCCGGAAGCGAAGTCGTTGTCGTTCGTAGTGTTGTTTCTGGCTCGGCTCGGAGCGGCTAGCCGATCGAGTCAGCCGCAGTGGCTCGGCTTCGAAGCCGCGCCGTAAGTGGGGCAAGCCAAGCGGCTCAGCCATGGCTAAGCCGTGGGCTCGAGGCCACAAATCTTGACGCCTGCTGTAGGGGATTTGGCTGCTATTCAGTGGCTTTAACCAAGCTTTTTGTACTACTGGAGTATCTACAGTGAAGCAGGAAGACATAAACGAGGCTGCCAGGCTATTTTGACCGGCGACCGTAAACGGCCACAACCGTGGGAACTTCAGCGGGCCATCCCGCGCTTGTGGCCTTTCGACCTTCCCAGCCTCAAATCGTCTACCTGAACCTCGTAAAATGAGCCAAATGACTCTGAGGATGATACTCTTGGTATATCGAGAATATCATAGACTTGTGCGCCATGGAGACTGTCCCATACGTGGGGCATCCAAATCGGGCACCAAGCCACGACTCGAGTCGAAGCCGAGCGGAGCCGTGTCGGCTGGCTTACCCTTACCTTCCAAAACCGTCCAAAGCCGAGCCGAGTCAAGCCGAGCCGAGCCAGAAACAACACTAGTCGTTCGCTACGGATGCCATGATAGACCTTTTCGGTCATATTCTTTGGAATGGATTGCGGCATCGCGAGGAAGCGTGAGCGACTATTTAGAATCGCGTGCCAGGACCGGTAGCGCTAACACTTACACAGCACAGATAGGGAAACTCTTCAACGCGTCGCGAACATGTCATGCATGTACTTGGCGGATGTGTTCGCAACCATGTCGGCGTATAGGCCCGGCTTTCACTGAGGGCTGTACCATACAGTGCTGGAATATGTACTACTCCGGTGCAAGCAATGTCGAAGTACGCTGATGTCGTAAAATATCGGCGAGCCCATCCTCCAAGCCAGAGCGTTTCAAAGTCGCGCTAGATATTCAACCCGTATGACTCCTAGACTTTGTCTAAATCTGTCTCAGACAAGTACTCCGATACATAAACCTCTGCGCATCGTCGATTTCTCACCCCCCCCCTTTTCAAGTGTGTGCGAGAGTACCGGATGTGAGTACTGTTCCTTCCCTTCTTACATCAAGACCATCTTACACCGTACAGATGGGCCGCACAATAAGCCTTGAGTGTGCACAAGCCGTCGCAGGCGTCGTTGACCGTCACACACTCACGACCTTCTCAAGAGTCTGCAAAATGACGAGACGTGCATGCGCGAAGCGTTTGTTCGACACGATAACCATTTGCGGTGACGACGATATGGCTGCATTCTCAAGGACGTTCATACACACCGACCTTGTCAGACGATTCACGATCATTGCCGTCGACCCACGAACGGAACTCCCTGAGCTGGGGAACGCAACCCATATCACCGTCACTATCAAGCCACCCACATCGGCAGCGCGCAGGTATGCGCGGATGCTGATCGCTATTCTCGAGCGTACGCCCGCCGTTCACCACCTTCGCCTACAAGTGCCTTTTGAGGACTTACAAGACCTTGATCTGGCGCTTTCGTCTAGATGCAGGCAACTGCACACACTCGCGATATCTTTCCCTAGTCATGCTCAGCCAGTCACCAACCTGCGCAGGCCTCATAGCCTATGCCTCCAACTGGACACACTCGAATTCGAGAACGATGCGTCATGGAATGTGGGTTACTTCGCGAAATCGTTCATGACTCTGTCTTGTCCATTCATACGACGCTTGTCCCTTCCTCGCACATCGACATGGGCCGCACTATACGCCTGCGTACAAGCGACGTCAACATCACTTGTCGAGCTACGAGTCGAACCTTTCATGTCTCCGGCGCACTACGATTGTGAGTCCTCACATAGTCATAAAGCGGCACGCAGCCTGATGATTGAGCAGCGTCAAGAGTCGTCCCACGCATACCACATCTGCGGTCGGTAACGACGATCGTTCGTACCCATGAACACAACAGGAACAACGAGTTTGTTGAACGAATTCGCATGATGTTTGCGTGCAACGATCACATTGCCCTCCAAATAGTTCGCCTAGATATGTAACGAGATGTACCGAGCGTATCCAACCGTGTCTGTACCCGTCGTACGGCCATGACCGCGTCAGCGAGTAACGTCTTCGGTTGCATGTACTTGCCACACCATACATCGGCCCGACGGCGCGTCCATGACGCAATGTGCGAAATCCAGAGCCACCTGAAAGTCACGTGTGAGTCATTGGACTGACTTGAACCGCCACGGGACTCGCATCAGAGAACATGAGCGAAGCGCAGCCCACTGGATAGAGACATAATTAACAATAATATTAAGACATGTATGATACTACACTTGTAATGGTACCGCTAGTCTACATTATCTACACGAGTTTTCGATTACACACGCCGATACGCGTCCAAGATATACGGTGCTAGTGTGCTACACTTCACTTCGCTTACAGCACGCACACTCTTACTGCTCATCGAATACGACGCTCTTAGAAGGTGTCAATATCTCAGCCGGAAGCAGATAGCGAACCACTTGCCTGCCCAGCGAAGTCCAGGAGAACCGCCGCTGCGGCGGTCCTGCGTCCCGCACCCACCAAGAACGTAGTACCGTATTCCCTCACAAAGGCATTAGACGCCACGAGAGGAGTGTCTTCGGTCAGCGCATGCGTTGTCGCGACGCCTGGGGCGGACACTTCTCCGCGGAAGCCAATAGATAGACCGCCATGCACCGCCTTCAGGTGTTCCATGAGAAATTCGATAGCGTAGGATCCCCCTGCAGTGAAATATACTATGTCACCGCAGTAGGAGCACTCGGCGCAGATGTCGTTGAAGCGCGTAACCGATGGCGATTTTTCGAGCGCGACCTTGCGATTCTCGAGGGTCTTCTCGCCAAACTGAACACGACCGAGGACGTAGGACGACATCGCGACTAGCTTAGCGCTGTAAAAGCAGAGAATCAGTCGACGATGAGAAGCGACCGAGAACATACCACAAGCAGAGACGGGTCGAGCTTGAAAATCAGAAGAATGGCGATGTTGAAGCCGGCGCTTAAACGACAATCGTAAGTTGCTGATGTCGCACTGTAGAAGCAGAGAATCAGGCGACAGTAGAGAGCTACCGAGGACGTACCAGGAGTAGAGGCGGAACCGGCTGTAAAGCGTTAAGGATGGCGAAGTGGAAGCCGGCGCTTAAAGGCAAATCGTAAGTGATGGGACACGGTGCCAAGAACACAGACTGACATCGAGTAATGGAGAAAGATCAGAAAGATGCGAAGCGTAAAAGGGAGAAAGTTAAGACGGAGGCGCGCGATAGCAAAGGACTGGAGAACGCGACGCGCTGCGAATGTGTTGAAGTAAGGACGGCAATCACCGACCGCACGCGAGAAGTCGGTTACTTCCGACCGGACCGGCAAACCCCGCACGTCCGGAATCTTGCGATCAAGCCGCGTCTGCGGACTCGGCACGGAAAGCACCGACAAGGCGTCAACCACGCGATCGGTCGGCTGCATTCACTCGCCCGACGTAGCGCGACAATCTCAAACGCAAGACGTGGTAATCAAGGGAGCGCATGTTGAAGAGAGTGCAGACATCGCGTGCACGACGTTTACAGAGTCCAATGCGCATGCAATAAGGGAAAATGCGTGTACATCATGACTGAATATAAAGGCTGATTCCGGATTCAATACATACGTCATCAAACATCGCCTCCTTCCCCCCGTCTTCGATTGGATCGTTAGAGGCACTCAAACAAACAAGATGAAGCGAGTCGTTCTCGACAGTAGGTGCTGTTAGTAATACCGTGGCATCTGAGCAGAACATGGATAAACTACAGGTTCACCAGAGGTGGTCCTAGTGTACGACGACGAAACCGAGTTAGGACCGTCGTGGCACTTCAGTTACAGCAACGCCATCGTCGACAACACGACGCATAGCACGTCCAGCAGCGAGGAGGGCGATCACTGCGAGCGCGTTACTGGCGGCGCAATCGTCTGAAGCGTTCCTCTAACATTATTTTCAGATGCGTGGGATCGTGCACTGCGCGGGGTCAGTGTGCATGCCTCAAAGCGCAAAAACAGTGGACATCAAACTGGGGTGTCAAAGGCTTCGCGTACTCTCCCAAAAAGCACTTGAAGACGTTCGACCATCCGGTATTCGAGTGCAACTCTAGATGCCGTTGCTCGCCTGGCTGTCGTAACAAGGTGCGAGCACGCTCTGGAGCATTCCCCCGGTCAAGTAACCCTATTCTAAGGTCATCTACCACCAACCCCATGCATCTGTCGAGATACGACGCATTGAAGAAAGAGGGTGGTGTGTATTCAACGGGCCTTGCCCTATCGAAGCAGGCGATCCTGTCGGATTTCTTGCTGGAGAGATGGTAACCCGACAAGAGGGAGAAGACAGAGCTATGTGAGTCGCAATGAACTTCCATACATCCGACATGATTATAAAAGAAGCAGGTCCCAGAATAGGAACGGCGAGTGCTACGTATTCGACATTGACTTCTGGTACCTGCAAGGAGCGCACAACTCGACTGCGGGAGAAGTTGACAACGGGATGACCCGAGCGTACGTTGCATGTTAACACTAGCTTCCCAAGGCACTCATGTCGTCCCAGCCCTGAAGGCGATCATTACTCCGTGGACTGCAAAGACACAGGCAACGTATGTGGACAGACAGAAAGGGCGCGCGAACTAACCAAGCGACCACAGTTCACAAGATTCTTAAGCCACTCGTGCGACCCAAACGTGCGTGCAGTTGGAGTGTACGTGAATGAAGTGGGTGCGAGAACGTTCGCGAGCGTGGACAACTGACGAGAGAGCACTTGCAGAGACGCATGCGCAAGCCAATCATATCCTTCTTCGCAAGGAGAAAGATTCGCGCAGGAGAAGAGGTATCAATATCGTACATTGACGAACGGGCCAGTACGACAACCGAAGCAGGGGAATCAGGCGAAGCAAGTCCTCATACCATGTTAGCCATGGTGTGTAAATGCGGTTCTGTGCAATGCAGAGGTATGGCGTGCATGTTCCCAAGACGTCGTAAATCACATTTTCGATAGGTGCTGTGTATTCGTGATGTGCAACGTCGGAACTTTTGTAGGAAGCTTGTCAAGTACGAAGCGGTGCTACTCCCTAGGAACAACATGTACATCTAATGTAGGTGGAGGAATGAGGGCCAGAGACGCCTGTACGTACTTCCGAAGCGCCACAATTGAACGAGATCCTTCTGCGTACTTGGTGAAAACAGTTATCTTGAGGTGAGGAAAATGTTTAACGCTACGCAACCACGAATCCCATCGTACTTCTTGCGTCTGCGCGTGCTGTCCATAGAAGAGCGCTGGAGCGTCAGGTCCCCACAAGCAGACGTCGCGAGCATGTGATGCATCTATGCGGATATGGACGGTGTCCAGACTGTCCGCAACCCGCGTGCATCGAAAGGCAAAGAGAAATTCTTGGATGAACGCCCACTCCCATCGCTCGCTATCATTTGGCTCGTTGATCTCGAAGAGGATAGTCGTCAAGGAAATCATTGGACGACGGGTACGAAGCTCTGGTAGAACTATCAGCTACTGAGCAAAGTAACATATACAATCGCACCGTAGTTGTCGATACCCTGAAAACTTGGCAGCTCCAACACGTACAGATACCCCGCTACACCGTCCATGCAATGCACAAACTCGACCCACGTCATAAACCGTGGCAGCCGTAGCTGTCGCAGATGGCTGGTCCTGCCGAGGACGTCGGTCGTGAGGAGATCACGAATCGGGAACGGTTCGTCATCCAATAGCACTAGACGGCGTAATGAAGCCAGATCGAGGGACTGATCGTCTGACGAAGCCTCTACCGCTCCCAAGAAACCGACTTGAAGGGTGGACAGCTTGGACGACATCGTGGACAGGCCCCGAACGAGAACGGCGACGCTGTGCACGTGGACGCGAACTTCCAGGTCCGAAAGGACAGGAAACTGCCACAAGAAAGAGGACAGTACAGATGACTGCGTCGACGGTGCGCCCATGTCAAGACAGGACCATCGCAAAGTCGTGACGTTGGGAAGGATGGGAAATGCATGCGGCGGAACTTGAGGTCCGATGGTGATCATGTTCACCAGTGACCAGAGAGGAATGTCGTCGACCGTCATGTATAGAACGTCAGCCGATCGAACATGTAGCCGTCGCAGCAGAAGCGGTCGGGCGATGTTCGAGAAAAGACGAGAGGTGCGCATGAGAGACTTGAGAGTCTTCTGGCCACATAAGCCAGCCACGATCTGCAAGAGTTCGACGGGCAGGCCGCGCGTGTCTGACGGACGAGTTAAGGTGTAGCAAAGAGCACGTACGAAACTCACTCACCTGGCGACATACGCATGGGAAAAGGCAATCAGGGAGAACTTCGTAGGTGGGATGAAAAGAGATGGCCTGCGAGCAGACGTCGCAAGCGGAATGCGAGCCACCATGTGCGCGGATAGACCTCGACACACCTGTTCCTTGCGCTGACATCTCGTTGCAATAGCGCAGGAAAAACCGTTCAGCGCTGCTGTCATGTACGGAAGCAAACCTTAGCAATTGGAGATGCACATTCCACACACGATCACAAGAGAACGGAAGTATCGGCAAAGAAAAGCAGGGCAGGTATTGCAACCGAAAAGGTGAATTATGGTCAGGCGCGCATGCAACCCGATGATCGAGCCGGATGTAAGGCAGAAAGACTGGATTTTCAGGGAAGGTCCTCGAAGACGAAGTGGCGTATGCAGACTACGCAGTGCAACACGTCCGCTTTTGTTGCATCGGGGAACGAATACCTAAGATGCGCCTGCAATTGAAAGCGCTGGCTAGCGATGACCGACACATGTAACCCCCGCGTTGGGGAAACCGGACAGGAGGAGTGCAGAGCTGTATTGCATCGGCGCAAAAGAAATCACCTGCAAGTCGTAGGAATGGAGCTCGAGGAGCGTCTCGCCATCAAAGGACGCAAAACCCCGTACTCGAATCGAGAGTAGGACGCACGCACGCACTCGCCCCTCCACTGCTAATCACTACGTCATTAGTGTGCACATGTTTGAACATATTCTCACGAACTGAGGCAAGGCGTCATCCTCCGCACACTCAGCATCGCCAGCGACGAGGACTTTGCACATAGTGAGCGACGAATTTTCGAATCGCCCCGAGCGAGACCACTCATAGATTCGTACAGAAATGGACCCATCATCGATCCTACCCTATGACACGTTCTCTGCTATTTGCATCGAGTTCGCTTTCGACATCCTGCAGTCCGAAAGGCGTGCGTTCACCATCTGGAAATCTCTCACGGGCGTGAGTCGAGCGTGGCGATCTATCGCCCGACACACACCAGAGCTATGGACTGTTCTAAGTCCTGTGCGCCACCGACGTCTATCTCCCACCATTCACTTTGCAGAACAGAGCGTCCTCGCCCGGAACCGGCCGCTCCACGTCATATGGCTCGATGTTCCTCACGCCTTCGAAGACAGTGCGCCTGCCATAGCAGCTCTCGCCGAGCGGCTGCATCATCTGCAGTACACGTCTACAATGGGAGCGCTCTCGCGACAATCGCTAGGGACACTCCCTCATGTCACCACAGTTGACATATCAATGTGGGAGCCAGCGAGTATGGACGCGCTGCGGGCTCTGCGAGACACGCCTGCTCTGCAGTCTCTTACTTTGACGCTCGTATCTGAACCGGATATGTGGGATCGTACAGTGAACCCTGTCTCATTCTTCGTCCCAAAAGTACCTCACCTCACATGCCTGATTCTACACGCCACCGCCCAGCTGGTCTTTCACGCACAAACATGCATCGACTTGTTGTCTGCGTGCAAAGAGACTCTCCTTTGCGTGGCCATCACTGGAGACATTTTCTGGCCGTTGGGAATGTCGCCAAGTGCGCAAATCACGTTGGAGTTGGGCGCTCTTCAAGTCCTTACCCTTTCGCATACTGCAGCACGACTGATGTATGCGATACGCACGCCCAACCTTCAGGACATCGAAGTACGACAAGTCGACTGGCCGACGCTCGGAAGCGGAGCACTAGCGACGTGCTTGGGGTCCGACTCAAATGCTCTAACGTACTTGCACTTCACGCACGTTGGCGCCGTAGCATCCGCCACTGTCCACGACGCACTTGCAGTACTTGAACCTTGCACGTCCGTGGAAACCCTCGTGCTCGACTTCAGCGAAGCCTTGCCTTCAAAGGTCAGGTTCGGGCGGCTGATCATGCACGCCCTAAGAGACGTTAACGTGTTGCCGTCTTTAAAGGACCTGTACGTTTGGCTTGGGAGTAGATGGAGGTACGAGGACATTGATCTTCTTCACGAGTTACAACGAAAGATAGCGCCACCAAACACTCGCAACGTAGCTATACACTCTGATGAACACTGCGGATAACCCACTTTACCTTGATTACATCACGCATCAGTGAAAAAGGACCTGCACGGAGACGACCACGACGCCTTGTCCACCATCCCGCACCGCCACCGCGACTCGAATGGACGCGCTCCAAAAGAAAGTCGTATATAGAGTTTCCGGTAACAATTGTAACCACTTTTACTCTACTTAGAACATACATTGCAAAACATCCAAGCAGAAATGTTGATACATAAGCGCTACAAGTCACCCGCGATGCAAACGCAAACGCAGGAGCGTGGTCTGTATGTCTAGCGATTCCGTATAAAGCGCGACTCTGTGAACAACGAGCGAGAGAATCACCACGATCAACCCAAACGCACACGCCTCAAGAGCGAAACGCCTATCCCGCTGTCGCCTTCCAATCGACCGGCCGTGGCGACAGCGACCACCGGCCACCCACGTCCAGAAACGATGCCATGTAAAAGTGACAAGGTCGCCAACCGCTTTCATGACAACCCGACCCTCTCGGCTGAACACGACAGAAAACGGCGACTCCGCGCAATCTCTGTATATACCAACCGACCACTCGTCAAGCACAGAATGCCGAGGACGCCACGCATGCCCTCGAGACAGCGGACGAGAACTCCATCCCCAGATACGCAGGTACCGACCAGAGCATGTCGTTCCCGTCGGGAGAGGTAAGCCACCTCGGACGAATGCAAGGTTGACGGTATAGGCCTCAGGACCATGCGTAGTGGTCACAGTTTTGACCATGTACGCACGCAGTGCTTCGAAAATGTACGCAATAGCGCTCGCTTCGTTTGCAACGCCTTCAGGGGATTCTATCAGTTGCGGGTGCTGACTGCAGAGCTGGACTGTACGCACGAGCGACGCGCCCCCCAAGTGGCTCCCCGTTCGTAAAGGAAGGAATCCGAATCCACGGCATCCTCTTCTCGATACAACGAGTACACATGCGCTTGTTCAGTGGGGCGATGTCGAAGGAGGGAAAGATGCACTTGTAGAGATGGGAGAGAGACACAACGTTGATGCATGGTGCGCTGTACAAACGCAGGAATATCAGAAGAGCTGCTCAACCTTGTAAGTGAATGCAAGGTTGAGGATTAGAGACTTACATTCATAGTCATTGGTGACCTTGACTACGGACGGATCGCCGAGCAAGCGAAGAACGCTGGCCGGAAAGCCCATAGCTGAGAGCACGTTAGGAACGAACAGCAGATGAAAGTCTTGCTTACGGCCAATGACACGCATGTTGAAAACCATGGTAAAAGCAGGGCTTGCAAGCGTCACGCTGTCGACACGACAGAGGCCATCAGGCGGCAGTGGATAGGTACCTCCCGTGCACACGAGGTCGCAAGGTATACCGTATGTCGTTACCGTTATCGACACTGCGTTGCGACCTGTCGCCACGACCCAAGGGATAAACCAGTCAGCGTCCCAATCATCCACCATAGGAATATAGACAGGGATGCTGATGACGGTCGACGACATAGTGTGCAGTACGATCGCCCTCAGGTGTGCGCGCCGATGCAAGGACGCAACATTCCCCCAAAATCGTGAGATGATAAACAGAGACATTGCCGGAAGACAACGATCACCTATCGGTGTCTGTGGACCGGAAGCAATCCAGTCCGCAACATTCAACCGAGATGCGACATGCGATCAGCCACCGTCTAAGCCCCCAACCTGCTGGCGGCGGCAAACAGGCGGGCCGGAAAGCGGAAAATGGAGCGATCGAGCAAGGTCCCGCCCGCGCATTTTCAGGCGCAGACTTGCCAACCGATTCGCACAACGTTCCCTTCTGCGTTCTCGTACCACAGCGAACGATGCCACCCAGGTTCACACACAGAACAAAGAAAGCGGGCTTGACGGTGAGCATGACAGTTGTCGAGCGTGCGCATGGTCTTCATACCCAACCCCAAAGTTCGACGTCGGACAAGTCGAACAGTCTTTCCAACGCGTGGTCGACAATGAATACATCACGGAGTACGCTCTTGTATACACAACGTCTGTCCTCGAAGCAATCACAAGGGCAATTATTGAGCGTGCAGGTGCGTTGTAGAGTCAAGCATCACGACAGCGTTTCTAACTGTGCAGCAGGCAACATCGCTCATGAGTTTAATCACAAGAGGCTGGAGTCGTTTCACATTCAGCTCGCTATTCGCACGGACGCGCCGCTCAACACCCTCGTAAAAGAAACATACGCTGATGAACCTCGACATGAAATGCTGCCTCCTGCGTTGCCCGTGCCCAGTGTTCCAAAGCTATCCGAAAGTGGTGGCGAGCTGTAAATGCCGAGAATATTCACTTACGCACATGTGACGATAGATACTTCGCTCTGTCGACGTGGGACATGATATGGAGCTTGAATTGTAGATAGGATTCACATGTGAACAAGTAACATAAAGCCATGCAGTCCCGTACGAAAGAGCGCGAAGATCGACGAAGCCGACGACGATAGGGGCCCGCTACATGTGCGACTCGTCGACGAAGGACCTCTCCAACTCATCGTCGTCGTCGTACTTCATCTTCGTGATCTCATAAGGCTTCAGCGCCTGCTCCACGTCGACGACGACCGCCTCAGCGCTGTCAGGGTTCTCCTGCATCTGCGGCACAGTTTTGAGAGACGCCAAATGACCGCCGAGATGCACTCACGCGAAGGAGCTTATGCGTCACGCTCTGGTACAGCAGGACGAAGTTCCTCTTGGCTTCACGCAGGTCAGCGGCCTGACGACGGCATGTGAGAGCCAGCTGCTGCTGCACATCGCGCGCTTCGAGCTCCCTCTTCTGAGCCAGAGCCTCTCGATCTTTCATGTCCAACAAGTTGGCGTTGGCGACATCCATCTTTTTTACTGCGTCGTCCCGCTCAGAGAAGGCGAGGTTGATCAAAGTCAGCACCTCCTGTACGAGCGCAAACATGAGTATGGTGAGCAGCAGACGATGGCCAAGCCCGTACCTCCGAAAGAGCGGCAGTGGTTTGAGCAGACGTAGGGATCGGCATGGATGACGAGGGGGACGGTGTGGACTGATACGAGGTTAACAAAGTATATAGGAAGGCATCTCCGTCGCAGCCTGACTCATGTACAGGCACGCTGTGCACGTTCCACACGTAGACAACATTCGACACCGGCACGGGGCCCTTGATAATTCCGACACATGTACTGCGCAAAGTCAATCGGGCATCTATCGACGGGTACACGACAGCCATGACGGAGAACAGAGAACAGCGTACCTATCGGCGGTGATCTGAATACTGACAGCGCGAACGCTGTGGACAGCCTATCATTTCCCAGACCGACACATACATAAAGGCACTTGCGAAGCGCCGACAACAAGGCATCTAACTATCTGCCCCATCGCGACTTCCAAGTTCGCCGTCAGCAGTTGTCGCCTTCCGTGCAAGCAGCAGAGTCCTTACGTTTGCACAGGCAAACCTCCGTCATCCTCATGTGCTTCATCGCAATCCTATGCACGCAGTACAGCTGCGGCCACATCGAACGACAGGAGAGCGTGAAGGTGAGCGTTGTACGGCACATAAAGCTCTACTCTCACCGCCTGTAGGTGGAATGTAATGCGAGAACGTGCGCGTTGAGTGCAGCTCACCTCCGCGCGCATCAGGACTGTGAAGGATCGTGTCGCCAAGGGTACGACGCTTCTGTTCCCCCAAGAGCAACAGCTGACACCCCTCCCCCGGAACCAGCGCTATCGCGGAGAAGCAGCTGCTCGCGTACGCATGTAGCGAACGCTGTGCGTCGTGCTCAGCGCCTGAGACTAAGCGACACGAGCCTCGCTCTTGCTAGTATACAGCGGCCGTCGCTTGCATGTGCCCCGCATTCGCGTACTAAGAAGTCGATAGTCGTACGAAAAGCATTTACGTTACCACCCCACCATAGCTAAATCGTCGAACCCAACCCTACGGCGCTACCGTGCATCGACGAAGAATCCGCCAAGACAAGGCTTCGCAAGCCTACGAAAGGCAGCATGGGACACATACGGCATCCAAGACGGTACACACTTCAGGGCGTGGGGCGCAGATGCATGCACGGGCTCTAAGAAGCGCGGTGAACTGGATTCTATGAAAGCATGTCATGGTCATGAGCTGCGCACACACACACAAAACCCATCAAGACATGGGTGCGGCAATGTAAAGAATAGACCAGTGTATAGACAGGCCGACGCAAGCGGGAGAAGGTCAAATGGAAAGACATACATCGACGGCGCGCCGTCGTTACGCAAACTCAACACCTCACACGCCCTCGTCCACCTCCCGACCATGTACTGTACTCATCAGCGTGGTGCCATACTGCCACGCACGTATACCTTCCACGCGTTCACCAACACCATTCGTAAGAGTGACAGCACCCGCTCTGCCGTCGTGCGATTCACGTGTCCCATTGTTGCACATGTTGTCCCACAGGTCCAAATAAGGTAAAACTAAGGTCATCGATCGACACGATCACCGCAGGACTTATACCCGATCCAGCATCGATCGACTCGATCACTACGGCACTTATACCCGAAATGTACATGATGTAGCCGATCACGCCAAGCCGCCCGGGCCGCTCGCCGACGAAATAGACAGGCCCAAATCCTATTCGAATGAAGGAATCGCCTTCGTGCGATCCGGAAGTGACGTGCATATGCTTTTCGCAACCTCGCTAGTGTCGCGCGCATTCCACCTACGAAGACGAGAAAAATTACTATAGGACACAACCGGATGTAGACGAACTCACCAAGGCAACGAAGATCCCATGAACTGAGTGATACGCACGAACTGCCCTCGAAGTCGACTGTCCGCAAAGACACAGCCCAACGTCGGCGCTGACGAGTCCAGAGGATGACCAGACACATACCGCCTTTTCATAACGGGACCAGCGACGGCTGAGTACGTCCGCCTCGACGTTGGAGGAAGGTATGCATGAAAACGCAGACACCAAGACTGCCACATCGCAAGATCAACGTCGCTGTCAACGCAATCCCTATAAAGTGTTAGAAAGCGGTCGAGCACGCGAGAAAAAACACACAGGTCCGGCCAAACCGGCAACACCCACGTGTGCTCATCGCCTACGAAGCGATAGCATCTACCGAACGGCACGTTTGCATCACCGGCTTCCTGCTCGTACAACCACCGAAGCGGGGCGAAGCCTTCGTCTGCTAACTTGGCAATAAGGGCGTCCGCCGCCATAGACTGGCCACGTTCAGACAAACAAAGCGACCGTGAGCGACCGAATGTGTCCAGAGGATACAAAGAATACGCAGAGCGGTGGGTTATGAAGTTCATAGCGGCAGCTAACAGCCAGCGTCAGAACTCATACGCCATAAGCAAGGAAGGACTCACTGCACGGTAGATCGAGCACATAATCCACGGGACAGACGCGGACCACCAATATCCTAACCGAGTTCGATGCGTTGGAAGGACGTATGAAATCGAACGAACAAAGAAGTGCCTCTCCGTCCTCTCCCCACTCCTCAGGGAACCCCTCTTGCTCGTAAAACAGCGAAGCAAATGAGTGGTCACCAGAGGGTGACGACTCAGACGTGAAGCCCAGTTGGTTGAGGAACATGCCCAAGCGGCTGGTCGCAGAGTAAGCAACGGCCAACTCCAGCACTGCTTCGTGGGTGGATATGCGGCCAAGGAAATGAAGAACGATATCCCCAACGATGACTGCGCCGGTGTCCATCATGACATAGCGAAGACTTTCGACCTCAGCTCGCGTGAAAAAAGAGGCAAGCGTTGATGGTAAGTGGAAAGAGCGCCTGATGAAGTCCTGAACGCGATGTCGCGCTGCCCAATCAACGAGACCCAATCGTACGAGATCCGCAGGAGAAAGCCCTGCCAATAGGGGGTCATCGCAAGGCGCAGGTCTGCAGCTCATTAAGCCAAGGATACGATGCAGTTACATAGACACCTACAATCCACCCAAAGAGGCATCGGGAGAAGTCATATTTGGCGGTGAGTAGGCAGATGTTGCCACCGCCACAAGAGAAGAAACGAAGGAAGAGAGATTCCGCCTGTTACCGACGCAGATCGTCAAGTTCTGTACGCCACAAAATTTGAGGTACCGACTGTCCATTACGCGCAATCAATCTATGCGGACCCGACAGCCATGCAGTGACACACCCGTCGGTACCGTCAATAAGACCGAAAGCATCATCATCGCTACGCGGACCAACCGACGTCGCGCAGTATTACCGCGTCAGCAAAGCACAGTTGCGTCGTATAGATGTAGAGGACGATATTGAATGTCATCTCGATGCTAAGGCATGTTCATACATTACAAGCCGTATGTACGAAAAGAATCAAGCAGACGACGGATGATCGAGTACCCGATCGAGCTGCTCCAGCACGTCCCGCATCGTAGCCACCTCCACGCGTACAGCGCTGTACAGCTCACGACCAATTCCAGCCACAGTACGGAAGCCCTCGAGGGCACGGCGACGGCACGCGGGATGAGGGCATGCAGGAAAGACGTGCTTCTCGCAGTCCGCGTTCGGCTCCCTGGGAGACCGAGTGCAGGTCGGACACTCGTCCCGCACGCAGGTACCGCATATGTAGTGATTGCACGGTTCACCGCGACCCCAGGCCAACCGGCCGCAAGGGCAACGTTGCGTGGCCTGGTAGGCTTCGAGCTACAGACCGTGAGCGGACGTGCAGATGAAAGAGAGCCAAAGCGTACGATGTGCTGCAGACCAAAGCGGACTCTGCGTCCAAGAATACGAACGACTTCCAGAGTAGATTGAAGATCCTAATACGCTATCAGCAACGTCCACCAATAGAGTGAGTACTGACCAAAGAGGATGACATGGCGTTGTTGGAGAGGATTCGCACCGCCGCGCTCCTTATATATTGCAAGTACCACATCCGAAAGCTTGAGACACCGCGGTCCGATGATAGCCAACAAGTTCTGGTAAGCGGCCCCAAGGAAGAAACGGTTGAACTTGCAAGTACACAAATATGCTTGCACTTTCTCTCGCACGTCGGACCAGGTTCGCGCAAACACCGCAAGACATGCAAAAGAGGGTACAGCCAGGCACTCTATAAGCGTAAAGAAAGGCACACGACTTCGTATCGTAATCGTCAGCCAATGCGAGTGCAGACGCGTGTCACCCGCAAGTAGACATATACCTGCCTTCGCGCACACGACGAGAGACCGTTGCACGATAAGCATACGATGCATGCATGCGAGACAGGTGGGATGATGCTTGAAAGGAAACGCGCAGACCAGACGACGCCACTCATGCGCGAAGCGCGGTACACGTGGTAGTGGTAATGGCAAAGGCTTACATACGACAAGTATCCGTAAAGAAGAGCGTCCCAAGTTAGACTTACCTGGAGTAGAGGACCCACCACCGACATAAGGACATGCTTCATCGGTCAGTACATCTGATGCAAACTCTAAGAACCGACCAGCAAGGCCAACGCAGTGGACGCGGGCATCGCGTCCCCTGGCATCCGACGCGATTTCAAGACGTGTATAATGGACGCCCACTTGTACCTTTCAACGTGATCTACTTTACCGCTTACACGACTCCACCAAGCGTCCTGTACGCTTCTTCCTAGGTCAAGCCCTTATTTGCACAATCCCATTTCATCCTCTCCTTCTCTCCCGGGTTCCTGTCCAGTCTTTTCGTACTGCAAGCACTTAAGAGACCCCGCCACGCGTGGAAGTTCCTTTTCGTACCGTCGATCAAGCGAGACATGCTCCAGAGCTTTTGAGACCATCCGAACATTCTTTATAGGGGTACGGCTCCTTCTTTCCCACCATGATCATCTGTCCACGCCTCCCACTTGAACTCCTTTACTTAGTCGTTCACAAGAGCGATAGGCGTACGCTCGCAGTGCTCTTGCGGACCTCAAGAGCGCTTTCTCGTGAGGCGAAGCCGTTGTTCTTTGCGAGCATTTCCATCGCATCGACAGCGACGCTCGCCTCCCTCCTGCGAGCGCATGCCCATGGCCGACTGCAACCATCATGGCCTCGTCGACTCCATCTCATTTATCCCCCAGCTCAGCTTCCCTCGTTTGCCAACGTGACAAGCGTTCGGTGGACTTTCTCCCCCTTCAATGCCCGCACCTTTCTGCCTTATACGCTCCGAGACGCCTTGTCCTCTTTTCCATCACTCGTCGCATTAGCTCTTCACGAAGGTCCACGCACCTCGCACGAGCTCAGCGTCGTGCTCTCTCTAGTCGCACATACACTACAAACGCTAGAGCTGGCCTTCTGCGCGTCCTTCGCTGTCAGCCCATCGACAATTGCGGTGCAGTTTCCTGCATTGCGCGACCTTCTCTTTGCAGATGGACACGCTTGTGATGTTGGCGCACTTTTCATGACGTTCGGAGCAATTCCTCCCATTGAGGTCCTTCGCATACCGGCCTTTTGCTCCTGGGAAACACTGCGAGACATTCTGCGGCTAGTCGCGCCTACTCTCCGCACTCTCGACGTCGACGTTATGACGTCGGTAGAGATGTACAGTGAGTGCCCATCATCGTCCTTGATGTACGCTGAATTTGAACAGCATTCTTCTCCGTTCCCGCAATGACGCGTCTGCTTTCTGTCCGGTTTGAGGTGCGCCACCCTTGGGACGATTCCCGACGCGAGCTGTCATTTGTTCAAGACTTCATGTTGATTTTGAGGGCCACCCAAGAACGCACCTTCCCGGCGTTGACTACGATCGACTTGCATGTCTACGCGAAATCGTGCCCTACCATCATGCTCTGTAGCGAACATGTATGCGCCTTGTTCTGCGAAGGGGATGGACCGTCGGATGTGGATTGGTCAAGGTGGTGCCGCCTCGCTTTAGGAAGCACCCTCCGGCTTAACATCTTCATATACTCGCCTGAGGTAGAATCAAATCGCTTGCGCTCCGCAGTCTTGAACCAGTTGTCCTTCTTAGGTTCGCGGCTGAACATACATATATACGACATGTGAATGATACATCTGAATCCCACTGTCCAGTCATGTCCACTCCAACGTACAACAAAGGTCAGGCATCATCTCCTTCCACGCCCTGTGCGACTCCTCCGTCCTCCACTACCTATCACGCAAGAGCTCTTTGTAATTCACGTTCAGCAACCGACTACATTTAACTGTATGAAGCGGGACAAAAAATCCAGAGATGTAGAGACAGAACCCCAATGAGGTCCACTATGGAAGGCTAGTGTCCAGCTGCATTAAGTACGCCATTGACGGACACGGAGGTTCCCACGTAATCCGTACAACGCAACCAATCACCAAGACATGGTAACTCACGGCAATAACAGACCCACGCTGTGCTATGCTGCTTATTGTCCAGTTGTAGCCCGTTTGTCCGAAGCACGACTCGCAAAACAGCAGGCCATAAGTGTCCTGGTGGCGTCCATGTAAACAGCAATAATGACATGATTATTGTACGGAAGACTGAATGACATGCGAAGGGTCGCCACGTGTACATGCATGGTCTAATATCCGGCAATCGCCGAGTAAAAATGTCGAGATGAAGCGAGAAAACCCCGAGCAAGGTGGCGACGTGAAGAAGTACAGGGTATGAAGGGTACATGTTGTGTGGTCTAAATGACAGCGAGTTCGTTGCGTAGAGTGGAAGAGGTAGGCGTCGGTAGGGTAGGATTAAGGGTACGCGATGGGATGGGAGGACATGAACATGTGCAACCCATGCGAAGGGCGCGCCGGACGAAGTCGGAGCATCGGAAGATATCAAGCAACGATACAAGTTGATCGATATCCCCGACGCCCAACCGACGACGTTGAACGGATGGCGCAAATACGAGCGCGTCTACAAAGCACGATCAGCAAAGGACGAAGACGACGACCCGTACGCGCAAGCGCAAGCAAAATTGGAAGGACATACTGAGATGTGCAATACAGAAAGAGGAGAGAAGAGGCACTGCGGACAAAAAGAAGAACGCGAGCACGTACAATGAGGGAGGAGGCAAGAACAGCAGCGTGAGACGATGAAGGGTGACACGTGACAAAAAGTGACTATGACGACGCAGGAGCGGAGCATCGGCCGAATCGGATCAATTCCCGTTCACCCGAAAGTCGTTCTGAAAAATCTCCGCAAACGATACCACAAGAAACGGTGAGATAGTAACTTTGAGTCACTACCCCACCAACCTATACCTATCGTATGACCAGCGTCATAGGCCACACCCTCCCCCTCTCCCCATCAAACGCCTATCGTTCGCATCTCTTCACGCCCACCTATAGCTACTCTCGAGGCCATTCTGCCCATCTTGCTGCGGACCCGCACCCTGCCAATAGACGGGCGCAGAAGATGAGGTCCCTGGTGCAACGGGAGTTACAACATTCGCCTCCACTTGAGGAATAACATCGGGATACCGTCTGTACGCCCGCGACGCGCGGTTCGGCGTCATCCACTGCACGTTGACTGGCGCGCCGCCGTTGCCGACCTGCCCGTTCACGATTGGCGTGCTGAACACCGCCGGCGGAGGCGGGCGCGCGGCCGCCTCCCGCCGCTCCCGCTCCTCGAGGGCGGCCACGACCTCCTCGCCGTGCGTCCGGCGGTGCCGGAGCATGTTCGAGCGCGCCGCGAAGGCGGAGTTGCACCCGGGCGCGCCGCATTCGTGCGCTGGCGTCGGTTAGGCGTCTGAAGGCGGTGGGGAAGATGGCACGGAGCAAAGGCACGTACGTCGCTTCCCAGTATGCGTGTTCATGTGTGTGAAGAGAGCACTGGGCCTGGGAAGGGGCGTGAGGAGCATTCCCAGCTGAGGGAGGCCGACTGCAGGACCAATGCGAGCAACGACATGCCGGATGTAGAGGGGGTGGACAGTCAGATACACACCTTGTGAAGATCCTGCCGCATTTCTTGCACGTCCGATCGGCGGGGCTGCCCTCTGGCTCTGCTGTGGTCTGGGATGGACCCGAGGCAGGAGGCGGGGGCTGGCCCACTGTGGATGCCGCATTCTGCGTCCCCGGCGCCCACTGCACTGAAAGGCCATCGACCGCATCAGCCAGCCATCCCCACGCCCAACGCGAGACTCACCAGAGCTCATCATGTCGCCGTGATCTCTGGTCCTAGAACGTCGTGTGGGATATCCTACGATTTTCGAGCGCTGGATGAGGGGAAGTTGGGGGGATGCGTGAGAAGGGTTTGTGCTCCCGCAGGAGCCGAAAACAGGCTGCGCCAAAGGGGCGGTAGAGTAGAGTTCAAGATTTGCGCCTGTACCGCTTATGGGCAAAAGCGCAACGCCTGAAGGCTGGGAGTCGCTGACAGAATCTGAGGCGGTGTTCTCCATCTCCTGCCTTCTTACCTGACGGCGGTCATCTGCGCTCTTGGCTCCGCGGGCGGGCCCATGGCTGGCCCGTGTATGCAATGGACTGCGCTGGCGACATCTCCTGGTTGGCCTGGCTAAATGGGTGTGGAAGTTGCACGATCAGCCGTCCAGTAGCCGCACAGCAGAGGCGGGACATTCAGAGCCCAACCTTCGATCCTGTCTCGCTGACTTCACGGCCCCCGGGTGTGCTACGGGCATGCGACCTTCGTGTACGACAGGAATACGGCAAGAGTCTGTAATCTTGAGAGGGGCCGAGGTGCGTGGAGATTCTGCCGCTAGATGGAAGAGCTTGCGCCCAGATTTGGGGGTAGTGCATATCAGCCGACGACCTACGAATTCTTCGAGCTGTCTGTGTGTCTCGGTCCCGCTTTCGATGACACTTCAGATTCTGTTCTTTGGGACTAGTTCTCATCCCAGGCCCTCTTATTGGACTGGCGAGTTGTCTACGATGTCAAGGCTACCGGACAAGCGTCCTTAGCGCTCCTGAACGCAATTCAGTACGCAAAGCCCCCGAGCGCCGTTCTGAGCACGAGTCGTGACGAAAACGACGGAGGTGAAAGTGCCCCAGTTGTGAGACATTCCACTTTCACCAAGGGAAAGTGACGCACGGCAATTCCCGGGCCAGATTTGCTTCCGCGCGGTGAAACTCGGCGGCGTCAACTTTGCCATTATAATATACATTATTGTAGAGTATAGTGTAGCTACGATAATAGAGAAAGAAGTCAGATCCTACTTCCTTGTCGATGATCTCCTTCTCGCACACTTTCGCGAGCTCGTCGACCTTGCGCTCGAAGTGGGTGATGCACGTCTTGAGCAGGTATTGAACGACAACGTTGGGGTCTTGCTTCTTTCCTGCGAAGTCGGGGTTGTTGGACGCGAGGCAGCGCTCGACAAGGTCGTCGCCTAGGCCCTCCACCTGCCGCTTGCAGCCATCGACGATGATGGCCTTGATACCGGAGCCGTCGAGGAAATGGAACTTCACGCGCTCTCCAGTAAGGCGCTCGACCGTATCCCAAAGATATTTCCACATCCGCTTGAAGGCGACACGGGTCTCACGCTCGCAGTAGATGCGTGCGACGGTAACACCTGAATGATACATCTCCCGCCTTCAGCATTGTGACAATGATGCGCGTATCTCCCTCGTCGTGCATGACATGGATGTAGCGATCCTCTTCCTTGTCATTCCGCTCTCGCTGGACCATGGCACTAACTCCTTCCCAGCCGAGCCCATATGGATGAGCCCTCATACGAACGGCACGCACTATATCACGCTTCTTGCGTGAGGAGCTCAGTCCTGGGTCGACAGCAGACGGAAGCTTCGAGCCGAAGACATCTCGCGTCGTTGGTGCTAATAGTACATGAATACATGGCTGCCTAATTCCAATCAAAGTCCGTACCCATATCCACGCGCAGCATCGTCTTGTCCGCCACCTTTTCCACTGCCTGTGTGTACAGAGTCTCCCCCGTCGGTGTCGTCTTGGAGGGTGGGGGCGCAGGGTGATTGTGAGGAACGTTGTGAAGGAGAACGAGCGCGCGACGGTCAGTTGGATCGACGGGAAAGTATATGTTTCCCCGCGCGTGGCATGCGCGATGGATCATGCGCCCTTGAACGGCCTTGCCGTCGCTGATGTGCGGGTATGCTAGTGAGAACAACGTCAATACGCAACTAAGTTAGAAAGCGAGAAAACATACGACAGATTTGCTTGCCCTTGCCACCATTCCTAAGCAACCGCATACGAACGCACGGCTGGAGATCGGCCTCCCCAAGGTCAGCGACGTCGAAGCGCCCATTGTTCTTGAACAACTCCTTGACGTGGTCCTCGCTGATCTGGCGTGGGATGACGTAGAAGCGGTGATCACCATTCTTGTCGCCCGGCCGCCAGCAGGAGCATCCGATGAAGCCCGCCTTGCCGTCGTAGTTCATCGGTGCAGACTTGAACTTGCGGTACACGGCCACACCATTACAGCCCTCCTTCCTGCATGGTTCGTTGTTCGCGTCATGAAATAGCGTGGCGACGCGGGCGACGAGCGATTGGGCCGAGTGCTGGCTGAGGTCGCGTTCCGCATCGAAAAGAGTCTTCATATCTTCCTCGTCAGCCTCGTACCTCTCGAACGTCTCGAACGTGTCGAGCATCGCCTTGTCGAACTCGCTGCAGTGGTAGACACCCTTGCAGTTGAAGCCGAGCACGAAGCACTCGACGTTGTCGAGAGCGATGACCTTGGTGCGGCGAGTGTTGTTCTTGTGCTGCTGGAGCGTGTCGTGGTTCTAGATATGGGCCAGAAGTGGTTATGGTATAAAGGCAGGGAGAGGCGTACATGTTGGATGATGAGCTGGCCCATGTTGAGCTCGGCACCTTCCTTGTTGCGATAGCGGTGCAGATCTGGGTGGTCGTTGAGATCAAGCAGGTAGGCGACCTCATTCTTCTCATGGGGCACATCGAAGTAGGGTGGAAGCGGCTCAACAGGAAGGACGACAAGCTCGCGGGCGCTCGTCTGGCGGTTGATGACGACCTTCGGGCTGGCCGCTTTGGCCTTCTTCTTCTTCTTCTTTGGCTTCAAGGGAGAGGTGGGATTGCTGATGATGACGGGCATGTCGCTGTCGCCAGTAGAATGACGCTTGCGCTTCTCGATCGGAGTGGGTACGAAGAGCTCCGGTAGATCTGGCGAGTCTGAGAGCGGGGGAAGCGAGAGCGGCTCGCGTAAGGGCGAGTATCCGGGCGGAGATGAAGGCGGTAGAGAGGAGCTGGGAGCACGGTAGGAGGCTGCGTTCGAGCTCTTGGTCGGAGTCTGCAAGGTGTTGGTGATGGGCGTGTTGAAGGGGATGTTCGTGCGAGAGCGGAAAGGCGTTCCTGGGCTAGCTAAGGGAGTGCTGTCGAGGGCGAGTGCCGTGTTGTTCTGGCCGGCGGGAAGGGTGTCGTCCAGATCCTGGCTGGCTGTGACGATCCAGTCCGTGAACCTCTGGATATTGATCCACTGGGACGCGTTCTTTGCAGTCAGGTTCCTGAGCTTAATCAGAACAGTGGGAAATGTCTGCAGGATGGATCTCAGCAAGGGGCAGCGAGGTAAACACGGGACACGCACGGCCTTCGCATACTGCTCGACTATCCCCTCTCCATACACCCCGATGAGTGCGGCAAGGGCCTCCGAATCATCAGGCGAGAGTGTGGGCATGTTGGGACGTTGTAACTGATAACGGCGGGAATGGCGAGAACAAGTTGCGAGCGAGGAGACGTCGTGCGCGCGAGCGTAGGAAGCAAGCGTGATTGGCGCCCGTGACACGCGAACAACCCCGCCCGGCAAACAATAGCAACAGATTATGTCAGCGCGTGAAAGTCAACCGACTTTCAGTTTCACCGACCGGCACTTTCACTATTCACTTGTTCCAAAACACTTTCACTTCCGTCTTATACGTATATACCCTCTGAGCACGCACCTTGGTCTTGCCCGCGCGCCACAGCTGCGCTCGAGCCTTCGATGAACATCCAAACCCTCCTGGCGATCACACTGCGGCCCCAGGATACGGAAGACACAGCGGTAGTATGGAGACCATGACCCTCAAGGTCAAGGGGATCTCAACGACGTGCTATTGGACAAAGTAGGGAAGCCATGCCTGGTACAGCGACGATCCCAGCGTAACGGGCCCGCATGTCACGCGCGGTGACGCTCCTTGTGCTGCTTCTTGTCGACTCCACTTATGTTCTCTACCCATGTCTCGATCTCTCGGCCACTCTGGACGTCCTGAAAAGATTCGGTCAAGCGCGCAGATACGGTACGACCTGTAAGCCAACGACAAGAAGCATCGCTAGTCGTTGACACGCCGCTACATAGAATTCGTATGAAATCGATTCCTCCAAGCATGGTTGCGGCTTAACACGAAGTTCGTTGCCTCGATGGTGCGTGAATGAAATACACAGTTAAGTCATTCCCCTATGTATGCCAAACCTTACTACCTGAGCGTCGATGCGATCCAAGTTAGCACCAAGAAGTTCGGGTACCAGCTCTGCCAGTGCGCGAAGTCGGTGAGGCTCTTGACAGGACGGTCCTGGTAGAGCTTGCGAGCGTCGAGCGCGCCATCCCGCACGGCGCTCTCCACCATTTTCACCACTCCACAGCAGCGTTGACACCATCCTCAGCGGAGGCTGGCTTCCGCTCCTCGACAAGACCAAGACCGGCAAGATCATGCTTTACACCAACTTCGACAACTTCCTGCACTACGGTCAAGCAACTTGCTGCACCACTATCTATCGCCTTGGTGCATACCGACAAGAGACGTGACCTGGGGACCTATCCTATCATGATCGTACTTTGATGGACACTGCTGTTACAGTACCATTCATTGTTGCTTCACGATATGATTGTTTGTTTGTACTTGTGGGTTCGCGAGTTCGCTAGCGCTCCCGCAGGGAGTGGGTTGCAGCCCCTACCGATTGCAGTCTCTCAAGCATTGAATAAAACTGCAGATACCAACGATGGGTACAAGACTTTGTAACTTAACTTGATGATACCCTGGTAACAGCGCCTACCACGCTGGGAACTGGATGCGTAGGAGGTTACCTTTTCTCCCAATCTTCATTTTAGTTTGATGTGCATCAAACGTTCGCCCATTCGAAGATGAACAATTCCTTCTCTCTTCCCACTATCGCGCATGCATCCGTCTCGATATCCAGAACTCGAACGTGCCACCGCCAAGAGAATAGACGTGCGCCACCCCGCGGCGCACGGACCGAAAAGGCAATTCCGCGATGTTCGCGCGTGGGGGCGCAGGTAAACAAATTCTGTCACCTTTCCCAGCAACATCAAGACAAAGGCCCCCGCGCCCGCCGCATACCGCCCTGCGCCCAACACAGGCCTGCCTACCAGTAGCCCCCCACCCTACCGACCCCTGGTCTATACGCACCCAATGAAGTACATCGAAATTCCAGCCTTATCGCGGCTGGCCCAAGCCCTCACGCACGAGGGGCCCGAATGCGCGGTGCATACCCGCCTCGAAGCGTACAGCTGCAAGAACGTCAAGCGGGACAAGAAGCTATTCAAGGCGCTCGAGACCGCGTACAAGGACGACGCGGCGCACTCGCCGCCCGCGCCGTCGTGGGCCGCGCTCGACCGCGAGGCGGAGATGACGCCGTTCGGCGCATTCGACAAGCACGGCGCGCGCAAGACGCTCTACCTCCTCATCGCGACGCTCAACATCGCCTACCCGGACCACGAATTCTCGGACGTGAAGCCGTCGCACTTTGCGCGTGAGGGGAGCGGCGCGGCGGTGCTCAACGCCCTCAGCGCGACGCTCGTCACCGGCGGCGCGCGCCCCCCGCGCACCTACTCCGCCTACCCGCCCACTACGCCTGACTTCTTCCCCTCCTCCGTCCCGAGCTCCGTCTCCCCCTACGACCAGATCGCCGCCAGCCCCTTCGCGCGCCCGCCGATCCAAGCCGGCACCCACCCGCACATGTTCCGCATCCTCGACGACGCGATTGGCCTCGCCGACTGCGAGGTCTACTCATACACACCCGACCTCGACGCCGACCCGCACGAGAACGACGATGGGGACGACGACGCGGCGCCGGCGGGGAGCGGCAGCGACGAGGACGGCGGCGACACCGGCGTCTTCGACTTTGACGAGTACGACATGGATGACCCCGTGCGCCCCGGCCGCTCGTCGCCGATCATGCTTAGGCGGCACGCCGCGTCGGACGAGGAGGATGAGTCGCCGCTGTTCGGGCCCAGTGGCGCGCTGCTTTGGTCGTCGCACTGGTTCTTCCTCAACCGGAAGCTGAAGCGCATACTGTACGTCACCGTCTGGGCGCGCGCGAAGGGCATGGCGAGGTCGTGGCCTGGCGGCGAGGCGTCGGACTTTTTGTCGAGTCGTCACAAGTCACCGGAGCGCTTCCTGGGATGGGAGGGAGGTGCTGGTGCTGGTGCGCGCGCCCTTGGGTTGAGGAGCTCTGCTTGAAGTGAGTATAGGCACTTGCGGCTGGACGACGACTCACCGACGCTCCCAGCATCCCTTTCAGGCTTCTGTCTTGTACTATACGTCTTTCGCCTTTGCCTCTCTTGCTCCTCAGGACTTTACGACCGGTCACGACTCTTCCAGGATTATGTACATTATAACCTATGCTATGTCCCCGTCAGCTATCGCCCTTGCTCGCTGAACGAGCGTACGCACCTATTCCTTTCTCCTATGTGTATATGTATAGGCTTCAATTATTAGCAGCATACTATTCCAGCGTGTTCCAGCAGAAGAAGATGACGAAGGGGAGGAGGAGAGAGGAGAGAGGCGCCCGCTCAATGAAGTCCTTTATATCAGCGCCCGGATCTTCATCGGCATCGAAATGACTCGAGAAGGGTATGTGAGTATGCAATGCCCCTTAAGCGTATTCACTCGAGCGCTAAGTCGGGCTCGTATAGCAAGGGAAGGTCGAGAGGTAGAAGACGCCAGGAAATCTGCGCGAAATCTTCCTGGAAATTCAGTGCTAAAAATAGCTCCATCGATATTGTGAGCTCGGCAAGTTCCGGTGACGGTGACAAGCCGGAGGCTTGAAGACCATCGCTTGTTGGCTCCCTCGGTCAGCTTCGACCATTAGAGAGCGCCACGACCGTCTCAGACTCCTGTAGAAAGCGGATGAACAGCGAGAAGCTCTGTTCCTTGTCGCCCGTCTGTCATTATGGGTCCACGCGTGGCACGGTCACGTGTTTGGGTGGGATTGCCGGAGAGCCGTGCTCGGAATCGAATACGTCATGATGCATCGGGGAACGCTGCAGCGATCCGCGGCGCGCGCCGTGGGATCGCGAGACCCGTACTCCTCGACATTGGCCGCCATGGTGAGCCTGTTCCGCCTTCGCGCCGCGCGCCCCTCAGCTGCATACCGCACGTTCTCGACGTCCGCACGGCGTGCTGACCGTGCCATCGTCTACGCGAAGAACGGCGAACCTCCCTCTGTCCTGCGCGCCGTATCCTATCCCCCACTCGAGGCGCCGAAACCGGGCACCATCAACGTCAAGTACCTCCTCTCCCCTATAAACCCCGCCGACATCAACGTCATAGAGGGCGTCTACCCCGCCACACCAAGCCCGGACGCCTCCCTCCAATCCCGCACGGACGGGCCTGTCTTCGTTGGCGGGAACGAGGGCCTCGCGCAGGTTACTGCCGTCGGGCCCGATGTAAAGGGGCTCTCTGAGGGCGACTGGGTCGTCCCCATCGCGCCTCAGTCCGGTACCTGGATCACCTCCCGTAATCTCGCCCCCGAGGACGTCGTCCGCGTGCCCCGCGCAGAGGGCCTCACCGAGGCCGGAGCAGCGATGCTCACCGTAAACCCACCCACCGCGTACAACCTCCTGCACGACTTCGTCGAGCTGAAGCCCGGCGACTGGGTCTTGCAGAACGGCGCGAACAGCGCGGTGGGGCAGCTGGTCGTGCAGATCGCGAAGGCGCAGGGGTGGCGGACGATCAACTTTGTGCGCGATCGGAAGGACTTTCGCAAGCTGGTGGACGAGATGAAGGGCCTTGGCGCGGATGCGGTGTTCACTTATGATGACTTGGCGGACAAGGGACTGCGGGATACAGTGAAGGAGCTGACGGGCGGGAAGGTGCGTTTACTGCCTCTGTGAGCGAGGGACCATCCTCATATCATTCTAGCCCATCTCCCTCGCTCTCAACTGCGTCTCCGGGCCCGTAACCAGCAACATGGCGCGCTACTTGGCTGCGAAGCCACCCACCAAGCCGCATCTCGTCTCCTATGGCGCCATGTCGAAACAGCCACTCTCCCTCCCGACCTCCCTCTTCATCTTCAAAGACCTTGTCTCTTGCGGCTTCTGGCAGTCCCGCTGGTACAGGACGCACTCCAAGGAAGAGAAGGAGGAGCTCATCAGCAAGGTCGCGAACATGGGGTTGAAGGTCCCCAAGCACGAGATTATCGAAGTTGGCGGCGAAGGCGCATCGGACGCGGAGGTCAGCCAGCAGATACAGGATGTCGTGCGGCGCGTGGTGGAGGGTAATGTTGGAGGCAAGGTGTTGCTGAAGGTTGCGTGAAGGGCGTACGACTGGGACAGACTATGTAGACCAAAGCATACAGCATTTGTATCATTACCATCCACGATAGTTGGAGCCAATTTATGAGGACTGTTTACCTTGTGGCTTCGACGTCTCAGGCCTTAGAGTCGACAGGAGATGGTTACAATGAATGCTTGATAGTGATGTGGTATACAGATCAGGTATAAATACAGGGTGGCGCTTATAGCTTCGCCTTCGGGTCGGCCGCCTGGAAGAACATGTAAGCGCTGGCAAGGGGGTGCACATCGACCAACATACCTTCAAGACGTCCTGCAGCTTCGTCGCGAGCATCATGTTGCCCTTCGTCTTCAGCTTCCCCGTCATGAACGCCTTCTGGCCGTTCGTCTACATAGCCCTCCGTCAGCCAGTGCACTACCAGCATGATAACAAGCACGCACCTTCCCCGTCGCCAGATCCTGCAACGTCTCGTCGGACAAGATGATCGTCACGTCCGCCTTCGGCTTCGCGGTCCCCTTGTACACGGTCCCGGTCTTCTTCATGTCCACGGTCCACGTCGCGGTCTGCTTCTCCGCGTTCGTCACCTGCAGCTCGAAGATGGCGTTCGTCTGATTAAAGAGCGCGGTCAGTAGGCCGCTGAGCGCCACAGACAATGGGCGCGCACCTTCTTCATCTGAGCCTGCTTCTGCGCATCGCTCAACGTGCTAAAGCTCGAGCTAATGTTTGCAAGGAGGTCAGAAGCCTAGGATCGTCATGTCAGCTGGCGCGTCGCGAGCGATAGTGGCGCGCAAGACTCGCCTTGAATCCGGGGACCTTGAGATCAGACATGGTGGCAAGAAGGGGGAGAGGAAGATGAAGGAGAAAACAGGCGAGTGAGTTGTCAGAGAGCCGGCGAGGGTGGGAGGAGGAGCAGAGCGGCGCCTCTTTCGCGGAGGTAGTCCCCAGAGTTTAAAGTGTGGGGGAATCTCGCATGTGATAACCCTCCGGAAGTATGACGAGGGAATCGGCATTTTCCGTGGCTCGTGAAAAGAGTGCATTCGATCGCTAGAGCCACGAGATCAACTTGGACAGTGCAACGCCCTTGATCCTGAAGCTTGACTGGCCACCTGTACTAGTACTCTCCAGACGTCGACAACGACTGTGCTGGACTGCGAGACGAATTCTGTTTTTTGATTGGACATTCGGCAAACACCGAAATGCCACATGGTTGCATTATCGCGTTTCTCTGGCTTGGATTCGACGTTCATTTCTGACTCTGAAGCTTCGAATGCAGCCTCCTATGAACTGGCGCCTCGGAATTGAATTCCTTCTCCGGAAGATTGGCGGGAACAGGCGGATCGAGAGTGATCCTGAGCTGATTGCGACCGCGTGAGGCCTTCCCTTTCCTGTCAGTATCTATACCTTCAAGCCTCTTTATGACAACGGGGTCGCGGTAGCAAGGTATTACAGCACTCCAGGCTTGTCTCCTCGACCACGAAACAGCCACCCCAAAACAAGTCGCGCCCATCAACAGCAAGGACGCCAGGTGCTATCAACGCTTCACGAATCACACCCAGCGAGGTGCGGCAAGTATACCCACGCGCAGAAGCTTCAGCGCCAGGGCGAACAGGCTACGTGCAGGGTCTGCGCCATAGACACGCACTATCACCCCGTCATGTGTCGCAACGCCAATCACTGGCACATCAGCGTCGTTCGTAGCGGCAAGGGACGCCCTCAAAGGACTCACCAGAGCGAATTTCCGGCAGAGGAGAGTCTCTGGGTATCCAACCCTCGAGGTCGGTCTATCGATGCAATCCGAGGCGGAGCCCGACTCGACCTGATGCTCTCGCGTGTGCAGGACTTCCCGCATGCAACATTTGCTTACCCCCGTGCTCGGAGCAGACGCGTGGCCGTTTGATTACTCTGCGCTTGGTCATCGCCATCGCACCCTACCCGCCGCACATGGCGAAGGTATGTTACAGGTATAAAAGCGACTCGAGAGAGATAGCCTTCGCGACCGCCCTCCGGCCCCAGTTGCCAAGATGTTTGCGAAGGCGTTTCTCACCTTCGCTGCTCTCGTCATCGCTCGCTCTGTATGGCGGTTCCTCCAGCGCTTCGTAGTTCGTACACCGCTGGACAATATACCGGGGCCGGCACCTGCTTCTTTGATGACGGGTTCGTGCTCTTTTCGCTTTCAAGTACGATCAGCTGATTCGACTATACTCTACAGGGAACTTCAAGCAGCTCTTCAGTGTTGACGGCTGGGCGTTCCACGAGAGGCTTGCCTCACAATGTAAAGACTGTTGATTCTACTGTTACGCAGCTTATCCACCTGTTTTCAGACGGTCCTTCCGTACGATTGACCGGCGCTATGGGAGTACGTTCATCCTTTGTTCTTGCATATTAACCTACTTGAGCGGGAACCACTATAGGAGCGAATACTATATGTGGCGGATCCGAAGGCTCTTTACCACATCGTCGTCAAGGTCCGGCAAGCTCAATTATCTCGGTGGGTCCTTTGTGCTAAGTACGCTGTCGCATAGGACCAAGATATCTTCGAGGAGCATCCTCAATTTATCGCGTGCGCGAGCTTTTCATACGTATATTAGGGACGATAACTCATGCATGAATACAGCGCGAACAGCGTCTTCTTCGGACCAGGCCTACTGACGACAACGGGTACGCCACAGATTCGTCTCCTACGCAGGCATCTGACTGGGGTGCTTATGTTGCTTAGGCGATCATCACAGGAAGCAGCGCAAGCTCATGAATCCTGTATTTTCTACCACGCATATGCGCAACATGAGTAGGCCGTCCTTCGACCTGCGCCGAACGTCACTGATATCTCTTCAGTCCCTCTTTTCTACGAGGTCATCGACGCTGTAAGGATATTTTCATTGTAGGCTCTCATAACTTGACCGCGATGTCAGCTTCGCACTACGCTTGAGAGGAAGATAGAGACAAGCCCCACTGAGGTCGACATGCTCCACTGGATGGGTCGGACGGCGCTCGAGTTGATCAGCCGCAGTGGACTCGGATACTCATTCGACTCGCTCGCTCCGGACGCGGTACCGCATCCCTACGCAGCCAGCGTCAAGGAGTTTATGTCAGTCTTAATCCCGTCGTTGCCCCTCCCTCCCTTACCCCACCCCCCGCACTCATCGTTGCATTCTCCATACTCACATCGCACCCGCAGCCCGACCATGTTCCGCCTCTTCCTCCCGCGTGTTTACATTCTCCCCCACGTTTACAACCTCGGCCCCGCCTGGTTCCGTCGCGCGGTCGTGAACCTTATCCCCTCGCCGACGATGCACGCCCTGCGCGACATGACGGACGTGATGTGGAACACGTGCAACGACATTTACTCGCAGAAGGTAGCGGCGCTGCAGGCGGGCGACGCGGAGGCGGCGAAGCAGGTCGGCGGCGGGAAGGATATCCTGAGTTTGCTCAGTACGTGCCTGTTGCCGCGTAGCCCAAGAGCACTTCCCCCTGACCATCTCCCGTGCCAGTCCGCGCCAACCAGAACACCGACGACCCTCTCCCGAAGGATGAAGTCCTCGCGCAGATGTCGTGAGTACTCCATTCCCCCTATGCGACCGACGGCTGATTATAGATCACTAGCACGATCGTGTTTGCTGCGATGGACACGACGTCGTCAGCGCTCGTGCGCATCCTCCACCTGCTCTCCACGCATACCGACGTGCAAGATCGTATCCGCGCCGAAATTCGCGCGGCAAAGCGAGAGCACGGCAGCGTCCTAGCGTACGACCAGCTCGAGGCGCTTCCGTATCTCGACGCCGTCTGTCGCGAGACCCTCCGTCTGTGAGCAGATAAACTTCTACTCACCAACGCGTAATACGTTTACTGACTTTCATTACAGCTACCCGCCCGTCCCGCAACTCATGCGAATGTGAGTAAACACTTGTTCTTTTTTCCTACTGACCGCTGATCGCATATCCAGGGCGCGAAAGGATGTCGTCCTCCCCTTCAGCAAGCCCGTCATCGGCGAGGATGGCAAAGAGCTCTCGGACGTCTTCCTTCCCGCCGGCACGATGGTCATGATCGCCATCATGAACGCGAACAGAAACAAGGAGATCTGGGGCGGGGATGCAGGCGAGTGGAAGCCAGAGCGCTGGCTTGCCCCACTGCCGGAGACGGTCGCCGAAGCGCATGTACCTGGTGCGTCCGAATCGCAGAGCTTTATGGCGGTTAAGGGCACCTCGAGCTGATGTGTATCGTTCCTGCAGGCATCTATAGCCATCTGATGACCTTCTTGGGCGGTGGACGGGCGTGCATGTGAGTGCGATCGTGCGTCGGATTGAGGGCCTATTTCACACATCACCTCGCAGTGGCTTCAAGTTCTCGCAGCTCGAGATGAGTAAGTCAATTCCTTCTGTCCCAGATCCACCGTCGCTCATGCCGCACAGAAACCGTCCTGGTCGAGCTCCTCGACACCTTCAAGGTGGCGCCCAGCGCGAAGACAGTACATTGGCGCATGAGCAATATCGTCTCACCTTACCTCGAGGAGGAGCCACAGAGGTCTCAATGTCCCGTTCTGCTGTCGAAGGCCGACTAGTAACAACCCGTTCGTTATTGCGTCGTGGTTCGTATCGCCTCGGCATCTGCCGCCGGAACCGGAAAATACATCCGCGGTCACGTGCAAAAAACGAACTCGGTTCTGAACTTGCTATTAGGGAGGTTGAGCGAACAGAATACCGTATATAAAGACCAAGAATTTCGGCCGCCCCTTTCACTACCTACCCGTGGTCCCTCTATACACAGACACTATGCACGCAGCGCTATAGGTACAGGTGAAGCCGAAGCCGGGTGGCCTTGGCGGGGGCCCGCTATCTTGACAATTTATCTACGGAAATCTGTTTGCTCAACCTCCCTATTGGTATGAGGTGCGCGCGTCTTCCTCTGGCGCATACTGCCAACAGACAACCCTCTGGCATAACAATACAGTCATTATCCTTTGATGACAGAGATCACGACAGACTTTGGAAATACATATTCAAACAGCGGGTACCACCTTCTCAAGCCATACCTTCAAATCCTCGAATTCCTTCGGGATTGTAGTATGGCCCAGTCCCTCGTATATATGAAGGTTCACACCAGGGAGACCAGGCGCAGAAGCCTTCCCGATTCCCAGCTCGGTGTTCAGGAAATTGAGCGAGGAGTAGCAGCGGTCAATGTGGACCAGGTCGTCAGCGTTACCATGCGCGGTGAAGATCGGTAGCTCCTTGACGTATGGCGCGGCCAGCTGCCTGAATGTCAGGAGATATGGCGCAAGAAATCAAGTGATGCAAGCATACCTCTTTGACCTTGTGCGGCATTGGGAGGCGACTGCTGAGCAGGACGAGTCCGGCGAGCTTGACGGGGCTAGTGAGCCCGGTTACCCAAGTCATGGCGCCGCCTGTGAGATGCCTCTATCGTCATCAAATGCGGAGAATGCAGAGAGCTACCTTGGCTCAGGCCGCCCAGTATGATGCGCGATGGGTCTATGCCGTCTTGGATCTCTGCGTCGATGAGGCCTTGAATTTCCTGCCGTGAATGGAGCATCCCCTCCTCGTCTTCAGGTCCTATCGGCACGCCGAAATTCTTGATGTCGAACCTGCGGAGGGATGCGTTAGCGAAGTACACGACTAAAGAAGGGGGACCTTACCACGCCTGCGACACGAGGTGTTAGTAAAGACTGACTGCGCAGAGACTTTACCGCAAGGCGACGTTACACTCACAGGCATGGCCGCACCTCCGTTGGCCTTGAAAATTCATAAGTCTAGGGGGACTCTCTACAGCGTAAGGTAGCTACGTACCGTGATATGACGCGTGGGACTGCGATGCTTCAGAAATCTTGCGCAGCTACACAGCTACAATATGGACACTCACGCATTCGGCAGCACCCATTTAACATGGCTCAGCGAAGGCTGGTTTACAAACGACTTGGCTATATAAGTCCAGCGGAAGCCATAGTCTCCCAGACCCTATCAGACAGAATGCAGTCAATAAGAATACTTGTGCGCTTCAGAGCGCCCTCGCCGCGAATACGAACATGGAGGAATATGAACGTCGCGGTGTGCTTTGAGGCCGCATCGACGGTGGACCAAGAGATGGGCTTCACTTCCGACATATCTGCAAGTGGTGTGGGAGGAAGAGGAAGGGTAAGCGCCTGCAGAGCTCCCTGGATGCTCTTATACGGCGCGAAGAGAGGTAGCAATTATAGGGCAGGACTAAGGGTGAGTCACACTTGTGACTCACGAACTTCCGTTCTCCGGCGCTATCTCCGGGCCGCCTGAGCCGCGTCGTTCGCCGTCGATCGAGGTTGCCTCAGACCCTCAGCACCTTCGAGTTATTCCCCCATGCTATTATGTCGAACCCTCCTGCCTGGACAACTCTCGATGTTTACCGCGAGCTTCCCGTGATCAAGGGCCAAAAACTCAAGCTCAGCAGCAAGACGCCCTACACCCCCTCCTACGTCAAGTCCAACCTCTCTGGCGACAACGACCCCGACGCGATATACAATGACCGCGTCTACGGTCGCACGCTCATGCTGGAGAATCCTGCGCGCACGAGCAGGCTCGTGCAGGAGCGCAAGGCGCGCGAGCAGAAGCACCGAGAGCTACGATTGAAGAAGACGGCGATCGGGAATGTGATGAGCAGGAAGGAAACGCGCGAGTACGGGCTTTGGGAGCTCACCAAGGAGCAGTCGAGGTGCGTGTTGACTGTGTAGCTCCAAGAGGCGGATTTGTTGATGCACGCACGCAGATTCGAACTTTTCCTGCCCTTGCACCATCTATGGATGGGCTACATGTCCGAACTCATGGAACTCGCGCAACCGAATACCGATAAGCGACCCGAGGACTGCATGCCAGGGTCTGCAGGCATGCACGCGAAACTCGTGAAGGCGGACTTGCATGGGTCAATCTTGACTGGTACGTCTTGAGCTTCCTATTGAGACTCCCTTCCCTCAACCACGCCCAGTCAAGCAAAGCAAGAACGCTGACCTGGTCGGCCTTGGCGGGATCGTGATCCTCGAGACCGAGAACGCCTTCCGTGTCGTGACGAGGAAGAACAAGGTCAAACGTACGTCGGCCCATGTCACGCGCTTAAATTGTACACTTACTATGCACCCCAGTCATACCCAAAGAGAACACTATCTTCAGCCTTGCCCTGCCCCTCTTCTCCACCCTGCCGCCCGCGCACACAGCGGAGACGATGTACACGGTCTCCGCCGAAGCGACCCAGCCGGCGCAGACCGTCTTGGATTCGCCCTATATCGAGTTCGAGCTGTACGGGAATCAGTTCAGGTTTCGATCCGCTGATCGTGCTACGAGGAAATTCAAGAATAAAATGACGATTGAACTTTGAGCTCGCATCGCACGTTCGGTGGTCTTTTTATTGACACGCGTCTTGTTCACCTGAAGAATCGTCTGGCTATTACCTTCGGCAGACGTCGATACTGCTCCGCTGATTGCGCGCTGGTCACCCCTTAGGGCTCGTCGCAGTGAACGCCTGCGCAACTATGGCCGCTCACTGCAGTAGGTCGACAAGGCCTAGATGGGAAGCCGATCTGGGGCCAGGTCGAGTCGAGCGCACATACGCCGCCTTGCAGCACTTGCCACGTCTTCTCTTGCGCTCTCATCGCTGACTCCGAATTACCCTGCTGTCCGTCCATTTACCTCTTGTACAGATCGCCTCGTCGCCCAGGTCGCTTTCCGCGCAATTCGCAGCAGCATTTGCTGAGCGACGCCAGGAGATGGCATCGGTGGCAGCGCCTCTACCCGTCGTACACTGCGCAAATCCTGCTTGCGAAAAAATGGTCGATATGTCGGCTTGCGCCAGGACTCGAACGGACGCCTATACCATATGTGAGTAAGGATTCTGCCCTCTTTCGTGTACTCATGGACATCGCATTGTAGATGTCGTAGGATCCGCTGACGCGCCTGTACGCTTCATGGAGTTCGAAGTGGTGTAACGTCAATTGTCGATGTCCTCCATTATCTTGCATCGTGATCAAGCACTTGCGGCTTGGAACGGGCGACGATTTTTGAGCGGGAAGTAGCAGGAAGCTTATTGCCGTGATTCCACGGAAAACGCAGGCTCGTCGCATCGAGTAACATCCGCGACTCTGGCTTCCAAGCGCCTGCTTAAGCGCCCAAAGAACCCAAGTAACCTTACGCAAGCAATCGTGACATCCGCGCATCGGTCCAGCTACTTATATTGCAGGTCTTCGAACAGCCCGTGTGCGGCCACACTCGCTTGCGTTCCCAATGGACTTCGCTACTGTGCTGCGCGGGATCTTCCCCGACCCTCAATATATCCCAAAAGTCTTGGCGATGATGTTTGAAGATCGACGCCGCCAACTGTACTCCTCTCCCCCGTCAGTATCGCGAGTCGCGGGTTGCAGCAATCCAAAATGCGTAGGCCAACACAGTACAACGATCAAAGTGTGCTCGAAGGTAAGCGCTTTCACTCGTCATGCTTCCGTCTGTTCACTGAATCTCTTTAGTGCAAACTGGTCAAGGTATGACTTCCCTTCACAAGTCATCACTGATCCGAACGGCTCACGTAGTATTGCTCGAGGCCGTGTCAAGTGGCTCATTGGCCGACGCATAAAGTGGACTGCAATAATCCGTATAACGAAACGACTTGGCAGCCCGGGTGGCTGAACGACCGACGCGTACCAGCCTGGGTCACTGCAGGACCATCGCATTCTTTATTCGGGAGCACAGGCCAATATCTCTGGGGCAATGTGCCCGCCATTGACTGTATGGGCGCGGTTATGCAGGAGGGGGCCGCCGTCTCCTGTCGAGATTTGAATATTTGCTTTGCTGGTGTGTGACCATCATGTAGACCTTGTCGCACTGCGCTGATCATTCCCTCAGCCTCCGGAGATATTCGCAACCTCGTCAGCACCGTCAATGGCCTTCCGGACGACTACTCGGGGACATGCCGTATTCTCATCAACGATAGCAGCCCATGCGTCACCACCCGCAACCTCCTCATTCTTTACGCATTGCTTCGTGCAGGCCGCCCAATCGAAGACGCTGCCGAGTCAGCTCTGCACCTCTGGTACTCCGCCATTCTACGCCCTAGCGACGCAGCGGAGATGTACCTTTGCGCACAGCGTATCTACGGGGATATCCAATTGCAAGCCGACAACTTTGAGATACAGAGCGTCTACGATCTGCGCGGCGACGGGAAGCTTTACGCCAAACAGCCACTCGATGACATGGTCTCTATCCGTATGCTCATATCTACGCACGGCGCCGAAGAGGCCTTGGCCAGTATGCACGACACCATGCTTCATCCCTCGCGTATCGACTACCGCGACCGCTTCTTGGCCTCCCTACAGCCTTCCCATAGAACCGCATGGGCAAGGAACAAGAGAATCGGTGTCCTAGCGTCCTTCGCAGACGATACAAGTGACTTCACCGAGCCTAATCGGCACGTACCTTGACCGACGGTGATTGTTGTGGTTCTGACCGTCGTGCAGAACAATGTTCTCCCCGGACGGGCAGTGGATGACGCTGGATAGCGCTGATCAACTCCATGGCTGGCCTGTCCAAGACGTCCTCTTGTCCGGCCAGCGCAGCGGCCTTGCCCCGGCAGATGTCTACGGCTGCCTCTGTGTCCACGTCCGCGGCCAACTGATTGAGTTCGCGCGGCGCATGGAACGCTTCCGCATCGACATTCACGTGAGCCAGGCCGACGCCAGGGACCTCGCGGTCGATATTGTGCTCAACGCCTACGCGCCTCACTTTACGCCAGGTTGCTTCGATCGCATCGAGACGTCCAACGTCGCAGATTACATAGGCCTCGCTCGCGTCATCGACGACTGGGGCCCACTACTGAGTCGCCAGAATCAGGATGCCTCTCTGCTTGCGTACACTATGAACTGGCATGTGCAGCGGACTGACGTCCCGGCCACGGACCATTGCATGGCATCGAGCGAGGGTGCCAGGGATGTACAATTCGCGAGAACGGCCCGCGCTATGGTATGTGATGTTTTCGCTGCGCATTTATCTCTCACACTACCATCGCGTATAGGGCATCGATCTGGACCACATCATGACTAGGCAAGTCATGTCAATCATGTCGGGCGGGCTCATACTCCCGGAGGTGACGCTCTTCACGGAAAATATGGCCGCCTTCTGTGATACATCCACGGCATTCGAACGATGGCTCGACAAGCAAGGGGTGAAGCAAATCTCGGAGAAAAGAGGCCTACGTATGCGGCAGAGGAACCGTATCCATCCAAAGGTTCGTTCGAGCGGCAGCCTCCTCATTCTGTCCGATGCTTACTGGAACTTTGTAGAGGTTTGGTGCCAAGTTGGACGCTGGACCGAATGATGTGCCGGAAATGACCGAGGACACCTTCTACAACCTCTGTAAGAACTGGTTCATACCTTGCCATTCTCGTATATTGACAATCACACGAAGACAACCTAGGCGGCGCGTATGCACCTGTTCGTTTCTTGGAGTTCGAAGCTTGTCGGGATTGAGGTTGAGGCAAGTTAGAATGCTTGCCTTATAGCGCGTATATGTTCCCAACTCGGGGTTGTGATGGATAATCCCGAGTGAAATTTTGTTACTGGCTCTGTCTCAAGGCTCGAATACTAGGATTGACCTTGCTCAGAATCCCGTCGCAAATTGTCGATAAATCGAGCGGGAGCCTGCGCCACAAATACGAACATACAAAAGCCCGTCCGGTCCGCAATGTTCGTCAGCCTCCCCGCCGACTCGGTTCCTCTTCGTATCTGCCTTTGTAAGAAATCGAAATTCCCATGAGAAAATTGGCCACTTGCCCATGTCGTCGAAGAGTGCGAGGTTCATTTGGCCAATAGACGCGCTGACGATCACCTTCGGCTGGCCCCTAAAGTCTTAAATGGCGTCGGATCGCACCCGTGTGTGAGCATTTGTAAGCGGTTGGCGCGACCCGGCGCTTATGGCCACAGTATAAAAGGGCATGTGCGTTGAGGTTCTATAGAAACCCTCAGAACCCCCCTTTTACCCAAGATGTCCAACGAGAGCAAGCCCCGTGTTGTGGTACTCGGTGCCACTGGCAGAACCGGTACCAGTGTCGTCAATGGCCTGTTGAAGTTTGGAAACTTCGTACGTTCTCTCTTCCAACTTGGCGACCTTCGTAGTTGACGATATATCGATATCAATAGCGTGTCGCCGTGGTTGTGCGTTCGGCGACCAAGCCAGCCGTGGTCGACTTCCAGGAGCGCGGTGCGGAAGTGCTCGTGCACCCCGACCTGTCCAAGGCCTCGCATGACGAGCTGGTCACTCTTCTCAAGGGCACTGATATCTTGGTATCCGCGATTACTGCCTACCTCCTCGAGTCTCAGCGCCCTATATTCGCGGCGGCGAAGGATGCTGGCGTCAAGCGCGTCGTTCCCTGCGATTGGTCATCGCACGCGCCTCCTGGCGCAATGCTCCTGCAGGACATGGTAAGCCTCTTTTCCCCCAATCAAAGCTACGACATCGCCTAACATCTCGCAGAAATACGATATCCATAAGTACATTCGTGAACTCGGCATCGGCTACACCATCATCGAGGTCGGCATTTGGCTACAGGTAGATCTTTTCTCGCGACCGACTCCTTGACACCGTCCTCAAAATCACTTGTAGGCCCTTCTCCCCTACCCGCCTAAATACGCCGGCCAGTCCGGCATCGTCAAGCTCTCGCACACTTTCCACGAACCGGGCAACGTCCCCACCGCCGGCACCGACATCAACAACATCGGCGAATGGGTCGCGTTGATCCTGGCCGACCCGCGCACGCTGAACCAGACCGTGTTCGTCTGGGAAAACCAGGCGACGCAGAAGGAGCTTTACAAGCTGGCAGCAGCGAAGGGTGTGGACGTCGAGGAGTTGGACAAGGTGGTCACCAAGGTACGTGTCTCCTCCCGTCACAGTTCCTTGTTCTTTGTGGCTGGACCAACTCTTATCACCGGTCGCTGAAGCCTCGCCCTCCAGACCACCGACGCCAAGCTCAAAGCCGAGATCGACGAAAGCATCAAGGCCGGGAAGGAAGGCTTCGTGCCACGCGTGATGGGCGAATACGCCTACAGCATGTGGTACCGCGGCGACAACACGGTGGAGAGCGCAGTGCGGGACGGTGCGCTCGACGCGCGGAAGCTCTACCCCGACCACCCGGTGAAGAGCCTCGCCGAGTTCGCGCAGAACTGGTACCCGAACTTCTTGGTGCCGGCCTAGGGGAATGGTTGGGTAGCAGAATCGAGCATGGTACAAAACCCCTGTATTTGAAGGAAACAATGTATTTTACGCACCATGCAAGCAAAGAAATCGTGTACTAACGGGTGCAGCGCTTGCTCTCGAAATGCGGGAGTGTCATGCGTAACGACTATGACGACGACATCATCATCAACGTCTGCATATCCGGTATACACCCCTTCTCCCTCGTCAGGTAGTCGACGATATCCCGCGCGTCCGACTTGACCGCCACGCGCAGCATCTCCTTCGTCACCGGCGTCCGATCCTCCATCCGCCGCCGCTTCCCCTTCTGCGTGCCCCCCTCCCGCTCGAGCAGCATGCGCACCAGGGGCAAGTTCCGCTGCCGGATCGCCACCTGCACGGCCATGCCGTTCTTGTGCTTCGGCGACGCGCCGTGCTCGAGCAGAAAGGCGACGAGGGGTATGAACTGGGCATGGACGGCGCGCGTAAGCGCGTACCCGTGATGCGCATTGCAGTCTGGCGGGACAGGGAGACGGGCGATCATATGTCGCAGGAAGGGGAGGGGGTGGTGCCGATCGGTCCATTTTCGCCTCGATATCTTCGAGGGATCGAGGCCGCGGAAGAGGCGCTTGGGTAGCTCGGGCGGGCGTTGGGGTACGCGCTCTAGGATGGGGGCCTTGCAGACGATGTCGAGAACGGCCTCGGAGCAGACAGGATAGCGTAGCGCCCGCGTGAGGATCTCCGAGTCGCGGGAGGAGCAGACGCGGCCCATGAGGTATTGCGCCTGATAGGAGGCCGGCGCGCATTTGAAGACGGAGTGCAGTCGCTTGCACGTTAGGGGGAGGGCCGAGGAGAGCGAGAAGAGCTGGATCTCGTACAGCAGCTGCCGCGGCGTTGCGTGAGTTTCGAGACTTGACAAGCTTGAGAGACCGCCCGCACTTCTACAGGGAGAGTATCCAGCATTTTGTGCCCCGCCTTGCGTTCGAGGTCAACTATGGAGGTGTGAGATAGAGCAGAGTGTGCTCGTCGTGACCATCGAGCGTCTTGACGAGGATGGGCGCTTGGCAGCGGGGGGGATGATGGTGCGGTTCAAGAGTGACCGATCGATACGCCCGGAAATCATATCACTCGGACCCACAAGTACAAACACACAATTATATCGTGAAGGCGTAAGCGAATGGTATGATAATGTACATTCCCAATCGTAAGCAAAAGTCCAGAGATGTACGTCAAGTCCAAAAAGTACATTCATTGTAGAGATCGTCAGGGTATGCGCCCTATACTAGGACGAGGTCGAGTCGTTTAACCGTAGTGGAGGAAGTCATCGAAGTTGGTGTAGGGGATGGTCTCGCCGGTCTTCGTCCAGTCGAGAAGGGGTTGCCAGCCCTCGGAGAGGAGGGTGTCGACGCTGCTGTAGAGGGGTTAGCATCATTCAGAGATCACGACAAAAGTGCGACGAACCTCGGCCAGTCGCCAGACCCGATGTCACTCAGGGTACCGTAGATGAAGTCGATGTAGTTCTGCTGCGTGATGGGGCAGCCGTTGGGCTGCCACGCGCAGTCACCGACGATACCGGCGTAGATCTGCAGGCGTCGATGAGAAACTGGGACGCGCAATTAACTAATCAGACTCACGTTGTAGTCCAGGTGCGGCTCTTGCCAAATGCAGGTGAGGTTCTGGTTATCGCAGCTCAGAACGTTCTGCAAGTTCTCCGGCTGAAGGTTTGGTTAGCTACAGATTTGCCAGCACTGAAAACCGACGTACCCCGATCTTGAGGCTGCTGGTAGCGAGAGCGACGCATGGCTTGGAGGCCCAGAGGTTGCCGGTGCCACCGAGCGCGGTAGGGTCGTTGCGGCACGCGGTGTAGAGGTTAGCCTGGTAGGGCGCCACAGGGACATAGCCGCCCCAGCCGTGGATACCACCGTAGCAGTTATCGACGTTGTTGCAGTCCTGCTCTGCAGGCGCGGCGAGCACGACCGCGGCAGAGAGGGCAGACGCAACGAGAGCAAGCTTCATGGCGAAGAGGTGATGATGAGGTAGGGGGAGGTGGTGAGAGTAGGTACTGGACGGTGAGTCGAAGGAGTACTGTGAGGAACTCGATGGGTCTCCCTACCCCCGTATTTATACTTACCTGATACCGACGTCGATTTCGGAAGATTTCCGCGCCTGCCTCGACATCTGCCGGCTCGAGAGGCCAATGAAAGAATCGGCGGTGGCGATGCCGGGCCAGGCGACGTCGTCGAGCATCGTGACTGGCGGGGAGCGGTCACCGTCGTTTCGCCTTCGTCAAACATGCTCTTGTCAGCTCTCAGGCCTGTTCCTTGTTCCGCAAGTTGCCGCAGAGCTACCCAGAAGGATATCATGTGCCCAAAAGGAACAAATCGAGCAGAAAGCGGTGTCTTGCAGCCTTCCTGACCGCATGAAGAAGAGAAAGCCCTGTCCCATGTAAATCGAGCCTTTCCCGTGTAAATCAAGAACAATACAGAGATCGTCACGTACCGAGGTCATTGTACTATTTACAGTCCAGCGCTGTAGCCGGAGCTGAAGACTGGTCGACGGAGGATTGTGCATGCGCTGCAAGGCCCGATGAGTATCGGAACGACGCTGTCGACGTATAAGATCCAGGGCCTACGGCACAAAGCTGTGCGGTTCAACACGATCATCGTGCAGCGTCTATACGACCGGTATGACCGGTTCAAAGCAGTCACTGCCAGTGGCTAGCCTTCGCGTGGAGCCATTCGTGTCATATTTCTCTGATCAAAGCTCTTCGCAGCTTGTACCCGAAGCTGGGTGTCAGAAAGAGTCGCGAGGATCGGAATTGCAATGTGCGTCAGTGTCAATTCGCTGTACTGACTTCAAAGCAAGTTCTGCCCTCAGGCGTTAGGTCTCGCTGTAGTGAATCTTCGGAAGAGCTTGACCTCGCTCGGCCGTGGCCATCTGCCCCGAGTACCACGATTCAATAACCGTCCTGGCGGATGAGAAGGATGACCATATGTCACGCGTCACATATCCCCGAGAGCCGTCTATCGCTCTCGGCATTTCCCGGCCATGGGTCTATAGGAATCAAAGAGCTGACCAGACCTCGAAGAAGTAGAGCGCAAGTTGATTATTACACGGTCGTTAGCTATGACTGATGGTGAAGAAGTGGTCGAATGGTATAGTAGAGTAATGTCACAAATCGTCAGTACAAGTCCGGAGTGTACGTGAAGTCCACTGGCAAAAAGTTCGTTCATGGTAGATATCGTCAAGGTGGGTGCCCCATGCTGGGACACCTGACTAGAGTCGAGTCCAATCGATTAACCGTAGTGCAGGAAGTCGTCGAAGTTCGTGTAGGGAATGGTGTCGCCGGTCTTGGTCCAGTCGAGGAGGGCTTGCCAGCCCTCGGTGAGCAGGGTATCGACGCTGCTGCAGGAACGTTAGCATGGATCGGAAGATACCAAAAAGACGTAACGAACCTCGGCCAATCGCTGGATCCGATCTCGCTTAGAGTACCGTAGATGAAGTCAATGTAATTCTGCTGGGTGATAGGGCAGCCATTAGGCTGCCACGCGCAGTCGCCGACAATACTGGCGTAGAGCTATGGACGTTCGTCAGCAGAAGTGCTACGCGTCAATGAGTGGTCCAACTCACATTGTAGTCGAGGTGGGGCTCCTCCCAGATGCAGGTGAGGTTCTGGTGGCCGCAGCTCGCTAGGTTCTGAACGGTCTCGGGCTAGTGTATTGATTAGACGCGGTCGAAAAGGAGAAGGAGAAGATGGATGGCACGCACCCCGATCTTGGTGTCACTGACGGCGACCGCAACGCATGCCTTGGTGCCCCAGAGGTTACCGGTCCCGCCGACAGCGTTGTCATTGTAGCGGCAGGCATCCATGAGATTGCCCTGATAGGGCTCGTAGTGGATGAATCCGCCCCAGCCGTGCACGCCGGCGTAGCAGTTAGCACCGTTATTGCAGTACTGCTCGGCGGGGGCAGCGAGCGCAACCGCGGAGAGGGCAGATACAGCGAGTGCGAGCTTCATGGCAGAGAGATGAGAAGGTGATAAGAGATGATGAGTGTAAGTACTAGACGGGAGTCGAGAGAGTACTGTGGGGAATACAACGGACGCTCCCGCCCAAGTATTTATACCTGACCCCGAGACCAGGTCGATTCCGGCACCTTGCCGTACCTACGTCGACGTTGACATGATCCGGCTAGAGGCGTCCAATAGAGAAAGGGCGGTGGGCCAGACAGCAACGTCGAGCATGGCCAGCGGGGAAAAGTGACCATCGTTTCAACTTTATTGATCCTGCCCTTCACAGTTCAATGGGCGTGTTCCTTGTGCCTTCCTGCCGCGAAGCGATGCTGTGACCAGAAGACGAGGATGTGCGAAGCTAGAACAAAAGACTTTCGGCTGTAAGAAGGGGCCGCCGACCGTGGACATGCATTGCAGTGCTTGTCGAATTCCGGATCGACGGACGCTGACGAACCAGGTCAAGGGCCTACGGCGCGTTACAGTGGCTGTGCGATTGATTTTGTCACACCGTGACGTTTGCGGCAACCTCCGGAGCACAAGACTAGCGACGTGGACAATTACCGGCTTCCAGTGTTGGGATTCCAAGGACGTTGCCTCATTACAGGCCACGACGACGCGACCACGGCGACTGAGGGACAGTCACGCATGACGGATTATGGCTCTCCTACGATTCTGTATCAAGAGCAGTCCACTGAGGAGACGCTCTGGGGGTACGTGCGATTCCTGTTACAGCGCATTTTCTATCCCACAGATCATTCGGACGAGCATATGCACTATATCAAGTCATATACACGTATCGCTAACACACGGGTATTCCATACAAATACAGTCCGATTTCCAAGGTCCGATATTATGCTACAAGACATCTACTTCGAGTTCAGCCACTTGCCGAGCCCAAGGCTGTTGTAGATCTTGTCCAAGCCCTGCAAATAGCGTCAGACAAATGGATCAAGAACAGGCTGCTTCACGCACGGTCGCAGCAACAATGCCCTTGAACAAGCTGTCGAGGCCAAGGCCGCTGAGCAGCCTCCCTACGAGGTTGAGCACGCCGGCGAGCAGAATTGCGACACCGCCGACAATCTGCGTGAGTGGTTCTGCAAGGAGTGTCAGCGCTCTCCCATGTTCATTCATCAGAAAGAACTCACGGCCAAGGGCATCCAGCAGCGGGCCAAGATCCTTCTTCGCCTTCGGGTAGTGCTCGAGCTTCTCGCGCGCCCACTCGATGGTGCCGCCGACCTCCTCGACAAGCACCTTGAGCGCCTCTGCCAGCCGCTGCTCCTCGGGAGTCGCGCGGTGGTCCGCCTGATGGCGCTTGGCGCGGCTGGCGAGGCGGCCGTCCGGATCGGCGCCCTTGATCTGCCCATTCGTCTCGTCGAGGATCTTCGTCGCCTGCTCGAGGAGCGGCTTGACCTGCTTCACAAGCTCGGGCTCCGAGCGGTCCTCCTCCTTCTGGGCGTCCATGTTCTCGATGTGCTTGGAGGCGATGTCAGAAGGCAAGCAGGATGATGCGAAGACGGCGGCAACATACCTTGCGAATCATCTTACAGATGGGAACCGTCTTCTCGTTTGCGTTCTCAATGATCGACGAAAGACGGTTGGCGAGCTCCTTGTCGGCTTTCTGCTGATCGGGTGTGCGCTCGTCGACGGACGACCCGGCATCGGAAGAGCCATCGTTCAGCACGTCGAGGTGCTGGCGGCTCTCTTGAGGATCGATGTGCGACATGGTGGGTGTTTGAGTGGAGAGTTCGTAGAGTTATCAGCGGAATTTGGAAAGCTCAGAGTGCGCAGGATACGACTGTATCGCGGGTCCTGAATGGTGGGAGAGTGGGAGGGAAATGACGACTTGTATGCCCAAACCGGCGTCTTTTATAGGCAGCCATACAGTGAGACGGAGGAGAGGTGAGATCATGGTTGACGCTACTGACGTCCTGGGCACCCAAAAGGCGCACAAAGCGTTATCCCGCCTCTCGTACCTTGACGACCACCTCACAGCCAATCGAGACCCTCTTCGACGACATGCAGGCGGTGTTGAGGAGACTGCAGACCCCAGTAAGCTCCAAGGCAGACGTCAGGTCAGTACAGCGTTTTCGGAAAACCTTGTCATGGACGAACTTTTTTCGTGAGCTGTCCCAAAAACCCAAAACACGAAACTCGTGGGAACGGCTGCGTAGTTCCTGGCTGGCGCACTGCGCCAAGCTGACTTCGTCGACGGTGCGTAGAGTCCCCAGGCGTCGCTGGCGGGCTTCCCGACGCCGCCGGAGACGATTGAAGGTCATCTGGCCGCCGGAAAAGCCGCGAAATGGACGTCAGAGCGTCGTCCGGTGCAGAGGCCGCCCTTGGGTCACCGCTTGAGAGCCACAGAGCGGCTGAGTCCTTCACTGCTCCCGTCGACGTTGGGCTTGGCATTCCCGCCCCACGAACCTCAAGGCGCCCCTCAGGCAGGAAGTGAGCATCTATCTTTGGGTTTTTCTATTCTTAGGGTTTTTGGACGACGCTCAGAAAAAAGTTGCAGATGACAAGGGTTTCCGAAAACGCTGTAGTAGAGTCTCATAGTCCACCGCAACGTGCTCTGAGATGAATGAAGGCCATGGGAGTCCGCGCAGCGGTGTTGCCAAAGCCAAGTTCGAATTTCAACCGCGGGTCATGTGAGCGGAACCGGTCTGAGAGCACGCGAGCCGGCAATTTCCGATCACGGTTTCGCTTTGACCTGGCAACGAACTTCCCATCAGTTTTTGTGCTCTTCGTCTGTACGGCGAGCAGGGAGTTGTAAGTGCTCTCCCCCATCTCGGGAATGCAGTCGAATGCGTACTAGAGGAGGACGCTGACCGTTCCTGTATCCAGTGCACTCACTGCGCTTACGTCACCCTCGCCCCCAGCACCCACGTCCAAACATATCCAACACGCGCCGTATCCTCACCCACTGAGCTCATCTTCACGGTGGGGGTCTGGAGGAACATCGCCCTCGCGGCACGTCATAGCTCTGGGCGATTGAATCGCCAGCGCGCAATGGAATCTGAGGCAGGCCCCTCGTCGCCACGCGCGTCGGAGTATGACGCGCCACCGCCGAGTCCACCGTCCAAGCACGCGCGCAGCCCCTCTGCTGCACGGGCACCGAGCTCTCACTCGAGCACGCGGCGCGCCAATACGCGGTCACGTAGTCACGCGTCATCGGGAACTGCGTCGACGGGCACGACGACCACTCAGTCGAATACCACGGACGCAGCCCCGCCTCGCAGACGGCGACGACGTCGACGACAAGTACCTAGTCATGAGAGTAGTCGCGAAAGGGGAAAACGTCCCGAGAAGACGCAACCTGCCGTCGATGCTCGCACTCCAGGGAGTCCGCCTTCTTCCACACCTATCCTTGAAGAGAACGAAGACTGGCTTTGGGATGAGCAGCCGAAGGTTCGTCGGCCTCTGACGCATTGGTGTGGTCCTCTTTCTATACACTATATGCTGACCTCTTTTGCGCATCAGCTTCGCCTGGACGTAGACCTGGATGTTGACGTTCATCTTAAAGGTCAGGTGCGCGGCAAAATCCTCATGGCTATACTGTGCGCACCCCTCTATCTTGTCAAGCACATCACCTGCTTGCTTCTTTCTGTTGTATAATCGCCTAACATCACTCTTCGCAGCCCGCCAAAGTATATTCCTGGGTCGGAATCAGGTTCGCAGCGATGAAGACATCGATTGAGGTAACGAAGAACGTGGACATGGTACGACGGACAAAATTCTCGAATGGCTCGACTTGCGCTTGCTTTCTCTCCTTTCCTCTTCTATGGCATCATTTTGCCTCGACCTGACGCTTCTTCGCGTGGCCTTCGTATTCTCTGGTGCTATCGTAGCAGATACCCTTGCGAACTTTGGATTCTATCGTTATTTTGTAACACAAAAACCAACTGTAGACGACTCAACTACAACATTCATGGACCTCAAGCCTCGAATCTATAACCGCCTCATCTCGGTGCATCTTCGACGCAAGAAGCCGTCTGATCCTGCTTGGAGGTGCCTTTTTTCTCCGAACGACCAGCGCGACGACAACGCCGGCCGGGCGACGAAAGTACATACGGCGCGTAATTCCTCGTCGGCTGATTCGTGGGCATCCACCGTACGTTATCGTACCCCGATCTCGTCTGACCCGCCGACGAAGACGCCCCAACGTCAGCGACGATGGTCTCCGCGAACAGCGCCCCCTCCCCCCGCGCCGCCCGCGCATCGCGCTCCGCGGTCGCCCGCTGCTCCGCCTCCACCGCGCGCACAAATTCCACGCCGTGCAGGTGTCGGTGGCGCAACGCATTCGAGCGCGCGTTGAAGCGAGAGTCGCAGCCGGGGTAGCCGCATGCGAAGGCTAGGTGATAGGCGAGGTGTCAGGAAGTCGGATGTGCGGGCAGCAAGCGAGTAAGGGGAAGACGTACGCCGCAAATTGTTGTGGATGTTCATATGGGTGCTCAGCGAGCTCGGTCTGCTGGAGTTGATGGAGAGGAAGACGTGATAAATGTGACATACCTATGAAAGAATTTATGACAGACAAGGCATTTGTGGCCTGTACGCCTGCGCCTGCCCGTAGGCGAAGTAGAAGGTGATTGGTCGAATGGTATCGGAGGCATCGTCGTGATCTCAGGCTATGAGAGGCAAGCCTTCGTATAAGCAAGCGTACGGATAGTATTGGTTGCTAATACCTCAGTGGCGCCTGAAGCATCCTCGTCGAAAGATGTCGGTGACGTTACAAGTCGTGCAGTGTTACGCTGCTTGACTCGATAGCCAATCGGCTCCTGCTGGATTGCCATCGACATAGCAGATGGGGAAGCGTAGTCTCTGGAGCAGCCCTTGTGTCCTTGGATAGATTTTGGGTCGGAGACGTCCTCGAGAGGGAGTTGGTCGGTTGAGGGTCATGAACTGTGACTGCTGCAGACGTCGATGCACTGAACATCCACGTGAGCTTTCAAGTCGTCATGCTCTGGCAATTGGCCTCTTTTGGCAGCCTTTCGGCGCATCTAACTAGGCAAAACGCGACAAAGATCGACATACAGCCCAGTCTGATCACTGAGGCCACGTATCTTGAAAGCAGCGACTGGAATACGGTAGTACTCATCTAGCGCTACGGGGATACATTGAGTATTATCGTACTCGTACAGTATAGTATTCCATAGTAATACACGAGTTCGACGTTCGTGCGCACTTGGAGTATGTGTGTATGCATCTGGTGATATGCGTGTCCATCTGTATCTGCGGTTATGGCGTCGTAGCCCCGATAGTATGATTCTAGGTTATGTGAGATTTGGTGATGTAGTCGTGTCTTGTGTCGTCGAGATATTCCAAGAAATCAGAGCCCAAGAAATCAGAGCGAGAGTAGTCCCTATACTCGAACGCAGTTGGGAAGGAGTGCCTGCAAAATTGATTACTGAGCCCCGAGCTCGTTAGCATCCACTCCTCGAAGCCATATCCAGGTAGGGGCGCACCGATGATCCTACTGTATGCTCTTCATGGCTGATTGTCGCCCTTTGCTCCTCCTTCCTTGGGATCCCGAGGCTCCTGAGAAGGCGTCTCGTCTTTGTCTTTCCCCTGCCGGGAGAGAGAACCTGCCTTCCCATACACGCCCGTTGTCCGCAAGAATTGGGCAAGCGCAGAGATCCCCTTTGCCACGCCAAACATGGCGGACAGGGGGCCCGTAGGCACCTGCTGCTGCCGGGCGACAAGCTGCCCGCCCGTATCCCGCAGGGGACATTCCTCGCAAACCTCGTCCGGCGGATGGTCACGAACACAGGAAACCGGCCCCTGCGGGCTACTGGGCGGCATCGTCGAGAGTTAGGTGGCGGCGCGGTGCGCGCCCCTGCATGACGAGCTTTAAATATTCGCGAGCCAGGTCTGGAAGTGTTCATGCGCCAGAAGGATCTTCAGACGACTGGAGCCGTTCGCCGATGACGATAGGAGGCGAAGGCGGGGGTCGGGCGGGGCTGTTCCGTCCGGCGAGGACGAGGTGGCGCTGGCGTCGTCGTGAACATCCGCCGAGGTTCTAGAATCGATCGGTGGGGCTTGGACGGTCGTGAGACTCGGGAGGCGCAGGGAGCGCATACTGTTAGCGCGCTGTTCCGAAACAACGACGAGAGGTCTGCGAGCAGGCAGACGTCCAAGTTTTAGACACGCTGTAAGATGAGAGCAGCGCAGGAGAGGTGATCCTGGTCACGAGCGAGTCGCGAGTGCAGCCGGAGGCCTTGGCACCAGGTTCGCGAGAAACAAGCGCTTCCGCCAGTCCAAAGCAGTTCGGTAGAGCCTGGCTGAACACGGACAGAAGAGATGGAGGATCGAGACAAGGAGGACTATCCCATCATCAGGACGTGGGCGCCATCATCCTCGGCGGCGGCCATCACTGTCGATCTATCGCGGCTGGCGAGGCGCCTGCTTCTTCCTTCACCGCCGCGCCCATGGCATACGCACTTCTCGGATCTTTTGTGTCCGTGGACGACATCGCTCGAACACCGAGCGACAGCAAGCAGACGGGCGTCATCAAACTTGCAAACAGCATCCAGGATGAGGGCTACGATGTGCTCTGCCTTCCCCTCACCACCGATCGGTGGAAGAAGCGGTGGACGGAGACGTGCATCTCGTCGCTGGGGGAGGACGAGAGCAGCGGAGATCGCGATCGCGAGCAGCGCCTGGCGGACGAAAAGCGCGCCGAGGACTGGCGATCGCATCCCGCGTTCAAGCTCGATGAGGTGACGATGACACGGCTCGGTGAGTGTCAAGTTTGCATGTTCGACTCCTCTCTGTCAGACCCGCGACAGATGAAGCGCAGGGCGTTGTCGTCGTCGCGTCCGAATGGCTCGAGCTCGATGCCGCGGACGACTGGGTGCGCCACGACGCGGCGATCGCGCTGCAGCAGGAGCTCGCGTACGCCGCCTACCTCGGCATACAGAGCGTCATCATTCCTCGCCCTCGCAACCGCGAGCACGTCGCGTCGTACGCGCGTATCGTCAATGCCTGTCTCAAATCTGTCCCCTACGTCAACCTCTCCATCCGCCTGCCCATCTACGATCCCTCGAAGCTCGATGAGGGCATCCCCGCGTCGCCCTTCGTCCTTGGCCGCAGCCCGCGCATGTCCTCGTCGATGCCGGGCACACCGCAGCTGATGGTGTCGGAGGAAACGCGCTTGGCAGTGCCGCCGCGCGGGGGTGGTGGACCAGAGCGCGAGCTCAACACGACTTGGGAAATGTGGGACCTCATCCCGGACGATGTGTGACTACAACACGCGATTATCTCTAGGCAAGTATATTTACTGTTTGCTCATACAATAACTTACAGATCAACCTAGCCCTCGACCTCGCGCTTGCGCTGCCCTCGACCATAGGTGTCCTCAACCGCTGGTCCGCCGAGCCAGTCAGACACATATTCCTCCCCGCCTCCACCTTCATCGCAAACGCAAAGGGCTACCCTGTCCTCTCCAAAATCACCCAGTCCTTCCTGCGCGCCAGCATGACAGCGAGTGTCACTCTCTCTTCCACCCGACATAAACGCTAATGGCACTAGGCAGCATCAACCCACTATCATCCTCTCCGGCACGAAGGACGGCGTGCACGAGCGCGGAGGGGGCGCGGCGTACGTGCAGTACGTGCGCCACCTCGAGCGGACGAGCCCTGTGGTGCGCGCCACGGAGACGGAGGGCACGGTCGAGCACTTTGCGCAGGGATATCAGGATTATTTGCAGGCGCCGCTTCAGCCTCTGATGGATAACTTGCAAAGCGCGACGTACGAGACGTTCGAGCGCGATCCGGTGAAGTACCACCAATATGAGGAGGTTAGTCGAGGTACAATCCTGCTGTCCTTGTGCGCTGAAGATGTTTGTAGGCAATCTTCGCCGCAGTCTCCGACATGAAGGACGTCGAAAATTTGTGCGTACGGAAATCAACCGCCCTGTGAACATGGCTAATTCAGTCTCAGAACCATCTGCGTAGCCGGCGCAGGCCGCGGTCCCCTAGTAGCCCGCGCACTGAATGCCCTACAACGCGCCAAGAAGGACGCCAAAATAATTGCAGTGGAGAAGAACCCCAACGCCTTCGTAACGTGCGTCCTTCCCCGCTTCTCATCCGCCCTTCCACTCATCTTCGTATCCGTTCTTGCGCTCACCTCACAGCCTTCAACGCCGGCAGAGTGCGGAATGGGGCGACAAGGTCACACTGGTGTACGGCGACATGCGGGCTTTGGACGTGCCCGAGCCCGCAGATATTCTGGTCAGCGAGCTGCTGGGGTCCTTCGGGGACAACGAGCTCAGCCCGGAGTGCTTGGATGGCGCGCAGAGGTTTCTGAAGCGTGAGTGTAGTGGAAGCAAGGAAGTCGGCTTCAAGCTTACGACCTTCGGCCTTCTAGCGGACGGGATATCGATACCCTCTTCTTACACAGCGCATCTGGCACCGCTGTCGTCGGCGAAACTGTACAACGAGGCGCGCTCGGGAGCGTCGGCGGCTGGGAGCCCGGCAGGTGAGCCGCGCTTCCGAGTTGCTGAGTCGAACTGACCGATGGGGTCCTCTACAGGCCTCGAAACGCCGTATGTCGTGATGCTGCAGGCGGTGAACATATTGAGCGGCGATGGTTCTGGTGTAAGCGGTGCTTGCGGCTCGCGCATCCAGGAGTGTTGGTCATTTGACCATCCGCGGAGAGATGCGTTGCTGGACGAACGAGGTATGAAAAAAAGCTAATGGCTTACTCTGGTCCTAATGCGGTCTGATAGGTCTGCCATTGAGCAACAGCCATAACGTTCGAAGCGCGAAGTTGAAGTTCCACATACCGCATGCGGGGGTCATGCAGTACGTGCGTTTAACCGCGCAGCCGGTTCGTCAACCTAATGTCGCTAACAGCGGTCTCGCTGGCTACTTCGAAGCCGTGCTGTACGGCACCATCGGCCTGAGCATCCACCCCGAGCGCAAGGACCACGTCTCGAAGGACATGCTGAGCTGGTTCCCGCTATTCTTCCCGTTTAGGGTGAGTGATCTACGTCCGGTCTGGATTTGCGCTTGGCACCGCCTGCTCGACGGGCAAGGCTTCCCGCTGCGCCGTGGGGCGGTGCCCATTAGCGTGTCTCGCCAATGTTCAGTTGCCGCTCACACCATGATCTGCAGGAACCCCTCTACCTGCCCAGCAATTCCGAGCTGCACGTCTCCATCTGGCGACTGACCAACACGAAGCAAGTGTGGTACGAGTGGCACGCGGAAGCTTTCCTTGCCGTGCAGGCGATGGCGCCGCCCGGGCAGTGGCAGGGCCCGTCGCGCTCGTCGACGCTGGGCCTGCTCTCGCCGAGCCCGTCCGCGTTCGACATGCCGGTGCCCGCGAGCCCGCTCATCGACGCGGTGGACATGCCACCGTTCGGGTCGCCGAGCGAGGCGCCGGCGACGCCCGTGCGCGAGTCGAGCATCTTTAGGGCGCGCGCGGAGCCGTTGACCATGATCAAGATAGGGCAGACGAACCTGCACAATCCGGGCGGGAGGAGCAGCTGGATTGGGCTGTGAGTTTGGCGTGGCGTCCGTGGTGGCGTTTGGAATACAACTCCTCACTTTTCGCGGCTGACGCATGTGTGTAACATGTAATTAGTGCCATATAGCTGTTGTTTTGCATACAAGGTCTATCCTCTCCTTTCATATCGACGCGTTACGGTTGTTTTCTGAGGGATCAGTACAATCAAGCGGATGCCAAACTCGAAGTCGTCGATGGCAGTTCGCGACGAACACCTCAAACCACATGCTGGAGACGATGCCAGGAGCAGGCCAAGCCTACGCACCTCCCTTGTCCATATTCGGAAATGAGGGAAAGAGGATACAATATCCAAACGCCGGACAGATGTGTACCGACGACTCAAGGAGTGACCGTGAACCAAGGTTGCCGATGGAGAGCGGCAAATGCCGACGTCGGTACCGAGATCACCTGATCAGTTGAACTCACGGTTGGCATCTTGCACGACTTCCTTGTAGCACCTCCACGATTATGTCTGTACATGGAGCTACTGCCAGGTGTAGCTCTTGACTCTGCATACGTTGTCTGCACACTCTAACCGTCGACCCCACATCGGCTACAGTGGTTCATCCCTTTGGGTTGCTTTTGCGCGCGCGCGCTGTCCGTTGCTGCCCTTCAGAGAGGTCGAAGAGGCGAGCAGGGTTATAGGAACGATGAACCGCTCGTGAGCTACTCGGACGGAGGAGCGTTGAACGTTGAGCTACGACATCGCCGTGACACGGCAAGAGCTTCGGCGTTGAACCGGCGAGCAAGATGCCTCGTTGCAGCCTCGCGAAGCGCCTCGTTCAGATTTACCTGTGGGCTAGCCGTGTCAGATACAAGTAGGATAGCACTGCGTCGATGTTTGCCGGTTTTCTGTGAGAGAAAGATATTTGGCGAGTTGCCGAGCGCACTAGGCGGGAGTGGAAGGCCGTCATGGGGCTGCGTAGATCGTGACAAGCGGAATACAGAAGGCGCTGGGATGTAATCTTGGGTTATGCGAAGGGGCCGCGTGCCGGAGGAAGTACTTCGGGTTCCCGCCTTGGACAGTAAGTTGCGGTGAAGTTCAACTTTCATTTGGGTAGGTAGCTGGTGGGAACGGTCCGCGTGCTCGCAACAGCGGCCCTGGAGGCTGGGCAGGGTGTTGCCGAGGAGGCGCAACACCGCATCAGGCTGCAGCTGAAGAGCGCGATCGGTTGCTGTTCTTATCACGTGCGGGAGCTGAGTATGAAAATTGAAGTGGAGCTATAAAGGCAGGTGATACGCGCCGCAGTCGCCTCGTTGACTTCTTGTCGTCGTCTTCTTTCTCGAGTCCCCCCGCCTTAAAGCGCTCTTCGGTCGCATCCCTTCGCTCCTTCCCCGCCCACCTCAGCCACAATGAAGTTTCTCATCGCCGCTGCCTCGTTGATCGCCGCTGTGCAGGCGCTCACCATCAACACCCCGTGAGTCTGCAGCCCGCCGTTGCGAGGGTGTCCTGGAGCTGATCCTCTACTCGACAGGTCGGGCTTGACCGCATGCCGTACGCGCGCTTGATGCTCCGCAAATCGCCTTTCCTGACCCCCGTCCAGAGCCCTCGCTCCTTAGCTGGTCTGACGGCACCGCGCCGTTCTTCCTGACTATCCTCCCTGGCGGTCAGACTAGCGGTGCCCTCAAGTCATTCGACCAGACGGACGCGACCTCCATCACCTGGAACGTCGACATCGCCTCTGGCACCTCTATGTAAGCTGACCGGTTTGCTCCGCGGAGTGTCCTCGCTAACGCCGCGCGTAGCACGCTGTCGATCAAGGACAGCACGGGTAACATTGCGTACACCGATGCCGTCACCATCGCCAAGGGCAGCAACGAGGACTGCGTGAACGGCGATGCGACCGCGTCCGGCCAGACTGGCTCCGCCGCTGCGACCTCGGGTGGCTCCTCGTGCGTGCATTCTGTCGTGTGACATGTACGTTTTACTGATTTTACTTGCAGTGCCACCAGCGGCGGTAGCTCTGCCTCCACCACGAAGGCGAGCGGCTCCTCGAGCGGCGGCAGCGGCTCAAGCGCCTCCAGCACCGCGTCGAGCTCCGAGTCGAGCGGCTCCAACGCTGCCAGCGCACGCGCGTTCGCCGCCCCGGCCGGCCTCGCTGGTGTCCTCGGCCTCGTCGGCGCTGCCCTCTTCTAAGCGGCTCGGTAGTCCCGTACTTATCGAGTAGCTTACGCTTGTGCACGCCTTATCGCCCTACGCCTTAGCATCGGACACTACACCTTTCCTTTAGCCTCTGCGACCCGGACTCCCGTTTTATGCGTATGTTAGCACAAACTATTGCGAAAGGCTCAGGTCATCCGATGTGGGTGTGCATGGTATGTGAGAGGTCGGTCATGGAGGATTGAATAGAGCATTTATACCCTAATATTGGTCGTTCGACTTGATCTTGGTGAAACTTTGGGTGAAGGCTGTTTTGCTGAGGTCTCCGACAACATATGGACTGCGAGGTTGTCGTCGACGCTGTTGGCAATGCTGAGAGTCGCCGCGGCCGCGACCTGGAAGGTGTGAAACGTGTCCGTGGTGGTCCGAACGACCACGTGACCTTTCGCCTTTGAGCAATTTTCCTTTTTCGTTCCGGGCCTTGCTTCTAGTGTGCCTCGCGGCGAGTCAGTCGATCCGGCCTTTGCCACTCTTGTTTCTGTCCTTCATCCCAAGGGCGGTTCACCGGACCTCTCGTGGTTTTCTAACAAACCCACGACACTCTATCTCTCTCCGCACACCTCACGCTATCTAACGACACCCTCACGGACATGACCGACGTCGCGGTAGACTTGGACGCGTCCGCGCCCGCGCTGGACAAGATACGCGATGAGGAGGAGGTGGGTCGGTGGAGTCCTGGTGCGGGCGCGTTGCTGATTGTGCCACAGCTCGCAAACCCTGTGAACGGCGACGCGAAGACGCGCGTGCCGGACGTGATGGAGGTCTCGCTGAGCGGAGACACGCTGGTGGAGGAGACGAATGGGGTGCGTTTTTTCGACCTTTGTGAGGGCTGTAAGGGTGGCTGACGCGCATACGCAGCGTGTGCTGAAGGACGTGGTGAATGGGAAGCCGGTGGAGGCGCCGGTGAGCGCGAAGCCGGTGGACTTGGAGGCGCCGGTGAAACCTACGGACGTCGATTTGGAGAAGCCTGTGAATGTGGAGGAGCCTGTTCTGCAGGCTGCTGAGGTGCCGGCTGAGGTGCGTGGCGCGTCGCGCGCGATGAAACATTGACACTGACGCGCCGTTAGGTCCCGGCTGATGTGGTTGAAGAGGCCGAGGCTCCGGCCCCTGTCGATGAGGCTGCCGTTCCTGCTGAGGCGGACGCACATGTTCCGATCGAGGCGGAGGTCGCCGACGCGATAAACGCGTCGGACGACGTGCAGGACGACGCTCCTGCGCATGAGGACGCCTGCGCCCCTGCACACGAGGAGGTCCCTGCCCTCGTCGAGGCCGAGACCGAGACGGTCGAGACGCCCGACCTTGCGGCTGAGGTTGCGCCTGCTGCTGAGGATGCGCCTGCCGTCGACGTCTCACCGAATGCCGAGGTTGATGACGCGCCTGCGACTGTCGAGGCGCCTACTGCCGCCGACGACGTCGTGAAAGATGCGTCTGTGCCCGAGGCTGCCGAGGTTGCGCCTGCTATCGGGGAGACGCCTGCGCCCGAGATTGCTGAGGAAGCCTCTGCGCCCGAGCCGGCTGAAGAAGCCGATGCTGTCGTCGCATCCGAGGTCCTCGAGGCCAAGGCAGAGGAAGTGCAAGTCGTCGAAGAAGCTCCAGTCGTCGAGGATGCTCCAGTCGTTGAGGAAGCTCCTGCTGTCGAAGAGGCTCCAGTCGTCGAGGAGGCACCCGCTGTCGAGGAAGCGCCAGTCGCGGAGCAGGCGCCCGTCGCTGAAGATGCGCCCGTCGCCGCGGAAGAAGCTTCCGTCATTGCTGAAGATGCTTCCGTCGCTGCTGAGGAGGTGCTCGAGCTCACTGAAGAGGTTGCGCCTGCCGCCGAGGTTTCTGCTGTAGTCGAAGAGCCATCTGCGCCTGTCGAGGAGCCCATGCCTGTCGCTGAGGAGATTGCCCCCGCCGCAGAGGAGCCTGCACCTGTCGCGGAGGATGCTACCCCTGCCGCTGACGAGGAGGCGCCGGCTGTTGTCGAAGCCGAAGCGCCTGCGCCCGTCGCGGAGGAGGATGATGCTCCGGCCACGGAGAAGGCACCCACTGCCGTTGAGGAGGTCACGGCCGCTGTCGAGGAGCCGGCTGCGCCTGCTGAACAGGAGCCCACCGCCATCGAAGAGCCCGCATTTGTCGTCGAAGAAGAGCATGTTCCTGCTGCAGTCGTCGAGGAGGCCCCCACCGCCGTTCAGGAGGAGCCTGAGACCGCGCCCGTTGCTGTCGAGGAGGCTCCTATCGCTGAAGAGGCGCCTGTCGCTGCTGCGGAAGAGGCGCCTGTCGATGAAGAGGCGCCTGCTGCTACGGAAGAGGCTTCCGTCGTTGCTGAGGAACCCACCGTCGAGTCGGAGGAGCCTGAGACTGCTCCCGTCGTCGAAGAAGAACCTGCGCCTGTCGAGGAGACCCCAGCTGCCACTGAGGAGCCTGAAACTGCTCCGGTCGCCGAGGAGGAAGCCCTGGCTGCCGAAGAGCCAGCCGCCGAGGAGAAGGCGGAGGAAGTTGAGCCTGCAGTCGAAGCCGCTGCTGTCGAGCCGAAGCAAGAGGAAGAGATCCAGATCAAGCAGGAGGAGGAAGAAGTAGACCTCAACGCGCTGCCGGAGCTTGCGAAGGAGGAGGTTGTGGAGGCCGAGCCTGTTGTGGAGGATGTCGAGCCTGTCGAGGAAGAGATTGCGCCGGCGGTTGAGGAGACGCCCGTGCTTGTCGAGGGAGAGGCGATTGATGAAGAGGCGCCTGCTGTGGAGGCGGCCGCCGAGGAGGAGGCTCCCGCGGCTTCCGAAGAGGCGACACCTGTCGTCGAGGAAGCGCCTGCTGTCGAAGAGGCCGCGATCACGACAGAGGCCGTTGCCGAACCCGTTGCTGCTGTCGAGGAGCAGCCGGAGGAGCCTGTCGAGACCGTTGAGTCAACGTCCCCCAACCCCGAGGTCGAGGAAGCCGACAAGGAAGCCGTCGTCGAGCATATCGAGGTCGCTCCTGTGGAAGCTGTCAAGGTCGACACTGCAGCCCCCGAGTCGGTGACGCCAGAAGCGGAGGCGGTTGATGAAGCGCCCGAGGACATTGAGCTGACGGTGGAGGCGCCTACGCCGGCCGAGATTGATGAAGAGGCGGTGTTTGAGGACGACGTCGTGCCCGCCGTGACGGCTATCTCCCCTGCACCGCTTTCCGACGATGATGTCGCTAGCATCAAGACCGAGGACGCGAAGGAGGCGGACCCTGCGGAGGAAGCTGCGACTCCCGTCGAGAACGACGTGGCCCCCGTTGAGGACATCGCCACCCCCGATGCGGACGAGATCGTCCCCGACGTCGTTGTAGCTGCCTCCGCTAACATGAACGAGCCCATTGTTACTACCGAGGTTATCGACGCTGCACCTGTTGCCGCAGAGGCTGCGGAGGTCGCTGAAGCAGTTGAGGAGGCCGCTGAGCCTGAGACTGTCAACGCGACCGAGCCGACTGAGGACGAGTTAGCGCAGACCGACAGCGATGCCCTTTCTCCGCCTCAGTCTGACGTTGAGCGTCCTCGCACGCCGTACACGCCATCGTACAGCGTCACGCAGCAAGGTCCGGGTGCTTTCGAGGAGGACGAGATTGAGCTCCCGCCTTCTATCGTTGCGCCCGTTCCTGTTGCTGCAGAGGCTCCCAAGGAGGTGTGTTAGGCTTGTCATCGATTTCTGTTGTGGTATTAACCTAGATATCAGCTCGAAGTTGCGGAACCAGCGCCTCGCCCGTGGACCCCATCGTACTCTGTCACTGTGCAGGGTAGCGCCTCTCCCCAGCCGGAAGGTGCTGAGGAGGACGAGGTTGCGCCCGAGCCGACTGAGGAACCTGCCGTCGCTACCGAGGAGCAGTCTACGGAGAACGCTACTGGCACGACCCCCGAGATCGTCCTTCCCGAGGAAGAAGTTGCCCAGGTTTGTTCACTCGACAGTGTTTGTTTTCAGTTGCTAATCGTTACTCTAGATCGATGAGGAAGTGGCCGGACCCGTTGCTGAGGACAGTGAAGTGCCGGAGCGCCCCAAGTCGCCTTATCCTCAGTCATACTCGGTCAGCGTCCAGGGAAGCCCAGCGCCGAAAGCGTTCGAGCTGGATGCGGAGGAAGTGCCTGCGCCGGTCGAGGAAACGAAGGAGGAAGAGCCAGCAGTTGCAAGCGAGGCGGAGGTGTGTATGAGCTTTCGCATCGATAGCGAGGAAGCTGATTGAATGCCGTAGGCCTCTTTGCCTGCTGACGCCCCGGCTGTTGCCGAGGAAGCTTCCGTTGTTCCCGAAGTAGCCGTAGAGGACACTGTACCCGCTGCTGAGGTGTGTAGGAAGTGCAGGTTTTGTCTGCTGCATACTGACAAGTCCTCAGCCCGAGGTTGAAGAGGAAGCCCCAGTCGAGACGACTTCCATCCCAGCACCGCCTGAGGACATCGAGAGGCCAAAGTCGCCCTTCCCCTCAGCGTACTCGGTCACCTCTCAGGGTCCTGGTGTGGACTCGTCGGCGGCGGCTCCAGCTCCTGAGAAGCGTCCTGTTACGCCCACTGTCGTGGAGCCTGAGGAGGCTCGGGCGCCGGTCGTGGACCGTCCCAAGTCTCCCTTCCCGCAGTCGTACTCTGTCACGTCCCAAGGCCCTGATGAGCCTAAGCAAACTGCGGGACCCGATGTAGAGGTTCCCGAGCCTACGCACGAGGAGCTTGCTGCAGCCGAGCGCCCGCGTTCGACTTCGCCTTATCCTCGCTCGTACTCTGTCCTCTCGCAAGGCCCTGGAGAGGAAAGCAAGGCTGTCAAGGAAGAGCAGGTGCCCGCGGAAGGGGAACAGGAGGAGGTTGCTCCGCAGACTGACAGCAAGCCTGTGGCCGCAGAGCGTCCTGTTTCGCCATTCCCTTCGGCCTACTCCGTTACGTCGCAAGGCCCGGGGATTGAACCCGAGCACCCCGAAGAGCTTGTCGACGAGGAGCCGTCGTCGGACGCACCCATTCAGAGGGCAGCGACCCCGTTGATTGTCACGCCGCAGGAGGAACCGGAGGAACCTGTCGACCGTCCCGGGTCTCCTTTCCCTCAGTCATATTCAGTCTCTCGCCAAGGCAGCCCGAAGCCGGTCGCACAGCAGCTGGAAGAGATGGTCCAGGAGCCCGTCGAGCGGCCCAAGTCGCCCTATCCAGCGTCGTACTCGGTGTCTAGGCAAGGCAGCCCTCGCCTGCCGGAACCGAGCGCCGATGCCCAGGATGTCGAACGTCCGAAGTCGCCTTATCCTAAGTCGTACTCCGTCTCGAGGCAGGGCAGCCCTATGCCGCCCGAAGTGGAAGCTTCTTCTGCTAAGGCAACTGAGGTGAGTGCTTCGTGCAGTGCGTGATAGGCAGGTGCTGACTACTCTTACTCCAGGATTCTGCTCTCAGCTTCGACGCGCCGTCCACAGTAGTCGAGACTCCTGAGCGTCCTAGGTCTCCCTACCCGCTTGCGTACTCCGTGTCCACGCAGGGTCCTGGCACTCCTGGTACGGAGAAGGAGGCTGAGGAGCAACCTTCAGAGCTCGCCTTCCCTTCCAACAAGTACGCCTCCTTCCTTCTGATGATGCGATGCCGCTAATCTTTACGCTTTAGGACCGACACAACTAGCAAGGAGCCTCGGAGGTCAGGCTCGAGAAAGCGCCACGAGTCAACCGCGTCGCGCACGTCCGCGAGCGGCTGGCTAGCGCCCTCTGGAGCCTCTGAGCCCGTCCGCACCTCATTGGAAGCAGCACGAGGAGAGTTCACGCGCAGTGCTGTGCCTACGCCCGCGAGCCCAGCGGACAGGCATGACGAGCTGTCCATCGATGGCACCGAGGCGGAGGAGTCTGGCGCAGACGAGTCGGGAGCCGACTCAGACTCGGATTCGGATTCGGACGATGAGCCGCCGCGTCGTCGCTGGTGCACAATTATGTGATCTCTTCGACGCTCTGCCTCTCGTCAAAATTCGTGAGCGGAATCTCAGCCCATTCTGCTGTCCATGGGACTCTCGTCGGCATATCTTGCTTGCCTTTGCTCTCCTTCGACCCCTTTCCACTGCTTGCTTCGCTTCGACTCCAGCCATCTCGTCGCTCCCTCAGTACATAACGACCTCTCACGATAGCGCAACAACGATGTACATGATTTTTCTTCGTCTTCATTTCAAATCTAACGTTGATTCTCACCATCTGGAACAGCTACTCATCACTTTTCCCATTTCATGCCCATATCAGGTCTTTCTGGTGATCAAGGTCCTCGTAACTCAGTCCTGGTACATGGCGCGCATCCCCTTACATATCTGCCTAATAACCGTACACTGACTTCCAAAAGCTTGGCGTACAGTATCTGTGAATCAATACATGAGTTTCGGTTCTTCACATCGATCATGTTGCGCGGCAAGTGAGGATGAAGTGTTCGACGGCGCGCGGGGCGTTCGCGAGCGACTTGTGAGAGTAAGTCTACTTGCTCGTTTCCTTGGGAACGTTTGCATATACCTGCAGACAACCAGATGGACGTTTCGACTCCCTCGTTTGAATCAGTCTGCGCTCTTCGCTTTTCCCCTTCTTTCGAATGAAGTGTGGGCCGCGCGTCATTGAGATGGCCGATCAAGCTACGGTGGGAATATGGACCAATTCCAGTGGGTCTCTGCCGCTGCGGCACTTCTACATCGCTTCTCTAACCATGCCTTTGGCAATGACAGCTCGGGCACAGCATCGCACGTAAACTTCTTCTTCACACCCCCAGTGGCAGAAGCAACAAGCAACAGTTGTTCGAATAATTTAGCGCGACAAAGCGTATAAGTTAGCCATGCGTCGAGAAGTACGTAGAGGATGGTACGTAGGCATTCAGTACTGTTAATCAACAATGCACGCGCCGCGCCGCATAGCCTTCAGTCATCGGTCCACAGCACCGGAAGCCCATCGATGCCTTCATCTACTCCTTGAGTACGAGTGTACTCCTTGAGTACGAATGTACCACTAAGTACGAGTGCACTCCTTTAGAACGCCGAGCTGGCGCTGGCGCTGGCGGACGCAGACGCGCTGGAGGTGGGGTACGAGAAGGACGCGCCCTCGCTGCCGCTGGGGCCGGCGGATCCAGACGCGGACGCGGAGGCGCTGGCGGCGGACGTGGGGACGGACGAGCCGCTCGAGGCGGCCGAGGACGGGAAGGACGAGCCGGACGCGCTGCCGCTGGGAAGAGCAGACGACGCTACGCCGGAGGACGGGACGCCGGAGGACGCAGCACTGGACGGGAAGCCGGAGGCGGGCGCGGTCGTGGGGAAGGAGGAGCCAGAGGCGCTGCCCGAGGGGAAGCCGCCAGTAGGGAAGCCACCGCTGGGGCCGCTGCCGCTCGGGAAACCACCACCAGGAGCGCTACCGGTGGGGAAGCCGCCGCTGGGCGCGCTGCCAGTGGGGAAGCCACCAGAGGGACCGCCAGAAGGGAAGCCGCCAGACGGACCCCCAGATGGGAAGCCGCCGGAGGGGCCGCCGCTAGGGAAGCCGCCAGAGGGGCCACCAGACGGGAACCCGCCACTCGGGCCACCACTTGGGAAGCCACCGCTCGGGCCACCGCTGGGGAAGCCACCCGCGCTGCCCGTCGGCTGCGCGTCGCCCGGGAGGGTGAACGGCAGCGAGAACGGGAGCGAGAAGTCCGTCGGGAGCGAGAACGGCAGGGAGAAGTCGCTCGGGAGGGAGAAGGGAAGGGAGAACGGCAGGGAGAGCTCGTCCTGGCGCTTCCACTGCCCCGGGGGCGACGTCGCGCTGGGCTCGGCGGGGAAGCTCACGGGCGGGGCGCCGCTGCCCGAGGGGAAGCCACCGCTCCCCGAGGGGAAACCGCCGCCGGACGGGAGACCGGTGGGGAAGCCCGAAGGGAGCTGGGTGGGGAAGCCGGAAGGAAGCTCAGTGGGGAAGCCAGACGGAAGGTCGGTGGGGAAACCCGAGGGCGGGGCAGAGCCAGAGGGGAAGCCGCCTGAGGGGCCGCCAGACGGACCACCCGAAGGGAAGCCACCAGACGGGCCACCGCTAGGGAAGCCGCCAGACGGGCCGCCACTAGGGAAGCCTCCAGAGGGAGCGCTGGACGGAAAGCCCGAAGCAGAGCCTAAAGATGGGGTGTAAGCAAAGTAATCAATGGACGTGCGTAGCGAGGAGCTTACCAGACGGAAGAGCCGAGCTGACACCCGACGATGCCGGCGCAGATGAGGCCGCCGACGAGGCAACGCTGCCAGACGCGCTCGAGGGCGGCGCAAAAGAGCGGCTGAATCCAAGTTGAGTACAACTTCAATTATCGAGGGATCATTCTACTCACCGCTCCATCGGGGCAGCCTGAGCGCCAGCAATGGCGAGAGCGAGCGAGACGAAGGTGAGGTACTGCATTGTGAAGAGCGAGCAGGGAATGGACGCAGAGGGCGAGAAGGGAATGTAAGTGAGAGACTGGGGACTGATTGATGGAGGCACTCACAGCCAGCTCTTGAGTCTTATATACCAGTCTCGCACTCACACAAAGAAGCGTTTGATCCAAGTATACACCTGGCTCCAGGTGCATATGCCACCCTCCCTCCCCCGCAAAGCCGGAGGAACGAGCTGGAACGCACGCGCAAGCGACTGCGCTGATGGCGTCTAACCGTGATTTCCTCGTCAGCAGCCGACCCAATTCTGGCGGCCCCCAACCGAGATCGCCATCGGTTAAATGGCGTGGCAACCGTGTTCAGCGAGCCTGTCAGTGTCACTGGGGCGGGGCGCAGCGAGCGCGCCCGCACCCGCCACCAGTGGATCGGCTGACGACATGGGCGATATTTGGCAGCGTCAAGCTAGACACCGCTTGCGGCATCAATGGCTCGAACATGGCGGGTGCTGCGCACCGCGGCGGCGCTCTCCCACTTCTGGTGCGGGCACGTATGGTGGGGAAGGTAGGCAGCGATCGCGTGTCCTTCGGCTGTATCGGGGCAGGGTTGACGGTACTGCATGCCTGTGCGCTCTCCACGCTCATGCACGTAGCGACGCGCCCGTGCGAGCTAAATTCTGGTAAGACGGGTCAGCGTGCAGGGTCGGGGCAAGAGTTCGCATAGCTACACACAGCAATGGAATCGCCGAGGGTGTTTCCGGTCGAGCAGGAAGGGTATACGAAGGATACCTGGTGTTGAGAACGTTGCCATCCAAGCTGACTTGCTCACGACATTCTCAATCATATGATGAGGGCTACATTTGCTCTTAGGGTCCGGAGTCGACACCGAGAAGCGTATAACACCCTCACTAAAGCCGAGAATGAGGCTCTGAGGAATATCCTGCATGTCACTCGGTCCCGGGATGTCGAACTCATGAGCCTTGCTCGACGCGACCGCCTGAGCAGCGTCTCCAAGCGCAGCACGCCAGTAGCGAACTTTCCGCGAAAACAGTGCGCAGACTTGCACTGAGAACTATTGAGTGTGATGGTACCGGCCAAATAGTTTCGCGACGCAATGGAGGCCCTTGGCGCCATAACATCGTGTACCTCTGAATCGCCGTCCTGCGGTTTCGTCACTCCAACTACCATTGAAAGCCAGACAGGTGCCAACTGAGGTCCAGTGGTTGGCATGAATATGCAAGGTCCCATCTACGTGGTTGCAAGATGACCTCTGTACAGTCGACCCGTGGAGGCGGACCGGGAGAGGAAGGAGGATTCATTTGCTTGCGCATATTTGTCATCATCCATGTTGCAAATCAACACGCACGTGAGCTTGTTCCCTGGCTCAAACCGTCATGGCCATCTCGAGTCTCTCCGACGGACATCCCAGCACTCCAACTGCCTCTTCATATACTCGTAGAGGCCTTTTCAATACGACTTTCTCATGAGGAGGGACACCTCACATATACGTCACTGACTTTCAGCTGTCCCGAAGAGACAGTCATGAGCACTAGCCGGGCGACGACGAGACCTCGTCCTCTGACGATGTGGACTGGTCATTGGCCGCTGCTTCTTGCTGACATGCGCGAAGATCCTACATATAGTAGTTTATGCATAGCAAAAGACAGGTGGTAAGTACGCTTTCCCTCGAAGCCTCCTTTCCCCCCTTCCCAATAACGCGGCCATCATGTCGGACCGGCAAGCGCAAGAGAAACATGACATAGTGTCGCACAAGGATAACCAAGAGGAGTCCGCTACACATAAGCAACAAGGCAGCAGCAGACTTTTCAACACCTATGATGCGCAGAGACCGACACATAGCGTTTTTGATAGGTGGGCGGGCTAGCCAGATTACTCGATCGCTACTAACATCTTGTCAGCGTGCCTGCTGAACTCCTTGCTTTCATCTTCGAGGCATGTGTGGCGCTGGAGATGAACACGCCCAACAGCTTCTTTCACGAAACAAGCAAAGCGCCGTGGTCTCTCACACAGGTCTGCAGAAGCTGGCGTCAGACGGCACAAAATACACCCTCCCTATGGACGATTGTACGTGTTTCCGTCGACACTATCGAGGAACTAGGGCATCCTCCTGATGATACAGCTGCTATCCTATCAAGCTACCTCAGCAACTCGCACCCGCTGCCATTGTCCCTCGTCATCATCAGCGAGGACGAGTTCCCGGATTACATCCTTCTCCCTCTCGTCGATACCAGCGATCGCTGGTATGATCTCTTTCTGTTTACGCACCCCGACGACTTTGCGCGTATGGCAATCGTTCGTGGCCGACTTCCCGTCCTGCAGTCTCTGCAAATCATCCCCACGCGCGTTGGCGAACCCATCGTCGCTACTCCTGTCATGTTTGAGCTCGCTCCAGCTCTCACCAAGGCTACGCTCGGCGGACACGCCCTTAACCTCAACTTCGCTCTCCCGTGGGTCCAGATTCGCGACTTCGAGGCAAACTACGCCGCGAGCGCGGAGGTGCTGCCGCTGCTAGCACTCATGCCCGCGCTCGTCCGCCTCAAGCTCGGCCTCGAGCCCGCCGACCACTCGCCGGTGGACGCGCGCACCTGGATGGTCACGCACCCCGGCGTCCGGGCGCTCACCATGAACGTCGCGGACGGCCAGATCACGGCGCCCGACGACCTCATCGACAGCCTCACCCTCCCCGCCCTCACGGACCTCGAGGTCGAGTGCCCTGTCGTCGAGCGCGTCGAGAGCACGCGCGCCCTCGTCGCGCGCTCCGGGTGCGCGCTCGACGCGCTCACGCTCGTGATCACGTTCCGCTGCATGGGGACCATGGAGAGCCTGTTCCGGCTGGCGCCGCGGCTGCGCGCGCTGACCGTGTTCGACGGCGTGTCGATCACGAACCGGCCGCTGCTCGAGGCGCTCGTGGTGCGCGAGGAGGACCCGGGGGGCGTGCTGCTGCCGAAGCTGGAGAGCATCACGCTGCTGGCGAGCAGGCCGCTCCCTGCGGCGGACGTGCACCGCTGGCTGAGCGTGTTCGAGTCGCGCGTGCGCCCGAAGCAGCCGGAGGAGGGCGCGGAGAATGGGACGGAGGTCAGCCCGCTTCGCAGTATCTTGATGGGGTGCACGTCTGGAGAGAATATCGTCGATAACGAGGAGTGCGTCCATCGCTTCCACCGCATGATGGAAGAGGGCGTGAAGGTCGATTTGTGGTACGGACCGGACTTGTTCTGAGGATAATGGTCGCATTGTGGACTGTCTCATCATAATGGTCGCAATGCGGATCGTCTGATCCTATGACACTTGGTGCTCGTCTTTTCGGTATGATGTGTACTTTGTATCGCTACGGACGAAAGGAGAATCTCACTACTGTTGATGAATAGGGACTGATGCGCCACTGGAGGACCAACCATACGGAGCCACAACCTGCGGCGAAAGAAAGTCGTGACTTGTGACGTTCGGCTCCCTCTCTTGAAAGCCACCTTTCGTCCAACACCGAGGCGCTAAGCTCACCGCATGCACATGAACGCGGACAATCAAAATTTTGAGCCGTAAACCCATATATATTTGGATGCCTCTGCGACGCTGGATTCCTTCAGCTGGAATGTCTCCGAGTCGTTCTTGAGGTGCCTTTACTCATCTCTTCGCGATCGGCGCGAACCGCCGACCTTCACCAGTCGTGGTGTAGCACTCCTAGTGCTGATAACGAGCTGCTCCCTTTTTTGTACACGATTCTGGTGCACTGAACGACCCCCCTTATCCGCACTTCGAGCGTAATCTCCGCCCCCCGACTCGCAGCCGACTATGAACAAGATTGCAAGGCATCCCCCCTCCCACTACATCAGAGGCTTACCCGGCCAACCTTGACGATGCGCTATATGGTGGGCATGATGGTCGTTCTTGTCATCTTCGTTGTGACGGTGCACTCCGCTGGTTACTCGCCCGCTTTGCGTGAGTCGCCAAATCTTCGGCTAAGCGTGACATTTACCTCTACAGCCACATGCGCCGAGCTCTGCATCCCCCCGCCGTGCAACGGCATCATCACAGACTCCTGCTTCTGCAAGGATGCCGTCCTAAATTGCATGGACGGCGTCTGTTATAGTCCGACCGAATACCTGCAGGCGATAGAGGCGTTTGGTAGTTACTGTCCTGTCTGAGGCCCCTCGGGACCTCCAAGTGGTCGATGGTACATTTCCACGATTGCGCTGTCTTTGTCAAGTGCTCACACGTTCGACAGCCTGGCCAAGGAAATTGCGTCAATGCTGGATGTGAAAGACCTGGCAAGGCGAGCTAAGTCACAGTTGCGGAGATCTCCGAGACGTCAGGTGATCGTGATCAAATCGCGCCCACAATTCATTTTCCGCTTTTGTTCGTTACTCCCTCGCTACAAGTCAGGTCAAGTCATTGGCCTTCCTTGAGTGTAAGATTCCATCTCGACTTCATTGCTCGCTCTTCTTTGAACTGTATACAACGAGAGCATGGCCTCCGGTTACCCTCTTACGACCTAGTCCGAGTCGCTGGTTATTCTTCAATCTGGCACCCGAATCGGACAGGCCCAGTCCAAATTGCTCTCCGAACCGGAGGACCTCGCTTCGAATGAATACAACCATCTCAGGACGGTCTGCAACGTGGCTTCGCCCATTCTCGAGAGCACCGATCCGGATGCCTGAGACCCCTGCGACGTCGCACCCTCTCGGTGGGCCACGCAAGCGGTCGCGAGCTCTTTCGAGATGTACGCACAAACAGGATCAGAGTATGTCCTTCGAGCATAATCAGCTATGACGCCTCGGAAAGCACCCGCCAAAAGAGGGTAGTATAAAGGGGACCACACAGTAGAAGCCTCATCATTCCAACGCTCGACGTCGTCTCTCTGATTGCTCGACTTCGTCACCTCAGCCCCTCAGCACTTTTGCCATGTCCGCCCCAACCGTGAAGTACGTTCAGCTCGGAAAGAGCGGTCTCCGGATCTCTGTTCCTGTCGTACGCTGCTCACTGCTCACGACCGCGGCACGTTCCTCATGCTTTTAATCATTCATCTAGCTTGGTGCTATGAGCTATGGGAACCCCAAGTGGGCGGTAAGTCAACAATAGTCAGACCGCAGAATATACACTGACTGGGTTCTCAGGCCACGAATGAATCGACACAGTGGGTGCTTGACGAAGAGCGCGCCCTGCCCATCCTCAAGGCAGCCTGGGATCGTGGAATCAAGTAAGGCTTACTACAACGCGTCGTGATTGGGATATCAGGGCTGACGACGCAATAGCACCATCGACACCGCCAATGTGTACTCGAACGGCGACTCCGAGCGCATCGTCGCCAAGTTTATCGAGAAGGTGCATGACCTACCCATCCTTCCAACGGTTCACCGCTCACCTACCATCAGTACCAAATCCCTCGCGACGAGATCATCATTGCCACCAAATGCTTCGGCCTCGCCGCGAAGGACCACGACCACGAAGTATTCACACCCACGCAGTACCAGGTTATGCGCCAGCGCAAGGAATACGTTAACTGGATGGGCCTCTCTCGCGCGGCCATCTTCAACGCCGTCGAATGTTGGAATTCACGCCGGGCATCGTGCCCATCCCCGAAGGTCGTCGTATCGTCCCGATTAGTATAGAACATTATGGTATATTCTTGTTGGCTCATGACTCATGTAACAGTAGTATATATTGAGGGTAAAAGCCCGACTCACGAGTGAATCCATCTTGTTTCCTTCCCCCATCTTCGTGTGCCCCAAGTAAGTGTGGAATTATATTCCAGGTAAGTCTAGTCAGAGAATCCACTGCCTTCAATAGGTTATGAGCCCCGGCTCGTACTAGACTACCACTTACACACACAACCCCACGTACCGCACTCATCTGTACACATCGTATATCACAATGTCATCCTCTTCCGGATCGTACCGCATCGAGCTCCTCAACGAGGATAATTACCTCCCGTGGAAGCGTCGAGTGATCGCCATCCTGCGTGACAGGGACCTACTGGGTCATGTCGATGGCACGACTGCAAAGCCAGAGCCGAAGACGGCAGGATCACCGACAGCGGACGAGAAGAAGTCGATTGAAGATTGGGAGAAAAACGACGGAAAAGCGCAGAGCGTCATCGAGCTATCGCTCGGAAACGAGCAGATGACCCATATCTCGCAGGCCAACACGGCGAAGGAGATGTGGGAGCAGATACGGACAGTGAAAGAAGCCCGAGGAGATCTCGGAGCGATCGCGTACCGTAGACGCCTGTACCGTACAGTGGCGGACGAGACGACGGATATTCCGACGCACATCAAGACGTTGCGCGAGATCCAGTCGATGCTCATCTCGATGGGGGAGAAGATCGAGGACAAGGAGTTCATCACGATCCTCATTAGTTCGTTGCCCGAGACCTGGGACCAGTTCACATCATCATATCTAGGTGCGAGGAATGCAGCTCGTATTGGAACAACTAATTCTACAGGTACTACGACTACGACGAGTCCGTCTCCATCCACGGGTACAACCCAGCCATCAATCTCGACATTCGAGCTTATCGCGCTCATCATGGACGAGGATCGGCGGCGCAAGGAAAAGTCCGGCACGGCCGGAGGAGATTCTGCGCTCGCAGCAATGAGCGGCAGAGGGAAGGACTCGCGTGGCAATCGCAGCCAGCGAGGCGGCGGCGAAGGCGATTGCTTCAACTGTGGCAAACGAGGCCACTACAGCAAGGATTGCTGGTCGAAGGGCGGCGGAGCCGAGGGCAAAGCGCCGCACCGCAAGAAGAAAGGCCGACAAGGTGGCTCGCAAGCACACCAAGGATCGGCTTCGGCATTCTCAGCTAGGGTGCCGAACGACGCGGTATTGACCGCAGAGACGGCGTCGACGAAGACGTTCGACGCGAAGATGCCACGCGACGCGTGGCTGTCCGACTCCGGGTGCACGACGCACATCGCGAACGATCGGGAGGTATTTGTGGAGTTCTCGCCCATTGGGGACGAGAAGATCACCGGCATCGGTGAGCAGGCGATTACGGCGAAAGGGCGCGGGACGGTGATCCTGGAAAGCAACATTGGGGGTCAGTCAGAGACGATCACCCTACATAACGTGTTGTACGCACCTCAGGCCGTGAATAATCTATTTTCCATCCCTCGTGTCGACGAATCCGGAGGCCGCGCGACGTTCCGCGACGGCAAGGTGCGCATTTCGAACTCAGCGGGACGCGAAGTCCTGATCGGAAGCTTGAGGAACCGCTTGTACTGGCTCGATGCGCGAGCAAGGCGGGTGAAGAACCACGCCGGCGTTGCAGATGGAGATGACGAGGGGACGGGGGGAGCGCATGGCGAGACGTGGGAGGCGTGGCATAGGCGCTACGGCCATATCTCGAAGGGCGCGTTAGAACTCCTGTACAAGGGCGGAATGGTCGAGGGACTCACCATTGACCCGAAATCCCCCCAGATCACCCACTGCGACGCGTGCATCCAGGCGAAGATGCACCGCCAACCACTACCGAGGCAGGCTCGGCATCGCGCACAGAACACGGGCGAAGGCGCTCATAGCGACCTGTGGGGGCCAGCGCGGACGCGATCTACGGAGGGGAATTATTATTATATCTCCTTCACGGACGACGCGACGCGCCGTATCACAGTACTGTTCTTGAAGGACAAGGGCCAGGCACGCCAGCGTGTCGTTGAGCACATCGAATGGCTCGAAAGGCAGTACGGGTACAAATTAAAGTGGCTCCGTGTTGATGAAGGACGCGAGTATATGAGTGATAAGCTGACGGACGAGCTGGCGAAGAGGGGGATCGAGCTCCATCAGACGGCGCCGTACAGCCAGTCGCAGAATGGAGTATCAGAGAGAATGAATCGATCACTGGTCGAGCTCGCGCGTGCCATGTTGCTGGCACGCGAACTCCCGAAAAGCCTGTGGGAATTCGCGGTGACGCACGCGGCGTACATCCGAAACCGGTCGCCAACAGCTGCCTTACCGGGAAACAAGACGCCGCACGAGGCATTTACCGGCGAGAAGCCTAACGTAGCAGACTTACACGAATTTGGATGTCCTGTGTGGATTTTTGCCGAAAATGTGAAGTCTATCTCAAAGCTGGATGCGAGGGCTACCGAGCAGACATTTGTAGGCTATGTTACAGGGCCGAGAGCAATTCGGTACTACGACAGGAGGACTCACCGAGTCAAAGTCTCAAGGAACTACCGATTTACGGAATCGGCGGCCCCAATCAACGAGATTGCCGCAGATCTCGAGAATTGGCCGCTTGAGGGGGAGCCCCAACCGGTCAATCAGCCATCCTCGAGGCCTGCGACGCCTCAGCCCACACCCCAGCTACCGAAGACGCCACCAACGCAGAGCAAACCCTTAACGGAAGCGCCACCAGCACCTACGAAGGGAAAATCAGCACCGACTACCAAGACGAGTGACGAGAACGCGGGAACGCAGCCGACGAGGCGCGTACTCACCCGCAGGACGCAAGACACAAACTACCGACAGCTCGGTAACCCCGACGCACGACTCCAGGCATCGGAGCGCACGGGATCGCGACGCACGGATAATCCAGAGGACGCCGAGGACGACCCATTCACAGCATTTGCGCATTATGCGATGCGCGCGGCGGGAGCGGGTGATAGCGAGGATGACGTGCCGAAGTCAATCGACGAGGCGCGCGCGTCGCCGCAGTGGCCGCAGTGGGAAGCGGCCATCCAGGCCGAGCTGAAGACGCTTGAGGACATGAAGACGTGGACTCTTGAGGACTTGCCGGCCGACCGCATGCCTGTTGGGGCGAAATGGGTGTTCGCTCTAAAGAAAGATCAGCAGGGGAACATTGTGCGCTATAAAGCGCGCCTTGTTGCGAAAGGATTTTCGCAGCGTCCCGGGCTTGACTACAGCGAGACGTTCTCGCCGATTGTACGCCCGGAATCCATCCGAACGCTCCTCGCGATCGCAGCGATCCAAAATCTGGAAATGCGTCAGCTCGATGTGAAAGGAGCTTACCTACACGGAGACCTCAAGGAGGAGGTCTACATGGTCCAACCCCCCGGTTTCGAGGACGAGACCGGACGCGTCTGTCGTCTACGCAAGACGCTGTACGGACTAAAGCAGTCAGGACGTGAGTGGAATCGAAAACTGCACGAGATACTCACCTCGAACGGCTTCGAGCGACTTCAAGTCGATCACGGTGTTTACAAGCGCCACATCGGAGATCAGTACATCTTCCTCACGGTATGGGTCGATGACTTACTCGTTTTTAGCACGAGCTCTACCCTTATCGCCGCGACGCAGGCCGCGCTCGCGCGCGAGGTCGAAGTGACCGACATGGGGGAGCCACAGAAAATCATCGGGATCGAGATCTACCGCGATCGAGAGGCGGGGACAGTCCAGATATCGCAGCAGAAGTACATTGAGACGATCTTGAAGCGATATTCGTTCGACAACATGAGCTGCGTAACGACGCCCCTCGATCCGAATGTAATCCTGGAGAAGTACGACGGAAGCGGAGAAGTCCGAGATGCGAGAGGTACGAGTTTCGCTGAGTATATGGGGAGCTTGATTTGGGCCGCCACGATGACACGCCCGGACATAGCGTATGCAGTCTCGCGCGTTGGCGCGTACACGGCGAATCCGGGACAAGCGCATTGGACGGCGATCAAGCGCATCTTCCGCTATCTGCGCGGCACGTGCAACTTGCGCGTGACCTACGGCGGACGGACCGAAGTTGAACTTAACGCGGCTGACCCGGACTTGACCTCCATCTTCGACGACTACGGCGCATACAGCGATGCCGACTTTGCTCAGAACCCGGACGACCGCAAATCAGTCTCCGGCTACGTTTACCTACTCGGTGGAGGCCCTATCGCGTGGCACTCCAAGAAGCAACCAACAACGGCGCTCTCAACCGCGGAGGCCGAGTACTCAGCGCTAACAAGCGCGACACGGCAGGCCATCTGGCTTCGCTACCTCTTTGGCGAACTCGGATTCGCACTGGACGAGCCCACCTTGATTTTCTCTGACAATCAAGCCGCTTTGTCAATCTCGCACGACCCTCAACACCACGCTCGATCGAAGCACTTCGACATCGAGAATCACTTCGTACGGGAGAAGATAGAGCACGGTATAGTGGACGTTCAGTACTGCCCTACTGACGAGATGCTTGCAGACTTATTCACCAAAGGTCTGCCTCGCCCAAAGCACGAGAGATTCGTGTACGAGATGGGCCTGATGCCGGCTTGAGGGGGAGTGTTGGAATTCACGCCGGGCATCGTGCCCATCCCCGAAGGTCGTCGTATCGTCCCGATTAGTATAGAACATTATGGTATATTCTTGTTGGCTCATGACTCATGTAACAGTAGTATATATTGAGGGTAAAAGCCCGACTCACGAGTGAATCCATCTTGTTTCCTTCCCCCATCTTCGTGTGCCCCAAGTAAGTGTGGAATTATATTCCAGGTAAGTCTAGTCAGAGAATCCACTGCCTTCAATATCGAACAATCGCTCGAGCGCCTCAACACCTCGTACATCGACCTCTACCAGATCCACCGCTTCGACCCGGACACGCCGCCTGAGGAGACGATGAAGGCGCTTCACGATCTCGTTGTGATGGGCAAGGTGCGCTATATCGGGGCGAGCTCGATGCGGACGTGGCAGTTTGCACTTTTGAACGAGGTCGCGGGGAAGCACGGTTGGACCAAGTTCGTGAGCATGCAGAATGAGTACTCGCTGCTCTATCGTGAGGAAGTACGTAGGCCTACACACTCGGATTGTTTAACGTCGAATGCTCATGGCTTTTCTAGGAGCGCGAGATGATTGCGTACTGCAAGTACCACGGCATCGGACTCATCCCCTGGTCGCCTCTGGCCGGCGGCGCGCTCGCCCGCCCCGTCAGCTCTGAAGAAACTCCTCGCTGGAAATCGTTGACTACATACGGCATCAACAAGCAGTACGCAATCGACGCCGAGATCATCAAGCGTGTCGAGGAGGTCGCGAAGAAGCGTGGCTGGGCGATGTCTCAGGTGCGTATTCTACGCGTTATCTTCAGCTCCTGACTATGGTCCTGATACTTTCTCTAGGTCGCCCTCGCATGGGCTCAGCGCACTGTGGACAGCCCGATTGTCGGCTTCAACTCCATCAAGCGTGTCGATCAGGGCATCGTGAACGACGAGCTTACCGACGAGGAGACCAAGTATCTCGAGGAGCCGTGAGTGATTGTGAAGCTCCGAACCCATAACAATTTAACGGCTTTTCTTCTCATTTATCAGCCGAAGCCCGTTCAGGGCCACGCTTGAAAAATCATAGGCGCAGCGAGTCGACGAGAATGTATCAATCATATTTGCACCTGTACAAACATATTCTCTGCAATCATACAACTATATTTCATCGCAACATTCCTGCATCTACTGGACTGCATAGAAGCGAGAGCACATGCAGCATGATCAGCGCTCACCTTGAGGTCACGGGGATGTTCATGTTCAATTGACATGTGATCCTGGAAAAGCAATCCGGCACTTGCCGCACGTCGACGCTTTGTCACCCTTCCACCGCATGCGTTGTCTTCTTTCCTGCCTGCTAGGAATATCTACCTGCCTTTCTCTCTATCTCTATTGCTTCTCTCCGTCGGATGCGAACCATAATTCTGTAAAGGATGAAGTGTAATGACGAACGCTCAACGGCTTCTTCAACGTTCGCTCTGTTCTTGCGCCCTCTGATCGGACTGTACTTGAACATCGCGCGCAGTTCTCGACAAGACATCAATGGACCTAATCACCCAGAAGCAAAGTACGGCGCGGCAGTAGTCGAAAGAGGGCCCCTTTCGCCCATAAGACGCGACTTGCACTGGCATATAGAAGCTATCAATACCCCTCGCTGAAATACAAAGTCCAAACATGATATTCCAGCTGCAGCCCAAAATCCTCTGTACGCGGAGAGACTATGCTACGCGGCTCCTCTCTTTGCAGCCCTGCCCCGGAACGCTGTTTTCGGCCTGGTGATTCTTCGCCCTGGGACCCGAATCGGACAGCGATTATCCGGGTCGCACTCCGAAACGGAACACGCTGAAGACCCGAACTTCGCGTCATACCAATCACTCTACGACATCCCTCTGCGCTGCTTCGTTGAGATTCTACAGCCTCGCGCAGTCGTGGCCTCAGTCCGAGCGATCGCTCACAACCTCGAGATGCACGGAAGCGTAGGCTCAAGGTATGTCCTGAGCAGCAGAGCCAGCGATGACGCTTCGGAAGGTAGCCGCAAGATTGGGGAAATATAAGAGGGAGGCAATAGAAGAGAATGCATCGTCCCAACGTTCGACAGCATCGATACTACCACGTCCTCAATTCTCACAATGTCAGCACCGTCTGCGAAGTACGTGCAGCTCGGGAAGAGCGGCCTGCGCATCTCGGTCCCCATTGTACGTCCCTCCACGCTCTCCAAGGTGGTCCGTCGCCAATGAAATGTCCAGCTCGGTGCCATGAGTTACGGGAACCCGAAGTGGGCGGTGAGTCGGCGGCAAAACAGCTCTTAGCGGTATACTGATCAGGATATCAGGCTCCTGAAGAGTCAATGCAGTGGGTGCTAGACGAAGAGCATGCTCTCCCCATCATGAAGGCAGCCTGGGACCGCGGAATCAAGTAAGTCAACCTTGTGTCCAGAAGGAACGTACCCCTGATGACACACCAGCACAATCGATACCGCCAACGTCTATTCAAACGGTGACTCCGAGCGCATTGTCGCCAAGTTCATCGAGAAGGTACACCGCTCTTCAGTTTCCCATAATGAATGCCACTGAACCGACTTGCAGTACCAAATCCCGCGCGACGAGATCGTCATCCTCACCAAATGCTTCAACCTCACCGCGAAGGAGCACGACCATGACGTCTTCACGCCCGCGCAGTTGCAGGTCCTGCGCCAGCGCAAGGAATACGTGAACTGGATGGGCCTCTCCCGCGCAGCTATCTTCAACGCCGTCGAAGAATCGCTCAAGCGCCTTAACACCTCGTGCATCGACCTCTACCAGATTCACCGCTTTGACCCGGACACGCCGCCCGAGGAGACTATGAAGGCCCTCCACGACCTCGTCGAGTCCGGGAAGGTGCGCTATATCGGAGCGAGCTCGATGCGCACTTGGCAGTTCGCGCTCCTGAACGAGGTCGCGGAGAAGCACGGCTGGACGAAGTTTGTGAGCATGCAGGATGAGTACTCGTTGACATATCGCGAGGAGGTGAGTCGCTTTGTATGCTTTTCGGCGAGCTTGTGCTCATGATGTCCTTAGGAGCGTGAGATGATCCCGTACTGCAAGTACCACGGTATTGGCTTGATCCCCTACTCGCCTCTGGCCGGGGGCGCACTTGCCCGTTCGCTCGGCTCTCAGGCGACTCCTCGCTCGAAAGCGCTTCCCTCCTACGGCATCGTCAAAGCGAAAGAAATAGACAACGAAACTATCAGGCGCGTCGAGGAGATTGCAGAGAAACGCGGTTGGGCGATGTCCCAGGTATGTTCTTTCACAGATCATGGCTCTTTCACTCTCTGACTGTTTGCATCGACAGGTCGCGCTCGCATGGGTTCTGCGCAATGTCTCCAGTCCGATCGTCGGCTTCAATTCTATCAAGCGTGTCGACCAGGGTATTGTGGCCGGCGAGCTTACTGACGAGGAGGCAAAGTATCTGGAGGAGCCGTAAGTCTTCATGATCTTCGCATGGACTGTCTAACTGACATATCTCTTCTCTCAGATATCAGCCAAGGCCCATTCGCGGTCATGCTTAAAGGCAGGCCAACGAAAATAGTGTATATCAACCTGTAGTACCAAATGTTTCCAATTGTTGTTCGTCTCCAAATGCCTGATCTTCTGGACGCGAATTCAGGAGTAGCACTGGTGTACCAATTCTGGCGCCAGGCTGGTGTTCGAACTCGCTCATTTGACCTGAGAGTGATGGCTATCGGCACTTGCCGGACGCCCCCGAGCGCTTGCTTCGATGCTTGGTTCTGACGAGTCCTTCTACCGCGCACTACTTCCTTCTTCATACCCATCTTATCCTCCTGCCTTTCGTAGCCTTCTCTACCCCCCAATCTTGCTCTCGATCCATGTCCAAGAAGACCAAATCGTTCGCCGCCTCATCCCTACTCGATCTGAAGGCCGAGCTTGCGCAGCAAGAGGCGGACGCTAAGACGCGGCGTGCTGCTGGGGGAAAGAAGGAGTACATCGCCGGTGGTGTGAAACGATCAGAGAAGGTGCATGCAAGACGCTCGTCTGCGTGGAAGGGGCTTGCTGATGAATTGCTGGCCGTTATGTCCTTCCACCATCTGTCGCTGCTTGCACATCATGCGCGCTGTACCGACCGACTTATGATGGACGCAACTACCTAACAGAAAACCACGGCATGGCTACGAGCGAACAAGGGCGTGAAGTCGCGCGCTGAGCGCGACTTGCAGATGGAGGCGGTCGATCGGCCCACGCTGGAGTCGTCTCGCGCGAGGTTAGAGGAGAAAGTGCGCCAGCCCGATTTGAGATGCCCCACCCGCCCTTGGAGTCCCCTACGCCTTCATGATCATCCTCTAACCCCGACGAATGCGTACTTACACGTCCGCAGGCACGAATATATGACAAGCTCAAGCGCGGGCAGACAGCTGGGCTAGATTCCGCACACTACGACGCGCTCCTGGTCGATGTGAGCACCGGCAGACATTCATTGTTTTGCCTCTTGTACTTATGGAAGATGCGCCCAGTTCGACGCCAAAGGATACGAAGCGCACAGCGATGACGAGGACGAATCCCTGACAGTGCCAAGAGCACCTAATGAGGTGCGTTATGCCAGCATCCGTATGCGCATCTGCTAATGACTGCCTGAACACAGAATGACCCTATTGTCGAGTACGTGGACGAGCTCGGCCGCACGCGCACGGCACGCAAGTCGGAGGTTCCACGAGAGTTCATGTACCAATTTGAGGAAGGCGGCGCGGAAGACAGCGATGAGTGCGTAATACGCTGCTACTACTATATCGCTACTGACATCACTTCTCACAGAGATCTTGTCATCCGCAATCCCGAAGGCTTCTTCCCAACATATCATCCAACTGAAGAGCGCGTTGCCCAGATTGAGAAAGACTTTGCCGAGCAGACGAAGGTGGAAGGGCATTACGATGCCCGGGGCGAGAATCGTGCGCGCGGCGCCGCGTTCTACGCATTCTCGCAAGATGAAGAAGAAAGAAAGCGGCAGATGGAGGAGTTGAAGGCCGCGCGGGACGAGACACGCACCGTGCGACAGGAAGTAGGAGCGGAAGAACCTGCGGTAGGGGAGATGGTGGGGATGCGGTTGGACGAGGAGCTTGTCGGCGACGCGAAAGGCAAGGGAAAGGCGAAGGAGGTAGCGGGAACTGGGATGAGCAAGGCAATGGAGAAGCGGAAGAGGGAGAGGGAGGAGAGGCAACGAATGCTGGAGGCGAAGCGGAGGAAGTTGCGAGGGGAGCCGGAGCCTAGTCCTGCACCAGCACCGCCGCCTCTTGTCAGCCAACCCCCAAAGTCTACGCCTGCAGATCCGTTCGCTGCATTGGAGGCGAAGGAGAGGAGCGGTAAACGAGATGAGGCGGATGCTTTTCTGGCTTCATTGGAGACGGAGCTCCGAGGAGGGACGAAGTAGTGGCTTTAGCGTAGAAATCATATTTGCGACTCTCGAGTCCACTCAACATCTATACACGCTTGCCCGAGTACATGACTGTCGGATGTGCGATGCGCGACGTGGTCGACGTCGCTGCCATCAGTTGTCGGTTGCCAAAGCCGGACCGGGTTCTGGGTTGTCGTTCGCTGTTCTTTACTCTCACCATCATCGTCCTGCTCGACTCTCGATTACTTTTACTTTTACGTACGCCGCGTTCTCCGTGCGCTTCCGTACGACGGACGCGCCCCGCACCGCCGCGCAGGACGCAGTTGACAGCCACCACCATCGCCATCATCGCCAGTCAACACATTCCGAAGGAAAATGTGCGTCGCCTGCCGTATGTGGCGAGCTGCATGCTGAGCCGTATCGATACAGGCCTTTGCCTGACGAGCGTCCGCGTGCTAGCGTCGCGAATCTCATCGGCAAGTTCGAACAGCAGGGCAAGCGCGCGTCAATCGGCGGCACACCGACTCCGTCCAGAAGCGGCAGCGTCGTCTCGCATATCACCGGCGACTCGGCCAAGGAGGAAGCGAAGGAGCGCAGGGAGTGGCCACCAAAGTCGATCGCCCAGGATGCGCGATCTCCGCCGCCGTCGTCGTTCCGCGCGCTCTCGGACCCCGCCCCGCCTCCACAAGCGGAACCAGAATCGAAACCGGTAGCCAAGCAGCCCGCGCAGACGCCAGCCTCGCCGGCTCAGAAGAAGACCGCGACTGCAACGCCAAAGGGTCCGGCGTCGAAGACCGCGGCGACGGGCTCGCGTAGCACACCGACGCCATCAAAGCCCGTCGGTACCCTTCGCCCGCAACATACTGGGACCGCATCCGCCGCGTCGCGCAAGAGCCTCACACCCAAGGCCCCTGCCACGCCAGCAGGCCGTAAGACGCCGTCAGCAAGCATGCGCGCCAAGACACCCACTTCCGCGAAGACGACGCCGTCGAAGACCCCAGCTTCCCCAGCCAAGTCCTCCCCCGCAGGTGCCTCCCGCCCCAAGACTCCCTCCAGCGGCGGCGGCCTATTTGCCCCCACCGCGGCATCTCTCGCTCGTGCACGCGGCGCGGAGACGCCCAAGGTGCCGACGAAGCGCACGACGCTGAGTCCCGAGGCAGCTGATCGGCTAAGCAAGCCTACGGCTGCGTCCCTTCGTCGTTCCGCTGAGAAGGCTGCTGCAGCGTCTCCGCCCTCAAGAGGCGCTGCACCTGCCCGCGGGACTGCCACGCGAGGGAGGGTCGCGCCTGCAAGGGGCCATGCGCCAACGAGGGGAACCGCCGCGCCTACAAGAGGACGCGCGACGCCCGCGCGGGGTGCGGCACCGAAGAAGGCAGGCTCGTCCACGGCAACCAAGGCAGGCGCGGGTGCGGCAGCGGCCGGTGTAGCCGCGGTGGCTACTACGGCAGCAGCGGAGATCCCAGATGAGGAAGATCTGGTTCCCGAGTCTACCAACGGTCATGCCGCCGAGGAGCAGGCCCCGGAGGAGCCTCACGTTGAGGCCGAAGTCCCCATCGAGCACGAAGCAGCGGAGGAGGCGCATGTCGAGGAAGAGGCTCATGAGGAGCCCGCCGCCGAGGAAGAGCACGACCAGCCCACTGAACAGGAGCTTGCTCATGAGGAGGACGTTCATGTCGCAGAGGCTCATGCCGCGGAGGAGCCTGCCGAGGATGTTGCAGCTGAAGAGGCGCACGCGGCAGAGGAGGATCATGCCGAGGAGGCAGAAGCGCGTGAAGAAGTTGAGGCGGCAGAGCACGACATGGCCGCCGTCGAGGCTGAACAGACCGAGGGCGCAGCTGAGCCTGCTGTCGAGAAGGCTGAGGCCGAGGAAACCCACGAGCCCGCTTCGGCTGCTGAGGAACCCTGCGCGCCTGCTGCCGAGGTCACCCCTGCTTCCGAGGAGCCTGTCTTCGCCTCGAACGCCGCCGAGCCCGCCACCGTCGGCGACGATCTCGCCGACATGGTCCGCATGCTGGAGGTGAAGTCGCGCCCGATGTCCATATCCGGCCTCGCGGAGATCCCGGATTTCGAGTAAGAAGAGGGATGAGGGCGTTGGGCCTCGGACGATGCGTTAATGGGTGGAGACAGTGATATGGAAGAAAGAAGGAGATCTTCGGCGACCGTACGCAAAGTATATATACCACCTGTCTGTAGCAGGACGAGTACATGAATGCAAGGTGCGTGCACATTATGACTATCTCCGCAAGGAGGCTCATTGCGCTCGCAGTTGACCAAGCGCTTGCCCCACTACTGCCACTCATCTCGACGACTCATCCTCTAGCGACGCTTTCCCTCTGTTTCGCGCTACGAATATTGTTCACATTTCTGTTGGGAGATCTTACATTCTTTTTAGTACGACCCTATTCACGCGGTGCTCGCCTATGATACCATTCGGCCTTCTGCCCAGCTCATCGACTTCCACCACGATTATTCACCGCCGCCCGCCCCTTTGGCGGGCGGCTGTCTCGCTCTCTGGTTCTTTTCATGACGTTGCTGGGATATCTCTAGTTTTTCGGTCTGCGCGTTATGGTACCCTGTTCAGCTACTCTTCCATTGACGTCGTCCTCTGACATACATACACTTGCATATTTATACCACAATGCGCCTCGTTCAGCCAGAGTCCTCGAGACCAAACAGATAATGCAGTGGGATCGTCCGAATGCCAGGCAAGGGTAAAACGTAGCCTTACAATGGAAAGACGCATGGACGGCAGTCAGCGTTCACGCGTGTCCGCGGACGGGCTTCGGCTGGTATCTGTACAGAATGTCAGTGGGTGGCAATGAGCGTGCAGCGAAATCTACTGACGGTTCCTCCAGGTACTTGGCCTCTTCGTCCGTGAGCTCTCCATCGACGATAGCCTGATCAACGCGCTTCACCGAGTTGAAGCCAACAATCGGACTGGTGACAGCGCGCTGTGCCCAGGCAAGGGCGACCTATTCAGACTGTCAGTCCCGCCGGAAGGACACATTGCTCCAGGACAAACCTGCGACATGGTCCAGCCGCGCTTCTTGGCGACTTCTTCGACGCGTTTGATGATCTCTGCATCGACCTCGTCCGCCTTGCTAAGCCCCAGGGAGGAAAAGAGCTTTGCGCGTGGGGTATTGGCCGAGTCCGAATCGCGAGGACGCGCGAGCAAGCCGCCTGCAAGCGGTGACCATGGAATCACGCCGATGCCATGGTACTTGCAGTATGCCAGCATCTCGCGCTCCTGAACCAACATCGTCAGCCCAGATTGAGGATGCAACGACAGGTAATCTCACCTCCTCGCGGTAGAGCAGTGAATACTCGTTCTGCATACTGACGAACTTGGTCCAGTTGTGCTTCTCCGCAACTTCATTAAGGAGAGCAAACTGCCAGGCGCGCATCGAGCTCGCGCCGATGTAACGAACCTTGCCCGACTCGACGAGGTCGTGCAGGGCCTTCATTGTCTCCTCGGGCGGCGTGTTGAAGTCGAAACGATGGATCTGAAGGAGGTCGATGTAGGACGTGTTGAGCCGTGCCAGCGAGCCCTCCACGGCGTGAAAGATAGCCGCGCGCGAAAGGCCAGACTGGTTGATGTACTCCTTGCGCTCGTTGATCGTCGGGAACTGAGCCCAAGTCATGACATCGTGGTCGGGACCTTTCCCTACGAGGCCCCAGCATTTGGTGGCTATGATGATCTCTTCGCGAGGGATCTGGTACTGAAGCCGAGTTAGCGAAAGAAGACCCCAGTGTGCGCGGGCTGTATGCTTACCTTCTCGATGAATTTGGCCACGACGCGCTCGGAATCACCGTTCGAGTACATGTTAGCAGTGTCTATGGTGCTGTCGAACACAGTCAGCGTCCTGTAAGCTACAAGGTCTAGCATATCCTGACTTGACACCGCGGTCCCAAGCGGCTTTCAGGATTGGGAGCGCTTGTTCGTCCCCAAGAACCCACTTAGTCGATTCGTCTGTTGCCTACAACTCAGTTAGTATTGAAACAATCGCTTGAAACCTGTAGTACGTACCCCCCAGTTGGGATTGCCGTAGCTCATAGCGCCGAGCTGAGGCTGCCTTGAGCGATCTGTCGTAGTATGGCAAGGGCAACGAATACGTACGATGGGAACTGAGATGCGCAACCCACTTCTTCCCAGCTGAACATACGTTGCGGTAGGAGAGGACATGGTGGGGTTCGAGTGAGGATGTCGGATGGATTTCTACTGATCTTAGCGTCTTCACCCGGGCTCTTTATACTCTATACTCTGAGTGTCAATAGTCATCAAGGCCAAAGTCGCGAGTGACTTGAGTAAGCATGGCTACGCCCCGATGCCGATAAGAAGCCATCGTTGAACGCGAATAAGACCGGCCACTCCAAGTTTGTAAATTAACAAGTTCGAGGCCAACTTTACCCAGCGTGGGTGATCCACCTTTTCATGTCGTCTCTGTCAATAGAATGGCCGTGCCTTGCAATATGCTCCGTTTCGGTGTCCGTTTCGGAGATCGCTGAGATTCCTCGGTACGAGCACAGTTCTGCATTGCATGGCGCGAATGGCCGGAGTGACGCGGCGTGTCGGCTCAGCAGTGCTCTGGGAATTTTTCCACCATTCTGACACTGGAGATGGCGAACAGCTTGTAGGAGGTACGTCAATCATGATGGTTGAAGAAAGATTCGAACATATATGAGCGAGGACGCCTGTTTCATCGTAACGGCAATTCCCGGGCGATGGTTCAACCCTTCACCTGGTGGATCAAGCTCGCTCGACGCACTGCGGCGACCAAGTTTCCGCTATATTACTACGCGACAAACTGTACAGACATGAAGTGAAGTTCCGCCATCAAGAGTATTCTGGAGGCGGTACATCTGCGTACGACTGCTGGTGCCGTATTTCCACCACCTCCCGTCTAAGGTTCTCCAGCTTGTTACGAAGAAGCGTCGTATCGCCTGCTGCATTGTTGGAGTCACCGGCGCTCGCCGTCGACTCTGGTTGCGCATGCGTCTCAGTAGTAGCAGCCAGTGTCCCGTCAGCTGCATAGGACGTCCTAGCAGGGGGTGATGTCGTAGTGGAAGGTGTTCGCGTCTTCCGCACGTCGTTCGCCATCTGGCTTGGGATATTCGATGCAGTGACTTCAGGTGTGGCCATGTTGCGGCGCTTGCGAGGAATGCCGCCCTCCGAGCCCGAGGCGCGCCATGGCTGTGGTAGCGATGTTGTATCCCGCAAGGAGCTGTCAACCAATTCGGGTACGACCTTGTTGTTCAATCGTGCCCTACGACGCAGGAAGAAGAACGTTGCAAGTGCCAACAGCGCGGCACCGGCTACTCCTCCTACAACACCGCCAACAATGGCTTTGGTCCTTGAGCTTTGGCTGCTATCATCCGCCGCTGGGAAGGTGATAGGTCGCTTCTTCAGACTATCCGTGCTCGTTAGGACCTTGCAAGCGCAGAGGCGTCGAAGAAACTCACTCGAGAGCAAGGAGCGAGTATACCGCCCCGAGGGCTGGACTACCTGTACCCGTGTTTGCCGTGCCTGTATCAAGGCTATAGGCGTAGGGAAAGCAGCCATCCAAGCTGTTGTTGGCAGCCCTGTTCCATACGCTCTTGATGAAGGCATCCCGAGTCGTACCATTTGATGCTGCCGCTGCCGCAAGAAGAGATAGATCTGCGCGACCTCCAGTGTTGTGGTCGCTTCTGTAAGGAAGACCGTATGCGGCTTGCCCAGAGTCGAGCTCCGCGCCATAAAGTCTCGTCTGGAGCTCATAAACCTGCGATCATCGTCAGAGGGCATCAAGGCAATCAAAAGAGACGACAGACGTCATCCGAGACTATGTTCGTCTTGAGCAGCTTGTCGGCGTACATGTTAAAGATCAGGCCACTACTCGACGGGTCGTCGTAAGTCAGTGCCAGATGGTCCCCCGCGACGGCCAAGTCCTTCCACTGGCTAATCAAGCCTGACGCGTTTCCGGCGTAATCGGCCGCATCTGCGTCCTTGTGAAGCGACTCGCTGATTCTAGACATGGCGTGAAGCCCCAGAATTCCCTTCAGCGCGAGATTAGTATTATCTGCGCCATTGTCGCCCTCGGCTGTATTCCTGCTCGAAGAAATCAGTTAAGTGGGCTATATGGTGTCGAAGAGCACGCACTGATCCTGGTTTGGATACAGTGTGTGCTGCGCCAGGTAGTCCGCCCACGTCTTGAGGTTGTCGTACTGTAGACTGTGGGTCAGGCAAGGGCGTGAAAGGCTGCATTATGGCGACACACTCACATATTCCTGGATTAGAGCACCATCTCCAGAGAAAGTCGCGTGCGCATAGGCCAAGATGAGAAGTGTGCTCGACGCTGCGCGTATAAGCCATGGGATTTACGGCAGTTGGATATGGCTCACCTTCCACGCCAAGGGATGAGTCTGGAGATGATGTATCGCCGGACGCTGCGGGGTAGGAAAAGCCTGCGGATGATGAATTTTTCTATCAAGTACACGTGCGGTGAGTGCAATGTTACATACCGAGATCTTGCGGCGCAGTCTGAGGCGAGGGCGAAAGTGAGTTCGCGTGCTGCAGCGACGCCTTGAGGAGGTAACCGAGCCATGTCGCGTTGATATACAATAACGCTGGCGCAGCCGCGTACATAACCTGAACAGAGTTAACGTGGCTACATAGAGGTCAGTGAGCAAGAGTATATCCTGAAGAAGACTGAACACATACAGGCTGTTACCGCTGTCCTTCATGAACGCCTGAATGTCAGAAGTATCGAGGGTGCCGTCGGACGCATTGGTGACCGTGATTTCGAGGCCAGCTAGGGCCTGGCGCGTCCCAAGGGCTACCAGATCAGCGTACTCGGCAGATTTATTCGAAGCCTCTCCCATGATCCTGGAATCGAGGGCGTCTGCCCGCTTCGACGCGTCATCGTAGTCCTGAAGGAAGTCCTGGAACTATCAAACCAGACGGCCTCGATGAGCAACCCACGTACATAAGTATTTACTGCACTCACCGCCTCGTTCGCCGAATCATAGCGCGAGAGGTAGTACGGATATCGAACCTGCTCTCCAGATCCGACTTTTAACTTGATGATCTGGTTGCGTGCCAGGCCGATCGCGAATATGACCTCTTCGCTCTCATTTTCGACAGTGCCGAGGTTGTAGGCGAACGCGACGACCGGCCATTCGGCACTTATAGCGCGGTCGTTCATGGTCGCTTTATTGCCCAAATTACCCTCCTTGACAAACAGATCGCGGGTCGTCGATTCACCATCGGTACGGTAGGACATGGGCGGTGTCTTCTACGAAAATGAAGAGAAGGCTACCGATTTACGTGACACAAACTCACAGCAGCCTGGATGCCAAAGAAGAGCGTTGCGTCCTCCGCTACGCCTGCATTTTCTTCGAAAGGGTGCAGTGGCAGATCCTTGCGTTGAACCTTGTGGTAGGTGTAGGACGCAGCCTGCACGGTGTCCCAAGTCACGATGGTGGAGGCGTTGTCAGAGACCCATTCTGCAGTATTCAGAGTTTGTGAAGCGACGTCAGTTGTATAACTTGGACATACCGCCGGTGACATCCGAGTAAAGAGCAACCACATGTGGCTTCCCATCGATCGACGAAGCTTTCACGGACATGTACGCGAAGGGCATTGACTGGCGTTCCATGACACCAGGCTTGTAGATAGTTAGCATTGGAGCTCAAGACCTCGAAAACGGAAACACATCACGCACTTCAATTGGACTAAAGAACGTCGTAGTGACTTCGACGAAGCCGCCCAAGTCGGTGACGATAATTGTGCGAGTAGGCGTCATCCGCGAGCTCTTCACAGTATAGTTTCCGGGGAAGGTATAATCTCCCAGAAGGCTATAACTGACGCCGTCGACCTTGACAAACTGGGACCACGCAAGGATTTTCTGCGCATGACCGTCAGATGAATGTCGTTCTCCGCAAGCATGCTACGCACGTCGGTATCTAGTCCAAATCGTGGCCAATGTTTCGTAGTCTCGCTGCTATTCCAGACCCAGGCATTCAGGTGCGGCGATCGTACGGCGAGCGGGACCCAGGCCGGCGTAAATGACTGTTGGGATTGTTGTCCCCAGACGCCGAGGGTCGTAAGGAAGAAGAAGGCCATTCCCAGTGCCAGCGCGCGCACGTCTTTTCCTCGCATTATTGCAAGCCAGATGGTGTGCGCAAGAGAGAAAGGTGGGGATGATCACGCACAGCAAATTGTACAGGCGGTGAGATCAGGCGCCCGGAGGCTGCAGAAGTCCGACGAAGGGGCCACCCCAGCGTCATCAGACGTGCATTGAGGTAGCGGTGACTCCCGGGAGCTTGATCTTTACAGTGTCCACCGCCAAGTACGGAATGGGGTGCAGAAGACGAGCCGCGGAACAGGCGATCATGGAGTCTTCCCGAGTAATGCAGCCACTGATTTGTACTATGGTTGTTGTATAGCCTGCAAGCCGACTCTCAAGGCAGTGCTGAGGTCCACGAAGCATCATCGCTGCGCTCACATCTCGAGTGGACGGAAGTTTCGCCGAAGAGGTTGCAGTGAAGAACGGTTGCGGACATCCACGTTGTCTATCTCATTCAGGCCGGAAATTGCCGTCTACATATTCGAATCGGCCACAGTGCGGACGCCTCCCGTCCGACGCGATGGCCTACGAATCATACGAAGCTATGGGTATGCCGGCGACAAGCTCATATGGCCATGATACTTGCTGTATGGTTATATTACACCCCAAAAGGAACATTTCAGTGCTACGCGCGAGACACTCGCTGTGTAAAGGGAATGAACGACCAGCGATTAGATATATCAACAATCACTATCAAACTCCTGCCAGCTGGACGGCGTACAGTTGGCATCGAGCTTCGCCGTCTTCATCTCTTCCCTTCCCCCATCTCCTTCTCGCGATTGTTTCGTCCCGGCCGGAAGCAACATCAGTGGAATCGGCGTCTCCCCTCTGCCAGCACACCCCACATCACGAACGCACACCGAGTCCCTGATATCCGGCTCCATAACAAACATCCCCGCTCCCCTCAACTCATCCTCCACCGGATTCTCCACCCTCCCCACCGTACTCAGCACATCCGGCCTATTGCGCAGGAACCACACGGTCTGCAGGAGGCCCAGCGAGTCGAGGATATCGACGGCGTGCTTGGCGCGCGAGACGCGCGGGCGGACGAGGAGGTAGTTCATGCAGAGGAGCGCGAGGGAGATGAGGAGGCCGCTGAAGATGGAGAGGCGGTTGAGCTGCGGGGAGGGGGGAGGAGATCAATTTATACTGAGGATAGTGTGTAGTAAGGGGTGCAAGGACGTACGCGAAATTTTCGAACAGGCATGGGTACGAGAGTCGTTGTGACGCTGGTGCGCTCGATACCATACTGGTTGTTCGTGTTCACTTGGTTCACTGCGCCGCTGTGAGTACGGAGGTGGCAACGGTCGATGCACAACTATACGTACACGCCCAGAAATACGAGGCGACCAGTTCGCTGAGCGCATTCTCCAGTTCGTACAGATGTACCCGTCGACGGGGAACGTATGCGCCCGAGTAACTCGGGAGCTTGAGCCCCAGACGCGAAGTAAGATACCTGTGATGGTGTGAGCATGCGCCGATGATTTTGTGAAGCAGGAAGTAATCTACTTCGCCATGAACCCAAGCTTGTGGGTCTCCGATCTCCCCAGACTGAAGTTCGTCTCGTATTGCTTGGAGATCGCCGTCGTCCACTACATCATCGACATCAGCACCACCTCCGCAGCACACAAACAAACGAACCCCCGCACCAAATCCAAGATACCCAACTCCCCCGCCTCCACAGCCCCCCGCGGCTCATACGCCTCCCAATGCGCGCCCGTGCTCATATTCGCCACCTCCTCGCGCACAGCCAGCCGCGTCGTCGTGTTCACATGCACGAACGCGTCGCTGCTGTACAAATTGCAGCCCACGACGGACATGTTGACGGGCGCGCCGGCAGCGACGCGCTGGGGGAGGGTGAGGTTGGGCAGCCAGACGCCGGCGGAGTCCATGACGTTGAAGGTGCCGTAGAGGTAGAAGCTGCGGTTGAAGGCGGGGCGGGCATCGGCGTCCGACGAGCTGTTGAGCCAGGCGAAGGCCATGGCGTTGTTGGCTGGATATGTAGACGCTCAGTCCCTTTGCCCTATCACAATAGAAGCGCAGACTTACGCTGCATGTTCAGGATACGCAACCCATCCTGCTTCGTGCCATTGGGATACACATGCGAGAGGTCGTAGTGCCGTACTTCCCGGGCGTCCTTGGGATGATAACCCTCGAGCCTGAGCGACTCCAGCTTCCCGCACCGCACAGAGAAGGTCGTCGAGTTGACGAGCGTGGTGCTGTTGCTCTGGCGCATGCCCGCCTCTGGCATGGTGATATCGTATATGGTCGAGCGCGCGAGGCCCGGCTCCTGGTCGCCGTTGAGGAGCGCGATGTAGGGTAGCAGACTCGAGGCGTCAGTGAAGAGGGCATGGTAGAGGCTGGGCGCGTTCTCCGAGGTAGACGCGCTGGAGCTGCAAGGGGTAAGCTGAGCTCGGGATTAGAAGATGCAGGTGGGCTGACTATAGCATGCCTTGCACGTCCGGGTACGCCAGGCGAGTCGTGACAGAGTCCTCGAAGTCCACTTCACCGACCTTTACCGTGACCATCGAAGGAACCGTAGAATGAAGGGCCGTTATGCAAACAAGGTACGCAGTGATGCACGATACCCATGGAAGCGCGCTCCGTATCCTGCACTGGCCGACAAGCGCCAGCATTGCCGAGCCGATACCTATCCACGAGTTGTACTCATCGTGCATCGCTGTCAGCGTTTGCCGGCTCGTCAATAGGCGCCGAAGAGCGAGCTTCTGCGTGACCCAGATGAGAAGTGAGCCGTAGAGCTGTGTGGGTCAGCGTTAGCACCTCGCGAGTAGAGAACCCGGAAACGTGACTGCGTACGGTTGCGAAGATGGTCCCGGACATAGTCATGGCCACAGCGAGCGAGGTATCAGAGGGGTCGTCGTCCGGTGAGAGAGAGAACGTGACGGATTGCTCGAGGGGAAGGAGGTGAAGGATGCCCAGGGCGAGATGGAGGCCGACGAGGAAGCCATGCAGCGCGTAGGACAGCTGCCGCAGCACGTAGACGCGGTCTAAGGCAGAGTATAGAGCGTCAAGACAGCGCTTGATCATGGCTAACGAATGTATCGATCATCGTCTATGAATGCAAACCGGCCGGAAATACGCACCTGTACACCACCAAGTCTCGCGAGCGAAAGGGAAGCGTCAAGAAGCGGCTAGAGGAGACGATCCTCGGAGTGTCCTGAGGCAAGCGCATAGTAGCGAGCAGGCAGCTTAAGTCGATGAATGCATGGCAAGTAGCTCGCCCCGAGCCCCTTCAAGGCCTGCCTGCGTATAGGAACCTGATCCTCGGGCAGCGAAGTCGAACGTTGTGTGCATGGCTTCGACTCATAAGAGTAATATACACGCGATGATCTGCACACTAGGCAAGAACGCCTGGTTAATGAAGTGAACAGTGATGGAAGGAAGAGACCGCCGGAGATAGGATTTCCTTTTCTGACATTTGCATCCGCTGAGTTCGGAGTTACCCGATTTCTAGCTAGTGCAGGCTAGTGCGCGCTATGGATGGCTTGTCTCCTCGTTTTCATTGACTGACTTCATGAGGTTATATCTTGCTATTTCTCGAGATCCTCTTCAAGCTTAAGAAAGCTGAAGAGCGCCACATACAGGCCACGCGTAATGAACAACAAGGCCTTCCATTCGGAGAAAGTGACGTCACTGGAAGACATTGTCTGATCCCAAACTTGTCCCGAACCAACAATGTCCCAATCGCTGCAGTAACGACTTCCTGCGCAGGGTGACTTTCCTGCGGATTCGTGGACCTCCTTCAGTTCTACTAGGCCGCTCTCGCAACTTCGAGAAGGATGTGCACCTTTAGACGTGCGCCATTGTAGACTCTACGTCAGTCTGGGGTTACGGTGGCGCGCGCGACGGACGGTGTCATCTACTCTGTCATAGCTTCTCAGCCAGCGCAATATAAGGACAGGCGTGCAGCGAGCTTGTCACTGAACTCCCCTTGACTGACTACGCACTGACACTCACGAAAACAACCTCTATTCACGACTCCGACCACGATACCATGGACCCATCTACTTCTCTCAAGAACTTCTCTATCGACAACGTCGCCGCAGTAGCGGCTGCGCTCGACGCTGGCAAGCTGCCCAGCCAGGCGCAGATCAACGGCTCGATCAACTGGCTCCTCAAGTCACCAGTCATCCAGCTCGAGGCGCAAAGCGCCGACCTCGAGGGCAAGCTCAGCGAGTACGGCCTGCGTCTCGCAAAGGACGTCCGCGGAATCCTCGAGGCCTACCAGGTCTTTGGGAAGAACAAGAATGGTGCGCTTCCCTTATCCTGATTTCTGATGCACAACTTGAAGCTGACGCCATCGCACAGGCGACGACATCGTGCAGGATGCGCTATGGAATCTGTCGCAGGGCGAGCTCGCTGGTGGCGTAGCTGCTGAGATTGCGAAGCAGCCGAAGGACACCCCGGCCGCCAACGATGCCCAGAGGCTGTCCAGCGCTATCCGCACCCTCATCCACATCTTCCTCGGCAACGTGCACGGCGAGGGCGGGTCGCTCTTCGCTGACCTTGCGTCGTTCCTCCGCCTCTTCCTCGCCGACCGGGCCGAGGACGTCGAGGAGCGCGCACGGGTAACCAAGGAAACGCTGAGGCAGACGGAGGACGAGGTGCAGGAGGGCAAGCGCGATCCGCTTGGGAGGACGGGTGACGTGCGCCAGGACGACCTCGACACGCGCGCCAAGTTTGAGCGCAACATGAACACCGCGAAGGAGGTTGGCTCGAAGACGATCGGCGTACATCAGTCTACCAAAGCGGCCGTGCAGCGCCACGGTGACGCGGCGACGAATGCGCTAGTAGGTGCTTTGGAGAACGTGAGTCGATTTTTGGCTTTGTGTCCGTTGTTCTATAGAGCTAACAACGTATCACAGGCTGTCAAGCGCGCGCAGAACGACCCGCAGTACCACGAAGCCCTCAGCACCATCTTCGACCTCACCCGTCGGTGGTACTCGAAGACGGTCGACACCGCCAAGTCCGACTTGCTCGAGACCTTCGTCGACGACCCCACCGGCCGCATCCCGTCCTCCATCCGCCAGATACGCACCTTCCTCGAGCGCCTCGCGGGCGGCAAGTCCCTCAACGACCTGCTCGCCGCCGTCCGCCGCTGCGCTAACGACATCCACAACGACCCCGAGCTGCACAAGTTCGTCGACGACTACCTCTCGTACGTGCAGCACAGCCTGGACGACGTCGAGTTCGTGCGCGCCGAGCAGTCGACGCGCGAGGGCGACCACCTTCGCCAGCGCTGGGAGACGCTCATGAGCGAAGGCTCGAGCAGCGCCGCAAGTGGGTGAACGACCTCAACGGCGTTAAGGCGGAGCTCAACGAGATCGGCGACCGCATCCGCGCGGACCAGGACGTGCGCAAGCTGGTGGAGGCCCATGCGCGCCTTGGTCGCGACCTTGCTGAAGCGCAGACGGATGTGACGACGTCATCGCTGACGCAGGCATCGTGGATTTGGCAGGACATCCTTAACGTCTACCTCCCCCGCGTCTTCGGCCTTCTCAAGGACATCCCTATCCCGCGCACCGAATACACCAGCCCCGAAGTCGACTTCGTCCTGGAGAACCTCAACATCGAGTCCGCGCGCATCCTACCTGGCCACGCGCACATCAAGACCACCGCGGAGGCCGACATTACGCAGGATGTGCCCGGACAGGAGGCGCGCACCTCAGCGAGCGCGCAGACCACCATCCAGCTCCAGGGCGTCCAGCTTCACCTCAGAGAGGTCTCATTCTACCACGAGCAGAAGGAGCACTCCGCCATCGCCCCGAACAAGTTCACCGGCCTCGTCGACGTTACCCTCCCGCCTCGCGGCGTCGACGCCGAGATCTCGCTCTCGATGCTCCCCACGACCGACACCGCCGGCCGCGAGCGCCACGGCGGCTTCTTCAAGATCGAGCGCGTCACCCTCAACCTCTCCGACGACATGGACATCAAACCCCACAAGACAAACCACTCCCTCCTCGTCGGCGCCTTCAAGGGCACCATCAAGAAGCGCGTCCGCAAGGCGCTCGAGGGCGCGCTCCGCGACCAGCTCGAGTTCGCGCTCACCTTCCTCGACCGCACCGCGTACGACATCCACAAGCGCGCGAAGGTCTTCCTCGACACGGGCCTCTCGCCCGCCGCCGCGTACGCGGGCGCGACGGTCTCCGAGATCGGCCACCTGCGCTCGCTGCCGGGGCCGGGCCCGCTCACCGGGTGGCGCGCGACGGGCACGGGCGTCGTGAAGGACGACCCGCGGTCGGACAAGGCGTTCGCGATGGGCGCGGAGCCGCAGATCATCAGCGGGGACAAGCGGGGGCCGGCGGGGACGTTCAGCGGGCCGCTCGGTGGGGAGAGGCCGCAGGACAAGAAGCCGGTGGCGGACGCGAATGGGAAGGTGGAGGAGGTGAAGGAGGAGGGCGTAAGGAAGGCGCAGACCTTCAAGGCAAGGAAGGAGGAGAAGGAGGCGGTGGAGCGGCAGCAGGAGGGCTGGCGCAGCCATGCGTTCGATGCCTTGACGGCGTAAGCTGTTGGTGGATTTCTGTAACCTCGCACGAAACCTATCAGGACTTGTGTGCTGTGTATCTTACTTGTTTGTACAACCCAATGTATCATAGCTTGCTTCCCTGGATGGAACTGTTTGTGTATATTCCCCCTTCGCCGCAACATTGCACTATGTAAATGTAGCAGAGGTGTCGATTCCACTGCCTCTGATTCCTTTGAGTTCGCCTCATGCAGTTTGCATGAAGTAACATGTATTCACCGGACGTCGACATCCGAGTTGGACGTGCAGAGGGTAATCGCGCCAGCCCTGGTCACTTCCTTGGCACAGCTCGCGACAACATGATTCGTAGAGATGGTAGATCGAGAATCCCAGCTTGATGGTTGGTGGCGGCGCGGCTAGGTAGTGAGAAAAAGATCTGGTGCACACCAAGTCAGTATGAAGGAGCGCGCAAGGTAGGGCGCAGAACAGAACGAGGTCGGACAATGATGTAAGGGAGGAAGTCAGATGGCTGAAGCCTGAGACAGAGGTAGACGGAGTGGTGTCGTCCTGGGAACCCTCCAATTCCAGTGATTGCTGATTCTTCGTCGTTCTGAGCTTGAGATCGGATGATACCTTGCGATGACTTGCGTGTGCGATTGTACTCTATCGCAAAAAGCGCCTGAGCCATGCCTATCGGCAAAGTCCGACACTGTACCCACGGGCCACGTGCACATGCCTGCCGCTGATTGATTCCGATCCGGCTTGCCTGCCAGCCACAAACCATGTCGGTCCCCCATAACGGTCGACCCTCCCCTTCTCCCTCCACCTCAGCGGAACCCACGAGAGCGCCCCCCGTCAAGCTAAAGAGGGGATCGGTTGCATGCAAAAGGCGGGTACACTCCTGTCGTCTCAGCCACAATCATCTTAGACGCCCTGCAGATGTCGGCGCTTACGCTCGAAATGCGTGCACGAGAACGCTACACCGCCGTGTGTGAGCTGCAGGGACGCTGGAGCTGCAGAGGCTGCAGAGTGGTGCGTGCTAGTGTGCGATGATCATTGAACCAAAGCTGACGAGGGCGCGTCTTGGGACAGCTTCTTTCCAAGGAGGGGTGAGGATTCATCCGATCGTGAGGTGCGTGGACTCGTAAATGTCCACAAAGTCATATCTGACCGTAGCGCGTCCTTAGTACCGTACCGGGAGAGTCAGAGCCAATCCCCAGTTCGTCCAAGTACTCCTCCACTAGCTGTCAACCTTTCACACATGACAGAACAAAGTCCGCAAGAAAGCGACCATATCCCGAGCCGTATGTTGTCACCGCTGTCCATCAAATGTGCTTTTACGAGGAGACCCCAGGGAGATCTCCGTTGCTCCCACAATATCTGTCAAGGAACTTTCCCAAAGAGGCACCCTACTACCACCCATCGCGGAGCTCACAGAAGCATGTCAGGCCTTCATGACATCGTATTTCCAGCTCGGTACGTGCGATACTTCCCCGCACCTCTACTCCATAAACTGCTACCCTCGATCTCATGATAACCACGCTCGACTTCATTCGCTCATCACGATACACAGGCTTCATACCCAAGGCCATGTTTCTCGAGCGCCTAGGGAAGGAGCCGGACTCTGTCCCCACCTTCCTCTTGCTCGCCATCCTCAGCGTGTCTGCACGGTTTACGCCGAGTCTGGTGCGCAGATACGGGAATGGGGCCAAAGCGACGGAGGTCTTTCTCAAGCGAGCGGAGAGCATGGTCCCGGACGAGATGTATAAGCCGACATTGGAGCGCACTCAAGCTTTTGTGAGATGTCGCGTTGCCCTACACCTGTGTCCGCACTAACCTTAGACAATTGACAGTTCATTTTATCCACCGCGGAATGGGGGCAGGCCGATAATGACAAGAGCTTTGTGAGTGAATTAGATTGCTGCATAATGACGTCGGCTGACCAGCCAAAGATGCACCTCGGAATAGCAGTGCGAAGTATGCCACCAACAACATGCATCTTACCAAGCTAGTAATCATTGACATCCCCCAGTGGCTGGCTACCTTCGCCTGCATCGGGAGGAGACGTACCGCGTGCCTCCAGATGCCTCGGAGGACACCATAATCAAGTCCGAAGTCGCACGGCGCACGTTCTGGATGGTAGAAAGTTCGTCGCTCCCTCGGAACTCCCTGGCCGCCCTATGACCTTCCCTCTCCCCTCCCCCCAGACCAAGCCAACCTCCAAGCGGGCATCAACCACCCACCCGCCTTCGCCCGCCCCGAAATCACCGCCCTCCTCCCCTGCTCCGAGTCCGACTTCGCCTTCGGCGCGCTCCCTGCCCCCGGCACCCGCGCCGCGCTCGCCGGCACCGCGCCCGCGCTCGCGGACCCGCAGCTCGCGACCACGCCCGACCGCTCCCTCTTCGCGACCCTCATCCAGACGCATAACCTCTGGGGGCAAGTGGCTAGAAGGGCAGTGCAGTGGGAGAACGACCTGCCGGCGAGCAGCGGACGCGTCGGCGCAAGCGAGCGCGCGCTGCCGCCGTGGGACGCGGGGAGCGACTTTGCGCGGCTCTGCGAGGCGCTGGGGCGGTTCGAGCGGGAGCTGCCCGCGCGCCATCAGTGGTCGGTGCAGAACTGGCGCGGGTACAGGGCGGAGGCGATGGATCTGGTGAGTGCAGTGGATGAGATGAGAGGCGTGGGGCGCGCGCGTTGACGGTGTCCGTCCAGGCCTACCTTTCCATCGTCCTCGTGCTTCGCATGAGCAATGTTGTCGTGCGCAGGGTCTACCTTCCGTGCGTCGGTGATGGTTTCTGGGCATGTGGCCTAAACTGACCCCCGCGCCAGCTACATGGCCGTCGCAGTCGGCATCGTAGGCAAGCAGGACTTGCCATCCGAGCAGTGGAGCCTCGCCCCCGCCTCGTACTGGCACAACATGGCCCGGGAGCTGTTCTCTGACGTCCGCAGGCTGTACGAGCAGCTCGACGCCTCGTTCCCGCTCTGCCCCCAGGGCTTCCCTCCCATCATCGTGAGTAGTCCCGACGCCATAGTACTATACACTTTCGCTAACGGCTGCACCCTCACCAACATCTGCATTCCGCACAGGTGTTCTGCATCTATATTTGCGGATCCCTCGCTTCCTACCTATGCAAGTGGCCGCAGCGTACGTGGTCTCGGAAGCGCGGAAGCGTTCGAGCAAAGTTAACGATCGTACGACCACTGACAAATATGCTTTGGTCTATAGTCTCCCCCGACCTCGCCCCGCAAGCGCATACGATATTCCACCGCGCGCTGGATATGCTCAACAACGCGAAGGACCTGTGGCCGAAGGCGCGCGCGTGGCAGAACGCGCTCGCGCAGACCTCTGCTGTGTTCGCCAAGCCGGATGTCACGGAGCATGGTTCCAGTCGAATGGTCTGTCTTTTCATCGCACGATGTTGTCTCTTCATCGCACGATATCGCCTTTTCGTCCCACGATATCGCGACCGTTCCGCCGCTGACACCCTGGTCTTGCAGTATGCTGACTCGCCGCGCGGCGCGGGGTCGGTCTGCGGTCCAAATATGCTCTACGAGCTCGCGACCGTTGCGATAAGGGAGCAGACGGAGGGCACGGTGGGAAGCAGCCTGGCCGGCGCTGCGAGCACCGGTGGCGTGAACGGCCAGGGTCTTGATCTGCCCAGCGCTCCGCCCTACCTTCCGATGGAAGGCGGTGTGTACGATACGCTCATTCAGGCGCAGGCGCCTGGGCTGGGCGACTTCTTTGCGAACAGCTTCGAGGCGGAGTTGACGGCATTTTTGCATGGAGGGGGCGGGGTGGGAGGTACGGGGATGGGGTGGGGAGATGGGTTTGCTGGTATGTAATCGTGGAGAATAGTGTAGTGCTTGTACTACCATTGCTGTATTCTTGTACAATCCTGTTGCGTTAGCCTGTCTAACCCCCCAGTAGCGTGGGGAGAAAACATCCCGAGAACCGTTGTGACCGGTCGCTTACTGGGTGGGGTCCCGAGGAGTAGGTTTCTTAGTGATCTGCGACGCTTAACTTCCGAAATGACTTCTCGCAGCAGTGAAAAGGTGCAAAGCCTGGGAAGTCGTGAAAAGGTACGGTGGCCGACGAGGACAGTTTATTGACCCGGGCGCTATGCATTTTCTTGTTGTTGTACCGTCCGGACCCTCAATTGCCATGTCAGCTGTCTAAGCATGTTTTGTCCGCACTAATACAAACAAGAACCCGTAGCACCGTCAATGAGCATGCTAGAGGACTTTTCAAGCAGGATCACCGATCGCACACCGGTATCAATTGTCGAGCCCAGAAGTATACCTATGAGTGGCGTGGACGGCAGCCAACCGGCCTCTGCTCCCAGTATCATCCGACGTCTGCCCTCACTGGCGCAGTTCTCGTCCCTTCAGGGCCCCTGTGATGGGGTTTGCGGTTCTGAAAAGTCGGCACAGGGCATTGAGTGAGCACGGCAAATTCCGTCTTCGGAACCGACAGATCACCTGATCAGTTGAACTTCAGGTTGGCGTCTTTACTTTGCCGCTGACTTGCCCTCTAGAGAGCGAAAGCTTGGACCTTAGGGAGTGGAGGGATATGATTGCGACATCCCCTTCGTTGGGGGGCCGTTATACATGGGACTGGGAGCCATGCATTGACCCTACTCTTATGAGGGAGGGATGCGTAAGTCCACTAAGCTGTCGTGAGAGAATGTCAGTATGGAGAAGAATAAGTGGACGCACCACACCTAGGATTCAATATTCCCCGGCGCCCACTGCACGCTGATGGAGGGAATATTTTACATCAGCTTTTGATTAAGACCGCGGATCGATTGAAAGGGCATATCGAGGCCCAGCCAATCGGAGGCCGTACCGATCAATATGCCACCCATAAGACCACAATCCACCCTTCGCCTTTATGCTTCGCTTATTCAAATACAGCTCACAATATTCCTGCAGTAAGCGCCGGGGAATATTATGTCCCAGGTGTGGTGACGCGTGGGTCGGGTTCTCTTTTTCGGAAGAGAGATGAAGAGAGAAGGCAAAGGCAATGAGGATAGTATGCATTCATATATGAGCCAGAAGCGACCAAGTACATGGATGAAGCTGTATGGCCCGCGGTTGCAAAGGGGGACCGAGTGAGTATTTACGGCGGATGGAATGTGATCGCCTTGCTTCATTCGGCTCCTTGGACATCGGCAAGAACATCTTTCGCGCTAAAGCATTAGGCATCCGACTCCGCAAGTAAGGTTGGTAGTCGGCCCCGCCGCAGCATCTCTAGTGCTTTACCTGTCACAACTCTGTTTGACTAGTTTCCTGTGGTTTCCTCGACCACGCTATCATCAGGTTGGACTTATGTGACCGACGGACATGAACTGTCACAATCCACGTGGCGATTGTGTGATTGTGATGGTTGTCGTGATCACCTGCCAAGATCGAAGAAGTCCGATCAAGTAATCTTCCGCCGCGACGCGTCGTCGACGCGTCTTGCATGGCTGTGGATGTGAGCGTCTAACAAACGCCCGGAGACCTCTGAATATTGCCAGATATTCCAAGCATGTACGAGGATGATCATCGAGGTGAATGGGGCGCGGAGGCAGGAGACGGACGTCCGGATTTCCGAATGGTGGCCCCACAATGTGCCACGCACATATCCCCAACGCGCCCCATCAAAAAGGACAGTTTTCATCCAGCGCGGCCCCTATCCGTTGCGGCGAAGCCCTGGTACAAAACAGGAACCGCGCGATTCGCTCCTTCTCTGTCCGCATCCACCATCTGCAAGGTCTCCCCGTCGTTGCTTTTTCCATCTTTTTTCTCGACGATAACGCGCGGCAGGACATTCCATACCCTCACGACGTCTCCGTATTCTTTCGTTTACGATGGCTTCCCAAAATGAACAGTACAACACGAGCGAGTTGGAGGAGTACGTGGTGCCCGACGTGTCGGTGAAGGAGCTCCTCAGCATGATCCCGTACGTGTTCGAGCAAGACCGCGCGGGCGCTGGCTCATCTGTTGTCTAGGTCCCACTGCTTCGAGCGTTCGACCTTACGCTCGTCGCTGTACATGTGCGTGTTCGCATGTGTTTTCCCATTCACATGCTGAAGCCTGCCACAGTGTCCAGGACCTTGCCATCATCGGTCTTTTGTACAAGGGCGCGACTGCCGCCGACGCCAGGCTGCTCGCCGGCACAGTCTCCATCCCGGACACCCTGCGGGATATCCTCCCACCAGCCCTCTTCACGCATGAGGCTGCCACTTACCTCCTCCCTGCCGCGCGCACGGCCGTCTGGGGCGCGTACGGCTACTTCACTGGCCTCTTTGCCACCGGTCTCTGGATCATCGCACACGAGGCTGGCCACCAGGCCTTCTCGTCCTCCCGCATCGTCAACGACGTCGTCGGCTGGGTGCTTCACTCCGGGTATGTGATGTTACGGAGGGGAACTAGCAGCCTTCTTATCGACCCGCCTATCATTTAGCCTCGGTGTCCCCTATCAGGCCTGGCGCATCTCGCACGCCAAGCATCATGCTTCGACGTCCCACGTAACGCAGGAGCAGGTCTACGTGCCGCGCACGCGCGCGGAGTTGGGTCTTAAGCCCCTCGGTGCGCCTATCGGCGACGAGGAGCCCTTGGACGGTGTCGCGCTCCGTGAGGAGACCCTCGGCTCTAAGGTTCGTAAGGCGGTCTCGAAGGAGCTCTGGGAGGCTATTGGCGATTCACCCATCGGTGCTGTCTTCATGCCCATGTTTGGATATCTGGTATGTGGCGTCGCCCACCTTGGCCCAGGTTTTGTTCTTACCGTCCTCTAGTTCATGGGCTGGTGGGCGTACACTCTATGGAACGCCTCTGGACAGAGGAGGTACCCCACGGGCACGAACCGTGAGTAGGCTCGTCACTAGGATACTTCATACCTAATATTCTGCCAGACTTCAACCCAAAGTCAGTCATCTTCTCGCCGAGCCAGTACGGTCAGATCATGCGCTCGAACGCTGGTATCGCTATCTGGCTTGCCATCGTCGTCGCTTCCCTTCGCACCTACGGCTTCGCACAAGTCTTCCGCACCTACCTCGTGCCTTACCTCTGGTACGTCGCTCATCCCGCCCACCCCCATCCACCCACTAACTTTCCCCTCAGGGTCAACCACTGGCTTGTCCTCATCACCTTCCTGCAGCACACCGACCCGCTCCTCCCCCACTACCGCGCCGGCGCCTTCACCTTCCCCCGCGGCGCGCTCTCGACCGTCGACCGCGACCTGCTCGGCGGCGCGGGCCGTCTCTGGGGCTGGCTCGGCGCGTGGGCGACGCACGGCATCTCCGAGACGCACGTCGCGCACCACGTCGCGAGCCGCATGCCGCACTACCACGCGTGGGAGGCGACGGACGCGATCCGCGCGGGCATGGCTGCGAAGGGCGTCGTGCTGAAGAAGGGCAACCCGGGCGGCTGGTCGGAGGTCCTCCGCGTGTGGCGCGAGTGCAAGTTCATCGAGGACGTCGGCGACGTTGTCTTCTACAAGAACGCGCAGGGGCTCGCGGCGGCCCGGCCGGTGTACAAGGACGGCAGGGGCTGGGACTCGGAGGGCGCCGCGTCGGACTCGGGCATCGAGCTTGAGGGGAACTAGACGACTAGAATGCTTGGTGCGCGCTGCGCGCGCTCATGAGCTTGTTACGGACCGGGGGGCATCGCTTGTTACGGACGAGGGCCTTCGCTTGCTACCAACGGGGCACTCCCTCGGTGTGCACTCGCCGCCCGCGCGCGAGTGCTGCCGTCCTGTCTTTATTCGCGGTCTTTACGATGGGATGGATTGCGCATAGATGGATGATCTTGCTTACTTAGATGGATACGGTACCACCGAATAATTGGATCTGGGTTTTCGCTTCTCTATCTCGTGATGAAGGTGGTCGCGGTGTGTGTGTGCTGGAGGTGAAGCATGTACAGTTTGATGGGTTTGAGGAGTTACTGGGAAGAGCGCGACAAGGGGTCCTCCCACGAAGTTAACGATACTACCAGCATGCGAGAGGGCTCAAAGTTTTCGTACAAGTTCCAGATTGCATCGCCAGGCCACAGGCCCAGACGCGTGCGGTTGACGGTACTCGATACGAAGAATCGGCGCACAGTGACTCGAAGGCGAACAATCAAGAATGACTAGAATTAGAGGGTCCCCACTGATAGGGCGAGAGTACATCGTCTACGTCTCTCTCGATCATGGCCATCTCCCGCTCCAGCTCGCGCTCCCTTTCCCGCCACTTGTCCGTCAACGGCGACTCCGACGATACCAACGTTAGTGGAATCGGGTCCCCCGCCCCGCCGCCAGTGCAGGCAGACCTCTCAAGATCCGGTTCGACCATGAACATGCCGGCCTCTCGAAGACGAAGTGCTTCGGGGCGCTCCACTCGGCCGACGGTGCTGAGGATGTCCGGCTGGCCGCGCACGAACCAGATAGTCTGCAGCAAACCGAGCGTGTCGAGCGCATCAACGGCACCCTTTGTACGAGAGCGACGAGGGCGGACGAGGAAGTAGTTAAGTAGCATGAGCACGAGAGACACGACAAAGCCGATCAGGATGGACATGCGATTGAGCTGCAAACGACGGTCAGTGGTCGGTGCGGTGATGATGAATGACAAGACGTACGCGCAATGTCCGGACAGTCTGAGGGACGTATGTCTCCGTCTTGCTGGTGCGCTCGATTCCATACTGGTTGTCGACGTTCACCTGGTTCACTACCTTCCAGGTGAGCGGTTTTGGGGGCAAACTTAAATCGAGAACGTACTGGACCAGAAATACGCAGCGACAAGCTCACTGAGCGCGTTCTGCAGTCGGTGCAGCTGCACACGTTCCCGTGGTACGCGTGCCTCTGTATAGCTTGGAAGCGCTAGATTCAGTCGTGAGATGAGATATCTGAAGGGAGAGTCAACGACTATGATGAACGGCCTACATCATCTGGCATACTTGTCCATGAACCCAAGGTTATACCGCCTGGACGCGCCTAGGCTGAAATGCGTCTCGTACTGCTTGGACATGGCTGTCGTCCACTGCATCATCGCATAAGTGCATGCGAAAAAGAAGCAGAGCACATTCAGCACCAGTACGCACCAAATCAAGAATATTGAGATCCTCCCGTGGCACAGGATCCAAAGGCTTCCAAGGTGCCCATTCCGCCGAGGTAGCCAGATAGCTCTCTCCACTCGTCGCAGCGAGGCGCGTTGTCGTATTCACACCAATAGTAGAGTGTTGACCCTCCAGGTTACAGCCCACGATGGACATGTTGACGGGTGCACCAGCCGCCACGCGGCGAGGGAGCGTGAAGTTGGGAAGAAGCTCGCCCTCGGTATCCTCGATGTCAAAGGTGCCATAGGCGTAGAAGCTCCGGTTCCAGGCCGGGCGTGTGTCGTGGCCGGATATGTTCGGCCAGGTTAGTGATAGTGCGTTGTTCGCTGTCCAACGGTGGCTCTTGAACAAGGGCTGGAAAAAGGGGGGCGCGAACTCACGCAGGATATTCTTAACGCGAATGTGCTTTTGCTTGGTGCCGTCCGGAAGTATGTGCGAGACATTGTAGTGCCAAACTTCCCGGGCGTCCTTGGGATAGTAGTCCTCCAGCTTCAGGGAATCCAGACTACCGCAGGTTACCGTGAAGATCGTCGAGTTCACGACCGCGATGCTGTCGCTTTCGGATCCAACAATGGGCAAGTCGTAGATGGTCGAATGCGCCAATCCCGGAGCCTCGTCGGGGTTGAAAAGAACGACGTAGGGAAGCAAGCTGGATGCGTCGGTGAAGAGAGCGTGGTAGAGATCGGCCGCGCCGTCCTCAGTGGACTGGCCGTCACTGAGAAAGCAAGTCAGCCATCGCTGCTAGACAAGCACAAACGCAAACATACTAGAGCAAACCGTCTACATCTGGATACGCCAGACGAGTAGCGACGTGATCGATGATGCTCTTGCGTCCTATAGGTAGCGAGAGCATGGAAGGCGTGACAATATGAAGGACAGTGATGTTGATCAGGTACACCGTCACACAAAGCACCCACGGAAGCGCGCTCCGTAACCTGCACTGGCCGTAAAGTGTATACAGCGCCGAGCCGATCCCAATCCACGAGTTGTACTCATCGTGCATCGCCGTCAACGTCTGCCGGCTCGTCAACAAGCGCCGCAGCGCGAGCTTCTGAGTGATCCAGACGAGCAGCGCTCCGTAAACCTATGCGCTCCGCGTAAGCACCTCGGGATTTGGGGGAACAGCCCGCTATAACGTACAGTGGCGAAGATGGTGCCGGACATGGTGAGCGCGACGGAGAGGGAGGTATCAGACGGGTCGTCGTCCTCGGTGAGGGGGAACGTGACGAGCTTCTCGATGGGAAACCATTGGAGGATGAACAGCGCCAGATGCAGACCAACGAGGAAGCCATGCAGCGCGTACGATACGCGTCGAAGCAGGTGAGTGCGAGTGGTTGCAGCCCTCACCGCGTTGATCACACGCCTCATCGAGCCTGTCAGCTGGTTCAGTATCAGCAGCAAAGCAGAAGCAGGGTAGCGCACCTCTATTATCAAGGGCAAGCCCCGTTCAGTGTTTACAGTTTAATCGTGCTGAAGCAAGCCGACGGGCCACCAGCCCTCAGATTTCAGTGAGAAACAAAGGAAAGAAGACAGCGGGGTACTGGTCGTAGAGAACGAAGGCGTTGCCTCGAGCGCCGGCGTGTTCTCAGCACAGCGACATGGCTACACTGAGAAGCTGATCGGGCTTGTCAGTCCGTCCCCCTAAGTAGGACTTGTGCAGGGTAGATCATTGCTTTGAATTGGATGGCTCTAGCTGCAACGCAGATCGGAAGCACGCTAGCATGAGCATTTCGACATATCGTTCAAAGTGATGGTTGGGGTTGGCAGAGCGCAGGTAGGACCGGTCACAGTCCGTGACCGTGATATCGGCAAACTCCGAAGTGCCTCAATTCGAACGCAAAGCCAAACCAGTAGAATGCAAACGGTGTGAAGCTACAAATACAAGTGTTGTTACATTGCAATTGCGAATATATGCGCCGGAAGTCCTGATATCCACCCTTTCTCTTATAGCATGACCCTCATGAGCGCCTGTCGACTACTTAAGACCACAAGTCCACAACCAACCACCTAGACCTTCCCCATCAATTTCCTCCCCTCCTCCACCTTCTCCTCCTTGTTCGAAAACTTCCCCGAGATAATTTTCGCTTCACCCCTGATCTTATCCATCGTCGACACCTTCACATGCCCCTCCGTCGTCGAGCCCTTCGCCTTCTCCGCCTCGTGCGGCGCGGATGAGGGAAGGCGTGCGCCGTTATCCGCGAGCTGCTCCTCGCCGTGACGGCTCTTTGAGGACATGCGCTCCGCGGCGGTCGTCAGCGGCACGCTCGTGCGGTGGGGGTGGGATGCGGAATCCTTAGTCGAGTCCTGAGTAGAGGTCGACGAGTCCTGGGAGGAGTGCGCCGACGCCGACCCGGCACCAGCATATTGAGCATCCTTCGCGGGCGGCTCCGGCGGCGGGATGCGCGAGTGGCCAGGCATCTTGCCCGACAATACGGACGCGTTCGACGCCGCGTCGCCCTCAGCACGCCGAAGGGGCTCGAGCTTCGAGGATGCATCGGAGGGCTTGTCTTTGGAAGGCACGCCCGGGATGGAAGACGCGTCGCGGCCGATGGAGTGGGCCGGCTGATGCGACCCGCTCAAGCCCTGCGTCGACGTCTTGCCCGTGCTCGTCATATCCGCCGTCGTCCCCGGCACGTTCTTCACGCTATCAGCGGGCAGGGGGACCATCTGGGAACATTGTTGAGCATGGACTATGACTCTACGCCCAATGATTAAACTCACAGCAGCAGTTGTAGTAGACGGCGTCCCCGCCCCCGGCGAGCTCGGTGCAGAGCCGTCGTTCGCTTGGAGACTGATATTGTCCGCCGGATGCTCAGCGCGAGCGATGCCCGCCGCAGGGACCGGCGCGAAGCTCGCCGTGTTGCTCGGCGTAGGGTGCGCAACGTTCTCCTTCGCGTGCGAGATGGCGTTCGTCGTGGTCACCACGGGCGGCTTGTCGTCTCCCTGCGGCTTGTCGTGCTCACGACCTTGAAGGTCGGCGCTCATCGACGCGCCGAGACCCTCGCCAGCAAGACTGCCGATGGGGGTGATGTGGTGGATGGTCGAGTGCGGGGCGTGGATGACTGAGTGGAGGTCAGTCTGATATATACAACCGCACAAGGCCTGAGTCGCTTACCCTCAGAGCGCTCATCCGGTAGCTTTGCAACGCTGGCCTCAGACGAGCTGCCCGGAAGGGCGCCGACGCCGTCGGTGGTCCCAAGCCTCTCATTCGGACCCTCCTTCGAAGGCAAGTCGGCGACAACCGCGCCAGCTATACAGGCGTCAGCAGTCGTGAACACGAAGTAGCGGTTCAGTACTCACGAAGGTAGCTTGCCACCGATGCAGGGAGGTACTGCCTCGCAAGATCAGCCGCCTGGCCAAGGGTGCTCTGAACGGCAGGAACCGCAGCATCCTTCGCCTGTCCCAGCGTCTCCTGCGCCTGGGAGGCGGCAGGCTTAACCGCGTCTGCGGCCTGACCAAGCGTGCTCTGCACCCCAGTAGTGGTGGATGCGATGGGAGACGTCGTGCTCGCGCTCCAGGTGTTGCTCGCGGGGATCACGGGCGGCTGAGAGTTGAACGCGCGGTCGGCCGTATTGATTGTGGTAGGGACGGGTGCGCCGTCTGCACGAGTACGCTCTTCTGGCAGCCTCGCAACGCCCTCCTCTCCGCGGGCACCGGGGAGCGCGCCAGCACCGCCAGTCGTTCCCAAAGCCTCATTCGTACCCTCTTGCGTTGGGTACTTAGTGGCCGCTGGGTCAGCTATAAGCTAGTTAGCTATTGTCTGATGCGGAGGAAATATAAGAGCACGCACGAATCAGTCCCGCAACCTGCTCGGGTAGATACTGCTTCGCGACCCTCGTGGCATCTGCCAACGTCTGCTCAACATCCTTCCTAGCAGGAAGATAAGTAGCCGCCGCAGCCAGCGTCTCCTCCGGCTTCGCGTCCTCAGGATCGCTGCCAGGGTATGCACCCGGGATATCAGGACCAGGCGACCCCGGTGGTGAGACACTCCTCGTCGTAGTAGTCGACACCGTCGTCGGCCCCGTCGTCTTCGCCGCCGCCAGCGTCGCCTGATGGTCCACCTTTGCCTGCTGCTGCGCCAGCTCCGCCGCCGTCACCTGCGCCCACTCGTGCGAGGGCGTCGTGGGCAGCGTGCTGTCGAGGGGGTTGGAGGTCATGATGAACGACGATGATTATGGTTAGGTGGATTGAGAGAGTAGGAGAAGACAGTGAAGGTCAGGTCTTATGCGCGCGAGGTCTTAAGACTGACTTCACGCTCCAAGGCCCCTCGCCGGCAGTGACGTAGGAACTCAGTCGATGACGAGCAGTTCATTGTCCACCATGACAGGTAGCCCGAAGAAGGAGCTGATTAGTACCATTGCACAGGATTCGATCCTTGGATGAGGCGCGAGACTGGTCACTGAGGAGGGCAATGCAGCGGACATCGTGGTGGAAGACAAGAAGAGATGATTGAGTAATTGAATGACGCGCACAAGCCGTACGGTCACGAGGTCGCGTCACATAGACACTGCCAAAAGCGGTAGCAAAAGTCGTAACCGTTGTTTTCAGATGGCGTAAGGATGTGCTCTATGTAGATATGCAGATACTCTATGTGCATTTCCAATGCACTCCAGCAATAGTAAACTGTACAGTATGATACACATGACTATGGGGTAACACAAAGGTATGTAGGTATCGGTGTCATGACTGGATTACTTCTTCTGGATCTGCTCGTACGCTTCCAAGACCGCCTTCACGTCCTCGTGGTCCGGCTCGAGCCCGAGGAGGTCCACGACGACCTTCTGGACACCTTCACGGTCGATGCGCTCCTTCAACTCCTTCGCCTGCTCATCGTCATCATCCCGGAAGGCCAACGCCGCAGCGACACCCTTGATCAGGTTCTTCCGGCTGAAGCCAAAGTCCCTGCACATCGTCATGGGGCCGAGCAAACGATCTTGCTGCTGCAGCTTGCGGAGGGGCTGGCGGCCGACGCGATGAGGGTTGTCCGGGACGTTTGGGTTCTTAAACCGGGTAATGGTGGTGTCGATGTAGCGCGCGTGCTCCTCTTCCGTAAAGCCGTACTTCTTGCGGAGAGCGAGGCCGCCCTCGTTGAGCGCACCGACGACGACGGGCTCGATATCGGGATCGGAGATGGCGGCAGCGATGGTGTCGTGGCCCTTGAGGTAGCCAAGGTACGCAGTAACGGCATGGCCGCAACTAAACAGGGCATCGTCAGCAAAGGTTGGAGAGCGGTGGACTCATGAGCGCACTTGAGCGTGTACAGCTTGCGCTTGATGTACTTTTCGAGGTGCTTCGTGGGGCGAATGGCCTCGATGTGCAAGTCGGGCTCAGTCTTCTTGAGCGCCTTCCGATCGACGTCCCACTCGTAGAACGCCTCGACGCCAACGTCGAGCGCAGCTTCTTCGCGATCGTGATCTACGACGTGGTCAGTCAATGTCCTGCGAGGTGGAAGGAACCATGGACGCACCAGGCTCGTATGGGGGAACTATGCGATCGACGGCGCTGTTGGCCCAGCCAACTTGGTTCTCGGCGTAGTCGATGACCTCCGCATCCGCCTTCTGTTCCCGCAGCTGCTTCATGACCGCATCACGCAGCATGACTGTCGCGCCCTCGACGTTCTCGCAAGCCACAACATTGATCGGGCCCTTGCCCGTCGTAGCCCGCGCGCGGAGGACGGTAATGACAGAGGGAGCGATCTTGGGCAGAATAGCTGAGAAGAGATAATCGGTCAGTGATCATCCGCGATGAGTGGCGCGCATTACGCACCTGGGCCGACCGCCGTAGTGATAAGCACCAAATTGCGCTTCGTGGCGACCTCCGTGAGCGCCTCGTCGTCGTTCGACAGCACGGCCGCCACATTCTCGATGGGCACCGTCGCCGAGCTATCCTCGTTCTCCTTCCCGTCGAGGATGTGCACCGTGTACCTTCCGAGCTTGTTGATCAGGTCCACGACCTGCTTGTTCACGTCCGCGAACACGACGCGCGCGCCCGCGTGCGCGAGCACCGCGCCCACGAACCCGCGGCCGATGTTCCCGGCGCCGAAGTGGAGAGCGTAGGGTTGTTTAGACATGTCAAAGTGGTAGAGGAGATGGTTGTCAGGAGAGGGATGGTTGGCGCCGGTCAAAGGGCGGGCTATTTGTATTCTGCGCGGCGTTGAGTGACGGTCCCGTGCGGGTTCCCATCGATGATGTCAACGAATAGAATGACGCGCGAGGCCCGGCGTCGCCGGCTCTACCTGGCTCTGGCCGGGCTGTCAGTCTATGTCAGTGAGTCAGGAAGCGGTGATGAGTGCAGTAACGTGCGCATGTGGAGGCATAGCGGATGTCAGGCGGAGCGGAGGACTGGACAGCCCGCGGGTAGTCGGAGGTTCAGAAAACAAAGAACTTTTCCTAAAATGGTAACTTCGGCGTTCACCGTTCCTCGTGATCTCGGGTGTGCCATTCGACTATAGTAGCACTTTCAGTAAAAGCAAGCAAACGCAGAAAAACAGCTAACTAACCTTGAACATCCACAGCCTGAGACCTGTGCGCCAGCGTCGCCCAGATCTTTGCCAAGGACTCGATCTCAATTCCAGCCAGCCAAAGCGCGCACCTATGTCGAACTGGCCCTTCGTTCACATGATCATGTCGCAAAAATCGTGCATAATTCATCGGGGTGGACAGCTTGCAGGCTGGGTGGCACTGGCGCAGAGCAAGCGAGCGCTAGACGTAGGACTGGGCTGCCCTGGAATCAATGTACGGCTTTGCTGTTGCGTTGTTTCCTCGGTGTGCCCGGTGCGCTGGATGTCCGGGCGCATGCAGTCCTCGAGGTCATTGCATGCACCCTCGGAGTGCCTGCACGAACTATCAGCGAGACTCGCCCGGAGCTTCGCGACGGCAACCTTGTTTGGGATGATTGAGAAGATCGCTTGGTCGCCGGTCACAAGTAAGGTAGTCGTGGAACCGAGGGCTAGGCTGGTCGATCTAGGAATCTGCGCAAAATATGCTTGGAGGTGGAGATGACATGCTAGAGGGTGCGAGAAGCGGTCGACAGAACTACGGGCAATGCGCGCGAGCCGAGGGCAACGCAGTCTGACAGTCGTCGGGTGCGGTGGAACTTTGGACTGGAACTTCATGTCAGAGGCCTGGCGCATCGGGTCAGTGCGCCTCCGCCACATCACCTCAGGTGTTTTTGTGGAAGCCAAGTTGGAAGTCAAGACAGGTGAATGATCTCCGCTCGCTGTCCAGCTCAAAATACGTCGACGGTTGCCTTCAATAGCCTTTTAGCAGAACCGCTGAGACAGAATAGAAAATTTGATGAGAGGGGAGTGAAATTAAGAATTCTTGAGGCATTCTAAGGGCGGGATCTGAAAATTCGAACGCAGGGAGGAAAATTTTCAAACGGTGCATGATGAAGGCAAGAAGCAAGAGCAGGTTGAACCACTATGCCGCCATCAAACCCACCGGCATATGCCGAAGCCCGGCCATAAGGCATACTCTGGACGTCGTACTTATGACATCTACCTTAAGTACAAATACAGTCAGTAACTCAAGCAGACGCAAGAAAGGAAACATGATCATCCTCCACCTCACTCGTCCCACCCTTCCTGACACGGCTTATCCCGCCTCCGCCCATTGCGCCCCCGACACACCACCTTCCCGCAGTCCTGGCACGGATTTTGGCAGTGCTGCCGCCCGCCCTTGCCCTTGCAATCCTGCGAGCCGCACTTCAGGCAGTGCCGCGGGCTGCGCTTCGAAAACGAGTCGTCCGGCGACAAGCGCTTCGAGCCGTGGCCATTGCTCGTCGGCGCGCCCGCGTACGCCTGGGCGGGGTGCACGCCGTAGTATGCATATCCGCTGTAGAAGGGAGTGTACGGCGCCTGCGGGGGCGCGGCGGGGAGCGTCGAGGGGCCGGCTTCTTGCGACTGCATGGGAGGAGGAGGGCCCTGCGAGGCGGGCGGGCCGGTCGTCTGCGTCGCGGAGCCCGCAGTGGAGGCGGACTGCGAAATCTCGGGCAGCGGCCCGCCGAAGGGGACGTCGAAGTCGGTGGGGTAGTGCAGCGAGTGGTCTGTCTCCATGCTCTCGTCAGCGTGCCCAGCGGCATCCTCGTCTGCGTCCATGGCGTCGGCGGCGAGTTGCTGCTCGACCTCGTCGGAGCTCCCACTTGGCTGCGGCATCGGCGGAGGGGCCTCCGGTGGGACGGACTCATGCGGAGGCGCGCTCTTGATTTCCATTGGGGGGAAGGAGTGTGGCGGGGGCATACCCATTGGAATCATGGGGAGCGCTTGCGGGTCGAATGGCTCGCTGACGCCGTTCATGGTCGAGTGGATGATTTGGACGATGGCGTCCTTGTTCAGGCCGACACGCAGGCCGCCCAGGACCATATTCCAGATCGTCTGCGACACTCCGAGGGCCTGCCAATTCCAGATCTTCGGGCTCGTTCCCATGAGACCCTCATCTTGTAGAAGACGAGCGGGAAACTCCTGAATCAGCGCGGCGGGCAGAGCACGCAGCACAACGGCGTCGGTGCTGGCAAAGGAGCGGCCCTCACTGGACGTCTGCGAGACGCAAGTGGGGCTCTTGCATACGTATTCGCAGCCGATGATATAGAAAGGCTTGGGAACGTCGTACACCTGAGGACTCGGTCAGCGGGAACGTATGCAAGTTGGCGGTCAAGGCTTACCTTGATTGGCGCGGACTGGATGCGCGAACGGTTGATAAGAGGTGCCTGACAGCAGCACGGGCACAGCAGGCCATTGAAGACCAGCGGTAGAGGATCCCAGTACAGGAATTGGTGATCGGACGGCGTACGTCCCGTCGAAGCAGACGCGATAAGTGAGAAGTAAGCGGGGGAGCATGGCAGCCAAAACGTCTTGAGCACGGAGTAGAGCGAGGGGATATGCTCAGATTGCATCGCCTTCGCAGACAGCGAATAGGAGTGCAACTGGAACGCCTCGTGTTCGGCCTGCGTCGTCTGCGCACCAATCCCCGGAGTCGTGTTCAATGCGGTGATGAGCGCGCGCAAGAATGCATTCGGCTGCGTCTGCGCCAACGCCGGCCAATCGTCTTGCTGGAGGCTGGGATCGATCGAATGCAGGATCTTCTTGAGGGAGGCGGGGGTCTGCAGTCAAGGTTAGTCCCAGGATGGGTACGAGGTGATGGACGACGCACCACGGATAGAGGGAAGACATGGGTCCGCGTCTTTGGCCTAGGGCCCAGCGAGCCCGCCGGGAGACCATCCTTACGCGGACGCCCCACAGGACGCTTGGTCTTGGGCACATTCGGATTCGCCTCGGGGTACTTCTTGCCCGATCCCTTAGGACGTCCGGGTCGACGTTTCTGCGGGACTGCAGGTGCTGGTGCTGGCTGGTCTGGAGTACCAGGAGTCGGCAAAACCGGCTGGGTACTAGAAGCTGCTTGCGAGGGTCCTGCGACGCCGTTTTCCACGGGACCAGCATGCGGTTGGACTTGCTGGTGCTGGTTCAGGTCCGGTAATCCTTCCATCCTGCAAATGATGCGAGGTTAGTCGGGCGCCTAATGGACTAAGGGACAAGGTAACAAATAAACGCACATGCGGAACACATAAAACAATGAACAATGGCGTAACAAAGGGAATAAACGCGGATACTTACACTGCGGGAATTTCTTCTGTGTTTCCCAAAGACAGTCACAGTATCCAGAAACGCAATTTCCTGGACGAAATGACAAGCAGTTTACGCCTCACAAGTGGGCTGTTGGGTTACGCGGGAGATAAGACGACAAAGGGTTATCCGAAAATGGGCTCATTGATGACAGTCGGGAGTCCGGACCGGCAGATGGATCGTGGTAAATCGCGTGGATGCATGTTGAACTTGAGCAGGTACCACCACGATCCTGACACGCATCCTACCGACACGAGAGATACGAACATGAAGTACAGAGACGATGAAGAGTGCGATGTGACGCTGGCGCCTACTGCACGGTCTGACCGCTTCAGAGACCACTAACGCCAAATTCACCCGCATGCCGACAACGACTTCCACCACCAACAAGAGTGATAGAGCGTTACGCTCTGCGCGAGTCTCGTCGCTGATGCCGCGGGTGCGCTTCTGGGTTGGGCGGCGTTTCAGAGGTAATTCTTGGAGATTATCCACCCGGGCAATCCACTGTCAGGATGGGATTATCATACGGAGAATTCTCTGTCTGAGAACGGTAACGAGGGAATGCTTACGGAAGAAGGTGGTGTCTATCCGACTTTCTCTTGGACGGGAAGTAATGCTTATTCTCTGTCACAAACAAACATCAAGGCATGAGCCGAGATGAGATAGTGCACATCGAGTCTTGCAAGTGTAACTGAGGTGGGCATCGTAAGCTTCTACTGTCCTCTGCATTTCGAACAATCCCGAGGGGTACTTTGGGACCGGCGCATGGCAAATAGCACGTGGTGCCTGGCGCTGGATTTGTTATGCGATGACTTCATCTCCCCATCCCGCCTATAAAGTCACGGGCAGCTCACCAACCAGGTTTTTCTTGATTCTCTCACCGCTTGACACCCGCCACCATGTCTGGAACCGCCGCCCCATTCCCCATCGATCTTAAGCAGTACAAGAAGTACGGCGCGCGCGCTCAGCGTCGCGATCTCTGTGCACTAACACTTGCCCAGGATCAAGCTCGACCCCACGAACCCGAAGCTCACCGATGAGCAAAAGCAGACGCTGACGGCGAACATCAACCTTTTGCGCGATGCGATCGTACTTTTTACCGCCACGGGCGCGGCGCGCGGTGTGAGCGGGCACACTGGTGCGCGAGACGGCGTCCTTTCTAAGAGATCGGCGTCTGACATTCCCTCCAGGCGGCGCATTTGATACCGTGCCCGAGGTCTGCCTGATCCTCTCGCTCTTCGACGCTGCGCCGGAGAAGTTCGTCCCGATCGTCTTCGATGAGGCTGGTATGTGTTTAGCGTTCCCGCAGGAGGCCGCTATACTGATCGGTCTACCCTACAGGTCACCGCGTTGCCACGCAATACCTCCTCGCCGCCCTTGAGGGCTCCCTCCCTGCTGAGCACCTTCTTCACTACCGTGAAGCGAACTCGAAGCTCCCTGGTCACCCTGAGCTCGGCTTGTCAGTCGCTCTTCCGCATACGCCGGGTGAACGCCATGCTCACACACGTTCGCAGGACCCCGGGTGTCAAGTTCTCGTCAGGCCGCTTGGGACACGTCTGGTACGGATCCTGCTCTTGTGCGGTATCTCTCCACCGCTGACCGCTTTTCTGGCAGGCCGCTGGTCAACGGTGTCGCCCTTGCCAACAAGGACAAGACTGTCTTCTGCTTGGGCTCCGATGGCTCCCAGCAGGAGGGTGATGACGCTGAGGCTGCTCGTCTGGCAGTCGCTCAGGGCCTGAACGTCAAGCTTCTCATTGACGATAACGACGTGACCATCGCTGGTCATCCGTCCGAGTACATGAAGGGCTACGAGCTCCAGAAGACGCTCGAGGGTCACGGCCTCAAGGTCGTAACTGTCCAAGGCGAGGATCTCGACTCCCTCTGGGGCGGTGTCCACGAAATTCTGAATTACGACGGTCCCGCCGCGGTCGTCTCGAAGCGTCTCATGGCGCCGGGTGTCGACGATATCGAGGGCACCCCGCACGGCCACGACGTCATTCCGGTCAAGGCCGCGCTCAACTATTTGAAGAAGCGCGGCCACCCGGATTACAGCAACATCTTGCTGGAGATCAAGCCCAACGCGAACCCGTACCTGTTTGTTGGCTCAACGAAGGAGTCCGCGGCTAAGTATGCCTTCATCACTCTCATGGGTCTGATCAGTTACTAATGCTCTCGTTAGCCGCGCTATCTTCGGTGAGGCGGTCAACAAGGTTCTTGATACTCTCAGCAAGGAGGAAGCTGCGAAGAAGGTCCTTGTTATAGACAGTGAGTTGATGATGATGTCTGGCAGCTTCACGGACAGCGCTAACTTCACGCAGGTGACCTTGAGGGGTCGACCGGTCTCAAGGCGATTCACCAGAAGCACCCCGAGGTCTTCGTCCCCTCTGGCATTATGGAGCGCGGCAACTTCTCTGCCGCCGCTGGGTTCGGCTTCGACCATGACAAGTTCGGCGTCTTCTCCACCTTCGCCGCCTTCCTCGAGATGTGCATCTCCGAGATCACCATGGCGCGCCTCAACAACTGCAACGTCCTCTGCCACTTCTCGCACTCGGGCATCGACGAGATGGCGGACAACACGTGCCACTTTGGCGTGAACAACCTGTTTGCGGACAACGGGCTCGCGGACGCGAACTCGTGGCTGTACTTCCCGGCGGACGCGGCGCAGATGATCGCGTGCGTGAAGCGCGTGTTCTTCGAGCGCGGCGTGCGGTTCATCTTCTCGACGCGGTCGAAGGTTCCGTACCTGCTCAAGGAGGACGGTTCGCGCATGTTCGGCGACGACTACGAGTTTATCCCGGGCAAGGACGAGTTCATGGCGACGGGCACCGTGAGTGGCCTCTCTCCCCCTTCTTCGCCTAGTTGCTAACATACCTTTAGGCCGGCTACGTCGTCACCTACGGCGAGATGACCTACCGCGCCTGGGACGCCGTCCTCCGCCTCCGCCAGGAGGGCCTCGACGTCGGCCTCGTCATCAAGTCCACGCTGAACATCATCGACGAGCAGGCGCTCACGACCGTCGGCAAGACGCCCTTCGTCCTCGTCGTCGAGTCCGCGAACCAGAAGACGGGCCTCGGGTCCAAGTTCGGCACCTGGCTCCTCGAGCGCGGCCTCACGCCCAAGTACGGCTACATGGGCACGACGAAGGAGGGCAGCGGCGGCCTGTGGGAGCAGGTGTACCACCAGGGGCTCGACCCGCAGTGTGAGTGGAGGTGCTTTTGTGAGGTGGGGATTAGAATGCTGATGGGCTCTCTTTGCAGCGATCATTCAAAAGATCAAGGAGCTCAACCAGGGTCTGTCGCTCAACCAGGGCGGCACGCACACGCATCACTAAGCGGTGATACTTGAGCACTGTGAAAAGGGAAAAGGTCAATTTGTACACTATTCTAGCCTGTAACAACTACATAGAAGGATATCTTGGTTGTTGTCATGATATGCGATCGACCATTACCAAGGATAGGCCGACTGGGACGGGGGCCTGCACTTGTTGTCCCTGGCGACGATCGGCACATCGGCACATCGGCCCGGCATTGCTCGTGGCGTGCACGTGACAAGGGTTATAAGGCGACGGTGGGCGCGCGTCGTCGCCGAGGCCGATTTGTGAGGCGTACCAAGGCTACAGTCGACGACGATTCTACGCAGTAAGCAGTACGAAAGACTCAGAAATTCATGATGCATAACGACGAGAAGAGGGACAATGCGAGAACGCGATAGAGCAGCAGGTTACAAGAGAGGCTATATACGAACATACGACGGCAGTATAGCTTACGAGGAGCACGCAACACATATGACGGGTCTTCTCTGTAGTCAGGTGAAACATTCTCCATAGTCCCCCTCCATCTACGCAGCCTTGGCGAAGAGGGAAGCTGGCGAAGAGGGGAGCCGACACGAGAGATAGAGGACGTATGCACAAGGCACATCGAGGGAACGACGAAGTATGCATTGGAGAACACATGAACATATACTACATTTAACGGGGAGGATCAACACTAGTAGCACAAAAGGTATGGGAACAGACCGTCCGTTCTAGGGTAAAGTATGGGAGAGATATATTGCTACAGCCGTAGGACCCACGGGATAGTGGTGGCGGGGTACTCGGGAAGTATACTAGATTGACATCAGTTTTATATACAGACAGAGAGTACTTGGGTCACTTACTGGATTACGCAGTGTGAATTACCGTGCGCAGTGTATGCATGGGTACGCAGGTATTGTATGGATGTATGTGCTAAGCGACGTGCGGATGTCCGTCGCAAGGTCTGATGCGGGTAGGTATATAGGAAGTGGGATCGTGTGAGTAAGTATACAAGATGACGGGCGTAAGGGTTGGTGATGGCAGTCAGCGAGAGAGCGATGGCAGTCAGTGAGAGAACGATGACGGTCAGATTGTCCTCTGTCAAAAGGTGAGTTCATCCCTCGACAGGTGGATCGGTCAGTACTTACCCCTAGCAAAGACCACTCGACGGCCAGCCGCTCGATACGAGCTTTGAGCGCTGCTTTGCACAGATTGCATTTTAATTGGGGCATGAGTGAGTACAATGTCGTCTCGATTGCGCTTGCCGGCGTGTCTGCAATACATGATCAGTATAGAGTTAAAGGACTATAGCCATAACGCACCGGGTTGCGCCTCGATCATAATGCACGCTGTGGTATACAACCAGTTCTTCGTCAGCGCCGCCTGCTCCGCGAACCCACACGTCGGCGTCTCGGGGTGCTGCTCCGGCGGCTGGCCGAGGTACCCTTTGAGCGCATCCAGGCGCCGCCGGTGCAGCATGAACAGCCGCCCGAGGTAGACGGCGCCCATCTCCTCCGCCAGGTCGTCCGTGACGGTGTAGAGCGGGTAGGAGAGGAGGTAGGATGACGCGGTGGCGGCGAGCGCGTACGCGTCCGCGCGTGCGGCGGCGACGTATACGATCATGGGCGCGAGGGGTGCCTGCGCGGCGAGCAATGTGTAGAGCGGCTGGCCTGGGGCGAGCGCTGCGCGCGCGTCGAGCCCGTAGGCGGGCAGCCGGTCTGCCGCACCCGCGAGCACGGACGCGGAGGGCGAGAAGGCAGCGGGCGACCGGCCCTGCGCGACGTGAAGGATGATGTTGAGCGTCTCGGCTGCGTCGGGCGCGCGTGTGGAGGGGAGGCCGGCGATCGGAGCGCCCGAGGCGGGGAGGAGGTTGGTGAGGGCGGGGAGGAGGGTGCTGGCGGCGACGTAGAATTGGACATCGTCGGACGAGACGAGGACGGTGTCGGGCGGGGGATCTCGGTCTGTGGTGGGCGGGAAGGCGGTGGACACGGTGGCGAGCGGCTCCGGGGAGTCTGGCGCGGGGCTGGTCGAGACGGAGGAGGGGGATGCGCGCGCCTGTGCCGACAACGAGGAAGCCGTAGGCATCTGGCGCTGGGTGCTGCTCGTTGGGCGCATGGGGGAGCGTGGTGTGCAGGTCTGCGCTTGCTAAAGAGGGCTCGCATGCAAAGAAGGGCTCCCATCCCCGCGCGGGCAGCGCCGCGCACGAAGGGCCACTCTGTCAGTCCACGACATCATCGATGTTCGTGATGAACGCATCCTATGCGTCGTTCCTGCTCGAGTTATTGCCCACGTGCATATCCCCGAGCAGCCGGCGACCCAAACTGTCGGGCTTTATGGCCAGCGCCTGAAACCAAATTTACAGTACTCCCATAATACTCACAAGAGATGTCGGGAAAGGGCCACTGAAAGTCAACCAGGAAATGCGAATCGAGAACTGTTCCTATAGTCCGCAAGCGAATATCGGTACTGTATCACAATGGCATCACACAGCTCGCTCGTGGCAACGTCATGCGATCTTCACCGTTCCACTCAACATGGGGTCTGAGGAGCCTGTCGTGAGATAAAAGGTCCATAAAAGTGCTCAAGGCAAAATACAGAGTCCGCAGGACGATAAAGAAGTTGCCACAAATGGTCTATACGCTGATCAGCAGTGCATCATGAATAGGAGCAGGGTAAAGTTGGGATCACGCAACTTGACTGCATGAACAAATATTTGAATCGCTATACAAGTCCCGAGCGAGGACTTCGTTAGCTCTCGAAGACTACTCGTATGAAAAGTACTCTTCTGAACCGATTTGCCGTCGTCTCCCCCTCATCAATGCCTTTTCAGCCATCGTCGATCCAGTAGCTGCGGTCCTCTCTGGCCTCTTCTATCGCGTTCCGAACCACCCCCCCCCCTTCCTCTGTCACCACGGTGGTCGGCGGTATAAACCTTCATCCCGTCGTCATCAGCTCTGAGTCCTTCCAGGGTATTCCCAGTTCTTCGCTCCGCTTGGCGTACCGCGGGCCTTCGTCGCCCGAGCTGGTCATCCTCTCGTCGTCCAGGCTGGTCATAAGTATACTCATCGCTTCAATGGATCGTTCCTTTGTCGTCTGAGCTTGTCATACCCTCGTCGCTGCTTGGCTTCGTCATTCGTACCTCACCTACACAAATTGCCGCGTCGTTTTCTTAGCTTCTTTTGCATAGCCAGGTGTTCTTGATGGGTTGTCTATGGCGTGCTTGATACTGTAGATCGTTGTAGGCGGCTTGGTAGACGGGCAACGTTCCCCACTGTGAAAAACAACAATTTGCTCATATCCGCACCTCGATAAGTATATGTCTAGCATGCTTTTCGCCCGGATATCAGGATCTTGTCGCCTTATTTCGCGTGTACCAGGGGCAGCCCCCAAGGCGTCAGGGGACACCTCGCTTATCAAGACGCACGTCGCGTCAGTGACGAGTATTTTCCGCGTCTAGTCCCGAAAGTCATGACGCGTGCCCACTGGCGTCGAGTGCACGCGTAGCAAGCGAGTCATCTAGATCGTTCTCTGCAGAACGGTTAGGACGACAGGTTGCACTGACGAGCGGAGAGTCACTCACACCGACTGCAGCCCAGTCAACAACGCATTCCTCGATACGCTCTCGGAGTGAGGCTTTGCAATGTTTGCATGAGAGATGCGAGGATATTGACAAAAGTTCGGCCTCGATATGGCCCGCGGGCGTATCTGTAAGGTCGTAAGCGTTCTGTGTGTGGCCGTAAAGTCACCGGAGACTGCAAGGTCGCTCCAAAGGACGAAGTTACATCGAGCACGTACCAGGCTTCGCATTCACATCGATCTCAACCGTCACATCCTCCCACCTCTTCGCCAAAACACCCTGATCCTCGCACCTCTCCCCGAACCCATTCAGTGCATGCATCCCCGGCGCCCTACCCAGAATCTCCTTCAGCGCCTCCACCCGCCTCCAATGCAGCATGAACAGCCGCTTCAGGTACACCGCGCCCATCGCCTCCGCCAGCTCGTCCGAGATCTTGTGCGCCGGCTCCCCCAGCAGATGCGCTGAGGCCGCGGCGGCCAACGCGCCCGCATCCGCCCGTGCAGCGACGACGTACACCGCCAGTGGCGCGGTGGGGATGTGTGTAGCTAGCAGTCTATGCAACGGCCGGCCGGGCGCGAGCAGCACGCTCGCGTCGAGCCCGTAGGCGTTGAACCTGTCCACGGCGGCTCCAATGGCGCTCACGGACGGCGCGGAATCACTGGCAGACGGCCCAGTCGCGCTCCCAGACGGAGCAGCAAACCCCACCAACTCGCGCCCCAGCGCAGCGTGCAGCACAATGTTGAGCGTCTCCGCCGTATCGGGCGCGCGGGCAGAAGGAAGGCCCGCAACGGACAGGCCGCACACAGACGGCAGGCCCGCGACGAGGGGGCCGTGCGCGGGGAGGAGGTTGCGGAAGGCGGGGAAGAGGCGGATGCCCTTGACAAAGAAGTGGACATCGTCGCGGGAAATGAGGACGGCGTCGGGGGGTGGGGTCACGGGGCTGACGACTAGGGGGAACACGATGGACATGCATAGCTCGGGTGACTGCGATGGGCAGGATGGGCTGGTAGTCGTGGGGTCGATAGAAGGGAGGGTATCGGAGGGCAGAGCCGGTTGTAATCCTCCCATGTCGTTGTCCCGAGTGAGTGCGGTAGAAGCAAGGACGTTCAGTCTCGGAGCCATGCTAGAGCGCGGGATACGAGGCGCAAGGAGGTACGAGGGTCGACATCATAAGCACTGTCTGTTTATAAGCTAGCGTCGGGGGTAAGGAAGTCTACAGCCGGAATCTGAGAAGGCTTTGAGAAGTCAGATGAGCGCATGAAGTACGCATAGGCCCCCAGACAGTAACGCTTCGTCAGTTAGCGGATTTCCACATGGAGCCCTACGAGGTTAACTCGTCACCGCAGATCCTTGAGCGGACAGAAAGCCATTTGCGGAGGTTTAGTATAGAATATGACTGTGAGGGTCCAGATAATTTTCCAGGATGAAGTGCCGAGGCCCGTCTCTGCAAACCAGAGCTGAGGGCGAAAGGAAGGAACCTGGAAGTTGAAAGCGAAATGTCAACATCGCTCACATGCGCGGCAAGTGCCGAAGAGCCAACGGGCCGATGAGTCCGATGACTGAGCGCGCCACCCCGCTCTCACCTCGGCCCATCATCGTCGTATGAGCTGGTACGCTGCTTTGGTCGAAGCTGCGTGCAGAGTACTGCGATAACTGACCTTTGCAGAGTACCCGCATGGCTGAACTGCGCTACCGCGATTTCTCTGACGTTCGCGCGCTCTACAGCGCGCTTGAGAAGCTCAGCGACTTGGAAGACTCAAACGGACCCTTAGGGCCGGCCGTCGAACTTGTACATCACGCTCTCAGGAAGCGTCCCTTCCGTGTCTTCGTCCAAGCGCCCCCGTCGGCCTTACCACTGGTTCAATTCATCACTACAGAAGCGGGAGTCGGTCTCACTACGGCACTCACGACAGTCTCTTGGATGCTGTCTTTCAGTAGCCTTGGCGACCGTTCAGCGTTCTTCAGGGATGATCCATCCTTCTGGCGTAACGTCTCCCGCTGGGTCAACTACATGTCCCTGTTCAATCACGACATACGCCTCACCGCCATGTCTCATGATCAGAGAGACGCGCTATTTGACTCTATGGATGCAGTCGCTCGCTTCCTCAGCGTCGTAGCATGTGCACTCGGCCCTTCCCTATCAAAGGCAATTATCTTGTCTCCGGAGAACATCATACGAACGGCTGTCAACGCGTACTTCTCATCGACGCATCTCTACGCATCCGGGATGCATGACCCTCTCCACCCTTCGCTCGCATTCGAGTGTGCCTCGATATTGCCATTCACCCTACGAATTATCACGTCAGATGGAGAAATGTATCCCCAAGTCGCTTCAGAGATTCTACGCCCTGTCTGGGGCGACCCACGCCAAGTATACCACGTCGCTGCCAAACACATCGCGATGCTCCTAGAGCGCAATATTGATGATGAAACGGCGGTTCACCTGGACGCACAACTTGTCTTCATCCGAATTATGGCACTGTATCCGGACCTTCAGCCCGGCCCATTTCCGCGACGCATCATTGGCGCACTTGTGACGGTCATGCGTGAGCACCACGCCAAGGATTGGATGAAGGAAGATGGCCTTTCCAAAGTTGCCTACGGGGTTCTGGCCGACTTGTGCGCGCTTGATGCTCGTACAACCGTGCGCGCGTTGCGAAAGGGTGTCTTCGACGTCCTCGTTTGCATCCGACAAAATAATCCTGGATGCGACATCGCCGATCTCCTTCACTGCATCAAGGCCTCCCTGGTTTTCCGCCGGGCAATCCGGACCTTCGAGCAGGACATACTACACTTGCCAACCACGCCTTCTTTGCCGTTAGAGCTGAGACAAGTAATCTCTCTCGCGCGCGATCGCCAGTGGGCCCGAAAACTTGCGGACAGAGTTTGGCAGCGAGTGGCGAAATGCTGCAATGCGCAGGTTTGTGCCCATAGACGACGCCTATATATCGGGTTTGACGCGACACGTAGAGTACGAGCCCGGCCGACGCGCCTCTCCGCGCTTGTCCTTGCGCAGAGGCCCTATATTGCTCGAGGTCTTGTCAAAGATACCACTGGCTGGAAGGCGGCCATCGAGCCGCCTGTCCGCGCGCTGATAATGGCACCGGAGGTATGTAGCTATACTGGAATAATTAATTCAACCTCTCTTACGCATTTGTCAGCTTCCATGTCCGCCCGTGACGTGCACTTCATCTCTCAACTCGTCAGTCAGTATATCGAAGAGGAATTCTCTGGTATAGTCAAAGACGACCGCTGCGCATATGTCTCCATGGTGTTGGATGACTGTCAACCTGACGTAGAGAGCTTGCGCCTGAAGGACGGGGGTCCACAGGATCCACGGATTGTTGTCGACGTCGACGTTCTCTACAGCGGTTGGCGCACTCTCAGTCTTTTGATTCGCCCAAGGAAGGCGCAGGGCCGAGAGCGCTTCCGCCTTCTGACTCATGGCTACAGTGGTGAGCATAGTCGACACTGTTCACTCGCCTAGCAGTCTTTCTGATTTATAGCAGCGCAATGGGAGATTTTCGATAATTGAACCATGCATATTCAGGTTGACGTCGCATATGGCAAAGTGGCAGTTACGCAACAAGTATGTTATGACTGCTGTGATGCGCTTACAGTACTGTCCGTCATGTCTGAGTCGCTGCTTTCGATATGCCGAACGGACCAGATGAGTCGGACTGCATTGGGTCAGATAGATTGCAAGAGTAATCGAGATATAAGAAGTACATTGTACAATAATTGTTGATTGTTCGGGGAAGCTCACGCGCAAGCAGTCGCAACCTGGAACTCAAGAGGTAATCATCTACGTGCATGGAGGTCAACGATAGGTCGATACTGTCACTATTGACGGTCTTCACCTTGACAAATTCTGGCGCGCGCAAGCAGTGGTTGAGCAGCAAATTCGGCGCAAAGGACGGGACCAGCACGTACCTTCATACCCAACGACGCCGTCTCCATTGGTATCGGCCGCATTAATCATCGCCTCTGCCTGCCCTTGTGAAAGGCGCGTCCCTGTAACAACGCCGAACGGTCAGCCTCACGTGCCACGAATCTTACTGTCCTCCCTCTCTGACGCACCGAAGCTCTCTAGTATCTCCTTCAGCTCGTTCACGCTGACCGTCCCGTCGCCGTTCTTGTCGAAGGAGCGGAAGATCTCCTTGATCTCTTTCTCGGCGGCGGAGGGCGCGCCGTCGACGACCATGTCGTCGGGGCGGAAGAAGGACGCATCGGCGCCCATGAGCATGAGGAATTCGCGGAAGTTGACGCGACCGTCACCGTCGACGTCCACCTAGGGAAGGGAAGTTAAGTCGCGTATATTGTAGCGACAGGTTGTCAAGTCGGCATGGGGGGTAGGGTGGGGTAGGATAACGCATTGTGGCGCTAGATCGACGGACACCAATGTCACAGCATGAAGTCCAGCAGCTCACCTTGTCGATCATTTCCATGATCTGCTCGTCGGTTGGGCGGCGGTTCAACGAGTGCATGACGCCGCGAAGCTCGTCCACAGTGATCATGCCATTGCCGTCTGCAGCAGAAGTCAGCCCTCCTTCGCCCCTATTCAGAGCACGGTGGCGCACCTCGATCGAAGCTCTCGAAGGCGTCCTTGACCTCTGAGGGCACGGACGACAGTAAGTCACCGTCCTGCGCTGGTGCGCTCATCGTGCTGGACGCTCACCGAGCAGCTGGTCTGCGGCGCTCAAGTGAGTACGGGGCAGACTGCGGAAACGAAGAGAATAGGCAGGTACCCTTCGTCTGTGCGCGATCGCGATTTGTCTGTCATCCTGACATGCCGTCGGCAGGCCTAGACTGCTCACCAACGATCCGTTCATTGGGTGCGCGTCCTTGGATGGCGCGCGGGTTGGGACAGAAGGCGGCGGGGTAGCGGGAGGAGGTGGCGCGGGAGGTGCAGCTGACCGTCGAGAGAACAGGCGAGATAAGAGCGAGTGAGCGCCCGTGATGTTGCAATGGCGTTGCCTCATCAACCTGATGGATTTGACTATACAGACGGGGCCAGAGCGCAGCTTAACCGGATGGTGGAGATGAGCAGGAGCAACGCGCAGCGCGCTTGTTGACACCGTCCATTGATGGCTCCGCACGTAAGAGGTACATACGCGAGGGCTTGTGGTGTTGCAAATCAATGACAGAATACGTCAGAAGCCCACGTTCTTTAATCCTCGGTAGTATATCGGCTAGTACACCCGCCTGTCAATTGACGGTGCGCGGGAGAGCGGGGTTCGACTCCCCGCCGAGGAGGGTTTTTGCCACTCTTTTTGCTCAGCGTCTCTGTCTCTGCAAAGTAGTGTTGTTTTTGGCTGGCTCGGCTCGGCTTCGGCTCGGCTTTCGCCGGCTTTGGTAAGTGGGGCAAGCAGCTCGACACGGCTTGGCTTGGCTTCGGCTTCAGCCACGGCTTGATGCCCATTTTGAGCACCTTTCCCTTGAGAGGGACTTCGTCGCGCCTGACCCTACTGTGTCTCTTGCAGATAGTGAAAGAAAACGTTCTCGACCCTCTGCATGCTACTTCCAAGCTCGAGCGGGGTATATGGAGGCAGGAGAGGTCGTATATACATCCGAGGACGGCACGGCGGATTCAAATTCTCACGGGTGCAGCTGAGATTCGCCGTCTGTAAAGTTCGCATATATGCCACCTTTGACCTTGCTACTGCTTGAGATACCTTCCACGAGTATCAAAACGCTGTTTCAAATCTCCTAGAGAGGTCTGCGGGCCCCATAGTGACCAACGTATAACTGGACCTCGAGCCGCTGGCGAAGCCGCTTTGACCGGCTTGGCTCGATCGACTTCCGGCTCGAAGCCGGGCCCGAGCCGTACGGCTCGGCTGACCGGCTAGCGGCTGCGAGCCGAGCGGGAAACAACACTACTGCAAAGGTCTTCACATGATGCACCGAGCCTCGATACAACCTAAGTATGACTGTCACGACTATATCCCCAACAGATATCGAATCAGTGTACTTTTTGGAGCCTTGTCGGGGCACGTTGGGGACGCGCACGACGACGGCGAGCGGCAAGATCATGTCGCACACAAATGCCCGTCCTCCGAGTCGACTGGAGCGGCGCACTGGCATGCACCGGGTGGATGACGCCGCAGGACGGCCGGCGAGTCGTTCGGCAAATGCCGACCCGTGCAAACTTGCTGGTCCATGGTTGAACTTGACGACCTCGCGGCATGTAATTGACAAGACTCAAAGTCAGTAGCCGTGGAGCTCCGTTAAAGCACGGACGGACATGGACTCAAACCTTCAATAATTCGCACAGCGCTCCGCCAGCCGACAACGTTCTGCATCAGCAGGCCCGGCTCGATGTCGTGGATGACCTCTTCGGCGAGCATACGCAAGCTCCAGGCAGGCGACTCTTCGAATATGACCTACTTTGCACTTCGCTTCGATGTGGGTGCCCAGGTGTATAAGAGTGCCCAATGCCCGGCTCAGCAACACCCTTACGCCTCCCGATATACAACCAAAGCAAGCGCGCTAGAAAACCATGGCTCAACCTCGACTTCGCGTAGCAATCGTGTACGATGCATACCTCCCGCACCATTGAAGCGTGCTGCTAACCAGCTCTACAGCGGCGCCGGTATTGGTGGCCTCGTAACGGCTCTTTGTCTGTCGAAGCACGACGATATAGAAGTCACGATCTACGAGAGCGCCCATCGCCTTGCAGCACTAGGTGCAGGGATTGGCTTCTGGCCGAGTAGGTTGACGCTCTCTTAGTCTTAATTCGGACCCTGACTATCACTTTATAGGATCCCGAGAGATTCTCAAAGCCCTTGATCTTGAGGATACGCTTATCGAGACTGCAGGGACTACCGCGCCCGGTCCCGAAGGTGACTTCATGCCCAGATACCGCGGAGCGGAGTTGATGGGAAATTTCTACCTTAGGGACCAACTACGTCTGCAGGAAGAGCGACCAGCCGGAGGGCTATGTATTCTACACGATCAAGACTGGTAAGTGTCAGGCTTCCACTTGCGTTCTCACAAACCTCGATGCTCATGCCATGTTCAAGGCGGACAGCTCCGCCTACATCGCGCCGACTTCCAGACCGCATTAGTTGAGCGTCTCAAGCAGGTCGGCGGCCCTCAGCCCATCTGCTCCAAGCGGCTCGTCTCGTACACCGACACCGCCGGCACGCCTGTCGAGCTCGCTTTCGAAGACAGAACGAATGTGACATGCGACCTGCTCATCGGCGCCGACGGCATGAAGTCGCGCGTGAGGGCGGCGATGATGGAGAAGCTCGCTGAGGGTGCGAAGGACGCGGTTGGGGCGGAGATGTATAGGGAGTCTGCGAAACTGGTTTGGAGCGGGTACATCGTCTATCGGTGCATGCTCCCGGCCGGGAAGCTGCGGCAGCGTGCGCCAGAGCACTCGCTGCTCTCCACGCCTATGGTGGTACGTCGTGCATCGAGTCCGCTGGCCTTACACGACGCTCATAATATCCGCAGTATACCGGCAGCAACAACAATGTACGTTGCACGAATTCCTTCAATAGATTCAAGCCAGTGACATTTTCGTACCAGGCCATCATCGGCTACACCATCCAAGGCGGCGAGCAAGTCAACGTCGTTGTCTGGACCTCTCACCTCGCGCACGAAAACGGCCAATATTCCGGCGGCGAGTGGATGGGCAAGGGACGCAAGTCCGAGTTCGTCGACCGCTTGCAAGGTTGGGAGCCCGAGGTGCAAGCCTTGCTTGATGTGCGTATTCGTTTAGATCACGGTGTACGGTCGCTGACAATACTCAAGTGCTTCGACGAGGAACCCCTTCGCTGGGTAATTCACGTCACGAAGCCCGAGGGCCTACCAACGTACACTCATGGCAGGGCAGTCGTCTTAGGGGATGCGGTATGTGTCCCCGCGCGTGCACGATGTTTCCTCGACAACTTATTCCTTGACAGGCTCACACCATGCTGGCATTCCAAGGCAGTGGCGCCGGGCAGGCTGTAGAGGTGAGCGCTTGCGCCTCTCCATCGGGTGGTCCATCTGAACATCAACGCTGCCCAGGATGCCTGGATCCTCTCAAACCTTATAAGCGACCCGAAGGTCACGCGCGAGACGCTCCCCACCGCACTGCGCGTATACGACACCGTCCGCCGCCCCTTCGACATACGCGCGCAGGAGCTCGCACGGGTGGACGGGCACATGATGGTGCTAGACTACAAGGGCACTGATATCGAAGACGTCGACGAGAGGACGGCGCTCTCTCGTTGTGGGGCGACGATTCAGCGAGATTGGGAGTGGTGAGTGATTGATAGATCGACGATTTCCGCTGAGGAATCCTGACGTATCTATCAGGCTGTGGACGACCTCGGCAGAGGGCATGGTGCAGGCGAGCTTGAACCAACTCCATGAGGAGCTACGGGCATGAGCAAGGGATGTGCTGCCTTCCATCGTGAGGTGCCAATCATCAATTGTTGATCGACTATAGACAGAGGTACCCGCGTTCAACAACGTAAGCTACTCTACAATTTCAGTACCTGCCTGTCCGATGAAGTGCGTGCACGTCCGAGAATTGGCGTACCCGTGACGCCGTCCAGTCTGGGCTCTTGGCCTGACCTGCGAAGGTGAGACCGACGGGGCGAGCGTTTCTACATACCTCTTGTCCGCATCCCAATCACGGCGGATACCTTGAACAAGGGAGTTGTCCACCTGCACCGAACTTACGCAGCCCTATTCCACTTTCCTTGAGAAGCTGTACCAAAGGATACGGATAGTATATGCACTCCCGTGCCCTGAGCAACCGGGGATATACGTGCGAGGTCAGTGGCATACGAAGCTGCTGGAAGACGTATGAACCAGCATAGAACGTACCTCCTCAGCCTGCAGCGACCAGCGCGGCTAAGCTGTGCTAGTTGTGACGCCTTAACTATATGTATGCATAAAGCCTGTAAAACCACTCCAACTTTCGACGGTCTCGTTCCTGCTTGAAGATCGAACTCACCAGCCGCAAAGAGATGTTGCGCAGTGCGACTGGCAATGCGCGTGCCCCCGTCGTCGTGGATGACGCGCTATATCGTTCGCTATCGGGAACATATTAGTGTCAATTCGTCGGGTAAGGACGAAGGCTATACCAGAATGATCATCCACTCCACGACTGCCTTCTGCAGACGCCTCCTCAGCACTTCCTTGCAGTGCTTGCATGTTACTTTGGCTGCAAGGGAATTGACCGTAGACTGTATGGCGAGAGGATGCAAATCTAGAGTGTACAATACCATAAGAGCTCGATGAGCCTGCAGGCGGTGAAAGATGCCATACCTGGTCGCCCTTTCGAAACAAGATACGCCGACGCTAGCTGCCAAGCACGAGCCACTGCTTTCTGGTCCACAAAACTGCAATCTGGCGTCTCCGGATGCGGATAAGGCTCGGCCGCAAGAACGTCCCTTAGCGCATCCATACGCTTCTTGTGCAGCAAGAACAGGCGGCCGAGGTAAACCGCGCCCATGGCCTCGGCCTGCTCATCCGTCACGCTGGATAGAGAGAGCGAGAGCAGGTGCGGCGACATGGCCACGGCAAGGTCTTCCAGCCCGTAGCGTGCGGCAGCGGTGTACACGGCAAGAGGGGCAAGAGGTGCCTGCATAAGCATGGCATGATACAGAGGGCGCGGCGGCGTCGCGTACTGGGTGATGGCGAGTCCATAGGCCGGCAGGCGCTCTAATGCAGCGATGAGGGTGGTCGGGGATGGTGTGAAGCGGGCCGGGGACATGTCGTAGATGGCATGCAGGATGATGTTGAGCACATCGGCTGAGTCGGAGACGCGCGCGAGCGGAAGGACGAGGGGCGAGACGGATTTGATCGGCAGCAGGCCGCCAAAGCTGTTCGTGGATGCACGTTGAAGGACGGCGTGGACGACGTAGAAGTACACGTTATCCGAGGACGAGAGGATGACATCCGGGTATGCGGCGCCATGGTGCGCGTCGGCGGTGAACGCGGCGGACATGGTGATGGGCGGGGCATTGGCTCGATTCAGAGGGGCGGATTCGCGGAGTCCTGCGCTGGGCAGAGTCGCCATGGTCGCTAGCAGGCTGTCAAGCTCTACGTCCGCGTCCCAATGCGCCGCCGATTGCGCATCATTCTCGTCCAATTCAACGATTTCGACCTCGGCTTCATCCCAGGGTGTCAAGGATCCACGGCCTGTCTCCTGGTCGCTGCTGAAAGAGATGTTGGGCATCGTGAGGGTGAATAGCTGATCGACGCAGCTGCTGAAGATGCTGACCTTCTGGAATCTGAAGGAGGAAACGATGAGTTCGAATTATCAATCAGCCGTGGCGTTCGTGGAAAAGATCGAACCGGTCGAAAGCTTCAGAATGATTCCGCAGGCCCAGATTGAACACGCGACCTTTGTCCGGACAACCTCGAAGTTGCATGCAAGTCAAGAGATAGAAATACAAGAGAGGATACAGTGAGTGATCATTTTAGTCTGCCCGTTCCCTGCTTGGGCTAGTCGCCCGTCCCGCCGCCTCGTCCCTGTGCCTGCGCAACAACCGATCGAGAGCCTCGTGCTGGCCGACCTCGAGCTCACCGGACTGGATACCGGAGTGGTAAACGCGAAGCAAGGAGTCGACGTCGTCCATGGATTGGGTGCGAACGTCTGCGAGCTCCTTGATCTTGGCGGTCGCATCCTTGATTTGGTCGTCGTTCAGCTTGAGGCCGAGCTGCTCGACGCGCGACTTGACGGCATTCCAACCGGTCAAGCGATGGCTGGGGGTATGTGAGCATCGAAACAGTAAGGTCAACGAATGGTAGACTTACCCAATCGACACGTATCTCGTCAAACCGAAGTCCTCAGGCTTAAGGATCTCGTAAGTGCTCGGGTTGTTGAGGATAGCCTTCGCGTGGATGCCGGCCTTGTGCGTGAAGGCACAATAGCCGGTGATCGGGTTCATGAACGGCACGTTGACCTCGACCGCCTCCGCGACCAGGTTCTCAATCTCGCGCAGCATTGGGAGATTGTACTTCGCCTTCACATACTCCGGGTTCGCCGCGTACAAGCAGGCGACGAGACCGCCAAGGGGGGTGATACCAACGCGCTCGCCTATGCCAAGCACGGAAGTGTCGATATGCGTCGCACCGGCCTCGAGCGCAGTGTACGCATTAGCGATCGCCATACCGGTATCGTTGTGCAGGTGAATCTCGATATCACAGCCGACAACACCACGCAGGGTGCGCACGAGATCGTAGACCTGGCGCGGGTTCGCGCAACCTACGGTATCGGCGATGCCGACGCGGTTGACGCCGATCTTGTCAACGGTCTGGTAGATAGAAAGCAGGTCGACGAGGTCGGAGCGGAAAGAGTCCTCGCTGGAGAAGCGGACCTCGATCCCCTTGCTCTTCACGTAGTTGATGACCTCGATCGCGGTCTTGGTGATGTAGGCCATGTCCTTGCCGTGCGAGAACTCGCGGAGGAAGGAGGAGGTGCCGATGACGACGTCGACACCATCAACACCGGTCTCGACGGCGATGCGCGCGTCGTCCATGTGGCAGCGGATGTGGGTGAGGATCTTGGCCTTGAGCCCGAGCTTGCAGATGGCCTCGCAGTCCGCGCGGGACTGCTCGGACGCGGCAGGCGAGGTGAGCTCGATGTACTCGACACCGAACGCATCGAGGGCCTTGGCGATGGCGATCTTGGTCTTGGTGTCGAAGAAGGCGTTGGCGAACTGCTCGCCCTCTGCATGCTATCGGTAAGTAGGTGGAGGGGGGAACTCGCGTAATCGGCGCACCTCGTAGCGTGCTCTCGATGATGTTGAAGTTGGACACATTCGAGAGGAAGTCCGATGCGCGGGGCGCGTACGGGTTCTTCTTCTGCTGCTCGATGATGCTGTGGGCGTTGGTGCTGCTCGATCCCCGCTTGCCGTCCGCGGCGCCATTCGTCAGGGGAACGTTGACCATCTCGCTCTTGTCGGCGGGCGCAGCATCGCCGTTTTGGTGGGGGCACATAGTGTGTCTTTTGGGGGTGGAAGGGGGCTCGAGGGGGAAGGGGAGGTGAGGGTAGGTGATGATGTAGAGATTTGAAAACTGGGGAATATATACCGCCCCGCTCGCTCATTTTTGCGAGTCATTTTTGGCGGACCGTCATCACGTGCGTATCTTATAAGGCCGATTGCAAGCCGAACATCCACAGGCGAACACCAGCAGCCAGTGGTTTCTGCCGGATTAGCAGGCGTGGATGAGCAGAGAGCCTGCCAACAACTCTTCAAGCGCCCTGATGAGGTGCGCAGAAGAGAAAAGCGCCCGCATGGCCAACCTTTAGAACGCCGAGGTTGCCGATGGCCTCGAAACCTAGTCATCACTGATACTTGACTCGAACAGCCATCGCAAAGGGCCCTGGTAATCGCGCTGGCCAGCCCGTGATCCAGAGGCTACGACACGCAAATAAATCTTCGCACATGAAGCGCCGGGCGCCGGTGCGGCGCCCTCAAGGGTCATCATGTCCAGAGAAATGTCCTTGAAGCTTCAGCCCTGTCCTGCTTCCTCGACATCGATTTCCTCCCATGGCCAATCTTCGAAATTGAGTGCATGGGGGCCACTCTGGTTATACACGGAACTATAACGACTTCAGAGCCGCTGACTCGTAATCACTGGAGTTCCAACCTCCGATCACTTTTATTGGGCTCGATCACGGCAATGGCCGCAGATCACGTTTATTGCACGTGGGGTTCAATTCCAGACCGCCACGCCGTCTTCCCTCTGAGGCGCGTAGAGCTTTACCAGTCGCCGCGTAAGTGCGCCGTTCACAAAGCATGACCCTTTTAGTTACATTGCTTTTCTTCACCAATCAAGTCTGGGTGATTATGGACGAAGTATTCGACCCACAGATCAGAATGCCCGTTTTCCCAACATGAACCCGATACCCAATGCACCACCCACAGTGGTGACCAGTATAGCCCAGATGACCACCGCAAAGGGCTCTGAGTCCCCTTCGCCCTCCGGACTGAGCAGAGGGCGCGCTAACTGCGCCACGATGAGCGCAATCTCCCCTCGAGGGATCATCGCCATGCCCAGAAGTGCCGCACTCCACCTGCGCGATTTGCGCGCGTCCTTCTCCGATTGCGTTCGGTCTTCATAATCTTCGTGTCGCGGAGATGGACCCCTCCGCGAGCCGAACCAGCCTCGGCCCCCAGCAGCGTCCGGCCAGATGAGCATCCATACGCCCACCACGGCCTTGCAGAGGACCATCAGGATCGAGAAGACGATGCCTTTCCAGACGACCGCCGAAGACCCCTCGACGCGTCCGAGGGAGCGTATAGGCAGCGCAACGCCCACCGATGCGAAGAAGAGCGGAGCAAGAAGTCGGTTCTGCACAGGTGTAAGGAGGACCTCGTAAGCTTCGAGTGTCGGGTGCACGCCAGCTGGGGTGACCACTGACGAAGCGCTGTCACTGTCGCTGGTGGGCGCAACGGCCTCAAACAGAATGGAAAGGAAGATTCCGGCGAGATAGGCGCCGAACAACTCGCTGGTGCCCGCGTAGTTCGCGCCAGCGACGATCCCCGACAGCACTGCGACGAGCAGCAAGAGCTGAGCGGGAGGGGCGCGGAACGATGGCCGTCTCAGGAGCGCTTCTGGTACGACCGCCCGTACGAGGTAAGCTAGCGCCGGTACCCCGCCCGCGAAGGCCAAAGAGACCAGGATGGGGCGTACGATAACGTACCACGGGACCATTCCCGTCGACCCGTTGGCTGCCAGCTGCACGATGATCGCCGCAATGACAAGGCCCACTATGTCGTCCAGGAGTGCCGCGCTCATAAGCACGGCGCCAACGCGCGTGCGGCGCATTCGCGTCGGGAGGAGCGCGAGCGTCGTCCCCAGCGACGTGCTTGAGAGCGATGCGCCCGCCGCGAAAGCCTCCAATACGGTGTACCCGAACCCAAAGTAGAGCAGGAAGAACGAGAAGCCGATCGGAAACATGATGCCTGTGAGCGCGGTCACCACTGACAGCGCAATGTTCGCGACGAGGAGGGAGAGGTCCGTGGTCAGCCCGGCCTCGAAGACGATGAGGAGGAGGCCGATGTAGCCGACATTGATGAAAGTGGTGAGGGCGTCCGAAGGGAGGATGTTGGCGACCTGCGGGCCGTATATGATACCGACGAACAGCGGGCCGAGCAGGTTAGCGTGAATGAGGCGGTCAAAGAGGCTACTGGCGGCGCTGTTCAAGTAGAGGAATGACGAGAGTGTGAGGAGAGTGGGGACCGAGGGGGCTTCGTAGGTGGTCTCTGGCATGCTGTCCAGTGTATTCGAGGCATTGAAGAATTGAACTTCAAATTGGCGGCTGCTGAGCGAGGATTGGAAGGTGTTGTGTCGGCGCTGATGATGGCGGAAGACAGGACGGCTGTAAGGCAGTCTCCAACGGAAACGCAACAAGGAATTAGTTCCCACGCTTCTCGTCCCTTAACCTCACGGAGTTTGAAGCCTGACTGGACGAAGACCTGAAAGGAAAGCTCTTCTAAGGCTATCTCTGTCTCTCGGGCCTCCTGTGCAAGTCCGAGGATGACAGCTGCTCGATCCGAAGATTACGTTGCGACACGTTGCGCGATATGGCTGGCAACGTACTAAAACCCTAGACTCCTCCATTCTACGACCGCTCTCCAATAGCAAGTTAGCAAACAGCGGGTTATCCACTCACCTTGCGACCTCGTGAAGGGCGTTACACTTTGATACGCCTATTCGAAAGTCGCAATTCCCGACCATGATTGGCAGTGACGCCCTCCTGTTCTCCGTTTTCGCCTCCGTTATCGCATCGCTAGGGTGGCTATTGGGCCGCAGACAGCGCACTCCATATCCCCTACCTCCAGGCCCGCCTGGAGAGCCCATACTTGGTAAGCGATATGGCTCCTCTCAGAGGGGCGCCTGGCACTCAATCACGGCAGGACACCTACGCATCGTGTATGTCGTGGCCATATTGCGCAGCCAATAATTTCATATTTCTCACTCGATAGGCCTACTCTGTCTCCCGAGTATCGCTATATGGAGTGGTCCAACGAATACGGTACAAGGGACGAACTCTAAGTCCCGATATGTGACCTGACTTCTGTTTAGAATCGGACGTCTTGTACTTGAGAATGTTCACTCGGGACTTCGTAGTCTTGAACAGGTTCGTACTCTACAACCTGCAGATTTTTTGCCGAATCTCATATACACACCAGTCGTCAAGTAGGCTTCGTCTATGTTTTGTCCAGCTCATGATCCTGAGGCTTCTCCAAGGCGGCAACAAACCTACTCGACAAACGCGGAGCCAACTATTGCGATCGCCCCGACTTCGTCCTCTTCAACATGTCGGTTCCCTTTCCTACGAACAACCGAGACTGACCTCCAGCGACAGCATGGGCTTCCGCGCCACCCTCACCTTCCTCCGCTGGTCCCCGCGCTTCCGCATGCATCGCCGACTCCTCCAGTCGGCGCTTTCAAAGGTGAAGATAGCCCAGTACCAGGATCTTCAAACCCGCGAAGCGCGACGGGCTGTCAAGTCGATTCGAGCGCACCCGGAGAAGTGGGAGACCGCACTGAGGCGGTATGCAACGGCAATCGTACTCGGTGCGGGCTTTGGCGTCTCGATCGAGGAGGATGACAGCCCCTACGTGCGCATGGCCGAGGACGCCTCGTACGCGCTTGCTCACGGCGGTGCGCCTGCCGGTAGCTTGGTCGACTTTTTGCCTTTTCGTTCGTATCTCCTTGTCGACCTTCTGAATGAGGAGTCTTGACCTCCCACAGTCCGCTATCTGCCGACCTGTCTGGTGCCCCTTCGCCCGCTCAAGTTTGCTCGTAAGTGGCACGCCGCCATTCGTAGGATCCACGAAGTGCCCTTTGCGGCGGTTCAGAAGGACATCGTACGCGAATACTCTGCGCTTGCTGCTTCCATCTGAAGATAGCTTATAGCAAGAGGGAATAGCGCGGCCGTCCCTTGTCCAGCAGAAGCTTGAGGCGCTGACTAGCGCCCTCGAACGTAGCGAGACGCCTGAAATGACGCACGAGGATATACGTGGGGCGGCTGGCGCCATCTACGCTGGTGAGGGTGACTTGCCCTTTGATGTTCGCTGAATGTGCTGAGCCTCGCGTTAGCCGGACAGGATACGGTGAGCAGGATTGACTCGTGTACACGCCCTGACGACGCTCACTCTTCGCCAGACATGGGCTACACTCACTGTTTTCGTCCTCAACATGGTCCTCAATCCCGGGATACAACGAAAAGCTCGAGAAGAGATAGATCGTGTCGTCGGGAGGGACCGTCTTCCCTCCTTCAGTGACCGCGCGAGCATGCCGTACCTCAATCACGTTCTACTCGAGACTTTGAGGTATGCAACGGCGGCTCCGTGATGAGATTACCCCTGCTTAGCGTTGTCTTCGATTAGGTGGTGCCCCGTCTCTCCCGTCGGCGTGCCACATAAATCGCTCGAAGACGACGTTTATCGCGACATGCTCATACCCAAAGGTACGCCTTTCGTTGAATTCTCATTGCTGTCTAGCTGTATGTCTTCCATATACGTAGGGACCATCGTCTACGCCAACGCGCGCGCAATGTGCTACGACACTCGCGTCTACAAGTCCCCGGAAACCTTCGACCCTATGCGCTACGCGCCCGTATCAGATGGTGGTAGAGAAGAACCCCCGCCTGTCGGTCACTTCGGATTCGGAAGGAGGTCAGCATGCCTGCGCACCACACGTCCATGAACTGACAACGCCGGCTGATAGGATATGTGTGGGACGCCACTTCGCTGACGCGACGTTGTGGATCATTATGGCGACAATGCTAGCGACGCTCAATTTTGAGAGGGTTTTGGATGATGATGGGCAGCCTGTCACTCCGAAGGTGTCGCTGACGGCCGGGCTGACAAGGTGGGCGGGTTTGAGGTGCCATGAAATTGTACTAATGATCACGCCAGTCATCCTGAGTCCTTCCCCTGCGTTCTGATGCCGCGCTGACGGCCAGTCCACTCTGACGGGTCGACGTGTCGAGGTACGCATAGTATCAGTAGACAGGTTCCCCTCCCCTTATGGTAGGGGTACGCGTTCCAATGGCGTGTTGGTCTTAGACCGTCTCGATTTAGTATCCAGCAGCAAAGGATCGCCCACAGAAAGTGCATTTTCATCATTGCTTGGTTGCCCGCTGATATCCTGAGCAAAGTTCCCTGCGCCATTCTATCTCATATCCCCATATCAGAATGTGCACGTCCAGGACGTGCGAGTCGACCGCGTGAGGAGGCGAGTGCCATCTTCACATTGGACAAGGAGCGGTAGACTTGCTAGCCTCGAAGACAAGAAGTGAGTTTAATCATTAGGAAACGTGAATTGATTCAGGTTCCTGCTGTGGTGGTACGGTGGCCTCATCTTGGTCGTGGTCGCGAGCAACCATGGTCGTGGTCTGTTGATACCTACTGACAACCCGGCAAAGTCCGCGTGACGGGACAAACAGTGACACCGTCTCGTGCTCTCAACTCTCTTACCCATATCGCTTCGTTTTCTTCTTCTGTGTGCTTGTTGGAATGAGACGCTCGAGGAAATACAGTTGGATCTCTTTGGTGCACTGCGCACCTCCTTTTGACGTTCAACATGAGGTCAATTAACCCACTGCGGACTGCAGGTCCAGGTCAAGTGCCGAGCGCTGATTGCTAGTCACACCACCGCAGTTTTCCTGCCACCGTATCACCGACATCTCACACCTCTCGGAGTACCGTCATCAATGTCTCGCAAGAAATCGCATAACAAAGCTTCCTCTGCGAAGGCTCCTGCGCCGAAACCAGCGCGCGACCAGTACCACCATATCATTCCACGCTTCATCCTCCGCAGATATCAGGTCGGGCCTGCTCTGTACGTATCGGCTACTCTTCTCGTGCTATGACGCTCATGCCATCGCTCACACAGATCGAACGTCGAGCGAAACAAGGCCTTCCAGCGCGACGGCTTCATACCTGAGTATGTCCTCTTCTTCGACATCGCCACGAACACGCTCGACACGCGTCTGCTCGGCGAGGTGTACGGCGCCAAGAATCTGTACCGCGACATCAGCAACGCGGACGACGTCAACCATATCGAGACGAAGCTGGCGCAGCTCGAGCAGCGCGCGGCCACCTCCATAGCCGACATCCACAAGTCCATCCCCTCCGGCAAGTTCACCCTCACGCGGGCCGAGCTGGAGAACCTGCGCAAGTTTCTCTTCGTGATGCACATCCGCAACGTTCAGTGCTCGCAGAACTACTTCAACAAGGAGCTGAACCCCGGGTCGGATAGGTTCATAGAGGCGTGGGGCAAGAAACACGGAGCGCATACACCGGTCGACATGTGGATTCAATTTATCCGCTATCTTGTGGACACGCCCCATGGGCAAATACTCTTGGACGGTGGCGAGCTGACCATGAAGGGTCTTCCCGACGTCGAAACCCTACATGCTCACGAGAATGCTCAAGCCGTTGCGTACGAGCAGCAGGCGAACTGGTACTATCTGGGAGTGTGGGAGGCTGCAAGCACCGACGAGTTCGTGCTCACCTCGTCATCTTTCGGACTCTGGGAAGGCTTCCTCATACCCGAACGGCAGTGCTACGTGCATCGCCTCTACATCTTGAGCCCAAGATTGGTCGTTGTCCTTCGACTTTGCCAGCTGCGTCCTGAATCGCCCGACCGCGCCTCAGTCCGCTCTATGTGCCGGAGCGACCTCGTCGACTTGCCTCTTGCGCCCGCGGAGTCAACGTATACAGGCCCTCCACTGCGATTCACGGACGAGAATGATATGCAAGAATATCTGCGCTCAAAAGCGTTCTCCGACTATAAAATGTCTCCCGCCGGCCAACGGGATACCTACGCGTTCAAGTTCAATAAACTCACACCTGAACAAACCTTGGCCGTGAATCGAACCATCCTCGAGAATACTCGGGCCGATGGATCGCTCACCTTCGCTTCCAAGAGTCTCATGGCGCGCACCCTTCAATTATACCTCCGCGGCGTGCGCTGCTGGGACGAGCACAGGGACAGCTACAAGGTGCTGCTCGAATGTTTGGTGCAGCGGCCTCGACATAACCCGTGTCAATCTCTAGACGACGGACCCCTCCAGGACCTCATGACCGTCATCCTTCAGGCCGACACGGACATCTCAGGACGGCGGTCGTGGTACGCCTGTGGCGCAGCAGTCGTAGGAATGCCCCGCCTCGTGGGCGAGCAGGCGCCGAGCGACATGGCTTTCGCAGTCGCCTACGGCGCATACGTCCTGTTCATCATTTTCCACCTCTACTCGAATGCTCCTCCCCAAGAAGTGTACGCCAGCGACCTCATGCCCGTCGCTCGCCCGATGAATCTCACCTGCGAGGAGTCCACGCGCCTCATACACGCTGCTCGACCTCTTCTGCGTGCGGCGGTCCCCTCCTGCGCCTGCACTGCGGAGAGCACCGACGCGGAGCGCGTGTTGGAGGCCGCTGTCATCGTGAGCGTCCTCGATGCCGCAGTCGTAGACTTGCGCCTGCGCTTATCTCTACGTGAAAGGGCCCCTGCCCTCGCGGAGTACCTGTACGTCGGCCCAGGATCGCCTCTGCTTCCTCACGATGTCGAGCGCATCGAAAAAGACCTCCGCAACTTCGCCCGTGGCGCCATCCATGGCCGGATCACGTCGCGGAATTGGTACGAGCGCGCTCGCACTCTGCACACCTACTTCCTCGTTCTGGAGGACTCGGTGCCGGGTCGTAGTTTTCGGGCCCCTCTCTCGCAGATCATCGCCCGATTGCAGAGAGTGCTGAGGCAACTATCGCCTGGTTTCGTTCCTCCGCGTCATGTACGACCGAAAGGCAGAGTGGCCGACGACGACGCCGATGCTTTGCTGGGATTTCTGTCCGCTCTTGCTGAAACAATCGGTGCTCGGATAGACCAGCACGACATGAGCGCTGCGAAAAGGATTCAATATGACGCAACCCTATATGGCCTTTTAGACTGGATAGTAAAGCACAGATATGATTTTTTCGAGGCCGCAGTGGAAGAGTCACTATATGGTCGACCCGCCTCCACCTTCGTCGACTATTATTGATAGCAACCTCATTATGTAGCGTATGGTACAGGCTGCTACCGTGCATGCGACACATTGTACTTTGTTTTCGAAGTTTGGTGTAATAAAACGACTCGGGCGACGCTCCGTTCGAGAGTCAACCCTCACGAGGTCTATATCCCACATGCGACTCCACCCTCGGACCAACCAGGGAGAAGGAAGGGATGAAGTCTGGAGGCAGAGAATTCGGAATGCAATACGGCAGACTTTAGTGGATCGCGAGCGGTCTCGCAGCGGAAGATTCAGAAGGCTGCGGTAGGCGTATGGGAAGTGTGGGGGTTGCTCTGTATTGTGCCCAAGTGTCAAGTCCAGCTTGCTGAATACCAGTCGCTGCGCCTGGACAGCCTTTGAGGCGACGCCCATGGCAGACGGAGGCCCGTCACGGTTCACCAACAACGTCACATGCGGGTACTTTCCAGGCCCCGCACGACATTGATCGCCGATCCGCTCCGGCAAATTGCGCGCCGCCCATTGGCTGCCCGGCCTCGGACCAAGTCGGCAACGGCGGCGGAATCTGCCGGACGCGGGGACAAAACGAAGTTTTATAGGCGCGGTGACCTCAGTCCTTCTTGACCACAACTCCCTCCTCCCCTCCGTCGTCCTTCTTCACCCGCCTTACCCACTTTACGCCCCGCCATGCCTTTCACTCCCGGTGACGCCTCCAAGGGTGCTTCCCTCTTCAAGACCCGCTGCGCGCAGTGCCACACTGTCGGCGCGGGCGAGCCCCACAAGGTCGGCCCCAACCTTCACGGGTGAGTCCCCCTTTCCGCGCGGCTCGCTATGGCGGTTGTTGACTTTGCGTTCAGTGTCTTCGGTCGTAAGACCGGTCAGGCCGACGGCTACTCCTACACCGCTGCCAACGTGAGCAAGGGCATCACCTGGGATGAGAACACTATGTTCGAGTACCTCGAGAACCCGAAGAAGGTGCGCCCACTTGTATACCTCCCCTGAATGCGGCTAACCCGCCTTCCTCAGTACATTCCGGGAACCAAGATGGCGTTCGCCGGCTTGAAGAAGGACAAGGACCGGGACAACCTCATCACCTGGCTCAAGGAGAACGTGCGTCTACTTGTCGTTCTGTTTGCTTCCCCTTGCTAACGACAGCGACAGTGCTAAGTTCTCTCTTGACCCTCCTCCGGTGGTTCGCCCCACCACACACTACTATACTCGCTCGTGCATGGTCGTTGTAATTCCAGGATATTTTATCGGTCAATATGATACATAGACGACCTGCTGGCATTTTGCATGGACTTTGGCACGACATCACCCCACTCAATATCATTATTTCGCATTCGAACTGTGGGCGAGTTTATTCTGCCGTCCTCAAGTTCAGCAAATCGCGTTCGGACCCTTCCACCTCAACTTGCTGACCTCTCAGCTACACCTCGCTAACCTACGTGCGTTCCTTTATCATTGACTGCTGCTCTGAACCTGTCTACGCGGTTCCCTCCATCGTGGTCGACGTCGGCTCGTTCTTGCCCTCCTTCACAACTTTGTCGACCAACTCCAAGGAAGCCTCCTCGTCGTCTTCCGCCTTGAACATGTAGACGCGCACCTCCGTGTTCGCCCAGAGCTTCAAGCTGTTGCGTCCTGCGCGATGAGGTGAGCTCTCCTTCCACAACCCAGCGCAATCGCGCACGTCACTGCTCACCATCGGTGATGTAACGCAAGCAGTCGCCATGGGAGACGACGACGATGTCCTTCTCGGGCCGCTCGCGCAGCCAGCGGCGGACCCATCGCGCGCGGGCCTGAAGCGAGGCAGGATCGCAGGCATAGAACCCCTTCTTGGAGTTCCACCCGGGCTCCAGCGTGCTCAAGTCCAGGCCGGCGAACTCGGGGTCCCCTTCGAGGATCTCGCGGTTCTGAGACGAGGGAGGTGCGTCAGTCGAGCGGTTCAATTGCTGTCAGTGCTGCGCGAATACTTACAGATCCAGTATCGCAGGGCAGGTCATTGCACTGGAGGGGAGGGTGGGGGATCAGCGTGCTTTCGACGGGAGGCGATCCAGCAAGGACCATGCACGCACGCACCTCCTGCAGCTGGGGGAGCACGACGACGGGCTTGCCGGCCGCCTCTAAGCGCTTGCGGAGCTCGGGATAGCCGATGATCGCGGTCTGCATGGTGCGCCGGAGGCCGCTCGTGACGAGGAGGTCGGCGGTCTGCTGGATGTTGTCCTTGGTGTCGGCGTGCAGCTTCGCGGCTTGCTCGCGCCCGAGGGCGGTGAGTGGGGCGTCGTGGACTGTGGATCGGCAGGCATCAGCGGGTGCGATGATGGGGGAGGGTGGGGGGTGGGTACGAAGGCCCGTGAGCAGAGGATGGGTCTGATCAGCGGCTGGCTCGAGGGGAGCGGCCTGGCAGGGACGTACTGGAGTAGTCATCCGCGACGCTGAGGGGGATGGGGTGTCAAAGATAAAATAGACGGCAGATCGCGGCGACGTACTTGTGCTCGGCTTGCGCATGGCGCGTTAGGTATATACGCTTCTCCGTTGCTTGGACCATTGTGTGATAGTCGGGGGTCTGATACGATCGTGAAGGGACGTTCAGTGCGGTTGAGTTCGGACGTCTAGTGAGATCGTGTCTGGCAGTCTAGCTGGGATTGGAGCTAGGAACAAGGTGGCCGTTGCAGTCAAGAGGAGGTGGAGGCGTACTATGACGCGCGCCCCATCTATTCGATCATCGTGGGCAGTGAACAGGAACAGGTCCTGCAGCCGCGAGCAACATCAGATGACTCTGGCTGATCATGCAGACCTCCTAGAGACTTCCACTAGGTTTTAGAATCGTGTTTGTATGCTGCACGCCGATACATCTGCACGTCGAATGGGTCGGCTGCACCAAGCTTGAATAACCGGCCCAAGTCCGGTGAACAAACCCTGAATGCGCCCGGGCCGGCGGACCCTGATGAGTTAGGCAGGCGCGCAGCACGTGGTCCCCAGTTGACTTTCTCCCTCGAATATTTGGACAGATCGATTCGCCGCCATCCTCACCTCGCGACTGTAAAGAGTGCCTGCTTCATCACCCTCCGGCGCTTATGTATCGGATTATCAGCAGGCCGCCTCCTCGCGATGATTGCTCCGAGGACAATGCACCCCAGGATAATGCGGGGAATCACCCAGACGAGGCTGGAGGCGAGGCAGAGGAGGAAGCGCCCTCCGTACCCGAGGACTCTGTCGATGAGCGAGAGTCATCAGTGCTGAGCGACCTCTCTGCGGCGGACTCAAATACTCCTCAATCAGCGAGTGCCTTGGAGAAACAGGTACTGCTCTTCGGCTGCAATGCGCGCCGCCTTCTAAGCTGCCTTCGCAGTCGCCGACACAATCTCTGCACTCTCTTTCTGCGTCAGCCAATGACAACATTGCAGCGGCCTCGTCTTCGCCCACGACAAACAGGTCCAGCAAGCCGTGGTCCCCAGACAGGCGAAATGCGGACGGGATGCACGAATGCCCGGTCTGCACTAAAGGCTTTCAAAGGTGCGTCCCGAGCATGCGTCCGCACAGTAGTTCATGGTAGCGGGTCTACTAGGCCCAGTGGCCTCGCCACGCACATGAACATCCACAACAAAATCAAACGTACGTATTTATTCCTTCTATAATCCAAAACACCTCCTGCCGCCCCGCATTCCGCTTCCTCCTTCCGTATGCATGCGCTGAACCACCCACCGATGCCTCCAGCGTACGATTGCGGCTTCAACGGCTGTGACGCGACGTTTGCAGCGCGCTCGAATGCGCGACGTCACCGCCACAGGCATGGCTCGGACTTTGTGCGCGCGATGGACGCGAAAGAGCACGCGGAGCCTAATCCGAAGGAGCCCACATTTGTAGAACCGATTGTGGCAGATCCGGAACCGAACATATTGGCTGGCGCCAGCACATCGCGAGCGTCAAGTTCCGCGACGGAGACCGTGCGCTGGATGCCGGTGAACCTCCCCAAGAGGCATCACCGGCCGCCAAAGGCGCGCGCAGGACGGCGCGTGGACGAGGCTTGACTGAGCTTGCGGCACGCTGTTCGCGGCATCTGGCGAGTGTACGGTGACACGACATATTTCCAGACGGGCAGATATACTCGACGAAAAGTAGGTACTACATATACGCGACGCGAATGGACTAGGACGATGCGCTCTGTAGCTGTACCACGATTCATACCATAACAGTGTCCACATACCATACAGAATACACGATACCACTCGTACGCGAGACGTCTTACACACTGCCATGATTGCCGCTGTCGCCACTCTGCCCGTCTTGGGGGCCAGCAGTGGTCGGAGCCTGCGCAGAGGACGAGGACGAAGGTAAGCCCGCAGTAGCAGCAGGGACAGTATAGCGAATATACCCTCGCGACGCCTGGTTCGGCTGCATCCACTGAACTTGAACGTGGCCCGGCGAGTCGACGACCTGGTCGTTCACGATGGGCGGCTCGAACGTGGTCTCGTGCTTCGGGCTGGCCGCCGCGTTCGCGAATTCCTGGCCGTGGACGCGGCGGTGGCGAACCATGTTGGAGCGCGCGGCGAAGCGGGCCTCACAGTTGGGGAACTCGCACTTGTACGCTAGATGGGGCGCAAGTAAGAAGTAAGCGCGCAACTGGTTCATGTCGGGGGTGTAGGCGCACGTTTGGCGCCGGTGTGCGTGTTCCAATGAGCTTCGAGCGCGCCCCGTCTGTGTGGAGGATCGTCAGCATTGGATGCGGGATTATGCAGCAGTGCATGAGCACAGGGGTCACTTTGAAGAGGGTGACTCGGCGTCGGAAGCAGACGCACCTTGAGAACTTCTTCCCGCAATCTGTACACTCAAATGAGGGCTCGACGTTGTTCATTCGTCTTCTACCACGCGACGACGACGACGATGTAGACGTGTGTGACTCTGCTTGCGTAGCCTCAGCAACGGCTGTTGTCGAATCTTAACAAAGAACGGCGACCTCGCATGAGGTTCTGCCTTGAGCGCACGGCTAGACACGGCGGACCTGCGATGTATATTGTCCCGACCTCGTTCGTTTCCGATCCCCCCACACTCTCCATGATCGACGTTTTGAACGAACCGCTCCTTAAAAGGGCTTTCTGGCGATGCACGGACCAGAGGCACTGAAGCGGTCACTGATGGGAGGACGATACCTACGCTGGAAAGGCGAAGCGGGCTGATCAAGGAGTTGATTTCCGGGTGTCTAATTCTAGAAGTTGGCGTCAGGATGCAAACATGCTTTGCGCCTGTGTGCGGACTGCCTCCGAATTATTCTTGTTGCACCCTCCCTCGTGAGCGGCTTGCTGGTGAACCTTCTGCGCTATGAAGCTTCTTCCTCACATCGGCGGAACTTGTGCTGTATCCTGTGAGTCTCCCGTATTGAATAAGATCCCGTTGCTTACCGGTACTGTGGTACAATACAGGACAGCGTGATGCCAGGCAGGCTAGCAGGAAAGGCCGAGCGAATCTGAAAGATAAATGTGTAAATTGTCGACCACAGCCTGGGAGACTCACATGCAAGGCCTCTGATTGCGGAAAGAGGGCCACCGACGTCTTGCAACGCCCTGTCGAATCTCGCATCTGGTTCGCAGCCTTGGATGGGCACGAAGCTCTCAATGGACGAACGGTCAGAACCGAGCATCGAGCGCAAAGACCGGCGCTCGCGCTGGTTCTCCAATCAACGTCGTCCCTGGGTCTGCTCGATGGGCATTCACGACAGCCGCCAGTGCGCCCTTCGAGGCCGGCCGCCACCGCTCCGACAAATGTGAGTGGGCAGCAGAGAATAACCAGATAATTGGGCAAGGACCCTAGCGTCGAAAGCTGTTCCTGACCTACAGCTTTGTAAGTGCTCCATTGTCGGTTATCGGTGCGATAACGGCACATACCTCCTCATGCAGTTGTTGCGCAGATTCTGGACGTGCGCACCCTGTTATGGGTGCATGGAATAGCTCAGGAATCGGCGGGCGGCTAACAGTGACGAGGTACCTCTTCACGGGCGAGCCTGCGCTGCTCGTCAAAGCAAGACGCTCCAAGACCACCAGATCAGCGGAGCGCTACGCATCCAGCACGCTCAGCATCTGCAACGGCATCTCATTGACAATACAAAAAAGGCTCGAACCTCGTCTGGAATTTGCTCCTCAACCGACGCTTTTACAGACCAGTTATCGAAGTCCTACAGCCTCCCGTGTCCCCGGCTCCCGCGGCTGCATTACAATTTAGTTTCGCCTTGGCTGCGGATCAGCTTGTGTTTTTTAGAGGTTGGAAGGGAAGACTCACCCATCGACGCTCGCTAGCCTCCGCCAGCGAGCAATTCTGCAAGTAGCAACAGCAAACACAATACGTCATCTTCGTCCGCTGCCTGCATCGACTCCGAGCCCGCATTCGGCTCTCAACTCTTGCCTCTTCCTCTCACGTTCACGAGTCGTACTGCACTGGTTTGGAAGCTCGAAGATGATTATTTGGCCGAACGAAGAATATCTGGTGGGTGAGGAAGACCCTGGAAGGATTCCTCGTCGTCGTCGAAGGCAAAACATTCTCATGCGATCGAAGTCGACTCGCGGTGGCCGTGGACTAGCCAATTTCTACGCCGGCTACGTCTGTCCACAAGGCAGCTCACGCTTATGCGCCGCTTCACATACTCACACCGTATACGTGAGAAGGGGCTCAGACGCCTAGGTGTGTACTCGTTCATACCAGCGTCGCTCTCGTTACTTATAAGTTACATTGACGCTTGTCAGTGTCTACCCCGGGCAGGCTTTCCGCGCTATATACTGATCTTTGAGGCGTACTTCTCCTTTCTCGCCACGGCCATATCGAGGCCGGACGACATCGACGCCCCTCGTACTACTCGCGATCGCTCGACGCCTACGAACGAGCCGTCTTCCTCGCGGGTGTATTCAATATTCTCCCCAGCTTTGTTTGTCAGTCGCTCTCGCCTACGACTCGCTTCTTGCACTCTCCCTGGCCGAACGAGGCCCGAAGTCACCGGCGCATCCAGTTCACATTTGCCTACGATATTGCGCAATCGACAGTCCGCGTCAACGTCGCATATCAAGGCCCTCTTTCCCCACATCCATCCACCCAGCAAGCATATTACTTTGCCTCGCAAGGCCTTCATTGTCTCCATGAATCTGGACGGTGCTCTTGCACGGCGACCGTCAAGTCATGCGCGCCGCGCGAGCAGAATGAGAGTCCGGTGCGCAAGCCCAGCCCACAGTGTCAGGCGCCAGCCCAGCTAAAAGCTGGCGTAGCCGGAACGTCCTCTATCAGGAAAAAGACGAAGCAAAATGTGGATGAGAATTGAGAAGACGGGACGGTGTCACTGATTGTTCCGTCTCGCGGACTTTGCCGGTATGCCAGCGTGCGTCCATACAGACCAGCGGCTATGATCCACCACTCCGACTGGACACTACTGGCTTTTTACTCAGGCCAATACAATGGAATCACTTGCGATGCGACCTCACGCTGGAAGCATTAGGAGTGGCGAGAAGTTCATATGTGTGGCGCCCTACAATTGACAGGCAGTAATTCAATTGTAATCTGCGTGAGAGGGACCACATTCCATGAACCGTGAGCAGCTTCTAATCGCATACACTGTGCCTTCAACTATACCAGTGGGCGTACAGATCAAGTATGGATGGAATCTGCGTGCGCACTTAGCACCCGCCATCGCCGGTGAATTGTTGCCACAAATACATCCCGGCGTGGCGTTAGGTGGAGACATGCTGCCGTGACCCGTCTCTCCGCCCTTCTTTCCCATCGGAACAGAGTTCCGCGGGAAACAACTACCGAGCGAACGTGGCGAACACGATCACCGCTGGTATCGGTGTGGCGAGCACTGCTATGCGAAAGTCTGACTATGACAGAAATCGCGCTCGCCTCCTTGATCTCGGATCGTGGATTCGAGGCGCACGCCAAGGACGGAGGCTGGCACCGCTGAGACGCAGACCGGAGGGTCCGAGGTACACCTCGCGAAGTAAAGCCTTGTCTGAATAGAGTAGTCGTTGTTCTACGCGTGCGGCGGCCGACTGGCCATAAAATGCTTAGTCGTCATATCGACAGCCGTAGAGATCTCCATCCGGATGTCGAGGAAGAATAAGCGAAGTACTAATCCGGCGCGGGCGCGTTCATCGTCAGTACTCAGCGGACCGTCGGGTTGGAGTGGGCGACGCGAAGGAAAGGCGTGTTCTGGTACCTGCCAGGCGAAACGAAGATGGTCTTACGCCTGTCGGCCCGGAACTTCCTGATTTGTCAGCGGTCCGGTATTGTTCTGTTTTGGGTGCAAGTCAAGGTGAGTCCTGTGGGCGAAAGTCTCTGAAAGGTGGGCGGAAGTCAGTGCCAAGAGATCTGGGGCCGCGAGGGGCGTGCTGGAGGCGGCGAAGACTCAGGGACGAGGCAGCAGTCGAGGGCGGTCACTGGAAACTGTAGTCTTGTGATCGGCGTGGGCGGTTTCCCGGGGCCCGCTGACTCAAATGCTTCGCCTCAAGCGGGACGGCCGTCAGCCCTATTCGTCAATGCTTGGCTTGCAATAAAATGATAGAGGCAGGAACACCATCAGCCCATCCGTCTCCCCCTCCCATGAACTTCACGTCGACAGTGCCGCCAGCACCGATGGGGCCAGCCAAGGTCGACCCAGCGGACCCCGAGTTCGAAGTCGTCCCCGACGATGAAGCCCTCCGCGAGGGGCGGGTTCACGAGCTCGCGCGCCAGATGAGCCACCTCTCGCGCACGCACAGCGAGGTCGGACAAGTGAACCCGTTCATCGACAACAGCGACCCCCGGCTCGATCCCAACAGCCCTCAGTTCAACGCACGTCTGTGGACTAAATCCCTCGTTTCTCTTGCTTCTCGCGACCCCGACCGTTACCCGCGCCGCACGGCCGGTGTCTCGTTCAGGAATCTGAACGTGCACGGCTACGGCACCCCCACGGACTACCAGAAGGACGTCGGCAACATCTTCCTCTCCGCGTTTGGTTCGTTCAGCCGCATGCTTGGCTTTGGCAAGAACAACGTCCAGAAGATCCAAATTCTGCGCGAGTTTGACGGTCTAGTGAAGAGTGGGGAGCTGCTCGTTGTTTTGGGACGACCGGGAAGGTGTGTGATCGACACGTTCTGTCGATCGGGTTCGTTGTTGACATCTGCTCCCAGTGGCTGTTCTACATTCCTCAAGACGATCTCCGGCGACACCCATGGCATCTACGTCGGCGAGAACTCCGACGTGCAATACCAGGGCATCTCCTGGGAAACCATGCACAAGGAGTTCCGCGGCGAGGTCATTTACAACGCCGAGACGGAAGTCCATTTCCCCCATCTGTGCGTACTCCCCCCTTTCCCCAACCGGGCCATGCTCATCTTCGCCGTAGCACGGTCGGTGACACTCTGCTCTTCGCGGCGAAGGCCCGCTGCCCTCGCACTCGTATCGAGGGCGTCTCGCGCGAGGATTACGCTCGGCATATGCGCGGTAGGTAGCGCTCTGTGCGAGTCGCACGATCTTGCTGACGACTACCCTCAGATGTGGTTATGGCGATGTATGGGTAAGTCAAGGTAGTCTTGGCGCTCGAAGTCGCAGCTTATCGCAACACAGTCTGAGCCATACCGTGAACACGCGCGTTGGAAACGACTTCATTCGCGGTGTTAGGTATGTGCTTGGCGCTCTTCAAGCAATCCTCTTACTGACTGCGCGCTAGTGGTGGTGAACGCAAGCGTGTCTCTATCGCGGAGACTACCCTCTCTCAGGCGCCTCTGCAATGCTGGGACAACTCTACCCGTGGTCTCGATTCCGCGACGGCGCTCGAGTTCATCCGTACCCTCCGCAACCAGACCGAGTTCACCGGCTCGACGTCGCTCGTAGCCATCTATCAGGCGTCGCAGTCCGCCTACGACCTCTTCGACAAGGTCATCTTGCTCTACGAGGGTCGCCAGATCTACTTCGGCCGCACGACCGACGCCAAGGAGTTTTTCCTCAAGATGGGCTTTGAGTGTGCGGAACGTCAGACCACCGGCGATTTCCTGACCTCTCTCACGAACCCGGCGGAGCGCATTGTCCGTCCCGGGTTTGAGAAGAGCGTCCCGCGCACGCCGGACGAGTTTGCGCAGCGGTGGAGGGAGAGCCCGGAGCGGCAGCAGCTGCTTCGCGATATCGAGGCGTACAATGCGGAGTTCCCCGTCGGCGGCGAGCAGTACGAGCAGTTTCAGCGCTCCCGCCGCAGCCAGCAGTCCAAGTCCCTGTAAGTGTCTCTTGATGGGCGGTTAGTTACAGGATACTGATGTCTTTGCAGGAGCGTCAAGTCCCCATACACGCTTTCCATTGGCAAGCAGATCGGCCTCTGCGTCGAGCGTGGCTTCAAGCGGCTCCTGGGCGACATGACCAACTTCTACGTGACGGTCTTCGGTAACTTCGTTATGGCGCTCATCATCGCGAGTGTGTTCTACAACATGCAGCCAACCACGGACACCTTCTACCGTCGCGGTGCTTTGCTTTTCTTCGCCGTCTTGACCAATGCGTTCGCCAGTATGCTCGAGGTATGCTCTTCCTGTCATTGAAGGCCGTACTGGTATTGATCCTTGATCAGATCTTGACCTTGTACGCTCAACGCCCTATCGTCGAGAAGCACTCGCGGTATGCGCTGTACCACCCGTTCTCGGAGGCCGTGGCCAGCATGATCTGTGACCTGCCGTCCAAGATTATCACCTCGCTCGCGGTCAACCTCACGCTGTACTTCATGTCCAACCTGCGCCGCGAAGTCGGGCCGTTCTTCCTCTACCAGCTGTTCGCCTTCACCTGCACGATGACCATGTCCATGATCTTCCGCACGATCGCCTCGGCAACACGCACGCTCTCGCAGGCCATGCCGCCGGCTAGTGTCTTCATGCTGGCGCTCGTCATCTACACCGGTACGTCCCCCTCTCAACTGCTTGCTCTGACTTGTGCTGACTCGCCTTCCAGGTTTCACCATCCCGACGCGCGACATGGTTGTCTGGTTCCGCTGGATCAACTATATCAACCCCATCGGCTACGCCTTCGAGACGCTCATGGTCAACGAATTCGACGGCCGCGTCTTTGAGTGTACGTCGTACGTGCCCATGGGCCCTGGATACGAGAACCTGTCCGGCGAGGAGTTTGTCTGCGCGACCACGGGTGCGATTCCAGGCTCGAGGGTCGTGTACGGCACGGACTACGTGAACACGACGTACAAGTACTTCCGCTCCCACGTCTGGCGCAACTTTGGTATCCTCATCGGCTTCATGATCTTCTTCTGTGCGACGCACCTCATCGCGACAGAGAAGATTTCTGCGGCGAAGTCCAAGGTAAGGCTCAACGGCTTTGATCCCGTGTGCATGTGCTAATGATTCTGCAGGGCGAAGTCCTCGTCTTCCGCAAGGGCCACCTCCCGAAGCGTCGTGGCGCGGACCCCGAGGACGCGGCGGGTGCCGAGAAGTTCACGGACAACAACAGCGTCGGCTCGGACCGCACGGTCGCCGCCATCCAGCGCCAGACCAAGATCTTCCACTGGAACGACGTCTGCTACGACATCAAGATCAAGAAGGAGGACCGCCGCCTGCTCGACCACGTTGATGGCTGGGTCAAGCCCGGCACGCTCACAGCGCTCATGGGTGTTTCCGGTGCAGGCAAGACCACTCTCCTCGATGTCCTGGCTACTCGCACCACCATGGGTGTCATCACCGGCGAGATGCTCGTCAACGGCCACCCTCGCGATCGCTGTAGGTCTTTCAATCTCCTCGATGGGAATCGTCGGTCTGACCTCAATCAACAGCCTTCCAGCGCAAGACCGGTTACGTTCAGCAGCAGGATCTCCATCTTGAGACTTCCACCGTCCGCGAGGCCCTCATCTTCAGCGCCCTCCTCCGCCAGCCCGCTCACGTACCCCGCGACGAGAAGATCGCATACGTCGACGAGGTCATCAAGTTGCTCGAGATGGAAGCCTACGCCGAGGCCGTCGTCGGTGTCCCGGGTGAAGGTCTCAACGTCGAGCAGCGCAAGCGCCTCACCATTGCTGTCGAGCTCGTCGCCAAGCCCGAGCTGCTCCTGTTCTTCGACGAGCCGACGTCCGGTCTTGACAGTCAGACTGCGTGGTCCATCTGCCAACTGATGCGCAAGCTCGCGAACAACGGTCAGGCCATCCTATGCACGATCCACCAGCCGTCGGCCGTCCTGATCCAGGAGTTCGACCGCCTGCTCTTCCTCGCTCGTGGCGGCAAGACGGTGTACTTCGGCGATCTCGGTCGCAACTCGTCCACTCTCACCAGCTACTTCGAGCGCAATGGCGCGCACCCTTGCCCGCCGGACGCGAACCCCGCGGAGTGGATGCTCGAGGTCATCGGCGCCGCCCCGGGCCACACCACGGACAAGGACTGGAACCAGGTTTGGCGCTCGAGCCCTGAGTACCGCCGCGTCAAGGACGAGCTCGCCGAGATGAAGGCCACGCTCTCGCAGCTCCCGCTTGAGGACAACAACGCCGCCAACCCCGCGCAGGCCGGCAAGCCGCCCAGCACCTTTGCCGCGTCCTTCTGGACCCAGCTCGGCCTCTGCTTCCAGCGCGCGTGGCAGCAGCTGTGGCGCACCCCGACGTACATCTACTCGAAGCTCTTGCTGTCGACGATCACGACGCTCTTCATCGGTTTCTCGTTCTACATGGCGGAGAACACGCAGCAGGGCCTTCAGAACCAGATGTTCTCGATCTTCATGCTCTTCACGATTTTCAGCAACGTCGTGCAGCAGATTCACCCGCAGTTCGTCACGCAGCGCTCGCTGTACGAGGCGAGGGAGCGGCCGTCGAAGACCTACTCGTGGCAAGGTTAGTGGTGGTATATGGGGGTCGGCCGAAGTGATGCTAATCACGAGCGCAGCCTTCATCTTGTCGCAGATCTTGGTTGAGTTCCCGTGGCAGATCCTGGGTGGTCTGATCGTGTTCTTCTGCTGGTACTACCCCATCGGCCTCTACCGCAATGCCCAGCCGACGGATACCGTTGCCGAGCGCGGTGAGTATCTTATTTTGCTACCAGTCTGAAGTATGTTCTGACACGCTCGCAGGTGGTCTCATGTTCCTCTTGGTCTTGGCGTTCTTCCTGTTCACGAGCACATTCGCGCACTTGTCGATCGTCGCCAGCGAGACCGCGGAGGCTGGCAGCAACGTCGCGCAGCTCTGCTTCTCGCTCTGCCTGTTGTTCTGTGGTGTCCTTGCGACGCGTTCGACGCTCGGCTGGTGGATTTGGTGCGTGCCTTCGCATTCCCTGTCCTTTACTCGTACTCACCGTTTTGTAGGCTCAACCGTGTCTCGCCGTTCACGTACCTGGTCAACGGCATGCTCACGGTCGGCGTCGCGCATGCCGAGGTCCACTGCTCCGACATCGAGTACATCACCGTGCAGCCTCCCTCCGGCAAGACCTGCGGCGATTTCCTCGGGCCCTACATCGAGGCCGCGGGATCCCAGCTGTCGAACCCGAACGCGACATCGGACTGCACCATCTGCAGCATCTCCTCCACGGATGCGTTCTTGAAGCAGCTCGACTTGGACTACGATGATCGCTGTACGTCCTCAATGATTTCTGTCACACCGCGTGCGTGCTGACTTGCTGCTAGGGATGAACTTTGGCATCATGTGGGTGTACATCGGCTTCAATGTCTTCGCCGCCATCGGCCTCTACTACCTCGCGCGTGTGCCCCAAGGGTGCCAAGGCGAAGGAGGTCAGCGCGCCTGCGCCCGAGGCCCCCGCGGAGACCCTGGAGAAGTCGGGCTGATTGCTCACCGCCTTTGATATCCGTACACGTTAGACTGGGGGTGGAGTCATGGACTCGGGACGTTGCTCTTTCTTGATTTTTGTGTATTTACTGTATCCTACTACCCACTGATTTCCCCATGGTCGCTCTAATTTTCCCTTATGGTGGATCCGGCACTCGCGTTAATGCACGATGCAATACTCATCTACTTACCCTCGCATATCTATAGACGCTCTCTAAGTAGACGGTATACCTGATTGACAAGACATGATTATCATGATGTCTTCAAGTTCTGAGTGCTCAGCGGCTTCAGTTGCGTTTCGTGTGGAGAGGCGTCTTCTGAGTTTATTCAGTGACCTTGCTTCCAAGGTCTCTCCCAGTGCTTATTGAAGCCTGATTTTTCGCAGGCACAATCAAAAGGTCAGCAGCGCTCAATTGACGCACCTACGATAACCAGGCGAGGTACTGTAGGTTCTCGACCTAAGTACATGGCAGCCACGTCCGCGGAATGAGGCAGGTGTGCTGAATAGATAGGATGGTACAGCTACAAATACATCACTACGACGCCTGGCCCAGGCAGGCCGGGTATAGTTTAATGAGTCCCCAACGTATAGTATATAACCCAAGCATGGCTGGACCGGGCAAACAGAGGCAAGGAGTGTGGATGGCGAGTAGAAGCGAGGATAAGTAGATGAGTAAAGCAAAACGAAAGCAAGGACACGTCCGATGATATATCTACGCAGAACGACGCGGGTCCCTCGCCAAAGGACTAGATCAAGGCCGAAAGGACCCTCTAAGCTGTCGCCAACACGACCGCGCTCTCCTGCGGCTGCAGCCGCGCCTTTAGCAGCGCCGCCCGCCGCTCGGTCTCCCATCGCAGCAGCTCGTCCTTCAGCCGATCAACGCGCACCGAGCCCACCGGGTGGCCTTGTCCCATGATGTTGCGCACGGCGACATTGTCAGTCATCGCCGGTGGCGCGGCCGAGGGCGGGTGCTCAAGGGACTGGCTCGAGACGCGGTTCTCCCAGAAGCGCACAGCGTCGCGCGCGTCGAAGCCAGCGTAGGCGAGGAGTCTGAGGGGAGGTGAGACTATGAGGATGATACAGAAGGGAGATGAACGCACCTAGCAGAAACCACGTCGGCCTCGATCTCCTGCTTGTACGTCGTGCATGCTTCGCCGATCTTGGTGAGCTCCGTCGAGCTGACCTGCCCCAGCTGTGCGACCGCGTCGTTCACGAAGGGGCCGAAGAGCATCGTGATCGGGAAGATGAGCACGCGCAAGACGTCCGACAGGATTGACAGGCTCCCGGGCACGATGACAGTAGCGGATGACAACGTCTCCAGGTGGTGCGAAAGGACAAGATGAGCGAGCTCATGCGACAGGAGGATCGCCAGCTCGGTCGTTTGTTCCGGTGTCGGTATTGGATGCTGTGGTCGGTGAGAAGCACTTGAGGGCCCGAAGAGCCAGGATGACCATGATTGCGCTTGTTCTGCAGTTGGTGGAGGGGCGGGGTGCTTGGCGAGGACATCGTCGATGAAACCAGAGTACACGACGATACCGCCTGCGCCGTCAGGTCCGAAACCGTATGAGAATGCGTTTGACGCATTCGGCTCGTCGACGATGATGAGGGAGTAGGGAGGGTCGGTCACAATATGGGGAGCGTTGGTGGTGTTGCGCTCGTTCATCTTGTCGCAGAACATGCGGAGGTGTTGCGAGACGCGCGGGCGGGGACGCAGTGGGTACTCCGCTGGCGGGGGCATGGGGTGGCTTTCGTCGTCGATCGCATACCAGTCGCTGTCTTCTTCGCGCTCGGTGCAGAGCTTTGGGACGACGGATTCGAGGTGGCGGAGGGTGGCGGCAACCCAGGCGTAGCGCCAATCGGTTGGGGGTACGAGGCGGACCGGTTCCCCATTAGGGGATAGGATGTCGCCGACTGCGCGGTACCATCCTGGGCCTGCGAGTTGTTTCGCGATCTCCTGCTCTTCCTCGGGAGACAGTATGATCATGCGCCACCTGGCAGTGGGTTAGGAAAGGTCGAAGCGCCGTGAGACGCACATACCTCCCGGTGAGCGGTGTCTGCTCCAAGCTGGCCACGATCGTCGCCCAGAGAAGGATGATAGGGGAAAAGAGCATGGCGTGAAACAGCATCGTCCTCGAGCGTATCTTCTTGAGAATCCTCTGCTTCTTCTCCTCCGAGGTGGGGATGCCTGCGACCGCCGCGCGCTGCAACTTCTTGCGCGCCTTGAGGTTCTTCATCAGGATGAGGGGGGTGAAGGTGAGGATGATCCTGCCAGCGGTCCTCGCGAACTCGATCGTCGTAGACGCCTAGACTGGTACGTAAGGACGAGCGGTGGGTGTGAAGACATGGGTACGCACTTTAAGCAGCGTTGCGAGGATGGGAACGAGGGGCCCCGCTTCATTCCTACGTGTCGAGTGGAATGCACGTCGTTGCTGTGCTAGATATGGTGTCGGGAACACGGACAGCGGTCGGATGGGGACATGGGGGAGGCGCGGAGGGAGCGAGGGGCCACGTATTGCGTACGGGCGCCGGCAGAGGGAGCGCAACATGGTTCATTGTGAGGAGGAAGAGCGTCGGCAGACGGCGGCAGAGGTCCTCATGCTTATGCAATGCATCTTTGCCAACGTGATCACTGTTTCGATCCCTATCAGTGTCACTGGCTGACGAGGCCTAGATTGTGAGAGGACAACCTCCGCGGCGCTCACTGCACCTCGAGGAGGGTAGGAAGAGTGAGAAAGCAGTGACTGAAGAGAAGTATTCCATTCCGAATTAGTGTTGCCAGCGGTGGAAGTGCGAGCGGCCGATGTTCTGAAGCCCAGGAACGATTGAGCCGCAGTAAATGCAGCACCGCAAATAACTCTAGTAGATGTGGGGACGAAGGATAGAGGAGACCTGGCCCTGAACGCGTCAGTTGCGGTTTGCGCAGATGCGTGGTTACAGGGAATTGGAGTGATAGATGGAAAGAAGCCACGTTGGATCCTGTCTACCCTAGGGCTCGGCCGAACAGTAAATGGGATACAATATAGCAATACGGGGAATGAATTGGCTGTCTAAATATACGTAGTTGTATCTGAGGAGGTTCAGAGATGAATAAAAGTCACTCGCAGCGGTGCACGAGTCCACCATTGAAGCTGTCTCGCGAGCGTCTTTGAAGTTGCTGTACCCGTCATTGAATCGCCTGAAGGTGGCATATTTCATACATAACTCATGCATATGCATATAAATATGCTCATAGCGTCGCATCGTTTCGATGCAAACAGTGACACGCCATGAGAAGTTTGATTGATGGCATATCACATGATCTCGGTACCGACACTCTACAACTGCAATTTCTTTACACGTCTAAATCCGCCGCCATGATTCCCCTCCCTCGTAGCTCCCGTTATACTGATGATGCATACTGAGTATCCCACCTCTGAGCCTAGAATCCCCCACAGTACGCCCCAAAAGCTGCATCAGCCTCGAACCGCTCCTCATCAGAGGCGCACACATCGAGTAAACACTCCAAGATCGCCGGAACGGACGAGAGGCGGCAATGGCATATCCGGGCGTCAGCGCCGGTAGCTCTGCAGCCCAACTGCGCGATGCACGCGTCCCCGCAGCCGCCTTAGTGTTCCCAAGTCAGTTGAGGGCCTAACACGGTGGAAGTGGGATGCACTTGATATGGATGTACTGGTTGCTTGTACCAGATTGGCGGCACTGAGTGCGACGGTGATGAGGACGAGACGCATCGTGAGGGTAAGCGGGTCAACGGCCTGGGTGTGCAAGAGGGGGGAAGAGGGAATCTGACCTTATAGCGCAGACGACGATAGCGGCGACGATAGTCGGGCTTACAGGCGGAGAGAGGGACGCGCTACCGGTTGGAAGGTGGACTTTGAGCATAAGATAGCGAAGGGCACTGGCAGGTAGTGCACGTCCAGCAGCCTAGGTGCAGTCAAAGGGGAGCTTGGCGGGTGCCACCAGCTGGGCAGTATGAAGGGTCACTTCATTGCAGCGTCATCAAGCGCGAGTCCGTCAGAGTAACACATGCCGACCCGCAGAGCAAAGCACGTACGCGGTACTCAATCTTGAGGACAGCCGCTCTTCTCCGCCGTCATGTCAACGTGAGAGTTGTATGGGCAGCGAGCGACCGTAGTGCGTACGAAAGAGCAGCGCGAGCACTCATTCGAGGAAAGAAAATATTTAGTCGACGGGTATCGAGATAGTTTGTGTTAAAGTGAAGAGAAGAATCCTACGGTGCGTTAAGCATCCATACAAAGGCCCCCCTATGCACCGTCAGTCATTAGTAGTCGGACGAAGGGCAAAGTGCTTACTTACGGATGACAGTCAGGTTGATGGGCTTTATCGCTTTGCGATGCCCCTCAAATCTGTTCGACTTGCTCTTCGCACCACTTCCAGAGCTCGCGTGCGAGCTGCTCGTCACGCGCGAGAGCCTGCGCCTTGCCGCGGCGCGCCCAAGGCATGAGGTACTGATGGAGAGCGTGAGCATGCGAGAACGATGAAGAAGTGGACAGGAAAGCGTCGAGGCAAGCAAGAATCACTCACTTCTCCGCCAAGGTTTGCCGCCTCCGGGGCCGTGCCCGCATAGAGCTGCGTGAGTGCACCGAGCGGCGGCGGGTAGAGGAAGGGACGCTGATGAAGCTGTTAGCCTACTTCAATCACGATCGGACCAAGAAACCGTCGGTCGAGGACAGGCGAGCTCACCAGAAGCGCCACGGTAAGCTTCGGCATATGCCGATAGAGCTCACTGTCGAGGTTGCCAGGGTTGACGGCGATGGAGACGAGTCCCTTGTCGCCGTACTGGCGCTGGAGCTCCGAGGCGATCAGGATGTCACCCTGAAGAGCGCGTTAGTGTTTGTCCCCTTTTTCTGGCGAGAGATAGGACGCACCAGCTTGCTCTGAAAGTATAGGGACTGCGTCCACTTGCGACGGCGGCGTGGGCCATCGCGCAGGGTACCGAAGTCGAGGCGGCCAGGACGGTGGCCGATAGACGAGGTAGTAATGACTCTAGCCGGCTCGGTAGATTTAGGGTCAGCTCCCTCAGGAGGAAGAAGCGCCGGAAGAAGGAGCTTGGTGAAGTAGAAATGCCCTAGCAAATAGACGATCAGAAAGAAGTTACAGATCAAGATCAGGGAGGATGGCTTACCCAGGACGTTCGTGCCAAACTGGAGGTCATAACCTGCGAAAATTTGTCTAAGGTAAGAACATCGGCATAGATTAGCTTTCGCTCACCGTCAACAGTGCACTGGTCGACAGGAGTCATCATAACGCCCCTGAAGTGGTTAAATGAGGGCCATATACACGGAGAGAAAGGAGTTGTACGTACGCGCTGTTGAACAGAATATCTAGGCGGCGCTCCTTACTGAGAAACTCCTCAGCGGCCGCCTTGATAGCATGCAAGTCGGAAAGGTCGAGCTTGAGGAAACGCGCCTCCTTGCCGGTAGCCTCCTTGAGCTCAGCGATAGCGGCGTTCGCCTTGTCTGCATTACGCGCAGCAAGGTAAACAGTAGCGTTGTGTTCGAGCAGAGCGCGAACGGTCTCCTTGCCGATACCGGTATTGCCGCCCGTAACGAGCGCAACTTTGCCCGTCAAGTCAGGAATGTCGGCCGTCGTCCAGGTCGGAGGAGGCGGTAGACATTCACTCCAAAACTGTCCCATATCGTGAACTGGTGCAGTCTGAGTAGCAGATGGTGGTAACGGTCAAGAAGAGTTCGCGGGCTTCGTTCGAGATATAACCCCAGAAGACAGAAAATCAGGCCGAAGTGATTCGTCTGAGGCCGACTCGGACACGGAATGGAGGAACCGTTCGTGAGTAGTTTTGACATAATGGAGAGAGTGTCTGGGCTTACGGTAATATGCGAGCTGTTTAAGAATCGTAACCGGTGACTGGAATGATAGCAAAGTCGTACGGCAAGCTCACCGGGCCGGAACGACGCCACAATAAACGTCACGTGATTGCATGGTATTGTGGCGTCACGATCAAGTCACAGCCACTCTTAACTTTGCTCTTGACCAGCCCGTTCAACGCAGGTAGCATCTATCGACGCCAATATCTTTCCAGGTTATCTCTTTGTATAAGCTAAGCCCAACCATTGGATCCATGAGGATCCCAACACGGAGCACCCAAGGAGTTTCTTGCACCCATCGGCTCCTCGCAACATAAACAAGAACATCTTCTCTCACACAACAGTCCTCGGAGCTGGCGCCTTGGAACTATCACAATACCGTGGGTAATCCGATACAAGAGCACCTGGGCCCACCAGACGAACGGTCGCACGACTGTTCTACAAGCACGTAGTTCGCAACGCAATGATATTTCCCGCTCTGATTATGCTGCCACACATATGTTGCTGCCTGTCAATTCTAGATTTATGCGGTACCACCCCTTGAGAATGCTCTAGTTGACTCTCCGAGGTGCCCAGTGATGCGATGCTCGTCCTCTATCGGTCCCCTCTTCTCTACCGCACCTCGTCGTCGTCTTCGTGCTCGTGTCGCGGCCGGTCCTCGCCTCAACTGCGACGCGCCGCGCGACGGCCACGGCGTCGGGTGCGCCTTCGGTGGCACGTTGCATGCTCGTATATCGATATGTTGGCTTCCGAGCATCCAGGGGCGTCCGTGCCTGACATAAATACGGAGGTCGCCAACGACAGCGCGGACTTTTTGCCTCCCTTCCCTCGCGCCGAGATGCGTTTGACTAACATCGCCACGGCTGCTGCAGTCGCACTCGCAGCGCTAGCCAGCGCAAAGCAATCAATATGTGAGTGTAACAAAAGGCTTATTGGGTCCGAGCTGATGAGCCCTCCCTTTCCGCACCCCGCTCTCCCAACCCTAACCCGACGACTCGTACGTCTCAGTCAACACTGACGCGAGCATCTCGCCTGGCTGTGGTAACCTCTGCATGGACCGCCGCTGCGCCGGCCTCGACGAGCAGGCCTGCCTCTGCCAGTACCGCGGCGCGCTCAGGATACCGGAATGTCTGATGGCGAATTGCGATACGGAGGGCGTGTACGGGGCGATGAGAGCGTTCGATGCGTATTGTCGGGAGCGGCGGGGAGGCTATTATATTGAAGGTTGAGGAGAGCGGATAGAAGGAGGGACGCGCGCGAGGGCGCAACAAAGCCAGTCTATACTAAAGGGTGCTCACATACCTGTCGGACCTCTTTGAAGAGCGGTCAAGATGGACCGGTACCAGCCAGGACCGAAAGAACACATCCTGGTCGGCTTCAATAGCCTGAGAGGGCGATTGTGGCGTGATCGCCTCCACGATAGGGTCGGTCAGTGGGCGTCTCAACTGACGAGGGCTTAGCAGCTAGCGCCTCAATTGGGCCGTCGATGCGGAGCATGCGCAGTGGACTCGCGAATGCCAGCCGAAGAGTGATGTTCAGCGTGAGATCGAAACGTTCCACGGGGGAGATGAGCTCAAGACCGCCATCGTGCGAGACATCCGGAGGGTAGTGGAGACTCGTGAATACAGCAAAAGCAAGCGCCCGAGTTGTCGCACTGCGCAGATGGGCTCCTTGGGTACCACTACACGTCCGAAGCTGCGCGATGAATGCATATTTGCCTGGGTGTTTGGTCTTGGTCTTGAGTAGCCAGAATTACACCATGTACACTTGGCGTCTCCCTTCATCTTCAAACTTCGCCGCCTCGAACGTCCGAGTAGTCCGTGTCATAATCGACGTCGGCGAAGACCATTCCGGCATCAGGCTCTGCATTGGCCGCTACTCCAGGACTCGCGCTTTCGAGGCGCCCCTCCGCGCGCACAACCTTCAGAAGCGGGAGCAGACGCTCAACCTGCCTCCACCTCTTCGTTCTAGCCTTCTCCACATCCTCGTCCAGATATCGCACCTCGGGGTCGTCCGCCCCCGGGTCGCTGACGGAGTTGGCGGTCGAAACGGTGTCCACGCCGGGGAAGAGCGAGGATATGAAGGCGGCGACGACGCGGGCGCTCCTGATTGGAGAGCGATAGACCTCGAGGGACCTCAGCGCACCCTGCCGTACACCGTGTGTCGCAGTCGGGTCGTACGTGAGAGGCTCGGCATTGAAGTCGAGGCCAAGGTAGCGCAGGCGCGGGCAGTATCGCGCGAAGGCCACCAAGGCCAATATCGTGCATGCAATTGGGCGCATGACGCGCTTCGTCTGCAGTGTGAAGATTTCGAGCTGAGGCCACGCCTGGGCCATGCGACATAGCTCGTCGTCGTCGAGGAGGAAGCCGCCCCAGCACCCGATTGTGAGGTCGGTCAGATTGTTGAAGGCGACGAAGCGCTGAAGGAGGGCGAAGTCGAGGGTGCGGGGCCACTTGCTTGTGTCCCCCACGGCAACCAGGCGTTCGACTTCACAAGTCGCGTGGTAGGCTTCGAAGCAGAGGTAGCAAGCTGTCTCACTCCCTTCATAGAGCTGAGACCGCGGGGCCATAGAGGGCTTTGCAACACGCCGTCAAAGAGATCAATGTTGCTTTACTCCGACGGCGGTCAGCGAGAATGCATTCGCATACGATGTTCAATATTTCAGGTATACGCAGGCAGCGGTGCATCTGCAGATCAGTAAGTGATTCGTCGCAAAAATTCCCATAGGATATTACTCTCCGCGCACCTACCTGTGGAACGGCCAATTGCCTGCTTCGCGGCAGTGGTGATAGTTGGGAACGAACGCACGCCGAGATCCCCGAAGCCGGACCCGGCATTTGCCGCTGTAATCGAATGACCCGCTACGTTCGATTCCGCCCGCCTCTCGAACTGGGAATCAGCAGAACTTTCGGACTGGGCCTAAACTGAGCCTAGACGTCGTCGAAATTAGCATGGAAGTTGTTATAACTCCTTGAATAACGCTTGAAGTTGCATACAAAGACGCCCTCGCCTGAATGTCGGACCAGAGAACGTTCGCCGTGCCCAGCACTGTGTCCATGTCTACAAAGCAGAGGAACTGCGAGGATGATATGCCATTGTTCAGGCTGACACTGCCCCAGGGTGCTTCTGCGCACGATTATAGAAGAATGGAGCACAATACGACCCACTGTTTGCTCAGGGTTCTACCGAGCAGCTCTTCGCATCATCAGCCCGACGATGTACAGTATCTTCGCAATACGCCCCCTGGCTCGCTGCCATTACATCACCGACCCGCCACCCAATTTCGGAAGGTTCGCGCAGTACTGATAGATGTCGCTCAAGGCACGATTGAAGTTGACGCCGTTGACGTTGCCGCGGCAGTTGCTCTTCAAGCATGCGCGGAGGTCGTTGTCGAGCCGCGAGTCGCATATGCAGCTCTCCGGCATGTTGTAGGCGCAGACCTGGTTGATGCAATCGTCGCCGCAGCCGGCTGGAGAAGGAGGTGCGTGAGTGTCGCGAGGGTTGGGATGGCGGTGGTATTAATATGAGGACGCGATTTGCGCTACTCACGCGAGATGTCTGCGCTCGCGAGCGCAGCGAGAAGTATGAAAAGAGCAGAGGTAAGGCCAGAGCGCATTGTGAACGACGGCGCGGGTAGGGCTCAGATTTTACAGTCAAAGACGCGCTATACCCCTCTTATAGGGAACGTGAGGAGGACGGCTGACAGGCCAAGATGTGTACCGTGCACAAGGTATTTGTGTCGGCCGGAGAAAACGAGGGTGCGCGACAAGTGAAGAAGGTCCGGTCAGCATGACTCTCCTGGCTAAGCAACGACGTAGGCATGTGCCACATCCATCAGCTACGGAGCTCATGTTGCCTGCCAGTAGGAGCTTGCTGGTGAAGGCGGGACGACGAGCAGCGTGTCGCTCCACGTGCCCCTCTGGAGAGTCAAGGGATTTCGAAAGTTTAACACGATGCTGGGGAAGCTACGCGACCTTCATCCCTGAAGAAGGCCGAGTGCTGCAGAAGACATGGTTTGTGGCAAGCGCAGAGTTGTGGGTCCTCGTCCTGCCCTTGTGACGTAAGCGATCAAAACAATCACAAGCCCCTTCGGGCCGACGGACGCCTCTCTATCCCCTCATCGCCTTGCACAACGACGCCCAAACGTTTCGTTCTTCCACGCCGACGACGACCTACAATGCAGCTCTACCCGCTTTCAGTACTCACGCTCATCTTTGCTGCCACGGGCGCTTGGGCGCAGACGGAGTCGGGGTCAGAGACCTCGACGGGCTCCGCGGCGGGCAGTGGATCGGCGACGCCGACGCGGTCAGGCTCGGCCTCGCGGTCCAGCGGCGCGAGCAGCACGGTGTCGGCGAACCCGTCGTCGTTCCCGACGCTGACGCCGTACTCGGACTGTGGTGAGTGTCGGTGTTTATGCGGTGCATGCCTGTTCGGCGGCGGTCAATGGGCGTGGTCGTAGTAAACGCGGGGCGTGGATTAGAGAGAGGAGGCTGACGCGGTCTTTTGTTTATAGTCAACAACTGTCTTCTGGGCGCGATCGATGACGCGAAGTGCGGGAGTGTGGTTGATGTGAATTGCTTCTGCAAGAGGTACGTCTCTTGATCTTGCGCGTCGAAAGCGTGCTGACGGTCTTCCTCCCTTGCCTTTGCTGTAACAACCATCATCGCACCCAATTTTGACACCACGCAAATAACACCCAGCTCATCTCCTTTCACCGGCTCCTACCTCGACTGTCTCGCCGCGAATTGTAACGCGGACGAGCTCGACGATGCGGAGGGCTTGGCCGAGCAGTTCTGCGCGCTAGCGAGCCCCAGCACAAGCCTATCCTTCTCAAGTGTGACCCCGTCGAGCAGCAGCAGCAGCTCGAGGTCCCAATCGAGCGGAGCTTCGAGCACCAGCACAAGCACAAGCGCGTCCGGATCGAGCACCGAGTCTGGCGACAACAACGGCGCTGTCGCTCTCTTCGGTCCTTCTTCGTCTACTGCCTCGTCATTCAGTGGTCTGGGAGTGCTGCTAGGCGCGGCGTTTGTTATGCTTTAGATCACTAGGTGCGGTCTAGCGGGCTTCAGACCCGGGGCAATGCTGATAGCATACTACAGCTATACTTCATCATGTCTGCACGTCAGCTCACCAGCAATGAACCTATATACCACGCCGTGCACGCGAAGTCCGTCCCGGACAACGATCAGATCCGCCGCTATTTGCAACTGACGCAGCTTTTGACCTTCGGACGTTACTCCTCCTCGCCCCTCTCATGCGGACACTCAAGTGTCCGTCCTCCATACCTGCACCAGTCATACCTACTTTATTACGCCCCCAGGCTCCCTTCGCGTATCGCGTACTCATTAGATCTGCACTGCGCTGGACTTGTAATATCTTATATGCTGTGTCACTGGTCTGCTGTCGAGTGGACGCTGATTGCGATCATCATTAGCATTCAAGAGCGTACTCTGCGCACCCTTCGGTGATATTCAAGATGAAGTGAATGAGGTCCGTACCCACGCGCTGCACAAGCATCCGCGGTCGAAAGCCAGGTCTCAAATACTGTAACTTGGGGGATTGGAGTAAACGAAAGGCGCAACCGCGCCGATGGACTGGCTAGAAGAATACGAAGGCGAAGTACTCTTGTTAGGTCGCTAGAGGCCGTTCTAGTATCCGCCAGGGAATCATCTTGCGGCAGGCGCATGCTTGAACGATGTGAACACATGCGAGAGCAGGCGACGACCGACAGCTATATACCACACGTGCTTTTCGGCAGTTGCCGTCTGACTGTCAATGGAAAACGGATTTCCTCTTTGACGATGCACTCACTGTTCTTTGTCTCCTCCCACCAGACGACTCCGTTCACCAGTGGCAGAAAGTCGTGCGTATGGGTGCACTGCCCTTGCCGCGATTATGGTACGATTATACTGATACTGCTTGAACATAGCCCAAGAGCGCGATGGCGCTCAACGCACCCAACCATCCCATCCTTCCGGCCGAGCTAGTCGATCTTGTCATTGAGAATCTCATCCTCGACGATAGCGAGCAAACTCTGAAACGATGCGCCCTTGCACTACGAAGCGCGAGACCTCTCATCCGACGATTCTTGTTTGCGAACATCGTGCTTCAGATCCCCTCAAAGGACCCGGCGGCGGGCAAGCCCAAGCGCGCGAAAATCTCGACGGCTTCCCAGCGGTTTCTCGAAGTCCTTCTCGCCTCTCCTCATCTTGGCGGCTACGTTCGCGAGCTCTCTGTCATGTCCGGCGACTTCGATCTGCAGCAGCCGCATGTTGCGAAAGACGCAGAGACCCATATCCCGGGAGTTCTGCAACGTCTGCGTGGCCTGGAAAGCCTGACGATCGAGCTGAAGGGGCACGGACATCTTCATTTGCCTGAGACACTGGTCATGGCCTTGGAACTCCCGTCTGCAACTGTCCTGCACCTGGATGGCATCACGTTGCCTCTTGCAAGCATCGGAAAGCTTTCCAGTCTTCGGTGTCTTTCTAGCACGTTCACAAACCTGGCTTGTGATCCCGGACAGCCTCTTGCCATCGGACCCGCACCAAGACTGGAGCGTCTCAGTGTGCTGCGAGGTTTCTTCTCTGATGCGACCATCTTCGCCGCCCCGCCATCGTATTTCGACCATCTCGTGCGCTTGGAGGTCCGCGGGGATTTCGTCAAGTTGGACCGCCTGCTTCGGCTTTGTGAAGGAACCCTTACTCATTTGGAGATGAACGCTCCTAGGCCTGGTATGTGTGGTCGCGTACGCGCTTTTAGTGAGCTAACTAGTTGTGATAGAGAATAGTTCCGAGCGACTAGATTTGTCCATGCTCGCTTCCCTGCGTCATCTGGTTATCCACGAAATCTATATTTTCCCAGAAGTATGGATATGGCTACGCAGCACTCTCGGGACCGTTGATGCAAGACACGTCGAGTTGCGTCTTGGAATGCTGGAAACGTGGACTGAAGACACGTACGACGTCCCTTTCAATGTCAACGAGTACATCAAACCCCAGGAGCGGGAGTTTGCCCGCCTTGACGAGGTCCTGAGCGAGATTGCTTCCTGCCTCGACACCGTGCATCTCGAGATCAGCTCCGACTACACGCTGGTAGAGACGGCGCATGACTACATCATGTATCAATGTGACGAGGCCGCGGACACTGTGCTCAGTTATCTGCCTCGTACTGGCGAGCGTACCCCGCTCTTCATCAAGGTAGATGGTGTTAGTTGTACGTCGTGTGCAGCATCTATCTACCGAGATCACGAGCTCATCTCCCATTGCAGTCGACGCAGAATCCTCAGAGTCGGATTCTGATTGAGACGGACGGCCCATCTGCGACCGCCATCCCTACGTTATCCCACCTACAGCCTCATTTAATCCTGGTGTACCCATGAGACCTGCACGGTGTTGGACTTGTAATTACCTTTTGCTGTATGATCATCCAGCAGGCAATTGTCACATACTACCAGCGACTGATGACATGACAGTGGCAGCTTGGCAAGAACGCGTCTGAAGCCACCACGCTCTATTGCTTCGAAAAATAATGGCGTGAAGCTGGATTGACTAATCATACGACGCGAAGAGCTGTAGCGCCGAACGCTGCGCGGTAGACGATGAGCCCATGCCAGGCGTCGAGCGCGCCCTGTGCTTGACCGCCATAAACTCGGCTGTCCGGGCCGACCGTTACCTACCTGCCGCCACCATTACCATCCCCGCATACCTCCCTTCCCATCGAACAATGTCAGAGGCGACGAACATAGGGCAGAGCAGAAACAAACGGAAGCGGGCATGCGACTATTGCAAAGCCAAACGTGTGATCTGTCACCCGCACCCAGATGGGTGCCCCCGTTGCTTGGAGAAGGGTGTCCAGTGCGTTTCCCTGTTCAAGTAGCATGGGATATGTCTGATATCATGGCAGCTGTACTACCACATTGAAGCCGCGACGGCCACGAACCAAGAGAATGCAGGAAGAAATCCGACCTGCCGCGGAAATCCCAGTGGTATTCGAGGCGGAGAGTTCGACTGCTGCTTCCGATCGTTCCAGTGCGCTTGCGCTGCGGGAGCAAGCACCAGAAAGAAAACAAGCTCACGCCCTGCATCTCATCTTACCCTTCGACTCTGAGCCTATCCCCGGAGCGCTTGTTGAAGATGCACTCGATAGTCAGTCCCCAGGGTGCCTGTGTCGCGTCGATCACTGACCGTCCTTCTAGCGATCTCCCAAATGATGCCCGACCATAGTTTCCTCTTTCCCGTCCGCAAGTACCGCGCCGTCATGCAGAACTGTGACTGGGACGTTCGCCTGCTTGCGCCACAAGAGCGCGTCCTCACCACATGCCTCCTCGCCTTCGCCTCCCTCGTCTCGGTCAACCCTTTCTACGTCGGGCACGACGCCAATGGACACAAATTCCCTGACACACATCTGCGCTGGGAGAAAGTCAACTCCGGTTATATGGAAGCCATCGACATACGAGAGATTGGACGCAGGAGGAGACCAATTTGCACGCGGTTCTACGGAGAGGCTGTCCGTCAAGCGCACCAAGACGGAATCACCTCTTTCGCTTCGAAGGAGAACGCGGTGTCGTGTATACTGCTCAATATGCTCGACGTCAGTGAGTAGCCACTTCCCATGCTAGATGCCGTCTGATCTCCATTCTGTAGTATACGATCCACAGACTTCCATGCCATGGGCCAACGCTGCCATCTGGCAACTTCGAACGATATGCGAGCAAGTTGCGACAGACATTTTCCGAGGTGCAACTCCACGTGGTACATCAGAGGTGGTAGAGCGAATTCAATATCGAGCAAGTATGGTACGTACTGCTTTGGTAGTTGAGGCTCTTGTCCCTTAACCTTGGCGTATAGTCTGCTATCGCTGCATGCTGCGTCAGCAAAGGGAAAAGCATGCCCTTGTGAGCTCGAGGACCGCGCCTATATGGTGTGCGCTCACAAAATCTATGTAGTTCGCCCCACGACGAGGCGGTTATTGCCGGGCCCGAACCCAAGAACATCGACGACCTCCTTGCAAAAATAGCGGATTATTCCCGACACCATGCTGTCGTGGACTCCCTGAACTCGAGTATGCCTCCCGTCTTGCTTCACTGGACCCTGCTAACGCCGGTTCAGTTGGCGCGCGCTACATTCGACTGACTCGTGATGCGCTCGAGAACATCGTCGGAGGTGATTCATGCGTTATGCTTCTCGCAATTCTCACTCACCGACACCATAGTCGTTGCGCTTCACGAACCCCTCGACGAACTGGAGGTCTCACGGCACGTCTCTGCCGTCGAGCAGTCCTTTACTACCGTCTCCCGCTTCCGCAGGTTCATCCAGAGCCTCGGCGACGAGCGCGAGCTTCGCCTGTGTCTGTACAGCACTTCCGCGACCTACACATCGCTAGCGGTCGCACTTTACCACACCCTCAGACGCCGCCTGAGCGAGAGCGCGGTGTCAGCAACCGGTCAGGCGGCGCGTTTGATCGCGCTCTGCAGGCGGAGTCGAGCAATCGCTGCTCGCTATGTCGTCGAGGCTGTCAACGATCTCCGAGGGCTTATCGCGGCCCACTGGTTAGGCTGGTTCACGGCGTTTCGCTTTGAGGCATGGGCAGAGATCCTGCTGAACGACAAGAATGGTGAGGCGCTCGACGAGAATGAGGTCAGCGAGGAGGAGCGCCTGGGGACGCTGATGTCGTGAGTGCAATCTCTGAATCGTCTGAGCGCTTGCTGACGTGTCCTTGGCTTAGCTTGCGCGAAATGTTGCAGTTCAGCCTGTTTATAGGCATCGAGCGTCCGCAGATCGTCGCAGCCATCACCTCTGAGCTTGATCCGCTTCGCGCAGGATTTTCTGGCTTGAGCTCCGAGCCCCAACAATCACCTCAAACGGGCAACAACACTACAGCATCACCGAGTTCATCACTGCTGAGCGACGCGCTCTCGTTCGCCAGCACCCCCACATTTCCGACCGACGTACCTATGCTCAGTGGCGACCAATCTGCTCCTTCCGCACATCCTGCGGGTGCGCTCACGCTGCCGGGATGGTGGAATGATGCACCAACAGCAGCGAACTGGAACGACGTGTCGAGTTGGATGGGCGTGGAAGGCTGTTCAAGTAATTCTTGGACAGTAGAGGAAAGCGGATATATAAATGAGCTGCATGATAGCTGACCAATGTAGTGAAGGCGTTGATAATTAGACACCGGATGATTTTAGACTCAGTCGTGCTATACGGTCTCCAACTTACGCCTGCCGGCACAAGTTGAACTTGTGACAAGTGACACCTGCAATCCGGCTATCGCCGCTCCTTGCGCATCTTCCGCTGTTCTTCATCACCCATCCGCGCCCGGTCCTCATCTCGTCCTCCGAGAAATCTCGACGATCTTACACTAGTAAGCAAACCTTCATCGAACGATGTTACCATGTATATTGACTAGCCTCAAGACATGATGAGTCTCCACGGAGATACCCACCCGATTTTCCCGCCTGAGCTCATCTGCATGGTCGTCGAGAATCTAGTCGCCGAGAAGGACATTCCCTCCTTGAGGCAATGTGCTTTGTCGCTAAGATGCGCGCTTCCCACCGTCCGACGTTGTCTATTCGCTTTGATCATTCTTCATGTTAAAGTCTCCCCAAAGCCTTCGACCTTGATCACAGACGGCCGAGCACAGGCGACCCCTGCGCAGCGCCTGTTGGAGGTCGTGACCACCGCTCCACCTCTGGCAGGTTATGTCCGCGGTTTGTACCTGGATATCAACATTGCAACTGGGGTACGCGCCCGCGACGACCCAGGTGATGCTGTTCCACCTCTCCTCGCTCTCTTCAGACATCTAGAATGTATGGAGATATGCGCAGTCTCATCTCATGAAGACGAACCGGAAATTCCTCTCAGGATTGTTGCTGCGATTGATCATCCCTCATTGACCACGCTGCGCCTGTCCTCTGTCATATTCCCCGTGTCGGCCTTCGACAAGCTATCCGCCCTCCAAAACGTTATCCTCTTCGATGCAGTGCTCGTCTACGAGGTCAACGACCATCCCACACAATCTCTCGTTTGTCCGAAAGTAGAGCAGCTTGGTGTATCCACCAGATTCGGAGGTGGTATTCAGGATTTCTACAGCCCTCTGTTCTTCATATCGCCTCCGCCGTACTTCTGTCACCTCGTATATCTGGATGTCCGAAACGTTCTCGAGGGTTATCCGAACATAATCAGCATCTTACATGCCTGTAGTGGTACGCTCCAGTATCTGGATTTGCCCTGTCCTGTTGGCGGTGAGCGAGTATATTGACCATCTATAAGAAAGTATGGTTCTGATCCTTCATAGTTGCCTCCATTGCTGGTCAGCAGTTGTCTATGCTCAAGTCCCTTCGTCGCCTCGCGGTCTATCAAACTTTCATGTCTACGAGCATACACGGGTGGCTTCGCGAATCCCTCGAAACTATCTGCGTACCCCACCTTTCCCTGGTACTAGTGCTTGAAGAGCCTGGTGAAGATATACAGGCCACCATCGACATGTACGCGTTCCTGCAGTCTCAAGCGCAGGATTGGAGGCTTTTGGATCGAATTACGAGCGGCGATGTCGTGCGGTATGACAGTGTCAAGATCCGTGTGCTCTCTGCCATGGGACCAGACCCTGAAGTCCCTGACACGCTCTATTGCTTCTATAACTGCGACCGCGCGACCGCGTTGTTGCTTGAGCTCCTCGAGAATACCGCGGAGAAAAGCGCATTGTCCGTGTCAATTGATGGACACCGTAAGTACTCCATCAAAAGGAGGTCATGGAAAGATTGACGATTCTTGTAATGCAGCTGGTGCTGAGGTGCCACGAAGCGCGCGTGTCGAAGTCGCATGAATAAATTAGGTATTGTACGAACTGTTGTGCTACGATTTACCTGCTGATGTAGACACAGCTGTGGCTCCATCCCTGGTTCGTCCGGCTGGATATGCACCAAACACCTGCTAGTGACCCACTACGGTCGTCGTTGAATCGTTCTATCATGTGCGCTCTTGAATATTGTTTACAAAATAAAATCCATCGACTCGCGATCGTCAGCCCACAGCCTGGCATACTCCAGGCAGAGCCGGAAAACATACACTGCGGATATATCAGCTCAGTACAGTCGACAAGCGAGTTGTGCACGCAAAACGCAAAGGCGGCGAGAAACATTTGGAGCCCCGAACGGTCGGACAAGACCGTTCGAATCGCGACGGCCGCGAGACAAGATGCGCACTTACCTTCCATATCGACCTTCCGTCCCATCCTGTGTTTCCACTCTCTTCCTGCTTGAGCGATGTCGTGCAGCATCTCGTCATGGTCCTCCCCTCCCGTTGCATTCGCCGCCCGCGGTGGTCCTGAGAAAAAGGCATGGATATTGTATATCTCATCATATATCGTTGACAAGGGGATGAAGTGCACCCTGTACGGCACTGTCAGGCTATCAAATGAGCGCCACGCTAGACAGTACGCACCAAGGTTCAATCCAATCATGGAAGAATTCATTGTAAACCGTGGCTTTCACGGGCACGCTGCCGCTCTCGAGAAATGCGAAGAACCTGGCGCTGTAGCCTTGGCCGTCAAGGTCGACGAGATATTTGTGCGCCCAGTGAGCGCCGAGAGGCACACGCTCAGCGAAGCGGTGGTCCTCGCGCAGCGCGTCCGCCCCGCCCGGATATGCGACCCCAGTCGTGAGGGTGGTGAAGGCCGCGTCCATGAGTTCGCTATTGAGCTCCCTCGTCGGCACTTCGACCGTTCTCCATTCACCTTGATCATCGGCAAACGTGACCTCGTGCGGCGCGTCCGACGTATTCCCCGCGAGCCTCACGAATCGGTGCCGCTGGTATCCCGCTGCGTAGCCTCTCGGAGAGCTCCCACCGCCCGTCGTCGAGCCGCGCCAAAAGAAGCGGGAGCTCTTGTCCTCCCAAGGTACTTCCATTGCGTCGGTCTCGTTCTGGACACGCCTCTCGGGGTCCCAGGCGTACGTATAGTGCTCCGAGCCACCATAGTAGTAGTGGCTCGGTATGCGTATATCGGATGCCCCGGGCGATCGTGCGGGCGTCAGGATAGGCAAAAGCGCGGGGATGGTGCGCCAGTCAGAGAAGAAGAGACCTTGGGTGAGGTGGGCATCCGGGTATGAGCAGAAATCGATCACCGAAGGCGAGTTGGGCGCAAAAGTGAGCTCGGTAACGTGGGTGTCTATGAGGGCTCGAGGCTCGTGGGTGTCGCTGGATGGTCGGCGCGCGGGATCGGTGGGCTTACAGGTGCGGCGCCAGGCCTCCCAAACGTTGCCTCCGTCCGCCCAACCAGGATGCATATCCGCGTGGATGCCTGTTGAAACTGCTGAGCAGACAGCAAGTTAAGCCATGGGGGTACGTACCCAAGCTCTCCGCGCTGAGGCTCGCATTGTCGTGGCGCTGCTCCCAAGGGACCAAGACCATCCCCTCCGCCATCGCATTCACCGCAAAGGTCATATTGGGCAGCTGCCGTGCGAACCTATCCAGGATTGCACCAAACCCACGCGCGCGATCGTTCGGTTCGTTCTTCTGGTATGTCCCCTCAGGCTTGCGTTCATGGACCACCCTTCCATCCCGGATGGACACCAGACTAGCAGACGGCAACAATCCCGCGAGTGCAGCGCGCGCACGAAGCTCCGCGCCAGATATATTCCAGAACGGCGCGAGGTCCTCGTCGATCGCGTCGAACTCGTCCATCATGACGAAGTCGCGGTCGCGCGCGTACGCCCACCAGTGATTGAAGCCCTTAGGCGGCCGGCGGCCATAGCGGCGCTCGTACTCGGTGACAGCCTCTGGCAGCGTCTGGCTCTGACGTGCGAGCTTTTGCGCGAAGCGATCTTGTGCGTCAGTGATGAGGCGCTGGATGGGGTGTTCAGCGGGCTGGTGTGTGTCGGGCTGGTGGTTGTCGGTAGGCGTGGAGATGGAGGCTTCGGTGATCGTAGGGGCGTCGGCATGTGCATTGAGCCACTGCTCGAGGGCGTCAGAGGTCGTGCGGCCGGTCGGCGTGTTCACTCCTGCGCGGAAGAAGACGATGGCGACGGTGGCGAGGACGAGGGCGGCGAGCGCGCGGGCAGCTAGGGATGCAAAGCGGCGCGTACGCGAGGGGCGGAATATTTGCTCCTCGTCGCCCTTGACCTCCGTCGGCGATGCGACGCGGATGCGCCACTCAAAACTCGACGTCTTTCCATGCGGCATGAGGACGGGGCCAGGGTAGGGTATACGGGAGGAGCCCAGGATGAAAGCGCATGTGCGCGACGCGTAGCCGAGATTTATAAGTTACCAATATGTAACAGTCGCGGTGTGGTCTAATGGGTCGCTCCACGGGAACACGGGGGTGCGGTTCTGGCGAAAAGATGGCGAGATAGCACCGGAAGGGTTAGTCGATGGGATTCAGTACGGGTCGGATGGGGCCTTGATGCGGGCAGAAGTGCTTGGCGGGCGGGAGGTATGCGTCCACTGAACAGGATAGTAGGCGCCGCCATGCGTGACCGATCGTTATTGTGCTCATCGGGGTAAGCTTTCATGGGATCCGGATGTCGTACACATCTTCATCTGATGTTATCAGCCCGGGAAGAGCGTGGTAATGCTCGCCACATCGGTTACGGATTAACGTGCGGCGCCGATCTGCGTTCGCAGATGTGCTCGAGCAGTACAGTAGTCGCAAAAGAGGTCTGCGACGAAGCTGCGCGAGGTAAGTAGTGCGTTCAGGCGAGGCGCGGGATCGCGACGGGTTGTCGTCCTACATGTTGTACCGCGAGCAAGCTGGGTTTCGAGTGCCGATGGTCGGGACAGCTTCCCAGGCAGACTTGGAATGTGGCGCGCGTGTGGCCGCGACATACGATGGGCGTCCCGGGAGTAGCTCGCATGGGCCCTCCTAGCGTCCGTCGAAGGGCACCCAGCAAGGCGTAGAGATAGGCCCAAACGCATAGAGACGACAGTGAACATGGCGTGACACGGTCGATGCCAATGCGGCCTCGTGTGCTATGGAGCCCGCCCGCAGAAACGACGCAGAGAATGAAGTCGTGGATAGTTCCCGCTGCTAGCAATCGATTGAAAGGTATCGCGCGCCTGCATTCTCGATGTGGAGGTTAGTTGACGGAGCTATCTCGGGAGCGGAGTGGGTATCAGATGCGGCTCGCTAGCCAAACGTATCAAATTTGATGAAAGATGCAGTCGTGAGCGGCAGACAGTTGAAAGATGGTCACAGAGAGTACAAAGGTCGCGCTGTTGAGTAAAAGACCGTGGTGTCAGTGCACAAGAGTCAGGGGGAAATTCTCAAGCCCACCGCGTTAACCTACTAAGCGGACGACAATCTGTATCTTGTTATTGGGCGCGGAATGAGATCAGTAGTGTGTATGCGGCGATGAGGCGGATGCTACAGAAAAGAGTGGGTATACGAGCAGGACGTCGGATCCCACAACCCAACGGGAAGCGGCGCTTCGCAGCGTGCGCAGCCCAGAAAGATGAGCATTCGTACGGTTAGTAAGCATGTCACTACATGAGCGTTGCAAAAGGAATATCCATGGTTCGCTACCGAAGATGCGCCCGCCATGGTCAACAAAGGCAGGAAAACTGACGGAAAGGGACAGTTGTAAGAAAAAACAGGAAACAACTCAGCGAGTCGTCCCGTCCGCACCTCGAATATCTCATCTGAGAGTTTCCATTGCCTTTCAGCGCGGTTAGTGGTCCCACTGCATAGCGCTGGTTCTCAAGGCATCCAAGGCATATTCAATGGGCAGCCGATGCCAACCTTGACGTCGTGCCCAAGGGAAGTAGTACCTGACATGAGGAGAAATCCCGAGGCACACAGAGATAGAGGTCCCAAGCGATCAACGTACATGGAAGAGCAGAAACGATGGTGGTGGTCGGGAACAAGCACCGAATATCTGTCCGGCCATTGCCGCGGGGACGCGGGAGTCGGACCGACCTTCCGACTGTCATTGTTTCCTGCGTTCACCGGGATTATCAACCATCGACAGAGTTCCCTGGCAATCTGGGCGTAAATCCGTGTTATTCGAGTGGAACTATACCCAGCTATATCTAGGCACGCGTATAGGACAACGACAAAACGTCAAGCTCCGAAATGGGATGAACTAGCGCGCGACACTTCCGCGAATCCACGGCACCTATCCCCGTGTCAATTTACGAAGAGAGATAATTGTAGACGTGTTATTGAGGCTGAGATGGCCTCAGATGGATTCAAACTCTTAGGTCTCGCCTCCTGAGCCGCATCGCCCTCAGCGCATCGAAGCACTAAGAACTTGAAGCAGGCCACGGTGTAAGTCGCCATATCTCCCAAAATGCAGCCCCAGTCAGCAAGTCATTGCTTGAATTACGAGTCGCCGTAGGCCACCGTGCCAAAAACGCTGATGACACAGGGGTGTCATCTATCGCAATTTACAACGAGGCCGAGAATGCCAACTTCGTGCCGCGAAAGAAAAAATCAGCGGAGGACGATATGACCGAGTGAGCTTCGAGGTTGAGAAAAAGCAGCTTCTCGAGCTTACCTTGTCAATGCACCGTATCATGCTGATGATGGCTGCTTCCTTTCGAGAGCCCTGGGCGTCGTTGACGATCCCAATTTTGAGGCCAAAACCATGGCGAGAACGATGCAGAGGCGAGCAAGCCTAATTTCGCGTGGGGAAGCGTGGCTAGCGCTGCCCGTCGATCGATAGGGCAAATGGCTCATTCTTTCCTTCCGCATTCTCATGCCGCCGTCTAACACTGCCCCATAGAACGGTCGTCGCGGAGCCTTTCACCATATAACGCATTGAAGAGGAAGACATGCATGGATCCGGAGAGCTGAGAGGTAGAATGAGTCCTTCATAGTCCATACGCCGCTCACCGCGTCCGTTCGAGCTATACGTGAGCTTCGATCCGTCTAGGGTCGAGCATCGATGGAACGCTAGTAAGACGACCACTAGAGTCATCCTTCGGATGTGCCGCCAGAGTCGGTTAGAAGGGCTAAGACCGGCTGAGGGGGTTGTCGACAGCAACATTTGAGGTAAGTCGAGCGAGCGGCGGTCGAAAGCGCGTGCTTGCCGTACGAGCTTTATCAAAAATGCGTTATGCTTGTAATGAGTGGGCCGTGATCTATGGATGCGAGTCATAGACGAGGCAGAATCCATATTCGTCCCAAGCAGAGTGAGCGAGGTCACGGCCATCTAGTGCGCGATCGCGGGCTGGTGAAAGCCGTGCGTCTTCCCGCCTAGCCCCATGTTGATAGATGCACAGCGAGATTTGAGTAGGCCTTCCTTCCCGAGCAGCTTTTGGGCCGCAGGTTAGGTCGACAGAGCTGCCTCGGGAACAGACCGATGGTCGGGGGTGTTGACGGACGTGATGTAAAGGGCTCTCCCCTGAGCATTCACTCGTATACTGTTCTATAGAGCTAGCATCACCGCTGAAGGTTCAGAAGACGCTGTTAGCAGAGTTCGCCTGATTGAGGGTGCTCGTTGAGGTCAAGAAATCGTGAGAAGGACAATTACGGAGAGCACATTACGCCGTGCGGCGGACTTGGCGCGCCGGACAATCCGTCCGGCGTTTGAGCACGTCGCCCGGCTTGACACCGACCACCATCTAGCACGACCTCGACGACGCTCTGTACGACGTCCCCTCACCCTCTTTCGCACATCCACACTACGCGGGACACAAGCTCGTTGCCCACCTGCGCGCCACATCGAGGGGCAGGTCACCAATCTCATCGCACACAATTAGTCGCTCGCCTCCGCGTCATAGAGCAGGCGAACACAAAGCGAGTGTGTGTGATGAAGCGCTTGGGAAACAGACCACTGACGCAACGTAGATCGCGACACAGATTAAGACGCTCGTTCGGGTAGCAAGGTAGCCTGAGGTGTTCAGGCATGGCAAGTCAGTCGTGGAATCCACATCAGCAGCCAGTGCGTAGTGCTCTATCCTCATGTACGCGCACATGCTGAACATCCGCGACTTCTTCAGCAGCCAGAGGAATATCCCTTGACGGAGAAGAATGGTCGTGAATCAAGTAGCTCGTCGTCCCCGAGAGCTCGTCCAGTAGATCTCCCGCCAAGCACCGACCCAACATCGCGATCAAGTTTGGGGATATCCCTCACCTCTGTCAACGCTGTCCAGATATTCTGGCTCTCACTGTACTTCGTCTTCAACCTCGCCCTCACCCTCTACAACAAGCAGGTCCTCAACCGCTTCCCCTTCCCGTATGCCCTCACCGCCCTCCACTGCCTCTTTGGCATGCTCGGCACCTTCGCGTGCGTGCTGCTCAAGATGTTCAAGCCCCCACGACTGAACAGCGCGGAGAAAACTGCGGTCCTGCTATTCAGCATGCTGTACTCGATCAATATCGTCGTCAGCAATGCATCTCTCGGGCTCGTGACGGTCCCCGTACACCAGGTCATCCGCGCCGCGACACCGATATTCACCATGCTATTCTCCTCGCTCTTGCTCTCGCGGCATCCTTCGCGGGGCAAGGTGCTATCCCTCATCCCCGTCATGGCCGGTGTCGGCATCGCCACGTACGGCGACTATTACTTCACGGCGTACGGCTTCTTCCTGACCACTCTGGGGACCGTCCTCGCCGCGCTCAAGACCGTCTTCACGAACGTGCTCCAGTCCCCACCGCGACAAGTCGGCCCGCAGTACGCGCGGCTACCGCAGCGGGAAGGCGACGACCCCAACAAGGACTTACCCTCGCCTAACACAGCTGCGAACGGGGTGCCCGCACAACAGCTGCCGCGGATAACCATCCCGCTGACGAGCAAGCACAGCATTAGCTTCCCCACGCCGACGCTCTCGCTAAATCCGATGGCGTTGTTGTACGCGCTGAGCCCGCTCGCGCTTGTGCAGTGTCTCTTCTTGAGCTGGGCCACGGGCGAGTGGTCGCAGGTCGTCGCCACGATGGCCGCGAAGTACGGCTTCCGGGAAGCGACGACCCCCGACGCATTAGAGGTGACGGGGCTAGGCGGGCTCGCGCTGAACGGCACCATCGCGTTCTTGCTGAACGTCGTCAGCTTCAACACCAACAAGCGCGTCGGCGCGGTCGGCATGAGCGTCGCGGCGAACGTGAAGCAGGCGCTCACCATCGTGCTCTCCGTCGTCATCTTCCACCTCGTGATCACGCCAATAAATGGGTTCGGGATCATGCTCACGGTCGCGGGCGGCGCGGTGTACGCGTGGGTAGAGCTCGAGGAGAAGAAGAAGAAGCGGCTGGCGGCGGCAGCAGCGGCAACAGGGCCTGCATGAGTGGGAGGGGGAGAAGGCAGGGCGTGTATATTGTCATTGTCTGGTCTGGGAAGGTGTGCTATCTAATTTCTGTGGACGTCGTCAATCGCTACATATAATAGTCGCGCGGACTCGAACAAACTACGTACGGTACAGAGCGTCTCGTGCTCACGGTAACATAGAGTACATTCCGGTTGCAATGGCTACATCTGTGATATAGGCATTCCTTTGTTGTGTCTCGTAGATGTCGATGAGAACGTCTTCAGGTGACCCGGGGGTTGGAATTCTGCTTTGAGTCCCAATGCGGAAAAGAAGAGTAAACAGTCGCAAATGGGGACATGGTCGAAGCACTCTTGACTTCAGCCATGACCCTGCGGCTCGACTTCTGGTATTCCCTGCTCCCAGAAAACAATAAGCTACCACGAGAAAGGAAAGCCGAAGCGTCCGGACCGCGATGATCATGATGCGTCCCAAATTGCCGTTCGGAGATGCGCCTTGCGTTTGCCATGAGGCAGGGAGCCGGAGGGAAGCGCGGGCCCGCGTGGGTTCCTTGTCATATACCTTCACTGACCTCATCGTATTCTGCTCATTGCTACTTCCTGTCCCCCCTCCTCTTTCTCCCCCACATCTACTCCCCCTATACACAATCTACAACCCACCCGGCGACGACCCCAGACGGACCCGATAGCCGCCGTCCTCGAGGCATCCTGACTCGGGCCCTTTTTGCGTCCTCGCCTCGCCTGCAACGCGTTTCCGGCGCGCACGACGCCCTTTGTCCCCTGCATCCTTCCCCCCGCCGATCCTTCTTTCATTCAGCATGGCACGGAACGCCCGGTCCCCGCAAGTGAACACCAGAGTGGCCGCGTCGCAGTCGCCGATCGGGCCTACGGTGACACCCATCTACTATCCTGCTCCCCCGTCGACGGCGACCACACGGCGGCAGGCGCCGCGTGCGTCTGGGAACGGGGCGTACCTCACCCCGCCGTCGTCCACGAGCAAGCGCGGGGGCGGCGGCGAGGGCTCGAGCTCGTCGAGCAGCCAGCGCATCCCCGTTAATGAGCGGCTCCCCGTGGACGAGCGCATGCCGGACGACGACGACCTGAACGACCTTGTGGACGCACCGGACGACATCAACGCGCTGAACGCGGTGTGGACGAGCATCCGACGGCAGAAGGAGAGCAAGATGGCGAAGGAGAAGCCGAAGGTGGATCTCCAGGAGATCGCCAACGAGATGGTCGCGCAGGCGGAGGACCCGGCGTTCGACCAGGAGATGAGCGTGCTCGAGGAGGCGCCGCCACCCAAGTCGCTCAAGCGGCAGAAGTCCATGTGCGTGCTGTTGTCATGGTGTGCAGGCCCTGATGCTGACCTCGCTGGCAGTGCGGCCTACCGCGAGTCGTCCGACGGGCGATACATTGTGGCCACGTTCGACATGCGCGGCGTCGCTAAGGAGGATATACACGTGAAGATGAGCTTCTCGCAGCGGAACAAGCCCAACATCCTTTTGACGTGGGCGAGTGCCGAAATCACGGAATGGGAGGATGGAGGTGTGATCTACAGAGAGCGCTTGGAGGTGATCTGTCATAGGACAATCCCGCTCCCGGAGCGTACACAGGTGCGTGATGTCTGCGTCGTTGAGGCTTCCTCGTCCTGACCCTCCGCAGTTCAAGGAGATCTACGCGGCCATGAACAAGGAATTCCTGGTCATTAAATATCCAAACATGCGTTGCATCCGGGTGGACCAACGCTAACAGAAGAAGAAAATACAAAGGTTGAATGTCGCCGGGCGACACTACGACTGAAGGGTTCTCATGGATGGATTTTCACTGGTATACGAGGCATCACGACCGGCAGCACGAACTCACATAGCTAATAGCAAGCTAACTGTATTATCACCGATACCCGCGTTGTACGTCATTGACTTGCTCTGACAATCTGCTATTCCTCTGCTTTGAGCTACAGTACATCCTGTGCGTGCGATACATAGTGTTTGCTCATCTTTGGGTCTGGTGGTCCACGGCGGCGCCGTGCATGAGGACACATGCGGTACTCCTTTTGTCCCCCTTCCGGGATCTGTAGGCGTGGATCGATCCTTATTGTCCTTCTAGTCCGCTTCTAGCAGCTTATCGAACCCTGCCCCTCGAGAGCGCAGGACCACTGCATATCTTCGTGACTCGTGGCAAGCTCATGTCTGATCACGATTGTTTACGAAATCAATTGTCCTTGGGTCCGTGCGTATAAATGACTGCCTCCTTCGCGCTGCACCCTGGGCAGCGTAGGGCAGACCGTCCAGCTGGCCCTTCTCCATGTTTCATACCTTCTACTCTCACACGTCTATTGTCAACGAAGTCGGTGCTCTGACCTGCGAGAAGCATGCTGTGCCTCAGGAGGAAGCGCGTCGTCCCAGGAGGGTACAAAGGGTACAATGCCGTGGCAGAGGTGAGCACATATAAGACCTAACGACCATCCAAACATTTTCTCACTCTGTATGTCCTCCGCTCAGTGGACTCGCTGTAAGCCGGTTTGGTCGGGAAAGAAGGACCGACGAAGCATCTCTGCCAACCTCAAGCGCTCTCCCCAACGATCGCGCCGTCGGGCTGCCTCTCGTGCTCTGATGCCTGTTGTACCCATGGTCCCCTCCTCTATGTGGCGCGTGTCTGGTTTAGATGAGGGACCGCATTGTCACAATATCTTCCCCGACCGCATCTCAGTAAACCGATTCGCGGCGCGCTATGGTACCGCTATCCGCGCAGCCGAGGGCGAAGTCTGTTCGTCCCCGAATGCTGGCCCGTCTTGGCGGCGCGCCCCGCTGCTTTCTGACCCGAGGAGCCCCACGGCCGGACCTGCTGCGCTAGACAGACTCAGGCGCCAGTACACTCGCGCGCCTAAGCACCCTTCTCCATTGAACCCCGCTCGAGACTCAGCTCCCTCTGAATACGTGCCGCCCCAGCCCGCTCGGCCGCCCAGCGGTGCCATCTCGTGAGTGACGCCCTATTGCCGCCCGTTATCGAGCTCATCTCAGCACCCTCCCATGACCCCGTCTAGCCTCCCCCTCGTTCGCACCAGGCGGTACGTGAGACCCGCCACCATCGATCGCGGTCAGTTGCTGACGCGTCTGCTGAAGATCCTGCCGCCGCAAAGTCGCCGCGATGCCCTTCGCGCACTACGTAGAGCACGGGTGCCCGCGGCACTGCGCGCAGTGTGCGCGAGACAGGCTAGATAAGCGCCTCTTGCTTCACCGTGCTATTCACCCTCCGCCGCCGCCTCCTCCCTCTGCTGACGCCATGCTCGTTGATGCGCCGCTCCTGCCTGCGGCGCCGCTTCCGCCGCTCGCAGACCTCGCGCTCGCGCCGCTGCAGTATCCGCCTGGCGCGCCGATGCTGAAGGACTTGAACGACTTCGACGACCGTGAGGATCCCATGGAAGGCATAGGGGATGATCAGACCTACAACTTCGGTGCCTTGTTTGCTTGATCCGCTAGCTGGGCAACGCCATGTTCTGAGGGCTGTCGACCGGCAAGCGCTCTGGGTAGCCCAAGGTCGGAGCAGGACCGTCTCTCTTCTCTACATAGATGCTGTGTAAGAGTATATGGTATGAATATTTTCGAAGATGGAAACGACATTTATGATTAATGACCAAAATGAAGTACTTTTGTGGTTGGATATACAATCAAGGTACGGTGACACGACGACGGGAGCCAGAGAACACTGAAATCAGCGTGTCTATCAGTGTGGCATCGCTCCCTTCGATGTACCTCTGGTCTGGAGGTCCATTGCTCGCCTCTTCCGGCTTTGTGCGCAGAGGTATAGGTCCCGGTGCGTGCCATGTCGTGATCTCCACGGCCTGCGCAACCTGAGGCGAAGTATACTGAGTCTTGAATCCAGTTATAGGAGCGGGAATGACAACGACGCCATACTGCGAATCATGTCAGACGTGAGCGTTCGAGGACCTTATGATGCATACGCTTGCGCTCACCTGAACGCCAAAATACGGGAAGTCCGACGAGGGCTGCAGGTCGGAAGGCAAGTGTATCTCACCGTCCAGCCTGCGCTCGTACGCGTGCGCGTGCTGATCAGCAGAGGGCCACCAAATAGCTTTGCCGACGTCGCAAACGATGACCGGGCGCACCGCGCTTTCTCGTTTGATGTCCCCGAACGCGTACCGCACGTGCCGGCGCAAGTGCACAGTGATGTCCTTTGGGTTGGACAGCAGCTCGAGCGCCTGCTGGTCGAAGCACTGCACGGTCATATGGCAGGGGATGACGGTTCCGCGGGCGTAGGAAAGCTAAGTAAGCTCTGGGTAAGTCGCTGAGAGAGCGGCAGGAAGGATGACTTACGGGATTGGCGAGCGACAACTGTGGGTCGGTAAGCTCGCGTCTCAGTTGGAAGGCGTGGTACGTACTATGAATCGGGATTCCACGTCGCGCTTGTCGAATACCCTCCCGCGCATCACCGCAGGTTCGAGGGCGCACCAGCCGCGAGGGTCCTCTGCTGGGCCCGGCGGCGGCAATCCCTGCCTGTAGGCGCGCGCTTGAAGCCGTGAAGGCGCGCCTGCGACGGTCTTGGGCACGTAGCAAAGTTGCGTCCGGACTCTGGAGGGCTAGACTTCAGCATGGAAAGACCGTACGAACGTCTGCGCTTACTTTCGACATGCTCGCAGTTTCCCGTGGTCAACTATAGCGACAAGCTCGTAGTGGATGGCGATGGCAGTCCCTCGATCCAAGAACGTTTGCGGCAGGGGATACGTGCCGTGCCGCTCGATCTGCATTTCCGTGGGGAAAGGAAAGTCGAATGCCCACTGATGCTGACCAACGAGTCGTCGCTGACGTTGCTTGCCTTTGAGCAGGTCATGGGAGTCTCTGAGAAAGGTGAACGAGGTGATCTCGCTATGTGTCGATACAACTCGGCCTTTGACCTACAGATGTCAGAAATCAAAAGACTACGAAGAGGGGGAAGACGGGACGCACCACTATCTGGACGCCATGCACGGACTCCGGGTGGTCGAGTTCCATTATAACCTGGCCCTGAATAGCCTCTCCGGCGAGGTACTTTGGCCGACCACGAGACGATAAACGTGGGGCGTTGACAGAGAGTACGAGCTGGCCATCCCTGACTTCAAACGGTCGTGGCTGCGATGTCGATGCATGAGCAGAATACGAGGTCGCAGGACGCGAGTGGCACGTCGAGTAAGGCGGCGCGCTAGACAAGAGATTAGCGGTGCTGTAACGCGGCAGTTCACTGTAATCCGGCGGCGAGGACATGGATGTAAGCCAAAGGCGAAAGGGTGCGCATCCTGCCTTTCGGGCTGAGATATATGTACTGGCCGGGCGCGAGTATGGGGTCAGCGGAAGAACACGCAGGCGCCCATACGAATGGCCAATGGTGCGGGCCGCTCGGAGTTTCAAGTCTCTTGTCGGGGATGATCTTTGGGCGGTGCAGGCATCCCCAAAGACAACAAAGGCGATCTCCCGATCGCAGTTCTTGCGAGGTACGCGCAGTCGCGCCTCGCACGCGAGTCGTGGGCTGAAGTGGCCGAAAGCAGAGGAGGCTCGGGGAAATAGCCCCAGCGCGGCCGATGCCGATGCTTTGCAGGCTGTTTGAGAAGACAAGGGAGGTGGCCGAGCGCACAATAAAAACAAGAGTAACGAGGGTTAGGCTGAAGTCGACTTGGCCGGTAGTGCGCTCGTAGAAGGTGGGCTCCAGTGAGATCCTGGCGGTCGCTTCGTGGTGTGGAAGCTATTCGGTCGGCAACTGAGATGAGAGGGCATCAGACCTCGTGTGTTAGGACACGCGTAACGGAAGGAGCCGCAAGTCATGGTCAGACCTCGCGAGTACATATAAAGTGAAGATGCTGTCCAGAGCATCGCGAGCAGGTCGGAGGAAGCGTTGGATGACAGAACCCGGGCAGTCATTCATACGATGTAGTAGGTCGTTGCAGAATCATAGCCCTCGTCCTGGTTCATCGGGGATAAGGTGCAGCCATGTAGTCGCAGATCGACTTGTTATGCAGAGAGAGAAGCCGATGGGCTTGGAAGAGAATATTTTTGCATGGTGAAGGATGCGTCCCGCTTTGAGTTTGACTGACGTGGGAGCTTGCTACCGGTCGTTCCTTTTCCCATCTCGTACAGGGTCCCGTCTACGGAGGACTCTTCATCGGAGAAAATATGTTCTACACCTTGGGTTCCACCTCCTAGCCCTGGTACTGACTCGGGGTTCCAATGGAGATCGTAGTTCAGGTAAAAGGTTGCGTGAGAACGCGAGCCTCGTGTCCGTTATGGTCACGATGATTAGCGAAGTGTGACTGGCCACATCGGTTGCAGCTAGGCACCATGACGGCGGACACAGGGTAAAGACAGCTCACCATATACTTTCAGTGAGCCGTTCGGAATAATATGACCGCATGACTTCCAGCGGCCTTGAAATCTGAACATTGTCGAGAAAAGGTCAACATGAAGTACGTGGAAGATCATGCTTTAGTCACGAGCCGGTCACGGTTTCCTGCTAACCGCATTGTCATGGGTGCATCGTCTCTACGTTGGTATTTAGCCCCTTCCCTCGAAGAGAAAGACGTACCACATACGCTTGTGGGTAGTAAAAGGAACATACAACAGCGCCGAATCTCAGGACTAGCGTCAGATAGCTGACGTCAGGGCACTTTGACTGGGCGACATTGCCTGATTTGTCTCCGTCGCTCACCCGCAGCGCTCGGTGTTCAGTCGCTCCTCAACGTCGCCGGCGGGCTCGAGGGACGATTTCCTTCCTCTCCTCATGGCGTCTCCCTCGACCTCCTCCCAACCCGTGCTATCTGAACGGAGTGACGTCCACAAATCTTGCAAGACTCTCGAGACGCTGCTCAACCTCCTCAATGATTACTGCGAAGCGGCGGGCGCCGTAGTGATGCTGCAGAAGAAGCTGGCGAAGGCTCTGAAGGAGACCGCAGGTCAGAAAGCGACGGGGGAACTTGCTAGTGCGTGCATCGCGTATCAATGCCTTCCTTGACTGACCAGCCACAGGCAACGCGTTGAACTGCAGCGCTGCATTGTTCGAAGCGCTCGCTGATATCGACACGAAATACGCGAAGATCGCGGACAAGGAGTATGACGGGATCAGCGCGGAGGTTAAGAAGTGGTTCAAGCGACTGGCCGTGCGTGTTATGCTTCATATCCCCTTCATCGTCTGACGTCGCTGTACAGAAGGAAGAGAAGGCCCACGACGAGCGGATAGTCGCGGCAAATGCAAGGATCAAGCAGGCTGGTCAGGCCTACGAGAAGTCAGTGAAGAAGAACGCGCAATATGCAGGAGAGGAGCATGCGCGCTACATGCAGCTGATCACCGCGCTGGGCCCAGAAGTCTCGCAGGAGAAATAGTGCGTGTTCATGCTCACCGGCGTCCTCACCCACTCACAAGGTTCCAGCGATCACGCTTTGCTCGTTACACAGAAGCATACCACGACCACGTACAGCGTAGCAGCATGCATCGCTCGAGTAGCCGACGCGGAATGGATGAAATCATGCGAGAGCGTACGGAGGTTCTCTCCACAAATCGGCAAGCTGTCTGAATGGCGTGCCTACTGCGAAGGCGGTTGGACGGGTCCTATACCTAGCGATCTGCCTGACATCGACGAAGACAAGGCACAGCCTGTCACGCAGATGAACAACCTCCCGCCTCAGAGAGTGCAGGAAGGGCCCCTCACTCCTCAGCAGCAGCCATCACCAAATTTACCACCTACAGAACGCGAGGCTTCCCAAATCACCGCATCGCAATCACCCCAGCGGTCCTCGCGACCTCCAGCAGCCGCGCCTTCGTCGTACGATCGACCGCGTTCCTCAGCAGCTCCACCCTCAGCTTACGAGCCTCCGCGACCTCTCTATGACCCAAACACCGGCTCTGTGCGCTCGCTATCCGCATTCCCATCACCGCCAACACATCTTCCTCCCTTACGGCAACAGCAGCCTTCGACCTCGCAGTCAAGCAACGGTTCTCATGTATCGTTCCCGCGAGCGCGGTTTACAGAGTCTCCCCTGCCATCGCCGTCTACTGAAGAGCCTCCTGTCAGGCAGGTGTCTGCGGAAGACGCGCTGAGGCAGGCCAGTGCCGGTCAAGCTCCACCGTCCCCGCGGGTTGCGCCCGAACAGTTTCGCGAATCAGACGCGGCTACCAGAACGCAGGCGGCCCCCCGCGCAAACCGTGATCCTGCGCCGCAAGCGCAGGACCGAGGCCAAGGATCCTTGCCTACTCCCACCGCCAGCACCCATCAGGGGAGTGACGCAGAGCGTCAACGTCGCCACGACAGTGTTGACGAGAATGGCGTACTCCGCGCCAAGTCGCCCAGTTCATCTGGTGGCAAACCAATGCCCGCGCTCGAACGCCAGGACACGTCGGGAAGCACCAGTAGCGTAGTTGCTGCCATGCGCCATAGGTACTCTCTGAAGGTTGGCTTTCGGTTCTGAGACCTGTTGTGCCAATGATGCTCATCGTCTCGCAGGCTGGAAGCACATCCCCACCACCGAAGGAGCCCATCAAGATACAAACGAAGGTCGCGGATCTGGCCTCGCGCTATAAAGGCTCTGATGAGCCAGCGACGCCCCGCTCCCCTCGAGCTGCATCTCCAACATCGTCGAGGCCGCTACCTTCGCAGCCCTTCGACATCGCTATCCAAGCGCGCGCCGCCGAGGCTGCATTCCGAACACCCACTTCGGAGAAGCCAAGTCCGCAATTTGGAGCCGAAGCCCTGCGATCGCCACCGCGGTCGGTGCCGACGACCATCGAGGACGCGCGCAAGGACTACGTTCAGCCGTCGACTACCCCACGCCCGTCTTCAGAGCCGCCGGCGCAGCAGCTGGAACCGGACATACGGGAGAAGGAGCAGCGGCTGGCGCAGCGGGAGCGCGAGATTGAAGCGAAGGCGCGTGCGCTGGAGCGCGAGCGCGAGGAGCTTGCCAACTCGCAGCGGGAACGGCCCACTCAGCAACGTGAGGGGTATGACGAGCGAGAAGGGTGGGCGGGGGTAGCACCTCGGCCGCGGCGGGCGTCGACGGCGAGCCCGTATGCGGCTTCGCAAGGCAGCTATCCCTCGCCGCCGAGCCCGTATGCCCAACCTTCGCGACCCATGTCGTCGTACAGCACGACGCAATTGGCGCCGCCGAGCGGCCGCGACGACTACCGACCACGCAGCAGCGAAGACCATCAGGGCGGTCGCCCGTACTCGCAGCCGCCGAATGAGTACGCTCGCGGCTACCCGCACTCCCCGACCGACTCCCCGCGCACGCCGACCGACTACCCTCGCCCCTTGTCCAGCACGGGCGACTACGGGCAGCAGCCCTTCCCTAGCATCCCCGCTGCCCACCGTGCGCCCATCGGGAACACCATCCGGCCGGACAAGCCCAAGGGTTGGATCCGGCGGTTGAGCATGCCCGTCGTTGGACGCAGCTCGAGCAGCCAGAGCCTCACGAAGCTGCTCGATGGCGGGAAGCCGACGGGCGGGCAGGGGTTCGGAAAGCGCGGGGAGCTGGGCGCGGTGGCGGAGGATGGGGTGCTCGGAGAGCGGAGGAGCTATGACGTCCCGGGGAATAGGAGCTACACCAATCTGGCGAGGAGGTAAGAATGGATTCAGGACGCAGCGCGGGCGGCCATCTCGGGGGGAGCTACCACGCATGGGCGCCCTCTCCTTGGCGATGACATCGTCCAGCGGATGATAACGACACGAACGGATGACGATTTCACGACCTCGACGCTTTGCGAACTTGTATACCCTCGATCTTTCTTGGATGCCCTGCTAAACAAGGGCTGTACTCTTCTATGTTGTGTGCGTCTGCTGTTCTACTATCGTATGCGTATCTAAACGGCGTTGATACCTGGTTTTAGACCACTTCTTTGATTGTCTTTGTACGAGCTTCCTGCGCTGCTATGGACACCTTTGGACACCGATGGTGTATGGATCCGGGTCTTGCGCCTCAAGCTTGCATGAGACCTCGCGTCTAACTCCTCTGCAATGGCGAAGAATGAATGAATGGTCTGAGATGAGCCGTCCGTTGTTACTGCCATCGTTCCTGGGCTCTGGAGTCGTGCTGGAGCGCTGGTCACGATGACGCCCCTAAAACCGCAGACGCGCGGCGCGGACCTCAGGAGATGACTCGCAGTACAGCCGTACGAGGCTCTATGTCGTTGTTACGGGAGCTCAACAGGACCCGGACGGTACAGAGGCTCATGCGAAAGCGTCATGAAGACCGTCACTGAGACGCCATCGATGATCGTCTTTACCCTCAAAGTCCCCTACTTCGTATATAAGGATGCGCACTTTTCTTCTGCAGACCCTCATCAACCCAACCCAACACACCGTCCACTCACCAACTACTTTCTTGTACGCTTTTTTGTGGCCTGTTCGATGAGGGCCATGATGACTGAACGATTCACAGGATTCATCATGACCGACGCTGGCAGGCAATCCTTTACCGACAAGGCTGAGGCCGCGCTCAAGGTTCGTGTCTCCAGGCACGCTTGCACATCGTAGTCCACACTGACCTGTCCTACCAGCCCGACTCGCAGAAGTCAACCACCGAGCAGGCCGGTGACGCCATCAAAGGCAAGACCGACTCTGCAGCCTCTACCTTGGAGCCGAACCACGAGAAGTCCACGTCGCAGAAGGCGACCGACTCTTTGTCCGGCAACTCAAACGAGGGCTCGGCAAGTACCTCCTGCAGCTCTCTGACGAGGTGATCGCTAACGCAACGCCTAGGACTCGTTGGTGGGGTAGTGACTCAAAGTTACTATCTCACCGTTTCTTGCGGTATCGTTTGCGGAGATTTTTCAGAACGACTTTCGGGTGAACGGGAATTGATCCGATTCGGCCGACCTGTCCGTCTCACGTGCTTTCGGTCATACCCCGCCCCTGCGCGCCTACAGCTCCCTCCAATTCTACTATACGCCAACAGCTTCCAGACCTCCCTCTCCTTCCCGCGGTCAATGGCGAGACCGACCATTATCTTGCGCTTCTGGGTACGAACTCTGGACGAGCCGCTACGCTACGACGCGTGTCACGTCACTCGGCAGCGCGGGCCGGACAGCGCGCTGCGATCAGCTCGTCTTCTCGTGTTCGTCGTCCTCAACCACCACCACGTCAACACCACGTCGCCCCCGTCCTCCATCTCTCCCTGGCATCACTCCCACACATCCACACCTCCTGTCCATCTCGAATCAGCCGCCGCCGAGGCGTACACTCCCAAGCGTGTCACACAAAATGACACGAAAATGGCAGCGGCATCGGTCATCGAGCCGGACGAGGGGGGGGGTTCGGGTGCGTCAACGCGCCCAGCACTCGATTTAATCACTAACTACTATTCTTGCGACACGGAGGGGGGAGAGGGGAGCGAAGCGCGAGCAGGACGTGACACACGATGCAGGCGGAAGATCGCCATGCTTTCCCATCACGTTCGCCCTCAGACCACGTCTGAGGGTGTGAGGGCATTTCCTATGATGCTCTACGTGTTGGGGGCGAGCCCTCGACAGCTATATGGTCGTCGCGCAACCCGACGGCTCATCATTTGCGATAAGCGCGAGTGGGTAGCACCGCCTACCCTCCTCCCCCTCTCCTGCGGTCCTGGCGAATCGCCTTCGCGGCGGTTTTCCGCATCGCGGGTGAGTGTCTCGCATTTCGAGGTGACCACCTCGGTGCGCCGTGCACGCAACCGATCGCAGCTGGCGTGCCGAGCTGTCGCATGCCGCGCGTCATGCACCCCTCGCTCATCCCCGTCCTTCAACGGGATGGGATGGGGTGTTCGGGCTTCGTCCTCCCGCGCCCGTATGCGCGCATTGACAATGCGTGGGACAGCTGAGGAGGCACAGTCGCACTGATCGCGAGCGAGTTCTCGCTCCCCGCCGTCGTCGCGACATGGTTGTAGCGGCTTCTCTCTTTCGGGTGATGCCCTCAACCCTCTGTTTCCTGCGCTTCGAGAGCGCGGGGAGCGGCAAGCACACCCTGAACCCTCACCCTCTCCCCACCTGCTACATGCTCACCACGGACGCGTCTGTTGACGCGAATGGGTGCCTGTAGCCTGGGGTGATATCCCGGGCCGGGGACTCGTACGAGCTCCCAAGGTATGTCCTAATAGCTCAATATCTATTGGTCATACTAACGAAAATTTGATGCGCGTAGCGAGCGTCCGCGCCCCTTCAACGACCCCCCCACCAACCCCCACCCCCAGCCCCCCATTCCCCACCATCGACGACCCCCGACCCCTACGTTGTCGCGGCAAGCGCGCCACGAGTTAGCGAGGCACGTGGAATCCGCGCGACGACGACATCCACCCCCTCCTCCATTCCCACTATCCGCGCGTGCAGCCCGCCGTCAACGCCGTCTGGCGTTGCGGTATTACTGCGCACGTGGATGCGTTGTCCCGCCGCCCACCCCCCATCCCCATCCCCCATCCTACTCAACCCTCGTCATGAGCGATGGTGGGGAGAAAGGGAAACACCAATAACGCGTCTGAGGCAGGGGAGGCCCGGGGAATGCGGGGAGGCCATGCGCGTACACGTGAAGGGTGTTCGTGCGGCCTCTCGTGGGCTAGCTGTACGCGTACGCGTACGGCTAGGACATGTGAGGCGATCTGCACCAGCACGCCAACCCACCAACGCGCGAGATTGGGGATGCCGACCACGAGCAGGACCCGAGGACCGAGCAACAGCAACCCCCGCCGCGAGCCGCTCCCCTCTTCCACTTGTGCACGAGGCCGCAGGGAATCCACCGCCTACCCCTTACCCCATCCCCTTTCTCTACGCCATTCCGCCGCAAGGCGTGGGTGCGTGTATTCTGCACCCATATCACCGCGAAATTTCTCGCGCGGCGGGTTTTTTAGACGCATCCATACGTAGATATACGATATATATAACATCCAACACCTCTGCTCCCGCAAGAACTCCCAGACCTGGGGCCCGAAAGCCTGGGAGAAGATGCGTCCAGCCCTCCTCACCAGCCTCCTTACTCATCCCTTCTCTGACCCCCACCCCCTCCCTCAGGTCATCGTCTACATCGTCGCCGACGGTCGCAAAAAAGTACACTCCCGCGTCCTCGACTGCCTCGCCTCCCTCGACGTCTACCAGCCCGAGAAGTACATGGTAAACACCGCAAACAATGTCCCCGTCACCGCGCACCACAGCACCTCCTTCGGCCTCGACCCGAACGTGCACGGACAAGGGCATCGTTCCCACGCAGATCATCTGGGGGGATGGGTGGCCGACGCAGACCGGCGCGAGCACGCGGCGGCGGGAAATGCGGGCGCGGAGGAGCGTGAACGTGCGACTTGCGGGGAAGGAGAAGGGAAGGGAGGAGAAGAGGAGAGGGAGGCCCTTTTGCATCACGAGGGCGCGCGTCGTGCGTGATAGTACGTCAGCTGTGTTGTATACCACGTACGTCGCCTGTATCATGTAGAACAATAGAATGTTAATTTGCACCCAACGCGTGATGCGAGACGGCGGGGGAAGGCGAGAGAAGGGGGGAAGGAGTCGGTGAGGGGGGAAGGAGAGGGGGGCAATAAGGGGGGCTGAGAGCGAAGGAGAAGGGAGGGAAGAGAGCGCAACACAATTGAAAGCACAGCTCGTACAGTCGTACCACGCGATTGCTGCGACGCGTAGGGCAATACCAGACGACGTCGAGACTGACGTCTACGCATTCGCCGCGCAGTGGCGCTTTGACCGGGCGGGAATGGGCGAAACTCGGTGAGTAGTCGACACTGCCATGCGACAATCGGTACTCATTTTTCATAGCCAGCATGTCCACCTCGCTGAGACTCCCCTGTTCGCTGCTCAGGACGCTGACCACGATCCCTCCACGCACTTACGACGACGCCGACGCGCCGCTTGACGGCACACCGAAGCCGGTGGGGGGAATTTTGTCAGAATGGTGAGTACACGCCCAAAAACACGAGTAATCGGTGCTGACTCGCTGTCCGCAGTGTCCAGCGAACCTCCCACGACGTCGGGAGCCTGTTCTATGACGGTGCAGAAGACGAAGGGCCGCATTCACGGACGTCGACGTCGACCGCGACGATGCCGAAATGAAGCCCAAGTCGTCCCTGACGATATGTCGGCCCGCGCGCTACTACACGCGAAAGAGTGTGAGTACTGACTGCTCCTCCGCGTCGTCTTCAAGCTGACCACGATGACCAGACTCGTCCCTGCTCCCTCACAATGCGGCAGCACGATTTTCGGGGCGAAGTCGACGTTCGCATCGTCCCCATGCCGTTCGCCGGCATGTTGCCGGGCCCATACGACGTCTCCTCACGCATCCAGATGAGGGGAGACTATCGCCAATCGCGGCGAGGTTATCCTTTGACCCTAATCCTCGATTTTCAGCTCATCCAGCGGGTCTGACTTGAGCACTGGTTGGTAAGTGCTTTCCTTCTAATCCAGCGATGTAGCGCTAACCAATGACTTATCTAGCTACTTCAGCGACGTCTCGAAGACGCACGGGCAGCGCGAAGCGCTGCATCCCACTCGACTTTGATAAGTCTCGAGTTTTTCATTTCACTCGACCTTCACTGACCACTTTGCAGTCGATCCTATTGCGTACCCACCCCTCTGAGCGTCGCCGAGGCATGTCCTTGCGCTTGTTCTCAGGTGCGCACTGCGGGGGAAGCGCTGACCTTCCTTGGGAAGGTAGAAAATCGATGTTAAGGTGAGTTTATGACTCGTAACTCGTTGTGATGCATCGCTCACCTCGATCTATAGCTTGTCCATGACGCGGATACGTCTCGTGATGCTCCCCTCGTTGCTGGGGAGCTGCGGCGGCTGCGGGAACGCGGGGAGGGGCGTTTCAAGCACGCCTTTTGAGGCAAATCATCGCTCTCAAGGTGAATTTGCTAATTTCCCACTTCTACCGATGCTGACTTTGTATCCTTCGGTTTTCTAGGGCTTTACCTCGAGCGCTGGACGCTGCACGACCATCTCGCTATGCGCTGAGACGCGCTGGCGCATTTTCGAAGCAAGTGGATTACGTGTGAGCTGAGTTGGGGGTTTGCTCATCGCTTTGCCCCAGCTTCTCGAGCTTCTTTGTGAGACGCTATCGCGTCCCTTGGCCCTACCAAAGATTTCTGAAGATGAGCGCACCTGGTTTGAAGCGGGAGACACACTCAGAGGCGCCCACCAACGATTCTTGCTCATGAAAGCGCCGTTCTGCACTCTTGAGCAAGTTCCTACGCCCCCGAGGTAAGTATCAACTTGATTCTGCGATGTACGACATACTAAAGACTAGGAAGTACTATCCCTACGACGAGAACCCGCGTGCTGAGATGTGCGCTTCGGGGTGAGCTCGGCTCATCTCGAGTTGAGTTTTGCAAGAATTGGCGCTCCGGCGTCATTCCTCATTTCAGGCGGCTGCAAATCAAAGGTGAGTACCGCAATCTGATTGTTAAGCACACCAAGTAATAACATACCTTGACTCCAGGTCCTTCGACTTTGAGCTTGGCGTGAGAGGGGTGGGTGCACCCATTTGTGCTTATGGGCAAGTTCCGGCCGTCCCAAAGTGAGGTATGGGCGTTGAGAACTCGCTTCGTTTTGCGATATACGACGTGCTAACGGCTGGATAGTACTAATCCTACGACGATATCGCGCGCGCTGCAATACGTGCTTCGGGGCGAGCTCAACTCACCATGACTTGAGTTTTGCCAGAATCGGCGCTATTTCGTCGCTTTCTCGTCGCAGAGAGCTGAGAATTGAAGGTAAGTCACGCAATCTGAATGTTAAGCACACCAAGTAATAACATACCTCGATTTCAGGATCCTCAACTTCGAACTCGACATGAGCTGGGTGAGCTGCAAAATGAGCTCAAGCGGTTCTTCTTTGTAGATCCGACTGTAAGTACTTGTATTAGGTAGATTTGCGAATATGCGATGTTCCCCCAACGTTTTGAATGCGTGAGCAAGGTGGGAAACAACAAAGAACCGTCAAAAAAGCGGTGTGAGTTGGTGAGCTGAAGCTCATCCTGCTCATTGCATTTCAATCACCCTCCCCCTCCCTCCAAGTGCCTTCAAAGCAAAGCGGGAGTATTGAGTATCTTTTTTCGCTGTGTTATCCACCATCTGCGTCGTCTTCGGGTCAGTAATCGGGGTGCGAGTTGTATTTCTCGAATTATTCGAGTTCGTGCCGTGTCCCCCCTCCCCCCTTTGTAGATCGTTTCTCCGCGGCTCGGGCAGTGTTTTGGTATCGCAAAACAACTTCCTATTGCATGTGCTATCTACTACAGGCATGTAGACGACGGTATCTGGCGAAAAACGATGGGAATCGTGTGTAAACATCCCCCCTCCCTCGTTTCCTCCCCCCTCCCCTTCGCTGTCCCCATCGTTTCCCAGCGCTGGCGACTCATCCCCATCATCCTACACCCTCCCTGTACCCGCCGCGGGCGCGCGCGCGACGCGCTCGGCGCCTTTTCGCTCGCCTCGACACCTTCTCCCCCTCCCCCCCCCCCCCCCCCCACAGCGCGCAGCGCGCTGCGACGCACCCCAGCACCGCGAGTGCTCACAATAATCGCCATCTGGTGGGAGGGATTGCCGTCCTCGGGGACCAGACGTTGCGCGTGCTTGTAGCACGACTGGGTCTGGTCATGAGTTCGCGGCCGCCGTTCCAGGTTGGGTTCCTTGTTCCGTCCGCACCGTCCGCCGCGCTCGCGCTTAAGCGGCGCTAGCAGCTCGTGCTGGCGCCCCCTCTCTCGTTGTACTGCTCCCAATAGCGCGCGATGTCGCCCATGCATATGAGCGCCTTGCTGAGGATTGAGAGCTGACTGTGGCGTTGCTCGTCCGTCATCGGCTCGGTGTACAGTGGGGGATCGGGGAAGTGATGCTGGTTCCGCGCTGTCGGTGGCGGAGCGTCCTCCTTGCCTTCGAGTTCATCTTGCGTAGCCAGCTTGAGTTCGAGGAATGCGTGATTGGCCTCCCACAGCGCAAATGCGCGGCGGAAGCGGGCAGCGAACTGTGCCCAGAACTTGTCGTTGTCGGCCAAGAATTGGCGGAAGCGTTGCGTGAGCTTGCGGCGTTCGACCGGACCATGTCCGCGCTGGTTATTTAGACCCGGACGAGCGCCATGCTGGATGGCACGATCGATAGCCGCGATGCGCTGAAGTGGGTTTCGGCATCTTTGGCTCACTCGCCGTGACTCGCGTAGGGATGCAGGAGCAGCAGGCTGAGATATCGCCGCCGCAGACTATGACGTTCGGTCAGTGGCGAGCCGACAATGCAAGGACGTGGCACGCACTCTTGCCGCTGAAACTCGACCTCCCTGTCCCATGGGTCGCGCGTTTTGAGGAACTCCTTGAGGCCGGCATGGAGGTCTTTCGCCTCGCTAGTGAATCATCAGAGGGGGAGCCGTGCACTGGGGAGATGTCCAGTACCGCACAATAGTTGCTGGTTCAGCCATCGTATTTGGGTACCAAGTTCAGAGATTCAAAGGAATAGCGACGGGGAAGCATCAGGAGTCCATGTCTGCCCTGATCAACGTCGAGTATGAGCAAGGCGGCGAGAAGACGGAGGTATGTGAGTGGGAGTCAAGTGAGAGGCCAGCAGGTGCACTGCTCCGGCCTAGCCAGTGGAGCGTGACGCCAGGGGTCACGTCAATTATAGGGCGGAAAGATGCGTTGGCCAGATGATCGTCTCACCAGACGCGTCCATCCTGCCGCATTGCTCGCCCCCTCGCCATCGTCGTGAAACGTAGTCGAAGTGCAATGACGATCGAGGGATCTGCACGCTCTCCCCGCCAAAGCTCGAGCGCGTCTGGTCTGAACATGGCAGGCAGGGTGGGGCACGTGATACCCGTGACTGCGTCGGGTCACGATTCGAGTTGGCGGATGCGGCAGTCGTTTGGGCGTGTCGTCGGCCTCCGTCTGGCCTCTCGACCCAAATTGTTGTGAGTACTATATCTCACCGGGTCTTTCGAAAATCCCGCCAAATCTTCGAAACTCCCGGGTAACTCCCTCAAAACTGGATGCTTTCCTTTCGGAAAAAGATGAGTAGGAAGCTCCTAACGTCCCCTATCGTGTGGTGGTACTTTTATGGGCTCTGGAGGGAGGCAAGGATCAGAATGCAGGCGAAGTGGATGACGCACGTGTTTGATGGCCATCAAAATCGATCGGACCATGCTCCCCTCATAGCTAGCCACTTTCACCGCTATTACCGCCAATTAGCGCACAAAACAAAAGCATAGGCGGGTAGTGTCAAGCTCAAAGGTCCCTACTGTCTTTTTTCCGCGTCGAAATACGGTATTTGGAGGGGTGTTACCGGGAGTTTCGAAATTTCGGTGGGATTTTCGAAAGACCCGGTGAGATATAGTATGGGTGAGGGCGATGGCTCTCGGAAGAGACAAGCTAAATCTATTTCCCACAATGTCTGGACTATCAACACCAAACTTGCGACACACTGACGCTGCGCGAAGCGTGGCGTGTCGGGGTGTCACTATAGAAACAGATGATCAGGTATCTGTTAGCCAGATCGGGCATACCTATAACCCGATCAGGTTAAGATCAAATACTGATCAAATGCCCGATCAGGTTAATATCGAATACTGATCAAATGCCCGATCAGGATAAGATCGAATACTGATCGAATGCCTGATCAGGTTAAGATCGAGTACTGATCGTATGCCCAATCAGGTTGGTGAGTTAGGAATGATAATGACTAATCTCATCCTTTACACCCCGACTTCCGCCAGAGTTGGAGAACGACTTACTTTCCTGCAGGCACGTGGCAGCCCACGTGTCTCGCCCGCGCCCCTTCCGACAATTCACCGACCTTTTCCGCCACGCCCCTCGTTCTCTTCCTTCGTCCCTCACGCCGTCCCCACGATGGCTTCCGTCACCCTCCGTCCCTCTACAAGCTCTCTTTTCATTTTTGACAGCCCCTACATATCTCTCCGCACGCAGCCCGTCTCTTCAATTTCTCCCACGCTCACTTGAGCGTCAGACGCCGATCATGCTCCCCAGCACGACCGCGACCCGCCTCGCGCGAGGCCTGCCTTGGCTTGAGCGTCACCCCGACGCCGCGCAAAGCGCGGTGTGTCGGGGTGGCGCGAATAATTATACGTACCCATCTCATTGTCTTTACAACCCGTCCCGCCTCCCATCTTCTATGTCTCTGACCACCACCTCCCCCCGCCCGTCGTCACCCCCCAGCCGTTCTATACTACTTTCCCTACCATCTCCTCCACTTTGCTTCAAAAGCCGCTCATGCCGTGCGCAGCAATCGGAATGGCATCTGTTCGCAAGGAGGTGGGGGAAAGGTGCGTGATCACACCCTCTCCGTTCTTAACGATGCTAACAAATTGAACAAGCAGCCGCGATGGCGTGCGGGCACGTACACGGACGATATGGCGGCTTGCGCAAGGGCACGCTGATTGCCCCGCGCCTGCCATGTCCGCCCTCAGACAACGTATGAGCGCGTATGAGGCGGGTACCTCCCGACCCGCACTCAAGCGCCTAGCCTTCCCGTGCCCCTTCGATGTGCACCTCGCCATACCCCCACGTCTGTCGCACGCGCAGGCGCTTCACGCCTCTGGCGTAAGCAGCTCTCTGCGCGTGATATGCGTGGATAAACGACGATGGCAAAAGTTTGCCTGCCCTGCCTCACTGCCCTCAATCCCATTGGAAAACACTCATCACCGTTGATGACAGCCAAATAGGTGCCCCTAAGCTCTTCCCTCCGCATCTGCCCTGCTCCCCCTCATACATCGCGCGCTACATCCCCCCTTTCCTTGCGACGTGTTCGGACGCGTGCTCGACGAGCGGGGGCCGATCGCTCCCGCGCGCGATGCACGTCCCGCGCGGTCTGCGCTCCACGCTGCGAACCCATCACCGGTCTATGCTATTTTGTTTGTCTGCCTCCTCCCACTCTATGTACACGCGACATGTCATATGTCCTTCTCGTGCTCCTCACTGAACCCTCAACCCGAGCCAAGCATCCACTCCTCGACCCCACAACATGTGTCTGCCCCCTTTTCATCTCCCCCTCAGCATGCTCACTCGATCTTCCTGCTAACTCTCGCAACTGCGTGTCCTGCTGGCGGAACAAACCTTCATCACGCTTTTCAGAATTTATATTATCCTACTGATGTTGCATACTATTTTTGTATTGCTTCGAGGCAGGAGCACATCGTAGACAATGCTACAACAGGGCGCGCACGCTTGCGGCAACACAAATACAAACAGCAAGACCCTTGAAAAGGCCTGCCATAGGCGCGCAGCCGGCTTCTTCCAAATTTGGCCTCTTCTCAATGCGGCTGGCGCAGGTCTCGTACATGCTGAAAGACCAACTTCACTAGTTCGAATGGTTTCATTGTTTCACTTTGTGTTCGGCTTCTGCATTGACAATGGCTGTTGCTGACCGTGCTTGGACTGATGATTCTTCACCACCAGTTGCACATAACAGTCCACCTTCCTAACTCACCATATGCCACGCGCAGCGTTGGCCCACTAACCACAAGTTAAGATCATATATTGATCAAATGCCCAAACATACCCCAGTTTTGTCAACACACCAGTGTATGTTGTATGCCTGCTTGGTGAGGTGGGGGTGGCTCATTGATGGCCAAGATGCCTTGAATAATCAATAGTGACCTTGCAATACACCGACACCGTGCAAAGCACAGCGTGTTGGTGTGTTGCTATAGAACTACAGAACTATAGAACTTTACAACAGTAGAATGCATGATTTCACTACTCTAACAGTGTATTTTAGTCTAATCAGGCAAGTATCAAAAATGAGCTAACCTTACCACATTTCAAGCAGCCTTCACATATGAACAGAGAACAATAGGACATATTAGTAGGCAGACTTATCAAGTTCTGCACTTAAGAAATGGAGCTCCACTTGATGAAGCAGCAAGTTCAGGACCTACAAGGACTGATGATTTTCTTGCAACTCAGGTGCGTGGAGTCCCGACAAGGGTAGCCTTTTCATTAGTGAATTCTCTGATATTTATCCAATCTAATACGTCCTGATATGACATCAATATTAGTCTGCCATGTGGCAACTTGTACATATCAAGAAGAACCCTCCTGGTTAGACTACCCCACCGTACGCCACGCAAAGCGCTGGCCCTCTCTAGACCTAGTTGGTTGACAAGGCGAAGAACGCTGTTGGTCTCGGAAAGTAAATTATGTGGATGGATACGATATACGCCAATGTAACACCCTTGTATAATTGATAGTATCCCGACAACCAATTCCTATGCTTCCAATTTGCCTGCGTGGAGTAATGTGGTTGGTGCAGATATTCGAACTCAGGAAGCGCACGTGAGAGTCACGGTCGTTACGCGTGCGTGCTATTCGATTGCACCGCCACTAAACGTCTCTCTGCATGAGCTTTCATCAGCCCCAACACCCTCAACGAGGTCAATCTTGGCGACAGTATGTTCATCGTCACATGGCCTTGGCTCAAGGGTATGCCCTGGGAGCCACCGAGGCTGCGTCTCGCACCGCGTTTGTCGGCTGCCCCTCTCGGGAGAAGGCATACTCGGAGGAGAATACAGCTTGAATACTCCAAGTCGAGGTCGCTGACTGCCACTGCTTCTCCGCTGATGATACTTTGTTCTCGTGGTCGACGAAATGAACCTAGGGCTCCCGTCTTCGGATGCAGTACTGTATGGTCAGGGCAGCACCGACGCAGGCTTCAACGTACTCTGACGCCTACATCGTGTGTACGTCGTTGGTGGCTGGAAGGAGCGCGACTTCTCACTGAAGAGTCCATTATTCACCAGTATGAAGTGCCGACGGCGTCGAGCAAATGGGCGCATTCAACCGGTAATCGTTCGTGGCGTTCGATGTGATGGTTCCGGGGTCAGCGATCTCGCCCACATCAGGATGCATTGCGTTGACCTCGAAAATTCTTGTACTCACTGCTACGTAGGCGACCGTGCACGTAATATCTCGAGAATGTCCTCCACGACCTTCACCACTCTCAAGGAGTTCATGATTGCCCGTAGAGGAGCACGAGAAGCAGTTCACGGCGGCGCCAAGGGCCGAAGGCTTGCCGTACGCCTTTCCATCTCTCTTGCCCAGACAGCGATCTTTTCCATGTATTCTGACCTCGCCATCTCCGTGTTATGGGCGCATGAATGGTCATGACTTTTGTACCCTATGATTCCCGCCCTGCAAATACGAATGCTCATCTCTAGAGCAGTCCTATAGCCGACCTCTTCGGCGACACCAGCAGTATATAAGGCCGAAAGCGTTACATCCAGTCGCTCAGCTTCCACCAAAGCAAACACACCGCCGACTCGGCCCGAATACACGCCATGCAGCTCAAGTTCTTCACCATCCTCACCTCCTTCTTCACGGTCGCCATTGCTAACCCGACCGTAGGCATTCCCTCATATTTACTGCATACCTTAACTGATTGACGCCATGCAGCAGCTCGAGGTTAACGTCGTCAGCGAAGAAGACTTCATTCAGTGGCTGAAGACCACCGATGCGAACCTCACCTTCATCGGCGACCCCATCCCGGGCTTCAATGCTCCCGAAGGGCTTACCACCCGCTCTGCGCAGTCGACAATGGTGACCTTCTGCAGCTCGCGCATCAACAACATCTGCGGCGGGGCGTGCAACGTGTATAACGGCGGCCCCACATGCATCGCTGCGCCGGATACGGTCTGCCTCTCTGCTACTCACGATGTTGGCTTTTGCGACCGCGCCGGGTATGTTCGAATGTTTTGGTGTCACCAGGCTGTAATCTGACGTCTTCACAGATGCACCCATAGCTGTAACTCGTACAATAGCTGTGGGACGCGCCTCGACAATGGCTTTTGCTACACGCAGGGAACGAGGTCAATTCTCGTGGGGAACTATTGAGGGGGCTCGAAAGGTCCTTGGAATCGGAAAGGATGATATCGAATGAAGGTTTCTTGTTTCCTTGACTTCGATTGGGGTTTGTAGGCAGATTCGATAGGGTTTAGTTGATGCCAATGGATTTATGGTCGGTCTGTGTATGTTTCAGAAATATCGCCCTCGCTCTCCTCCAAGCACGCTGATTCCGGAGCTCGATAGTCCTACTTGATAACCAGGCGGTTGCCAAAGTCGAACATATGGGCGCATGTATACCCCATCAAACTATGACCTAACGCAAAAATGGATGTCCCGTGATCGCTTTCGGCGCCGGGGACCGTATTGTTACCTGCTTTCGACCGTCATCAGCGTCGCCCAGGTCGTCTCCGTCGTCGTCGCTCACGTCGAGCAGCTCGCTGCAATGGAGTACGCGAATGCGGAAGCTGGGCCATCCAGCCCGCGCGAAGTCCAGCCAGAACCCCGTCTGCACTTGTGGCCACCACGCCCACCTCAGCCCGTCTACTTGCGTAGCACGGATGATCTCCTCTCGCGATTCCAACTCTATCCTGCTTATGACAAGTGGGTCCGCCCATATGTGATTCCCCTTGACCCCAACAACCCCGACCAACCCCTTCCCTCGGCTGGCGCCTCGGACAACAAGGGCAAGGCCAGAGATGACATGATGGACGTAGACGTACCCAACCCTCCCCCTTCCGCGGGCGGAACCTCTCTATCAGAATCCGCCAAGAAGGAGGCTGCTGACGAGGCGGGCAAGGAGGAGAAGAAAAGGAAGAACAACTATAGGCATCTGATTAAGGGATTGCCAGGTGCGTTGCCGAAATGTCGGACATGGCACCCTTACTGACGCGCCCTACCAGGAAAACACTCTACGAAAGGCCACGACGACTACTACGAACGGCTAATAATGCAAGATCAGAAACCACGAGTCAGAATACGACCGTTCGACCTCAGGAAGCACGAGGAGGCCTTCAGTGTCAGCCCACAGGGTATCCCAGGAGTGCGTGAACGGGATGATTACGACGCAACATCAACTGATATCAGGATCAGTACAACGCGCATGTCCTTATCCAAGAGTCTGCCCAAGCGCGGGAGGACCGCAAGAAAGCGAAGCAGCTCCGCAAGCTTCAACACGCGCACGGCTCCCAGCCGCCACCTCCCACCCAAGTGCCCACCCCTGCCTCGACTCAACACACCGGGACGCCTCGCCCTGGCCTGCAGTCCCGGCAAAGTGTGGCGAAGCCGCCGCCGCCTGTCAATACGCGCGTGGGAACACCGCGTGCGGGGACCCCTTTGCGGAGCGCCGTGTCCGCTGCGACGCCAGCGCCGTCGAGCGCGCAAGCTCGGGGGCGAACGCCCATCCAGCCACCCACCGCCAACGCCCCGCCCCGTGGCCAAAAGCGCGAGCGCGACGATGCTCCGCCGACGCCGGTGACTGTCAACGGTCATGCGGCGCCGCAAGCGAACGGTGGCGCCGCCCCTGTAAAGGCGAGCGGCAGGGCCGGCGTCCCCGGCGCGCGGCCCAGACCGGTCAAGAAGCAGCGTCTGGTGAGTCGAGTGTCCTCATCTAACGGCGGCCGGGGTGTTGGTGGTGATATGGCGCTTGGCGGCTCGGTCAGCGTGTTTTGTGGCATCGCGCTGGGTCGGCTTCTTGTTGTTTCCCTTCCATTCCTCTTCTGGCCCCTTGTGCTGAACGCAATCTGCCGTGTAGGATTCCCAAGGGATCGCTCGCGATGCGAGCGCGCCAATCCAGCAGCCAACACCGCAGGGCGTCTGAGCTGTGAAGGTGGAGTCGTACGGGAGGACGGAGTGCTGGTATCTCCGCACCGTGCGATAATCACCATATCATTATGCTTTCCATTTCGGTAACACAACCGACATCTTCGACTCTTGTTGAAGTGCTCGGCTCTGTCGTCCTCGGGAAACTCCCCGAGCGAACGCTCAGTTCTGCCCTAGCGTCCTTGTTCCCGAATAATCTCAGCTACCTTTCCCCCTTGCACTGTCACATCGATGTCCCAGTCCATATTCAACCCCAATCTTCCGTATCGCATCTCATCACACTTATAGCATACCTTACGTACCATTACCCATCCACAATTGCCAGCTCCCGTCTGTCTGTTCTTGTACCTGGACGTATTCAATCTTGACGGCGTCTGACTCTCGAACTCGGCGTGAGCTAAAGATCCTTTCGCCCAGCGTTCAACGTTCAAGTTATAACCTCGATTGAGCATTAGACACAAGTATACGGTACAGGAGTTTTAGATACGATATAAGCAGAAACGCGTACAACTGACGACAGCGTCCTCATCCTACCCGGCGAAAGGGCTTGACCCGCACCATGCGCGCCCTCATCCTCGTTACCTCCCAGGAAGAGCGCCCGTGTTGATGCAAGCCAGCGATCACACACGCTATCCCCTATGCAGGCGTACTGATCCCAGGCGTCGACCTCACCGAAGCAGCACCGTTCGTATCCGCCTTGACACCATTAGGCACAGCGGAAACCCTGTCACTCGTCTCAGCACATCTAGCGCACAGGATCCCTCGACCAGCACACTCACCGCCGCTTCTTCTCGCTCTTGTCAGGCGAGTGCCCGCCGGCGACGCTCTTGCGCTTCCTCGGCCGCTCCGCGGGCGACTCGTATACGAACTCGGGCAGCTCGCTCCTGCGTGGGTTATGTGTGAGCTATACCAGTCGATGAATGGAACCCCGACCGAGGCGTCGCACCTCTTGATATGCCGCACGTTCACGCGCATCTTCGTCTCGTCGTACGTCTCCCACTTCTTCACGAGATTGCAGAACTCGCCGGTAGGGAAGGAGATGTTAAGCTGCCGGGTGCCCGAGTTGCCTGTAGCGTGTCAGTACGGTGGATAAGGCCTGAACATGAGATGACCACGTACCGTCCTTGGGCTTGAATTCCAGGCCGAGGAAGAACGCCGTGGTGTAGACGGTGGTAGTTTTGTCGCCCGCGGGGCGGCCCTCCGCAGCCTTGAGGTCCGAAAAGCGCCCTTCCGTCGCCGCACGGCGTTCGTCGTCGGAGATACAGTGATATATCCTCTCGAAGCCCTTGATGAAGGGCCGCGTCACCTGTATGATGCTCCCTTCCTGCGCGTCCAAGCGGAGGACCAGCTGGCGAATGCGCGACTCGATGAAGCCAGACCTAGGAGAAAACGAAGCGTCAGCAATAGCTGAAAGCAGTGAAAACATGCGACTTGCCATTTGTCGTGCGAGTGTTGATCATCCGCAGAGGCCACGATCTGGAGGTAGTGTCTAAAGTCGGTGAAGAAGGTGTGCTTGTTGAAGAGGTCGGCCCAGGAGGCCTCGCCCTTCTGTATTTGACCAACGATATCAAGGCCTGAGTAGCCCATGTTAGAATGTGTGGTTCTCTCGCCCACGCTGGCATACCTCGCTTGAACTCGTGGATCATGACAGTTTGTGTAGAATAGGATACGTTATGCGTTGAATTCATGGAGGGGTATGAGGGGGTGATGATAGGCATGCGGTGAGCGCGGTCGGACGGGTAAACCTGGACGGGATGAATACGCGCGTCTCAGAACGAAGGAGCGAGGAGGGCATACCTGAGGATTCCATATTCTAACTTCAAGGGGGCCCTCTTCGATCTGCTTCAACAGTACAGGTTGCGGCCATTGCCTTGCCAATATGAGCGATCACTGTGTGGCGCAAGTGAAAGGATCGTCCTTACCACCTCCACATGATCCCAAAGAAGCGCCGCACAATAGTACCCGCGACAGCGTTCGGGTACAGCTGACAGATACGCGCGACCAGCATTGCCCAAGCTACACCACCGAGGAATCCATTGATGTTCGAGTAGATGGCTCGTCTTTGTGCCCACAACTTGATGCACCGGAGAGCGTCGCGGAAGACCTGGTGATTCGGGATCAGACTGAGAATCTCGTCGACGAGGCGCGAGCCTCCGAGACTCTTGATACAGCGCTCGTCGAGGTTGCGCAGCAGCTCATTGTTCTGCAGCGAGAGGTCGTCCGGGATGGAGGAGAGCTGCACCATGCGTGCCATCAGCAAGTCGAGCGGAATACCCATCATCTTGATCTTGATAATGGGAACGAACGCGTCGGGGACGCCCTAGTACACGAAGACGCGTCAGTGCAAGGGGCCGATCGTAAGAGTTGGCTACGCACCGAGACTTCCGTTATGTTTGGCTCCTCGCGCAGCATGGGCTCAAACACGGAGAAGAACTCGTCACGGTTGACATGCTTAGGGACGACGCATAGGGTGTCAATATCCGAACCTGGCCCGTGTACGCCGAGCCGGTATGACCCAAAGGTGAATATTTTACCACCCGCCGCGTTCGCGGTCGCGTCTGACAAGCCATGCGCCTTCGCTACTGTTGTTACAAACTTCTTCACTAATGCAGATATACGACCGAGCACTATCTCTCTGCGAAGGCGTTAGAGAGGGGGAAGCAACAAAGGGTCGGTCGACGCACCTGGTGCGCGACTCTTGGTCGGACTCGAACGTGCTCTGCGCCCGTAATTCTTGCATAAGAGATTCCGTGAGTTTTTGATCTTCTGCAGACGATTCAGCGGTGGAGATTGGGGGCGTCACGCCCAAATAGCTGATCGTCTGTTAGACTATGCCCCCTCGCGAAGTATGTGCGACGTACGTTTGCGCCATTTCAGAGAAAGTAGACGAGGGAAAAGAGCCACTTGTGAGTGCTTATGTCGAGCTCAGACGTTCCGACGCTTCGGCCTCAGACTTCAATTGAAAGCGAGATGGTGGTTGGGAGCAAGCGCTGGCCGACCGGTCCGAAAGAGCGAGGGCTTCCTTTGATCCGCGCACGTGTCGTTTGCCTTTCCCGATCACGGGAAATGTTGAAGATCACGGACTGCATTATTTCCCTCGCATGGCCCTGTCGTGCCCGCTAAAGCCATCTGAATACAGACCCGACCAGCACCTTGCTGAATGGAATGCTACCCTATGGCGTGCATCGTAGTCGTGCCCCAAACAAATATAGAACAATGGACACCTTGATCACACGTGGGCACCCATTTTCATCTTATCGTTGCATCACCAAAAACGCGCCGTATGAGGCTCGGGCACAGCACCCAGTCCTTGCCTCTTACCCTCACGACGACCACAAACTAACGACCCGCGAACGGCGTGCAATGCTGGCATTATTCGCCCTCGCCCTCTGCGCCCTTGCGGCCCTGCAGAGCAGCGTCGTCCGTGCGCACATGATGATGTCCGACCCGCCCCCCTTACGCAGCCAGTACAACAAATACGCCACGAACGCTGACTACGACATGACGAGCCCTCTAACGTCCGATGGGTCCAACTACCCTTGCAAGGGCTACTTGGACGACACGTCCGGGAAGGACCCTGTGGCAACCTGGAAGGCTGGCTCTTCCCAGACAGTCACGTACGTTCGTTCACCTTCGTTGCGTGAAGAGCTTGCTGATGAAGTGGGTGTAGCATCGAGGGCAGTGCCAACCATGGAGGCGGTTCTTGCCAGCTTTCCATATCCGAAGACGACGGTGCCTCGTTCAAAGTCATCAAGTCTTTCGAAGGCGGATGCCCCACCGCAGGTCCCGACAAGCTCAGCGTCGACATCCCCTCCGACGTATCTTCTGGCACTAGGGTCTTCGCCTGGACCTGGAACAATCAGATCGGGAACCGGGAGTTCTACATGAACTGGTACGCCTTCCACTTCGGCGGGTGTACGTGCATCCTAATTTGTACACCCAGTGCCATGATCACGATTGAAGACGGCGGCTCCGGCCTCGACAGCTATCCTGATGTCTTCGTGGCGCAGCTTAGTGGCGTCAACTCCTGTACCGTCGCCGAGGGCGTGGATGTCCTCTACCCCAGCCCAGGCGACCAAGTCGAACGAGAAGACGGGGACAGCAAACTCGGCAACCCCACAGGCGACTGCGGCCCCGTCTCCAGGTCCAGCGGCGGCTCCTCCGGCAGCAGTGGTTCCTCCGGCGGAAGCTCAAGCACTGGCTCCGGTGAGTCGACCGTCGATGCTACCACATCCACAAGCTCCTCGATTATGGCCACATCCACGCGCGCCCTCTCATCCACCCCAACGACGGTTCCCTCTTATTCAACTTCGGATACAGACACGTCGTCCTCGTATACTGCTGGCGCAGGCGCCGGCACGTCGCGCACCTCGGGCATCGGCTCGTACCCTACTTCGTCTGCTGGCTCAGACCCGTCATCGTCAGCTGGTACTGATCCCTCTGCTGGAACAGACGCATCGACGTACCAGAAGTGTCGCCTCATCGCCCAGCACCAGACATCATCCATCTGGCGGCGACGGCTCTCTTCCTTCGCTCGAGGCTTCGGACTTTCCAGCGCTGTATGAGTAGCATCTATTGCCAGCCGCGAACCATATCTATGTATCTACTATCGTATCCGCTGTACGCGCTGCATGTAACTGTATTATCTCTACACACGACTTTACTTATGGACGTAGCCTTACGAGTGATGGATATTCTTGTGCTGAACCGTGGGAATATAGACGCGTCCATTCTTCTTCCGCGTTCTATCAACAGAACCAAACAATCCGGCTTGTTCTCAACGTCCATCTGCCCGGGCATCCCCTCAAAAAATCGCGTATAGCTCTGCATTGTTGTCCCCCGAAGCCCTGTGATCGCTGTCTTACCCTAATTCCTGTGTATTGTCTCAATCTGTACAAGCGCCATCCTGTGTATCATAACCTGCATGTAAGGGCGCCTTTTCCTGTTTACACTGACGCAGTAGATCTCCCTGTTTTGTAATCCCCTTCTGAATGTCATTTCCTGCTTGCTCAACTGCTCCATTGCTCGCCCTTTTTTAGAACAAGACCTTTGACCATTCGCAAGTCCCAGCTAGCTTAAGCGCCCAGCATCCCCACCATGCCTTCAGACGACTTCGATATATATGGGGAGGACATCAGTTACAGCGTCCACCAGCCCGAGGTGCGTGTCCCCCTACCATGTAATGCGACTCCGCAGCTAACGAACAGTAGAACAACGACGTGGACCAGTTCGCGATGAAGGAAGAGCAGCAAGTGCAATCGGTCGTCAATGACACGCCCCCCAAGACGGGCGAGAAGCGGCCTCGCGAGGACGAAAGCGCCGCAAACAACCAGCCCGACGAGCAGCAATCTGTCAAGCGCGAACAGACCCCCCAGCAGATCCCCAGCGGCGTCCAGACGTCGAATACCCCCAGCCAGATCCCCGGCATGGGCAATAATTCAGGAGGGGGCATGAACGATGCGCTCTACATCGGAGACCTACAATGGGTGTGTGGCGAGCTCGTTTCCGTGGCATTTATGCTGATCGCTGAACAGTGGACGACGGACGAGGACCTGCGCCAGGTCGCGCTCAACGTTGGTGTGAACATTGACCACAAGTACATCACCTTCTCGGAGCACAAGGTCAACGGGAAGAGCAAAGGGTGCGCATATATGCGCCTATACTCAATCGCCATCGCCTAATTGTCCATCTAGGATCGCATACATCGAGTGTGGAAGCCACGAGAACGCTGCAGCTATCAAGAACTGGTTCGACAACAAGTGCGTACCCTCGCCACATACTTTCCAAATGGACACTGATTATTCTTCCCGTTCAGCGACTTCCAGAACCGGCGCGCCAATGCGTCCTTCACCTCTTCTGCGCAAGGCAACCCATTCCGCACCCTTCCCAAAGGTAAGGCCACCCTCGATCCCCTTACGCGTCATCCTCATCTCACCTTCGTTTGCAGAGCCTCCCCCGCGCGAGCTCCGCCAAGGCGGCGTTCGTGGCAACTTCCGCGGCGGCAACATGGGTGGCGCGAACATGCGCGGCAACATGATGCGCGGCGGCATGGTCGCGCCCAACATGCCTCCCGTCGGCGGGATGGCGCCCATGGGCATGCCCCCCATGAACATGATGGCCAACATGATGGGCATGGCGAACATGATGGGCATGGGCGGCGGGTTTAACGGGCGCGGGGGCATGGGCGGGCGCGGCGGCGGCATGATGGGTCGCGGGGGCATGATGGGCGGCGGCATGGGTATGGCTTCCTAGACTACCGCGGCTGGCCAGTATGTTCTTACCTGTGAATGATGTTGTAGGTGGTGCTATGGGCCGGGGCGGCTTTGGCATGCAGGGGCACTTCAATCCGGCGTTCATGGGTGGCGCTGCGGCGAACGCAGGGAACAACGCCGACGGGCCGAGGAAACGCTTCAAGATGGAGCAGTAGGCTAGTGTGCGGCGGGATAGTATATCCACTGGCGTACTGGGCCGTCGACCAGCGGCCATGTACCTGCGGGGCAAAACCTTTCAAGATGGACGGGAAGGGACGCGCTGCAGAATGGATCAATAGGAAGGGTCTAGAGGGAAGTAAAATGAAAGGACATCTCGTTGCGTTATCTATCGTCTATTCAATGTTGTTTTCTGTACTTATTTGCTGTCTCATGGGGTCCGTACACGGATTCCAGAATGAATCTCGAAGGACACGAACAACTGCGTTTCTCGCCCGATCTCTACAAACTTCGTCACTTTCGGCGGCGCTCAAAGTCATCCCCTTTCACTGCTCTTCTTTTATGGCGGCAAAGCTTTCAAGACCGAAGACATAAGTCGTCAAAGTGTGTGGCGACCAATCTATGAATTTTGGGATCTCCTACTCAATACACAAGTAGTATGCGAGACATGTATATGCTACACTAGCATGACCGCCACTCATCCATCCGCACGAAAATTTCACTTCGACGTCCACGCGCGCGCCGGCAACAACGATGCGACGTACAACGACACAAGACTCGTGCCGAGCAGCACGTAGTACACCATCCACCCACCGAGGTAATTGTGCTTTATGGACAACGAGAATAGCGAGTTCGCTGCTGCTGGCCCGATGGCGCGCATGATGGAGACGGACATCTGGCAGAGGCCGCTGGAGGGAGTAAGACATGGGATCTCAGGGAAGGAAAGGAAGGGAGAACGTACTTGGTCGCGCCCAAACTTGCGCGATTCGGCGATGCTGCCGAGATGAAGATGAACACAGCGCCTTTGCAAAAATCAGTACACCAGAAACCGCGACGGATGATGCTAGCAGATACTCACCATAAGACAAGCTGATAAGCAGAGACAGCACGATCTGCAATCCTACGAGCACCCAGACCATGGCAGAGTACCCCTCAGCCTTAGCGTACAAGCTGATTAGAGGGAAGAGCATGATGATCGGAATGCTAGCGGCAATGCCAGCGATGAACGTCTTCTTCGAGCCAAAATGGTCGTGAATCCTGGCGAAGAAGAATATCTGAAGGATGTTAGGCTTGTAAAATACTTGCGCGAAGGGCCTCAGCCTACCTGGAAGATACCGTTTAAAATTCCGAACACCGAAAGGATCGAACCGATGTGCGCGGGCGGAAGTCCGAGGCCACCTATGCTATTGTCAGCGATAAAGTGGAAGGATTGACAACCCACGCACCAAGCTCAATGGGCGTAGAGAAAAAGAGCGGCTGAATCGCACGGTACGCAATATCTACGAGGGAGAGGAAAGCGTAGTTCATCCCGGCGATAATAACGCGGGGGATGATGAGCTTGTTCAGTGGAACAGGCCGCTCGCTCTCAGGGATGTCATCAAGAGGCTTGGGTGCGTCGATGAGCGTGTCCTTGCTCTTGCGGGTGAGCCCGAGGTATTCACCCCATGTCTGCGTCGCCTTCGAGGTTTCCTTGAGGTGGAAGTACACCACAAACCAGGCGATAGCGGAGAAAGTAGCTGGGACGGCGCAGGGAAGGAAGTACGGGTACTCTTTCAATAATTGGAAGCGCCCGAAGATGGAAGGGAATTGTTCGGCGGGGTGTGAGAGTGCGCCTCCGATAACTATTTCCGGGTCAGCAGGTAGCAACGAAGCGGTTAAGGACAACGTACTGGGACCGAGGGTACCACCTGTGGACCAGGCTATCGGCATGTAGGCATACGCCTAAACCGGGTAAGATACATCTAATTGACAGCAAGCCAACTTACTACCGCGATGTTCGTCTCGTCGGTCATTTCGGCCATCATACTAGCGATAGGTCAGCCGCGCGATACAGAACCTTCCAGGGTATACACGGTACCTCTTGATCACGCCAATGTTCCCGTCTGCGACGAGTTAGTCACGAGGGAATCATGTGAGATGGCGAACGCACTCAGTGCACCGTTGAGTCCCCGACTGAAACGAGCGAGCTTGTCAGGAGGGCAAAGAGGTATGGTGGGCGTGGTGCGCACCTCAAGACCAGACCGAGGAACGTTTTCGAAAGGCCGAAGCAGTACATGGAAAGGGATAGACCGAGTAGGCCGATGAGAATGACAGGCTTGCGTCCTACGCGGTCCGATGTGCGACTCCAGTGCAGTACAGTCATGGCTTGCGTGAGGAAGAATAGAGATTGCTGTCCACGGGTGAGAGTCAGTCAGGCCGAGCGATCGCGCGGCGAGCTACGCACCAAAAGCCCGACATAGTGCCCGACCTTTGTCTCGTCGCCGTTTGTAATCCCAATGTCCCGAATGAGCTGGGCAAGGGTCAGTGAGGAACGAGGCGCGGTGCGAAGGACGGACCTGGGGCGTGAAGGGATAGATGACCTGACTCGTCAGCGGCTCAGCGAGCTGCAGGAAGAGTACGATGGAGAGCTGGCCGAAGTCGAGTGGCGTGCGCTTGGGAGCGCCGACCTGCAGCAGGGGAGTCTCCTCATCGACGGTGGCCGCGGTCATGGCGTTCGTGAGTGGTCGTGAAAAGCAAGAACGTTGCGCGCGTGAGGGAAGACGGCGCGAATACCGCTCGAGGGGCCCTCTTCTACTTAGATCCGGGGTGCCGATATTTGATACTTCGTGAGTAGTAAAGAGAAGACCTCGCAGCAGCTGCTTGAGGTCACTGCGCGCCTCCTGCTCTCTCGGCAATCATGCTGTTCGGCCGACAGGTGCAGGTCGCTCTCGTACATTGAGTACAATCGTTCATGTCGAGGCTGATAGGCGGGTGCTCCTCAAGAGTTGGAGGGTACACGGTAGACTCTGAAGCGCCGTCGCGGATCTACGGACCGCCAGATAACCCGCAAATGCCGCCGGTTGACGTCAATCAATCTTCGACCACCCGCGGCAAGAGAACAATGGCCAGCACGTGAGGACAGGTTCAATTGAGCGACCCATGGGAGCCCATGGGACGATCTGGACTGGACCACATCCTCAGAGGCAGCCAAAGCCAGTAGCAAATGCCATCGATGGATACCTGATCATGGCGGCATAGAAGAGCTTCAAGCCGACTTGCAAGACGTACATTGCTCTACTTACGTGCTATGTCAGAAAAGTGCCGGTAGTGTTCATCAGTACGTTTCCTTGATCCTGCCATAGGATAAAGAACATTGAGCGGAAAGACACGGGAAATAGTGACCGTGTACGCCAGTGAGAACTGGGGTCGGCAAGGTTAAGGTTCACTTACGAAGGGCAATGGGCAACGTCTCCTCTTCAGAAAAAATGACCTTTGATATGTGTCTCCTTGTGTGATGCAGAACGGACTGGTCGGCAGACCTTGAAGCTTGAAGCCAAGGTCACGGTTGAAGTTCACAAACGACGCCACTTGACGCCACAAAGACTTCGACAATTGCCGCAGGCGTCTACAAAACACATTTTCTCTCCTGCTGCAATCACAACCATCGGCGTCAAATTACTGTCTTTCCTCCGCATCCTGATGCGCCTCAAGGAAGGACGGTCCAGACAAACGTCGTAGAGAAAATGGAAGCCGTAAAACAATCTTTGCTGATGGTCCTCCCCCTGGTTGAGGACTGAGGACGCAGGGTCACCTAAGATATCCGACATGCATCTGTACGCCCTCTACGCCCTGACTCCACACATCGCCGTCGAATATTCGACTCTGTCACCGACATATCTCAGCAACTATGCTCTATGTGAGTCTGCCCCCCCTTCCCCCTTGTGGCCGACGAAGAAAAGCCTGGTAAAACAAGTCACCCCGTTATATCGATTCCTTCTTTGGAAGACGTCCTGTTCCTGTGGCACATGCTGCAGTCGAGCTCGACGGTGGGTGACGTTGTAGTAAGGAAGGCGGGGCTGAGGCTCTCACCCTTCACTCAGCTTCATGGTCAATCCCATCGTTGCTGACTCGTTGCATTTTTGCGCCACCTTGCTGTTTGCACCTCAGACTGTATCCGTCTCGTACCTTTCTTCCGAAGGATCAGGATGCCCGAACGTGCGACAGAGCATCATGCAGAGCGCAAGCACAGTGATCACCGTCATTCGTAGGCTCGCATCCAGGGAACCATCAATGTCCGTCTAAAATACAGTACCTACATGGCGTACTGCTGTACTTGTATATTGTGTAGGAGATCCCGAATTCATTGCTCACGCAGGGGCCCCGCCGAGGAACGAGGCAGGGGAAGCGGGAGCAATGCGTGTTCGCGATGGATGGGCCGGAGTGCCGTACAAACAAGTACAAATCACGGAACGCAACGCAACAAAAAAGCGCTGCGCGCCTTTCAATGCGCGCAGCGCGTTCAAACTTCGAGATAAGGCTCTGAAATTCTGCATGAAAGCTCATTAGGGTATACTGAGATAGCTAGCGATTTTTCACGGAAATCCTTATACCCAAAGTGACTGAGCTACATTTCTTTGCCCTATGGCTCTGTCCGGCGCCAGCGCGCCCGCTAGGGTGGTCGGGCCGCAAGCCCGCGCGCCTACGGCGCGCGGTAAGCCCCTGCGTGAGCCACCGTGGGTTCCCCACTTAACTATTTTAATTTGTATAGCCGCCACATGCTTCGACGATCCACATCCTGTTTGTCGCCACAACAGAAGCAGTGAAAGGAGAAGGGGACGCCGATAACAATGAAAGCCAGTCCGAACTGAGCAAGTTGACATGTTGCCGAACGGCATTCACGGGCCCCTGTCCAAGCGCGGCAACTGCCGATGGCCCTATTCTTCTCTCGACGGTCATAGCACGGGCCCGCGCACTGCCGTCCACACCTCTTCCTTTCACCCTCCACGCCACTTATCGGCCACCCTCCCTTTCTTGGTCCGACACGATGACCAGCTTTGCAGATCTCCTCCAACTAGCGCATACACAGACGCAGCAGGCCGAAAACCAGGTGCAGGCCGTGCTCGCGGAGCGCAAGCGCAAGGAGGCGGAGAAGCGGAAGCAAGAGGAGGAGCGCGCGCGGAAGGAGCGGGAGCTCGAGAAGCAGCGGATCCAGCGCAAGCTCGACGAGGAGCGCCGCGAGCAGGAGCGCCGCAAGCGCCAGGAAGAGGAGCAGGCGGCTAAGGAGGCTGCCCGACGACGGCGGGAAGAAGAGGCGCGCGAGCAGGTCCTCCATGGGCTGAAGCGCGGCTCGAGCACGACGAAGCGCCACCGACTCATTGAAGAGGACGAGGACGGCGCGAGCTCCTCCCGCGCGTCCTCCGCCGTGCCACTGACTCGCGAGGAGAAGCGCGAGCGCAAGATGCAAGCGGAGCTGCGGAAAGCGTACGGGCTGCCGAAGAGCACGAAGAAGGGCGCCGGGTACAGCAAATATGGCGCACGCCTGCCCGGTGGCGCGATGGACATCGTGGACAACGGCGACGCCGCCGGCCCGTCGGGCATGTCGACGAAGCAGCGGCTGCTGTCGACGCCGATCGGGCTGACAAAGGTGTACCAGAACAAGCGCGACACGCGCACGACGGCGGAGGTCATCGAGGCGAAGCAGCAGCCGCACACGCTCAATGGCGAGGACGCGCGCCACTTCAACGACTGGTTCGGGCCGGGCAAGGAGGCGCGGGCCTCGGGCTCAGCATCTCGTGAGTGGCCACAATCTTGTTTTCCGGTCGTTGCCACTGATCATTTGCCACTTAAGATGCCTCGCTATCCGGAAAGAAGTCTATGTCGTCTCTACCACCCTCCCAGTCTACCTCCTCGAAGTCTTTCTCAGCGTCGCGCGCAGGTCAACAGAAACCCTCCACAAGTTCTGCAGCGCGACAAGGGCAGAAGCCTAACAAGCGCCCACGCTCGCCTGCACATTCCGAGTACGACTCCGAGCCCGACGAGTACCGCAAGCATCGCAAGAGACGTCCCTTTGATGATGAAGAACCTGTCAATGTGCAAGAAGAAATCTGGCGGCTATTTGGCAAGGATCGTGGTCGGTACGTCAATAGGGACGTTGAAAGCGACGACGACATGGAGGCGGATGCGATGGCTGTCGAACGCGAGGAGAAGCTCAGGCATGTCTCCTTCATCTGGTCTACTCCTTGTTGCTTACTGGTTTCTCTGCAGCGCACGTTACGCTAAAGAAGAGGATCTCCGGGCCGCGGAGGAGGAGCGCCGTCACGAAGAGGAGAAGCGGCGGCGCAAACTCATGAAGGAGAAGGAGAAACGGGGGAAGGCTTGATTCTGGAACGCCACCGTCGGATGGACATCCTGATCGCAACCTATCCTATGCATCTTTCACATATCATTTAGCACTATTCCTGCCATGCTTTCGCTATGTTGTCCCAGTGCCGCTTATGCATAACTAACCTTCAGATCTCTCGCCTTGTATACGCATCGTATTTACTGTATACTTCCATTTCATCTGTCGTGGCAAGCTATGACACGGGCATCCGCTACAACTTGATCCCCAAACCTGAGAGGCACGTACGTTGACGGTCAGGCAGTCAGCATGATGCACTACGAGTTAGAGGCAGAGTCAGCCCAAACCTTCTTGAGCACGACGGACTCGAGGAATTCGGCCGGAAAAGCGACGTCGTGACGTCATTCCCACGCCCCTCGGTGGACGGAGACGCGTTGGATTCGCAGTTTGATCTGCTCGTGTCCGTTTCTTGGCTTGCTCTCGACTCTCATCATGGGCCTTTCGCGCGAGATTGTTAACATTCAGGTGTGTCCTCCCCTCGAAAGCAGCGCTCCGCGCCCTCTGACGCCCTCCGCAGGTTGGACAGGTCGGTAGACGCGCATATCCCGTTTGGTAGACGCGCTCAAGTAAGGACCACAGGCAGGTAATCAGGTCGGGGAGGCGTTCTGGCAGAAGGTGCTGGAGGAGCACAATCTGGACAATGAGGGGGTGCGTCGTGTGGCGAGCGAGGGCTGGGGACGCGCGCTAATCGCATGATCTGCAATGCAGCACTACAAAGGAGACCCGACGAGCGATTCCATCCACTTGCAACGTGTACGCCCCGAGATCTTTCCTTCCCTCGGCGCTCCCCTCATATTCCTTCCTTTAGGCCGGCGTCTACTTCAGCGAGGTCGATACTACTGGACCCACGAAGTATGTCCCTCGCAGCGTCCAGGTCGACTTGGAGGCCGGTGTTTGCAACAGGGTCAGGAAAGCAGGTTACGACGCGACTGGGCAAACTGAAGCATCTCGCAGATCAAGAATGGACCTATGGGCGCTCTGTTCAGACCCGACTCGTACATCTACGGCGAAGTAGGTGCGGGGAACAACTGGGCGAAAGGATGTACGAGTACAGCACGCTTCGTAGCAGGGCCTTACTGACTTGCGGAGATCAGTCTACACCGAGGGTGCTGAGATCATCGACAACATTCAGGTAAGCATCGGTAAACACGCGTTCTGAACAACTGTGCTGAACGCACCATAGGATGTGATTCGCAAGCAGAGCGAGGCCTGCGATGCTTTGCAGGGCTTCCAGATCGTACACTCCCTCGGTGGTGGTAGTGGCGCTGGTCTCGGTACACTTCTGCTGTCCAAGCTTCGAGAGGTATGTTCATTCACGTCAAGGAGACGCGGTTCTGACATGGTTGCGTAGGAATACCCGGACCGCATGATGTCGACCTTCTCCATCCTTCCTTCCCCCAAAGTTTCGGAGACGGTCGTCGAGCCGTACAACGCCATGCTGTCCATGCACCAGCTTGTTGACAACAGCGACTTGACGATCTGCATTGACAATGAGGCTCTGTTCGTTGCTAGTACTCTCCCTGAGAATCACTTGTTTACCGTCTCTTCAGGTACGCTATTGTCGAGCGCACTCTCAAGATCAAGCAGCCCAAGTTCTCTCACTTGAACGAGGTACCTCAGTCTCCATTCGTCCATACAATGAATTTTGACATAAAGTCTAGCTCATCTCGCGTGTTATGTGCGGCGTCAGCACTAGCTTGCGATTCCCCGGTCAGCTCAATGGGTAAGAACTCATCTCACCCGATTGTTCTACGCTGACCTTTTACAGCGACCTCCGCAAGCTGGGCATGAACCTTGTGCCGTTCCCTCGAGTACGCGGTTCACGGCTTCGTGACGAGGACGTTTCTGACCACTGCTATAGCTGCACTTCCTCATGCCGTCGTACGCACCCATCTTCAACACGGAGGCGCAGAAGTACACGCGACTCACGACTGCCGACTTGACGTCTGCGTACGCAAAGTATCATTACGTCTCACGGGCCCCAGCTGACTGCTCCGTAGCCTCTTCGACCGCCACAACTTCCTCGTTGCATGCGACCCGCGCTTTGGGTGTGTTGCGTCTCATCATATCAAGGCTCAGACGGCTGAACCACATTCCCGCCCAGTCGCTACCTCACCGCAGCGACCATCTACCGCGGCAACGTCGCCTCCCGAGAAGTACGTTGAGCCACACCCGACACACCCCTGCCACGCTAACTCCGTCCGCCACAGGCTGAAGTACGTCCTCGTTCGTCAGAGTGATCAGGACGTATGCTGACCAGGATATCTACTAGGTCGCCGTGCACGATCTGCAGGTGAAGAATGCGCCGCAGTTCACTGAGTAAGTAGACTGCCTTTTGGGTCAATGTAGCTGGGGCTAACAGGATGATAGGTGGATCCCGGACAATGTTTCGGTGTCGCTCGTGTCTGTGCCACCCGCAGGCTTGACGCAGGTGGGTGCTTCTTGTCTGGATGTGCGATATACTTGTGCTTACGACGGCTGAACAGGCTGCTACTTGCCTCGCAAACTCGACATCCATCCAGGAGCTCTTCCAGCGGACCGCGGAGACGGTGCGTTGCTTTGCGCTATCAACAGACTGCTCAGCTGACTGTCTCTCAGTTCAGCGCCATGTACAAGCGCCGTGCCTTCTTGCATTGGTATGCAGGATGCCACACTTTGGCTTCAGTTTCATCTAACTGTCTCGCAGGTACACCAACGAAGGCATGGACGAGATGGAGTTCTCCGAGGCCGAGTCGAACACCCATGACCTGATGTACGCCCTCTCTCGCTCATAGCCGCTGTGTCCTGATCAATCGACCACTGTAGTTCCGAGTACCAGCAATACCAGGAAGCCAGCGTCGAAGATGAAGAACAATACGAAGAAGAGGGCGAGTATGAGGAAGAGGCCGCTGACGAGGAAGAGCAATAAGACGAGGCCTGCTGATCTGCTGCGCTTTCCGACTATCGAATTCGACCATGTATCATCTTGCTTTATATGTTCTTGCTTTACGCGCACCTTGTTTTCACACAACGCACTACTCCACTAACGATACGACAATCGACTGACAACCTGGCAGTCGACCTCATCTAACGCTCGGCAGTCGAATATATCGACTCGCCCTGACCTTCGTTCGCTCTTCATGACCACATTCTACCGTATATATATATAATGATCGCTTGCTTCTCTGCTTCATTGTCCACGCTCCTTTAATCCCTGATACCACGATTTTTGCTCCTCTGGCAGTGGATAGCTAATCGCGTATACAGTCTACTCCGTACAACGATGCATCTATAATGCAATGCTACTCGTGGCGCTGGTCCGGGGGGTGGCAAGGCGAGGGGGACTACAGTACGAAGGTACAGTCTGCTGTCTCGTCGTTGGCCTGACATCCAGGTAGCCACTGCGCTCAAATCGCCAACTCGAGCGTATCGCGCGCACGGTCGGGCTCAGGCAGGCTGCCCGATGCCACCTTCGCGCCCCGATATGAGCTTATAGGGTGTCAATGTCCTCATTTCGCCTCCGCCTTGTCGGCCGATGCATATCGAGAGGTGCTGATTCGTCCCTGAGGTGAGGCCTTCGCTCATGTAGAAGACGCTCTGATACGAATGAGGCGCAGGCGAACGTCAGTACCAGCGCAACCTGAAGCCATGATCAGGACAATATGAATGGCGATAGCCTCCGTTAATGGCCTTCCCCGCACCCTCCACCGACCTCGACCCTCGTCTCAATGCGCTGGTCATACGTATAGCCTGTTTCCTCGAGTGAAGGAAGCCTTCCAGCGAGCCTGCTGACGTCTATGCGGGGCGGCTCTATGGATCGCCCACCACTATATCCTCGCCGTACATGCCTTATTCCCACCCTGATTAGTCGACGGGGGAGGGATGAGGTGGCGACGCGTCCTCGGGGTCAATCAGGTGAGCCCCATGTCCTGTTATCGTCGTTTGAGGGTGCGGCATTTGACACGGCATTCCTGGAGAGCCGGAGAATCCACGGTAAAACCGGTCCGCGGTGGAAGATGCTGCGTCGAAGGATATAAAGACGGGGCGGCGCGCGAGGGTGCGAGGATCGATCATTGCTCGAACTCGTTAACGTAGCTATGGCCTCGCAAGACTTTACTAGTGACCTCCCGCCGCAGTTCGCCGCGCTGAAGAAGGAGATTGCGGATTCCATTCCTGATTTCGAGAGTAAGGCGACGCGCGCGTGGGGCGAGATCATTGCAGAGCTTGCCACCGTCACGAAGGAAGTGATGAAGAAGGGCTCAAGTGTGCGTTGCCTTCTCTGTTGTGCTTCTCCGTGTCTCTTGTACTGAGCTTTGTCTTCTGCAGTACATACCAGAGGTCGAGTTCTCTGAACTAGAGAAGCTGTCGAAGGAGGACATCGACAAGATCAAGCGCATTGGCTCCGTCGTGATACACAACATTGTTCCTGACGAAGATGCGAGGAAGTGGAAGACTGACTTGGACGAGTTCGTGAAGACGAACCCAGACGTGGGAGGTGGGCGCGTGCGACGCGTCAGTCCAATAGCTGTACTGATCTTGTTTCATAGGCTTTCCGGAGGACAACAAGCAATTCTTTGAACTCTTGTAAGTGCTTTCGAGAGAGAGACACGGGCGAACATGACTCACGGGCTAACGCAGCTGGACGAAGTCCCAAGTACGCGCTCGTGCGCACCCCCAAATGCTCGCCGTGACAACGTGGCTCAACAACATCTTTCACATCGATGCGACGGAGGGCGTCGACCTCAACACGCCTCTAAGCTACGCGGACCGCTTCCGCATCCGGCACCCGGGTGGTTCGTGGACTAGGTAAGGCGATCTTCATCATCTACTATCTCGGTACTCACGGCGTCTTCTAGGTTTCCTCCACACGTTGATGGTAACTCTTTGCACTAATCCGTGTCGAGTCTCCAGTTTGAGACCGTTGACAGGCGGCGCTATCGAGCGCTGGCAGGACGAGAAGTTCAGGGCGTGCTTTGCGGAAGTACTCTCAGGAGAGTGGCGCAAGCATGACCCCTACGATCTGAAGGACCGTTTGTATGCAAAGGCGTCTCTGTACGGCCGTCCGAACCAGGTGAACCATGGATCTTCTATCATTCGAAGTGAAACTGAACACTTTGCAGTGCTCAGGTATGCTGCTCTAAGACTGTATGCAGCAGCGGCTAAACGTGCTCGTAGTTCTGAGGACATTCCAAGGCTGGCTTGCCATGACGTGGGTAACACGATTCGCTACCATCTCTCTCGGCCGAGGCTGACGATGATTACAGTGAAATCGCGCCTCACAACGTAGGTGTACTCGGCAAGAAGGCGTAGCCATCGCTGAGTTTAGGCCAGGGCACGCTGCGAGTCTTCCCTGATATCCTTCTATCGAACTGCGTGAGTTCAACTCCATTTCGTTGCTCGATACTCCTGAACCGCCGGCAGTACATCATCCTCCGTCCCTTCTTCAAGCCTCTGGTGGACCCCACATCTCCAGAGGCGCTAGACGCGAAGAACTGGGCCTTTGGTGCGGTCGCTTCGACGACGTCCGCAAGTACCATATACTCACCGTATATATCAGACATATCCTCAGCCAACTTCCCGGGCATCTACGCGCGAGACGGCGGCTACGGGGGACCGCGCCCTACGCCATATTACCACCCGCACCTCGCCCTGGACAAGATGATGATATCAATTCCGGCCGTCAAGCCTGGCGACGCTGTTTTCTGGCACACGGATGTAATCCAGTTGAGTGTTCGCGCATCCCCCTGCTCAACGAGTGACTGACCAGCGCCCCTCAACCTCGTCAGCTCGGTCGAGGAGGACCATGTCGGCACGGAGGACTCCGCCGTGATGTACATTGGCGCGGTGCCGACGACGCCTGGGAACCTGAAGTACCTCGAGCGCCAGAAGGAGAGCTTCGTCAATGGTGTCGCGCCTCCGGACTACCTGAAGACGTACGAGAGCAACTTCATTGGCATCGGCAAAGAAGAAGACGTCACGGGTACGGAGGGACGACGTGCTATGGGTTTGTCTGCTGCATGATGTGGTGCGAACTGGTACAATATATTCCAGAATGCGACTTTGAGTCTGTATACCAATGTAACAGTAACTGGAATATTCAGGACGAGAAGCCTTTTATTAGCTGAACATTTGTGTTGGGCTTGTAAGGCGCTCATATAGTCAACATCGCTGCCTCTCATGTATAGGAGATCCACTGATATCTAGGATGTCCTCATAGTCAGAACGCCAAGCGAGCAGCCATCCTTGCCTCCCTCCTTCTCGCTGACAGACCCTTTCTTGAACTTTCGCCGACAGTCAGCGCAATTCGAACGCGTCATGTCACGGTTCGTAATAACGCCCGGATGGTGCCGGTACCGTGGGAATCAGCTATTTTGTACGTGAAAGCGATTAGGCAACGACTTGGATTTACCCGCTCTCACCAACCTTTGAGTCCATAAGCTTGCGAGGGGCGCGCCAGGCTTGAGAGAAGACATGTCTATGCCTGTACTCTACTTTTTCTCTCCAATTTACCCGTGGGCGCAGCCGTCATGACGCACAATGGAGTCTCGCCCTTGGCGAAGCAAGGGTATAAAAGAGGTGGACGATGAGGCGTACTCCCAGCACCTCTTCCTCTTGCATAACTTCCTACAACTTTCAACAACTACACATCATGTCCAAGCAGATCCTCACCATCTTTGGCGCCACTGGCAAGCAGGGCGGCTCTGTCGTTAACAGCATCCTTGCCGATTCTGCTGCGTCTAGCAAGTTCGCGCTTCGCGGCGTCACGCGCGACGTATCGAAAGATAGTGCTAAGGCGCTGGCTGCGCGGGGCGTTGAGGTCGTCGCTGTGGGTCCACTCCTACTTTGGATCTTTCATCAAGTATTGACCTGCGTACTATCAACTTTCAGGCTGATCTCAACGACAAGGACTCGTTGCGCAAGGCCATCAAGGGCGCTTACGGCGTCTACGCGGTCACCAATTTCTGGGACAGCATGAGCGAGGACAAGGAGATTACGCAGGGCAAGAACATTGCTGACGTGTGTAAGGTATATATCTTTTCTAATCCGTATATTTTGTCGATTCTTTCCTAACCTTTTCCAGGAAGAGAACGTCCAGCACCTCGTCTGGAGCAGCCTGCTCAACGTCACTAAGCGTAGGTATTCTCGCTTTTACTTCGCTGATCTTCCGCTTACCGTCCTCCAGTCACGAACGGCGTACTCTCCGAAATCCACCACTTCGACAGCAAGGCCAAGGTCGAGGACTACATCCGCGAGCTCGGCATCCCCGCCACCTTTTTCCTGCCCGGTTTCTATATGGACAACATTCCCAGCATGAATCTTCACCCGTCGCCCGAGGGCAAGTGGACACTCGCCATGCCCATGCCCGCCGACGCGCCCATCCCGCTCTTCGCCACCGACCGCGACACGGGCAAGTTCGTCAAGGCGATCTTCCTCAAACGGGAGGCGACGCTCGGCAAGCGCGTGCTGGGCGCGACTGCGTATATCACGCCGCTCGAGATCCTCGAGGGGTTCAAGAAGGTGTACCCGGAGGCTGGGAAGGACGCGACGTTCGTGAGCGTGCCGAATGACGCATTCAAGGCGCAGCTGGGACAGTTTGGCATGCCGCCGGCTGCGCAGGAGGAACTGTTGCAGAACATGCGCCTTGTGTACGAGTTCGGATACTATGGCGGCGAGAAGTTGGACTGGAGCCGGTCGGTGAGTGACTCACTATCTACCGTCCAGTGCGCCTTGGCTGATATATTTCCAGCTCGTCGACGAGCCGCTCACAACGTGGGAGGAGTTCATCAAGGGAAACCCTGCGTTCTCGAAGGCGCAGTGAGCTGACTGCCGGCCTTGATGACGGAGACTTGAGCAGACAAATTGTACAATAATGAATGTGACCGATTGCTTTCTTTTTGTTCTGGTTCATGTTGGCGTATATTAGCTATGAGTTGCCGTTCCTGCTTCCAAAGAGAGCTGACTCGAAGACTTTGCCAAACGAAGTCGAGCGAAATTCTTAGCCTCGTTGACTATGGCCTACGTCCTTGGCCTTATAGGCGCATACGCAAGTGACTGGTCCGTCACCGTAACAAGCGGTGACCTCGTGCGTGAGATCCTGCACACATTCGTGCATAAGTATATGGCGGGAAGGCGAAGAGGAAAGTCGTCACAGTTTATTCGGCACATGCCGAACAAACCTACGGACTTTGCCGATTTCCCATTTGGTCACCTCGAACCCTAATTCCTCCATCCTCCATCGCGCCCAGACCGTTGTTGTGTTCCTCTGCGAGTATGCTGCCACGGGAAGAGATGCTTGACTAGTCTCCGGGTCGAAGATTCTTGGCACCAACGGCGCCTCGCCCGCCGCGGCGCCGTTGTCCGGTTTACCTGCTGGATTGCGTATGCCCTAGGTTCAGTAGGTGAACGGCGTTGACATCGTGGGGGATCGCGAGGGATGGAGAAGCTTAGCGCGGAAGCCAGGACAGTCAGGAATGAGGCCTCAAGACTTTCACTGACGAGAAGGAGGACGTACAAGCAGGTCAGTGGTGAAGCGCGTGCCGATTCCGCCCATCTGTTGCCGAGTTGCTGTCGTGAGCATGACCTCCCTCGCTCGCCAATCTCCACTTGTTAGGTCCTCTATACCGTCATGGCACAGAGCGCCTGCCCGTGCTGAGCCTTCGGGGGGCCTTCCTCATTATGTATCTTCCGACCATCGTGACGAGGTCATAGAGCTACGCGATGGCGAGAAAATACTGGTTTTTTTCCTGGACATGTATAAAAGCTGAAGAGGTTTACCCTACATTACAGCAACCACCACTACTTGCACTCGACCTCATATCAACTTCCTAACCAGCGCAATGACTTTCCTCTCTGGCGTCTGTGAGTTGCTCACAAGCTCCACTTCTCTCTGCGCTGGCTGATGTGCTGTCTAGACACCATCACGAACGTCGGCACGGGCACGGCGCTGCATCTTGATGGTAGGTCTCCTATTTATGTCTGCCGTACGACTGTCTACTGATATTTGTAGGGCATCCTGTCCAGGGATGGGAAAAGCTCAGTGGGGCGGACCGTCTGAAGCAACTCTGGTTCCTCAGGCCTACTGACACATCGGACTCCGGAAACTCGGACGACGCGAAGTGGGTGGCGCTCAATATCGCTAGGAACAAGTGTCTCGATGTCGACAGCAGTGAGCAGGCAGGCTAGCGTTATTCAGAGGACTGCAAATACTCATGACAGGCAACTCTGCCAACGGCACGGAAATAATTGGGTACCCGTACCACAAGACGGACAACCAGCACTGGATCATTAGGCACCCAGCGTCGTCCTCGTACTGGAGGTATGTACATAGCTCTTTAGCTGCTGCATGCACCACGTCATTGATTTTCGCTCCCGAAAGGTTCCAGAGCGTGGAGACGAATAGTGAGCTGCGTTTCCTGACTCTCGACGGAATCCTAATCCATCTACGCCAGCCTTCATCGACCTCAAGAAGGGGTAAGTCGCTCTCGCTTGCGAGTCATGATGAGCGTCCCTCACGTGTCGTATGCAGTCAATCCGGCAATGGCACCAAGGTGCAGGGTTGAGAGGGCACCTGGAACGATGGCAGCCACAACCGCGGGTGGGTCCTGAACCAGAAGAGCTTCACGGGCCGTCAGATCCAGGCCGTCCATTACAAGAACGGAAAGCTGAAGGGCAAGGTCATTGTGGAGTACCCGGACCGCATGTGCGTTGGCTTTCCCCCTTCTGCGGTGACTGCCGACCGCGTGGGGATGCTCGTGAGCGGGAGGTAGGACGCGAAGTGGTTCTCTATCGAGAACAAGCTCGCAACGCTTCGACTCCGAAGCGGGCGGCACCCGAGCAGACGCGAATCCGCGTCTGCGATCTGATAGAGGTTGACCTCTTCGCACCCAAGGCCCCTGCTCGAAGCGTCGTCGACGTCGAGTAGGGCTGTAGAGGTTGCGTGAAGAAAAGTAGCGTATATTCCTGGAGGGCGGCCGATCAGCGCCGCCCTCACCACGTGCGTAAGTACGATATCTAAGGCGCGCGGCGCCGTATGTGCTAGTTGTAACGAGTTCAAGCCCCCGAGTACGTAGTAAGTGTCATGCAGGTCGTAAAGGTAAGTAAAAGGTAAGTAAACGAAAAAGAGCCCCCCTGGGTCCGAGCCGCGTTGCGGGGGAAGAGTCCATGCCAGTCCATCCCATCCTCCTCACAAAGCCCCCCACTCTTCGCCTGCGACGCGCGCGCTCAGCGGAACTGCCGCAGGTTCTTGATCGCCAGCGGCTTGCCGAGGTCGGAGATCCTGCGGAACTCTAGAGAGATGCCGTAGGCCTCTTCCAGCTTCGCGCACCACTGCTCGCATTCTCCCTCGGAAGGCGGCGCCGTCTGGCGGGCCTCGTGGGGTCGACGCTGCTTGTAATGGTACGCCCAGTCGCTGGCGTGTCGGTTCCACTGAGTCTGCGTGCGAAGGATCGTCTCGCGCCCCGTGCGCCAGCGCTGGATGACCTCGTTCAAGTACTCCTCCTCCGCCGCCGACCACTCCCCATTGCCGATGTCCCATCCCTTCGAGTCGAAGGTGGCCGTAGGCGGCACGACATAGTACGGGTTCAGCGCGTCACGCTGGTTCGCGACTCGCCCGCCGATGACCGCGAGCTCCGTTTCCCCCGCGCGATCGCTGACCACGAAGAATCCATTGCCAAACTTCTTGGCGGGCAGCGGCTGGCTGTTGCGCGCGTAGACGCGCGTCTCGGCGCTGACGCCCGCGCCGGCTACGTCTAGATACCTCCTGGCGTAGTGGCGGACGACGTAGCTGACGGTCCCTCCCTCCTGCAAGAAAGCGGGGAAATGCGTCTTCGCCCAGATCGGGCCGTCGAGGAGCGCTTCCCAGAGTTGGAATATCTCTGTAGGGTTAGAGCCGGAGAGCGGGGGGAAGACGGTGGCCGAGGGAGCGCCTTGTGGGCCTATTCGCGCCATGGAGGGAATGGGGTCCCTTGGGATGAGGTAGGTCACCTTCATGCCTTTCTCGAGAACGAAGTCGAGGAAATGGATAGGCGTGCGCAGCGAATGATGGAAGAGGGCGTAAAGAACAAGACACACTCGGTCCTGCCAGCTGTGTACTTGCAGGAGGCCCCTCTCCACGAAGTCCCGATCCCAGTCTAGTCGGGGACGTCGCACGTCGTCGCGAACATAGGTACCTCGCGGGGCGGTCATGACTTGCCCAAGCTCTTCCAGCTGTCGGTTGAACGCCTCCAGTAGTGCCTCCCAGCGTTTGCTGTCGGGAGAATAGAGCTTGCTTGAGACTCGCCCGGGGTCGGCCAACCGGGAGCTACGTGTCGGCGAGGCGCTCCTTCTGGCGTTCAGCCACACACGGTTGGAAGAGGCGACGCTGCTAGGCGGTGTGCTGGAACCGTCCTCGCTCTCCTCCTCCCAGCGGTCTCGTCGGCCCCGACGACGCGCACTAGGATCTGGCGGAGAGATACGCTCCGATAGGGGCCGGGTCCAAGTGGCGGCTGACTCTCCTGTGACTGGGTCGGTGATACGCTGGTCCAGAGGCGGGCGCGTTGACGCTGGCGCCGTCGAGTACTCCTCGTCCCTGTCTTCTTCCGAGTCGCTCGCGTTGCCCATCTCGGTGTCCCTTCCCTCCTCCGTGACGCTCGAACTCCCCTCCTTCGTCGTCCGCTCCGTGAGCCCGCTGATCACCTCCTCATAGACCTACTCGATCTCTCCTCCCCACCCGACTTCCCAGTCATGGTAGTCCTGGTATTCCCGTGGGCGAGGCTTCCCGTCGTGCACCGCTCTCGCTACCAGCTCCCTTTCGTACTCCCTGAGCCAGTCGTCTGCTTGAGCAGGAAAGAGAAGTCGACTGCCGTCCAGCGCGTAGGATTCCCCCAGCCCGGGAGCGAAGGCGGGCTTGAAGAGCTCGCGCAGGTGGAGGTAGTTGTTGTTGATCCAGCCTGAATTGACGTCGAAGGCATGGTCGTCGAGGAGGTCGTCCGTCGTCGTGGGGTCGCTGAAACCTCGGTCCATGAGGAAGACGTCGCTCTCTTGGGGCTCCCCGTTGATGGCCCTGGGCGCCCATCGCGCTATGTCCACTCTCGGAAATTGCGTATTGTGGGCGACCGCTTCGTAGCGGGGTAGCAAGAGTTTGATGAGAGGGGGATTGCGGATGACATACGGCCGGTATCCTTGGCAGACTTGGATCGAGTAGTGAGTCTTGGGGTCGTAGATAGGGATTGGCGTGTCGAATAAGTCGGGTTGCGTCAACGGGCGGCGTATTTGGAAGAAATCGTCGTATTTGAGGACCGCGGGCTCGTTGGCCCGGTAGTGCGCTATCAGCTCCTCGCTCAAGGCGCCCGCAGCCGCCCGCTCTCGGTAGTCCAGGATCACGTCCGGCCGCACCCTCACGAAACGGTCGACGTAGGACATTGCTTCGGTGAAGAGGTAGTAGATGGGTACTCGGTGCTGAATCCACAGTTCGAAGCTGGCGAGGGTGTAGTCGACCAGGAGGTTGAGGAGGCAGCCTCTCTTGGGACGCTTCTCGAACTCGCAGAGCCTCACCACCTCCAATTGGGGAGGACTGAGAGCGTCTTCGTAGCCTTTGAAGGAGAGGGTGTACCAGCCGACGAAGGCGATATGATCGAGGGCGGCTATGCAGAAGTCGTGTGCGTGGTCGAGGATTTGGCCCGGCCGTCCGTCCTCTAGGATGCGCTGGAAGTCGAAATTGGAGGGCCGGATGCGCGTTCCATCCTTGAGGAAGAAGGGGAGGGGAGTGTTGGTCCGCAGCCGCTCACCGATCTCCGCAAACGTCCTCGCGCACTTCAGCATCCTCTCCGCTATCTCCGGCTTCACGCGACAGGTTCCGTTTTCGAAGAGCAAGTCCTTCACGTCCGGCTTCCACAGGACTGGCGCGGCGGGGTCCCTGTCCGAGATGATCGTGGTGACGGCGTAAGGGCGCCAGATGAACGGGAGGAGTATCCACTGAGGTCCTAGGCGGTCTTGACGAAGGGACGGAATCTGGAACCGTTCATAGCGCGGGCTCTTGAGAAGGGCGTTGTAGTCCCCGCGAATGGCGATCCACGTGTCGTTGTGCTCGAAGTGATAGACGGCGATGGGCGGTAGGTCGCCGCCCGGTGGAAAGAAGAGATAGAAAGACATGGAACACCCGCTAAACGTCGACTCCGACGGGAAGCAGGACTCTAAAGGAGGCAGCCGAATCCGACTACGTTTTCTTCGAGTGGTGGAAAGAGAATGAAGAAGGAAAAGACAAGGTCGCGAATTATTCCGAGGCGAGCACGCGCGACCCTCGTGTCGAGCCTCGAGGCGTCCGGAAGCCGCCGGCCCGGGGCCGGCGAGTTCGAACCGCTCTCCTGTTATGTTAGATTATGCCGTCTCTTGTATTTCCGGAGGACTTCATCTGCGTTCTTCAGGTCCTTCGCGGATTGCCACGTATCGTAGAACGGCCCGTATCCCACCCACCGGACTTTGTACTTTCGCTTCCTCTTCTTCTTGTCCCACTTGTGTTCCACAATCTTATCGACTTCGTACTCATCGCTGGCCATTTCCTCCCCCCGCGTCTCGGGAAGGGTCGCTCGTGGTTCGTCCTTCGGAAGGGGATTCTCGTGGTAACGCTTCAGGTGCTGGATGTTGAAGACCGGGAATCCGGGGTATTTGTCGTTCATGTGCAAGCGGTAAGTGTTCGGGCTGATACGTTGCGCAACTTTGAAGGGCCCAATCCATCTCTGCTTCAGCTTCGGTTTCCCCTTCGACTCCACCCACTCCAACGAGTGAGGGTTGACCAGGACTCGCTCGCCTTCGGCGAACACGGGTGCAGGCTTCCTCCCTTTGTTATAGGCTTTGGCTTGTTCTTCCTGGGCGAGGGCTATCGCGTCTCTCGCGGCCTGTCTTGCGATGTCTAGCTGCTCCAGGTAGTCCTCCAGGTCCTTATCGGTGTAAGGTTCCTTTGGTTCTCTCCTCACTTGATACACGGCGTCCAGCGGTGACTTCGGTACGCGTCCGAACAACAGGCGGAACGGGGCTTCGCCGGTGCTCTTGTGTACCGCCGAGTTGTACGCGAACTCAAGGAGGTGCAGCAGGGACGCCCATTGCGCTGTGTCGCTTGCCACGTACGCCCTCAACATCGTTTCTATCGTCCGGTTGAGCACCTCCGTCTGGCCATCATGCTGTGGATGGTGGGCCGACGACAGCATCATCTTCGTCTTGAGGAGCTTCGCCATTTCCCGCCAGAAGTCGGACACCCAGCGAGGGTCTTGGTCGGCGATTATGCTGGAGGGCAGACCGTACCGCGTAGCCACGTTCCTCACGAATACTTCCGCCGCGGCCTGTGCGTCGAACTTGGCCGGTATGGGAAGGAACTGTGCGTGCTTCGAGAATCGATCAACTACGACGAATATACCCGTGAACCCGCTCGACTCCGGCAAACCGGTGATGAAGTCCATGGACACCGAATCATAGGGTTGAGGCGGTATGGGGTTCGGTATTAGGGTCCCGTACTTCCTGAAGTTGTCGAACTTGACCTTTTGACAGACGTCGCAAGACTTGCAATACGCGTCGATCGTCCTTCTCATGTGCCTCCAGTGGAACTTCGGGTGCAGCTTCGCCCACACCTTCGCTGCCGCTCCGTGGGCGCACTCCATTGGCTCTTTGTGTGCTGTCCTGAGGATGCGTGGTACCAGGCGGTCAGGGACGCATAGTCGCGGCAGGTAATCCGCGTCGAGGAAAAAGAGTAGCCCGTCTTCTGTTCGGTAGAAACAACGTCCTGGCGTGAACGTGGTTGAATCGGAGTTCGCGTTCTTCCACCTCTGCTCCCAGTAGGGCTCCTTCTGGTACGCTTCGGAAAACTCCTTCGCTTCCTCCGGCGCCATACGCAGTAGGATGGCTGGCTGCCGTTCGAACACTCCTTCGTACCCTTCTCCCGGCTTAAAGTCCTCCTCGTCGCTCGACTCGTCGTCCTCCTTCGGCTCGTTGTCTGGCTCGTGTTTGCCTTCCTCCTTACTTTCTGCTTCCTCTCCGTCCTCCTTCCGCTCGGTCTTGCTTAATTCCCCTTCTCCGGCCCCCCCGCGAGCTAGGCGACGAGCTGCCGCGCGGGTCATCGCCGCGTATGCGCTCGGCAGGCTCTCTAGACAGTCGGCTAGGTGGGCCGTCTCGAACATGCGCGCTGCGGGCGCCCGCATCGCCGCCTCTTCCCTAAGTTGCGCTGCCGCCTCGTCCGTCGATAGCGCGGGGCCGTCATGCCGTGCTGGTGAGGCGTGCGGAGGTGGGGCGCGCGGGATGCGACTCAGCGGGTCCACGTTGGAATGAACTCTTCCTGGCCGGTGTATGATCTCCAGACCTGGCTTGTAGGCCGAGTATACAGCCCCCCACGCTGCGAGGCGCCGGTTGCTGTTCTCGTAGGTCTTTGCCCACTGGAGCGCACTATGGTCTGTCACGAGCAATATCTTCTCGCCTTCGATGTAGGGTTGGAACTTTACGAGGCCTTCCTTGGCCGCCAGGGCTTCGCGTTCTGTCGTGCTGTATCTTGTCTCCGCTCCTTTGAACGTCCGTGACCAATAGGCAATGACGCGCTCCACGAACACTTCCGTGTCCTCGAAGGAGCTCTCCCACTTCTCGGCTACCCGCGCGTCGTTGCACTTGTCCGACAGCTTCGAGACCAGCCTGGGGGGAGGCCTGCCCGCCTCGTACGCTTCCCGTAGCTTGTCGTACAGTTTCGTGCCGGCTAAGTCCTTGATCTTGATCCCTTGTACTTGCTGAAGAGCGCAACCCAGCGCGTAGTCCGACGCGTCCGTATACAGTCGGTAAGGGTGCTTCTCTTGTGGGTGCCCCAGGACGGGGGCCCTCTGCAGAGCGGTCTTGGCTTGAAGGAACGCGTATTCTTCTTCTGGTTACGAGACCTGCTCGAGCTTGCGAGAGCTCTCGTTTTACCTGACCGGGATTCATCACCATCAGACGTCCAAGCGGCGCATCAAACTTATCTCCGAGACGATTTCTTCGAGTCTTCTCTTCATCTTCTTTGTGCATATATTGCTTGAGTAAAAATCAAGCATGTCTCCATGTGCAATAAGACTTTTATCCTGCGTTTTCAAAGCTATCCGGTACCTAGAAGCTGCGCTTCTGGCAGGACCTCAGCACGTGCGCTACCGGTCCGAATCTGCCTGCACAGCCACAATATTCGACAGGCCCTTGAAAGCTTGAAAAGCCACTGTCTCCGTGCACCTAAATAGAGGAGAGTATTTGTGCATACTCCTGAGGTACTCATTTACCCTCAACCAAAGTTTTACTCAACCCAAAAGCCTTCGTGAACTCCTGTACGTCCTCGGGAGTCGCCGCCCGACCTTCGGTGATCGGTCCGATCTATCCGCGTGCAGTCTTCGACCACCATCACCGCGGTCCTTCGTCCTTCCCCTCACCTCATTCTACCCTTACGCCGCCCATTTGTCTGACTGACGCGACCGGTGCAAGGAGGCAGGGAGAGGTGCGTGATTGCATCCCCTTCAGCTACAACGGTATCTGCTAACATTTGACACGCGTCTGCGATGACGCGCGGGCGCCCTCCCGGACGACATGGCGGCGCACGCAGGGCCATCGTCTCGGTTGCCTTGTCCTTGCCGCATCCGCCCTCAGGAGCTGTCCGAGGGTGGATGAAGACTGCCTGAGGCGCGGAGGGGCCACGGACAACTCCTTTATGATCTCCAGCCAGGCGCGCGACAGCCCCTCCCTCCCTTCCGCGACCCTGTGGCGTGCACCACCATCCCCATCCATCATCTCCTTCTCGTGCCGCACACGCAGACTATGGCCACCTCGCGCATAAGCAGTCTTCTGCGTGTAATATGCGGAGACGATATAAGTAAGGCGTGGTAGCGGGACTGTCGCGTCCTGGGCAGACATGCTGGGCGGCAATGGCGAATGTGTGCCGTCTATCCCTTCCTGCCCTATCCCCGCCCTCCACTGCGTCGGGAAACACCCCCGCCATTGACGATAGCGATGCCCTGCCCGCTCTTGCCCTCGCGTCTGTCTTCGCCTGCCATCGTTTCTCCTCTGCTTACATCGCGCGCCACGCCCTACCTCTCCTTTCGCGATTCGCACCTTCCCCTTCTCTAGCAGTGGGGATGATTACACCTCCCCCTCCCACCTCCTCGCTTCTGCGCACGGCACGCACGGCATACTGCCTCTCGCCTATCACTCCCCTCCTCCTCCTTGACTTGGCTGCCCCAGCGCTCGCTATGCAGCGCGTACCTGTCCTTCTGCCAAAAATTATCCTCCGCGACCCGTCCGGACGCGTACTCGACGAGCGAGGAGCCGATCGCCCCCGCGCGCGATGCGCGTCCCACGTGGTCTGCGTACGCCGCCGCACTTGCCAATACCTTTCCGTCCCCGTTTATCTCTCTCTCCTATCACTACCCGGGCCTCTATGCGCATACGACGCGTTGAGCATACTTGTTGCGCTGAGTCTTCACCAACCCCCAATCCAGAACAACCGTCCTTCACGACGCAGGTAAACGCGTTCACTACTCTCGAACTTCTTCCCTTCCCTTTTCCCTCAATATCTAGCTTACCCTCCCACTGGCTCTCGTAACTACACGATCCGCTGGGGTGGCGATAACTCTACAGATCCTTGTGAATCTGCACCGCATACCTTGGAAGTTCTTGTACGTATGTCACATGCTATTGCAAGAGCACCGTCAGCCAGCACCACGGTGCTTATTCCGGTTCAGCTTTTTCTGAGAACTGCCCACTCGCAGGTCTCGTACTTGCCGAACGGCCAGTTTACTAGTCCCCACTCCCACTGTACGTCCTTCCGAAGAAGTCGGTGTAGCGGCGTGCAGATGTCGGCGTAATACGGAATGAACGAGCTGAAGTATACCGTCATGCCGAGAAACGTGCGTAGTTCCGATACTTTCGTGGGTCGGGCCAGCTCGAGGACCGCCTTGACTTTCTCCAAGTGCGTAGAAAGTCCGAGTCGTGACACCCTGTGTCCGAGTAGGATGATCGAATCATAAAACAAGTGGCATTTGGAGGGCGAGAGAGTGATGCCGGATTCCTCTATCGCCCCCAGCACCTGATCTAGGTGGTCCAGGTGTTCCTCGAAAGACTTCGAATATACCACGATGTCGTCTATGTAGACCAACACGAAGAGCCATAAGTATGGCGCAAGGACAGATTGCATGACCCTTTGGAAGATGGAGGGTCCGTTCCGCAGCCCGAAAGGCATCCGCTTGAACTGGTACAGTCCTCGGTGGGTACGGAAGGCGGTCTTTTCCACGTCCTTCGGGTCCAGTTCCAGCTGCGTGAACCCTGACAGGGCGTCGAGCGATGAGAGGACCTGCGCTCCTGAGAGCGACGCCAGTATCTCCGATTGTCGCGGTATGGGAAATTCGTCCGGCACCGTCACCTCGTTCAACCTGCGATAATCCACGCAGAACCTCGCCTTGCCATTGCGGTAAGCTATTACTACGGGCGCGCTCCAAGGGCTTATTGAGGGTTCGATAACGCCTTGCTCGAACCAGACGTCTATTTGCTTGTCGATGATTTCCTTCTTCGCAGGAGAGGCGCCCCTCATTGGCTCAGCTATGGGTGTTTGATTCTCCTTCGTGCGGATGGTGGCCTTCGCGGGATAGTGTCCGAGGCGTCCGTCCAGCCCAAAGGCCTTCTTCCTCCTTTCCAGCATCCGCCAGGCCCGGTCCTTGAGCGCCTCCGGCAGCGCTCCCACGTCGAGGACGTTGCGGAATTCCTGACTCGAGATCGGGTCGGCGTCAGGCATAGCAGCGGTTTTCGGCCCATATTCATCTTCACGGTCATTCTCTTCGCGACTCTCCTCGCTGGCGGTTGGGGGATGCACCCAAGCGCCGTAGGCGTCCGCACTCGGCATGTGGAATCGGCTGCGCGCGGGTTCCTGTCCAGCAGCCCAGGCGCCGTAGTTCTGGGCATGGGGCATCGGCGTGCTCCCCTTCCCCTTCGTTGGCTTTCGAGCCCTTGCCGCGCACAGTTTGGTCATTGCGTTGGCGTGGTTTTGCATCTTGCGTAGCCGGTCTGAGGTGCCTGGCTTGTCAAAGTACTCCTCCACGCGCACTACGCGTCCGAGTGTCTCTCCCTTTCGCACGATCCTGGGGGTATCGGACGGGTTGGCTAGGGGAACGTACGGAGCCGTTGACGAGATCAATGTATTTGGGACCGTCAGGAAGCGGTCGTCTGCCGACGACAGGAGCAACTTCTCCACTACCCACTCGCCCGGCGCATCGAATGGGCCCGTAACCTTCGTCTTGACGCACGAATGCGGTGGTAGCCGCACTTCCTCGGCTGCTAGTATCAACGAGTCTGTCCACTCGGCTTTCCTCTTCATCGTGCGTAGCTTCTGCTTCGCTCTGGTCTTGAAGCTACCTCGCGCGATTTTTGTCAGGGGACTTGTGGATTGTTCCTATTTGCTTGTGTTTGGACGTGGAATGATTCTATTTGTACTTATTGATTTCCTTTTCTTTTTCCTCTATCACATGACCGTGACCGCAGTAGTTATGGGCGTCACACGCAGAGGTGCACCTTAGACTTGTTTTCTTTGGTTCTCCCCTCTGCAGGTGCGCCCCTTCTCAGATGTATTATATAGGATATTTATCTTTGGTTCTCCCCTCTGCAGTTGTGTGCGCCTCTGGGAGCGCCACGCCTTAGGGTTGCCCTTACAGCAAAACAAGTCTATCTAAGAGACCGAGCCGCCGATCACCATTGCGACCTTCAGAGCACCATCCGGCTTATCAGACAGCACCTCTGGGAGTGCTCCTGCTTCGCCTACCCCTGGATCGCCCGGATCGCAACAGATCGCGCCTCCCTCTCTCTGCGAGCGTCTCCCCCACGGATTTGACCTATCCGATCGAAAATTTGTCCACTTCACCAACGAGGACGACTACGAAAACTGCGACGAGCAGCCCTGCCCCCACTTCCGCTCGTCATCTATCCCTTGTCCTCGCATCACCGAAGAAGAAGACAACGAGACCCCTACTCTTATTATCCCCACCGTCACCCGATATTTCCCGATCCTCGTCCCTTCCCACGTGTCTACACCCCGGTCCTTTGCTCGCACCCAGTCTCCCCTCGACATGTCGCACCACGACATGGAGACCAACATCGAGGACGGCTTCGCCGACCAGCCTGAGGAGCAGCCGACCATGCAGCAGCGGCTGGCGCTGATGGAGCAGTCGATACAGCAGCAGCAGACGCTCACCTATCAGATGACCCAGCTGCTGTTGGCAATGGCGAACCGCTCGTCCTCCGGTCACAAGCCGTTGGCCAAGGTCAACCCTCCGCCTACCTTTGACGGTAACCGCGCGAACGGCCGCGCCTTCCTGGACGCTGCGGAGGTCTATGTCGGATCCATGGAGTTGTACTGGCAGCTGATGCTGTAAATAAGTTTCAAATCCAAACCAAGAACTTGCGTAATCCGGTTTGAAATCTACGCGACGTGATCACGGGCCCGGCAAAAGCCGAACTCGCCCGCCCTCTGCGCCAGCCGCCGGCCCCGGGCGATGCCCTAATAGGGCACCGACGCCATGATGCGCGCCGCGCGCGCGTCGGGCGGCTCGCGTGACACGCGTCACCCCGCGGACACGTCACGCGCGCCCCGCCCCGCGCGTCGGGGGCGTGCCGTGTGCCGTCGCGACGCCGCGTATTGCGCGTAGACCAGCAGCAAATGAAGAGAATATGTATATAATGTATGTATATGTACGAGAAATGAGGTGGGGAGGGGAGGAAAACGAGAAAAACGCGAAAAAAGCGCGGGCGAAAATTTTCGCCCGCGATCGACGCGCTCCTGCTGCTCGCGCAGCGCGCGGGAGCGCGTCGAGATGAAGGGGGAGGGTAGAGAGATGTCCCCCCAAGCTACGGGCGCCCTTCCGCGTCGAGGGACGCGTCCGCGGCGGCACGTAGCATGCAGGGGAAGGGGGGAGGGGGAGGGTGGGGCATGGCTGCGCGTTCCCGCCGCTTCTGCACCTTCGAGAGGCGTAGATGCAGAGCGGGGGAAAGCGTTCCACGCAATTAGCCCTCTCTGTTGAGAGAGAGGGCAGCGCATGATCATCTAACGCGTCGAGGGGGCAACGCCGCTGGCAGCCGCCCCGCGCGGTCGGCCTAGCCGATCGCAGCTGCGCTCCGATGCAGCGCACCGAGAGCGAGCCTCGGCAGCGCAATACGCGTCGCCAGCGGTGCGTAAAATCGCCACAAAGGCGATTCTATGCGAGCGAGGGGTGGGGGTGGGAGGGCTGGGAGGGTATGATGTACTACCCCACCTGCACGCGTCAAGCAAGCAGGTGGGGGCGTAGCGGCTAGAAAAGCCTTGGGAGGCGTCCTAGGGCGCATAACATGCCCTAGGCGAACCCCCCGCGCCCTCGTGGGCGGTCTGAGGGGGCGGATGGCGGGAAGGGGCAGCATTTGCCCCGTTCTCCTCTTCGTTGCGCAGGTCGCGCGCCTGGTCTCACGCCTCCCCAAGCGTCATAGCAGTGATAAGTTAGTAAAATATCGATTAGCGGGGCGTATACACGCACCCATTTCCCCCCCTCCTCGCACGCCTGTTGGATTGGCGTCATCTAGCGCTGTTTGCTATCTTGTGTGGTGCTGCCGTTGTGTCAAGCGCTCAGCGCCGATAGTCGAGGTAAAATGGAGGAGAGGAAGCGAGGGAGGGGTGTCCAGAGGCGGCGGGGGGACGAGGGGATGGGGAGATGGTGGTTGAAGACAAGGCGACGCGCGGGCAGACGCGTCGGATGAGCGGGCCGGATGCTCGGCCCGATGCCCGAGCTTCGTCGTCGTCGAGCTCGACGGCCTCGGGTGCACGCCGTGGGCATTCTAAGAGCATACTAAGTCCTCATTATATTGATAGATATATGCTGTAATAGGTCTAGAAATTTTGGGACCATACGGACGCCAGCAACCAATCGAACTTGACTTCATGGGTTACACTCTCGAAGTACTGTACATTCCACCCCCGATTGTGCGCGTCCGCACCCTTTCCTCATTCTCTCTCGCTTGAAACTTACTCGATCTGCGTCGAACTATCTGCAATGCAAAGGGGGAAGCTTAGATTACCTTATCTGGTAGATACACAATTGTCATAAGCTTTAGATACTTCGCTCAATCGAAAACATCCCATCTGAGCGCCCTCAACGAGATGCGGCCCTTTGAGGGTGTTCACATGGTCCCTCTCCCGCCATAGTCCATGATTACAGGTAAACATAATCAATTGTATCTTCTACATTATTTCTCGAGCTCAAATGCTCTTGCGGCATGCCACAGACGCTGCCAAAAGGGCCGGAGGGCCGTGCGGTCCCGAGGAACAAGGCTCACGGTCCCGAGGAACATCGCAACTTGCAATCACCATCGTCCTTGCTCACGACCGCCACCACACGCGAACCTCCCTCCCCCTCCCCCCCATAGTTCTGCATCTTTCTGCTCCCTTCCCGTCACACGCCAATCCATGGGAACGCGACAAAACACCTTATTTCTGAAAACTCACGAATATCGCGCGTAGCATAGCGACGCAGCCAGCGGAGACGCCAAGGAAGGGGGTGTGGGTGCGTGAATGCGCCTGCCACGCTCTCATTGACTGACATTGGCTTTTATGCGATGAATGAGGGGAGGGTGTGTGGGCAGCAGGCAACAGCGCCGCACCCCTCCTCTGCCCGTGCCCTCGGCCATCGTCCTCGGCCTTGGGACCTTGCTGGCGGCGCTTCATGCGTCAGAAACACATTCCGGAAGAGTGCCCGCCGGCGTGGAAGCTGGTCCGCGCGTGGTCGCATGCCCAGCGCCACCGCCCCTCCCCCCGCCCCCCCTCGTCTCCCTCGCTCACATCACCCCCCATACCCCATTCTCGCGTACAAGGGCAGTGCTACACCCGTAGGCATGCACAATTGCGACTCTGCCGCTCGCGTGGCTCAGTCTATGCGTGGTGGTGGGCTCAATGCACCCCTCCCCATTCCCCTCCCCATTCCCCTCCCCATTCCCCTCCCCATTCCCCCTTCCCCCGCATGCTACGTGCCGCCGCGGACGCGTCCCTCGACGCGGAAGGGCGCCCGTAGCTTGGGGGGACATCTCTCTACCCTCCCCCTTCATCTCGACGCGCTCCCGCGCGCTGCGCGAGCAGCAGGAGCGCGTCGATCGCGGGCGAAAATTTTCGCCCGCGCTTTTTTCGCGTTTTTCTCGTTTTCCTCCCCTCCCCACCTCATTTCTCGTACATATACATACATTATATACATATTCTCTTCATTTGCTGCTGGTCTACGCGCGATACGCGGCGTCGCGACGGCACACGGCACGCCCCCGACGCGCGGGGCGGGGCGCGCGTGACGTGTCCGCGGGGTGACGCGTGTCACGCGAGCCGCCCGACGCGCGGGGCGGGGCGCGCGTGACGTGTCCGCGGGGTGACGCGTGTCACGCGAGCCGCCCGACGCGCGCGCGGCGCGCATCATGGCGTCGGTGCCCTATTAGGGCATCGCCCGGGGCCGGCGGCTGGCGCAGAGGGCGGGCGAGTTCGGCTTTTGCCGGGCCCGTGATCACGTCGCGTAGATTTCAAACCGGATTACGCAAGTTCTCGGTTTGGATTTGAAACCAATCTACTGCACAAGGTGGTACTGGCAGGACGACCAGGAGAAGATCAGGACGATCTGCACCTACCTCCGCGGCAGCGACGCTGTCCAGCGCTTTGCCTCCCAGACGATGAAGCATCCCCAGAACAACGGCGGCACCCCCCGCTTCGCCAACTGGGCCGCCTTCGTCAAGAAGTTCGAGGAGGAGTTCGTCATCCTCAACGACAAGAAGCAGGCGCGCACTCTCCTCCGAGGCACGTCCTACTTCCAGGGTAGCGACTCCGTTGACACGTACGTCGCCCGCTTCCTCAAGCTCTCTGAGCGCGCCGGGCACGTCGACGCCAACGACAAACCCCTCACGAACCTCGAGGAGATCGTCACCACCAACTTCCGTCGTGGCCTCAACCTCAAGATCGAGGAGACTATCTCCCTCGCTCCTGCTGGTCCCAACGACGAGAACTTGGCGGAGTGGATCAAGCAGGCCCGCACCCAGGAGGTGACGCGCGACGAGCACAAGTCCTTCCACCAGTCCATGCGCGTGCCCGTTGCCCCCAGCCGTGCGCCTTTTGCCCCTCGCGCGCCGGTCCCCTTTGTGCGCCCCGCTCCCGCGCCTGCGCCCGCTCCCGCGCCGCGCCCTGCCCCTGCTGAGCGCCCCCTCCCTCCGGGTATCCCAATGGACGTCGATGCAACGCGCCGCCGCCGTGCCGCTGCGCTCGCCACCGTCACCTGTCGCCGCTGCGGCCGTACCGGCCATCTCTCCTACAACTGCCCGCAGCCGGCCGACGTCCACGTCCTGGATGAGGACTGGGTACTCTCAGTGGACCATGCCGAGGAGGTCGCCGCGTTCCACGCCGCGCACTCGGATATCGTGGAGCAGGAGGCTCGTGCCGCCGCGATGGAGGATTTCGGCAACGGTCGCGAGTGAGCGGTACGCCCTCACGACCGTTTGGTAACTACTTTGCGCCCCTCATGTACTTAGACGACAATATGCATATCTCTTCCCTCTCTTGTCGTCCGAGCGCAAAGATAGAACCATCCACCGTACCTCCTTCGCCGCCGCCAGTGGCACCACCCTCGCCGCCGGAGGCACCTCGAGTTAAGCTCACAAAGCTCGAGCGCCGCCTTCCGCGCCGACTGGTAGTCAACGCCACCGAGTCCTCCCCCACGTCGCTCCGCATACGCGTCGAGCTTCAGTCAGTTATCGACCAGCGTAAGGTGTCCACCCAAGCGCTTGTTGATTCCGGCGCCACCAGCCTTGGCTATGCCGATGCGGACTTTGTTGCCCAGAATGGCATCCCCACCACGCGCTTACAGCGCCCGATACCTGTCTTCAATGTTGATGGTTCGCCCAACGAGAATGGCAGTATCAACGCAGTGGTAGATGTTGTTCTCGGCCATGAAGGTCACTCGGAACGTGTTGTGCTTGCCGTCACCAAGCTAGGGAAACAGTCGCTCATCCTCGGGCATGGGTGGCTGAAGTACCACAACCCCGAGATCGACTGGAAGTCCGGCAGGCTCAAGCTCACCCGCTGCCCGTCCCAATGTGGCAAGTGCAAGGCCGAGGAGAGGAGTGAAATCCAAACCCTTCGTGCTGAGCGCAAGCGGGAAGCTCGTGACCGTCAAGCCTGTCAGGAAGGCCCAGACCCACGAGTTGTTGAGCTTGAAGAAGAGGAAGTAGACGATGTCCAACCTGAGGACATATTTGGCTGCGATAGTCCAGATGATTTCCCTGACGCTCCTGAGGTTGAGGACGGTGATCGTGTATTCGTGACCCACCTCTGGCCTCACGAGGAATTCAACCGCGCCACGTCTACAGCCTCTCAACGCCTTGCAGAAGCGGCAGCCAAGCATGCGCCTCGCAACGTCAAGGACGCCCTGCCGGAACACTTCTATGATTACATGGATGTGTTCTCTAAGGAGTCCTTCGACGTCCTTCCCGACCGGAAGCCATGGGACCACGCGATCGAACTCATCCCAGATGCCAAACCGGTTTCCTGCAAAGTCTACCCGGTCTCACCGGCCGAGCAGAAACCGCTGGATGAGTTCATCGAGGAGAACCTGCGCACCGGTCGCATACGCCCGTCCAAATCGCCGATGGCTTCGCCTGTATTCTTCGTCAAGAAGAAAGACGGGAGTCTGAGGTTGGTACAGGACTATCGCGCGCTTAACAGCATGACGGTCAAGAACCGTTACCCCTTGCCGTTGATCAATGACCTTGTCAACCGGCTCAAGGGAGCGCGATATTTTACGAAGTTAGACGTGCGTTGGGGGTTCAACAACGTGCGCATTCGTGAGGGCGATGAATGGAAGGCAGCTTTCCGCACAAATCGCAGCCTGTTCGAGCCCCTGGTCATGTTCTTTGGCCTGACGAACAGCCCCGCAACGTTCCAGACAATGATGAACGACATCCTCCACGATCTGATCATGGAGGGCGTTGTCTCAGTCTACCTTGACGACATCCTTATCTACACCAAGACGCGCGAAGAACATCGCCGTGTCACGAGGATGGTCTTGGAACGTCTGCGGGAGTACCGCCTCTACCTTCGTGCGGACAAGTGCGAGCTTGAGAAGGAACGGATTGAGTACTTTGGTGTGATCATCTCTCATAATCATGTCGAGATGGACCCGGTGAAGGTCTCCGGCGTTGCCGAGTGGCCGGAACCGAAGAACAAGAAGGAGGTGTCTGCCTTTTTGGGCTTCACCAATTTCTACCGACGGTTCATCGAGGGATTTTCGCACCTGGCTCGACCCCTGTTCGATCTCACGCGCAAGGATGCCCCTTTCCAGTGGACGACGGAAGCGCAGGAGGCCTTCGACAGCCTGAAGCAGCGCATTACGTCGTCCCCCATCCTAGCTCTCCCAGATGACCTCCGACCCTTTAGGGTCGAGGCAGACAGCTCTGACTACGCCACGGGCGCGGTGTTGTCTCAGCAGTCGGGCAAGGATGGTAAGTGGCATCCGGTGGCCTTTTACTCCAAGTCTCTGTCCCCCGTGGAACGGAACTATGAGATCCATGACAAGGAGCTGCTGGCGATCATCCAAGCGCTCGAGGAGTGGCAACACTTCCTCGAAGGCGCCCAGCACCCTGTCGAGATCTGGTCCGACCACCAGAACTTGGAGTACTTCCGCACAGCTCGCAAGCTCAACCGCCGCCAGGCGCGTTGGTCGCTCTACCTATCGAGGTTCGACTACACCCTCCACCACCGTCCGGGCAAGTCAATGGGCAAACCGGACGCTCTGTCCCGGCGAGCAGACCATGACGACGGGACCGGCGATAATGACAATGTCATCCTGCTGAAGCCAGAGACCTTCGTGGTGGCGGCTCTTAGCGGACTGGCAGTCGCCGGGGAGGAGGTGGACATCATCAAGGACATCAAGTCCTCCCTTGATATGGATGACCTGGATGAGCCTGCGATGCGAGCTGTACGGGAGCTGCGCAAGTCGAGCACCCGTTCTGTGCGAAGCGCTGAGTGGGACCAGCGTGACGGGTTGCTGTACTTCAGAGGTAAGGTCTACGTCCCTCCGACGCATGACCTTCGTCGCCGGATAGTTGCGCAGCATCATGACAGCTGGGTCACGGGCCACAAGGGGCGGTTCAAGACCCTTGAGCTTGTCTCACGCAACTACTGGTGGCCGCAGATGTCTCGGTACATTGGCCTGTACACGAAGACCTGCGACCTCTGCCTGCGCACCAAGGTTCGCCGCCATCTGCCTGTTGGGGAGCTGAAGCCGACCGAGACACCTACCGAGCCCTGGCAAGGTATCTCTGTCGACTTCATCACAGAGCTTCCCGAAGCTCATGGGTACGATGCGTTGATGGTGGTAGTGTGCCGCTTTGGGAAGCGTGGACACTTCATCCCTTGCCACACCACCATCAATGCGGAAGGGGCTGCACGCCTCTTCCTACGCGAAGTATGGAAGCACCATGGTCTCCCAGACGATTGTATCTCGGACCGCGGCCCACAGTTCGTCTCTGCCTTCATGCGCGAACTGTACCGCCTCCTTGGTATCAAGATCAGTGCATCCACCGCGTATCACCCACAGACAGACGGCCAGACGGAGAGAGTCAACGCGGAGCTCGAGGGCTACCTGCGCCTCTTCGTCAGCGAACGCCAGGATGACTGGGATGAGCTCATCCCCATGGGCGAGTTTGCTTACAATAATGCGGTACACAGTTCGACTCAGACAACTCCCTTCCTCATCGACACAGGCCAGCACCCTCGCATGGGCTTCGAGCCCCACCGCCGTGCCGAAATCGAGGACGTCAACAAGTTTGTCGACCGCATGCGAACCGCCTACGAGGAGGCCAAGGCAGCTATCACCAAGGCGAAGGACGAATACGCACGCTACTACGACCGGCATCACACACCCGCCCCAGTGCTTAAGCCTGGAGACAAGGTGTTGCTTGACAGCTCTGATATACGCACTCGCGTGTCAAAGAAGTTAGGCCACCTATGGTGGGGACCCTTTGAGGTCGAAGCCGCCGTTGGATCGCACGCGTATCGCCTGAAGCTGCCAACCTGGATGAACCGCGTCCACCCAGTCTTCCCGGTGGTCAAGCTCGACCCTGTTGGGCCTGACCCCATTGCCGGGCGTGTACCGCCACCGCCACCAGAGCCGGAGGTCATCGATGATGAGCAGGAGTGGGAGGTACAGGAGATTGTGGACAGCAAGTGGTATCGCGGTGCGCTGAAGTTCAAGATCTGGTTCAAGGGCTTCCCGCGCACTGAAGCAGAATGGCTACTGGCGCACGATGCTGACAACGCTCTTGACAAGGTCCGCGACTTCTATCGCCTTCACCCTAAGGCTGAAGGTCGCGACCTCTGGTTCAAAGCCCACCCCGCCGACCCCCATCCTGCCATTCGTCGCCTCTCTGCCTCCTCATTCTCCGCCCTTTGCTGCTCCACCGGTTGGGCCCGCCCTGGTGTCGCAGACGCTGCCACTACGTGGCGCTCGCAGCGTCGGGACGCCGCTGCCTAGAGAGGGGGTGATGTCAGGGGACTTGTGGATTGTTCCTATTTGCTTGTGTTTGGACGTGGAATGATTCTATTTGTACTTATTGATTTCCTTTTCTTTTTCCTCTATCACATGACCGTGACCGCAGTAGTTATGGGCGTCACACGCAGAGGTGCACCTTAGACTTGTTTTCTTTGGTTCTCCCCTCTGCAGGTGCGCCCCTTCTCAGATGTATTATATAAGATATTTATCTTTGGTTCTCCCCTCTGCAGTTGTGTGCGCCTCTGGGAGCGCCACGCCTTAGGGTTGCCCTTACAATTTTCTCGGCTGGAATCTCGCCCAGGAAAGACTTGGCGATGCGGTCGTAGTCTTTCGTCCTCCTCACGGGGGTAGCCGATATAGGGTGGTCCGGCGCTCCCCCAAAGGTAAGCGTTGTTGAGCTGCTTCCGTCGATCTCGAGTGTTCGGGTGACCGAAAGCTCGTACGCCTGCTGAAAGTCTTCACCCAGCAGCACCGGAACGGTCATGCCTTCCACTATCTGGACCTCGCACTCCGCTTCCAGTACGGTTCCGTCGTTCGCGAATATTTGGAAGGACAGTCGAACCTTGCCTCGCACCGGCGCTTTTCTCGACGTGAGTTGCATCAGCTGGGATCCCTCGTCCGTGCGTAGCGGAGGAGGGCTAATAAGGCCGCGATAGTGATTCAGCGAGACTAATGTCACGCTCGCGCCTGAATCCACGCGCAGGTTGATCTCCATGTCCAGGGCGGAGCCCACTCGTCCCCGTACGCTCAGGACGGATGTGTTACCGTCGGGTATCCGTTGTGGTCCCCGTTGGGGAACTAACTTCAGTTTCTCAGGCTCGTACGGCTTAACGGCGAGGAGAGCCTCGTCCAACGAACCCGTCTCTCCGTCCGGCGTCTCCTCCCGGTTAGACGCCAGGTTGATCTCCTCTCTCATGCCCCGCCCCTCCAACTCGCTTACTCCTGCATTGTCTTCCACCACGCACTCCAGGTCGTACAACGAGTCGATGGGTAAACACTCTCCATTGTGCCAGTACTCCTCGGTGATCTCCTCTATCCTGGATACAAATGGCGGAACCTCCGTTACGAAGACCTCCTCCTCCTCGAGCGTAGGTTCCTCGCCGTCCTCCTGGGTCTTACTCCCTCCCTGCCCGCTTGCCGCGGAAGGTCGAGACGCCCCGTCAAAACCCTGCTCTACCACCAAGACGTAGGCCGTGTCGTACGCCAAGTCCTCCGCCGTCTCCGCGCTCATGCCCGTCTCCCGACGTCGTCGCTCGTAATCTTCCCAATGCGGGCAGTCCTTGTTCCAATGGTTCGGACTGCCGCATGCGAAGCAGGGCCCCGGAGGGGGCTTCTTGCCCTTGGACTTCACGTCGTGTCGAGCGGGGAATGGGTACGACGTGACCGCGGCGGCTCTTTTCGCCGCGACAGCGTAGGCGACCGCCAGTAGGTCTCTTGAGGAGGCGTCTGGGGAGGCTCCTTCACCGGATAGTGGCGGGTCGTCCTCAGCCTCGGAGGAGGACGCGACTTCCACGTCGAAAGCCTGCGGGGTGCTCTTGACGGCTCCGCTGGACGTCCTCCACGTAGTCTTCGGCGTGGTTCTGTCCCCTGAGCCTTCCAGCTTCCGGTCCCTATGATACGCCAAGAGGAGATCCTCCGAGTGCTCGATGACTCGCGCTAGGAGTTCGTCCGTGGTCCGTACTGAGGTGAAGTTGAGCATGAGCTTCCATCCCTTGGGAGCCACGTCCATGATGAGCTTCGCTTCCTGGCGCGAGTTCTCCGAGGCGTAGTCCAGCGACCAACAGTACATGATCCGCCGGTAGACGAAGTCCTGTGGGCTTTCCCTCGGGTTCTTGGTGTCGCGGAAATGCTGCATGCGGAACTCGGAGGACAGAGCGCTAATCCAGGCGGGCCCTAGGTAGTGCCGTCGAATGGCGGAGATATAATGGCGGTGGCTCTGCCGCATGTGGTCTTTCCGCGTCTCGCTCAACGTCATGTACCACCACTGAATTGGCGAGTTAGCGACCAAGCGGGACCACAACCACTCGCCTAGAGCTTGGGGCATACGCCCTCCTTGACGGGCTAATTCCACTATATTCCAGAAATACACCATGACGGTGTTGCGATTCCCGTCCCACGAGGGAAGGCTCTCAGGCTTGATGAGGGGGTTGATGCCCGCGACAGGTGTTCTCGCCGCTCCTGTGGAGTTTGGCCCTTCCCCGGGCGGTTCGTCACCTCCTCCTCCTCCTTTCTTCCTCCCTCGTTCCTTCTCCTCTTTCCTCTTCTTCTCCCTTCTCCTAGGCTTCTTCCCCCACGAGCCGCCGCCATCCGATGACGAATCGTCTGGGTCCGAAGGCGGAGGATCTTCTTCCTCGATGGGCTGGAGGCGCATTTCGTGGAAGGCCGACCGTCTGGCCTTGCGGTGGCGTCGTCCTTTATCGCTTCGCCCTTTGCTAGATGACGACGAGCTCGCCGACGAATCCGAGGTGGACGAGTGACCTGAGCGTCGCGGCCGCCTCGTCGGGCTCGCCCTTGATGACGACGAGGTCGAGGAGGACGAAGACACCGAAGGCGTGCGCCGAGGAGGTCGAGGCGGAACTGGGGGTGGCCGTGCTGGCGAGGGGGGAGGTTCCTCCCCCCGGTGGCCGCTCGATCCTTCCTCCTGGCTCCTCTTAGGAGATTCCACGGGCGAGTAACCCAGCGGGTTCTCGTACGTAGTCTTGGGGGGGATAGCTCGGAGGCGGTTGCGCTCGTCGTAGTATAGGAGTTTGGGGTTAGCTTCGGGTTCGCGCGGCGGGAAGGACTCCTCCACTGCGGGGGGCACGACGATCATCCTTCGCACATCCGTGCCCAGGTAGGCGCCCGTTCGACGGCCTTCCGCTCGCTCTTCGGGGGTCGGGCGCGAATTCGGTAAACCTCCTAACGCCAAGCGCAGTCTTCTATGTGGTTCGTCTTCTGCTTCTATTTCCCGGTAGATGGTCGATGGAGTGGTAGCTGGTTGCGAGACCAGGTCCACGTGTCTCGCCCCTTGCTCCTTGAGGGCCTCCACGTAGTACTTGTTGTAGACCTGTTGCGCGCCCATGAGGCGTCCAGTCAAGCCTACCCAGGCCAGTTGCAGCTCCTCGAGGGAGGCGGCGTTCAACAGGATATCCCGGAAGGTATTCTTTGGATCGATTTGGTAGGTGTGCGTCCTCTCCGGCAAGTACGCCGCTAGGGAGTTGAGCACCAGCTGCATCTTGTTCACCGTGTCGAACACCGGCTTGGTCAGGGCGTACTTGATGGCGTATCGTGGTTCCTCGTCCTGCAAGCCTCTTCCACAGTCGACGATGTCCGTAACTGCAAGCTCTTGTTGCAGCGCGTATTTGCGGACTCGCCCCTTCAGAGAACGGAGCTCGGGAGGGAGGAGAGGGTCGGCTTGCGACATTTCATCTTCGTACGCGACGCGGATGGTCTCCAACCGGCTGCGCCCTACTTGGGTGGGCGTAGGCGACGGTTCGCGGGGAGGTAGGTTATCTTCCTCGCCGCGCGCTTGTCGCTCGGCCTCTTCAGCTTCGGCGGCAGAGCCGGCAAGGGATGGAGGTGTGTTAGTCATGCTTAGATCGAACTGAATGTCGAACAGGGAGGGAAGTTCGAAGGCTGGTTCGGCGGGGAAGTGTTCAAGGTTGATCGAGGCCGAGTCCGATATAGGCGTCAATGGGGATTCTGAAGAGCTTCGGTGGTGTAGGAGGGATAGACGTGGTATCCGACTCGGCAGCGGCGCGGAGGCAGCCCGTTGTTGGCGTCGTCCCGAGTCGATAGGAGATCCTGAGTACTCGGCCGTCTGCTGGCGCAGGCGACGGCTCCTCCGCGTTTCGAAAGGATACAGGTTGGGCTAGCGAGATGCGCTCACGAGATCCCACAGTGTCCACTTTGCGGTGACTGCCGACCGCGTGGGGATGCTTGTGAGCGGGAGGTAGGACGCGAAGTGGTTCTCTATCGAGAACAGGCTCGCAACGCTTCGACTCCGAAGCGGGCGGCACCCGAGCAGACGCGAATCCGCGTCTGCGATCTGATAGAGGTTGACCTCTTCGCACCCAAGGCCCCTGCTCGAAGCGTCGTCGACGTCGAGTAGGGCTGTAGAGGTTGCGTGAAGAAAGGTAGCGTATATTCCTGGAGGGCGGCCGATCAGCGCCGCCCTCGCCACGTGCGTAAGTACGATATCTAAGGCGCGCGGCGCCGTATGTGCTAGTCGTAACGAGTTCAAGCCCCCGAGTACGTAGTAAGTGTCATGCAGGTCGTAAAGGTAAGTAAAAGGTAAGTAAACGAAAAAGAGCCCCCCTGGGTCCGAGCCGCGTTGCGGGGGAAGAGTCCATGCCAGTCCATCCCATCCTCCTCACACCTTCCTTCGCTTCTTCTACTTGCTTCAACCGCGTGTACGCAGCTACTTCTCCCCGAATCAGGCTCTATTCGAGAGTATCTGGGCCAAGAGCGGTCTGGCCGACGTTAAGCCGCGCCCTCCCCTCTTTGATGGGACTTCGTACGAGAATGGTGTGTCTTCACACGAATTCAATGCCCCGTGCTCATTGCCCGCGTAGTGTTCAAGGGCTATGTTGTTAGCTACGCCAACGAGGCTATCAAGGTCGATGTAGGTGGTCAACAATGGGCGTTGATACCACCGCTGAAGGGGCGTCGCCAGGGCTTCGACATCCTGAGCGGTACTGTGTCCTGCGTTCAGGACGCGACTCAGGATACAAGCTCTTTGTCACTGTCGCTGACCAACGTCGGGTCGCTTCCTCGACAAGGCCGTGTTCTTCGAGTAAGTTCCCACAGTCTACTATCGAGGCTGATTGCTGATCGATATATCAATGCTTGCCTCCTTCTCGAATAGCCCTCAGACTGGTTTAACCTACGTAAGTGTCTTGGGAGAGATTTAGGAACGATCTGACATTGCGCGTCGTAGGATGACGTCCCGAAGGGCGTAACGGTCAGGTCCGTCGTCCTTTAAGGCTCGTGCTGCCCTGGCGGGGTCGACGGGCTGTCGACCTTGCGAAATACGTTCCCTGGTATTCACAACATGTAATCGGTAGATTCAGTAGTGCGTATATCGAGTTAGCATTCTGGCAATCTCCTAACGGCGTACGGGGCGACGTGTGAGTTCGTTCAGTGTTCTTTCTGCCCTGAGCTCGTGTGCGATTGCTAAAACGCGATAAATGGCGGTTCTAGGCAGTGGAAGTCTGTGAAGTGTACTCAATGGAACCGCGAGGATGGCTTGGCTCAGGCTGCTTCCTACAGCCACCGACCCAATCCAACGTACGGGAACTTCCTGAAGGAACACACTCCAATCTTGGCGGATGATTCCTGGAATGTCATTGCCTTGTGGACTGCCCATTCACCTTACTCCCTTCCATCGAGTGTCTGTGAACTCGTTGACAGTGGCTGACTCAAGGAACAAATATAGTGCAGACTTGGCGCAGGCTGGAACTCATGCACTCAGTTATCTGTCCTAGATCTCGACGAGAAGGCATTGGCGATTGCCGAGAGAAGACTCGTCGCGTTAGAGACAGGCGAAATCCGAGAAGCTGTAGCTGCGAACCCAGACTCGAGGCAGAGGGGAGGTCCCTGTATGGAAGTTGGAGGCTTCTCCCGCCTAATGAAGTTCGGTAGTGAGACGAGCACGAGCACACCGGAGTCGCACGAATGCTGCGGAAATGAACAGATGAAGGCCGTGGTGATGGCTGCGCTTGCATAGGCCCGTATGACACCCATCGCACGGGTGGCTCATGTTCACCTCGCAATAGACAGTGCTTTCCCGCCGGACGTTGAGACCCCCGGCGAGTCGTTCGTGTGCAAGAAATATGCAGGGTTTCTTGCGCAGGAACCGCAGTGCTGTCGGCTTCCTCTATTCGCAGGATAGAGCGTCAGCTGCAGCATACTTCTGAACCGAAGAAAGTCGTATCCTTCTGCTTGAACTTGAAGACGACGCTAAGCCCGAACTTCAACCTGTCACATGTGACCATTGTACTTTCGGAAATCCACACGCTGCGGTTCGTACCTCTTCAACTCGAACCAGGTCCTGACACCTTGTTCCCCACAAAGCTCGAGCGCTCCCGTGAGAACTGGCGATCGATGGACCATCATGGGGCCGAATTGGGTGTGTACGCGCATCTTACCGATGGCCTCGACCAATTCCTCAGCACTTTGAACGGAACGTGCAGATTCACAGCGATAGCGTCCGGCTGAGTGCAGGACGCCGCCTTCATATCAACTTCTTGCAAGAAGAAGGGCTCTTCCGTGGGATACAAGCTGCGCTCGTTCCTACCGCCGATACCGCCTTGGCCTCGAGGGCGACGAAGCCCATGAGCGTGGTCCGCACTTCACCCGCTTTTGCCTCCTCGTCCTGTGAATCGCGTTTGCATGCTGTCCTCGAAGGAAAATATATATAAGTAAAAGGCTGCTTCTGTGGAATGTCCTATTTCCCGCCCCCCAAGATGGATTCCCTCGACGACGCAATTGCGACAGATGGGCAGAACACGCCCACCATTACTGGTCCGCAGAGGACGTACCCCACGTTTACTCATGGCTAACGATGGCAGTTCCTAATGAACCCGAACCCGTTTTGCAAACAATGGTCATCGACCCCGATGATCCCATCGGCGGGTTGATGACCGGAATCGACGGCCTTACGAAGATTTTTCAAGAACGCAATCCATCGTCCTGGCAGACGGGGTAGTAAGTGTTCGAACTCTATCGCCAAAGCGGGTTGCTAAGAGTCGGTCAGCCCCGTCTTACAGTTCCTCGCGCGATCGAGAGCGCCTGCCTGCAAGCTTGGGGCGCTCGAGGACTTGCGGGAACCTGTTCAGTCCGTGATAGCAATGGGCGCAGCTATAGACGGTCTCTGGGGGGTGATGTGGAGGTGCTTGCCGCACTCGTCCCATGATCGGGCCCACGCAGCTTCGTTGCAGCGTACGTCATGCGCCGATGCCCGTCCAGGCCCCCCAACTAACAGTCATATTCTTGTTCAGCAGTGCGAAGGACCACGATTCATCTCGGGGAAATAATCGCCGACACGCCAACTATCCCAGGCCGCGACATCGTCCTCAGCAGACTTTCTCTTCGATCTTTTCATCGAGGTAACGTCCCACTGCTTCTCAAGCTGCCCAAAGCTAAGCCTCGCCATAGGTCCGAGCTTTACCCAGACCGCCGTGCCGGATACACGGACGTTGTTTCTGATGGCCGCCATGAACGCCCATCTCCTGCACGTCATGCCAATCATCGATCCGGGCTGTTTACAGCGCATCAAACCCACGAGCGAGCTTCGTAGTTGCGGAGACTCCCTTCACAGTGAGTCGGTATGAGGCCTCTCTATCGCCTGCGCGCTGATATCGTGTACGACTAGACAGTGACCTAATGGGCAGAGTTAACGATTTACGCTGGACCATACTTAAGGCACAAGCGTGCTGGCGTGGATACGCGAAGGTAAGTTGACTCATCGACCTGTGTATCGCTGTTGCTCAACTGAAACATTTGCTGCTAGAAGATAATTCTGCCCCCCACCCGACTTGACACAGGGTTCAGGTTCCTGTGCTCGCAATATCGCGTGCTCTGCGTGATGATCGTCCTCCTCCACATACTCCTAACACTGTTATTTAATTCATGGGTACCGGTCTTTGTCCTCGTTTTTTTAACCATGTATATGGACGGGATCAAGGCGACGATGAAGGCCGTCTTCGTCGGTGAGTACTTGAGAACACCTGTTCTTGCCTTTCCCGAACATCTCTGAAGCATGCTTAGATCCTGTCTGTCCATACATCATGCAGTACGACGTCGCAAAGGCCATTCTCACTATCCGCGAACAATTGGACGGGGTCGCGGACGCTTTTGAAGAGCCTCTGCGTGTTCTGACCGATATCGTGGACGCCGAACATCACTCGGAAACGGATCCTTCCATCGAGGACATGGCGCAAAAGGATCGAGTATTATTGGATTTTATGTTAAATGTGAGCATCGTGCGCCCAACAATGTCTACATTGCTCACAGAGTTTTTGGCGCAGTTCGATCTCAAAACTGGCGGTCGCATTCAGAGGCACTCTCAAGCAATTCGATCAAAGCTTGAAGATGTAATTGAAGAGCGTCGAGCCGAAAACAGGCATGTAAGCCAATGTCCTTTTGGACGACTCGACACACCTTCTGACGATGACGAACAGCGATCGCCACTCCGGGCGGTATATGAGTACTTCAGGCCGCCGGAGAGGTCTTCGGGTGGACCTGGGCCTGATGGAAATGCGCTGCCGAGGGACTTGGTTTGACATACATGCGCGCGTCGAGGCAGGCGCTATATTGCTCTGAGAGTTAATTAATCTGTGCGGCGAAGGACATACTTATATATACATGTGATTACTGCTTCAGCTAGGTAGCGCTTACCTTTTTACACGTCTCCGTGTCTTACACAGTATGGTATCTATACGAAGAAATATGTACTTCGTGTTGACTGACACTAAGTTGGTGGCGAGCGGCTGTCGGGCCCATATCGGGCCGTCAATCCGCCTCCTGGTCTCGACCGTCATCGCGACAGCTTGCGCGCTGTCCACGCACATCACATATGGCCGAGACAACAACGAACAATGAGCAGCGGCATTTGGTGTCCCTCGTCCTTCAGTCGAAGAAGGCGCTTCAGCACGGCGAACAGCTATGCTCGCGTGCGCGGGATTCTTCCAAAGCATCAGCAGTGTGCGCCGTGGACGTCCTCGCAATCGATGCGAAGGTGCGGTGGATTGCAGACGGCGTATTGCAGCAGCTCAAGGTGAGTGAATCTTGAGATCTTCGCGACGGGACTGACGGGAAGTACAGGTTGCCGCCGCGGTGGCGTCGCGCTTAGCGGATCGGCGCAAGAGTATGATGGACCAGGTCAAGGTGGGCGTCCACCAACTGCAAGACTCGCATTCAGCTGAGCCTCTTCAGACTTTCGACGCGTCTCGCACCCAACACACCACCGCGCTCGACAGCATCCTCGACTCCCTCGAGTCCCAGCTCGTCCCCCCAGACTTCCACGAAGCCTCCGAAACATCATCCCTCTTCGGCAGCCAGCACTCTGACGACGACGAGCGGCGGCACTCGCAGAGCCCCTCTGACACCGTGCGCGACCTACGCCGCCCGCCACGCGCTTCGGACCGCCGCCGGTGGAAGAACTTGCGCGATTTCGTTGACGACCGCGCGATCGACCAGGTCCTGGAAGTTATGGACGAGGAGCGTGCGGCGCTGGATGTAGGTAAGGTCTGGAATGGACGCTGGAGCGGTTGGCGCTAATGCGACAGGCAGGATACGCTCAGCAAGACGCTAGACTATCCAGAGACACTCATGCGATCTGTGGACAACATCAGGCATGAACTGCCCGACTCGGGTGCACTACCCACTATGGAGGAGGTCCTGACCACGCAAGACTCGACGATACACTCTATGGCTGGTCATCTTGAAGACCTCGCGCGGCATTACGACCAGATGGCCAACGCCCTGCACATTACGGAGGAGGGACACGCACATACCGAAGAAGAGATAGAGCGTGAGTGGCCTCGTAAGGATTGTCACGTCCTGCTCAGCGCTTTGGACGCAGAGATGCATGTGGACACGGACGAGCTACCATCAATCATGGCTGAGCTCGAAGACTGTCTGCGCACAGTGGAGGAGCTTCGGTGCGTCTATGTCCTCGTCAACCCTTTCGCCGGTCGCTCAATCGTAGTAGCGAACGTCTTTCCACTGCTGAGAGCGCTGGCAAAGCCTACATCGATAGCCTCCGTGGCACGCTAAACGACCTCAATCAGCTGGGCGAGATCATGTCCGAAATGCTCGTTAATCAGGACACCGTTGAGGTCTGTGTGTACCCGTTATGATATCTGTTTTCCCGAGGTCTGACTCTCAGGGTTCACCAGGCTGCCACAGAAAATCACCTCGCACGCCTTCATCGACGTCTTGAGCCATTGCAGCAGCTGCATGACCAATATTGCTCATATCAGACCTCCTTCAACAAGCTCGTGCTCGAGATCGCGCGGCGACGGCACTATCGAGAAGCCGCGGAGACGGTGATCCGGGGTATGATGGAGCAACTGGAGGCCATGACGGCGGGTGAGTGGGAGTATGGTTCGCTTTGGCCAACCCTTGCAGGCGTGTACCAGTGACCTCGGGATGGTGCACCGGGCGGGGGGGCGTCACTCACTGGCCCATCGCTCCTTCGCGTCCCTTACTCTGTGCCTTTCTTTCCTCGTGCGCTGACACGATGTGCAGAAGAGTTGCAGGTGCGCGAACGATTCAACGCCGAGCATGGCGCATATCTTCCTGAAGACATTTGCCTCTGCATCGGCAACGCCCCAACCCGCTGGAACATTGTACCGCTTGCGGGTGATACGAGAGAGGCCCTGCCGAACATCGAACCTGACCTGATAGAGGAGGCAAGTCGCATCTTGTTCGGGCGCTTAGGCTCATCGCTGATGTCCGTTACCAGGCAAGAAATCGACTGGATGCTGGAGGTAATATCGTCGATAGCCTTTGACTCAATACAATAGCTACGACGTCGACATGTACTATATAGTCAGGACAATTCGGATCGTTTGGGAGACTGACAGCAACTATTAGTATTAGCGCTCATTGGGGTGTGGTCATGTGAGCGTGACGACCTCAGCGTGACAGTGAATAGTCCGTTACAAACTTGAACTTGAACTTGGACCACCACCAGCGATGCCATGGCGCAGCTACCCTCTGAGCGACTCATGATACCATTATCGACCGGGGTACAGCTAGAGGGTATATTGCAAGCGCCCCGAGCGCTTCTTCGCTCCAGCGCAAGCAAGATAGCAGTTTGCTTGCACCCTTGGTCCTGGCTTGGGGGCCGCATGTCAGACCCGTACGCTGGTCGCTTGCTGCTGAATCTCGCCGACTTAGTTTGATTTGCTTGCATAGCGTCGTTGGCATGGCGAAAGACGTCCTTCTGGAACAAGGCTACCATGTCCTGCGGTACAACTCGCGCGGCGTAGGCCTGTCGAACGGCCAAGCTTCGTTCACCGGGCTAGCAGAAGGCGAAGACCTCGAGGCCGTCGTGCAGTGGATGCTGTCCAGGATACCAGATGCCGATACTGTAACTATAGCAGTGAGTGCTGTGGACTTGAAGCGCTGCTTCGCAGGCCAGCGCCTGACTCGCTGCAGGGTTATTCGCATGGCTCGCTCATCGCGAGCCTGCATCCTGTTCTCGAGCCGCCGATACGGACGAACCATATACTAATATCATATCCTCTCGGCCCGCGAGGCTGGCTCACGCTCTTCAAGTCCGCCCTTTACGCCTCGAAGCTCGAGGACCTCTTGCGGAATCCCCGCGCGCGTGTGTTCATCATTCACGGTGACAGCGATGATTTTACCTCGGCATCAGCGTATCGAACCTGGGTCGAAGGACTAAGGAGTGTGACAGGTGGAGAGGGAAAAGCACAGCTCACTGTGTCGGTTTCTTCGGGTACATCACATTTCTGGCAAGGGCGAGGTCAGGACGATCTAGAGGACGCCATTGCCCGATTTCTCCTGGGGAATTGATGCTTGTCTTACTTCGGACTGACCTTACCCTTCGGTATACCTGAATGACTGTAGCGTAGGTATGCTCGCGCATCGACATGTGCACGCACACGGCAATTCATTGGAAGGTCATCTATTCGAGGTGAGGGACTCGGCCCGACTTCCGCATCTTGTTCCCGACTTCCATCGCATCTCGCCCTCTTCATCACTCGCAGCTTCTGTCGATAGTGGAGTCGGGCCCTCCTCCGACGATGTGTTCCTACGTCGATCTTCCTATAGACATACATCTGCTGGTACTGCGGTACCTTCCTCCCAAAGCCATTGCCTCGACCCGTTTGGTGAGTACGTTTGCATGCGGTCTCCTACGAGGGCCTATAAGCCGATCCAAGGATGCTGAAAGATATATAGACTTGCAGAGTGATGGAGGAAGTGACGAAGACTCGTGCGGTGTGGCTGTTTGCTCTCAAGCGCACCTGCCTCTCGTACGGCGTCCCCTTCATCACCTACGATTTTGAGTGCATGTCACGCGAAGAGCTAGAGTACGCTGCAACGGGCCCGGACCGATTCCTGCACTCTGGACGCCGCGCGATGGATTCGCCTTCGCGTACCCTTCATCCCGTTGGAGAACGTTGCCGTCTGCCGCTCTCGATCCAGGATCCTTTGATCATGAGATCCACCGACGACATTGTCATCCTTCCCGGTGGTCGATTCGTACTTGCCTACAAGGGAACCTTACTGGTTTGGGATCTGGCCACTGTGTCAGAGAGCCCATTTGTGGTGCTGGATAGCAACGACGAAGTTAGTCCTGGGTTCAGGTTCTGCGGTGTGGATCTTCAATCTTTGGTACACTACCCCGCCGTCTCGAAGGTACATCTAGCGGTCTCCGCAATCAAGTGAGTAACATCACGAGCGCATGAGCCCCGGATCGTGCTTGCTGATGACAATATAGAAATAACCAAGATGGCTTCGTGCCTGCATCGGCATGCGTCGCCTGCGAGCTCAACCTGGCAGAGAGCCCTCCCAGTTTCAGTGTCGTGGGTATCTTGCACAACGCCTCATTCGAATGCTCCGCAGGACTGGGGAGCCGCATCGTCTTTTTGACCAGAAAGCCCCCGGGCTTCTTCGGACTTTGGGACTCTGAGCAAAACACGGCTGCCTCATGGGTGTGGGAGAGCGGAAGACCAATCAACGACGTGAGCGCCTTTCTACTGTGATCTTCTGTCTATATTCTTCCTGACACGTCGAATGTTTATCAGCCGCTTCTGGTCACAGAAAGACATATCATAGCACACGACCAGCAGAACAACACTATAGTCGTATACGATCTCCCCCCGTCTGATCTAGCTGAGGGAAGGATCCCCGCGCCGTCCCAAACGCACGTCGTACAAACTATATCTCTCCCACCGGCAAAAGATCCCCTGCGTTTCAAGGTCCCGAGCTACAACTCATCGAAGAATAGCGACATAATCGTCATTGAGGCAGACTTTATTCCAGCTAATGGAGATCACCCTAGCGGGCAGCAGAGATTCACTTACGGTCAACGCTCCTTCGTGATACGCTGCATCGCTTCGCTCAGACCAGGTGACAAACCTATCACCATGCCCGAGACGCCAGTGATATACGACCACGTCTTGGACCGGCTGCCCCCGAAGCAGAGTGACGACAGCGTCGTGTCTGTGTACAGGCGGGGATATCCTTGTGGCGAAGAGTTGTGGGCGCATTTCTCATCCCTTGAGGGCCACGCACAAGCGCAGGCCGTATGCATCGGACCGCGCGAGGGTTCTTTCTTCAAGATCCCGGAGAGCAGGACTTGGGGCATGCATGCCGACTACGATCTATGCCCTGTGACAGGGAGGATCTGTGTTCATAGATGGGACTTCGACGCTATTGTTGTACACGACACAATGCCGTCGTATGTCCCCGCCGAACATGAATGAACACCACATAGGCAGCTATCGCTCGTCTCGTCTTCGTCTGGTCTCGCATTCCCTCTCTCGTCCGCGACTCCTCGCTGCCGACTGCGAACCTCCTTCCGCCAACCTCGACTCGCTCTCTGACGACCTCTTTGCCAACTTTATCCTTTCATCGTCCACTCCCTCTGCTATTTACTCGCGCCGTCAATCGCCAGCACCGCGTGCCAGCCCAGCGCCCTTCGACGGGTGTATTTGGGCCCGCGAGTGAGGCTGCTTTCACTGCCTCTTGTTTGCATGCGTGCACATTGGTCGCCGAGGATCCCGCGAAAGTGCAGACCATATGCATCGGCCCGCGAGAGGGAAGTGTCTTCTCGAGTGGGCAAGGGTCCGGCACAGCGGCGGACTACGACTTCTGTTCAGCGACAGGCAGGCTCTGCGTCTCTAGACCAAACCGAAGCACCGTATTCGTATACGACATGATGCCGCCGTACGTCCCCGCTGGAAACGTACGTCCCCGCTGGAAAGCAGTAGACGCCGCGCAAAGGAAGTCCTCCGAGCATGCGGTTATCTATTGTCTACCAAGGACACACTCTGTCACCGTTGGTCGCTACCCAATCAAACCCTTGACATACTTGAGCAACTCCCTCCCCCCTCGCTTCTTCACGTCCTCCACCATACTCTCAACGCCCGCGCTATCCTCGCTCATTGCGTCATCGTCTCCCTCTCTTGCGCTTGGTCCTCCCTCCGCCTCCCTCGTCGCCATCAACTCCACCCCCTCCTCGATGCGCTCTCGCTGCCGCCTACTCGCGCCGTAGCGCAGCACGATCGTCAGCACCGCGCGCCAGCCCTCGACGGGCGCGTTCGGGTCGGCGAGCGAGGACGTCGAGCCGGTCTTGCGGTGCTGCTCGACGCTGCTCTTGCGCCCATGCTCGAATGCGCTCGCGTTGGTCGCCGACCTGGTCAGGCCGTTGGCCCCCGATGGCGAGACATGCATCGAGGGCACGACCGTCGACTGAACGACGTAGGGGCAGAAGGCGCTGAGAATATATGATCAATCAAACTTGTGTGTAATCGAATTACAACGACGACATACCGATGCTCCTTCAGTAGATCAAACTGACGAGGAGGTGGCTTGCGCGCCGGTTCCTCGCTGGGTGACGGCGAAGAAGGACCCTCCAGCGTGTGCCCAGTCCCATTCGCATTCCCGTTCTCGGTCTCGGCGGCGCGGAATGCCCACAAGCCCACCCTACGCTGGCACAGCGCGCAGTGCACGATGTCACCGGCGCTAGCAGCGCCCTGACCAGTGCCCAAAGCGATAGAGAGCGAAGAAGATGCCAATGGGAGAAACGCAGACCGCCTAGCCGCATTTGTTGGCGTCCCCGGCCGAGAGATGGAGGCCATCGGTGCTGGTGTGGCGGCGCGCGAGGCTGAAGGCGTCCCCGCCCGCGATAGGCTGGGCGTCTTTCGCGTGAAAGAGGTTGGGCGAGAGAGTGACGACGGCCGCTCCGGGGTGGCGGGGACGGACCAACCGAAGAGCGAGGCTAGGACGGCAGCATCGCACGGCTTGGGGACAGGTCCAGTAGCGTCGGGTAAGCTGAAGTTCGCGATCGTTTGCTTGAGCGAGCTTAGTTGGGTGGAGGAGAGGGGGTGCTTGACGTGCACGTTGGCGAAGGGTGTGTCGAGCGCGACCGCGTTGGACTTGATGGCGCGGACCATGGTCTGAGGTGATTGCAGAGGTATTCGGTAGATAGAGGCTGCACATGTATATTAGCTCGTGCTCGTTATGCGGCTGCTTAGGGCGTACCATCGCATTGTTGTTTTCTCTACAGGATCCGTCAGTAAATATACCAATGTACCAAGTATGACCAGACACAAAACGCACCCATGGGCAGCCTTCCTTGTGCGCATCGACCAAAGATGCGCGCTGCTTTTCCACAAGCGCATTCGCCGCGTCGCGGGAAAGACCCTCTCGTCCTGCGACAACCCATGACGCGTTGCAGATCCCGCAAACCAGTCGATCCTTTCCGTCGTTTATCCACCCCGCCGCCGCTGCCGCGGATGCCTCGAGACATTTCGGCTTCCCGGAATACGTCGCAATCTTAAAAGTTGCCAGTCGCTCGAGGAAGGAAGTCACTGAGGAAGGACGGTAGGCGGCGTGAGGAGCGGCTGAGGTGGTGGGGGGTGGCCTGAATGTGGACTTTGCGCGGCTTAGAATCTTGCTGAGGTGAGGTGTACGCCTGAGCATAGTACTTGAGGAAGAGGGTGCCCTTTCCCGTGTGTGAGATCGGGCATGCGATGAAGGGGAAGTTGTGCGTACGACTTGGACTTGGACATGATCCCGTAGCGCGAAAGCGTGCTGAGGAACGAGCTTGACGTGTTGGTTCTCTTTGGAGGAGGTGGTCTTTCATCTTCCTGTCCAATCGCACTGTCCAGCCTCGAGAACGCGTCGTCCAGCTTGCGCTGTACAACTGTCAGCGCGAGGGAAGGCCGTGGAACACTGCTGGTTCTCACCTTCGTCGCGCGATGTGTTGATGCAGTGCGGGCTTCATCCTCAATAGAGGTGCCTTGTGGTATCGGAATGGGGGAAGATATTGAGGGAAAGGAAGACATTGCCGAACTCGACCTGAGGGCGCCTAAAATACAGCCGGAGAGATGACGGAGGAGAACAAGGCGCGCTAACCCCGTGATTTGGGCATGATCGTCACTGTCACGTCACATGCGTAACGTACAACGGTTGCTTTCTACCGTCGTGCCGAATCGAAGTCTCGACTTTGAGCAGCTGGATTCAATGCACTTCAGCGATGCATTCGTCGTACTTAAAAGAAAGGAGCATCAGCAGCTCCGAGATGCCCAGAGGGAATTTCTCAGCTTACGGACTCTTGTGGTACGCCTTGTTACTTACCACTAAACATCTACTCTAATCTCCTGCTTCCCCGGTTCTCATTCCAGTGATCTCATGGAGGCAGCACTCTTTCAACGGCTATGCTTACACACAAGACTTGCCTCTCAGGCTCGACATATGTTCTCTAGGCTATCGTGTGGGACATCTTCCGGGTTCCCGCGCCACGTTCGTCGTCAGTCTTGGTTACAATCACGATGGTATTCTTCCCGGAGTCCTGCTGCTTAAGCAGGCCATCGTGACCCGCTTCCTTTGTTATCCTAATGCTCGGACCGGAGATAAGGCTGCAATCGAGTCAAAGGTGACTCGCATAAATAAGTCAACGATGACTCGAAGTTCGTGCTATCGGTATCAAGCCTAACCCTCCCGACTGCCTCTGCCGACACGATCGAGCTCGAATATGGTCCTTCTGTCGCATCCCTCCATCCGCGGTACGCTCATGGCTTTCACATGTGCGACTCAACGCGCTCACGACTCCTAGATGGCTGGTTTCGCGAGACATCATCACAATGGCCAGGACAGGCAATGTCCCTCAAGGTCAATAGGATTCTACACGTCGAGAAGTCCACATATCAGGACGTTCTAGTCTTTGAATCTGCGACGTACGGCAACGTTCTTGTCCTCGACGGTGTCATTCAGTGCACGGAGAGGGACGAATTCTCGTGCGCGACCCGTACTTTAGTATCATCGTACCAGCGCTGATATGGACTGGATAGGTACCAGGAAATGATCACGCACTTGCCTCTGGCGAGCCACCCATGCCCCAAGCAGGTGCTGGTAGTAGGCGGCGGCGACGGTGGTGTCGTGCGTGAAGTGCTCAAGTACGACTGCGTAGAGCAAGTCGTCCTCTGCGACATCGACGAAGCCGTCATCCGCGTGTCCAAGCAGTATCTCCCCCACATGTCCTCGCTCCTAGCGTCGCCCAAGGTCACCGTCCACATCGGCGACGGCTTCAGCTTCCTCGCAGACAACCGCGCCACCTACGACGTCATCATCACCGACTCCTCTGATCCCGTTGGTCCAGCGGAATCGCTCTTCCAGAAGCCGTACTTTGAGCTGCTGCACGCCGCGCTGGCGCCTGGAGGGACCACCGCCTCGCAGAGCGAATGCCTGTGGCTGCACCTGCCATTGATCAAGGACGTGGTGTCTATGGCGAGAGACATCTTTCCGGTGGTGGAGTACGCGTATACGACAATCCCTACGTATCCTTCCGGGCAGATCGGTTTCCTCGTCTGTTCGAAGGATGCCGATGGGGATTTACGCAGCCCAGCGCGCGCAGTGCCTGGTACTGCGTACTACAATGCGGACGTCCATAGGGCGGCATTCGTACTCCCAGAGTTTGCTCGGTCTGTCCTAGGTGGCGGGCCAGACGTACTTCCGAAGTTCGGACGTGAGGCCAAGGCGGCCTTGATAGCGGGTCAGTCGAAGAGGACGGTGTTGCTTCTAGGCAGCGGCTTCGTCGCATTGCCTTGCGCGGAGTACATCACTCGTGACCCGCGAAATGCGTTAACAATCGGTATGTGGAGCTGTTGCCCTCAATTGGTCATGCAGCTTACCGCGACCAGCATGTCGTACCCTTTCCAAAGCTCAAAAGCTCGCTGCTGGACTCCCGGCAGGCTCTACGACCGCCGTCGCCCTTGACGTCTCCAACACCGCTGCCCTCGAATCAGCTGTCGCCGCGCACGATCTCGTCATCTCCCTCATCCCCTACACCTACCACACCGCCGTCATCCGCGCTGCTACTAAGTCCCACACCAACGTCCTCACCACCTCCTTCGTCTCCCCCGCCATCCGCGCCCTCGAGCCTCATATCCTCGCCGCCGGTATCACCGTCATGAACGAAATCGGCGTCGACCCGGGCGTAGACCACCTCTACGCGGTGAAGTTCATCAACGAGGCACATGCGAAGGGCGGCAAGATTCGCGAGTTCTACTCCTTCTGTGGCGGGCTGCCTGCCCCGGAGGCCGCTAACAACCCTCTCGGGTTCAAGTTCTCGTGGTCCGCCCGCGGCGTGCTGCTCGCCCTCCTGAACAGCGCTCGATTCTTGGAGGACGGGAAGCTGGTCGAGATCTCGGGTCCGGACGTGGTGGGGAGCGCGCGGCCGTACTTCATCACGCCTGCGCTGGCTTGCGTGGCGTACCCCAATAGAGACGCAACGCAGCTGCAGGACGCGTATGGGATACCGGCGGCGCGGACGGTGAAGCGAGGCTCCTTGAGATTCCAGGGATTTTGCGAGTTGGCGCGCTCGCTGATGAGGATTGGATGGCTGCGGACGGAGGAGCAGGATTGGTTGGTGGATGGCTTGACATGGGCGCAGATAAGTGCTCGAAGCGCAGGGGCGAAGGATGCTAACGAGGCGTGAGTTGATTGATTTATCACTTCTTGGTATGCGCGTCAGGGCTTACGGACTATCTAGGTCATTGGTGGCCAAGATCAAGGAGCTCTCCGCATTTTCGAGTGAGACGGAAGCGACGCAAGTTCTCTCCGGCATGCAATGGATTGGCTTGTTCTCCAACGAAACAGCGCCAGTGCGCTCGAGCAATCTGCTAGACACGCTCTGCGCGCGACTGGAGGAGATCATGGCGTTCGAGCCAGGCGAGCGCGATCTAGTCCTCCTCCAGCACAAATTCGTGGTCGAGTGGTCGAATGGGGAAGAAGTGAGCCAACGGCCTCCGAGTATACCCGTTCCCGCTAATCTCATTGGCCTTCAGGAGACCTTCACCTCCACCCTCGAGCAATATGGCAGTCCGATTGGGCACTCCGCGATGGCCTTCCTCGTCGGAACACCCTGCGGGATTGCCGCTCAGCTCATGTTGGACGGCGTGATCAACAAGCCAGGTATCTTGGCGCCATATACGCCGGATATCTGCGACCCGATTCGCGCGCTTGTTGAACAGGAGGGTATTGGGATGGTAGAGAGAAAGCTGTAGTAAGTTATTAAACGAAGTACTGTAGATATGGGTGTCAAGCTACCTCGGAATACAACACACGGATATCTGCAGTCACAGGTTATTCTGGTAGGACAGGCTTGCATAAGAGGCGGATTCGAACCCTTCACGGCAATTGCCGGGTCCCATGTGATCGGGAGCAAATTAACCTTTCCAATCCGTCTACGCCATTTTTCTTGTCCCTTGTAATCTCAGGCTGCTTTTTTGTCATCATTCTCACCATGCACTGGAATGCCGATACCCTCGAGCCAGGCGATCACAGCGACTCTGTCGCTATCTATCAGGCCGCACCGCCGAACCGGAAGACCGCTTGCCTCGTATTCCGAACCGGATGATATTCTGGGGTCAATGCCTTGTAACGCAACATTGAGCGCTGTCGTCAGGCGTCTTGGGCCAATTCACTTCGCAGTTATCGATGCAAGAACGCTGCGAATGGAGTGAGCTAACCGTTCGACCGGCAGGTATAAAAGGGGCGTGCATTGCTCGGTCCACCAGCATCACTCGCAGCTTCTGCGGCATCCCTGCTATTTCCACTCCGATATCCATCATGCCCACTCCATCGACCAAGTACGCTCAGCTTGGAAAGAGCGACCTGCGCGTGTCGGTGCCCATCGTACGTCCCTTGCACCTCGCAGAAGGGTGCGTCGCTGAAGTCTTACTCAGGTTGGCACCATGGGCTACGATAATCCTAAGTGGGCCGTAAGTCACTCTGGGTGAGCCCCATGCTTGGGCTCTGCCTGACGTCTCTCAGGCTGCCGATCCGTCTGCCCAATGAGTGCTTGACGAAGAACACTCGCTACCTATCCCGAAAGCTGCTTGGGATCGCGGGCTGAAGTAAGTGCAGTCTCTTCGTGATGAATGGACACACCTCACTCAACAAGCTGAAAGCACCTTTGATACCGCCAACGTCTACTTGAACGGCGATTCAGAGGGCATTCTCGCAAAGTTCGTTGAACGGGTAAGATAACTGGCGGATCTCGCTTGCGCACCTGGCGCATTGCTCACTCGTCGTCAGTATCAAAGGGTCAGTACCAAACCCGCTAGGCTCTTTGGAAACCCCACGCTGGAAGTCGCTCTCGTCCTACGGTATCAGCAAGGAAGAGCAGATCGACGGTGAGATGATCACACGCGTCGAGGAGATTGCGAAGAGGCGTGGCTGGGCGATGTTGCAGGTGCACGGCGCGTAGCTTTTGATATCCTTGTCCAGGTGGCTCTTGCCTGGGTCTTGCGCAGCGTCTCAAGCCCTATCGTCGGCTTCAACTCTCTCAAGCGCATCGAGCAGGGTATTGTGGACGGCGAGCTCACGGACGAGGAAGCCGCTTGCTGGAGGGGCCGTAAGACCTAATTTGTCGCCTTCATGTCGCATCGCTAAACCACCTCGTTTGCAGCTATCAGCCAAAGCACGTTCGCGGCCATGCTTGTGAGATTTTGAGATGCCATGTAGTTCTCCCGTATTTGTTTGTTGGCAATTCTTTGATTCCTACGACGCAGCGTTCGTGAAAGTAGGTATATATAAATTATATAGAACGTATGGCACCCTATGATTGTTCATTTCCAAGTACGACAACCGGATGTATAAATTCGCCCAACGAATTGTTCGTGGCCTATATGAAAGGTAGTAAAGTGACCGTAGCCACAGCTCCATCCAATCTCCCAGTGGGTCTGCCTATAAGTGGTCAGATAGCCGCACTCACTTGCGCGTCCCGCAGCCTGTCGAACAGCGAGAGTACGCCGCACGAAAAGAGCCACACCTAACCGATCAACATTGAGCGAATATTAGCGAGTACAATGACTCACATTGTACAGCCTGTACGATCGAAAGTCCGCCTTGACCGAGTAATCCGTCAGAAGCGATGCCATGAGCGTGCCGGCAAGACCATAAAGTACCGCCATAGCGAAGGCCGGAGGTGCCCAGTACCAGCCAAGGAAGGTCGTGTAACCGATGACGATGGTCGTATGCAAGCAGCGGGCAAAGGTTTGCGGGAGCAGCATTGGGACCGTCACCCGACTAATCGCTGCGTCGCCTGCCACATCTCTAAAGTCTTGTACAAATCCCTGGTCATCTCCTATCAGCTGGATTATTCAGATGTAGATAGACAGGACGTACGGTGATAAGTGCGTTGAGCGATAGAATAATCGGGGCCGCTATCGCACGCTCAGAGAGCGACTCGCCATAATCTGGTGCGATGCCGTGCTAAGTGCCTACCCTTCTACTCGTATAGTATTGAAGCACTTACTCATGCATACAATGGCACCATACGAGTAGCACGCATAGGCGTAGGCATTGCCGGAAGCCTTGTAAACCCAGTTGCGCGCCCAGCCAAGCTCGTTGTACGCTGTGATCATCGCAACATAGCCGACACTCAGCCACAGTATACCCATGCGAGCACTCGCAAACAGCGCTGCAGCGACGAGGCTCGCATAGAGCAGGCGGGCCGTTCTTATCGTTATCCTCCCGCTGGGAATTGGCCGGTAGGGTTTTATGCGCTTGTCCTCCTCAAGGCCTGTGATCTGAAGTGGGGTTGTTAAGGTCCATCTTCTCTGAGATGAGTGAAAACAAAGCACAGTACCTGATTCATGATCTGGAATTGCATTGCCACATAAGTAACCAGCGAGAGTGGTCAGGGTGGCGTTGCGGCACGTACCTCGAATGATAGAAGATGAAGGTCCACCCATATGATAGCTTGCACTACTGCCGTTGCGCTGGTCGGCTGAACCGCCGAGAGGGCTGCTGCAACCTGCCAAAAGATATCAGAACGTATACACACGTCTAAACCATCCTTGACGCACGCATACCGTCAAAGCTCCGAAGAGATTGACCCCAGAGAAGAGATAGAAGGTATAGAGGGCATCAGATATGCCAGTGGCGAGCTTGCGAGGCAAGGGCGCGAAGCTGAACATGTTCGTCGTCTTCTCAGCAGGAGTTCCACCTCGGAAGTCACTCGCTTCTCCCTTATAAGCCGCCCAGCTGTATGCCCCAAGGACCGCAAGCAAGGCGTCAAAAAGGTCCGCTGTACTGCTCCGGTGCAGGCAATGAACGATAAGGGTGGCGCGCGCCTGGAAGAGGATGCTCACCTACCATCTGCAGCGGAAGTGCGACAGGTAGATTGCTCGTCCGACGACTGAGTGCCGATCGCAGTGTAAATTTGGAACGATCCTAGGAGCACTATACCCACAAAAGGGCAATGAGATGCTCTCCTCCCGTCCCTGTCCCCGTAGGCCTAAATCGCACGCTGCGCGGCGGTTCGCTTCCACCGCTTGATTGCCAAAATAACCGCAGTGCTGAAGTAGACGCCCAGCGCATATGCGATACGAGCGATACGGGAACCTAACGGGGCCGCGGACTTGACCTCAAGGATGCCCGATGCAATGACATGGCGATGTGCATGGTCCGGCGCTGGGCCGATCCGTCAGAGGGAGTGTCCGCTCCCACAGCCGCTTTTCATGCGCTGGCGAATGCCCATAACTAGCGATATCGGCTATTCTTGAAGTCGGGCCCTGGTGGAGACTTGGTATGTTCCTGCAAGGTGACGGGCTCAGCAAGAATGAAGACGAAAAGGCAGAGGCGTACACACCTGTCGTGCGTCAGAGGCACGGTGACGTACCTGACGGGACAAGAGGGCGCTTCGCTCAGTTCAAAGGGACCCAAGGTCTGGCTGCAGAACCCAAGGAGAAAGGCATGCATCACGAGCAAGTATTATGCCTGAAAAACCAACGCTCACGCAGGACAAACAACATACAGATTCCGCATCCTCGCGCATTCCAATAGTATACATCTTTCCGGGGTAGCTTTCTACGTCGCACTCTCGCAATGAACCTACGTGGCGCTACCGAAAATCTGGTACCGGCGGCAAATGCTGGGGCCAATCTCGTCGTACTGCGCCTTCGTGTGGCAGGAGGTGTAGAACTCAGGCTGGGGTGAGCGGTCAGTACGGCATCTCATCAGAGACGGACAAAGATAAGGTGACGTGTGGTAGATGGGAGACCGATGAAGCGTGCAGGAAATTGCAAGGCAAAGGAGGGGCACTCACCAATGACGCCAACAAAGATCCACCATACCAGACGGCATAACGCTGGCGCTTGTGAGAGATAACGTCGACTTCGACGCCAGAGGACTACAGGTCGTTTTTAGTGAGTAGAATCATCCGAAGGAACTGTAACGTACTTTCATGTAGCTGCCGCTCGCCATAACGCTAGCGTCCAGTCGACGGTCAACAAGCTGCTTCAGGTCGCGCTTCAACCGCTGCCCAAAGTGCTGGAACATGGTCGAGCCGCCGGAGAGGACGATGTTCTATTCGCGGAGCAATCAGAAGGGGATCCAGATGCGGTTGTACGCGAGGACGCGGTCCAAAGTGAGAACGCGGCATGGGTGGATGCGTACCTTGTAGAGCCCTCGCCTAACGTCGATGGGCGACTGTTGGATGACGTTGTCGACTACCTCGGGGAGCGGGTCCAAGAAGTCGGAGGAGTAGATCTCCGGGTTGAAGAAGATTTCGGGTGCAAGGAACCGCTCATAGCCGACATCGATAGAGTATTTCTGCGAGGGGTCAGCATAGGAATAGCATGATTCATATATAGCTCCAGACCTTGCCAGTCACAGAATGCTCTCCGTCGAAGCGCTCAAAGTACTTGTACGGCTCCGCATCATACTTGCGGAACTCCTTGACAATGTCCTGGCACACGTAGCTGTAGTTCTCCTTGACCTTGCCTGCGATCTTCATGTGCTCCTCCGAGGGGACATTGGCGAGCTCGCCGCGCTCGCGCAGCAGATTGAGCACGAACTGCGTGATGTCGCGGCCGGCAATGGGGATGTGCTTGATCGCGCTCCCGATCACGTAGCCCTCCGCGCAGGGAATGACGTGCGTGACGCCGTCGCCGGAGTCGATGACGGTTCCCGTGAGCGTGCGGTCGGTGACGCGGTTGGAGGACCAGGAGGCGGCGAGGGCGAGCACGGCCTGGACGGCGATGTAGAGGCCCTTGATGTTGAAGGATTCGAAGAAGATCTCGGCCGTCTGCTCGCGATTCTCGGGCGGGTTGAGAGGCGGTTCGGTCTGGGGAAGGGAGGGCGAGTGGGTTTAGCAGAAGTGAGAGAGGAAAGCGGCGGGGCACGCACCAGTAGGAAGTAGTGATCCTCCGGTTCCGCGCGGAGGTACTTGAAGATCGTCTGCTCCCAATAGCGCTCCATGTAGTCCCAATTGTCAATCATGCCATGTCGGATAGGGTAGTGCACCCCGTAGCCCGGTGTCCGCGCGTTCGCGAGTGCCTCATCGCCGATGAAGAAGTCGAGATCTTCGACCCCTCGCTTGGATGCAAGGTGTCCGGGCTTGGAGGGTACAGCAGGAGCGCGAGATGCTTGAGACGCTGACCCGCGCGCTGCTATCGCGGTAGGGAATACGCTTCAAAGGTTGATATCACTTCACTTGACGCGTACCGCTCGAAGTCCAGACTCACTACGATGGGTCCGAATTGCCGGCGAACCTAAGACGCGATGAGCTTAGTTCGCTGCAATCTGCAGATTGCGTACCCAATTTTCGAGAAGCCAGTGCCATTGTCGCATACGATAGGCGCCAGGAGCGACATCGCTGTAGGAGGAGAGCAGTGCAGCGCACGACGCGTTGGTGACTGTTGTGCGCGAGGAAGTCCGCAGCCTCTGGGCAGTCCTGATAGCCAGAGGTTTGGGGATCGAACCCGGATGACCTACACAACTCGGATGTCTCTTTCGTATCCCTCTTCACTCCCTGTAGCTCTTCAGAGCCTCGTAAGTGATCTGCGGGCAACAATGATACGTTTTAGGGCCAGGAGATGGGCAATCGAAGGAGAGAAAGAAGGGGGATTCGGCAGATGCCGAAGGTTCGGTATCTGCCGTCGCTGAGTCAGGATTATTGTTGTCTTCCAACTTTTCCCCCACCGGTTCAACCAGGACCTCACTCGCTTTCTCTGCCACCATCATGTCCTGAGAAATACTCTCGTAGAAAGTCTCTACTGGAAGATGGGGCTGTCAGTGTGCTGTTTCGCTATCGCTCGATAAGCCTAGCGCTGCCACCTCTCACCGCTGAAAGGCCGCCGCCAAAGCCACAAGTCCAGACGAATCTATCCGGCGAGCACGTTCGCTGCTCATTGTGTACAACGACGTCAGGACACGATCGCCTGCGGAAGGCACTGCATGGCTACTCCCCATGGTAGGTCTAATCTGTCTAATCTAAGACCAACCGCCAATATCCCTCAGCACACAGCCCCGAACTCCGCATCACCAGGAGGGCGAGTGAATATCGCCGTTCCCTAAGCGCGGGACTTAACAGCATGGCCCTACGCCATAACATTTGATCATCTGTGTCGGTTGCGCACTATAAATCCCGGGAAAATTGCTCGAGACCTGGCTCCCTCTTGTCCACTCTCTCCCTCGACATCATGGTTTCCCCCGCTGCTCTCGAGAAAGGCGATATAAACCTTGAGCGCGTCGCCGTGAAGGCACATGGTCTCCAGCTTCTCGCTCTCGCCTTCTCCACGCTAGGTGAGCGCTTATTGCCCCTCGAGTTTCTTTGCGTGACTCTGAACCTGCATCAGGGATCATATACTCGGACATTGGCACGTCTCCCCTATACGTCCTCAACGGGATATGGCCGGCGGACGAGCCAGTACCGTCGAAAGAAGATGTTATAGGCGGCATCTCAGCCATCATCTGGTCGCTCACCTTGATCCCGCTGCTCAAATACGTGCGCCCTGACCTTCTCCTATTACACCCGCTCGTCGTCTGATCACTTTTGAAGGTCTTTGTCTCCCTCTACTTCGGTACTCATGAAGGTGAGTTCTGCGATCGATCGTCTTTTTTCTCTTTACTGACTTGGGCAGGAGAGGGCGGTACTTTCGCTCTTTACCAGGGCATCTACCCTCCCGAGGACAGGGATTACGACAAGGATCGGGCGCTCACCGGCGACAGCATCCGTGTTCCTTCGTCGAACAAAAGCGCTACCAGACGCTTCTTTCGATGGCCCCTCCTCATCTGGGTACGAAGCTGTCTACTGTCATGACAGTGCAGCGGTGTTGACCCTCGTCGTGCTCGCAGTGTTTGTGCGGAACGGCGTCAGTATATCGGCTTTCGTTGTCATCATACTCCTCCTGACGCCATCGTCCGCAGGCTTACCATGGCAGACGGCGTGTTCACCCCAGCCGTATCGGTCACTAGTGCCGTTGGAGGTATCGCCGTCGCGAAGGAGTCGGTGACAAAGGATATCACTGGGATTTCTATCGTGAGTCTTCCGATCTGCCAAATCCCATACCCAAGCATAACCCTCTCTAGGCCTTCCTCGTACCCATCTTCCTGGTCCAGCGCTTCGGCACGGCGAAGATCTCCATGTTATTCAGTCCTAGTACGTCCCACTAATACCCACTGTGGCGAACGCTCACCCCGCCGCCTAGTCGCACTCATCTGGTTTTTGATCATAGCCGGCGTCGGGATCTACAACATCACCACCTTCCCAGGTATCTTCCGCGCCTTCGACCCCTCGCGGGCTGTGATGCGTGCGTGCCCGCGCTCATCGGCACACAACTTCACTCACCTGTCTATCGACGCTCAGTCTTCGTCCGCACCGGCCGGTATGACTACCTCTCGGGTATCCTTCTCGCGTTCACGGGCGCGGAGGCCATTTTCGCCAAGTGAGTTCGGGGAGAATGCTTTCACCGACTAGTACTGATGCCACGTACTAGCCTTGGTCAGTTCAATAGAACATCGATTCGGGTGCGTGCAAGATGCTTCAGGGCGATACAAGTCCAACTGTTTTGTTTAGATGTCGTTCTGCTTCGTGGTGTACCCGGCCTTGATCCTCGCGTATCTCGGTCAGGGCGCTCGTCTCGTCGTCGATGGAGCCGACGTGCTCGACAACGTCTTCTACCGGACCATACCTGGAGAGCATAATGGCCCACTTTTTTGGTGAGCACCCGCCCTGACATTGTTCGTCTCAACAATGCTAACGCATCCTCAGGGTTGTCTTCGTCTTCGCCATTCTGGCCACGGTATGTTCGTTCTGATGACGTTTGAGAGCTCGACCAACAACTTCTAGCTCATTGCGTCGCAAGCCATGATCACCGCCACTTTCAGTCTCTTTCAGCAGGTCATCAACATGAAGAGCTTCCCCTCTCTTCGTCTTACGTATACCTCGGAGGCCATACAGGGTCAGGTCTACGTTCCTGCGGTGAATTGGGCGCGTGCGTAACCATCGTTTTGCTCTATCAACACCACACACTAATCATCCTTGCAGTCTTCATTGCCGTCCTCGCGGTTGTCGGTGGCTTTGAAGATCTGTCCAATCTGACAAATGCTTACGGGTGCGTACACTCCCTCATTATCATTTTCTACTCTGCTGATCCCCTTCCTTAGCTTCGCCGTCTCCACTGTCAGCCTCTCGACCACCCTGCTCCTCAGCGTGCAGATCTACGTTGTCAAGCGCCGACCCTTGGTCATCGCCCTCGCCTTCTTTGCGCTCTTTGGCTTCGTGGACGCGCTCTTCTGGGGTGCTGCGGTGAAGAAGGTGCCTCACGGCGCGTGGGTACCGCTCATGATAGGTGGCATCCTCGCAAGTATCATGGTCCTCTGGACGTGGGCGAAGGTGCGTGGACATTTTTGATAGTCGGCGTATCTCTAGCTCACGCGCACCTGCTCAGGGTCTCGAGGACTCGTTCGACTCCAAAAACCGCGTCAACCTCCGCCATTTCATCTTCCAAGGCGACGACTCCGACCACGCCCTTTCCGACGCGGACTCCGAAGACGGTGTCGTCCGCGTGCCAGGCTCGCAGGAAGTGTATACCCCGGCGCCGCTCTACTACCTCACTGGCATGGCTTCGGCCTTGACTCCGGCGAAGAAGCTGGGTGGAGCCTTGGGTCGCAGATCCGGCGACGGTCTTGCGGAGGAGGTCGACGAAAGGGCGGACAGCAAGTCTACGGAGAAGAACCGCCTCAGCAGGATCCCTACGTGCGGCGTGTTCCACAAATTCACGACCGGGGGTGGCGTGCCCCATACATTCGTCGGTGAGTAGCGCGGCGCGCTGTATTCCACTTGAAGGCTGATACGTCTGGTTGATGTAGGCTTCATTCGTCAATACCCAGCGCTACCAAGCGTGGTTGTGAGTGCAGAATTGTACCATACTGTCAACTTCTGCTTATCAGGATATCAGATATTCCTCTCCGTCTGTGTCGTCCCGACCGCCCGCGTCGACCCCGCCATGCGCTACGTCGTTCAAAAGACGCGTACTCTCGACGGTGGGTCGCATACTGACAGCCTGCCTGATCGTCCGCTGACTTTACCGCCAGGATTCTACAGCGCTACATACTATCTCGGATTCAGGGAAACGTTCGATGTCAAGGTACGTCGCCGTCTCCGCTGGGCTAGTCTACATCTCGCATACTCACGTCGTTCAGGTCGACGAAATCATTGACCGTATATGCGCTATCGAGATGACTTCGGCTCCAAGAGAGCAGGCCGCCGCTACCATCGATGACATCCGCCGCGCTGCGAGGACGTCGACGCATATGTGAGTCTATATGACACTCGGTATACCACTCATGCTCACCCGAATATACAGAATACCGCATTACCACGTCATGAGCAAACCAATCCTCAGTGGCCGTCTGGCATCTGCGGTCAACTGGGGCCGGGCGGTGCTCGTCGAGGAGATATACCGCCGCATGAGTACGCTCGACTGCCGATGAGCTTGCCTTGTTGATGCTGATGGTCACCTACAGAAACGATGTTCCCTGAGACGGCCGCCTGGTTGACCCCGGCTGACGAGTGAGTTCATCATTTGTCTCGCCCTTTCGACATAAACTGATTGGATTATAGGATAATACATGTCGGAGTGAACGCTGCAATCTGATCCTTCTTCCTTCCCCCTAAAGACTTTCGTCTTATCATCTGTATCCTGCGGTCCTACCGATATAGAAATCACTGTGGATGAGCCCATCCTAGTAGTCTGTTCGCCTTGCTGCAGTCGAAAAATCCGGTCTGGCCGCTGATGTCCTTCCCTTCCTTGATCGGTACGTCAGGCCAGTATTCCAGTCGCAGATTCCTCGAGTCAAGTTCCTCGTAGGAGATGATGGGTGCGCTGATGAAGAAAGCTGGCGCACGGTATCAAGATTTGTGAAAGATCCTCGCGGGAATTTGACGAACCTTCGTGCCCTGACCATCGTTTGTTGTCTGGGTCAATGGCGAGGAGGAAGGCATCAGCTACGGCGTCTTCCTGCGAAGTTTTGTCTGGTGAGAGCTTGGTCGTAGGAACCTCATGTTCGCTCACATGCACCCAGCCCCACAGATCAGTCGCTGCTCGGCTGAACGGTTTCCAGTGCGCGCCGGGCTTTTCGCGTACGGACCACGAGAAGCGCAGGCTGGCCACTCGCATGTCGCGGTACCGCCGCACGATCGTGTCGCCCTGCAACTCTGCGATGCTGCAATTACAACGTGAGTTCGTATGGGTCTTCGGAAGGCTAAAAGGGCATACGCGCTACGCACACTTTCGACAAGCCGTACGGTTCGTCCGGGTGGCACGGGTGCTCCTCATCAATGGGGAAGTAGTGGAAGTCGGGCTTCTGGCTGTATACCATGGTGATCACGTTGACGCTCGAGGCCTGCAACCCAAGGTTAGCGACAAGAACGGGCAGCATTAAGTGTCTTATTAGACCTGTGCGACATGAATGATCCCGAGCTCTGCAGCAGCGCGAAGTATATTCCATGAGATGACAACGTTTCTGCGCTACAGCATGAGCGCCTTCTAGATGGAATCGGCCTCGGTGTAGCACTGACGTGTTGTGCGCTTGCACCTTGTAGTCCGTCGGATTGGGCACGCCTGCGAGGGACGCAATAGCCTCGCAGCCTTCCAGCACCCGTAAGACGACGTCAAAGTCGCGAAGGTCCGCCGAGCGATACTCGAACCTATCGTCCTGGGAAAACCCGTCTGCAGCATTTGTGGCAAGATCGATCCCGACGACTTGATGCCCGCGCTGTAGCGCCAGCAGCGCGACGCGTTTCCCGACCGAGCCATTGCAACCTGTGACGGCGATCTTCATGGATGGATAGGAAGAGATGAGAGTCTGCGTCACCAAATGTGCTACGACATCGCGAGTCAGGAGACCATGAGGATAGATGAGAAGCTGGGGGTGAGTGCGGAGCGGGCCGGTAAGCCGCCGAGCAGGGATAGGACACTCGCTTGAGGTCGCTACTGCGCCTGAATGGGAAATAAGACTGCCTCATTGATGATTATAATAAAACTCCTACGATAGATTGACGAGAATGTTGCGGAAGGGCATGAAGGGTCGTAAATATCCAAGTGGTCTCTGCGTCGAAACGCCTCCGTGAATGAATGATTACTGCTTGTCCTCCTTCACAATATCAACAGGTCTTGAACCTGATGCAGCAGCTAGTCTTCGCCGAGCGATCCATTGGAACAATGGCAGAGTGATACAGGAAACGGCAGCCCAGGCAATGACGATGCCGAAATTGAGACCCACTGGAAAACGCGTACATTAGGTTGAGGTAAGGTTGAGGACGATCTTCCAACTCACAATTGTTCTTTGCGCCAAATATAATAGAGCGGACAGCATGGGAAATATTGTAGACTGGAAACCCGTAGCCATACCGGAAGACGGCAGGTAACACTTCGATAGGCATGAAGGCGACAGAGACGTTTGCTGGGAGTCGCGTGGGTCAGTGATCCGTTGTCCTTCGTGCATCAAACTTACAAATGATCCATAGAATGAGGAAGAAAGGGATGAGTCGGACGGTCAACAGCGTGATCATAGCTTCCAACGCTAGTCCCAGCGCGAGCATGCCGACGTAGTTGATCATCCAGAAGATGACGAAGCCAGCGTGGTCATATTTGCGGTCAAATGGCACTTGGAAAGCCAGGCTGAGTAGCGAGTAAAGTAACTGCAAACCCATCAGATGACGCGCAATCCTCGCGGGTGAGTAGTCCTTACCGAGAGGATGAAGTAGGCGACGAACGAGGTGACCATCCTCACGTGTATGAGGGATAGGGTCGTCAACTTGCGCTCAAGCCCTGAGGCCTCTCGAGCGCCGCCAGCGATCACGACGACGAAGAAGGCGAGGATAATCTGGTAGATGCAGCCAACGAAGGTAACCGCGGACGCGCTTTTGAATCACATCAGTCGTCAAAGTATGAGTGACGTGCAAGAGCGCGTACACAGGGACATCGAAAGGGCGTATGTTGACGAGAGTGTAGAATACCGGTTGAACAATCAGTTGAGGAGCGCTGCCGAGGATCTGAGACATATTCGAGGAATTGGCTATTTGTGCGGCCGTCTGGCGTGCAAACTGGGTAGAAATCTGTTGCATCGTTGACTGAAGTACAGGATTGAGGATGGTTCGGCTGTAAGCTTTGGTGAGCTTTCATTCTTAAAAGGGGTGCATGGCGAAGGACCCACTATGCGTTCTCGTTCCTCGACTCCACGCCATATGCTGTCAAGGCCGAACTGCCATTATACGAAGCGTTCACCGACGCGATCGCGCGCTGGAGATTAGAGGTGGCCGCGTCGTTGACTGTAGTAATTTTTTAGCCGATGTCATTCCAGTTCAAGAACTCAACTCACTGGTGACCGCGATCCATGCTTGTTCGTCCAGGATCGCGTCTGCGACATCGGAGACGCCATTCGGGAACTCGTTTGCAGATCGTGATATCCAGTGAACCTTGGATCCGCCGGCGCTTGATTGCACAAGCGCTTCGCTTACTGTGCTTCCTATCCTGTCGCCGTCGAAATCCTGTGGCAGTATCATCAGACTCTGTCATAGACATAAGAACAAACCACGTACGATGACCCATCCCCGTAGCTGGTGCGTGGGGATCTTCCACAGGGCGCCCCAGTAGATCGAGAAGATGCCGAAGATGATGCAGGCGACCATGACAATTCCAGCAAGCATGACCTTCATGTATGTCTTTCTTGACTCTGCGGCAGCAACACCGCGTTCGAAGAAGGAAGAAGTGTATGCTGGCGCCTGTGGGCCATCGTTGACGGTGCTCTGTTCGGACGCCATGCTAGTCGAACGGCGTAGCTCCTGAATGGGGGATGATGGGTGGGACATGGAGCTTGATGTGCCGCCGTCATCTCGAATGTCCAATATATAGTGGCCACGGGGTCAAGCGTATGACGGGTACGTTGAATGCGAATTCCCCGTGCATCCTCACGCAAGTCCGATAAGCCTGGAAGGTAACTAGGCCACGGCTAGTCATAGAGGAACGAATTCCAGCGATATTTGCGGCAAGAGAAGGAGAGTTCACCCGAGGTACCATATTAGCCGCACACGTCAGCGTCTGCACGTCGAGACACTGCATCCTTCCGTTCTGCGTCTAAAGCCCAGATGGAGGCAGACAGCGAAAGGGATATAACATCGTTCCAGAGAGGATATCGTGCATTAATATTCGTGATCAAGACAGAGGAGAAGGGAGAATGGCTTCCAAGGTTGGAAACATGGCCGCAGAGCAAACAATCATCAGCAAGTACAAATTACCGCATTTGGTTCAGCACCCACGCCCCTAAACAATGACCTCGAAATAGCGGATGGCGATGAACTGTTGTACTCGCTGATGTAATGCTCAGTGTGACTACTATATCGACAACCATACACCGAATGCAGGTCCTATGCTACAACCGGTCGAGAAATACAGTCCTGAGCAATCGTACCAGTGCCCCTTTGCCATATCAGAAAACATCTCCTCCTGGATCGCGATAGTCAGGGCTTTTCGCTGCTCTGTTCGGCTGCTACGCCCTGCTCATTTAACCGCTCGAAGCCCAGATCTCCACCATCCGCACACCGCTTAGACGACGACGACCCAGTCATGATGGTCGCACTACGCGACAACACGCATCGCGTACGTGATGACAGTGTGCGCGTTGAGCTCGGCGGGCCCGTCTTGCTAGTCCTGTCCGAGCTCGGGACCGCTCTGCCCGCCGGGCCCGGGCGCGCGGACACCGCGCGCGTCGACGAAATCAAGTCCGGCCCGCTCCAGACGGACGCAGACGAGCCCGCTTCGGAGAGGTAGCGGTCGAAATACGAGAAATCGCTGGTGAGCGACGTTGAGGGCGCGACCGAGATGGCGTTGAACGATAGGATAGACGGGAGGGACGGCTGAGCATTCAGGTATGCAGGGGTTGGATCCTTGACAGACTGCGACTCAGTGTGCTTCGTGGTCTCCCTGTCAGCACGCAGGCGACGGCGGCGACGGCGGATGAAGTATAGGGTGAGAAGGGATGTGAGAAGCAGAAGCAGAAGGCAGGTAATCGAGAGACCGATGATAATTGCAGTACGATGTTGGCCTGCGCCAGTGGAACGCGATTGCGAATGATCCGGGGACGAGGATGGCTTCACTTGAACTCCTGGAAACGTGCTCACGCCAGTCGCGTAGATGTCGGGGTCATTGCTACAGAGAATTCGTCAGACATGGCTGAATTGGCTACAGGCTACGCTGCTTACTGTGTAACGATCACATGGCTGAACCCGATATACAGCCCCTGCTTCCCATAGGCCGATATCGTAAGTTCATGTTCGATATTCTCCAGGGACGCACTCGTATACACAAGCTGACTGTACTGCATCTCCGACGAGTAGGCGGCTTGTGAGAAGCTCGCAGATGCGGCGCCTCCCTCCGCCCGCACCTGCTCCCCGTCGATAGTAAAGTTGCATCTCGTTAACGAAGGCGAGTCACCCGTGCTAGGAAGGGTGAGGTATATGTCGATGGCGACCCCTGGAAAGCGGCGTAAGTTCTACGAGGATCTTCAAGTTCGAGTTGTCGCTTCCTACCTGTGAAGTTCAATTTCATCGCTACCTCTTGTTCCGACGAAGGGTCGTAAACGGATGCGTGCCATGTTTGCTGCTCTCCGTCCGGAGGGCAGTTATCCCCTTCGCAAGCATGCGCCTCCCAGCTCTTAGCCGGTATGTACTGTATGGAGCCATCGACATCCGAGATCGTCTCGTTCGTAAGGGTAGCAAAAACGGCGCGAACGAGAGACAAAACACACAGAACGCACGCGCCGAGCAGCATAGAGGCGCTGCGCAAAAATCAGGAGCGCCTTGGGTTCGGCGCGCCTCATACTTAAGTAGCTGTGGGTGGCCCAGGAGCGATGCGTCCGAGTATCACGCTACATATATATCGCTGCGGTGCGCACGAGTCAAGCGAGCCTGCGTCGCGTACGCCCGTTCGGGCTGCGACTGAGTCAAGTGAGGTACTGTCGCGGTGGACGGATCAAGGACAATAGAAGTTGCCGCGTAGCCGCTGGCAGAACATGTCGGGCGGGAGTCTTGCCAGCTCAGTTGACCACTGACGACGGTCAGGACTGTAAGCCGCAATACTGCGAGCGCTGACGAGAAACGCGCGTCGATGGCATTGAAATAGGGGGGGTTCGGAACATGCCGAGGTTTTGTTCTGACGTGTTTGTCAATGACCCCGTCATGTGTAAACATGTTTTGAACTTCGCTCCTGCCATTACAAAGCCGCCTTTCAAGTTGCCTCTGACTACGATGTCGACGTTCAATTGCGATACGCTGTATGACTACGGACCTACAGGCCATTCAGGGTCTCCGCCTTCTGGGTCGATATCGCCGACAAGACCTCGATGTCAGCGCTCATTTCCTGTTTCCTGCATCAAGCAACAGTCGGCGCGAACTGCGCCAGCGCCGGCGGGCATGTACAGACAAGCACATGCAGGTTGGCAGCTATAACCGCGCTCCCGGAGAACGGCGTGGTCTCGCTCCACAGCGTTATTTCTTGATATGGGCTCTCCGTTGAGTCGTAAGCTCTCTAAGTGCACATCGGCGCTCGTAAACCAATCGGCGTAGAGGGCAGTCTCGGCGCGCTGCCATCTCTATACACTCCAAGCACGGAGCAAAAGGTGAGAACTTGCGCTGAGCATTGAGCTCTTCAAGGGTATAAAAGCCTGCCATGCTTCCCAGCATCCCCCATCTCATTCACGACCCTTCGGCTTCCTCTCACGTAGCCTCTTTCCACTCTCTTCATTCCACTCTTTACAGTCTTTTCCTAGTCCAAGTCCCAGCCATCCCCAATGGCCCGCTTCCTCGCCCTCGTCTCTCTCGCCCTCGCTCTCATCGTCACCGCGACGCCCACCCCCGAGCGCCGCCTCACCCACGTCCCTCGCGAGGCGACCAAGCTCGCGGCAGACCCCGAGACCGGCACCATCTACCTCTTCAACAGCCGCGACGAGCCGATCGGGTCCATGGATGGCGAGGCTGCGGAGACCATTCATCGCCGCGCAGGTGGCTGCTCTGACATCAGCGCCGATGAGGTGCAGAAGCGTATGTGCTCTGGTCTGAGGCACTGGTACCGCGTGCTGATTCTTTTCGTAAAAGTTCCCGGCTGGGGCAAGCTGAAGGACACGGCGAACTCGATGTGGGGCGATTATCAGCGCGAGATCAAGACGAACAACCCGGATGTGAGTATAGTGTACCCTTTGCTGTGCAGGTCCAATAACTCACGACTGTGTAGTTCCCCGACAAACCGGCTGCTGTCTGCATCACGAACAACGACGTCGACATCACGATCAACGGTGAGTGTTCATCGTTAGAGCCCTGATGCGAAGTATCTGATCGTGAATCCCCTCCAGGCGACCCGCAGTGCACGACCCAGTCGCAGTCCATCGGCGGCTCCGTGGACGGCACCAACGGGACCGTCATGCTTCAGCAGACCGAGGGCACCGTGTATACCCTCGAGACCACCACGACTAGTGCGTTGTCATCCATAATCTCGCTTCCTCGCTCGTATCACCTACCTACTACCCCTCCTCCCAGCCCAGGCCTCCGTCGCGCTCGGAATCTCCGCCTCCGCGACGTTCAAGATCCCGGAGGTCGCGGAGGACACGTTCAGCACGTCGCTCACGACGACGGTAACCAACACCCTTGGGAAGACGTGCGTTGATTTCTTCTTTTCGCCTTGCATACTGCTAGACTAAGTTCGCCGTTTCCCGATACTAGTGAGTCCTCGAGCAGCAACCAGCAGACGACGTCGACCGTGACCGCGCAGCAGAAGGATGGCCAGACGTGCAAGCTTGACGTGAGTGCGGCTGACTTCGTCACTGTCTATTAATGCTAAGTCGTTCTCCAGTTCGAAACCAAGACCTGCACCACTAAGGGCTCCGGCCAGCTGCCCTTCGTCGCCTCCGGCTGGGTCTGGTTTGTCTATAAGAACAAGACCAAGGACCACTGGAACTGTGAGTTGTTGATTCCCTTGCTTCTTATACTCGCCTTCCTGCCCCCCACTCTCGAGTAGTGACAAAACTAACTATCCCCAGGGGCCCTCCTTATGGAGGCCTACCTCGACGAGGGCGAGCGCTCGACCTACATGAACTTCGACTCCGCGGTCGGCACGGAGACGAAGTCACAGTACAACGTTGTGTGCCAGTGAGCCGATGGGTGCCGGTGATCTCCCTTCTGAACAGGGAGGTACACACATCCTGAACGCGAATCCGCGCGTCTGTCGATGGGCAAGCAACAAGCAACGGCGGACCGATCTTGGCGAGAGGGCTACGAATGTTTCTTATCCTATTTATTGATACGACGCGAAGACGTGTGTTCGTGTAGCTTAGTATCACGATCATAATTTATCCTTCGAATAACTCTGAGCTACGCAGGGGGGAAAGTCGTGCTTCAAAGGTCAAAGGGCCGAAGAAGTCGCAAGGCAGTTTGAGGACCCACCGTCGCCGACTTTGCTTGGCCGACAAAATTCGGCTGATTATTGATTATCCGTCGTACTGTGCGGAAGAGTGCCATCCAGCGCACTGACTCAGCCCCCAAACTTTGCGCGCGACACCCCGAGCTCTGTCCTCAGCCCCCCGGACCTGAAGACTTTGTACCCAACGTCGCGGACTTGAAGGATTGACAAGCTATACTGCTATTGCACATTGCCCGGAATGAGCTGTCATCGGGCTGGATTTTCGGGGCGTACCGACGCGCCTTCCTCTCGGTGCCGACCGCGCCCAGCAGGTCACTTGGCTTTGGCATTCCCTCCTTTCACGCATCGACGCAGGCGCGCTGTCGGACGCGAAGGGACCCCGTCTGAGTGGCCGGGCGCTACAAGTCCGCGGGTGGCGTGCTGTCAAGCTCTCGTCAGAACGAGAACGCAATTCTCCCAGTCAAACGGCGCGGGAGGCGGAGGCGAGACGAAGGCACGAATATTTATCTGGTGAGACGGCGCGGGAGAACAAGAGGTCCTTCGCTCGATGTTTTGAGGAGAAAACATATGAAGACACCTCATGCATTGGGAACGTGCAAGTTGAGTTACGCGCACGCAAAACGAGAAAATGCGGCACACGGGAAGCAAATGAGGCGCATGTCAAGCGAATGCGGCAGTTGACGAACTCATCGAAGATCCTTTGACACGGAGGGCTGTCCATTGCGTGCGAGGGTTGCACATTGCGGCGACCAAGGGGGAGAATTTGCGCGGGAGGGGTATATGAGGGCTGTTCTCTACGTCCGAGGGCTGTCCGCGTCGAAGAGGGTTTGCGCATCGTCGACAAGGCCCGAGTCAATATGCAGGTCGACCAGGTCCGTCGCGCACGTTTAGCATACGTTGACCACGGGCAGGTACCGCGTATTACACGCAGTGCGCGCATGCATCGACAAGGGAGATGGCCGTACGTACGATACGCGCGCGATGATCAGCCTCGCAGATGAGCAGTAGAGGCCATCGGTACTTGTGGTCCTATGACGCAGCGCGCCGTCGCCTGCCCGCCCTGTGCTAGTCTTCCCCGCATTGTGATAGCGAGTCTGCCGTCGCCACAGCACCCAAGACTCGTCCTCGCGGTGCTCACGCGGTCGTCAGCAGTAAGCTCTGATACCATCGGCAGGGAGGAGGTAGCTGAGATAGGGCACCCTGTGTATATAGATCCATTCGAGATACATGAGGCTCGGATGGGTGGAACAAGCGGTTTGCATGTGTTGAAGTTGTTCCAGTCGCGTAAAGCGGTGTCCCCCGGATCCTCAGGGGGAAAGAGAAAGGCGCGAAGGAGTTGTGGAGGGTGGAAGAAGTCCTTCGAGGGGGCGACACGAGCAGAGCGCGCTCACGGACCGATATTGTTTGGGGTGCAGGTGCTTACTTCCGCTCGCAGATGAAGGGGACGATGGGGCGATAGAAGCAAACAAGCATTTTGGCGCGTTCGGACGAGGATTGTGGAGAAAGCGAAGGCCATTCGTGGAAGAATTTGGAATATGCTCGAGACGGATCAAGGAGGAAACGTGTCCGGAGGCGATTTGCGGGCAATTTGATAGCGGTAGCGCCGTGCCCGCTGCCCCGCCGACGTCCTCCGCCCGCCCATCTCTCGCCCATCGCGAACTCGTCTGCAGCTGCGCATGGGATGGCATTCGAGTGCTGCTCGCCCGGCGACTGAAGCCATGTCCGACCCCGACACTGCCGCCCCTGTCGACGGAGCACGCGCGCGCGGAAATGACGACGGCGATTCCGGGAAGGAGCCTGTCGGTGACACCGCGCCAGATCATGCACGTCATCGTCCCCAGTCGCCTGCCCATATAGGTCCGCGCGCAGATTCGCCCGCCGCTCAATACGCCCCGCGCACCTCCTCCTCCTCTAGCACCCTCTCGTCTGCGCACCCGGGCCCCGCGCCCCGCGGCACGTCCGCATCGCCGCCTGCGTCTGCGTCTGCACTCCCAGAGACCGAGACCAAACCTCCCAAGTCGCCATCCACCATCACGCTCCCCCCGATGTCCATGTCCGCGCCTGCGCCCCGCATCGATCTCAGCGGCCTCGCCCTCCACTCGCCCTCGAACATCGTCGGTACGCCCGCGCCGCGCGAGGACGCGCCCTACGAGTACCCATTCCCGCGCGAGCCGCTCCTCGTCTCGCCCGCCCTCTCCACCGCCACATCCTCGTCGTTTGGTAATGCCAGCCCGATCGGCGTGCCGCTCGCCTCGCCGCGACCCATATGCGCCGGCGTCGGCATCGGCCTCAGTGCGAATGGCGTGATGAGCCCGACCGCGTTCTTCGGCGGCGCCGTGTCGCGCAGCCCGCCGCCCACCTGTAGCTCGCCCTCCGCGCACCCCAGGCTCCAGCTCACCAACCCGCCGATCCCGCCGACGCTGCTGCAGAAGGCGCGCGCACGCAGCAACAGCTGCCGCCACGAACACCTGCCCCATGGCTCGCATGCGTCCGCCAAGCGCAGCGTGTCGACTGGCAGCGGCTCCAGCGAGCCTGGGGCATAGCAGGCACATCCTCGCGATGCTGCGACCGAGATGGCACGCACGCGGTCTCGTTTCCTCATAATGGGCATGTCTCTTCGTCATGGGTCACGGTTGGGTTTATGGTAGATTCCGCGTCTTCCTGGTTATGAATCGGTCGTGTACGTCCCGCATCGCGCTCGCATCTGCCGCCGACGCTAACCTCCGTTGCAGCTTCTCTCCTTATTCTACTATATAAGAGACCGTCGTCGCGCATCCTCGTTATCATATGCATCGTCCATCGCCCTGCTATCCACCCGCTATCCATATATGCGCCTAGCGCGCCTTTTGAATACTCCGGCTCTTCATACGAGGCCGACAATCCCTCTCCATGCGAAGCCCATCTGCCTTCCTTGCGAAGTCCACTTGTGCTCATCATGTGAAGCCTTTTGTGCTCTCATGGAAGGCCCATATACACCCCCCATCTGTGCTCCTCATACCATGAATCATGCACATACACATCTGCTGGATATACACGGCCCCAGCTGCACCAAACTCAGGGTCTTTATTAATTCCTTAGAACCGATCTTCGACTATTCGACTGCCATGGGAGACTATCTCATGTACTTATCTGCAGGTGCTTATCTCGAGGGCAAGAACATATGTATGTAACGCTCCTTGGCTCAATGATTATATTGTACATTCTCTTGGTTGGTGACGCCGGTGCGATTTCCAGACCGCCGATGAGGAACATTGGTGTGACGCTGTCAAGCGTCACGGTCAGGTGACAAGTTCAACTTGATGGGTGCCACGTGAATGTCATGACGTACCGAGCCTCGATCGCGACCGACGCGCTTCTCCATCGCGCCGCACTTCGGCCGCGCTTGACACTGCCATTGACAGCGCGCTGACGACGCTCAAATACGACGACGACGGCTGATATCCCTCTTGCTTCCTCCTCCCTCCGCCATGATGGGTCTACTCAGCACCCTCAACGCATACATCTCGTCCTTCCCGCCCGAGTACCACTGGCCGCTCCAGTTCTGCGCCTTCACGACTGCCGCGACGTACATCGCGTCCATCATCACCTCGAATGTCTCCCAGGTTGATCGGCTGTGGACGTTCCTCCCCGCGATATACACGGCGTACTTTGCGCTGTTGCCTGTGCTGCCGAGGACGCAGCTCTTGCCATTATTCCCGTATGTGCCGAAGGAGCTTGACGTGCCGGAGGTGCTGAGCCCGAGAGCGGTGCTGATGCTGGGGCTGGTGGTGATTTGGATGATCAGGTGCGTAGGCGATGGGTTCGGCGTCCAGGGGAAGGGCTAACGAGGACACTAGACTGAGTTACAACACTTGGCGCCGCGGGCTGTTCAACCTGAAGGATGAAGACTACCGCTGGGCGATCGTCAGGCGCAACATACCAGGTTGGCTCTTCCAGATTACGAACCTTGTCTTTGTAGGTGTGTGCACTGCCAATTTTCCCCTAATTTCGTGTCCTGATTTAACCCGCAGCCGGCATCCAGAATGTCCTACTGCTCATGCTCGCCGTCCCCACCGCCCTCGCCTCCGTCAAGCAACCTCGCGCGCCGCTGACCGTAGGGGACTACGCCCTCACCGCGCTCGCTCTCATCGATATCGCCCTCGAGTTCACCGCCGACAATCAGCAGTACGCGTTCCAGACGTATAAGCACGCCTTCCTCGCCAAGGAGAAGGGCGATACGTCGGTTGCGCCCTACGACCCCGCGAAGCAGTGGCCCGGCGCGCGCTTGAACTGGACGCCGGCGGACGCGCGCCGCGGTTTCGTGACCAAGGGGCTGTGGGCGTACGTCCGGCACCCCAACTTTGCGTGCGAGCAGACGTTCTGGGTGCGTATCTTCTCACCCGCCCACAATGCCATTTTCTGACTCTCCCTACAGTGGCTCATAACCCTCTTCCCCATCCTGCCCCCGCACAACGTGCTCTCCTCGAAGGACATCATCCACGCGCCGACCGTCTGGGTGATGCTGCAGCGCCTCTGGCCGTTGTGGCCCGCGATCGCACTTTCAGCGCTCTTCTACTCGTCGACAAACTTGACGGAATCGATCAGCGCGGGGAAGTACCCGGAGGCCTACAAGGCGTATCAGGCGCGGGTGGCGATGTTCAAGCCGTATGATACGTGGTTCAAGGGCCTGAAGCTGGCGCAGGAGGGGCCGGCGAGGAAGGCGGAGGTGGAGAGGCTTGTGTGGGGGGCTGCTGAGAAGAAAGAGTGAGGGTGGTGCGTATCGCTAGTGATGTTGTTCTCGAAGGCTATATATCAACTGTAACTCTGTAACGTGAATGCCTAAGGCTTGTTGCTCGTCGAGTGGCGTGCCGATCCCAGATCGTCCAGTCCACCGAGGCTTATATTCAGCCGTCGTACGAACCCTTACCCCATGACGAAAGGTAGTCCGCGTCCTTGACCGCGCCTAGGTTATGCCGCAGAAGGATTTGGTAAGGATCGTGACGCTCGTACACTGCATTCTTCGATGGAGTTTCGAGGATACTCATCATCAAGGGACATCTTAGATAATATAGAATATGCGTCGAGTAGACACAGAGTATATAGTCCCGTACATAAATTATGTTCTTCCTTCTCCCAACGCACCCACCCAACGCGTACACCCGCTCAAACAACGCTCCCATTGGATCTCTTAAGATAGGGAGGGGTGGTTCTCCGCGAAGTACTCGTGGTTGTCCGCGTTCATGACCGCCTGGCTGGGCTTGTTCTTCGCGAGATCCTTGGCGCCGTCCTTCTGGTAAACGATATCGTCCGTCCCGCCATTCTACGGGCGTTGTGAGCTTCTTGTCCTCAGGCGAGGAATGAGTTTGCGTACCTTGTTGAAGTGCGACGCCTCGTGGATGAGGGTGCCCCCGCGAGAGTCCGTGCCGGTCGTCTCGGCCTCCCAGAAAGCCGGGCAGAGGTAGATGACGCCGTAGCTATCGTGTGCGGTCAGGAGGTGTTCGAAGGGCGCAGACGGATGGACGCTTACTCCTCTGGGTAGACGTAGGCGAAGGTGCCATCCTCATCACACGAGCAGTCGTACTTGAAGCTCGTGTAGTCGCCCTCGTGGATGTGCTGAAAGTGCGAGGAGACCTTGTCGTAGCGCGTCGAGTTGAACTTGCCGAACCAGGTCTTGTACCGCTTCGTCGTGCTGTTGTGGTCGGAGAGGAACTCGTACGCCTCCGCCGCGTAGTTCGTCGCCGCCTCGATGGCGTCGTTGATCTGCGAGCTCTGCGTCTTGCTGCACTTGTTGAAGTCTGCGCGCTTCGAGATGGGCAGGCGCGCGACGGCGAGCTTGCCCGCGAGCTTCGCGGAGTGTTTCGACGTGGACGCCTCGAGGGGAACGATGGTCCCGTTGTCGGCGAGGTGGTAGAAGGTCTTGTCCGTGTCGAAGTCGTACGCGTCCTCGCCCGAGTCGGTAAAGTCGTATGCAGCGCTCACTGCAAATCCGAGTTATTGATGTCCACGGGCGTAGCAACTAGGAAGGACCCACAGTCGTGCTCCTTGTCGACAGATTCGCCGGGCGCAAGAACTGTGAAGGCACTGCTGTTCTTCGCGACGATGTGGTCCATCGAGTACTTCGCGTAGACACCCGTAAACTTTGGCGACGCGCCGGCGGAGTTTCCGATGACGAAGGTGTTCGCCGGGAGCTTGCTCAGCGCGGAACGCGGATGATTGAAGAGCTTGAGCGTTTCGTCGCCCGTGTTCGTGATCGTCGTCGTGACCTTGAGGTTCTCAACGTCGGTCACGTCCGAAGGGCCTGCCGTTAAGGTCAGTATTGAGGCCAAGTAGGAATGTCCGAGCGACATACCAGCGACCTTGAGTGACAAGGACTGAGTCGCGGAGACGGCCACGGCCGAAAGCGCGAGGGACGCCAGCACAGTCGGAGACGACGAGAAGAGCATGATCTGACCGGGAACGATGCGAAGAGGGAAGATGCGGGGGGAGGGGTCTTCCTGACCTGCATGCTTGAACCCTCTCACACTTTATACGAGAATCCCGCCGATCCGGGGCATTTGACGGTGGAGGTAGCCATCACGCTCGCATTGCAAAGCGGTACGGCGACAGCCCTCCCCGACGGCCATGGCATATGCGCCCTGTAAGCGATACTCCAAATTCTTGCTGCAGAACCCTGATGGCAAATCGTCTGAGATTGCCGCCCATCCCTCGCGACGCGTCCCAGCCCAAACACACGTTGTTCCAGAGTAGGAAAGGCTTGGCGCTGACTGAAGCGAGTGACTCAAAGGGAGCTTTTGCATCTGAACGCTCAGTGCACTCAGGAACATAGCTAATCCGAATCGAGGAGGACGGAGGAACATGGGGGTTCGAGGGCGACTGTTTACTTCCGAGCACTGGGATCATACTTCCAATGATCCGGCAGTGGTCGCGTGGAGCTCACGTGGAAGCGCCAAGGACACGCACCTTTATGGCCGTTCGTCTCTTTGGTCCCGCTCATCGGACATCCAGGATTTTATCTTACTCACCCTCTCAGATATATCTATCCTGCTTGACCTTAGCTTTTGTAGACTTTGAAGGCCTGTGAGTGCTTGCATCTCTATGCAAAACTGCCGGGAGAATAGTTTCCTGGCCGGTTGTTATCGTAGCTGGGTGGTTCGGTGTAGAGGTCGCGGTGCGGCTCATGCTGCGCGTGGTCAGTGCGCCGAAGCGCTACCGTGCTAGGTTAAACTTTTCGAAGGCTCGATACAAACAAGTACAGCGGGACAGAGATTCAAATTCTGATGGTACAACGATCCTACAAAGATACCAAGTCAATATAGTCGAGTTTATTCAATTTACATGTACGCTACACCTTGCCATTCCAGCTGGACACCCGTCAGATTCGTCAGGTCGAAAAGGTCCGGCTGGTCAATCGTGATCGACCACTGCGTAAAAGGGGGTGGATCCATGTGCTGCGACATCGTGATGATCGAGTCGACTTCGATGCCGTTGTTGACCGCCTTGCCCTGCGCGTCGACGAGGTACTTGAACTGACGAATCTGGGGCAGGCTGGTAAAGCCGAAGACCGCGTTGTCCCTGCGGATGTCATTGTAGATGCCCGAGGTACCGACAGTAATCCAGACGACGGCCGTGCCAGCCTGTGAGAGCGCCGAGGGCTTGGGCACGAGGCCCTGCAAGACGACGCGCATGCCGAAGACGCGGAAGGCGCTGCCGTCGGTGAAGGGGCCTGCTGGGTATGGTAGAGCTTTGTCACCGGTGCTGGGACGAGGGACCAGGGCGAAGGTAGCAGAATGCTGTTGCTGCAGGGCGGCAATGACGCTAAGACCGATGCTGTCGAAGCACGGCTGTGGGACAAATAGTCAGTCGGTATGATAGCATACGGGCGGCTTGGGAGAACGCTCACGTCTTTGATATCGCGCACAAAATGGATGGCTAGCGGAACTGAATAAGCCAGCGTATATGTTGGAGGGTGCGATCATCGACTTACGGGACTTGTCGCTCGCCGTGCCTTCTTCGTAGCTCTCGACCTCGCGGACGAGCTGAGAGAGGTCTGCCTGATACTCCTCCATCCGCTTGCTCGGGTCGAGAACCAAGGAGCTATCCGTCAGCGTGTAGAACTTGAACGCCCACATGATGTTGCGGAGCTCGATGAGCGTGCTCGTGCGCATCGCGTCGAGGCGGTCGTAGAAGTGCAGCCGCGCGACGTCGAGCTGGTCCGCCTCGTTCTTGAACGACAGGCGCAGCGCATGCAGGCGCACCATGTCCGCCTGCGCGAGCTGCAGAGCGAGCTGGTGGTGAACGTACTCCTGCCCCGCCTTGACGGCCTGTGCGCTCGCCTGCGTCGTGAGCTTGCCGTTGATGGCGTGGTTGCGCAGCTCGAGGAGGTACCCGGAAGCGCCGCCGATGCCCTCGGAGACCGCGTAGCCCATCTGGGCCTCGACGCCGAGGATCCACTTGTCCCACGCAGCCCCACCGACGAGGGCCTGCAAGTCCCCATCGCCCTGCTCCTCGGGGAAGGGAGACAAAGCACTCGACCCGCCAGCTGCGGCGCTGTTGATGGCGTTTGCATTGTCGATAGTGGAGTGCACCATGGTCGAGATACCCGTAACAACCTTCTGGATGTTTTCCAAGGTTTTCTTGTCGATGATGCTGCCCGTCACCTTCGCGGCGGCATCTGCAGCGGCGGCGGCACTCTCAACAGCAGCAGCAGCCTCAGCAGGCGCAGCGGCGGCAGGCGCGGGGTCTCCTATACATATAGCGCCAATGGCGAGGGCGAATGCTAACATCATCATCAGCAAGACAGATCAACAAAGAAGGTATAGGGGAAAGACTCACTAACGATAGCCTGCAGTATGTTGACCACAGCGTCGAGCGTCTTCTGCCGCTGCCAAATCGCGATCCCAGCGCGAAAGGCGGACGCTTTAACGTCCAGGGTCCATTGGTGAACCTTCATGTCGTTCTGCGCCGTCGAGAGAATCTGCTGCGCGGAAAGCCACTTCGACTTCGCGTCGAGCGCAAGCTGCTGCTGCATGGCCAGTGTGCTCTGCGCCTGCACGAGCATGCTATCCCACGCCTTCAGCTGGTCGTCAACGGTGGCTTTGTTGTCCGTGAAGCGGTCGTACTGCGCCTGGAATGCGGCTCCGGCAGTGAGGATGGTCACCATCGAGTTCCTGTAGAAGTCGAGCTTTAGGACTGGCGCGTACGAGGTGCCCGGCCCAGCGAAATCGGCCGCCCTGATCTGCTGCAGGATTGCGGACGCTTGGATGTTGAGCAGCGCGCTGCTCCCATAGGCGCGGACAGTGGTGCGCACGACGTGGAGCGCAAGGAGCGCGGCGACCATTGGCTGAGTCCAGAAGAGAACGGACGTGATGCGGAGCTGCGTTGCGAGCATCTTGTACAGGTCGCCGTCGGGAGCGATGTCCTGGAAGAAGTAGCTCTTGTAGTACTCCACGGCGAGGGTGCCTTTGGTGGCCGTCAGAGAGACGCCAACGTTCCCCGACATGACGCCGAGGTTCAGCGCTTGCGGCGAGCCGTTCCCAAGCGACACGGTAATCGGCTGGTCGACGTACGTCGCCCAGATTATTACTTGAGCAGCATCGTCAGATGCGGTCGTTAGGTGGATGTTCACCGGCGCCTCCGAGGTTATCACCCTCGAAAAGATCGTGATAGAGGCGAGCGCTGGCAGCGGCAGCTGCACCGTCGGAGCGGGGGAGAGCGCGAGGATGTCAGTGTAGACATAGGTGAAGTCGACTCCGGCCGTTTGAAGGTGGCTGACGTCGACGTAGACATCGCGTGTCACAGACTGAGGAGCACGGTCAGCAGCACCGCTCGCAAGTGAGATCGACGCGGAGAACATACGCTTGTACCGGTCGTGATCTGACTGGCCATCGCAGGTATTTTGCTGAGCGAGGGAGAAGTGGCCCACTGGTGCCATTCTTGCGGGGACGAGGGCTTGTTCATGGCCATTGTCGAAGGAGGCGATGAGTAGAAAATGAATCGAGCTTCTGAAGAGGCGCTGATAGAATGACATCGGAGGGCGAGACGACTTTAAGAAGGGACAGCTATGGCCAAGTCCCCATTCCTGACACATAGCGCCGTAAACAACTACGCCACGGGGGGCTGCGCAATACGACAGCGACTGGCGTTGCTTGGGAGCTATCTCCCGTTTGGCACACGAGCCAGGAGGTGGTACCCTCATTTAGAGCTTCCATAGTAGAACGCAACGGCGCGTGAGCCTGAGAGCCTTCCGATGGGGTGTTCGATACTATTTCTGTTTGAGTCTTTGGGCGACTTCAACGCGCTCGGCGGATACATCCAAATGATGAAGCGAAGAGTGCACGAGGTATTGCGCTGTACGCAAGCCAGACGTAAGAATTGAGTGAAGGTTTGAGAACCCTCACCTGTAGCCTGAGCTACTTCATTGTTCTAGATTCGAACGGTCACGGACGTCCTCCGAGTCTGTCACCTATCGCAGCCCCTCTTGAAAACGGCCATGGTGAACTTCCTGGGACATTTATCGAGGAAGACGACACGTATGTTTCATTCCTTTGCTGGAGGCTGGTTCACGAGACCACGCCGTCGATCGAGTCGGCGGCGGATGCGGAAGGCAAAGGATCGTCTATTTGTGCAACTTTGAGCTTGTTGTGGCAAGTTCATTGCGTGACAGTATTCCGGTCACGGCGATGTGCTCGTCTCCCTTAGCCTACAACCGCCACCATCATCACGAAGCTTCTAAGGCCGCTGCCTCAGTAAGAAAAAGACAGTCGGGTCTTCGAAGAAGGACGCACGAGTTCCTCAAGATACGCTCTTTGGCCGCGGAGCCATCTGGCGATTGGACCTTGTCTATATGTGCGTCGGATTGACGGAATTCGTCCGAAGCTAATAGCATGGGATGCAGTACGTGTTCAAAGCGCGTCTTAACTCAATCAATGCATCTACCTTCACCTACCCTCCTGATCATGAACAGATGACTTTAACTTCTGCTCAACGAGCACCTTCCCCACAATTGCATGGAGCCAGTCGCGCTTCGATGCCTGGAGTAGCGCAGTGGCGTGGATAGACAGCTCTCTAAGTCGTGACGATAGAGCTGCTCACGCGCGCGGAAGGTCAACTCCGCCGGCCACCGGCGCTGCGCATTTGCGGCTGTCCCGCCTGACCATCTTCTTCAAGCCCTGCGAACGTTGAGAGTCATGCATACCTAATTATGATTGGGTCTTCAGCGAACGCCACGCACTAACGATTCCAGCGGAAAGCTCTACGACACTGTACACGGTAAAATGAACTTGAGCCTTCGGATGACGGTTCGAGCTCGTCTGCGCATCAACGTACATTATATACGCTTCAGGCTCGTCTGCTGAGTCCCCAGAGACCTCCCGTCTTTGCCTGCCAGTCTTCGCAACATCCCATCCTCTCGACGAACGACATGTCTTCCGATACTCCAACCATCGACATGACCCCGCAGGGCCTCCTGAACGCGGACGGCAACTACGTTCTCCAGCAGGAAGACGTATACAACCTCCTCAAGTATGTGTGGGCCGGTGTCTTGCTCCCCGTCACGCCGGACGACTACCAGAAGCGGCTGCAAATATCCACCGACATCGCGACCAAGCTTTCCAACGTCATCACGCCCCTCGTTGCGGCTTACAAGACCGTATGTACACTTCTCTCCTTTTTGGTGAACGTTGCGGCTGATCCTACACAGTGCAGCGCCAACTGTACGACGTTCAAGACTACGACCTACCCCAGTATCGTGGCCATCGCCAGCGACATCTACAGCTATGCCCAGAACGCTGGCGGCACTGCGCAGGATTCTTACTACGGTATGTCCCGTTCTGAGACCATTGTTGCCCCGATAGACTGACAACACCGCCCAGCCAATATCTGGCAGGGCATCCGGTCCCTGGCAAACGCCACCTCGCCCACGCAGGCGCAGCAGCTTACGGACACCATCAACGGCTTGATCGACGTGCAGGTCACGGATATCGCCAACATCAAGGCGAAGGCCGAGCAGGTCGTCACCGACTTGACGACGTTCAAGACGCAGACCGAGGGCGATCAGACGACGCTGAAGACGAACCTCGATGCGGTGGCCGCCGCTCTGAAAGCCGAGGATGGCGACTTGGCCACCTTGGAGAAGCTGCTCGTGGACAACAAAGCGGAGCTTGCGAGCGACGAGGAGGAATACGAGCATGGTGCGCATAACTCATAACGTCTATCCTTTTCTGTGCCCGGAACGCTGATAGCGCGATTCCTTACCAGACGTGATCGTGGCGTGCACGACCCTCACCTACGTCTGGGTGCCCTTGTGGGGCACCATCTCCGCTATTGTCGTCGCTGGCGTCTTCGGGAAGAAGGCGGCTGACATGGCGGATAAGATCGACGAGATGAAGAAACTCATTACGGACGAGGAGGGGAAGATCTCCGACGAGAAACGCCTCCTTGCGGACCTGAACGCGGTCGACGTATGTCATTCTCCTTCATTGTCCTTACACCCCTTCCGCTTCCCTGACGCGCCTTTTTCTCCCTAACGCGCCCTCCCTCTTCCCCGACGCTCCCCTTTCCCTTGATACATTTCTCATAGCATACCCCCAGACCGACTTGACCAACTTCTATGCCTCCATCGACCCCGCGGTCACCGCCTTGAAGGACATGATCACGGTCTGGGACAACATCTCCGCGCAGCTCACGAACCTGAAGAGCATCGTTGCGAACGACGTGAAGAAGGCGAACGCGGTCACGGCGGCGCAGACCGACGCGATTCTGGTTGCCAAGTGGAACACTCTTAAGGAGGCCGGTGAGTGCTGGCTTTGGTTCCGCCTGCGCCTGCCTGCTGGTCGTTTGCGTCGGTCTGTATTAAAATCCTCTTGCAGTTGACAAATACCGCAAGGCAGCCTATATCACGCCGATTCAGCAGTCGTCCTTGGACGCGATCTCGGCGCAGCTCCGCCAGCAGGCATCCCGCGCTGCGTAGTGAAGGTTCGCACTGGTGTAGTCGAAGTCACCCGTATTTGGCGCCAAAGCCTTCCAAGTGTCATGTAGCAATGATCAATGAATCGTGTATCCTTTTTTCGACCCCACCACGGCCTTACTCCCGTCGGATTGAGGATTCGAACTTGTGACTTTGACCACGTGACAGACTTCGGCATGTGCCGAGAACAATGAACCATCATTGTTCTCTACAACGACTGCATACCTTCTTCGTCGCAGCCTGCGGTCATCATACCGATGTCAAGTCCAAGGAATCGCTCGATGCCACAGCCGGCCTGTCCTGCAGGGCCGCCAGACGCGCCTATCTATGCCCTTTTTCCTGTTCCAGAACCTCTTGGCGGTCAAACTCGAGGGTCCACCGCTTTGGCACCTATCATCTTGGCGATCCTCCGCGCTTACAACGCATAGATTAATCGCGAAGGCCTCGCACTCTCGTTGGTGCTGAAAAATGATATATTCCCCTTGAAACCCAATAAAACCCGGTATGTACGGTACTTTTCTAGACAAGGTTTTCTTTTGTCTAATGATATGGACAGCGCCTTGGTGAACAATGGCGTCTCCCCGACGAGTTCGGCTGTACGATGTGTGCACCTTGAGAGGTGCTTGTGTTGCGCCGAATGAGCCGTGCGACGTGCATGGCTTCTGCGGCGCCCAATCACCCAGCAGCCTAACGAATCTCGGCGCCTACACGCACGTCCCTTACTGACATACGTTGAACAGCATGTTGCAGCAGCGTTTATAAGGATAGTCGTGCTCATAGCTACGAGGAGAAGGTGAATGAGTCATCGGGGAAGAGACACTGACAGGAAACGACGTACCAGCGACCCCAGGAATCCGCGGGATAACAGAACGAGCTGGAGAGGCGCTGGTCGAATTTCCGACGGCAGCACCACTTCGTGCCGGGGAGAGCCCAGTCGACCATGCAGGTGGTGGGCGACATGGAGACATGACGGGGCTCGGCAGCTGGGGAGGGCGGTCAGCAAGGGTGTGCGGAGGGCTTGAAGGCAGGGCTTCGGGCGAAGGTACGCCTACTCACTCTCTGTTCGCGACTGCATTTCTGGTCGGCTTCCGGGTTGTGCGGACCCGTCAGTTTCCGTGTGTTCGTTATTCTGCTGAGCCCGGTGTTTGACGAGCCAGCGCGGTGGTAATGGGGGCAAGCCTTTCGACATGCGCTCGGCGTTGGTCTCCGCGGCAACGATTGTGACCAGGAGCGCCAGGACGGCGAGGATGAGGCGAAAAAGGCTGAGCTGCATGGCTGATGGTGCAGAGTAAATGGGTGAAGCCGAAGGAGGAGGTAAGGCGTGTCGAGTTCGAATGCGTTCGGAGGACCCAGCACGCTCTCTTTTATTTCTCCATTGTTCTGCCTCCGTGCCCATCCCAGGGACGCGACGGCAGAGCTATTGTACTCATAATTGTTTTTCGCCCTCCCATTCGGCATGCACAACGAGTCCGTGCAGGCCTGGACAAGGATTGCGAGCATCGGGCGCCGTCGCTTTGTTATGCTACCCGAAGAATATTCGCTTGTGCATTCCCATGTGTTATGGGCCTGCCCCTGCCGCGCCCCATTCGCGTCCATGACGGTCACGACAGTAGCCGGTCTTGTGCGTGTATTTGTATTGTGCGCTCTCACGCGTATGGCCGTCTTGTGCGTGACTATTACAAGGGCAGTGCGCGGAGGCAAATCTCGTCCCAATTCGTCGACAAGGGCTACCAATTGTGGATACTGGTGAAGGAAGATGCCGTGCCGGGCGTGCCGGGCGGCCAAAAAACCCTTGGCCGCTGACGTTGTGGGTCCAGATTGAGCCCGTGCGAAAATCAGCGATGACGTCGTGCGGTCCGCTTCGGCGCGTCGGGCATGCGCGCTTAGCCATCCGTGCTACCGTCCGACCACTACTTACCATGGCGGGCCAGTGGTCGCAGTACCTCAACCGGTCCGCGCAGGTCTTCAAGGACAATGTCGGGAAACGTTGCGTGGTTGTCTCGCTCCCCCCTTTCGCGCGTTGACAACCGGCAGTCGTCTTCATGAAGGGCGCGGACCTCCCCTCGCGTGCGCCCCTCCCCCTGCTCGCGCTAAATACCCCCGAGGACCTCAAGGGTTTTGCAACGGGATGTGATTCCGACGTCGGTGGCCGCTCGACCGCGAAGCTCGAGCTCGACACGGATCCGAAGCGCCTCCTGCCAGGCAAGAGCGCCGTCGGCCGCTTCTGGGGTGAGATGCGGTTGGACGTGCAGCCCGGTAAGGAGCGCACCTTGCGCAGTGGGTACGCAGGATTCAGGAGCATGGTGCGTCAGCAGCGTTTTGCGTCCGCCTACCAATCGTGCTGACCGTGCGTGCCTTCGCTCTACTACTCTCGATTGCCTCGATCGTCGGTGGCTTATCCTCCCTCCTTACCGCTTATTCCCCCGCCTTACTGATTATCCATAATTATTGTCCTCCCCCCAGCCCCGGCCAACCCTCTTCGGCGAAATGCTGCACAATGTCAGCTACCACGACTACCTGGCTTTGCGCGTGCGCGCAGGGGGCGACCCGCGGACGTGGAATTCGTACTTCGTGAACATCCAGACCGAGGGCGGCTACTCGAATGATCTCTGGCAACACAGACTGTACTTCAAGCGCTCGGATGGTGGCTGGGAAGATGTATACGTGCGTGCTTGATCTTTCTAGTGGATTTCTCCGTCCGCGAGCGGGCGTTCGCAATCCGTTTCGGACGCGGACTGCTACCGTCGCTTATTCCTCCCGTCCTTTTTCGCCTTTCTTTATAATCTTCATCGTTCCCGTCTCTGCTCTCGCTGCAGTTTTCGACCACTGCTTGCAAATCCTCTTCCCTCATGCGACTCTCGCTTGTTCCTCATCCCGACTCTCTCGCTCGTTCCTCTCACCCCTCATCAATTGTTATCCCCCCCTCTGTATCGCTGCCCTTCCCTCATATTCACCTCTCCTCCCAGATCCCCTTCGACAATTTCGTGCGCAAGAACGCGGGCGAGATCGCGCGCGACCAGTACAAAATGCCGCGCAACCAACTTCGTACCATCGGCGTCTCCATCCTCGGTGGTAACAGCCTCGTCGCGGGGCCGTACGAGCTGGGGATTGACACGATATCTGCGGTCGTGGAGCCTGGGGACATCCAAGAAGCTCAATCTGAAAAGGCTTGAACGCCGACCATTGGATTTGCCCCATTGTACTTGTACTATATACTAAACTTATGGATAATGGGACTGTCTACTATTCCATTGGCCATGACGTTCGTCAAGAAAGACCCAAGGCTTGCGAAGCACTGCTAGGCACGCAGGAACTGAAAGTCAGACGGAGTCCATAAGCAGTTGGCGCCTATGGACACCGGTAGACACAAACGCGGCACGTGGGCTTAGTTACCGACCCACGAGGCAAGCCACGTGGATCAAAATTGCTTCCGCAGTGACCCTCCCGCCCAAGTCTCCTCGTCGCTCGCGTAGAATGGTCCCAATTGCTAGATAGCCCTAACCCTCTCACATCAACGAATCCGCAAGTTCCGATTGATTCTATGGTACTCAGAATATACAACGAGGAAGAAAGAAAACTAAGGTAAACGAGCGGACACGTATATCCAAGATACGAGCATGAGGGAGATGGCATGAAGAGCGCGAGTAAGGGCGAAGACGCAGGGGTAACCATGATGCCGCGCCTGCCCCGGGTAATACCATGCGAGTCGAGTGGAATGCCAGGTGAATGAGATGGAAGACCATGCGACGCACGTAGTGGTACGGGTAACGTCGAGCGAGGCAGGTAGGTAGGTAGGTCAGGTAAGGACGGGGTAGTGACCGGCCGCGCAGGTATGAAGGGCAAGGGCGAAGGACAAGAAAAACCCAGGGAGAAGGATTACAATACTACGCAGCCACCACAGCAGCCGCCGGATGCCTCGTCGGGGCTGCCGAACGTCGCGGGTGCGCCGCCACCGCCGCCAGACGGCATGTTTTTACCCTGTTCTTGCTGGAAGGGGGTTAGTAAGGGTGGAGAGGTAAGGTGATAGGATGTATAGAATAGGTACGGTGAGGCGAGTGATAGGGAGGTCAAGAGACGATCGGGAGGTAGGGAGTGTGATAAGGATGCAGAGGCGATAGTGTGCTAGGGATGAAAGCGTACCTTGTTGTATTTGCGAATTTCGCGGACGAGGCTGGTGAAGGCCTGGTCGACGTTTATGCGCTGCTTGGCCGATGTCTCGATGAAGACGCAGCCAAAGTGCTTCGCGAGATCGCGGCCCTCTGTAAAAGCACAAGCGCATGAGCACCAGGGCAGCGGGAGAGAACAAGGTATAACGCACCGTTCATGCCGACCTGGCGCTCATACTCCAAGTCGCACTTGTTCGCAACGACGACGATGGGGAACCAATCCTGGTCCTTCACGCGGAGGATCTGCTGGTGGAACGTGCTGATTTCCTCGAAGGAGCTCCGGGACGTGATGGAGTAGACGAGCAGGAAGCCCTCGCCCGTGCGCATGTACTGCTCCCGCATGGCCCTGGGCGGATTCAATCCCGGTCAGCAACAGCAGTGCGTGGTGAGCGGCCGCTTCGACGCACCCGTACTCCTCCTGCCCTGCGGTATCGAGCACGTCGAGCAGCGCAACCTCCTCGTCGATCACGCATTGCTTGCGATACGAATCTGGGGCCCAGACGCGTCAATATTGCGCTGCAGGGCCGGTCGCGCGCATGCGCATGTGCTCACCTTCGATCGTCGGGTCGTACTCGTCGACGAAGTGGCTTTGGATGAACTGGATTGTCAGCGCGGATTTGCCGACGCCTGCGGGCGAAAGGACGTGAGCACGGCGCGCATTGAACGCGACTGCAGCGTGAGTGACTAACCACCACCGCCGACTACGACCAGCTTGTACTCCCGGAGAAACTGAGCCTGGGAGGGATGTCAGCGCGCGCCCTCGCTGGGCACCGTCGCGCTCACCCTGGACGCCATCGTTGAAAAGCAAGAAGGGAAGAGGAAAGGCCGTCAAGTGCGGACGGGCGAGGGGAGTGAAAGCAGGCGGAAGCACGTTCAGCCAGCATCAGGAAACCCCCCTATGCGATATAAACACGACCAAACACTTGTAACACCCCAGGCTCCCATCATGATCCCATCCCGCGAGGACCCACAACGAGCCCAGTGGCGGCGGGGACCTCGCCTCGGAGGAGGAAAGCATGCACCGCTAGCATGTCACTACCCTCTGACAGCGAAGCCTGGCAGCCCAATTCAGTGCAAGTGTCAACACCGTCTTCAGTCAGGTTTCGCTATGCAGTACACAGTAGCGCTAGCCTATACAGCTTGCATCAAGCTGTTCACCGACTCTGACGGACATCATCAAGAGCGATGGCTGTATGATTCGTCACGGTGCAGCAGTGCACCATCTCACCTCGCAAGTCAACCCGCTGCGCGCGGTCGCATGCTGTTCGGGTCTTGAGGAACATCCCCCTCCTCATCCCATCTAAGAGAAGGGAAAGAGTGTAGAACAACGCATGCCTGCAATACGTAGCACTATGATACAACAACAACGAAGAAGAATAACAAAGTAAGCCATCCAACGTAAAATGTTCAAGCAGTCCCAGTCCGCCCGCGCGTGAAGAAGGGATATCCGTATCCGAGAAGACATCCGTATCCGAATCAGTCAAAGTCAAGTAGCAAAAGTAGGCCGGAGTGGCGAGTCGTGGGCGCGTCCTTTTGACAGCACCCATAGCGTGGTAGCTCGCCAGTATGAAGCCCGACTCCCTGCGCCGCCGAGAACGTAGAGTGTAGGAAACTTCGGGCGACGCAACGCAGGTATGCAGAGTCAGGGCTCCCCTCGGCACCAGTGCCAGGATCGACCTATCCATGTATACCTCATATCGATGTCGGATACCATAGCGCATGAAGGCCGCCTAGAGCTGCCCACGATACGGCTTCACCAACCTCCGCGACCCCGCGCTCGACGTGCTCGACAGGCTCCCCGTCGGGCTCGATGGCCGGCCCATCATGAGCTCCCGAGGGAGGCGGCCCGTGGGGTGTGGGTTGGCGGCAGCAGCGGCCGGCTGGCGGGGCATACCACCATTTTCTGGCTGCCGCGCCAGCCACCCACGGATGTCCTGCGACGCCACGGACGGCGTCTGCGCACGATTAGGCGGCGGCACAAGGCGCTGTTGACCAGGAGGGCTCTGAGCGCGACCGACAGGGCCTGGCGGCGTCTGCGCGCGGCTCGTTCCGGTGGGACGCTGCTGACTCGGCAGCACGAGCACGCGCAGGCTGCTCTCCGACGACGCGACTGAGATGCGGTTCGAGGTCACGCCCGTATTGTGATTGGCGGACATGTTCGAGTCGACGCTCCCGTGCGCCACGCTGCCGTCCGCGTTATAGCGCACGCGCGGCGTGGCGTTTGCGTTATAAGAAGGGGCACCGCTCGCGTCGTACGAAGGCTTGCGCTCCCACATTTTCCGCGCCACGGGGGCGGGCTGCGGCACGCGCCAGCTGCCGATCTCGGGCGACTCGGGCTGCTTTTCGCTCGTGCTTGAGAGGGAGGAGGCGACCGACAGTTGACGAGGATGCATGGAGGCAGCAGATGGCTGACGGACGCCGGCAGCGTACGAGGTGTTGCCAGCGCGGGAATGTTGGGAGGGTGCCTGGTTGTACGCCAGCGTCGGCACGCTCGTCTGACTTTGCAGACTCGGCCTCGGCTGACTCGACTGCGAATACCATGACATCGTATTCCCGTCCTTCTCCAAGTCCTTCTTGGACGAAAAGGCGCTGGCGAGGGTGCCGATGACGTTCGTCTTCGACGGCGTGGTGAAGGAGGGCGAGTCGAAGGCGGGGCCAAGGACGCGGAAGGTGTTGTAAAGGAGGAGGACGTTGGCGACGCCTGGGGGTGAGGGTGAGTGAGGTCCATAAAGATGTCAAAGAAACAGATGATGAAGGTGAGGAGGGTTGATCAAGCGTCAAAGAGGATGGGACAACTCACTGATCATGAAATAGAGAACGAAGGCGACCATGATGACTGGGAAGGGTATGGCGAAGCCCGCGATGGCGAGGAGCAGCGTGATCGAGTAGGGCAGCATGAGGATGATGTATACTAAACCGAAGTTCAGTAATTGCCTTTGAAGTATGCAACGGCTGGGAGCTTACCGATTGGATACCTACAAAGTGCGTTAGTACCAACGAAACCGTTTCAGTTAGGCTGCCACTCACCAAACAAGGCTGTGGGCAATGCTGACCACGAATTGGTGGTATCCTTGGCCTTCCGTCATGTCGTATCTGGCCGCGGGGTTGAAGTTGAGGCTGCAGTCTCGTCAGCATAAAACTCTCGTGCATAATCTCGTGTCAACTCACGAAATCCCATCGCGAATCTTCAGCGTCCCCCGCAGCACCAGGAATATAAGTGAGTAAAGAATGGCAGAAAGGACCGACGCTATAAAGATCTGTATCCGATGGTTAGCCCGCTTTCCGTACCGCTCTGACAGCCCCCATCACTCTGGCAACCCCTACTCACAGGCAAGATGTGGAACTCAAACTGCTGCGTAGGATACACGTTTCGCACGGCACACGATAGCCCAGATATGCCGTACAGCGGGCCCGCATCGCGCGGCGCGAGCGTGGGTAGTGTCACTAGAGAGCAAAGTTTGAGAACCTGGGTCAATCGCCTCATTGTAAGCGCGGGCGAACCTAGCAGCACAGACCCGACCCAGCCAGCGGTGATCGTGACGGTGCCAATGACGGCGGAATGGCGGACGCGAAGGCCGAGGGATGCAAATGAATGGAAGGCGATGGCGACCGTGAAGTACGCGGTGGCGCAGTTGCCCAGCTGCATCATTACGGCTGTAGTGCTTCGTTAGATGGATGGAGTAGACGGAGATACTTTGGGTTTGTCCGACCTTGCGCCTGACAGTACGAATCTGGTAGTCTCAATCAGCGCCACGAAAGGGGATACAACTCCGAGTAACTCACTGTCGTCGATGCCGCTGTCAACGGTGTACTTGATCCCCATCAGCCCGGACACGCAGTTGCACATATTCTGTGAGTTCCAATGAGCATCTAGCCATACTGAAAGTAGTGCTAAGACGTACCGCAACAAGCAAGCACACCGCATAGTTGCCCAGCTGCGTCCTGAAGAACGCATATTCCTTGGGCAGCGTGGGGTCCTTCCGCAAGAACCTGCGGGTCGCCAGCCATGCAATCCTCACCGCGACAGACACCAGCGCAAGCGTCGATATCACCGCAAAGCCGTTGACCACCTAGCAGACGTGCGCAGCGTCGTTAGCCCCTCAGGGTCTAGACTGATATACGACCACTAACCCGAACGCTCGATCGCTCGCTGTCGGTGAACTCCAGATGCTCCATCACCATGGGCCCGGGAGGAAAGACTGGGTCAGTTTGCGCCATTGCGAAGCTCGTTAATCCGCGAGGGAGCGCGCTGGATACGGAGGGGCTGCTCGGGGGAACGCAGACAATGTGCAAGCGTCAAGAAGGCTGACCCGCGCCCGGACGATCTCTGACCGCCTGAAGAATGGCAAGCAAAGGGGGGAAGCCTGTCCCAGAGAGAAAAGAACGAAGCAGAGCAAGGAAACAATAAAAACAGGCAGATGGTGGTCGAGGACAAGCTGCCTTGACTGCGCGTTCAACCTCCTTGGCGCTGGGATCGACGCGCCCCGGCCGGTTCGGCCCGGTGATGTCAATCAGGCCCCCTTGATTCCCGAACTCGTTTCCCAGGCCGAGAAGTGCATTAGTCGCCCAGGCCTAGCAACAACCGGGGTCCATGCATATCTCTATATGGGTATCATTTACGCGCGAAGAACTTCTCTATCCCCTCCGCCTTCCCTCCCTTTTTCCGCTTTTTGGTGGGCCGGACGGGTGCAGGTGTAGGCGTGACGCGCTCGCTCCTGGCCAGGTCCTGCGCAAAGTGGAAATCATCGTGCTCCAGGCGTAGCGCGGCAAGCGCACTCGCACGGTCACCCGCATCGTCAGGTCGATATGGCAACGCGATATCTTTCCGGCAACGCGCGCAGCGGAAAGCCGCGTCCGAGTCGCGCGTGCCGCCGCCCGAATCGAGCGTGTCGTCGACGTCAACTACATCCGAGAGTGCCCCATCCTCCGGGGGCTCCCCAACATTCGGGGGCTCCTCCTCATCCTCCCGCGGACGCTTGCCGGTTGCAGGGCTGCTGGGGCCGGCGATCTGTGCGCTGCTGCTGCTCCCTGGCTTCGCGTTGCTGCTTCCTTGTCTTGGATTGGCGCTTCTTGCACCCCTGCTTCCTGGCTTTGCGGGGGTGCTACTCGCCGGCTTGGCGTTCGCGAAAAATCCAGAGATGCTCTGCTGCCCCGCTTCCGAGTTGCCTATACCCGTGAACGCCAGCTGCACCGACGAGACATTCAGTGCAGTCGTCGCACTCCCGACGAGCTCTGACCAGAGCTTGTCCGCTAGGCGCGCGATGTAGTCGACGGTGGCCTCGTTGGTGAAGGGGAATGGAGCCTGCTTCGAGCGTCCGGTGTCGTAGCCTGGCGATTGTCAGTCGAAAGAGCGTGCTAAGTGGATACGAATCCCCTTACCTTTTCTCGCATGCAGCACCAGCGTCTTCGGCCACAAATTTGGGCTCTCCAGCCTTGCGTCCTTCAACCGCAGTGCTAGCTCGGCAGCGAGCACCCGCAACCACTGATGTCCGTCGGCGGCGTTGGTGATGGGCTTGGGCAGGTTCTTCGAGGCCAGCATGCTCTTGAATAGGGCGGTCTTCTCTTTGACTGCAGGGATCGTTAGACGGAGGACGTTCGCAATGCAGACGGGGCACTCGTCGCGGAGGCGGGCACTTGTGATAGTAGAAGGCACTCTCAACGCAGACGTGCACCCGTCACGGAAATAGTAAGACATACCTTCGTTCCTATCAATGCCCCTGCTCGCCAATCAGGTCAGTAGCCGCATCAAAGAGGATAAGGTTTGGTGTGAGCACCCACCGAAGCACCTCGTACACCCAGATTGACTCCTCGCCGAACTTCTGCTGCATCTCCTCTGTAACGGGGGCGTCAACACTCAACTCCGAGCTTCGCAAGAGCATTCGACGAAGTAATCGCGGCGGCCCACAACCAAGTAATCACGACAGAGGTAATCGCACCAGCTTACTCACCAAGAGGTATCATCCTATGTCCCAATTATCAGTCAACCATCCCCCATACTTGCACCAGTGTACTGGCACTCACAACAAATCCCCCACCGTCGACGCATCGTACTCCTGGGCGATCGCCTTGCCGAGCTTGCCGCCCAGGAATCGGATCTATATCTACGCCAGTCAGCATTCCCTCTGCAGCATAGATCTCGTACGGCAGCACGCTAAGTCCGCCCACAAGGGGACGCGACGCTGATGAGCAAAGTGCCCATCGACTCGCAACCACAATAAAGAAGGAAAAAAGAACACGGCGACAACAGAAAATGAGGTACCCGCCTTCTGAAAAGGCAACGGCCTGAGGTAGTTTGGGATCGCTGCGTTGCGGAGGACGTTCTGTTAGGGTTTGGTCAGACGAGGGACCAAAAATCCCCCTTCGAGGTCCCCGACTTCGGACGGGGTAGAATATCGACTTACCAGGCCCCGAGGTTTCCGATACGAGGCCGTCAGCTGGAAGGCAAGAGTTTAGCACCCCAGTTGTCCTTATTGGAGGATATCCCTACCTTCGCCAGGAACTTATTTCGCCCGATGCCCTGCACCAAGCGTCAGTTGAGTATGGGATTTCAGTAGCACTAGGGCTTAGCGCTTAGCCGCCCAGCTCACCGCACTCGTCGTATACCCCAACCGCGCATATATCTCCTCCTTCGCCTTCAGCATGTATTCCGCCGCGATAGCCAGAGCATGATCGTGCCACGTCGTTGGATCGTCCTCCAGGTTGGGTGCATCGTCCTCTGATTCGGGTGCATCGACCTCGTCCTCGTCCTTGTGTTCGTCCTCGCCCTGCTTCCCTCTCTCTTTCTCTTTGTCCGGCGGAGGGTGTACCGGGATGACCGTGCCCAGCCCTTCCCATGATAATGGAGGAGGAGGAGGAAGCGGACTGTCCGCCCCCCTTGGCGCGTCGTGGGGGACGGAGGCGAGGTAGGGGAAGCGCTCGAGGAGCTTGGCCTTGGCGAGCTTGGTGAAGTCGAAGAAGGCTTCGTCGATGGAGGCTTTTTCTGAGATGGGTGATGAGTAAGGGGGGTGGGTCATGGGGGTGGTAAGGAGGGAGGGAACGAGGCGCATGATCGAGAAGAAGGTAAGTAGGTTGGGGACGATGTAGGTAGGGAGGGGAGAGGGTGGATGAAGGGGAGGAAGGCGCTGACGCACCTATCTCGACGTCCGGAAGCAGCTCCTTGAAGAGACTCTGCATCTTCGTGCTCTCGCGGCGGTAGAAGTCGAGGGAGACCTGGTCGAGCGTCCGTCAGAAAGTGTCGTGCATGCACATGCATGAGCTCGCGTACCTTATGCGTCTTTGTATCCACATCATCCCAGTAGCCAGGCTCTTTCTCGCCCTCCTTGTATGTCGCCACATGCACAACCTTCAGATGCGGACAGCGCTTCAGGGCGTCTTGTAGCTTGTCCATTCGCGAGATGCCTGGACGTTCGTGAATCAGTCAGTTAGTCAGGTGGGGTTAAGCCGTAGTCTATGCACGTACCATACTTCCGCGCAGGATAGTTCACCGCGATGAGCGCATTCCACTGCAGCACAACTAACGGCTGCTCCTTATCCACCCCCAGCCTGACCATCTCGCACGCTATCATCCGCACACACCCGTCAGCCACCCCATCTATCTCAAATCAGACTTTTGCCGCCACGCACCCGCATAGAACGCATCGCTATCGCACAGCGCCACCACCCTCAGGGGATCGCGCACGCCCAGGTTCGAGCTATGCAGCTGGCGATAGGTGACGGTCGGATCGAGGTCAAAGTCATTATTGGTCGCCTTCCCCTTCCCCTTCCACGATATCGGGTAGGCAGCCATGGTGGGTACGAGCGAGGCAGGACGCGTCGCGTCGAGATGACGAGCAGAGACAAGCGCGCTCGCCGGGCCGCCGGCGCGGCACTCGGCGAGCTTGACGCGATCACGTGCGATGTCGACGCGCGCCGGGCGCCAATGATCTTGTTCTATCGCCGAGTCGCTCACAAAGATTCACGCGTTTCGAGATTCACAAGCATGGGAATATAGAACGGCCTTTATCTGGAGCGCGCCAGCGCTTTATATCTACAACATGTACTGTTGCTAGAGATGATCTAGTAGGTACAGTGGATTGCGACGATGCCAGGGAGACTTGGGTTTGGTAGTAGCTGCGAACGGAAACTGGAGATTGGAGCTAGAAAAAGAAAATTCGGAACAAGGAGAAAAACTGCCAGAAATATAGAAACTTGTGCAGGAGCCGGAGCGATGCTTGGGGGTTGGAACTGGAAGACTGTCCGATGCGAGCTATTCGGGGGACGGTATTTAGATATGTAGAATTGAAACCAGAGAAGTAAAGGAGAAGTAGGTGACAGAGAACCCAGCCGGGCTGCGACGCCGACGCCAACGACGGACGCGCAACGAGGTCGAGGAGAATACGCGTCTCCGCCGACCCCAACCCGTAGAAAAGAATGTAATGGGGCCCCGAGGGGCAAGGTAGAAAAGATAAACGAAGGAAACAGTAGATGAACGAGAGTACGTGACCACAGCTCAGCAGAGCCCGGCCCTATACACATAGTAGGAGGGAGGCATGGGGGCATGGGCGACATACAGGGAGGACATATCTGTATCATGCGGGGGCAAACATCGTACCGCGGATGGCATAGTACCGTGAATGGCATAGTACCATGCTGGATCATAGTGCTCGACGTCAATTGCTAGTAGCAATAGGTGTATCAAGAGGCCCGAGGACAAGAATATGCTGTCGCCTGTATATACCCTGGCGAGGATTGGATTAGGTCGATTGTTTGTAGTGGGCATGCAGAAGAGATGTTGCAAATAGATATAAGTGAAATGCTGGAGAGATGATGCAAGGGTCGGGGGTGCGGGCGAGGCCGAGCGATGGGAGTCAGGCAAGGCCAGACGATGAGGAAACCTAGTCCATCAACTCGTCGCGCTGGCTGCGGGCCCACTCCGTCGCGAAGACAGACGCCTTGAGGAACTTCTTGTGCCCGTACTTCTTGTAGAGGTACGTGCGCGTGAAGCCAGCCTCCTGCATCTTCTCCACGAGCATGTTGTGGCCGGGGATGAGGTACTCCTCCGTGTAGCCAGAGTGGTAGACGAAGGCCTCGTTCTAAAGCAAAAGGTCAGCAATGAAACATCACAAGTATAAGGACAACATACCCAGTCGCCGCCCAACATCTTGCGCGCGCAGTACATGCCGACCGCAGCGACCAAGCTGGGCTTGACGCGGATGAAGCGGTGATCAAGCAAGGTGATCTCGATGAGGAATTTGCTGAGCGTGCGCGTCTGGATATCGTAGTCGTCCGCGCGCGAGATGCGGCGCATCCACGAGTACGGGGAGCAGTAGTGCGAGATCTTGAAGTCAAGAGTCTGAAGGACAATACGCTCGCCCTTGAGGATCTCCTCCTTCTTGTAGCCCTTCTCGGTCATGAAGACGAACTCGTCGACGGACGGCGCGAGGATCTCCTCGTACTTGGCAGCGATGAACATGGCGGTGATGCCGACGAGCTGGAGCTTGACCATCGAGACGACACGCTTAGACAAGAAGCGGTCGATGATGTTGGTGGCGATCCAGAGCGTCTCCGGCATGAGGTGGTAGCGCAAGTGCACCTGGAGCAGCCAGTCGATGAGGGTCTGGCGCATCGCCCAGGTAATCTCGTTCTGGCCGTCAATGTAGTCAGCGACGGGCATGAGCTCCTCCTGAGGTATGCGTCAGTGAATGCTCGGCAGGCGCCAATAACAACTGAACCATACCTCGAGCTCAGACATGTACTCGAAGATCTCGTTCGCATACTCGGAGACCATGTTGTCATCTTCAGGGTCGTGGTCCGTGAACGCAGCACGGACGGCCTCGAGTTCCCTGGTCTGGCGATCCGCCTGAGCAGTCGAGCACTCGGGCCACATACGCGGCGCCTTCTCAGGTTCGGGCGATGATAAAGGGAACACAGCGGGCTCCTCGTCTTCGACGCCGGCCATCTCCTCCTCGTCCTGGTCAAGGACGCTATCGTGGACGATGACAAGCTCGTCGTCCTCCATCTGGTCTTCGACGTCCATGCCGACATCGGCGGACTCGTCGTAGATGACCTGCTGGCGAACTGGTTCGGGAGCAGATGCCTTGGAGACACCACGGCGGATGGCATCGGCGAGTACGGGTATGCGGGCAGCGGCGCTCGTACGGCGAACGTTGACAGGCTGGGAGATGGCGGGGGCAACACGACCAGGGCCGAGAGGAATGCGCTGAGGCGGGAGCCCGCCAGATTCGGGACGGCTGCGCTTAACGCCAACCTCCTCCTTGAGGACTTCCTTCTCCTTGCCCAGTCCCTTGCCGGGTATCACATCGTTCTGGGCGGTCGGTAGGTAAGCGCCAGGCCACTGACGACGGGTGGCCTACGTACTTTGCGGTTCATTGCAGTGGGTATCTCTCCAAGTGCAGCGCGGGTGGCCTTCATGGCGCCCGCTGCGAAGCGCTTGGGTCCATCGCCGCCAAGGGCGGTGGACTGGCGCTTGATAGCGTTCTCGTCGCCCTTGCCGCGGTGGAGGGCGGGGCGTCTAGCAGGAAGCTGCGAGGTATGTGTGAGCATGAGTCTGCTCGCCAACGCTGGGCACAGTGACGTACGCGGATGTTGTTGGTAGCCATCGTCGTCGCTGGCGGCGGTCAACGTCGTAGGATAGAAGTGGGAGAAGAAGTGGTGGGTGGAGGGTAACGGCGAGGAGGTTTCCTTAGCTGCCTGGGCGGTGGTGGGAGGAGGAGAAGAACGCCGCGGTTCTCAATGAGGAGGCCCGGGTGCAAATGGTGGAAGCAAACCAAGTTCGCCAGTCGATTTGACCTCCCGAACCCGCGCTGAACTTGCACACCACGTGACCGTTTCCTTGCACAACACGGACAAACCCATCAGACGCGTCGCCAGGTGACGTAGTCAGGTCACGGTGTCGCGTCGCACCTCGTAATTTATGAGGTAATTCCCGGCGATCGCCGACAGGAGTTGAGCTTCGCTCCTCACACAGAAGGCAGGCCACACGGTAGAAGAGGTACAAGAAATCCCAGTGGAAGCCATACAATCTACAGAAAACTCGAACATCCGGCGTACGTACACAATTCTCACGACGAAGCGGCCGCGAACTGAACCGCCGGGCCACCAACAAACACTCCGACCCTGAAGCGCATGAACGACATTTCGGCGACTTGGCGACCTTTCTAACATCGGCCCTGGCCACGACGTGCGTTAGTCGGACCCCCGGTCTATGCGCTCCTTGATCAAGCGCAATGCATCGGAAGAGCGGGGCCGAATCTTGCACGCAAAGGGCAATGGCCGCCTGCAAACGCCCATCAATGCATGCAAGAATAAAGAGGACAACAACCACGAACAGGATTAGCCCATCGTCTGTGTCGCCGCTGGGCTCAATCGGGTTGCCCGCCGCGTCGGTGGCCTTAGATATATCGAGCGCAGCGACCGCATGCGCGACGTGCATCCACACGCTCGCGTCAGCGAGGTGGCTGCCTAGACGGATAGGCTCGTTAATTTCGCTTTAGACATACGCCCATGTCAGCTTACCTGGGCACTGCCTCCTCCCATATCCGAAGAAACCCATGTCACGGGGATCGGGCGCGGGATTGGACCCTAGGAAACGCTCTGGCTTGAAGGCCGAGGGCTCCTCGTATATCGCCGGATCGTGCAAGAATTTCCTTACGGGGTGTCAATGCCCTGACTCGTCTATGTTTACACTGGCGCGCTCACCAAACGTTGGGGAAGACCATCGACCCTTTCGGGATTAGATAGTCAGCGTAGATGTCGTCCGCGGTGGTGCAGTGCGGGAAGGCTAAGGGCGCCACCGGGATCCTGCAGGTCGCGTTAGCACAGCACCTTTCTCGCCCTGGCCAATGTCGAGATTAACCATCGATCTAGCTCCTTGCATATTGCCCCAATGTAAGGGAGTGAGTCTCTGTCGGCTGGTGTCGGCAGTCGTTCGCGCCCAATCACGGTGTCGAGCTCGGCTTGGGCCTTGGCTTGCACTTCGGGGTACTTGCATACGGCGAGGAAGTAACTCTGAATGACGGAGACGGACTGCGGGTGTCTTTTGAGCACAAAAGTAACGAGAATCGTGAGAGCACAAACTGTCTCAGCGCCGCCCGAGTAAAACGCGGCGGCAGCCCAAGTTATGTCGAAAAGTCGTTCGGGCGTAAGATTGGGCTCTTCTCGAATAAGCGTGCCGACAAAGGAGGTGTTCGGGGCGCCTTTAGCCTGGCCTCATTAGTCAACGAGCGCGTCCGGCCAAGGGCGACTCACTAGCTCTTCCCTTACGTGCGCGATTGGTAGTTCGCCCACGTCGTCTAGCGTCTTCTTGTAAGCTTTAGCTGTCTCCTTGAAGCCGGTGCCGGGAAGCCAGTCCGGAAGCGATTTGACTGCGGACCTCCAGTCAGACAGATGAAAGAACAAGACCAAAAGAAAACCTACGGATCGGCAAGAAGTCGACGAAGTACGCGCCAGGCTGCGTGATCTCCGAGAACTCTTTCATGACCTGCAACCTAATTGAGATGCATGTCGGTTGCAACACAGAAGTGCCTTGCCTGATCTGCAAGCGCTATCATCGGGTCGACCCCCTTCTCTTCGATCTACAAGACGGTTAAGACGGGGAACTGCATCGAATGAGAAGATGCAAACCTTGTACCCATAGGCAATATGCAAAATTAGCGCAGCGAAGGTCCTATCCACAATCAAGTTAGACGGTGGGAGCTCTGCTCAGAGGCTCGCCGGCTCACTTTCTCGTCGCCTATCAGCTCAAGTTAGCTTCCACACCTTCATCCGAACTCAAGAGCCACGTACATCATACCACTCCTCAGGATCCGCCAGAACACGATTGATGAACATCGCTGCCTGATACTCCTCCACCTCATTGAACCGCGCGACATGCTCGCGCGTTCCAATAACACGCGCAAACAACTTCCGCCACTCGCGCACGCGCGGGCCGTAGTGCGAGTTCGACAGCGCGCGGTCGTACCCCGCGAGCTCGGCCATGTGCATCGTGGGCCGGTCGGAGTAGATCTGCCCGCGCTTGCTGAGGAGCTCGTCGGCGATCTTGTGGTCGTTGAGTACGACGATGACCTGTCCGAGGACGGTCACGGAGACTACGGGGCCTACGCAGGAGGTCAGTTCGGGACAGACTAAGTCAGCCTCCGAGCGGCGCGCTGGTTAGGCGAAGCCGCATTGCTGCGTACCGTCTGGTGACAAAGCATCAGCGCGAGTTGATAGGGACAAACGTAGCCTGAGTTCGAATGCTCACATTTCTCGCCCCATTGCTTGAACGTCTCCCACATCCGGCCTTTGGGCATGTCGAAGACGTTGCCCAGCAGCGGATAGCCCGGAGGACCGGGCGGAAGGGGCTTCCGCAGCGCCTGACGCGCAGCTCGGTAGAGAATGAAGGACACGAGCGCAAGGGCGGCGCCGTCGCGCGGGGTAAGGAGAGACATGGAGTCGGTATACCTCTTCCAGGCGAGAAGGTGGGAAGCAAGAGAGGATTGGCGGCGCCCGGGAGAAGCCCATCTTATGGGAACGGATCCCGTGTCGCAATCAATTGAAGCCCAACTTTGATGACCAAGTCGGCGTGGCATTCGCCCTTGATCCTCAACTAAGGATTAAGGCGCGAGGGCATGAAGTCCACGACTACCCGGGCTTTGTAGCAACTGGTTTAGGATGACTGGGCTAGCTGTAGGAGACACTCAAGAGCACTGTGCGAGCAGCGCGTTCTCTCTAGGGTACTGACTGTGAGTATACTTCGCATGCGCAAGCTAGGTGTCTTCTATTTGTAGTAAGGCCGAACTTTCTCATAGGCAGCGGGGCCTGTTGCATCTCCGGTTTGAGGGCGGAGAGGGCGGACAGCGGTGAGAAGGTAACCCTGGTCTGTTGATTCAACAAGAAGGCTGGTGATCCCGATTGTGCACCTGATTGCGTCTATCGTTTGTTTCCCGGTTCATAGCAGGAAGCACCGGGAGAGAGGTTCAAGTCAAGCCGCGACGCATGACAATCGTACGCGTGATGCGGAGTTTGCCGATTCAGAATGACGGCGGCCTTGCGATTTCTTTTTTTGGTCCCTCTCGCCAGCGCGCCGAAGTCATCGCATCGCGCCTCCATGTCGGTCCTGTCTGCTGCATTCTGCCGTGCACACCAGAGCTCTCGACCTCCAGAAGCACAGCATCGATCCCGTCCATCATCGACTTCTACGCACCGCGCGGCGCCCTTCATCAACTCAATTGGCGCCCTCTGCGAGGTCCCGCGGCTTCCCATATCGCGGCGCGACCATTTGCATGATGCCTGACGAGAGTGTGATGCCTGACGGAAGGGGTATGTCTGATTCCGACGATGAAGCGCTTATAAGCGAGCCCTCCACGGTGCTGTGATGCCCTTTCCCTTCCGCTCTTTTCAACTTGTAGTGCGATGGCTGAAGGCGCGCCGAGTACACCGGTGACTCCCGCTGTCACGGCACAAACTTTTGAACCTTTGTAAGTAGCTTGCACTGTATATCTCGGTCGTTCTGATTACTGATCGAACTTATCAGCAATGGGCCATTCGTATGTGCGGAGACATACGTCTGTACACGCCGCTGATCACGCAGGACAGCTTGTCGCGGTCGACCTTGCCTGGCTTCTGTATGGTTGTTACCTTGCCCAGCTTAGTTCGTATGCTTCATCTATACGTCGCGCAACTCACTCAAGTGTCGCGCCAGGCTCGTACTACACCAACTACTCGGAGAAGGACCACTGGCTAAAGTACCTAGGTTTGCACATGCTAGCTGTCAGCTCGTGCCACGATGCTCAACTCGGGCTCAGTCTTTGCCGTCACGATAACGGGTGGCCTTCATGTTGGACTTGGCACGGGCGCGCAGTACGGCGTTCTCGTGGAAGGCTGGGGCTTGCCAGAAGTCTGGCAGTCCACACCATGGGAGGCGTCAATGCTGCCTTTTACGACCGGTCTCAGTGCGTGATCATCTACATTCAAGTCTGCGTGCGCTCTAATGACGGTCCCTCCTCCAGACGCCTTCCTTGTGCAGTTGTTCTTCGCGGGCCGCATCGCGCTCATCGAACGCAGCATCGTCGGAAGGGGTCTCGCTGTCTTTGTGGGCCTTGTGGGTGGACTTGAAGGTCACCAAGGATACCTTACTGAAGGTCGAGCAGGTCGCCATTCTTGCTTTCGGAGGCGCGCTGGCCCTTTTGATTGTGGTACGCTCATACGGATTCTATCATCGACCCGGCCGGTCTCACTCATGAATTGCAGTTCTTGCGCGCGGGGTCGAACGCGCTGAAGATCACAAATTTGCTGCTCGTCACAAGGGTAAGCCGAATCGCTCCTAATAGACATGCTCTGACAAAATACCGGCAGCTATGGACGATATCGAGTGTCGTCTGCGACGTTCTTATCGCAGGCATCATGATCTCGCTGGTGTGTCCTCCCTATTCATGCAAGTGAGCGAAGGCTGACAGTGTGCAGCTTGCGCTGAGCCACAGGCACTCGCATTTCCGGTCGACGAAGCAGCTCATCCGCCGCCTCATCGTGCAGTCTATCGAAACCGGCACGGTGACGGCGATAGTTATGTGCTTGATGCTCATCTGCTACGAGACGATGAACGCGGAGAACTCAACTTACCTCATCTGGTAGGTGCTCACTCGTCCGCCTGAAATTCTATGTTCTCACCCCTTTTCAGGGAATACTCCATAGCGCCTCTGTAAGATCTTTTATATTCACGCCAAACTCGTCACTCACACTACCCAGCTACGGCAACGTCATGCTCTTCGTGCTCAACGCGAGATCGCGTCTACGGCCTGGCGAGGTCTTTACCACCTCGAACGACTTTACCCTTCATTCAGCCGTTAACTTCGCCTCCACGACAAGCGGCACGAGCAGCGGAGACGATCGTCACGCCGTCAAGGTTCGGAAGGATATTGCCATTCGCTTCGACGAGACGGAGTCAGCCACGGTGAGCGCTTATGAGAGGAACATGCAAAGAGCAGACTGACGCCTTCGTTGTAGAAGGACGATGCCGTCAGGCAGTCGTTGTCGACCGGGCGCTGAGCGCTCGACCGTGTTGTACAGCTTACGCAACTGGTTTATAGCTCATGTTTGTACTTACGCCTGATGAAAAGGTCGCACGACCAGCTTCATTTGGCGATTTACTCGCCTGAGTAGAGGTGACATGGCGATTCACTGCCTGAAAGTTCAACATATCACGTGAGCCCGGGAAGAGTTGCGGCAAGTGCCGGTCATCGCAAAGCCTCGTTGATTCCGACTTGGAGTTGTCCGATATGCTGATACAAGATGGCGGTGATTCAGAAGGACATGCAGGGTGCTCCCAGCCGAGCCTTCAGATCTCTCCCTTTTATATCCTGGAGATGATGTGTCTGCGGAGACCCTTCTCCGGCGCATGCCGATAGCCTGCTACCACGGGCGCTCACCTAAGCCTCATGGGGCAGAACTTGTCACCGGTACCTCACACCAGTGGATATCGCCTCGAATTCCTGCGCGCTCGCCGGATAGCCTTCACTTCTGAATCAACGGCCGCTCCCTCTAATCATAGCCCCGACATATCCCACGGTCCGCTTTTCTCTTCCTGCCCTCAGAGCGCAGAGGCGGTCCGCCATGTCCAGCGACCCCTCTGCCGCAAGCGCGGAAGATGTCGCCAAGCAATTTGTGCCCGTGTGAGTCTGTACAATTCCTTCTTCTTATGGCCGCTGATCCGGGTCGCTTGTTGGGCGGCAGTAATGGGCCCTTCGTACGTTGAATCTGCCAGCGAAGAGAAGCGGGCGCCTACCTGACATCGGGATCACAGATGATCTCGACTGACTTCGCGTGCCTTTTGTATGGCTGCTACCTGGTTCAGCTCAGTAAGGACGCGCTCTGCGATGTGCGGCGACGGCGGACTGATGACCTTACCACAGACCGATACTTTTGCCATTACTCGCACCGGGACAATTGGTTGAAGGTTCTGGGTGCGTTGGGAGCGCGTCGACCATATGCGTTGACTAAGACTGAGTAGCCGTCGCGGTCACACTCGTATCGGGAGCGACCATCGGCTTTGCCATGGTGTCGCAGTACAAGGTCCTAGTCACGAACTCGGGCGATCCTGGCGTCTGGATGACCAGCCCTTGGGAATTCGTCATGACGCCGGTTACCACTGGACTGAGTGCGTTGCTCCGCTCGTCGTTCATTACTCAATGCTGAACCCCTCCGACCAGGCGCCTTTTTGGTACAGCTATTCTTTGCGTCACGCATTGCGTTCTTCCGGCGAGATATCATTGGAAGAATATTGTCGGCAACTGTTTCCCTGGTAAGGTCCTTTCTCGCATGTCTTCGCGTCCTGCTGACTGAATAGGTGGCCACTCTGGCTTTCGCGGGCGCCCTTGCGGATATGGCCGTCGTAGGTATCTCTTGCTATATTTTCCTTGTGTCTTACTCACTGTCGAGCTCATCAAGTACGTCAAGAATGGATTCAACGCCTTGGATCTCTCCAAGATCTTCATGGTGGCCAGGGTCAGTCGTGACAGCAAAGATTGCGCAACGTTGTTCAATCCCCGCAGATCTGGACCATTTCCAGTGTGATCTGCGATATCCTCATCGCCGCGACGATGACTGTCTTGGTGCGCTTGCAAAAGCCTGAGAAGGCGCTCATAGGAACTCACATTTTGATAGCTCGTCCGAAGCCGCAGGCAGACGCACTTTCGATCGACCAAGGAGATGCTCCATCGACTGATTTTGCAGTCTATCGAGACGGGGACGGTCACCGCCTTCGTTATGGTCCTTATGTTAATATGCTATGAGACCATGAGCAGCAAGAACTCGTCATATACTGTCTGGTGCGTATCGTTCTATTGTGCCTTTCGCACGCGGTAACACCCGTTGGCTCAGGGAATTGGCTATAGGACCCTTGTACGTACTGAATGCTACAGTGCTCTACTTGCCCTTTGCTGACGCACCTCAGGTACGGCAACGTTATGCTTTTCGTGCTTAATGCGCGAGAGGGCTTAGCGTCGGACGACGTGGACTGCAATACGGATGACCTCGAGTTGGACTCAACGCCTCTGCCACTTTCCTTTGCCTCGCACCGGACGGATTCGCAGCTCGTACAGAGAGATACTGTAGGCGGCGAAGCAGACATCACGGAGACTGCACCGGTGAGCAAAGCCTGAGTATTTCTTTGCCATTCAAACGCTCACTGAGTGGCCTCAGACCAAATCTTCCGACTCAGCGCCCTAAAACACGAGGACCCAGTCAGGCGATCCTTAACACCGAATTCGATTCGTATCATATGGTTTGAAGTCCTGCCTCTTAATCACACCCCTCGAGCTTGGAAGTTTGACCATACTGAGGCCAATGTCGAACTTTCGGTACTGTAACTGACCGAAATCCGGAGGCTCGGGACGGTGTTCCGGGGTGCGAATATCGATTTTCTCGGGGAAATTCCCTTCCTTCTCACCCTCACCATCGTCGGCGTACTATGAACCAGAAGATGTCCATGCTGATCACAATGAGTCATATACATTACACCTGGACTCACAGTACTCTAGGTCGAGAAGTTGTCTGTCGAACGCCGCATCACCTAGAAGACCTGCAGCACCCAATTCCCGTGCGTGACGGAGCCGCTGGGCGCCGAGCGCTCATATCACTGCGTACTGTAGCTTGTTCCATTCAGCGGAGTATGCCTATTACCTATCTATGGCCAGCGCACCAACCACCGGAGTACTTAACCATTGCACGGTCGACTTCGGGAGGCTCTTTCGTCGCGATTGTCGTCCCGCGACGCCATGTCTGACATCGCAGGGTCTACTCAGTCCCCTTCTAGCGATATCGCTAACCGTTTTATACCTATGTGAGCTCGTCCTCACTCAGTTCTTGCATGTCTTCTTGCTGACAATCGCAGAAATGGACCTTTCGTGAAGCCAACGTCGTATCCAGAACTGGGCACCATAACTGATTGCGACGGTGCAGATGCTTGCTGGCTACGCGTCTTGTCTACTATATGGTTATTACCTTGCGCAACTCCGTGAGCGCATTTCTGAGCTCATGCTCTCCCCCGCTCACGAGCCTATCAGACGTTTACTTCAACCGTCATGCGCACGGGGACAGGTGGTTGAAGTGGCTCGGTGAGTCTATTCGCCAACTTGTCGGCGTATGGACTGAGCTTCCGCTCATCTTTCATAGCTATCAGTATCGCGATTATATCCGGGGTGACCATTGGGTTCTCCATGGCCTCACAATGTGTCATCCTCGTCGAGCACGGAGGTGATCCCTCTGTTTGGTCGTCGAGTCCGTGGCAGCTAGCTTTGGGGCCTGTCACCACCGGATCGAGTTCGCTCATCTCTTCCTCCTTTCATCGCCCGATTGCTTACAATTGCTCCAGCCGCATTGTTGGTTCAGCTTTTCTTTGCTAGTCGCATTGCTCGCCTGCGGCGCGACGCTGCAGGTAAGGTCCTCGCAGGACTGATCATTCTGGTATGCCTTTTCCATGCCAGCGTTGTAGAACTGGCCTCAATTGACGGTTCAGGTCGCCGCGGCAGCATTATCGAGTGCTCTTGCAGTCACAGTCCTGGTAGGGTTATGAATTCATCCTCGTCGCTGCTTTGCAAACTATGTTCACCGCTAGGGTCTGAGCAAAGGCTCGCACTTGATTGGTACCAGGACCAAGTCTTCGACGGCTGTAGCAAGGGTAAACGTGGATTCTACGTACTCAATCGCCAACTCACCGTCAAACAGCATCTTTGGCTCTTCGCTAGCCTAGCATGCGACACCCTGATCACCGGGGCATGTTTCTTCGTGCGATCCTTGCATGACTTCGCCGTGGAGGTACTCATAGACAATCACAGCTCCTCAAGGACCACGATCAGGCACATATCAACGCGACACGGCCGTGTCTGCGTTCGCTCGCGCCGAAGTTCATCGAAACCGGCATGATCCTTGCTGTGGTCATGCTCCTCTCCGCCATCTGCTACGAGACTATGGGTGCGAGGAATCTAACGTACTTCATCTGGTGCGTGAACGTCGTTTCCGTATATTCACTCGCTCACAATATTCAGGGAACTGTCGATCAGCCCGCTGTACGTTCTCGTTCTCGCCATTCTGACGACTGTCGAGGTTAATACGCGTCGCAGCTACGGCAACGTCATGCTGTTCATTCTCAACTCACGGCACCGCGCAACCTGCGAGGAAGATACGGGCGATATTGAAATGCGGTCCCCGCCGCTCTCCCCGGGATCGCCCAAGATGATCTCGCACGTCCTAAGCATCGGCGCCATCGACTCGAAGCTCAGCGGTAGCCACGGGAAGACCAACGACATTGTGGTGCGCGTGGGCTAATTAGCAATTGTGAGCATCGTGGGTGCGAGACCTTGCCTCAGGGCCGATGATGGGCTCACTGGATTCTCTTTACAGGTAGATATGTAGGCGTCTGATAACGAAGTTGTTTGGTCAAGTCTTGGTGCCTCTGAACTTCGTTCTATAGGCTCAAGCATTTCATCGGGACCATGTATGTATGCGACAATCGCCAAATAGCTTTCTTTCTGCCAGACATGGGTCAGGCTCGTAGCCAACAGCGGCGACAAACACATAAGTACGGCGCTGCAGCAGAAATATGATGCACCAGCTTGCGGCCGTTCGCTCGCCTACACATCCGCGCCTGTTTCTTCTTTACCCACCACGGGACTGTAACCCTCCTGAATGCTATCGGGTGCGCAGCTGAGGTCACGACAATACCGGATGGTTCGCAAGATATCCGGGCGGTCGGTCGCACATGCGAAGTCGTCCTCGAGCGCAAGTGAGTCACCACAAGTGGCGCGACATGCGTACTTACTGATGGCAATCTGATCAGGCTTCTTCTAACAAATGCGGCGCGTCTGGCATGTCCAAATACAGGCGATGCGCTTAGCGTCTTTCTTCTTCCGACCATCTCGGAGAATAGTTTAGCCTCGGATCGACACTTACAGCTCGTTGCAAGCGCGAGGCCGTCAAGTTCTTTCGTCCTACGGACAGTGGCGCGGCCGTTATGGCAGCGCCTACGCCCAGTGACATTGCGCGGGCCTACGCTCCCATGTAAGTTTTCTTCAGGCTGCAGCCATAGACCTCGCTGATCATGCGCCTCAGAAACGGACCTACGGTATAGGGTGCAGTGGGCAAAAGGTATCATGAGGCTAATAACACGAGCGACAGATGATTGCAATCAACATGTCGTGTCTTCTTCACGGCTGCTCCATTGTCCAGCTTCGTATGTACTCAGAGCTCATTCAGACCTCCGATATTCAATATGCGTGTAGTCGGCTACTTCGCGCGGTTCTCCGACAAGAGGGAGCACCTCGCTTATCTCGGTAAGCAAATCTTCTTACCTCGCAATCTGTGAGCGTACTTACCTCCTGCAGCCGTCGTGGTCACTGCTGTGGCAGGTATCGGCACATGGTTCGGCGTCATCTCTCAGTATCTAGTGCTCGTCCGCCATTCGGGAAATCCCGATGTGTGGACGTCGAACCCATGGCAATTCCTGGTGACTCTCGGCAGCACTGGCCTTAGTTTGTCTGTCGGATTGCATGTCTACTCGCGTCCCTGACGCACCTTTAGCCGCTTTGCTTGTCCAGCTTTTCTTCGTCAGTCGCATCGCGCGTTTTCGGCGTGACATTATTGGCAAGACGATGGCGACGCTTATCACGCTGGTATGTCCAGACTGTTCGCCCACACTAACACCTCTAAACTTTCCAAGGTCTCGACCCTAGCCTTCGCAGGCTTCCTAGTGATTATGGTCTTGGTAGTATCCCCCTTCTTCTATGCCATCGTACATCGCATATAACCCTTGCCCAGTATGTGAAATGCGGTCTAAACACACTGGAGCTCGAGACTGTACTTCCGAAGGCCGTCACCAGGGTATGCCCGTTCTCTCCGAGCCGACCTTCCGATACTGATAGTTCACATAGCTCTGGGGAGTGTCGAGCACCATTTGCGACGTCCTCATCGCCGCTGCGATGTCTTATCTGGTGCGCGATCCTCTCGTGCGAGAAGCTTCCACTTACTAGAAGACCGACAGCTTGTGAGCAGTCGCAGACATACGCGGGTACGCTCTACCAAGCAGATGATAGAGCGTCTGATCTTGCAATCCATCGAAACTGGCACTATTACTGCTGTGTGGATGGCGACGATGATCACTTGTTATGAGACCATGGGCTCGAAGAATACGGCCTACGTCGTCTGGTGGGCGCGCATCTCTATCATATTGACGTTCCAGCTGACGTTGAGCAGGGAGTACTCCATTGGGCCGCTGTACGTTCTTCCTGGGATCTCTTTCGTATCATTGCTCATGATACTCCCTGCAGGTATGCCAACGTCTTACTATTCGTACTCAATTCTCGCGAGCGCATGGCAGCCGACGAGGTGCGCTGCACTACCAGCGACATCGAGCTGAGCACCATGCATTTCTCTGTGGTGTCGCCACACGCAACTATCCCTGTGTCCATTGCTGGCGACCCCAAGCGTCGAGCAGGCTTCACCGATTTAGAGGAAGACCCGGTAGGCGCTCAGGGCGAAGTATATAACACGGCAGAACAACTAACATATACCTCAAGGTGACTAACAGGCCAGGAATCACCATATCGGCAGGCACAGAGGCATCTCGCTGACCATTGAGTGGCATTTTTTATTCCTCTTCGCCACAATGTATACATGATTCTGCCCTAGTGGAATTCAGCATTGTACGGCGCTTTTTGAGGAAAGCCAGTTCTCCGCGATTGTCGCTGCCTCATAGCCCTTGCGCTAGCAGCTACTTGATATCGCAATGAGAGCGAGGAGAGCGTACCGCGTTCCCGTGGCTGGCGGGAACGTGGGGTAGCTTCGATGTTCTTTGGCGTTCGCACTTCACCTCCGGAGAATCCCGTCGTGCGAGTTTCATTCATTGTGTATGTGTATGCGTGCGCGGACTCGGAGATGAAGAACCCATTCTCCTGTTGTCTTCACCAGCTGCTATCTACTACACGACAGGCGGGGCATTCCTTCACTTCGAGGAGCGTTAGTTCGTGCTTATGCTCTCCTCACTTTTGTTTCATACTGACCGTCGATGCATAGGTATGATAATGCGGGCATCATTACGTCGCCATATCAGACCCGGTATACTCTACGATTCATCTTGCCACCGTGATCCACGACTCGAATACGCCGTAATGTACTCCACCCTAGGAAACGCCGATCAACGGCGGCGACGACGATCTTCCCGAGGAAGGCCTTCCTCAAATGCATCGAAGGGCGTGGCCATCTCGTTTGAGGCGACTGTGCTTGCTTCGCGCGTTGCCTGACCTCATGACCTCTCGCTGATAGCTGGAAGCTATGCTACTTGTGCCTCGTACCTCCGATCTCGACTCTTCCAATTTCGAGGTCGTCGGGACGTCATACCTTCGAGATGTCGCAAAAGGCCACGCTGCTGCTGTTGAGGACGCGTTGCTGGCCGGATATATGTAGAGCGAGGATGGTTCTCAAGTTCCCGCAGGGTCTTTTCCGCGCATGCTAAATGACTATGCACGACAGCGATGGCCATCCCATGACAGCACCCGTTGATATTGCCCATGCATTCGTGCCAGTGTATCTAACCTTCACTCTGCTGTCTCATCACCGAGGCTCATCTTTCCCTCCCAGGAATGGCCCCTTCGTATGTGTGCACCTTTCAGCGGCGACGTGTTCCCAACATCCTACGTAGACGATTGCCGTGGACGTATCATGCCTCTTGTATGGATGTCTCCTCGCTCAGACATGTGAGTTGCGCGCTCCTTTGCAGGATTATCACCATTGACGGACTCGCACAGCTGATTACTTTCAGTATCATTGCCATAGGGACAGATGGCTGAAGTACCTGAGTAGGTTGGCGCTTCTAAGCCCGTAATCAACGATCTCATCGTCGAAAGCCATCATCATAACCATACTTTCTGGGATCAGTGCCGTCTTTGCCGTCATCGCTCAATATGTGGTACTTGTCCATGAGGTGGGCAATCCGACGGTGTGGATGTCGGGCGCGAGGATATCGTTGGTGCCCTTGCTCGGCAGCGGGCTTAGTATGTCTTCACTGTCTCCCTCGGCCTACCCGTTGGCCACTGACCCAACGTTGCCAGACGCTCTGATCGTTCAGCTCTTTTTCGCCTCCCGAATTGCGCGCTTCTGCCGCGACAAAGTCGGAATCGCGCTCGCAGGCATCATCAGCTTGGTGAGATATCTCTCTTCCCGCGAATGTAAAGTTCAACCTCGTCGTCGTCCTCAGACCGCAATCGTGGCTTTTGGTGGGTCCATCGCGGACACGATAATTGTGAGTGCTCCCCTCTAAACTCATGAAGTTGTCGCTCACGAATAATGGTCTCACCACAGTGGCCTGAAGCCAAGATGCAGGACTCTGACACCCTGCATCTTTGCCAGAAGCTTCCGCTGGCGGTCGCGAGAGTAGGCTAGCGGCCAGTCACCGGTTTATCGTGTTGACTCTAATGGATTCACTAGGTGTGGACCGTCACCAGCGTCATCTGCGATGTCCTCATCGCAACTACCATGATTGTGCTGGTACGTCGAGGTACCACCCAGCTTCTTGGAGCTCATACTTGCTTAGCTCGCTCGCAGTCGCGAAGAAGCTCACTTCCGGACGACGAGGCAGATGCTTAAGCGCCTCATCGTCCAATCTATCGAGACGGGGAGCGTCACCGCTCTTGTCATGATTCTTCTGCTAATATCTTACGAGACGATGGGCACGAAGAACGCGACATACGTCGTTTGGTATGTGTATAACTTCCCTTCCATCTGTGAACTCGGCTGAGTAGTAGCGCCAGGGAGATATCGCTCGGTCCTCTGTGAGTTTTGTCCAGGACTTCATGCCTCGACGCCTCACAGAAACTCGACAGGTACGGTAATGTCATGCTCTTCGTGCTCAACTCGAGAGAGGGGTTGGCGCCTGACATCGTCCGATGTCAGTCAAGTGAATTTCCTAGCACTGCTCCGGCGATGACGACGTCCTCAGCTCACGAGCCAGGTCTCGCTGATTCCGGTCAGCGTCCGCCTCTCGAGGATCTTGCAGTCGCAGGACTTCCATGACATCTTTCTGAGCTCGTCTCGACTGGCGAACCTCGTGCGATGGTTCTATTGTCGACCGACGCCCGATACCCCGGACCACGATTAGGACTTCATGCTTACGACCGAGAGATATTGCGAAGAGTCTATACAACCCTTAATTACCTTGTAAAATAATCCATGCTCTGCCTTTAATCCTTCGAACACCGATGTTTAGGATGGACAAACGATAGAATTGCGCAACAACAGTGACAGTCATTAGCAGCCTATATACTGGCCTCTAGCGACATACAAGCCCGAGCATGACAGTGAGTACAGTGAGTCGTCAGGTAACATGGGAGAGTAAGCAACCAAAGATGAGCAACCGGGATATGGGGAGTCGAATTTAGACTGTTCGAACGGCCGCCTTTTAAATAAGCATACGTAGATGGAGCCCTAGCTCGTGAGGGAGGGAGTGACGTGGACTCCGCAGGAGCGACGAGGACCGGACGGACTTAAGCCCACTTGCCCAAGAGCGCCATGAGGCCCCAGCCGAGGACCATGCAGATGATCGCATACGCCAGCTTACCATTCGACGCGTTCTGCATCTCGCGGTTGAACAGGAACTCGTGGGCGAGGAGCTACAATCATCCATTAGCCTCTCCCTTCAAAAATCCAAAGGACCGCAACTCACCTCGACCAAACCGGTATAGATGAGGATGCCCGCAGAGATTGAGTCCATGACGCCGCTGACGGTGCTCGCAGTCGTGCTGCCCGGGTTGTACGTGGTGCGGACGCCGAGGCCGGCGGCGATGCCGACGGGGGTGGTAATGCCGTAGAGGATCGCAGCGGCGACGGGGACCCAGGTGTACTTCGACGGCAGGCGCAGGTACGCGAGACGGGAGCCCACACCGAGGCCTTCGAACATTTCTGGAGACGGGAGTTAGTTAGGCGCGATGAGATGACGAGAACGGCGGGGAGAACGCACGATGGAAGACGATGACGACGAAGAGGGTCTTGAAGTCCTCGTCGACGGCGAGGGTTAGGCCGATGAGGATGCTGAGGAAGGTGGTCAGAGAATAAATTGATACGAGGATGGGGCTTGAGACGTACCTATGCAAGACGACACCGAACTCGAGAATGCCGACGCCGATAATCTGGGCGGCGACGGTATCGGTGATGAGCTCGTCCTTGTCGACGTCGTCGAGCGGCTGCTTCTCCAACGAGCCCATCTCGGTGTTGGCACCTTCGGGGCCATGGGCGGCAACGCTTCCACCGACGTCGTGGCCGTGAGCATCTAGTGATTCGGTAAGTAAGGTTCGACGAAATATAACGGCGTGAAAGTACTGACCATGGGTCATGCCGATCTGCGCCAGGCGTGCCGTGCCCCAGCGGAAGGCAAGGAGCTCGAGGACAAAGATAAAGAAGATGCTGACCATGCAGAGGGCGAGGGCATAGGGCTGTGTGGATTGGTAAAAGTGAAGGAAGTTATCGAAGAAGGAACTCACGTATTCGCCCCAGGCCGGGGAGAGACATGGGGACTCGAGAGCCTCGAGCGCCGGGTCCAGCAGGTGAATGAACGCGGTGGCAATCTAGCAATGATTGTCAGTCCGTGTCTCCGGGAAGGAGAGGCAAAGGGCAGACGCACGATGACACCCGATCCAAAATACTTTGCGAAGCTGAAAGGGGAGGCAATTTTAGCACAATTATAGGGGAGGACGATAGCGAGGGGACGTACTCGAAGACACCCTTGGGGATGGTGAGCCACTTCGCGCGCTTGGCCAGCACGGGGAACAGCGCGCCAAACGTCGAGCCGACCAAGATGATGAAGACGGAGGCGATGCGCAGCCCGAGGAAGGCGTCGTCACCGCCGCCCTCGCCGCAGTTGACTTCCTCGTCGTCCTCGTCGGCACGCCGGTGAAGGGAGGCGCGAACGACGGCGGACGTGGCATTAACGATGGCTTCCGATGAGATGAACATGGTCGGATGCAGCTGTATGTCCGCTCGACTGCCGGGGGGAGGAGGGAAAGGGGATTAAGTACAGGATGAGAACCACCCAGTCCTCTGAACCGCCACTCATAAATGCTAACTGGCAGGGTTCTCGAGGAGGTTTACAACAGTCGGGCCGGGTAAAAAACCTCTGTATTTCGACGGGTGCTATTGGCCGCTGGGTTCCAGAGTGCTGGCGCGGGTAGAGCGTGACTGTGGCCATCGAGTGGCTCGTCGCCGTCGGCGGGCGCGTCGCAGGCGTTTCCCGAGCAGGACCTGCGCAGTGGCCGCGGTCCTAAGCCCACCTATGCAGTGTTCGTGTGAGTCCAAGTTGTTGGGACTCTGACCTTTCCGCTACACAGAGTGCACCATGCGTCTCCGCCGTCTGGGCAGCCCAAAAATTGTATGAACCCCTCCTGCACGCCCTCCCGCCCGTGATGTCCCCGGACTGTTGAGGTATATTGCAGCGTGATTGACCAGGCACATCGGGGTTCACATTTTCAAACCCGCCGGGCGCCATTGGATCCATGATCGATAGACCGGTGATGGCATGTCCCACAATGCAAACTTCCCAATCGGGCTAACAAAGCCAACCCCGTGCGAATCTTCTTCCGCTGATCTCATCAGTCCCTTGATCAGATCAGGCCCAGGGCCAACCGTCGACTTCTCAATCCCCGGTCTAGTGCAACGTTCATCTCCGTCTCCCAAGCTCTGCTCGGTGCTCTCTGCTCTAAATGGAAGCCAAGGCGGAAGATTAGGCGCCGTAATCTCCCTGTATCTGTACGACTTCGGGGAGTCTGTACGGAACTCGCTAATGCCCATCATCGCCCGTCCTTCGATCCCGCTTTGATCATGCTCATTTCTGGGAAGAGTACGGGACATAGTCGAGCATGCATCTCAGGGCAAACTCTACTTCCGCCACCGGTAGGTAGGTACGTCGGCTACGCGCTTCGACTTCACAGCCTCACTGAATACAGGCGGCGAGTTCGTATGAGGTCTTCACTCGTCGCCCAGCTATGCTCACAAAAGTCTGAAAGTTGCTGATCCGCACGGTCCTAATTACCTTGCAGCTTGCGTCCTTTCTTGCGATGTAACACCCCGGCTTTCTCCGCCTGTACATCTCCGCGCGAACCCTCATCTGCCAATGCCACCCTCCCTCCAAACTCACGCTCGCCAGCGCGGAACTCACAGCGGCAGAAGGGGACACTTTCCTCGACATGCACCCCTCTGCTGACGGAGGGCCGCCCTTAGCGAGGCCGTGAGTGCCCTATGTATCAGAGTGAAGCAGCTCAGTCGCGGGTGTTAGACAGGTAACTCGGTCAGCCGGCGCCGCATTGAGTACACGAGACATCAGCGGGGTGACGGCCTTCGTGTATACGGCGAGCATAGTGCTGTTCGCCTGGAAGCCTTGATTGCTACCTTGCCGTTGCTAACTCCGCCAGAACAAAGCTGTGTGCTGGCAGAGCTGCAGCAATAGGGGGACATCGGTAGGTCTCGCACGCTCCCAATAAGAAGTAATGTGAAGTGCCAAGGTCGAAGGATTCGGGAATTCACCGCGCATGAATCGCCCATGTCGAAAGCGCTCGTGACGAGAACAAGAATTGCCGCATTCGGAAAACTATATCCCCATTTCGGATGCTGACAACAAGAGCACACAATGGCTTCGTCTTCACTTCCATCACCATGCATACTGTGTTCGCTGCCCTTTGACCATCTTTACCATACATCACGATTCATGAATATTTCTTTGCTCCTTCTAGCTCTTCTACCATTCGTTGACGCCTCCTGAAACATCCATGAACTTTCCACCCGCATTTTCCCTCGTCGCGCCGTCGATGACACGCAACATGCTCGCTACGCTCTCGGCGGGCGTCGCGCCTGGATGCTTGGCCAGCTCTGCGTCGTTGCTTTGCGCGGAAAGATCTGGACGGGATGCATCAGTATTCCAGCTCTTCGCGGAAGAGTCGTTGGCACTCACACATATCCGTGCTCACTCTCCCGGGGCAGATCGGGAAAATCACTGTGGGTGCGTCAGTACGCCCATTGCTCTCTCCCTCTCGCTCTTCGCCGAACAATCACTCACCGAAATCCTCATTCTCGTACTGCAGCTTCTTCGCCACATAATGCACCGCGGCCTTGGAGACCGCGTACGGCCCGAGCGCGGAGCGGTAGTCGGGCCCCAGGGTGATGCTGCCGCCCTTCGCACCGATGACGACGAACTTGCGGGTCGGGGAGGTCCTCATGAGGGGGTAGGCGGCCTGGAAGAGGACGAGGGTACCGACGACGTTGGTCTAGTGAGCAGGTGAGTTCAAGTTGGGAGTTGAAGGGAGACGCAAGGGGCAGCACTGATGCTTACATCGAAGTGCTCCCTCATGGACTCTGGGCGCACGTTCAACAACTCCTGCACGTCATTGCAGATGGCTAGTCGATGTGTCAATCGTAGTAAAAATGCGATGGACTACTCATCGTGCTCACCAGCGTTCGCAATGACGACGTCTAGCTGGCCTGCCTTTTGACGAATTTGTTCGATGACGCGCGCGTTGCCCTGTTCATCGCAGGATTTGAGCTCGACGACGTGGACTCGGCCGGGATGCTTTGCGGACAGGGCTTGGAGGTCGGACGCAGCTTTCGGATTGCGCGCTCCGGCGAAGACGACAGTGGTTGGGCGTTCGGACAGCTGCTTCACGAACTCCAAGCCTGTGTCATATTCGTGAGTGGCTGCTGCGATCACAGAACATCGACGAAGCCCTCACCGATGCCGCGGTTAGCGCCAGAGATCAAGTAAACGGTGCTCGAGGGCGCCATTGTAATTTGAGCGAGAGTAATGAGGCTCAGGCTCTGTTGGTCGGGATTCCTCGACCTACTGCTACCGGTGTGTCTTTTGGTCGCTTTTATACGCTCGCAGGCTGGGTATTCCCATGACCGAGGCAAAGGCGTTGAGCTCGCAGTGCGAGGCGGAGGGCGAGGTAAATGCGGGTGGCATCCGTGCTTGAGTCAGTCCACGCAGCTACCGATTGGGCGCTCGGAGAATACAATACGGTAGTCCTCACTAATCCTTATGTCACTCCCCGGGCCAGCTGACCAGTAGAGAGGTATACTCATTACAAGGTTGCTTCTTCCCTCTTGCTTTGTCGCTCTCAGCTTCAAGCCTGCCTCCAGCCTCCGTCTCGCACCCTCGGCCATCGTGAGATGGCGTGAGTCACATGCTATTTGGCGTTATTGACAGAGGGAAACTCGGCGAATCGCGCTTATCCCATTGAGTCGACTTCTCATGCACCCTCGTCATCGTGAACGTAACTCTACCTCTTGAGCGCGTCCGTATATGCCATATCTGGGCATGGTGCGTATCTGCGTGCGTGGCGCGGCCCGTAGCGAGGCATGATCTATATCGGCCGCCTCAAACACGGCTCTTTTGCTTGAGTCGATATCGTCGAGGTCGACTGGCGACCTTCGACCGTTCGCGAGTCTACTACCCTTCCCCCCCCAATCAGGCACCCACTAGTACCCACCCTTTGGGCAGACCCTCCTATCCCTTCCGCGACGTCGGTGACCCGTGGAACATCGCTGAGCACGGGGGAGATCAATTTGCCCTGGACAGGCCGGACGCAAATCAACCTCTCGGTACCTCTTCCTCGTCCTTCCCGATCCGTCCCCTCGCGATGCTCCCCTCCTCGAACTCCGGGCAGGCGAGCGCAGGTGATGTCGGTGCGCAGGCGGGGGCGCCAGACCCCGCGGACGAGAGCTTCCTTGCCTCCGTCGCAAGCATCTGGGATGCGGAGATTAGCGATCTCACGACCGCCGACGCGCCACTTGCCGACACCGCACTCGCACCCGACACCGTACTCGACGCGGAGGCCGCTGCGCTGACGCTGCCCACCCCGGACTCGGTGTGTCCTGCGTCCTCCGGCTCGTTGACCTGACCTTATAGTGTTCCCCCTCCAACCAGGACACGCCTGAAGTGACGGCCACACCCAGCGCGCACCATGACACCACCCCCGCATCCACGATGATCAGCATGTCGACGACCTTCACCTCGGTCGCCACGCACGGCGGCGTGCCCCCCGACGTCGTCCTCGTCTCCACCGACGGCGTCTACTTCTACGTCAACCGCGCTCTGCTCGCCAGCGCCTCCGCGAACTACTTCGCCGCCCTGCTGCCGCCCTCCGTCCGATCGCCGGACGGCTTCCCGCTCGCGCACACACAGGATGCATCCGACGTGCTCAACATCATCTTGCACGCCGTGTACGACATGTCCCCCGCGCGGTACGCGCCGCCCGTCACGACGCTGCTCGCCGCGCTCGACCGACTGCCCGCGTACGGCATGCTCCCCGCGCAGCACGTCGTGCCCCCGCGCGCGCTGTACGCGGTCCTGCTGGCGCAGGCGCCCCTCGCGCCGCTCGCGGTATATACGGCCGCGGCGCACTATGGGCTGAACGACCTTGCGGTCGCCGTGTCGTCGCACCTGCTGTCCTTCCCGCTCCCCGCGCTGACGGACGCACAGGCCGAGGCGATGGGCGCGATATACTTGAAGCGGCTGTTCATGCTGCACAAGCAGCGCGTGGATGCCCTGAAAGGCGTCCTCGCGCAGGCGCCGTACCCACATCCGGAGACTGAGATCTGCACTTTTGCGGACCAGAAAAAGATTGCAAGGGCGTGGCAGTTGGCAGCGACGTACCTCGTGGCGGAAGCTCAACCAGGTGAGAATACGGTATAGTAATCTGCTGCTCTCGTATGCTCAGGTCCATCTAGACTTGCCACCAAGCAGGATGGAAGCGACGGTAAACTCGCTGATGGTGGGCATGGCGTGTGAGGACTGCAAAGAGGCGCTAAGAAAGCGCCTACAGAAAGCCGTTGTGGAGTGGACTATGCTGCCGGTGAGTGTAGGTTTTCGCTTGCGAGGACATTGCACTGATGTATGACTCTAGCGAACTATCTAGCAGTTTCAAGTGTCGCCTTGGGTCGCGCTGACTTCGTGCTTGAAAAGCCAGATAAGCAGACAAGCTACAAGCTAACTTGATCTGCTTTCATGTCATCAGTATCGGTGGCGTCAGCGTCGTCTGCCAAGGACAAACTACCATGTTGTAGCGCCTTCCGACAGGCTTGCCACAAATCCGACACCAGGATCTCGGGCACAACTGCGACGTTGGGCCATTGATTGATGCCAGAAAATGCCCATGCCCACTGTGTCGACGTTTTTTCCATACACGACAGCTGTCTATCACAGTAGCTTGCATTGGGGCAAAGGCGCTGAGTTCGAAAAACCTATAGTATAGCTCATCTACATGCTAGGGCGGAATTTCCGAAGAAAATGGAATTGCGTGGCCCGAGACAGAATGACCACATCTTCACTAACAGCCGGTATAATGTAGAGCTCTCTACATCTACGCTTGCGCCAAACCTTACCCTTCCTCATACACCAAAGACCTGATGAGAGCGAAGTTGAACTTTGACGGTGAGTCACGCGATCGGTCCCTTACGGCCACGTGATATTCTCTTTCCCCGCGTTCGTCTCGAGGTGGCGCGCGTCTCTTTGTCCGCTCCTTGACCCGGATGAATCCCGACGTCCTTCAGCGTCCGCTCTGGCTCCATAACTTATCCTAAACCCATTCAAAGTCACGTCTAGTCGTCGTCAAGCGTTTTCTAGTCGACACCGAGCGTACTCTAGCCATCGCCGAACGTATTCGGGCCACCTCGAGCTGCGGGATATGCAGGACGTTCTTCAGCGATTTCCAACGCCGCCACCGACTAAGGAGAAGGAGAAGCTCATCTTACGGGCGGCTGAGGCGCCTAAGAGGCAGCCACTTATACTAGTGGTGCGTAGGTACTCAATGGAACTGTAGCTGGACGTGACGGGCTTCATAGGATTGCGCGGAAAGTTGGGCGCATACAAAAGCTACTGCTTCTACGTCTCAGGGCCGTCATGCTGCTCACAGGTGCGTCCACACATCCGTTCATATGACATTGCACTAATACAGCAACCAGCCTGTCCAAGGCAGTACACACTCAGCGGGCCGAGACCAGTGAGGCCCGCAGGCACCAAAGATATACGGAGGCGGAACGTGCGCTCGAACGATCTCTGCGCTCCCTGGCATCACCCGAGGAGCACGATCGCGCTCTACGTACAACCGCATCCCTTCTCGGCCAGCTGTCCAAGACCACGGAGGAGGCCACTCGCCAAGCTCAAATTCTCCTCGCCTCCAGCGACCTCCACGGCCCTGCCCTCTATGCGGCGAAGCGCGAGCGGTGGATATGGGAGCTCCGACAACGGCAGGCGCGAGAAGCAGCTGCGCGTCTACAACAAGCCCCTGCGGCGCCGGTAGTAGACCGACGACAAGCCAACCTCGCACGCTTCCTCGAATCCTCAGAGCACCGGCTGTCCACCCGCCCGGCCCCGCGGCTGAAGAGGCGCTCGTTGCAGGCGCGCCGCATGGTCGCGAGAGACGCGGAGCCGATGCTGGTGCGGAGGGACGTCCCGCTGCCGCCGCCGGGCGTGTTCTTGGACGAGCTGACGTCGAGGCGGCGCTGCCGCAAGTCCACGACTGGGAGCGAGGCATCCGCGTCGGTCACAACTCTGCCGACTGCGTCCTCGTCGTCTATCTTGACCGACCGGCATGACGAGGACAACTCGTATCGAGCGTTCGCTGCGAGCTGTACGTTCGCGGCCTTGGGCGACGATGATGGGAGGGAGGTGCCGCGCGGGTCGGTCGTGGTGTATCATACGCCGAAGCGGACTCATCGGTCGCGTCAGTCCATATGCCGTGGCTTGGACGACTTGCCTCTGCCAGACTACGCGCGCGAGCTGCTTGCAGAGTTCTCGGAAGGGCCAAGTGTCGAGCTGCCGCATCTTGACTTTGTATCCACCCTCGACCTCGGATTCACCCCTACTCGTCCGAAGCATGTCTCCCTTCCGCCTACCCGTCGTACCCAGAACGAGCAACCACGTACTCCGCAAGAACTCCCCTTCCCAAGCCAACTCAGCCCACCCCGCGCCCCTCCGTCTGAAGCGCGGCGCCGCACCCAGTCCTCGACGCCTGTTAAGGGGCACCGCACGTTCCTTTCGTTGGAGCATGCGTCTCCGGCACGGTTCCTGTCGTTGCGGCACTCTGACCGCCCTGACCGCCCGAGCCCGCGGCGGCAGAAACTGCGCTCGCTGTTCTCCATCGCGGAGTCGCAGTCGGGCTCGAAGGCTTCGAACATCGACGAGGGATCGAACTCGAGGATCGACGCCGGCTCCCAGGCATCCGTATCCACAAGCGACGCACTGCCCGAGGCGAGGATGTCGAGCGAAGACGTGCGCGTATCGAGCGACTGGACGCTGCTGCGTGCCGCGTCGCGCAGCGAGATGTTCGACAGCACCGATAGGCGGCTGCGGAGGAAGCCCAGCATCGCCTCCCGCCTGGCGAAGAGGGTGTCGCTGCAGCTGACGAAGGGGTAGGTGCTACCGAGGATAGGGTAGGTGCTGGCGAGGATACGGTATCAGACTGCAAGTAGGTGTCAGAACCAGTCTGACGTCGACCCTTGAGTCCTACTTTGGTCCATCTTCCACGGACTCCTCGCAACGAACGCTCGACTACTCACGACGGATGCTCCCTTATGGACTCATCTCATATGCATGCTACTTACGCTCTCTTAAAATCAAGGACGGTACTTATGTTGAATTACTGTGTCTTTGTTGTCACTGGGACTTACATATACCATATACCCCTGTACATATACAGCGCTCTGAGCTGGTCTACGAGACTATCTCTGGGCTGCATCTCTTGCATTTGCGCTCCTTCATGATTTGCGCAATAATTCCATCCCTATCTGGGGCGAGGCGTAGGTACTTAGTCGCTCCAAGGAGTAGGGCTCCAGTGAGATACATCGTATCCTTGCGCGACAGCCGAAGGCATGCCATTGAGGTAGGGTCTTTACGAAGAGATTGGTGGAAATCTTTCGACGCTAGACAACAGTGTACCGCTTTCACATAGTTTGTCACACCCAGGCTTGCATGCCATCGGCACCGCCTGCGCAAGCCTCCAGTAGCTTCCGATGACTCTCCATCGCCTTCCGCGCGAAATCATCCAGGTCATACTCCTTCACGGTCCCCGCCGCCCCGCTGTCGAAGACCTCAATCGAGAAGTACCCTCTGAAACCCGTTGCAAGAACCGCCTTCGTGACGTCCACAACCGGCAGATAACCCCCCGCGAAGGGTATCGGCCGGAAGTCGTGGCTCCAGACGCGCCTCGGGCGCAGTCGCTTCTCCTCGTCGAAGGCCTTGCTGAGGGGCTTCGCGGGCTTATACGCATCCGAGATCTGCAGCAGATATATCTTCTCCGCTGGCACCTCCCGCGCCAGGTCCCCCAGGCTCGCGCGGAAGCGGCGCTCCAGCTCGTTCCTTGGTACGTCTTCTATGAGCCCGGACGTGGTCGTCGGGTCCGCCCACTCGCTGCCGGCGGTTTGGAAGGTGTCGAGGCAGAGGCCAACGTTGGGGCGGTCGACCCTGCACACGATGTCCCACACTGCGCGCCAGGTGGACGCGTGCGTCGACCAGCACCAGTTCTCGTAGGCGAGGCGGAATTTGTGGATGGCGAGCATGTCGGCGAGTTGTCGTAGGTCCTCGACGATCCTCTCGGGCGAGGTGTCGATGTTGTCCGAGTCGGTTGAGCCGACCTGGCAGCTCGAGATCAGCAGGCAGCCTTGAGATTCAGGATTAAGGGGGGAAGGAAATCATCACCTGGAGCATATCCGTACCGACTGCCTGCATGATCCTAATCCACCCCTTCGCACGCTCAAACGCGTTCTTGCGCTCCTCTGAGCCCTCTGGCCACCCCTCAAAATTTGCGAATGGCTGCAACATGAGGATGTGGAGCTTCCTTTCTGCGCAGAGCTCCTTCACGCGCTTCCCCGCTTCGCACAGCGCTTCATAGTCATCCTCTGGTACATCCCGCTTCAGGTACTCCTTTGCGAAGCCCTGCAAGTCGGGGAAGGAGAGTTCAATAGCTTGGAACCCCGCCTGATGTATAGCGTCGAGCTTCTTGGGGAGGGTATGAGAGGGGGCGTACCCAATCGAGCAGGTGGCGAAGGATGTGGGGATCTGCTCGATGAGACTAGTAGACATGATGATGTTAGAACAATGTGAAGGTGTATTAGAAGGGCAGTCTGGCATCGTTACGCAAAGGTTCGACCTTTTATTTTGCAACGAAGGGGGGATGACACGGTGTTGATGTCAGAGCGGCCACACCTGAAATAGATGAGACTATCATTTCTTCGTTCGTCCTGCACTCATGAAGATTCGTATTTGGCGAGAAGTTTGGGCGCAGAAGGAGGAGACGGACAAGAGGGCGATGTCAGTGAAGTCGAGCTTGTCCAACGTGGCAGCAGTGAACAAGAAAGCGTGCGAATACCACTCAGGAGCGGAGCACGTGCGCGTCGGTGCCGAGAGCATGTGACCCAAATTGAACCCCGGCGGAACTTCTGCGTCGACCATTCCTACTTATGGCCTCCGCCTCGGAACAGCGTTGCGAATGTATTTCATGAATTTTCCGGGAACTACAGGAATGAGCGCCGCATACCTCGCAGAGGGGCTGGGTCAGCATCCGCATCTGGCAGTGATCACATCACAAACCTCTTTCCGTCCTGCTCCGATCGACATAGTTTAAGTCTGACAACCTCGGTCTTTCGACCATCTGCCTTCCTATCGCTACTGTGTGCAGGCTGTATTCATGCCCTCTCGAATGCAGCGCAACTGACCGTTACTCTGACAAGAACTCTATGCTATCAACGCTACTTAAGTGGAAAATCAAGGATCCTTCCGACACTGTCATCAAGCCGCCGGCGGCCACACCTTTCAGTAAGTCGTGGCATATACGGATCCAGTACCGCTCTCGCGGAGCTCTTCATGGGGTGTCTCATTGCCCGGTCTGTCTCACCGTCTCATCCTTGTTCCCAAACTATCTGTTAGCCTTCAGCCCTCTCGGACGCTATTCTGTGGAATCCAGCAACGCCGGAGGCCACTGCAGTGATCTGTAGGTCACGGAGAATGATGACCAGATACGACGCGCGAGGTAGGAAGCAAGCGCATGTATGAGACGCCCGTATCCAGCATCAGCCTCGACGCCGACTACCTCGGCGCGGCTGCATATCATTCCCATGAACGCCTATTGACCCCAACGACCATGTCCACCCCTTCTCCCTTTGGTCCCGACGCACAGAGGCGCAGACAGTCTCTCGCGTATGCCCGCCCCAACGTTGTCTTTGGGGTGCGTCTTAACCCAGCTATTCACCGCTTGAGGATCTTCAACCCTCTTTAGGGCCCCAATCCACTCGCGCCCCCAGCAGGTTACCCATATCGTCGTACTCCTCAACAAGGGCTGCCCCGGCTGAACGCTGCAGACTCTGCGAAGGTATGTTTGCCGATGCCAGGGGCCTGTTTGTACCGATATCCCGCCAGTTCAACCTCGACGCGGATCCTCTGTTATGGGGGGCTACCAACCTCATGCACGGACAGCGCGAGGCGGATGACAGCATCCACAATCCTGATCCACGTCGGGACAAGCTGGTCGACCGCGGCTCGAGTATCTTCACCACCCGTGGCTTCGTGAACCTTGGGTTCCTGCTGCTTCTCCTCCTCGTGATGCTCGGTATATTGTACGTGGTCTGTCTCGTTTGTACCTACTCAATGCGGGGCTGATCGTGGTAACGCAGCGCTGGCTACCCCGTAGCGTCTTACTTCACAAGGAGCTCCCTTTCCAGCAACGGAGGTGGGCCTCCTGTATTCTTCAAGCGTCGCGGCCGACAGACATGTTCTTTTTCCAGGATTCGGACTGGGCGGGATCAACGGCACCGGCCAGATCCCGGCTATGGACGGAAAATGGGGCATGATAGACCCCGACACGCCCGAAGAATTCAAGACGAAGAAATCGTACATGAGCGCCAAAGATCTGCAGCTTATCTTTTCCGACGAGTTCAACGTCGACAATCGGACCTTCTACCCGGGCGATGATCCGTACTGGGAGGCCTACGACCTCCACTACTGGGGTGTGAGTTCCCGCGGTCCTGAACCCCAGCGTTATACCGCTGCCCGCTTAATTGCATCGCTCACGAAGTCGGCAGACGAACAACCTGGAATGGTATGACCCTGCGCAGATCACCACCCGGGGTGGCGCGCTGCGTGTGACGCTCGACAAAAAAGAGAACCACGATTTGGACTATTCGGGCGGTATGATGACGACGTGGAACAAGTTCTGCTTCACGGGCGGGTGCGTCCTCGGCCCGCTGGAGGCTCACCACACTTACCCTCGCCAGTCTATACGAGGCGTCTGTCACCTTGCCCGGTGCGAACAACATCCTCGGCCTCTGGCCCGCTGTGTGGGCGATGGGCAACCTGGGCCGCGCGGGATATGGTGCAACCCTTGAGGGGACATGGCCATATACCTACGGTACGTGTATCTCGACGAAACTGCTCAGCCAATATTTATCCCGGCATCTGACAGACTCCTGCGACGTCGGCACCGTCAAGAACCAGACGGTCAAAGGTCAGCCAAAAGCAGCCACCGTCAACGGCGACGAGGGCTTCGGCGGCGTCCTCTGTGAGTCATATATAACGTCTCACGATATACGAAGGCTGACGGCAGTGATTGTGTAGCCTACGCGCCCGGCCAGCGCCTGTCGCGGTGCACCTGCCCTGGCGAGGTTCACCCGGGACCGATTCACTCATCGGATAATACCTATGTCGGACGCGCTGCACCTGAGATCGACATGTTCGAAGCGCAAGTCGATACGAAGCTCGGAGGACATGTATCCCAGTCCGGACAATGGGCGCCGTTTAATTACGGTCAGTGGCATTTTCATCTCGATGGTGGTAGATCAGAGCCAACGTCCTCGCAGCTTACGAGTGGTTCGACACGGCGGAGAACTTGATCATCTACAACTCCAGCGTCTCCTCCGAGAACTCGTACAAGGGCGGTGTGTACCAGCAGGCGACGTCCGTTGTGTCCAAGACAGGTGAGTTGGGTTGCGCGCGCCCTGATGGTCCGCCTCTGACTGGACTGCAGACCAGGCGTGCTACGAGCTTGAGGAAGGTTGCTTCTCACTGTACGGTTTCGAGTATAAGCCCGGCTTCGATGACGCAGTGAGTTCAATCGCGCGCAGTCCGAAGATGATTCTGATACTGACTGGACTGTGCCTCCTAGTACATCACCTGGATCAACGCGTATGTGGTTGTCAACCGACAGAGAAGCGTTATATCTGACCTAGCTCCCAGAGGCGCAGCAGCGTGGACCATCAAGTCCGCCGGCCTCGCCGCGGACCCCAGAGTTGAGATCGGCCCTCGTCCTATCCCGCAGGAACCCATGTACCGTGCGTAGTCCTCGTCCCTAACCGAACCGCTCGCTCACTCGCCCCGCAGTCATCGTCAACCTGGGTACCAGCGAGAACTTCGGCCCTGTTGATTTCGAACACTTAACCTTCCCGGTACGTCAAGCGGTAGACTTCGTGGCCCCTCCCTATATGCCAAAATTTCTACACAGACGACCATGTCGATCGACTACATCCGTGTCTACCAGGATCCCGACAACATCAAGTGAGTTCTCGTCGTGCTCTCGCCCCCTCATATACTGACGCAGTTCAGCTACGGCTGCGACCCGGATGACTTCCCGACCGCAGCTTACATCAAACAATTTGAGGAGGCGTATACTGTAAGCCAAGGCCTAGGACCTTTCCTTTTGCTGTCACTAAACTCGCTTTGCTATACCCAGAACCCTAACCTAACAACCTGGAAAGACGACTATAAGCAGCCTTGGCCGAAGAACCGCTTTTTGGGAGAATGCTAAACCGACGGAGGCGTAAGGTGCATGTGGCGAGCGTCGGTACGAGACCACGTGTAGTCAAACTAACACTGATCTACTGCACTCACAATAGAAGCTCTATGCATCAACATTCCACTTCAGGATACCAACAAGAGGTATAGTCTATGTAATGTCCGGGTATGAGAATGAGTTCAGCCCCGCGTGCCTTGCCAACACACACGCAGACCTTTGCAGGTGCGTTCGCGCCAGGCTTACGCACGAATCACAATCTAGCACTCTCCCAAGAAGCTGTTCTTCGGCCACTGCTGCTTGTAGTCGTCGACCCAAGTCGTCAAGTTGGGGTTCTGTGAAGGATTGATCTCAGCGAGTGAACATGAGATAAACTACACCGGCTTACAGTATACGCCTCCTCAAACTGTTTGATGTAAGCCGCCGTCGGGAAGTCATCTGGGTCGCAGCCGTAGCTGGACTGCGTCAGTATATGAGGGGGGCGAATGGACGATGAAAACGCACTTGATGTTGTCGGGATCCTGGTAGACGCGAATGTAGTCGATCGACATGGTCGTCTGATGAAGAATTCACATTTAGCGACACATAGTCAGAGGCAGGCCGTACGACGTACCGGGAAGGTGAGATGGTCGAAGTCAATATACCCGAAGTTCGGACTGATACCCAGGTTGACGATGACTGCACGATGAATGAGCGAGAAGTCTGACAGAAAGCAAAGACTACGCACGATACATCGGCTCCTGTGGGATAGGACGAGCGCCAATTTCGACCTTAGAGTCGGCAGCCATGCCGGCTGACTTGATGGTCCATGACGGCGCGCCACTGAGGACGGGGTTAAGATACAATGTTCCAGATCGGTCGGTAGACACATACGCGCTGATCCATGTGATGTACTGGCAGACACATTCGAGTAAGCACTTGGCAATTGGATTGCGCGCGATAACACGCACCGCATCATCGAAGCCAGGCTTGTACTCAAAGCCGTACAGCGAGAAGCACGCTTCCTCAAGTTCGTAGCAGGCCTGATCTATGAGACAATCAGCCATCGCTCATGCAAAGCGCGCAACGTGCTCACCGGTCTTTGAGACGACCGAGGTCGCCTGTTGGTACACGCCGCCCTTGTACGAGTTTTCGGACGAGATGCTAGAGTTATAGATGATTAAGTTATCTGCCGTGTCGAACCACTCGTAGGCTATAAGCTCGTTAGTATCCTACATGAGCCAACACATCAAGAACACCACAGACCATGATTAAACGGCGCCCACTGCCCCGACTGGGAGACGTGCCCGCCCGTCTCCGTGTCGACCTGCGCTTCGAACATGTCGATCTCGGGTGCTGCGCGCCCGACGAAGGTGTTGTCCGACGAGTGGATGGGGCCCGGGTGAGCCTCGCCGGGGCAGGTGCAGCGCGAGAGGCGCTGGCCGGGCATGTAGGCTGGGTGGGTGAGGCCGTCAGCAGTTGGACACGACACCAGAGCATGCTGGTAAAATCATGCAGAGAAAATCGGACGTACAAAGAACGTTGTTATACGACTTGTCGCCGTCGACGGTAGCTGCGTGGGGCTGACCCTTGACCGTCTGGTTCATGACTGTGCCGACGTCGCAGGAGTCTGTGGTAGAGTATGGTCAGCTGGAGCGAAGTGAATAATTGCGAGAGATACGCACCGTATGTATACGGCCATGTTCCATCGAGCGAGGCACCGTAGGCAGCGCGACCTAGGTTGCCCATTGCCCAGACAGCGGGCCAGAGACCGAGGATGTTGTTCGCGCCGGGGAGCGTGACGGACGCCTCGTATAGACTGGAGTGGATGAGTACGCAGCATCGTGAAATTAGGGGAGGATAACGTGCCCGCCCGTGAAGCAGAACTTATTCCACGTCGTCATCATACCACCCGAGTACTCGAGGTCGTGGTTCGTCTTCTTCTCGAGCGTTATACGCAGCGCGCCATCCCTGGTGGTGATCTGCTGCGGGTCGTACCACTCCAGGTTGTTCGTCTGGCGGGTTCCTTTGCATCAGCGACCTAGGATTGGCGATGACAAGGTCCCGACACTCACGCCCCAGTAATGGAGGTCGTAGGCCTCCCAGTACGGGTCGTCGCCAGGGTAGAATGTCCGATTGTCCACATTGAACTCGTCAGAGAAGACCAGCTGAAGGTTCTTGTTGCTCATGAACGACTTCTTCGTCTTGAACTCCGCGGGCGTGTCGGGGTCGATCATGCCCCACTTGCCGTCCATGGCAGGGACCTGGCCGGTGCCGTTGATTCCACCGAGGCCGAAGCCTAAGAGGAGCGTCAGTAATGAGAGTCGATGCGACGCTCGGTAGCAAGGACGCTCCGTAAAGTGAGGGAGACATACCTCCGTTGCTGGAAAGGGATTGCTTGGTAAAGTAGGAGGCCACGGGGTAGCCGGCACTATTGCACATCAGTCCATCTCAACATAGTAAAGCAGATATTGACGACGTACAAAAGAGCAAACATCCCTAGGAGCAGAAGCACCAGGAACCCGAGGTTCATAAAGCCCCGGCCGGTAAAGATGGACGAACCGCGGTCGATCACCTTGTCGCGGCGCGGGTCAGGGTTGTGGATGCTGTCGTCCGCCTCGCGGTGCCCGCGCATGATGTTGTCGGCGCCCCATAGCAGGGGATCGGCGTCGAGGTTGAACTGGTTGAAAGAGATCAATTAGTACCGCGAGACATCGACCGCAAGGATCACCAGCCATACCTTCTCAGAATTCGCCGCATTCGGCGGGCGTGCCTGAGGCGACTGTTGAGCAACGGGACGTGCGACTGGACTGTACCCCGTAGGCGGTACGAAGGGGTTGGGGCTCTGTAATAGAGGGTTATTGAGACGGATTGAGCAGTCAGCTTGTGATTGTGGACGCACCCCGAAGACGACGTTAGGGCGGGCGTACGCAAGGGACTGCCTGCGCCTCTGTGCGTCGGGCCCGAAGGGAGAAGGAGTGGACATGGCCGCTGGAGCCAAGGGGTGTTGACAGCTAGAACTAAAGGGTGTCGATGGCTGGAGCCAAGAAGTGTCAATGGCTCAAGCCGAAGGATGGTAATGGCTGAAGCCAAGGGAGGGTGACAGCTCAGGAAGGGGCGCTGATGAATATATGCATCCGCGCCGACGCGTCGTCGGCGCTGATGCTGGCTATTCAATCGCCCCCCAATTTTGATTGTCCGAGTTTCATCCGATCGCTCAACCTTCCCTCGGTGGACTTCCCTTACTCTTGAGGAGACTAGGGCGATATTCAAGACTGAACAGAGGCACTTCTCAGTGCGTCGAATCAACTTCGCGCAATATCTGCCAAGACTAGCCTTTTTTGTAAACAAAAGACAATGAAGTTCGAGGAAGCCAACATGTGCGCTTCCGCGTCGCCATGACGATAACGCCGATTCGGAACGCGGATTCAGTGCTTTCTTCAACAGACAAACTTCCAAATCAGGAACAAGGCGCGTCTGCCATACGCTCCGCCGGTTAAGCTCTCACCGCCCTCTTAGGACAGTCGACGTGAGATGGATACCGCAATGGTGGCGGTAGTCGAGGAGACTTGGAGGAGAGACGGACTTGTGATGTGATCGCCATCAATACGAACATGTCACGCGCGTGGCTTCCTTGCCCTCGACCTCCATGGCAGATTCATGGCAGGTCCGCACGAAGCGTTGGTCTCCATTGCTCGCATGCACCGTACGTACTCTCGAGTACCTCACTAGGGCTTCGAACTTACAGGACTGAAGACATCAGGAGCATGGCGAAATTCCGCCGGTTGAAGCAGCACGCGCGTAATTCAGAGGTGCGCGGTCTAGTGAAGGTTAGCTCGCAGCACCCACCTATTTCCCTTCAAATATTGCCCTATTACATGTCTCTCTGACACAGTCATGCGCATAGGCCGGCAAGCCAGGTGTACTCGTCTTCCGCGGAACGAAGTTTACAGTGTCGATGTTCCTCGAGAACGCAAGAGGTACGTCTTCGTCTTCTTCCACTTCGACCACCATTCAAAATCACGCTCTCCGGTCCAGCCTTACGCTACCTCGACTTCCATCATGTCGACACCCAATCACTACTTCCTCCGTCCGCCGGCTTCGCGGACAAGATGGACTACGGGCTCGAAGAGGTCCCAGACATGAAGGAGCTTGTACGACGCCTTGACGAACACGGTCTGAAGGACTGGTTCCGGAGGGAGATGGGGATGTCGGGACGGTGACGAAGTCTAGTCACTTGCCGCCGCTAGTCGACCGCTAGTACAAACAAGACACGGCTTCCATTAGTTTACTAGGATTTCGATGCACATATTTCAGCATCTTCAGGCTTCACCACACACGTCGCGCAAGCTCATCGGTCGTGCGACTTTCGTCAGGCATCGATAGGAACACCCGTTTCTCGCCGCTCGCACCCTCTAATCGCCGCCATAAGTACTGTAAGTTTTCGACACGAACTGAGCAATCTTGACCCCGACCACCACTCTCCTCCGAAGAGCACACGCCCATTCCAGCGTCGTCGAAGATGAGTGAGTCCTCGTAACTCCTCTTGCGCGCGCTTCTCGCTGACGAGGATGATTTACACGTAGATGCCTTCGCCCAAGCTGCCCTGGGCATCCTCACCGACCGTAAGCCTGTCATACACCACGTAGCACCCGCCATCTGACTCCTGATCTTCTCCGAAAAGACCTCACCACAACCATAGTGACCGCCAGCGGCGTTGGCGGCATGATCCTTGCACCCTACGCAGCACCACTCATCCTAGGCGCCGTCGGATTCACACCGGGCGGCGTTGCTGCGGGTGCGTGCTCTGGACGTGGCTGACACGCTTGTATAATCTGACGAATATCTTCTTTGCTCTTGAATTAGGCAGCATTGCCGCGGGGATACAAGCAGGCATTGGCAACGTCGCTGCAGGATCCTTGTTCGCGGGAGCGCAGGCGGCGGGGGCTACAGGTGCTATCCCGGTCATAGGGACGATCATAAGCGGTGGCATCACCGCTGCCTCTGCCGGCGCTGGGAAGGCGATTGCTGACTTGTTCTAAACGGTGGTCTGTTTTTCTGGACGAACGGAGATACGAGTTGAATTTTGCCCTGTAATCGTGGGAGGGGAGCTCGGTGAATGCCGCAAGGCAACCTATGTGTGCGTTATTAATTTTGCTTGACCATTCCTTCGACCATCGACTATACGCGATGCTGCCCACTCAGGTTCCGATATCGCTAAAAGCGACGTGACAGTTGGCTATGCCGATGACGGTCTCGCCGCAACTGACCGTCAACTATATGCCTCATTTCCGAGGTCGTCCACAGCGCCGACAGACTTTCCACCGGAGGCTGTCAGGTCGTTTTGGGCGTGGCGTGTGAGAGCTGGCGGAACCCTCGACGTCAACTTTGTTGTGTTGAAACCCGTTGACCTCTCCGCTAACGGTCATATTCGCTTCGACGTGGCGCGCCGCCCTGCGCTTACGCGATGATCTCTCCTACTGGCAGCCTGCTGGGCGGCTGCGGTCGCGCCTACCCTCGTGGCCGGTACGGACTCGGGAAAGATCTTTTGAGGCGGGCTGGAAGGGCTTCCTGACCGTCACGTCTTCGAATGCCGGCACGACAAAGTCAGGCGTCGGCCGCAAGCGAATGATCAGACTTTCTCGAACTCCATCGTCTTGTTTGCAGACACCCTCCCACGAGACGTCCGCATGAGAATACGCTCAAGAAGGCGGTAGCTAGCAAGTCATCAAACCTTTGAAGAGCGCACATATAGATGAAAGCAGGTCGCTTGCGACTCTCTTCACTGGTCTTGTCTAGTCGAAGAGGTCGTTGGGCGACGATCCTACAGGAACGCTTCAAGGGCGCAGTTGCCGCCAAGACCCCGCGTAGTTGGCCGTAGCAATAACCACGCTTAGGGTGCTCCTTCGAAACTCTGTCCTATGTCCGTCTGATAATTCGCGCACTCCCGACCTTCTGAGCATGAACGAATTCTCGTGCTGTCTGCTTGCCCGAGGTGCGGCACCCATAAGCTTGCGGACATAGAAGCCCTACAGGCCGGCTATGATGGCCTCAGACCCATAAAATACCCGTACATGAAAACCCTGTCACCTTGCTTGCAAGGTCTCTTGCAGACCCTTTATTCTTCGGGATTCCTAGTACACACAGACAAACAACGCTTGACCTACCTCAGTTCGAACCCCGATCTTGTGTCGCAAGCAAGGTCTCCGCCGGGCGCAGCCGGCGCTTCCTCTAGTACATATATACAGCACGCTTATATTGCAACACTCGAAGGTAACTTGGGTTCATCGTCAACAAAGACTCCCCTTTTCGGACGCAATGAGCCTTTTCGGCATTTTCCGGTGTGAAGTTACGTGGTGACCTTGTGTAGCCAAGCACCTCTTCCCGTCAGTTGACTGCCGCAGGGCTTCTCCGCCGAATGCTACTCTATTCTCTATCTGGGTCTGGCCGACGCAGGCGAGCGAGGCTCAGACGAGGCTGCTGCGTTGATTCCCCCTCGCCTTGGATACGAATCCGCAAATGATGCGCTCCGGACATGATACGATACGAAAAATCCCACCGACAGACGCGTATCGTGCATGGGGCGGCGTCCATCCCCAATCCTGCTCAATTGATTCGTTCACTCCGGAGTCCGAGGTGTATACTTGGCGAATATCGTACGAGGCGAGGTGGACCGTAGCTCGGGAGCGCTGGCTACACGTTTTCCGTGCAGGAAATGCCTGCGAGATATGCACCCACGTTCGTGCCCCCTCGAGGTTCATTGTGTGCTATGTCGGGTGTCTTCGCGCCGCGGCAGGGCCGCCGCGACTTGGCCAGACTGCCCAATCACCCGAAGCGGGAAGCCAGCGGATGACCATGATAGTCACTTGACATCGTATCATGACAGCATACTTACGTTCTGCCCCAACGGTCCGGCGGTGGGGTACTTAAGCCCCTCCTTCTCAATGCAACGGACAACTCGCAACCCAGACACTCCCACTCGTCGCCGCCAACGTCCACCATGAACGCCAGACTCGCCTTCGCCAAGCTCGCGCGCGCCGCCCCGGCCGCCCGCCGCCAGACGCGCGCCTTCCACTCGCCGTTCACCATCCTGAACACGGCGATCCCCCCATCCACCACGAAGGGCGCGCCCAGGGACAACTCGCCCCTCACGTCCCCTCCTCCTGCCGAGGCGAACCTGTCCTCCGCCGACGCCTTCACCGGCGACCAATACGCCGCGTACTCCACGGAGGACCGCCCTGGCGACGTCTACGTCGTCTGCGACCCCACCGTCGAGTCCTTCCACAATGTCCCCACTGGTGCATACCCTACCTCGCACCCCTACGTGAACTGGAAGTCCGCGCCTGCCCCCGCGACTCCGGACGTAGAGAACCTCAGCAGCACCAGTGCCGACCCCTTCGCGCACCCCATCACGAAGAACGTCGACCGCAACCCCTCTGGCGTCATGGAGAGCGCTGCGCTCCGCCACCGCGAAGCCCCCGGCGAGATGGGTGCGCGCGGCGGCAGCTACAGTGGTGAGGGCCTCGCCGACGCGCAGGGCACCACGAAGGGCTCCGGTCTCGCCGACCGCAATCCGCCGCCGCTGTCGAAGGAGGCCGAGAAGTGGTCGAAAGCTGGCGTGAAGGAGGCCTGGAAGCAGCGCCTGTAGTGCGTTGCGCGCAGTGTTGGCTCTCGGACTGGGTTACTTATCGACGACCATAGATTTCTTGCTCTCTCGGATGAAACAAACCTGTACTTTTAGTTGCACATATCTATAGCTTAGCGCACTCGCGGTCGTAATCATGCATGTACTTATCGTCGCCTCACCTGCATATATTCACATTATTTGGCACTTCACAAGCCTGAAGAGGACGAAACAAGCACAGGACAACAAGACTCCATTGATGACGCAGCCTGTCCGAAAGAGGAAGGCTTTGAAGTCCCGATTAGGCTTGTTCCGAGCAAAGGCAGACGCAAGTAGAGGCACAGCTGTCTGAAACGCGCTCAAGCGATATAGCTCTAACGAATGTGATAGTCCCAAGGTCATCCACAATATCTACCGTGAATACGTAGTGATACACATTAGCCACGAGAAAATGTTTATGGTAGAAGATACAGCCAGGTATGAGAGCAAATATGTAAGCGAGTGTCCTTGTGTTCCACAATTCCTATGTTCATTCTGACGAAACCAAGGCAATGAGCTCGGCAACATGCGCGTTCCGCTTGTTCACCAAATCGTTATGTGACACCGTGCTTCGAAGGTCCGCCGCAGCCTGTTCAAGTTGGTCAGTAAAGCGATGATGCCAGAGAAGGGCGAAAGGCATACCTGTATCAACTTGTCCGCTTCCCACATCCTCGTTGGAAGGCTCTCCAAGGCGACATAAACGGCCGAGATGGATTCGCATTGTAGCAGCTCCTGCTCGTTGTTCTTCAAGATCGCCAGCGCGACCCGGAAGAGAACGTCCAGCCCATTCACCATGAACACATCCCACAAACGAAATAGCGTCTAAATCGGCGGGAGAAAGCCGATCAGCTTCGACGCCCTCAAGCGTAGCGACACATCACTTACCTCCACAGGCAGGCAATCCGTGAACAAGGACAAGAACCACGAGAAGCAGATCGCTGGGAGGTCAATTCCGAGGTCGAGAAGGTGGTTGTGCAGCTTCGGCAGCTGATCTTGCACATAATCCATCAAGACCATAGGGCACGCACGGGACGGGAGCAGCGAAGGCGAGAAGAAGTCCTCGGGAAGCAAGCGCTCGATGATCGCGGCTAGAACCCAGAACGCATCCTCCTCGTCGCCGTACACCAGCAGCAGCGTCGACGTGATGAGGTTCATCCCCTGGCAGTACCCGACGGAGGTGTTTCGTCTGTATAGCATGTCAATTTTTCCTGGTTCGCAAATATAGTCGGGAGAAGAGGCCACCCACCGACTATAAGCAATAAGCACCCTGCGCAATTTCTCGACTCCGGCGCCGTCGCCGCCAAAGAACACGTTCAATGGCATGGTCCGCCCGACGTCCTTCGCAATCTCGCCCATCACCGACTCATTGCTTGCGTCCTCCTTCGCTAACAAGTCCTGGAATAGCCCCGGCTCGCGCATCTCCAGCGCGCCGCTGCACTCGAGCCACACCTTCGCGCGATACACAAGCGGGATCCCGCCATGCACGAGCCGGTCGAACTCACGCTTCTCGCTGTTGTTCGCGGACAGCCCGAGCTGCGCGAAGCCGATGAGCCCCTCCGAGTGGGAGAGCTCTTCCTCGTCAATCTCTGTGCCGAGGCCGAGGATGGCGGCCGCGCCACTGGATGCAGACGAGTTGTGCGTCTTCGCGGCGGAGGCGCGCGCGGCGCGGCGTTGCTTGACAAATGCGTCCCACTCTTTGCGCCGGGAGGCTTGGCGCTGGTCATGGATCTCGACAAGCTGGTCTAACAGGCGGCGTACGGTATTCGCGCAAGCATGACGAGGGGTGCTTGTGTTGACGGAGAGGATGGACGTCGCGGGCGTATTGATGCTTGATGCCACGGCAGACGATACAAGCGTTGACGAGCGCCTTCTGCTCTTCGACGACGAGCGCGACTTGAGACTCGGTGCCACGGACTCAGCAGTTGGCGACTCCGCAATCACGGGGGCGGAGTCGGGTGAACCGTCGCATTGGCAGTTCTCCTTGACGATGTCAATCGTCTCCTTCAACTGGCCATCCTCGTCCTCCGGCCACGCATTATTCTCCTCTCGATCCGCAATCTTGACCCCGGTTAGACAGGCAGGCGCCGTACTACCACATTCCTTCGCCCGGATGAGGAGAAGGACATCATACTGCGACACATCGTACATGAAGCCGTACCGGTCCGTCAGCGGCTTATTGTCGTCGTGATATATGGAGAACCGCGACGCCGACTGAGGGAGCGGAATGGAGAACTGGAAATCGCGCGACGTGAGGGGAGTATAGGTGCGTGAAAGGTATTGCGTTGGCGGCTTCGCGACGGCGGGGATGATGGACTCCAGTGGCACCGACCCAGGCTTCTTGACCGGAGGAATTGAGGCGGCAGCAAGCGTAGTGTCTTGCCCAGAGGCCGAGGTCCCGGCAGCACCGCTCTGCGTGCTCGGCTTCCGCTGCTGCTGGCTAGAGAAGGACCCAAAAAGCGGCGACGAAAACGGTTGCATGATGGCGGCGCCCTTCGCCATTGCCTTCCTGTGCCCCGATTGCAGCTGCTTTCGAAGCGCCCGATTGAGCGTCATGGTCGCATCGAGTCCCTGCGAAGTCGGGAAGACCGTAGAAGTCGCGGAGGCCGGTTCTTCGACAGCAGTTTCCGAGACGACCCTCGATGGGTGCCTCCGGTCCTTGCGCTCTTTCTGAGGCTTCCGGAGGTCAAGACCCGTGTCGCGGGCGTTGCGCACCAGTTCGTAGGCTAGACGCGATATCAGCGGCCCCGTCTCCCGGCCCTGGTCCTCCAAAATGCTGCTAGGTTCACCAGTCATGATACGAGTGGCATTGACGATCGCGCGAAGAGATGCGCCCTGCCGCAAGAGAGGCTTCTCCTCTGCCTCTTCGATCGAAGATGTGGTCTCGATCATAGTGTTGTCCGGTAGGACCTCAGTAGTCAGTCGAGACATTGTAGGCATAGCAGGGGTAGAGACTGCCGGCGACATCAGACGGCTCTCCGGCGTGGATGCCGTTCCCTCTGAAGGCAGTGTGATGGTCTGAGCGGACTCGTCTTCTGCAGAAGTCTCGATGACGGCCTGCGGACGAGCGACATTGGACGAGATGCTAGGATTGAGGATGGAAATACCGAGTGCACCGAAGACGCTCTTAGCAGATTTGCGTCGCGTTGGCCTAGGTCGCTCCGTCTCCTCCGATATGGTCGCGGGAGGCGCTGACTGTGTCGCCTTAACAGGTTCGGGCCGTCCTCGCTTGCCCTTCCCCCACCAGGAGCCCATCCAGTCCCCTACGGAAGACGTTCTGGATATGACGGAAGCTCTGTCGTCAAAGACGTCCTCGGAGTCTGCGACAGAGCGTTGATCGGCGCCAGCATCTGATTCGGTATCTGGTTTGCGCGGAGGCATGTTGGACAGTATTGGCTCCTGCGGTATGCTTTGCGAGAGCGGGACCTCATCCTCGAGGGCTTCACAAAGTGATTCCGCTAGCGACTACGGCGTCGTCAGTTGTGTTTCCTGATGGGAGTAGAACACACGCACCCGCATACTGGGTTGCCTCCGAATTTGCAGACGATCCTCTCCTTCCTCGACGGGCTCGTCCCCTCCCATCCCCTCCGCCTTCTCGGGGTAGAGCGCGCTCATCATTCGGCGAGCTACATCTTGCTCTGGTGTGTCAAGGCCTTTCAAGAAGTCCTCCGCCCTCTGCAGCCGCTCTTCCTCCCTCTCGAGTAAGAGGCGCCTATTCTCCTCTAGCTCTACGCGTGCGCGCGTCACCTTGTGCAATGCCTGCGACAAGACGCGTATGACGGGATGATAGGGGTGTCTGGAGACCTCGGCAGGCGTCTCCGCCTCGCTAAAGGACGAAATGGCCGCCTGTATCGCCTCGTCCGAATATTCATGCCATCTAGTCGAGACGATTTGAGGTGCTAGTGGCGTTGACGCTTCGTTGACGTCGATTACCTCAGAGGGTACAAGGGCACCAGGACGAGGTGTTCGAGGGGGAGAGGTTGGTAGAGCCGCGGGTTGCTGGTTGACGAACAGGAGGGGAGCTGGGCGATCCCACATCGTCGTCAACCGATCGTGTGCAGCACCAGACGCCGCCGACTTTGGCTTCTCCGTGCGCGCGCTATAGCCGCGGACGCTGCCGTCCCAGCGCGCTCCGCCATCCTTCTCAAGTTGCGCCTTGAGGGAGAAGTAGGTTGCAGAGGGGGTCGTTAAGTCCGCGGTGGACGATGAGCCAGCAGCCTGCTGCTTGGAACTGCTCCGAGACTTGCGCGACCTGGAGCTCGAGGGAAGTTCGTCAGGGGAGAGAGGGTGCGAGCGGACTGGGGTCGAGGACTGCGACGACATAGAGCTGCACGAGATAACGCGTCCTGTTATTCGCCGTTCCGCGGGCGGCGCATCGAGCGCGATGACAAGGACCGACAACTTGCCGGCGGCACAGCGGTGATAGCCTTTTCGGCAGTTACCGAGTCACGCGTTCAATGTTCGTTTTCTCAGATGCTTGTAATCAATCCTTTGCAGGCATTATGGCATCGCGACGTACAGGCAACCTCTGCAGAGCTCCTCTACAAGTCTGAGGCTAGCAAAGGTTTCACTTCGTCAGACGGCATCAAGGAAGTGCCACGTTCATTAATCAAGCCTATCTCGACGACCTACTCTCGCTGAAACGGCGTCTATGTACAGTTCCTGACAGCATTCGAAGCAAACGGTCCTCGATATGTCTCGAATATGATCATAGGCAACATACAACGAAGACTCAACGATATGTTATGATACCCGGGATCTCGTTGCCCGCATCTCCTATGAGACCAGGGAATTATTGGAAGGTCTGCGCGTTTTCCGCCCCCAACTCGCCAGAAGGTGTTGGGCCCGCCGTCGAAACGCAAAAGAGAACATTGAAGAAAAGGCCTGGATTGCCATTGCATCGAAGTTCGATGAAAGCCATCGTTGGCGTCGGCAAGGCCTAGCAAGCCAGTTCTCCGCCTTCCCCACAGTCGCGTAGAGCATTGAAAATGCTGCGCTGATCGTAGCCGAGTGCCAGCGCAGACTGTTCTACCACCATCCTATCTTATCGGAGCCAAGCAGGCAAGCGGCCCCTGGTTTGACGACAGGACCTGTAGCGCCGTCGATGTTCCGGTCATTGTTCGCGGGTGGCTTGACGGGGGCTGTCGACATCGGAGATCTCGATGGGCGCTTAACCATCGAGACGAGTTTGTAGGCATGGCGGTGGTGTGCCTCTGATTCCACGATTGAGGCGGACAGAATTTTTTGGCTGTCCAACGTATTGAATTCGCGAACAGAGATGTGTCGCCTCTTGCCCTCTGTGCGAGCGTTAGGCAGTGTGTATTGCATACAATTGACTCACATTCATGCATGTTCGCTGAGAAGTGAGAGTCCTGCGTACTCATTGAGTACAACCCAAGCGGCAGAAGTCGAACCAAGAGTCGAACCGCCGCAGAGTGTAAAAGGGCTATCGAACCCATCAGCAAGAGAATACGGGATGACGAGACTTCTTCGCACATTCGCCCGGAACGGTAAGGCAAGACCAAGAGGTCCCAGAAATTGGGAACTCGCCGCTCGCATCAGATGCAGACATGGAACTCACCAAGATAGAGCCCGAAATTCCAAGGCTTACATCGAGATTTGAAGGCAAACTGCCGGCGGACGGTCACGTGTGTGATGGCGGCGCGGACCGACACGCACTGGCAGCGGCGCAGTGACTGTTCCTAACTCAACGCATCTCTCCAGCCACTGCATCCTACTCCCGCCCGCAGTGTCTGCCAGCTTCGATGCATTCCCTCCCAGACCACAGGGGCTCGAGAAACAATAGCACACCTGCGGAATGGCCAATTCAGCATTGCGTATACATGCCGGCGCATCAGAGCACAGGCTCACCCCCGCATCCCCTGATTCGCGTTTCCGTCTGAGGGCGAGATCCCTCCTTCGACCGCTGGATCTCTAATCGCCCAAGGGCCGTCCCCCTCCGGCGTGACTCGTGTAGCGGCCAGTGTGTGCCGTAAATCATCAATCGGCATCTGTCATGCGATGACTGCGACTCAGCCAGACTTACCTCCTTCAATGTGTTAGCTCCCTCAGATTCGTCGGGCGTGCCGCGCGGGCGCTGTGAGGCTCCGCAGCGTGATGCAAGATAGGGCGAGGTACATAAGCAGGATGTGGCGACGCGTCCAATGCCACTTTCAACCCTGCCAGAAACCATGTCTAGCCAGAGCGCATACTACGCAGGCGGCGTGGCCCCGCGTCGCCCATCGCACAGCCGCACGTCTTCGCGGGATGGATCGAGCTATCCTGGTGTACATCGTCAGCGTCATCAATGTTGGCCATAAAGCCCACTTACTAACACGTTGGACAGCGTACTCCCGTCCTTCGCCTGCTGGGGCAAGCAGCGCAATGGACCACTACTTCGCTCCTACTTACCCAGCGTACCCTGCCCCACCAGCTGACGCGCGTTCTTGGGCTGCATCACCAGCAAGTTCATACTCGCTGTCGCCTGTGCAGAGTATGCCACCCTATGGAGCGGGCTCCTACGTCCACCCATCGTTGGCCGTCGCCCACGCCGCTGCCAGTCCGTATCCACCTGAGGACTCCTCTCCAACCATCCAGGACCTTGAGGAGTTCCTGAACGATCCTAATCTCTGGACGCCACCCACGGCGGCGCAGTACAACTCGACATACCGCTCCATGGCTCCCGCCGCGCCCACGAGTGGCCCTCCCACGCCGCCAGAGAAGATATGCTGGCACTGCCGCACACGCACGACGCCGCTATGGCGCCGCGACACACGCATCCCGGGCCTTCTCTGCAACGCGTGCGGCCTCTACCTCTCCCAGCGCGGGAAGCTCCGCCCGCGCGAGCTCATCGACGCGGACGACGACTCGGACGTCGTACGAGAGGCGAATTACTCGGGCCCCGAGTGCACTCACTGCCACACTCGCACGACAAGCGTCTGGCGGCGGAACAAGGTCGGGGCACAGGTATGCAACGCGTGCGGGTGAGTCGTCGCGGGGGCTGTGATGGGGGATGTACGCTGACTGCGAGGCGTTACAGTGTCTACGAGCGGCTGAAGGGGAAGGAGCGTCCGCTGTCCCTGAGGCGGGACAAGATCAGGCCTAGGAACACGGGCAATGATTAGACGCGTAGCTTCAAAGACGGAGGATTCAACTTATTACACGCCTATGCTATCCGCAGCGATTGCCTGCTTCCTCGACTCATTCTGGTTAATTCATATGGTATGCCACAAATTCGGACTTTTTAGATAGATGGATAAACGCCCTGGCCGTCTCTAGTAAGCATATAGCACATATAAACTCCTCAACCTGTACACACCTATGTATCCCTACAATGTAACAATTGGCTCGCTTCCCTGGCGCTGCCCCGACCTATGTATCCTCCGACGACATGGGACTTCGCGAGACCCAGGTTGCGAACTGCCTAACGAAGGATCTATAGATCAAGATTGTCAGAACGACACCGAGACGGCGCCTTGCGAATCCCTTGGCAACGTCGTGGGTCCGTCCTTCGCGGACCATATACGGACAACGCGCACTTCAATCGGGGCTTCGAGGTCGACCCATGCGGATGAGACGCTATTGAAGGGCCGAGCAGCATACAGAAGTGCCTGAAAGCAATTGGGGACTGGCCAATTTTCAGGAGATAAGCATGCGAGAAGCGTACATGTATTGGTCGGCGTAAGAGACGAAGCGATACGATCAACGCGCCAACGGCTAGAGGATGAAGGGGAACATGGCTTTCCTCCCCCGGGGGTACGCCTTGCCAAACTCCTTCTTGTACTGGTTGTGCTTCTTCAGCGCCCAGATAGCCATCTGGACCGTCGCGACGACCAGAAACAGAATTGCTAGAGAAAAGTCAGCTATTTACTTCGCATGTCGAGATCCTGATTCGTACACGCTAGACTCCCGCCCGTCATCACAGTGATCGTCGTCCATGCCAGGGTCTCGAACAGATAATTCGGGCAAGAGACGAGACCGAATCCGAACCCATAAGGAATCCCGCGCTTGGTTGTGCCGGCGGGACGCAACGAACGCAACACCAAGTGTGCATTCAAGTTGAGGAGCTCAAAAGCCTGCCAAAAGGAGTAAGTACCTTGCATAATCGAGGAACAAGCTGCGCGTACGATAACTAATCCGGCGCAGGCTTTGAGGAAAGTAGGGTCATCGAGTAGGGTTCCGGCGACGGCGGGAGCGGAGTATCCTGGTCTGTACAGATCAAACGCCAGCAATAACCCTGCCTTTCTGTCAGTCACCATCTAAGAGAAGAGGGAATATTTGCATACCGCTAAGGAGATGGTAATGGCCAGAACTAGAACGTTCGTGGTCAGGCGCAGACAAAGCACCGAGGCGGGCTTCTCACTTTTTGAATACATTGAAGAAGGGCATAGTGGCGTGCGAGAAGCGATGTACACTGTCTACCGGTTAGCATAACGGCAGACGCTGAAGCAGGGTTGCGGGGAACTCACAACAGTGTTTCCAGTTCCCGCTTGATGAAATGGCCCATGATGAGAGCAAAGGCATAACTACAAATCGTGAGCAGGGGAATGTATAGCGCCAGAGGTGACGTACGTCTGCATGGCGCTGTGCTTCACATCCTGGCCGTAGAATACGCCAGGATAGAAGTAGAACAGGGGATGAATGAGCAGCGGTCCGACCTGATAGCAATGAGTAACACGTTCTGAGTATCGCAACATAGCACGCACGTATTCAATCAGGAACACCGTCCTCCAACTGATTTGGGGGCCGAGATCTTTCACGACTAGCTCGCCTTGCGACGCGCCGGAGAAGAGCTCCTTCACCGGCGCGTCGTCCGCGAGGGCCTTCTTATCCGAGGGGACGCTGAGTTTTTGACGTGTAGAATAGTACTAATAGCCTTATCAGCCCAGTTATAGATGCGCGGCGTCTCTGGGGCGCACCTTGGGGAACTTGGCATGGATAGCAGCCTTGATATCTGCGACCTTGCCGTCGTTCGGGACCTCGACAGTGATGGGAAATCCGCGCGCAAAGGCTGGCGGACGCCCCGCAGCGTTGACAGTGACCGAGACCATGATGAGCTCGTCGTCGGAAACGTTGAGAAATGAGGCAGGATGCAACGAGCAGGACCGCACAAAAACCGGGATCTGCCCAGTCCGGACGTTCGACCCGATCCCACATGGCTATTACGTCACGCGTCGGCGGTCGATATTCGGAATTATTATTCGGGCGGACCACGTCGCGTTGCGCGCCTCCTGGTCACCGTGGCTCTACCAGAGCCTCTACTGTCGCCAAGGCTTAGTTGTCCTCTGCAGCTACCTCGCAGCGAGCTTCTCTATTATACCCTCCGAGGAATCCAACACAGGCACTCTACGCATAGCGCAGCAGCGCACCTCGCTCGTCCGAGTCTGAAATACGATTTAGATGAAATTCTGCCCTTGCATCAGCGGAAATTCTAGAGGAACAGAGAAATTCAGGGATCTGTAGATCGCCGGGGCAGTATCAAACCTACAATGATGAGTGCGCGGCTGAGTAAAACTTGAACCTTGTAGTAGTCTACAAGGTGGACGGGTGCATCTCCTTTACGCGCCTGAAGCGAGCGCCGAATCCATAGGGAGGAATCCTACGTCTGGCTGGTCCTCAACTTAACCTCAGGAGAGCTCGTCGGCTCTACGCAATGGGCATCCGGACGCGTGAACTGAGCGATCTCAAAATTAGGGCCTGTACCAACGTTTGTAAGTAGACAAAGCAGTCTAGCAAGAGCTGGAGAAAGTCAACATTCGCAACTTCCGAATCGGAGCAAGCTGCGCGTCAACTTTCTCACCTCATACTGGATCCATACCAGCGTATTTTGGGTAGCCCTCCTCGGACTTGCTGGACAGCGTCTACCGATGTAGAACCTCCGACGATGCTTAACATCGTCGCCTCGCCATCCTAAACGGCGATAGCTCGTGTCCGTCCTCTATCGCCTATTGAGTCTATCAGCCCGCCCCGCTGACTTGAGCTTGACCACGTACTGAACAATAGCCAAGCCACCTTAAGGGGATGCAACAAGGCTAGAAGGAACCTAGCGCCGGCGCCATCGTATACAGTGTAGACTCTCCTTGGGGCAGGTTCATGGCCATGCCGCTGAATGCTGCTACGCACGAGGAATTCGGTCGTAGGACGCGGGTTAGAGGTCTCTTGAGCGCTCCGAGGAAATATCAGCCCTCGCTGCAAGTCCGAGGGGTTAGAGTGATCGTTCGTTCGGCGGAAGTTCATGACGAGATGTACTGCGCCTCGATAAGCAAGCCCATACCGTACGAGAGAAGCGCTGAGTTTGACTCCCTTGTACACAACCATTATTCGCCCGTACGCTTCAGAAAGCACCGGTAGGATTTCTGCACTATGAATGAGCGTATAGTAATCGTAGTCTGCGCCGACGTGATAGCATGGTACTCGGCCTAGGTTGTAAAAATGCTTGAGAGCGTAGAACGTGTTGAGTCGACCGCCTTTACGAGCCCACCCCGGACTTCCGGCCGCTCGGCAGGCGACGGTGCGTGGTAGGGTTGGGCGAAGGCGAAGTAGGAGAGAGGTCGTCGCTAATGATATCTTGGATTGATGCCTCGAGCGCATCTACACGAGCGGACATCTGGTCCACTGGGACAGTATTCAGTCCGCCTATCCCGCACGCCACGAATCAACACCACTCACTCCTCTCCATTATTTGGCCCGACATCGATTCGAACTTGTCGTCCAATTGAGATAGGAGCCTCTCCACCTGCCCGGCGCAAGGTAGATGCAGAGATAGGAAGGTGATGCAAGAGTGCGCAGTACCGCGAGAACACAGGGTGGCAGCATCGGTCAGAGGCCGCCACCGACGCGCGAGGAAAGGCAGCGGCACTCACGAAAGCGGTCAGCTCGTGGGGGCTGGTTATATCTGCGGCGTCCTTCTTCTGCTCGGCCTTGACGCCGTTAACAGCGGGCTTGACTCCCTTGGTTGGCGCCGGGGTTGACATATTGAACACGACTCTCGACCGTGAGAGAAGGTCAAGTTCAACCCGCGGGGTGGCCACGAGGCTCGGAAGTGGCAGCGTCCCGGTTTGGCTCCGTCGATCCGCCGATCCGAACCACGCGAGTATCGGAGACCGCCGAATTTCCCCTTTGCGTGAGACAATGCATCTTTCCTCCGCCCTTCTGCGTCTCTGCGCTGACAGTCCGAACATCGCTTCACGGACGCCGGAATCTCAGACAGGCGGTAGGAAGAAATGACTGCTTCCGAATCCGTTAATCAAATCCGGGAAGACCGCACTGGTGCCGCAATATCGCTTCCTCTACCGCACATTGCCGCGCGGCAACATGGACTTCAACTGCGTGACGCAACGATCTCAGCACCCTCGATATGGCTCCCTCTTCTCCGCTCTCTCTGTATAGGACTGCATCCCACTCCGCGAACCGAATGGCTGCCTGCAGGAGGCCAACTCACTCGACGGGGCGTATGCACAGTCTGCGAGCATAGCGCCTTGACAAGCGCCTTCTCCCTCTTCAATCGTGGTTTTTATGCGCTCGGGTGGTGAATACGCGATCAACGGCAGCTCTCTTCCTTGATACAACCAAGCGCTGCCACTGACGCAGGGGTTCCCCACACAAATGACGGCGTCGAGGGAAAGATCACAGAGGGATGCCCCCTTGTAACCACAAAGGCCGTGGTCTTGTACGTGTGATTACCAAGATCTTTACCGGAAATTCGACCCGTCTCCGCGGCGGCAGGCGACTGTTGTACGAACGCAACGTACATTGGTATTCGGTGAGTAGAACTGCGCAGCCATTTGGTCATCTTGTTGAACCTGACGCTAGGTCTTCGCAGATAGCTTCGGCGCCGCCATGTTGCTGGTCATTGATCGGTACGATACAGTCCTGTCTCCGTTTGGTCCCGTTGCTTAAGCTTCTAGATTAGGTGACGATCCTCTCGAGGGCTTCGCGCGTCGGGGTTTAGCTATGTATGTTGTGATCAGGCTTGTTTAGGCATATACACTTTCAAGCTTGTTCTCTGAGCCTGAGCAACGCGTTGTCAATCGCCGGCTCGGAATAGCATCGCCATAATGGCCTTCCCAGCAAGAGGCACCCCACATTCAATGAGGTGCCGTCAATGCTATCTCCACGGTGAGTCATGTCACGAACATGAGGATGTAGCAACCATTGATCCAACTTCAGCAATTGACCTGCTTCCCAGCGTTCCAGGGTGAAGGGCTTCACACGACGACCGCCCTTCTTGTTTGTGATCGAGGCCTGCTGCTGTTCTGGTCGTGGCCATCGCGGTCGGAAATCACTTGGTGGCGCAGGTCTTGACAGCTGGTACAGCTGCGCAGAGGCGTACGAGCTCGGAGGAGGCTTGTACCAGGTCCGAGGCTCGACCAGCTGTCAGTTATCGGACGAAGAAGTCGTTAAGGTGGGAGGCTTCTTCCACGCGAGCGCACGAGATGAAGGCCATGTAATTGGCTGCAGGCGTGGCCTGCAACCTGGTCGCCGCGCGGGACGCCGCTCGCGGGTTCCGCTAGCGATCAATGAATCGTTGCCGGTAGAGCACGGGAGAGGCATGTCGGTGAGTTTCATGTTTCTCCCGTTAATTCTTGTTCGTTTGGGAACACATTGACAGGTATGATCGACAGTCGAGCAAGAAGGAAGGCGATCGCTGTCGAAGGTAAGGAAAGTGCCGTGTGAAGGACTGTTCGACTGTCGGCGGACACACGGGCACCCGCTCTCGACCTAGCGACTGCCCCATAACGTCAGCTACTAATACACAGAACACTTCGCCAGTCTCCAGACGCAACGCGAGGGGGCACACCAGCTGGCTATGATGACAGGGAGGCCCGTCTTTGGTGCGCGATTCAGCAGGTCGGATCGGGGGATAACGAGAGTCCTTGGCGGCATGGATCTGGTATGAAATCCTGCTCGCCGGGGATTTACTGGATGTAAATGGATCCAAAGACGAAATTTCCGGATCGGGCTGTTAACGCGGGATGGGCACGGCAACTTGAAGCCAAGCCGGAGGGGGTGTCAACGCACGCGCGCGTGCTGACCCGAAATGGGATTTCCCATTGTTTATATATGCCACCGGGCCAGACGCCGCGGACGTATTTCTCCCCCCTCTTCCTGCGCCCATGTCGAGCGCCAGCGCGCAAGACGCTCATGTCCCCTCCTACTACGGCGTCGTCGAGACCACCCTCGACGCCCTCCGTCTCGTCAACGGGGCCGCACAGGGCATCGTGCCCCGCATCAGGCGCCGGCTTAACGAGAGCGAACGGCGCGCCATGATCCACTCAGGCGCAGTCTTCGTCTTCGCAGTGGAGGAAAGGTGCGTGCATTACTACGTTGACGCGACCTGGAGCTGATCATGAACGGCCAGCAATATCAAGCGATGGACCGACGGCATGGTGCGTGATCAAATTACGCGCATATATGCGGTCGTTCATTTATATCTAGTTGTGGTCACCCTCGAGGATTCACAAGAATTTCCTTGTGAGCCCACACGCCATCTCTACCACGCTGTAACTTGACGCCGAGGTCAGGTTTATCGCGAGATCAATGAGCGGCCTCAAGGACGAGGAAGTAGGCGCAACTACACATCCGAGGAACTCTCGACACGACATCAAGGTCCCCCCAGTCCCACCGACCACCTGTACACGGGCTTTCGCAACCCCGCACTCGAAGCGACTACATTCAAGCTTGACGGCCTCCACAAGAAGGTGCACAGCTTCCCTCTTGCTGAAAACTCTCGCTCACAATCGCGCAGACCATCACCGTCACGATTAACGACGCAGACTGGCATCTAGTCGCGTATTACTCGACAACGGACGTACAGAACGGTACGCTCAAGGTACGAACCAATATCCACCGGGGGGAGTACAACTCACCTTCGCGAAGAGACCCAGCACGCGACCAGATATTATGGCGCCATACATGAATCCTCACGCGTTTCGTCTCACGAGCTTTCGAATTCCTCCGAAAATTGTCATGGATGCGGACGGTCGTCCTGTAGTAGCGTAAGTCTACAACGCCACTTCCGCCTGCTAACTGACGCAATCTGCGTAGTGCGGACGACGAGGACGAAGACGACCAAGCAGGCGGTGCGCAATGCAAGTCCGAAGACACATCGTCTCAAACATCACTCTTCTCCCCCATTCTCTCACCCAAGAATTCTTTCACTGGCAGCTCCCTATATCCCATTCCAAACCGCGCACGCCTCTCCTCGCCGGTTCCCCGTCGAATCTCTACATCGTCGAGCACGCCTGATTTCTGGTCGAGGTCGTCTTCCGGCATATCCCCTGGATCCCAGCAGGGGTGGCATCCGGACATGCCGACGCACGGCGGACGGTGGAACGCGGCCAGCAGCTCCAGTAGCCAACCTTACGACGCTTACTCCTCGGCCGGCGGACCTATCGGAAGACCACGCTCGCGAACCACGGTCGCTCCCTACCACATCCCTACCCTGAGCGCAGCAAGGGGGCGGCAGATACAGCACGAAGAGCCCTACACGATACGGTCCATGAGCGCTGGCCCGTCTTCACTTTCTTGGATATTGGACAACGACCCACCTCAACGGAGCCCCGTCGCCCAACATCACAGTCCCTCCTCGCTTCATCGTAGCCCGACGTCGATGCAGCCTGACCCATACGGCCCTCGATTTGATTACCACCAGTCTCCGCCGGTATCCAGCCACCCGATGCATTGGCCGGCACGCAATTCCGCCACCTTGCTCCCCCTTCCTAATATATCCAACTCGTCGTCTTTGCATACCATAGTCCCTGGATCATCCGGACCCTCGCCCGCCTTACCGCCTCCTTTCCACATGAACGAGAACCTACATGCCATGGACGATCCGGAAGAGTATCATTACGAGGACCAGTAGCACGGACCCCCGCCGCACTATAGACCACACGCACGACTCTGCTGTAGCTTTACATTACCTATTCCCTCTGCACACATCTGTATGTTTCTTCCAGCATACGACCCCTTTCTTGGGCACCTCTTCGCCTTGTATATAGGTCTCAACGACTCGAAGGGCCTGCCACTTCTGTATATACCAACCGTACTGTATCGGGGATTTTGGGCTGACTCTGTGATATACGATATTTCCCTAGGGCACCTGCATTCACTTGCCTCTTCGCGGCGACCTGATTGTTCTTCTTATTGCACTAGATGCACATTTTGTACGTCTGAGCAGCATCAACACCGTCGAGTTCCTTGTCCTGGCACCAACGCTTATTAGTCGAGTCTTCCGACCGAGAACCCCGCGGCTATGGACATCACAAAAGTATAATGGTATCTACATGCCAGCCCGCTTGCGTTCAATGAACGACTTGATGTTCGCGTGACCTTCCTGCGCGGCGAAGAAGCAGCGCTTCGCGTGGTTCTCCCACAGCACGACCCCCAGCTGCTTCGCATAATTGAGGACGTACTCGTAGTCCGCCTGCGACGCGAACTCCGTGTACAAGAACCCTTCGGTAACAAAAGCGTCAGCCGGCGGCGTCTAGCGGACCAACACGCTAAGACGTACCCTCCTGTGATTTCGTGCGGTTGCGCTCGAGCTCCCAGAGTCGGATTTGGTCCTGGACGGTGACAGGTAGCAGAGGGTTCTAAATCCAGGTCAGTTAGTCGTTGAGAGTGACAGCCACGAGACATACATTTTTGTGCATTTGGGGGTGCGCGTGAGTAATCAGGTAGCTGATAATCTGCGAGGGGCGCGCTCAGATTGGGCCATTGTTGTATAGAAACAGTCGAGGGACCGACCTGGTCGGCTGTAATGCCATTGGACATCGCCCGCTTGACGCTCTCGCGCGTGATCGATCCGACGACGAGGTTGGGAAACCTATACTTTGGCGTGATGAACAAATTCAGGACGGCCGTCTGGAGCGCGTTGTCTGGGTGCTGTTAGCGCCGCAAGAGTGGGGAGCGCGGGAGTGGGCGTACCTGTGTATGCATACACCCTGTAATTCGTTTCAAGGACGATGAAGCCCTCTTTGGGGCCTGACGTTGGGCCGGAGGATGTGGGTAACGGGGGCGCGGAGGAGGTGAGGGTGGTCGCTAGTCTCGTGGGGCTGAACCGAGGATAATTCTTCTGCGAGGGTATCAGACAATGTCCCGGTAATGGCGCCGCACACGCGAACCTTCCGCTGCCACAACAGACCGTAGTGACGCAGGTCGTCCATCACGACTAGCTGACTGGTGCTCAGGTTCTCCGTCGAGTACTCCTGGTGTAGGTCGCCGGTAAGCATTTCGAGGCTAGGAACCGCGAGACTAAGGTCAACTTGCCTTGCCCAATTCCGTTGTCGAGACCATGAAGAGGAAGCTGAGGACCTCGACGAGATCGATATTATTGGCCTTGTTTGACAGCAATAAGCGGCGGAAGCGACGAGCGGAGGCTAGCTTACCTCTTGCAAACGCAGATAGTGTATCAAGAGCTCCCAAAGCTGGGCGTGAGGCGTCAAAAGAAGAAACTGGAACCCAGCCGAAGTAATGCGCAGCGTTCCCCTTCGAGACGAGTCAATGGGCATCGCAGTTGATTGAGTCTAGACGTACCCTCGGCTCTCCATCAGGCCGCTCTCCTTCAACAAGTACGTGACGCCGGCAGCTGGTTGTGCGGACTCCTGCCCTGTGCCGGAGGACACCATGAAGTGGAGAATCGTCTTGGCGATTGCACGAGGTGAGCTGCGCTCCGTAAGATTGAGGGGAATCTTATCTCACCTCCCACCGCTCGAGCGCGTATCCGTCGAGTTTTCCTACATCAGGCGCCTGCTGCTTGCCATCTGGTTCGGCTGGTATCCCAAAACTCCCTTGCGTGCCCCTGTGGATGTCAGAGTTGCAGAACTGGCGCTAATCACAGTGTTTCGACTTACCCTCCGGTTAGGGCCTGTCGTAAGCTTGACTTGAATGTCGGATGTACAGCCAATTTTACCGGGGACGTAGGGACGATATGCAATTTTCCCAGCGTTTCTAATGCGGCCTCGTAGATCCTGAGGGCATGAGTTAAGAGATTTGCTGTGGCGCTGCGAGTATTACGCCTACTTCTGGTGTTCACGGACGACCCAAGCGCCCATAGTCGACACTGGAACAGCGGACTCAAGCCACAAAAGATTCATAACAATCTGACGCTCGAGGGGCCCAAGCAATCTTAAACAAGTATGAGCGCGCGTCTAGCATATCGGACGAAAGTTGTTAACCGGAAGATAGAAAGACATGACGAAGGTCGTTGGTATAGTCGTGCGAGGGTATTTTGTGGTTGAGACTGAAGAAAAGGCAGCAGAGAATGCGGGACGCTAGACGCGAGTTCTGGTTGACTGGAAGCCTCCTGTATGATGGATGGCATGTCGGTGAAAAGGCAAAGACCGGATCCCGAGGGGCGCTCTGTCGAAATGCGCGAGTTCTCCGCGGAGTCAGTGGCAGTTGAAGACAGCCTTTGCCGGCCCGCCACACGCCGGTGCAGGTCCGTCGGTGATAGCCGTGATTTTGTGGCGGTTGAGTGAACGCGTCACCCTCGCCCGGTCACAACGCATCTTGGATCCTACTGTCGTACGTATGCCTCACAGCCCGATGGTTTGGCGCTCATATTGACCTCTGAGTCGACAGAGACGACATGGCTAGCCTCTCAGTCCACTCAGCTGCGCAAAATGGTACGGGAGTCACGAAATCCCCACTTGGACGGGCCTAATTGTGACTAAATAGGACAGCTCTCCCTACTACGCACATTAATTTCGGAAAACCCTGCATCAGTGAACGCCGTAGACGGTGTATGTGCGCCCTACTGCTCCTATGATTCTCCTGAACTGGCCTGGTAGGACGGCCGAACGCCGCTTCATTGGGCGGCGACCTTCGGCCATATCGACGTCGTCCGCTACTTGATCGACAACAAAGCGGAAGTGGACAAGCCAGATCCCGCAGGCTGGACGCCGCTCCACATTGCTTGTAAGCTGTTCTCTCGTGGCTTTACTCCCTTTCAAACGTAAACCCTATGTAGGTAGCGCGGGTTGGACAGAAGTCGTCACAGAGCTTGTCGGTGCAGGCGCCAACGTTAATGCGTCCGTATGACCACTCATGCTCCCATCACCTACTAACTCGAGGCCGATACAGCAAGAACGACAAGGGGATAACGCCACTGTACGTAGAGGCTCATTGTACACCTTTGCGGCTACTCATCTCTGACGCCTGGATAGACACTACGCTGCATCAAAGTCACGTATAGATGTAAGCTTACGATTACTTCCCCTTGACGAGCCAGAAGGTCTAACGTACATCAGATCGGAAAGTTCTTAATCTCCAGAGGCGCCGACGTAAGTGCAGGGAATCAGGCTTTCGTCCCACCTGCTCAAGGCGAGGTTGCTGCAGATCAACGCGAAAGATAGGGCAAATCAACATCCACTGTAGGTCTTGCGCACGATCTGGCTTCGACCGATTTGACTCACCCATGGATAACTCGCAGACATCGCGCGGCCACCACAGGGTCCGTCGGGTTCATAAAACTCCTTCTGGAGTCGTCGACCGCCCCGAACAAGACACGACTGAATACCGGGGATAGAATCGGTACGTAGGCGCCTACCGCGCTACGCCCTTAGCTCACGATCTGTATCATCGCATTCACAGGCAACACGCCCCTCCACCTCGCCATAGAATCTGGCCATGCGGAGGCAGCCGTCCTTCTCATTAATGCCGGCGCTGACCGCGAGCGGGTGCGTGAACAGGCGAATCCATCGGGTGTGACACTGACTCGGGGTGGTCTTTTTAGTTGAATCAAGATGGCGAGGCTCCGGAAGATCTAGAGGGCGTCGGAGGGGTGGAGAAGCGTAGGATCCTGCAGCATATCATCGACTCGTGTGGAAAGCGCTAAATGCCTCATGCTACGGAAGTGAGGCGCTTCAAGCGGGGGAATGATAGGAGCACTGTTTGCGATTGTTGTGTATATAGTGATATGTGATCCTTGCGAAATGGCTCTGGCTCCGTAGGTTGGATCCAGTAAGTCATGCTCCGCTCATAGGGATGGCCTGGAGACGGCCCGGTTGATGGGGCCACGTGTGCTGCTGTGGGTCCAAACCACGTGCTTGGAAGTGTATAGTCGGCAAGTGCCGAAATTAACCTTCATGCCGTTATCCACTTGTTCTCAAGCTCTACCATCCCCGATGCTTGCGCTCAAGACTCTTTCCGGCCTTCCTCTGGACTCTGCAGCTATGGCTCGCTTCGAAGGTCCACAAATGCTTCTCCGCTTGCCATCGCATCTGCTGAGCTCGCCGAGCCGTCTGACATCTGCCCGACGTCATTCGCGATTCGCAATCCGGGATTTCGAGGTATAGATAGACGACGCGCGTCAGAAACTGGCCGAAGCATCGAAGACCTTCCTGCTTTCTGCCCCCATCACCGAAGTCGAGTTCGACTGACCTCGAAGTCGTGCCCACTGAATTCGAAGTCGCGTACAATGACGTCCCAAGGCGAAGCCGCATCCCGCGCCGAGGCTGACCGTCTCAAGCTCGAACTGCAGGAGCTGAAGGAGAAGGAGGGTATCAAGGACACCTACGTCGGGAGCTATCTGCTTGAGCGTCTCGTTCAGCTGGGTGTGAAGGTACGTCTTGCAATGATCGTCAGGACACGCTGAATACGACGTTCCACCCAGTATATCTTTGGCGTACCGGGTGACTTCAACCTGGGTTTCCTGGTATGTGGCGCCCAATTTTTGCGATCACAAATCACAGCTGACGCGCGGTGCTCAGGATCTCGTCGAGGACCACCCGCATCTGGAATGGGTCGGCAACTGGTACGCTACATATTACCCTCAATATATGCTCCCGAGCTCACATTCTGCCGCTTAGCAATGAACTCAACGCGGCGTACGCCGCAGACGGGTACGCTCGCGTCAAAGAGCGCAGCCTAGGTGTCATCATCACGACGTTTGGCGTCGGAGAGCTGTCTGCCATGAATGGTATCGCAGGAGGTCAGTCATTGCGCATACAACCCAACTCCGCATCTAACGGAAGTTCGCGCACAGCTTTCTCGGAAATGGTGCCCGTCTTGCATATCGTCGGCGTGCCTAGTACTGCTCAGCAGACGGCGAAGCCGATGCTGCATCACACCCTCGGCGATGGACGGTCAGTCGGTCACCTGACGGGTTATCGAGTCGGCGACTGACGCGGTTCTAGCTACGATGCGTACGAGAAAGCGGCTCAGCAGTTCACTATCGCGCAGGCGGATCTTTTCGATGTTCAGACGGCGGCGACTGAGATTGACCGCGTGCTCACGAGCTGCATCGTCAAGGTCTATACTATGCTGCCTGTGAATCTTAAAGTTTTTCTGACGCGTTCTTTCCCTTAGGCTCGCCCTGCCTATCTCACTCTGCCCACGGATATCGCGTACAAGCGCATCCCTTCGCTCCGCCTCAAGACCCCTCTGTCCAGCCTCCTGCCACCGAATGAGGCCGCTGCGGAGGGCCATGTTATCGACGAGATCGAGCGGCTAGTGAAGGCTGCTGACGGCGAGGTCGTCATACTTGTCGACGCATGTGCCGTCCGCCATGACGTGCGCGCCGAGCTAGATGAGCTGGTCAAGAAGACTGGCTTTCCGGTGTATGCTGCTCCGATGGGCAAGACTGCTATCGGCGAGGACTACGAGAGATATGGAGGGGTCAGTTGATTTGCCGATGGGCTTCTTATGGAAGGCTAAAACTTTGGGCAGATCTACGTGGGCTCGCTCAGTCGACCTGCGGTCAAGGAGAAGATCGAGTCTGCCAAGCTCATCCTGAGCGTCGGTGCACTGAAGAGCGACTTCAACACGGGTAACTTTACCTACAGCATTCCCACGGCGTCGACGATTGAGGTGAGTGGCTCGACGATGAGGATCATCCAGTATGTAGCGCTAACACGCAACCCTCAGCTTCATTCGGACCACACGAAGATCCAGTTCGCTGTCTACCATGATATTGGTATGAAGCAGCTGCTCCCCAAACTCTCGGACAAGCTTGCATCGCTGCATTCCCGTGCGTCAAAGCTCGAGGTCACACCCTTCAAGGCTATCGAGCCGACGGACAACACGGATGTGATCACGCATACATGGCTGTGGCCGCGGGTCTCGAAGTTCTTCCGTCCCAAGGACGTGGTTGTCGCGGAAACTGGTGGGTGAATCGCTCAGCAATCTTCAGGCCTCGTATGCTGAGTATGCACCGCAGGGACTTCGAGCTTCGGAATTTTGGATGTACCGCTGCCAAACTCGGCCGTCTTCGTGTCTCAGATCCTATGGGGATCTATTGGGTGGACAGTCGGTGAGTACAGACGAAGCTCGAAACGGTCACCGTCTCAAATTTTGCCAGGTAGCACGCTGGGCGCTGCTCTTGCGGCTCGCGAGCTGAACATGAATAGGACAATCCTGTTCATTGGTGACGGTAGTCTGTAAGTCAGGTACACATCTCGCCTACTAGCCTAGTGCTCATACATATCTCTTAGCCAACTGACCGTTCAAGAACTCTCCCCCATGCTCCGCTCCGGCCTCGCCCCCACCATCTTCGTCCTTAACAACAAGGGCTACACCATCGAGCGCTTCCTCCACGGCAAGACGCGCAAGTACAACGATATCGCGAACTGGAAGTGGACGAAGCTGCTCGACGTGCTCGGCGGCGACGAGGCGAAGTCGAAGTCGTACACGGTGCACACCCGGGACGAGCTGAGCAAGTTGCTGGATGATCCTGAGTTTGCGAAGGCGAAGGAGATGCAGTTGGTGGAGGTGATGATGGAGCAGTTGGATGCGCCGCCGGCGTTGATGGCGCAGGCGGAGCTGAGTGCGAAGACGAATGCGTACGTGGCGAATGAGGGGAAGATGGATACGCTGGCGACGGTTTAGTGAGATGGGATATGCTTCTACTCGCCAGTGTGCCATAACATGAAAAGTGTACTAGTACTATAGAAAGAGACTTCGGATGACTGTCTTGAGGCTACCCTATGACTTGACCTGCCTCCTGTACTCGGAACGCAATATAGGCTCAGGCTGCGGGCGCGTCCACCTATCACGATTTGACTCCGAACATCAACCGGTAGCTAATCATGGACAATAGCCGGCGTTTGCCGAGCCACATTCAGGATCAAACATCCGATTTCGCCGCACGCGCCTCGCACACGGTGCTGATGATACCCGTCCCCTTGATGTCAACGAGCATTTCATCAGCGCCAGCTCGAAACTTGGGCATGGCCGCTTTGGAACGAGACCACGGCGTCCTATATTAGCCGCCGAACTTCGTCCTCTTTTCCTCTTCCCTTTCCCCCGCGCGCGACGAGCGATATCAAGCGCTACGGCCTTCATCGTGCGCTCGAACGCGCCTGAGCGCCTGTTTTCTTTCTTCGTTGCCCGCGCGCGATGGCGTCGGCCGTGCGGCTCGACGAGTACGCGACGCTGTACAAGGGCAACCTCGTACCATTGCACGCGTGCCGTGAGTAAATCCCATCCCCCCTCCATCGTACAGAGACTGACCTCCCTCAAAGTCGTGGGGCTTGCGTGGGTCGTATATGATTATCGTGCGTGCTGCGGTTGCCGTCTCTGAACATGAGGAGATGCTAACGGAGGGGTAGTCCTGACACTGGGAGATGAGGTGCGTCGCTACGCGTATCCCTCCCCACGCTTCTTACTGACTCTCCGGTAGGTACGGCTCATGTGGGTAAGGACAGCATTCCTTCTATACGTCCGACCTCGACTGACGGCGCTCAGCCCCTACGATCGGGCTTCGCGAAATGGTCGTATTTCTGGGTATGTTTCCCGCTTACTTCCTACCCGCGTACTTGCTAATCCATGACGGCGCCGTGATAGATCCGGTACTACACAATCGCAGTCCTCGCATTCGACGTGATACAGATCCACACATTCGCCATTCCCGGTATTACTTCCGATTCTGTGTAAGTGTACTCTGTGCGGTATCGGCGGGCGCTAGCTAACGCAAACGCGCCGAAAGATGTGTGGCGATGGATGCGATCACGAGGATCGTTGGCGCTATCTTGCTCTGGTCTGTCGAGATCATCATGCAACTGCGTGTCTATGCGTTATACCGGTGTTGTAGAGGGGTGAGTATGGCGCTGAGGAGGTACCTACACAGTGTTTGACTAGCGCTGACCTTACCTTTACCTTCCAGGTCGCAGTTTTCAACGGAATTCTCTTTCTTGCATCGGTCGGCGGCTTCCTCTACGTCTTGATTACAAATACGATGAAGCGTCACGACTTGATTGCGCGTGCGGAGCACCTTGACCTTCCTGGTTGTCCGGTCATCCACTCCATAAGCGAGTGGCCCTTGTGGCTTCCGGGTATGTTTCGAGCTACTCTTATCCCCATGTCGTTGGCTCACCTTTCAACTCAGCAACTATTTTCGAAGTCGTTCTCTTTTCGTTTGCACTTGCAGCGTCGCTGCGGACGGTTATGTCAGATAGACATGATTATTCTTTACGCCGCACTCTCATTCGGTACGTGGTTGCGTTGACTACGTTCGAGTAGATTTTGACGAGTCATTGATCCAGAGATAACCTCACTTGGTTCTTTGGGTTCGTTGAACTATCTCATATCGAGCCCGTTCCTAATCTTGATCGCAGAGTTTTCGTCCTTCTGGTCCTCAATCAGCTGATGGTCGCCGTAAGTCAATCGTCGGATCTCAGAAGAAGTGCTAGTCGCTCAATCAGCACACAGGGCGTCACTCACATTCCGTGGTTTAGCTATTCCCCCTTTCACGCCGCCGTCGGCGTCCTCACTTCCCGCATCCTCCTCAACATGCGCGATAACAACACCGACAGCGTCTCCTTCCTCCGCAACGTCGTCGCGCCGCACGCCGTGCCCTCCGAGCACGCCGACCTCCCGCCCATGCGCTTCAGCGGCGGCGGGCGCAGCAAGCTCACCGCGCTCACCGGCGATGTCCGCTTCACCCTCGACCGCGACACTACCCTTGTCGGCGACGCGGAGATGATGGAGCTCGGGAAGCAGTCGTTGCAGCTGCACCACCAGTCTCTGCAACTACACCGCGTGCCGTCGATGTACCGGGACTCGATGTACACGCACGGGCGTGGCGGCGGCGGGTCGACGGGCTCCATATCTCTCGACCTGGAATTTGCGCCGAATCCGGACGCTCCACCTCAGCCCCCGCAACCCGTGCCGCCATTAGAAGAGGGCGCTGGCCATGATCACCAGTACGAGGACGCCCATGTATCACTAGCACTCCGCCCGATGGCGGTATAAATTATTCCATTGTACGAGTACGTCCTATACACTTTGATCCCGTTTTGGTTCCGCTGGCAGTCTCTATTGACGGGGAAGCCACGGAACGTGTCGACGTCACAGAAGACCGTGGAACGTGTCATGATCAGCCCCCGCGGAAGTACAATAGACTTTGGGATTACGAAGGTAGGGATTTCCTTTCTGGTCTTCTGCTCTTTGTTCCAGATTGTGGTTGTCCTGCGGTCATTCATTTGTGATATGGCGACTCGCTTTGGCCTGCTTTTTCTTCTCTTTCTGCAGACTTCATTTGTGGTTGGGCGGGTGGCTGGTAGTAGACAAGGGGACATGGAAGTCGCCTTCCCCGTCATCGTCTCTGAGCCCAGAGCTCTCCAGGTACGTGCATTATAGTCACTTTCCCTCCAATGCTCTGATCGCTCCGATAGATAGCTCATGGACTCAGTCGATTTCACGCCTTTGCTGGGCACGCGCGACCCCGAGTTACTCGTCGCAAGCGATACAGTCCACCGCCGACGCATATCTTAGGTCTACACAATAGCACATCGCACAACTTCACCGAGCCCGGGCCTGTCGGCGTCCCTTCAGCTTTGAATCTCTTCAACGTTACCGACCCCAGCGGGCCGGCGAGTAGGAAGGACTCCCTGGCGCTTAGTATTGAGTACGTGATGCTCCTGATGAATCGTATGAATGACGCTAAGCTTTCAACAGAGCCGACGACTTGGGATGTACGTGCTTGTGCCTGACGCGTACCAGTGCACCACGACTCAATCAGACCAGACCTTGCCAATGTATGGATGGGTACGCCCTCGCGCCAGTTCCGCTTGCTCGTCGACTCCGGTTCAGCCGATCTCTGGGTCCCATCCGAGCACTGCGTCTCGGTCGCTGGCGAAAGCTGCGTGAGTCTTCCTCCCTTTCAGCGCCCAGCATATGCCTGACATTGCTGCTCTTCTTAGAACCACGCTTACCTGGGCCCGAACGTCAGCTCCTCCTTCGTTGAGATGTCCTCTGACGAATGGACCATCCTTTATGGCAGCGGCTTCGTCAACGGGCGGCTCGTCCGCGACCATATCTCGGTGGCGGGCTTCGATCTGGATGCCATGACCTTTGGCATCGCGGATATGGAGAGCAGCGACTTCGCGATGTGTGTATTCTTCGTGCTCTTTTCCGCTGACTGCTCATCGGCTATCGCAGGTCAGATATCCCGTTCGACGGCATTCTGGGCTTGGCAGGATCGAGGGCCTCGCGCATGGACACGCCCACCTTCATCGAAGCCCTATCCCGCGCCGGCGTCGTCTCACAACCCATCGTCTCCTACCAGCTCCCTCGTGTGGCGGACGGCAAGAACGACGGCGAAATGACCTTCGGGGCCATGGACCCGTCGAAGTACGACCCGCTCAGCATGGTGTCGATGAGGAATATGAACTCAGATGGATATTGGCAAGTCGCTATGGAGGATGTGCACGTCGATGCGGGCGCGTTGGGTTTGCGTAATCGGACTGGGATCGTTGATACGGGGACGGTGAGGATGGATTTCGTGATTACTGCATCGAAGTGCTGATGCGGTATACGCAGAGCTTGCTTGTGATACCAGAGGAGGTACGTCGCAAACGCAACCATTCGGACCGCGGCATGCTGACATGCACCCAGGACGCAACGAAGATTAACGCTCTCCTAGACGGCTCCAAGCTCGATGATCAGACATGGACGGTCCCCTGCACGGTCAAACACACGCTAGCCCTCTCGTTCAACGATCACCAATTCGCGATCGATCCTCGGGACCTTGTCTTCGCGCCATCCGACGCCAGTGGCAACTGCATCTCCAAGATCGTGTCGAGCGGGAGGGCGCACCCGACGCTGTGGCTGGTACGCGCCCGAGTCTCGCGCTTGCTGAACATGACTGATGACTTGTACCATAGTTGGGCGATGTCTTCTTGAAGAACATCTACCTGAGTACGAACGCCGCGTCGAACGAGATCAAGTTCGCGCGCCTCGCCTGATCCTTCCCATTCCTCCTCGTCGCACACCCTACTGAACGCCTGTCCTTCTGTCCTAGATGCCACTCCTTGCATACTACCTTCCTTCGAGCGTACAGCATGTAAAACAGTCCCTCATACCGCCCGATTCCTTTGTGTTGCATTGGATACATGTATGTACGAACGAGAGCATAGAGATTCATCAGCAAATGTCATGCCACCCTGCAGGCCCACCATGCCTTCTAGTATAACAGACATCAGCGCGAGCCATAGAGGAAAAAGGCGTAGTAGACCAGAAACACAGGCATAGAAAATTCGAAATGGCACTGATGTAGGGAAGGACACGGATAGACGAGGGGCCCAACGACACACAATGGATAAATAACGCGAGCGCGAGACCAGAAAGAAACGAACATTGCGGACCCGGGAATGTTACACATTGATTTACACAAGCTGTCTGTCTCATTGATTCCCCAACATAAGATCGAGCGAACGAAAGGTTCATTGGCCGCACGTAGTTCGAGCGGGCGAAGCGGGCAGGTAGCGCTCCCGCGAAGCGCTGCAGCGTGAGCACCGTCCGACGCTGGCCTGGCCTGCAGGGCGTCCACTGCGCGGTTCTGAACGCCGTCACCACGAGCTACTCCACCGCCTGCGCGGGGCGTAGTCGTGAGCGCCGAGCCCCATCTCCATCGTCGTCATGAACATGCATCGCCCAAGGCCGCTTAGATCTCCTCAGGAATGCTGAGCGAGAAGTACGGGTGGCTGAGCGCCTCGCGGACCGTGATGCGCTGCGCCGGGTCCCAGGCTAGCAGCTTGGTGACGAGGTCAAGGAAATGCCGGTTGATCATGTCTGAGCTCGTGATGATGTCCTGCGCGGCAGCTGTCAGCATCCCGTCCGAACGTACGCGAGGAAAGGGCGTGCTTACCCGCAAGGGCTTCGTCGCGCGAACGTCCTTCTTGCTTTGCCTCGTCGACTTCGTCTTTGGGAAGTCTATGCGACCGTCCTTGAACCACTCGGGGTGCTGTCTTGCGCCCTGCCGTGCGAAGCGGTCGGGTACTCTGCCCATGACAATCTCCATCATCGCGAGATGGTCGAGGTTTTCGTGCGTCTGGAATAGGGCGATACCGGTGTAGAACTCGACGAGAATGCAGCCAAGCGAGTAGACGTCACAGGGGTATGACCAGCCTAGGCCTGCGAAATATCAGCTCACACGTCGCCGGGCGTCCAAGCAGCAGCCACTCTTACCCAGTATGATCTCTGGTGCTCGGTAATGTCTTGTACAGACGACGCTAGAGTGATACTCGTGTTCGAAGGTAGCCGAGCCGAAGTCGATCAAGCGGATATCGGTTGATAGCAGGATCCGCTTGTCCTTTGCCGCGCTTCGCTAAAGTGGACGTGAGAAACGACACGCAAATTGGTGAGAAGAATGGCAAACCTTGTTCGGGACAGGTATCCTGACCGTCTTGTAGTCGTTGTGTACTAGCAGGATGTTCTCGGGCTTCAGGTCGGTGTGGATGAGGTGTAGATCGTGCAAGACTGTCGTCCAACGTCAGATTGCGACGCACGGTAAGTTCCGGAAGACATACACGCCACACTCCCGAGGAGTTGCCTCGCAAATGACTGGATTTGATGGCGCGGAAACGGTGCGAAGTCATTCTCCTTGAGGAAATCGTACAGGCACATGCCCAACAGTTCCGAGACCAGGCATATATGGTTGCGATGATCAAACCACGATAAGAGGTGTATGCATTTGCTGTAAGGACAGTGAGCGACTGGCGCGCGCCAGACGGACACCGTACGCACTGTCTATTGAGCGGATCGCTCTCCTTCAACTTCTTGAGGACGCGAATTTCCATCTTGCTCGCGTCGCGATACTTCGGCACGGCTCGGATGATCTTGATGGCCACACGCTGTTTGGTCTGCGTGTCGACTGCCTCCACGACTTTGCCGAACGTCCCCTGACCGAGAAGCCGTACTGTACGGTCTGCAATGTCGTCAGGAAGCGAGTCCGGGGTAGTCGGATGGCACGTACATCGGTTGGCTATGATGTCGTCGGGTACAATGATATAGTGGCCCTCCTTGTCATCGCATGGGACGGGGCCCTTGGACGTCTGGCAATTTTATCGATACACGTATCCCGGGGACGCCAGCAATGCGACTCACCTCATCGGATGCTGCACCGCTTCTAGTCTCCCAGGAGCCCTGCTGGGCGAGTGCTTGCGCGGCCCCGGCGCCTGTTGCTGGCTTCTTCGCTGGCGGGGCACGAACGACCGAGTCTTGGGGGTCTCTCCGCCGCTTCTTGACTGCCGGGCCGGCTGCCGTAGACGCAGAGGACGAGGAGAGGGCCTGCGCCTCGGCGGCTGCGCGGGCGCGTGTTCTAATGGGGGCCGAGTAGACCGGAGGCTGGTAGGAGGCGGAAAACTTGGTGTGGGCACTCGTGGCAGGGGAAAGAGTTGGTGGGGGCGGCGAGTCGTCTATGACGATGACCTCGCGTAGGCGACCGCTGTCGTCGACCTCCTGGACCTCGCTGTAGCTGACGGTGTACTGGTGTGCGCGCTTGCGTTTGCGGGTGGCGGTTACGGGAGGGGTGGGCATGACGCTCGGACCTGGCTGACCATTGGCCATGGACTGGTTCTGGAATGTGGAGAGCATCGCTGGCTGCTGTCTGAGGGCCGCCTGCATCGTCGGGGCCGCCTGCGCTGTCGTCGGCGTCGAAAGCAAGGAGGTTGGCGTCGGCGTCGTCTGCGTTCGCGTTGAATAACCACTGTTTGGTTTGGTTTTGCTTCCTGGCGTCGGCATTTGCCGGTCCGGCGTCCCCGCCTCAGGCGATGAAGCGCGCGGCTATCTCACGACAAGCGCACGTAACTCGGGGGCAGTCAGGTACTGGTGGCCTCCACATCCAATCTTACTCGAGCAGAAATGCTCAAATACGACCTCGTTGACGAACATGCGCTACCCGGAAACCTGACTATATTATTCCTTCCCGGCCTCCATTCGCCCATAAAGGCCTGTAAACGCCTGCAAGGGCCCTCTGCTGCGGTCGTTAACCTGGTGCTACACATGTCCGGTCTACAAAGGTATGGTAATGAATGACCGAATTCTCGTCAGAGCGCCTCGTTTCCGCTCATGCCGGCGGCAGCTTGACGTTCGTTCTGGGCGATCTCCGTCAGTGCGTCTAATCCCTGCAGTTAAGCAGTCAACTCACCCGTGCGAGGGCAGCATCTTGTAGAAGAAAACCTCATCCATGAGCTCGTGCGATGAGCTCGGGGAAATCGTGAACCGCGGGATGACACCATACTAGTGAACGCCGGTAAGCTGCGCCTCGACGAAGCCTCATGCTGCGTACGCTTGTCCAGCCCAGCCGACGATAGACATGTTCCGCTGGGTTACCAACTTCCGTGCTGAGAGTCTGCAGCTGGCGTTATCCTGTGACTCGCCGATGCACGGGCATGACACTCACCAGTATAGTCCGACCCTCTGCCTCAGCAAGCTCTTCGACTTTGCCCAGTAGAGCACGCGCAACGCCCCTGTCGGACCGGTGAGCGTCACAAGAAGCCCTAGCGAAGCCCTCGCTGCAGCAGACAACGACTCACTTCTTCCTATATCTTGGCGACACGATGAGCTTCTGCACGTCGCCTCTGAACGAGCCCGTCTCTGCCTGCGACTTCTCAAGCGACACGAAGCCCACGACCTCGGGCTCGCCACCCTCTTCCAACGGCGCCCTTGCGAGCCACATGTTGCGCCGGCCATCCTATACGAAGAAGGTCAACGTGCGACGAGGCGAGCATACACGGCGCTGCGGCTAATGCTACGCTAGGCGACCCGCCAGCCCACGACGCTGCATCGGCAATCACCAGCACTGAAGCAGGACGCGACGTACTACGCTCTCCTCGGCGAACCCGCGATACAGCGCCGTCGCCTTGGCCGTGTCGTACGTCAGGATGGTCGCGCACAGGTTGTCGTGCTTCATGCACGCGACGTGGATCTCGCCAAAGGCCGGCAGGAGGTGCTCGTGCTGGGCGTGGTTGTAGAGTACGATTTCCATCGCGGGTCGTGTAGGGGTCACTGTTATGAGGGCCGAGTATTACTGTTGTATGGGTCGAGCAAGCGTCACTGCTGTGAAGGTGGAGTGAAAGCTACTGTTGTAAGGGCCGAGCGTCACAGCTGTGAGGCCTGAGCGTCGCTACGGTAGTGAGTTTGGCAAGGTGAGTGGTGGAGGAAGGTCAAGATGTTATATGGCGCGGATTCATCGATAGACCCACTCTCGGGACCGAAGAGATGATTGTGTGACTCACAAAGGTTGATAACCCTCGCAGTACATGTTCTGCGCCGCAGACTGCGGCCCACTGAGATAGATCTGACATCCTGGCCATGCTCACGCGTTCCAGCGATCTAAATCTGCTACAGCGCTAGCGTTGCCCTGATATGTACGAGCAAACCCGCCTATTGGAGGCCCAAGAAATGAACAGGACTTGAAGGAGTGACGCTTGTAGCGTATAGTATGCCACATCAAGCGGTAGGAAGTAAGTAAAGGACAGCTCAAAAGGTGATCCCCGGAATCAGATACGCGGCCGAGCCGAGTCCTGCGCCAAACATTAAGCAGGTGGCCCCGACTGCAATGCGTAAGTGAGCGGGCGCGCGAGAGGCGTAGTGTACGCCGCCAGAGAATGAACAGGTACTCACGTTTGCCAACATTGCGGAAAGAGTATACGAACTTCCCATTGCGGGTGAAGTCTTGCAAGAAGGCTTTGGGCGCGCGCCCGAGGAGGAGCGCGGGGAGGATCGCGCCCGCGAGCACCGCGCCACCAACGATCTGACGAGCCCAAACTCGCAATCTTGGTCGTTTATCTTTTCATTAGGATAGAGAGAGGGCGAAACTGCGATGAAGAAACGAAGGAGACTCACAGCATCACGCCAGTCCCTCAAGATCTTGCGCGTTGGAGCGCCCTTGTTGTCTTTGAGCATCAAGCTATGGGTCAGTGGCATGATTGAGAGGAGCCCTGTGCGAGGAAGCAGCGTCAGAGGTAATGCATACTGTATTGAAGGCGCGAGCCGGTGGATGCATTCACCTAAACCGCCCCAGTAGTTTGCTTCCCTTGCGCATTCATATGGTGGAGTCGAATGGGGCTTGCCAGCAATGCTGCAATGGAGGCTGAAGATGGCACAGAATATCATCAGAAAAAAGTGCGCAGGGAAGCTGGGGAGGACTTACGAGGTATACAGATGAACGTCCCGACTGCCATCGCGAGGCCTGAGACGGACAGAGCGAATCTGCCCCGCGTAGCGAGGGTATATACCAGGTACGCCGGAGTCGCGGCAGCACTGTAACTGTAGACATAGTTGGAACAGAGCGCTTGGAAGAAAGCCACTAAGACCTTGCTCTGTAGCTCGTCGGGTTTTGAGGTACGAGGGTCCTTTGCTTGAATGAGGTCGCCAGGCATAGCCGCTCATGTCGGGTTTCAAACAGATGGAGGCCGACCACCACCCATATTCCCGCGAGAATATGAGGCTGTCTTTCACCTCTTTGCATAACGCGCGTCGCCTCATCGCCGATCGTGCAGGCCTGTACGTACTGTGCATGCAGGAAATCGCAGTCTAGAAGGAAACCTCGTTACGTTCACACATCATGTGGAGAGATTGGTGGTTAGCAGGGTGCCGTGCAATATTGCGTACGGTTTTACCGCCGTTGGAGGACGCATGGGCGCGGCTTGAAGGTGGTCCTCGGTCAACCGTTTGTTGGCATGTGACTTCTTTCACACGTCCTCGTGACCGGGTTCTTCCGAAAGTCGAACCATCCGGAGCGAGGCTCGACATTGAGGCTATCACGCACTGTAGCGTTGCAATTGACAGTGAAGAGAATATAATAGACCAAGGAGCGTGTGCAGACATGACGACATCTGAGTAACTAATGGCTCGGAGACCGCCCAATCCGTGCGAGATAAGTCGCCGAGCCAAGACCGCCACCGAGCAACATCGCGGTTCCTCCAACTGGGGAATGCATAAGCTTCGAGTCAGGTATAATTGAGTCACGACTGACGAGTGATGATATTCCGTGGCGTCTTCAAAAATCGGCCGTCACGAACGAAGTCGCGCACGAGTGGGAAAGTCGGAGAGCGCTTGACGAGAAAGGGAAGGGAAGAGCAACCGAGGGCTGCGCCGACCGCAATGTATCTGTTCCACAAACTTGCCTCGGGCTGCATGAGGCTCATCAGTGCCTTGTCGAAACGAGACAAGAAACACGTACGCCCTCGAAAATCTGCTGGCGCATCTCTCGAATCTGAATGTGCGTGCACTCAGACAGGGCGCTGTGGACGATAGGCGCGCCAATGAGGAGCCCTATGCAAAGGATGCGTTAACAATATTCTTCACATCCTTGATTCAACCAACCTTCGAAGGTCCAGAAGGCGGCATGCCTTGCTAGGAGTCTTGGGATCACCGAGGATGACTGGAATGGCAGGAAGAAAGTGATACTCGGGATTGCCGCTAGGGATGATGTAGTAACAATCTTGAGGCCAGACCACAATTGTATCGACGTGTAGTCACGCAGCCACGGCCAGTCGATGCCTGAGATTATCCTTGCGAGTCTTTCCATTGCATCGGTCAAAGAGAGGTTTCCGTAGGGCTTGACTAGCTCGGCACCGCGTTTGCAGTAATGGACCAGCGCGCCGATGGCGCCGCCGCAGATTGGCATGTCGACAACTGTCGGAAAGCGGTGAGAAAATGAAGCCAAACAACAAAGCGTCACGGAAGATTTACTCATCGAAATTGTATCGAGCTTCTCCATAGCCCAACCTGCCATCCTGCCTGTGGTCGGCGCCCTTGTGGGCCTCCTCCCGAATATAGCAAAAAGGAAGCCGAGACCGAATCCACATATCCAGTGATTGAACAAGCTCTTCCCGGCTTCCTTCAATTATCAGGTGAGATTATATCCTCGAAGCGCAAGGACAGGCTCAGGGAGACTAACCGTTTCGAATATCCGCGCATATGCTTTGCGCAAGTCTTCTGTTGACACTGGTTTCCCACCTGGAAAGAGCGCGAGAGGCTCAAACGCGCTAGAGATATAGGCTGAGAAAAGAGTGTGAAATAGCACCTAGTACGGAAAGTATCCTGATTAACATACCAGGAAGATAGCCATAGATTGATGCGTGGTCTGTGATACCTTGAACAGTCAGCGCAGACCTCCCGCGCGTGGCGAGCGTGTAGAGAACGGATGTGGGAAGCACGACGGCAGTATAGTTTGCTAGGTTTTTCCAGAGCAAAGCGTTGAGTAGATTCTGGTACGCAGCCTCAAAATCCTCTTGCGGAGAGGTAGGGCTCGTCCCCTGTAGGGCATCCGTGGCGGATCCGCGGTTCGGTACGGCAGCATCAGATGACGACCCAGTTAGGGTCGCCATGAGTATAGACTCAAAAAGATGTAGTCGAGAGAGGCAGTGAGATAGAGCGGAAGATGCAAGCCTTGGGTTTCCGGTGGGGCTCGCTATACCCCTTCGCGGGCATAGACGCGTCTCACCGGCATGATACTCGACATCACTTCATACCGCTCATGAGCAGGTTAAGCCGGACCTTTTAGTCGCAGAACACGGTCTTCCTTTACGCGCAGGTCGAAGATATGGACACATACAAGTGTGGAGCCATGGAAGGCCGCATCAAGAGACGCGTCGTCGCGGCAGAGCGTTGCGGAAAAATCCGTACAAGGCACGTGATCGTGACAGTCACAAACTTCAACCTCACGTCGGTCGCTGACTTTGAGCCTTGTCTATCACCGTAGCCTTATAACGAGCATCTCATTCGCCATAAAATCGCAAACGAAGGTTTTCAGAATATTGCTGGTTATCTGCAAGGTCTGGTCACATAGGAATCGGGCGGCTCGGTAGCATCATATATGCGGCGCTGAGCAATGTTGTCCCTTTTCCCTCACTTCCAAGCCTATCAAGACTGTGAAGGGGACAGTAAAGTGTTTCAGTCACAGCCAGCGATGAGCAGGCGCAGGTTGGCGTCGACAGGCATTGTACTACTTACAGCTTGCATCTGCTGCCTTGATGAGGGAAAGGGAGTCGAAAGGGCACAAAGACGCATCTTTGTCGGACTTATAACACTGGCGTAGGCCGTGCTTAGATCAGACGTTGTTTCTCGCGAGGCGTTGCTTCCATCGCGTTGTCCATGATGACTCGGATGTTTCATGCGGTGCGAACCTATCGCTCAGACTGAAGCAGAAATCCGGCGGAGCCCAAGGGGCTAGTTTTTATCTGCATGCCAAGTGCAATTGCGGGGATTGAGCTCGAGAACGCGAATGACGGGTTTGAAGGGGAGCATGGGCGATTGCGCATGGTGGAAGGTCACGATCGGGACGGCAGCAGCGGGCCGCCACGCACATGGTCAGACCCGAAAGGAAAACTAGGGACACGAGAGCTTTCAAACTGACGTCTACAGATGTGACCTGCAGTACTATATATTCCTTCACGAGACGCATTTCTGGATTCTTGCATCCGGGGTTACATCCAAAGACTTCCATAAACATGCCAACATTGATGTAACCAAGCTACACATCCCCATGGTATAGTAATCCCACTAAGTTAGAGAATCCAAGTCGTCGGGTACTCATCCCGAGGGAAGCGGACAACCTTCTCGCCTATAGCCTGACCGCCACGCGCAGATACAAATGGAAACAAGAACCTCTCTTCGTGCGGGTTGACGTAGCCATCGAAGTAGATGAGTTGAGGATCTTGGTTGCTCGTGCCCAGGTCCCGCTTGCGCATGGTGGGGCTGAGCTCGTCGGTGCTGGGGCCCTTGTATTTGTCGCCGAGAGCGGAACGGGCCAGCTGTGCCTTGATGAACTTCTTCGCACCGGTGAAGAGGGAAGAATAGGTAGGAACGCTACGCTGGTCCGTTGCCTGCAAAAATTTGAGTGTCAGTGACGGGGATTACGCAGGAATGCGTGACGACTTACTTGCTTCTTGATGACAGCGACGATGGCGTACATCCACGGGTCCACGTTATTGCCGTTGACCTGCAGGGCTTTGATGTTCGACTGCGTCTCGTGGCATGCCGACAACAAGATGCCACCCGTGGCGGTTGTCGAGCCCAATATCCCTGAGCCCAAGCAGGACGAAGTAAGGATAGTGAGATTGACCCCGGTCTTGAGGTTCTGCGGGCGAGTCAGTAATGCGAAGACTGTCGATGTCGATAGTCAACCACTTACCTCACGAATAGTAGTCGCGAGCCACTCATTGTAGATAGTCTCTCTCTCCCTTCCCTCGTCATCCGCCGCCAAGACTATCCCCTTCTCCTCATCCGCCGTTCCGGTCGTCTCCGTGGCCCCGAGGGTGTCCAGGTACAAGAACCGCACCTCGCCAGCTTCTGCGCTCGAGAGGAAGCTGGTCAGCTTCGGTTTGAAGCGCGCTGCCGTGGGCGCCCCCTGCCTGTCCGACACCACCGCGGACGCGTTCGCCGGCTCGGAGTTGTAGTACAGCACCTCGACGTCCCCGGCGTCGAAGCCCAGGTCCGTCGTGAGCATGTCGCGGAGGAGGAATATGCCATTGTCGGTCCCGGTTCCGTAACGGACGATGAGCGCCTAATGAGCAATGAGTACCGATGCGCGTGAAAGGTGATTCGAGGTTACCTTCTTGCGATGAAGCTGCCTCCAGTCTGCCCGCTGCACGTCGCACGTGCAGTGCCTTGTCGAATTTTGGCGCATGGTGATCCTTGCATTCGAATTTGGAAGGCCCGGGTCGGGGTATACAGTGATGTCGAATGTGTAGAAGCTACTGTTGAAGGTGGCCGAGACAATGCCTTGGTTTTCCGAGACATTGTAGAACGTAGAGCTGGTCCAAACTCTCGTTTTGTGATCTCCTGCCCAGTTGGTGGTGAACTGGAAGTAGAGTCCGACTTTCGCGCCGTTGGCGACGCCGTTCGGAACTATCAGCGTGACCATCTCGTTGGTTGCGTAGTGGAGCCAGTTAAGTTTGCCAGTGTATATCTTCGCAGAAGGGACGAGGCTGGGAGTCGACATCTGTATCTGCAACGTCGAACTCGATGACGCTTCGCCGGTAGCCTTGGACATCTTCATCGTCATAGACCTAAGGTCGGCCGTGAATTCTGCATCGACGAGGTAGTCCTGACACGCGAAGGTAATGTTATACTGCGTCGCGGTCTTCGTGACGGTCCTGATGCTGCCATACTGCCGCTCTCGTCAGAGAAGGCCTATCAACAGAGCGCCAAACCAACTTACCTGATGAGTATTGACCTTTTCCGCGTTGTTGGCAGTCACGGACCACTGCCAATACGCGCAGACAGGATCTTCCAGCCCGAGCCCGCCAGGAAAGACGACGGTGATACACTCGTTGTCGGCTTCCGGAAGCCAGTTGAGCTTGCCGACGTAGACGTACATGATAGGGCTCAGGTAAGAACTTGGGTGAAGAAGTCGTTAGCGAGTAGCTGGCCGACGGCGCCTACCTCTCGATTCCTTATATACGCGAGCAGGCCGGCCAGGTGGATGAAGGGAGGTATCGCGACAAGGGGATACGCTCTCGGTCCGCGAGGCACGCGCGCAAGGTAGGCAAACTCAGGCTCCAGTGCGGCGGGATGAGCATCTGACCGCAAAGAAAGCGCGGACTCCGTATCTATTACGCAGGTGTACGACATAGTAGCCTGTCAGTCAGCTGAAAGCATGAGCATATGTCTAACCATGAACCCCCTAGCAGGGAACGTACCGCTACCAAACAACTACAAGAGGCCCATTGACCGCTGAGAATGAACAGACAGTTAATCTCCACATATGCGAGGCGCTTCCAGTTAACGCACCCTCATTTGAACGGTAGATACGCGCCCATAGGAATTCCAGAACGCGCGCTTTTGGATAGGCCGTCTATTGTGGGTCCGGCACGTCCAAAAAAAGGATGCCCAGAGGGGCCACTAGCGGAAAGCATTCCTCCAAGCGCGTTCTAAAGTCGTCCTTCGTTATCCAGCGCAGGAGCGTGCTCCGATTGATGCGCAGCGTGAATGAGCGAAGCTGGGAGGAAATCCGAGAGAGAGCGCAATCTAGTTCGGTGAAGTGCATCGTTCCTAGTGCGTGCGAGCTATGATAGGAGATGTCGATTGTGAGGACGATTGTCGTCGGCGAGTTTCTCGCCTGGAGCTCAGAGAGCGAGCCCAAGACCCAGTTCCACATACTGCGGGTGTTGGCAGCGGTTACACCGGTAGGCGAGCGGATGACCAGCTCTTCGAGAATCGATAGCTCCCCTAGCGGCAGGACGGGCATTGGGCTGAGATCTCTGACCGGTAAGGTCGCTGGATTTAGTGAGATTTCGTACAAGGTCCGACAGGCATATCGTCACTTACGGGAATCCGTAGGCCAAACTTCGAGCTTAGTCAAGGTGGCCCGACACGTTCTGATTAGGTGATGTACAGCAGGAGACATATCGATGCCCATCGTGACGCTGAAGCCACACAAGGCGCTCAAGTCGATAGGGGACTCCGCATCGCCTCCGACAGGGATCGAAGGCCAACGAGGAAGGGTCGACTGATGTAGCTCCAGCTCGCGTATCGTAGGACGTTCATGCGGGTGGGAGGTCGCGCTGATTTCAGGTGTCAGCCATCGCACGGATCGCGTCTGCAGGTTTTGCAGGAGCCGCATCTCTTGAAGGAGAAGAAGCGGCGCAGAAACCACTGCTAGCTCGAGGGTATGAAGCGCGGGCGGTATAGCGAACGCCTGACCGAGCGCAGTGGGAAGTACGCGGTCCCGCATGTGACCGGTAAACGCGAGATGCTCCAACTCCGGCAAGATATGTAGCAATGGGACGAGTCCAGTCTCTCGCGCGGCGCCATACGGCTCTCCCCACTCTATCTCTCCGTGCAATTTCTTGACCGGCGTCAAGCGCTCTTCGATACGGAGGACCCGGACATAGTCCGCTAGGTGAGGAGAGCGCGTGAGGACGTCGCGAAGTTTCTGGGTCGGCGTCCAGGTCGGCGCGTCGACAACGCGGTGAGAGGGTACTATAAGCGTAATATCCCGGAATAGGTACTGTTGGCAGCGTTGGAGAAGAGAGCTATGCGCTATGGCGCAAGCTCTTAGTGTGCGCTGCCGAACCGGTGAGTCCTCGTCTGGTGACGAGTACAGTGCAAAGATTATGGCGTCTATGAGTTCCTGCGGTAAATTTGTGGTGCTTGAGTCATCGGATATGGCGGTCATAGCGAGCTCAGAGGTTATGCAGTAGCGCCGGTGGAAGTAGGAGCCAAGGTGCGTTCGGCAAGTTCCGACACGCGTGCCTCGGCGTTTTGCGCCCGCTCATGGGCGCGCTATTGATCTGAGCTGCAAGACTGAACGCTCATGCTATTGTCCACCTCGTCACTAGACTCGTCGTTTTCCTGGAGCCCAAGATGGCATAATACCTCATAAAAGTCATCAAATACGCCTGATGCATGTGCTCCTCAAGAACATTACCCGCCCGCTCTCTTTCGACCCGAATCGTGCACGACCCTCTTTGACAACAAGCGCAAATGTAACGGTGTACTCACAAGACCTCCCTGGGCAGTTGGGTTTGATATCGATGTTTGCAACGACTTCCTCTGCCATGAGTTCCGACAATAAGTCCGAGGGCCATCTTGACCACTCCTCGATGTACTTTATTGCCAGTACGGGCGGCACGCATTTTGCCAGCGACATCGCCGACAAGGCTCAAGAGCGACAAGCCATGTATATGGACTATATCATTAGCAAGTAGAAAATCCAGTTTATACATCTAGACGTAAAAGAGAGAAGTAGACGCCTCGCGCCTAGCGAACATACCTTCCGCATAAGTCAGTAAACATGCAGGTCTCTGGAAGGAAGGAAGGAAAGAAGGAAATAAAGAAAGAAGGAAGGAGCGAAGCAACGAAGGAAGGAAAATGTATCAGAACACAACTCACCCATCGTACACCCTATCATCCGCCTTCTTATCGTACGACTCCAGCCCCTCCTCCACCGAGCGCGTCGGGTGCGACTTCGCCTGCCCCCGCTCCCCATCGTCGTCCACCCACACCGTCGTGGAGATGTCCACGTTGATCGCGCGCCCGGCCCTGCTGAGCTCGATGCCCGACGCGCCGGTCGCGCCGCCGCTCGTGCTCATGTGCCCGCCGCTGGTGCCGCCGCGGCTGAGGCGGGTGAAGAAGCCGACGAGGACGCTGAGGCTCGCGACCATCATGCTGACGGAGGTCTATTGTAGGGCGAATTAGCCGGTGTTTGGTAAGACGGGATTGTGGGGTCGTACCTCGAACATCGCAGCGAAGAACTCGTCGAGTCCTCTGTTGACCCAGATGCAGTAGGCGTGGGCGAGGGAGACCTGTAGAGGATCAGTCCGTTGTGAACTATGAAGAGCGAAGTATGCCGCTTACAAGGGTCGTCAGAATGCAGGATGCGAACACCGTGATCAGCCGCACGCGCTGGCCCTTGGGCAAGTTGGCCTGCCATAGCATGCTCACGGGCGCGAGACTGAGCGCAAGGTCCGAGACGATATCGGCTATAAAGGCAAAGTGAGTTGTAGGACTGATTGAAAGGAAGGTTCATCGACGTACTTATGAGTTGCGCGATAGCCACCGGACGCCCAAGCGAGCATTGTCCCGTCGTATCCTTCCAAGTCGGATCGCCTTCGCAATGCACGAGCGCCTGAACGAAGAGGAAGAGCCACATCCCCGCGAAGGCGGCGCCCATGACACGGAAGTACTTGATCCACCAATTAGGGATGATACGCATGATGGTGCAGAGGATGGATAATCGACATGACCAGACGGTGCAGTAGAAGCCCGTGGCGGCGCTACCGGGGAGGAATCAGCGTAGGAGAATATGCGCGGCCAGAGGAACGCACAAGTAATAGCCCAGTACCAAGACGTCTCTGCTCATCCATGCTGGAATGAGGGAGTAAATATCGTCGTATGAGGCGAGAGATTACTGCGACTCACGTTTGGGTGTCAACGATATGCACGCGCCGGTGAGCACGAGGGACGAAGCGACGATCGAAAGGGCAGCCCAGAAATCATCCCAGCCCCATCGCTTGTCGTGCAACCGTATACCAAGTCGAAAGAGAGTGACGGACAGAGCGACCGTGATTAGTCCCTTGGCCGTATCTGAAGATGCATAAGTCTCGGCGGGCGAATCGAGCCTCATAACACGCACCAGCAGCCTGCTCGGGGGTAATATTAACGGGCATCGCAGCGCACGAGCCCGACGCTCGGCGTCCGAGCGATGAGAGGGAGAGAAAGGGGTACGGCGGGCCGTAGTAAAGTGGCCAGTGATCACCGTCAGGCTATATGCCATTCGCGAGTGGGTGTGCATGATGCAGGCCAGACGCGAGTTACCGGCAGCGGGAGGGATCCCTGCAGTCCCCATCATTCATTTAGGAACCCTGAACCCGTTGGCAGTCGCTGACCTAACGACCCTCGTCAGGAACGACACACCCTTGTTTTCGACACGGGCTCCCCGAGCGGATGCGGAAGTGGACTGGGTTCAGGAAGTTGAACAGAGACGCTGCCTATTTCAGATGAATAGTGGGAGTCTCGAATGGATCCTTACGGAAGAATTGCCGTCTTCGACCGTCGACGCATGCGATTGTTCCCTGTAAGGAAGACGGGATTGTGTGAATTGGATCGCTGCCGCGTGTGCGTCTTCTGGCAACGGGCATCGCAACTCGGGCGCCGCAGCGGTCCCTGTTCATGCCAAGATTAATTGATCGGCTTGAGCCTTGTCTTGCGCGTTCAAACACGAGTCAACTGTCGCAATCCGTAGGAAGTGGGTCCAGGTGGGTCAATATACAAGAGGCCTTCCGTTCTGCACGTCTTCATTGCCTTGAGATGACGCGGGGAGTCTATACGACGAGGAATCGAGCGCCTGCTGAACGCATGATGGTCGCGCACCGAGGATGGTGGGACAGAACAATGCACGAAATCCCCATTTGGGTCTACTCTAAACACGAACCGTGGGAAACCAGCGTGATAGAGAATCGCGATCACGTGCAATACAGCAGCAGCAGCAGTCGGCATGCGCCGATCGAGCTCATCGCGCACGACCATCATCTCTCCTCAGCTGCTCGAAGGAAGCTGCTTTGGTGTCGAATATTGCCAGCTTGTGCTCTTTTATAACCCCATTTGCTTGGTGGACACCATGGAGTTCCTACAAGCGCTAAACGAAGCGCAGTCGAAAGCCGTACATCATGACCCCGCCATACCCCTTCAGATCCTGGCAGGACCTGGGTCTGGGAAGACGAAGGTGTGCGACAATGGTTGTCGTATCATGACAATCTGCTGACATAGGTCCAGGTCCTAACCTCGCGCATCGCGTACCTCATCCTTCATCACAAGATTCCCCCATACGCGATATGCGCCGTGACGTTTACCAACAAGGCCGCGAACGAGATGCGCGAGCGCCTCACCAAGCTCCTGGGGCCAGAACAGACCTCGCAGATTAGGATGGGCACCTTCCACGCGTTGTGCGCCCAGTTCCTGCGGAGATACGGCAGCAAGATCGGGGTGGACAGCAACTTCACCATCTGTGACATTGACGAGGCGTGCGTGATCCATCCTCCTCCATGTCTCCTTCGCTCACACATTGCACAGCAAGAAGATCATCTCAAACCACCTTTCCCGCTACAAGGCCGACCTCAAGGACAACACCCTCAAGGACGCCACCGTCCTCGCCAGCATCTCCAACGCGAAGGCGAAAGGCCTCACCTCCGACGATCTCTTTCGCCGACAGCAGAACACCTCGTCTGAGGACCCCGCCAGCGAGATCGAGCGCGTCGTGACGCAAGTGTACTCCGACTACGAGGCGTCACTGCGGCAACACAACAGCATGGACTTCGATGATCTGCTTGTGTTTGGCGTGAAGCTGTTCAGGGAGCATAGGGAGACCGTGCAGTGGTGCAAACATATCTTGGTGGATGAGTTGTGAGTGGGGTCGTTTTGTTGCGAGACGCTTCGGCTGATCTGGGGAATAGTCAAGACACGAATACGACCCAATACGAGCTCATGCGAGCCATTGCTGTCAACCGCTGTGTCACCATCGTCGGCGACCCTGATCAGTCAAGTGCGTACTTCACCGCGTGACCCTGACCGATGCTGGACTGATCATGATTCCAGTCTACGGGTGGCGCGCCGCTGAAGTTGGGAACTTGGCCAAGATGAGGAAAGGTACGATAATGTAAAAACAATGTCCCCATTCCCCTCGCTCACACGTCGACTTCAGACTTTGTCCTCACCGAACAGATCTTGCTCGAGCAGAACTACCGCTCAACCGGGCACATCCTCTCCTCCAGCCTCGCCATCGTCAACGAAGGTGCGCAGCCCTCCTCATCTCACGACCCCCTCACCCAACCATGCCACCCCATCTACCTCCCATCCCGTCCCTCTCCCTCCTTACCCACCCCACCCCACTCACCCCCTCCCCAGACAAGGACCGCATCCAAAAATCCCTCCGCTCCTCCCACCCCAACGGCAAGGTCCCGGTCCTGCGCGCCTTCTCGTCCGAGCAGGCCGAGGCCGCGTTCATCGCGACCGAGATCAAGCGCGTGGTGGCGAATATGGGCGGCGTGGTGAGGTGGTGTGATTTTGTTATACTGCGTGAGTTGATTTGATTCGTTATCCTGTTTGAGCGGGAATGAAGTGGTGTCAAATGGGACAGGGACTTTGGGAATGTTGTGGTGCTGATGATATTTTGTAGTCCGCTTCAACGCCCTATCACGGCCCATCGAGGCAGCGTTGCAGAAGGAGGGCATACCGAGTCGGGTGCTGGCTGGGCATAAGTTCTTTGAGCGGTTGGAGGTTGGTCTCCATTGGGTCTGACGAGTGGTTTGGTTCTAATGAAGCTTTGGTAGATCAAAGATCTCCTCGCGTACCTCCAGCTCATCGACAACCCGCACTTTTTCCCGGCGTTTGCGCGCGCGGTCAACGTTCCGTCGCGGGGGATCGGCGATAAGGTAAGGATTGGAGGTTGTGGCGTGCTTTGCTCGTGTCGATGCTGCGTTATGCTGCTTCCTTCGTCCCGTATGCCACTTTACTTGTCTCCTATGCTGCTTTATACCCCCTACTCGCACTTCATGCTAACCCCCACCCCAGACCCTCGGCGAAATTGCCGCCCGCGCCGAGAAGTCCAAGCTCTCCGCGCTCGAGCTGGTAGAGAAGATCTGCGACGGCCGGACGCCGGATATCAAACCCGCGATCAAGATGAAGCTCAAGCGATTTGTGGGGCATATGCGCGAGTTGAGGGAGGATGCGACTAACGTGAGGATTCTCGTTTGGAGTACTGAAAGGATGCTCGCTCGGACTGCCTCAGCTATCCCCTCTCGCTAACCCGACCCCCAGGGCGCCCTCCCCGCGGACCTCATCCGCAAGCTTGTCGACCTCACGCAGTACGAGGAGCACCTCAAGCGCACGCAGCAAGACGCGGACACGCGCTGGGAGAACGTGAAGGAGCTGATCAACTTTGCGACCGAGGAGGATGTGGTGGTGGTTGATGAGGGGGATGCGTGAGTTTCTGGTCTCCCCTAGCCTGCTTCGACGCGTGCCTGCGCTATGACTAGGCTGACGGGCACCTACTTGCGCGTTCACAAGGCTGACGGTCCTCCAGTGATACCACGCCTTTGCGCAAGTTCCTCCAGGCGTCGATGTTGTCGTCTGAAGGGGACAAGGAGCAGGTGGATGACAAAAATGTGAGAACCAGCCTGTCAATCCATCTGACGACTACTGATGTCCATCCAGAAAGTGACAATATCGACATGCCATGCCGCCAAAGGCTTGGAATGGCCCGTGGTCATGGTTCCCTCAGGTTGGAGCAACGTTCTCTCTGACATGCATCCGACTGACATGTATGCCTCCCAGTTGAGCAAGGGATCTTCCCTTTCTACCGGACTGAAGACCATGCGGAGGAAAGGTGAGGTCGATATGTGTATTCTTGTCTCTCGTATTGCTCACATTCACCAGGCGACTGCTCTACGTTGCATGCACGCGCGCGCAGGGTCTCTTGTACCTCACTCACGCCGCCAAGCGGAAGGTCAACGGCGAGCAGAAGACGAAGGAGGTGTCGCCCTTCTTGGCTGCTGTGACAAAGAAGAATAAGGTGGGTTCACTACGCCGTGACGTCGACCCCGGTACCGAGTATGCTGCAGACTATCTTCACGATCAAGGCGCCCGAGTTCAACGCGGAAGACAGGCGCGTGTTGGCCAAGGTCCTTGACAGGCGACCTCCGGATGAAGCTGAGGTCGAGCGCCGTGTGGCTGAGTTGTGAGTGCTTGACTCAGTGAAAGTGACACGGCAAGGCTGATCGACTCTTGTAGCCGTCGTACGACGAAGAATGGCAGCTTCTACGGCGGCAGCGAGAATGTGGCCCCGTCCGGCTCGCAGTCCTCTACTTCAGGACCCTCATCGCAAGGTATACTTTCCGCGCCTTTCTGTTTTGTGCCTCTCTGATCCATAAGTAGGACCGCCCCCGACCTTTGTCTCCTCCGCGAGCTTTCTCAAGGCAGAGACAGCACCGACGCCACCTGTATCGTCCGCACGAACGCTCAACCCCATGCCGCCGCAGCCCTACTCCGCTCCCGCCAAGCCAGCATACTCGTCCTACTACACTTCGCCGGCGCCACAGCCAGTGTATGCGCCGTATCCTGCGGCAGCGACGCGCGCGCCGCCGGTTCCTCAAGGCGTTGCACCATATTCGTCTGTCAATCCGCACGGGGCGACGCCAACGATGCCTCACCCCGTTGGCGTTGCGGTTGGGTCTGGCGCGCCAGGCGCGCCTGCTGTGGGCATGGCCCCTCCCGTCAATGGGGTCAAGCGCAGGCTTGGAATGAGCGCGACTGCTGCGGGGAGTGGGTACCAAAACAAAAAGTTCAAGCCGCCTATGCCGTAGGCGGTTCGGACGAGAGTTGATCTCTGTACATTACCTTGCTGACCTGTAATTTCTTGTCTTACTCTACCTGTGTGTGTACTGAATACTACGTGCTTCATACTCCCGAATACAAGCCTGATGTCGATGTTAGCCTTTCGGCCATAAAGCTGGACCACGTGCGATATTATGCCCTTTAGTCGGATCAACCCGAGGTCGAACTTGTGTCCCGCGTTCATAGGTCGCCCTATCGCCTTCCTTCTCTCTGAGGCTGCGAGAGACCTCCTTATGGCCTTGGAACCCGCTAGACATGCCCATATGCACAACATGTACAGCTGCCGTGCCCTTTCTATACACGGTCTATGAATCTGCATACAACCTCCGCCTCGAAGAATGTGTGAGTTGAATCTCCCCCACGCCGCACCTTTACACTCCAAGCATGAAACGGCTCCTCTTCTCATGATGATCGTCCATATTCTTGCGCTGACCGTCTACGTTCAGACGCATTGCCACGCATTCGCGGATCCTTATGTCGAGCACGACACCCTAGCGCTCGTCCTGGACCTCATTTTACTCAAACGCGGCGTGTTCAGACACCTTCTATACAACCGAGGGACTGGGCATCGCCGGGAAGCGGGAAAATCAACCACAAGTCCGGAGAAGGCCACCGAGAGGGATAGCTTTGCTGCAGCGACGACGAACGAGGGAAGCGCGGTTCCAGCTCAGTCAGATCATAGTGCGAAAGCCCTGAGAGACGGCGAAAGGGAAGCGGTAGGCTCACACATGATGTTTATCCATAGCCACTGACTTCTCTGACACGGATGCACAGAGGAGATGGATGTTCGTCGCGCGGCTGGGCTTGCCGCTCATTGCTGCTGATGCTTGTACGCTGAGCTTTTCTGCCTGTGTCTTCACAGCTGGCTGACCTCCTTGGAGTTATTCGATGGTGTCATCTGAGTATGTCTACGCTCTCGCCGATACTGGTAGAAGATCTACTGATGAAGCTGGCACAGACCCTGGACAGCCGTACGACGAGTCTCCATGGACCCAGGACAATATACGCTCGTTGACTCGAGCTTTCTTGGGATGTGCGGCAGGTCAGCTGCTCTTTCCCTCAGGTTCCAAGCGAGCTCAGGCACAGAGACCCATATACAGAAACCATCGCTTTTCACCTTGGCGTAACATTGTCGTGCTTCGTCGCCGTGCGAGCACTAAAAGCATACGATGCCTTCCGCCAACGAGCGCCATCCGACGTCCGCCAGGAATTTCGGTACGCAGCTCCGACATCCTCCCTTCCTACGCTCATCCTCCGTGTAACAGATGCTCCCTCGTCCCCCTCACACTCTTCTACTCGTCCCTCACTAAGCTCTTCCTCCTCTTCATGCTTACCATCTGGAAGCCCTCGCCTGCAAGCCCCGCATCCGACTACGCCATAGGTCTCCCCAAAGTCCTCCGCTCAAACGACGGGGCCCGGCAGATATTCCACCTCTTGGACGACGACAGGATAGACAGGGAATGGGTCGTGCGCAACGTGCTGGGAGGGATGTCTGCCGGGTTTGGGTTGAGAGGTTCGTCGGCGTTCGTTTCTCTCTCGTCTGGGCAGGCTAACTCGGTTAACTAGTCATCCTCGCTGCGAATCCCTTTGTGACGACGCTGGTGATTCTGATAGGATGGGCGGTCAAGACCGCGATGGCGCAATATGTGAGTGCATGGATGGGGGAGGCAAGCGAGGCTTGGTTAGCGTATAGTATACCATGAAGCATTGCCCAGCCTAACACTCCAATATTGCTTCTCGTCAGAACGATTGTGGGCCATGCACAAGAAGTGCACGGTAGTTGTTTGCAATTAATCGCGAGGGTATATACGAACAAAGCATCTCGACGACACCTCTTTCTTAGAGTAAGATCTATAAATCGCAAGCCAGCGCCCCGCGCCTGACAAGGCCCTACAACCCTACAAGCACACTTGACAGTGCACCCAGTGTTCAATGAAAGACCATCTAGTGTTCGTCGAACCTGTATTCATTCACCAACTCCGTTGCGCGCTCCATGATCTCCTTCACCGGCAGCCGCTCCGACTTCGGAATCCCCTGCTTCAAGCTCAGCCAGTCGCCAATCTCATCGCACGCGACGAGCACGGTATCGATATCCTCCTTCGTGTGCGCCGCGCTCACGCAGAAGCGCACGCGCGACGTCACGAGGTCCGTGGCCGGGTACGCGACGACGACGGTGCAGATCGGCGTCTTCCGCGACAGCATCATGCGATGGAACAGCAGCATCTTGCCGGGGTGGAAGAGCAGGAGCGGCACGACGGGCGAGAACGGGTGCCCGTACGTGATGAAGCCGAGCAGGTGCAGGCCGACGGTCAGGTAGCGCGAGTTGAAGGCAAGGCGGCGGATACGGTCCTGGCCTTCGACGCCGGAGGCGAGCGCGGGCGGGAGGGAAAGCCAGGACGGGAGAATGGCAGGGGAAATGGGGCCGGGGTGCTGGTAGCCGTCGTCCTGGGGGATCTTGGCGACGGCGCCACGCGAAGGGGAGGGGCTGTGGACGGGAGGTGCAACACCCATGATGCTGGCCATGCTGGCAATGACCTGCATCAGGACGGGCGGCGCGACGGACTCGGCGTACGTGCCCAGGTGGCCATGCTGACGAATGCTATCGATGATGGGCTTGTTGGCGGCAATGTAGCCACCAGCAGCGCCGAAGGACTTCGTAAACGTGCCCATCAGGATGTCGACTTCACGGGGGTTGATGTTGAAGTAGTCGCAAACGCCACGGCCGTGAGGACCGAGGGCACCGACGGAGTGTGCCTCATCAACGAAAAGGTTGAACTAGGGAGAGGTAAGCCGAAGTCCGCATAAAACGTATCGCAGACACGAACCTTGTAGCGCTTCTTGAGCTCAATCAGAGTCGGTAGCTTCACCATGTCGCCCTCCATACTGTACAGACCCTCGACGATGACCAGGATCTTCTTCCAGGGACGATGCGTCTTCGGGTGACCCTGGCTGATAACCTCACGAAGGAGCTTCTCCAGGGCGTTCATGTCGTTATGCTTGAACATGCGAACGTGGGCGCCGCTGAGGCGGACACCGAAGCGGATGGATGCGTGATTGAGTTCGTCCGAGATAACTAGGCAGCCTTTGCCGACGAGCGCCGGAATCAGGCCAGAATTGGTCGCGAAGCCCATTGAAGAGAGGACAGAGTCTTCCATGCCCACGAAGCGGGCAACGAGGGCCTCCGCCTGGTTGTGCAGCTCGCTGGAGCCGCCCTCCATGCGCGTACCGCAGGAAGCGATGCCGTACCGACGAAGGGACTCCTCGACAGCGTCAGCGCAGCCACCAAGGGACTGAGCAAAGCCAAGGTAGTTGTAGGACGAGATGTTGAGTGTGCGGGTAGTCGTGCCGGGGTGGATCATGGTCTCATTCCAGTCGGTGGAGTAGCGGTCGATGAACTTGATCGTGCGTCCGGCGACGCCAGTGACCGGCTGGGTGAAGCATTCGAGCAGACGCGTCTTCAGACGGCGCGTGTAAAAAGAGTCGAAATCCGACGTGAGCGGCGCGTAGCCCTGCGTGATATCGTCAATGTCTGAGACATGGGCGCGTCGCGTCGCGTTAGACTCACGTTGACGGGTACGAGATGCTCGTAGGACTTGGGGTAGAAACGCTTGCCGAAGAAGTCACGTACGTGACCGAGGACGATGAGCAGGAGGTACGAGATGTAGGTGGTCATGAGGATGAAGTAGGGAGGATCCATCTCGGGGACGCCGTGTACGGACTCATCGTGAGCGGATGCGGAGCGGTACTCCTCGTTGGCGCAGTGACCGAACTCAGTGTGTGCGGTCGTGAACACCTGCTCCGAAGTAGGAGGGGAGCGGATCGGGTACGCCAGGCCGTCTTCGTTGTCGTCGACATCCATAGCCGTTCCCGCGGACGAGAACGACGCTCCTGAGGACATGGTGAGCGCGGGGACCGTGCTGGTCGTGCTTGCTGGCCTCCCCGCGGCGCGTGCTTGTGCGTCGGCCTGTGAGACAGCCGACAACAAGCTCGCCGCGGACGAGGGGAGGGACTGCGCGCTCTTCTTCCTGAAGAGGGACTTGGAAGATGTGGAGGAACGAACGAAGGCCATCGGAGAAGGTAGTGGCGATCCCGAGGGCATCCTGCAACTTCACCGTCGAGGAAAAGAGTGGCGACGGCTGGTGAGGAACCGTTGGTGGGCGTTGGCGACCGAGGAGCTTGGGTTGTCGTTACAGCTTTTACGTGTTGCTCAGGAGGTCAGCCGACTGCGCGGCGTGAGATCCTTGGGTTCGGCAATTGCCACGGCACGCGACCCGCCGACAATTATCTCGCAGAGGCGACGGCGGCGACGTAAAAGGCGCTCTGCTCGGGGCGTAGTATGTGTCGACCGTGGGGGGAGGAGGAGAAGTGCACGGCGCGCTCCAAAAGCATAAAAGCTGCCCAATCCCGGCTGCCGAAGCCGTACAATCACGTGGGGATCCGCATTCCAGTTGTCACCGTGTGACGATCGCAAGTTCAACTTCCTCTTTCATCTTCGCCTTTACGCGATCGCCCGCTGACCCGCCACGCCGCGGTAAGCGCCCAGACTGTCATGGAGACGCACCCATCTGTGAGTCCATTGGGTAGCTCTTGTCCGCTCATTCACATGCCATTTTAGTACCCCGCTATCGCTGCGTATGTCAGCAAGTACCCTCGGTTTGCGGACAGCCTCTTCCAGGCGTACAACGATATCCTGTACAGTACGAAGGAAAAATTGGAATGTATGTATTTCGAATACTGATTTAGCCGAAGGCCAGAAGTGGAAGGACGTAGAGGTTCTTGATTTGGAAGCGTGTTCTCGCGGGGCCATTCGCGGGCGTGACGCTACGGTGTGTCCGTCATTCCGCTGTACGGTGGGCCATCTCATTTTCGCTCTACAGGACAGGCAGATGCATGTCGTACCCTGCTCGCTCGCTGATACTATCTCCTTCGCATGGTAAGCCTTGCGCACTTCGTCGTGAATCCTTGATGACGGTACAATTTGTGGCAAGGCTACAAAGCGCCTTCCCCCAGCTAGGGAATCCGCCAGAGATATACCTCGCAATCACAGCAACAGACGCCTCAATTGTGTACTACAAGATCAGTACAGGAATCGTCAAGCCTCCGTTATAGTTTGCGGGGCTACTTGTTTTCTGACGTTGACCCACGAAAACCATTGTAAAAAATATGCACTTGCTCATTTCCTACAACACTCGTGTAATCCACAGAGCTGTAAAACTGTATACCTCGCTCCTACACTGCCAACCATTGCAAAAAGAAAAGCAGTCCATCTGCACACCTGCATCCCTCATCCCTCATCGCTCTGCCCACCCACCACCTAATCCAGCTCCTGCGTAATCGCCGCTGGCGGCAGCGCAGGTACAAGCTGTCTCCTCGCGGGTTGCGCCTGCGGCGCCCCGCCGCCAAACAGCGACGACATCATGTCGGCCATCGGGTTTCCGCCCTGACTCCTGGGCGGGGGAAGCGAAAAGTAGAGGCCGCCGATCTCGTTGAGGATCTGTGGGTTGAGAGGGAGATCAGCACTGTGTTCCTCCATTTGCAGAAAGACAGTACGGAAGCTCTCTGATTAAGGCGCAGCATAGCATAATTCATATAATGAGCAATCGCACTCACCCTCCTGACCTCCGGCTGCGCCAACGCACCTCCGCGGCTCTGGTACGTCCCACACAGCCGCACCCAGCTCTCACGCATGACCTTGTTGCGGTCCCCATTCGCGCGCTGGCATGCCAGGACGGCTGCTTGGCAGAAGTTGACGACGCCGTCCTTGGCTTGGACCAGTTGCACTGAGTCCCCGGCTTGCAGCGGTGGTGCGGAGACGAGCTCGGACTGGGGAAGTTGGGCGACGAAGGTGGTGATGAAGGTGCGGGCGGCGAGGATGTTGCCGTTGAGAAGGTAGCTAGAGGAGAGCGTGTAAGTGTATAGAAGAGGGAAAGACGAGAGAAAAGGAAGCAATAGACAAAGGAGGGGTTTGGGAAGATGGGGAAGGGCGAGGTGCAATGTGTATAGTAAAGGACGAGTGCGACGGTGCGAAGGATGAATGAGACGCACGGTAGAGTGCCCTTCAGCGCGTAGTTTCCTGCTTCGCCGCCCGCTTCCATCCAGCGTATAAAGGATTCTGCGAGCAGCCGTGCGCTATCGCGCAGGCCAGCTGCGAGAAGGTGATGCTCGGCGACGTCGTAGGCACCCTCTATCAGAAGATATGAGGTGGGCATCCGAAGACGAACGCGTCGATCGCACCTTTGACGAGCAGGGAGCCGATATAGTGATGCAGATCGGGATCGCCACTGGGGTACGCGCCGTGCTTGGCTGACCAGCTGAAAGCATATAAGGTCAGCGAAGAATCATGGAGAGCATAAGACCACGCACGCAACCGCCTTGTCAATCAGCGATTTCCTCCACGTCCCCTCGGACCCCGTCAGCGCAATCAGCTGCGTCACCCTTCCTATACAACGCGTACTGTTAGCCTTCCCGCATCCCACCTATCCTCCTCCTCCATGCCCCAAATAAGCACCCACTCACCCCGACTCTCATCCGTCACCTTCTCCCCCTTCGTCTCATACACCTCCAGCATGAATCCCGCGAGGTCCACGCCCGACCCCGGCTGGCCGGTCTTCAGTAGCTCGCGCGCGGACTGGAAGAGCACATCGATGGCGGTGTCGAGCTGGTTCGACTTCACGTAGCGCGCGGCGAAGGTGCGCGCTTTTTGGTGCGCCTCGTAGGGCGCGGTCGCGATTTGCGGGAGGATCGCGTTGAGCGCGCGGGAGGAGGAAGCCATGATGCGGTGTCCGGATTAGGAAGGGCTTGTCCGCGGGTTGGCTCCGACGTTCATCTGATCGAGGAGTGCTCACTGTCCATTCGCACCTGGGGCTGGCGCCACTGTATCTGCCCATGCGTATCTTGGTATCGACGACATGCTCTGTCTGACTCCGGCCAAACGCTCGTTCTGCATCTCCGTCTCGTAGACTGGGGAGTCGGTGAACTTGGCTCGATTCTATCGTGGCCAGCTTCGCTCTCTCCCCACCTGGTCATGGGTAGAAGAAGAAAAGACTTTGCTGAAAGAGTCAAGTTGGGCCAGCCTGAGCTCTAGGTCCTTCGCACGAACCTTTGAGCTGGTCTCTATGCGCCAAAGAGTCGGTCCACCTAGAATAATCAAGCACGACTTCGCACGACAATCTAGCGTCCTCAAATGATAGGACTCGGCCGTCTACGAGGTCTGACTCTACAAGGGCCTGTCTAATCTCCCGGCTGCGCGGCAAGGTTGCTCTGGAACTATAAGCACGCTTGAAATGCCTGGAGCGTGTACCTATAACCATTCTGGGTATCTGTAGCGATCTTTTATGGGCGCCTGACACGATCTCAGGGTCCCTTCGAATTATCCGCTTATCTGCATGCCCCTCCTTGAAGATTGACGCACCACAAGACCTCTGAAGCCTCGACCGCTGGAAAGCCTGCCTGCGGCGCGCGCTTGAATACGTCTTCCCTTCCCTGGCTTCCTCGCCGTTGCGTCTCTGGCGCGGAGATTCTGCGAGGGTTTCGTAGACCAGTGGTACGGCGGTGGATGCTGCGCAAGAGAACCGTGCCACAAAGGGACGGATCTGGCCTGGCCACTATGAAACCTCATGACAGATTCGAGGGACCGGAGCCTCCGTATCTGCTACGGAGGCCCTTGCATCGAGCACGGCGGACCGGCGCTCTGACAGGCGGCGGTCGCAAGATCAGAGCCCATGGACGAGAAGGCCAGGCGCGGGAGTAGTAGAGCGATCAGAGCGCTTATGAAACCTGCGTGTAGGACAGGGCCAATATTTCTTCCTTCAACCAATTATAAATACGCTCTTCCCTACTCTCTGGACCACACCAGACGACGCCTACATATTTTGGTCGGCCAAAAAGCATGCCACTTTGCTGCGCCAATGGGATCAAAGACATCCTTACGGGGATAATTAGCCTCCGCAGCTCCTTGATTGGGCGGATCTCATGTGACTTTGATGAGTCTCGAACCAACCCCAGCCTGGACCCACACTCTAATCCCGCTTTCGAAGTACTTCCGTGCACAATGGTGGCGTTTACCTTTTTGCTCGACAAAGCAGTAGATCCTTCATTCGTCCCTGATAAATCCTATCCCGCTCCTTCTAGAGACGCAGTCGTACCGCAGTACTTCGGCGGTGTATTGGAACGATGGACCGGCCTTCCAGGCTTTCCAAGTCTAGATGCGGCGGTCGGGCAGCGCTTATTCAGGAAAACCCTTGTTGTGGCCAATGGGCAATCTTCTACGCGCCAAACGCGCTCAGGGTAGTGGCCTGCGGCTGTCTGACAGTGGCTACTACCGCTTCAGGCTTGTGAACGGGCGTCCGGTCTACCGCGCAGAAACCCAGTCTTGCGACACGCACCATGATGTCCCTTGGCGCAAGAATCTGCGCCGAGACCACCTTCCACACAGGTCTGCAATAGCAGAAGCGGCTGTTGTGGGAGCGCGGGCTGGAGCACGCGTACACGATGATGTCAGAGTGCATCGGTGCCCAATGGGAGGGCGCAATTCATACACGCGCTCTTTGTGCATCTATCGGTAGCCGAGAGCCTGGAGGCACTCGCCTGTATGTAGGCAACTGAGCGGCCAGTCCTGGCGACTGTCACCCTCTTCAGCACAGAAAGGCTTCGTGGGCAGGCATCTCCCACCTGAGACCCTCGCCAGGGACGACAAAGGAATCGTCGGTTGTCTTGCCTTCATTTGTGGACGTGTCCGGCGTCGGAAACGTAGCGGTGCCTCGAAAATCTAGGCCGCTATGCTCAATATATCGCCAACGTTATGTTGTCGAACCTGGCCACACGTGGACGCATGACGCAGTATTTCAGGGAATGTCGGTCAATCTAGGCGGGACTGCTTTTATAAAGACGTACCAGGGCCTTTCGCGCCATCAAAGAACCCCCCTCGGCACTTGCAGCACATCCATGCAGCCACCAACGATGTCGTCGACCGCATCATCCTCGCAGACGCGGGGCAACTCGCCCATGACATCGGCGACGAGTTCCGACCAGGAGTTCGTTCTCCCTTCGCCGTCTGAGCTCATCGACAAGGGCCCACTTGAGGACGACGATATGGCGAGATTGACGCTGCGCTCGCTCGATTGCATGGCCACATTCTATCATCAGCAGCTCCTGTGGTCGTATGAGATGCGACTGGAACTTGAGGGCGACTTACCAGAGGGCGCGGAGGGCGATAACATGGACGATGAGCAGAGCGCTCGAGCCGACGCGCGGTGGAGCGACCGCGGCGATGGAGGGCGGAGCCGGATGCACGCGCTGCTGTCGCAGCAGAACAGGAGACGTCTCCAGCAGCGCAGGGCCTTCAAGATGAAGCTCGAGTGCATCATATCGCCTCAAAGCGCGGCGGAGGCGGCGCTGACGCGGCGTAAGCGCCGGCGGGAGTGTCAGCGCTCGCGCGAGTACGCCAACATGCTACGCACGCTCGAGCTGCTGGCGGAGATGCGGATGGACAGCACCCAGCGGCTGCAGTACCTCGTGCGGCGCGTCAACAGCGTCGAGTCGCCCATGAAGTACTCATGAACGATTCCCTGCTGTACGTGTGGCAACACTATTGAATCCATCTGCGGTCGCTAATCGGGTCGCGCAGATGCATCTATTGCCATCGGGGACCTTCGTATGAACGATAGTTCGATATACCCTCTGGCACGAGGCACGGCTCGCCCGGCCTCCATCACCTGTACCATCATGTTCAGCAACACGACGTACTTATCACGGTCTGCATCCCTACTGGTCGGAGACATTGGGACACACTGGCGACGTTGGAGATTGACATACTTTCATCACAGTTCCGGCGGTATAGCATACACATACACGACGATCTGCTACCCGTACGGACATGTTACGGCACGCGGGCGTTGACATTCTGAATATTTGTAGAATAGATTCGAAGATGTACTTGGCGACAAACTTGACGCTCTTGGGGACTCGCTGGTGTTGGTGAGGGTGTGGGTCCACCTGCAGAAGGAGCTCGAAATGAAAAAGGCGCTTTTCATCGTGCGGTTTTTGCCGGACGTCGCACGTGGATCGGCGTCATCACCGGTCCGGGTAATCACATGCCCGGCGCGAATCCGGGGTAGATGAAGGGGACGCGCAGAGTTGTGAATCCCAACTTGTCCTCAACCTCCACCATGTCGCAGCTCTCGTTCAAGGGACACACCGTCGTTGTCACTGGTGCTGGCGGTGGCCTCGGTAAAGCGTGCGTGGAGTAGTCCTGCATCCAATTCCCGCGACTTACCTCCGAATCGTACTGCTCAGGTACTCGCTCCTCTTTGCCTCCCGCGGCGCGAATGTCGTCGTGAACGACTTCAACAAGGATGCAGCGCAGAAGGTTGTGGATGAGATTGTGTCTGGTACGTCTACAGTTGCTTGCCTGATGATCCCAGCTGACGCAGAACAGCTGGTGGAAAGGCTGTCGTGAACAACTCCTCCGTCACGGACGGCGCCGCAGTTATCAAGACAGCGGTGGACGCATTTGGCACTGTCACAATCCTCATCAACAATGCGGGTATCCTCCGGGACAAGGGGTCAGTCTACGCGGTATACGTTTCCCCACGAATCTGACGCCTTCCCAGCTTCAAGAACATGTCCGACAAGGAGTGGGACCAGATTATGGAGGTCCACCTCAAGGGCGCCTACGCGTGCACTAAGGCCGCCTGGCCCATCTTCCGCAAGCAGAAGTTCGGGCGCATTGTCAACACAGCGAGTGCAGCGGGCCTGTACGGTGCGTCAAGTAGCCGTGAGCCGGCTCACGTGCGAGAGCTGACTGGGGTCCCACCATGCAGGGAACTTCGGGCAAGCAAACTATAGCGCGGCGAAGATGGGCCTCGCTACCTTCACGAAGACCCTTGCGCGTGAGGGTGTGAAGTACAACATTGGCTCCATTTGCATTGCACCGGTATGCGTACTCGTCATGGCAGGTTATAGCCACTCACTAATCATGCGTTGCACTTCAGATGGCTGCTTCCGCCATGACTGAGACTGTCATGCCGCCAGAGATGCTTGCCAACTTGAAGGTACGTCTGTTGCTCATTATGCTCATCCACATTGCTCATAACTCTTAGCCTGACTATGTCGCTCCCTTCGTCGCTGCCGTCTGCCACCCTAACGGCCCGGACGCCTCCGGCCGCATCTTCGAGGTCGGCGCTGGCTATGTTACTGAGATCCGGTGGGAGCGTAGCGCTGGCACCGTCTTTAAGACCGACTCGACGTTCACCCCGTCCGCTGTGAAGGCCAAGTGGAACGAAATCGTTGACTTCTCGAAGCCGGACTACCCGCAGACGATGGCGGATGTCGACATTAGGGTATGTTTTCTCATAAGAACTTGCCTGTGTTCTGGACTTACATCGTGTAGTCCAAGCTTGAGATAGCGGCGAAGCTGCCTGCCAACCCGCAGGCGACGCCGCCCGTCCGCTTCGACAACCAGACGGTCATCATCACTGGTGCCGGTGCCGGCCTGGGTCGCGCCTACGCGCTCATGTACTCCAAGCTGGGCGCCAACGTCGTTGTGAACGATGTCAGCGAGAAGGGTGCCAATGCTGTCGTAGAGGAGATCACGAAGGGTAAGATACCTGCTATAATCATTTGTTCGTTTGACGCAGCTGATCACCTTGCCCAGCCGGCGGCAAGGCAGCACCTGCGGTCTGCTCGGCGGAGGATGGCGAGGCGATCGTCAAGGTTGCGCTCGAGAAATTCGGCGGCGTACACATCCTCATCGCGAACGCTGGTATCCTGCGCGACAAGTCGTTTACTTCGATGACTGAGCAGGAATGGGACATTGTGCTCGCGGTGCACCTGCGCGGGACGTACAAGTGCGCGAAAGCCGTGTGGCCGCACTTCCAGAAGCAGAAGTATGGGCGCATCGTAACGACGTGCTCGCAGGTGGGCTTGTACGGAAACTTTGGGCAGGCGAACGTGAGTATTGTACTCGAGGTGGGGCTCTGCGAGGTCGCTGACGGACAAGGACAGTACTCGACGGCGAAGGCGGGCATCATGGGTTTGACGAAGACGCTGGCGATTGAGGGCAAGAAATACAACATCATCGCGAACACGATCGCGCCGTCTGCAGGGACTGCGATGACCGCGACGATCTGGCCGCAAGAGATGGTCGATGCATTCAAGGTCAGCCTGTCAATTCTCTTTCTCATGAGCAGCGTGTTGATGAGCCTGCCATAGCCCGACTTCGTCGCCCCCGTCGTCGGCTACTTGTCGAGCTCTGCGAACGAGGACACCACGGGCAGCGTCTTCGAGATCTCGGGCGGCTGGGCAGCGCAGACGCGCTGGCAGCGGGCTGGTGGCCATGGCTTCCCGACGAACAAGCCCTTGCGCCCGGAGGATATTGTGGCGAAGTGGAGCGTTATCGCGAACTTCAGTGAGTGTAGGCAACCCATATACGAGCACGCACAAGCTAACTTGAGGCTTAGACGACGGCCGTGCGCACTATCCAACGTCGACACAGGAAGCGCTGGAGCAAATCGTGGCAAACTTTGGGAATCGCAGCGACGAGCCAAAGGCCAAGCTGTAAACAAACCTATATACCTTGCATCTTGTACCCTGTCCGGATGTCTGCTCAATGTAACACTATCAATCTCCATTTCGTTGCAGGCGCACTGGCATTCACCTTGACAGACAGGCTGGAGTCCGCGTAGCGGCCAATTCATCTTCAGTGATTACTCAGCGGACTTTCATAGCCAGCCACGTGGTAGTTGAGAGTGCCTAAGCGCTTGGACCAGTGGCGTTGTCCTTCGCATCTTGTTGCTCCGGCTCACCATCACCATCTCGAATCTGCTTAGATTGTGGCCTAGGTGCGCTATTCCTCGAGTGCTGAGTGCCACATTGCCTCTTAACTTATGTTTGGAAGGCGCTCTGAGCACTCTTAGACCGTGTGTGCGGACACCATTCAACCTCGTCCATATAGTCAGATCCCTCATCCCAAGATTCCTGTGATACACTTCCTCTGACAGTGGTGCAACATTCCAGGACAGGATAGCTAACCTCAATAGTGCTATGGAACCTGTACCCCTTCCGGATGACGCGACAGATGTCCTTTTCAGCCTGTTTGCGGAAACTGGAATGGCGGAGATCTGCGAATTACAAAACGCACTGGCGACGCTCGTTCACGATCAACATGCACTCTCCAGGCGCCTAGCATTCCGGAAAGCGAAAGCTCTGCTAGCCCAAGGACATGCCTTCGCCCTCCTCAAGGAAGATCCCTCGTTCTCACCTGAGCACCTCGCCGACGAGAGAGCCTTCCGCCGGGCTTCTGGAATCGTCGCTCTTGCTTCGATGCTCTACCAAACAGCCGGCGATTCGGAGCCCGAGTACGCGTCCCTGATCGAGAAGCCACCTTGTCCCCTCTCTCGTCTGTTTCTGTGGATGGACTTCGTGCATCCAATGCGGCGTCACCCCATCCCACCTCACAAAGTCTCCGGCATCATTCTGTCTATATGCAGCATCTACTCAAGCCTTGCATGCTACAGACACGAGCTCTTCGTGTCATCTCTGCGCGAGAATCCGCGCGCCATGCTGCAAATCATCGACATCTGGCTGCACTACCCCTTATACCTACAAGGAGCCAATGGCGGGCGCTTGACGGCTGCTGCGTCGGTCGTCCTCGCTGCCCGTCCGCTCCTCCATCTTTTCTTTGGCAACCCACGCACATACATGCATTCGACATTTTTTGCCGAGCTGAACGCTCTTGCCGGTCGTAGGCGCTATGTCCTTGACAGCATCGCGAGTCAATCGCACTTTCTCACAAGCATCAGCGCGGTCTCTCCAACTTGGACATGGCTCTGGCGAGATCACCTACTTGTTGCACTCATGCTTACGCACTCGCTAGAGTTCTACGGCGTGCTCGTGCCGCGTGGTGTTCTGCGCGCGCTAATGAGCTGCGTTACCAAGCTCATCGACAACACCACCTCACGAGACAGGGATCTGCGCGAAACCGCGGCGGTTGCGAGCGACCTTATCCTGAGCTTCCTGAAGCACACAAACGACACCCGCAATGTCCTTCGCGCCGTGAAGGCAGGACTGTTCCCCTTCCTACGAACTCTCGATGCAGCCTTTGACACGCACATGGAGTCGGTGGCTGCCCTGAAGAATTACATGGCCGACTGCGTCTCTCTTCCAAGCATTTTGCGTCCGCTCGTCAAGGCGAACCCTGAGCTCGCGCAGGAGACCCCTCAGTCTGACCTCACGAGCAGGTTCGCCAGGTTGTATGATAATGCAAGGCGACATCGGGTTCTATATGGCCGACTGCAGGATGTCAATCCGTGGATCCTTCACATTCCATGTGGGAATGTGTTCAAGGTATGCCGAACGCTCGACGTTGATTGATATGCTAATGACTCTCCAGGGCTATCACGAGCCTCGCAGATATATCTGCCCTTGCGGCACGAGAGTGTACTGCTCAATCAACTGTCAGCGAGAAGACTGGCGTCGACAACACCGGCATTCATGCTGTGCATCAGGCGGTGTCTGGGGTCTCGGTGGTGAGTCGAAGTCCTGTCGAAGCACGACCTTTGTTCTCATGCAAATACTCAGACACAATCACGCTCAGTGACGCGAGATACGTACTGTCCATAGCGCAGGCCTTCTTCGCCTGCAACATCGTGAAGATCGGCATAAGGCTGCGCAAGGTCAACGTTGATTTGGACACAAGTCGTCCTACCGAGTCTGGCCTCACACGCATCGTAATCATCGACCTTGGGCGCGCCACAGAACCAGGAGACGACTTCTCGTGGCGGGTCGATCGCCAACGCCTCCAACACGAACCTGGAGGACCCGGCTCAAAGGTCCACATCCAAGTATGTCTCTGCGTGGGTGGGAGCTACCCTCAAATCACACTTCCCGTCACGTATGACATGGAGTTATTCACCATGGCAGATACCCATAGGTCTCGGCGGGTGGCTCTGTATGGTCCGAGTTCGTATGTCCACGGTAGAAGCTCAATGGACCTGCATCCATATAGTATATCGTCAGTAGACAATTCAACGAACGTTGGAATCCGAAGCAGACCCTTGACAAAAGGAGAGTTATTCTTGGGCAGTGAGAGACAGTGAAGACCTTGTCGATAGCACTCGCCGCCTCCCCCCAGACCGGTCCGGATTGGCGCGCGCGTGCTGGGGCGCCTAAGTATGACGACGATCCACATCCCGCCTTCTGGCACGCGCGCACCCTGCTACCAACCTCCATCGCATTTTCTGGTCTTGCGCTTGCATTCGGGTCACTTTCAGCCACTAAACCCGCGCTTCCTCCAGTTACAAGGACTCACAGGACTCTATAAGCTAACGGCACATCGCCCGTACCCAATCTCCCCGATATCAAACATAGCACGACACCCTACGGCACATCGCACACGTTCGTGAACGTATAGCTCCCACGATGGAAGCGAAGATGCGCGACCTCAAGGTCACCGAAGACCTCACCAAGGCGGCGGGTGTTCTCGAAGACATGCAGGGGAAGCGCACAGGCTTTGAGGACGAGATGTCGCGCGACATGCCCCGATCGCCGACCGCGCCGCCCGCGACGTTTGGCGCCACGGGACCGATGTGAGTAGGGCAGCATATGTGCTAGGGAGGATGCACTGCTGACGGGAGGTATGCGCGCTAGGTTGAAGCGATTCGATCATGAGTCGGCGGAGTCGGCGAGGCCGAGCAGGATGGCTTCAACGATACCGACCCCTCCGGCGGCGGTGAAGGGGATTGGGAGTAAGAGTGCGTGAAAGAGTGCTTCCGGTTGTGTTTGTACTGATCTTGGAACATAGTCGGCAAGCCGGACTATTCAGAGTCGAAGATCGTGGTGGCGATGGTGAATATGCCCTGCTTCCGCCGCGACGATCCGCTCATGCTTCCTTCTACAGGTCGGCTTGCCAGCTCGCGGGAAGTCCTATCTCAGTCGGAAGTTGATGATCTACCTCAAAGTGCGTTGTGATCTTCACTGGTGAAGATCAATGCTCACGCAGGCAATAGTGGCTAGAGTACGATGTGAAGATCTTCAACGTGGGGCAGCTTCGGCGCACCCGAGCGAGGGAAAAGGCCCGCATGTATGCAGCCTACTCCATTCGCTCATTCCCAGCTCACACGACCTCACAGGCTCGGAATCAAGGAAGACCACACCGCTTCCTACTTCAGCCACGACAACCCCCAGGCGACGATGCTGCGCGAGGCCCTCGCCTCCGACTCTCTCGAGATGCTCATCCAATTCCTCAAGGACGGTGGCAACGTCGGCATCCACGACGCCACGAACAGCACCGCGAGTCGCCGCGCGAAGATCGAGCAGCGCGTGCGGCAGGAGAAGGGCTTCCAGGTGCTCTTTCTCGAGTCCTTCTGCGACGACCCCGCGATCATCGCCGCGAACGTCGCGCTCAAGGTGCAGTCCGGGGACCCCGACTACGCGTCGTACGACCCCGAGGCGGCGAAGGCGGACTTCCTCCGGCGCATCAGCGAGTATGAGAAGGTGTACGAGACGATCACGGAGCCGCACCTCTCGTACATCCGCATCAAAAATGTGGGCGACGAGGCGACGCTCAGCCGCATGAATGGCTACCTCTCCTCGCGCATCGCGTTCTACCTGATGAATCTGCACCTGAAGCCGCGGAGCGTGTTCTTCTCGAGGCACGGGGAGAGCGTGTATAATGTGGAGGGGAAGATTGGTGGGGATAGCCCGCTGAGCGAGCGGGGTATGAAGTATGCATCGGCGCTCCCTGAGCTCATTCGCAAGAACATTGGGGACCAGCCGCTCACAGTGTGGACGTCAACGCTGCGGCGGACAATCCAAACAGCGCAGAACCTGCCGTACCCGAAATTGACATGGAAGTCCTTGGACGAGCTCGATGCAGGCGTGTGTGATGGGATGACCTATGAAGGTATGTGAATTGGTCTCGTCACTGCGTTCTCGATGCTGATCCCTGGTAGAAATCGAGGTCGCATATCCAGATGACTTTGCCAACCGAGACGAGGACAAGTTCAACTACCGGTATCGTGGCGGCGAGTCGTACCGTGATGTCGTCGTTCGGCTAGAACCCGTCATCATGGAACTCGAGCGGCAAGACAATATCTTGATCATCGGTCACCAAGCGATTCTGCGGTGCTTGTGAGTGCATACTGGAATTCTGTCGCGGCTGTCGCTCACGGCTGTGGCAGATACGCCTACTATCACAACCTACCACAGGAGGACCTGCCGTACATCAAGATCCCCTTGCATACAGTCATCAAGCTTACACCAAAAGCCTATGGATGTGAGGAGGAACGGTGCGTAGCTATCCTCGAATCGAGCCCCCTCATTCTAATTTCAATACACTTCTAGCTACGCCCTCCCCATCGAAGCTGTCGACACCCATCGCCCGAAGCCGAAGACGGCACACTCGAGCTTGAATCCGTCGATGGTGTCGAGTCCATTGCGCAACCCACCTGCAAGGCAATATTTCACAGACCCGGAGGATGGGACGCAGAAGCCAATCAACGATACGTCGACGCCGAAGGCTTAGGTGTAGAAGCGGACATTGCAAGAAAGTAGATATATAGAACATTGTACACCACACACATAATCCTAGCGCATACAGTCAGACATGTCTAGAGAGATGTGATGATTGTCACGTACAGAGATGGTGATGACAGGCTGTAGGGTCAGGGGTGCGATGGGGGGACAGCAGGGCGGGTAAGGGAGGGAGGGACAAGGACAGACGGCCATCAGTGACTTCTCCCCTTTCCCTTGGCCACTGTAGTAAAGCCGTCTTCGTCGACCTCCGGCTCTGGTTTTGGCTGCGGTGCCCGGCGTTCGATCAGCTGTGGCGCCTCGTCTATCTCCTCGTCTTCATCACTCTCATCCTCCCATTCTCCCTCCTCATCCGGCGCCCCCGGTTGCACCTGCACATTCGTCGCCTTCCCCTTCCGCTTCTCCGCCAGCTCCTCAAAGCGCGTGACCAGCGCTGCCTGCCCTCGCCGCGTCTCCTCCCACACGCGCACGATATCCTTCGCAACCTCCTCCCCGCTCCCGTCCTCGATCACGGTGTCGAACTCGTCCTCCATGACCTGCAGAAGCATCTCCTCCACGTATTGGTCGTCCGGCGTGTCCGCCTCGCGCTCGAACGCGTCCACGATCTCGCCCGCGAGCCAGGTGCGCTTTGCCGCCGCGTTCGGGCCGCCCCAGTTCTCCTGCACGGCGACACGGAGGTCCTCCCAGATCGCTAGGCGCGCGATCACGCCGCGCGCAAAGAGCACGCTGGAGGGGGCGGGGGTAGTAGTAGGTGCCGTGGTGTCCATATTCTGGTGTGGGGGGACGAGATGGTGATGATGGCGATTGATGTCGAAAGAGGAAGGCTTTGTATTCTTACCGCTTGGACCCAAAAATTCGATCACGAACGCGTTCGCTGATCGCGGGCGCTTGTTCGAGGACCTCTCATGCTCAGCGCGTTCGCAGCACGCCAGGCGGCGAAGGCCGCCTCGGACGATAATGCAGGGCCTAGCAAGCCCGCAACACGGAAGCCAGCGAGTTCAGAAAAGCCAAAGCGCGCCACCAAGACGGAGAAGGCACCGAAACCACCTTCGATCTCCGTTCCCCCACGTTCAGCAAAGCGATCGTCATCCTCTGCTGCCGAGTCGAGCACACCTAGGAAGAGGAAGCGCGCAATCCGACCTTCCAATGGCACTGCGGCCCCAGCTACCGATGCATTCGGTGAGCAAGACGACATGATCGTGGTCCCTCCAGACTCGGACGACGAGGACTCTGAGAACTCTGACATCGACTTCATTGTGGACCTTCCTTCTGAAGAGCCTGCACCAGCCCCACGCGCCTGGTCACCCAGCGCACCTGCCCTCGAAGACCTCCCGCCCGCACCCTCCGCCTCCGTCCCTCATCCTCCCGACATCCTGTCGACCTTCGAACCTATACCCGATCAGAATGTATTCCATGTCGACCCCCAAGAGCTTACGATTGGCGCCACCGTCTCCTCGGCTGCCTCGAGTGCATTTCTGGTTCTCGATGAGGGCGCAAGAGCATGCTTTGTCGGAAATTACAACCTGACCATCGTTAGGGGCGCGGTCACCCTTGCAGGGACCAAATTGCGCGCTTCACCCTCGGCGCATCGCGTGTTTGCTCCCACGTCGTCACCGCTGCCAGTGATCAAAGCCGCTGCGGACGACCGACCACCATTATCTGTTCCCTCGCGACTGCAGGGTATCGTGAAGAACGCCATCTGCGTCGTTCTCGTTCAATCTCTCACAACGGGTGTCGAAGGATTGCAGAGAGTCTGCCAACGCTTCGAAGGGGTGTTCACTCCTAGGGGGCCTGCGCGACTATTGCCTGGGTTCCACAACCTCTATCTTGTAAGTCAATGCGCCGTCCCTTCAAGATAACAGCTAAGAAGCCGCTCATCAGGTCTACGAGCCAAGCCGCGACACGGAGGTCTTCACTCTACCGCATACATGGATCTCCGCCATGGCCGAAGTTACCAATGCGGATTCGTCTGTTACGCTCGTCAAGGGCCCGAAGAAATGCGGGAAGAGTACAGCCGTGCGCACACTAGTGACCAAGCAGCTCGAGAAGTACGTCTTCCGTCTCACGCCTATCGACCTGTTATCTGATGACTATTCCTCTGCAGATATCACCGCGTAGCCCTCCTCGAATGCGATGTTGGCCAATCCGAGTTTACCCCCGCAGGGATGGTAGCCTTGAATGTGATCTCGCGACCAGTCTTCGGCCCACCCTTCACGCACCCAACAATACCCTATCGCGCGCACTACATAGGTGAGACGACGCCTAAATCTTCGCCGGCGCACTACCTTGCGGCGATCGAGGCGCTGGTGGAGACGTACCGCCTGGACCTGCAGACGCCGGCCTTGGATGATGATGAGGAGCAGGATGGTGTGGAAGATGGGAACGGTGAACGCATCACCGACCACATCCCCCTCATCGTCAACACCATGGGCTGGACGAAGGGGCTGGGCGCGGATCTCTTGCGCCGGGTAGAGGACATCGTGCATCCGACACATATCATGGAGTTCGAAGCTGCTGCGACGACCGATTTCGCGTGGCCGCGCGCGATGAACGAGTACGCTGGGCCTGGCCCTCTGCCGGACCGCCCACATGCGAGCAAGATCCTTCGCCTGACGCCTGTCGTCCCGCTTAATGCGGAGACATTCACCGCGGCGGATCATCGGACGCTCAGCATTCTGTCGTACTTCCACGCGGAGTTTCCTGAGGCGACGCCTAACGTTAATGGGACATCCCTCAAGCAGCTGACGGCGCAAACGTGGAATACCGCACGCCCGCTCGTGGCGCAGCCGCCCTACGAGGTCGACATCGCGCAGGCTGTGGATGCGGTCATACTCATGGGCGCAGGGGCGGAGGACGTGCCGCGAGGCGAGGTCGCGCGCGTGTTAAATGGGGCAGTGTTGGGGCTGGTGGTCAGCGATGGCGGGGTGTTGGATGTCGAAGGGGACGGGGCTATTGATGGAGCCGAAGATGTGACCATCCCTTACGCTCAAGGTGCCTCAGCCCCTTCGCCCTCTACCTCCCACTGCGTCGGGCTGGCGTTGGTGCGTGGAGTGTCATCTGTCGAAACGTCTGGGGTCTCTCAGACGACTCCACCGACGCTGCAGCTGCTCAGCCCTGTCCCGCCCGCCTTACTCGCTTCCACGCGCGTCCTCGTAAAGGGCACCCTCGAGCTCCCTATCTGGGGCATGTTGGACTGGATGGATGAGGAGCGGGTAGCGGGCGTCGAGCGCGAGCGGGTGCCGTATCTGCAGTGGGGGAAGGGCGATGGGATCGGGGCTGAAAGGAGGAGGGTGAGAAGGAATTTGATGCGGAAGGCGCAAGGGTAGGGGTGAGCGTTGGATTTAATGGTATGGCTAAGGAGGTATGTATGCATCAAATTGCGGTTTGAAAGCAAGCTCATGTCATATTTCCAGATTATGTGTCTGCTATGTACAGGTTCCGTACACAGATATTGTGTATCACGCGTGACACTCCTTCACGAACTCGAGCAAGGCCTTGTTCGTCTCTTCGGGACGCTCGTAGAACACAGAATGTCCGGCGTTGTCGATCGCGACGACCTTGATGTCCTTGAAATGCGGTCGAAGCTCTGCAAGAAGGATCAACTATCGGACACACTGTAAGTAGCCCTGTTCACTGCCACTCACCCTCGACCACCACCATCCCGTTCGGGTGATGCATATCCTGCTTGCCATACATGTACATCACCTTCAATCCCGCCTTTCCCGCCTCCAAGAACTTCGTCCCGTCCTGCTTCCGATAGATAACCAGCTCACCCGTCTCGGGCGGCATAAGCAGGATGCTGCCCATCCACGCGAGGCTCGTTGCGAACGGCACCTTCTCAACATCGTAGAAGAGCGCCTGCCTGAATATGCGCGACCCCTCGCGTGATGTCTTCACGTCGGATTTCTCCAAAACACGCGGGACATTCTCGAGGAGTTGCGGGGAAGCGACCTTTGGGAAGAGGTCAAGGAAGGGGACGGCGGCGATGAGGATGACACCGCCCAGAACGTCGGCGCCGAGGTGATGGCAGATGTCGGAGACGATGGTACCGCCGAGGGACCTGTGGTGGATGACATTATACCAGAACAGGTGAGAAGGAGGAATAGACTTACCAGCCTCCGAAGACGGGCTTTTTGAGCTTGTATTCCTTGCAAACTATCAAGGAGTCAGCAAGTCTGTGGATGGATGCAGTAGTCTGTCTTGCCTGCAGCGAAGTCGTCTGCATAGAGTTTAGACTCGTGTTCTTCCGGAGTCTCAGGCATGGAGCTTCGGCCTGTTCGTTCCTTGTCAGTCGCTCGTATGACGACAAGTATAATGAACGAACCATGACCCCGCGAGTCGTACAGGACCTGTCGTAGCGACTGGTTAGTTGAAGGCATACGAAGTCACGCTGGTCGGAGGGCTTACAAGAAACAGGTCCTTCTGCAACTCGAGCTGCTTCTCAAACACGATCGAGTGCAGCGAGTAGCCAGCAACTAGGATAAGAGCAGGCTTGGATGGGTCACCATACGCTTCGGTGTAGATTTGCGCGCCATCCGAGGAGGTCACGTATCTGGAGACCATTGTGAGATTTTTTCGAGGGATCGAGGACAAGGGTAGAGTCAACGAGACTGAACACAGGCCGTTACACTTGCCCACTGGGTATATATATATCGCAGAGTATGAGAGAAGACCTATTGACATACTCATGATGTAGCTCCGTAGACTGCCCTCAACTCGTACCTATTGATGGAGAAATGCAAAGACCGCTGGGATCGGGACTGCAGATGCAGATATCATGCGGGGACGGTCGCAATATCCGTAAGTTTCGGAGATTCGAATATTGCTTACGGTGGCCTTCATTATACAGTGCACTCATCTCTATGACGCGAGTATCCAACGCTGCTTGTCACGCAGTCCCCCGAGTCGGGCGCGGCGCGAGATATATGCTCAGAGGAGACGCTGCCTAACGCATACCATGTACGTATACGGCACGATGCTTCTAGGGACATGAGTGTTGTGCTCATGTATTGGCGTGACAAGAGTCGCGGAGGGGAGAGAGAAAAGAGGTCAGAAGAGAACGATCGACTTTATGGCCGGACCTTGCCGGGATAACCGCGTGCAGCTACATTGCGGCAAATTCCGGGTCTGTCTTGCCGCATTCCCCATCTTCCGGACTACGCGTGCGCGTGAAGAAGAACTGGCCAATCAGCACATACTTCGCGCCAGTGTTAAAGAGTTTACGAAGCGGGGGAATGGCGACGATGGCCGCCATGTCAAGCGAAAGGGATAGGGAGAAAGTCTTAGGCCCGGGGCGAGATGCGAGGTTGAAAAGGTGTGTGCGGTATAAAGGGTCTGCAAGCGCAGGCTCCCATCAATCATGTCCCCTAGTTTGTGTATGTATGCTACAGTTGTTGTATAGAGCCTTCGGTCAGTCACGCATTGCACTCCTTGACGAACTCGAGGAAGGCCCTGTTCGTCTGCTCGGGCTGCTCATAGAAGACTGAGTGACCCGCCTTGTCGATCGCGACGACCTTGATGTTCTTGTAGTGAGGCTGAAGGTCTGCAATAACCATCAGCAATGCGTGCCCAATTTCGTCTAAGCCGCTGCCACTCACGCTCAACGACAGCCATGCCGCTCGTGCGCTGCACATCCTGCTCGCCGTGAATGCACATCACCTTGAGCCCCGCCTTCGCCGCCTCCAGGAACTTCGTCCCGTCCTGCTTGCGCGTAATCACGAGCTCGCTCGTCGCGGGAGGCATGAGCAAGATGCTACCCATCCACGCAAGGCGGGTCGCGAATGGCACCTTCTCCTCGTCGTAGAAAAGCGTCTTGCCGAAGGCGCGGGACGCCTCGCGCGACTTCTTCACGTCGCTCTTCTCCATGATTCCCGGGACGAGGCCAAGGATCTCTGGGGAGACAATCTTGGGGAGCAAGTCAAGGAAGGGGACGGCAGCGATGAGGATGACACCACCGAGGGCGTCGGCGCCAAGGTGTTGGCAAACATCGGCAACAATGGTGCCGGCGAGGGACCTAAAGACAAGTGATGAATGGACGAAGCGGAAAGGCGAGGGTGGAAGTGCCTACCAGCCTCCGAAGACGGGCTTCTTGAGCTTGTACTCCTTGACGACTTCGAACAAGTCAGTGATCGCGTGGAAGTCACGCTGTGGTCGTGCATACCTGCCGCAAAGTCATCCGCGTAGAGCTTGGACTCGTGCCCCTCAGGGGTCTCAGGCATCGCGCTTCGGCCTATAGAGTTCCCGTTAGCCACTGATATGACGCCAATGCACCAATTGAGATAGTTACTAACCGTGGCCCCGCATATCGTACAAGACCTGACATGCTTTCAGTCAGTATTCAGCCAACGGAGTTGCGTTCGTTGCAGAACTCACGAGGTACAGGTCCTTCGACAGCTCGATCTGCTTCTCAAAAGCGATCGTGTTCATCGTATACCCCGCGACAAGGATAAGCGCGGGCTTAGACGGGTCTCCGTACGCCTCGGTGTAGATCTGTGCGCCATCGGAGGAGGTAACGTACTTGGAGATCATCGTAAAACGCAGAGAGAAAGCTGGGGAGAAGACGAAAGAGATGAGGGGACGGAACACAGGAAGGCGCGCCTATCCATCGCTTCCCACCTACCCTCTTTTATACCCCATTGCAACGTGTACGGAGGCCTATCGGCAGCCTTGATGCGCGAGTTCTGGACAATTTGGCCATCGACAACGCGTGTGCCTCTCGAGTCAAGCGGCTGTCGCAGGGCCGGCGCACATATGTAAGGCGAACTTGGATTTGTATGGCGAAGACGGCCCTACGTCGACTTGAGCGCTTCGGGCTGCACACATTGATCAGGAAGACCGCTGCGAGTCGGATCGTCACTTGCAGGAATCATCCGGCGATGGGAGCTATGTCCGTGACATGCCAATCGATTTAGACGCGTGTATCTCATTTGGGGCCACGAAGTCCTGCGAAGTGCTGGGCCCTGCAGAAAAGCTGTAAATAAGAGCCTGTATGGCACTGCAAGGATCCCGGCTAAGGGGTTGGTGAGGCCGAAGTTCAACTCGGCTAAGCGCCGGGGCACTGACGCACGGTCACGTGAATCCAGCCTGTTTTTCGAACAGATGAAACTTTCCTTATCGACATGTAGCAACGGCGCGCAGCAAGCTCTGGACCGCATAAATTCAGTCGCGCTATCACCAACCTCGTCTCGGAAGCATCAATCCGATTCCGACAAAGCAAATGACTAGACGTATGAAGAACGATGAAATAAACCCGAACTAAACAAGCGCCTATCGCGCGAACCTACAGAACGTGTAAGCGTGAGCGAAGAGGTGAAGTTAGGGGAGAAACAGACGCACCCATTATATACTTGATCATGACCTTTCTTACTGTAGTCGTCGAGGCCGAGGCCGTCTTCTACCGAACGATTTGGCGCGCCCTTGACCTGGTCGCGCACCGCCTCGTCCTCCACCCAGACTGTCGTGGAAATATCGACGTTGATGGGACGGCGTCCAGCAGAGGCGAGCTCGAAGTTGGACGCGGCGGTCCCACCACTGGTGTGGATGTTGCCGCCGCTGTCGTCTCCGCCGCGGAGGCGATAGAAGAATCCCATGATCACGCTGAGGCTCGCGACGACCATACTGACATTCGTCTGCGAAGAGCCTGTCAGATATGCGCAGCCGCTGATGCGGATGCGCTCACCTCAAACATGGCTGAAAAGAACTCATCCAAGCCCTTGTTGACCCAGATACAGTAGGCGTGGGCGAGAGACACCTGTATGGATTTCAGCATTGTCGATCCTTAGATAGCACGAGAGGCACATACCAGACTCGTCAGGATGCAGGAGGCAAAAACGGTAATCAAGCGCATACGCTGACCCCTTGGCAACTTCGCCTGCCACAGCATGGCCACGGGGCCTACACTGAGCGCTACATCTGCTACGATATCGGCTAAACGGTGCGGTCAGGCTACTGCGCACAGGCGAAGGGATGGAGAACTCACTAATGAGCTGAGCCGCTGCGACTCTGCGTCCAAGCGAGCACTGATGTGTGGTGTCCTTCCAGGTTGGGTCCGACTCGCAATGGACCATGTACTGAATGAAGAGGAATATCCACATTCCGGCAAAGGCGACGGCCATGAGACGGAAGTACTTCATCCACCAGGATGGGCATATTCGCATGATGGTGCCAAGGATGGAAAAGCGTGCACACCAGATCGTGCCGTAGAATCCGTGACCGGAGCTGTGAGAGTGCTTCAGAGACTGCACAGAATACCGAAAGATCGCAATGCACGTACAAGTAATAGCCCGTAATCATGGTCATTCTACCCATCCAGGCTGTACAAGCAAAGTCAATGCGTGTGCTGGGTCCCCAGGATTGTGCCTCACGTTTTGGTGTCAGAATGATACAAGCGCCCGTCAGAAGGATGGACGCCGAGACGAGAGACATGGCGGCCCAGAAGTCATCCCAGCCCAACTTCTTGTCGTGAATGCGGATTCCGAGACGGAATATGGTGACCGCCATGCCGATCGTGGTCAGCGCAATGGCCGTATCTGCGTAGCCGTTCAGTCCAGTGTTTCGCGTCAGAAGACCGTTTGGGACGCACCAGCAGCTTGCACGGGAGTGATTGAGATGGGCATCCTGGACGGACACTCCCAACGCGCAGCGTCCGAGCGATGTGGTGCAGAGCAAAGAGAGAAGGAGAGATGGGAAGGAGAGGGGGGAGTCCAGCTGGCCTCTCTAGGCTAGATACGACCTGGATGAGAGCAAGACAAAAACCTGCGCATGCATGATGGGAGTCCAGACGCGGGTGGTTGGTTGCAGGGTGAGGCTAGGATCGCGATCTCCTGCACGCTCATCAATCACAATTTACAAACGCGTGCCGGCCGGTGCAGGGACCTGGGTCAACAATAATCCCAAGACGTTCCCACCATGATCTCCGCCTGAGAGCTCGGTCCTTGGCGCTGAACGGAGAATATAGTGAAAGAAGGATGACCATAAATGGTTGAATAGTAAGAGCCACCGGCACTCCGAGGTCCCTGCTCGCAGACGAGCAGTGGGTCGTCTACTCGTGGCCGGTCTTCTACCAAGTGGACAGTTCGCACAGTCCGGAGCGCGCGCGCGAGTGATCGGTGTCTGTCGACCGTATTCCCATTTGGCATGACTTATTCGTCATCCCATAACGATCGCAGCACAGTCGCCAAGCTCTGTCGAACTTATCTTCCCCCATCAGCCCACCAGGCCGAAACGCCGTTTATCCCTTGATGAGGGTTGTTGTCTTCGAGGCGTTCGAGGTGTGGCGTGGGATTTTGGTTTTTGCCCCCGGACCGTGGGGTAGTTACGGAATCTTCACGGAACGGAAGCGGAACTATTTCCTCAGCATACCCTTGTTCGCGTTCTGGTCTTTGTCTACTCGGATTTGTGGTCAGAGAAGACGCGTAGGAGTTGTACTAGACTGCGTAGTCGTACGCTGACCGGTGGCCGAGGCGCCCTGTCAGAAGGGGCGCACGTAAAGCTCATACCAAGCGAACCTGCAGGAGGATACAGACATTGAGTAAGGATCTAAATCTGGCGAAGACAAGATACTTCCGGTGAGAGGTAGCAAACAGTATGCCGTGTATTGGTAGGTGGAAAGGTAGTAACGAAGTGTGTAAGTACAAAATCCACGCGCCATGGCCGGTTAGAAAGGGTGTAGAAATTGCCCAAATGCAGGAATGGGTAAGTAAGAAGTACAAAGTAGTATACACGTTATTTTAGTCCATAATGTTCGTAGGAAGGTAGCTGACGACACAGAATCCACCGATGGGCTGGAAGCCCGCTTTGCAGGAGATGATACGGCAAGCACCGTCGTCGCACGACACCTTCTCAACGTTCGCGATCTGCGTGCAGTCCACGCCCTGGTCGAAGCCTCGTCGGCTGCTCTGGAGAGTGAGCGGGCTCGGGGTCATGCATCCGCCGCCTGTAATTCTTGTCAATTTTATCTCAACATGCCCGAGGAAATCGACTCACAAGACTCGATGTTCTTCTCTGTATTGACACACTCCGACGCCCATCGCACGCCGCTAATGCCGCAGAGCTCCTCCCCCTCTTCGCAGGACGGCGACACCTTCCGCTTCCGCTGGCGCGGCTTCACCGAGCGCTTGCGGGTGCCGCCCGGTGCGGCCGACGGACAGGTCGTCCCCTCAGGGAAGCACTGACCATTACACGTCACCTGCGGCGCTGGGCATTCGCACTGCAGCGTCGCCGCGTTGAAGACGAGGGCCGGGTCCGTGCAGACGTTGCATGTCGTGCCATCCGCGCTCACCTCCACGCCATCCGGGCAGGTGAAGGCACACGCGTCGTCTGGAGAGCACACGGGGGTCGAGTTGTCGGGGTAGTTGCACACCGTGCCGTCGTTCGTAATCTGCAAGAGAGTTAGCGAACGCGAGGGAGGAGGCAGCAGATGAGACTAGCCAATGCATCGAGCGACGCCGCGTCCGTGACGCCCAAGTTCGCGAGCACGTCCGCGGGCGCACGGTTAAGGAAGGCGGTCTCGGCGTCCGCGGTGGCGCAGACACAGTCGGTGTAGGCCACGCCATTGTTGTCGGTGTTGATGGCAAGACACGTCTGCGAGGCCACAGGCGCACGCTTGTAGCGGAACTGGCGCGCCGCGATGATATCCCGCCCGAGCTTGCCGCCCAGCACCGAGGGTGCGGTGAACAGCACAGCGAGGACAATCAGGGAGCTCGAGGGCATCATGATTGATGATGGGTCGAGTTCGAGTACGCTGCAAGAGTCGTGAAAGTGGGAAAGATGACGGAAAGACGTGGGGCGCTGGCTGGTGAGCCTTTCCCAGAGTACTAGCTTTTATACCGTGTTCACCAAGGCGTCGGCTGTCATTGACGACTCGTTCGAACGACACCAGTCGTCACTCTGCGCACCACAGGGTGCGCACCTAGTACGCGCTTGACCTTGGGCGCATCGTACCTAACTCAACTTGCAGGGTCAGGCGGGAGAGGTTCCAAAGCGGGAGTGTCTGGAGGCAAATATTTGTCTAGGAATCCTTCGGCCCCGTCGACCGTTCTTCTAGTCACGAGGTGGACGCCTGGAAGGCTTCGATTAGTGGCGTGCTAGTAGGCGTCAGTACAAGGCGCATACGAGAAAGGCTCACCTGAGAGAAGAAGAAAAATACAGAACAAAGACGAGAGCCAAAATGGAAAATTTTTGAGTTCAGGGAAAAGCGCATGAAAGTCACACTTTTCCCCGTCGCCATAATGCCCCGTTCAATCGATAGAGCTACACTCACTCCACCTGGTTCCTGAGCTCGTCTAAGGTCCGGCAATATTCAAGGAACCCGCTGCACCTCCAGCCTGCGGCTGTGTACGAGACTATACCAGCGGCCCCCACAAGCGCAAGCAACTTGACGCGCCCGTCAATAATTGAGAATGACCCGGTGGGGCTTGTCATGGCACGCAGGTACTCGTGCCAACACGGGTCTTGGCAAAAGCAAGCGCAGAAGAGGGGGCCAACCCCAGCGCGCTAATGGCGAAGGGTCCAGAGACAGAGCAGCGAGGAGCCCAAAAAGGAAATGACGGCGCGTGTTTGGTTGTGTTGGGTCTTGGCCAAGAGCTGCCAAGGTCAGCCGGGCGTTGCCGATGGTCAAGTGACGAGCGGTTCGACTTTGACATGATGTGACCATGGCCGGGACGACGTTGCAGGCAGAATTGTGACGACGCAGCGAGCACATTGACGGAGCGGAGGAGCGTCACATATACATAATATCCATGCCAGCCATGCACTCATCTAGAAAGCCATTGCCTCCCTGTAGCGCTTGATCTCCATCCTGCGGCTCTCGAAGACGCGCTTCGCCTCCGCTCCCCAGAGGTCTTCGGGAGTGTGCGTCTTCTCTGACGACAAGCACTGCTTCGTGTGCTTGTCCGCATCGCTCTGCTCCATGACGACGCAGTTCTCAAGGGACAGCTACGAAGAGAGTGAGCGTCATCGACAGCGAGCAACGTCCACTCGAATGAGCCCTCACCGGTCGATCCGGATCCCATCGCACCAGCGTCGGCTTCGAAGGCACGTCGTGAGGCGGGACAATTGAGCGTCCGCGGTGCAGGTCTTCCAGAATAAACGACACATCTTCTTCGTCAATAGGCAGACGGCTGAATAGCGATTAGCATGCAGCATCTGCCCAATCACAGCGTTCAGTAGCTCACTTGATGTCCACGCCCGTGACCTTCCTCTCCCGGTTCAGCAGGTCACGCAACAGTCGGTCATACAGCTTCCGACGGTTCTTGATAGGAAGGGGGTTCGGAATAGGCTGCCCTGCGACGTCACAAAGAATGTATGTCGCGGCATGCAGACCAAAGATTGAGGGGAGGGGGCCTGAAGAAGGAGTGAGATGAGTTGTCTTACTCGTGGGGCCGAATTGTAGGCGTGCGCGGGACAAGGTAAAGTAGCGCACCTATGACAGGCAGGATCCGTACTCTGAAGTCATCGAATACGCCGAGCTCCTTGACGGCGCCCTTCTGGAACTCTTCTTCGGGAAGGGGAAGGAGCTTGACTTCGCTTGGAGGTTCGGTCGAGTAGACGACGGGGATGCCGGATGTTACACCCTCGAGTCGTAATCGGCGACGAACGGCGCGTGCCTATAGTAACACGGATTCAGTGGATGGAGGGGAAGCATGGGTCTTCGCACACACCAAAGGATCGTACACCGTGCTAGATATATCACTGATTTGGATTCGCGTGGGGTCGGACTTCGCTCCAGCGCCCATCGACGAGAAGACCTGCAAGCAGTAAGGTCAGCATGTGTACAAGCACAGAGACATTGACGCACTTTGATCCCCTTGTCATGGCAGTATTTCAGCAAGTCCACCTTCGTCGTGATGTTGTCAATGCAGTCTGGAAATGCGTGGATGGCAGATTGAACGCGTAAGAGTGATCGGTCTCACCTACGACCCAGTCCACGCCCTCGAGGAGATCCCCGCCATTGTCCTTCCGCCACAGCTCAATGCGCGCGTCCACGTCCACCCAGCGCGAGATGTTCTTGAGGTTGCGCTCGATGCAGACAACCTTGGGCGTCCCGACATCGTTCAACCCCGCGCACGCGTGCCGGTTGAGCGACGAGAGCGTCACGTAGTCAAAGTCCACCAGGCGGATCTTCGACACGCCTCTGCAAAGAACCTATTAGCATTCGCACAGACCACACCAAACGCTGCCCACACACGATCGCACAAGCATGACAGCTGCCCAGCTCCCCACGCCGCCGCAGCCAATGACAGCAACGGACGCGCCGCGCACCTTCGCCATCCCCTCCTCGCCGAAAAACGCGTAGTTGCGCGCAAGCTGCTCGCGGATGAGGTCCTCGTCGTAGCCCTGCGAGTGAGAGGGGGGCGAATAGGCATGCAGGCTTGGGCTCTTGCTTCCTGTCTCGCTCTCGCCACGGCTGATCGAGCGCAAAATGTCGGCGTCGAGGCTGCGACGCCTGACGCGCCTGGAGTACGCGCGCCAAGCGCTCATGGCGCCTGCCGTAGTAAGCGACGCCAAGACCGCGGCAGAGACTAGTTGTGTACGATGAGAGGAAAGATCCATTCTGGCAGTACGCAAGGAAGGCAAACGCAGACGAGCAGACATGACCCGGCGCCTAATTGCTCTCTTCCGGATTGGGATGTCGTGATATTCCGAATTTCGGCATCTGCCGAGTCACGCTCGTGGCTGGCTCGTGGACGGCCGTACACTCTTGACCCGAACTTCCAACATACATCCATCGAGCCTTGAACAAGTACCTTCGTTGTCCCTCGAGCATGCGCCAAGAGAAGCGTGATATGAGGCATTTTGCCAAGCGATACGCTGTATGGGCGAAGGTGCCTAGATACGGGACGCCAGCACATAGTGACTTCTGGTGCTGGGTGCGAACCGTATGGACCACCAGCCCGCCGGCACTCAATCTACCCTTGTCCAAACGTTGCCCTAGGGCAGGGCGGGACTCGATACTACTGATCTACTGCCGTTGGGGCTCGGGAGGAGGAGGGCAAGTGGCAAGGAATATCCGGATGACAGAGGGGCGGAATCGCGTAGCGTAGAGGGGACGTCTCTGTCGCTGTCAGAAGGGCAGTCGATTGACCCAGTGCGGACACCGTGTCGACCGGTGATCATACTCTATCATTGATCTGACCTCAGCCAGCTCACAAGAATAGTGAAAGGACTCAGTTATCAGAGCTCTCACGACGTCTCTTGACGACGTGTAGCATATCACTGCTCACATAGTTCGTCATGGTATACCTCTCGCCATGGACGCTGCGCTTGAGAAGCTTGAAGTTGTACGGTATCAGTAGCTAAGTACATCGGTCTCCCATGCCTCTGCGGCAAACATGCTATATACCACATTTATCAGCGCTTTTCCACCCATCTGCTCACCTTATCATTCTAGGAAGCAGCCAGCTCACCAGTTCGTACCACATGCTCCGGCCCGTCAACGCCTCTTCCCTTCACAATCCCATGTCTCAGCACACCTCTTCACTGTCAGTCATCGAGCGCCAGCGAATCTGAGAGCCCGTGGACGACATTGCTGATCAATTTCCAGATTACAGCTGGCCAAATGCATGGAGCGAACGTCCTCGACCGCGACCCTCGCACGCAAACACCGTGACCCGGAGTCGTCAGCCACATTCTGCTTGCGCCATTCGGAATGACAGCCACTGCTGAGGGCCCCATCGCCGCGCTGGGCGTTCTTATAAGAGTCCTGCACGCGCCATTAGCTCTCACCAGCCTGCGGGATCTGCTCCACTGTGCTCCCTCCTATTCCTGGCCTGCGACATGATCTCCACATTCGGTATCGGCCTCCTGCTCTTTGGCGGTGCCCTCGCGGCACCTGCGGCTACCTCTGAGGCTAGCGCGTCTGCGTCGGTATCGCTAGCAGGAGGACCGGCGGCGTCTTTGAGTGCATTGTCCCCCGCGTTCGTGGCGGCACCATCGACATCGGCAGCTTCGTCCTCGGCCGTATATTCAGGCAGTGTGGGTAGTGCGTATAGCGTCACGCCAGTCAGCGCAACCGTGGATCCCGTAGCTACGGCTGCGAATGGTGTGGCGTGGGACCCGTTAGGCGATTCCACTGACGAGGCGCAACCGGTTAGAGGAGGGATAGGAGGTACGTTTTCGCTCGCGCGCGCATGGCTCACAAACCTAATGCTGATCATATACCAGCTCCTTTCGCCGGGCCATCGAATGAACTGCTTGACCACCAGAACCCGGACTTCCTCGGTTCGTCGTAGCCAAGTTCATGTTTTTCAGTAATTCATGTGCCCAACTCAGCTCCGCCTTCTACCGATTTTGGCAATGTCGGAGCGGCCAAGTGGTCGTTGTCTTTGAGCCCGATGCGCCTACTGTCCGGCGGATGGGTGCGGCAAGCCGACGAGACCGTCATGCCTCTTGCGGATGGTGAGCGCCATTTATGCTCCCTTGCGTCGCGCTCTCAGGCTCACCATATCGCTAGAAATGGCCGGAGCTATCAGTACGTTGATTTGGCTTCTTCCAGACATACGCACGATATTCATGGCGACGCAGTCCACTTGGAACCTGGCGCCATTCGCGAGCTGCACTGGCATACTATCGCGGAATGGGTCTATCTCATCAGCGTGAGGCCGTTACCATACGCAGTCCCAAGACAGGCGCTCATTCCTCCTTAGGGCACGACACAGGTCTCGGCCGTGGACCAGCAAGGCAGAAGCACATTCGCGACGGCGGTCACTCGGACAATGCCGCCCTCCTTGCCCAAAACTCATACTTTTTCAGAATACCGGCGATTTATGGTACTTCCCTCCCGGCGTCGGTAAGTCCAATTCACGTCCAGAAGATCGAGTCCTTGAGCTCACGCTCCCTCAGGCCACCACCTCCAAGCGACGTACGTGCTGATAGAACTCTCTTGCTTCATTGCTCATCATGCCCAGAGGCGACGCACCCGCCGAGTTCTTGCTGATCTTCAAGACTGGCCTTTTCGATGCCGCTAAGACCTTCCTGGTCACCGACTGTGAGCTGAGGGCACCTATTCTCAACATGGTATTGACGTTATCGACCAGGGCTGTCTCACGTACCGTTCTCCGTCATCCAGAAGAACTTCGGCGTCACAGGAACGGACAAGTTTTCCAGCATTCCATCAAAGCAGCTGTACATCTTCCCTGGCGAAGTCAGTGTTACTTTATCAAGTGTTCTCGACCGTCTTTGACTCATCCCGAATTAGGCCCCCGTGGAGCCTCCCGTCGCACCTATGAACCCACAAGGGGAGATCCCGGACCCATTCGTGTACCCCTGGTCGCAGGACCCAGTTCAGGAGTTCGCGGGCGGCAAAGTTCGCACAGTCGACTCCTCTACTTTCAAGATCTCTACGGCCTTCTCTGCCGCCGAGGTCACCTTGGAGCCGGGTGCAATGCGGTGCGTCTATCTTGAAACCCTGCCGAAGAGAACTCTAATGAGGCGTGCAGTGAGCTGCACTGGCACACGACGGCCGACGAGTGGAGCTTCTTCCTGTGAGTTCATCATTTGTTGAGACCTGATTTCGAGTGCTAAAAGGTCCTGCAGAGAGGGCGACTGCCGCTTCTCGGTCTTCACAGAGACCGCAGCGCGCACATACGACATGTCACCTGGCGATATTGGTTACGTGCCCGTCAGCTCTGGCCACTACGTCGAAAACATCGGCAATACGACCGCGCGCTTCCTCGAGATCACCGACTCATGTTTGTCATTCCTCTTTTCACACTGAGCATCACCGCTCACGCCGTCCCCCAGCCGAATTCGAGGACATTAGCCTCACGCAGTGGCTCGCCCTTACGCCGCCGGAAATCGTCAAGGCGCACTTCGGTGTCGACGACGAGACCGTCGCGGCTCTTTCGAAGACGAAGAACAGAATCGTGCCGGGCAGCCGCTGATCAGCGATACACAATCAAAGAAGGTGTGCTCATGTTGCCCGTAGGGCCTCAAGTTGCATGTGTCCAACTGTATGGCCATGAATCTTAGACGACAGCAATGAATTAGACTATTTTCTGCTTATAAACTATCGACATGCTACACCTCACGCCGACCAGTTTTCTCGGAAGACCTGCGCCATCCGACGGATTCCTTCATCCATCTCCTCCTGTGGCGTCGACGAATATGTGAGCCTGAAGAAGGCATGCCCCGGTACGTTCGCCATCGCAGATCTCCCCTCCCCTTGCCACGGTTTGTTATACGTCCCGGGCGCGAGCAATATCCGCGCGTCGAGCAGCTTCCGCCAGAATGCAGTCGCCCACACCTCTTCACCCGGCAAGCCCAGGGTATCGGGGGCGCTTATCCTATCCCATGCAGGGTGCGCGCGCAAGTCGACATCGATCCAGAGGAACATCCCCGAGCTTGGCGGCACGAAGCGGAAGAGGCGCTGAGTGCGCTGCGTCCCCTTTTGATATGCTTGAACGCCCGCTGAGCTCACCTCGTCCCAGTCTACATCGAAGTGCACAGCGAGACTATCACACTGAGATATGCGTCAGAAGAAGGTTTCTACAGGCGAGATCGCAGCACGTACCATCCAGTTCCGCCTCACAGTATACGTTTCGCTGATACCGGCAAGCCAGCGAACATATCCATCCTGCCCCCACGTATGCACAAGTTCGCAAAATACGGCCTGACTCCAGCCAGACGCCGTCTGCGTCAGCACCTCCGTCGCGCGTCCCAAGCGCTCGTGGAAGAAGGGGTTGGAGATGATGAATCCCAGTCGAAAGCCCGGCGCGAGCGTCTTGCTGACCGTCTCGAGCCTGATGACACGCCCCTCGCGGTCGAAGTGCAGAAAGGTGGGGACGAGGCCGGCCAGGAAAGCGTCGGGGGTGGGGCCCTCGAGGGGTAGGGCACGGTCGCCGCCAGGCTGGTATTGGGGTAGCTGCAAGAAGTAGTACGGATCGTCTTCGACAATGATGATGTCGTACTTCACGCAGATCTCGTATATCTCTTGTTTGCGGTCTGCAGCGAGCGTTGATCCTGTCTGAATAGTCGTTGTGAGTGTTCCGAATACACGACATAGGACAAACACTGACCGGGTTATGCCCCACCGGAACGCAGTAAAGCGTCTTTGGTTTGCGCTCGTTCGGGCGTCTGGCCTCCCAGTTGTCTAGCGTACGAGCAAGAGCCTCGGGAACCAAGCCGTACATGTCGATGTCGATAGGCACTGCGGTGACTCCCATCGGTACCCAAAGCGCCTGGCTCGAGGGAAACGTGTGTGTCTCAACGAGGATGGTGTCACCCTCGTCAAGCAACATGCCAGCGACCTTCGCCCAGCCATCCGTGCTTCCGCCGTCCATGAGCAACTGCCAGCCTGCATAGCCTGGCGCATACACGCGCTCGACGAATGCATGCATCCAGTCCATGATAGGCTTGATGCCGTTGAAGGGACCTGAAAGATGCGTGAGTCCAAAAAGAACCACTGGACACCCGCCAAAGGGCCTACCATACTGCAGCGTGGTTCGAAGGTCTGTGCTATGGCTAGATGGCTGCTTTTCTACGCAGACGTCCACCTTCGCAATCTCTGACGGATTCATCGCCATGCGCGTCGCGGAGTCGTACGTAGACACGTGCACGGAATCGAAGGGGAACAAGCTGGAATGAGGAAGACCTGGTGGATTATGGCAGGGTAATCAGAAAATGATTGAGTGACTGTCTTGTACGCCTGCTCACCTCCCGCCAGACTGATCATTCCATCCAGGCTGATGAATTGCAAGATATCCTTGAGGGGACTGGGTACGCGCCGACGCGACAAGCGATTGATGTGCCGGTCGAAGTGTGCATACTGGGCGCGAAGCTCATCGTCCGCGTCCACCACCGTCGCCGTTGATGATGCTGGTTTGACCGTTTGCGCGTCTGCCATAGTAGGGGAGGTTACGAGCTCTGAGGGTCTGATGCTCTCGACAGGACGAAGCTACCTTTATGTGCCCCAGCCTTCGAGCGCTCGAACGCGGCATGCGTAATTCGCCCCACATCCGAGTCGCATACAAAACTGCGGATAGGGCTCAAGATACTCCTGACATTCAGTGTGCTTACTGGGCTATGCGGCGTCTTGGTAACATCCCCCGCGTCGGGCGTAGGAGAGGCGGGATGCTCGAGCCGCTCGAGCATGGGATCTTCACGATGGAGGTTGATGCGAGGACACCGGCGATCTTCTATAGATTTGAGTGAGTCAATTGACGAAAAGAAGGTCTTATGACCCTCTCAAAACCGTAACATACCTTGACCGTCATGAAATTGCCATCGAGCTACCCAAGAGCTACCGCTCACAGACAAGTCCGGGAGGGTCGTATTGCATGGCCGGCATGGAACTCCCCACACACGTCTGAGTCCCAATTGCTCTTCATTCCGAATGCTATAGTACATGGTGATTGCGTGTGTTCATATCGAAGATCTCTTGCGTGTCCAACATTATGATTCAGGCGCCGACCTTCGCCCGACTGCCGACGGTCGATATGTCGACTGACAGAATATCCTGGAGGGAAGAACCTCATCAGCGGTCCGCTCTGAAGGGACGCGATAGCAGTTGCTCACCTTTCCGGCCTTGATCTCCTCTGGCGTCGGCATGAGCTCAAGTCGCAACAGCTCCGAGCAATGCGAGACGACAGGGTCGGTCTTCATGCTCGCGACTGCGACGATCTTGCCGCCCTTGACGTAGTAGGCGACGAACTGAGAGCATGATCAGCTCCGCTCGTTGAACTGGCTGATACCATTGCACAAAACTCACCTTCGACGACGGGTCACCCTGCACGATGACCTCTTCGAATTTGGCACCGAGGCCGCAATAACGGACACCCTCTGGAGGTTGCCTTTAGTGAGGCGTCACCAACGCATTTTAAGGGTTGAACTCACGGCCACTCCAAAACACCGGCACCTTCTCGAATGGCTGCGGGCTCCCCGCAATAGTCTTTCCCACCGCCCGCCCATGGTTCCCCGCCACATTCCAGTGCTCAATCCGGCGGTACTCCCCCTTGTATGGGTACATCGCAATGTCCCCGATCGCATACACCTCCTCGAGGCCCAGAACCTTCAGGTACTCGTCCACCTTCACGCAGCCATCCTCCTCCAGCGGCACGTTACTCTTCTTCAGGATCTCCGTCGCGGGCGCCACGCCCACGGCCATGAGAACGAAGTCCGCGGGGAAGCACTCGCCGCTCTTGAGTACGACAGCGCTGGCCTTGCCATCGGTGGTCTCGATCTTGGCGATGTCGGCCTGCATATGGAACTTGGCGCCCTGGCCCTCGTAGTACTGGGGAGGTGGTTAGCATAGAGGGGTGGAATATGTCCTGTTATATGCCCACCTTCTTCAGTCCCGCACCGACCTCCTTGCCCAGGACCGCCTGAAAGGGTACTTCCTCCGTGCTGATCACGTCGATGGAGGCAAGCTTGCGCTTCGCGACCGCGCCGACAACCTCCATGCCGATGAAGGAAGAGCCAATGACGACCATTTTCTTGCCTTCTTGCGCGGCTGAAAGGAATGAGATATCAGCTGCTGTACGACTCCAACGTCGTGTGTACCTCGAACGATACTCACCCGCGTCAATCTTCTTCGCATCCTCGATGCCTCGCAGGGTGTAGACGTTCTCCGACTTCGCGCCCTCGAGAGGCAGGACTTTCGGCTGCCCGCCGGTTGCAATGATGAGCTTGTCATACTCGATGGTCTCGCCGCCCTCGAGGGTGACGGATTTGTAGGCGAAGTTGATGGATGAAGCGGTCTAAGGGGATATGAGTATGGTGTCAGAGACTAGGACGAGCCTATGGTCACAGTGCCAACGCGGAAGTTGGTGTTGTAGCGGATCTTGAGGTCAGACGCGTTGCGCCACTCAAGTTTGGACGCGTCGGTAATGAGGGCCTTGCTCAGCTTCGTCCTATCGAAATTGTAAGAACAGTCGCTACTTCCAATCCAGTCTTGCTCACCGGTCAATGGGCATATGCGGCTCCTTCGAGATGACGGTGATGGGGTGAGGGTAGCCATGCTGGGAAAACGTCAATGGTCAGTACATGAAGCACGCTAAACTCTGCCTACTCACCTCTCGCAAGCTCTCGATGGCGTGGAATGTCGCACTCCCACCGCCGATGATAACGACGCCCTTCCCCGTCCCTTCCGTGCCGGTGCTCAAAAGCTTTGATGGGCGAGACATCTCGTCCTTGGTCGTCTTCGCAGGGTCGGCGGAGACGTAGATCTTGCCATCCTTGACTTCGGCCTTGAAGGAGTGAATCGCGGTTGGTGCCGGTGCGTCCTCTGTCAGTCAATCAGGTACGTCGAGACAGAAATGAAAAGGGAACAAACCGATGTCGCCAGTGCATATGTTGAAGCAGGCTGATGAAAGATGAGCATGCGAAGCGATGGGACGACGAAGGGCGAGGCGTACCTCCGTGCCAAGGACTATAGATCGTATGTCAGGGTGCATATATGCGCTATCGAGTCGTGACCACATACCATACGACACGACCATCAGACGTGAGGACGCCCTTCGCAAGAGGAGCCCCATAATGAGTACAGAACGCGCTCGTCGCGTGTAGCTTGTCGCCCAGGCGGCTGACGAGGACCTTGCCGCTTTCAAATTCAACCTCTTTCCTGCAGTCAAGAATAAGTCACGACCCTCCGTCCAGGATACTTCACGCACATCTGACCATCCTTCAGGTCGGCATCGTTGAGCACGGCTATGGTCTTGGTAGCCATTGTTCGGGAGTATAGCGGTCCGAGGGCCAGTGAACGTGGAAGACGGAGGAGAGGAAGGAGTCGCATGCTCGGTCAGCCATCTTCTCCTTCTCATATACGCTGGCCTTCCTTGGGGTACACCCTGCTGAACCGGTGACGACGCGCATGACGCCAGCGTCATGTCCGAGAAAAGAACAATGGCAGGCGGGGCCCAATCAGATTCGCCCATTTTGTCGACCGGTCCGACCGCCGTTGTGCCTGTAGATTTACTTCCACTCGCGTGCTTCCGTCTTTCGCGGCTCTCGCAATGATGCGCTTCCCGATGCTGCTACTTGCGAACAGTATCGCAATGCTGACCAGAACATTACATATCCACGACAACGACTTTCACACGGAATACCAGACACCTTCCTATTTCACTAACGCCAGCACAAGATTTCGTAGTCCTCCCTCAACGAATGTTCCTTCCCGAGAAGCGGGAAGTTGGCGCAACCGCTGGGTGTGAGGAGTCAGCTCTCCATCCAAGCTCTGATTTGGAGAGTTGCTCATCAAGTCATACAAGTACGAAGGCAGAATCATGGGAGAGGTGTGGGCAAGTCACCGAAGATGCTACCGGGGCCGAAGATGCGAACTCACAGGTGCTGTCCAGTCTTCCCGGGCACTCTAACATCGTTGACCGTCCCTAGCGCATGGTAAAGCTTGTGGCCGGAAGGCTCGTAGCTGGTGGATGGGAACGTGTGAGCTAGCCAGAGTGATGCACGGCATCAAGCATGCAGAAACAACGGCGGAGGGAACCTAGCGAAGAGGTCGAGCGCAGGGCACGCAGCAACCGTGAAGCGAAGGACGTGCAAAGGACGCTCGGAAAACCAAGAAGCCACCGCTCAGACTCACCCCCCGTCGACCGCTTTCTTCCCCTCTGGCACCCTTCCATTTGACGTCTTCACCCACTCCATCTGCATCGGTAGGAAGGACAGCAGCTCGTATCGGCCAGTATGCAGGAGTTCGGTGCCACCGTATGGCACCGAGGCATATCGGAGAATAAGGATGTCGATGAGAAGGATCTGATCAGTTGGAGGTGGGATCGGAGCGTGCGCCAGCGGGACCGGGATATCTGGGGACGGCGCTGGGACGTGCAGCTACAAGGAAATAAAAGCAGTGAGTCTATTAGAAGGCGATTGGTTGGTAGCTAGGCGATTGAGAAACTTACCATTTGCATCTGTGCCAGTATTTTGCACGGCTGGACGCTGTCTTTCAACAGCGCGCTACCGATGTAGACCGGGCTTCCATCCAGATCGAAGCAGACGGGCGTGCCAAGCTGTGGTGGGTATGACGCTTTGCGGGAGGTGGTAGTATCAGCAAGTGATAGTAGGGTACGAGATAGCGGAAACGGCTTCCGCGCATTGGCAGGTAGCGAAGAAGCGAACGCAGAGACTGTCCCAGGCTGACCTCGAAGGACCCACCGATGCGCACACCATCTATTTTCGCTGGGAAGGCTTGCGTGGACGAGATTGGGATTCGATATCCAGATGTCGGAAGGGATCCAGCATCAGTGGAAGGCGAGGGATCCATGGAGACTTGGATGATTAGCAAGGAGGCTGGGTAATAATTTTGCGAGGTGTTAGAGTGTTAAGAGCAATGCGAAGTCAGGATAGATTAAGTTGTCTGGTCAGGCCAACAAGATGATGTAGGATGCGGTTGAGAAGGGAACTCGCGGATGACGGCAAGCAAGCCTTCGATGCGTCTGGATCAGGTGAGAGTGCGCGGCCTCGTGATGAACAAAAAAGTTCGGAAAGCCGCGCGTGCACCGCAGTAACGCTATTCGTTCTGACTTGCTTGGAATTTGAAGGGATTGGAGGAGCTAACGCGCATCTTGCGAACTGGCGCCCCGACGAAGACGAGTCAGGAAGTCCATGCTTCTGAACTGCTTTGTCTTGGTGAAAGAGCCAGGATTATTCATGACAAGATGCTGTAGCAAGGACCATGGGATATTATCGACAGTTATCATGAGGGAGCGGAGGGAGGGAGGTCTTTCGATGATGATGGCTCTGGTCAAAAGACAACGAATTTCCTCTCGGAGTAAACGGGCGTCGTAGCACGTGTATCGGCTTTTGCCGGTTTGCACGCCGCGCCATGCGTCTCCTTGTCTTCTGCTTCCATGACCTCGACCACGACATTGGGCTCGAGGTCCTCTACCTCGGCCACAGGAGCTAGAAACCCTCGACTCGTCGCTAATGACTCTGTTTTAAGAGCTGACGGTGGCCATATCAAAGCAAGACGTTGATTTCGCCGTTCGCCTGCAGCATTGAGCAAGTACACCTCAGCTGCAGCTCTCCTGTCAGATATTGCTAGGCAATAAGCAGCCCATTTTTGCTTTCATCATGTGTCACCGATGCCCAAACCCTTGCCGACTTGTAGCGAATCCGTGCGTCCTGACCGGGTTCTCTTCATCGTGCGGGTCATGCGCCCTTCATAGCTCGCGGGCTCGGGAGAGATAGTCTTCGCTAAGCCTGATCGCGTCCTCCCCCCAAAAAACCCCGCTCACATTAACAACTCGTCACACTGCGCACCGATCGGCGTTCGCGTTGCTCTGATAACGAAAGACAGCTCTGGAGTGCACTTGGAGGACTGCTTTCCGATGGTGGCGTCTTTGGGTATTTTCATGCTCGACGAGCTGGATCCGAAGTGACTTTGGCACTCATTTCGGCTGAGTGGCGCCCACCATGAAGGCTTGGCTAGATTTGATGGCCACACAGCGGCCGTTCAGATGAAGGTGTGTCGGTCAATAATGTACCGAAGACGTACGGGCTCTTCTGTTTCGCTATCCTCAGAGCTCACGCGTCCTCATACAAGCTTCCTGATAGTATCACGCCTGCCGATGCATTCCGTCGTGCAATAACGTTGATACTTTAGCACGGCCGCGATAGGACATGCGAGCGTAATGGCCGTGAACCACGACTATGAACACGCTTCTCGCCCAGCATGTCAGGCGCCACTCTACCGCACCGAGACCGTGCCGTATCGCTCAACCTACGTTCACCAGCTGGCGGGAATATACTAGTATGTAAGGGCCGCATATATAAGGCTTGAAGGTAGGCCATTCAGCAACCTTTCTACATCCTTAGCCTCCCATCCACTTTCCCCTATCATGTATGTCTACTGTGGCAAGATCACCTGGCTCCAGCAGGCGGAGAACGAGTGTATCACCTTTGTCTTTCCTGCCGGTCTCGCGCTGAAGGATCCCGTCTGCGCGTATTGGCAGTGGTCCGATCAAGCAAAGACGAATAACCATCAGGTGAGCTAAAACATGGTATCTTCCTTCAGCGGAGTTTATCTGACGATTGTGATAGTATGGCACCATCAACACCGTCGACAAAACCGATGTCGCGTACAAGATCAGCTTCGTTTGTACTGATTACCTATTCGACGCCGAGTTCACGTCCAACCTCCGGTCTATGACGATCAAGATGTACACTGCGTCCCAGCCGGTGCCCTCGGTCTCGACATTGACGCTGTATACGACGAGTCTCACTCTCGTTCCATCTACCAAGGTCTATACCGGCAAGTTTAACTGGTGGACCCACGCGACAAACGAAATGATGACGCTGGTACTCCCGAACGGCATCTCTGCTGGCGCGCCCGTGGGTCTCTACTTTCAATTCACGGTTAACTGGAAAAACCTTCCCAAAACACTCTACTGCGTCAACTCGACTTTTCACACCGTCCAAATTTCCGCTGGCCAGATCAAGGCCTCCTTCAACAGCGCCTACTACATGTTCGACGCCATCATCTACCCCGGAACCAAGAACGCCAAGGTCACCATGCGCGAGAATCAGATGGATAGGTCCTTCGACCTCGTGCAGAACGACTGGAGGCAGGCTCACCGCAAGAAGGTATGTTCATGATTCCTCGCCAGCGCATCATATCTCAATACACAAACTCCCAGGCTCTGATCGTTCGCTACGGGACGGGAACCGACAACGGCATTTCCCTCCTTCGCGAGACACTCACGACGGACCTAGGCTTTGACGCCGGGGACGTCGAGATGCTGTACTACAACTCCGAGCCGGCGAACGCGTCCGCGGTGGTGTCGGATAGGCAGGAGGCGCCCACCGCCGCGCGCTTCAAGTCGAAGCTGACTAGCTTCCTCTCGAGCGCAGGCGCGGACGACGTGCGCCTCCTGTACCTGGACACCCGTGGGGCCGTCAATCCCGACGGAGGCAGTACCAACTCAGCGGACGAGGAAACGGGGCTAGTCTTAGCCGCGAATGAACAGGGGACGGAGACAGAGATTGTCTACAGCGACTGGCTGGCAACTACTATCCGCGAGGTATACCGTCAATCATTCGTGCCATCTTTCGCACATAGCTGATCCAAATGTTAGAACCTAACGGGCGGTGTCAATCTCACTATCCTCACATCGTCTTGCTTGGGCCGAGAGATGATGAGCACGACCACCGCGACAGGTGGAATCCTGCTATCGGCGTGTCATGAGACGCAATCCAACATCAAAGCCCTGCAGGTCGGCAGCAACAAAGTCGATCCTTGGATGTACGCCATCGTTGCTGTCATCAAGAAGCAAGTAAGTGGCTTATGTCTCTGTACTTATTCGTCGCTGAACATCGTTCGCATAGCTCAAGGAAAAACGCGGCGTACCCACTTACTCCTCCTTGTTCAACAGCGCCAAGAAGTTCATCAAGTCGCAGCTCGGCCAACCCTCCCTCGACGCTGATAAATATAAGGGCCCCAGCACCAACGAACTCAGCCCGACGAAGAGGGACCTTGGCACGAGCCACCAGGATCCTCAGCTCATTTTCATCGACGGCTACGTGAATCCGCACGAAGAGAGGTTTCTGTTCCCTTTCGTAGCGCCGCGTGGCGGACACGCTGGCGAAGGGGTTGTGCGTTTCCCTCGAGACGAGTACCCGACCCACTGGATATTGTAAGTCGGACGAGCTCAGAGCTACATACCTGTAAAAAGGGAGCACCTTACGCTACGCGCATCCTGAAACTGTACCAAATGTATGACTGATTTACTCTTCCATGCTGCTCGAGCCCTCCTTGCCCTAGGTGTACATCCGACTCGTCATGACTATGATTCCCATTAAAAACTGTAACACGCTCTTGAAGACTTCGAATTGAACTCCCTCATTCGGACCAGTTGATCAAATACAGAAGACGACTTGGTGTTCGCGAGAGTGGCTCATCTGGATTCTCGCATGCTGTGGGTCCGTTCTGCGGCAATTGCCGAGAAACAGTAGCGGCTCTCCTCTGCGTCCATCTTGCCCACCATATGCATGCTTCATCGACGGGGAGCTGTTCTTCTTTCTTAAAATGCGAGGTCCATAGTGACTCTATCGAGCTTACTTTTATGAGTCCGAGTCTCTCGAATTATGTCTCGAACACGGACCGTCGTCGCGCACGATCGCCTGTCTCAGCGGGCTGGGATGGCATGAGTATATAAGCTCAGCGGACGCTCTGCAGCAAGGGGCGACTCCGAAATTATTCCTCTTCCACACCTTTCCCCCGCTGACGCTCAGAATGGCATGCACAAGCTCTCCGACGGCGACACGCACCATCACGGTCACAAACTCTGTGGCGATTGTGTCAACTTCTATAGCTGTCGTGGCAGGCGATGGGACAACATCGACGTTGGAGACGACGTCGTGCGGGTCGGACGGGTTGTGCCCAACCGTGATCCAGACGACTGTGATCCCAGGTGCGCGGTCATCGACCTGATCGTTCCAAGCTTAGGCTAACCTTGCTGTCGGCCAGGTCCTGAGACCACGTCTACGGCGCTTATAACGAACTATGAGGCCTCAACATCGGAGTCAGTCGAGACCCTGTACGGCCAGTCTTGCGCGGACGATAACAATTCTCCCTCTACCGGGGCCGGTGCCGCGACTACGACTACTTCGCAACAAGCATCAGAAACCACCTTCCTCACCTCCTCCGTCGTTACCTTCACCTCTTCGCGCGTTACCTCATCCGACGGCTCTATCATCACCGTACCCGTCACCCTAACCTCCACCGGTGTGAACACGGCGACCGGTTCCACCACGAAAAGCAACAGCGCTTCACACAGCACAACAAATAAAGGGGCTATCATCGGCGGTGTCATTGGTGGCGTTGTAGGCCTTGCCCTCGTCGCCCTCGCCTTCTACCTTTGTTTGGCAGCGCGGAAGAAGCGCCGACATCAATGGGATGGGGTCTTTGAGGACGTTCTATATCGTCCTCCCTCAGACGGCGCACACTTGCCCATTGTTCCCTTAGACGTTGACGCAGACGAACCGACGTGGCGCGGCGGCGCTCCAGGCAGCCACCCGCCCTACGAAGATACCGATCCCGCGGTCGTCGCAGGCGCCGGTGACCAGCAAATGTCGGAGGTCGCCACTATCACGCCCTTCCCCCCACCATCCTCAGTCCCCTCGCTGCGCACCGACAGAGAGCTCTTCGTCGCAAATCCTGATCTCGCTGGGTCCTCACAAGACATCACGACCAGCTCGGAGCGCCATGCAACAGTTGACGAGCACTCGGAAGAGGTGTACGATCCCTATGCCCCGCACGCTCAGGCGCACCCTTTCAGCAGAGACAGGAAGCATCCACTCGTTCATTTGGACGGTGGCAGGTACCAGCAGCACGCTGATCTCCCCCCGCCGGCATATCATGAACAGTGATCTTTTGCGCTGCTGTACGACTGCTTAGCGAGGCTATAGGGGATTAGCTTGATAGGGTTGCCACAAATCATCATTCACTATTCGGGGTTACCAGACTTCGGGGCTTGCCGCTGATGGGAAATCGGAAGTAAACTCATGTGGGCGCGTCCTTCCTGCTTCCATGTCTGGCCATATGCACCCTCTCGAAAAGTGTTATCTTCCCTCCTGACTTTCTTCGACAAGATCATCCTCAGCTTTGTCTTCCCTGACGCTCCCAGTGACCTTTTAAAATCGCAGGTTTCGCAAGGACGAGGACCAGGCAAGGGCGGGAATGGTGATCCGTATCTGCTACCGAGTCCGAGCGCCCCTTTTATCTTTTTACTGGCGCCCCTTGTTATATTGTCTTAGTGCGGGAGACTCGGTCGCGAAGATCGATTTTTGACGCCCAAATACAGACGGATTCAGAAAGCTGGCACGCGAGTTTCGGGACCTGGCATCTGCATTGAAGGTCAATGGCGGTCTGACAGCGCCGCATTGTCTGGGCGCGCTGGGCGCTGTGCGCATATTAGTACCTGATCATTGTGCGTTCACGCACCCTCCCCCCTCAACGAGCTCGCCGCCATGTCATGCACGACTTTCGCGACGACAACGCGGACGGACACTGTCACCACGTCCACTCCGGTCGTGTCGACATCCATCTCGGTGACAACGGGCGAGAGCTCGACTTCCGTGTACGAGACGACGACTTGTCAGGGGGATGCGTGCTCGGTTTTGACGCAGACTACTGTGATTCCAGGTGGGCTTCTTCGAGCTTTCCCCTATTTATCACTCACTCATCATCACTATTCCAGGGGCCGAGTCTACTACGACTGCACTCTTCACCACCTACGAAGAGCTCACCTCGACCTCCTTCGAGACCCTATACGGTAGCAGCTGCACCGAATCCGACACCTCGACCACGTCCACAACCTCTGATACATCTACCACCTCTACTTCCTCCACCACCTCTACTTCCACATTTTCTACCTTTACCTTCACCTCCACCTTCATCACCTCCTCTATCGTCACTCGCACATCTAGCCGCGTCACTTCTTCCGGTGGAGCCATCGTCACCGTCCCAGTCACCCTCACCTCCGTCGAAAGCAGCACAGCGACTGCTATTTCTGCCGCCGCGGACCCCGAGAAGTCGAGCAATGCGGCGGTCATCGGCGGCGCGGTAGGCGGAGGGCTCGGTGCGATCTTGCTCTTGCTATTCTTGATCTTCTACATAAGGTGCCGTCTTCAGCACCTTCGCTGCATCCAATGAACTAACGGTCGTGCAGGCGAAGGCGTCGCCGCCATCTGTGGGACGACGTCTTCAACGAAGACGATCTGAGCAAGTCACCGCAGCAGCTATTCAAGACGCCAGTCGGGCCAGGCGATGGCGCGCATCTGCCCGTCGTCGCAGCGGACGACGAGCCGAAGTGGGTGGGCGGCGCCCCTGTGCGGTCGCCGACGATGCCACGGGGTTCCGTGTCCTACCCCTCCCAGGCTCCCACCTCGCATCCCGCGCAGCCCTTGTCACCGTCCGCGACGTCGTACACATCTGCGTCGACCTCGCAGCCGACCTCGCCGATGTCGTTCCCGTCGCCGTCCATGTCTCCGCCTGCGACTTCGTACAACGAGAAGAGCAAGTCGCCCCCGCTGCCGCCAAGATCCCCGCTTAGGTCGCCGCGTGCCAGTGGTATCGACTACAATTCGGCGGGTCCCTCGTACAACCAGGCTGGACCCCCGCATACTCAAGCTGGTCCTTCTTCGCCGCCTGCACCACAAGCTGGTCCTTCTCAGGCTGCCAGTGATCCGTCAGCGCTCACTTCCCGGGCCCAGGAGGAAACAGTTGAGTACTCTCGCGACCGCAAGACGCCTTTGGTCCATCTCGACGGCTCGCGCTTCCAGGATCAGGAGCCGGGCGACCAGCCGCCGCCAGCGTACGAGCAGTGAAGAGGGCGAAGAACTTACATCATGACATATCTCTAAAGAAGTTTTGTAGCAGTAGTCAGTCATCGGGCGCAATCGTTGTACTATATAGGGTTCATGGGGATTCTCATTGTGGGTACAGGTTGTCAAGTCGTAGTACAAGATACACCGTACATATCAGGGGCGGCTTCGAGCTATCCATTACCATGACCAGCAAACCTTAGCCACTGCGCTCGAAGCTCTGCAACGCCCATATCGTCAGCCGATTGTCTTTCCCTCCAGCAACGAGCCAACGCTCGCGCTCTGTCGCGTCGCCATTGTCGTCCGAGTCCGAGTCGTCTGCGATGTCCTCTGCAGTGCTCGATGCCTTCGTCGAAGTCTCATCGTTGAATGTATGATCCGCATCTTCCCCATCCTCCGTCGTTGCGCCTCGATCCTGAGTCGAAGCCCTCGACCTCGAATGCGCAAACGCAAGCGCCTGAACGCTCGTCTTGTGGTACCTCAACGTGCCGAGGGGCTTAAGAGTCTTCGTCGAGTAGAGGCGAATGCCCCCATCCCACCCGCCGACCGCGCACACGCGTCCGTCGTCCCGAGTCGCGATGCAGGCGTTGCCGGGGTGCTTCGTTCTGTGGGTGATGGATACGGACGAGGGTTCGGTGGCCTGAATCGAAGATGAGACGAGGTAAGAGGGCGGAAAAAGGTATTAAGGACCATGAAGGAATTGACACGCACATTTAGGTCATAACGCCCAATCAAATGGTCCGCGGACACTGTGAGGGCGAGCGCGTTGTCGCGGGTGACGGCCATGGCCATGACTGAGTGGAATTCAGCTTTTCAGGTGATGCAAGAGTCTCCTTCACCTACTCGATTCCGCATGTACCTTGCTCGTCCAAATCACGTCCCACCCCTTGCCCTCCACCGTCTTCTGTCCTGCCGGGGCGGTGCACTGCCTAAGGATGACACCGCCGTGCTCATAGGCGGATAGGAGGCGAAGGTTGGAGGTGGATGCCGATGAGGAGGGGCCCCCTGTGGCTTGAAAGAGATGGAGGGACATGATGATTCCTATGAGGTTTCGTGAGCCCTGGTCCGCCGAATGCAAGAATTAGAGGGAGTGATAGCAGAGAGAAAGGAAAGCGGGGGAGCAAGGGAGGTGTATGGGGGCATCAGGAGCTACACGAACCCGTCTTTTCATTGCCTCGTCCGTCTAGTGGGACAGCAGGTGCGTCCTTGGGCTTGCCGATGGCGGCGTACAAGCGATCGCGCGAAGGGATCTCCCAGACGTCAGCCTGCCTGACGAGTGATATGAGAGGTGGTCCCGATCTATTCAGTGAAAGCGTCATACACAGGATGAATCCACGAGATTCGGCACCGCGATCAATGCTTCTGAGCCCGTGCGTGGAAGGAGGGAGAAACGGCAATAGTTCAGCGCGTTAACGTCCATACTATAGGTGGGCTGCCTAAATTCTTGCTGTTGAGCAGAAGCACCTGCGACTGGGACAGCCGACCCTCCGAGCTGGGCAGACGCAGGAAGCTCTCGTGGTCGCGGCCAAGCATGCAGTTTGTTATCCCTCCCGTGCCTTTATACAGCCGTCAGCCATCCTTCCGGTCGTGCTCGACCGAGACACGCACGTAATCAGCAGACCCCCCGCCTCCTCAAGGCCCAATATCGTGTCCGTATGTCCCTGCCACGACGCAATCGTGCGCAGAGTACGCGTCGAGGTGACGAAGATCCAGCCGGAGGCGTCGCCTGAGTACACGAGTGCATTGTTGGGGGATATGTGAAGGGCGCTGATGGCGGCGCGGTGCGCGCGGAGAATGTGTGTGGGTGCGGCGGGGGTCGGTTGAGGCATTGGGTGGAGGGAGAACGTTTGATGGTAAGTACAGGTATCGAGAAGGAGGCGCGTCAACAGGACCGGGTCGTCGGGACGAAGATCCGGTAAGCGTTGACGTCGGGTGGCGTGGCGTGCCCAGGGCTGTTCTTGACTCTCATTGCGGTGTCCGCGAACACGTCCGTTTATCTGGATCCCCTACGTGTCTTGCCCTATATATGAGTTGTTGACCCATCTCACATCTGCGTGTGTTCTCTCTCCATCATCTTCCTACGCCGACCAATCGCTACTTCCTTGCATGATCACCAAGCTCCTCAACAGCGTTAAGAAGCCCATGGCCTCCATTCCTGGCTCAGACATTGCTATCCACCCCACGACTCTGAAGTCTCCCACAGAAGTCGTATACGTAGAATACGAACCTGGCCAACCACTACCGCCCAAGCCCGGCGACGACTGGACACGCTTCGTCTGCATAAGCGACACACATAACCGCAGCTTCCCGGTCCCAGACGGAGATGTGCTACTTCATAGGTGAGGGCTTAGGCTGCTTTGAGAGGCTGGGAGGGCTCACAGGGTGAACGTCGGATAGTGGCGACCTCACCGATCTGGGCCGCTTGAGCGACTTCAAGCTCACCATGAACTGGCTGTATAGCTTGACGCATAAGACCAAGATGTGAGGCAGAAGTCGTAGTTCTGTTCTTGTCTATCTCTCATCCCAAGCCTTCAGCATCATTGCTGGCAACCACGATCTCGCTCTGCACAAGGATTGGTATGAGACGCACTACACGCGCTTCCATGGCAAAAGCAATAAACAAGTGCGTATCGTTCTGTTCTCTCTCTCTTTTTTTGATATCTTATTTACCGTACTTATGCATTGTTCCCATCTTTAAGGACTACGACGCCATCCACGACCTCCTTACCGGCTCCAAGGCCCGCAAAACCGGCATTGTATACCTCGAGGACGAATCATACACCTTCCGAACTAAGGAGGGCGGTCGAGAATGGAGTGTATATGGGTCACCGGTAAGTAAAGCCAGAAATAGACGGAGAAGAAGAAGCTGAATTTCTACCCCAAGTGGTCTCCCTGGTTCCACAACTGGGCTTTCAACTACACGGCGGAGGAGGCGGAAGGTTAGCATATCCCTCTCGTTTTTGATGCATCTATTAACTAGCTACTTCGCAGCCCTCGTCGCGAAGTTCCCCAAAACTGACATCCTCCTCACGCATGGCCCGCCGTATCACATTTTCGACCGCACGAACACGAATGATCTGCCGGGGTGAGTAGTTTACTTCGTCAATCTTGTCTCCTATGTCCTTGCTTCATATTACGGAGTACTGACGCCACCCACCAGCTGCCCCGCCCTCCGCCGCCGCCTACCCTCCCTCCGGCCACGGATACACCTCTTCGGACACATCCACGAGGACCATGGGGCGAGGATTCACGGCTGGAAGGAGGACCCTTCCTCATCCTCAGATCCAAGCTTCGCCGACCTCCCACCCATGCACGCCCTCAGCCTGCTCGAGCTCGAGGCCGAGCGCGAGATGCTTGAGGACGAATCCGAGCACGAACTACCTGAGGACGAGTCCGACCCCGAACGCCGCTCGCAGTACGACCCCGGTCACCCACCACCCACGCACGACGAAGACCTCAAGAACGCGAAAGAGCGCACGGTGTTTGTGAACGCGGCGGCGTGGCCGATGGGGAAGTTGGCGTGGAGGGAGGTGAAGGTAAGGTTCTTGTAGCGATTGGCTGCGCCTGGGTGTCCATCGCTCGTATGTGGCTAACGAGGTCGTGCAGGGCGAAGGAGAGACAGATGACGACGGGGATGTGAACATGGGCAACGCGCCGAAGAAAACGAAAACGCCCTTCGGCGGGCCGGGGTTCCAGCCAGTAGTGGTAGATTTGAAGGACTAGTCCTAAGATCGAGAATGTACAGGTACGTGCATCAAGCTCTTGCGAGCGAAGGTCTGAACTCGGGGCTTGATAGTAACTGTGTAGGATGGACGGATTTGTGGCACAAAATACAAAAGGTGCGTTTTGCAATGCGCTCACCACCCCTTCACGAATAACTCATGACTATACCGCCTGTCAGGATAGCCGTCATTTCTTTGCGCGTGTACCACCGAATACGACGCGTGCCCAATATCGATCGTTTGAGTCAATACCCATCTACGTGTCTCATGGAGAGGCGGCGAGCCGTCTGTGGTCAGCTGCCAATCAATTCCTCTTTCTGGCCAATGGGGCATCGGCCTACTGCACATCTCCATGGCTCACTACACCTCTCCCCAGCCAATGAGCAACGACCGCCAGTCCAGGCCGATTGTCAGACACGACAACCACCACCAGTTCTGTCCTCCACGCTGACCACGTCTTCTAGTCAGCTGCGCTTTGGTTTCTCATTCACTCGCGCCCTTTGCCACAATTCAGTCCACCTCCGCTCCTCGACCGCCGCGGTCTACTTGGGTAGCCGTTGCTAGTCAGCTGCGTTTCTCGTGCGTCTTCAATTCGTCGCTATCTCCTCCTCCGATCACCCACCTTTTGTAGGCGCTGACGCCCACCTGTGGGTGTCGTTGACGCATCAATAGGTCAGCTGCCTCTCGACTACGCCTTTTGTCGTCCCGACTACGCCCTGCGGTCACCTGCTCCCAGAATACTCCCTTTGGACACTACGAACGCGTCCGCTGGTCACCTGCACTCTACCCAGTGCTGGCGAGCATCGGAAATGAATGGGTAGATTTCCTAGGGTATCGTGGCGCTCCCGGTTTGCGTCGAGGCGTCCCGGTATGCAGCGAGACGTTGACGATTGAGTATTCATGAGTGAGAAGCTCACTATCGTTACTAAATGGACGGCAACTGACTCAATTGACAGCTCCCGGTGGGTGTACAGCTGGATGGCACTGGTTGGTCGATGTGGACCAAATGGGCGCGCTCATCGCCCACCAATCATTTGGCGGGCCGTCGCGAACCGAGCACTCGTCGTGCGCTGATCATTTGTCCATGTGCCAGGCATCGACCACTCGGAATTGACGACAATAGGTGTTTGTCCGTACACAATCAAGACCGTAACTCCTAGTCGAGGGGCTAGGAAATGCTGGAGGAGCTCTTCTCAGATCAAAACTCTCCTGGGATCGGGCCTCCCCGGCCCACCCGACGACGTGAACAACGTCCTCGTGATATCGCAGACCCTTGGGACATTCCCTCAAGAATGCTTAGGCTACAGCTTCGCAGGTGTATCTGGGCCACCCTTCCACCAGCGACTTCGGGCAACTCCCCCACTCACGCAAGGGGACGTGGCCGTCCGCGGACATGGATTTTCGGTGCGCCTCATGACTATTATTTGATGAGGCGAGTTGTCCGTATATGAACGGTGCCCGTCCGTCAAGTTGTGTTTGCTGACAGGAAGAATTTGTGGCACACCATGCCTAGCCATCAGGGATTTACCCAAGATTTACCAGCGCCCCACAGTCTGCAAGGACTGAACCGAGCGTTGAGTCATCATGGTATGTGAACGGAGTGGTTTGACGTCTACGGCGAGGTCATGGACACCCGCGAGCGACGTATGCACCCGTAGTCGCCGGGCCCTTTCCCTGTGCAGCGAATATCGGCAGATACATCCCCTGCGCAGTGAGCGTCCGCGGCCGTGCGAGTTTGCGGACACACTTGTTGCGCCTTCACGGCATCCCCAGCGCAGTAGGCTTTGAGCGCAGCCAAGATGGGGCAATCCCCCGCGCGTCCAGCACCGGACAATTCCCCGCGCCGGCACAGCCCTCTCACCATCTCGCGCTGATTTGGCGAGGTTGAAGCAGGTGTTATACCGCGCCGAGCGCTTGGCTGCTGTCGTGTCTGGGTCGTGTCACCTTCGTATGAGCCCTCGCCTTCGTATGGGCCGTCTCACCTTCAGCAAACGCTGATGTTGTGCAAACAGTGCTATATAGCGTCCGAGGCTCGCGCTTTGCTATTTGGCGCGGGGATGCTCGCGCGCTGCTGTTTACAGTAGCGCCGAGACGACGAATGTTGTCAGGCGCTGAGACCCAGATGAACCTCATCTAGCGCCGTGACTCATACGAACTTCGTCAAGCGCTTGTGTTGCACAACAAGGAGACCTTGGCTACACAGGCATACCGTGATCTGCAACGAGGCGACGGCGTGCTGCCTGAGGACGATCCGCGGCGTGTTGTTCTGGGACTTACCCGAATTGGGATGCTCTGGTTGTTGAGACGGAACATGCGTGAGGGCATGCGTTTGTTCACTCATGAATTCCATGGCGCTACGCGTATCGTGTATGCCACTCCATACACGCGTACGTACCACCGCGCCGCCAGCCATCTCGTCCGGCCGCCGTGCACCAGCCATCTCATTCCCGTCGACATCGGGATCCGTGCAGGAAGGGTATCAGGATCAAGATGATTGTTGCTCTCTCGATAGACTTGCATGGGATTTCCGGGGCTGCACAAGCTTGCATGCAATTCATGGAGAGCGACGATACGGACTGGCCTATTCGAGTACGCCGGGGTGTATCATGGTACAAGGACACCGGGGTGCATGGTTCAGCACACCAGGGTACATGTTCGTGTCACCTGACACTCGCGGCGTCGAGGGCAGGGTTCAAGGAGGACGGATGTTATACAAAGGCGGGCGTTGAGCGGATCAATGGGGCGGTATTAGACGAAGCACGGTCGAGTGGGAAGCTTGAGCAACGGGTGAGAAGCTACCCACAGACGTTCTCTATTCTCTATTCCCCACAGTTGCTCTTGCATCCCCACAAATTCCCTGAGGCTGTAGCGCCCCGCAGCTGCGTTGCACACCGGGAATGAAGCACGGTGGCTCCCCAGAATTACCCTCTATAACCCCTAGAATCATCCTACAGCCTATCCAGTGCGCGCACGACGGCGACGTGCGCCTGGATTCGGTAAAGTGGAAGTCAACTTGGGTACCGTGACCACTTATATTACCCCACTCGCGCTTTTGATTCCCCAGGGAATAGATTGATTTCCCTACCCCGCACCTCAAGTTCCCGACAGCTGCGTCGGCAGGATTGTTGCTGTCGGCAGGGATGTCGTGAGCCCGGCCGAGGACGGGCACTCGCCGAGTTCTCTGAGAGACCTGCGAGCCCGGGGGAAGGCGGATCTCTGCGCGGGCTGCGGCCTTGACGTGGGCTGTACAAAGCGACGAATATCGGGAAAAAGGATCCAGGTGGCAGGAAAGAGACGCGCGTGGCTGTGAAGCGTGATCACGGGTAACCGTTTGCTGTACGGGCCTCGCGGCTGAGGTACCTATGCAGAGCGCAAGGGGCGGGCCTGCAAGGGCCTGGCGAATGGCCGCGAGGCAGGGGTGGTACGGCCGTTGCGCTGTCAGAGCACAAGCTCCGGTTGGGATAGTCGCGACCGGGAGGTCAGTTGGACGGAATTACAGCTCATAAGACCGTTTGGACGGATTGGGCTCCAGAATGCGAGCAGCTGACCGGGCGGGCGACCGACGAATCCCTGCACGACAACAGACCCCGCACCTGCAGGATCTGGGTGGCGCGGTCGAGGTCGCTTGATCAGTTCCGTCCCCACGCCCGCGCAAGTTGATTACGGCACGTGCCCGGCAAGCACGTGCGGCTGTGCTCGGTGACTGTCGGGCCGGGCACACTGCGGAAAGATAATTGGTCAAGCGGCCTCTGTTTTTCCTTACTCTCCTTCCTGTAACGCCGCCGCCGCGCACGGCGAGCACACTCGCGCGCTCATCGTTCACTGCGTCCCCGAGCTCAGCGTCCTCATTACACGACGCAGGCTCCGCCCTGCCACCGCCTACAGGCGCGTACACCGTCAGCAGGTCCCTCCGGAACTTGAGCGACTCCGCCAAGCAGGCTCGAGTCGGAGGTGGCGACCCCGACGCACATTGCTTGCTCGAGACGGACCACTTCGACTGCAACCTCATTATGACCGTCCCATTTCCCTCGCCCGTCCTCTCCCTGACGGTCGACCACGTCAGGGACCTTCAAGGCAGCGATGCGCTCGTAGGTCTCTGGCATGGTGAGTGAGACGATCAGCTTCCGCATGCCATAGCTGACGAAAAACAGTTTTCACGCAATGTAAATATGCCCTTCGCGATGGAGAGCGCCTTGAGAACATCTCCTGGCGCCTCTGGCACCGAGAACGAACCTGGACGCCCGCTAAGGCCAGGTCCACATACCGACCACCCACCCCCGATGATGCTAGTCCCTCTCCCGAGCCGACGAACAAGATGCGACTGCCCAGCGAGGGGCCTGCGCTCGCAGCGCCCGTCCCCCAATCGCATGGTGAGCTTCACCTGCGGTTTCCATCCCTCCATCCCGCTGACCGCGCACAAGCCACGCTGCCCCTCAAATCCACTAACGATTCTCGCGCACCTGAACCCTCCCAGCATTCATCTGCAGAACGGGCGCCTCGATCGATGATTCCCTCACCTGAATCATCGATATCGTCCGGATCATCCAGTCAGGACTCTCCTTCACCCCCGTTCTTCCATCCTGTAACCCTTTCAACTTCGCCAGCGTCAGGTCCGGCTTTCGGTGGACAAAGTGTGGGCAAGATTATCTGCGACTGCATAGCCTCCAGCGTGCCCCTCCAAGGTGCACATGCATTCCGCCTTGGGACGTGTCCATCCGAACGGCGCCGCAACCACGCAGGCAAGGGCACGGACGGCTTAGCGAGCGGGCAGACGGTCGCGATTGTGCGCTTGGACTCTTCAGCGGACTCTGCCGGAAGCTCCGTTAGGATCGCCCTGCCTATTTCGTCCAAATCATCGCCGAAGAATTGTAGGATCGCATCCAACACCTCATCCAAGTCATCCACGCCGTCATCTAATTCTGATCGGTCTTCGTTCCCCCGCGTCGTGGTCGTCAATTCGACGCCCAATCGCACGCCACATCCCACGCCCCCTGCGACACCAACGACGGAGATCGTCGAGCCTCGCTACCGGATCGAGGACCAGCCCGCTAAGGTCAGCCACGGCGACAATCTGCGTCCTCCGACGCTTGTATCTATAATGCCTACCGAGGTACGTAGCTTCAACTCCCCGCCCCGCATCAGCGCGGGCGAGCAGCGTATCAACCGACGCTAACATCCCGATCCAGAAATCCGTGCCCACGGATGGTACGACGCAGGCTATGCCTACTGGCTTGACGTCACCCGTCGCGTCGCCGGTGACGCCTGCGCATGTTCTTTCGAGCGCGCCTGCGAGCGCGTTCAGTCCAGCACATTCGCAATCTACCGCAAATCCGAAACCCATCTCAGACAAGCGGACGGTCTCGGATGTGCAGGCCACCAGTGCTCCAGTAATGGCGCCCGCGGTATCGTATGCGGCCTCGGACACCAGCGAGGCCTCGACGACCGCGCCTGACACCACGATGTCGACCGCGACCCTGTCGACTGCGCACACCTCGCCCCCGGCGAAGGACAGCCCTACGCCGATGAGGAGATCGAAGAGCGAAGGAGGGTCCAAGCGGCCACCCCTGGCCGATGAGGAAGAGGTCGTGGAGGATGACGACGAGGAGGAGGCCACGACTGCGCCCTCGACGTCTGTCCATTCCGCTGGACATATGAAGAAGCTCAGTGCCAAGCATGGCAAGCGAATAGCTGCCCGCATGCCGCGTCACAAGCGCGTCGTGCGCAGGAGTACGGGCAGCGAGAAAGAGAAGGAGAAGGAGGCGCAGAAGGAGAGGATCATGGCGTTCGCTGCCCAGGAGCGGGAGAAGCAGGAGCAGCTTTACCGGCGACAGCGCGAGCGCGAACGACAGGAGCAGCAGGAGAAGGAACGTGCGGAAGCACAGGCGAAGGAGCGCGAACGTGTACGCCGCGAGGAACTTCGTCTTCGCCAGGAACAGGAGCTGCAGAAGGAGCGCGATCGCGCGGCACAGATCAAGCGTGACGCACAGGAGCGGGAGGCAGCGGCGCGCAAGTTGGCCGAGACGAAGCGGATAGTGCCCCGTCCTGACCGCCCACCGTCCCCCTCGCGGACGTACGTGCGCAAGAGCCGCTTCGACATCGGCTCGCCGCAGTCGGACGACTCCAAGTCTACCGTCTCCCCCGCGCGGGAGGCGATCGTGCCTAGCAGGCCAGTGATCGGCGGCCTGGCTGGGCTACTCCACGCCGCCCCGTACGCTCCCCACGAGCAGCCGAGTACGCATCGCACTTTGCCTCCGCCCCGACGCTCGCCGGATCAAGTACCCCAGGCCCAGGATGTCCGCGTGCCGACGGCGCCTGCGCTCGAGGCTAAGGTGAGGGCCATGACGGAGGCTGATGTTACCCCACGCCCGCCCACTGTCCGTGCTCCGACGTCGCGCGACCTGCCGCCGCCAAACGTTCTTGCTGAGGCTCTGAAACAGCAGGGTCAGCGCCAGCAGCCACCACGTAAGGTGGTGCAGCTTGAGGAGGCGAACGATTCCTCAACGGAGGACGAGTCCGAATGGGAGGATGAGCAGGACTCGGAGGAAGAGGTGCGTATCTCGATCGTGCAGCATATCTGATCTCATCAATATCATAGGTCCCGCCCCCTCCCCCACCTCCGCCAGCTCGCGGTAACCAGCCGCGTCGGCCCCCGCTGACGAGCTCGAAGAGCACCAACAACGTCCTTGATGCGGCGGCGCAGAAGTTGCAGCGTGTGCAGAGCGATAAGGATCTGTTCACCAAGCTGCCATCGCGCAGCTACTCCAACCTTGCGCAACAGCCGCGGACGGGTCTTCTATCTCAGTTATTGAAGCCTGATTCGAAGATCATCGAGATGCGCCGAACGCAGACTATGGTCGACGTTCGTGGCGCCGCCCAGCCGCCGCCCCTCCTCCATCGTCCCCCGGTCATGGAGAAGAGCAAGAGCGCGGCTGCGCTGCCGATGTCCTCGGTCTCGACGTCGCAAGCTGTCATTGGGCTCGATACCAAGGCTGCCGCTCCGGCGGCGCCGCATCACGGTGGAGGTTACCGGCCCAAGGGGCGTCCGCAGAACGAGGACATGGAGAGCGATACGGGCGAGGAGGAGGATGGTGGTGATCGCGTGGAGCTATCGCAGAGCGTGGCGCAGCAGCGCCTGGCCGCTCTGGTCGGGAAGGGTAAGAAGCCGGCGCACCGATCAAGCGCGGAGGCTGGTACCTCTCATGCGCATGAACCACCACCCCCTCCGGCTAGGCAACCGCGACGCCCGCGAATACAACCTATGACTACGGTCAACCATTCTCGAGCTCCGTCCCCGACGCGCACAAACACGGAGGCCCGACCGACGTCGACTGTCGACCCGTCGCCCGCTGCGCCAATTCCGCTAGGCTACCCCTATAATCTGCCCCCGCCTCCAGAACCTTCGTCGCCTCGCACCACGCGCCAGCTGATGTTGCGCACGGAGATGTCGGAAAGCGTACGCCAGAACCTGCTTTGGTCACGGCAATTGGCAAGACGTGATAATATGGGGCCGCCACGGACGCGGAGTGGCATCCTCGAGCAGCCTCCAGCGCGGCCCACCATTGCCGCGCAACCGAGCGTCGTCCGCTTAACCGCCCCGCGGCAGCAGGACCCGGCCGAGCAGCAGCAGGAGCAGGAAGACATTCGTCGCGAGATGCGCCTTGCGCGTAACCGCACCTGGGCGGGCGACGAGTTCCACCAGACGGGTTGGTGGTGAGCTCAGTGAGGGGCGGGGCTATTCGCTGCCGCCCTCTCGGAGGCAACGTCCGCCTCCTCTTCGTCCTTTTCAACGTCCGGCTGGACGGTATCGCGCCGCCCCGCCGCCTTCATCCGCATTTTGCCATTTCATCCACGTCTTGTACGCATCCCTCGCATCTGGTTTCTGTCGCATCTTCATCTCATCGCTGACATTGTAATGTGGTTCTCATCACACTGTGTATTTATCCTGCGGACATGCCTGTCCTGTTTTCCCATTCTCGCCATCTCTAGCCAGTCTCCATCCTCACCACCATTGACGACGAGCCGCCCGTCTTCGCCCGCTTACCGTGCGCCGGAGTGCCGTTTACCCCCACATCCTCCTCACACCTTACGCCTCCACCAAGTTAATGACCTCGACGACTCTTCCCTCGTACTCGTATAATTTACGGTTGTCTCCCCGCGTCCGGCGGCGACCAGGGCGACCGGGCTGTTCTCTGACTTCTATCGGTGTCATGTTTATAGTCTCTTAGGTCTCACCGTGTACTACCAGGTATCATAGTATTCTCCGGGAAATGCGATCCTTTCCACATTCTTTCAACTGAGGTGGGATACTGGGCTGGAGCTTGCTGACGATGCGCCGGAAGCTTCGCAGTCCCCGCGCAAGCGGGAGTCGGCACGGGATTTTGTAATCGAATGTCACGTACCGGCATTCGATTGCACAGCTACCGGAATGGTCGGAAGATGATGAGAATACGTTGGCAAGGGATGGGGGAAAGCAGGTTGATTTTTTGCGAATCGGCGCCTCGCCGGATGGCTACGCGTCGGGGCGGGTGGGTGACGAGGTCTGAGTTGACGGAAGCGGTCGCGCATCACCCTGACAAGCCTGCATCACCGGATTTAATCGCCCCGATCATCCGTGCTCTTCGACCCTCCACGCCACCTCTATTTAGTCCACGAATCTTCGTCACACTTGAGCGCACAGCGTGCCCTCACGCGTTGTTCTGAACTCTCATCTTCATTCCTTACGTTATACTATAGGCATGTCCTCGAACGAGGACGACGGGCGCGACTACGCAGACGATGGGCAGGACTACAAGAAGCGGCGCGTGCAACGCGCCTGCGATCAGTGTAGACGGAAGAAGAGTGCGTGAACGACTACTGTCCCCCTCATTTTGTGATTGACACAGTTCCCAGTACGATGTAAGTCTTTCAAAAGGGGCGCGCATCCAAAGGCTAACGCCTGCCATCGTTCCCCCTTAACTTTAGGTGACGGCGTGCAGTCCAACTCGAAACCATGCTCCAACTGCTCTGCCTACGGCTACGAGTGCACGTACATACAAACAGCAAAGGCGCGTAGCCACATCTACTTCCCAGACGCCATGCTTACCGATCACACAGAGACGCGGACCCCCAAAGAGGTCGGTCTTTGTTCCCCGTTCCCCTGCATGAGACGATGCTGAGAATGGTACGACAGCTACGTCGAAAGCCTGGAGAATCGTCTCGAGAAGATGGAGAAGCTTCTCCGGCAGGTTCGTGTCTGGCCTCAAGGCATCCCTCCCTCCACCCTCTGACATGTGTCTCCAGCTCTGTCCAGACGCTGACTTTTCGCATGAACTTGGCGACGACATTGGGCGGGAGCACTGGGCCAACAAGCCCCCGCCCCCGGTGGACCCCAGCCCCCTCGTGGGGTCCCAGCCCGATAATCCCCTTGCCGCAAAGCTCACCACCAACCTTATACGCACGGCCCCAGACACGCAGCGCATCATGGCAGAAATGCGCACCGACATCGAGCCAGAGGACAACGATTACTCTTCACTGCAGATGACTGAGCAGATGCAGCGCTTCAAGTTCGAGGATCACGATATCCGCTTCTTCGGGCGCTCGAGCGGCGCCATGCTCGTGCAAGCTGCGGTCGACCTCAAGGGCGAGCTGACCTCGGTGCCTAGTAGCGATTTCTGGGAGCGCGGCCTCGGCTCGCGACGGCCCGAATTTTGGCAGCTACATCCCGTACGCACTTTCGAGCATCCCGGTGGCAGGTCGGACTCAACGATTTTTTCCCGTAGTGGGAGGCCGAAATCATGACCAAGAAGGAATACGTGACCTATACGTTCCCCGAGGACAGTCTCCTCTACGCGTTGGTCGACTTGTATTTCAAGGAGATCAACACCTACTTGCCCCTCCTCCACAAACCCACCTTCATCGCGCAGCTCATTGCTCGACGGCATCTTGCCGATGAATCCTTCGCCCCCATCGTGCTTTTGGTGTGCGCCGTGGGCGCGCGGTTCACGAAGGACCCTCGGGTCCTACTGGAGGGTTCGACATCGTTTCACTCCGGTGAGTCATGCTTACCCATGCATCAATCCCTGTCACTCATTTGTCACGCGAAGCCGGGTGGAAGGTTGGTATCTCGTTGGCGGAACGCCGCCCAATGCTTACCAGCTTCTCCCGCAGTGGTTCAATCAAGTGCAGATCGTTAAGCGATCCATGTTCACCGCGCCTACCCTTCATGATTTACAATTCTACATGGTAAGTTTCCAATTTCTAACACACTCATCCCTTCCTTCGACCCACCGGTGTCACCCAACCAACTGCCTGACCCACGACCCATATTCCCTGCCGTCCGTTTCACCCGCGGCTCGAATTAATCTTACTCCTCCGGCAGCTCTCCGTGGCCTTCCTCCAAGCGACCTCCGCGCCACAAGCCTGCTGGACGATGATCGGTATTGCCGTTCGCATGGCCCAGGACGTGGGTGCGCATCGGCGGCGCGTGTCCAAGAAGCCGCTCACGATCGAGGACGAGCTCTGGAAGCGCGCGTTTTGGGTCATTGTGTTCATGGACCGCGCGTGCAGTGGCGCGCTGGGCAGGCCGTGCGCGACGCAGGAGGAGGAGTAAGTATCCACATTTTCTTACCACAGTTGCGATAATCTTACTTGCGCCGTAGCTTCGATCTCGACTACCCCATGGATTGCGACGACGAATATTGGGACCATCCGGATCCAGAGAAAGCGTGGAAACAGCCGCCGGGGCGACCGTCCGAGGTTGCGTTCTTCATTTCCATGCTGCAGCTGCACGAGCTCTTGGCGATTTGTTTGCGCACCATCGTAAGCTTCCTCGTCTACCGAAATTCGGGCCGCTGAGCTGACGCTATTCCAGTACTCCATCAACAAGTCCAAGATCCTCTTCGGCTTCGTGGGGCAGAAGTGGGAGCAGCAAATTGTCGCAGAACTAGACTCGGCGCTCAACAAATGGGTCGACTCAGTGCCTGACCACCGTACGAATTCTCCTACCCCACAAATATGTTTGTAAATTAACTTCCTTCCCACAGTCCGCTGGGACCCCAACCGCGAAGATGAGGTCTTCTTCAACCAATCCGTCCAGCTCTACGCCACATACTACCACGTCCAAATCCTCGTCCATCGCCCCTTCATACCCTCCCCGCGCAAGCCATCTCCGCTTTCTTTCCCCTCTCTGGCGATCTGCGCCAACGCGGCTCGCTCCCTCATCCACATCGTCGACATCCATCTCCGTAGGACGGGAGCGAGCCATCCGTCGATGACGGTGAGTCTTATGGACCATTTTCCGCGTGCAGAGGGTCTTACCCACGGGTTTCCCTCCCTCTTGAATCAGAGCGCTATCTTCACGGCCGGGATCGTGCTGTTGTTGAATATTTGGGGTGGGAAGAGGTCGGGGCTGTCGACGGATCCTAATAAGGTGTGTATCTCGGTGTCGTCCACTGGTGCTCGAGCTGACATTTATCAGGAAATGGCCGACGTCCATAAAGCCATGAAGTGCCTGAGGTCTATCGAGAATGGGTACGTCATCACTGGTGCGTCGTTCTACACTCGCTAAGGCAGCCTTATAGATGGCACACTGCAGGTCGTCTCTGGTATGTCGAAAGAAGCCTTGTATCCGGACCACTCTCTGACCTGTATTTTAGGGATATCCTCTACGAACTCGCCTCCGTTGGCGACCTCGCCTTGCCTACACCGAGCCCACAGCCTCAAAAGAAACGCGAGCGCGACTCGGAGCTCTCCGCCTCCGCAACTCCAAGCCGCTCCTCGCCTGCCTCTTCCGAGCACGGCCCGCGCGCCATCGCCGGCTCGCGGCGCGTCTCCAAGGACGTCGGCCTCGCCAGCGGGCATTCCATGAGTGGCCAGTTCTTCAACCTACCTATTCATAGTGAGGAGCTCGGGCGACTTCCGCTACACGGGCAGGTGAGCTTCTTCACCAGGCCGGAGCAGCAGCAGCAACACGCTGGACCAGCGCGCTCGGACTTCTCAAATTGGTATGGGCCGAGCGCGGGCGTGTCGGCGGACCATGCTGGGCAGGGGCCGTACGCGATGAATGAGGCGTCGTCGTTTTACGACCAGCTTGGGCATGCGCTCAACGGGCACTCGCTGCACTCCGCACTCGAGTCCGGACCGTCGGCAGGGACGGGAGAAGGGCCGCCGTCCGTCAATGTCATGTCGCCCGGGATCGACACGGATACGATGGCAATGTGGAGCAACGCGCCCGCGGGGTTCGAGTAAGGAATGTCTCTCACAAATATGAGGACCATTACTGACGTTCGTTGGATCGCAGGATGAACGACTGGGGCGCGTATCTCACAAATGAGCTCAACCATGGAATGCCGCCGATGTCTTAGTTCTGTCGACTTACTGTATATCCCGACATCCATCTTCCATCACCTCGACTCTCGCTATACTGAACTTTGCTATCTGCGCTCTCATAGACGCTGCCTGCATCCTGGAGAGCTTTTATGTACCACGGGATGCAGGGGCCGCTGCATTATTGAAGTCTTCGCTCTCGCCGAAATTGTATCATATGCTTCTAGATGTACGTCCCGGATACTGGTCGACGCCCCGCTATATCTTACAGCTACTGGACACCATGTATTTGTTCAACAGCAATCGCATAGAGCCCAGTCTTATTCTACTTCCCTCTATGTTCAAGCGCCCGAGATGCGTTGTTCGCTGTGAACTTGAAGGTTGTTGTTGCTCATGGCTGTACCATAACTGGGAATTCTACCAGCCTCTGCCTGAAGTCCAAGTTTTCCTCAAGTAGTCGGTCCCGAATACCTATGCCTTGCCATCGGCACTTGCCGACACAGAAAGAGCTCGCTGATTATCTCATCGCCCCTTGGCTCACGCCAAACAAACTCGCAACTTATGGTTATCACCCCTCGCTTTCTTCGTCGTTTCGGGCTGCTTTCTGACGGAAATGCCCTCTCCAGCTCCCTCCATTCCTCAAGAGCGCTCGGAAAGATGCAAGCGCTTAGCCGATAATAATTCTACAATGCTGTCTCTTCTATCCGTCAGCTGCCAGGTGCCGCTGGATTCGCGGTCCTTCCGCAGGGAGCAACATGCGAGCTCGAGCTACCAAGTACCCCGATGGGCAGAAACTCCGAGAGGCCCGTGTCAGGAGGCCCAAGTCTGTTTGAAAAGGCCCATGCAGGAACAAGCGTCGCGGCTGAGTGAGCAGCGCTGCCGAACATACGCGCGTTCTAATCATAGTGAACACGTCGTCCTCGTCGTCGCAGCTATATAGAGGGGACCTTCCGGTCTGCGATGAACAACACCGCCGACTAACCGCCAGCCATGGGAAACCTATCATTCCCCCGCTTTCTCTGGGACCAGCTCTCGTACCATGCTCCTGTGGTCCGCAAAGACCTCAAAGGCCAGACGGTCGTCGTCGTTGGTGCCAATGTCGGTCTCGGATACGAGGCGGCGAAGCACTTCGCGACGATGGGGGCGGAACGCGTCATAATGGCTTGTCGCAGCAAGGAGCGGGGTGCTGCAGCGGTCGAGCGTACGTTGTTTCTGACCCTGATCACATCCGTTCAAGGAGTTACTGACTCAATATCTTAGGTGCCCAGCAGGAGACGGGGCTCAAGAACACCGAGCTGATGCTTGTGGACCTGGCCGACTTCAGCTCGATAAAGAACTTTGTCAACGAACTCCAGGCTCGCGTCGATCGCCTTGATTATCTGGTCCTGAACGCAGGCGTTGCGTACATGCGGTCTAAACGCGTGGCGACGAACGACGGCTGGGAGGAGATGTATGTGTCTCTGCGCAGGCTCTACACATCTGAGCGCGTTGTTGACAAACTACAGGATGCAAGTTAATGTCATCTCGCCATCGTTTCTCGCCCTACTGCTACTGCCTCTGATGGTGCGAACATCGCGCGAGCGGCACACTATCCCCCGCACGGTCATTGTCACGAGCTCTATGCATTATTATGTCCCGCCATATGGGGATGATATCTTCCTCCAGCCTGAACTGCTGAAAGCGATATCAGACCTTCCGGAATATGAGTACGTTCTGCTCACTTGCACAATCCCAGCGAAACTCAGTCCCCTGACATCGCCTTCCCAGTCCTATGGCACGGTACTGCGAGTCCAAATGTAACGTCCCGTTTCCCCGCCAACGTGATTCATTTTTACAAGCCCTCTCCCAGTGTTCAACGTCTTCTTCACTCGCGCCCTTGCCGAGCGTCTTCGCTCCACTCACCCCACCGTCATCGTCAACTCGGTCAACCCTGGTCTCGCAACGACGACCTTGACCCGCGATGCCAAACCGTCCGAGATGCCAATTAGCTTGCGAATTATGCACGCCACAATCGCCGTCACCGCGGAGGTTGGCAGTCGCGAGCTCGTTTACGCGGCGCTGGCCGGCAGTGAGCGCGCAGGGTCGCTGCAAGGGGCCTACGTCGACCGCTGCGAGGTGCGCGAGCCTTCGGACTTCGTGGTGAGCGAGAAGGGCAGGATCGCTCAGGATAGGACCTTCGTGAGTAGCCTCCATCCTACGAGCTACTCTCCACTGATGCACGTCCTTTAGCGTGAGATTGTAGCTGCCGCACGGGAGATCGAGCCGAAGATCGACGAGATCCTCAAGGAATATTTGCTGGATATCTAAACGTGCCGGCCTTCTTCGAAGTATCTGTACACAATGTATGACTTTGCTTCGGGCCATCTAAGCACCTATGAATCTGATTCCTCGACGGCGCTGACTATGCGGTGGCAAGATCCAGGTGAGCGTCCCTCAAGGGCCGACTCCGTCGGACTGCTAGCATCTTCCATCGCAACTTCCAGGCTGTCAGCTACTCGTTGCCCAACTAATGCGATCTCTCGCAGCTCTTCCTCAGTCACTGCGATTGTTCTCCGATGGATCGGGCGGCCCCGATCCTCTCATCTTCTCGTGAAGGACCATTCGGGCTGCATAGCGAGGCAGATCCCTCAGGTTCCTTCTGCCTCCTCCCCGCACGTTTCATGCCGACAAGGGTCTGCAAATCCATTGTTTACGGTATGAACATCTACATTTCTTCCTATTCAGCTTGATGACGCCTTGTGATCCTCCATAGCGCACTAGCTCCTTGCACCCTCACCATCACTTTGTATACCCGTTTTTCCGATGACCATGGAAATATGAGAACATGTGGTACGCCCTCGACATTGCTTACAGATGGGCTCCATGCACCTTTGGGCGCCTGGGCATCGAAACTCCCGATGCTTATACACCACAAGCCTTGCGCGCCTCTGTCTGCCTCGGTACACGGCATCCCAAGAGCCGTCGCTTCTCCACGGAATACAAGGCGTCATGGAGGTCGGGCGCTTGTACGCGCCGACGGAAGTCACGAGAAGCACGACCTCAGCGCGATGATCCCGGAACGGCGCCTGCGCCGTCGAGCATACTATTCGGCCCTGCTAGGCAGCATGACGAACCTCGCTAATCCTTGCAAACATGCCGGCAGTATAAAAGGCGCGCAGGCGCGCTCTGCTTTTCGCGGTTTTCCCTTACTCCCTCCTGCCACCAGGGAAAGACTTCTGCTCTGCCACCTGCGGCGACGATGCTGTTCTCTGTCCTTGTTGCTTTCATCGCTGCTGGGTGTGCGCTCGCAAACCCGGTGAAGCGCCAGCTGGCGCAGGTTATCACAGACTGCGTGAACCCCAACGACGCTGCGCTCACCTTCGTGCGTGGACGTGTTGCGCATGCATGTTCGGTCGCTGATGCCCATCTTCATCCAGGACGACGGCCCGTGGAATTACGAGTGAGCTTCCGGTACTGATCGCCTTTCGTAACGCACTGACATCCATCGCACCAGAACGGACATCGTGAACACCCTCAATGCGGCCGGGGCGAAGGGCACCTTCTTCCTCAGTGAGTCCACTTCGAGTTCCAGATTAGTTCTCGTCATTCCTGACCACCTCACCCAGATGGCAACAATTGTCCGTGCCACAAATCGGGCCCGCGCTCAGATCCCCTCACTAACACCTACCTGCAGACGGGTGTATTTACGACCAGGACCTCGGAAAGTCCTTCTAATTGACAGCAGCCCCGCGCCAGTTGTCGTAATAACTTAACGACCCTTGCAGTCGACCGCATCAAGTACGCGCACGACCAAGGGCACCAGCTGGGCTCGCACACCTGGAGTCATTATGACCTGACGACTCTCACATGGGACCAAAGTAGGTGTACGTCCAGTCTGCTGTCGGGAACTAGTCGTGCTAACTCCGAGTTTCTAGTCCACGATGAGATGTGGCGCGTCGAGCGTGCGTTCAAGGCCAACTTACATCTTCCCTTTCGGATGCTCATTTTCCCCGATTTAGAGGCTCTGCAGAAGACCGTCGGCGTGACGCCAGCGTTCATGCGCCCTCGTACGTCTTGTCCTTCGCCATCGCCCATCATCCATCGCTGCTTCCTCGCCACCCGCCGCACCTTCGCTGACGCCGCACCCTCTACCAGCCTACGGCAACTACAACGATCAAGTAAGTAATTGCGCGCCATGCTTGCTTTGAGTTGCGCGGGACTAACACCTCCTGACAGGTTCTGTCCGCGTCCTACATCCGCGGCCAGTCGGTCGTCATTTGGAACTTCGAGTGCGTCTACTGACCGCTCATCATTCAAGATGAAATTTCGCTGACACTTCACAGCTCGGGCGACTCGATCGGCGCCCCGCCGACGCAGAGTAAGAACGACTATGACTCGTACCTTGCTGGCCATCCCAGTGGACCTCTGCTGTTGAACCACGAGACATACGGTGCGTCTGGCAGTAGTGGCCTATGTGTTGGTCTAATCGCTGATGATTGCAATGTATTCTGCAGATACGACAGCGTTCGCATCTCGCTCTCTGCCCAAAGCGTCTCGGCGCTAACACCGTTGACAGATACGATGTCCTCCCGCACGCTCTTGAGAAGCTGAAGGCTGCTGGTGAGACCGACCCCCCTCCAAATCAAGGTGGCGTACGACTGACTGACGCTGCTTCGTAGGCTACAACCTGGTGACCGTCGCCCAGTGCCTGAACCAGCAGCCGTACCAGAGCACTCAGGCTCCGGGCACGCGCGACGTACGTATACGACTGTTCGTGCTGCCGTCACTTCGAGTCCTATCCCCCTTCATTAATCTTTGCACCCGCTATACTTCGGAGAGAAGCCTACTAACGCCTTTCATTGCAGGCCTCGTGGACCTGCTAGATGCGCGTGGCGCATCTTGCGAATGCACGCTGTCGATGCGACTGCCCTCCAGCACTGCTTGATGAGTCTCATGAACTTCAATGGACTGTACCCTCGATCCTTGGACTAGACCTCTGACTTACCTCTCCCCTAACTTTGGACTTCACTTACCCTTCGAACTGTACTTTGGCCTCTTACGGACCTTCTCCATGTTTATGTATTGTATTCTAACGAACCGGTCTTGCATGTTCTTGACTGAGCGTGATGAGGGGGAGGAGGTTTGACGTTGCGGCCCAAAGCTCAAGACGGACAATGATTGATGCTCACCTTGTCTCGAGGGTGGACACAGAGGCTACTATGCGATGAGGCTTGACTTGAACAATCGATAAAACTGTGAATTCCGGATAGTATACAACGTCTTAGCACATAGACCGTACGTGTGGGGGATAGCTTGTGTCTGATACAAAATCTATGGTCATCCTCAACAAGAGGCGACCTTCGCGCGCCCCACAGCGCTGATGATACGCCCGAAGAGCATCTCGCCGACGCCCAATCCAATGCAGATGGAGAGGATGAAGCCGACTTGCCATGTCCTGCACGATATCAGCATGTGCTTTCAAGGATCTATCAATCGGTCGTGTACGTACATAACAGCCAACATGAAGGCGAAGCCGAGGGCGCTCTGCAGTACTTGCAAGAGGCCGCGGGGGAGGTCTATGGAGGGGATGAAGCGGCTGCGCGGTCTCGTTGACGGTGCGGTCTGGGATGGTAGCTGGCCCTTGTGAGGTTCCGCCGCAGGCATGGGGAGACTGTGAGGGGTGGTTAAGCGGACCGATTGACCCATACAAGCTCAACGACGCACCTCCACCCAGATTCACACAGCACACGGAGCATAGCGAGCCAGCGCTCGAGGATACCCAACAGGAAGAGACCCAGACACGCGGCAAACATCGGGCCCGCATGCTTGGGTACCCAGCCGTAGAACCAGAGGATGTCGCCCAAGGAGATGTTGAAGTGGAGGTAGGGGACCATGGTTCCGCTGGCGAGCTCGATGGGAACGTCCATCGACATGTCCATGCCGTTGTCGCTGCCATGCGAGTGGGCGGCGGCAGTCATCGCCCAGGCGAGGGAGATAAAGATGATAGACCTCAGCATGTCGAGGGGCCGCATCGCGGTGCTGCTGGAGACCGTCGTGGATGGGGGCGACGGACAACTGATCCCGGGCCGAGCGGAGATCGCCACGCTCGCATGTGACCGTGGCAAGATTGACTCCTATTCTGGAGATTATCTAGTTGAACTTCCCGTTCAATTTGTCTGTGGCTTGTAAAGCGCTCATGATGACTTCCAAAAGGACGAAAAACTCCCTCCCGCGCAGAAAGTGCAGTATAATGCATCGAGCTGTTCTCGTATATCATAGCGCCTGCTTTGGCCAATCTAGTTCTGAGCGACAAGCACCCACGGTACCTCATCTTCCCCTCCTGCAGCACCTTTATCGCCTCCTCAATACCCTCTTTCGTCATAGGGAACGTCTGCACAGTCGGCTTCACCCCATGCCGCGCCGCGAAATCGAGCATCCTGCGGGTGAGGCTGCGCGACCCGACGCACGACCCCTGTACGGTGATGCCCTTGATGTTGACGGGAAAGGCGGGGAAGTTCTCGTAATTCCCGAGCTCGACGGTGAGGGGGAAGATGATGCCCTTGGGGGCCATGATGTCGAGGTACCTAGAGTGGGCGGTCAGTACGCTCAACGAACTGAGTGAATGGCGAGGTTAGGGGTCGACGCCCACTCACAGCTTCCAGTCAGGCTGCGCGTTCGCCGTCGAAAGGAGGCAATCGATGGGCTTGACATCGCTGAACTTTTCCACACCCTTCACAGCATGGAACTCCGTGGCGCCGAGCCCAAGGGCTTCCTCCCTCTTGCTCTCTGTACCGCTGAAGACAACGACTTCGCACCCCATCTTCGCCCTGGGTTTACATGCACCCGTCAGCAATTGTGCACATGTCCCTCGTCCCCGAAGGCACTCACGCAAACTGGATGGCCAGATGTCCCAAGCCACCGACCCCAATGACGCCGACTCTGTCCGTCGACTTGACGCCGTACCGGTTGAGCGCCTCGAACACGGTGGCACCACCGCAAAAGAGCGGTCCCGCATGCAGGAGGTCGAGCTTTTCAGGAACGCGGATGAGGAAGGACTCTTTGATCACGGCGTGGCTGGCGAAGGAGCCGACGTCGAGGTTGCTCATGCCGTAGAGGGCGGCATGGGGGCAGTACATCTGTAGAGGCGGTCAGCAAACGTTGAGAAGCGGCGAAAGGGACACTTACATCTTCGCCTTGATAACACATGTCGCAGGTACCGCAGGTGTCCTGCACATAACCCCAGCCGACGCGGTCGCCGCTGAAGAGGATATATGAGCGAATATTGAGACAAAAGAAAGGAGAATATACTGACGGCTTGAGGTCCTTACAACCATCCCCGACGCGCTCGACAATGCCCACGCCTTCGTGCCCGAGCACCATGTTCTGTTCGCGGAAGTGGACGTCTGTGAAGCAAAGACCGGAGTGCGTAACCTTCACGAGCACAGAGTCATAGTCAAGGACGCGGTGCGTGATATCCTGTACGATCTTGCCGCCAGGCGAACCCTTGAAGACGGTGAAGGAGACAGCGTTGAGGGTGGATGCCATTTCGGTGAGAGATTTGCTGTTATTGGGTTCGGTGCAAAAGGCGTTGAGCGAAACGAGACAACAAGCGATGTACGAAGGCGACCAAGAGATCAGGGGACGATGTTATGTTGACCCACTCAGAGCCTCTGAGAGACTTATATGCCCGTCGTGTACCCGGCGCACCCTTGTTTATCGTTGTTAGAATTCCTGTATGAGACCGAAGAGCAGGGAAGAATCTGCAAGTCACGCGAGCCGTGGCTCAGGACAGGGCGGAGGCCTCGGTACTTTGGTCAACACACGTCCAGTATCCTTGAAGTAGTTGGTCAGCTAACATTAATCGTGATCGGGCATGTTTGCTGAGGCCGACCGAACACACTTTGGAGACCAACTTGCGTGAACGCGCGCGAAAACTTCGTTGAGGGACGCATGGCCGTTGATATATCGTGCAGGGTTTGGGGGGCCAGAGACAGAATGGCAGCCAGCTGCGCAGTGAACAGGCAAGCAACTGCTTATTGAACTCCTTTGCTCTCGAGGGCCCGTTTTTCCTTCGTGGGGAGTGGAATGAGAGACAAACGATTGCGAGGTTCGTTTGTTGCCTCTCAAGCACAAAAAATACTTGCTGGGCTTCATTGTAGGTAGAGCGAGGTACAAGCTCGTCCGATTCGGAGGACCAGTGCCAGTGATGCAGGGTGTACCGCCCGAACAGACAGAGTAAGCATTGGAGATCAAGCAGGCAGAACTTGTGGGTTGAGTAAATGTCATGAGCAAGCAAGTTGAAAGGAAGGCTCGGGACGGGCTCGGTGGGATGGTGGCGGTCGCCCGCCACCTCGCACGAGGGACCATGTCACAAGTTCGGAGAATTCCGACGACCCACGTGTGTCACAGTTGATCTTGGGGAGTGAAGGAATAGAGGTTATTCCTTCCGGCTATTCGGACGAGACCGAGCAGTAGGCGAGCGGGAGTTTCGCCCACGCAGGAGAGTGCCCTCATGTGTGGGAACAAATTACGGCTGGGCAACAAGTCAAGCGTGGAGTTCTGGCAAGCACCTGTCCCTTGCCAGCGCAGGGGTTGAGACCGCGGCCCTAGTCCTTGCCTTCATAGCAGCGAGGCCCTGCCTGACGAGTTCCCTTCCTCCATTCGATGTCTGAAGACAAGTAGACCTCGAATGAAGTTGACCGGAAAAGGGACGTCGAAATTGCCGGATTCGAACTACTGACTTCCCCATCTGATTGTTCTGATTGTTCTGTGATTCCCACCGCGCTCCAGCCTCAGGGGCCTTCCCGCTCGTGCGGTGTTACCTTGGCTTCCTCCACAGCTTGCTTGACGCTGCTCTTAGCACCTGCGCGGGGCACCGCACAACGCCATGGCCGGCCGCTACGCCCCCATCCCGACGAGCACCGACGCGGAGCGTGAGCTCGACGATGCCTTTGGGCCTGACGACGACGGCGATCACCACGAGACGGCCCCCTTAACTGGGCGGCGGCAGTCCGCAGACCATTACGATGACAGGCACTACGATGACCGGCAGCACGGCGGGGAGCAGGCTACCAGCGCGCTGGCGGGCGGGTACGACTTCGACCGCGAGTACGAGTACGACAGGCCTCCGCCGGGGAGCCCGCCAGCACCGTCGGCGCGCGCTCTTCCCAACGATTATGGCAACACGAACGGCGAGATACCCACAGCGCCTGCCCTGCCAACACCACCCCGACCGCGACTAGGCATCCTGCGCCGTGCGATGGGGGCTATACTGCCCACGCATTATGCGCCACTACCCCAGACCGAGGTAGTGCCTTCGCATGCGGTCGGTGGTGGCCTGCAGAACGATGGTGTCTTCGCGAACGTCACTGCGAAGCCCGACCGCGGGCAGCTCGTGCGCGCGACGAACGGGGAGACGTACGTGATGCCAGAGGATGCGCAGAAGGACACGCCGCCAGTGAGTGCCCATTACTCTGTGCACCCTATCCATCTAATCACTTTCTTCAGTCCTACGTCGAGGCTCAAGCCGATGCCGTCCCCACGTACTACGAAACAACCGTCCATGCTGCCCCCGTCGATCCCAGCGCAGACATCCTTGTCGACGATCTGCCTCCAGGCTCACTCTGGATCTTCCTCATCAACGTCTTCATCAGCTTTTTCTTCCAGGTCGTCGGCTTCCTCCTCACCTACCTCCTCCACACCACGCATGCCGCCAAGTTTGGCTCGCGCGCCGGCCTGGGCCTCACGCTTATCCAGTTTGGTCTGTACTCGCGCGGGATCAGCAACGGGGAGAACCCGCCGCGCGACCCCGTTGATGCGCTTTTCGGCTGGACGATGGGCGGGATGAACGAGACGATGATGATGGGGAACGGGACGTATGGTGGTGAAGGCATGGGCATGTACGGTGGGAATACCGAGGACTCCAACAGCATCGCTACTCCCTCTATGGACTCCCCCTCCGATTCGTACACCGCCGAGCCCGACAACTCAGAGACGCACGACTGGATCGCGTTCATCCTCATGAGCGCCGGCTGGTTCGTCCTCTTCACCTCCGTCGTCGGTTACTGGCGCGTCAAGCGCTGGGAGCGCGCCATCCGCTCCTCCACCATGCTCGCCCCCGACGCCAACACACCCCGCACCTCGAACATCACTGCCCAGCTCTTCGGCCTCAACCCGCGCTCGTCCCTCGGTCGTCGCTCTACCACCTCCCGCTCATCCCTATCGCGAACCGCCCAGCCCGTCACACCCGCCGCGCTCGCCCGCGACCGCGAGATTCGGCGGAACCTCGAGGCCGTGTTCGGAATCGCGGCGGAGGACGAGGCGGAGGCGGAGCGTGAGCGCCAGCGGGCGGAAGCTGAGCGCAGAGTGCAGAGGGACGAGAATGGGAATGTCATCGTGCTGCCCGCGAGGGAGACCCTGGAGGAGCAGCGGTTGACGCGCGATCTGCAGGCGGCGGGGTTGCTGTGATGGGCGAGGAGGATGATATGCTCCAGCGCTTGCGTCTTGGGCACGGTGATATGCAGGGATAGACGCCTCGTTCGTTCTATGGACGCACTTGCCGGTCGTTTGTGGGCTTGGTCTTGGGTGCACGCTTTACAACTCCAGTCGTTGCAGGAGGGCGTCATTCGCGCCTGACACAGTCTGTGATCTTGACTTATCGTTCTTTGATACTGACCGGGAATTGACTCTAGTATCTATGTAATTGAATTTATCCTTGCTGGATTGTGTATAGCGACACACGCGGACGGTATACTTTCAACTGGGGCGATGGACCTTTATCATAAACCGGCTTTCACCTGCCCTTCAATCTCCTGAGGTCGCTACAGCTTTGTCTTGTCTGCCAGCAGCCCAACTTCAGATCCTCAGCGGTACCATTCAAATCTCGAGGGGCGCCCTGCAGGTCTTTGCATCGCCATTCAGTTCATTGCCGCCGAAGGGCCCTTTCCATTCAAAGCTGCTTTGCATTTGATGCCTTTTTGCATCTTCAACAAGGTCATAAACAAACAACTTCATATCCGAGCATCGGGATGGAGGTCAGAAGAGGTACGCATTTTCCTACTTCATAGCAAGTTGTTCCTACTTCAGGGCAATTTGACTTGCCCTGTATGGTTTTCTATGCGGCTTTGTTTCGTGCAGGTAAGTGCCCCACGACAATGCGCCTGGTGCTTACCCGAGCGTCGGAAGGAGGCGCAGCTAATGCGCGGACTGGAAGGACGATAGCAGCGCACTTGGGTGGAGGGATGATACTAGCGCGCTCTGGTGGCGGCGATGGCAGCGCGCGCAACTAAGGAGGGCACATCGGCGGAGGCGATATCGCCGCAACTTGTGTGGGATGTCGTCTGGCGGCCAGATCGATGCTAGAAATGTTTGTGGTCAGTGATACTTCCGTCTAGCGAGACGTTACAACTACTCTGACGCTGATCCTAGGTGCATAGCCGAATCCGGTGGCGCTCCGCGCGATCTCGAGCGAGAGCTGCATGATGCTGGGGCGGGAAGCGAGGCGAGGGGTGCCCGGGGTGGTGCCCGCCGCCATTGGGCAGTACTGCCCGCGTATCTCGTCAGCGGTCCCCACCCAAGGTGAGGTCAACGACACCCACGCTGAGGTCAACGATGCCCGCGCGGTCCCGTACCTCGGTCTAGCGTTTCTTCCCAGTTTTACGATGCTGGACTGCGCAGGGCGATGCTTTCGTACACGGCCAGCAGACGGGCACGAGCGGCCAACAAACGGAGTGATAGCGTGTTGATTCCATCCCGCTTCGAAGGTTCCGAATGGAGGTACTGCGAGCGCGAAAGAGCCTCGAAGCGCGCATGAAGGAACTTCGAAGGCGCGAATGAAGAGCGCGGGCTTCGACTACAGGTCCGGCGCTGCGACGGGAAGACGGGTCGAGGAGCGGTAGGAATCTTCGCGTCGGTTCGCTCGCCAAGCAGGCACCATGGCCGCCCACCGCAAGCCTGGTGGGGTCAGCTACCCGACAAGCGGTCCAGGAAGTAAGTCGTGGCGCGCAGTCTTCTCCACGATGATTTATCACCTTGCTTGCAAGGTCTTACTGGTGTGTGTTTGACCCATTGTATCGCGTACATAAAGCCAAACAACGGAGATAAGATAATGCACCTTGTACAATCCCTGAATCCTTTGCTGTGATACCGTCCGTCATCTGAGCTTGCCCCTCCCGTCGAAGCTAGGACCGTCTACGTTGTTTTATGTACGAGCGTGAACGACCAGTGCCAGCCTCTTATCAACGACTCCCTGCGAAAACGGACGCAACGACTTCACCTTATGCCCTCTGATGTCCTGTCGCGCAGTCAGTTTTATTACGACGATGCCGAGAACGTTATAAACTGCACCCAGCGGCGCAGTCATTCCGCTCGTGACCGTCTGGACAGCGACGTTCCATGACGTCAGCGTCGCTTCGAGCCCTATCCGGCTTCGGTGCCGGGGTCCCGCATTTTCTTTCCCAGCTATCGTCTTCGTCGACCGCGACCTGCACTTCCTCGTGCTTCGTGTGCTCGTGTGGCCATCCTCTGAACACTCCTTCAACGTGCCGCTCACGATGCTTCCGAATAATCTTCACGCATACACTCAACTCAGCATATGATCCTCAGGCGCATTTCGACAGTTATCGTCGTCGACCGAAATCAGCGCCGCGCTCATTATATGAGCTTCTGCACGTTTCGTCACAGCAACGGGGAAAGGGGTCATCCTGCTCGTGGTCAGGGTGCATGCCTTACAGGTGTGTGGTCGATCTTGCGATCGTTTCTCTGCTTGACCGGCTTTCACAGATGTCTGCGGAGTTCAGCTGCTCTCGTCCTTCACATATTCAACATTCAATACGCCGCCCCTAGGGGGCGCTGACGCATTTCACTACGTACTGGACGAATTGGCGCGGTCTTCGTGAATGACGAGCGTATCTTCGTCTTTTTGCGGCCGTGCGCTACAGGCCTACGGATTTTGGGTGCTCAGTCACGTGGAGCACCCAGATTCTGTACGTCCGGGTTGCATCCTCCGCATACATTGTCTAACACCGTCCTTCAGTCACGTATATCCTCGACAATCCTACCGCCGCTTCTCGTCTTACTCTCCACATGTCGATACATACAGTCATCCGTATAATCAGAGAATGCAAGATTTACAACCTAGAACGATATGCTGCCCATCGCTCCTTCGACGCCACATCCAATCTTTCCAGTCTATCATCCTCCGCCAGCAACTCAGGCTCGTGTGTCTGCCTGAACACGCTGCGATCGTACTCGCGCAGCAGGCGTATGCTGTGGCGCCCTGCGCTGCGCGAAAGTGCGACATAGACGTTGAAAAGGTTCAGCGGCGTGCCACTAGGAACCTTGGCTATGTCAACAATCACGGCAGGCAGAGTCTGGCCTTGTGCTCTGTAATCCGTAAATGCGTATGCGGGCGTAATGGGAAGTTGTCGCCTGTTAACTGTTCGAGTCCCTTTCTTTCCGGTCTTGCCGTCCTCCACTCTAACTGACATCCCTCGTTCAATAGGTGCTATGGGCACGACTCCTTCCGGAAGACCTTGAAGTTGTCGCAGCCGAGTCCGCTCAAGCTTGACGAGGACATATGCGGGCAGATACCGTAGGTGAACAACACTGTCGTCGGTGTGTTGTGGCTCTGCAGGATTGAACACTATGCCCACGATTTGGCCGCGAGCTCCGTTGGCGATGTCAAGATCTGTGTCAATGTTCTCGGTGACCATGACCTGTGCTCCTACTGCTACCTGGATCTCCCGCGGTAGGTCTTTCGATGCTGACTTTCTGCTGCCGCTTGATCGCTGAACGAGAGCCAGACGTTCCGCAAGAGTCAACGACCGTCCCTTCGAGGTGGTATCTTGGGCTCGGCAGACGTATAGCGTCCGTCGGGTAGACGCGCAGTGTGCTCGCATGGCCGCTTCGTTCCACTCCTTGCGCACTGAATGACGAGGCGTTATCAAGAAAGGCTGTTGCCACCGTGGGTCATCTGTGGGAATTGGTGGACAGTTGGGGTGACCCAGCACAAGCTCGTCTAGCATCGTCAAGTCTTGCTCCGCCACATCGCCTCGCCGTAGCCTTGAGAGGAAGGTCCGCCACTCGTTGTCCACGACTCGCATCTGCTCTCGCAGGATGATGACATCGGTGAACTCCTCGTAGATGTTTCTGCCCTCCACCATCCACAAGTTATCCGTTGCGTGTCGAGGGTGGTAGAGTCGATTTGCAGGCTGGCATTGCACTGGCGGAAACTGGTGTTGGTCCCCTGCCAGCGCCACGCTTATACCGCCGAATGATCCTTTGGTAAGTGCGTTCTTGCCAATGGCGACGTGTGCTGACAGCTTGGCCAAGAATACTTTCGATATCATCGAGTATTCATCGATGACGAGGTAAGAGTATCTTTCCCAGAACTCCTGAAGCTTTCGCTTCGTCTCCTGTGACATCTCGAGCTCACCCTTGTCATTGACAGAGATGCGGCCAATGACATGCAGCGTTTTTCCATCAATGAGAGACGCCGCGATGCCCGTATATGCTCCCTTGAGGATGAGGTGCGGTACGCCCTTTGCGCGGAAGAGCTCAGTGATCGTCTGCACTACGCGCGACTTGCCCGTTCCCCCCTCTCCGTACAGCAGCATGCGCATCGGAGGTGGTGATTTGTTTCCGAGCGTCTCCTCCAAATGCCAACGGAAGAGGTCGTATGCGCGACGTTGGTCAGGACGAAGGTCGTCCACGTTCAGGTGATGTACCCTATCCATCTCATCTTGCGACGGTGTTTGCGACGAGGATGTGTGTGTACCCCCGTATTGCTGTTCGCCGATGAAAGTGGACACGGATGGCATGGCGTCTCTCTGTTTGTCTCCTCTGACACTGCCGTCATTCTAGATTGCATCAGTCGGCGCATAGATTGAATAATCAAGTCATACATACCATTTCCACCATATTGAGTTCCGCGTTCTGTACCTTCATCTCCTGCTGCCATACGCTGAGCTGATCTTCGCTCCCAGTATTAGCGCGTGCAACTGCTGGAGTTGTCGACTCTACATCCCACTGCTCCCCGACTGGCCGAAGCAAATGACCGGCTATGCCACAGGCCACAGCGCTTCGCCCATGCAGATATTCTCGTAAGCCGCCTCTTTGCTGCAGGCGCTCCTGTTCCTGAACGTCTTCCTCAGTTGCAACATGTTGCGTGGACGCGTGAAGGCGGTCAACATCAACATCATCATCGCCCTCCCCATCCTCTCCTGGTCCAACATCGTCATCCCGTCTGGCATGCTCCTGGTCTTGCGTTGCTCGCCTATCCTCTGCTGCGGCGTGACAGTCGTGGAAGTACTGAAGGCCGGCGATGACTCTATGGTCCCTCGTGGTGGCCCCCAACATGAACATGTCGTATGCAGACTCCCAGGTTTGCCCCGCATCTTTAAGGTCTGTCAATCTTCGCCATGGCTTCAACAGCATCATGATTGATGCTCGCCGCAGATCTCCGCACTCGTCATCGCCTTCACTCGGGATACGTGCGCCGACCAAGTTGCCGATGTTGTTATGACCATCGAGACGGAGGACACGAGTTTTCGAGCCGCGGCAGGGATGGCCCTCAAGGTATGGTATCCTTTCCTGCTGTCGTGGATGGGCTGCTCCTTGATCGTCCTCATGATTGCCCTGCTGCTCGCCTCGTACTCGTGCTTCCCATGTTTCAATGAAGAAGTCCCAGACGCTCATGTTCTCCAGAGCATTTCCTCGACAGACGTAGTCTGTATACTGAGATGCGGGATAGATTGTCTTCTCTCCGCTGAGCTCGAGCGTCACTGTCTCGATGTCGACAGCGTCTGGCACACGAGTTGTTGACGTATCCTGTTGTACTTTCAGCACCCATCTGTATGGGAAGGGAGGCAACACACGGTAGAATCAACAGGGCTTCCCTCTCCTTCATGTTCTCCTTGCGCTTGCACTCCACGAGCGTGAGTGCTACAGTGCGTCAGCATATGGGCATGACTAAGTCAGTGTATCTACTTACCTTGTCTGTATGTCCGGATAGGTGCGCAACAACATGCGTGTGAATGTCGTCCAGTAGATGGCAGTGTAATGGTGCGAGCGATACACGTCCCCCCAGCCCATAAGGTACGACATCACCATTGGCGCAGCTAACTCCTGCTCACGATTGACAGTCTGCACTAAACGGTTGAGCAGTAGTCGGTTCCGATCTCGCATGCTGTCAAGATAGTCCGTCGTCGTCTGGTGGTACGCATATCCCTTTGCCAAGAGAGCAGACTGTGAATGCGTCTTTTGCTGCTTCTTCCCAGCATACGAGGTGCAGTAGAATGCGATGCTCTTGGTTTCGGCACCATTGGTGAGTAGCTTGATGTCGTTATTGCATTTGAGAGTGATGGCAATTGCAGGGTTCCATGCGTTGATGTAGGGGAAGAGCCGCTTTGGCCCCCAACGACCATCCTCGAGAACGAAGTCCTCTTCGTTCCTGTCGAAAGGTGCGCCTCGCTTGCACTCCAGAACACCCTTTTTGTTGAGTACGAGGCAGCGACGGCGATGACAAGTGTGAACTTGTTGCATGCGTGCCACTTTCGTCTCGAGCATCTGCACACGCTCGGCGTAGTTCGCCACGTCAGGGTGAATGGGTCGTGAGTACGGCACCTCCGCATTCCTCTCGATCGACTTTACTGACTCGCCGTCTTCAAGGCCTGGAAGATACGCGCGTATGCACGTGCGAATGAACTCCACCGCCCGAGCACGGTACTCTGGGTCTTTAAGCATCAACTGTAGCTGGGATGATGTCGGTGTGTTCTCCAGATAGACCAGCATGTGTAAATGGAGTGTTCCGCGACCCTGCGACTCTACCGTGCCGAAGTACGCTGACACCCGTCCAAAGATACCCTCTTGAGAGGTGGTCTTGAACGGGGTCACATGCACGCCCAGAAGGACCTCGAGGACGAGACGGATCACGAAATGGAAGTACTTCGCCGCTGCGTAAGGGTCTTTGGCTATAGTCACTGCTCTTTCGTGCTTGTCTGGCCCCGAGGTCGCCAGGAAAGAGTCCATGTCGATGTCCTCCCCAGCGAATATTTGCGCAATTGGATCGTGGATATCGCTTGGATTGATGGTGATCCAAAGCGAGGGCGGACCAAATGTGAGCGATGTCGACCATATTTGACTGCGCAGCCGAACACGCGCAGTGTCCGTACCAGTCACTCGGGCAGCGGTCGCATGGACATACGAGCGAAGTAGGCAAATCGAAGGGTCTGATATCGCGACTCCCCGGGCTTCCTCGTCAATAGCCTGCTCCAGCTTATCGTCTGTGATGCTCATGATGGTGAGCGCGTCCCTCTCGAATGTCTTCCGCTGCATCTGAAGACGCGCAGAACCGAGCGCTTCCCGGCGCTGTAGGATTCCAAAGACAACAAAGCAGAAGGTCTCGCTGCGCGCGAATCTTCGCGTGTGATGGCGCATGCACCATTGTACCTCCTCGCGGAAGTCCAGCGGGACACGACGAGTTGACTCGATACCTCCTCTCCCGTATGGAAAGAGGTAAGGAAACGCCTTCTCAAAGAAGTTATGCTCCTCGGCATGATTGCCTACAACAGGCATTTCTCTCCGTCGTCGCTTGCCACCAGGTCCAAAGTCGCTGACAAACCGACTGCCATGGCGGACGACGTATCCTCCCTCCTGTCCTTGTTCCCATAGGTTCGAGATGCCCCATGCGGCCACGTCACTAACCGGAACTCTTCGAAGATCACTGTCAACAGATCCAGCGATATCAAAGGGTATGACCTCTGCTTCAAAGGTCAGCTTCACTGCACCTCATCTCTTCGCTTGAGTACTTACGCGCTTGTGAGGTTCCTTCGCCTGCTCTGCTGACGCCGGCGTCTACAGTCAAATCCGGCGCTTGGTCTAAAAAATGCTTTAGCTTTCCGAAACTTGCGCGTTCATGCTCAATTTCACCTTGATCTCCTTCGTGTACATCCCCTCCACCTTCTTCGTCTTGGGGCGCATATCCCCCATGCTCCTCCTCACCAATGCCCTCATCATCATCGCGCGTGATACACGCTAGGACCTCTGCTGGTACGTCGTCATCCGGAATAGATGACAGCCTTTCCTCTGATAATTCCAGCGCGCCAAAATACTTGGGATCATTCTCCCGAAGCCACGCGAACGCGTGACGGAGCACTGGCCGGCGAACTCGGAACGTCGAGTGAAGCCATCCCTCCGGAAGAGGGCCCGGCCCGATTATAGTGACGCTCAGCGTAGATGGGAGGATGGACAGTGGCCGTGGGAGGAGATCGCCCTCTACCATGTCGGCCACTCCATTCATATCCAGATCATAGGAGCAAACATTGCCGCGCATTGCCCGTTGGTTGGATGACCCGTCGGGCGCGCCTCCAATTTTCGGGCGAAGCTTGTATATGAATACTCGGGGGTACACCAGCGATAGCAACAGCTGCTCCACGACAGTTAGCTGCTGCAGAATCCAGGGTGTACGTCCAATCCAGAGGCCATTGGCGAGAGAGAACTTCGGTGGGTCATTGTTTGGAGCCTTCAGATCGTCCAGGCATTCTGCGCAGACGGTGGCGCTTTCCTCGCCTGCCTCATCAACACGCACACCCGCTGGATCTAGGAGCATGCCGTGATATATGTCGTGCTCCGCGTGAGGCTGCGAGGGGTAGAGTTTATGCGCGTTTGGCATGTTGGCCAGACGTATGTTAGCGGGAGGCTTGTCGGGTCCGAGATGATCTCTCTCTCGTGAGCACACTGCGCAGATCCAGTTGGCAAGTGCAGAGTTCGAGGTGCGCTCAATAAAGCGACGACAGCAATCCATGATCACTGCTGCTGACGGTGATCGAAGGTACTCGTGTACGTCCACCGTGCGCCTGCGTTGCCCAGAGCGACCATGTGCGCGTCCCGTGACATCTCCTTCCTCTTCATCTTCCCTCTTACGCTTCCTAGGTAGGCCTGCCCGCTTGGCGTCGATCATGCGCTGATATTCTTCAAGAACCGCTGATGGGGCATTGGTGATGATATGCTCGATAATCTGGGGCTTGCGACTATGCTGCACTCGACTTGGTATGACGATATGATGCCTGCGTGCGGTATTGAGCAAGTCCTGAACTGTGAGGCGCATCAGCCGCGCTGCCTGGTCAGCGCTCTGTCCCGTCGACGCATCCTCCATGATGGTAAAGCAGTGACCAGTGTTCGAAACGCGTGTCTTGTCTCCGTCTCGCCTCTGTTTTTTGCAGGTCACACGTCCGTCACAAGCCTTGCTCTTCAACCCCTCGACAAGCAGTACAAGGCCGAACAACATATGACTGAGACTTCCATGGGTGCGTATATTTACATGCCGCACTGCTGGCCCATGGTACGTCTTTTCATCATGGCCTGTCATCAGCAGCTCGATGAGATCCAGACTGAACTTCACTCTCAAGCTCTTGATAACTACCACAAGCATGCTATTGTCTACCTTCCAGCGCTGAACTCGGCGGGCTGGCCAGAACTCCCTGTACACTGGGGCATTGCCGACGATGCAGATATTCTGTGCACCATCGAAAGTACGTCATATTGAACTTTAGGAGTGAGTATCCCTCATGACTTATTCTCTTCAGGCCGTGAGGCAATTCTCGCCTTTCCAGGGCGCATCCTTCCTGGAACGGGTGCTCGCTTCAGTCCTGATGGCAAATGGAACGGCGGTGGCCCGAACAACAACCTTTTCGAGGACATCTCCATCGCGTTCTACATCGCACCCGCTCTGCTGTTCCATGGCACATTTCAGATCGACTCCCTCCGAGCTGCTAGACACCTGTACGCGATCAAGAGCATGATCATCGATGATGAGAGTCCAACTGCGTACAGTTGGGACGTACTTCCCATCACGCATCGTCTCTTGGAGGTATTCAAGCGCATTTCTCGTCGCATTTTCACGCCATTTAACGCACTCACAGAAGAAGCTTTCGTTTGAGCCTGGCTCACCGCTGCCTCCTCTACAGAGGCGCGCTTTTGAAGAACGTCCATCCACACTCATTGAGCACCCTCGTACGTGCTCATTCTGGTGCTACTATCATGCATCTATTTACGCTTCCGCTTAGTTCCCAGCTGCTTTACAAATGAAGGCTGGCCGACGACAACAGATGCAGCTCGACAGGAGCTCACACGTCTGACTCCTACGCATCAAGTTCGTCCTCTGCCCGTATACGATGAGCACAACAACCTCTTAGATCCCTCATACTACGAGACTGTCCTGCCTGGTGCTCTTGTCAACGTCCTGTTCAAGCTTCGCCACCAGCGCGACAAGCGTGGTCACCACTATTTCCTCCACCAACTCGAGGAGATCCTGATCATTCGACGGGGTCCTGTGACCCACTCGGTGCAGCGCTCGGGAAAGGGTGTGCCCTTGTCTGCGAGATTTCCTCTGCCACGGTATGTTCTTGTTCAGCTTCGCCAACGACTACTGAGCACAACGTTCTCAGTCCGACACGTGCGCTGCTGAACGGCGAAGACGACCACAAGGCGTGCAGTGACAATGGCTCAGACGGCGGTGACAGCGATGCAACAATGTCCGACAACGACGCAGAGTTTCCTTCATCTATTGTTCCTTTGTTCGCGACGCGCAATTAGTTTTAGTCTCATGGTATATCTCCGTGTTTAAATGAACTTGATTTCTCGTGTTCCTCATCCTGTTTCATCTCAGCAACACAACATGGAAGCCACTGAGCCAAGTCAAGTGCCGTCCGCTCCTCATTCATCCACACTCGCAGACGCTTTACTCGATGCTGTAGTGGATGAGACAATAGACCATCAGATCGCCATTGAGCTAGCTCATGCTTTGCTTCGAGGCGCGGTTCGTCAGCTTTCTTCACTTACCGTGATTCATATTCACATTTTTCCAGCTTATCAAAGTCCAGGCGCAGATGGAAGCAAACTGCTTGCCGTTCAACTCCCACAACGCAGACAACACAGTGAAACACGTTGACACAATGCTCCGACTCCTCAAGACCGAAGATGGACAGGAGAACAGCTGGCTCAACAGATTGAAAGCTCGATTGAGTGCAGAGTCTCGGAATCAATGACGGGGGTTGAAGTGGATATGTATTTCGCCTCTCAAGTCTTGTAGACGTATTGTTGAATGTAGGTGTGTGCCTGTTCCATCGTCACCAGAGGCAATGCTATCTTCCATTGAGTATAACCGCTGCTCGCCAATTCATTTACTTACGTTTATGCAGACTTGCTAAGAAGAGGAGAGTGTGATTGTAAGGTGCTTAAAGCATGTTAGCTGATATAATGCCTGAACAGAGCGCAACCACACACCTGTATTGAGAGAGCGGGCACCCTTATTGTGCTTGTCTGCTGTCTCTAGCTGTGGCGGTGCTGAAACTGGTCGCGCGACCAAGGAATGAGGAGATAGATAGTGGGACATCAGCGACATGTAAAGGCGACTCAAGGGGATGCACACGGCGCCTCGATACGCAAGTGCATTAATAGCCACAACAAGTGATCAAAGTGACACAATGCTGTCAGCCAGAACACAATAGTGTCTTGTGAGCGATTTTCTCTCTTTGAGCCTCTATCAACATTCGCAATGCAGACGAGGGAGAAGTCGAACATGAACAAGAAGTCACAAGACTGTGGGACAAGAACGCCACATAATCACGTGGGGCGAGATCGGGCTAACACGCCAGGCAGAGCGTCTCATGCTTGTTTGCCTTGTCATCCCGTAAGAATTGGCTACGATTCCGCAGTGCACAAATATCCAATGTCGCTGCGCTCACTCTCCTTCCCCATCTTCCTCCAACCATGCCCCCTTCGACTGCGAAAGCACTCCCCACCAAGGGCAAGACCGCTCAGCCGGCGTCGAACTCTGCCGCGGGCACCTCGTCAGCCTCGAACACGACCACAGGCCGTGTCCTTTCGGCACAGCAGCTGGATGAGCAGCTCGCCAGACTACGCACATCCGCTCTCTACGTCATGATCAGATACGGTCATCTCTACCTTCCTGACGCCGATCTTGTCGAGCGATACACGACCTGGGGCCGGGACAGTATTGGCGATGTTGTTGTTTTCAAAGATCTTGAGGATGGTGCGTTGCTTACCCATCCTCACTCCATCCCTCTGACGTGAATATAGCGAAGGCCCGGTATGCGTCGATGCAAGACACCGCTTCTGAAGCTAGCTCAGAGGAAGCGGACGATGAAGACGACAGGCCGCCTGTTGATGGCGACCCAGTCATCCTTCAGCTTGTCACTACCGTCGACAAAGCCGGCTCTCTTCTCACTGCAGACGGCAACTGGCAGGGATTGCAGAACTCCTCCCTCCCCGATCCACCCAAGTTCGACAAGCTCACTCTCAAGATCCGCTTGGGTGCTGTAGCTCGGAAGTTTGCTTCATTCGTACCAGAGCACACCTCCGCAGTCGACAATCTCCGCAAGCTCCTTGGACTGCGGGCGAAGTCCGAGTATAGCACGGGCCCTTCCCTAGAGGGGTTTTTCCACCTGAATCACCGGGTGTTTGCTGTACGTCTTCACCCTTGTCTCTCGTAACTACCTATTCTCACCTGCTTTGCAGAAGCTTCAACGCTCGGCAGTAGATGGATCGCTTGTCCGTCCGGATCTCGCAGGTAAGACCACCTTGACCTCGACTACTTTTTCGCTGACGATATCATCGATTAGGCCTCCCCTCATTTTACAACATCAACCATTACCCCTTTCACACCATCCACGCCATGAGGGATGTCAAGGAGATCAGCTCGACTCATCGTGTCGTACCTTTGCCGGCTTACGAGAACGACAACATCATCAACCCGAACGCGTACGAGGACGCTATTGGAGGCTCCCTCGTGCTTGCCTCCTTCAAGCTGCGCCACTATCTCATCAAGAAACAGTCCGTCTTCTCTTACGAACTGGACGAGATCAACATCGTCTCGCGCGGCGCGGAGGGCACGAAGCGCAAGGCCGGCATCAAGTCCACTTCACCCATGAAGAAGATGCGTCTGTGAGTACCTGCCTTCGCATATGCCCACTTTACTGATACACTGAACTGCAGTCTCTGACCTGCCTTTGACCTGCCGGATGAAGCGTATATGTAGTGTGTTGTCGACCGACTGATATTGTTCTGTGTACTTGTACGTTACCGTGGTTCAACCCAGCTAAAAGCATAAATAACAATTTGTTTCAACTCATCATTGTGTGCATGCGCAAGCAAGGTCGTTGGGAGGCGTAGCCGACGCTTCTCTAGTGTGACGGTGCGCGTGGGGCGCGCCCTTTGCCAAGGTGACTGTCACCACTCCATTCCTCTGAATCGAAAGACAATCGTGCTCGAGCCATTGAGGTGTGTGTCTCTTTGTTGATGTCTTTGACTGGACCTGCGGGCACACAACACGTTCGAGGTGTTGTGTGCGTCCCGTTCTGGACGGCGGCGAGACCAGATTGGGATCAATTGTGGGCGCAATAGAGAGGTTGCACGTGTGGGGTACCTGGGGCGCCACGCCCATTCGGGTACCGTGGCAACGGCTCCATCGATCGCGCGGACGGACCGATCGCCTATATAAGGGCGGGCGCGCGTACGTGGTTCGTCTTGTCGACGCCCTTCCTTTCATTTTTCTTGTGCTCCGTGCTTGTTTGTTCTCCGGGTGTCTTGCTTGCATACGCCCGCTGGTCCCTCCTCCCACTCACTCCCACGAACGACAGTCTCTTCTGCACATATCACCATGTCTTTCGTTAAGGCGTTCGTTGCCGCGCTCGCGCTCTCCACCGCCTCAGTCGATGCCCTGCGCCCCTCCATCCACGGCCGCGGCCACTCCAACTGGCGCCACCACAACACCGTGCGCCCGCGCGCCACGTCGTACACCCTCAAGGACAAGTTCGACTCGTCTAACATTCTTGAGTGCGTCCCCCGATCGCGACTTTACTTCCGCTTTACTGACGCGTCGCAACAGCGAGTTCGACTTCTGGCATAGCGAGGACCCCACCCATGGCAGTGTCAACTACCTCGGGAAAGACGAAGCCACGGAGAAGAAGCTCGCCTATGTTGATAATGGTGCGTATCGGCGATAGATGCCCTCCGTGGCTTGTGCTTAATGTGCCTTCCAGGTGTCGTCGTGCTGGCCGTTGATGACACTACCTGGCTTCCTAGCGGTGGCAACCGTGACTCGTACGTGTCTGATCTACTGCTCTTCCATACGATGTGCCAACCAATTCTGCTTCTAGTGTCCGCATTAGCTCCAAGGCAAACTACGATAACGGCCTGTTCATTGCCGACTTCGAAGCGATGCCTTGGGGCTGCTCCGTCTGGCCCGCCTACTGTAAGTCAGCTCTAGATCCCTTTACCTCCTATGCTGACCTATGTCAGGGTCCAACGGCCCCAACTGGCCCGCCGGTGGCGAAATCGACGTCCTTGAGGGCGTAAACGAGGCCACCACCAACCAGTACACCCTCCACACGTCCGATGGCTGCTCCGCCTCCGCCGGCAACGCTAAGATTACCGCGAACCTCGGTAACGCAAAGTGCGCCTCCGCCAACGGCGACAACGCCGGTTGCGCCTACTTCGATACCGACAACCGCAGCTACGGCAAGGGCTTCAACGAGGCCGGTGGTGGGGTCTACGCGCACCTTATCGACTCGACGGGCATCAAGATCTGGTTCTTCTCCCGCGGCGACGTCCCCCAGGACATCACTTCAGGGAACCCGGACCCGTCGAGCTGGGACAGCCCCGCGGCGTTCTGGGCCACGGAGACATGCGACATCGCCAGCCACTTCTACTCGCAGCAGCTCATCATCGACACGACGCTCTGCGGCGACTGGGCCGGCAGCTCGTTCAACTCTGATGGTTGCTCCGGCTCGTGCGCTGACACTGTTGCCGACCCGGGCAACTTCAAGAACGCGAAGTGGCGCATCAACTCGATCAAGGTGTACCAGGCTGGCGGTGACGGTGGTGACGACTCTGGCTCTGGCTCGTCCGATGGCGCCTCGTCCACCGACTGGTGGAGCTCCGAAACCATCAGCGCGAGCCTCGGCTTGACCATCTCCGCCGGTAACGTGAACGCGCAGCCCACGGACTCGGTCGCGCCGACCAGCACCGCGTGGAGCTCCGCCGCGTCCGCGACCAGCACCGGCTCCCCGGACAACGGTGACGACGAAGACTGCGATGATGAGGATGACGGCGAGGACGACACCGATGGCGAGAACGCGAACGACGAGGACGACGGCGAGGACTGCGATGACGAGGGCGACGATAGCGCCTCCGGCACCGCTGCCTCCGCTGCCGGCGCCTCGTCCACTGGTACGGGCTCTGAGGACGGCGACGACTGCGATGACAGTGAGGGCGCCTCGGCGTCCGCCACTGGCTCCGCCGCCGCGTCTTCTTCCACGTCAGTCAACAATGGCGCCTCTTCGTCCAACAGCGGCTCGTCCTCGGGTAACAACAATGAGGGCGACGACTGCGACGATGAGGGCTCCGACGATGGTTCCCGCGCCGCTACCAGCGGCTCTGCTGGTGACGCCTCAGCTACCGGCTCGTCCTCGGGCGCATCCTCCACCGGTACCTCCTCCGAGGATGATGGTGACGACTGCGACGACGAGGAAGGCTCGGACGCGACGGCCACTGCTACCGGCACTGCCGCCGCCTCTTCCTCCTCGTCGACGGATGGCGAGGGCGACTGCGACGAGGGCGAGTGGTCATACTCTGCCTACCCGTCCGCGTCGGCCCCTGGGTCTGCCCTCCCGTCCGGTTCTGGGTCCGCGTTCCCATCTGCATCTGGTTCCGGTGCCGCGTTCCCCTCCGCCTCTGGCTCCGCACCTGGCGCGGGTTCCGGCACTGCCACGTTCTACCAGCCCAGCGGGTCTGCGTCTTTCGCGTACTCCTCAGCCGCCGCTGTTGCCTCGTCCGCCCCCGCCGCGACCACGTCGCCGGAGTGCACCGAGAGTGCCTGATTCACTGGAGACCACGGCTTCTGAGGCTCGGTGACGGGTGCTCACATTAATCACCCGCCTTCGCCGGCCTCGACATCTCGGAAGCTTCAATCCAACTTCTCGGACGTCAGGAAGCCAAACACATCTATTCATTCTCGGAAGGGCACCCAACATCGACTCTAGCAAGGGCGCGCCCGTCTTAACGACTCTCATCCACGCTCTTTATCACGCACCCTCACCCTCCTCACGCACACTCACGACCCGCCTGGGGGCGCAAGGCTCCCACATGGGCGCGCACACACATAAACCACATACATTAACCTCACGTTGTCTTGCGCTCCTGGGTCCCCTCCTCCCTTTATCCCTACACACAGGCTTGATGCCGCCCATAGTCTCACCCCGGCACGCACGCCAGCCGTTATTCGCGCCAGGCGTCGGGTACCGGCCATGTCATGCTCTGCTGTCGGTCTTGCTATGCTGTCTCGTCTTTCTGCTTTCGCCGTACGCATAGTTTGCTGCGGTTTCTGGTTATGCTTCTCATGACTGTATACTTATTATCATGGCGCTACGCGTCCGCGCGTGCGCGGAGACGCGCGCCCCAGTGGCGCGTGTTCCATGGGTCTCTGTCTCTCCCTGGATGGCCCCCTGTGGGGGCCGTGTGTTCATAGTTTGGTTGGATGTAGTAGCACTTGATGTAGCGTATATTGAAAACCAAATGTGTCTCGTCATGGTCGGAAGTTCTGTGAGTTGTTGCGCCACGAACAGAACCGGAAAGGGTTTGCAGAGCAGCGCCCAGCAGAGCCTTCGTAAATCGTGACTGTGACCAAGGTCACGACCCAGCTGGTCGCACGTGGAATGCACGCCCTTGACCTCCACCACCGTCGTCACAATGTCCTTCAAGCAACCCCTCGCCACCCCAGTGATAGCTCATCTCATAGAAGAGCCAGAGGATCTGCATATATACTCACCAGAACTGTCCGCTATACTTGCGAGACTCCGAGATGCGTCCACATTCCAAACGTGGGCATCGCAACAAGTGAGTTTTCTACCTTCGGTGTCTTCGCAGCAACTGACAGCGATGTTTTCATCAGGCATCTCGTCATGAACTGGCCTCTTGTATGCTCATAACAATGAAAGTCGTCAAGCGACTTCAATCGCTGTCCCAATCTGAGGAACGGCTGCCTCAACTTGGTCGGGATCCCCGCACGACAATCATTAGCCCATTCGCTACAGAAATCCTTCAAGAACTCATACCTGAGTCTCAGACACAGTGGGAATGCGCACAGTTCCTTTTTCGTACATGCTTACCTCGTTCTCAGCTTTCAGCCATTATATGCGCGGGCGGCCTATCCTTGTCAGATGAAGAATCCAGCGATCAGTCGGGTGCTGCCCCACACCGGTCGCGCCACGTCGCTTTTGACCCTTCCTATATCGCCGATTACAGCAGAACCGAGGACAAACTCTAGACATGCTACATCTGATGCACGACGACGCGCAACCCCTGTCCAAGACCTCAGTACCGAAGGAACGCTCTCGGAAGATGAGGAATTTGCTGATACCTCATCAACATTTTCCCCCGCCATTTTCGTGGACGAACAGTGTCACACAGACGGCGATTTGCATCTGCTGAGCGGACGGCGTCCGCGCGAACCAATTCGGCTCGCCCTCTTCTGCGTCGCGGACAAGGACGAGATATACAGCCTCATGTGCAGCGCTTTGCTGCAGAGACACACTTTCGGAATCAATGAACCGCTCATTGGCCTCACCTTCGCTCCGGAAGGGAATTGCCTGCATCTCGTTGTCGGCTGGCTCGAGACAACCTCGTCTCACCCATGTGTGCGTATCTCGTTTTCCTTTTCCTGATCCAAGGACGGAATCATATACGCACATGCAGGTCCAAGTCCATGTTGCTCACGCTGAAGGCGCTACTGCACACCACGAACTGGGCATATTCGACTTGTCGGACCTCCCTTCAGCTTGGTCACTCGCGCTTTTCTTGATCTCTCTTCGACCATACGTGTCTCGCTGTGCCAAGGGCGTACGACACCATATCAACACTGCTCAGCGGTCTCCCAGCTTTTTACCTAGACTCAGTCGTGCTTGGCGTATCGAATACGCTCGTAAGGCTGATGATCTTACAATGCATGGACCAGGTTGTGCTCGCGTGAGGAGCTGGTTAGAACGCTGCGTGCAAGTCGCCTCGGCCCTTCTTTCATATCCTCCTGCATGCTGAATGACATCAAGCCAACCGCCCTCTTCGTCTTCAAATCTTCCGCAATGTTCAGCGTCAAGCCCTTCCGAGTGCGTGCTTTGATTGCTATATTGTGCTGCCTCTAGATACATGCGCAGATATCTCATAATCAACAGTCACGCTCGCGATCGCAAGGCCACGACCTCGCCGAGGTGAGCCTTCCACTTACAACGCTGTACGCGTGACTGATAGTTGTGTGATCTCGATATAGGATTGCTAGGGACATCGGTAGCACCAGCGCTGACCAGATGAACGAATTTTTCATTGATCGTGGCGTCGCTTTTGGAGCGTTTCCTGCCATATATTACGCCATTCCGAACCTGCCTCCTGTGCTCGCAGGAGTCGTTGAGACGTTGATGCTCCCTCGATTGTGCGATGTCGAGGTCAGCATCGTTGAGATTCACAACTCGTCTTACTCAAGCTCATACGCAGCCTCTTCCCACTGAGTTCCTGAAGAAGCAGAGACTATACGTGACGGGTTATGATTTCGAGCGAGGCAGTCTCATTTGCGATGCACGCATTTCGAATCGCCACCCCCTTCATCGAGTAAGCCCGTGTATAAATCTCAGTATCGTACTGATGCTCGCAGCTGGAGCACGCGCACCAATGGCCCGTATACCACGAAGAGAAGAGACTAGAACAAATCATTCGGTCGACCTACAACCTCGATGAGCTGACGACATTGGATCCAATAGAATGCACTACGCTAGTCGCCGCGCTGCCAGAAGTTCTCCGTCTCTCAGACCTGGCATCTCGAGACCACCTTCAGACCCTTGACCCCGACGAAGCAGGATCTCGACACGTATGGGACGCTATCATCGATCGCCTGCTTGCCGATGTGTTCGTTGCAACCTCGGACGCAAACCAGCGTTACTTCTTGCACAATCGGTGAGCCTTGATTCCAATTCGTGCCATACCGCGATTTTGATCATCCCGCAAGCCTCAAGCGCCGAGTATCTCTTTCTAGGAACATCCTGTTCGAAGTTGAAAAACGCCGAGTGGAAGCCGCAAAGGCTGCCCAGCAAGGGGGATTCCATAATAATAACTATGTCGACTTTGCGCTGCTGTCCTGGAACAACCCTCTACTCAAGGAATACTCTTACGACGTTGTCCCTCCTCTGGGTGACTTGGAGCCTGAGGCGCCTGCATCCACTTCCGAAGAATCATCTGCTGATGATGACGATGTTGACAAAGACTGCGAGAATGATGGTGGAGACAGAGACGAGGACTTTGGAAGCTGCGAGGACAGTGCGAGCTTCGACGAGGAGAACGCGAGCTACAACGAGGACTACCCGAACGACGAGAGCGACGAGAGCACCGATGGCCATGAGGGTGATCAGGGTGATCAGGACGACGCAACTGATGAGGACTCCGGGTAGGACGCAGCAGCGCTTTCCCCTGCTCTCGAGGCTGACTCGTTCGTTTCATCCAGTGAAGCCTGGCCTTGTCTTAGCGATCACCTCTACGGTGACGTCGATTTATCCGCACCTCGACAACTTGCCTCCACGTTCGAAGGGCTTTCTTCTGCCAGAGACGATGCTGCAGCATCTGCAGCTGGTGGCGGCGTATCTTCGTTCCTTACCACTTCCGCAGAGGCTGCCGCTCAGCCCGATGATCGTTCTGCCCATGAAGAGAGCAAGGATACGAAGCTCGTCCGTCAGTTCAAGGAACGGTCTAAGACCGCGCTCTTTGCGCACGTCAATGCTCTATCAGCGGCAGTGAATGCGGAGCGAAATTGGCGCCTAGACTGCGCTACGCGATATCAAAGGCAGTCTAGCACTATGGAAGCACTCGAGGCTCGCGCACTATGCGAGCCCCAGTACGGGATTTGCGATGGTGTAGTGTTTGCGGAGGTACCAGACGTGTTCACGGATGAAGACCATCGCCTTGCTACCAAGCTCAAGAGGTTCACTATCGTCGGGGCCCCCGGACTACAGCGGGGTCGGCGAGACGTGGTTGGAAATACCGAGCCAGCACCTAACCAGGCTCTTCCATCATCTGCGCCACAAATTGTTCATCTTGTGCGCGAGTTTGCACAAAGGTTACGGGCAAGGCCTGTTTCCGAAGGTCAGTATGCCGTGTTGCCCGCGTGACGACGAGGCTTACGACCCAGTGATAGCGATGACGAGGAGTAACGCTGCAGTAAAGGATTATACCCGGGCGGAAGGTGCACCTACCGCAAAGAACCATAGTCAACCTCACGAGGGCGTCGATGAATGCACGACGTGCGAAGATGAGACCACGCCGGAGACTGCTGTTATGCTGGACGACGAAAGCCTCATCGCTGGCAAGAGCGGCGGACCCCAGCAATCCGATGACACTTGCCCCAGAAACGCTGCCTCTAGTCCTGCAAGAGGAGTCAATTGGAAGTGTAAGTACGGCATGGGATTTCTCTCATCGTCTCTGGCTTACACATCGATAGCGGTCTGCCTACCAGGCGTGTTCCGCGTGCCCTTGCAAGGCTCAAATCAGGGTCGCGCTTATATTTTGTCGGGCACGAGTTACTACGCGAGCCTGGACATGTACGACGTCGCGGTCTTTGCGCTTGCTACGGTCGGAGCGAAAGGGCGGTTACTATGCGGTTGGGCCGAGCGGCCCTCTAATGTGACGAAGCAAGATGTGAGTACGCCACTAGAGGGCGCGTGGCAACCCACTGAGCTGACCATAGGCTGTCCAAGTTGTCCACCATATCATCGACACGAATTGTCCTGAGTGGGATCTGAGGAATAGCTCCGATGCCATCGACTTCGCGATGTTCCTCACGCTCCTTCGCACAAAGCACTTTCCAGATATCGTCCGACGGTTCGAAGAAAAACGGAGTCAGTTCGTCAAGGACTGGCGCAGAGGAAAGACGCAGCGGTTCCGGTGGGCGATGGCTCACCAACACAAGTACTCCAAAGCGTTCAAGGACTCGAAGTCAAGGTTGGTCGCGGAGGATAAGATATGGGCCAAGCATCAGAAGCAGATGGACGAACTACTGGAGAGGAATGCGGAGATGCTGGAGGCGAAACGCGAGGAAGAGGAGAAGCGCGAAGAGGAAGAGGTACAGCGCTGGAAGTCCACAGTGGGGAGACACCAGTGACCCGTTAGGTTTAGCCCTAGGGAGATCAGCGAACATACCATTCTAAATTGGGGAAAATAGGTCTAAGGGTTCTTCGCAACAGCAGCCATATACCTTCGGACGTATGAAACCGCCAAGATCGGCACAGACTGCTTTTCAATGCGACGGCTGTGACGCCTAGCCATGCACTCAAGCCTCCACGCGCTGGCGGACACATGGGTGCACCACCGTGGCCACGGTGCCCTGAGCAGACGAACGTGGCCATGTGACCTAGCGATATATCGGTGGGTGTTCTCTTGTCTCTGCCCGTCTGCAAGTTTAAGCCGGATCGGCCGATCATGGCCAGTCGCGCATTCTTCTGAATGATTTGTGGCATTATTGTGAGCTCACATCCACTTCGTACTGTAAAAGCTCTTAGTACCCCTCGCTGGCATGTACGCTTAGCACCTTACAATATTATACCAAGGATCACACGGATGCGCGCTTGAATGGATCGAACTCCAAGCCAGGGGTTGAAGCCGAAAAGCCTGGCCGGCGTTTAAGTCCTTCACACAGCCCAGAACATCCCCCAAACTGCGTTGACAACAAACGTTACTATCGTACAAATTCTGAACAACAACCGAGGCTAATCGTACACGAAGCTCATGACATGGGCTTGCCTGGACTGCCATACATCCTGAACCTCTTCAAAGCCATCCCACACCTACACTTCCTCGACCTTCTCGCTGGTATTCCGCGCGTCAGCAGCCTCGGAGGCTGCGAGGGACTCGCCCGGATATCTGTGGACCAGGAACTTGTTGATCTGAGCGAGGACAGCGAGGGCGAAGACGAAGGCGCTGTGGGTGGTGGGGGTCAGCAAAGAATCATACGGCTTGCAGACGCGAACGTACGTCGTGGTGGCAAAGCCCTGGATGTAGCGCGGTCCTGTCGTTGACGGCCAGAGGAAGGAGCCGTAGATCGAGGCGCTGTTCCCGAGGGCGTTGACGAACGCGATAGACACAGCGCGCTTCTCCGCTGGATGGTCAATGATTCCCGAGACCCACTACACGTAGCGTCAGCTCAGATCCCTCTCAAGACCCAAACCAAGATCCCACTCACCAGCAGCGACAACGGGCATGCCGCATACACACCACCCACCCCGAAGCACAAGAACGCGTACTTCACTTTGTGATTGTCAACTGCGACCGTGATGATGAACGCGACGCCCGCCATCATGCTCGCGGCGGTGATGAAGTTCGCGCGGTCGCGGTAGATGTCGGAGAGGAAGCAGAAGGTGAGGATGCAGACGAGGGCGACGACGTAGACGGGGATGGTCATGAACTGGAGGGTGTAGCCCTGGTAGCCCATCTGGCCGACGAGGGTGGGGATGAAGTATTGGATGGTTTGCGAGCCCTGTGGAGGAGTTTACTTTAAGAAAGAGAAGATGATGGTAAAGTGACTCACGGTGGCGAGCATGTACATGACGGCGAGAACCCAGGTGCGCCAGTCGCGGACGGCCATGAGCGCAGCCTGCTTGTGCGTCGGCTGGTCCTTGGTCGTACCCGCGTTACCGATGCCGTCTGCCGCCAAGCGCTGCACAGCGATGAACTACGGGAATAGTCTTCGGTCAATCGTAATTATCGACCGTCTCGAATGTGCTCACCTTTTCCTCTTCGGTCATCCACTTCGTCGTCGAAGGCCAGTCCGGAAGGAACATCCAGGCGAAGACGGCGACGAAGCTAGAGCCGACACCCTCGATGATCAGAAGCCATCTCCAGCCGTCTAAGCCTCTTGCGCCGTCCAGGTGGTCCGTAATAACGCCTGCAAGCAGTCCAGAGAATGCACCCTGCGCGAATAGATGGTCAGCGTTTGTGTTGGGTTCACGAAGACAAACATGGACTGACGGAGACAGCAGTCGCAGTGTAATAAATGGAGTATCGCTTAGCGAGTTCGTGGCGCTTGTACCACGAAGAGAGGTAGAAAGCGACTCCTGGTGCGAAGCCAGCCTCCATTACGCCGAGGGCGAAGCGCACACCGGCGAGGGCCTGCCAGTTGTGGACGGCGCCCATTGAAGCGGCGATGCCACCCCATACCAAGCATAGAGTGGACAGGCTATACGTATATATCAGCGAACAGATACGAGGGATGTCGAGACTTCACGTACAAGATAGAGGGACGAACGCGACTGAGAAGCATGTTGGCAGGGACCTCAAAGATAACGTAGGAAACCTGCGCTAGTGTGAGAGGGATCGACGGTCAATTCAGTAGGTACACGTACGAAGAAAATGAGCAGGACAATGGAGTACTGCGTATCTGTCAAGTGCAGCGCCTCCTCCATCCCTCCCGACTTCGCATTGCCGATATTTGCGCGGTCCAAGTAACTGAGCGTGTAGAGAACCCAAATCGTAGGGACCTATGGGCGCGGGAGCGCGTTAGTCACCTGAACTCTGATGCCACTAAATGCGCCCATTTACTCACAATACGGAAGTCGATCTTCCTAACCAGTTTCTTCTCAGCCTCTGAGCCGGACGCGTACTCCTCTACCACGCCGACGAACTCCTCCCGCCATTCCTGCTCGGGTTTACCCATGTTGTCGATTTATGTGACCTTGGTGGACTGCGTGAATGTGGACAAATGAACGCGAATGGTCGGGTCGATGGGTTCGTGCGCGGGCGTGCAGGGGGAAGGTGACGCTGTCGCGAGAGGCAGGCGAAGAGAGCCTGTACGCGCACTGCTGCCCATTATAACCCTTTGCCATAGTCCCGCATTCGAAATCGGTGTTCCCCACGTCCCCGCCGGCCGGGGAAGAGAGGTACGGGTGATTTCCCCAGGTGGCGCCCCAGGAACTCCCCACAGCGCGGTGAGCGAATCCCTAGGGTCGCCCCCGCCGGATTTAGGAAGTATATAGGTCCGGGAGAGACAACCGACGTCTGAGGCGGGAAGAAATCCCACGGGGAGGGGATGGCGCCCACAGCGCTCCAAAGTAAAATGCGCCCTTGCTCTTCTGGTACAGGATCCATACAGTCGTATCGTAAGGAGCGCGCGCTTGAGGCGGACCGTCAGTCCACATGCTGATGATTATGAACAGCGAAGCAGAGGTGAGTGGCTCGGAGCAAGCTCATGACCGACAGATGTATGGCTAGCGTGTGATAGATGTTCTGGCGCCAGGGCGTGCAGAGGAGGACCGGTCTCCCCCTCCGTCGGCCGCCGAGGCGAAGGTAGACATTCAGAAACAATGGCAGACGACGGCGAGCAGTGTCAGAGGAGGAACAATGGAATTTGTAAAGCGCTGGTTGACTTTGAGCCGTGAGAATGGGTTTCCCTTTCCGCTTATCTTTATCAGATCCGGAGGATTCAGAAGCGGCTGCCATTGTTCTCTCGGGCTCGGGCCGACATGATGGATCTCTCCGAACTCCTGGGTGTTGTTATCCTTCTTAAACTGCGACCAGCTTGCTTGCAGAGCATTCCGCAAGTCAGCTCTCTTATCTCTCGTCCTCCGTTTTACCAGCCGATGTACGCAGTCTATCTTTTGCAATAAAGTCACTTCCTAGCCTATTGCGTCGCACGTTCTGAAGCACGAGGCTTTGTTCCGCGGTTGTTGACGAGATCGCTGTCTTTGGGCTGTCTTTTTACGCGCAGACGCTCGTCCTGCGACGACCATGGATCCAGAGGATATGCAGTCGGCGCCGCTTCTGGCGCCTACCCAAGATTACTTGGCAAGCGTCAAGGTCTTTCCCCTCATCAGGCATCTGAGGAAGGACGTATTGGTGCGATCGGATGCCTTCGACGTGAATGCTCCCATATCTAACACGTACTGTAGAACACTATTGGTGCGTGAACGAAGACGTAGTGAAAGGGGTTACTCGCTCACAGGGACCAAAGACAGCGCCCTGAGCTGGGAGTGCGTCGTTCTCTGCTCGCCGATCCCTACCCCTGACCTCCTCCCAGACAGCTTACCGCGTCCGACGTCAACTTCACCATCGTCCGCCCCATCGTCCTCAAGTATGCAAAGCTCAAGAACCTTGCCGTGGTCTACGCGTGCCTCGTCGTGCGCTCGTACTTCCTCGGCGAGTCCGAGGTGAACCTCGCGTACGCGGGCGTCATGACGTCGCGCGCGATGCTCTGCGAGATCCTGGCGATGAAGCTGCAGAGCCACTTCGCGTCGAACCATATTGAGCTAGTTGCGGTGCTTACGACGACGTGGAGCCCCCTCGCGGGCGCGTCGAATGCAGTGATCGACCAGGTTCGGGACGCGTATGGCGGGGAAGACGGGGATGCCCCGGAGAAGAGCGCGCTGGAGGTGCGTGGCGCGTTGCAGTACTAGCCTCGCATACGACTGACGCTACACCAAGATGGCCATCGCCACCGAAGCGAAGAAGTTCCTCGCGTCCCCCGTCACGCAAAAGGTCATCAACGACATCTGGTCCGGCCGCGTCGTCTTCTCCACCGAGAACCGCGCCTCGGTGCTGGCGGACAACTACAAGCCCCGCGCCATCACGATTTACGACCACCGCACGGCGCCCTTCCTTGACCACTACCGGCTGCGCGTCCCGCGCTATGGCGCCGTCCTGGAGTTCTTCAACGTTGGCGTGCTGCTGTTCACTTTCTGCTTGTGCATTCTGAGTACGTGGTCTCGGTTCCAAGTGGTGAAGCGTGTGCTGAATATCGCCTTATAGCCCACAATAATGATCATGTCACGTTCGGCGAGATCCTGTTCATCGTCTTCGCAGCGTCGTTCGTGCTGGATGAATACACAGCTGCAACGGAGCATGGATGGATCAGTGCGTTCCTGCTGCTTTCTAACTGGATTGACCTGACTTCGACTCTCTCCATCTATAGTCTACATCGCCAATGTGATACAAGCTTCCTCCTTCCGCCCCTTTCTCTTCTGACTGTCCCTCAGATATGGAACGTCCTCGACTCCTCATTCATCGTCATCGTCCTACTATATCTCGGCTTCCGCATCCGTGGCTTGGTCGAAGGCGACCGTGAGTACCCTTCGTGCCGCCCACCTGTAGCATACTCACTGAGGATCTCCAGCCGACATCTCCGACACCGGCTTCGACATCCTGTCCACCGGCGCCTGCATCTTGTTCCCCCGGCTTGCGTTCTTTGCGCTGAAGAATAATCTTGTCATACTGTATGGAGCACTGCGCCTCTCAGATGCAAGGATGCTGATGGCTCTCTGCTATAGCTCTCTTCGCGTCATGATTTCCCAGTTCTTGTTCTTCATCGGTGTCGCTGCCGTTTGCTTCTCGGGCTTGCTCTTCACATTGTGGACTTTGGGTAGGCGACATCCCTCATCACACTTGCACACACACTGACTCTCCCCCCCAGCCCGCGGCACCTCCGAATCCGCTGGCATCCCCGACCCGTGGACGCTGAAGAAGATCTCGTGGCTCATGGTGCAGATCTGGTTCGGGAACACATACCTCAGCTTCCAGCAGGCGTCGAGCTTCCACCCGTTCTTTGGACCAATTTTGATGACGATCTTTGCGGCGATGGCGAATACGGTGAGCATGGGATGGCTCCACACCCCCTCCGGTCAACTACGCATGTTCGAAAGGTGGCTGACGATGGGTTGACAGCTTTTGTTGACCAGTGAGTGGGAGAAGAGTACGTCCACAAGCGGGCGATGCTGATCCTTGTCAGTCCTTATATCGATTCTGTCGAATACGGTGGCGCAGATTAATGAGGTACGTGGTTGTATCCGCGGTGTGGCGGTCGCGCAGCTGACTGACTACCTATACAGAATGCGACGGAGGAGGCAAGTTTCCTTGCTTGTGCCCATGCTCTCCAGTCCACCTCTGACCATGCACTGTAGTATCTTTATCAGTTCGCTATCACGACACTTGAAGGGTACGATATCCTCGCTTCCTCATGCTGCACGGCAATTCATTATTTCCTGACAGGTTGCAAGCGAGCGCGCTCGTCTCCTATCAGCCACCATTCAACCTCCTTGCTTTGGTCTTGCTCAAGCCCTTCAGCTACATCTGTGCGCTCATCTTTCATATGCGGCGTCTTACCTCTACTAACTCGCCGCGAAGTGTCTCCCAGGCGCCTGCATTCAGCAAACGTCTTCTTGATTAAGCTCACGACCTTCCCGATTCTGATCATTATCGGCGTATATGAACGCTTCCTTGCCGCTGGGCGGGAGTGGCGCGAGACTGGGCGCGACAGCCCGAGCCTCTTCACTAGCTTGCCGCGCCAGCTGAAGAATATGCCGATATTGGAGGGCTTAGTGGGTACCAGGGCGGAGGATTTGGTAGAGGGTACGCGCATTATGGTTTTCAGTCACTCTCTGGCTCGCTCACCTTCGCGCCAGCTATCTTCGACGTTGACGAGGAACACGACGATGACTTGTTCCAGACAAGCAATGAAGAGGACGAAGAGCGCCAGGGACGCCGCTACTATGGTTCTCGGGAACATTCAAGGACGCCGACCAGGGGGCTAGCTTCGCCGCCCGACGTTATACGGCGCTTGCGTGCCGAACGCCAGACGTCGCGTCCACGGCCACGGACTCGCACACTGTCGTCTGCCAGCGAGGTTGTGGCGACGGCTGAGGTGCCTTCTGGTCCTCTTAGTCCACTGGCGAAGTTCTTTGGGTATGGCAGGGAAGGGAAGGAGGCCGACCCGGCGAGCGTGGCAAACGTGCAAGCAAGTATGAAGAGAATGGAGGCGGCGCTCGACGACGTGAAGGACCTTCCGGTGCAGAAGCTGAGGGACGAGATGAAGGAGATGCAGGAGCGGCAGGCGAGGATAGAGAACCTGCTCATGACTTTGACGAGAGGGATGCGCCACGATTCGCTGTGAAGCTCACGACATTGGACGATTGGTGGTGGCAGCGGTTGAGCTAGGCTGTCCGGCTAGATGTAGACTGCTGTACGTACTGTATGTAATATAGAGGTCGAGGCTGCAGGAACCCGAGGACATCGCCTGGTTGTAGGTCCCCCACGTGTCGCGGCCGTCGGTAACAATAGAGTCCTGGTTCGGATCAGCAGTCTCCATTATTTACCGTTTTGAGTGCAGTCAGGGTCTGCTTTCCCTTTATACCCCTCCTCTCGTCGCTGCCGACCTCCCTCGACGGTTATGCGCCATGGGCTGCTGCTTCTCAGAGCCAGTTGACTTCGATGGCGAGGTTAACCTGTACCACTTTGACCTCCACCGTGCGGTCGGGAAGGGCGCCTTTGGCAAGGTGCGTCGCGACGCGTTGTGCGCTAGTCGGTTCCTCACCGTTCGGGCCAGGTCCGCGTCGTCGAGCACAAGAAGACGAAAAAGCTGTACGCGCTCAAGTACATCGAGAAGACGCGGTGCATCAAGCAGAAGGCGGTCGCGAATGTCATCCAGGAACGCAGGCTGCTGGAGGAGGTGCGCCGCACACCGCTATGACCTTCATCACCGATTGACGCTGTCTATCAGATTGACCACCCCTTCGTCGTCAATCTGCGCTACGCGTTCCAGGATGACGAGAACTGCTTCTTTGTGCTGGATCTCATGCTTGGAGGGGATCTGCGCTGTGCGTCCCTATCTTCCCCCAATGGTCCCTTTCACTCATATTCCTCGCAGTCCACCTTGAGCGCAAGGGTCACATACCCGAAGAGGTCGTGCGTTTCTGGGTCGCGGAGCTCTCCTCTGGCCTCGCATACCTTCACAAGCGGAAAATCGTCCACAGGTGCGTTCTCGCCTCCTGTCGCGGGATCGTGTGCGTGACGCCGCCCGCAGGGATATTAAACCCGACAACGTTTTGCTCGACGCGGCTGGCCACGCTCATCTCACTGACTTCAATGTCGCCATCCACTACTCTGAGCGCCGGCAGCATACCAGCGTCGCGGGCAGTATGGCGTATATGGCGCCTCAGGTCGTCGGGCGCAAAGGGTATTCTTGGCAAATCGACTGGTGGAGTCTCGGAGTAACTGCCTACGAGCTCCTTTTCCACCGGAGGCCTTTTGATGGTCGTACAGCGGAGCGCATGACCCAATCCATCATCAAGGATTCACTCAAGTTTCCGGAGGACTGCAGGACGAAATGCAGTGATGCTGGCCTGACAGCGCTGAAGGGAGTGCGTGTCCGAACCGTTCTTTTGTTCTTTTCGGTCCTGACTAGCGTCTCTAGTTCCTGCAGAAGGAGCCCGATCACAGATTAGGCTGCGTACCAGGGAAGGGTTTCGATGATCTCAAGAGACACCCGTGGTTCAAGCCAATAGATTGGGCGACACTGGAAACGAAAGAGGCGCAGCCTCCGTTTGTCCCGGATGTACGTACATCATACATTTCTATTGCGCCTCTACTGACCCGTGGCGCAGATGAAGCAGGCCAACTTTGATGTCTCCCATGAGCTGGACGAATTCCTCATGGTCGAGAAACCCCTCACACATACCAAACGCAAGGCCAACGCAGATTTGGACAAGCTGAAGCCCGAGATGCGTCAGCTTGAGGAGCAGTATGTCGTCGCTTACTAGCGTCCTTACTTCTACTGAACCAATGGCAGATTCACCGTCTACGACTTCACGCGACCAAATCGCATGTCGTACTATCCGCACAACCAAATCGTCACCAGACTCGGTACCGAATCAACAGACCATACCGCCGTCTCACAAACCGGAACTCTTGTACCAACGTCGACCGTCGCTGAGCGTTCAACGGCCGGCTCACCAGTCACTGAGAACGTCAATGCATTCCAAGCACCGATCGTCCCAGCAGACGACCCTTCATCCTCATCACCGATATCACCCTCAGACCCCCCACCCACACACGCACCTTGACTTATTCTACGATAATAGTCAGTATACTCATCCGCTCACTACATCTACCACTCCCTTTGCTGATCACTTCCTGTAGCCACATCGCACAGCGTATACGAATTTCATATCTTCATTATTTATCGGGTAATACTAGGACGTTTGGTGGACAGTCCCGAGCGATCGCTGTGCATCGTTCTGTCAGATATTCGGCGGATGGGTTTGGAGCGCATTTTTCTCTTCGTCTTGCTCGCGGAGTCGGTCTCCGACCCTCCGTGACGCGAGCCCTGTGTTGAGCACACCTTTCTTGCTGCTATCATCTATCCCTGTTATTATACTTATTTGTCGTGTTCTAGGATGATGTATTCCTTCTGCTCTCGATACTTGCATCCACTCCGGAATCTCCCCGGCCCGCCCTGCCTTGCCCTGTCCTCTTAATTGCCAAGCTCAAACCCTGGTCGTCGTGTCGATCATGCGCTTCCCATTGTTCAGGTTCATCATCGTGGTCCTGTGATGGTTTCCTTGTGATAGTCCACGAGCTGCCGCTGATTCGAAGCTGTGTGCGAATGGCGCCGGTAGCGACTAGGTACGCCCTTCGTGGGAAGGGCTTCTTCGCTGATATATAAACATGCAGGCCTCGAAGATGCCCGTTGGTCTTTCGGGGGAATCCAACCGTCCGTGAATTCAGTCCAACTGTTCCTTCCCGCGCGGTGCCACCTTTCGACGGCCAGCATCATGACCATTCGTTCTTTTACCCTTCCCCTCGTTCTTCTTCTATGTCAATCGTTGGGCGCGCTCGCCGCTATCGACCCAACCTCGGCGTTGGCTTCCATCATCGGAACCTATAACGTGACCTTCGCGCTCGTCGCGGTTCCCAGCGATGTTGCGTACAGCGTGGGTCTTTCAGCCACCAATCAGCTTGCATATCACCGAACATGATCCTCTGCAGCTCATACCGGCGGGCTACTCAATCCTGCCACCGGCGGCGGAGCAGTTCCCAGGCATCGGGGAGGACGAGCTGCCTATCTTTATCGAGCTCGGCCGGGAGGCGAACGCAGGGCCACCGTTGTTGAACTTTGAGAACTTTCAAGAGGCGAAGATTGAGGTGCCGAATGTGGCGCGTCTGAATGATTCCTCGCCGTTTCTTTACAAGCGATGGATTGCCGTCGACAATACCTTGGATGTGGTCGGCTCATGGGTACGTGCGATCTCTACCATCATGTGCGATTGGATGGAACCAATGAACCGAACGGTTGGCAGGTGCAATTCGGCTTGAACACGTCAAAGGAGGAATTCAACCCCACGAACAGCAGCAATGCGACTTCGTTTGACTATTCCATCGTCGGTCTGTAAATTCAATTTATCTGAAGCCAATGAGCTGACGTTTATGTGTAGACGCCGTGGACGGCACCTTCACGCCAATTGAAGGCGAGACAACATGGCCTCTCAGCACGTTCCAGGCAGTCGGTGGACAACCGTGGTACGTCCGGGCGCTCTTCTTATGACAGTAGTGCTGTTGAAGCCTGACAATGCTGGCCAGGTTCGCGGAATACCCCACTTGCGCTCAGCACTTCTACGAAGAGTCGTCCGTTCCGGTCACGTACTTGTCAGGTAATTTCTCCCGCATCTTCGCCTCAGTGACCATGTCATGATTCCTGGCCCTCAGGATCCGTCACCCTCCATCCGCCCTACGCAGGTCCCAATGCCACTGAGCCTGCAACGTTCGCAGCGCAAGCTGTTCACGGCATCTTCGGGTTCAAGATTGTTGGACCCTTGATCTGCAAGCAGTTTGTCTAGCCTCGGAATGAACTGATTGGACACTGTATACCTGGATTATTGTCTTCACTTCCCGCTATGAGCTTTGTGCTTGAAGGTTGGGTCGCCAGCCAACGCAGGCAAGACGGAAGCAAACTGAGCGTATGAGTCCATATTTGTCCTTGCTTGATTGTGGCCAATGGGGACCGGAGATCGGCCCGAGATCACCTACAACAACTTTCAGCTGACTTTCATCTGACCTGCCGCTCGAGAAACAAGTCATCTAAGCACCTCTTCCTGATCGCAATAGCTTTATCTAGGAGAAGAGCTTACATTCGTGCTGCGATGGCATCGTGTGGAAATCCGTCGGCGGAGAACGACGCCCTAATGCAGAGTGAGATTTTCAGGCATCCGCCACGGCGCCCCTTACTCATCTTCATCTCAGGGCGTAAGAAATACGACAAGTCAAAGACGTGTGTCAAGTGTAAAGCAGCGCGCGGCAGCATCGTTATCCGGCATGCCGTGTACTGCAGGTAGGCCTCCATCGTCGATGTAATCGCTTCAGCAAAATGAACTATCGTTTAGAGACTGCTTTACGGACCTGCTGTTATACAGGTCGCGTCGAATTCTTGACCTCTCCGTGCACGGAGGCTCGGGCAAGAAAAGGATCATGAAGGCGCCCGGCAACTTGATGATAGGCTACTCTGGCGGTCTGGGATCCTCCGTGCTGTTGGACCTCGTCACGCGGACGTACTTTACGGACAGAAGCGAGGACTTCGTACAGAGAAGTGGGGTGAACCACCCACGGCACACCCGGGTCTGGGAGAACGCCTACGCGACATATATCGACATTTCTGCGGCTTTCGAAGGGGTCAGTACACCTTCTCTTATCGCGGGGTGGGCATTGACCAAGATTCTAGCTGCAAGACCACACAGAGGAAGCGCGCAACTGCTTAAAGAGGTATCCAAATATTGAACTCGTTTCTCTACGACTGGAGAACGCGTTCGATGCTTCGTGGTGGCGCTCGACTAGCGGCGGGCCCGAGGGCTCGTTGGCTGTAGATCTAAACGATGGTCCGTTTGTTCTGTCCGTTTTCACGCCTGCAATTGCTCATGAGTTGCGTAGAGCTTGCGCTGTCGCATATTGATCTTGCCGATGGCGAAGACGCTTCCAAGAGGGCGCTTCGCCAGTACCTATCTTCGTTGCCCACCCAAACCGCGGTACATTCCGCTGTGCAGACCCTGATAAGGATGCTTCTCCTGCATACTGCTGTGTCTCGTGGATGCTCTCACCTGGCCCTTGGAACTTCGTTGACGTCGCTGTCTGTGTCGTTGATCGCGTCAATATCTCAGGGCGGGGGCTTCGCTGTGCGGGAGGAGCTGGGCGAAGACTGGGTGAAGGAAGGAGCCAGGCTCAAGATAATACGACCCCTACACGAGATCGGGATGAAGGAATGCGCCGCCTGGGCATGGTGGGAGAGCCTGCCAGTGGTCGGGAAGCAAAAGATACCCGGCGGTAAGAACGGGATCACTTCGCTAACGAAAGGTATGCTAAGAACAGGTCCACGGTTCCATCGGAAGGCTGACGATAGTAGATTTCATTGTCGGATTGGAGAAGGACTATCCGTCTACGGTCTCTACGATCGCGAGGACGTGCGCCAAACTGGCGCCAAAGCAAGTTAGCGAATTCCGATGCGCGTTGTGTCAACGGTGTGTGGAAGAGCGATTCTATCGTGCAGTACAAGCTCAAGTCTCTTGCAGCCCAGCACAACCCGACATTGCCGAGTGGAAGGGGAAGACCTCGATACGATCCCTCGATCCCGACGAACATGCGCCAAGTGCGAGCCCTTCCCTATCGTCATCGCTCTGCTATGCGTGCCACACGACTTTGACGAGTCGGAGTAGTCGCGGAGCCGCAGCGCAAAGCGATTCGCCCCTGCGGGTGCCTTTGCCTGTGTGGATAGCCGACGATCAGACCCATCGATCGCACTTGCGCGAGACTCGGCTATCCCGAGAGCAGATGAAGGCGACCATAGCGGACTGTCTGCTAGACGAGTAGGTTAGTTGGACGCTCATGCAGCCGACGTCCCTTCTGATTGAGAACGCTATTCATGGGAAATCGACGTATGTGGTACGTGGACTTTGGCACGAACACGAACAGAACCGCAACCAACGACTTCGACAGGAATGCTTTTCTCAATGCCATATGTCTTGCGAGGAGACTTCTCGCAGGCCGCCAGCTGCATCACACCAATGCAGGGCCTATCAAGCGCTCAGCCATATGGAAGGTAAGCCTGGGAAGGACTTCCGTCTGCAAACCACCTGCGGAAGTACGTTGAAGGCAGGGAAAGTACGTACGATCCAACCGTCTCAAGGATTCCTTCGCACAGTATAACTCTCAAAGCGCCTACCCCCGCGGCAGCTGACCTCTTGTGGATGGCCGCCTTGAGCCTATCACCCACACTGCATCGTTATGGGCGATGCCAACCAGTGAGCCATCCGTTCGATGCGGACTAGGTCGACGACGTTGCATAGTTAGCCGCGGCTTCTGCAGCTACGGCGCTGCTGTCATCCTCCGGCGTTCTATACGAATCCGCGGGCATAGACTTATAGTAGCCGATGTTGCTGATGTATCCCTGCCGTTGCGGAAGGCATTGCGGGAGGCGGTAAGGCGCGCTGAAGCGAAGGACCTGAAGTGGCGCGCCTTGGCCCCCTGCGGCCCCGGGCACGCCCGGCAATCAGGCTTTTTGACAAGTTACCGGTTCCCCATGGAGTCAGTCGGGAGCCAGCGCATCGCTCCGTGGTCCGGCCACAGTGCCGGGACAGTTTCGCCTATTCCTCGATGTCGCATATAAGAGACACTGATAGTCGGCTTTGGTATTGTGCCTTCCCCCTCCGACTGCTGCCTTCTCCATAACACGTTTAGCGACGGCCCAAAATGTCGTTCGGCCATGTGTGAGTGTTCCGCTTTGCGTGTATTTCCTCTCCCGCTAAAACACGTCTGAACTCGCAGCAACATGATGGACGATGTCCTGATATCGCAACGTACGTTTTCTGGCCCATACCTTCGTCACTTGTTATCTGATACGCGTTCAGTTCCTCCCAACTTGCTCAGGTCGTCCTTGAGATTATTGGTCTCGCAAGGCGCAGTCGCACAACAGGCCTTTGTGCAGCATGTCCGTAAACGACTCACAGAATCTCCGCCGCCGAAGCCCGCCCCGAAGGAGATGTTCCAAGAGCACGGCGCTCCGTCCTCTGCGGCTCTCGAGGTCTCCTCGTCGACCCGCTGCCTCTTCTCGAGCAAACTAGTCCCGGAATCACTACCTTAGTGAGTTTTCTCCCGTACTTGTCGCGTCTATTGCTGACCGGCCTAGCTTGAGTCATATCGTCAGAGCAATAATTGCTGCGAGTGCCACCTGGTCGCCAAATGACCCTCTAGAGCTCTATTTGGAGCGCGTCTCTGGCGACATCGTTCAAGCCGTCCAGGCTTTGAAGGAGTCTCGCCCTAAACCTACAGAGGAGCTCAGAAGTCTGCTAGTCGACCTCATCCAGAACTTGTCTGACTGCTCCACCTACTGCACCAACAACTCCCTTTCCTACCCCTTCGACCGCGCACAGCGTCAAGTGCAGGACGTCCTCGCCATTATTTTCCCGGACCCAACTCAGAGCGAATCTAGCGCACACCAGGAGATCGTCGACGCTTCCATCGACCCCCAAATCAGCGCGTGCATCGAGCAATTCAAGCTCGGCCCTCATACTGCTCCCCGGCTGTTCAACGGCCTCTGGCAGATGTCTTCTCCAGCATGGGGATCCGCCTCTAGTGCCAAGCAGGACATCGCCCTGACGGAACTCGTGCGCTGTGGCCTCGTCGGAACTGATATGGCCGACCATTACGTGCGTGGTGACTTTCGATTCCGTCGCACTCTACTGACACCGCGCAGGGCGACGCCGAACTGATTTATGGTGGTTTCCGTAACCGCCTCCCGCGAGAGGTTGCCGACCGCGTTCTGGCCATGACGAAATGGTGTATCTTCGGGCCGCTGGAGAAGCCCGTTACGCCGGAGTTCGTGTTGGAGGCAGTAAAGGAGCGCTCTCGTCGCCTCGGTGGACGCGTTGAGTTGCTGCAGGTTCGTTGCCCGCGGTCTCCGAGCAAGGTCTACTGCTGATTCTATCCTCCACTACCCCAGTTCCATTGGCATGACGTGAGTACCTTCATACATAACCATCGGACTTGATTAACGTCCGATCCAGTACGAGGCTAAGGAATACCTGCAAATCCTCGCTGAGCTCGTCAAGATTGCGAAGGCCCAGCCTTCTCTTGTGTCAGCCATTGGCCTGTGCAACTTCGACACCGAGCACACGGTCGAAGCCTGCGAGTACCTGTTCGCGAAACTCGGCGAAGTTGGGATCGTGTCGAACCAGGTGCAGGTAAGTATATAGGCGTTGCTACATCCCGAGTCAGGCGCTGAGACGATTTCCGCAGTACTCCCTTATCGACAGCCGGCCCACCGTCGGTATGGCTGCAGCCTGCCAAAAGTACGGTCTAAAGCTCCTGACCTACGGCTCTTTCGTACGTTTGCCAGCCAACCTTGGAGCGGCGCCGTTGCTTACCCTCCCTAGTGCGGCGGCTTCCTGTCAGACCGCTGGCTCGGGAAGCCTGCGCCGGACGTGTACTCGGAGACCCTCGGCTTGACGCCTTCGCAGCGCAAGGTGCGATGCACGCGGGCGCCTCCGAATTTGTGGCACTAACCGAGCTTCAGTATTATGACATGATCTCGACGTGGGGATCCTGGGAGGAGCTCCAGGCCTTGCTGAAGGTACTTCGTCGGATCGCGGACAAGTACAACGTCAGCACGTCGAACGTCGCCACCCGCTGGGTGCTCGACCACGACGAGGTCGGCGCCGTGATCGTTGGCACGCGCCTGGGCGTTTCGTCGAACGTCAGCGACAACATGCACGTATTCTCCTTTAGCCTTTCCGACGAGGACAAGGCCGCGATTGCCGCGGTCAACCCTCCGGAGAAGGCCAAGGCCCTCTTCGATCGCATAGGCGACTGTGGCGGCGAGTACAGGAAGATGCACTGAGTGTTTTTCGAACATGCTTTCGGTATTTATTCTGTGACGATGACCCACGAAACCTGCTGTAGTGTATATCATGTATCCAAGCTATTTCTGTGAAGCGCAAATCCCAAGGGCATTCCTGGTGCAGTACGGCGCGTGACCATCAGTGATGTCCGAATTTGGAAACCTTTGTGTTGAACTTCTTATCAGTGACCATTGGGCTTGATACAACTCGATATTCATACTTCACCTCCATCATCTGCGTTGCTACTCTCGCGACAATGGTGGCCTCATTCTTCTACGGAACTCTGATGCATCCCAAGATCTTGAAGCTAGTCATTCAGAATGATGCGTCCCACCTAGAGATCTGCGCGGCAGGTGAGCCTCATCACTAGCCTTATCACTTGATTGGACATTCAGACTGCGTTCGATACAGTATTGCTAGTAGGTGCCTCGTTAGTCAGTCCAGCGCTCTAGGAGTGATAACGAGCACAGAACCATACCCGCCACAAGATCAAGGTCGGCTTGGTCGGCTCCCTTGATTCCTTTTGAGAGGACTGAGCAATTGAGTAGGGCGAGGACTACCCTGCAGTTGTGCCGTATGAGAAGGGCCGTACACTCTTTGATCATGACCTCTCCGACGAGGATCGATGCGTTCGAGGAACCCTTGTCAGAGGCCTGACAGCGCGAGATATCGCTCGTCTCGACGCCTTCGAAGACGACGTATGGAATGCGAAGCTAGTGTATTCGCACGCACTCACTCGTCTTGCAGGAGTACATCCGCCAAGAGTTGCCCGTCCACCCCCTCACCCCCTTCGCGTCTGTGCGAGGCGATGGCGAGATCAGCGGCTCGGATGCAGACGCTACAATCCCCTCTACGCCGCCACATCTGCCCGACGCTCTCGCTGAGCCAGTGATGGCCCAAGTCTACGTCTGGCTGGATATTTCGAGATTGGAGGCGGAACTGTGGTCGTACGAGGACTTCGTCAAGCACAATGCGCATAAGTGGTATGGGGATGGAACGGAGGTGGCGGAGGAAGAGTTGTCCGAGCGGAGACGTAAGCTGCTCGAGGAAGAGCGGGGAAGTGTGCAGGTGAATGCGTAGATATGGAGAAGTCCTGCAATGCTGTATATTGGCCATAGATCTTAGCCATTCGGCTCGGATGTGTAGACGCTTGCTGCCGCGTTCGGCGGTCTCAAAGGACGGAAGGCCTGCCCTCCAAGATTTACGCTTCGAACATTCTACGGGATGTTAATATATTGAGCGCGCTTTGAGACATCAGAGCACTGGAGCGCTCAACTCGCTAAGAGCGCGACGCAAGGCAGGTCAAGCGTGTGGCGCGCCCCCACCTCGGGCGCGCGGAATATGTGGCGTACCCCCGCCCGTAACTTGAAAGCGGTGCCACCGCCTTTATTGCCAACTCCCACTCCGCCCTCGGCGCAGCCTTTTGAAGACAACCCGTCACCTTCCTCGAGCGCACCTACTGCTTCTTGACACAAACGACCATGTGGAACAACGATAATCGCTCCCCCCCTGCGTGCGTTCGTCCTGCGTCGCTCGATCAGTACGAGTTCACTGACACCCTCTTGTGTAGCTTCCCGTCGGCGCCGTAAGCAGTAGCTTTGGTTGTGTAGGATGCGAGGAGATTGACTGTATATAATCCAGTGGCTTCCCCTCTCCGACTGGAGGGTACAACCCGGGATACCAGCCTGGGTACGCGCCCCCGCCCGGCCCGCCTCCTCCTGGCCATCATGGAGGGTGCGTGTACTGTCTTCTTCCTCAAGATACCCTTTGCTAAAGTCAGATCATCTTAGGTACGCCCCTCCTCCAGGTCCCCCTGGCCCGCCTGGCTCCAGAGGGTAGGACTCCGTTCACCTTCGATCGCGTGCGCTGATCATCCACCCTCCTTCAGCTGGGCGCCTCCTCCTGGTCCTCCCCCTCCCTCGTGCGTGTATTCCGTCCCCTCGCACTGTACTCGGCACGCTGACACGGACGTAAATCATCAGGCAGTACGGCGGCGGGTGCGTATACGTACAAGACATGACGCCCTACACGCGTACTCACGCTAGTCCATTAGCTATGCCCCTCCCCCTGGCCCGCCACCTCCGCCTCGCAGCACCTACCCTGGTCAGCAGTACCACCAGCAGCAAGGCTACCAAGGCGGCGGCGGCTACCAGCCCGCGTATTCATCCCCTCCCCCGCCGCCGTAAGTCCTGAACGTGCCCATCCACTTGCCGTCGTCCGCGGCGCGTACAGCTGACGCCATCTCTATACGCTACCAATCCTCGATCCTACTTTCTTACCGCTGACATCCCTTTGCAGCGCTCAGCATAACCGCCCCGCATACGCGCCGCCCGCGGGACCGCCGCCGGGCGCGCACAACCAGGGCATGCACATGCCGCCGACGGGGCAGCAGCACTACGGGCCGCAGTTCGAGAACCAGTCGAGCCACCAGGTGCAGCAGCCGTACTTCCAGTACTCGCAGTGCACGGGGAAGAAGAAGGCGCTTTGTGTGAGTATCTGGTTCTGGCTGTCCAAGGTGGAGGAAGCTCGTCCGAGGTGGCGAAGGGGACGAGGGTATAAACTTGACATGCTGACGCTCCCTTCAGATCGGCATCAACTACGTCGGGCAGAAGGGCGAGTTGAAGGGGTGCATCAACGATGCGCGCAATATCCAGCGCTTCTTGTGTGGTGAGTCGTACGAGAAGCAGTTAGGTTTTAGTACTCATGGATATTCCCAGCGAACTACGGCTACAAACAGGACGACATCGTCATGCTGACAGACGACGCGTCGAACCCGCGGCAGATTCCTACTCGGGACAACATTGTGAGTGAAAGTAGACTCACTAGCGTTAAGATGTTTAAGGAGCTTTGCAGATTGCAGCGATGCAGTGGCTCGTTCGCGGCGCGCAGCCGAACGATTCATTGTTCTTCCATTGTAAGGTGTCTCCGATGGTGAGCTCTGGGCACGACCTGATAACTCTCGCAGACTCCGGCCACGGTGGCTCTACCAAGGACCTGGATGGTGACGAGGCAGACGGGTATGATGAAGGTACCGCGCAACAGGCTCGCATTATTGAAGGTCTTGGCTGACAATGTCCAGTCATCTACCCCATCGACTATGAGAACGCTGGGCATCTCGTGGACGATGTGCGTGTCTACGCTTCAAAGAGGCGAAATTACTGGTGCTGACCTTTGTATAGCTCATGCACGATATCATGGTCAAGCCTTTGCCTGCCGGATGCCGTTTGACTGCCATTTTCGACGTACGTTCAGCGCGTACTTCCGCGTTCGAGATGCACTAACTCCTTACTCAGTCCTGCCACTCGGGCTCTGCCCTTGGTAAGCTGACCGTCCTCACCCTCCATCCATACATTCATTTTTCATATACTCCATTACCTACTCACATCCCATTCCAGACCTTCCGTACATCTACTCAACCGAGGGCAAGATCAAGGAGCCCAACCTTGCGGCCGAGGCCGGCCAGGGCGTGCTCTCCGCCGTCACCTCGTACGCCAAAGGCGACATGGGGGGCGTGTTCAAGAGTGCTGTGGGCCTGTTCAAGACGGCGTCCGGAAATACGCAGAAGGCCCAAGAGGTGGCGCGGCAGACGAAGACAAGTCCAGCGGATGTGGTGAGCAGTCATGCGCCCAGGGCTAATGTCGTTCGTACGGGCAATACAACTAACGTCGTGTTCCTTAGATCTCATGGAGCGGTTGCAAGGATAGCCAGACCTCTGCCGACGCCTACGAGGCCGGTCAGGCGACGGGTGCGATGAGCTACGCGTTCATGACCGCGCTCGGTCAGAACAAGCAGCAGACGTACCAGCAACTGCTGGTGGAGATTCGCGGGATCTTGAAGGCGAAGTACAGCCAGAAGCCGCAGCTTTCGGCGTCGCACCCGATAGATACGAGCATCATGTTCATCTGTTGAGTGTGCGGACTTTGTGCGGCTATACGTATCATAGCGTGTACTCATTGTACCTGGACGCCCCTGTACAATCACCTTGTAAAACGGATTGTCTGTCAGATGTACGACTACCGGTGTAGTTCGCAAGAAGCTTGCAAACCCAGTTGGCGTGTTGGACGGTCGAAGTTGGTCGGAGTGACGTTGTGGGCAGCTGTGGGCGCTTGACGTCACATTGAAATCGGCTTCGGACCGACCTTCCGGCAGGCGCAGGCGCCTATCCCGACTTGGGCAGCTACCGCGTTCAAGTTCCCCCGTACACATGTCTTAGCATCTTGATTCGCTTCCTTGTTGCCTTCCTACGCCCATGTTGGAGATTCGTCAATCCCTTGCCTTTGGAGCCTTCACGGGCTTCATTGTCTTCGTTCTCTACCGCGGGATATCCTACGAGGCGCATAGATCGACCGCGTACGATGTGGACGAGGTCGACGTGCAGGGTGCGCCTGTTCGGCACGCGCTGATGATGTGGTGCTCATGAGAGAGATACATAGCTGTCAGCCTTCCGGACTTCAGCGCGTATAGGGACATCGCTACGCTGTCTACGGACGAGTTCCCTCTAGGTGAGTGTCGTCCTGACGACCTCAACGAACGATCGCTGAGCTTGACTTCCCTAGACGATCCCCATAGACGGGTTATAATAGTTGGGGACATACATGGCATGAACAAGGAGATGCAGTGCGTAACGTTACCCCCACCATCCCGTTATTGACAAACTGACTTGCCGCAGCCGCCTCCTCGAAAAGCTCAACTACGACGAGAGCTCCGACAAGTTCATCCATGTCGGCGACCTTGTCGCCAAGGGTCCGCACAAGGGCTCCCTGGCCGTTCTCTCCTACATGTCCTCGCACAACATCACCGGCGTCCGCGGCAATCACGACCAGAAGGTCATCGAATGGCGCGGCTGGCTCGACTGGATCCACGCGCAGCCTGGCGGCAAGAAGTGGCTCACGGCCCTCAACGACGACTGGGAGTCGCACAAGGTCGACGACGACCAGCTCTCCGAGTGGATTGAGAAGGCGAAGAAGAAGCACAAGAGCAAGTGGTGGCGGAAGGTTCCCGACGGGTGGAGGCTCTTCAGCGACCACTACCGGATCGCACGTGATATGCGGAAGGAGGACTTCGAGTATCTGAAGAACCTCCCATTGAAGATCCACATCCCATCTGCGCACGCGTTCATCGTCCACGCCGGACTGCTACCTTCGGATCCGAACTACAAGCCGAACCACAAGCGTCAGCCGCTAGCCAGGATTCCGAGCCTGCCAAAGGATCTGGCGAGCTCGAGCAAGGAATCCGCGCTGCGCGAGATTCAGGAGCGCGCCATCCTGACGGAGGTGCCGCAGAACACGGATCCGTGGACGAACATTAACATGCGCAGCGTGTTGGACGATGGTGATGTGACGAGGAAGGGCAACGACGGTACACCCTGGTCCCACTACTGGAATCGGGATATGAAGAGCTGCGTTGGGTACGACGGAAGTCTGCGTCTCGGAGACGAGGAAGAGGTGGAGAAGCACAAGGATCGGGAGCTTCCTTGTATGCCTTCGACGGTCGTATACGGGCATGCGGCGGCCCGTGGTCTCGACGTGAAGCGGTGGTCCATCGGTTTGGACAGCGGGGCTGTGAGTGATTCCTCATGCGCGGACAAGTGAACTTCACTGACAACGCACTATGCAGGTCTACGGTCGCCGCCTCACCGCGCTCATCCTTTCCTACAAGGATCAGAAGATCTACGAGACTATTGAAGGTGACGAGACGGTCGACGAGGACGAGGACGATGATGAAGAGGATGAAGACGACGACGACGACGATGAAGACGATGATGAAGATGAGGATGACCGCAAGCGCCAGCAGCCTTCATTGTCACGGCGGAAGAAGCACCGCAAGTGGGCGCGGTTTGGCGATCGCGGGAGGGGGAAGTTGGTCAGTGTGAAAGTGTGAAGTGCTCTCGAGGCGTCAGGATCCGGCCCTCTTGAAGATGCGCTGTACGTTTTCTTGGATCTGCCGCTTGGTTGTGACGCGTCAAACTCGTCATTGTGTCCTCTTGCGCTCATCTCTTGCCCGGGACCAGCGCATCAGTGACTCTGTTTGGTTGTCCACCGCGCTACTGATAGCAATGTATTTCTAGAGTCCATGTTGTCTCATACCTTACTCTTCACCACCTGTCCTCCCTGTAGAATGGCAGTGGTCGTAATATGCTTGAGTTCGCTTCTCTCGAGGGTCTTCCGAAGCGGCTGGCGCTTGTCATGACATGCACCTCGCGGTAAGTCCACCTATCGCAGTATCTACCTGTAGAAGGTATGTCCACAATCTTGCTTTTACGTGTTCACGCTCGCTGAAAAGCGGCCAGGAGTTCTCCATCGGGCAGGCTCTTGATAGTTTGCCGACTCGCACCCCCTTATCCGATGCCAGTCAGCCTTTCTCAGGACTATATCTGCTCTTGAGGCGCGACAAGCCGCGGGATACTTCAACGCAGATTAGTTCCGCACAGCTCCCGCGTCCCGACATCCGAGTTAACGCCGTGTTCATTCAGCCACCTCCAGCTCCGCGCACCAGCGCATTCATCCAGCAACCCCGCGCGCAAGTTCAACCCACCCTCTGTTCCACGAGCCCTTATCCCAAGAAGATGGTCGACGTCAAGCACCGAGAGAAGGATGCCTCCGTATGTTCTTCTGCTTCCTCATACTTCGCCAGAATATCCTGTACGTCGGCCGAGTGAGTTCGCTATACTTCCTCCACCTTCCGACCCCGCGCCCAACCCGCGCCCCCCGCGTGGGGCAGGTACGGTCCGGGGCCCCGCCCCCAGCTGGCGGCCAACATACGCGTGCCTGCCTTGATGCCACCATCCATCCGCTGCCAGCCGCTGCCATTTTCCGTCACCCATTTATCCAATGCGATCAGCCGTCCTCACGCTCCCTCCTGCACACATGACCACGGCGCGCTATGTCGCCTGTACATATTCTCCGCCTTATATCTTCGCGCGATCTGCGTGCGAGTCTAAGTGCGCGCGCTGCCCCGCTTCCCCCCGCCTTCCCCTCACTTCTCCGCCCTTCCCCTCGACTTCGCGCCGCATACGCCTCACGCTCCGCACTTCTGCAAGCTTCGTCCACTTCTACGACCTCGCACGCGTATAGTCTATCGCAATGGCAGGAGGCGTCGACGTCGGGACCTCGTTGGCCGCGAGTAGGCGGCAGGCGCTCTCGGGGAAATCAGGATGGGTACGTGGGACGACTGAGTATAGCGCGAGGGAAGGAAGCTGACGGCGGTGGACAGGCAGGAATCATGGAGAACAGGAGGGTGTTCTTGATCGCGGTTTTCGCATCGTTGGGTGGATTGTGCGTTTCTAGTTATCTCGTCGTTGATCCTCTTGCTAATGGCTTTTCAGGCTCTATGGTACGCCTGCTTCATCCTAGCGAATGGCGCCGAGCTCATCATGTTCTCGATTCTCAGGCTACAACCAGGGCGTCTTCAGCAGCGTCCTGCAAATGACCTCGTTCAAGAACCGCATGGGCGATGATGCGACTGACTCGGGCAAGAAAGGCTGGCTCGTTGCCATCCTGGAGCTCGGGGCTTGGTTTGGTGTCTTGTTGACCGGTGCGTTACGGACGATGAGGAGATGAGCCTAAGCTTATACTCCGGTGCCCGCAGGTCCTCTTGCGGACAAGTTCTCGCGCAAATATACCATCGTGTTGGCGGTCATTGTGTTCAGCGTCGGCGTCATCGTGCAAACCGCCGCGAAGGGACCGGACTCAATCTACGGAGGTGCGTGTGCCACCTAGCATTGTTGGACGTGTCACTAAGCGACCTTCCTCCAGGCCGATTTGTTACTGGTCTCGGCGTTGGTTCACTCAGCATGTGTGTTCCGCTCTACAACGCAGAGTACTCGCCTCCCGAGCTGCGTGGCAGTCTTGTCGCGCTTCAGCAGCTTTCCATCACCTTTGGAATCATGATCTCCTACTGGATTGACTACGGGATGAAGTGCGTCTGCCAGCCTTATGGTCACCACCAATAGCGCGTACTCACATCTGCATCAGCTACATTGGCGGTACCGGGGAAGGCCAGTCTGAGGCGGCGTGGAGGCTTCCACTTGCTCTGCAGCTGGTTCCGGCACTGGTGCTGGGTGTAGGAATCCTGTTTATGCCATTCTCCCCGAGATGGCTCGTCAACAAGGGACGCGACGAGGAAGCCGTGCAGGTGCTTTGCCGTGCGCGTAATTTACCAGCGGATTCGGACCTCATCCAGATCGAATTTTTGTGCGTGTTCAATATATCCCTCGGTTTTTTTGCCAGTATATGCTGACGATTTTGTATAGGGAGATCAAGGCTCAGCGCATGTTCGACGTCGAGACCTCGCAGAGGATGTTCCCCAACTTCCAGGACGGGTCGTTCAAGTCGGAGTTCAAGCTTGGGTTCTATGGCTATCTGAGCTTACTTACGAACCGAAGTGCGTACTAGCTCTCCGCTGTCCTTCTACTTCGCTGACTGACCTTTTTCAGACCTTCTCTACCGAGTTGTTCTCGCCGCTGGGTATGTCTTATTCACTTCCGACTCGCTATCCAGCCCGATCTAAACGCTTCCCACAGAACCATGTTCTTCCAACAGTGGACCGGCGTGAACGCCATCCTTTACTATGCCCCCGCCATCTTTGAGTCCCTCGGTCTCACTGGCAACACGATCGGCTTGCTAGCCACTGGCGTCGTCGGCATTGTCATGTTCCTCGCGACCATCCCCGCCGTCATCTGGGTCGACCAGCTTGGAAGGAAGCCCGTGTTGGTCTCGGGCGCGTTCTTGATGTTCGCGTGCCATCTGATCGTAGCGGTATTGACGGGCCTGTATCATGATTCGTGGCCTAGGTGAGCGATGCGAGGGCTGCAAGTAAGGCAATGGAGTTGACGAGAGCCTCTACAGTCATTCTGCGGCAGGCTGGGCAGCTTGTGTGATGGTTTGGATCTTCTCGATCGCCTTTGGGTACAGCTGGGGTGAGTGCCGTGCAGGCAGAGGTACGGCTCGAGATACTGACCCTTCATTGCAGGACCTTGCTCGTGGATCCTGATCTCAGAGGTGTGGCCTCTGAGCGTCCGCGGCAAGGGCGTTTCGATCGCTGCCAGCTCCAACTGGATGAACAACTTCATCGGTACGAGGTCCTTATGATCGACGTTCATTCGTCTCTTACTCATTCATTCCAGTCGGGCAAGTCACGCCCACGATGTTGGACAACCTCGGCTTCGGGACGTTCGTGTTCTTCGGCGTACGTACCTCCTGATGGTACTCTTCTTCGCATGCTGACCAGGATCGCACTCTAGGCTTTTTCACTCGCCGGCGGGCTTTTCATCCTGCTCTTCGTGCCAGAGACTAAGGGTCTTTCTCTTGAGGTATGCGTTCATTCCTCCCGCGTCATCCGTACGGTCGCTAACGCCCACTCAAGGAAATGGAGAACGTAATGGGCAACACTGGAAACTTGGCGCTGGAGGACCAGAAGCGGCTGGAGGATATTCATAGGCGGTTGGGTCTCGTTGACGACGTTCGCGAGCAGGACAACCTGAACGAGAAGTTCTGAGATTATCTTCTGTGATTATCTAGTACGGTCATGCCATTGTATTTCTACATCTTTTCTCTGATGATAATGATGAACGCTCTGTAAGCGAAGCAACTTCGATCGAACTAAGGGTCAAGAATTCCTTATGTATAGCATGAGCCAATCCGCCCTCGCCTCCTGCAGGACCGTCATATCGTAAGGATGTGCCAGCGTCCCTATATCCAGGACACGCAAGGTACCCCGGCGCGACAGCACCATCCTGTCCAGCGACCTTTGGGGGTCGCCCCAGCACGTCCCCAATGACAGATCTTGGAGGCGCGGGAGATGGTGTCTGTCCTCGTCGATGATCATCATCTCCGCGAACCAGCCAGGGACAGTCGTCTCCTTTGCTGACAGCTGCTCTAGATCCTGGAAGTGATCCAGGGCGATGAGATTGGCAAGATGCATCACTCTCCCGGTGAAGGAAAGGCGCTTGAGCCTGGCGCGAGATGCGACGAGCATGTGGCTAACGTCGGACCAGAAACCGGCTTGCACGTCAGATGGGCTACGTCGAATATCTTCTACAGAGAGATGGCGCAGACGTGGTGCCTGCAGGTGCTGGATAACTTCGACGCACGGGTCCGCGAGCTGGAACCACACTTCGACCAATAAAGTATGCAGATTCCGAGCGACCACGACCGGCAGCCCTCTTATGTCTTCGGTCGGTTCGTGGCCCGTCGCCACTCCTAGCAAAGCCACATGGAGTATCTCCAGCTGTGCGCAGCCCTGCAGTACCGCGAGCACTTCAGCGGGGGTGCGATATCCCTGCAAGCTCAGGTCCCGTAGATCTTGCGAGATTCCCCGTATGAAGTTGCGTACATGGGCAGGCGTGTGGCTTTCGCGCCCGAACGTCAATCGCCGTACATGCCCCGATGATGTAACCCACTGCTCATACATACGCTGCGTGGTAGGGACGAATGTTGAGCGGAAGAACAGAAACGTCGAACCAGGCGCAGAGGTCGAGAACAAACTGGCAAGATGGTCCCGCGTGAGCCCGTCTGGGTAAAGGATAAGTTCGCGCCACCTGTGCGCATTCGCCATAATGGGTTGAAGAAATTGGGTGTGCGATGGATGTTCAAGCCCTTGCTTTTTTATCTCTTGCAATCCCGTCGTGTCGATGTGAACGGTCAGCGCACGGTTACCGGAGTGCTTCACGTGCAGCTCCGCCCAGCGGACCTGCCTGGAGCTGTCGAAGTCATCGATGAGGATCCTTTGCCAAAGACCGGCATCGCCCTCGGCCGCGGCCTTCCACTTCTTGCATACGGCGAGCAGGACAGCGGGTGCGCGATACTTTGTTTGATAACCGCGCGCACGGCGCTCACGTAGTACGAGATGCCGGTCGACATGCGCATTTTCGGTAAACAGCCAGTCAGGACCGACGGGGGGAAGGGTGTATTGGAAGACATGGCAGAGGATCTCTAGAGGGAGTCGATGCACGGGGGTAGCGCGAGATGGGTGCGACTGTGTTTCGGTCGCGTACGTTTGCCCCGACCCAACGTTACGAGCAGGATCCTTCTTGCTCGCCTATACAGGGTGTGAGATCATGCAGGATACTTGGGAATTTGAACATACGCGCGGCATATTTCAAGACTTCGAGAAGAGACCAGATCCAGTGCGTCCGTAGGACACCTTTTTTTGGATTGCGTACAAGGCTGGGATTTAGTGGCACGCCAGTCTAACCAGCTAAATGCACGAAGGGGGCGCACACGACCGGGATATTTTCAAGGCTTGACCAGGCTGCGTGAGAGAGAATACTGTACTGATGAGGGTAAGTATGAAAGGGACGTCGGCATCGATGCGAAGAGGCGTCCGGTCACATGCCTACATACTTGAGGGTAGGTCACACGTACTCTGGCACTGACTGCGAAGATACATGGATGGGCGGTAGATCCTCGTGAGCTTGCACCTACAGCTCGGTTGCCGGCTACTGCGCTGAGGTTTCCGACTTACGCGCTTCTAAGTACAAGTAATCAGATATGTATATATAATCGTGATACATGTTCTACAAGATGGGGCGGTTCGTTTATCGCACATCTAGTCGTAGCCAAGGAGGCCGTCTAGTAGCTTCCCTTGGGTCCATGCACGCCCCAGCCCTGCATGATGAAGAAAATCCTGTCGCACGATATGCATCAGTCAGGCTTTCCATAGCACGGACAGCCGCACTCACCACTTCAGCCGATCCGGGCGGAAGATGTGGAATAGGACGAGCCAGATGGCTGGGGATGCGTGGTCAGCATCATTCAAACAACATTCTCACGCGCAGCCTCGCGAGTGTGCGAGATGTACGCAGATTCGAGCACACCACACGCAGAACCTCGGGTGTACGCGCAAATGTCACTCGACACTCACTCAACTCCGCATACGTGAAGAACCCCAAGGCGCCGCCCTTAGCTCCGCGCTTGACGAACCGGACGCAGTCGACCCAGAGCTTCATGTCCTTGGGAAGCGGGCGCGCGTCCGGGTCGAGGAGGAGGGTGAGGAGGATGCGGGTGTCTGGGCGGTGGAGGTTAGCGATGCGGTGCGAGGAGTCAGCGATGCGGTGCGAGGAGTCAGCGATGCGGTGCGAGGAGCGGACGTTGAGGGAGAGTGCAGATATTGAGGGTGACTCACAGATTCCGATGTGGCTGGAAGCGAGGGGGAAGTATGTCAGTATCGAGAGTAGAGGATCATTACGCCGGAGCAACGTACAAGTGACCGCTGCGAAAGTTCATCAGTAACTGACGTAGATCAGGAAATCGGCGAGCAAACGTACACTGTCCCGATGGCGTTCATATACGCAGAGTTCGTCATCAAGACGGACCAGTCCTCGGTTGAGAAGTTCTGGAGATAGAGATCCGGGCGCTGGAGAGCGACGTCAGGTTACGCTCGTCTACGACGTCAGGCCACGCTCGTCCACAACGACGTGGGACTGGGCGACAAAAGATACGGCTTGTTTTCTAAAGAAACATGATAAGCGCACCTGGTAGCCTTCAGGGAAGATCTCGTCTGCCTCCTCGAAGAAATCGACGCTCGGTTTGTTGAAGCCCGTGGCGAGGATGACGACGGCGGCCTCGACGAGCTCGGGCTCGGACTCCTTGGACGCGCCCTGGAGAGAAGTTAAAGATCAACACCTTCGTCGCGCTGTATACGGTCCACCAGCTCACCTTCTTCTTGACCAGCACACCCTTCCCGCTCTCCTCCATCCCCTGCGTCGCCGCGCGCACATACTCAACCCTCCCCTCCCTCACATGCCCCAAAAACTCATCATTCACCACCGGCGTCCCCTCAAACACGCCCCGCCCATCATCTGGCACCATCCACGCCAGGTCCTTCCCATAATGAAACCGCCGCAGCCACGCCTCCCAGACCCAGCTCAGCGGCATCTCCCGCCCGAACGGCTGCGCCGCCAGCAGCGTGTCGACCGCAACGTTCCGCGGGATGATCCACTTGTCCGAGCGCGCGAGCATGGTGACGGGGCCCGCGAGCGCGACGCCCTTGGCGAGGACGGTCTCGCACGCCTCGACGCCCGAGGCGCCGGAGCCGACGACGACGACGCGCTTGCCCGCGAGCACGTCCGCGGACGCGGCGTCGAGCTCGGAGGAGTGGAGGACGGTGGCCCTGTGCGCCGCGCCTGCGTGCTTCTCGCCGTCGCCGTCCTGCGAGGTGGTCCAGTCCCGCGCCCACTCGGGGACGCGGGGCGCGCCGCAGGTGCCGACGTTGACGATGACGGCGTCGTAGAGCACGGAGTCGTCGTTGTTGACGATCCAGGTGCGGCGGGAGGGGTCGCCCTCGGGTGCGGGGCCGCGCCTGACGGAGGTGACGGGGGTGGAGAACCTAGTGCGCGCGTCGAGGTTGTATTCGTGCCAGATGCGGGCGATCTCGCCGAGGATCTCGTCGCGGTGGGGGAAGGCGCGACTCCAGAGGACGGCTGCGGCACGATGAGGGTCGGTGTCGGGCGGCAGAGTCAGATGCACTCACCAGGGTGGAAGCGGTACATGATGGAGTTGATCTGCAGGCCGCTGGTGCTGTTGACATGCGCCCATATGCCGCCAAGGCCCTTCTCGCGAGACTGCGCCTCGAAGATGGTCACCTCGAAGTTGTGTGCGATGCAGTGCCTGTAGGATATCGCGTGTCAGTGAACAGTCAATGAGTCAGGAGCTACGGGGAGTGCGAGAACGATTGATTTGACAGAGGAGCCTGTGAGCGCGTTGAAAGATCTTCACTCACGCCGCACTGGAAACGCCTGTCAGACCCGCACCGACGACTGCGATCCTACCGAACGGTTGCTTCGGCGACTCCTTCGACCTCGGCCTCGGCGGCTTGAACAGCGCGATGATCGCGACCTGGATCGCAATGTAGAAGGTGTGCCAGATATACTGGAGCAGCTTGTAGGGGTTCAGCAGAGTCCATATACTAGCGTAGTCGCTGGTCGCTTGCGAGAGCGCAGCAGCTGCGAGGTGGAAGGTGTTGGGGACGTCTGTCGACCGCTTGAGGTCGTCCTTGATCTCGTCTATGTGCACTTCGCCGGCATTGTCGACGTGCTTGCCGTTGGCGATGATTTTGTCGGCGTTGCTAGCCATGTTGCGCCGTGAAGGGAATGCATTGTGCGCGGCGACGGGAGTATATAGGGAAGAGATGACGCGTGACGTCAGTAGTGACCCTGCGTCCATCACAGGCAGGTGATTTTCGGTAACCCGCAAAGACTCTGCGGCGCGCCAGCCCACATGTTCATGGTCATCCAGCCTCGATATCGGTCCAAGTCACACGGGCGACAGAAACAGAGAGCGCGCATACAAATCTTAGTACAGATGTCAACATGAGTCAGGAATGTCTTTCTGAAGCGGCGGTGGAGCTTGGTTCGAACTCGGACGACGTTGCGGCAATTACCGACAGGTCCAACGCAGCGAGTTGAAACTCCGTCTTGCTCCTGGACACTCATGAAGGGCATTGACTGTAGCTTGGCACATCGAAAAGCCACCCCATGCATAGATGCTGAACGTGTCGAGTCAATACATCTGCTTCCCCATGCAGACTGTCTGATCAACTTCGCAAGCGGCATCCGCCGAACAGCTGTACGCACGAGTCCTGTGCATGATCGATGCCTTCTGCATCTACCAGCATGACACCTGCAGCTGAGGAGATCGGAGCGAAAGAGGACTACGCCCTTTACATTGTACGCTGTGAGTATTGCCCCGGGAGAAAGCCCACATCCGTTGACCTGATCGTGTCCGCAGGTGAGGGCCTCCCTCGCATTGCGACGTGGCGGAAAACTGTCCGCCCAGTATACGCCAAATTCAAGGTCCGCGGTGAAAACAGCCAGAAGCGCTTCCTTGACAGCGCCTCGGCTATTGGTGCACCCGTAATCTTGTGAGTACTGTCGACTTCATAATTAGCACTCACCATTGACGACTGTACTCGCAGGCCTGCGAAGGCCGACTTGGTTCTGTGTATACAGCTCTATGTGCAACGCTTCTTGAGCGATAAATGCCTCGCGACGACAGAGGTGAGTATTGATGCCCTTCTTTCCGATGAATTCTATACCGGTGCGTTGGTCACAATGTTCGTGATTATCGTTCTGCTCAAGATGCACGTTTCAGTCATCCTTAGCCCCGAACATCCTCAAATTCGAGGGATGGAGAAGACGCTGATAACTCTGAACGTCGCGACGGGGACATTGGACTCCGATGAACTGGAGAGGCTGGCTGAGGCGTTTGCGGTGCACAAGAAATGGTCAAGAATGGTCAGCTGCGTGAAGCCCTTGCTCGAGATTGGCGGCGCCGTGGCGGAGGCAAGTTTTCTTAGCAATAACACATGGTACCGCTCTCTCAGCGCTCCCCTCAGGTGAATCCTCTCGCGAAGATGGTACTTTCGGTGCTGGAAACGGGGATCAATGTAAGTGACCCGTGACACGATCGTCTGCCCTGCGCTAATCGAAGGCAGCAACTCGACGAGAGGTTGAAGCGCCTCGACGCTATTCACGATTTACTCGATGCGATCGCCGATGCGGGCCGACGGGTATATGCGCAAGACGAGCCACACTATCGCAGCAAGCGCCAAGTGCAGTTGAAGACCCGCGACATACTTTTGGGAGAAATCCACGATGCACTCGTGTACCTTCGCCCGCTGTCCGCCGCTTCCGCAGGTACGTCGCTTCTCGCTGGAGTCTATCCGCCTACAGACCTGTTTAGCTCGTCGGTCCTCATCCCACGTCGAATCCCGCATCCACGAATTCAAGAAGCGAATCTCGACGTTCATGGACGATTTCGAAAGCAAGGGAAGCGTTGACACGCAAGTAGCGGTTTTCACCATACTCGAAGAGATGCGTGAGTTGGTGATACGTCTTGCTGATATGCCTTTTGATTATGACCTCGTAGGCCTTGACAAACTCCCATACGCGCGCGGCGTGCGAGCCGAGCCAAGCAAGCGGTGCTTGCCCGGGACACGCGTTGAGTTACTTCAGAAAATTCAAGATTGGGCTCTCAGCCCCGTCGCCAACCGTGTATTCCTACTTCAAGGTACCGCTGGCAGGGGGAAAACCGCTGTCGCTCATACAGTGGCACTGTCCTTGCAAGAGGCTGGTTTTGTTGCGCCCTTTTTCGCGTTTAATAGGTACGACCAGGAACGCGCTGCACACCAGCTCCTGCCAACACTGGCCAGACAACTCGCGGAGCGAAACAAACTGTACAGCCAGTACCTATGCGATCAGCCGCCTTCGCAGCTAGAAAGTCGCGATTCCGCGACTCAGGCTCGGTGTTTAATCCGCGGGGGCTTGGGAGACTGTACCGTCGGCACTCCCATAGTGTTCGTTATAGACGCGCTTGATGAGTGCTCTGATGCACGCCTGCAAGCCGAAGATCGAAGGAGCATGCTACAGTGTCTGCGCGATTGTCTTGTCGACTCCCAACTTCCCTCGAACGTCCGGTTCTTCCTTACCTACCGCCCGGACGAGGATATACTTGAGTGTTTGGCCCAGCCGAGCATGCAAGCCACGCGACTATCCATCGACAAGGTCAACGACACTGACTGCGACATACGCGCGTTCGTCGAGTCCAAGCTTGCGGGCACACATTTCAGCGGCCAGGTCGACGTAGTCGCACGCGCGGCGCAGACGTTGTTTCAGAGCGCGGCGGTGCTCTGCCTGGAGCTAACTAAAGTCAACAGCCCAAGAACCGTCGTGTTTCCACGCGAGCTCATGCGACGCATCATGGAGAATCCCGGGCAGCCGTTGTACGAGACTTATCGTGCCATTCTCGAAGCCCACTTCGACACGACTAGCGCGGCTGTCATAGCTATCCTTCGCCAACTCCTAGGCTGGGTATTTGTGATGCAGAGCCCTCAACCGTACGCCGTGTTCCGAAGCATAGCCAAGGTGCATCTGGCGAACGTCGATGACCTTGACTTCGTATTTCTCGGCCTTGGATCTCTGTTGACGGGGGTTACTCCTGCCAGCGCAGACCCTGTTCAACCGCTGCATACGTCATTTCGCGATTTTATCCTCGACGATACGCAAAGCCAGCCGTTCTCTCTGGGAAACGATCTTGCGGCGGCACATGCGGAGGTCGCTTATGCCTGCTTACGGATCATGAACGATCCTATTGTAGGCGTCAGATTCAACATACTCAAATTAACCAGATCATTCGTCTTGAAGCGACATATTCATGACCTGGAACAGCGCGTGTCCAACTATATCTCGTCAGCGCTTCGGTACGCCTGCGAGCACAGCCATGTGCATCTCTCGGACGGTGCTGTCCAGTCTTCAGGTGTTCCTGGTGGAAGTTCGGGGAGCCTATACTGATATATCTTCTACAGGCTTGCCGTTTGTTCGGGAATTCACTATATTTCTGAAGCGTAACTTTCTGTTTTGGCTCGAGACGTGCAGCTGGACCGGCCTCTCGTTCCAACCCGCTAAGCTCCTCCAACATATCTCGACAGCAGCCCAGGTTTGTCTAATTCGGTACCGCGCAATCAACCTAACGCAACGACGTAGCGATTCAAGGTGGCTGATCTACACGACTTTGCCGTCGATTGTATCAGGTTCGAGGAATACTTTCAAGAAGCCATATCACAATCGCCTCCTCAAGCGTATGTCAGCGGTTTGAAGTTGGCTCCTCGCAGCTCGCGAGTTGGTAGACTTTACCGAGCTCGCTTCTCTGTTCCTATAAATATCTCAGGACATGCGCGGACGCGAGGCTGGCCGGGCATCAAACCCAAGGTCTTTTGGCAAGACAAAAGAGCTCCATCGGCAGAATGCGGTCCCTTTCCCAAGCCCATCCTCCTACTATGCCGGGTGAATGGCATGGTCTTCGATACTCCCGACATGCTAGTACGTATATGGAACGCAAGAATAGAAGCAAAATTAATGAAATGTTAGGCCGACGACTCAGATGATGCTGCGGCAACCCTCTGCGGCCTCGCATTCGCACCAGATGGAAAAACCTTGGCCTCTCTGTCTATGGACGGAACTATCCATATACGGGACAAGCAGACGTGTGGGGGGCCACAACGGAGTGAATTATGGAAAAGCGGGTCCACATCCTTGCGGCCTATGGTGTTCTCTCCTGACAGCAAATTAATCGCGGTCTCCGATGTGCGGACCATCCAGCTATGGGATGTACAAGATCGCCGGTGCATCGCGCAGTTGCGAGTGCTTCACACCTTGTGCATTGCGTACTCCCCGGATGGCAAGTACATCGCATACGCATACGGTATCCTGGGGGAGCACAAAGTGTGGTTGTGGCATCTGGAGACGAGACATGTGGCTCAGGCAGGAAGTGCGCATGAGCGCCGCAGCGAAACGATCGTATGCGTAACGTTCTCCCCGGATAGCAGAACTCTGCTGTCGATCACACGCGGCGGTTCACTGCAGCTTTGGAATCTGGAATCACAGCAGTATCTTCCTATACCTTCGAATTTGTCTGAGATCTTCGAGGTTCCGGCATCACCGTTCACGCCTGCCGGACGCAGCGCCAAATCTCCGGAAGGTACGGACCAGGATTCGAAGGAGAGGATGCGGGCAGGTGGCGTTGCGAAGGGAGGGCCTGCTCTGCGTATGAGCACCAGAATCTTCGCGGACATGGACCCAGGCTCGGACGACGAACTCGGCGACGACGTCCGTGTCAAAGCTGCCTGGATTTTGTCCGACGGCGCTCGTGTCAGGACTTTGGAATCCTCGAAACACCGTCAAAAGATGGTGGAACGGGATGTAGATCTGCGACCAAAGCTGGAAGACCACCCACGCGCCTTCGACCAGATGACGTGCGCCACGTTCTCGTTGGATGGGAAGTTCATCGCAGTTGGCTTCTCGGGTGGCATAGTGCGTATCTGGGATGCAGAGACTCTGGTGCAAGTCGGCCAAGACCTGGAGGGGCACATAGATACGATCAACTCGGTCGCCTTCTCGCCGGACAGGAAGCGCGTTGCCTCCGGCTCCCAGGACGGTACGATGAGGATATGGGATGTGGAAACACAGCGGCAGTGTGGCGATGTCCTGAGGCTTCACTCAGATGAAATCACTTGCGTCGTGTTCTCCTCCGACGGCAAATACATCGTGACCGGCTCCGTCGACGGCACCGTACGGATATGGGACACTGTCGAAAAGCGTCAACTGGAGCATCATCTCGCACTCGACCACCAGGTCGACTGCGTCGCAATCTCGCCTGACGGGCTGCTCATCGCTTGCGGCTGCAGCGGAGATCCTACTTTGCGCATCTTCAGCATGGCGTGGGGCCTGCAGAGCTGGGGCAAACCGGTGTCTTCCAACCCACATGATGGGGTTGAATCCGTGGTGTTCTCCTCTGACGGAGGGCGCGTTGCGTACTGCTCCGGTCTGGCTGTGCATGTCCTGGACATGGAGACGCGGAGAGAGCTCGGACGCTACGTTCACAGCGGCGTCTGCTCAGTCGCCTTCGCGCTCGATGATTCGCACGTCGTCTTCGGGTCTCCCCGCAACTGCGTAGGAGTATGGAACACCGCGAGGAAAGGGGAGCGAGCGTGCACCTTCCTGCACGGCCCCACAGATTCAGTCGACTGTGTCGCGTCCTCGCGGCATGGGACGACCATTCTCTCCTGTTCCAGTGATCCCTTCGTTCGCCTTTGGGATTTAGCACGCCTACCATCGCCCTCATCCGACGACGGCGTCACTGGCCCTGGATCAGAAACGGCCCCACGAAACCTGCAGTTCCATATTCGGGAGAGCGGCGGATGGCTGTACCACATCAAGCACTCTACTTCTGATGTCCCTGCATGGCATCGTTATCAAAGCTCGTTGAACGACGAGAACTCCTCACCTTTTCTTTGGATCCCGCCCCGGCTCCGCCGGTTTATCCCGCGTATGTACTGCCCCGCCGCAAGGGGTGTCATATCTGCCTACCCGCCCTTCACCGTGTCGCTCGCCAACGAGAAGTGCATCGACGAGTGGGCCATCACGTATAAAGCGCCTCCGGATAGGAGGTTGGAGCAGGAGGACGAGGACGACGGAGGAGAATCTGGAATCAATGTGGTGTAATGAGGCGGAGAGGAGGAAGGGGACGGAAGGATACTTCGCGCACTTTGATCACTAGAATGGGTGAGTGCTGATAGCCACGCCTCAGTACGACCGCCACACCCCAGTCCGATCGCCACCCCTCGATATGATGCACTTGGAGTCGATACACGCGTTTCCATGAATGACAGGTTAACTTCGCGGACGGTGATGTGGGCAGAAAAGCGCTTGATTAGCGGAAGTTTGTATGCGGTGGCACGATTGCAGAAGAAACAAGGGCCACACACACTACGCTCTGTTTCAGTTCGCAGTCGAGACGCTGTTTTCGTCAGTACTCGCAAGTGCGTCTGGCACGCGCTCACCGTATGAGGTCCAAGCAGCGCTCACCGTGCGAGGGCCAGGCAGCGCTCGTCGTGCCCACCATAGTCCCAGGGGCCGCTCATCGCTCTTCGAGCAAGACGTGCCCAAGCATGCGAGGGTCCGCAAGAGTTACTGAAAGCGTGGGAGGGTCCGAAAGACTTGGCCAAACGCGCAAGGGTCCGCACAGCGCGCAAGGAATAGTGTTCGGCAATCCTGAGCGTCGCGGGCGAGTTAATCCTGAACGTCGCAGGCGCGTCGACCCTGAGCGTCGCGGGCGAGTTAATCCCGAGCGTCGCAGGTGCGTCAACCCTAAGCGTTGCGGGCGAATTACTGAGCGTCGCGCGCGAGTTCGAGTTCGAGATTGCGGCGTGGGAGTTTCTGTTGAGGTGTGTCGGCAAGTGCCGGTTGGGTTTACGAGACCACCTTGCCCGCCTTACCCCACCTTGCCTGCCTTTCCCCGCCGCTGGCTTTCCCCACCTCTGCTGGCTCCCCCACCGCTGGCTCCCTCCACCTCTCTTCCCTAGGCCTTTCACCGCTGGTTCCCCACCGCTCGCTTTCCCCCCTCGTCTCTTACCACTGGCTCCCTTTTTCCCCTCGCTTCCCTTCCCCCTTCTTCCCCTCTTCCCTTCCCCCTCCCCCGAGCCTTCACTCAGACAAACCGTCGAGTCGGAACAATCTCTCGATTTACAACCCCACCCGCGTGTTTAGTCTGCCCCACACGTAGAATAGTATATGCACGCGATATAGATACTTGTACATGCGATGTAGATACCTGTACACGCGACATTGAGACGCTCTCGTCGATCACGTCGTTGTGTGGCCTCGGCGCAAGAAGGCGTCCTCGGCGCAGACAACGTCGAGCGCTAGTCAACTGAGAGAGTAAGCGCTTGTGAATTGAGAGTAAGCCGCGCTCGTGAACTCTAACTCAGAGAGTAGAGACGCCGGGCGCTCGTCAACTTCGAGAACAGAGATAGCGAACGCTGTAATGCAGGCTGGGGAGGGAAAACGCTTACCGGACACGGGAGACAGGAAGCGTGCCAAGAAGAGAGAGACGTGAGAACGCGCCGCCGACGTGAGCGTCGCACACAACTTGCACAACGCGTGGCGTCGCCCCTCCCCCTCCCTCACTACCTTTCCCTTCCCCTCTCCATCCCTCTCCCCCATACCAAAGTAAGCCAAATCTCTCAATTCCACAAACACACATACACGCAATACTCATACACTTTCGCGCGATACTCATACACTACATATCTTCGGGACTCGAGTCCGTTGGTCGTATGCCTCGAGTCCGTTGGTCGTATATTTCGCTCCCTCCACCCGTCCACCGCTCTCATTCGCTCCCTTCGCCGTCAGGCGCTTTCCCGCCTACCACCCCCTCCTCCACGCCCACCCCCCTTCGCCGACAGGCGCATGCGAGGGGTGCGCGCTCCCTCCTCACCCCTCTCCCTCCCCCTCCCCCCCTCTCCCTTCCTCTCACCACCCCTCCCACCATCCCTCTACCGCCAGCACAGCACCTCATACTCCCGCACCACGTGCTCCTGCCCGCCGAAGGGCAGGTTCGCGCCGCCGCTGGGAGGGGGGGGTGGATTAGCGATGGGTTGGGTGGGGGAGCGTGATGGAGGGGGGATGGGAGGGGTTGGCGAGCGTGACGGGTGGGGGTGCGAGAAGGTGTGCGGGGTGGGCAGTGTGAGAAGGAAGCGAGGAGGGAACATACGAGGGTTGGGGCGCGCGATGAAGGATGTGCGAGCGTGTAGAAGGGGACGTGCGAGCGCGATGAAGGATGTGCGAGCGCGATGAAGGATGTGCGAGCGCGATGAAGGATGTGCGAGCGCGATGAAGGATGCGCGACCATATGAAGGATTCGTACGCGCCACCACGTGGAAAAACACCCAAACCAAACACCCAAACACCCAATCAAAACTCCACTCACAGATGCTCCCCCGTCTTCCCCGGCACCTTCACGCCGTTCACGACCCCGAGCGCGTGGTAGAGCTTCGCGCCGGAGGCTTCGTAGCTGGGTGGGGCGGGGTGGGTTAGTTTTTCTTTTCTTTCTTCTATTTCTTTTTTTTTTTTTTTTGGGGGGGGGGGGGGAGAAGAAGGGCGCAGCGACGAAGGTGCAGGGCAACAGCGCAGCGACGCCTCCTCTCAAACACGACGAAACAACCAAAGCCAAAAAAGTAATCAAGAAAAGAAATCAAAAAACACCCCACTCACCCGCCCTCCACGACCCTCCTCCCCTCCGGCAGCTTCCCGTCCCGCGCGGGCACCCACTCCATCTGATCAGGGAGGTACGGCAGGAGGTCGTACCGCCCGTTGTGGCTGAGCTCGCCCCCGCCGTAGGCGACGGCGGCGTACTAGAAAAGCAATATCGTTAGCACATCATCTTCGAAGGCCTTTCGGTCGTTTCGCTTCGAAAGCCCTTGGGTCGCGTCGTTTCGCATGGTCGGCATCGCTGCGCTCAAGACACAGGCTGATCGCTGCGCTCATGACACAGGCTGATCGCTGCGCCTATAGATCCACTTCGCTGCGCCTATGGATCCACTTCGCTGCACCTATAGATCCACTTCGCTTCGCTCAAGACACAGGCTGCTCCCCCTCTCGCGGCCACCGCTTCTCCCCCTCTCGCGGCCACCGCTTCTGCCCTCGCCTTCGCTCGCGCCGCCTTCCCCTCGCCGTCGCTCGCGGGCCTTCCCCTCGCCACGCGAATCCCTCCCCCTTCCCACCAAACACTTCGATATACAGCGACCCCCCACAGACCACTTCAAAACGACGATATCACGACCAAGACAGAACAGAAACACCCCACAACCGAGGCGGGGGAAGGGGGGGCGAGTCAAGGGTAAGGGGGGATCGCCAGCAGCCCGCTCCTCGAGAGCGCTTTGGAATCGCTCCCACCTCTTCCCCCAAACACCCCCCACCCCCCACGCGCAAGAAAGAGAACACGCACCGTCTGCAAATGCGCCCCCACCTTGCACGGGTGCACGCTATCGTCGAACAGCGCGCTGCCGATATAGACCGGCGAGCCGTCCACGTCAAAGCAGACGGGGGTGCCGAGGGTGGGGGGGTGGGTGCCTTTGGGTGTTTGTTAGTATAGGGGGGACGGGGTGAGGGGTTAGTTGTCGTTCGTGTATTTTGATATAGTGATGGTGTTTTTAGGAAGGGGAAAGGGGAAG